AACGGCAGATTCAATGGCGAGACCCAGGCCTACGTTCCCAGTTCTTCCCTCCCGCCCATGCCCAATTCTAGCCAGCGGTGAACCGCGCACCGTCGCCAGTAGGATCGCCCCAGGGTCGTACCCGCACCTCCCCCCCCCCCCCCCCCCCCCCCCCCGCCCTCCCTCTATACTTTTTACCAGGCATAATTAAAGAGCTTGAAAAGGCCAAAAAAAATATATGAAAAAAAAGAAGAAAAAAGGAAAAGAAAAATCCACACACCGTGTCCAGGGGGAAAAAAAAGGCGTGCCAATGGAAGAGAGAGAAAGAGTCCAAAGAGAAGAAAGAAAGGTTGCAACAAGACCCTTTGCAAAATCTCCATCTTTGCCAAAGAATACTCATGTAGGCTGAAAAACGAGAAGAAAAAAAGATGTCCATGACCCTAGATATGTTGGAATGTGTCAAGAACGTTTTTTTACGCCATTCATCCATCGAATATGTATCATTGTAGCAAAAACAAGCAAAGGAGAAATTCATTTATCCCCCACAGCTGTTCTTGTCTTTTTTCCATCTCAAACAAAAAATCTCATCTCCTTTATCCCAAAAAAAAAGAAGAAAAAAAAACTACGGTGGATAAAAGGGCGCCTCTCCCAAAGCCAATCTCTTCTCCATAGCTTCCATCAAAACCTGAGGAACACTCTCATCCGTAGCCCGAATAGTAAGTCGATACATCTACAAATGTCACACACATAAAGTTAGCAAAAAATTTCGCCACATCTCACATGTCCATCGAAAAGGTAGAGAAATCCTCATTGAACTTACCCCATTTCCAGCATTAGGTTCTAATCTAACAAGACACCCAATCTTGCCAGCCTGACTAGTATGCAATACACTGGCACAAACGAAATTCTTGACATTGGGATCCACGTCGTCCAAGACACCCCATTTGAAGCCTTCGAGGATACGGCGAGTGGGGACGGGAGCGACGTCTTTGCCGGAAAAGATGCGTTGGGCTTCGCGAGGTCCGGGTCCACCGATTTGTTTCCAGCGCTTGAAGAAATCGTCGGCGGTCAACGAGGCGGGCTCGAGGTATTTGTGCACTGCAAGAGGTAGTTTGAGGGTTAGGGCTTGAAGGGCGCCTGCGAGCCAGGAGATGCGGATGGTGGGGGCTTGGGTGAAGACTGATTTCGCTTCCAGCATTATCATGGCTTGTGTCTGTGTGGAGGGTTGGACGGTCGTCTCGGGCAGGGATTTGACGTCGATTTTGATTTGGTCGGGCGATGGGTTGTTGAGGGTGGTGGTGAAGGAGTTGATGGCGAAGGAGGACTTGTTGGTAAAGTACATGATTATGCAGCCGAGTTCGCCGCGGTATTCTGAGCGTACTCCGACTTGTATCTGGCCGTCTTCGTACAGGATACCTTCGGGTACCATGAGCATACGAGCGTGACCGCGCTCCCAGCCTGGTGACAGGTGGTCCGCGCTGGCGAAATTTGGCGTTTTTCCTTCTGTGCCCCAGTCTAGACCGGCTAGTTCGTCTGCTGGTGTTCTTGAGCCATTTGCTTTGGTGGGTGACTGCGCTGCAGATGTCGTGTCAAGTTGGTTGCCAGCACTGAAGGTACGCTTCAGAGTGTTGTTCCGCTCGGTGATGTCCTTGTTTGCATCCTTGCCGCCTGCTACCCAAGTACGCTTATCCGTTGTGTTGTGTTGTCTAGAATGTAGTCTAGACAGCAAAGCAGAAGCACGTTCCGGGAAGGGTGGCATTTCATCCATAACCGTTCGCAGCAGATCATCTGTCGGCATCGTTGCCAGAGTCAGGTACTCGCATGCACGCTGCTGAAGTTCAGAATCCAAGGTATGGCTGTATGTCTTGAAAGCCTGCAAGAGCTGCGGCTTGATTTCAGGGAACAGGTTGACGAATTTGATAAAGGCAGAAAGCATCATGGCGCGAGTGCTTGGTGAGCTGCCATTGAACTTTGATTGCAAAGCCATAAACTGCTCAATAGGACTGCATTTGGGGCTATCGGCGATCAGGTGGCCAAATTCTCCAAGGAGATAGCTTCCAATCTTGACAAGCATCTCATGACATTGTTCAGCTCGGAGATATTCCAGAATGTTGGATGCGGCGTATATTTGCAGTTCATCGTTGTTGGTAACAATCATGATTATTCTTTGCCAGACCTCGTCGCTGACATGATCACCAGCCATGGCGATGAGTCTGAGTGAGATGTCCACATACCACTGGATGTCGGTAGCGTACTTCTCGGTCAGAATGGCAATCTTGAGAACCATCTCCTCACGAATGGCATAGTCAGCAGTCTGGAGATACTTCAATAGCTCACCGACAATGGGCTTAGCATTTGTCGTGTCGCACATGCTGTATAGCAGATCGAGACCTTGCCTTCTCACACTGATATCGCGATCGCGCAGAGAGCCGACAATAATGCTTTGGTGCTTCTTGATAGGGTCGAGATTTTCGGATCGTGCAGCCAGATGTGTCATGGCTTCCAAACCAAGATAGCGAACGTTAGTCTCTCTAGACTGGATGAACTTGCCCAATCTCGAGGAGATTTGCATCATCAATTCTTGCTCGGTATCGAGGTGGATTGTGAGGTTGATGGCTTCGAAGAGAACGGCATTCTGAGCGTTGTTTTGTTGCACGTTCTTTGGGGCCTCCATCGCATTGTCCATGATCTTTTGCAGCGACTCACGAATCAAGGCGCGTACGTGTGAGTCGTCCGAGGGAGGGAAGTATTGCATCAAACGCAGCAGCTTGACCTGGATCCATGGACAAGGAACTTTGTAGTAATAATAGTCGCCGGCGCATTCATGCTCGACAACGACCTTTTGCAGACGTTGGGCAGCCTTGACATAACTGCCTTTGTATCGATCGGGGTCATCTTGAGCAAGCTTCATGACGAGTGAGGTGACGGAGAGAGCAACACCCATATCCGTATCGTCCATGATGGAGATGATGCGTTCTGCCCATTCGGCCTGGACAATGCTGGGAGCTTTTCGGTAGAGACGCAGGAGGGTGAGGGCGGCCTTCTTCTTGACGAATGGTTTGGATGTGCTAGATGAGCGGGTCAGTGAACGAGTAGCTTTCAGCGAGCAGCAAGAGACTCACGGAGAGATGAGCAGTCTGTGGACATCAAAGGCCAGAGCTTCACCCATCTCCTTTCCTCCAACGTTGGCAATGGCGTGCAGCGCCAAACAGTTGTTCAGCTCATTGATGTCGGCCAAGTCTTTGCGAATGCTGTTGACCACCAGATGCAGAAGCTCGTGTTCCTCATGCAAGAACAGCGTAACAGCCAAATAACCAATCTGCTTCTCCGAGTACTTTGTAGCCGAGACCAGGTTGACAGCCTCGAGATGGCCAAAGTCGACGTTCCAGCCAAGGATGTAGATGTACAGCAGTTTGCAGACATACTTCTTCTTGTCGTAGCCACTCAAGCCACCCTGCTTGAACTTTGAACGGATGTTGGCCAACTCCTTGTTGATGCGCTTCTCCTCGAGCTCTCTGGCACGGGCGTTTCTCAGGTCGGCAATGAACGACACCAGACCGCGCATTGTGTTTTGGTTGCCGCTTCCTCCTCCGCGGTTGAACAGGCCGCTACCTGACGACGACATGGTGAGCTGCCGCTGCTGTGCGTCGGTCGCTATTCAATTGATCGTGTCTTTGGGGTGATGTCAAAGGAGCTCAAGGTCGGGTCCGTGGACTGACGGGTGAGCGAGTCGGGGGTTCCAAAGCGGATGCCAGTGGCGCGGAACAAGCGACTGCTTCAACTTGTACGCATCTACACTTGGCAGTCGAGCATGTGGATTGACGTCTTGGTCCTTTCTTCCGTCTACTCCGCTCTAGCTCAGAACATGTCTAGTTTTCGCACGTCGTAGCAGAGGTCACCACTCATCAGCAAGCCAACAATCTCCCGTATGGCATCTCGTACGCCAGCCAAGACGTGGGGATCTCAATCTCGTCCCTGATCCACTTCAGCCGAGACACACCACCATGCCAAACTCTATGCCTCTTGTCATCGATACCTATCTTCACGCCCTCGACGTTTCCGTGTGGCTAGATTGCCAGATAAATCAATCGTCAAACCCGTCTAACGTCGTTCACATCGGCACTTCACGACAAGTTGATGGGCAGTTGTTCGAAATCAAGTCAGTACAGTGTCTGTGTCACGGACTCTGGTCTACAAGTACACGCTCTCTGTCGCCCATCCCTTGCCTGGCCATTTTTGTCCTCCTGTAAAAGATGGTAAAGACTGTGCCCGCAGCTTCAAGCTACCAGGCACATCTTTTTGCTTTTGATTGTTGTTGTTGTCGTCATGCATCAGAAGATAATTGTAAGAAGAATTCATCCTATCCCGCCCGAGTCCTTTCGCTCTTCGGACGATGACTTTCCCAAACTGCCCGTACCCTTACGCCCAGAACGCCCATGATGCCCGTTAGCCGCCACTTGTCCCACCATCTCTACGATTGCCCTCTCAAACACTTGCCTTTCCTGCTTGCTCTTGCTCTCGCTCTCGGGATAAGGCAGCGCTGGAGCGCTAACACCCGAAAACCTAGGACCCGTCGCAAAAAGTTGCGCTGAAGTCGCTGAGGTTGGGAGCCGATGCGAGAGTAAGTTCAGGAGTGAGGAAAGCGTCCTTGAGACCAAAGCTAGAGAGGTTGAAGATGTCGTCGGGCCCGTCGGTCGTCGTGGCGTTGGTCGTGTAGTTGGAGTTGAGGTCGTCATACTCGATGAGATTGTCAAAGTGGCTGCTGAGGCCTGCTTCATCATCGTGGCCATACGAGTCGGCCATAAAGTCCACGAAGCTATCATTAGGCTCCGGTAGAAGATCATGAGGTTCAGATGCATCAAATAGAGCATAGTCTGGCTCCACCTTGAAAGGCTGTTGATCTCGCTCGACCGACACTGCAGGTCACACAACATTGCGGCAGAATGTTGTGTCGTGTCGAGCGAGATGCTTGTTCGGTGGACAGCCGAAGGTGGCATGTGCATCTGAGAAGCCGGCGACATGGGCTCCATCTTGACTGATGGCGTCATGTAATCTTCGTTGACGGATGAGGGTGCCAACGAGGCACGGGGGTCGATGGTGTCGTATGATGAGGAAGGAGAGACGATGCTGTGAAAATGTTAGACGTCATGTCGATGAGTATGTGGAGGCGGACGATGATATGCACCTTTCTTCCTGCAGCTTGATGCTGGCCAGTTCTTCTTGTGTAAGTTGGGGAAGACCGCCGGGGATCATGTCCTTGCACTTGTCAAGGGTGACGTCCTTCTGGGCGAGTTGATGTTGCAGGGCGTTGATCTGCTGCTTGAGGGCGTGGTTCTCGACCTCGAGACGCTCGGCTTCCTGACGCTTGCGCTCACGGGAGTTGTGTGCAGCAGCGCGGTTGCGCTTGATACGCTCGATGCGACGCTGCTCCTTCTCGTCGGCAGTCTTGGCCCGCTTACGAGGCGGCAGGTTGGTCTTGGGTTCAGGAAGAGCCTGGCCCCATGACTTGCGCTTCTTCGCAGGCTTGGCTGCTGAGGACTGTGGGATGTGGTGGAGTGAGTTGGGTGTGGCAATGGCCGTGGTGGCTGCCGTGGACGGAGTGAGAGAAAAGTCCGGGGTGTTCATGTTGAGTGGATCTGGAGTGGTTGCTGCCAGGAGGTTTGGCGGTGATAGGACTCCGTCGGCCATGATGTATGATGGTGGATAAGCGACTGCCTACATCTGGGGATGAAAGGTGGCCTCTTTGAGTGGACGAGGTTTGTGCTGTTGCCTGATGACGATTCCGGATTCCGAGTCACACTCTGAAGGCTCAGAGACAGCACGACTAACGAAGCAGGCGGAGAAGACACGGTGGCAGCTTCGCTCCTTTATACATCCGCCCATGCCTATTCCCAAAATAGCTAGCTCCTAATCGCGACTGCGCGACTGCCCCTGCGTAAGCCCTGGCCTTCACCACCTACCACTTTTGGCTGCACGTGCACCGAGGCTGCGCACATCAATCAGCCTCGACCTCAGCTCACCTCACTCCGACCGAAACGACCATCGATGTTAATCCTCAATCTCGCTCGTATACTTCCGGCATTGCCATCTTGTTGCGTCCCGCGTGTCATATAAATGCTTCTCGCCCCCAAAGCTCGCCTAGAGAATCTACTCAATCCCTTGCCTATGATCACATTTACCCAACTCTTTCCAACGCCGAGAGAGCCGTTGTTGTGAACCTTGTGCCAACCAACCATGTCGATCGGAGTTCGTACCCATCGTCGTTCTCCGTGCTTCCAAACCTTTCGAGCCCTCTTGTCCCACACACCAACCCCAGCCTTTTCCACTTCAGCTCGCGACTCCCTACATTCGTGTTGGCTCTCCTTACATGACTCAACAAATCGTACACCTGCTAACTGTCTGCCTGGAAGGCTATCCGTCAGCTGAGGCAGCCAGCCACTGACGACGAAGGGGGCTGTTGTATCTTTTGTAGAGAAATGTACCGTACCGACTGTGCACCCAGTTTACCCTGACGATCACAAAGGGTCCACTTTCGCCCAGCACGAGTGACAGAGATACGGCTATCCCGGCGGAGTAATCGATCTAGCCAAAATTGATGAAGATGCAATTAGAGTACGAATCTCGCGAATGTCAATGCTTTCTTGCTATCATTACACGCCCACTATAATGAGAGAAAAAGGGGTTTGAATATTTCAGAGCTCCATGCCAATAAATTGCTTGTCTGTAATCTTCTGCTTTCAATTTCGGTCTTCTTCTTGAACAAGGATTCAAGATCTTTTGTGTGTTTGTGCTTGAAGCATTCATGTCTATCTAAGACCAACAAGATTACCAGGCAGGGCTCTGGCCACGCTCAAGACCAGACCAATAAAGGCCTTGTTACCCTCCTTGGTCTTGGGCACCTGTTCTCTGAACTTCTTGATCAGCTCTGGGATGCTTATACCCTCTGCAGGAATCGAAGCCTTGATCTCCTCGATAGTAGGCATGGGTACGGGACTACCAGCGCGAGAGCCGATAGGTGTTGCATTTCCAGGTGATCCAGGGTTTGATCTAGGATTCAAGGTCATAGGACGAGCACGCCTCTCCGTCTCGGTGTCGCTGCCTGATCCAGCCAGGCGTCCCATAGGTGATGTGGCCCCGGACATATCACGACGGTGCTGCTTCTTCATACGCTTATGGTTGATTGACTCGCTGCCGCTAGTCTCGGACAGATTGGGTGACCCGGGTCGCTTGAGGTTGGACATGGAGCCCTTGGCCTGAATACCACCAGAGTGCTTCTCAACGCGACCTGACGGAGTATTGGCGTTGGTCGACATCTGGGACGCGGCCTTGTCTCCGTTTGCCTTGAGCTCTTCGTCTTTCTTGTGCTCGTTCTCTGCGCGTTCACGCTCAACGTCCGATTCATCCAGGCCCTCCTGAGATAATGTCAGTTCAAATCTGGCAAGTCAGATGCAAGCGAACTTACCGGTTCGGAGAATTCGTTCTCACTCTCGTCGTCGTCGTATTCGTAGTTTTTCTCAATCTTGACCAACTTCCTTCGCAGCTTCCTTGCCTTTATTTTCTCTTCTTTCTCCCTTCTTTCCTCCTCCATCTCCTCCTTCTCCCAGTCCTTTTCGTCCTTTACGCCAGTGCCAGCAAAGATGTTTGCGTTATGGCGATCCTTCTTGAGCTTCGACGCGGCTTCTTTGGCCTCGTCCTCGTCTTCACCGAACAGCTTGCCCTCGTCATCGTCTTGAAATTCATCTTCGGCTTCAAAGTCCAGCTCATCCACGTCATCTGCGACATCTTCGTTTTCATTCTCCCCGTCGTCCTCATTCTTGACGCGATTCTCGCCTCGCATACCAACTCTTCCTTTGGTCAAGCGCTCTTGTCTCGCAAGTTCGGCACGCTTTTGCTCCCGACTCTTGTCGTTGTCCAAGAACCATCTTGGGTTGCTTGTTCTTTTGTTCATGATGTCTTCGGCCTCTTGTAAAGGGATGAGCTTGAAGCGACCAGTTTGGTTAAAACGATACCACTTTTCAATGGGGACCATTTTGAAGCTGCCGTCATCTTGGAATAGAAACATGACATTTGACTCGGACAAAGGCTCTTCGTAGGTACCGACCCAGATGTTCTTGTTTTCGAAATCTTCAAAATGCCATGGGCGACCCTCTTCGTAGCGTAGCCTGGCACGTTTTTGTGCTTCCGGGGTGTCTGTTGGATAGTAGACATCTTCGGTCTTCTTCTTGAAGGGCTGGCGCTTCTTTGCTGCCGCTGCCTTGTCGGTCGGAGCGATCTGAGCTTGTGTCGCCTCTCTTTCTGCCGCTCTGTCGGCCTTGCGTATAGCTTCCTTCTCACGTTCTTTTGCAAGTTCCGGGTCGTCTGTGACAGGTGTGTTGGGTGTGTCTTTAGGGAAGCGGCGGTGAAGCTTGACAGGACGCACAAAGCTGGTACCGTCGTACGGATTAATGGTGTTGTTTGAGATGAACTTCATGGCGTGAAAGCGCATGCCTTCAAGGATGGACTTCTTTGTGGCCCTGATTGGGATCTCGTGGTATGTCGAGGGGTCATCTTCTGGCTCAGATTGCAGCTGAGCGGCGGCATTCGTTGCAGCAAGAGGCTTGGTGGTACCAGTGAGCTTTTGCGGCGGCGGAGCAGGTGGGCGCTTTGCTTGGGCGCGACTGGGCTTAGGCGCGAACGGTCCGGTGGGCTTCTTGCGACGGATTGCACCTTGACCGTTGTTGGGAGTGGTCGAAGGTTGTCGCGAGACCGGGCTCACGCCTGGTGGAGGAGCACTCATCGTGTCGACCGGTAGGCGGTATCTCTTGTTCGGCTTGTGACGGTAGATCGATCTACTGGTGCATCGAAGGCTGATGTGGTGTTGATGTAGGTCGGTGGTACTGAGTGCGCTAGCCGAGTTGACAATATGTCCAGTGGCGGCAAGCGTGGAGGAGACGAACGTGAGGGAGAGGAATGTGTGTCGTGGTCGTATGCGAGGACGAGTTGCGCTGCTGCCATGTCATCGGCCGCGCTTTGTTCCTCCCTCATGTCGGACCTCTTGGCACTCCCATCATCACTTTTGTGTGACGCTCATAATCTCGGCGATTGCTTCACTCATCATCCACTTTTGCAAAATCATCTAGTCGTGCGCTGTCGGAAGCCGCAGTCTTGTTCGATCCTATCTACACATTTCTGAAGGAAGCAGACAAATGCGATTCAATCAGAACATCATCATATCTCAAATCATCGCACCGGCCTAAGATGGATCAAGGCAGGAGCTATGCTCCGCCCAACCTCGAAGATCAGTTGCGACACATGATCATGAACCGTAATCTTCCTCAGCAACAGCACGACCCTCGCTCACCATTCCCGCCTTCTGACATGGCTCATGGTTATACTTCGAGGCCGCCTCCTGGTTTTGGAATGCCTCCGCCTTTGGACCACCACCCGCAATACTCTAACAATGTGCCCATGAATCGTCAACAGGATTTCTCTCAGTTCCTTCAACAACATCAGGTAACCCCACCGGTCCCTATGCCATCTCGTCATGTACCTCCTCACATTCACAATGGCAACACCCGTGCTCAAGGTCCTCATCGCAACCAAAACTCACGACCCATGGACCCGAATGCTTTCGAAGGACCTCCTCCTCAAGGTCCTCGTTCGCATCAATCTCACACCCAGCATCAAGGCCAGCGTCCGCAGCAATATCAAAACTCGAATCAACATCAACAGCGTAACCTGTACCAACCTCAGTCACGCCCTCAGCAGTCTCACAATTCTTACATCGAGCGTCAGGCTTCTTTCTTGGATTCACTCGCCACTCAGGAAATCTCAAAGACGCAAATGTTGGACTCTGAGATCCAGATGAAGGATGCTTTCCGTATCAAACTGCAAAGTATCTTCGAGAATCTCAGGTCTCCCGACCCGGAAAATCCTCTTCCTTCTGTTGAGTTGGCTAGCTTTGGTAGTCTGAGCTCTGGCTTTGCGACCGCTGGCTCTGATATGGATCTAGCTATAGTAACTTCTTCCGAACACGATCTGAGCCAGCGCTTCTCCTCCCATGAGAATGGTCTTCCCCGCGTCCTCGAAAGGGAGCTACTTGACAATGGCATTGGTGCTCGCCTCTTGACCCGCACCCGTGTTCCCATCATCAAGATTTGCGAACAGCCATCCGAAGAGCTCTTGGAAGCCCTGCGCGAGTCTCGAGAAAAATGGGACAATCTGCCAGAAGATGAGAAGTATGCCACCACAAAACCATCTGCCGATGACACAGCCTCAAAGAAGGAAACTTCTGAAACTCAGTCCTCGCCTGCTCAGCCAGAAGTCCAGGTCGATGACATTGAGCAGTCTGCACCAGACAGTGTGGTTCATGATTCTACCGAGCCTTCAGATAGCGTCTCTCTGCTCGTCGAGTCTACCCAAGCTTTGCACCTCGACCAGCAGTCGACTTCAAAACCAGATCAGGTGGCTTCGAAGTCAGAAACTACACAACAACCTCAGGACAAGCAGGCAAACCGGCAGCGAAACGATAGAGGTTGGCGACGCGAAAAGACAGTCGGCCCTCTCGACTTCCCAAAGGACGGTGTCGGCATTCAGTGTGACATCAACTTCTTCAACCCCTTGGGTATTCACAACACTCAAATGTTGCGATGCTACTCGAAGTGCGATCCCAGAGTCCGACCCATGGTGCTTTTCATCAAGTCATGGGCTAAGCGCAGAAAGATCAACTCCTCCTACTCGGGTACCTTGTCATCTTACGGCTACGTCCTGATGGTTCTGCATTATCTTGTAAACGTAGTACAGCCGCCCGTTCTGCCCAATCTCCAACACGAAGCTGAGGCCAACGGCATGCCTCCTGTGAGTGTCGATGGTTATGAAGTTCGCTTCTTTGACCAAGAAGATATGATTGAACAGCGCGCCAGTCAAGGTGCAGTCACGCAGAACAAAGATTCATTAGGCAGTCTTCTTGTCGGTTTCTTTAGGTACTACGCTGTCAATGCTGGTGGATTCTTCTGGACCCGTGACGTGCTGAGCTTGAGGACTCAGGGCGGTATTTTGTCCAAGGACGAAAAGGGCTGGACAGGTGCAAAGACCGAAGTCGGCGAGAACAAAGAAGTGCGCCACCGCTATCTCTTCGCCATCGAGGATCCATTCGAGACCACACACAATGTCGCGCGAACCGTTACTCACAACGGCATCTGCGCCATCAGAGACGAGTTCCGTCGCGCATGGCGCATCATCAGTGCCGTTGGTCGCAACAGAGATGAACCAGAAGGCGGCCTGTTTGATGAGTTGACTGAAGCCGAGGAACACACGCCTGCTTCTACAGCTCCACCGCCGACGGTCAACAAGGTGCAGGCATATGGTCAGCAGTTCCCCACACTCGCTGGTCCTGCCAATCTTGCTGGACAGAAGTCACAAGTACCGGAGCGTGTGCCTGTTCGACCAGTTCAGCAAGCTCAAGCTACTCAGCCTCAACCGAAGGTGATCGCACAAGAGCCTGTTCAGTCGCAGCCAGAGGCTACCCTTCCTCTTCCTCGTGGTAAAGGACGTCGCCAGAAGTTTGTGCCTCTCAGTTTCTAGAAGTGGTGTGGAGTCTGTATTTTCGTTGTTATCTCTGAGCATGGCGTACGGGGTTTTGCATGTAAGAGCTCGCTGAAATGCATGATGCTTGGCTCGGAGCGATCTGGACGGAGGCATACCGAGGAGTCCCTCATGGTTCTGCATATGAGCAACGAATGGTAGAGAAAGCACGAGTTTATGTGGACAAGAGAATATGGTAGCTAGGTGATGGCTAAGTTGATAGATGACCAAATTGCATGGCTTAGCTGTAACGTCAGGCGCGACATGAGACGTCGCAGAAAAGGCGCGTGACGAGCAGATGTATGACATTGATGTGACAAGGTAACGAATTGAGAAATACGGGTGACGGAATGTAATCATGGCAGTGTTCGTAATGGGTGGATGGCCGGTGAAGTATATCGATTTAGGGGAGACCAAAATAGGCACTTTACCACGCGTCCGCCGGAGCTGGGGCGGCAAGTCGCAACGTAAAATGGAGAAGACTTGGCAGGAACGAGCAAGTAAGCAGACGCGATCTCTATGCAGGCAGCTGAACAAGATGGATAGGATCAAATATAGCACTATAGCCAGACATGGATGCAGAAGTAATCAATGTGGATTCCATACTGGTAGATGTCTCAAGGTGAATGTTCAGGCTGGACTGGCGATGGAACTATTCAGACAGCAAAGCGGCGGGAGTTTGGTGTTCATGTCACGCCTTGTGCCTCAAGCCACAGGGATCGGGGACAGTCACATCAAGCTCCAACGGTTCAAAGGGACAAGTTGGTCAACCCTATTGTAACCTTTCAGCTTCAGCCCCTTTGAACTTTTCAGCTTCTTGCTATCCTGCTCGACCCATCTCCCCTCGAGGAATACAACAGGTCGTCGGCACAAGGTTGCCCTGAGTGTACAAGCCGAAGCCAAGGTCGCTCTCTTCTTTGTCGCATCCCGCTTTCGACATCATCAGACGAACAGCCAGCACGTCGAGGCTAGCACTCACAACAGGCCAACCATGGTCGAAGACAAGTACGACACGAGGCCGCGATGCAAATTGAGCACAATGCTAATACTGTATCCTTCAGATATATCGGATTGGCGTTAGCCGTCGCCTCAACACTTGCGATAGGTAATGCGCCCAACCTCGAAGCCAGCGAACCAGCCCACTAAATTGCATAAAGGAACGAGTTTTGTCATCACGAAAAAGGGCTTGATGCAAGCGAGTCAACAACATGGCTTTGAGGGAGAAGGCTTCGCATATCTCAAGAGTCCCGTGTGGTGGTCAGGCATCATCACAAGTAGGCCGCTCCACCAGCTTTCGCAGGCACAGCAACATGCTCACACCAGACAGTGGTTATCGGCGAAGTAGCCAACTTTGCAGCATACGCCTTCGCGCCACCGATTCTCGTTACGCCGTTAGGGGCGCTCAGTGTATTGATTGGGTCAGTCAAGAGTCGGGAGCATGCATACACATGGACAACAGACTGACAAGGCACATACAGAGCGGTACTTGGATCGTATTTCCTAGGCGAGAACCTGGGCACGTTGGGAAAGCTGGGATGCGCCATCTGTCTGATCGGATCTGTCGTCATTGTGCTACACGCTCCGCCGGATAAAGAGGTGCAGACGATTGACGAGATTCTCAACTACGCTGTCCAGCCTGGTGAGTCGCGCAATATAAGCACAAGTATGCGCTGCTGGACGACGAGACTGACGCTGGACAGGCTTCCTTTTCTACGTACTCCTGGTCATCATCTTCTCGACCGTCATGATCTACCGCATCTGCCCGCGTTATGGACGCAAGAACCCGCTGATCTACATTTCCATCTGCAGCACCGTCGGCTCCGTGTCCATCATGGCCGTCAAGGGTGTCGGTATTGCCGTCAAGCTGACCTTGGCCGGCTCCAACCAATTCACCCATCCCAGCACATACGTCTTCATCCTCGTCACCGTCGTCTGCATCATGACGCAGATGAACTACTTCAACAAGGCCCTGAGTCAATTCAACACAAACATGTACGCCAAGCTCTTGTATCTGCCTCTCAATTCAGTACTGACTTCTTTAGTGTCAATCCGCTTTACTACGTCACTTTCACCACCTGCACCCTCGTCGCATCCTTCATCCTCTTCCAAGGCTTCAACACCAGCGACGCTGTCAACACAATCTCGCTCCTCTGCGGCTTCCTCACAATCTTTGTCGGAGTCTACCTTCTCAACCTCTCGCGCGAAGACCCCGAAGGTCGTGCCCACATGCAGCTGAACGGAAACGGCAGCCGCTTCGACCTCGACGGCATTCCCACCGATCCCATGTCTGGTCCCCTGACTCGCCGTTCCATGCAAGCCCGTCGCAGCTCCGATGCTCAACGCCGCCGCTCCAACAGTCTCAACTTGTCTTTCGCTGGCAGAAGATCAAATGATCACGACCGAGAAGCTTTGATGCACAACTACGATGTTGAGGCCACCAATGGCGGTTTCAGCCTCGGTGATCTGGCCGAGAGCGATGACGAGGGTGCACCGCGGCAGAATGGAAAATCAAAGGTCTCACACGAGCGTCTCAGCTTCAACAAGACGAGCAGGTGATCTCATGTGTCACACACACACACACATAAACTCGCAGATGCTGCAACATGCTCAAATGAGACATCAACGAAGAGATGTTGTGCTGCAATGACCGGATGAACAAGAGAGGATTTCTGTCAGTCGCATTTAAACGGCGTTATGTTTGTTTGTAATTTGGGCCTTTTGACATGATAGAACGAAGTCATGGCAAAACTTTGGAAGGAAAGCTGTGACAGCAGCACATGGGTGGTGGCTTGGGTTTTGTTCAACTATACTGGAGACAAAAGCAGGCGTCTATGGAAAATCTCCTAGAGGGCTCAAGAGCTCTGTCCCTCTTCTCTAGCTTTGGAGAAACTTGTATATAGAAAAGCTCAAAGACTTATGTTTAATCTGATCTGGTCTGACCTGACTACAAAATCAACTCTTTTGAATGCCCCCGAGAAACCCCGCAGTGCACAACCGCCATGGAGCTTCGAAATGTATAAAACAAACCATCGTCTTACGGTACCCATGTACTGTCTAATATAGCGTATGTCTGCCTATTCGAGTATGAGCGAGTCTCATTCGTCCTCTCAATCTCTACCGATCATCCTCCGATACATTTTGATAGTTCTATGCAGGATATTCCAGTGAAGCAGGGTACCCCCCTCAACACATCAGCGCCAAGACCTCCGCAAATGCCTCGGCATTTCTCCGCATTGTCCTCCGCATCCGCGGCTACTGTGATGGACATACGATTCGACATTCGACATATTTGACTCCCAAAGACTCACCAGCAACAAACATTGCAATACCAAAATCCAATTCAAAATGTCAGCCGAAGCAGATGTCAAGCTCGAGGACTTCTCGTCCATCTTCTCTTTGAACGGAAAGGTGGCTGTCGTCACCGGTGGATCTCGAGGTCTCGGTCTCCACGCTGCATCAGGGTGGGTAGCCATGTGTAACATCTGTCGTTGTCTCGTTGTCTGACCAAGTCACATGCATACAGTCTCCTCCAAGCCGGATGTTCCAAAGTCTTCATCTCGTCCCGCAAGGCCAAGGCATGCGAGGAAGCAATCGATGCTCTCAACAAGCTGCCTGGCATCAAGGGCAAGGCCATCTCCATTCCCGCCGACATTTCAAAAGTCTCCGAGGTTGAGCGTCTGGCAGCAGAAGTTGGAAAACAAACCGACCACGTCGACATCTTGTTTGCCAATGCTGGCGCAACATGGGGTGCTCCATTTGACAAGCACCCGGCCGAGGCCTTTGCCAAGGTCATGGATCTCAACGTGAACAGCGTCTTTTACTGCATCCAAAAGTAAGCACGCCGATAAGCTTCGTGTCTCAGCTGTCAGCTAATCGATGTGGCCAGATTCGCCCCACTGCTTGAGAAGAAGGCTTCCTTGCAAGACCCATCTCGTGTGCTTGTTACAGCATCTGTTGCAGGCATAGGGATCGGCTCATTGGGAGAGAATGCAACCCCAGGATACAGTGCCTCCAAGGCCGCAGCACTTCATCTTACTCGTAATTTGGCCGTTGAGTTGGGCCCTCGAGGCATCCTTTGCAACAGCATTGCGCCTGGCTTCTTCCCAACAAAAATGGCCAATGGTTTGATGGCCCTGACTGGTGGTACACAGGCTCTGGCTGATGCAAACCCCAACAAGAGGCTGGGCAAGCCTGAAGACATTGCTGGTACTGTTGTATATCTCTGTTCAAGGGCATCCAGTCATCTGAACGGCGCCCACATCGTCATCGATGGTGGTAGCATACTGGGCCGCTCCAAGCTGTGAGGAGAATACCATCACCTGCATTGACATGTATCTATCCTGCATTCATATCATACTGTCTTGGCTTCAAAGTGGTGTACCGCCGTGCAAATCGTCTGGACTGCTTGTCTTTGCATACCAAGACCGTCATGTCTGTATCGGGTCAACAAGGCTTGACTCGCAACACAGCGTGACAGGAACATGAGGGTAGCCACCCGTCTTGCCATGAACACCGTGTCTCTTCTTTCTCACCATCCAGACAACAGCACTGCCATCACGCCAGCCTCTTCCTCCACCCATGTCATTGTTACATTGCCCCTCGTTTTTTGGAATGCACGTCACACGGAGCCGCCCCGTAGCAACAAGCAGAATCCATTCCTGGGGGATGTGCAGCCCGCTTTCCCGATTCCAACAAGGGTTGTCTAAGATCTAGGCACCGCGTCTATAAGCCATCGGGCTAAAGTCCTGGGCGTGCAGCTCATTGCAGCATCTGAAACATCGCAGCTTGCTCACCGCACTTTAGGGGAAGAGCAAAGGCTTCATTCACCTCTACAAACACTGTCTAAATCTCCGCAACGTCTGTCCTGACTTGGCGTGCAGCCACTGTAACATTATGCATCTGCAGTCTGTTCAACGGCTCTAGACAACGGGACCTGCAGATATCTCGTACCTTCCTGTCGTGCCTTTTTATGATTCCTGCAAATATGGAGATTGACAAGAAAGCAACCTGTCTGGGTTATCATCCTGCTTTGCCTGAGGGTGTTGATGCGGCGGTGTGGGTGTGCCTGGCTCGTCAATTTACTGGATGGGTTCCTGATGCCGAGGACAAGCCTTTTCTGTATAGCGCTCCCGCGATTCTGCTCGCTTTCTCTCTCTCGCACAAGCCACTACAAGCAAGTGTGACTTCTGTTCGTCCTTTGACAAGACGACCAACGTTATGGCTTGCATCATTCCTTCGCTCTGAGACGTTTGTGCGCGTCTAATCCAACACAACAATGCGACGCGCGCGGCTGACGAGGTCACTACCCGTCTGTCATTATGCACATACCCGATCGTCTTGTTGTGTGTTGATAAACATTCAATTTTTTGACTCGGTTCGAACTTCCTTCAAGTCCTGGCGGAGTCGGTCATTGTATGACACTCGATGGAATGCTTTGCACATCAGACCTGCGCAACAGACCTGCAGGACGCGATGATGGATATCAGTTTTGGTGGTGGCGCGATTCAAGCCGGCTGGAAACCCGAATCCTGGTCGTTTTTTGTGTTACACCAACCTCACGGGCCACAACCCTGAGCCGCCGAATGCTGGATCCCGTGACGAATTATCACTGCTGTGAGGACATATCCTTACTATTAATCGACACGTCCAGATGGCTATATTGAGTCAAAGGTATATTGTGAGATCAGGATTTTCTATCGTGGTTGATATAAGGCCTCCCACATTGGCGTCTGCCAGAAGCCGTCTCGAGAATAGTACTGCCACACGAGGAAGAACAGAAAACTGGCTGTTGGGATCACATCAGAAACAGCCCCAGCCAGTATCCGCATCTTCTCGATGCGGACAATGCCATACAAGCCGTTGTGGACCCGTCTATCGCACCGTAGTCCCTGCGTAGATGAAGAGGAGTTGCTGTAGGCAAGTCGAGACGACATCTGCGCGGTATCAAGAGCATGCTCTCGTCCAAGCAATTTGTCTACCGGATTTCAAGCACTCGGTCCCTTGATCTGTGCGTAATGTTGCTTTGCATCGGACTGGTGGTGGCACACACACACACACACACCAGACTACACACCACACACTCGGCGACAGCTATCTTGCAAGCCCGGTAGTCTCTTGGAGATCTGAGGATCATTCCTGCTATGCGGCCTATTTCTGGGACTCTCTGGTTCGGCAGCGCCTGGTGGATCACCCATGTTTCGTCCAGTGGATTTTGATCTGATGTTTTGCCTGAGATGTGATGATGGTAGTTGTCTGTCAGTGGGGGATGTTACGGTTTCAAAATCATCTACATAAAGAGCCCCTGCAGGGGCGACTCTCGATTATCCCTTCTTCTACAAGCACCTTTCCAACCCAAAATCTCTACTGCAGGGCTGATACAGGCACGAATCAATATTGTGTGTTGCCCCCTCCCTCTTCTGCCTTCCCTCATCTTCTTTCTGAGGGTGTGCGTTCGCTCGTAGCTTGAACCTTTGTACCTGGATCCATTCCTCTTCAGGATCCTACTTGTCAACCGCGTCCCTTGCAGTCACATTCCAATCCAGATCGAGAGACCATCCTTGGAAATTAGCCGTACCCCAACATCAAGGAGGCTCGAACCCTAGAGAACCCAGGCCACGGATTCAAGACCCGCAAGTCGCACAAGCGATTCAAACCATTAGCCAGTCATCATGAAGGATTCTAGATTGTATGAGGGTAAGTCGAAGCAGATATAATGGAGGGAGAAGCAACGTGCTCTCATCCCTTCTCTTCACCGTCTCGTCTCCTCTCTTTGATTTTCAAGCCACATTTCGACGGGTCTTGGTCTAAGGAATTCATCAACAACAATCATACTAACGATGGACTCTCTAGCCAATTTCGACATGACACACCGACGTCTCAATCATCTGTCCATCGATACGACTGCTTTCCATGGACCGTCGCCGCTCATTTCGCCTCCAGAGTCGGCCAATAGTGCTCGTCGAAGCTCGTATGATATGAGCTTCCACACACCAGCATCGATGCCGCATCCCAACACACCGGTGCACTTCTCCAGTCACGACATGTACAACGTTGCGCCTACTGATAAGATGAAACTGTCATTCAATCAGTATCCTCCGAGTCCTGTCGACTTTAGTCAGAGTCAGCAAAGCTATGGTACTACTGCATGCAAGTCTCCTACTTGGAACTTGTCGATGGCGTTCGAGCAGAAGTCTGGAGTGGACGGCTCTTTCTATCAGGAAAGCTCAACTCTGCTGTCGACTGACCAAGACTGGAGCAGCTCGACCATGAGCCACTACCCCAATGTCGACTATCTTCCTGACCCGACATCGTTGTACATGTTGCCCAGTCAAGAATCCTCGGCCTCCTTCATGTCGGACGTTGATGCTTCTCACCATGACAATCTGCCTGCTTTCATTGCACCTAATCAGGCAGTCCATCAGCCTGAGATGGACTACAACATGAGTATCTCTGGTTGGGGCCTTCAGACTCCCGTCCACGACCACAGTGTCCTACACTCCTCCTCGCCCCCTGAATACTCCCCAATGACCCCATCCACTCTTGACTGTTCCTTCGACAACTCTTACGCAAAGATCGAAGCATCTCCCTCTGCTTCCCTCTTGAGCCACTCCCGCTCCACCCTCGGCAAAACAGGTCGCAAAATGTCCAAACTCGACAAACGCCGCTCAATCTGCAAAAACGTCCCCGTCACCGACTCTGATACTTCCATCACCCTCCTCACCGACGAGAAATCAGAGACCTTCCGTCAATCCAAGTACAACCCTGACCGCAAAATGCACGAATGCGGCTACTGCAAGCAGAAATTCCAGAGATCTGAACATTGCAAACGTCACGAGCAGAGTCACTCCAACGAGCATCCTTACGCATGCTACATTGCCACCGTACCCCTCGACCCCTCGGATCCAAACAGCACCTGCAAAGTAGGCAAACAAGGCAAAGGCTCCCAAAACCGCCGTGATAATTCCCGCTCTCACCATTGGACACACTTGAAAGCCTGGATGGCCGCCAACGACCCTTTGGTGCGCGAGCACAATCGCGCCCAAGGCAAAAGAAACAAAGGTCGTAACGCGGCTGTTGGTCCTGTAAGGTACTACGAATTGATTAGGAGTAAAGATACAGTGCAGCAGCAGGAAATCGTGTTGAGGTTCTTGAATCAGGAGGCTGGTAAAGAGTTTGGGGCGCATGTGCTTTGGGAGGTTGAGGGATGTCCTGTTGTTGCTTGTAGGGGTGGTGCGGGACAGCCTGGTGGGTGTGGGATGTGTAGGAGTGCCAAGGGTGGGAGTAAGAAGAAGTGATCTCAAGAACCTTGACATCTCTTCTTTCTCTAGCACTCCCTTTCCTGTCTTTTTTTTTTCTTTCCTTTTGGCTTCGGTTTGCTCTTGCTTTCTCGGTGGCATTTAGATACATCTCTCTTCCTTTTTCTTTTCTGGTTTTCTGTTTTTGCACGACAATGGTAATGAAACAGCGACGAACGACAATACCTTTTACAGAAAACACTTTCAGCATCAGCATCTTCACGACTCTCCATCACGACAACCTCATCATCATCAACACTCGCTCGGCATTTTTTCTGTTTTTCGGTTCCATTCTCATGTCGGTTTCTTCTTGTTTTCCTCATGTCGGTTGCTTGTTCTTCTTTCGGTGTGGTTTTTACTTCTCTCTCTTGGTGAGTTCTGGTCAGTCTTGGTCACGCAATTGGGGGCATAATTCCATGTTTGTAGTATTATCTCATGGCAAAAAAAGGAAGGGCGCGGAAAGAAAACAAGTTTTTTTGACGCTGGGAAAGGTAGATTCCTTGTGTGGTTGGTAATGCTTTTGAAAATTTGATCAAGCTTTTGTCGTAAATTTCTGTGTTGGTTTATTTTTGTGATTGGTGGAAGGTGGTGGTGTTTGTAGATGTAATACAAGATCTCATCGTCCGAAGGTAGTCTCTGTCCGGGTGTGGCTTGAACGACCAATGACACTGTCGTAGATTTGTGGTGATATTCCTCGACACCGGCGACTGGGACTGCCAGATTGTACTTGTGATTCTTCAACCCGATGACCCCGACAACTCCCTGCATTCGGTCTTTTCCAAGTGCATCAACGCTCTCTATACTCCCTGTGGGGGGGTCCTTCTATGCTACCCATGGCGCTATCCTCTATGCTACCCATGGGCGGCATGATGTAATGCTTGGGAATGAATCTCATGAAGTTCATCACAATTGGGAACGTTTTAAGTAGACTCTAAGTCTGAGTGAGAAGAACGCGCGAATGATGCTCCATGCAACACCCATGACAGCTAGAGAGTCTCGTCGAGAATTAGAATCAGATCCCTATGATCTGTGAGCACTCGAAGCGCGGACGACGTGTGATGAGTCGCTGTTGTCGTCGACTCTGACTCGAGGCTGCGTCCCCGGAAAGATGTATCGTGAAGACGTGTCGAGTCGTTCTGGTAGTACCACTTGAGTGATCTGACTTTACTGTGACACAAAATCGGAGCGGCGGAAGATGTCTTGTGGGAGTTCAAAAAGATGAGGCACAATATGAAGCGCGGTGAAGAGGGAATGGTGGCCTTCTATATAGAACACCTGCAGGAGGCATCATACGAGCAGTGGAGCTGAGATATACTCGCCGTCAACGCTTTGCCGCGCTGGCGATGTTAAGGTCTCGCTTGTTCCCCTTTACCTCAGCACCAGGAAGGCCAAGCAGCAAGCCTTGCAAAGCGACAACTCTTCAGACGTATAAAGGTGGCCGAAAGCGGTAGTTTCTTGTCGCTGTTGCTCAAGTCGAAATGCAAGTCGTGAGGCAACGTTCAGCGTTGCGGAGTCTAGGGAGCTGTCGAACAAGTAGCGTCTTGCGCGATCTGGAGAAACAGCAGACCTGCCGAGCGTGCATCAAGATCCGTTTCACCATCAACGTTTTTTCTCATGATAGTGGTCTCTGGCGTCCATTGTGCTTGAGAAAGTGTTGTTCCTGTCGTTGTTCGTGATGCGCAAAGCTTGGCCCACGCAGCTGTTACACTGATCGCCAGCCCGCGACGCCAGATACGGAAGGTGACCTTATCGGCAAGTGCAACCCGCCATCCTTTAACAATCATGCAGGTAGACGAGGCTAGCTTCATGACGCGATTTGGGCTCTGAGCATACTTGAACATCATCAGTCCCACGCCGACTTACACTCATCCTTTGCGTGGCACGTATTGATCTGCTCATACAAACGGGATGAAAGTCTTACAATTCTTACCCGCGCTTCCGTTGGTTGCTGCTCTGGGTAGCAGACAACACAAGCGCGATGCGATCTTGAGTCTTGAAAAGGTGAGTTGACGAAAATTGATGCTTGTATTGGAAGACGTGAGAGCTGTGTGGATCCACTGTGCTTCTGCGATAGACTGGTCCACATGTGGTGAACAGCATCTACTCTCCGGTGTACTTGACTTCAATTCACAAAGCATTCTGCGTTGACACAGCTCTACGATCGCAATCTGTATGAAGTGCTACTGGAAAAGCATCTGCTAACAAAATCCGCAGCGCGATGTCAATCCCGAGCGACTCTATACTGAATATAACATCTCAGTCCCTGTTGATCATTTTTTCAATTCTTCCCGTTATGAGCCTCACAGCAACGTCAGCTTTGACCTGAGATATTGGTTCGATGCATCGCACTATCAGCCTGGTGGACCTGTTATTGTACTTCAGTCCGGTGAAACCGATGCTTCAGGACGACTTCCCTTCCTGCAGAAGGGTATTCTAGCACAGCTTGCTCAGGCAACCCACGGTATTGGAGTTGTACTTGAGCATAGATACTATGGCACCTCTTTCCCGACTCCCGATCTCTCGACTGAGAACCTCCGATTCTTGACTACCGAACAAGCACTTGCCGATGAGGCATACTTTGCAAGAAACATCGTCTTCCCTGGTCTTGAACACTTGGATCTCACAAGTGCGTCAGCCGCATACCTCGGTTATGGTGGTTCCTATGCAGGTGCCTTCAACGCGTTCCTGAGAGTGCTCTACCCCGATGTCTTCTGGGGGACCATCTCCAGCAGTGGTGTGACCAAGGCCATTTACGATTACTACGACTACTTCACCCCCATTGCTGAGAATGCCCCTCCAAAGTGTATTTCTACACAGAAGAGCCTCATCAACATTGTGGATACCATTCTCAAGAAGAACCAAACTGATCTCACTCTTCAACTCAAGACTGCGTTTGGAATGGAGAATGTGACCTACGACAAGGACTTTGCAAGCACTCTATCCAGCGGTATTGAGGGCTGGCAGGGCCGAAACTGGGACCCTAAGGTCAGCAGCCCTGCCTTCGACAGATACTGCAGCAACATCTCGTCCGATGCAATGGTCTACCCCAGCACATCCTCGCTGCGTCCTACAGTCGAGTTACTGATCAAGAATGCCGATTACACTGTCGATGAGTCTCTGGTCAATCATATGCTCAACTTTATTGGTTATGTGAATTTCACCTCTGTGGCACCCTGCACCAGAAGTGGCTCCACTCAAGACGAGTGCTTCAGTAGTTATAACGCGACATACTACCAACAAGATAGTCTGGGATCGTACGTCTGGCGCTCTTGGGCTTATCAATACTGCTCTGAATGGGGCTATCTGCAGACTGGATATGCGCCCAAAGGCGAACTGCCGATTGTTTCTTCTCTGCTTGATGTGGAGTATGAGAGCATTGTTTGCGTCAAAGCATTCAACATCACCACTCCAGCCGATGTTGAGTTGATCAACAAGTACGGCGGTTATGACATCTCCTACCCTCGTCTCGCATTCGTCGACGGGTCTGCTGACCCCTGGCGCCCTGCTACACCTCACGGCTACGCTCAAGGTGCCAAGGAGCGCAACTCTACAGCCAGCGAACCTTTCATTCTTATTGATGGTGCTGTTCATCATTGGGATGAGAATGGACTGTTCGCCAACGAGACCACTCCTTCTCTTCCACCATCGACCGTCGCCGATACTCAGAGACAAGAGATTCAGTTTGTACAGGAGTGGATGTTGGAGTGGCAGCTGGAGCAGCAGGTCAAGGCAGCCTACCGTAAGCCATCAACCCAGGGACCCCTATAGACCGCTTCTGTCTCAAAGCGAGGCAGCATCGGTGCGACTGCAAAAGCGAGTTGCTTCATGTGAATATCATTTTGTGGTTGAGATCGTGTTCAAATACGCCCAAGAAGTTCCTGATGCACGATTGGAAAGCGCATGTGCCTGTATTTCGCCGGGCAGGAACGCATGAACGAGGTTACCTATCGGGACATTGGGTTCCGATCGGATGGCGGATTATTCACTAGCCGCCTATAAATATGCGGACGGAACCGGTCGGCATGGACGTATTCCTCACCAAAAACGCCAACATGATCGTATTCGTCCTATACTGTACCATACTTTATCGAACAAACGTTTCGCCATGCGTGACCTCTGGCATCGTATCCTTCTATTGGTAGGGCGCATGAATAGTAACCTCCAGAGAAATAAAGACCGAGGAGCCTCAACTATGAGTGAGTCGGTGCCTCGGGAGAACATAAGCAGTGACGTCGCTGTTTGGATGCACGGTGTTTTGGAGGGGTGACCAAATTAAAAACAATCGCGATCGTGGGGCGGCGAACAATACAGTCAGCTTTGTCGATTGATGTGACAGACCGACAGTCGTAAAAGCAGGATTAGTGCATGCAAGGTAAGCGAAGAGAAATAGCAGGATAGGCAGAGATTGCAAAGGGTCACACGAAAAAGGTCGCAACAGTGTTTCGAAAGCGTGGGCGAATCGGAAAAGCATATGCGGAGAGGAGGCTGGAAATTGGAATCGATGGTCCAAAGGTAGCCGCGTTGGAGCCGCGAGGCACCAAATTGGCAGGGCAAGTTCGAACGAGACGACAAGTACTTTGTTCACGACACGGCAAAGCAGGAAAAGCGACGGCCTCCTATAGATGAATATGACGATTCTGCTAGACATGTGCAGATTATACGTGCAAGATCTACAGAGCCTCCCGGTAATAAGTAGGTAATTGACGACAGAATGCAGGCCAAATGAAATGCTTGGTGTCTCTTTAAGCAAGCTCGATGGCTAAAAGCTTGGCCTACGTGATGATGGGCGCAAGTTGAGAGTTCAGCAGCGTCGTGGGGGAACAGACGGTAATCTCTGACCTGAACCCTCGACGAGACACGCCTTCTATTCATACAATCTGCCATTCTCTCCCTTTCGCATCCCTTTGCAAGACCTCTCTCCCTCTTTCTCACCACATACCGGCTGATCCGGTGAGTTGCTCCAGCCATGAAGAAAGCATTACACAAGCTCGTGCCCGGCCACCACCGCCGGAGCACCAGCGCCAGCGGCAACTACAGCAACTCGGACAGCGGCACTCCCACATCTGCCAGTAGAGCCAGTACAGACATGTCGGAGCGCCCTCGCCAGTCAATGGACATGGTCTCTCGCCCCAGCGATAAGTCTCGTTTTGCATCACCAAGAAACTCTGGTTCTATCGACACTCGCAAGTCCCTTGATGTCAGCCGTGCCTCGACTGATCTGAGCCATCGCCGCCAATCTCGTTCTACTTCCCACCACAGAGCCACACACAGTCCATTGGGCGCTTTCAGACACAAGCTCCGTCGCGGTTCTTCATCCTCTTCGTCCAACGATGGTCGTCCCCTGAACGCCGCTGGCGAGCCCATGTCTAAGGCACAGCTGCGTAAGCGCGACAGACAACTGAGGAAAGAGCAAAGACACAAGAAGGCTGAGGAGCACGCTGCTGCTGACCGCAAGTTGCAACAACAAACACAGGCACGTGCCGAAGCTGAGGAGACTGGTGACATGAAGAGCAAGTATGGCATCTTGCCTCTGAACTACTACGCTCCCGCCCAGCCTCCGAACGAGAAGAGAGTGAGCTTCCTCGACCTGTCCGAGAGAGATGTTGGTCAGTGGGTCACTTTCCGTGCTCGTGTTCACATGATCCGCCAGATCAGCAGCCGACGTGTCTTTATCGCCCTGCGCCAACAGACCGCCTCTATGCAGGGTGTCCTTCATGAGCACGCTGGCGTCTCGCTTGGGATGGTGTACTGGGCCAAGCATCTCAAACTCGAGTCTGTTGTTCGCGTGCGCGCCGTGGTCCAAGAGCCCAAGGCCAAGCAAGGCAAGATTACAGGCTGCTCCATTGGCAACCTCGAACTCTCCATCCACGAGTTGCACGTTGAAGGCTCCAGGACTGCTCCTCTGCCATTCAACGTGGCCGAAGCAGAAGTCACCCGCGAGATGGCCGAGGCCACCAAGAACGCTCGTCACCACGTCTCTGACCGTACTCGTCTCGCCAACCGCATCATCGACCTCCGCACAAACACTTCGCAGAGCATCTTCCGTGTTCAGTCTGGTGTCTCGTCCTTCTTCCGCGAGTACCTCCGCGGTCAAGGCTTCATCGAGATCCACACTCCAAAACTTCAAGGTGGTGCCACAGAGTCAGGTGCTAGTGTCTTCAAGGTCGATTACTTTGGCAGACCTGCTTTCCTGGCTCAGTCGCCTCAATTGGCCAAGCAGATGTGTATCTCGGCCGACTTTGGCAAGGTCTTCGAGATTGGTGCCGTCTTCCGTGCTGAGAACAGTAATACACACAGACACATGACCGAGTACACCGGTCTTGATTTGGAAATGGCCATCGACGAGCACTACCACGAGGTTCTCCGCACACTTGACGGACTCTTCAAGTTCATGTTCAAGAAGGTCTACGAGAACTACCGTCACGAGATCGACACATTGAAGACGCACTTCCCTCACGAGGATCTGGTCTGGCTCGACAAAACCCCCATCATTCCCTTCGCCGAAGGTATTCGCCTGCTCAACGAGTCTGGCTGGAGAGACGATAACGGTAACCCTCTGCCCGAAGACGAGGATCTTGGCACCCGCGACGAGATCCAGCTTGGTAAGGTGATCAAGCAAGTTTACGGCACAGATTACTATGTCCTCGACAAGTTCCCTGCCGGTGCCAGACCTTTCTACGCCATGCCCGACCCCGAAAACTCAAAGATTACAAACTCGTTCGATATTTTCCTCCGTGGTCAAGAGATTCTTTCCGGTGGTCAGCGTATTCACGACGTGAAGATGCTGACCAAGCAAATGGAGCGTCTGAAGATGGACCCCGAGACACTAGACGAGTACATGCAAGGATTCGCCTGGGGAGCTCCTCCTCACGGTGGTGGTGGTATTGGTCTCGAGCGTATGCTTATGTTGTTGCTCTCGCTTGGCGACATTCGTCATGCAACTCTCTTCCCTCGTGATCCCAAGTCACTCCCCGCAAAGCCCGTCATCAAGCAACTCAGACATCCCGAAGCCAGCACCCTGCACCCTCCATGGGAAGGCCAGGACCGTCACTCCGCTGGAATGGAGCTTCCCTCTGTCGAAATGCTCATCGCCAACTACGGAGACGCCTCCAACACATCTTGGCTCGAGCCTCGTACCGAGATCTGGAGAGACGACGCCACCGGTGCCGCTGTCGGTTTCGTGCCTCACCAAGGATACGCCATCACCGTTGGTGATCCTCTGTGTCACAAGAGCCAGTACGCTCGCACTATCGCCGGTTACCTGCACTACATCAAGAAAGAGCGTGGAATCAAGCCACTGTGGCTCCTTTGTGGTGGTGATGTCGAGGAAGTTCTCTCATCACACCAATTCGACTGGCGCACATTCTCCGTCGCCGCTGAGCAACGTCTGGACCCTGGTAACAACCCGGCCGTCCATGACCACGATATCCAACGTAAGATCCGTCACGCAAGCAAGGAAGGTGTCAAAGTGCACGATTACCCCCTGGGCACACCAGTGCCGGCCGAACTCAAGCAAAAGATTGATGCACGCATCAAGGACTGGTTGGCAAACCGCAAGGGCAAGCAGGTGCATCTTACAGACATCCACCCTTGGCAAGACGAGGAACATCGTCAATACCACTACACCACCGACAAGGACGGCAAGATTGCCGGTTTCGTTATCATGGCTCAACTGTCGCCCGACCACGGCTGGCAGGTCAAGTTCTCGCTTGATTTCCCTGGTGCACCTTCAGGTGCCATCGAGTTGCTCGTCATGCACGCACTTTCGCAGGTCGCGGCTGGTGGTGCCACTTCGGTCACCTTCGGTGGTGGTGCCAGTTCCAAGCTGACGCCCGGTCACAACCTCAAGGGCACTCGCATCAAGGTCTTGAGCAAGGCCTACCACGCTATCGCCACCGAGCTCAAGCTCACCGCCAAGTCAGAATTCAGAGAGAAGCTCGGCGCCCAAGATGACCCCATCTACGTATGCTACCCGCCGCACGGTCTTGGTCCTGGAGGTGTCAAGGCCATCTTGACCTTCTTCGAGGACACGGATGACGGCAATCAATAGAAAGGACGCCGGCGACGAAGACGTGGGCGATGGACACACGTCCTGTTTTCCTTTCTCTTTTGATTTTACATGGACATTTGTACAGACGGAGAAGCCTCTCGAATATTTGGACATGACATGGCTAGTAATAGCCAAACAGCAGCGATACCACCTTTCTTCTTTTTCTTCATCTCATTGTTGTCAAACCCCCCTTGTTCTCACGAATTGATAGATGCATCGTACACTAATTAATGCTTTTTCACATTTGACCCATTTTCGTGTTCCTTACGTCTATGTGCTCTCGGCTTTGGTTGTCAATGATGCATAGGTGCTGATTGAAGGCACAGTACAATTCGAAATACAGCCCCTGTATGTGGAGAGTCGACGAAATCATCTAACCCAGCCAAGGATGTATCGGCTTCGGAGAACACCCTGCCTTCAGACAGGTGGATTTCGACGCTTCCACTTCTACAGGAGAGAGCACTCAGGGTGAGAGAGCAATCAGGGTACAAGACCAAATCATTCATCCCAGCCGAGATACATCGGGTTTGAAAAACATCCTGCCTTCACACAGGTGGATAACGACGCTACTAGCTCTGCTGGAGAGGGTGTCAAAGGTACAACACCGAGCAAGCGTCTTTGAGACACATAATCCATCACTTCTTCCACTTTTTTCACTCCAAGCCTACCCCCATCACTTCTTCCACCGCGTCAACGCTGCGCTTTCTCTATTACTTCCATCCTACCTTTTCATCGCGCAGCTTCCCTTTCTCATCAACACCAAACACGCGCCAACAATGTCAAACTTTAGCTGGCGCCCACCCACTGTGCCCTTTGAGGCGCAGACACGCGATGGTTCACCCTTCACCGTCTGGCATGTGTGTATGATATGCCAACAACCAAGATCTGCGCGCTATCACTCCGAACATCCCATCTACGACTACAACGCATACACGTCTTCTCAAACCATCTGCCGTCGTTGCGCGGCCAAAACCCCTGCTATTCCTGCACCTTCGATTCCTGAAGCTGATGAGTCGGTTTCGCATGTTGCTGCTATGCGCCATATCCCATTCCGTCACATTGCACCGCTGTCACCTCCTCCTGCTGCGCCTCCAGCCCCGATCTTCAGAGCTGTGGAAAGGCAGAGTGCTGTTCCGATCTATACGCCTGTGCTTGAGAGTGTTGTGCCTTCTCACGCTCCTTCCTCACGTAACGCTTGGGATGTTCCTGCTCCCTCCTCACGCACTGCTTGGGAGGACGGTGGCACTTACCACGTTGACAGAAAGGCTGTTCCTCTGCCCAATGTCAGGCCTGCTCCTGCCCGTCGTGTCAGCTTCTCCCGTGAGGATGAGGTTGTCACTCTACCTGAAGAGCTGCCCTCTGAGCGTACATCTATGCAAGGGCTCTCAAGAATGCGTCTCCAGCCACCCAATCTCAGCGGTATGCGTGACGCCGCCGCAGACTACGAGTACGATAAACACAGCAAGAACGTCTACATCGATCCTTCCGAACGAAGCTATGTTTCAGAGCCGAAGTGGACGCCTTTGAGTGAATCGCCTGCTCGCGAACTCCCACTCGCCGAAGAATCTTACGCTCATGGTCCTTACAGAGCTGAAGTCTCCCCTTCCCCAAGTATGAGGGTTCATGTCGACAACTATGACTTTGTACCCATTGACAAGTCTGGAAATGACCTCGCGTACAAGCCCATCAAGCCAGCTGACCCAGCCGCACAAAAGTCAGAGCATGTGTACCAGGGAAAGCAGCAAGCGGGCGAGATGAAGGATGAGGATCGTGCATGGACAAAGTTCACAACCGTGCGTGAGTATATAGATGATCAAGGTCCATACATGGAGGTTGAGGAGAAGATCGTTTTTGATGATTGAAGGCATCCACACGATCTTTACATCGTTCGCGGACAAAGGCTATAGGAGAAGGAGTTTGTGACCGAGGAACGGGGGGGACGAGTTTGAGGATCAGGGCGTTTCTCTTTCTTCAGGTACGAGGAGCTTGATACAAGGCTTTTCTTTTTTTTTCTCTGCTTTAGGTGCAGTTTTTTTTGCAATAAAAGGCTTTCTCCTTCTCTCTGCTCTCAACACCTTTCCACTCTCATTGGTCTAGTACAGATTCTTGGATATGATCGTTCATGTAATCGGACAAGGTGTTCTAGTGTGATTATCTCGCAATGAGGTAATTGAACCCAATAAGATTTACTAAGAGAAGGAAGGGGGAAAAGAACTCATTTTTTTTCTAATGATTAACGAATACGAAACATTACAGAGATCCGAGTACGACAAAACACACAAAGAAAGTAGCTAACAGGGAAACAAAATATTGAGGACTCGATCAACGGATCCCTTGCCTTTTCCCCCCTTTTTGCTGTTCTAGAACAACATATCCATATCAGCACCACGAGGTAGATCCTCAAGTTTCATAACGATAGCTTGAGTCTCGACAGGCATGGCAGCAGCGGTTCTTCTAACCTTTCTTCTGCGTCTTCTGCATGCATTTGCTGTGGAGCTTGATGCTGCGGAAGAGGAAGTGGAAGAAGAAGAGGTAGAAGAGGAAGTTTTGCTGGTTATGGCTGCTGAGGAAGATAACGAGGTGGTGGTGGGTTTTACTGAGGAAGAGCTTGATGTCGATGTAGAGCTGGTGGTGGGTTTGGGGGTTGTTGAGGTAGAGGTTGAGCTTGGGGTAATTGTTGGCTTGAGGGATGAAGAGCTGGAGATAGAACTTGTGGTGGGTTTGATGGAGGTAGAGGTGGAACTTGTAGTTGGCTTGCTGCTGTCGGAAGGTGTGAGTGTGCTGGTTGAGGATGTGGTGGATGAAGATGAGGTGGTAGCTGAAGAAGATGAAGATGATGGGGCAGCGGAAGACGATGATGACGAAGCAGAGGAAGTGGTTGAGGAAAGGGAAGAAGAAGATGTGGTACTCGAAGACGTGATAGACGACGCAGACGCAGACGCAGAAGAGCTCTGCGCAACAGAAGATGAGGATACGAAAGATGAGGAGGATGATGCTGACAGCAGGGAGGAAGACAAGGTAGAAGACATCAACGACGACGAGGCAGAGCTGTTCGTGGGTGATGCCGTAACAGCAGCAGCCAAACTAGCACTCAAAGTGTTCGAAGACGAGACGCCCAAGATAGTGCTACTAGCTGCTACCGAACTGTTGCTCGATGCCGGCAAGCTGCTGCTGATAACCACAGACGAGCTGCTGCTGCTCATCGATAAAGATGAACTGCTGACTACCGTCGAAGAAGCCAAGATGCTGCTCGGGGAAGAAGACGCAGCAAAGCTGGATGAGTCTGAGGTCGAGCTTGACAAAATGCTCGACGACGAGAGATTGATTGACAGAGGAAGTGCAAGCTGCGAAGAAGTTGATGCCGCAGGAGTGATGGATGTGCTAAAAGGGCTAGAAGACGAAATGACTACTAACGAGGTCGTGGAAGATGGCTTCACGGATGTGGAGGATGGCTTCACAGAAGATGATGACACCTTTGATGAAGTGGAAGATGGCTTCACGGACGATGAAGTCGCCTTGGAAGAAGTCGATGTGGAAGTAGGCTTCTGGTGATGCTGTAAGTATAGTGAAATGGTAGAAGTTGTCAGAGATGTACTACCTGCGACGAGCTTGAGCTTGAAGTAGTGATCTTCTTGCTGCTGCTAGTGCTGCTTGTTGATGACACCTTCTTCGAGCTTGAGCTTGATGAGGTAGCCTTGCTGCTCACGCTTGAGGACTTCGAAGTGGAGACAGCTTTTTCAACAGTGGTTGGCTTGAGAACAGACGAGGAAGATGATTTCTTGGAACTCGAGGAGACTGGCTTGCTGGTAGTCTTGGCGGTAGTCTTGACAGTGGTCGAACTAGAAGTAGGCTTCTTGGATGATGATGTGACTGTTGACTTCAGAGTTGACACGACCTTGATTTGAGTCTTTAGAGTTGTCTTTGCGGTCGTTGTGGCAGTAGATTTCTTGGTCGATGATGAAGACTTCTTGGTAGATGATGATTTCTTGGTCGAGGTAGACTTCTTGGTTGAAGAGGACTTCTTGGTCGAGGTCATCTTGTGGGTAGAGCTTGAAGACGACTTTGTACTGGTGACAGCTCTGTCCACAAGCTCAACATTGCAGTATCCAGATTCCGGGTTGCACTCGACAGCGCGCTCGACTTCGTTGGTACCAGCGGGCGAAACATTACCAGCCACTGCCGAAACCAGCAGCAGGGCCAGGGTTGAGATGGCAGAGATATTGCGCATCTTGGAACGAAAGTATGGCAGAACGAACGAATAAAAGATGATGGCACACACAAACCAGAACGAGATGGAGAGGATATAGGTTTTCTACTTGTGCGTCCCTTGACGCCCCATACAAACCTCCATAATCTGGACGTTGGAGAAACGTTGCGAATCGATAGACCACCCTGACGACGAGTTGGTCTGGACAAATGTCATTCTGAGACCTACCTGTGATCTGCCGAGCACATTCAAGAGTCCTGGCACCATCGAGAATTCTACACAGTGGTTCCATCTCGAAATTATCTAACAATGCTACAAGTGGATAGCATAACTGCACATAGCAAGTATCACACAACCACGTCAAGACGCCAAAGCCGTTGAGTTGGGAGTTAGGGGTGTTGCAGAAGGCGTCGCGGTACATATTGATCAAGCCTCAAACACGTGGCCCGAAGTTTCCCCATCGCGTATCTTGTGTGAGGCGACAAAACGGTTCTCTAGTCTCTAACGAATATTGGCGACGCATGTGTCTTGCCTCGTGGCAGATTGGATTTCAGATGGCATGTCTAGATTACGACCATCGCTTTCTTTGCTCATACCGACCATCTGGCTTGCGGCGACACGGCAACGCAAGAACGATACGGCGACGTCTAGAGATCTCGACTTCGTGATACGCAAACACCTGTATAGTCAAGATGGCGTAGGCACACTGTACCTAGTTTAAGGTTGAAAGACCGCTGGAAGTCAGCTAAAGACTCTGCTGCGTGTGTTGGCTTTGAAAACCTTTCCAGGTCAACACTTCTTAAACAAGATAAGATTTATGCTTCTCGGATGATTAGTCCAAGCAAGATCAGATTGAGATAGGGATCCGGCTCGACCAAGGTTCGGCCGGACGGCGACTAAATGCAACATGTCGGTCGCCGTCGAAACAACTTTCCTTGCTAAATCCCTGGAGCATACACTGGCTCTTGAGCATGCCACAGGTGTCATGATCTACGACACAACTTCGTCGAAGGCCGTCGATACTCCAGCATGAGTCACGAACGCTCGTGCCGTATTCGAAATCGATTCTGTCGCCATGTAAGGCAAGGTCCTTAGCGAGCCCACATGTTATGATTTGACATCACCGAAGACCGTGATCCTGAAAACTGAGTTCTGACTTTACCATCCCCAGACTTCTTTGAGATGTTCTTGCCTGCTTGTGGTCAGCTCACGTCTTGACTTTATTGGTCGATTAGACGACCTACACTGTTTGAGTTGGCCAAGCGTACTCTTTTTGCGCTTTGATCAATATCTCGTAGAGACCTTCTTGCTCCCGACGTTCAGTGAAACGGTCGCCGCCCATGGCTATCATCATGGACGCATGTCTGGGGTAGTTAGTCCGGCTCGTAGACTAGTCGATCAAGGCCCAACTTACACATAGCTTGCTGAGATGGAGTGATTGGATAATGCTATGCCGCATATGATCTTTATCTGATCTTTCAGCACTTCCTGTCGACGAATTAGCCCTGGATTCATCAAACCCAATCAGTCTCAACCTACTCCAACCTCTTTCAAGGCATTCCTGTGCGCGACGCCGAGCCTGTGTCATACTGTTAGAAAACGAATGGCACCTCCAAAGCGGAGATGACTACCTTGGTATCCTTGGATTGTACACAGCTAAGAGTGCTCGACCTAGATGATAGTGTTGCAATCCCGTGATGACTGCGTCATTGAGATACCAGAGCTCGGGAAATATACTCGTTGAATTGGCTTCTGCCGAATAGATAGGCATATAGGAGTCCGGCTTCTGTATGAACCATGCGTCAAAGTGCTGGACTATATGGTCGTAATTTGTGGTGGAATGTTCTCTTTCGTCGAAACAGAATTGGATGACTTCACCGGTTCGCGCGATGATGCTGTTGGCCCAGTCGAAGTCGTCGACAGGGTTCAATGGTACGTCCATGGTGCATCTCTTGAATGAGTCGTGTATAGGTCGCTGCTTCACAAACGAGACATAAATCTCCTGTCTCAAACCGAACCAATATACAGCTTTACGTAGTCCACCAGCCAAAGCACGATGGTGTTCCTGTGCGCTCATCAGGAGATGTGTGCCGAGTAGATGATTCTCGACGTCCGATCCCGACATGGAGACTGCGCAGGTCTGTAAGCAGGCAGCTCGAGTTGACATTCGTGATCGAAAACAGAATTGACCTACTTTCAAGTTCCTCGAGATGACGCAAGATGACTGTCGCCGCGAGGAGGTTCTCGTCAGTGATGGCTTCTGCGTCACTGAGCTTTGGTATCAGATGCTTCAAACACTCTTGATTGTATTTGTTCGAGACTATCGGATCGAAATCGGATATGGTCGACAGATGCCTTGCAGAAGCTGCAAAAACTGCGTTAAGCAGGATAGGACATTGTGACGCTCGTTGTGGTACGACAAGGGCGAAATGTCTGTCTCTGTCACACAGATCAATAGCCGGAGCGATCCTATCCACGAAGAAGCGCATCAAATGTGCTTCTTGTGAACTCTTCAGTGGCCATATGGGTTTCTCTGTATACAACACTCCCGGACTCGCGTAAGCAATGGGAAAGGTGGAAGGAGAGAAAGATGTTGTATCGTCGTAGAAAATACTAGGTGTCAAATCGGTCTTGCCAGGAGAGGCATAGGGATGCCTGGTCTGTGTCGGAGAGAGCACCGAGAAGTCGTGGTACAAACTAGGGGAGATACTGTCCACTGCTTGCATGATCTCTCCCCCGGTCGCGTGCATGACATCGGCGATTGATGGTGAGGCATGAGCTTCAGTATCGATATGGTGATGCTGAAGGTGGTGATGAAGCTCTGGAAAGGATTGGTCTTGCATTTCAATATCTTCCGTCGTTGGTGACTGGAACGTTGCTGACATCTGAAGGGTCTGCGGCGACGCCACATTCATTGTGTGCGGAGAGGACGCATTGTTTGTAGCTGAAATTGGCGCTATAGCAGAGTCATTTTCCACTGCTGACCCTTGACGCTGAGATAAGACTTCGTCCGGTGTGTCGTCCTCGAGAGCTTCTTCACTCAGCTGTTGTGCCTCGTTCTCGTTCCCCTGGCTGTATGTTGCCATCACTTCTCGTGTCTGATTGATGAAGCTGAGCTTTCGTGGGACTCGGACCCAGTTGTGCTCTCCATCGTCGCGATTTGGTTTGACCGTCCCTCCTGGAGAGGGAGGGGATGAGAACTTTCTACAATGATCTCATGTCAGCCATAGACCAGAATAAGAGACATGGTGCCAAAAAGCATAAGCAACACAGCGTAGAAAAGCTTCCAAAAGGTGCGCAGCGACTGCATCAGCGGACCCGATGTAGGGAGAAGGGCACCATTTGGACTTCATTGAATATGGGTCTCGACTATCGTGTTGAACGAAAACGTCGCCGTGAACTATCAAAGTCCCGTGTCTTACCTTGAAAGCCCATCATGCTTGAAACGAAGGTTGACACTCCTTATGCACTCGATGCCCGCTTGAGTACACCTTGAACATGTTGGCTCTGCCTTGTCGCTAACCACACGCAGCCGCCTGATCAGCAAAGAGAGCAATATTCTCGGGCAGCATTCCTTATATGTACCACTTGAGATGTTTATCTCGACAAGTCTTACTTCAGTCAGCGATGATGCATTGCGTCTTTCGAGTTTCAAGCTCTCACCTGGCAACCTAGCTTCCTGCCTAACATCGCGTGTTGTGACCCCGATTTGGGTCTTTACACCAGGAAAGAAAGAAAGAGCAAGGCATGGTTCGGGGAATATACTACTGATATGGTCAACATGGTCATGGTGATGATGCCCCTCTTACGAAACTCTATCGGGAAAGTACTCCAGATTCGGCAGAACAGGAAGCTTCGAGCGGGCATGGCTGCGAGTGCGGGGCAATTTAGTATGAGCACTCCCACCTACGAACGCGACTTCTGCTCGCGAAGCAGCTTCACCACTAGTATTTTCATAAAGGCATGATCCGGAATCTGGCTCGTTTATCTACAAGCGTTGGTGACCGGGGGGCTCGCCGACCTGATTGCCCTCGAGCGGGGTATGAGTATTGAAAGACCCGCTCTTCTTTCCCTCGACACGACATCAAGTGTCGACACACAGAGTAAGTGGCACATTTAACAACTTTGACAGCTTACTTTACGATCCCAGACTGTTGCAAGAAAAAGTGCCGCCAGACTGTGAAGAATCATGCGCCCAACAATGTTACTGCATTGAGGAAAGCAGTTAGTGAAACCTCGAGAAATCAATTCACTCCAAAGCAATGAACAAACCAGGAGGTTTAACTGTTTCTTGATACCCCTCCTCGCAATGATATTCTCGAGCCTCGAAGATTGGACCATAGTAACGCCGAAAAGATAATCGTATCCTTGATTCTCTCTGGCTACGATGTAGATGCATTCTGTAAGTATTGACGAACGCTGGTAGTGACAGGGAGTCCACTCGAAGTCTCAAAAACGAAAAGCCTTTATGTTGAACGAAGACGGTGGGCATTTGAGAGTGCAACTGCGAGCCGTCATGAATGGGCCAAATAGCATTGGCTCAAATACAACATGTGAGAGCTTGCAAAATCGCCTACGGCTCGCGATTAGATGGCGGAAGCCTACCCTTTCAAAGACATGCGGAAGGGCATCGTTAGCCCACGCCGATTAGAAGAATCCAAGCATTTGCCAAACTGGAAAATTGAGTAAGATGAGTGAGCCGCCGTGCAAATACATCATCAATGCTAGATAAGTACTGTGGTTGTTTCGGTGCTTGAGTTGCTTGCGGAGTTTTGGGAGAAGAGAGCTTCGGGGGGTCGCGGCTAAATCTGACGCTCTCAGCAACCTCACGTCCTGTCTTTTGCGACTTCGGCCCCCAGCATTGCCCATATGATCTTGGTCCTTGCAGACAGTGAGACACTTCTAGTCGCGGCATTCGTATGCTACCGGAGCAGCTGCAATTGTATCATGCAAACCGAAGACCTCGATATGTTTCGGCAGTCGTAGGCTGAGATAATCAGAAAACCAAGTTGCGCCATACCAGGACTACCTAGACATGTAAGTATCGCTTTGCAGTACAGAGTAAGTCGCTTTCTCAAACGAACGTTCCGCCCGTTGCTTATGTCTCCTCACATCACAAATTGTTCTCGCAAACGTACGCCATTCAATCATATTATACATTGCATAACTTTTCCACAAATCATATTTTCGGAACCAGAAAAAAATCTTTCTTCTTGTTCTTCTTCTTGTTCCTACTGCTTTGATTGTGTTCTCACGTCCTTTGGCTTTGCGTGGCTTCGACGGAGTCTCAAGTCTGCCTGGCAATGCACGAAAAGCCTACTTGGTGGACACCCCGTCCTGTTGCGGTCATGGAGGATTCTTATGACAGTCACACAAGGCTTCTCCAGATCCGTTGCGAGCGGTGCTGTATGCCGCATCCGGACTAGGCCCCAGCAATTAGTCTCGACCAATCTCGGTAATCCCAACAACTGGTTGGCTGGCGTAGTGGTTAGTACGTAACTTTCCACTCTTAACATCCCTCAAGCTCAAATACTAACAGCTCGATTAGTCGCGTCTCCTTTACATTACAGTGCACAGCGTGCCCTTGTGTACGGAGAAGGTCAAGGGTTCGACCCCCTTGCCGATCATTTTGCAGTTTTGCACACTAGGGTCCCCCCAACACACCTGTTATCGTGCCAGACCTCTAGCCCACTCCCTAAGCTGCACCTCGAGTCCACACTGTGACGCTTTAGCATCTAGACTAATCGAGCAAGTGTATATTGCTAGGTGGTTAGTCGTGTACTCGACATTTTGCAAGATTCCAGCAAATTCGACCACGACCAGGACCAAGCGACTGCTTGGTCTACTGACACCGTGTCAGCAGTCACAATGACATTGTCAGCTCAGCTGTACCATGACTGGTGGTTGTTTTGTAGTGAATTTTGTCGAAGTGAAGCCTCGAAGATTCGGTGATTCACAATGATGAAGCATTAGGTTTGAAGATCAGGTATAGTTCTTTTACATTGAGAGGATGTCCCAAGCGTCAGCAGGGGTCACCAAATCCCAGGAACCGAGACATGGGAATGCAGAATACCAAAGGCCAATAGATGATGCCTATCAAACCACCAAGCTCGAACAAGGTATGGATTGAACATCTTGTTACAGTATACAACCATCCAGTAACAACCATGTTCAATGACTTACGCCATTGACATGAAATTACGATAACAATTAATCAAATGCTAGCTAGAATACGTGCAAGCTTCAAACAAACCCTAATCTCGACATTGGATCCGGATCGTACTCCTCCACCTCCATACTCCTCTTCAGCCACTCCATCATGGGCGCCATATGCTCATCATACGCCTCAACGTCCAAACCAGCATCTTTACTCGGCACCTTTACCAAGGTCGCAGCCTGCTTGGTTCCATCAAATGACCACTCCCACCACGTCTTCTCGGCCTTACAATCTCTCCTTCCAAACCTCTCCACTCTGTCAAGTCTCATCATCGCCCCCACAAATCGATTGAACCAAGTGTGAAAGTGAGGCTTCACTCTCGCATGATTCCTCACAAAGCAGATCTTCTTGACACCGCTAAAGTCTCTCAGCATCTGCGTCATCATGACATTGAAGTCGAAAAGGTAGTGCCAATACGAAGACCGATGCAGAATAATTGTCATATCGTCAAGTCGAAGTGCAGGTATGCCAAACGCATGGTTCTTCCAATGATGCATTTGACGAAAGTGACGTGCTTCGGAGATAATCGCAACACTTCGAAGAGAGGAAATCTGAGCGGGACGTAGAGTCGAGTTCATACGACCTGAAATATCAAGAACAGTGTATGGGTTTCGAATCACAAATGTTGTTCGCGAGAAAGCGAGGAGATGTGCGTCTTGATAGAATTGGCGACATGTGAGTAGTGGTTGCAAGTATATCGATGCCCAGTAATCTTCTTGAAGAGCTGAAGGTGAATCGACACATTTCGAACATGAAAAGGCATCCTGATAGCTTTGTTCTGGATCAAAGACGAGTTTCCAGATTTGAGTTCTTATCTCGGCTGGAAGGGAGAGGAAGGACGTCTTTTCGTATCTGTCATCGAGTTCGATGCCTGAATCCTTTCGGAGATAGTGAGTAGTCGGTTTCGCCGTTGTTGTCATTTGGCACTGATGATGTTATGGAAGGAGGAAAATTGAACTGTCAAGAGGCAATCGCGACCGAGTTGTCTCGATTTCTGGGCGATCAAAGGTAGTCACCCTCCTCTACATATCTACCCCTCCTTTGCTCGCTGAAGTTTGTCACAATGCAACGTCCAGGAAGTCACTTCTCAGGCAGCCTACCGAGGCACTGCGGTATGTCGCATCGCAACCTATCGAATTTTTGCATCATCTATTTGTATCAATGCAGTTTTCTTGGTATCTGCTAACACTCTCTTCAGCGCTCTGCATGGCTTTTTAGCTTGATGCAAGACGCAAGAGGATCAAGGAGTGACAAACTTCTGAAGGAAAGACAAGAGCTGTCCGATGCCGGGTGTTGCGGAGATTTGATCATCAGATAAAATCTGCCGTTCTCGGATAGTTCAGTCCCGCCTTCTGACTTTCTTCTCCCAGGTCCTCCGTTCCAGGCGGACCAACCGATCTAAGGTTTAGCATACCACTCAATGCTTAGCAATCTCTTCCTTTTGTTCCTTGTTCTGCTTCTCCTTGTCTTCTTCTTCCTTGCACCATCGCAGGTACTGCTCATTCTCGAGCTTTCTGCGCCAGTCGTAGTCTGCCGTCTTGCCCTCCCTCACAAATGATTTCATATACTTCTCGAAGTTCTCCTTGGTGAGCAGAGCGACCACATCTCTTCTGTCGTCTCTAGGAGTGAGGTCAAACTCTTCCATGGCCACGCCGAACTTTGGCTGCATCTCTTGGATACACCAAGCAGAGAGTGCTTCGAGGTACTTGGCAGACAGCGGCTCCTTGTCTCCTCTGATGACGACGGCATCACCAGCATACCGATCCCAGTAATGGATTGATGGCGAGCCCCACTTCTTGATATCCTCTTCGGTCTCGAGCTCACAGGGTATGTGAAGGTAATAGGCGTACGACCAGTTCATAGGGTGGTTTGGGATTCTGTTGTGCTGAGACTCCAGGTTTGCGAGGAGAGGCGTACCGATACGGCGAGCGATCTGAGAAGATTCGCCATCCTTGAGCAGGAGGGCGACGTAGCAATCACAGAGAACGACGTCCTCGAAGATAGGTCGATCGTAGAGTTTGTGGCTGACGGTGCAGTTGATGCGCACACCTTTGACGTGTCCGTCACCGCACGAACAGTTTCTGGTGAGGAGCATCTCGCTGTGTAGTGTTAGACTGGTACAGCAGACAAGCGTGCAAAATACTTGCTAGAGCTGTAAGTGCAGATTGTTGGAAGAGGTTTGAAGTCGTTGGAAAGAAACCGGAGATGACGCGACTTGTGTATGGTGGAGGTCGGCTGAGAAGATATAAAGTGAGAAATGTCATTGATCACTTCATCTGAGTGAGTTGATGTGTGAAACGCTGCCAAACGCTTGTGAAGCACGACCAGTGATCTGATAAGTACGCCGACTTATCAAGCTTCGCCTCACACTACTCCAGCTCTGAGAATGCATAGGGCTCATTGCATGTAAGTCTCGATCTGCAATTATATTTCTTGGAAGGATAACCAGGTTCATGTATCAATCCTCTTCTCTTTGCGACTACAGCAGTACACAAATCCACGCTCTCGTCTATCACAGCCCGAACCTTTTAATCACCTGGTCGGAAGAGTTTTCCTTCCACTTCAGAGAACGCCGTTCAATCAGTCATCTAGATCCACCGCATTTTTTTGCTCCTTTGCCAATCTCTTCCAAAGCTCTCTCTCAGAGTTCCAGAAGTGATTCACCTTCCTGCCTTCATGCTCATATCTCTCCTTGAAGGCCTCGAATCTTTCTTTGGTGATCTGAGCAACTACTTCCCTTTTCAGACCGTCCGAGCCACCAGTCTCCTTGGCCCTCTGGAGTAGCGGCTGTGATTCATCGCGGCACCAGACGCAGAGGACCTCGACGAACCTCGGCGAAAGTGGCTTTCTGTCCTGCCTTTACACTTTAGTGCCCTCCCTACTCCTTCCTACACGAACAGGTTTACCTGCCCAAAAGCCGAAACCGCCTTCTCCATCAGGCTCACAGCTCAAGCACAGATAGTCGGGGAACGTGTCTTCTTTCTCGTACACCGGGTCTCTGTCTTCATCATCCTCATCATAAGCCTCAGGGACTGGAGGATACATTACATATAGCGGCATGCCGATGCGGTATGCGACGTGCGATGACTGTGCGCACAGTGAAAATGCTTCCCTCATCGCGGTTGGCGTTGAAACGGCCCATATGACAGGCCTATTATGCAAGTCCCGGTTGACAGTGCAGTTGGTACGAACGGTCTTGGTCCAGCCGAAGTGTTGAAAGAATCCGACAAGCATTCGAAAGTCGGTGCTGTCCAAATCGCGTTAGGTGACAGCTGCTTCATCTTTCAATCCGCACTCGCCATGTGCGAATATAGGACCTTTCCAGACACAACTAGGCTTGCTTCTGGTAACGCTGTCGGTACTCAAGTTCTTCGTTGATCCGTTGAAGTGATGATTGTCTTGAAACCACTCGATGGTCCGATGTTCTTGATCCACTTCGGGTAGGAACTGGAATGGGATGGTCTTCATGTCAGAAATGCTGTTGGTGCCCAAGAATCGGTCGAGTTCGGCGCATCGGATGGATTTGTTGAATTACGTTCTGATCCGGGAGAACTGGGGTTTGGTGCACTTCTCGGGAAAGAAGATCACGCGCTTGTGATCAGGGGTAGAGCGCTTGTCGTCGGTGAAGTGTTTGAAGGTCTTGCAAAGCAAACGATGAGTCTTCCAATCTCCCCTTTGACACTCATGGCTGCAGTAGAGGCTGTTGTGGCAACCTGCGCACGCTTTGCCTGGTTTAGCGCAGACGGCCCAGTTGCTGCTGTTGTCTGATGCCATCCTGAGAATATCAGAGGAGCTCTGGGGTGAGAGATACTATGACGACTTACTTGAATTAAATGATCGAAGCAATGATCAACGTCGGATAATGTGGTATGATCTTTGTGTTGCGAGAGCAGTTCGAAGAGCTCATTAGAAAGGTTGAATGGAGACATAGAGCGAGGTAGCAGCCACCACAGCTGTCTCAGCTGCGCGCAAACAACAACAAACGTATTCACGAAGTTGGTTCGAAAGCGTCCTTGGATTCACTCTTCGCAAGTGAGGGGAGAGTTGGCCTCGCCAGAGGAAAGTGATTTTGACCTAAGCTGAGTTTATCCCGCAGATATACGATTGATAAACCACGCCAGCAATACTCTGGGCTCTTCTCGTGCACCCTCACTACTCCAGTGACTCTTCATGTCGGAACATTTCTCAATAACGGTAAGAGACCACAATACCAGTCGTGATCCGATCTCCCTCCTTCCTTCCCCTGAAGTCCGAAATAACGCTCTTTGCGGAGAGGATCTACCCTGCGCCATCCGTACAATTGTATCTCGTATAGAATCTTGAATATCGAATTAACCGTCAAACTTCCGTAGTCCTTGCCTGGCCTAGAGAGAATATCTACAATTTTTGGTCCGAGATCTGCCATGATGCTACGTAGATGATCATCAGGGGCAACGGGACGTGCGATCTCTCCAGTCTTTCTATGAGTAGATCTCCTTGCATCTCGGAATTGGACTCGAACATTGCCAGCTGCTTCCGCGGAGCTCCCAATTGTGATGCAAATTTCGAGGAACAAAGGATCGAGAACCATGCTCAAAACCGCAGTTTCGAGGTTCGTCATGAAGTATTCTCTTTCTGACTCTAGAAGATCGCTCCAGGGTATTGTGGTATGACCGAATTTCTTCGTATTGAAGGGTGTAGAGTCGCCTGTATGACCAGGTATCAATACTGGATCCCATCTGGCAGACTTGTCCGATTGCTTGATGCTAATCTGAGCACACAGCTTTGCGCCAGGAAGCGCTGCAAACAGCGTTTCGAGACGAGTTTGGTGTGATGTACTGAGCAATGCGCATGCCCGCTGCTTGATGATTTTGCAGCCGGGGTAATTCTTGATGTCGTAATTGATGGAATCAGCCAAGACGAGCTCGTAGATATGAAGACGAAGCTCTACTGGGAGTCTGGCAAGAGAGCCTAGCGTCGGAGTAGCCATAGTCGAAGTCTTGCCGTGGTATGAATGTCGCATTTTGGAGAAAAATGCACCAGAGAGTGGTAGATGTGTTCGTAGAATTTTGTCACCAATTCTCTCATGACAATCTCAGCAAATACCGCGAATCGACTCATCGTTCGGCCACGTGGAGATGTGACTCAATAGGTGAATGAAGCATCGAGTGTTCTCCCGCTGTTGTCATGTCTGTCATGATGAACGTCGGACCCGCGGCAACTTGAAGCGCATGCGTAATCTGAGTCCTAGTCAGGCTTGTGAGTAGTTGAAGGAGGGTTGTGTTTGAACGTTATGTTGATTCTTCGCATGCTCGTGATTAGCAAGCTCTTATTCTGAAATTTGGAAAACGCCATGCCCATATGCCTTTTTACCCATTTTGATCAAAGGGTACACCAATCCACCAACGCCATTGCTCCCCTCAACTGCTGTACGGGAAATAGATCATCATGCCCTAAGCCGTCGAATCTTTCCACTTGCATTCATCTTCCGCAAAGTTCGTATAAAGCGACGCTACGCTGCACTCAGAAGCGCTCCTTCATTCTTGAGGCAACGGTTCTGAGGTTACCGTAGACCTTGGCAGGCGGGCTACCCAGGATGAGGGACACAATGGCAGTACGTGCCATGTGGATGTTCTTGAAACCACCCAGGATGTGGATCTTTGAATCTGCGAGCACGACACGAGTCTTGCTTGCGTTCTCGATGGCGTGCTTTGTCTTTCCGTCTTTTCCTGCGATACGACCGATTGCACGTCCCTTATGTTCACCGACAAGTGTTTTCACTATGCCTTGTTAGCATTCTATATCTCGGTGTCTGATGGCGTCGGAGGGTCGTTACCATCTTTTATTTCGAAGGTCTCGATGTACAGATCGTCCAGTCTGAGCAAAGCAATTGCATCGTCGAGATCGAATCCCTTGTGGTTCGTTAGTGGTTTGAAGTAGATTGTACGGGAAGAAAGCTCTGTCATACCATTGTGAAGGCAGTGATGAAATCTGCTCCACGCTGAAGCGAGCCAGCTTCTGATGAAGGAGAGGTTCTCAGTTCCACTGCTTTTGATTTACTGCACGGGCTAGTCAGCAAAAGTCTCCCTATTCTCTCCTCTCTAGCCATGCTTTTGCTTGTGGGAGGCGCATCAAGAATTCACGTACATGTTGACTCTGCATTGTAGCTTCAAGTGCTCGACGAGAGGAGGGTAGATCTGCCTGACATCAGCGATGTGTTGTCTTTTTGGGGTGCTCATTCGCGACGTACTTTGGGCCAGGCGTTCTTCAGGGGAGTCCAGCGGTGAGGAGGAACAGCGACCTTACGGGATTCCGCGCGGTAAACCTGGTTGGTGGCCTTCTCAGCGGCAAAGAGAGGTTGTGAGTCGACGGTCATGGCTGTGTCTTCGGAAGGCTGATCGGCGACCTGGACGGCAGGGGCATCGGTAGTGCTGATCATGAACTCGTCCTCGTCGTTGGCGGCGGAAGGGGTCTCGTGAAGGTTTTGAGCGATTTCCTCGGGCGCAACGCGCTGAAGAGCGGTTGGGGCAGGCATGATGATGAAGTTGATCGAAGAAGCTGGCGATTTGATTTGGAAACTTTGTTCTCGATGTTGATATCCGGTTCCAGGTATAGTAGTCTGATCTTGAGGGTCGACAGCAAGGTAGTTGCGGCGGCGCGAGAGAGTATGGCAAAGTATTGGAACTTTTTCTGGCGTGGTAAGAGAGCGGTCGGCCGCTGAAAGTCTCCGCACTCCGTGCATCGAGGGCGGTGAGGACTCTTGGCAAACCGTATAACCACCAGGATTCTCTTGTTAGAGATGTCTCCAGTTTGCCTTAAGGATGGGCCAAACGTACTTGAGTGGGACAGGGTTCACTGGGAGGTGAAGTAATAGCTTTCATGACAGCATGTGTTCTCAATAAGCTTGCATAGTGCCTCGACTGACTCCTTTCCACTGTGATATCTCATCCCTTGAATTCATGTCCCATTAATACCCCTCAACGCCACTTTGATGCGCCTATGTGCCAAATCCCCAGGACCGATGACACTGTTTCCTCTCGTTCGCCCTCTCGACTTTCTTCTTCTTCCTCTCTTTCCTCTGTAGACTCTCTTTTGCAAGAGCCGTTTCCGTACGAAAGCAACCCCGGGAATAGCTCTACTTCTTACCATTGTTGTGGGGTGAGTTGGCGTTCAACAAGCTGACAATTCTAACCTTCTCGACCTCAATCGTCTGGGAGTTATCCAGTTTGAATTTGATGTCTTTGAGAATGAAAGTCCAGACGTCGTCGCAGAAGCGGTAGGTGTCAAGATGCCCCTGCAATGTGTCAGTATCAAATCGTGTTTGAGAATACGTCACTGCTCAGTCCTTGGAGAGCAGCCCGTTGACACTGTTGGGTACAAAACGTAGCTGAAGGACATGTTGAAAACCATGCAGATGTGAATTTGCTGGTGAAAGGGTTCTTTACCTTAAAGCTCATTCTTGCCTTGACCTTCTCGCCAAGCACCTGGGCGATGACCTGATCAAAATTCGTCATGATCTTGATCGCAAGTTGAGGCTCGATACGACGACTGCTGATGAGATCGTCCAGAGTATCTGCAAGTGTACTGCCGATGCTATACACATCCTTCTCAGCACAATGTTGGATGGTGATGAGTTGATTGCGCCTACCTCGCGTTGCGATACATCTCGTAATACTTAGCTTGCTCCGCCATGATGAAGGTCGGCCGCTGGGCGGTGTGGAGGTTGCTAGGTGTACGTGTGTGACTTATATGTTGATGCGCAAATGATGTTGCGCACGAAGGGAGGAGTTCAGACGTCGTTGTCGCCTCTGCTATGAATGAATGTCGCTGGAAGCCATGCGGGAAAGCCGCGGCTTCTTCCGCCAGGCACATCGTAGGCTCACTGACAGGGTCTCCCAGCTTCCAAACAGTTCCTCGCTTTCAGACTTGCTTGATTCAGCGAACCCCCGATCTATGTGTTCAAACATGGCATCAGGCTTTAATTTAGTAGATTTTCGAGTCATCTCACTGGTTTCTGCCTTCTACAGACGTGGGTGACGAAGTAGAAGGACAGCAAAGAGAAACTGGCGTGTGCGAATGTTAGGGCAGGCCAAACTACAATGTGTCCAGGCGCCAGCTTCACGACGCACCTGAACTTTTGCATTCTTCCTCGCACAAGCGTCTCAGTACCTAGCTAGATCATCAATCCTACTTACTTACAAGTCGCTCGACAAAATCAATCGAAACTCGGCTTCTCTCCACCTATCTACTTGGCATGGAGATCAAGACTCACTTTATCTAATCTATTTTGACAAGAATGTCGGTCCCTGACTTGCCGATCGCTTAGAAAGCACAACATGGAGGGTTCGCGCTGCCGTTTCCGCTTTGGTTTGTGGCTTGTCCGAGAATCAAGATCTGACGTGACAGAGCCTAGAACGAATCGAGCACAAACATGGCCGAACGATTGGACAAAGGCTATCTCGCGGCGCGATCGCGCTTTCGTGTCTTGTCCACTAGCTCTCGAAGATCGTAAGTTCACCGTCCACCCAGTTCCTCCGGCTCCGATGCCCAAAAAATGTAGTGTCGATATCATAGATGGGAGCTAGGACTCTTTTCCCCTCGCTCAACTGTTTTCTTCCAAGTGCCCTTGCTATCCGTTCTCTTCCTTGCACCGCATCATTCAAATCTCTCTCTTTGTCACCATACTCCTCTCAACTCCTCGTACTTTTTGAGATACCATTGTCCTACTCGCCGGACCGAGACTCCGCGGCCGTCGCAAACACTTAATTCACAACCCACAGACGCTACCTAACTCCCATCTATGGCCTCAGAAGTGATCAAGGGCAAGCCTGCCCAACAGCTCTCGTCAATCCTACCACCTCTCGTCTTTGGATGTGCTGTTTTCAACTCTCAATACAACGATGTGAACAAGCTGGACACATTCGGCTTGGTTCAAGAGGCGCTCGAGTTCGGTATCAGAGCATTCGATACCAGCCCATACTATGGCCCCAGTGAAGAACTCCTGGGCGCAGCTCTCGACACAGAATTCGTACGCGCACACGTGCCTCGTTCCGACCTCTTCTACATCACAAAGTGCGGCCGCATCGCTGGCGACGAGTTTGATTACTCACCCGAGTGGGTCCGCCAAAGCGTCGCTCGCAGTCTGCAAAGACTTCGCACCGACTATCTCGATATTGTCTACTGCCACGATGTCGAATTTGTGAGCGAGGATGAAGTCATGGGAGCTATTAAAGAGTTGCGTCGCATCCGCGACGAGGATGGTACACTGCGCTACATTGGTATCTCCGGATACCCCGTTCCTCTGCTTTGCTCTCTTGCTGAGCGCGTTCTTCGCGAGACTGGCGAGCCTCTCGATGCGGTCATGTCCTACGCCAACTTCACATTGCAAAACACCACACTTGCGACAACTGGTATCGCACGCCTGCGCGCTGCTGGTGTCGATGTCGTCCCCAACGCGTCTCCCCTCGGAATGGGTCTTTTGCGCCGTGCAGGCCCTCCTGTAGCCGGCCAAGGCGATTGGCATCCTGCTGGACCTGGCGTCAGAGCAGCCGTCCGTCGTGCTAGCGAGTTCTGCGACCGCCACGGAGAACGCCTCGAAGTTATTGCCATTCGATTCGCTTTGGAGTCTTGGTTGACACAGGGTGCTGAAGTTGGCTCAAGAGGCGACCCTGCATCTGGTGTTCCATGGACCCGCGAGTCGAACCAGCAAGTCGGAGGTCAAAAGCTCGGTGTCAGCGTCATGGGTGTCAGTAATGCTGGCGAGCTCGAAAAGACAATGTCAGTCTGGCGCAGTATCCTCGACGGTCTCGAGGGAGGAGAGGAGACTTGCAAGCTCGCTGGTCGCTGGAAGAGAGACCACGAGTGGAGTCTCAACCGCAAGCATGGTGTTCAAATTATGGCCGATGGTATCCAAGAGCATCTGGACGAATACCTCGACTTCGCTTGGGACAGCCCTGGCCAGGATTACATCAACAAGAAGGCTGCTAAGAATCTGACGCTACCTCAAACCGAGGATGCTCCCTGGATGACACCCGCTCAGAGCCCACGGGCAGAGCAAGATATCCCTGATGAGATCAACATTGCCCTCAGATAGGCTTGAGGGACAGCTGAGTCTTGCCTCTTTGCTATGGCGTTTTTACAAATGGTCTGGTTATGAATCTTCTTGATATCCCTCTGTCTCGTTACAGAATTGATTGCATATAACTTGGACACGTCCTTGAAAATTCTACTATTATCCTCCTCTCACATAATCAGGAATCACTCGGGTGCCAACAAAAAGTCCAAACATAGTGTTGATACTGCAGATCAGGCAGTTGGAGGCGGGTGCGGAGAACGGTACCTTGATGTCATGACCTGCATCACCATCATGCAGAACGGCATCATCATCTCGTCGTCGTTCAAGCAGTGCTCTGTGTACAAAGCTCCCAGCTGACAGTCACCAATACCGTGATACCAGTATCTTGACAGCTGCCAACATGTCATCCAGTGGATCAGAGAAAGAAACGCCGCCTGCTTGAATGACAACGAAGCAGACCTCTAAAGAAGAAAAGAACATTTCGATCGTCAAAGAGTACATGCGGATCGCGTACTCACCATCCGAAAACAAGGGCAGCAAGTCCGTCGAACATCTCTGCGCAGAAGATGCCTGATTCTGGGCACCGACCACTTTTCCAGGCGTAAAGTCGCCTCAAGAGTATGCAGAAAGTCATTCACATGTCATGGCCAGTATCGCAGACCTGCACATTGTATGCTACGATCAAGCGTTTGCAAAGGATGGACACGTGCTTTTGAGGTGTACGGCCGAAGGAAGTCATTGTGGAGAGGCTCATAATGGAATTGAAAAGACTGGCAATAAAGCCAAATGGAGTGCGGCTGCTATATTTGAGGTTGAGAATGGCAAGGTCAAGAGCTTCACCAAGGACCGGGATAAGCTGCACATGTGGGAGTAAGTGGAGATTTTGTCCTGAGACGAGACTGAGTAAGGCTGACTAGATACAGGCAGCTTGGATGGATGAAGGGGGACGAGTATGTTTGATTGCACAAGTCAGGCCTTCCAGATACAATGCTATCTCAGGGTTGTACATCCAAGGGGTTTGAGATTGTATACTGGCCGTGATAGCACTGACTAGAGCGAAGGTCGAGATACGGAGATCGGCCGAAAAATATGGAGCGACCGTGTCGCCGTGTCGAGGTCATCGAGTACTTCTATATGTACCTGGAGAATGTACCGACGGATATAAATATTACGTGAGAGCTGAATTGGAAGAAATTGGAGAGCTAAGTGTTGAAAAGTGAAAATTGGCAGTGTTGAGGCCGATGGATGAGGGATTTGGGGAAAGTCTTGGTGGAGAGCGATCAAAGCGGGCGCGGGAAGGCCGGCGTCGTCGATTTGATGATTGGGCGTCGTCATGGGCATTTGAGACACTTGGGCAGCACATCTTGATGCAACAAGAAATGCCGAAGAAGCTTTCTCATGTCATGCTCTTCGTCCTTGTTTTTTTGATATCAACAGCCTGAATTGTCTTTGCTATCCGCGGCAGGCCTGAACAGCACGAATCTTGCAACCGGCAGCTGTGTGAACGAACGGCTATTTAGCACAAACCGAGGGCGGACCTGTCGGCCGTTAGTCTACACTATCTACCTCGTTCCTGTCTCGCCTATCCTACTATTGCCATCTCCATCTGTCCCTCACCCACGTGCCTCTCTCGACACTCTCGGCCACCATCCCCTGTTCGTCGCATGAGCAGACTGGACTAGAAAGGTACGGATTCTGAGCGTGGAATGCGCCGTCTCTCGAGTGCTTCCCCGCAACGTGCCTGAGAGACAATCAATCGCTCCGCCATGGGGAATACCAACAGCTCCACAAGGGAGTCGAGAACGACCGCCTCACGATCGCGTGCCGCCACTGCCAACAATGGAAGCTCTAGCAATGGAGCGAACGACAACACCATGTACAGTGTGCGTAGTGGGCGTACAAGCAGGCAGAACCTCTCCTTCCTCCATCTTGGCTCCAGCAGTCGAGGAGACCAATCCCGTACCGAGGAACCACGACGCGAGACCAAGCAGGAGAGAGAAGCTCGAAAGCGTGAAAAGGAGCGTCTAGCAAGAGACAATGAACGTGAGCGCAGTATGAAGGAGGAAAACGTTGACGGCGGTTACTTGGTCACGCTGGGAACATACGTTGGTCCCGAGGACTTCAACAAGACTGTCGTGCGCCAGCTGATGGTATGTTGCTTCTTATCTATATACCATACACGCCACTGACATTTGTTAGATTGAACGCCGTCTGGCGCCATTCTGGAAAGGACTCAACGACCATTCCGACTCGTGGACCGAGAACCAGCTGGTAGCTGTGGCACGAGGCCTCCCTCTCCCTGCTCCCGACGACCCTCCGCTCCCAGACCTCGAAGTCCCCACCGGCAGCGACTTCGACTCGCTTACCATTCCCATCTCCTCCCGTTCGCAATCATACCAATCCGATCACACATCAACCCCTCAGAGCGCCACTTTCCCCCGTCCAGGCACCGCCTCACTACCCTCAGCCTCGGGTTCTCGAGGTCTCTTCCGTGATCGTGCAAAGACGCTGGCTTCCCTGGGCACCTCCAACAAGAACAACAACGCTTCATCAACCTCCATCGCTCCTCAAGAGATTCAACTGCCACGAGACCCACGAGTCAATGGCTCTCCTCTTGAGGCTGTTCTGTATAAAGATGCCGCGGAATGTCCCATCTGCTTCATGTACTACCCTCCGCACCTTAACAAGACACGCTGTTGTGATCAGCCCATCTGCTCAGAGTGCTTCGTACAGATCAAACGCCCGGATCCGCATCCTCCGGAGCATCACGATGATGAAGGAAACCCTACAACCGATGAAGAAGGATTGCTGGTCTCAGAGCCTGCTGCATGTCCCTTCTGTGTGACACCTGAGTTTGGTGTCAGCTATCAGCCTCCATCCTTCCGTAGAGGTCTTGTATTCTCCGGTCCCGTAAGCAGTCCAGCCCCGACTAGTAACCCATCTCCGGATGCATCGACGCTTTCTTTGGCCGTGCCGAATGGTAGACGACGTACGACTTCTCTATCAGCATCCGCTCCCACTGTCATTAGTACTGATAGAGTCCGACCGGATTGGGCAAAGAAGCTAGCCGATGCTAGAGCACATGCTTTGCGACGATCCGCTGCTGCAACAGCTCTCCACAACGCTGCGTACATGCTCGGTAGCCAGCAGCCATCGGACTCACGCTCGTTCGGTGGTCTTGGTCGCCGTCGTCGTACACTCATGGCAGATGCCTCTGCCAGTGCAAGTGGGGCTGGTACCCCGAGACCTGGCGATAACGGCCAGGTTGGCACCTTGTCTGACCTGATTGCTCACATTGAAGGTTCAGGAGCAAGCACAGAGCCTCGCCCCACAGGCAGAAGAAGTCGCGCTCATGACCTGGAGGACCTTATGATGATGGAGGCTATTCGACTATCTCTAGCTTCTGAAGAAGACCGCAAAAAGAAGGAGGAGAAAGAAGTGCGAAAGGAAGCGAAGAGACGAGAGAAGGAATCTGCCAAGGAGGCGAAGAAGGCAGAGAAGGTCGCAAGAAAGACTGGAAGTCTTTACAGCGCCAGCTTGAACGGCAGCACTGTAGCGTGGTCTGACATGACACGATCTACGAGTAATATACCGCGCCCTCAGACAGCTCTTTCGACGACTTCGTCGCCACCGCCACCAGTTCCTCCCGCAGCAGGTAAAGGTAAAGCACCTGCCACCGCGGTCTATGGTTTCAATTCGCTTAGCGAACCGACGTCGACTCTGAACACCGAGGTTGCAGAGCAGACCGCAGGTTCTCAGAGACATCTCGAGGAGTCCAGAGCCAATATGCCTCAGACAACACAGCCCATTTCATTCCCGGAAACTTTGCAAAATCGCTCTCACCTTCGCCACATCTCAAACGCTTCGTCAGCAGCATCATCGATGCTCGACTCTGCACCTGGCAGCTACCAACGGACGCCGAACCACCAAATGTCTCCCAATGCTAGTGCGACAGTGCTAGACGATGGTGCTGGCACTCCGGACACACAGTCTGGCACTCCAAACAACGATGTGAATACCGAATCTATGTTCAACTTCAACAGCTTGACTGAAATGATCCGCAATGACGACAAGGACCGAGATGCGGATCACGTCGAGTTCTTTGAGCAGAAGCCAGAAGAGAAAGAGCGCAATCCCTCTGTTGCATCATCTTCAAAATTTGATGCCATCTCAGGACTACCTCGATTGAACGAGGATGAGCGGGAGTCGGCAAGGCATGGGGATGCTGTACAAGTACAAGATCAGACGACGCCCAAGATGAAGCAAAGCGAGACAAAGCACGCAGGCGATGTGAATGTCTTGAACGGTACAAGAATGTCGACTAAGTAGATAGGATCTCATAAAGGGTATAGCGTTGGTCAAAAAGACCGAACGAGCAAGCATACGGCACGGCATATTCTAGGTTGATTTGATCGTCACATGTTGGAAGCATGAACAAGCACAAGTGGTGGCGCAAGAAGTCAAGTCTGAACTGTACTGTGAAATAGGAAAGGAAGAAGACGGGGCCTTGTATAGGAACAGGCGTTGAGTAGATGGGATTCTTTTCTAGCTCAGTAGTCGTTTGACACACGAACATATGCAATCTTTTGTTCGTCCATACGCCTTTGCAAAGATAAGCAGAAGAGTCAAGAGGAGATAAGACTCGCGGGTACATGTCAGTTTCGCGGCGGATAAAACGGTGCATGGGCCATGCGGAGAAGGTATGGGATGGGATGAAACGGCGAATTAGGGACGCAGGGGTATTGGCGAGACTAGGGTTGGCATGGTCTTTGCACTTGTAAGGTACCTTGGTGATTAGGCGCCGAAAGATTCGCTGCATGGGGGTTGTTGGTGTTGTTATGGTCGTGTAGGAGTAACGAAGAGAGAAGGTGCAAAGGAGTGTTTAGGCGTGAGAGACACAGACCTGGCGAGGCAAAGCCAAAACACGAAAGGGGCCACTTTTAACAATGCGTCGGCACTCATTAATATATGGTGTGACCCCGCGCTCCCATCAACGCAGTAGCGAGACGGACAGGACAGATAGTGTACAGCGGTACCTTTGAATCGCAGAGTTTGCAAGGAGAGCCCAGGGGAAGCATCATGTCGCAGCTTTCTCAGCACAGGCAAAGAGGGCCATCCTTGGGGATTATTGCGTCGTCGTACGGTCTGCAGGGACAGCCTCCAGTGCCAAACGCGCGACCGAGCCCACTCTCATCACACCCGCCCACGCCAGTCGAGCCGGTTGGAGGCAGTTGCAGCAACGAGCAGCATCATAGCAACAGCCAACAGCAGCAGAGGGTCGCGGAAGCACACAGTCGGGAAGTGTCTTCATCGTCGCTGCCGTTTGGGTCGCCTAGCAACTCCTTCCCGAGGAAGCATCCGAGTAATTTCTCCACGCCCGACCTGTCAAAGTCTGCTTCACCCTCGACCGACTCCCTCTTCCACCAAGACACGAATTCTTTTGCCGGCAGCTCCTCTCAATTGCATCAACTACCATTGGCATACCAGCTGAACAACCAATCAACCTCGTCCAAGCTCGACCTCAGCAACTTCTCCACAATGTCCTCGCAAGACAACCACCGCCACGATAGCTTCGGCTCGCAGTTGCCTGTTCCAAAGGGCCCGACCAACAATGGCCGCCGCAGATCCATCAGCATGCAGAAGCTCTTCTCCTTGACCAACCTCAAGAGCAGTTTCACAAACTCCCGCACATCTCTCGTCTCGACGCCTTCTTCACAACACCCTCCTCAAACCGCCTCTTCCGATCGCCCGTCCTCCAACAGCACAAACAGTTCGAGAGGTGTCAAGCGTGCTGCAGAAGAGGACTTTGTCGTCGTTAAGCCCGGCCAGGACAACCTCCAGCCGCCGTTGAGAAAGAGAAAGAGCAGCTCGTGGTTTTCCCGCAGAAAGAGCGGCCTCTTCTCTTTCAACTCCTACAACGCGAACAGCTCTGCTGTTGTAGACGACTACGACATGCCTCAAGGTCCTGATGCCATGATGATGGACGAGCCTGAACTCGTTCGCCCCACTACCGAACACACTCTGCAATCAAAGAGCAATTCTTCAAGCGAGCGACCAGCCAGCGTCTACACCACCCACACCACACAACTACCTCCTATGCTACCACCATTGTCGCCCATGTCAAAGACGCAAACACAATCCTCGCAATACTCCCAGCCTCCGCAAGCTCAGAGACCTCAATCACATAGAACGTTCAGCTCGCAAAGCAGAGTCAGTCGATCGTCATCTCAACGCCGAACCCCATACTCTCCTTCTGCAAGAGAAGCCTTCTCACCTCCTCCCACTCTGCCGGAACTCACTAGAATTGAGACGTCCTTTGGTGACTCGGACATGGGAGAGCTGTTTGCTCACATTGGACGCTAGACGCGTTATGAGTCTCCGGACCGTGTGACTCAGCGTCAGTGGTTCGGCCGATATGTGCCTGTTCACAGAAGCACTGGCCGTAGAAGTACTGGAAGAACACCCTGGTTTGGTAGTTCCTGAGCACTTCATATTCGCCCCTGAGAGGTCTCCCGATCTGTCGAACGGGGAAAAGGCATGTCTACTTGTATTCATATTTTCGGCATTGCACACTCATTGTTCTGCTTGTTTTCTCTTTTTCATATTTCTCTCTCCTAGCATCAGTTTTCTCATTGGCATTGGCGAAGGCGCTTTTTTCTGGTTGGGCTTTTTATTCATTCGGGTCATGGTACATATTCGACTCTTCTCTTACATGACAGGAGAGCAGGCTTCACGCTCAAAAACTACGCAATTCTTCTTCGAATTACTCTCTTGTCACAAGTGGTCATTGTGTGCACTGTTTGTAGCGGTTTACTTGGATAATTTATCGTACGTTCCCTTTGGTGTTACTTGTCTTTTATGCCCTTGTGCTTCTTCGTCTCCCTTTCCCTCCCTTGCATCCATGACCCTCCCTCTTTGATATACCTTTTCGTTCCCTGTTCTGTCTTTCCTGTGCCTTCTACAGCCTCTTCTCTTGTTCTCCTCCAAGTTGAAGTTGGGAGTTCTCTTGCTATTTCGTGATCACGTTGACTTACGACATTTACGCATGTACACATATTCTTTTCTCATCATCAGGGTCGTCTTGATCCCAAATTCCATTTTTTTTTTTCTCCCCTCCAGCAATCTTTCGATTTTTCCTCCCCCAAAGGGCAAAAGTAAGCGTAGGAGTTAGGATAAGAAGAACAAGTAGGGGACGTACACACCCTTCTTTTTCCATTTATTTTTGTTTCTCTACAACTTTATGAGAGAGAAACACCCCTTTTCGACTTTCTCTGAAATAGCTTTTAGATCGGGGAATTTGTGGCTAGGAATGGGTGCACCTTTTGGATAAATTGTGTGACACTCTCGATGATGTAGATGTTTCTTTTTTTTTTCCGAGGTTTGTCAGTATTTAGGAAAAGGACGATGATTGCGCACTTTGACAAGCGTCCCCCCCCCCCCCCCCCCTTCAAATGGTATCCTAGGAATCGTAACCGTCAGTTTGCAAGCCTATAGACCACAAGGCGAATCTCAGGGGGCGGCAGAGACAACAACGAAGATTTGTCATATCTTGATTGTGGGACACCAAGCCGGAGCCTAGCGGAGAGAGTGTTGTCGAGAACAATGGTGATGAGAGCGAGAACAGCTCGATTGTAAGATTTGACGCTGGACCTTGCTAAATTCAGAGGTGCTGTATACTCGCGACTTATCGATGAGCAAGCTTTGTACCATACGCCCTATAGCTCGTCTTGGAGAACTTGCAGACCAAGTCATGATGCCAGCGTGATATCCCAGTAACGAGCTTGAAAGACCATCGGAAGTGGCTTTTTAGTTTCTAATCCTGTGAATATGATCATCGTCTGAGACGAGTACGTGGTTACCATGTGAGAGTCCTGGTCGAGATCTGAAAGCAGTGACTGAATTGTTATTGTCACAGGAGACAGCACCGTGAGTGAGATGACTTGCCGTGATGTCCTTCTGTGGAGGCCTTCATGCGATAGAAGTAGCAATTGATCAGAATTGCGTGATGACCACCTCATGGATATCTGCAGAATGGGAGTTATAGCTTAGAGCACCTGGAATGTAAGGTGGCATAAGCTATCGCCGAATCTGAGGGCCATAGTTGAGATGTCCATCATGATCGTACCAGCAACCATTGCAGAGTGTATTGACTCACAAAGAAAGTGTAGCCATTGGTCCGGCAGGAAGGTAGGTAAATCGGAGAAGCGTCAGAGCCAAACATGCATGGCCGAGGACCACGAGCCTTGATCCCCAAATTAAGATCACTGCTCTCGAGTCATGGCAAAGATAGACGGACACCCATCCGACCATTTTCCTCACCTCAATTGGGCGGACTCTCATCCGCACTCGTCCGCCCAGATCCACAAGTGAACCGTTAACACAGAGTCATGTCACAGCTAATCCAATCTGGACCTTTGTGGTGCTGAAGGCGAAGTTGATAGCGCAAGCACAAAGTCCACAACTGCACCAACGTTGAGAGTGGAAAGTTGAAGATTTGCCGAGAAAAAGATGAACCCTTCTCGCGTGGGATGCATCGCAACGGCGAAGGCCATTGCTATTTCCAGAAAATGTTGCTTAGCACCGTCGTCTGCAGGTGTATGTATCTATTGCCGAAATGGTCGCTCTGCCCCACAAGATGAGTAGTAGTCATCAGTCCAGATAGAGTGCAGAGATGGATGATCGATAAACGAACATCGGACCGGGGATACTCAAGATCAGCCTCAGTGGGGACCAGTCATCCGAAAGCTCAGATGCTCAGGATTGCAGATGTGGAGTGAGTGAGAGAATAGCTCAAGATGGCAATCCGCGGAGAAGACCAAGAGGCACTTGACATGCTGGTTGTAGAGTCAGGGAAAAGACAAGCAAGGCAAGTTAAATGATTAGACTTTGGAGATGTGTAAATCGGATGTTGAGGCTAAAGAAAGATGATTTGCAACGCCAATGAATTCCAGGAACAAGTGCCCGGAGGTGAGGAAGCACTGTTGCTCACATCGACTATCGAGTGTCGACTCTGCCCAAAGCGTTTTTTGAGATGAGCAATGATCAGTCAGTGACTGGCCGAAAGAAGAACAACGCATATGCAGCCTCCATTGTTCAGAGGCTTCATCATTCCGAACGAGCGGAGCAAATGGCAAGTTGATTGCACAGTGGATTAGGAAAAGCAGAGTGAAACCAAAGTAGACAAGTGCTGAGCATGCTGATGCACAGTGTTACTGTTGATTCGGCAAAGGGCGTTTGAAGCTAACAGAGTCAACACTCGACTCATGGGTCGCAAGTGCTGTTTCAGCAGACGGATCTTAAAAAGAACCCAAACCCAAAAGGAGAATGCATGGAAAACGTATCGAGGAAAGCGTGAGCACTTTTCCAGTGGAGTAAATCTTGTTTCTAAATTCTCAATGGCCAGAAAGAGGGAAAGGAAAGCCATGGTAGTGGAGACACCAGACACGGGTGTTTTGAGGTTTCACGACAGGATATAAGGGCCTTTGCACCTTCTTCCTTTGCTTGATGGCTATTCTGTTTCCAATTCACCATTACATTCGCTCTTTTATCACAGTCAACATTCAATAACACGCTCTCTATAATCCTCTTCTTCCCCTCTATACCCAAACGGCAATAACAACAACCACACAAACACCTTCAATATGCAGCTCCGTGTCTACACTTCTCTTGCCATCTTCGCTGCTGGTGCCATGGCCGCCGCAACTACCTCTGCTGCTGCCGCCACTTCGACTTCCGTCAGCTTGACCGAGGGTGTTCCCCAGTGCGGCGTACGTTCCTCCCACATTTGATTGAGACATCATGATCATCAGACTGACGAGCCTTCCACCAGCTCACCTGCATTCAAGACGCCGTCAGCGGATCCGGCTGCTCAGCCGACGATCCCGTCTGCCTCTGCACAACCGGCTCCAAGGCCTTCCTCTCCGCCGGAACCACCTGCCTTCTCCAGAACTCAGACTGCTCAGCCGAAGACCTCCAGACCATCCAGTCGCTCGCAAAGACTCGTTGCGCTGCCCTTCTCGCCAGCACTGGGTCCTCGGCCTCTGGCTCTGCTAGCTCTGCTGCTTCTTCCGTGTCGAGCTCTGCTACCAAGGCTGCTTCTTCTGTTGCCAGCTCCACTTCCAGCGCTGTTGCCAGTGCCACTTCGACCGGCGGTGCCGTTCAATTCGGTGCCAGCATCATGGCCGTCGGTGCCGGTGCTCTTGCTTTCATTCTGTAAAGAAGAAATACAGTAAAAGTAGTACAATAGAAGTGGAAGAAACAGCACACGTGCTGAGGTGTGGAAAACATAGCAATCGGCCTCTTTTTACGATACCCAAGGGGTCTGGCATACTTTTAACTTTCGAGCGGTGGTGTACTTTGGTGAATAATATTACTTTCAAACTTTCAACTTTTTTGTTTTTATTTGACGATTGAAGTCCACTTTGTGACCCATGCTGTGAATTCGTCGTCTTTGCCGTTCCAATCAGTTTTTAGGAGGTCAGCTGCTGAGCATGCGTTGGCGACACAGCTGGCGAGGATGGTGTCGACTTGATCGGCGTCGAGTTCGTAAAAGGCGTTTGCAAGATCATCGACGGATTCGGGCAGTTCCTTGAGCAGATGCATGAGCTTGTCCAGAGTGAGGATGTTGACCTTTCTGGCAGCGATATCCGGTGTAAACGTCTTGAGTCTGCGTTTTGTGATTGCGGCATAGAGGAATTGTATCTTTTTCAGCTTGTCGGCGGCGGTTTGTAGACGTTCTTTCAGATCTGTACGGTCCTTGGGAAGTCTGTTTGCGGCGGAGAACATGTCGTCAAACTCGTCCTGGTCGTCTCTTTCTTCCTTATCGTCGCTGGTGGTAGAGTCTGCGTCGTCATCGTCCTCATCATCATCGTCTTCGTCGTCGTCGTCTCCGTCCCCTTCTTCCCACTCTTTGAGCTCTTCGATAGCGTCGTTGATGGTGTCTCGCAACTCTTGAGCTTTCAAGACAGCCAGACCAGCGATTCCAGTACTGTCCAACTGAACTAAAGCATCACAGGCTTCCCAGAGCACACCAGTAGAAGCAAGGGTATCTTTGGAGTGGTTTGCGGTATCCACTTGTCTAGCAACATCGAGGACTTCTTCCAGGAAAGAGACCATCTCGCGCATGACAGTGCGGACCTTTGCAACAACCTGATGGTGCAAGAAGACGCCCCAGATGTCAGGGCGACAGAGCTCTACAGCGCTCATCATGGCGGGTAAACAGGTCTGAGTGGCATCGCGGAGGACGGTGGTGACAGCGGTGGGAGTAAAGGGCTTGTTGATCAGGAGGAGAGCGAGCTTGGTGGTATGGGCCTTGAGGAGGGTGGCACTGTCACGGAGAACATGCAATGGATTTGGCGGGTTTGGTGGAAGTTGGCTTGTAGAGTCGTTGTCGGCGTTTGGAGCGAGGGAGGTGAGATATTGGGCAACCAGAGCACGCTGCGTCTGAGCAAGGTCTATGAGAGTCTGTGAGGCGGCCATAGCTGTGTGATGTGGTGATGAGTGAGGAATGCGACAAGTTGAACAATTTATCTGGAAAGTCGCCAAGCTGTGAGAGTTTGAACTTCTTGAGCCTTCGGTTGCCCGCCCGCTCTCGTCACCGTCAACACCAACATGGACTAAATCTCTCTCTAAATGTCGCCAACCCTCGTCGTCGACGTCGGCGCATGGTCTCTCAAAGCTGGATACGCCGAATCTGATGGCAACAACAACAATTGCCATGTTGCGCCTAATTGCATCGCCAAGTCTCGCGACAACAAGACCTATGTCGGTTCCCAGCTGTCGCAATGCGTCGACTATGGCGAGATGACCTTTCGCCGGCCTGTCCAGAAGGGCTATGTCGTCAACTGGCCTGCTGAAGTTGCTATCCTGGACAACGAGCTTCAACACCTCCAATGCGACTCGAGCGACACCAATCTGATCATCACCGAACAACCAAATGCTCCATTACAGCTTACTATGAACCTGGATCAAATCGTCTTTGAGCACTTTGACTTTGCTGCCGTCTATCGTACCGTTGCCTCTTCGTTGAATGCCTACACTGATACAAGATCCTTGTTCGGTGATCCTCCCGCCGCACATGCCGAACACGTCCAACCAGCCGATGCGCTCCTCGTGGTAGACAGCGGACACAGTCACACAACAGTCACCCCTTTACTGGCAGGTCGACCCATCCACTCGGCTGTCCGTCGCTTAGACATCGGTGGAAAGCACCTCTCCAATTACCTCGCCGAACTCATCTCCCTACGCCATTTCTCCCTCATCGACGAACCCCACATTGTCTCCCAAATCAAAGAAGACGCCTGCTACCTATCCTCCGACTTCCCTGCCGACCTAGACGCCGCGAAAAGGAAGGATCCTAGCATTGTAGTCGACTACGTACTGCCTGATTATGAACGCCATCATCGCGGCTTCACACGCCCCCACGATGCCTCGTACAAAGCAAAAATGGAACGTCTAGGCGTCCGCCAACCAGACGACCCCCTCAGCACACGAGAAGAAGTCTTCCCCCTCGCCAACGAACGTTTCGTCGTCCCAGAAATGCTCTTTACACCCTCAGACATCGCAATGCCACAATCCGGCATTGCAGAAATCTTGATGCAAAGTTTGGGAGTGCTACCAGAATTACTCTGGCAACCCATGCTAGCCAACATTTTACTCGTCGGTGGAAACACTTTGATACCAGGCTTTGTGGAAAGAGTGGAGAGAGGGGTGAGGATGTTGGCACCGGAAGATATGGTTGTAAGGGTTAGGAGAGCCGAGGATCCTATCACATCGACATGGCAGGGAGGTTGTCGATTAGCTAGTGATCAAGATTTGTTGAAGAATGTCTTGATTACGAGGCAAGAGTATCAGGAACATGGTCCCAATTGGGTGACTAGACAGTTTGCTGTCAAGAGACCGACGAGTGGGAAGGAGTAGACCCTGACACTTCTTGCAACAACGAAAAAACCATAAAATATCAGGAATATAACATGCACCACACCGACATGACACAGCTTCTCCATCTATCTACGCAGATGCATTCCGTTCCTAAAACCCCTAATCTCTGCCCCATAAGGACGAAATATACTGATTTGAAAGCAATAATGTGATAAACCTCATTACTAAACATGTTTATTATCTTGTATATCCAAAAACACAGCTCCTTGATGCAATGATTCGCAAAGGCCAAAACAAACAAGCAACGCCAATGCCCGATGCCGTGAAGAAAGACTTAGAAATTTGTCTTTTCAAAAACATTATTACAAGTAGAGGTGCAGAGTTGGGGGGGAGGAGGTGCTTCTGATGATTAGAGTAAGAAAAGATGGGTGACAAAAGACAATCTTTCAACCAAAAGCCTGTCCTCGAGTAGCTTTTCCAATCGTCTTGAACGTCTCAATCTTGTCTCCAAGTGCAAGTGTGTCGAAGCGATTAACTCCCATAACCCCCTATACTCTCGTCAGTGAAAAAAACTCATGATAGATAGGTTTGGAAAAAAAAAAACTCACATCATCACTACTCCAACTACTAAACCAAAATCCAATGAGTATAGTAACATACGCCAAGATCAAAATACTCCCCTTGAAGTAATTACTCTTACCCTCTCCAACAACCCACCCCATCAAGAAGACTCCCAGGATAATGGTACACATGTCCCATTGTGGGAAGATGAGATTAAACGTGTGAGAAGCCACTTGATCGGGTTCCATCCATTGTTGCCAAAAACCTGAATACAAGACCAAAGCGGGGACTTGGAGAAGCATGACTTGTAATGCATAGGCGGAGCCGATTTCCATGGACAAAGCAATGTTGCCGTTCATGGCAAAGGAGATTGCGTTGAGGAATTCGGTCGTGTTGGGCACGAGGGCGAAGAGGGTGATGCCGAGGAATTTTTCGTCAATGTCAATGTGTTCGAGTACGGAATCTACAGTGTCGACTAGAATTTCGGCGATGACGGCGTAAGCGATGGTGGCTGTGAGTAGGATGACAGCACTCTTTGTGCGACTCCAGTTTGGAGCATCGTGGCCGCCGGATTCATGGGCAGGGGCTTCGTGCACTTCACCATGGACTTCTCCGACTTCGTCGGGGGTGGCGGCGCCTTTTGTTGCTGGGACGGAGGGGCCGGTGGATGAGGAGATGGAGCCGTGATGTTTGACACTGCCGGCGCTGGTGGAGGCCATTCGTTGAGCCTTGTGAGGAGCACGAGTTGCATCACGAGCGGCAACAGTGGCTGCAGTCGCCGCCATCTCTGCGACTTGGCGGACCAGAGCGGTGTTGTCTTCTGCGGAAAGGCCAGGGATACGCAATTTGCGCTGATGGATCTTGTCACCATCTTCTTCGCTGGACTTGGGCGGTACAAGGTGTGTTGGGCCTCCAAGAGTAGGTGCTGAGGTCTTGTCGGGTGAGTGCTGCTCGCTAGGTGCTGAGCTGCCGAAACCAGCTTGCTTCAATGATTGACCGAGAATACGCTTGTACAACTGTGACTCTTGGATATTACCGCGTGAAAGCGTTCCGATCGTGCCCATGGTGCTGTTACGACTCATGTGCGCATGAGGATTGACGACAATGGTATCAGGGATGCTACCGTGTCTAGCTTCGACGTGCAGGGCTTGGTGCTCCAATTTATCCAGCTTCTTCTCATCGAGTTCGATATTCCAGATGACAGCTGCATGAGTACGAAGCGTGAAGAGGAGACCGATGAGGTACGACAGGAACAGGAAGAAAGCGGCAAACCAGATATACGGGCGGACTGCCTCCGTAAAGAAGCGATCGTTGAGAGCAGGGACTTGGTTGAAGTAGCATCGTCTACAGTCTCTGTCTCCGTTTGACACGTCCGAGCCAAAGCACTGGTGACAGACAAGCTCATGACTGCCGTAGTTTTGGTAGAACAAGGTGGGACTGAACGATCCAATAACTGCAAAGAGCAGCATAGTCGATGTGACACCTGCAGATCTGACATTGAAGCGTTGAGTCTTGCGCTTGATTGCACCAAAGCACATTGATATGCCCGGAAGGAAAAGGATACCAGCAAAGATACTACCAATGATACTTCCTTCGACCAGTTGAGCTTTACCTTGATTGAGTGCAACACAGTACAGGAAGACCTCGACAACGGTAGAGAAGAAGGCGTTGATAGTAGCGCCAACACCCATAGAAGATTGTGCCGAGATGGAAGCAACAGCCTGGCCGATGAAGTAGGCCAGAGGAATGATAGAGAAAAGTCCAAGAACAAAGATGAAGCCAGACGAAGCAATAAAAGCCTCGACCTCCAGATACTCTCTCAAGACATAGAAGTCGAAGATGGCGAAGGCTACCATGCTCAAGAGATTGATAAGGAAGATGTTAGTACCATCGATAGTGTACTTCCAGTATCTGCTACCCACAGCACGATATGTGCAGAGGAGAACACTAGAAGAAGTTTCGCTCGATCCACGATTCGCGTCATGAGTGTCCGAGTGGAAAGATAGAGCTAGAGGATGTCTCCTCAAGTGATGGTGCAAGAGAAGTGTGACCTTGCCCATAGGAATGGTGAATACGAGGAACCAGCAGAGACCTGAAATGAACCAGAGCGAGGGCGTAATGAAGCCCCAGAAGACGGCGAAGAAGATGATTCTTCCGACAGTCCACTTTCCACGACCGAACAATCTCTTCTTGGTCTCCTGCTTATCTCCACTAGAGCGTCTACCAGGGCGGCCGAGCAAGCTGTCAGTCTCGTCGGGAGTAGTGTCGACACTGTCTCTTCTACGACCGATCAAGGAACGGTTGATGTCAGTGGGACCGAAGAACAAACGGCCTTCTTCCAGGTCACCAGTCTGCCATCTCTCATACTCTGAGATACTGCGTCCTTCGCCAGAATCTTCCTCCATGTAGGCTTCATCGTGCTCGAGCATGACATACTTGCCAAAGGGGTAGAAGATGTATCCAGCGAGCTGCCATAGCACGTAGCCGTATTCGTGACAGCCAGGAGTAAAGCGTAGAGCAAAGCAAAGCAGGGCACCGACAGCACAGAGTAATGCGAGCCACCATCCGAAGACCAGAGTCCAGAGGACGTTGAAGAACAAAAGGCCGAAACTAACATGATGACCAGGAGTCTGATGGATGTCACCTTCGGCCGTGACCTGGACCGAACGACTCTTCTTGTACAAAGCGGGCTTCCAGATACGGATACCGAAAGGATGTGTTTCGTTGATGGCCTCTTGCCTGTCCTTGAGGGTGAAGCTCTCAGCGTCGCTAAGATCAGCATCGTCGTCTTCGTCTTCTTCACCTTCCTCTTCTTCTTCTCGGTCATTTGCGGAGACAGCATCTTCCTCCTCTTCTTCCGGACGCAAAGTGACTTCGGTATCGTCCGAGTCGGGTTGCCTGGACTCAGCAGTTCGAGGCCTAGGTGGTGGGCTATCTTCTCGTTCATCCGATTCAACTCTTGCTAGTTGTGGTGGTTGTGCTGTTGGTCGTCTGCGAAGAGTGGATGCCTTGCGATTTAGGACATGGCTGGAAGAGGACGAAGCCTTGTCTTGTTGAACCTCATCTTGGGCATCGTCGACCGAGAACTCCTGACCACGCTTGGGACCGGTTGAGAGAGTGCGCTTTCCGAGCGGAGGTTTCTTGGGAGTGCCACGACTTGACACTTGAGGAGAATTCAACGAGGGCCTTGTGTGGGATGCCATGGATCCTGTTGCCGTCAGTATTCATCATCCGGGGAGCAGGCAACAGCATCTTGTAGCGACTTACCATAATTCGTAGGCCCGGGCCTCTTCTTGTTGGCATCCGACTTGGATGAGGGATTGTAGCTTTGTGCGCGAACATCTTCGGGCGCAACAAAAGATTCGGCGCGTGATGATGGGCGGTGAGAAGCAGAGGCGCTCTCTTCTCGTAGACTCTGTGTTGATGCATGTAGGGCGGTGAGGGAGCTCTGCGATGTCTCGCCCCAGTTGGACTCTTGCGACGAGTGCTGTTCGTCCTTGGGAGCCATGATTCTGTCGTATGTCTGTCGATATGGCGCGTCGAGCGCTGCTGCTGGAGAAGATCTCTCAGTGAGGCATTAAAATCTACCTTGATTGTCTGGATTGCTGATTACGGGCCAAAGCACGCTAGCTGTATGGGACTTGGGCGAATCGATGCCAGATGACTGCTGATAAATGACTTCCTTCCTTTGCAAAGTGCAATCACGCGACAGTAAAGCTCCAGGTAGGCGTGCAGGTTGTTTTAAACTGCAGACATACAGAGGCGACCATGCTTGCAACTATTTACCATGCTTCCAAGGTGCACGATACACCATCCCTGATTGCCCGTTTCTCACAACAAAGCCAACGGCGTAGCTCTGGTCCTTGACTAATGTTGGCCGTCAATGCTCTGCTCGTGAAACTCGGCCTCCCATCAAACATCGTCACCGTACCACACCGATGCTCTGTCTTTCGTATCTGAACCTCAAAACTACTGCTCACTGCCGTCCGGGCAAAGCATAGCAGAATGTTCTCACGCTTTTCTAGCTCATCCGAGCGGCTCGCGCAAATCAGAAGAGATGACGCTCCACAGCGGACCTCTCTCCCCACACAAACATTCCCTCCACAATTCTTTACATTTCTGCCCTTACTCCTTTTTTTTTGCAATTCACCACTCCCAGGCACTTATATACTTGCCGCGAAACGTTCCTGCGCTATGTTACGCGTTAGTTTAGGTCTTATCTAGGCTCGGTCTGCAGGTCCAACTGTCGGTCCGCTTCCGATCTGGAATCCAAGAAAGCCTCAAGCCAGGTCAAAATCTTATCATCATTCACCGCTGTGAAGCCGTAAAGGCTGCTTCCGAGCATCGAGCAATCGCTCCCAGGGAGTCTGTTTGTTTCACCGCTGGAAGCACAGAACATTCGCTTCCAATAAATCAGGTACTTTCCGACCACCTTGCTTGTGCAAGCAAACTTATACATGGATGCATATTGCTTCCTCAGTATGCTCAAGCATATAAATTCTGTAGCTATCTCAAGGCAGTATACTTTCTACAAGATGTAGTGCTACAGAAACACGTTGTCTCGTGATTCTTTCGTTGTGGATCCTCTCAATTGAGTAATCACATATGCCTTTCCGTAGATCATTGTAGAAGTGAACGAAAGCGATATCTTCTCACTGTCAAGACAAGCAAAAATTCTCCTTACACTGATTTCATTCAAAGGATACCCCAAGACTCAGTAGTTCAAAGGCGTTGCTCCTTCGTCCTGTCTATCTCTTATCATCTTGAATACCCTCTTCTTGTATCGAGACTCTAACTCGACAGACTCCATGGCTGCTCGGCAACTATGTTACGTCCTTTCCTATCTCTATTGCCTACGACATGTAAGATGTGAAGAACGTCTCATGTCCTACCGTACATCTTCTGCCTAGCGAATGAGAGGCCCACAATTCCCCGATTGATCTCATGGAGCAGAGGTTTCGGTGGTGCTCATGTATAGATGTGTTAATGGTATGAACCCTGTTGTTGCAGATCAGATGCTTCGCCATATCAGCGAATGATTTCTCCGAGTTCGCAATTACCTTTTCGAAGTGTATTGTGACTGTATTCAGTGACGCTTGAGCTTATCGTGATGGACTTGCAAGAAGGAGTAGCTGTTTTATTTCATTGACCACGCCTACCACCTGCCTCTTCTCTAAGATAACCCTTGCTTATCTCGCGAACATGGCTGTCGCCCGAAAACTGAGCTGTGGCAATGCACAGTGGTTTTTGCATATCAGCATCCTTAGACCGGAGGCGGGTTCAGATCCAGTCCATCGACAGTCAGATGGAAAGCATCGTTTCTTGAGTAAGATCCTGCAACATCCATGTCCAATCGACCTCTCTCACAGTCTTCAAAATCTGCTTCCACAGCCATGAACCCATCTTCGACTTCCCAAAGGCTGCCGGCAAGGACGTTACCAAGAGGATCAATGATGCAAGAACCTCCACGGCAGACGAACTCGTCAGATGGATCTTCCTCAGCAATGGCAGAAGTGGTGTTGTTACTGCCATTAGAAGGATCAGGAAGAACAAGCTCATTGCCCCCTTCCATAACAACAGACTTTCTACGACGAGAAGGCGAAGTGGAAGAGGAAATCGAAGACCTAGCAAGGATCCTCGGTTCCTCGACCTTTTTACCCACAGAGATCCAAGCTGGAAGATGACTCTTCCTAACGCACTGATTGGCGCTCAACACGAACGCCCTACTCTCCGCCGCCACCGTCCTCATCAACGGCTCCCAAGTATCCCTCGCATCCGCCGTAGGAGCAAGATATAAATTTACATTCTGACTGTACAACGAATACCTCAACAGCGGCATGTAGTTTTCCCAGCAAATAGCAGCAGCAAGACAGAGTTTTACACCGCGTATTTCGGTGACGACGGCGCGGAGAGACGAGGGTTGGCCTTGGGCCCAGACTAAGCGTTCGGAGCCTGTTGGCATGACTTTCCGTCTTTTGCCTATACAACCTTGCCGAGGACATATGTACACGACACCACAGTATAGACTTCCTCCACTGCGTTCGACGAGTCCAGTGACGATGAAAACGCCAGTTTCACGAGCGATCTTTTCCAGAAACTCTCTCGTGCCATCGCCACGATACTCTCTGCCTTTTGCAGCAGGGAGTTTACGATCTATCCAGTCATCTCCGGCTCCAAGTGGCGTATCTCCTAGATCGACGGCGGCGTGGAAGTATTCTAGAAACTGGTCGCGGCCGTGGGGTGCACGAGCTCCGACTGAAGCTCCAAAGTCGCACGTGCGTGGATAGCCTCCTAGATAGGCTTCGGGGAAAAGAACCAGATCTACGGATTCAGAGGCTGCTTTGCGAGTTGTGGTTGCCAGAGCGTCGAGGGTTTGTTGGAGGGTATCCAGTGTCCTGGACTGTGACACCGCGAGCTTGAGCTTCTTGGGCATGTTGGATTGAGGTGGTTAGCGTCCTGATTGTTGTGTTATGGAAGAGTCAGAGGTAAGGAAACAGTCATGAGATCCTTATATATGTATTTGTGAAAAGAAGAGAAAGAGAATATGTGAGTCAATTGATGACTGGATACTGATCAAGGTTCATGGTGGGCAAACAAGCGGGGCAAGCTTGCCCGAGGTGGATGGGTGTCCCCTCAACGGTATCCATAATCTTCGCCTTGCAAACACCGTAAGCAAATCCCGGTTCGGAGTTCACAGTCATCAGCTCTGTGGTCATTCTGGCAAGGATAGGAATGGTGTTGTGAAAGTCGTCTTTTGTCTTTCTTGTTCTACGTGCAATGGGATTGTGTCAGAAACGGCGCCTCAAGCACGGCCGCCCACTCTCCATGCTCGTCATAATCATGAATGTCATGCCTATTGTCTCTGATCTTCTGCAACAAATAGCTTGTAGACTCTGTTCTCTTCCTTTACATCTTCTTGGCAGCCTTGGCGAGGTCGGCGAGGGCCTCACGGCGCTTGAACTTGGCGTCCTCAATGACACCTGGAGTATGTTAGTGGCTGGGTCGGTAAGAAATGAGAGACAGGACATACCAGCATCGGCGTCAGAGGAGAAGTTGCCAGTCCACTGGACAAAGGTGCTGTTCTCGTTCTCGCCAGAGGTGACGGCGTAGCAGCGGATGGTGCTGACAACGGAGGTGTAGCTCAGGGCGGGGTTGGCGGTGATGACAGAGTAGGTGATGTAGTGGTTGAGGGAAGAGTGCTCCTCCTGCTTGACCTCGATGACGGTGCCATCCTTGAACTGCCACTTGACAATGTCGGTCTCCTCAGAGGTGCCCTTGGAGTATTCGGCCTTGTCGAGAGCAGACCAGAACTTGTTGAAGTCCTGGAGCTTGATGAAGTGCCAGACGTGGGAGAGAGGGGCTGGTTGAGCGTTCGTTAGCCATTGCGAACTTGCGACAAGCACTTCACACAGTCCAACATACCGTTGATGACGGCCGACTCGGTGACGGAGGTGCTGGTGGGGATAGCGCCGGACATATTGACGGTGATTAGATTTGGGATTGACTTTGTGTTGGGTGATTGAGAGGAAGATGATCGACTTTTGGTGGAAATTTTTGGAGAGGAAAAACGCCAGCCAGACTGGCTGCGGGGCTGTTTGCTTCGACGTCACCACCCTGTCTGAAGGAAGAAGCTATGACACCGAAGGAGCTCCTTCCGGTCCACGATAATCCAGCATCTGATCATGAAGAGAATTTATGTTCGACAGCTGCATACTCACAGCCACGTCTTGGAGAAGTGATCGCTGGCTGATACCAGAGATGAAAGACAGCTCATATACCACATGATACTGTCCGTGACCACATCGGAGGACATCCTGTTCCTCTGTGTCGCATTCCGTTGTAAGCATCTCTAGCGCTAGCTTGTGGTAGACTTTGCGCGCAAAACGAGTCAATCCGGTCCCTGCCATGCTACTGCTCGGGAACATGTGATTTGGTTTATCAGAAGTGGATCTTGGCTCGAGACATCCGAAGAGGCTGAAAGATATTGTGCAAGTGTCCAGTAGTAACAGTAAAATTGATGACATATTTATCTGACCCATACAGATAGTCTCCCAGTAGACATCTAGATTGCCATACATCCTTGCTCTATAACCATGATGCTGCCTTTATATTCGAATTGAACTAGTCATACACGAGAAGCGAATTTTTAGTTGAAGACCACAGTCTTGGTGCCGTTGAGGAAGACCTTCTCCTCCGACCACCACTTGACGGCAGCAGCCAATACTTGAGCTTCGACGTTGGATCCCTCCTCAACAAGGTCCTTGGGCGACATGGCGTGGTTGACACGAGCGATTCTTTGCTCGATGATAGGACCCTCATCAAGATCGGCAGTGACGAAGTGAGCAGTAGCACCAGTAATCTTAACACCGCGCTCGTAAGCTTGATGGTAAGGCTTAGCACCCTTGAAGGAGGGCAAGAAACTGTGGTGAATGTTGATGATTTTGCCGGACATGGCTGAGCAGAGACCAGGAGTCAAGACTTGCATGTAGCGAGCCAGAACAATGAGATCAATGTTGTTTTCCTTGACGAGATCCAGAATCTGCTTCTCCTGTTCCAGCTTGGTATCCTTGTTGACGGGAAGGTGGTGGAAGGGGATGTTGTAGTTCTGGGCCAAGGGCTCGAAGTCGGGATGGTTTGAGACGATGAGAGGAATCTCGACTTGCAGTTGCTTGTTCTTTTGACGGAAGAGTAGATCATTCAGACAGTGGCCAATCTTGGAGACCATGATCAAAACACGGGGCTTAGCAGAGACAGGGCGGATGTTGTAGTCCATCTTCATTGACTCGGCCAATTCGGCCAAGGAAGGCTTCAAGTGTTCGGTATCGGCAGCATGGCCAAAGTGAACACGCATGAAGAACTTTTCCGAAGTTGGGTCACTAAATTGTTGCAAGTCAAGAATGTTCAGCTCATGCTTGGCCAGAAGTCCAGTAACAGCGTGCACGATGCCAGGCTTATCCGGGCAGGAAAGCGTCAGGTAGTGGTCGTTTGCCTTGGAAGCCATGGTTGATGAAAAGGAAGCAGTTTGATTTGATGATGATACAACTCCGAGGCGAGCAGGGGCAGTGATCCTTGAGATTATTCCAAAGGGTCTAGTAGCTCTAAACAATGAAGCCATTCAGGAACTGGTTGCTGCTGTATGGACTCGCCTCGCTCTTGATTGGAAATGCCACTCACGGTGTCTGGAAAATTGTGTGCACGGGCCGAATACTTGCTCCGAATTTCGCATTTGGCCGACTGTGTGGTCGACAACGTTCTCGATGGATGTCCACGATGTCCTCAACAATCGCAACACACAGTTCAGAACAACCACAACAACAACAAATTTCGTGGCTTCTTCTCAGCTCACTGGCAGAACGCGAATCGCAACTTCCACATGCAGAACCAGTGTCCTGAACAACGACTGTGGCAATCTTCGTTCGGTGAGAGCTGACAGAACGAGTTTGGTTGTATTGACCTTTGCCATATCGATAAAACAAGGCCACGACTGAGACATGTAAGGGTTCCCGGACGACTGGAATCTCATCAACGCAAGGAATTTCCAACCGCACTCGCTTCTTTAGCACCTCCTCCTACCTCATGAGGCTTACTCCGGAGCGGTTCTCCTACTGAAACCTCCGATATTCTCACAGAATCCCCCAGCCTTTGACTCAGATTGTTTGACAAGCTTTTTGCACGTGTGCGTTGTGCGGCTGGGCTATCAACGATGTCCTCTGTTTCGGGCAATCCTTCAACGGTATCCCGTTCATTTTCCACGATGCTATCGATTCTGCAAAGCGGTGCCGAAGGTAAGCTGTGTAATTGCATGCCTTCAGCTATGGTATATGAAGGTATAAGAATTCCGCCAGCCATCGCAAGAACGTCTCGTTGAGCAGATAACGCCTTGGTACTTTTACAAAAGAAAGCTGCGGGCCTGGCATCTTTTGTCGAGAAGTATTGTTTGAGCATTTTTCTTCCATTATCATAATGTTTTCTTTCACCCCTCTTCTTTCTTTGCTCGCGTCTTCGACCTTGCTGGTTCAAGGTCTTCCTATGAGCGATCATACAGCACCCATATCTCGACGCGGTAGTGAAACACCGGAAGTCTTCTCTCGACGCGGCAGCGAGACTCCAGAAATCATTTCTCGACGCAACAGCGAAACTACGGAGATCGTGTCTAGACGAAACAGCGACATTGCATTGGAAACCCGCGATTCATGCGATACTGCAGATGGAGACCCGATCAGAGGTGTCAACATCGGCGGCTGGCTTGTCGTCGAGCCTTGGATGAATTGGGAACTCGTCGAAGGCACCAATGCTCCTGATCAATGGACGTTCGACCAGACCGACGGTGCAGAGTCGAAGCTGCAGTCGCATTGGGCGTCTTGGTTCAACGAAGCAGACATGGCACAGATTGCCGCATGGGGCCTCAATACGTACGTTCCACCTGAAGCCGTTTTCGACGCCTCGCTAGACCCTTGTCAGCCTTACCGGCGAGGCACAAACTGTATGACATCTTTTGCTAACGGTTCTGGAACATTATAGTGTGCGCATCCCAATTGGGTTCTGGGCCTTCAACAATACCGGCAGTCCATACATCTCCGGTGCAGATGCATATCTTGAACGAGCATTGGGCTGGGCTCGCAAGTACAACATACAAGCGTTGATCTGCATGCACGGTCTACCTGGTTCTCAGAACGGCTTTGACAACTCTGGTCACAAGGGTAATGCCGACTGGGCTGAGAACCAAGATAACCTGCTCGCCTCCACGGCCGTTCTCGAGACCATGGCAGCCAAGTATGGTACTTCATCTTGGAGCGATGTTGTCTGGGGTTTGGAGCTTGTTAATGAACCTATCGTGTGGGATGAGACCAGTGCTCGCTCTGCCCAGTCCTGGGCTGTCGACACTGTAAAGGCCATGCGTACTCACATCACCAATCCAGACTTGAAGTTAGTCATGCACGATGCCTTTATGGGAGCCAAAGCTTGGGTGCCCATTGCACAACAATACAACGCTGTAGCCGAGAACTTCGTCTTGGATGTCCACCTATACCAGAACCAAGGTGGTGACACCTCTGGTATGACACAAGACCAGCACATCGCCACCGTTTGCAACTACCCATCGACTCAATTTCTCCCCGACTCCGACCAGACCCCTGTCCTCGTTGGCGAATTCAGCGACCAGACCAACATCTGTGTCGATGCCGCCGGTGTCGTGACAGCCGGATCCTCCTGCTCCACCGATGGCTGCCAATGTTCCGCCCAACTCGACCCTTCCCAGTGGAACAGCAATCTCGTCGCCGCAACCAGAAAGTTCATGGAGGCTCAATTGGACGTCTTTGAAGAGTATTCCACCGGCTGGTTCTTGTGGAGCTACACCGGACCCGGTGCTTGGGGACTTGACAATTTGTTCAAGGCTGGTGTCGTCGGTCCCGATCACATCACTCAAAGACAGTACCCTGCACAATGCAGTTCTTCTTCGTGAGGAAGAGAAGAAGAAGAAACAATCAGAGACGGTAATGAATTTTAATGAATTTGCATTTGCATAGATGGAGATTTTGGTACAATAGATATAGCGAAACAAAGCATAGTTTTTGCTCTTTCACCAATCTTGCATCATCCCGGCTCCTGATCGATATATCATCACATGACAACATTGATACAGTAGAGCATGACCTGCTGCAAAAGATCTACAAAAAACGTCTTACAACTCTACCTCAACATCGTAACAAGAAACTTCCAACATCTCCAACAGTCCAACTCCACTTTCCCAAACGTGTGAATCTGTCGTCCAGATCTTTGCAGATCCAACATCAAGTATTCCAATTCTCACCCACGGCCGTAAGGTGTCCACGAATTACGTAGTACAACTCCTTTTCTTGACTCGACCTTTTTTCTGCAAAAGCATTTGAAATATACAATATATATCCATACAAAAAGCATACACTGTTGGCAACGAAACAAATCCAATCATAGAGAATGTCGTATGACACCCCCCCCAATTTAAGCAAGTAAATCTGCCTTTCTCTCTTTTCATAATATCTTCCATCGTGTCCTACATTGCTCGGGTCGAGTGGTCTGGTACTTCCACCGCACTTCTCGCTACACATCTCAATGCGGATACGTGAAGGCAGCAGCGATAACGGCGTCCATGACCGAACTGAATCCTTGCCGTGATCTCAACATTGACGAGGCAGGATAAGAATTATTCATGCACGCTTTCAAGGCTTTTTCGATGGGAGCTGTGAGTGGAAAAGGCAGTGGAATTGGTCAAATGCCTAGGAGGAACAAGTCAAAGTCGTAGTCTTTCGTAGATGGTGGTGCTTCGAAATTTGAGCTGTGCACTTGCAGGATTGCTTTCGCTTTGGGAGTAGGTCTACTCGAAGCTCGGAAATATGGTCAGTGACCTAGGAGGTGTGTGCGCTCGTGCCTGTGAAAGTTGTGGTTTGAATATGGCATCTCATGAGCACCATCACAGTGCTACACAATCTGTGACAAGGCAAGGTGATTTTCAGAAAGTGAGGTAGTCAAGGAGAGATAGAGTTTCGAAGGATACACAATTTGTGGTTCGTAGGTAAAAGATACAACACCAAGAAAGAGAGAAAGAAAGAGAGAAAGATATAGAGACCCCGACAATGCCGCACTGTCCATGGGACACTCGTTATGATGATGGAAGGAAACAAGAAAGAACGTTGCACTCATCCAGTGCACACCCAGAAACCCCCCTCCCAAAGAAGCTGTGACTGACTAGAAGAAAAAACACGAAACCAGACATCAAAGACATGAAGAAGGGAATCGAGCAGAGGCGAACAAGGTCTCAATGCTTAGGAGCGCCACCCATACGTTCAATATTGCTCATCATCTTGCTCTTGGATATACCTGAGGGTCTGGGCATACCTCTACCGATCCTGCTCTGAACAGGAGCAGGTGCAGCAGCAGGAGGTTCTCTGAAAGTAGGAATACTGGCATGTGGTGGAGGCGCAGGGCGACTGATACTGCGTCTGAAGTCTTCGATGGCTGCAGTGTTGCCCTCGGGAGCAGAATGTTGCAGCATGAGCATTTCATCCACAGCAGCAACCAATTCTCCCTTCTCGACACGCTCCTTCTCAAGTTCATGGATCAAGTCTGCTTGTTCGTCACGCATGACTTGGAGTTGGCGATCGAGGCCTGCGAGCTGGGCGCGTTGTTCCTCGATGGTCGAGTTTGCTTCTTCCATGACTCTGCGGTCTTCAGCTGTGAACATCATGGATGACTCGACATTGTTGTTTACAGCAGAAGACAGCTCTTCATTCTGTTTGGCCAACTCATCAAGGCGTGCTTGAAGTTCGGCACATTTCTTCTCGCCGCGTGCTTCGTAGGACTTCTTGAGTGTCGCGACCTTGGTCTCGTGCTTCTTCTTGTAGACAGCGTGGAGCTCGCGGGACACTGCTTCGACCTTCGCGTCGATCTGTTGCTGGACCAAAGTCTGGATTTGTGCTTCGTCAATCATGTTGCCTGATCCATCGTTCTTAGGGATAGCGGCACGGGCGGTTGCGAGTTGAGCTTCGAGATCGAGAACTTTGGACTCTGCCTCGTCTGCACGACTCTGTTGCTTCTCGGTCTGACGGGCGCTCTCTTCTGCACGACGGATCAAGGACTCCTTCTCCTCGTCGCTGCGCATGACCTCCTCTCGCACATTCTGGAGTAGTTGTTCGAACTCGACTCCACGTTGTTCCCATTGATTCTTCTCGTGTTCAATCTGCTCACGCTGGCCCTTCTCTTCACGCAGGTTCTCGAGGGCCTCCCCGACGCGTCTCTCAGCATCTCCTACAGCCTTCTTCAAGGAGTCGACTTCGGCTTCTCTACCAGAGAGGGTAGCCTTGAGAGACGAGATTTGCGATTGATATTGCGACTTCATGGATTCGAGTTCGCGCACGGTGATTGTAGGGATAGAGCGAGGAGTCGGTGCAGGTGGTAGCTCAAAGTCGAGCAGGTTAAGCAGACTGGTAGACTTTGCCGGGGTGCTCATCCTGGCGCCCTTGTTCGGTGAGCGTTGTTGGTTGAGGTATGAGAGTAAGTTGGGCTCTGTGGAGGACTTCTGTGGTGAACGCCGAGATGGAGTCTGTTGGACATCGGGGCGACCTGAAGCATGCGCAAAGCGTTCGATCTGCTGGGTGAAATCAATGAGGTTGGTTGTGTTCGATTGAGCGGTGCCAGGAGTTCTGGGTCGGCGGGGGGTAGGAGAGGGAGATCGCTCGTCGGAAGCACGTCTTCGAGCAGGTTTCGGTGTTGCTTGCTCGCTTTGTGGTGTCTGTTGCTGGGGCAGATGTCAGTCAAGTCAGATCGAGGGTGTGGCCAGAACTTACGATGGACTGCTTGAGAGGGCTCTTGCGATCACCCAATTTGGCGAACATGGTCATGTCTGGGACGGCCGAGAAAGTGCTGAAGCAGGTATCGTCGACGCCAGTTTCGTCAACGTCGTGGATCATGATCGAGTCATCGATGTTCTCGTCGACTTTCTCGACGGATGCTTCGCGACTGCGAGGGAGAGGTGTCTCTGAAGCAAAGTCGAGCTGCTTCACAGGCGACTTGCTCTTGATGGGAGAGTTGAAGCGCAATGTCTTTCTTGTCGAGGGCGGTGGCATTGTGACCGTGTCTTCTTCAAAGGTACTGCTACGTCTCTTCTTGACAGTCGATCTGGCTTTCAAGGGCGACATGGATTTCCTCGTGGGTTCGGGTGTAGAGGCCCTCTCGGGTGTCTTGTGCATCTTCTCGGCGTTTGCCTGGACGTCTTCGAGCTCGAAGTCAGGATCGAAAGCGTTCTCCTTGTCGAGGATAGTAGAGCGTTTCAAGAGTGAAGCCTTGTTGTCGTTGGTCTCGAAGAACTGAGTCTCGGATGGGTCTGATGGGTCTTCGAAAATGGCATCGACTTCGGGATCGATCTGCGCTTGGTCGAATTTGTTGCTGGCCATGCGACTCTCGGCTTCAGCGACGAAAGGTGAACTTCCAGCTTCTTCGTCGTCCCAGTTGATGACGCTTTCTTCGTTTGTTTGTTTGGCTGGCGTCGATGTTCTGCAAGGAGTACCAGCAATACCGTTGGTCTTCATTTTGTCTTCGCGCACGAGCGTTGCAGGTGTACGAGAGTTGATCTGCTGTGAGCCAAGCGGCGACAGAGGGCTTGCCATTGTGAGTGCTTGGTTGGTTTCAATTCTTCTCAAAAAGCACCTGTGTGTTTGCGAAAATGTAAACAAAAAGCTTGGACGCTTCTCCACATGTCGCTCGCATCATCAGCACCAATCCTTCACAGCTCACAGCTGTGGCTTGCATTGCGCCAGCTGCTCTTGCTAACCATCATTCGGTGGCACGAAGACATGTCTCTGACGCTCATCCAAGTGATTGCGACTCGTCGACTTGTTCCTTGTCTACCATGCTCGGTCCACTGAAGCTCGCCGGGGAGTCAGGTTCTGCTTGCCTCCGGCTGCTCACAATGGCGCTCAAGTCATGACCTATCGTAGAGTCTACGCCGGCTGAGCCTCTTGGTTCTTGTCAAGACCAAAGTCATCCTGATGTCTTCGTATTAGGCTCATACTGTCGGATACATGCTGCTAAGCAAAATGTACTCGGACTATGTCTTTGCCGAACAGCAGCTCCGTGCTGTGGGGACGGACGCCTGTCATGATTGCGGGGCTTGGAGTGGTGATGGCCTTCTTGCAAATCATCCTTCTTATTATTGGCCACTCGTTCATACCTTCCTACATCTTCTTCTTCGTCTTACTACTCGTTACCGTATAGTAAACCCACAGCAACCATGGATCCGTCACAGGTCAACGTCCCTCCGCTCAAGGACCTGACTATCGACAACATAACCGAGAATGTACACATGATCAACTCACAATGCGACGACCCACGCATGAAGTATCTACTCGAACGACTTGTCACTCACGTTCACGACTTTGCTCGCGAGACACGACTCAGCACAAACGAGTGGATGACGGCCATTCAGTTCTTGACCAAGGTCGGCCAGATCAGCAGCGACGTGAGGCAAGAGTTCATCTTGCTTTCCGATGTCATTGGCCTTTCCCTACTGGTCGACAGCATTGATCACCCTAAACCCGCTGCCAGCACAGAAGGCACCGTTCTAGGCCCCTTTCACACTCACGAGGCCCAACTCGAAGGAAATGGCGGTAGCATCTCTCACGACCCCGACGGCGAACCATGTTTGGTCTTGTGCACAGTCAAGGACACCACAGGCAAGCCGATTGACGACGTCAAGATCGATATCTGGGAGACGGACAGCAAGGGCTTTTATGATGTCCAGTACGCAGAAAGAGACGGTCCCGATGGACGAGCGGTCATGAAGAGTGACAACGAGGGTATCTTTTGGTTCAAGGCCATTGTGCCAGTCCCATATCCGATTCCTCACGATGGGCCTGTCGGACAACTTCTGAAGAAGCTCAAACGTCATCCTTACCGCCCTAGCCACATGCATTTCATGTTCGAAAAGGCCGGTTACGACAACCTGATCACGTACGTTATCTTGTCATCATGGCCTCACCTACGAATAGTACACTGACCATATTGTAGCGCTCTCTATCTGCGTGGGGATCCATACGAGACGTCGGACGCAGTCTTTGGAGTAAAAGAGTCTCTTCTAATTGACCTGGGTACCGTATCTGCCGAACAGGCGAAAGAATACGGCGTCAAGGAAGGCGACAAACTAATCACATACGACTTTGTGCTCGTCACTGATGAAGAGTCACGCAAGTTGAGAGAAGAAAAGGCTATGGAAGCCATGGAAAAGCTTGGTAGAAGAATGAAGCTATATCAGGGCCTGCCCGTGCCTGATGTAGATTAGGTCGATCGACTCCAAGTACGAAAAAGACGCATCCAAACATGTTGCCTTTCCGTGCCATGTGCACTACATACTCTCGTGGCTGGCATTTTACCAACGGCTCAGTGCTGACGCGTCACGATTCCAGACGAATAGCCACGTGTGGGGATGTCACTTTTGGTGAAAGACATGCTTCTTTTCGATTTTTCTTGTTGGACGCAGAGCCAAAATTCGCGCATCGAGAACACTTGCCGAGACCCCTGGTTGAGTGATGGATTCCAACGCGTTTATTCGAGGCATTATATGCCTCTCACCTCGTATCGCTGACCCAATCGCACCATCTGACTGTTGACGAAGCTTATAACTCACACGATAAGTTTTTCTTCTTCATATCCCATGTTCACAGCCTCTTTTCTTTGTGTAGATAATATAGAAGTTTCCCATCATCCTGACCCAGTACGACTTCTTCTCAGAACAAGATTACCAACAACCTAGCATGAACACCACCGAAGCCCTGTCGCCCACCACAGCATTTAGCCGAGTAGCAGCCAGAGTCGTAGTCGAACGCCTACCTCCCTAAGTACAACATATGGTATTGAATACTCCATCCAAGTGTTGTTGTCTTTACAGGATCCTGACGATCACATAGGAACTTCTCTCCACACAAAAGCCCACACATTGTGTATGACTAGGTGCGAGATATCATGTCCAGATTCGTCAACTTCGTCACCTCTATCGGTGAGAGGAGAGGCACCAATGAAGCCGCACCGTCCATCTCCTTGGCTGGCAAAGAAGAGACGCAGAAGTCCATCACGACATCTGCACATATCGATACCGCCAAGCCAAAGCTGCTTGATCGGTGGCTTGACAAGGTCGTGTCTTTCTCAGGCTCAAACTCTGTACTCTTCTTTACCATCTTCGTCTTGTTGGTCTGGGCATTCCTCGGCATCAAGTTTGGTGGTGTTACTGGTTGGCAAGTCGGCATTTCTGATGCACAGGCTATTATCAATATGGTGTTTGACTCTTTGCTCGTCCGTGAGCAGTTAAACTCGCATACACAGGCTTTGGTCGTTGCTTGTCATCTTGACTCGCGGGCTGGGAGTCACAAGAGGATGTTGCGAGTGCTCAGCAGGATGGAGAAGCCAAGCACTGGTCGACAAGGACACACAACCATCACTACTGAATTACCAACAGAAGATCTATTGGGTCGAATATGCAACCGTGTTTCTGCATGGATGGGCCACATCTCCACAGTCATCGGCTATTGGGTATGCATTGGTATCTGGCTCGCCTTTGGCTCTTACTGCAACTGGTCCAACACGTGGTTCTTCTACATCAATTCGGCCACCTCGGCACTTATGATCTTCATGCTCGCACTTCTCGGCAACAATCGCGAGAGAAACAAGCAATACTTGCAGAAGTGTACAAGCTTGCTTCTGACTGCAGACATGTCTCTCGAACGCAAGCTGAGAGACCTTACCGGCGATAAGATCGATAATGAAGTTTCTTGTATCCCTGCTCCAAAGGTTGGCAAGATCCAACGCGCCATCAACTTTTACGCGGATCTGGTCGGCACGCTTCTGGGTATCGCTCTCTTGTCCTTTGTGCTGGTTGCTTGGGTAGCTATCGGTCCAGTCATGCATTTTGATGCAAACTGGTGGCTCTTGATCGGCACATATGCCGGTCTGATCGGCATGAACGATGGCTTCGTGCTAAAGAATCTCTGCGACATCTGTAACCGACAAGAAGATGTACATTACGAACAACGCATCCTCGACGACATGAATCTATTGGCCATCCTCGGTGCCGACAAAGTTCAGGAAAAGACAACCGTAAAGCCTCGTCTAGACGTCCGTCTATCCATCGCCATGGGAGATATTTGTTCGCATGCATATACCGTGGTCGCTGGAGTAATTTGCATCATCGGTCTCATCTTGACGGCAAGTCTTATGCATTGGAATGAGTTGGGGCAGATTATCTGCAATGTTCCTCCGAGCATCATCGAGTCCTTCTTTACACTTATCCTGATCACTGGTCACAATATTGGTGATGAGCAGAGACGGGCTGATTTGCAGAGACTGTATGAGACTAGACTGGAGTTGATTTCTGCTGTCGAGCAGTGGCAGGTATGATGCTTTGACGAGTTTGGTCTGAGTCTGCGCGTCTGGTGGGAGTTTGTAGAGTTGTTTGAAGTGTGTTTGACATTGAACTCCATCGAAAAAGTTTGGCAACCCGAGTCGTCAAAGACAGCCAGTCAAGACAATTCAGCAATGTTTAACAAAAGTTTGACAAAAGTGTCAAGAATGATCCACAAAAATATCGTTTTACAAAAGTATTTGACAAAAATAATGCTCGACTTAACAGTCCCGTACACTTGCTCAGAACAAAAAGGAACAGTTTTACGATACAGAGTTGTTGCTTGCTGTTACAGGTTGCTGGGTCTGTAGTAACAATCTATCCATGTGATCGCTTCGATGCTTCGGTGTCAGGCCGTGCGTCACGGGCATCTTTTACACCTGACGCATGTAAATGCCTGCCGCTCTCAGTTACCTACTGTATACTTGTCACATCTCAGCGAAGTCCAAAGTTCCTCCCAAGTTTAGTGGATATAAGAAGGCGGTGTTCCACGCCGAACCGATATCAATCTGAAAAGGCTCACCGCAACTTCCACACATCTGGTCTATGACTCACAGCCACGAAACGAACATATCAACATTACTTTCTTCTCTCCCACACACACAATCACAAAAACTATATATCAGGAAACAATGACTTTTGTTGCCATGAAACCTACTCTTCTGTCCCTTCCCACGGAAATCCAACTCCTGATCTTCCATGCTTTATTCGTCGATGAAGAACAACGCTCCATGTCTCATCCAATGATGCGAGTATCAAAATCAGCCTACGAGACATGCAAACCCATCATACTCTCACATCTCCGACTACATATTGATGCTTGGCCCGACTGTGAGGAGTATCCCGACATCGATGACGCACTCATGAACTTCACGCTGAAACCATCAAAGTGGTCAGATATGGACAGCAACGACATTCAAAAAAATTACTCCTGGAAAGACTTTTGCGCGAAACCAGAGTTGGTTGCTCTACTTCCTTATGTGGGGAGTTTGGTGTTTCATTGTGCTTTGGAGCGGAACGGGTGCTCTTGCTGTTATGAGGAATGCTGGGCAATTGTCAGGTGGAGATGTGGGAAGGGGGAACCGAGAGTCGAGGATAGGAAATATGGAGTTGATTGTGGTGCTATTGGGTATGTGCCAGAGGCTGGGCTAGAGCATAGTGAGGCGAGAATGAGACGAGAAAGGGCGGCATTCGAGGTTTCTAAAGCTAGTGTGCTTTCTCTGCAAGTCTTGGAGAGCCTCTTTGGTGATGTGTTTGCAGAGGAGCCAGTGCAGGGGTATGAGACAGAGGAGGAGTAACCGAGGGCTCAGATTCGACTTGCCTCTAGCCATTTTTCGAATTCCTGTACTACTTCTCTAGCCTCACATCCTGAAATCTGCCCACACGAGACCTCCTCTGTCTACTCCTCAAATGCTCTTGTCTCGGGCATGAGACTGGTCTTGTTCTCTTACAGCGACAAAAACTTTATAGAACCTGGGTCAGGTGCATTAAAGAACGTCTCGATATCAAATTCCTCGTCTTCCTCGGAATATATTAACTTATACTCGTCTTCCAGCACAAAGTCATGGTCTCCGGGATGGGCATCGAAGGATTTTGAGGTTCTCCCAAGCTTCATTTGCTTTGCGACGAGGGTAAATCTGCGTTGCAGAGTGTCGTCTTCGTCTTTCTATGGGCTTGCGTTGTGCTTACGTATGACCCAGCTTTTGGTGCCCCATCGTTGCATATTCCTGGCGTGAACACCTACGTAGTCCTGGACGAGTGATACAAGCTCCTGGGGTGTCGGTCGCTCTAAGGGGTCTTCATCGAGACACACATCGATGAGATCCCGCAGTTCCAAATTATAACCAGCAGATTCTGCTTTTTCGAAGCAAACCTGCCTCCCCTCCTTGTTTTCCAGTATAGTCGAATCATGGAAATCATCTGTGGCTATTGCGTACAACTTGACAAGACCTAGTTGCCATATATTCTAGTGACAGGGCGAATCAGTGGCTGATAACTGAGGAGACTCTGACTGATGATGACTTACTGTGTGTGAATACATATACAGACCTTCCTGCTTGTATATAGCTTGCTCGGGGGCATACCACTCCGGTGGGCCGCCGCCAGACTTGTTATTGAACCTGGAGGCTATAAACGATATACCAAAGTCTCCGAAATAGGCTGGAGGGTAGGCAGTAAAGTCCACGTCCTTGCCCATCGAACCAGGATGACCTAGGAAGATATTGTCCGGCTTGATGTCGTTATGAGTAACCACTGGACCCGACTCACTCGTTCGTATCACTTCGTCCATGGCGACACAACACTCGATATGCATAATTGGCAGTCGATTTTGATCGCGATGGTATTGGAAGTCGCGGAAAGACGAACTCAACACAACGCCCGACTCTAAGAGGAAACCTGCCCTGCAAGCTTCAATTCCTTTGCTCAGATGGTCAAATTTTGCTTTTGTAGATGCTTGGTGCTTTTCCAATTGTTGCTGTGCCGAATCCAAGGCTGCAATTGCTTTTTTGGTGGCAGTAGTTGCTGTATTGTGAGAGGTGAAGATGTTGGCGAATGCAGTGCTCGTAGTCCGTGTCTGTGGAAGCTTTTGCTGGAGATGTGGTGTTGGGAGGTGTAGATGACATTTCTGGTTGATGGGTTCTTGGTTTGGCTTTGTTTGAGGTTGTGGAGTGTTTTTTGAGTTGAGGTGTGAGCTTTTCGTTTTTGTCGGTTGTGGAGGTGGATGATAGAAGATGAGAACGACAGTGTGAGTTGACGTTTTGCTCGTCATGACTGTCCACTATGATGAGTCAAGGTGATCGACTTCATTCGTGAGCAACTTGGCGACTAACGTTCATCCAGAAAACATGTAGGCTGCGGCGTCGATATGCCACGACTGCTTGTTCCATGACTGCTATCAGGTTGTCCATCAATCTGAAGCGCCATCTTTAGAATGAACCTCGGCACCAGGCGTCAAGAGTGTCAATCTTTGCTCTGTGTTAAGCAAGTTTTTGTAGTACTGCCCTCGACGAGCTGCACGTCAAAAAAGAGAACAATCATTGCTCATCAGCTCCGTCGTCATCATCGTCCACCATTTCCACCTCCCACCTCCCATCATCAGCCCTATCCTCCTCCTCTCTTTCTTTCTTCTCAGCTTTCCCCTCCCTTCTCACTTTCAACCTACACCTACCCATACTGCCTTTCCCCTCATGACCCGAAAAGTCCAATGTCCAATCTAGCGGTAAACTAGCCTTGACTTTATCCCTCCCAAACCTCACTTCTTCAGCATCTTCAGATACCCAACTCCAGCCTCGTTTCAGCACAACATGCGTGGTGATGGTGAAGTAGCCCCAGCCTTTCCGTTCAAGTTCGTAAGGTGCTTTTTCGAGTTTCAGCAGGGAAGGGCGAAAGGTGGGATGTAATTGGATATTGACATGTGAGATGATGTCTGTCCGAGAAGGCCGCACGAAGAATTTCCACTGATGCATATTTCGTGATTCTGGCGCTGGAGAGATCAATGCGTGAGAGTTTCCGATACAAAGAGTCAGTGTCTCTATAGTACCAGCATTAGGGTCGTCCTCTGTGGTTTCTTCTGCCGCTCGTGATGAATAGGTAGTCGGATACTTTTGCCGAATCTGCTCCGCTCGCTCAAGGTTTGGTATCGCAGAAGTCGGTGTGCGACACATTGGACATCTAGCCTCCGTGTCTGCTCCTTCAAACATCGATGGTGAAGACGAAGGTGCCAGAATAGTCATTTGAGAAGTCATCGATACGTCTGCCCAGTGTGCCATACATGTCGAGCAGAGCGCATGATTACATCGAGTCTTTACCGGATTGTAGAGTAACAGATGGCAAACTGGACAGAGATCTTCGTCCTCTACTTCTTCATCTTTTTGAGGTAGGTCATCCGTTCTGTTGCGCTTGTCCTGGTCTTGGCGAGCTTGTCGTGCGTCTTTGGACTGTGACGTATCTGAAGTTTCGCGTCGAGGAGACATCGAGCGTGAGTCTCTTTGTCGCATATCCTGGTGTGATGTATGAGGAAGTCCCAGTACCTCCTAGATCCCGATTGGTGTGAACGATGCGACGTATGACTCCGTGCGAGGTTGCGGATAGGCAGTCAAGAGACAATTCGTAGACAAGAATACCGTTCGGTTTCTGAAAAGTTTCGAATGGATGAAAAGAGTCCCGGTTGAAATATTGCAGCGTGGTTTGGTATATTAATGTTGAAGGTTTGATATTCGAGATCTGGCGAAAAGCTGCGAGACATGTGAGTTGGCAACAGTTGTCAACGTACACAGCTTCGCCGATGGCAACAAGATGGCCAATTGTCTCTTCAATCCCACAGACGTAAGCATTGTTCAACGCACCGAGTAGCTGATCTGTGCAGTATATCATACCTTTGACCAAGTAGGATGGCATGTATATCCTGATACTCACAGTCTCACTACATGATAGCCGCGTGCTGTATGTTGCTAACTTCCCGTACGAGCAACTTCAGAAGAATTCCGTGATTACGACACGTTCCTCACATTTACACACATTACAGCATTGGTAGAAAGCCCCACGTTGATTCATGTATGATACCTGTTATCACAGTGTTCTGCTCTGATCCGCTATGTTACTCTTTACCTGGCTACCTTGCCATAATCCTAATGTTCAAAGTAGGTTGCCCTTTTCCCATCGCCGACGTCGTATGCGTTTGAATTGTGTCCTAGTAGACCCAATGATCTTGATAGGTCGTAACTCTCGTCGGAAAAGCGGACGTCTAGTAAGGTACGTTCAGGGCTGCCTGAATGTAGGTCTGGGTGCAGCCCTCCTTTGTGCCCTTCCATTCGATCTATCTCATGGTCAGCAGCTGTCAAGACGAAATGCGCTAGACAAGAACGTGGACTCACGACTCTCTGACTTAATTCCTCAACACATACTGTCCATCCGTCGCTGCTTCCGTTGACGCCAAGAAGATAGCCGTTCTTGAGACCCAGGTCGCCAGGTCCTGCTTGCTCAGCCCTGAACTGCAGCTCCGAGCCGGTGTGAACTTCGCTGCTGTTGTAGATGAAGTCACCAATACCATGAGGTCCCTTAGTAGGAGTGTGCAGGATACCGTCACCCAGCGTGAACTGGGGCACACTACCATAACCTGGAGCAATGAGACGCAAGAGATAGTTTGATTGGTAGTAAGGGCTGAATAGGGTGGTCAAGGATACGTTCGACAGGAGAGTGGCGTTGTCAGAGTATGTTTCTGAGTCGGTGGTCAAGAGGTAGAAGGGTTGAGTGCTGTTGATGACAGGAACTTTGCCGGCGACGCGACGAGTAGGAGATGCAGTCGCCAGAGCAGCCACAGACGCGGCGAGGGCAAGGATGGAGAAATGCATGATTTATGTGAAAGTTTTCGATGCTGAGTATGCTCTTGACAATAATTCGTATCCGGTGACGATGTTTTCAACAAGAAGAAGTGATGCAGAAAAGTGTGTTGTTTCAAACAAGAATGTTTGTTGTATAGTAAAGTAAAGAAGCAAGAAGAAAGTCGAGCAAGCAAAGAACGATATTATAAGTATGCACCTACCCAACATACCTTCCCAGCCATGATCAACATGACGAATGTGGTCGTGCTTGCCGTGAGTTGTCGTTTGAAATAGCGATGGAAAAAAGGCATGGTTGGACGCTTGCTTGCAGTCACTGCATCATCCCGCATTGCACATCACTGCGGAGTCTGAGAATAGATTCCGTATTGGGTGGTGGTACGGATGTATTACCATACCTCGTATATACAATGCGCGATGGCCCTCGTTGCCTACTTCTGGAATGTGCTATGGTTACAGTCGTGGCATTTGATCCAAAGATACTCTTGTGTTCGAGAAGAGGAGTCGAAAAGTGCGACTTGGAAGATCTGCACTTTGCGACCCCTGATCGGCTCGGGAAGTGATCAACTCAATTCTGTAACCCTTGGAAAAGCGTGAATTTGGGTTGCATATTCACGATCAAGAAGCGCTTCTCGAGAACTGTTTGTCAAACACGCTCCGTCGATTACACAGCTCCCGTCTAATCTAGGTGTGGAAATGATGGGGTGATGCCGGTTGTAGGGAAACGGGATATAATGGCTTGAGTTTTTGTCTATCTGTACAACCTCATTATCAGGCAAGAAAAAGTGCGAACTAGTTGTTCTACAGGAAATCAATGCCAACACCGAACTGAACACCCTTTCTGCCTTCCTCACCTCTACGGAGCACCAATGGCAGTGAGAAGTTCAACTCGAATCGTGCAACCGGGTGAGCGTAAACAAGACCTACACCAGCCGCACAGCTAGGGAGACCGTTGGAGAGCTCTTGGAAAGTGTTTTTGACGCTTTGTTGAACGTTGCTGCCACCCTTCTCGCCGCTGGCTACGTCCTGGAGTGCCAACAGACGACCGCCGTTGATGAAAGTCTGGAATCTGAGAGGAGTGTCCTTGCCCATGCCCGGCACAGGGAAGAGCAAGCTGGCACCACCTGCAGCGTAGATGTCACCGCCGACGGCGTCTTGTCCATCTCTAGGACCAAGCCCGGCGAGACGGAAGCCACGAATGTCGGTAGGTCCACCAAGCTGGAAGCGATCATTGATGCGAGATGCAGAAGGCTTGTCGGCTCCAGACTGAGTCAGAGGGTAGAGGAGACCACCACGAAGGCCGGCAGTGAAGGAGATACCACTGTCTCCGGCAACACCAGGGACAGGGACAGGGAGTGCGAGCTGTGACTCTGCCGAGTACTTTGCAAAGGCGACGTCGCCTGCAAGAGGACCGAAGCCGGCGAGTTCACCGATAGCCTTGAACAGGAAACCCCTTGTAGGAAGCATGGGTGCATCACGGCTGTCGTTGATGAAGGTGTGTGTGATGCTGGACTTGAAGCTGTCGCCGGCGTCTGCGCGAACCGTAGGCGAAGCATTCTCTGAAAGACCAGTGACCTGTCTCCAGATCCCAGAGTAGCCCAGCTCGTGCTTGCTGCCCCATGAGCTCAACCACTTCAGTTTTGTGCTTCCGCCCTTGATGAGCTCCTCGTGACTTGCCCAGCTCTTCAGGGTCGAGCTAGCAAGACCACCAATCTCGAAGCGAATATCAGGGCTGCTGAGGACAGGAGTATCGAAGTAGGCTGAGTAGGCGGAACGGGTACGCGTACCGAGCGAAGCGTGAGCATTCAGTGACTCGGCACCACCAAAAATGTTACGGAGGACAACATCAAGGAAAGCAGAGCCCTCGGATGAGCCAGCCTCAGTACCAGTCTTGATGGTGTAACGAGAGCGTTCGGGAGCGTGAATGAAGACGGAGAGGTCGGTAGGAGTGGAAGAGGCATCGGTCTGGTCGGGTTGGTCGATGTAGGTCGAGACGGGAGCCTTGAAGATACCGAAGCGGTTGAGCTTATCGACAGCGCCACCAACTTCGCGCAGGGCTTCTTCTAAGGTGTAGGGACCTTCTTGGTTGTGGGAAAGGATGGGGTTGAAGATGCGCTCAAGGAAGCCTCTACGCGTGTGCTCGGCTTGCAGGACCTGGATAGACGAGATGGTGACGGGCTTCGTCGAGTTGAGGCCGACCAATTCGGATTGGCGCTGCTGTGCTTTGGCATACTGTCTTGCCAGGCGCTCGTCTATCTCTTGCTGTCTCTTGGGGTCGGCCTGGTCTTGGAGCAGAGCGAAGAGCTGCGCATTGACTTGTCAGTTGTTTCGACACTCAGACGATCAATCGTACAGACTCACGTCGCTACCCGAAGATTTGTTCGCCATTGGAACCGCAACAAAGATCACACTGTCGTCGTCGCAAAGATAACTACCTACCCAGTCGCAAAGGCGGGCCCGGGGACCGACTACGCAACACACAGAGAAGCTTATACAGCGCTGCAAGTGCCAAGCACGCGACCAATCGACTATTCTACCAATTATCGCGCACGAGCAAACTCGATTTGTCTATTTAGATTGAAACAAGAGTGTTCGATCTTGTTGTGAATGTTCCAAGCATATCCTCCGTCGATCGAGTGGTCCTAATTCACGCTCGAGACACGGGCAGGGCTGTACAGAACAAAGGCGGCGTTCTAGATGGCTTTCCGGAAGTCGGCTAGTTGGAGGCTGACGTCGCTACCCTTTAGACTCACAGGACAAGTCCCTCATCTTATCTCGTCTACGTACCTCTCTGATACTGTTCTTTTCTCTTATTGACTCCTACCAAGCCACTTTCCTACTCTCCCACTGCAGAATCAACCAACCACAATCCTGCCAATACACATCACAATCATCTCACGAATCACATCATGGCTACACGTGCCGCTCACAAGCGCTTGACAAAGGAGTACAAGAACATTACAGAAAACCCCCCGCCGTATATCACCGCACATCCTTCAGAGTCCAATATCTTGGAATGGCACTACATACTTGAAGGTCCCAAGGACACTCCCTATGCCGGCGGCCAGTACTGGGGCACCCTGATCTTCCCTCCCGACTACCCCTTTGCCCCACCAGCCATCCGCATGCACACCCCCAGTGGTCGCTTCCAGCCTTCCACTCGCCTCTGCCTCAGTATATCAGACTTTCACCCAAAGAGTTTCAACCCAGCATGGGAAGTCAGCACCATCCTCCTTGGCCTTCAGAGTTTCATGACCAGTGAGGAAATGACTACTGGTTCCCTCTCTGCAACTGAAGCCGAACGCATTGTCTTCGCAACCCGCTCTCGCTGGTGGAACAGCACAGGAGGAGGCTCTTCCAACCGCACAATCGCCGGCCTCGGACAACAAAGCAGTAACACCCGTGGCTTTGGCGCAATCAGGGCAGGAGACGGCGGTGTGAAGTTCAAGGAAGAGTGGCCAGAACTAGACGAGGAGAACTGGCAGTGGATGGAAGAAAACAAGATCGATCCGCAGACTGGCAAGGCTGTTGTGCCTCCTCCTGCCGCAAACACTTGCTCGCCCGAGACCAATGCGCTGCGCAAACGCCCTGTGGGCAGTCATCCTGGTCTGGGTGCTGTCGTCGAGGGCGGAAACGTCGCGCGCGATGCTGGACAGAGTTGGCTGAGACGTAACAGGATGTACGTCGTTCTGGGCCTCATCTTTGGCTACGTCGTCTTAGCACGTGCCGTGGGCGAGCCTGCTGCTTGAACACACTTCGAAGTTAGACTGCACAATTGCGAATGCGCCTGTCTTTAGCCTGGGCGTTGGGGTTTTCTTATTATTGGAAGGAGATTGCATGGAATGGGCGTCCTTGGGTTTACAGAATGGAGAGGCGCATCGCCCTGAACTATGGCGCTGTATATACCACACTCAATCACAAGTCTGATATGAACAACCAAGCTCTTGTCATAGAAACAATGTGATGACAGCAGCCCTTTATCTTGATTTACGACATGCAATCAACATCACAACATGAAGCACGAGGACATAAAATACGAAGACATTGGTTGGGGTCGTGATAACTTTTTGATGTTTTGTTTTTGATCTCCACATTTCAGAAGACAAAGGTTAAGCGTAATATATTGCAGACCAGGCTGAAAAGCCGTTCTGCGCGACAGTGCCACATTTCGCCATGAACCATTGTCTTTGCCTGAAAAACATCGAAAGTAGATGAGTTGACAAGTATGCGCCAACAATCTACAGACGACGACCACGGCGACCACCCTTTCTGCGGGTAGAGTCGGAGGGAGTGGGGGTAACATCCTCGATACGGCCGATCTTCATGCCGGCACGGGCCAGGGCACGGAGAGCAGACTGGGCACCGGGACCGGGGGTCTTGGTGCCGTTACCTGCGATGGAGTGTTAGTTCATGGTAGGTTTGGAGTGGGAAGGTAAGGTAAACATACCACCAGTGGCACGGATCTTGACGTGGAGAGCGGTGATACCGAGCTCCTTGCAGCGGGCGGCGACGTCCTGGGCAGCCAACATGGCGGCGTAAGGGGAGGACTCGTCACGGTCGGCCTTGACCTTCATACCACCAGTAACACGGGAGATGGTCTCACGGCCGCTGGAAATCACCCAGAATTAGCCTTTTGCCTTTCTCTCATATTGTTTGTTTTGCATCTTGTTCCCACTGCGCTGCTCGTTCGGTTGTCTCGTGTGTTCTCTTCATCCTTCGATTCAATCTTCTTTCTGCGGTCCGTGGTATCGTGCTTGTCGCATGTATATCGAACAGCTTCCAACCGCATCGAGAAGTCGGAATGTCGGAGAAGAGAAGGCCCAAGTCCATCGGAGCAGCGCATTGAGAGCAGATCCTAGAAGGGGAAGCACCTACGAAAGATCGGTAACGTGGACGAAGGTGTCGTTGAAGGAAGCGAAGATGCGAGCAACGCCGAAAACGAGCTCACCCTCACGGGTCTGAGGGCCCAACTGGACGTTCTCCTGGACGCGGGCGGGCTTAGCCTTGGGTGCCATTTTTGCTGATGTTAGTGGTTTGGGTGGTCGAAATGTGTGCACTGAACGAACGAAGAGGAGGAAATCTCGACGCCGGCGCTTTGCTGTGAGAATTTGCCCGTGGGTCTGCCAAGCAATTCTTCGCGCTTTTGCTGACAGCGCGGCTTTTTCCGGCCCAAGCTTGCGAAGTCGCGACTGCTCTCTATTTATTTCCTTGCGACGCTGCAGCTTCTGCTTTTCTCATCATCACTCACTCTCGACATTTGCGACAACGTCAATTGCATCTTCTGTGCGTGCATCAGGACCGCTTAATATTCGAGAGCTGGAACAGCATTCACAGTTGACACAACTCGACAATCGCAAACATGGGTGACGCAGTGGTGGGCTTGATCGGTATGGGCGACATGGGCAAGATGTACGCTCGCCGGCTCAGCGAAGCCGGATGGAGGTATGCTTCTGCACGCAACATCACGCTGCTTGTGTGACTCATCATAATGGTACGTTCGATCCTTCTTTTTTCACTCCTTCACAACCACACTCCCCCGCGTAAAATGATGACTTGAGTGCATTTGGCTCGAGTATGGCTGTTGGACACCCTGTCACCGTTCCGGTGGCAGGATCTGGCAGTCGTCGATGATGTAAAATCTCAGCTACCTTATATTTTTTGTCTGAAACGCTTCACCTACCCACTGTTCTTAACACTTGAAAAAGACTTTTCAAGACAGTCACTGACTTTGGATCAATAGTTTCTCTTCGTACCTTGTGACCACCATGTCAGACACAGACTGACACGTCCCTCTTCTAGAGTGCACGCCTGTGATCTTCCCGACAAGTATGACTCGTTAGTTGAAGAATTTAAGGATAGTGTACGAAACACCTTGCCCATACTTTATATAGCCTTTGTAATATACAACATCTTGCTGAGGCTTTCAGCAGGAAAACGTAACGGTTTTCAAGAACGGCCACCATGTCTCGCGTAGCAGTGACTACATCATCTACTCCGTTGAAGCAAAGAATATCGACGCTGTCGTCGCTGCCTATGGTCCATGTCTGTCACCACATTCTGTTTCTGCTCATACACCTTGTCCACCCACTGACATGCCTGGCTCACAGCAACCAAGATGGGTGCCATCGTTGGCGGCCAGACCTCCTGCAAAGCCCCCGAAATGGCAGCATTCGAAAAGCACCTCCCCACCGACGTCGAGATCGTCTCCTGCCACTCCCTCCACGGCCCCGGTGTAAACCCCAAAGGCCAACCTCTAGTCCTGATCCAACACCGCGCCTCCGACGCCAGCTACAACCTCGTCTCCAAGATTCTGTCCTGCTTTGAAAGCAAGCACGTCAAACTCACAGCCGAAGCCCATGATCGCATTACCGCAGACACGCAAGCAGTCACTCATGCAGCATTTCTATCCATGGGCACCGCATGGGCGGCCAATAACCAGTTTCCTTGGGAAATGCCTAGATATGTGGGTGGTATTGAGAACGTTAAGATCAACATTACTCTACGCATCTACGCCAACAAATGGCACGTTTACGCTGGCCTTGCCATCTTGAACCCAGCTGCCAAACGCCAGATCAAGCAGTACGCTGAGTCAGTTACTGAGCTCTTCAAATTGATGTTGGGAGGACACAAGGAAGAGTTGAGAGAACGTATTGAATCTGCGCGCAAAGCAGTCTTTGGCAACATGGATGGAAACAGCAATAACGGACATGAACTGTTGCTTCAAGATGATCTGCTCGATCAATTTAGTTTGGGCGAGAAACCTGCTGCAAGCGAGAGAGTCAAGAATAATCATCTTAGTCTGTTGGCTATGGTTGATTGTTGGTGGAAGTTGGGTATCGTGCCCTATGACCATATGATTTGCTCTACACCAGTAAGACTGCCAATCCTACGAGCCTCAGTGGATGGAGAAACACTAACACACATAATACAGCTCTTCCGTCTCTGGCTCGGAATCACAGAATATCTCTTCCGCAACCCGGAACTACTGGAAGAAGTAATCGACACTGCAATCAACGACAATACCTTCCGCCGTGACGACCTCGAGTTCACCTTTGCCGCCAGAGTAAGCCTTCACAACCTCCTACCATCGCCTGCTTTGTACATGACTTGCTAAAACTTCTCTCCTCTTCCAGGACTGGTCCGAACGTGTCTCGTTCGGCAACATGGAAGGCTACCGCTCAAAGTTCGAGAAAATACAAGCATACTTTGCACCTCGCTTCCCCGAAGCCACTCGTGTGGGTAACGAGATGATCAAGACGATTGAAGAAAGTCTTAGACAGAGAAAGGGCGATGCTGGAAACTAGAACTCGTCGTAAAGAAGAGAGAACTTGTATAGCAAAAGAATGAGATTATGAACTTTTTCTTTCTTCTATTCGAGTCGTTATCAGGGGGTGTATCTCTTGGAGTATGCTATTTGATGCCAGTGAATAGAGAAGATGTTCAGAGCCAAAGTATCCTCGGGACGAGGGCTGTTAGAATGCACAATACACTTCAGATCTCAAACAGCATGGGAGAGGGAGAGGAGATAGTTGCTTGCATCAATACCTCAACAATAATCGCTGCCCCTTTTCCGCACTCTCTGTTCCCGTGCAAGATATTGATATCTCCTTTACTCGTACACCGGAGATACCGTTCTGATCCTACGGGTCATTGACGTCGGGTGCCGTCTCTGCCTTCACCTGGTATCTGCGTCACAGGCTAATGGGTTCAAGTGTTGGTTGGCTATTAGTGGGAGTGGAACGTCTTTCTTTGATTCATGGATTATAGAGATTCTCTCCTTTGCTTTGTGAAATGAGTTATATCTCTTGGCTCATTATGAAGTTGGACTTGAGCTGTAGAAATGCATGATCACATCCGAGCTGCAAACTGCGGCACTCGATACACGATGCTGGATGAGTCCATCATATTCGTGATTCTATGTCAAGTAAACCACAGCCTAGAGCTGTGTGGGGTATTTGGTCGTCTCAATCTTTTCGGGGTAAGTCATACCGTTCTGCTTGCGCACTTCATCCATCGTCTCCATGATGACAACGCTTTCTTGCAGACCCTCGTACTGGCCCTCCTTTCTACCCTCCTTGATCGCAAAAGCACACTCATCGGCCTCCCAGAACATACCGTGGCCCTCGCCTTCGGAGTTCTTGTCATCTCCAAAGCCGTTGTAGAAACCAGAGCCCTTGCCAGGACCGGGGTGGGTGAACTCCTTTTCTTCAACGGTGCCATCGTTGAGGATGAGCTTAGTCTTTGTGGGGCGGAAGGCTGGGTGGAAGACTTGGACTTCACCCTTGTCGCCTTGCACGCGAATGGCAGGGCCAGCGCTGCCCTTTCCGTCGGGGTCGGGGGTCACGCGGAAGGCAGTGGTAGCAATACCGTGTGCATCGCCGCCAAGCTCTTCAGAACGAGGGAAGGTGAGAAGCATGGTAGTCATCTCATCAGCACCAGTGGGGTACTTCTTGAGGGACGAGGCGACAGTTGGGGCCTTGCGTGCAGACTCGGGTTGAGTGTGGTATAGTGTTTGGAAAACCCATGTCAAGGCGTAGATGCCCAGATCGAGGAGAGCGCCTCCAGCCAATTCGGGGTTGACCATACGGTGCGAGTTGTCAAAGGCATCCTCGGGCTGAGTGCCGATGGACAGATCGGCGAAAGTACGGTGGACTTTGCCGATCTGGACAAGTCAGCGATTGCTTTAAAGTGGATTGGAAGACTGCGCATACCTTGCCTGAGGTGATAACCTCACGGACGTAGACGGATAGAGGGAAGTATCTCGTCCACACGGCTTCCATCAAGAACAAGTTCTTTTCCTTTGCCTTTTCTACCAACTTCTTAGCCTGAGCAGCATTGACTGTGAAAGCCTTCTCGCAGAGGACGTTCTTGCCAGCCTCGAGACAAAGCATAGCATTCTGGTAGTGGTGCGAGTGGGGAGTGGCGACGTAGATGATATCGACATTCTTGTCGGCAACCAGCTCTTCGTATGATCCATATGCTTTTGCTGAAGACGGTGCGCCAACCTTCTTCAAAAACTGGCCGGCGCGGTCGGCGCTGCTCGAACTGGCTGCGGCGACGATCTCATGCTGAATGTCCTTGACCTTGCGAGTCTCAGGGTTGACAGTCAAGTCTCTTGAGAAGCTCTGCGAAACAATGTTAACATGGTCATGTTCATAGCTGATGGGTCCAGGTGAGACATACCTCAGCGATGCCTCCAGTGGCAAGGATACCCCAGCGTAGCGTGAACTTGGACATGCTTGCTATAAATCTGAATACGCGAAGTTCTTGGAAGCGCAAGAGAAGCGGCTGAGCGAATCCTATAGTTGTTGCTTCCTAGATGGCATGATGTAAGAGATGGCGGGGCAGCATGCCGTGCCCCACTCTTCAATTTAGCCATCATTATCGGAGAGATTCTCGCGAGAATGGTAAAATGCCATCGATATCGGCATTCTAAATCGACTTATCAGTGACATACAAAGACCATGGCTTTTCGAGTTGAAATCATGCCACGGCTGTCCGGCAATATCTGGTCACAAAAACACCCGACGCGTTCCTAAGTAAAGGTGGAATCACCCAGATTTGCGGGTTGATTATCGATATGATGTCAATCGCAGCAATCGGGTCCAGCACTGACCGGTAACAAAGTCATGCCACTACAGACTGTTTTCGCATCCGACGGTCAGCGTGGTAGTCCACTTTCTTGCACAGCAAGGGTATTTAGCCAATGACAGCCTTTACCAAAGTCAATACAAGCAGTGCGCAAGGCGTACACTAACCGTCGGACGCAGGAGGAGTTCGTAGATAGCGAGGAAATCAATCTTAGAAAGTTACTTGAGAGCAATGAAGAAGGAACAACGACAAGTGCATGACCTGAACGCGATCTCCATACCTCCACGTCCTTTGTCTGGATCTGATATCAACATTCCACGTGCTCCGCTACTTTGTTCTCCAGACCGCAGCTGTCTCTCATCGAAGGTCTTGTTTCGAGACCAAGGGCTTGTTCGGCTTGGCGGTGGTGGCAGGGCAGAAAAGAGGGCAGAGGAGTGCTAACTTCGCCGAGCGCTTCCCTTGTGCGGAGACCCCGGAAGAGTTTCTTGTTACAGTAAGGTATGCGGGGACGCGTATGCAAAGCATGATTGTGGCATGTCAAATGCTTTCGTGACATGAGAAACAGGATGAGTGCGACTCGAGATCTGATGCGTGATGCGATCGGAACAAGCTTCAATTGGTGTGGTACTCGCTGCAACGCCTGCACCGCCTAGGCCCAGCATAGCCATCGAAGCAGAACAGATGTGGAAGACAGCCAAGTCAGAGGCGGCTGGGAACATCTTTCCGGCAAATAGGAGAGAGTCGGCGCGCAAAGCAGTCGGCATTATTTGCAGGGAGCTGAAAGATACCGTTCGTATCTCGTTCCTACCGTATCAACAATTCCCCGCATTGCTCGGCGATAAGTGGCCGACGCAATCGAAGAAGGTGTCAATCGCCGGCCTGCGCCGCGATACAGGCTTCACACAGCAGCTTCCATTCGCCAGAACCTGAGACGCATATCGTAGATTCATCGTCCATGACCGCGGGCGTGGCAAACGTCGCACACTTGATCTGACAAAGAGCCCTTAGTCGCGTCATCGAGTCTTGTACACAGCTCGGCGACCCATCCGAACACCTGGGCGCACGCGCTGGGCATGCAGGATCGTCAAGTCAAGCTTAAAGGAAGTGCGGCGCTACTTCTCGTCGGCCGCGGATGTCTTCTCGCCCGTTTCCTCCACAAACTCTCCGCCGTCACCCATAACTGTCCCCTTTGTCCCTGCTGCCAGTCTTGTTGAAATTACATCCATAACCTTTCGCAAGAGCATGACCACGTCATCGTCTTTCATTGTCCTATAATATCGTCTTCCTGGCCTCTCGACTCTAAAATCACACCACACTAGGTATAGCCATGCTCAATCAGTGGCTATTACCCGCGAGCCTGCTGGCAAGCGGAGCAGCCGCTCTTCTAATTCAACCAACGAATATCACTCAACAAAGTAATGATGTGAACATTGTCGTTGGTGGGACCAGCTTTGGCTATCTTCAACCTCTAACCACGACCGCCGACGACAATTTGGCTGTAATGCTCCCCAGTAAACCTTTTGTTACGAACGACGCTGACACGCGACACAGTATGGCATTCGGGATCCTCTCTACCACGTGACCACTCAGAACCAGGATAACCTCACTGGCCAGGACATTGCATATATCTCGTGCGACTCTGGAGACTATTCTGGCTTCCTTTCATTGAATGATGTATTCCAAACGGCACTCGGCGTAAATGCCTCCGCCATCGTATTATACAGCTTGAAAGAAGCGCAGTGTAATATCAGCGGTTTGGAATCAGCATTCTCAAGACTATTCTCCATGCCGGATCAGCAGCAATCTCAGGATCTGCTCGGTCACATCAACGCGTCAAATGACCTCTTTGCAACAATCCAGAACTCTTCGACCTCTGCGCACAGCGGCGGTAATAACCCGCAGACTACGTCTCCCTCTTATGGATCATCGCCCACTACTGCAGTTGCTATGATCATCTTGTACAGTGTGACTGGCATCATCACAGCATTGTTCCTCATCATCATTATCACTGGAGCAATCCGCGCACATCGTCATCCAGAACGTTACGGACCAAGAAACGTCATCGGAAGACCTCGACAGACCAGAGCTAGAGGTATCGCACGCGCCATGCTGGACACTATTCCCGTTGTCAAGTTTGGTGAGCAGCCGAAGCCAGACCCGAAGGCCACAGACATCGAGTTGGCGGATACCGATACACCAGTGATCCGTCGATCCGTGGAGAAGGATGGAACACAGGAGACAGTCGCATCTGAGGAGGCTGCTCCCAGACAGTCTATGGCTTCTGTTCGTTCAGGAATTGGCGCCGCATCAGGCCATCCCGACTCTGATGCTATCGCGGGAATGAGCGCAGCTGAAACAGGCGAAGCATTAGGATGCTCTATCTGCACGGATGACTTCGAGACCGGACAGGACCTCCGTGTACTACCTTGCGATCACAAATTCCACCCCGCATGCATCGATCCCTGGTTGCTAAACGTATCATCGACCTGCCCACTGTGTCGTATAGATTTGAGACCTGAGGGATCTACTGAAGCAGATGCTACAGCAACAGCAGCAGGCGAGAATGGCGATCTGCCTCCTCCCATTAACAGCTACAACGGTCAACCCTACCGCGTCAGCATGCGTCGTAGCTTACTCATTGGTCTAGGTCTTGACCGCGGACACATTGATCAGGGACAACGCATGGCAGCCGCACGTGAGCTTCGTGAAATGCATCATCACCCCGACGGCATGGTGGTGCAGCAGCAGGAGCAGGGCGAAGAGGGTCATCAACGCCGTAGACTACGGGAGCGCTTCGGTGTTCGTACCAGAAGAAGAGGACAGTCTGATGCCCAAACACAGGCTGTTTCCGCTGTGCCTGAAGAGGCAACTGCACCTGCTTCGACGGCAGCTGCTGACGCTGGAGAACCCTCTGCAGAGCAGCGTCCTACCAACACTTAAAAGAGAGTACGAAGTAGATGGCATCAGATTGGCATAAGCTACAGGGTGTTTCCTGATGATACTTTTGGAGTTGGTTTTGCATGGCGGTAGCCGCTTTGGGAGTTATGCGACTGGATTGGATGGCTGCTTTTGCATGAGCAGGGCTGGTGAAATGGACGGACAGGCATTATGTACCACTATAATTGAATGAGCGAGACCAAAAACGACCTTCGATTCTTCACCCTTGAATCTCCCAATTGAGGTGATAATAAAACTGCATTATTCTACAGAAGCTGCACCTTTCGCGGTGGTGCGGCACGTGCACTTTGAATGTCGAACAGTGACGAAGGGCTTCCAACAATTCCGCCGCGCGACGACGAGACATCAGAACTTCTATCTTACCACCACAATCCACCCAAAATCACACACAATGGCACCTAAGCGCTCGCAGAACGGCCCTGGCGCCATCAGTCAAATGTACACCAGCCTTGCCTCGCCTGACAACCGCTCTGTCGTCACCGCTGTCGCCTTTTTCGCCGTAAGTCTTTTTGTCGACTTTCCCATCCATGCAGTACTACAGGAGTCATAAAAGGAGGGATTTAAGGACTATTGGAATGGACCAATTAAGCTGCGTCACGCTGGATGGGGAAGTAGTGCACGATGAACAAGAGCAGAAGACTAATCAAAATCCCTACAGGCCGGTGTCGCATTCTTGCACAGCAGCTGGAGCGAGATGCTCCTTCCTCCGTGAGTGCTATTCTCTTTCTATACTCCCTCAAGCCGCCACACACAGCTCGAATCCTATCTCTGCGCCATGCGCCGTTCCAGAAACATTTGAGCTGACAAGAGCTCGAATACAGTCTTTAAACGTCCTTCGCACGTCACCACTCGAATTAAACTCGACATCTTGTTGGACCACGGGAATACCAAAAGACTGGAATAAGAGATAGGAACAAGACATGTACAATTACACTCGCAACATTCGCGGAATTTTCATGAATAGGGAAATGGCGTTTTTGCTTTCACACAAAGGTTGATCTCTTTGTCGTCACATACATTACAATCTACTGCTTCCACTCTGTGATCTGGTTTCTCGAGAGACTCAACATGATGGTTTTGGTCTCAACGTCTATGGTTTCCGAACAGCAAGTCTTTCATGTATTTGGTCAGGGTCAGGGTCATGGTCATAGTCAAGGTTTGATGGGAGATAAATGTGACCAGTTTTGCGGGGATATCACTTTGTCTTAAAACTGATCACTGCTGTGATTGAAGTCTTCACTTGAGATTGTTGCATTGATTTTGTGACAAAGGTTTGGAGTGAGTGGTGCTACTTGACATGCTTCGGGATGTAGGATTATTGCAGTAGAAGATTTACACAAAGATTATCTATATCAGGTCGATACCAGCGCGTTATCGACCGGCCAAAGTATCCACACACTTCAAACACCAAACATGACTCTTCTGTCAAGCCACGAAATACTTTGCTAACCCTCCTCGTTGTACCACGGTCATATTTGTCGTGATGATATTTCAAGCCAGGGTCATCCGCCCAGCGATCTCTGCCGAGCCACGTCCGAATCTCGGCCATCTCGCAAACTTATAATTCCACACAAGGCATTAGCATGTCGTCGAGATAGACTTTACCCAGTGAATCAGAACGGAAAGATCCTAAGCACTCGCCGAGTATGTAACGATCACAGACCGAGTGAAACGCGGTATTCTCGGACGAGGAAAGTTTTGCTGTGGCGAGAGTTTGAGAGCGTCATTGCAATTATTTTGTATGCTTACGATAGTTTTCGGAAGTGTATTGTCGATAATGATGTCTATGCTCTGTGTATTTGAGATGGGGAGGGAATATCAAGGGTCATACGGCTGGCAAAGATGTCATTGTGTGCTAGAATTAATTACATGTTATATTGGACGCATAATTGAGAACATAGCGGCATGTCTAGCTGGCTGATGATGCGGTGGACCTTGCCTATGATGATGTGTACCGTATACACCGACGAATCAGATCTGGTGATCAACTTACAATGTTTTGTGGACCCTAAGGCTGACCTTCGATAGTGATACTCTTCGCGAGACGACGACATACTTTCCGCGAGAGCGTAGGGTCTAGACAAGCCAAAGTTGCTTGAACTTGAGGGCTAAGGATACTATTGTAATACTCAGCTTACATGACTGTAGAAAGCGGCCACAACAATGCCCCAAGGAGAATCTGTTGATCGCAGCAGTGAAGCTTGTAAGATAGAAGTCATACAGCCAAGGTTTGATTACTATATTGAGATGAAAGGCTTCCGTCTTCTGGAGCACGGAATTGCCAGAGGACATGCTTGCAATACGAAAGAAATATGAGTGTCACTGTACAGTCGAAGAAGCCATTGGGGTAGAGATTGTCGCGAGGTCGTCTGGAAGTAGAGCCAGAATGATGCAAGAGACAGATTTTGCATGTCTCCAATCTAGGCCTGCTTCCAACATCGTGTCAAAATCCAACTCGGGGACACCGAGCCCAAGAGTATTCTGTGAGGACGAGCGTCGGTTCCAGCGCCGAGCAGTCAAGTCTGAGTTGCTTGTCAAGATTGGTTTGTGAACTGGGGTTGATACGGACAAGATCATTCCGACGGTTGACCATGACGGCCAAGGTGTTGTTGATTCCGAGATCCTAATAAACCGTTCGCAACGTACTAGATGAGACACAGACAGCACAAGCGTATCCACATACCTCTTGACGGCGACCGGACAGGGGTCATAGTACCTTGATCTAGGAGGTGGAAGCTGCTTAAGGTGGTCTCTGACCTACCACCATGTATAAGTCTAGCTTACCCTGATGACAGCCTGACCGCCGAACAGGAGCCATACCCCGACTCGATATCATCTCAGGTCTTATCGCTGCTCTAGAAAAAAACAGCTGGAGAAGTATGGTGCTGCAACATTCTGAACAGTTGGCTCCTGTCGTTCACCAAGATACGAGGTCCAGACCCAGTTCTTATCAGCCTCTGTTGACTTACTGGCGTATGATAGGAGTTAGTATGCGTATTGAATGTCGTTTTGATATATCGGATGGAAGAATTCGATCCGGACTTCCGAGGTTTCGGATACTGGGTTGACATAATCTAGGCCTGGTAGTGTCTCACATCGCAGATTGCTGGCTTGCCAGTCTTCTATAACGTGGCGTCCTCGAATCTGGATTGTCAGTAGAGAGAACATGGACCATCAATAATTAATCAACATATTTTCCATGTGCTCCATCTATTGTGCTTCGAGGGCTGAATGTTCGAGACAACTGAGGAGCGTGTATATTGCGTCTTGATCGAATGCCTTCTAGGCATCGACATAGGTTTTCCAAATCTTGGAAGGATTTTCCTTGACTTAGTCTGAGATACCTTATTACTGCAGTCGTACAACAGATCTGGTATGTAAGGGAGATCGTAGACGTCCGATGCAAATGATCGACACAATATTGCCAAGCTGTATGTCATGACAACGGCCTCGCATATTCGAGATCTGAAACATTTCGCAGTCTTTTGCTCGAAGCAGAGGGCCAAGGCTTCTAGCCAAATTTGTTAGGATACTCGGAGTGCACACCGGAAGCCTTTCGTGTCCCGAACCTGAACAAGCTATTGTATCAAAACAGGCAGGCTGAACGGTTTGCGCCATGATATTGTGGCTTGTTTACGTACGAGCAGCGGATGTTCTGCGGTTCAGAGTTACGACGGAACATAGAGATAAGGTACGGCTGTGGTACAACGGTCGATGAATGCCCTCATGAGCCTGGTGCGTGGTAACGTTGAATGCCGGTTCAGGCTCCGAATATGCAGCGATCGATATGTGACAAAACACCTAGAAAGATCAGGAGAATTGGTCGTAGAGAAAATGTGTCCTGTTCTTCGAGGTCCCAAAGAAGGATGCCGCAATCTGGTTGCATAACCGTTGGTAACTGCAACGTTATTCAGCCAAGCGTCCTCGACATGATATGACCGTCACGGGACATGAACGCAAAGGCTTTGGAAATGTCCCGCTGTGCTGCGAATTCAGCAGACGAGCTGTATCGAGAGACAGGTTGTCGTCTTTCCGAGGACAGGAGGCTTGACGGTATGTTCCCGATGACAGTACGTATTGCCAGCTGATTTACGGCGACTTCTTGTCATACTTTCCAGCCAGGCGTGTTGCTGCAGCGTGTGAAGTAGAAATTGGCGATCTAAGCTATCGTCTACAGAGGCATATGATTACACGTGTCGACGTCGCGCGTATCGAGTCGTATCCTATCCTTGGCGAAGGGGTAGATCTGGAAGCGTATTCAGTCGCGCTCTTAGCTGCTTGCGCCAAAGTTCTAGCGTGCACCAAGCGCATAAGAAACCATTCGTACTGTTCGTATGGGTATCTGTTGCGCTGTCAAGTTATCTGTTGGTCAAGAATCATAGGGCCCATGGCTGGACTCCGCCCTGTCTTTGACCATGAGGACGCTTTTGTCCTTGTGGGGAAGCCCGAGTTGGTAAACAGTGACAGCCACCAACGCCAAACTGGGAAGTCAATTACTGTAACTGCTTTTGGGCCAAGCCCCAGCCGCGCGTGCCCTACGCCTCGAGAAGTTTGAGTCTGTTGAGTCAAGTCAGTGTCGCTTCTACGAGCAAGAAGCAAAGGCATGTTGTAAGAACGACATGGATATCGTTGTGTATTCGCAAAACTTGAACGAGGAAAGTTAATTGCTTGCGACATAGGTTTCGACCATTTCTCGGATTTGGCAGCTTCCGGATACCACGGCAATGACGCTGATGTGATCATTCCTGCATACGGAGCGAGCATGCTCCGTGAAACATGGGATTTTGGAGGTTGTCTCTTTTCTCCGCGAAAGTCAAAAGGGCGGTGCAAAATCTCACCGACTGCCCTGCAGACACCGTAGATACGGGCAACACAAAGGTCCGAGTGCGGCGCGTTGCTGCGAAGGCTTTACGACAGAAGCAAGGCGCCAACGATCGCAAGGTCCGTCACCGTTTCGACCGTCGCCGAATACGTTCTTGCGAAATTGTCAATTTACAGGGTCTGGGCCAAAATGTCTTTTGTGCTTTGCGAATAGGGAAGCGTGGCTTCGATGCGATGCTCGCGCGATGGGAGAGTAATTGCTTCACACTCGATTAACGCTATTATTCAAGCTCTGTGAGGCCCAGAACAATGAGGCCTCCACTGGTTGCAATGAATGGATGATGCGATGGATCAACAATAATGTTGACAATATCGCTGACAATTGATTCCTCATCCAAGGCGGCATCATAAATCAGACTGTCAGAGATGTGAGAGATGCTTGCTCAGCATTACTCACAGCATGTGCCTGATCGGGATGCGATTGGCTGGATCGGATTACTCATGCCACGACTTGTACACGGCTTGACCGGCTGATCCTGCAGGAGGGTTTCTAAAATCCGAGCGGAGCGGGCGGTGTCTTCTTTGCTCCATTAGAGTTCGGATCAGGAACGGATGGACGTTTTTACTCCCGCTCGGCGTGACAAAGCCTTCTGGGACCGATCATGGGTGCCTGAGCACTGGTATTATAACTCTCGTGGATGTCCGCTGACAGGTGCCTTCTGTTTCATCACAATCACAACCAGCGAACAGCCGAACAGCAACTGCTTATACATAACCAAGCAACCTTCCCCGGGCTTGGATCATCACTGGACATCAACATTACTCGATTGCCTTTCAGCCACTCATCTCTTATTGGCTGTATGTACTATTGCGACAGATTTGGCAATCACAATTACTGACTCACAACTCAGATCGCTTTTATATACTTCAAAGCATCTCGCAATGTCGACACAATCATACTATCCTGGATCTGCTGCTTCACCAGCAAAGAAGCAAAGAATGTCTCTCACACAAACATACTACATTGCATCCACGGCAAGGAGCAAGCTTGGTCGTGAGGCCTCTCGTGCCGACCACAACCTCAGACTCCTTGTTGGCCACGCCAACCTTCTCGACACTCTTATGATCGAACTCCAGGACGCAGAGAGAGAACAAGAGGCTTGGTTCAACGAGTCCATCAAGGCCAGCAAGCCTGAACCTGCTACTCGTCACATCCAATGGATCGATTCCATCGCTGAGGAACTCGAGGACGACTCATCAGACGAGGAGAGCGACGACGAAGACTCATTCTACGACGAGGACGACGATCTCGTTCGTGCCACCCCATCATCATACTCTGTCTCGACCGTCTCGACTGTCGAAGTCGATGATGACGAGTTTGAGGAGGACTACGAATACGACGACGAGCATGCCCTTACTCGCGTAGATTCGCACCCCCCAGAGCTTGTTCACGGCGACTCGGATTCAGAGGACGAGTCAATGCCACCATCGCCTACACAAGAAGCAATGGACCTTCAAGAATCACAACACGCTCAACCTATCAAGACAACACCATACCTCAACAAGATGGACCACTCAGATTACCTTGGCGACAACATTGTCATCTCGCAACGGCAATCAACAATGATTAGTGCCTACTAGACGCTCTTCTCTCTTCATCCATCTTGTTTAGCGTTTAAGCGATTCTTGTTCTTCTCATTTCACATTTTGTATGGCATCACGACTAGGATATCCCGGCTTAGAGCCACGGCGTTTTCATGATGATCTTTGGGGAAACGGAAACATCTCTTCTTTATCTTATCGAGAGAGTCGAGCTATAAGCTCCTCTTCTTACAACTCAATGGGCCTCAGTTGCCTTTTCTTAATCATAACATCTTCACACCTTCCAATGTCTTCCACTTCCATGTGTTCCATGTGATTTCCACCTGCCTACCTGCCTTGTTGCACACCTCGCCTACCCGGCCGCAAACATCCACTGATGATCATGTCATGCCCTTCAAAGCGAATTACCGTCCTGTCCGCCTTAACCTCGCTTGTAACCGCTGCCGGCGCTCCGGCGATGCAGGTTGCCGAGCTTAAGCTTTACTCTAGATCGTCTGGCGTCATCAAACATCCTCCACACCACGGATCTTGTTCTCCTGTCAATCTTCTCCCCGACCCACCGCCGAGAAAGAATTTGCAAAGGTTCTGATGTTTTCTACCAAGGTTTCGCTTGGCTTACATATCAACGAGGACATGATTATCAATGTCTCCGCAAAGGAGCCGCGCAAACGCGTTGGAAGCGAGAAGACATTTTCTTCTCCAGACGGTGTTTGACGGGCGTTCCACGCGATTTTCATGATGTTCGCAACTTCTTTCTCAATCCGGTGCTTGCTCCGAGTCACCTCCAAGGTTTTGACTCTTGACCGCCTTGGCTGTGGTTTTGACTATGAGCGGCACCGACATCTCGGTGCGAGGGCCTGTCGGAAGTTCTGATCAATCTTGCCGGAAGCTGCCTTCGGGTCCGTCGTATCTTCGCGTATCTGGCCTTGATTCTTGGCTTTCCAACCTTTAGATTGTTTTTGACAAGGGTCTGGTATGAAACTGCCAAGAGCTTGTAGAAGCACCAAATCTCGGCTTGCCGACCAGTGGTGCAGCTTCTCGGGTTGCTAGGTCATCGACTGTCAACCAGCGATTCTCACCGTCCTGGTCGTCTCCCTTTGAAGTTTGCTCTGCGGTGTGGTCTACTCATCGAAGATCAAGTGACAACCCAACATTTGCAATTCCCCGTGAGTCTGTGACCCAAACATTTGCTACACCCACTACATGTGTGTTGTCTTCTTGACCGGTTCGCCGAGACCCGCGACTGACAGCAAGTCTCATGACCTGTTCCTTCAGGCATCCGCGGTGTCCGCACTTCCCGCTGAGAGGCTGGCGGAGCCATGCAGCTGGCAGCGAAGCCGGGCAGAGCAGGGCAGAGCAGACCCCACGTCGGAGGATCTCGTGTGAGTCGTGTTTCTTTGCGGCGGACATAACAGTCTGCCGATCGTCCGACAGCTTTTTCGATCTCTCTGCTCTAACATGTTCATCCGTTTCTCGGCGACTTTATTGACAGCTCTCTTCCTTGTTCTCTTGTTATCAATATTTGCCCGTTGGCTTGACGAGTTGTGTTACCTGTATGCACGAGCAGGAACCCGCCGGTCTGGAATGCTGAGCTCGTCCAAGTACCCGCCAGAATGGGTGAGCGGTCACCGACACCCTTCTTTCCCCGCGATTCAGGTTCCTGCATATTGCAGTGCAGATCAGCTGGAGCTCTCAGCCCCCTTGCAACCCATACGGCCTTACGCTGCGGTCAGAAGGAGTTGATGGAGATAACTTATCTCATGCTTTTTCTACTTATTTTTTGCTTGTTTGCATGACACAACAAGAAGCAACTTTACAGCCCCAGATCCTGAGGGCGCATGCCTCTGAGTCACTGGACTCCTGGATGGCGTCAAGTGGATGGTGCCATCAGTAAGCGGAGGACCTGTAGCCTGGTACCTTGCGGATGACTTTGGTCTCACCTCACACACCACAACACTCCGAGTCCCGAGAATCTTGGAGGTGTAGCTACACTCGGGTCCGAAGGCCTCGTACCAACCGACTCCTCCCGTTACACTAACATCAGATCATAAGCACTCCAACAATGACTGGTTCGAAATGGACAATGGTCGAGAGACAGTCGGGCATGGACATTGGTCAAAGTATACTGTACTGTTCAAAGTCGACAAGACGTATGTACAGTACTCATATCGATGTTACTGATACTATGACAATGGGTTAAGTAAGAGCTTTTGACCAGTATTAACAGTGGCTAGACATCAAGGTAAGTAAGGTCTCTGATATGCATTCGTTGCTCTATGACCTGCGAGTCACCGGCGCAAGGAAAAACAAGCTCCAACCAATCATTTATACGGCATGTCTTGGATATTGTCGTGCAGTGATTCCAGTTCATCTTAATTCTCCAGTCACTGTTGGCTACTACAAGTCTGCAAAGTCAATACAGCTCGGAGATGACGAGGCATCAGACAGTGGCGAGGAGTAACATACGTCAATGTGTGTGTAAAATGGTTGATGTCCCAGCCCAAAGCCTGAATTCTTTTTTCTACTCTGGTGGTCTGTTTCCTTGGGAACATTGTCGACCTCAACGTCCCTGACTCTTCGTAATCTCTGGCGAGATTTCTCGGTGTTGCTTGTGGTACTACGAGCATGTCCGAGAGGTATATACAGAAGACACTACTTCAACAAAGACGCTTCTCTCCGAAACCCTTATCCCCAACTCAATGGATTGGGAAACCCCCGGCGAATACTGTCGTCTCGTGTGCTGACCGAGACCGCCTCCTCGACGTACCCGGCGACGCGTATCCGGTCAATACACCGTACGCCTCTTCCTCAGGGCCAGCGCATGCGATACGACTAGCTGGAAACTTGCGTACAGTCATAAAAGTGCAATTCCAGTGACTCAAGAGGTGGAGTGGTCCAAGGTGTAATATCCCAGATCTCTTCAGAACAACTCTGATGGTATTTCTCCAGGTAACGTGGACTAAGCCACATCACTGAAGTGATGCAACATGCCGTCGCATCTACGATATGTGGTCGACGGAGCTAACTTCTTCTTGCTCTTGCTCACCCACCCGGTTGTTGCTCTGCATCCCCCTGGCTCCGGGCCCACTTGATGCAGGCGGGCGTGAATGTGCCAATGTTGGCACCGTGGAGTTGCTCGAGGAATTTTTCTCAAGCGACATCGCTGAAACCCAGCTGCTCAAATAGGTACTTGCGGAACTCCTTCAAGGTAGCTTCTGGGGAACGTATCATGGGAAAATCTCATAGAAGATCTGCAACACTCTTCGCAGCATCCATACTCTTGACATAAACCACCTGATGAAATATCCGAATCTGGTCACGATAGAGTCTGTGACAGATCTCGCGATCAATTCTGCCTGCTAGCTGGTTGGTGTAATTCTCGTGCGTGTTGGCGCCGAGGCCCTCGGCGATGTGCTGAATGACTTCGTAGATATTCACCGTGAATCGCCGTGGGAATCTAGGACGATCAAACTCTGTGTGCTGCCGTCCTTGGGGCTCCTAACACATCTGCGGATGACTTTGAATTCCTCGACCGTTATCCTGGGTAGCACAGTGCATCCACTTGCTATCGGGTTGATCAAAGTGCTCGAAGTGTGTTGCATGACGGACAGATCAGACTGGATTTCTTTGAGAGGCGAGTTTCCTGAGTGTTTGTCGGCTCGCTCCTCGCGATACTTTCCTTACCATGGAATTACGGATAGTTGGGGTGTCCTCATCTATGGCGTCAAGGTCGACCGGGTCCAGAGGAGCATCTATAGGAGCAGAGTCGAAGGAGTGGGAATCTACGATTTTGTCCGCAAGAGCTTCGGCGGCTTTGACGCCTTTCTCGCGCATGACATCTCGAACTTTTAACAAGGATTCATGATGTTTATCAGCCTTGTCGAGCAACCGGCCGACATCCTTTGCTTTTGTGTTCATGTCGGCTTCCAAGTGCTCGTGCTTGTGTCGAGGATTGTCTAGTCGACGAAGAAAGATATCAGAATCTCCAGGCTGCCATTCAGGATACGGTTCTTCTTCGAAATCTTTGAGATGCTTCTTGAATTCATCAAAATGATCGCTGATTTCGGTACCAAGGCCAGACATGGTCTCGGCGTGCATCTGACGTTCTGTGGATATGTACTTGTTCTGTCGCAGAGCTGTTTGAACAGCTTCATCGAGCGCAGATTTCGGCTTGTACAGAAGCCCCAATCGCTGCAAGAAGTCGTTGATGTCGGCCTCAAGAGTTACTTTGATGATGCGCTCTTGCTTACGGAGGCGGCGAATGATGTCGATTTCCCTCTCACGTGACTGCTCGCTCGTTGAAACTTTGCGCACAAAGTGAATTGCTCCAGGTGCACGTCGACGTGTCACCGCCAGAAGAGAAGGTGTGAGTCCTGACATGTTGAGTGAGACTTGATCTCAGAAGAATGTCACACAAGATCAAGTAAACGGCAAGGACGAAGGCCGGGATTTAACCGATGAAAGTCTTGCCAAGACGGTCTGTGGGCGTTTGTGGTGAAGAACGAATAGCGGGCAAGACGCACGCAAACGAGAAATTCGCCGCGACATCTACAACCTCCAGACACGCGCCCCGCGACTCGACTCTGTGTACACCCAGCGTCAGCGTTCGCCAGATCAACATGTCTCGCTTTTTCTACGGCAGCGACAGCTCCAGCGAGTCCTCCTCGGACGAGGAGGAGCTTTACAGCGAAGAGGAGGAGGCAGAGAAGGCCGAAGAGGAGTCAAGTGACGAGGAGAGCGACGAGGAAGATTCGGACTCGGATTCCAGCGACAGCGAGGGTGGCAAGACCGGTGCCAACCGCTTCTTGCGTGATGAGTCCAGCGAGGACGAGAGCGACGAGGAGGACGACCGCACCGTGGTCAAGAGTGCAAAGGACAAGCGCTTCGACGAGCTCGAGGGCACCATCCGCCTGATTGAGAACGCCCAGAAAATCAACGACTGGAGTGTCATCAACGACAGTACGTCTGCTCGGCATGCCGCTAGTTTTGGTCCGACGCTTTGACTAACATATACGTCCAGACTATGACAAACTCAACCGCCAGCTGCCCGTTCTCCAGCGTGACAACGATGGCAAGGCCCCCAAGATGTACATTCAGACTATTGCCGACCTTGAGACCTCGATGCTCGAGGCCCTGGAGAAGCAAAAGGCAAAGAAGATGAACCCCGTCGCTGCCAAGGGTCTCAATGCTATGCGCCAGAAGATCCGCAAGAACAACCGTGACCACGAAGCCGACATCAAGGCCTACCGCGACAGCCCCGATGACTTCATGAAGGACGATGTCGTCGAGGACGTTCCCGCTACTTCTTCCAAGAAGACCAAGAAGGCTCTTGCCGACGAGTCTGTTGTTGGCGCAGACGACGACGGTTTCACCATGGTTGGTGCCGGCGGCAAGGCCATGACTTACACCCCCGAGGGTATCCTGAAGCACCTCCGTACCATTGTCGAATCCAGAGGACGCAAGAACACCGACCGTCTGGAGCAGATCCGCACTCTGGAGAAGCTGCTTGATGTGGCTGTCACCGAGTACCAGAAGGCTCGCGTGCTCCTGACTCTTGTTTCGACCCGTTTCGACTTGACCAGCGGTAGCGGTAACACTATGGCACAGGAACAGTGGAAGTTGGTCTCGCAAGAAATCGCCGCTCTTCTCGCCCTCCTTGAGGAGCACCCTTACCTGGTTGTTATTGAGAGCGCCGAGGATTGGGAGGACGACGAGAAGATGCCCACCATCACCTCTGACGAGACCTTCAAGATTCCCGGCAGCATCGTCTCTCTGGTCGAGCGTCTGGACGACGAGCTTACCCGTGTTCTCCAGATCGTTGACCCGCATACTGCCGAATACGTCGAGCGTCTCAGCGACGAGGCTTCTCTCTACACCAACATCGTCCGCACTCAGCTTTACTGCGAGCGCCTAGCAAAGGACGAAAAGCTGAACTTCGTCCAGGAGACTGCCAACCGTATTGTCATGCGCAGACTTGAGCACATTTACTTCAAGCCTTCGCAGGTCATCAACATCCTCGAGGAGAACGTCTGGAAGGCTCTCCCCGCCTCTCTCGACTCCGCCACCACTCCCCGCTCTGATGCTGGCGACAGCTCCACCCTCGTCACCGCCATCTGCACATACCTCTACACTCACAGCGAAGGCATTATTCGTGCCCGTGCTATGCTTTGCCAAGTGTACTACCTTGCCCTTCACGACCAGTACTACAAGGCTCGTGACATGCTCCTCATGTCGCATTTGCAAGAGTCCATCTCCGGATTCGATGTCAACACCCAGATCCTGTTCAACCGTACCTTGACTCAAGTCGGTCTCTGTGCTTTCCGCGCCGGACTTGTCTACGAGGCCCAGAACTCGCTTCAAGACATCTGCGGTTCTCAAAGACAAAAGGAGTTGCTCGCTCAAGGTCTCCAGATGCAACGCTACTCTCAAATCACCCCCGAGCAGGAGCGTATCGAGCGCCAACGCCAACTTCCTTTCCACATGCACGTCAACCTCGAGCTTCTCGAGTGTGTCTACCTCACCTGTTCTATGCTGCTCGAGATTCCTCTTCTTGCCCAGGTTGGCTCCTCGCCCGACCTCAAGAAGCGTGTCATCAGCAAGTCTTACCGCCGTATGCTCGAGTACCATGAGCGTCAGATCTTCACCGGACCCCCAGAGAACACTCGTGACCACGTCATGCAGGCAAGTAAGGCTCTTGCCCAGGGTGAATGGCGCAAGGCTGCCGAGTTCATCACTGCCATCAAGATCTGGGACCTCCTGCCGCAAGCCTCCAAGATCAAGACTATGCTCGAGGAGCAGATCCAAGAGGAGGGTCTTCGCACTTACCTTTTCACCTACGCCCCCTTCTACGACACTCTTGCCGTTGACAAGCTTGCGGCCATGTTTGAGCTGTCTGAGCGCAAGGTTGCAGCCATTGTCAGCAAGATGATCAGCCACGAGGAGCTCGCTGCTGCTCTTGACCAAGTCAACGGTGCCATCATCTTCAGAAAGGGTGTTGAGCTCAGCAGACTGCAGAGCTTGGCCCTCACTCTCAGCGACAAGGCCAGCGGCCTCATTGAGAGCAACGAGAAGACACTGGAGCAGAGAACACAAGGCACAGCCAACGCCTTTGAGAGACAGGGCGCACAGAGAGGTGGCCGTGGAGGCGCCAGAGGTGGCCGTGGTGGCAGAGGTGGCGGCCAGGGCATCAGAAGAGGCGGTGGTGGATTCCAGGGAGGTGTTCTGGGCAACGCCATCAGATCCTAAGCATGAGATAGTTGGTCAGCGGATGTCACGGATGGGTTTGGCGTTCTTCTCATAGTGACAGATTTTGCACAAGGACACACCAAAAAGCCGGCATGATTGCAATGTTTCCTTTCAAGTTTTATTCTTTATTCTATCCCCCTAGATCGCACGATGCAATGGCAAAAAGAACGTATAAAGAATGTATTTATTCCAAAGCTCCAGCGCGAGACCAATTCATGGTCCAATCGATCTGGAGCTAACGAATATCACAAGGATGGTAGGAGACTGGAGTTTTGCTTGTCAGAGACATGCGAAAGATGGTGGGACCATGGAGTACAGTAGACGTAGGTAAAAAGGCAAGGTAGGTACCTAAGGTAGTTATCGAGGTGGAATGAGTGCGTCATTTCACGGGAAGACAGGGAGCTTCATTAGACATGGCTTGACTGTTCACGATGGCCTGCTGGCAATGGACTGCAGAGGTGGATAAGTAATCAAGACTCTGTAGAGCACATGAATTGACGAGCAGCAAGTCGTCAGACAAAGCACCAAGGACAGACGTGGCAGAGAGACGTTTCCTGGGTGGATTGATTTCGAGTTGAGCCCCGCTTGAGCGTCGTTGGCACCCAAGACCAGCCAGCTCCCTTTCCCTGGCCGCTGAGCCTATTGGCAGAGAGCGAGAGTTGACAAGAATCCCAAGGCAGAAGGCAGCCAGCAGCATATAGGAAGCGACGCGTCGTTCTTGTCGGAAACTGACGCAGCAGCTTGTGCAGAGGGCGATCGGCAGCGTCGCAATATCGCAGGAGCTGGAGTCGCATCATCCACCCCATCATCCTCGTCCGTCCCTTGATTCATCCCACCCACAGTCAGCCGTCATCACGACAAAGGCGCCTAGTGTCCGCACCCTCCCATTGCTGCAAGCATGGATTCGCAGCAACAGCAACAGCAACAGGCAGCGAGCTGGCAAGCGAATCCCGCTGCTTCGGCGTCAAGGCATGGCTCGATTGCAGCTTCCTCGCAGCAGCAGCCGCCCAAGTACGATCCTTACAAGGTGACACGTCCCTCGTCGCAGTCGACTCCCGCCGACGGAGACACGGACGGCGACAGAGTCATGGAGGATGCCGACCCTTACAACCGCAACAAGTACTCGTCGACCTCGCGCACTCCCACGGCCGCCTACCTGTCGTCGCAACCCGCCATGGACTCGACCGCGCACCGCCGCTACTCGCCCATGAACACGACCTCTCCCACCTCGCCCTACATGAGCAGCCCCAACCAGTACACTCCCCACCAGATGCACCAATCGCCAACGCGCCAGATGTTCTCGTCGCCGCCCTCCCAATCTCAAGCGCGTTCTCACCAGCTTCCGCCCATCCAGTCAAACGCCGACTTCTATTCCTCGCCCTTCAACCAGAGCGGTCCCCACTCTCCGCGTCTGCCTCCTCCTGCCGCAAGCCAATCCGACCCGTCCAATCGTGGTCCCGTTCCCGTCTTCACCAAGTGCGACAATGTTGGTGACTTGCAACCTCGTGTCAACCAACAACCGTCCTTCCGGAGAGCTGCTCCAGAGGGTGGCTTCATTTCACCTCTCCAAGCTTTGACTACACAACTGCCTGCGACGTACCGAATCTGCAATCCCAATTTCCAGTATGAGAGCTCGCGCAACCCGCGGAGAGTCCTGACCAAGCCATCCAAGGGCACAAAGAACGACGGCTATGACAACGAGGATAGCGACTACATTCTGTACGTCAACGACATTCTCGGCAGCGACGACACCAACAACAAAAATCGCTACCTCATCCTCGACGTTTTGGGCCAGGGCACTTTTGGCCAGGTCGTCAAATGTCAGAACCTCAAGACGCAGGAGATTGTCGCTGTCAAGGTGGTGAAGAACCGCACTGCCTATTTCAACCAGAGTATGATGGAGGTTTCTGTTCTGGACCTGGTAAGTAACATTTCATCACAACCACAGGCTCTTGCATTGGCTAACCATCTTCGTCTAGCTCAACGGGCGTATGGACAAGAACGACGACCACCACATCCTCCGACTCAAAGATACCTTTATCCACAAGCAGCATCTATGTCTAGTATTTGAGCTCTTGTCAGTCAACCTGTACGAGCTCATCAAACAAAATCAGTTCAGAGGATTAAGCACGACTCTTGTGAGAGTCTTTGCCCAGCAGCTATTGAGCGGCTTGTGTCTGCTCAGCAAAGCACGTTTGATCCATTGCGATCTGAAACCAGAGAACATCCTCCTCAAAAAGTGAGTGTGACTGTATACATGCGCACCCTTCATCTGGCTAACCTCCCGATAGCCTCGAGAGTCCCATCATCAAAATAATCGATTTCGGTTCGGCTTGCGACGAACGTCAGACAGTGTATACCTATATTCAGTCGCGCTTCTACCGATCGCCAGAAGTACTGCTCGGTTTGCCCTACTCGGCCGCTATCGACATGTGGTCTCTAGGCTGTATTGTCGTTGAATTGTTCCTTGGACTGCCTCTCTTCCCAGGATCGTCAGAGTACAACCAAGTGTCTCGAATTACAGAGATGTTGGGTCTGCCACCCACATGGATGCTAGAAGTCGGAAAGCAGTCAGGCGAGTTCTTTGAGAAAGCACACGATGAGTTTGGCCGAAAGACGTATCGTCTCAAGCCGATGGATCAATACTCGAGAGAGCACGGCACAAAGGAACAGCCTAGCAAGAAGTATTTCTCTGCCACGACGCTCCCTGAGATTATTCGCAACTACCCCATGCCACGTAAGGGCATGAAGCAAGCAGAGATCGATCGCGGTATGTGTCTCCTGCCTGAATGTGACAGTGACTGAGTGCTGACAATGGACAGAAATGAACAACAGAGTCGCCTTCATTGACTTTGTGCATGGGCTTCTGAACATCAATCCGCTGGAGAGATGGACGCCACAGCAAGCTCGCACACATCCTTTCATCACTCAACAAAAGTTCACCGGCCCCTTCCAGCCCGGCATGCATCTCAAACAGGTGTCATCTCGCTCGCCTGCCCCTGGTGTCCAACAGCAGCAGCAAGCCGAGGCCTTGTCCAAGCAACGTGCTCAAGCCGCCCAACAGCAGCAGCACCAACAACAGCAGGCTCAATCTGCTGCTAATGCTGCTTACGCTGGCATACACATGCAGCCTCCTGGCTACCCGGCATCTCCTCATGCTCAGCAATCGCCCATGTATTCCAACATGTACACACCCACACAACAGCAACAAGCTCCGCCACCCTACCCCTCAGCCGCTGTCCCCAATGTATACAACCAACCGCCCATGCTGCAGCAACCACCGCCGACTGCTGCTATGCACGGCCATCAGCAACAGCCTCACGCTTACAATCAACCCCAATCATCGCTCTACGCACAAGCTACCACGCGGGCCGGCCGTCAACGTGCTTCCACCATGGACATGGCAAATGGTATTCCTTCAACTCTACAACGAGTAGCCACACATCTGGACCCTAACGCACCTATCCGTCTCCAACCAAGTCCTGCTTACTACCCTCCTCCGAACGAGCAAACAGGCGACGTCGGCAACGTCGGCGGTAGAAGACGTATGAGCAGAGGACCAAGAGACGCCCGAAGTCAAACAAACTTTGTGCGTCAGCTCGAGGATCGTACGCTGGAAGAAGGATGGACAGGCGGAAACAACGGAGGCGGCGGCGGTGGCTGGGCTTGAATTAAAGTGCCCCCAGTCCGACCGACTCTGGACACATTGAGGTTTTCTTTTTTCTCACTTTGAGTGTAACGCAAAAATTTCTCGTCAACGATACTCCGACTCATCAATGTAGTCAGTGGACTCAATGGAGTCAGTAACAGCTGCTGTCAGTGTTCATTTGAAGCGTTCCATGCGAATCAAAACATCCATCCACTTTCCCGACTATCTTCACATCCAGCATCGAGCTCGTGACTGATCAAGCGAGCATATGGGCAAAGAAGAACGTTGCTCCACTGTTTTGGACTTTGGTGACTTTTTGACCAGACTTCTTCTCTACCTTGATTGTGCTCATGCTTCTCTAATCACTACTTCTTCGTGATTTTGCAGCTAGTAATGTCAATAAACTTCACTCTCAATTGTGGTTAGATGGGCAGGGTTATCCTGCTCACATTGGTCATCAAGGTGATTCCGTCTGTTACAATAAAGCGAAGGAAGAAACCAGTTCAGATAGCTGATGACTGCTTTTTATCTGTTTCGCATCGTAAAACGGTATTTGCCAGCCGGGTCACTTTGCTCGGCGGCTGGTTTCATATGTTTCGGTCGAGTGTGAGACTGCTGGTGGTATACAAGTGATGGTCTGGATAGTACTAGTGACGAGAAGATGGTTGAGAATGGTAGTAAGAACAACTTGGCGTTTGTTTTCAAGTAAAAAGCGAACCTCGTAGTCCTTGCTACTGCTACTGCTCCTTGATAAGCTCCTGGTCTCGTCTCTTCTTGGAAGCTCTGTTGAATGCATCCCTTCCATGTGACAATGCTGACTTAATTATACTGTAGTGTGCGTGTGACCACCCGTCGACTCTCAGAAAGCGGTGTTGTTGTTGGTCAGGCTGCTGACGTGGACGGTACGTCTACTCTCGTTGCGTGCTGCGTATCATGTTATGACATGCGTCAAGTCGACTCGTCTCCAGGACTAGTAGGCGAGACGGGGACGCAGCGGATAGAATGTGGTGAAGCGGTAATGTTGTGAGAGGGGCCCAGTCCTTTCATCCCTCAGGGTTCTTCATGTTGACCAGGGGCATAATGTCGGTCTTGAGCTCTCTGTTCTTCTTCTGCTTGGGCTCGGGAGCTGGAGACGAAATCATCAGTATTCACAAACAAACCCACCAGATTCTGCATGTGGACAAACCTTTCTCGTTCTCCTGAACGTAGAAGCGACGGAGCAGCATGATAGCCTCGGCTCTGTAGATGCCACCGAAGATCTTGTAGGCAGGTTCAACACCTGGACTGAACTATTGTCAGCATTTCATCAGACACCAACATGGTGATCAAGACTCACTCGTCACAGATGCGCATGACTCCACCACAGCCGCCAAAGCGATCATTGAGGCAGCCAAAGTAGACGGCGCGGATGCGGAACTGGCGCAGGACGGAAGCACACATGATGCATGGCTCGACCGTGACATACAGGTCCGTCTCCTGGAGGATCGAGGGAGGGTGTTCGGCCACGATCTGGCTCAGGGCCACAAACTCGGCGTGGCGCGTGCCCTGAAGCAAACATGTCAATAAATGTTCACATAGAGTGGAGGAGTGACCATGCTCAGAGGAGGCGCGCGTCGTTGGTCGAATGTTAAGTCCTCCCTGACAGAGGTGGATGGTGGTTGAGTAAGGACATGTCGGAATGATTACTTACGTTCATGGTAACATTGGTGCCGTTCATGCCTTGAGCGATGACCTTTCCGTCATGGACAAAGACACAGCCCACAGGAGTTTCATCAGAGGCGAGTGCCAGCTCAGCCTAGACAGGTAGACAAATGGTCAGTTTTTGTAACGACAGAAACATTTCAGAGAAGTGAAGTTGAAAAGAATCCGCGGCAGTGATCGTTATAAAGACGCCTACCATTTTGATGGCCTCGCGCATGAAAACTTCATGATAGGGCCTGTTCTCGACGTGGGCGGTCATGGCATCCATGTCTGCTTCGGACGCGGTAGGCGATGGTGGATAGTCGTTAGAAAACATGTTGAAGAACGATGCTGTTGTTTTTGTTTTACATCGCTGGCAGAAGGTGCAAAGGAAGGTGCGACTTAAAGGTGCGCAAGACTTCTGCTTTGGGATTGCCAAGGCGCAGAATGCTTCACAGACAAACAACACGCCGAGTTGGAGTGGAAGTGAATATCAAACATGTAAATTGAATGTTCTCAGGACTGATCACAATAGAAGCTATTTTGCTGTATAAAAGAATAGATCGACCTTTCCGACTGACGCCTTGCCTTCCTCCCCGTTGTTTCCCTAGAAAAAAAAACAGTATCGCTTCCAAAGTAATCAACAGTTCGTTCCTCCAACCTAATTAACGCCGTCACGCTTTCTAGACCTGTATTCCGATGAAACCCAAACAAAATAAAGAAATAATCGATCTCCCTGGTACCAGAAAAGGGAGAGAAGTCATAGACACAATGATAGAACAGAGAAGGTTACGAGTTGCGTGAAGATCCACTCCACCACTCGCAGTGACACGCGCCATTGATAGGATCACGCTTGATCTTTGATGATCCTGATGTAGATGCCTGAGCAATCTCTTGCGAGTAAGCGCTGTAGTCAGGGTCGGTCTCCTCAAGTGAGACCGTTATTTGTTGCCCAGTGCTTGGATCCTCAAGCGTGCCTGCCATGCCATTGTCTAGGATCTGGAACTGCTGACAGTATGGCTCCGGGCTGTCTGGCACGCGGCGTTCCTCAATCTTGACGACGTAACCGAAGGAAGATAGTTCGGCGAATGTCCAGCCACGTTTCTCCAGTTGCCAAGCACGCTTTGCTCGACGACCATTTGCTGAGTGTGTATAAGGGTCATAGACTGCATGGCTGTAAGATGTGGCTTGGGCGGCAGAAGTGAGTGTAGCTGTTGTTGAGGGACCAGATACCTCGATGATGGTCGAAGTGGTCAGTGAAGACGATGTCTTGGCGTTCTTTTTGTATGAAGAGGATGAGGATGGAAGGGAAGAAGTCGAGACCGAGGCGTATGGATCTGTGAAGTTGTTGGCGTAGATAAATCCTTCCAGAAAAGTGCCGTTGAACCAACAAAACCATGGCTTGTCTCCAGCTTGGACTTGACGCTGGGTGAAAAAGTCGTTCTGAAAGTAAGAGCGCTTCTGTGGGTTGCCAGCATTGCTTGCAGGGAGGGAGCTCTCGGGCACAACAACGAATTTGTCATAGTAAGTTTGGAAATAGAAAGCAGGCCCTCGGTAGGGTTCGTCATCATCCTGAACGGAAAGGAAAGGAGCGAAAGGAGTGTTGGGTGGTTGTGTGCCGTAGTTGATGCCAGTGGCATTATTGAATCCATATAGGCAGGCGCCTTCGCTACCGCTTCCACCTGGAGGGGAGCCGATGTTTATAGCCATTTGAGGTGTGCCATAAAGGTTACATGTCCAAGCAGCGGAGTAGTTTTGGTTAGCAATACAAGCCGACTGCGTGGCTCTTGGTGGCCCGAAGTCCAGAGCGTAAACACCAGTTGGGGGTGGTGGCCCGATAGAAGATGTGGGGATAGGCGATGCGTCCAAGAGAGTAGTGTTGGCACCACGGTGTCTGATATGATGTTAGTGGTGGATAGAAAGAACGGCAGCTACGACAACTTACTGAGTAGCCTTCTCGGCTTCTTTCCGAGCACTGGCGAAGATACCACCGACGGCAGCACCCAGGACTATAGCAATAAAGGCCAACACGCAGAGTGACAGCAGGATCCACCAGAACGGCACGCCACAGAAGCGAGTCTTTCGCTTCTCCTTCCACGATTTCTCACTCCAACTCTTGGCCTCGGAAGGCGTTGAATCTGAATCGGATGAGGAGTTCAGCTGCTGCATTTCAGCAAAGCCATGCATAGTAGTCTGATCCGACATGCTTTCAGGCTGGCGCTGTTGTTGCATCAGAGGCAGATGAATCTGAGTGGTGTTGGGAGGAGTGGCGGTCTGTGCTGGTAGCACGATTGGTTTGGGAGCACCATCCTCAGGATATTCAGAGTAGGGTGGAAGTTGTTCCGAATGGCCGTCAACACCAATGATGTCCTGCTCTTCTGCCCCGGGCGCTCGTGCCACGAAGCCACGAGCTCGTCCAGGAAAGCCGACAGGAATGACGGTTTGGGCATGGTTCCGCGTAGAGGCAGTGATATCCGCTTCGTCGTCATGCGCAGAAACATTTTGGGGATACATGCTGTAGGGATGAGTAGGTCCCTGTGGTAGGAGGCTGGTAGATTGACCGGCACGGACGGTTGAAGCGTTTGTCGATACCGATGGAGTGCGGGCTAGATTGGTGTCCTGAGGGTACATTGAGTAGGGGTGGCTGGGGCCAGTCGTGCCATGAAGGGGGCTGGCTGTCCGGGCGAAAGTCCTGGCTGACGAAGCAGAGCTAAGTCTGTGGGCAATTCCTGGAGCGTATTGGGCTGTCGAAGAAGATTGGATGCTCGACGAGCGATGGAGGGCTGAACGCTCATCGTGGTTGTCGTCATCATCGTCTTCGGCGCTGCTAAAGGGGTTTCGGACGTCCTGCGGTTTGTGCATGCTATTCCTGCTAGGACCAGTGGCGAAACGAGGAGCATCCGACATGTGGGCGTGCACGCTGCGGATAGAAGGGTCTTCGGAGTGTAAGGACCATCGGTCGTCGGCCGAGTGGACGCGTCCAGGAGCGAAACCGTCGGCCACTTCATCGAAGTCGTCTACGGCATATTCGTCGTCAAAAACGTCGTCGGTCGATCTGCGGGTCTCATTGCGATGGTCTGCCATGGTTTAAAAGGGTCGACTGTACGATGGCCGTCTGTTGGGACGCGGTCGGGTGGTCGGTCGTAGGAGCCCGGCACCTGGGCTCGGGATAGGGTGACGGCAGCAAAACGAGCGCGCTTAGTTGGCGCGACGATATTTTCGGGCGAAGAAATGGTCGGGCGGTCAAATGTAGCGGGGTTCAATAGCGAGTGTTGGATGGGCAGAGATAATGGGTAGGAGCAATGGCTTGTCGTTCCATCCAGTTTCCTGCCGCCAAGGAGAAAGAACGCTAAGAGGCCGTCGTCTCTGCCTTCTCCACTCGACAAATCGCTCCTTCCAAGACCAAGTCCAAGAGCCGCCGCCGCTTCCGTCACACTAGATGGCTATCGGCAATAATCTCCAAGTCCAAGACGTGTCATTGCAGCCAGACCAGCCTTCGGGCCTCCCGCGCGTTTAAAGACGGTCACTTATATTCTTGCCAATATTATCATACTATAGAGCAATATGCACACTGTCAAGACTCACAATCACAATCATCGCCGACCGGAAGTCTACGGAGGGCCAGTGAGAACAACTACCATATCCGCATCACCTTGCTGGGTCCCTTCAGGATCAACGACAGAGATAGCACGTGAAGGAGGCCGCTTGTTTTTGAAGTTTTTTGATATATTTGCATGTTTTTCCATATCGTTATCGTCTGGCCTCTCGCTATCGAGGCATCAAGACAGGTCAAAAGTACTACTACAAGTCTGTATGCGCCGCTAGTTCGTCTGTAATCCGAGAAAAGAATAAAGAAAAGAATAAAGAGTTCGAGACACAAGCCATGAAGCATGCCGCCGGACGCAGCACATGCGTGCCGACAACCTGCTACATCACGATGCCATCATTCACTCTCCCACTGGTCTGACAAACAACGAAAACATTTATTGCTTGATGGCGTACTCTCTTCTGAAAAGGTCATCGACCTTGGTCAGGTAGTAGGTGCCAGGGAACAGTGTCTCGGGGTTACCGGAAGGTGAGTAGTCCTTCTTCAAGTGTGCGCGCTCACGGAGGTTGCACATCTCGTCGTAGACCTCGGGGGCAACGACTCTGCGCGAGTCGAGTCTGTTCTGAAGGTCGATCTGCTTGTGCATCTCCTCGGTGCTGCCCTTGACTCTGAATGAGAAGAAGGACGAGGCAAGGCCTGAACCGTATGAGAAGATACCGACGCGCTTGCCCTGGAGATCTTGCGAGGAGACGTTTGAGAGAAGAGCGCAGAGCGAACCGTAGACTGAGCCACAGTACATGTTACCACACATGGTAGGGACCTGAACAGAGGGCTGGACGCGAGCAGCGAAACGCTTCTTGGAGAGGGTCATGAAGGTCTTCTCGACAGTCTTGTCACTGTATGACTTCTCAAGGTCCATGTCCTTGATCTCGGCGGGAACCTCGGCGAAGATGGGGTTTTCGGGGTTCAGCTTGTAGTCGTTGTAGAGCATACGGGCGTATGACTTGGAGACCAGCTTGCAAGTAGGGGCGTGGAAGCACATGTGGTCGAAGCGGTCAAGGGGAGTCTCGGGCTCGGCGTGAGCACCGTTGCCGTTGGCAGCACCATTGGCCTTGGCCTTGAGCTGGGCCTCACGGGTGTTGTAGGCCTGGTAGCAGGCATCGACGGCCTGGGTGTAGCACTTGATGGAGAACTGGCCATCAACAATGGGGTACTCGCTGGTCAAGTCGGGCTTGTAGAAATCGTATGCGTGGGTAATGTAGCTGCCTCTGTGTCCGGGCTCGAAAGCCAGGGGAGCGTCAGGGCCGACCAACATGGCAACACATCCAGCACCACCGGTAGGTCTGGCGGCACCCTTCTTGTAGAGGGCAATGTCACCGGCGACAACAATGGCAAGACGACCGTCCCAAGCAGAAGACTCGACCCAGTTGATGGCGTTGAAAAGTGCGTTGGTGCCACCGTAGCAAGCGTTGACAGTATCGACACCCTCAACGTTGGTGTTGCCCGACTCTTGGAAAAGTTGCATCAGAACAGACTTGACCGACTTGGACTTGTCGAGAATAGTCTCGGTACCGACTTCGAGACGGCCAATGTCCTTGGGGTCGATCTTGTACTTGCGGAGGAGCGAGGAGACGGCGGTAAGAGCGAGGGAGTAGATATCTGCACAACTTCGTTAGTTTGAGTCTCAACAACTTCTCGCCAGTCGCGGACTCACCCTCTCTGTCGTCGCAGAAGCTCATTCTAGTCTGGCCGAGGCCAATGGTGTATTTTCCAGCGCTAACTCCATCGAACTTCTCGAGTTCAGACTGCTCAACACACTGCAGGGTACTGTGATTAGCACTTGCGCTGTACTAGGAGAGCCTCGTGGGCACAAACCTGGCTGGGGAAGTAAAGCTCAATGGCCTTAATACCGATGTTCTCAGGGCGTTCAGACATTGTGGCGGAGAGATTGAAAAGGTGAAAGTGTGATGGGAAAGGGTATCAGAACAATATTAGCAGAAAACGAAGAAGCAACAAGCTTAACAAAGAAACAGCAGCGTTGAAATGGAGGAAAGAGGGTAGAGAGATGGACCTGGAGATTGTGTCGAGGACTGCGCGCCAAATTATACTTCCACTTTAATTACCTAAGGTACTTTGGTCTACAAAATAATCAGTCCACTCAAGGGGCTTCCGCTGGATAAGCTCCCAGGTCCTGTTATCCAACGCCCGTCGCCAAGCGCCTGCTTCAACTTCGAAACACTCTCGTACGATGCCGTTGAACTTGATTGCGAATTTCTTAAAACCATCGCATCTGACTCTTAACGTGTCTACATGTGCTAGTATCACTGTTGGAGATCGGCGAGAACTGTATATTTCTCCAAGGTCGATTTTTCGAAAGAGATGCGTGAGAGTAACCGCCGAATCTGGACTGTTGAAACTGTTGACTAAAAACTCTGGTACGTTTTGTACCCAAACCCTCACTTGCTACACCGCCTTACGTCCCTACCTCAATGGGTACCCCTATCCCTCAACAAATGCTGGTAGGATACAGATAATCGCGATGTGGGATATCTAATCATATCAGATCCATCTATCATCAATTCGTTTCCTCCTGCTACTACAAAATTGCTTTCTCGCTCACTCTGACACTGTGCACTCGGGCTATCAAAGATCCTGTCAGTCCAGCTTTCCGATGGAAGCTCAACCAAGCAGATCCTTGCAGAATTTTCCTTGTTTGTCAACATTCTGCGATATCGGTCGTTTGATCATACATTCACAGTTGTTTGTTGGGGCATAATATTCATGGGACGATCTTTTGAATGTAACCTGCGACAGGACCGATCATGGCCCAATCTATGACAACTTGTTCAGAAATTTAAGCGCTAAGTTTCCGACCTCTTCTGGGTTCTCGATACATTGCCAGTGACCGCACTTGCTCATGACGACCATATCTTTCTGTTCCGAACCTAGTGCATTCATGATCTTCTGGCAGCCGTCCATATGTGCGCTTTTATCTTCGTCTCCGGCGATGATGTACGTCGCACAAGACACCTTCTCGTACTTTGGAGGTGACCTGTATGCATTGACGATAACCCTGCACAAGCTGATGTAGCCAGCGGGATCCATACCAAGCAGCAATTCTCGAATGAAGGCATTGTGTAGAGATGTCGCATTAGAACCGACCGCAGCATAGGGCACAGTATCTGCCATGACATCCATGCCTTTCTCTGCAACTTTGCTGATACGATCTTCGAACAAGGGTCCGGCTTCTGCTGAGGGCCATACCGGTCCGACCAAGATGAGTGCTTGAACACGGTCAGGCCACTCGGCCGCAAGCTCTGGACCGACTATTCCGGACATGCTGTGGCCGACAAAGACTGCCTTGTCAATTGCCAAGGCGTCCATCAGGTCGATAACGTCCTTTGCCAGGGTATGGATACTTTGCTCGACATATGTATAGGGTGAGCGGCCAGATCCGGTGGTGTCAAAGCAGATGCAGCGGTAGCCTTGCTCTGTCAAGAAAGGGACCACAGCAGTGTAGTAATTATTGCTTGAGCCCAGACCGTGACTCTGATGCTAAATTAGTGACTCTCCTTCTGTGTTTGGATTACCTTTCTTACCATGACGAGCGTCGCTCGAGGAGTGGAGCCATCTTTAGGCGACCAATCCTTGTAGTACAGAGACTTATAGTTGACCTTGGCGAGCGGCATACTTGGAACGATATAATGCGTAACAACGGATGCGAATGCAGTAAACTAACAACACTCTGTATGGAGCGCTGAGGAGTATATGACTATGGAGACTGTGCGTCATCATTAGAGAGGGGCTCGGAAGCCTATCTCAAATCTCGGAAGCGGTCTCGGATGTGGTACACAGACACACACTAGGTCGTAACAATCGTATGTAATCCAATTCGCACGACCGCTCTAGATAAACTGAATTCCCGATCACTTCTATAGATGCATCAAGCCCGGAAGTCTCCAAATAGCTTGCTTCCTCATGCCGCGTAAGGCAAGATATACAGCAAAATGTGTCGCTCGATGACTACAAGCTTGGATTAGGCATGGACTTGGCCTCCTTCTCATAGCCTGCATAGCGCCTCCTTTGAGCATCTCTCATTCTCTTGATGGCGTCGTCAACAGTCAGTTTTGTGACCTTTGTCACATCAACCTCTCTTTCGAGGCCAGTTTTTGCTGCGATCCAAGTCCCGCTTGTCTCTACACTGCCTTCTGTACTCTTCCGACAAAACGTGCCCCACGAATCGATACAGCGCTTGCTGGTAGCAAGTGTGGGCAAGAGCATAGCAAAGCAATGAGGCATCGCCTCGTACTGCTCGAAATGAACCTTCACGCCTTGTGTAGCTGCCCTGACAGCGACTATCAAGTCCTCATCGGTCAGAAGCTCCTCTCCGGTCTCTATCCAAAGTGGTGGAGAATTCGACCAGTCTTTTGCGGCAAGCGGAGATACAAGAGGGTGGCACATCATGCTGAGATCACAGAACAAGTCACCTCTTGGAGGCGTAGTCGGCCAAACGTTGTCTTTCGGGAAACGTCCCAAGGCATCATCATGGTCCGCTGGCGGAAGATAATCATACTTTGCATTGCTCACTAAAGAGGGCATCGATCTGGTAATGTCGAACCAACCAGAGTTGGCCGATGCTCCTGCGGGCAGCGGTACCTCTACAGTCTTTCCATGGTAGCGGACAGTAGGGTTCTTAGCACTGGATGGCTTTGTGCGATGGAGCTGCAACAGAAGTTGGAGCAACGCAAAGGATAGGTTGCCACCTGCGGAGTCACCAGCAAAGACAATGTCGCTGGCCGATACCGGCTCATGTAGAGATCCGGGAGGTGGATATAAGAGATACAGATATGAGTTCAACGCGTCCAATAATTGGGCAGGGAATGCATCCTGGGGTGCAAGGCGATAGCCAACATTGAATGCTCGACCGTTACAAGCCTTTGCGAGTTTTGAGACCTGTAATCTGTGTGTTCCAAAGCCGCACAAGTAGTAGGCTCCACCATGGAAGTACAGAACTGTTGTCTTGCTCGTTTTAGTGGGCTCGTTCATGAGTCTTTTGTACTTTTCCTGTTCTGAAATGTCTGGCAGGGGCTCCTCGGTCTCGGCGCCAGGCCTGAAGCCCGTCCACTCAGCATCAATAGCTGACAGTGCGGGTTTGATGTATGTCTCGTTGCCATCTCCAAGATCTGCGATGGCGGTGAAAGTAGCGTCTCTAACGCTCTCATCTTCGGGAACTGGAATGGTGACTCTGGCGGTCCACACCTTGCCCTTGGCTCCGGGATCATTCAAAGTTTGAGCTTGTGTCTTTCCAACAGGAGAGGGACCGCCGTTCATGAGAGAACGTAACAAAGCAACAGTCATCTCGGTCCGCAGATCCCATTTCGAAGAAGTCGGAGACAACCATAGGGAATGAGAGAGGGCTGTTTTGGTCAAGGACGGTAGGCGTGGAAATAGAAATTTGATCAGACCATATGTTGAGTTGTCCATATTGGCTGTTGGAATAATGTTGGTTTGCAATGGCTATGCAAGAAGTTGGCATGATGAGAGGCGAGAGACGAGAGTCGAGAAACAACAAAACATGACGTCGACATTCTCCACAATTGCCTCGGCAGCTTGAGCACAAGAAGAACAAAGATAAAATGCGACTGAAAAACTCACGAGGACAGCAGAGGGTTGCCGTTAGCCACGCAAACAAGTCGGAAGGGATACTTGTGGCAATGCGAGAAGATTGTGGTGCTACGAGTGAAAGATAGATCGACTGGATGTGTGTGTGTAGTATGGTATTCGGTGCTTTGCCTTTTTGTATGATGATGCCCAACCAACGCCTTGCTAGACCCGAGAAATAGTTGTATGCCAGATAATGGAAAAAGTGATAGAAAGATGAGGTGCGAAAGGATGGGATCAAAGGATGCCGTCGTGCTCGCCGGGGAGTCTCTTGATTCTCTTCTGCTCCCAGCTGTCGAGATCTTTCGCCGCCAGTTTCTGCGCATCGTGTTAGTGAGTGGAATGCGGATCGGAGGCTTCAGATGCTCAGGCGTACATAGTATTCCTCTTTCAGGTCGATTCTTCGCCTATCCTTGCCGATACCGAGCTCTTCCTCCTTGGTGAGTTGCTTGACTTTGCGGTCGTGCTTTTCGTATCTGATGGCGGTGGCCGGTGTCAAGAAGAACGAGCCGAGTACCATGGTGGCAATGAAGGGGAGACCGAACAGAGCAAAAGGGTGTTTTGCTAGAAGAGCGCGGTATCTAGCGGGCACTGTGCCATTGTATGAATTCGGCCGGAAGCGCTTGGCTGGGAAGACGGCCATGTTGTGTGTAGTCGAGTGCGCGGATTCGGCCTGGGGCTGGTTTTCTGATATGCGCGAGTAGCCTGGCGAGAGTGTGGCGGCAAATGGCTGCTTGTCTGTTGCTAGCTACGTGCTGACTCGACCATCTACCTCTGCTTGCTCCAGCACTTCCGCCTCCACTTCCGTTTCGGGACGCCGTGTCTAATTTAGGGCACGTGACCGCGCACTCCGTGGTCGCGTCTTCCATCTCGGCGACTGCCACACTTGTTTCAGTCCATCACACATTTGCCAGATGCCCTCTCTGCTGCTTATGCGACTGTGTCTGCGTCAAGACTTGCAAGATGGTCGGAAGACTTCTCGCAAACAGTCATAATCGCGCCAACGCTTCTTTTGGTGGCGATGACCTGACAGATGCAAATCTTCCACCACCATCTACCCTCGCTGCTCAACTTGTAAGGAACCACGTCGAGACTGCCCGTGGTGTTCAACAAACAGACACCACCGCTACTTTCCGTCAGCTCCTGCAAGAACTACTCAACAAAAATTCGGCCCCCGAATCTGATCTTGAAGTCAACCATAAACTTATCAAGGTTGTTGTTGAGGCAGGTCTCGATGTGCTCTTTCAAGATGACCCCTTCCCTCAGTGGGACTTCTTGCTCCCACAGGCAGTTGACAGTCTTGCTGTCATCCAATCTACCATCCAAACACAGCCAGACATCCTTTTTCACCATGCCTCGCCATCGAACCCAGAGCAACACCCACATCTCTTACTTTGGCTTTTCCCCAAGCTGCTCATGGTAGCGAAACATTCAAAAGGCGACCAATTGCAAGGCCCGCTAGCTTCGCTGTTGTCTTCACTGGTCATGAGTCTGACCAAAACTTTGGATTTGTGGCCACACGCGAAGGCTTTGCTGCAAATGCTTCGGGATTGTATTACTGACATCCTCTTACTGCTTCAAGATAGTCGCGCTTTCTCAAAGCCTTCGTCACAAGTGCCGCCCGTTCTGCTACCACCAGCTAGAAGTACCTTCGGTGCTTGGCCCACGCCAAAGAATAGCGTGGCGTTAACATTGGGCCATCAATTGTCTATAAATGATGCTCTCTCGGCCACTAGAATACAGCTGCTTCTCATTTCCGCCCTGAGAAACATTGCAACAGCCAAGTTCACCCTGACTCGGCTGCAGACTTCGACTTTTCCGCTGCATAAATGGATTTTCGACTCGGTCACGTCCATGAATCGTATCTTGTTCCAGAACAAGTCATGGTTTGAACAACAACTTTTCTTTTCCCAATTTGCCTTGCAAGTCGTTCGTCTACAGACTTTCGTACTGAACGGCCCTTCGGACCCAACTGCTCGGAATCGAGTTGCCTACATGCTAAGTAGTGTGTGCGAGTGTTGCTCAAGACTCATCATGTACGAAGGAAGATCACCGCTGGATGTTGGGCTTCAGCAGGAGCTTGCGTCGACTATCAATCACATGGTAGATTGCTATGCCGCAGACTATGCATACATAATCGAAGAATTTTTGCTACCTTCTGTTGGCGCTTTTGCTCGCGACACATCAAAATTCGAGGCTACTAGCGAGCCTCTGCGGCAAGTGGCCGAGAAATGCTCAAAAATGCATGATATGAACAATCAGATCACTGAACGGACCGATACGATCATGAGCGACCATGACCTCCAGACTCACATTGAGACTCCCGTCCTGCCAACACAGCCCTCATCTCAATTTCTGGCTCACCCAAAATCGCTACGTGCTGGACTGCATAACGCCTGCAGCCCTACACCAAAGGTTTCGAATGTTCACTCAGGAGACCCATACCAGACGCTCCGACGCAAAGTAGCTATCTTGATGGGTAAAGGTGACACGAATGGCCGCCAAAATGACGCCGTGTAAGTTCGGTCTGCAGACATTCTCCACATAGATACTGATTGCTACCACCAGTACATGTTACGCTTCCATGTCTGAAGACCAACAAACCATGTTTTGGCAGATTGTAAGATCTTGTGCCTGTGCTGCCACGAACAACTTGCACAGTGGAAAGTGTTCAGTTTGCGACGGTGATCATCGCCTTCGACAAGAACCAGACAGGAACACTTGGGAAGATAACGATCGCGCAGAAGATTGGACAGAAATGTTTCTCATGCTCACAGAGCTCTTCGAGAGCCAGGATCTGCAGCTTTCCAACAGACACAGGGTACTTGCAATCCTCGCAGTCCGTTCGATAGTGTTGCACAACAGAGACCCCACCTACCTTGATCTCGGCAACTCTTTTCTGGCAGAGTGGTGCTTGAAATACCTGCATAGTTCTTCTAGAGAGCTACGACTCGCTGCAGGGCGAACGCTGGCTGCTTTCCTACGTGAAGGCTTGCCCGTCGAGCTTCGTAACAAGAATCGACAACTTGCACTGAACTTTCTTAGGGCACTATCCACAAAGGATATCGTAGGCCAACATGAAACCCTGATTCTGGCTTGGGGTCGAGTCGCAGTTGTTTGTGGCGAGAAAGAGCTCAATCTGGCATTACTCAGGCTGGTAGATTATCTGGGCCATCCAAACTCTCTGGTCTGCTCTCTTGCCTATAGTGAGCTAGAGGATATTGCCGAAACGCTGTCTCTTTCACCGCAAACACTCCTCAAACCGTTCTATCGCAGTATCGCTGTTGCTGTCATACAAGATCTCACCACCAAACCACAGAAGGCTCAGCAACTCTCCGAGTTCCTAGGCATGAGCGTCAGCCACTTTTTGCTGTTAACACAAAAAGACACCGTACCTTTCCTCGTTCTAACGAGAAAGAAGGATGTTCTGCAGCGAGTCGCTTCCGCTCGCAGTGCCAACACCAGCATACAAGACATGTGTCTACAGCCGCCTGCTAATCTTGCCGCCGTAATATCCACTTTGCTCTATCAACCTTCAAGTGACGTCGAGGGCAACGCGACCAGGTGTCTCGCGGAAATTGCTCCTGGGTTCCAGAGCAGCGATCTCGGCAGCCTGGCTCGGTCAAATCCTGTTTTGATTGCTTGTGAGATGCTCAAAACTGCGGGAGATGAAGACGAATTGAACGCACCAAAAGCACAGCAAGCTATCCAGATCTTCATCATGCTGGTAGAGGGCAAACCAAGCCATTCGAAACAGAACGCAAAAGCCAATCGGGTGGTCGTTGGCTTCTTCGAGGCACATATTCTAGGCATAATGACCGAGTTTTCCAACTCGATCGACAACTCACTGTCGCTGTCTTCCTCAGAGAAGCTCCGTTGTGTCAGAGCCATCGAACAAATGATCATACTAGCTAAGAGCAAGGTCAGCGTCGCTCTGCCACAAATCAGAGCGTGTCTTCAGAGTGCCATCGATCAGCCAAAACTCCAAGAATCGGCACTTTCCGCCTGGCTTACTCTGGTCGCAGTTCTCGAGGGCGATGATTTTGCTGATATGGTCGACCACACGTTTGCACTCGTGGCTCAACACTGGAATGGTCTTTCGTCATCTCTTCAGATGAATATTCACGATACGATAAGCGAAATGGTCAAGACCCATAGCAACGTGATTCGAGAGAAGCTGATGACTATACCGTCTTTGGCTTCAATTCCTCTGATGTCCAAGATTGGCCTAGAGATTCAAAGGCTCAAGAAAGATGAGCGCCCGGACGTCCATCTTCGTGCTTTTGCAAAAAGACTGCATGATGAAAATGTTGCAATTGTCACCCAAGGGTTACTCGAGCTGGTACCCTGGCTCGGCGAGAATCAAGGATTTGTCCACGAAGCAGCTGTTAGCGAACAGCCTAAGGCTGCGATAGCAGATGTCATGCGTGCTTTGTTGGACGTGTGTACGAGATATGCCAACCACGATTCAACTGTCGTCGACCTCAGTGCACAGTGTATCGGCATCATTGGCTGTTTGGACGCAAACAGCGTCGAGATGAGCAGCAGTAAGCGACAAGTCCTTGTTCTCTCCAACTTTGAGAAAGCATCCGAAGTTATCAACTGGGTCGCTATTATGCTCGAAGACGTGCTGGTACCGGCGTTCCGATCATCTACAAACGCACGCGACCAGGGTTTCTTGGCTTATGTTATGCAAGAGCTGGTTAGATTTTGTGGTTTCAATGAAGCTGCAACAGCACGTCTCAGACCATCGCAAGCTGGCCCAGCATACAACCGCTGGACCGAAATGACAGAAAGTGTTCGGAATACTCTTACACCATTCTTGAGCTCGAGATACCTGCTAAAAATTTCGTCCGAACAACCCGGGAAACGAGACTACCCAGTATTTGTTGCGGGGAAGTGCCACAGTACTTGGTTACGTGAATGGGCTTACGACATGATGTGGAGAGGTAAAGGCGACAATGCAGAGATGGTATTTCCCATTCTGGCTCGCATCATCAATCGACATGACATCTCCATTGCCAGCTTCCTACTTCCGTATGCGGCGCTCAACATCGTCCTCGGCGGCACTGTTCAAGAGGCGAAGGACGTTGGGGTTGAGATGCTGACAGTCCTATCGACTGAGTCTGTCGTCGAGTCAGAAAGGGTGTCCCTCCGACAATGTAGCGAGAACGTCTTTGCCGTGCTGGACTACATGTCAAAGTGGTTACAGGAGAAGAAGCGGACCATGGCTTCGTATCGAACTGCAGCGATACGAGCAGGTCATCCGATCTCTGAAATGGAAGAGGTGAAGGACGTAGGTCAAATCGAAAGCGTAGAGAGCGTAATACGGTCTATTCCTGCAGACATCATCGCTCAGCGCGCAATGGAGTGTGGCTCATATGCGCGTGCTCTGTTTCACTGGGAGAGCCATATCCGGGAACAGTCGCAAAGACAAGAGAAGCAAGACGCCAAAGAACATGACGCAATGTTTCAACGCTTGCATTCCATCTACTCGCAGATCGATGAACCAGATGGCCTAGATGGAATTTCTGCACATCTCAACATTCTCAGTCCCGAGCAACAAGCCTACCAACACCAAAGAACAGGAAGATGGTCAGCTGCCCAAAGCTGGTATGAGCTTGAGCTGATCAAGAAACCATCAGATACAAACCGTCAAATCGATCTCTTGAGCTGTCTTAGAGAATCCGGTCAGTACGATCAAGTCTTGCGATACGCGTCCTATTACAATAGCAACCCGAGCCAGGCCGAGAAGAACCCACTTCTATCATACATCACAGAGGCATGTTGGACTACCGAAAGGTTTGATACACTCAAGGAAGTTCTTGCTGGCCTCCCGGAGGAGAATCAAAGCGAATTCAATGTTGGTGTTGCCAAAGTGCTTCTTGCCATGCAAGAGAAGAATCAAGACGAAGTATCGAACACAATCAACAATCTTCGCAACAGCGTGGTCAAAGGTGTGACCTCTGTCTCTGGAAGTTCGCTCCAGGCCTGTCACGACGTTCTTTTGAAGCTTCACATTGTGTACGAGATAGGTGCGCTCAGTGGAGCTACCAAAGTCCCCACAACTCAAGAACCAGGTCCTACATCAATTCTTGCAGTCATGGACAAGAGACTGGCCGTAGTTGGATCATATATCTCCGATAAGCAATATCTGCTTGGTATTCGACGTGCAGTCATGCGGTTGTCAAATATAGATTTCTCAAGCGTCAGTATCGGCACATCCTGGCTTACAACAGCTCGTCTCGCTCGAAAGACAAATGTTTCGACTATAGCACATTATGCTGTACTTAACGCATTCAGTTGTGGAGACGATGCAGCCAAAATTGAACATGCCAGACTTTTGTGGAAGGATGACCAGCATCGACAAGCCATCCAGAGTCTCGAGGGCGCTATCGCATCTGACACATTTGCAACCTATGATCAAAGGATGATGGACACAAGCAACCCGGAAGAAGCACAGCAAAAGCAGAACATGCTTTCTGCAAGAGCGCATCTGCTACTTGCGAAATGGTTGGACGCTTCGGGTCAGACACAGGCAACGAAGGTCACAGTCAAGTACCAATATGCCGCCAGGCACTACTCAAGATGGGAGAAGGGTCATTACTACTTGGGCAAGCACTACAACATGCTTCTCGATGCCGGGAAAACACTACCCGTAGCCAAACAATCAGACCACTTCATCTCCGGAGAGTTAACCAAACTAGTCATCGAGAACTACTTACGATCGGTACCTTTCGGCTCCAAATACTGGTATCAGACCATTCCCAAAATCATCACACTCTGGCTGGATCTTGGTATGGAGTGTATGCAAAGGACTAGGAGTGATGGTCAGGCTGAGGTGACTGCTAAACGTTCTCATTGGCTTGATGCAGTCCACAAACAGATGAGGAAGTACTTCGACCGGATACCTCCGTACATATTCTACAACGCTCTACCTCAAATGATTTCGCGCATCACTCATCCAAATCCAAAGGTTTACGAGGTTCTGCAGATGATCATTTCGAAGATTGTTTCGACACATCCCAGTCAAGCACTCTGGTTCTTGCTAGCTGTTTGTAAGGCTTCCGTACCGGACAGAGCAAGTCGTGGCACGGCCATCATCAGCAAGTTAAAAGATCCCAAAAACAGACCCAAGAACGAGTCTGCCGGGCTGGATCTGCGTGTGATGATAACGCATGGCCAGAAGTTATCTGATGGCCTGCTACAAGCCTGTGAGATTCACATCGAGACACGATCGGCCAACGTCGGCTTGTCTAAGGACTTGAACTTCAATCACAAGTTGGCCCCCAATCCTCTTGTCATACCCTTGGAGTCTACCTTGACAGCCAACGCACCAGTGGTACAAGATGCTTTCCACATTCGAAAGTTTGTGGCATTCTCCCAAGAGCGCATCACTATACAGAGCTTCAGCGATGAAGTCTTGGTCCTCAATTCTCTGCAACGACCACGAAAGTTGACAGTAAGAGGCTCAGACGGCAAGCAGTATGGACTCTTGTGCAAGCCGAAAGATGATCTGAGAAAGGATCAACGCCTGATGGAGTTTAACACAATGATCAACAGAGCGCTCAAACGAGACACTGAGTCAAACAAGCGACGTCTCTATATCAAAACATACGGAGTCACACCGTTGAGTGAAGAGTCGGGTACTATCGAGTGGGTGGAAGGAATCAAGCCTCTGCGCGACATTCTTCTCAAGCTATACCAGCGTAAGGGTGTCCAGCCGAATTACAACGAGTTGCGAGTCTTCCTTAGCGAGGCAAGCGCCAATCCTGCCAACGTGGACATCTTCACCGACAAGGTGCTCAAGGTGTTCCCATCCATTCTTCACGAGTGGTTTACAGAAATGTTCCCTGAGCCTGACTCGTGGTTCGCTGCCAGATTGAGATACGCTCGCTCGGCTGCAGTGATGTCCATGGTCGGACATGTGCTCGGACTTGGCGATCGTCATGGAGAGAATATTCTGTTGCAGGAAGACACTGGTGGCGTTTTCCATGTCGATTTCAACTGCTTGTTCGACAAGGGACTCACATTCGAAAAGCCAGAACTTGTGCCTTTCCGCTTAACACACAACATGATTGCGGCCATGGGAGCTTACGGCTACGAGGGACCTTTCCGCAAGTCAGCTGAGTTGACATTAGGCTTACTTCGACAACATCAAGATACCTTGATGAATATCCTGGAAACGTTCTTGCACGATCCTACTACAGACTTCATCGGTAAGAAAAAGAGGACGACGCCAGGAGTGCCGGACACACCACAAGAGGTCCTTGACTCTATCAGCAGCAAGCTCAAGGGGTTCTTGAGGGGTGAGACGATACCGCTGAGTGTGGAAGGACATGTTAATGCTTTGATTGGGCAAGCTACAGACCCGTGGAACTTGTGTCAGATGTATATTGGTTGGTGTGCATTTTTGTAGATCATCTTATAAAGGGAAGAGGAGTTCTGGTTGGGTATACAGGCTATAAGCGAGTGTGTATAAGGTGTTGTTGATTTTGAAACAGAGATGGGAAATTTGGGTGGCAGGTGAACATGGTGCCCATGGAAAGTATGATACTAGTACACGAAGTCTTTTTTGTTTATCCTGAATGGTTTGTGTCAAAACGCGTGACTGGGATAGGCCTTACAGTGGGTTTAGCTTAGTACTTTCTATACTTCTGTTCTATAGACTGGGTCGTGTAACGCGATGCGACATGTCGCTGACTGTTCGTGTAATGCCAGGGTCGTACTCGCAACTACCAATTCAACATCGACCATTTCACTTTCCCCATTACGCGCACTGTCTATACTTTCGGGATTACGAGAGATGGGACCGTGGTATCTTTTTGATGAATTTGTCGTACTGCTGGATGCATCGGATCGATATATGGTCGTCAATATCGTATCAACGAATACAAAATCACGTAATTTGAGATGTCGTGTACTCTGGCGATGAAATGATAAGTACACCTCTCGAAACATAATTGCAGAGTAGAACAACCCGTCCTAGTACTATAGAACAGGTTCATGCATACATATACTATCAGACTACTCGCACAAAGTCAGTCGTGCTGGAGTAGGAGCTCAATATTCTCGAGAACAGCTGGCCAAACTACTTGCTGCCGAAAGGATGGAGAGAATGATTAGGTCCAGAGAGATCGGGGTGAGATCTTCAAGTGTGCGGTTTACTTGGTAGGTTATGGCGAAAAAAGGAAAAAAAAGAGAGAGACCGTGCAAAAGTGGACATTGGAGCATGTTCTGCACCACAAAACCGTCATCAGTGTTTGCAAAAGAAGACGTTCCGACACGGGGAATTGAACCCCGGCCTCCTCGGACCTAGTTGTTCTTTCGAACGGTTTGAGAGCGAGAAATCCTAGCCACTAGACCATATCGGATGTTGTTGAGCGCCATCCCATCCAATCATATATATATTTTCGATCTTTGAGCGTCTCACGTGCCGGGCGTATGGCAACGCCACGAGGGCTTCACGAGCCGCAAACAACGCGTCACATCTTATCAATCACACTGCCTAACCACTTCGAGACACGAAAGTCAATACATTAAATAAACAAAACATGAGTAGCTCACTATTGAGTTCGGACGCGAACAGTAAGTTTGGCATGCGCTTCAGGGAGAGGGACCATGAATAGTAAGCTTACATGTCTAAAGGAGTCAATGCCGCAGAGCTTAATACAAAGATAGACGAGGCCAAATTAAAGCATGGCTCTGACTGGGATAACCTACCTGAAGGCCATGTACTCATCAGAATGTCGGCTGCGCTTGTCGAAGTGATCAAGGAAGCTGGGTATAGCGAGATGTACGGCGTTGAGCTCTGTCCGCCTACTGAAGCGTATGTCATGTCGCTCCACCCTACACATCCCAGAGAAGAGCAACAAGCAGCTAACCCAAAAGACATGATAGAGGAAAACCCGCACCCTTCAGCACCTTACTCATTCTCCAAAAGTTCCTCCGTGCAAATGAAGGACAAGTCAACAAAGCCAGCGATCAACTCCTCAAAGCACTAAAATGGCGCAAGGAATTCAAGCCCCGCGAAGTCATGAAACAAGTATTCGACAAGACCAAATTCAAAGGCCTGGGCTACGTTACAAAACTAGTCTTTGTACCTGAAAGCCCAAACGACATTGACATTGCCACCTTCAACATCTACGGTGCTGTCAAGGATACCAAACACACCTTTGGAAATCTAGACGAGTGAGAAAGCAAAAAAAAAATACCCCCACACAAAACATCCAGCAAAAAAGACTGACCATATCGATAAAAAAAAACAGATTCATCCGCTGGCGTGTCGCATTGATGGAACTAACCCTTCAATCCCTAAACCTCTCCAAAACAACCACCCCAATCCCCGACCATGCAAAAGGCACAGACCCTCACCTCGCCATCCAAATCCACGATTACCTCTCAATCTCCTTTCTCCGCCAACCAGCCGAAGTAAAAGCCTGCTCTCAAAAGGCTATTCAACTCTTCTCTGCTTACTATCCGGAAACTCTGTCCAAAAAGTACTTTGTCAATGTTCCTAGGGTCATGCAGTGGATGTTTGGGGCTATGCAGATGTTTATGGCCAAGGAGACTTTGGCTAAAATGCAGTGGATGAGTTATGGTGAGGAGTTGCATGGGTTTTTGGGGAGCTCGGTGCCGAGGCAGTATGGTGGGCAGGGGTCGGATTTGGAGGAGACGAGTGTTACGCCTTTATATGAGGAGACTTCTTTGGGCGAGGAGCAGGGCAAGGGAGATGCTGCTGCTGATCCAAGCGCTGCTGCCACTGCAAAGGAGATGGCTGTCTGATGTCGGCCATGACCGCCGTTCTCTGCTGTCATTTTCTCTTATCGTTCTGCCGTTCCAGATACATCTTGCTTCTCCTTACCCTATGCTGGCCTCAAATAATGACAATGCTACTCGTGTTTTCCAAGAACGTATTGTGAAAGACTCAGTCAAGCTGCAAGAGTAGAGAGGAGTCATAGGGCCAATTGATTTTATTTATACTCTTAGAGATAGTGCACTTTCCATAACGACCGGCACTTGAGTTTCACCCATACCACGACCAAATTCACCAGTCCCAGCTCTTGTCGTCCTCTTTGCACAGGGGGTACACTGCAAAGACAGCACTCTCAAACACCTCCTCGCTCAAGCTCTTGTCGCCCTCCCAGAAGAAGGCCGGAATACAGAAGTCAGACTCCGACTCCCAGGCCGACTTTACCACTCTATGCATCTCCAAGTCATCGTCAGCCAGCTTGCGTGCAGGTTCTTCGTATGCTGAGCTCTCTCCCATGAAAGAATCTCTCAAAGGCAATGGCAGGACTTCGACGCTGGAGAACCCTGAGCTGGCGATCGAAACGCAACTGCTTGGAACTGCATCTTTGTTGGACAGGAAGGTCCAGTCGTACGTCTCGGCTTCATGCTCGACCATGACAAGATCCTCAGGGCAATCAGCAATTTCGCACTTGTAATCTGCAACAGGCTCACAATCCCAGCCAAGGAAGGGCTCGTTGTTCCAGTCGCTGAGGACATCGTATGGCCAATCCAGAACAGGTTCATCGAGCCATTGGACCTCAGGAGTGACGTTCCATGTAGCAGTTGGCTCAGCAGGCACCAAACCTGGCATTCTGCCTTCTTCACAACTACGTAGCGACTGTGAGAAATCCAGAGTATGTTCCTCAGCATTCTGATCGACCTTCTCACGATACAGAGTACACGCCGTAGGCTGTAGCTTTGATCCAAAGAGTTCGTTCTTACTCGATTTAATGTCGCGGACTGAGGTAGTGGTCAGATTGAATGGGTCAATGTCGTGGAAGTGTGGCAATTCTGCTGCCACGAATGGGGAGAACGGATCGTCGTCTTCCGGATCATCCAGAGCCAGATTGGGGTCCTGGAGACGTGTAGCGACGGGAAATTCCGGCATCCATGGTGTTATGATTGGAGCAAGACTCAAACTGGCAACAGCAGCTCGAGAATTGGCTTCGAAAGTGGGCGTGCCCATGCTGGGCGCCAATGGCGTGGAAAGGCCAAGTTCAGCTGTGGTCATGAGAGAAGTCGGTGGAGATGGGAAGACTGTAGGCTTCTTGATGGGCGACAAGAACATGATCTCGAGTTTGGACCATTCTTCATCGGACACAGGACAGAGACGAGCGGTAGGAGTGTGCACCGGAGACAGCCTGGGAGGTTCCCACTTGATCATCTGCATGGGGAAGGGATCAAGTGCTGGTAGCTGGACGTTCGAGTTGCGCTGATGCTTTGCAATGACATGATCGACGCGAGTGGACAATTCAGTGTCTAGGGTGGCAAGCTGGAAATCGAGAAGCTCCTTTCTCTTGTGTTCTCTCGCTCTTCTGCGTCTTGAATGACGATTGGCGAACCATCGAGATCTGCGGTCTTGAAGATGAGCCAAGGGCTCAAATTGGTTCCCTTGATGATGTTAGTTCATCGCAGTGATGCTTGTCTGCGTACATGACATTACTGTTTGGATGCTAGCCAGAAGCAACAGTCAGAGGAGGATTCAGCATCCAATTGTGGTTGGAAGGCGAAGAATTGGCGGCATCAGCACAGAGCTGGTGTAATCTCCCTCGACGAGTAAGACGCCTTGTGTCTTCGAAGTTGGAACGCTTTTGGATGGAGCTGGAGCGAACCATGATAGGGTCTTGTAGTAGGCGAAGTGATAGGTCTTGTAAATAGGGATAGTGATGGGAATCGGGATGGATGTTGTGAGGGCAGAGCTTCAGGATGGCAGGTAGCGGATGCAAGGATTGAGACTTTGCGCAAGGGCGAGCGGTGACTTCCCTACCTTGAATTTGCACTCTTTCCAAAGCCTACGGCGCACGCGTGTCTTCTTGGAGCACACGTAGTTCCTTTGTGGGCGAGCACCGGCTTGAATCAAAGCATTGTTTCTACCAGACAAACGCTACTTTCAACAGCCAAGGTGTATTAGCAACACATGTGGCTGAACTCTAGAAGGAGATTTACATCGAATCTTGTCTCCCATACTCTGCTGCTCTACCTCGGGACGCAACAGTGACAAGACTTGTCGGCTTGCTTAAAAGTGGACAACGAGGTCGAAATGACCACGAGCAGATGTCAGTCGTGTTCAGCACAAGCAATACGGGTGATTGACCGATCGACAGAGCGTAATGATGCTTTTTCGCAAACCTCAGGACACGCGATGGTCCTTGACGTGGCAGCTTTTCGGATCAGGCGGAGCGTCCAGTGCGTTCTTGACACGAGAAGGGCAATCCGATGCGGGGTGGCAGGACGTGATGTCACTGGCCGAAGTCTGAAGCTACGCGCAGGGTATTTTTGGAACAACGGCGTCGATGGCAGGCGAGGCAGCAATGGTTTGGAGTGGAAGCAGTTGATAGAAGGACCATGATTTCGACGTATGCAGAACAGAAATGGATCTTCACGTGCACTATGTATCAAGATCGGCATAAGCTGGCAGTTGTGGCTTGAAGAAATGGTGGTGGGACCTGCTTTGTGAAACGCGAATGTTCCTGCAGGCAGGACCGAGCTTTGTCGAAAAACAAGGGTCTCGGTGGCCGACGAGGATGGATGGTTTGGTGGGCGTGCAGTCGTCACCTTTTTTTCCTTCTTTGCTGAATTGCGTCGTCTGTTCACTCGCTCGACTGCCCATTGTTTCTGGCATTGCCACGTATCATTATCCAAGCACGCGACTCTTCAGAATCTCTCACGGCCTTCTTCCGGTACCGTTCACGGACGAATCTGCGTAGCATCCATCTCGCATCCCCAGGTCCCACATTCATTTCAACTCTGTAGATCCGACAGATCGCCAAGGCACAAGGCACACGACTCGTTACTAGCCTGCAGAGTCATCGTTTCAGCAAGAGTTTGGTACGAGAGGCGTTGGTCGATATAAGACAGACTCTCTTCCCTCTTCAGCGAAGGCTTTCCTCGCTATTGACATGTCCTTGAGGGGCAGCAACTCGCACCGTCTGTCTCGCGTAGGCTTCTCACCAATCCCGCACGACAACATGAACAACGGCGATGCGACCATCGACATTCCCTTGCAGGAGGTGCACACAGCAAACACCAGGAATGACAGCTCGACGCCCTTTGCCGGCAATGGCGACGGCCTCTCGAAGACCACATCCCGCCAACCCCCACGCACAATCGCCGGACGACGAGCCAGGAGGAACATGAACAACGAGTCGGTCGGCTACGATGGAGAGGAAGACACGCTCAACCGCATGGGCAGAATCTACAACAAGATCCTCAACTTCAGCATCATCACCCGCTACTTTGTCTACGTCTCTCCCCTCGCTCTCTGCATCGCCATTCCCATCATTGTTGGAGCCACGGCTGCACCCAATGCGAAGATTGGCGGTGTCCCAATCGTCTGGTTCTTCACATGGATTGAGATTGGTGAGTCTTCTTGACACTTCTCGACACCTTCCTCTCGACTGACGCTCTTCTAGTCTGGCTGAGTCTGTGGGGTTCCAAGATCGTTGCCCATTTCCTCCCCTTTGTCTTCCAATTCGTCGCCGGTGTCGTCAGCTCGGGCACTCGCAAGTACGCACTCATCATCAAGGCCCTCGAGATTCCACTATCTCTGGCAGGATGGGCTATTGCCTCTCTAGCCACCTTCATCCCTGTAAGCGACACATTTCTGCCAGTACCGACACAATTGCAAGACTGACCACACCATAGCTCATGACACGCAATCCCTACGGCCGCGCCCACAACCAAGCAATGTCCCACTGGATGAAGATCATGAACCAGATTCTGGCCGCTTGCCTGATCGGTACCCTCGTACTCTTGATCGAAAAGTTCTTCATTCAGCTCATCAGCATCAATTACCACCGCAAGCAGTTCAACGCCCGTATCAAGGATTCGAAGCGCAACGTCTTCTTGCTCGGCTTGCTCTACGACGCCTCCAGAGCTCTTTTCCCGGCCTACGAGACCTTTGCCGAAGAGGATTACATGATCGCCGATCAGCTCAACCTCAGCATGTTGGGCGGAAAGAAGGGGGCAGACCACAAGCGTTCCGGTTCAGTCACTCCATTCCGTTTGTTGCAGAACGTTGGAAGATTTGGTGATCAGGTCACCTCGGCCTTCGGAAACGTCGCTCAGGAGATTACTGGAAAGCAGGTCTTCAACCCCAACAGTGCTCATTCTATCGTTACTGGCGCACTCGAGAAGAGACGCACCTCCGAGGCCTTGGCCAGACGTTTGTGGATGTCTTTTGTCATGGAGGGCAAGGAGGCATTGTACGAGGACGACATAATCGAAGTTCTCGGTGACAACCGCCGAGAGGAAGCCGAAGAGGCTTTCATCATGCTCGACAAGGACTGCAACGGTGACATTTCTCTCGACGAAGCTGTCCAGCAGATCATCCAAATCAGCCGTGATCGTAAGGCTCTTGGTACTAGCATGCACGATGTTGATCAAGCCATCAACGTTCTGGACAGACTTCTTATGGTCATCGTCTTCATCATCATCATATTCACCTTCATCGCCTTTCTCAACGCCAGCTTTACCACCACACTGGCCACTGCTGGAACCACTCTTCTCTCCTTGTCATTTGTCTTCTCCGTTACCGCCCAGGAAGTCTTGGGATCCTGTATCTTCCTGTTTGTCAAGCACCCTTACGACATTGGAGATCGTGTTGACATTGGCGCCGACCATCTCGCTGTCGACCACATTTCTCTGTTGTTCACCGTCTTCCGTCGCATCAGTGGTGCAGAAGTTGGCAAATGCGTCCAGATCCCCAACAACGTGTTGAACACTCTCTGGGTCGAGAACGTCAGTCGCAGCAAACTTATGAAGGAACAGCTTACTCTCGACGTCAGCTTCGACACTACTTTCGAGGACATTCAGCTCCTCAAGAACGAGCTCATCAACTTCGTCATGGACAAGGACAACAGCCGCGACTTCCTACCTGACATTGACGTTGAGGTGCTAGGAACTTCAGACATGTCCAAGCTGCAACTGAGAGTCGAGGTCAGACACAAGGGAAACTTTGCCAACGAGACGCAACGTGCAGCTAGACGCTCCAAATTCATGTGCGCACTCGTCCAATCAATCCGTAGAGTTCCTATCCACGGTCCTGGTGGTGGCGCCGATGCACTGGGCGGTCCTGCAAACCCCACTTACTCCGTTTCAGTCTCTGATGGATATGCTAGTGAGGCTCGCGAAGCCTCTGCTGACTCCAAGGACAAGGCTCGTCTTGTGCCACTCAAGAAGGTCGAAGAAGCCTTGAGCCCTTCTCAGACACGATCAAAACACACAGGCACTGGCCCTCTTGGCCTCTCAGCCAAGGAAGCTGCAATTGTCAACAACTTGCACTCCCAAGCACCGGGACTGGACACTACTCGCGAGGAGCCATGGATGGAGAACGGCAGTAGCACATTGGATGAGCGTACAAGCATGGACCGCGCTCAGGACATCGAAGAAGTCCGAGGCCTGCTTCAGAGAGAGAACACAAAGGGCAAACGTCGTCCGTCGAACCACCCTTCCAATGTACCCGCCGTACCGACCATCACCGAGACGGTGCCTCCGTTCGCCTACACTGGATACGCACAAACAGCTGAAGCAAGTCTCGAAGTTGACGAGTATGAGCAGTACCGTACCCAAGCTCAAGGCGGTCAAACGGGCCAGGGATTGAACCTCAGCATTCCAAACACTGGACCTGCTCTTCCTACCAGCCCATCGGCGTATGTCCAAGGCTCAAACTATGTCGATGTGGACAGGACGACATCGGGCCGTCAAGGTCAGAACACCGACATCAGACAGGTGGGCAGAAGCCCTAGCAACCCTTACCGTCAACAATCGACCAAAAGAGCTTCCAATCCTTACGATAGCGATTGATCTCTCTACATGACTAGACGTTGAATAGAAGCTTCGAACTGCTGGTCGTCTCGGATTCTACTATCACTCGGAAGACACTTTTTTCCTTCTATCAGCATAGCCTGCTTTTGCAATTGTCCTTTTTGTTGCGTTTTACGCCCATCTTTGCTTTTTCTTGTACATTACAACAGCATAAAAGCACGGCACAGGAGTTTTGATTTGTTGCGCAGTGTTTCAAGGATACAAAAAGAGCATCAAACATGTACAAAGCTCATGGTGGGTTTTTGGGATAAAGGGTCGATCAACTGTAGATGAACGCTACAAAGTGCTTGGCATCAAGACAAATGTTACACTCGTCATCTCTTGAGAATGTGAATGCACAAAGTGATGTGGATGCTCCACGAAATGACTACGACCAAAGCTACGCAGAAGGTGGGTATGCTCTACACAGAAGCCGGAATGGAAACAAGAGGTGAGAACAAGCCATGTCGGCTAATCTATCCGAATCAGCCAAGCCATGATATGTCGAGTGTGTTCCCCGCCCTCCCTCCGCAATCGCAATCCTGCGAAAAGCACGAGCGAGGTCGAGAAGGCCTCGGCGCAAGCAACGGGGTTGAGCAACAAAGCTACCTTTCTACTTGTCAACAGTCGCAACACTATTCTTTTTACTTGTATGAATTTTGATCGCCTATAAGCCGTCTTTGGCGACATGAGACGCGTGACATCAGAAGCCTAATCTTGTGGTCATTCTGATTCTGTCTCGTTCTCCTTCCCTTCGCGACATGTCAAAGAGGTCCTGGTCCGTGGCGAACGCCGCTCAGGGCTTACTCGACATGAACTCGGTAATTGACTTCTCAGTCGGATGTATGCTATAGGAAGAGGCTCATTGTCTTCTAGGGTTCTCGAAGTGCTACGAACGCCACTTCAATGTCTCCACCACAGGTGCCTCTCCAGCAGGATTCTCCCAATGGACCCCAGATTTCACGAAAGGTGAAAGCATGCGCTGCTTGTCGCAAACAAAAGGTACTGCTGGTTAAACTGCTGTTATTATGCTGAACCGGATTACTCATGCCGGGCCAGATTAAATGTCTTATGGACAATAATGGAGAGCCTCCATGTCGACGTTGTATAGAAAGAGGCCTCTCATGTGTCTTGAACAAGAGTCTTCAAACTCTGATCAGCGAAAGGTCGCAATGGAAGGATGACATGCATCGCGATATCTCGAACATGCACGGAGCCGTCCAGGACATCTTGAAGAAGCTATCGATGCCTGCCTTGCAACCGCTCAAAGCACCAACGGCGGCAGAGGACCCTCAGGAGACCTCGCCCTACGATGACACCATAGTTGAGAAGGTTGAAGATGTTGGTCCATCTTGTGACAACTCTCCCAAATTACCACCACAGACCGAGTCACTGCAGAACGTACCGATCGAGTCTCTTTACCAGATCACGCGACTACGTTCACTACGAGCAGAAAACTCTGGAGACGAAAGTAAGCCCGACGAGGGATCGGACGTAGTGTCAAAGGGCATCGTGTCTCTCGAGGAGGCCGAACGATTGACGACACTTTATCTCGGACGACTGGACCACTACGCTTACAGCATTGCCAATAAGTTCACCGATCTGCAATCTATACGACGGCGATCAGTGGCCTTGACAAATGCAATCTTGACTGTTGCCGCTTTGCACGATCCAAATAGCAACCAACTGTTCGGACCGTGCTGTCGAGAGTTCAAGCGGGTACTCGCAGACTCCATGTTTGTTCGCCGCATTGACCGCGAATATCTACGAGCCATGTGTATTGGTTCTTATTGGTTGAGCGACATGTCTTATACACTTTCTGGACACGCCATTCGACGCGCCATGGGAATCAACCTGAGCTCAAACTACTTCAGAGTCTTGAACGACGGGTCAGAGGACGCTGCAGATTGTCTTCGATTATGGTACATGCTATACATTTGCGACCAACATCTCAGTATCCTTTACGGCCGTCCCACAACGATACGAATCGATGACCCTAGTCTGCAGGGCTGGGAGAGATATCTGGAGGTACGCGTGGCAGTGGAGCAAGACCGACGAACAGCAAGTCAAGTGGCACTAATGGTGATCATGGGCACCATCCGAGAATTTTTCGAACGACACACCAGAGACACACAAACACTACCTCAAAGCCTAACCGGACACATTGCATCCTTCGACCGCCAGATCGATCGCTGGGTGGAAACCTGGTACCAACACCTGAGTAAGCTTTAGCCCCGAACACTCCGACTTGTATCGTACAACACAAGCTGACAATCTACGATAGAACGACGCGACGACATTGGAGACTGGCCCTCGAAAGGTGTGCTCCTACACTCGAACCTCGCCCGCCTCCACCTCCACTCTCACATCTTTCGCGGCCTAGCAAATGCACCGATCCCTCCTTACTTCCGCACTTTTGCCGCGAAAGCGGTCGAAGCTGCAAAGATTATCGTCGAAGTGCTCCTCTCAGACACCGACATGCGAGCGGGATTGGTAGGCATGCCTCACTATCTCCATACCATGATTGCATTTGCATGCGGCTTCCTCCTTCAAATGACCACAAAATATGATGGAGATCTGGTCCAGCGCACAGCTGTTCATGATTTGATCAATAGATTGGTTGCACAATTACGTCTCATGCCGACAGGGAAGTATCACCTTGTGAGGTTCATGGCGGAAGGTTTGGAGAAGATGGTGGAAGCATCTATGAGGACACCCACACAACCCGCTGCTCAACTATTCAATGGGGGATTTCAATATATGAGCGATAACTCATATGGCAGGACTGCAGACCCGGCGACTTCACAAATGGATATGATGGCTGGAGGAGGTGGTCAGAACGACTTTGGCTTGGGAAGGGATGATTCGTTCATGATCCCTGATTTCGGTCTTTCGAATTCTTTTTTGCCGTTTGAGGATCCTGTGTTTAGGACTTCTGACTTTGGGTACATGTAGTAGTTGTAACACATGTTTCCCCCGTCTGCTAATAGAATCCCATTTGACTCTGGGTACACAGCATTGCTATTTCTGACATGATGTCGCCTTGTACCTCTAAAAGTACGACCTCCAAGGTGACCTTAGATGTTGGCATGGTTAGTATACCAACACATCTCAGCAAACAATGACATTGCTCTAGGTCAAGAAAAATGTCCTGATAAAGAGTAAGCTACCACCAGATTTTAAACGCACTCACTACTAGCATTTCCAAAGCTGTTGACCTACAAGACTATTCAAGTCTTGCATCATCAGACATGTCATCATTCCAAGATGATTTCCAATTTCATCTTCGCCTTGCTCATGACCGTATTCGCCATCGCTGCCCCTACAATGATCCAAAGCACCCCCTTCGACTGCAACATCGCATACACCACCTGCATCACCACCGACCCCACCTAGACCCTTACCACTGCACCTCCGTCCGCAACACCTGCGAAATCTGCTGGCAAACCGAACAATCCTGCCGCGTCACTGCAGAGTACACCACTCAAAACACCCAATGCACAATTTCTGCTCAGCTTTTGCTATCACGATGCTGAAAATCCTGGTTACGGTGTTTGGGGTGTATGATTGTGATGCTGTGTACAGTACTTGCGTGTTTGCGAGAGATGCAGATGTGGCTTTTTGTAAGGGCCAGGCTTGTTGGCTGTAGAGGGTGTGGTGGGCGGGAAGTTTGGTGTTATGGTGGAGATGGGGTGGATCATGCGCATGGTGCTTCTCTATCTGAGGGATGTTTTGGAGGTGCTGTTATGGCTAAGGGGACTTTTAATATCTAGGTGGGCAGTTCAGCTTTCTACACTGAGGGGCGGCGAGATTAGGGAGACGAAATGTGTGATACAATGATTGACCTCTAGTGCTCTCACATGTATTCGGGGTCGGCAAAGTCGAGCCTATCGTGTCTTGTCTTCCAATGACAGTGTTTGGATTAGACCTGGAATCAAATTTGCCTTTTAGCTGTCACTTGATCCCTCACACTTCTTCAATACATGCTGACCATGTTCAGAGACCAATGGCAGATGTCGAAAGGTCAGCATTGATAGAGTAGGGCCGAGTGAGCAGCAGACATGAAGTGTTTCGGCATCTGCCCCGTCAAAGCTCGACGGTTCTCGAAGCCGTTGTCGCGTGAGTAAGGTAATCGGAAGCCGTCTGATTGGCTGCACGATAGACCTTCGTCGGCAGTGCTAAGGGTTTGCGAATCCGGGGGCTGACAATACATCACTGATGATTGGTTGATCAAGTGAAGCTGAACAATAGAGCTCTTGTGATTGGGCGACCACTATGTCATAGTAAACACCCTTGTGATTGATCATTGTTGTATAAAGCTCGCAGCTGCCTACACCACTTCCATACAGCTCATCATACCAACTCACTCCTGATTCATTCAACTCTGCCTTCTGCCATCACATTCCAGCCTTCCAACCCAAACCTCCGCCTCTATTCACAAGCTTCAACCACTAAACACCACACCACACCACACACAACAACAACAACAACAACAACTACACCCCATCCACCACAATGTCAGCCCCCACCTCCACCATCCCCTCCACCTGCTGCGGCCGCGACGGAACCTGCATCTGCGCCGCCGAAGCAACCTGCTCCTGCGGCAAGCAACCCGCCCTCCACTGCACCTGCGAAAAAGCCAGCACCGAAAACAAAGTCTCGGGTGCACGTTGCAGTTGCAACCAACGCGCTGCCGGTGCTTGTACTTGTTCGCGTGCCGGCAAGGAGAATGAGAAAGTAGAGGGCAGTACTTGTGCTTGTGGAAAGAGATCAAAGGGTACGTTTTGCATTGAAATTGTTACTGGAGTACAAAGAAGGGGATTTTGGAGTGCTAAATCTTGAGATGCACAGATTCTTGCTCTTGCAATGGCACTGAGACTGCTGCTGGTGGCAAGGAATACCCTGATGAAATCGATTTCACTACAAAGGCTTAAAGCTGCGTCGACACACCATCACCATTACGAAAACATACTTTTATCTTTTTGCATGACCGGGGAAAGGGTCTGGACTGGCGTTTTACGGATTGAAAGGACCTTTGGGGAGACATAATGCGTCACACAACTACCGAATTGGAGAGGAAGAAGAAAGAATAACTGAAATATACTTGCAAGGGAGAAGACACATAATATACCTTGGGATCAGCAAATGGGTTCGAAATGAAAATCATGATCAGTATTTGCAGAGTCGTACAATTGCAATGTGTCGTTTCCTGTGTTTTGTGCTACTCTGGCAAGACGAGAGATCAAGCACATCTGTGCATGGGCACTTTTAGTTATGGTAGCTTCCAACCCAGAGGACAAAGTATAGGCCGTCCTGACCTACTTCAGCGCGGTAACATCCCATGCTGCTCATCGAGCCAGTGTGTTCGTCTCACGTTGAATCGGAATCATCCATCACAAAGTACATCAAATCCCGAGTCAACGAGTTGCAGACCCTCAATGTAGAGGATTGACTAATTTACTCTGAGCATTTCATATTTCTCATGTCCTATCGTGAGATGCCGTCCATTTACTTTTTTCAATTTCGTCAACGCAATCCAATGTTTATGCAGCACCTCCACGTCCACCAACACGATCCAAAGCCTCTATCTGCTCTTGCGTAATCTTAGACTCGGGAAGTGTCTTGATACCCTTCTTGGTAGGCTTGGGCATGAAGCCTCTGGCAATCAAGAAGGAGAGGTACTGTCCAACAATATCCTCAGTGACAGCGCTACCAGCCGAGAAGTCCTGGCCTGACCTCGCAGCATCAGCCTTGAGGGCAGCAGCAGAGTTTCTGTCATCAAGCTCGGGGGCCTTGGTGCTGCCGGGCAAATCACCAGTGACCATGTGGTACAGACCAAGAAGAGCGTGCTCTTCCTTGCCTTGCTCGACAAAGCTCTCGACGGCGTCTCTCCACTTGGGGAACTCGACCTTGGGTGTTCCGTAGCCAAATGCTTCCAGGGCAGCGAGGTATTGGTTGAATGTCAGTCTGGGATGACCGGTGACGTGGCAGACGACCATGGGTGCGACGGGCTGGTTGAGTGCTGTGGCGATGACGAGTCTGGCGACGTGATCGACAGGTACCATGTTGATGGTGTTTGTAATGTCAGGTCTAGAACCGACTTGCACACAACCCTTAAGCATACGAATGAGGAAGTCGTCGGTGTTGGTAGTGCCAGTCTTGGGATCACCAAGTACGTAGCCAGCACGGATGATGGAGCCGACCAGACCTCTTCTTCCAGCCTCCTCCATCAGACGCTCAGACACCCACTTGCCTTGTCCGTAGCCAGTAGTGAGGCCTTGTCTACTACCCTCCATGTCATCAGATTCACTCACACCGGCGGCACCAGAAGCGATGAGGCTCTTGGACAATTCTACGTAGTGGTCTGAGTCAAGAGCACTGGTAGAACTGACAAAGGCCATCTTCTTGGTCTTCCCAGTAGCGCACAGCTTGATGGCCGAAATGGTACTCAAAACGTTGGCAGACTTGAGAGACGAAAAAGGCTTGAGCCAATGTACGATGGCACCGTTGTGAATCACAACATCAGCCTCTTTGGCGACGCGGTCATAGACATCCTGTTGCATACCGAGCAGAGGCTGCTCCTGCAGATCTCCAGTGACGCACTCGAGGCTGGATGACCATGAGTCTGACCAGATGCCATAAGCTTGACAAGTTGCCTTGACACGTTGCAAAGCATCCTCTTGAGACTTGGCACGAACGTGCGCAATGACCTTGTTGCCGGTGGACAGCAAGTCGCGGAGGATGTAGGAGCCCAAGAAGCCAGTTGCTCCGGTGAGGAAGACTGTCTGTTGCTTAGCAGATTCTCTGCTTGCTGACTGAATCTTGGTAGGAATCTCCTTGATCAGCTCAGGGAGAGTGTTCGAGTAGAATTCTTCCTGGTTGTCGGTCTCCGGGGCTTGGGCATCGAGACGGAGTCCAACGGGATTGAGTGAGCGCTCGATCTCGCCGGCAAGCTGTTGGAGGGTTGGGTTCTTGGAGATAGCACTGACGGGGATAGTAACATCAGGCCACTTCTTGCGAATCTGAGAGGGAATCTGAACAGCGGCGATACTGTTACCACCAAGGTCGAAGAAAGGAACATCAGACGGAATGCTGTCGGCGGCGTAGCTGCGTAGATAGAGAGCCCAGATTTCTGCAAGGGACTTTTCGGTCTCGCTACGAGTAGCAGCATCCTGGACGGGTTGGCTCGACGAAGCAGCAAGGAGCTCTGACTTCTCCGGGAATGGTAGTGCTCTCTTGTCGACCTTGCCGTTGGGAGTCAAAGGCAGTCTGACCATGGGAATGAAGAGAGTGGGCACAGCGTAAGAAGCCAGCTTCTTCTTCAGATGCTCCCTCACGTCGTTGGTAAGGGTGTTGAACATCTTGAGCCTCTCGGGAATGCTCAAGTCGTCAGCAACATTGGTCTCAGCCTCGCCCTTTGCCTTCTTCCACTCAGACCACTTGCTGAAGTCGGGAACGTAGTAGCTGACAAGAATTTGCTCCTCCTCGTGATCACGCTTGACAAGGGTGACATTCTCTCTGATAAGAGGGTGCTGAGAGAGATGAGTATCGATCTCTCCAAGCTCGATTCGGAAGCCACGAATCTTGACTTGGTCGTCGGCTCTGCCGGTACACTCAACGTTACCATCGGCAGTGTATCGTCCTAAATCACCAGAGCGATAGAGTCTGTCTCTGGGTCCCTTGTAGAACTCTCTCCATGGCTCGTCCTTACCGGCCTTGGTCGCCTTCTCTTGGTCCTCCTTGACCCACTTGTCGTTGTCAACGAACCAGTTTGGGACAAACTTGGAGTTGGTAAGCTCCTTCAGCTCGGGACCAAGGTAGCCTTCTGCAAGACCACCAGCTCTAACATAGATTTCACCGATCTCGCCTACTTCACAGATGCGATCTCTGTTGGAACGATCGACAACAAGCAGCTGGACGTCGAGCATACCCTTACCAGCAGGGATGACGTCACCCATCTTGTCGAGATATGAGGAGTCTTCGGACTTGCTGGGGATCTCGTAGAAGCTGACGGCTCTCTGTGTCTCAGTGGTACCGTACATATTCTTGATGCGAACGTTGGGAGCCAGATCCTGCAATCTACGGCAATCTCTCTTCAGAAGGATATCACCGACGAAGAATGCTGAGTGCAGTGAGTTGACCTTGGGCTCCAAGCTACCGAGCAGAATCTGGCCCATGGCAGGGGTAAGATGGGTGACGCTGATTTCGTTGTCGCTGGCCCACTTGGCCAATCTGTCGAAAGTGATGTCCTCGGCCGGAGGTACAATCAGACGGGCACCCAGAAAGAGAGGAGTGAAGATATCGCGCTGGATAGGATCGTGAGCAATACCGCTGAGCATTGAGAAGTGGTCCTTCTCGGACAGACCGAAACGTTCTGACATCCAGGGGAAGTAGTAGGCCAGAGAAAAGTGGCGACCCTTGACACCCTTGGGTCTGCCTTCTGAACCAGAAGTGAAGGACAAGGTAGGAGTTGAATCAGGACCAACTTCAACATCAGGAAGCTCGGCACGAGCTTGTTGCTGAGCTTCGAGACAGTCGCGACCATCAACGTTGCCACCAATGACGGAGCCATCGTCTTGCAATTGCAGACCAGGGACCTCTGTTCTCAGCCTCAGATTCTCCTGAATGTACTCTCTCACAGTATCAGAAAGCTTTCCGGCTTCTTGAGAAGCCTTCTCGATGACAACGAGAGCGCGGGGCTTGGCAACATCGAGGTAGATGATTTGACGATCCGCAGGGTACAGAGGGTCAATGACGGAGAAAGTAGCGCCAGCCTTGAGTACACCCATGACGGCCACGACCAGATCAACGCCGCGGTGAGCGTAGACCATGACGACCTCACCTCGTTGTACTCCACTGGCGACGAGGTGATGTGCTAGAACATTACTTGATTCGTTGATGTGTTGATATGTGAAGACCTGCAGGCGTCAGTATTCAGGGGGTGAAGGAGATTATCTGTCAAGACGTACTCTCTTGGGTGAGTTTGAAGAAGCGGTCTCAACGACACAAGTTCTCTCGGGATGCTTAGTAGCATTCGCAGCAAAGATCTGGTGAATAGCACCTCTGTAGTCACTCCAATTAAGATCTGAAGTGGGGTTGGGTCTCGGATCAGCCATTACGTCTGAGTCTGACATGTTGTTAGCATAGATTAGGTGAGGTTGAGAAGTAAGCAAGCGTACGATGTTGTTAATGCAGGTATATGAGGTGGTGCAGTCGTAGCTTCAGTGAGTATAAAATTCGAGTGGCCGGTATCGGCGAAGAATGATGTTTGATGCTCTGTACCAATCAGGGTGATATACAAAACCAATTGAGATGATAGACGAGATCAATTGACACTATCGGTATAGACGGAATAGATGTCAGAGAAGGGGAAGGTGTTTTGGAAGAGGAAGTTGAATGCCGAGCGAGGGAAATGTGTCATAGCAGACAAGGCAGAAAGTCGTGTGGTGGTCTGTGCGGGAGGCTGGAGATAAATGATTGCCTGTCACCAAGTCGCGATGGGTTTGAAATGTAATATATGCGCCATCATGGCAGCTTCTTCGCGGCGTGATAGCGTGACAAAGGCACCAGACACGGTCCGCTATCACTATGAAGCCAGCAAACCTAAGTCAAAGACATCAGTGTCGGTTTCAAGTGTAGCCAAGAGCAAAGAGATCAGGGCGACAAGCGAGAAACGGCCCAAACTTCAGCGAAGCGCGTCAGCGAGCCACAGCAAACCTTCCGACCAGAAGAACAATGTCGACAGCAGCGACAAGGCCTTGGACAAAAATGGCGGCAAGAAGCATCGCCGCCGCAGCTCGTCGTTTCTTGTTTCCATCTTCCGTCCGCCAGTAGCAGCACCTGCCGCTCTCGTGTCAAATGCACCGCGCCTACGCACAGCAGAATGCCTGACATGCGGCTCCGACGACGTACCCGTGACGCGCTCTGCTAAGCTCCCATGCGGCCACCGAATGTGCAACTCATGCCTCCGCCGCATCTTCACCATGTCCATCAAGGACCCCCAGCACATGCCGCCCAAATGCTGCAACTCGGACCACATCCCGCTCAAGCACGTCGACCACCTCTTTGACGACAGATTCAAGGTCCTGTGGAACACTAAATATCAAGAGTACACCACAAAGAACCGCATCTACTGTCCTGCAAAAGGCTGCGGCCAGTGGATCAAGCCCGCCAACATACACAAGCTGAATGGCCGCAAGTACGGTCGATGTCCAAGCTGTAGAACAAAGGTCTGTACCTTGTGCAACAACAAGTTCCATACCAATGGAGACTGTCCAAACGACCCCGACACAAAGAGACTGGTCGACATGGCTAAAGAGAAGGGACGGCAACGTTGCCACAACTGCAGAGCCATGGTCGAGCTGAAGGAGGGCTGCAACCACATGACTTGCCGATGCGGCGCCGACTTCTGCATGATTTGCGCCAGTCCTTGGAAGACGTGTGCATGCCCCTGCTTCAACTATGCCACCGTCTCAGATCGAGATCGCTTGAATCATATGCGCGTCCCGGAAACACTCGTCAACCAGCCACGACACGACAGAAACGACCCTAATGAAAGAAACGAACGACACGAAAGACGCAGGAGTGACTCTCGAAACCCTGCTTTGACCTACCAACAAGAGCTCGACGCTCGAAGACGTCAAGAACGTGCTGACGAGGCCTTGGCTCGCCGTCTGTCAACCACTACCGTCAACGATCGTCCACCTTCTGAACCCCGTCCTCGCCGGCGTGATACAGTCACTGAAGAAGTCTTTGGCAACCGCGGCGACCACTTTCTCAACGACAACTACCTCTCCACCGTTCCCCGCATCAATGCCAGTGTCATCGGCGACGCTGCATTTGCTCGTCGTGGTGAACGCGAAAGTGGTCGCAGGTCCAGACGACAGTCCACTTTTCTCTTCGACAATGACCCTGGTCTGGTGCTCAATGCTTTCGGCACTGAGAGCATGCTTGGACTGGCCGTCCAACCTCCTGCCAGACGACCAAGCCTACGAGAACGATTGGGCAGTATCAGCAGTCAGAATGGTCGCGACAGAGTTGGCGGTTGGTTGAACAGGCTTGGCTGAAATGAACGACCACGTCCTCATGATGAAAATGAGATTGCTTGATTACTTTCACAACATTGCTAGATACCCGACGAATCCATAACGATACTTTTTGCTGTTTCAATTCTAGGTCCAAGCCTTTCTGAAACCCGCCATCACATCCAGCAGCCATCATATATCATGAAGGATGAAAAGTGATACATCCACCTTGGTCTTAAGCTCAGTAAGCATGGGAGCCTCGAATTGCGAGTTTGAGTTTTGAGGACGGGCAGATGAAGATATCACGCTTGGAACTTGTTTATTAGAATTATCTACTTCCAATTTCAGCGGTGGAAGGCGCGAACGGCCCCATCTACCACAGGTTGACTTCTTTCGACATCCTGTACTCTATCATCAACATCACAGTCTGGATTGAGAGCTGTCCAGCGGCTAAATGATAGCTCATGGTTGGAGAGTGGGACTTGATCCCCACATATCCTCATGCGCGTCAGGCTTGAGCCGAGCCGAGCCGAGCGTCTGAACCGAACCGAGCTACTCGGATCGCTTTCCATGGTCTCTGACATACGCAATACGCATCGTAGAAGCTGTTTGCCAACTACACAAGGTGTTAATGAGTCCATAAGTCTAGACACCCGGGGTGGTTAAAGTGGGTTTGTTCCTGTACTGCCCCTCATCTCGGCCGGCTCCTCCACATCGGTCGATCTCGACCATGGACATATAAAGTATAGAATTGATGCCGACCGAGCAGTCGACTCTCTTGCAAGTTCGTCTTGTCAAGTCAAATGAAGTTCACTTCAATCGAATTGCTGGCTGCAGCGGCAGTAGTAGGTGAGCACGAACGACAACTTTGGTAGTTTATACATACTCACATTTGCATCTCCATACAGGCAGAACCGCAGCCTTCACCAATCCGATCATTACGGGCGTCAATGCAGACCCGTCAGCTATTCGCGTTGGTGACGACTACTTCTTAGTCTCGTCTTCCTTCGAGTACTTCCCAGGCATACCTGTGTATCATTCTACCAACCTAGTGGATTGGAGTCTGATTGGTCATGGTTTGAACGACAACAATAAGATTCAAGACCGTCAGCTCCAGACAACTGGAGGTATATTCGCTCCTACCATTCGTTACCACAATGGCACGTTTTACATCATTACCACTTATGCAGACAGTAAGTCGTCCCTTGTCAACTGTCGAGGATGTCTCACTAAACTGAATTGATCAGCATTCTTGCCTTTCCAACAAAATAACTTCATCATAACTACTGAGGATGTCTTTTCAAACAACTGGACGCAACCAATGTACCTGGACCAGGCAGGCATCGATCCCGATCTGTTTTGGGATACGGACGGAACCGTATACCTAAGCACCGGCTATCCCGAGTTCGGCCCCGAGGGTGGAAATAGCACCATCTGGCAGTCTAAGCTGGATCTCACCACTGGCCGCTCTCTTACCCAACCGGAGATGATATATCGATCTTCTCTGCCTGAGAATATTCGATGGGCTGAAGGCCCTCATGTTTATCTCATCAACGGCTCATACTACTTGTCTGTGGCCGAGGGTGGTACAGAGGTACTGCACCGTCAAACGATTCATCGCGGTCCTTCACCTTCCGGTCCTTGGGAAGCGAGTCCACTTGGCCCTATGGTGTTCAACAGTCGTGATCCTTCGGCTCCTATTCAGCAGACTGGCCATGCCGATTTGCTACAGCGTCCTGATGGCAAGTGGTACACCGTCTTCCTTGCCGTCCGGCCTCAACTACCCCAGAACATCAATGGCACATATCAGCTCGGTCGTGAAACTTTCCTAAGTCCTGTTACCTGGAGCGAAGATGGCTGGCCTTTGACAAATAATGGCAACCTTATTACCTTCGACATGCAAGATTCAGATCTGCCATCCCAATCAAACACCAGCAAGAACCTACTAGAAGACTTCTCCTCATCTTCTCTACAGCTCGGCTGGGAGTTCAGAGGGACACCCTCTAGACCTTGGTGGCGAGTCGAGAATGATTCTCTTGTTCTTAGAGGCACAACTGCCACGCTATCTGCACTCGACGGTATGGCCCTGATCCTCAGAAAGCAAGATGCACTGTTCTACACATTCAGCGTGGACATGGAGTTCGAACCTACGATGGAAACACACGAGGCTGGCATTGTCGCATGGGTCAACGATCACTATCACAACACCATCTCCATCCTCCTATGCCAAGAGCAAACAAACACAACCTGCGTCAAAACAACCACAACAGTAGGAGACCGAAACGGTCCAACAGACGGAAACACAACGACAGTATACCATCCCTTTCCCACAACTCCCAACAGCACTTCACAAGCAAGTAATTGTGGTACAAGTGTGCGTTTACATATCCGTGCTACACCTGAGACGTATCAATTGGGCTATTCTCTGGCTGGTGATAGTGCTGTCATTTGGCTTACGGCTTACTCGGCTTCGTGGATGCAGCCGCATTATGAAGGGAGGATTTCTTGGCAGGGTGCGAGGGTGGGTATGTATGCCACTGGCAATGGTGTGACTATGCTGCAAGAAGCTGTTTTCAGAAATGTGGAAGTCGAGAGGGGACCTTATTAGTTGAGAAGCCAAATTCTTACGATGAGATGTGTAAATAGTAAATCGAATGACACAAATGTAGCTTTCATGTCTTGTTCGAGAACATCGTCCTGAATACTAGCATCCGGCACTATTATGTCTGTCCGTCGGTCTACCAATCTCGGAATCATGGAAAAGATGGAGTCATTGTGATTCAGAGCAAAGAAATCGTTATTTTCCATTAAACAATAGATATCGTCATTCAAACTTCTTCCTCTTGTACAAATATCTCCTTCCGAAACCACTTCACTCTATCACAAGTCCCACTCTCATCCTCCGAAGTAGGTATAGTATTCCAGCCCACAATCTGCTCGCCGAGTTCACAAGTCACATACTCAATCTCCTCCCAAAGCTCTCTTTCAATATCCCTTCCGAATCTCTTTTCCGTCTCTTCTTTTGTCCCTATCAATCTGTGTGGTATCCCCGTTTTCGCATCAACCAACACACCACTATCGAAGAGTTGCACAGGATCGTATTTTGGAATATTGTGATGCACGGAAAATGCGTCAGGAGGGGTGTCCATGGTGCTAACACTAGGGGCTAGAGAGGTAGAGTCTTGAGTGGGATCGTATTGTAGCATTGCGCCTCCGTGGTAAGCTCCATGTTCGTAGTAGCCTATTGTGTCGACGCATTTTTTGACTTGGTGGAATGGTGCTTTTGCGACTAGGGCGGCTAGGATAAAGGAGTCTTTGTCGCCTTCGCCGGGGCCGCCTTGGCTCATCAAGGGGTAGTATTTGTCTGGGCCGTAGTAGTTGTAGTAGGCGGATAGGAGGAGGGTTAAGGCGTGGCGGGATTTGGAGACTAGTAGTTGGCCGGATTCGGTCGAGGCAAGCGCGTTTATGGCTGGGATGGGTTGTTCGGTTACTTCGTAGAGGTGTTGAGAAGCAGAAGAAGCCCAAAAGTCAGGCCAGGTGACGAGACCGGTCGATGTGAATGGGCCTTGGGAGAAGACGTGGGCAGGATCCTTGACCATGAAGGCATCTGCATCCAGAAAGAGCACGTTCTCAAACGAAGAAGCCAATATAGCAAACGCCTTGACCTGGAAGCTCGCGAGGTACCTCGCCCAAGCTCCAAGACGGTCCTCCAGCCGTATGCAATGTGCGTCCATGCTAGGGAGTAGTGTCTGACACGTATGCGAGGTCATCTCTGCCTCAGTATCCACGAATATTTCAACAGGCAGTTGCGATCCAGTTCGTCGCAACATCCTCAACGAGATCACAAAGACTGGCAAGTACTTTCCAGCCGCTGCAGAGACAATGCCAGAAGTCCCTTTTTGGAAAGGAAGATCAGTGTGTTTCGCATCCTTCAAATACGCAGAATGCGCGAAACGCATAGTCGACACATCAGTAGATGTGATGTTGATGAAGTCCGGTCTGGTCGACGCTGCATCGGTCGTCCAGAATACCACGGCAGGCGCCTGTCCTGTTCGCTGTATATCGACTTCTCCAGGTGAAGCATCCTTTAATGCTTTATAGATGACATTACCAAAGCTCGTAAACTCCTGGTCTGTAATGAGGCTCTGATGACTATAATGCAAAAGTCAGTAGCACGATTCAGGAGGCAAACATCAATCCCAACAACATACCCAAATGCCGACTCAACATTATGCCAAAAACACCAAGTCAACAATATCAAAAGACCAACTCCCACCAGCCGTACATTCTGTAATCGTAGCATCGAATCTAGTTATTCATGATATATGGAGGATCGCGAGTAATGTCTGTGAGTTATCGAAGGGGGGGAACTTTGTGCATGACGCATTGATATTATTTCGCGCTGTCACTGTCAACAATTGTTTTTGCGTATGCATGCCACGCACGCCGTTCGGGCCAAGGCAGGTCTAGGTTTCTTGGACAGCTGGATCTAGCCCTAAATGGGTTTGGCAGCCGCGCCCCTGTCTTCGTATTCTTCCGGCGCAACCGGTGGATACAGGTACTCGACCTCGGTGAGAGGATGTCATGGTAGTGGAAAGGCTCAGATGTATATGAAAGGTGTTTGAAGCAAGGTATAGAACATAGGTACATTGAAAATGGAGTTGTTGTTTCGCATTGTCGATTCTGGACAAGATCAGCCGTGGCCCTTGGTCCAAGATTGCACCAAGTGCCGACGGTCGTGTGACTTTCTCCTTTGGAATACAACATTGTCAACTTACCATCACCAAGAATATTGCGGTTCTATTCTCTGACGTCGGCTATATTCTACGACATCCAATGTGTAGGGCATGTGAATGCGCCACACGCAGCTTCTCCTGGAACAAGGCCGGCTCCTCTAGAGCGTCAACATCGAAGCGCCCAGTAAGAATGCCGTGAAGATCCCAGCAACAGATGGCGACATCTGAGTACCCGCGCTCGTATTTGTGTTTTCTCTACCATCATTTGCAGTGCATATGTAAGACGGATGGTTGCGAAAGTCGTCTCTTATACAATCACTGAAGGTGCCATTGGTCGAATTCGACATGCATCCTACATTGCATCCACCATTGTAAACGACAATGCCGTCGCCATCGTTGTAGTTGGAGCAGCATTGCTTGAAAGCTCTGGTAGCGTTGACCGAGTAAGGTAGACTGCAGGTCTGTTGATTTGGCCAGTCTGTGTTGTTGATGGGTGCTGCCCCAATGCCTAATCCACATCCATCAGAGATGCCGCCATAATTCTGTTGACTGTTGCACTTGAAGTAGGGGATCTCTTCCTTTGCTAGGCAGCTCTGATATGAATCGTAGGCTTCAGTATCGTTGCTGTCGACCAGTGCGCAAGAGGCGTATGGGCCGATGGTGGTGTTGAAGTATTGGAGCTCGCTGTTCTCACGTCCACAGCAATTGGCAAGGGTGGAGGGAAAATCGTTGCAGGCTGGAACAGAGCACGCAGCCTGGGTGAAGTTTGGTGACTGCCTGTCACTCCATGTATCTGGAACTCGCCATCCAAGGACCCTTGGGCATACATCGGCGGGATTTTTGGTTATGTTTGTTGAGTTTGACATGGTGTAGGAATCGAAAGCATATGATTTTTGACCAAAAGATCTCGCAGAAGGGGCTCGACAGTTTCACAGGTGGCCGAGGATGCAGGATCGCACTTTCTAATCTTTCATCCTTCATCCTCCAGCCTTCGCATGACTTTTGTGACTACGGATTGACAATTCTGTTCCTATCCTAGGCAGTTGTTGGTGATCATCGCTCCAATCGCCCTGCCTTGGCAATCCTTCGGGTGCATATATAGGCTTGGCCGAGTAGAATCTCGAGATGATGCTAGTTGCATGCACTACGTCATCTTGATCGGTGTCTGTTTGTTATATGCAAATCAGCGAGGTCGTCCAAGCATGCAGCAAAGCGGGTTTAGTGTATACTGTGAGAGTACAGAGCTGATCCGAATATGGGTCATCGAAACCATGTTGGCCCGGGACTGGACTGGAATGATAATAAGAATTTGACGTGTACATTGTTCGTGATATGTAATATGTTCTCTGCATCTCGAGACTACAGTAAGAAGCGGAAGCCCTTTTTAGCAGCCTCGCCAGGCACACCCTTTCCAGCAGAGACCGCACCCTCGACATGCTCGCCTCTATCAAGCTTCTTGTTGAGTCTCATTAAGATTGTCCTCAAAGTGAAAGCTGCAATGATCGCCATGACAGCTGTGGCGCAGTTCACACTCATCGCGACAACATATCTCGGCCCTGCTGACTTAGGGTACATGTAAGACGCATAGATACTGCTGGCGTTTGAAATTGCGTTGATACCAGCAAGAGCAGCGGCACGCTTGGCTGGGGGACGCGGGATGGTGTTACTAATCCAGGCAAGTGCGACAACATATCCTGTGTAGACGCCTGGTACCATCAGCATCATCGCTAGATAGCGTGGTGCAAGAGAGGTAGTTGATGCGGCTATAATGAATGCGACCACTGCGACACAAAGAGGAACCGCGATGTGGAAGAAACGTTCTCCGGTACGATCTGCGTGGATGGCGTTTGCGAAGGCGGTGATTACAGCTAGGCAGTACGGTGGCGCTGTCAGACACAGACTGACGATCTTGCTGTACCCCAGAGTTTGTACGACTATGCCACGATTAGCGTGTATCAATACCACAGCATTGGATCTGACATACCTGTGGGGAAGAAGTTTGTGACAGATCCACTTGCGACGATACCAAACAGCAAGACCATGAGAACATATGTTTTGAGGTCTGTGAAGGCCAGTTTGAAACCGTGCCAGAATGATTGTCCCTCGCTGCTGACCCAATCGTCCTGACCAATGTCCTCTTGAAGTCTCCAGGTGGCTAGCTGTCGCTGCTCCTCTGAAAGCCATTTTGTGGTACGAGGGAAGTTGGGAAGTACGAAGAAGGCGATGGCGGCGATGCCAATAGTGATGGAGCCTTCAAGGATGACTGGGGCTAGTCAGTAAAACGTTGCAAGACAGATTCTGGATTGAGCATTACAAAGCCATCGCCATGCAGATAGACCCAAGTGTCCAGACAGTCCATCGAGGATGCCGGCAGCAATTAAGCCTGAGAAGGCGCCCGAGATAAGCGAGCCAGAGTAGAGGACGGCAGAGCGGAAGGCAAGCTCTTTGCGCGTGTACCAAGATGATAAGAAGAACAAGCAGCCAGGCTGGCATCATCAGTATCGAGTCCAAGGAAGATCGAAGTCTTTTCAACTTACGAAGTAGGCCGCCTCAACAAAACCAAGCACAAATCTGACAGCGACAAGTCCTCCGAAACTCTGCACAGCAGCGGTGCATGTCGAGATGATACCCCACACAACCATCACTGTCGGAAGATACAGTGCGGGTTTGCCAATCTTGTTCAAGAACAGATTTGATGGAACTACCCATGGTCAGCACAAGCTTACGCTGAAGGACAGTGGCGTATCGTACTTTGCATCAAAAGGTAGCCAACGAACAAGATCGAGACACTGGTCTCATATTGTGATGATGTTAATGCCAAATCGGTTTCCAGTCCTGCTAAACGTGCCGAAGCGATGTTGTTGCGATCCACTAGAGGTGAGAATATGGTCAGCGAAGGTCTCCATAAACGACTCAATGGTGACTGCAGGAAGTTGAAGAACTGGCCCAACAAATTTGGGCTCTGATCATACGTACAGTAGTTCAAGATGTACATCAATACTAGCATCGGCATCAATCTGAAGTCAATCTTGCGAACAAGCGCTTTCTCCGCACGTGCACGCTCTTCAGGAGACATGTTTCGAACAAGCTCTGGCGGCTCCATTCGTTGGAGTCCTGGAGTATCTGCCGTCTCTACGCGATCAATCATATCGACAGTGGCCTTTTCGTCGTAAACTTCGCTCGAACGACGATCTCCGTAATTCGGAGATGGGAAAACGTTGTGGCTCATAATGAAGAGCGGAAGCGAAAAGTGAGATTGGTTGAGCGGTCAAATCGGCCACGGTCCCAGATGGCGAGTGGAATAGAAAGTTAGAAGATGGGGATGCCATATAAAAGCAGAATATGCTAAGCGGCGGTACCTTGTACAGTTGATCGTCGAATACCACATGGGCGTGACTTGGGCCATAACTCGATGTCCATCTCGGACTTCTCACCTACACCAAAAGACGCTTCTACCGAAGTGGCAATCCGGACCAACTGTTTCATTCTTCCCCACAGTACATGTCTGGGGACCCCATAAGATTGGTCGAGGAAACCAGAAAACTAGTGAGATGCCGTCGGAGCCGCCGCTTTGAGGCGTAACAAGCTCCACACAAGGTTGCATAGGCTAAATTGGCATGCTTAAAACGTCGTTCAAGCATGCGTCAACGGCGCATAGTCTGCGAATCACAGCGCAACAACTTGAGATGTGAAAAATGTGGTCTTCTTCCCGTCTGTTGATCTGGGGGCATTTTGGGGTAGACTGCGCGGGGAAGGTGACGAGCAAGGAAGGTCTGTCGACGTAGTGATGTCACCAATGTCGGCACTCGGATTGCGAAGACACCCTTGAAATCTCACATGACTACGACCAGACGCCTCCCTACAAGATAGACTCTTGGAGGCATATTGAGCTCAGAAGCCGCGAGGTTTACGAACACTCGTTCAACACCTTGAGATGGCCCTCAAGTATCCCAACGAAAATGTGCAGATGTGCAGTCATTCAAGATTGACTATGCTCAAGGCTGCCCTCAATGGTCTTCTGGAAGACGCCATGGACCTTGCCCATTCCTGAAAACTTCCTCTTCTGTGCCATCGCACATTTCTTCGTACCTCACCCAGGTCTCATCGTCTCGGGGTGAGAATAACACGAGCACCACCCTTCCAGTCATCGGGGCTCCACCATTGTCGGCCACCTGAGGTGGCGATAGGACCAAGTGGCGCAACGATATGGCTATCATTCAATGTACGAGCATGTTTTTGATACCAAGCACGATCCCACCACTCTTCCCTCAACGACTTCATGCCATCACGGTGAGCATTGTGGTGAATTACCGCTGGCGCAATCCCGGTCCGCACGTCTGTGTAGAGCGAAACATCAGACAGTCCCTCCTCTCGTAGGTCCAGAAAGGAGGAACTGTTTCCCCGATGTCACTAAGGATCTTGCGCAGTCTGCTCCTTGATGCATCGATTCCTCAGGCTGAATCAGCTTGATCAATTTGCAGTGAGCCATGCGGTATCGTCCTCAGCAAATACGGTAGCCAGGCCGATGGCACTCTCGTAACTAACTCCCAAGCTAAACTCCAGATCCTGGCCTTGGACCGCATCCAGATGCTCTTGCTTGAAAGGGGCCAGGCGCTTATCATTTTGCCCGCCCAAGCTCGAACCCAACCAGCCCCACCAGGACGCAGAAAGGGATTCACGTCTCAACACTCCACGAGCGACTTCTTGCTCGCCAAACAGCTGACTGAAAATTATCTGATGACTGCCAAAGTTGGGATCTTGTTCAGCTCGAGCCAAAGCTGTGGTAAACAACTTGCGCATCGCACTTACGGTACCCATGGCCACGCCAGAATTCAGAAATATATGTCTGTATTTGACGTACGGCTTTCTCTCATCTCCAATATCCGTGTCGGTCTCAGGACCATAGAATGTCCTTAGGCAGGGATGACTCGGGTACCGCGTAGCATGAGGGATCCTCTTCAAACCACGGCTAGCAACGTTTTTGACACGGAAATACGATCTGCTGTCGAATATCGTGTTTCGGCACAACCTCGCAGCGGAGCTCTTCCTCGATCCGTTCGTCCGCGCGGCGGTTGATGTCGAAGTAGCGGTCCAGAATGTTCTGAGGTCGAAGTTGAAACCATATATCATATCCGTCATTCATCGATACGAGATCCGAATCACGGACTGAGTCCATACTGTCAAGATATGCTTTGATCCCAGAGATCTTCGCGATATGAGATCCTCCTTCTACGAGATCCGGATTGTCATAATTTTGATTCCAATTTAGCAGACGCGGTGCTGGGTAATTCAATATCCCCGCACTGAGTACCGTCTTGCATAGGTTCGGATCGGGATGCGATGCCGGAATAAGGAGGTGAAGGTAGGCAGGCTCTCGTGGGGCCCCTTCTTCTTGCTCCAGGACATCAATGGGGCACGATAGCTGTTTCCGGTCAGCACGGCAATCTGCGAGAAGGAGCACTCAAACCCACGCTTATCAAGATATGCAGAAGAACTATAGCTACTGTTGTAAGTCCACAAACTCTCAAGACACGAGTCTTGAAAGTAAATGATCTAGGTGGCGATGGGAACTCCGGAAGTTGCTCGAACGATTTTCGCAGGAAACTGTTGGTCATGTTGAGATGGAGGTGATGGCGAGAACTCACTAAAGCCTCAGTGTCATCTTTGTATAGCTAGGATCTGCTCAAGCTTGACGCGAGCTTTGCGCGAGAAGAATGAGCATGCGCGCCAATGATCTCATCGGTCAGGCAGCATACTGAGTTGTTGCCTGGAGAGAACATACCTATATTGACACCTCCCAGCGTTGCGCAATGGAAGTTTTACAATCACAGACATGACATCTACCACAGAACTCGAAGGCACATTGCCCTTCTACAGTCCAGATGACCCAACTGACGAACGCTGGCGAAACTCTACTTTCAAAAACTATGCAGCATACTCTATGGTACCTCTACACGATGAGGGTCGCCAAGAGCTTCTCAACCACCTGAATACTGGCGAGATGACGACCAACCACACGCGAATGGCTCCTCAATTCGACTTGGCTGGCCGTACTCTTCGTGACGTTTACGATTATCACCTACAAGTCCGCGAAGAGCATGACAACATACATCCGCATTTCTTCATCGTTGCTGATCAGGAAGACTGGAGAACCAAAGGAGTTCTTGTAGTGTGTCTCTGCGTTGATCGGTCCAAAGGCGAGATTGGCGAGCGCGAATCCTTGGAGGATGTTTTCGAATGGGTGGTCGGAGTCATGCGCTGTGGAGTCGACATGGCTGATTGCATTGGCGCCAATCTCGGAATCGCCAATGTGGATTGGACCGAGTACAAAGAGGAGGAAGAAGAACTGTGGGGAGGTGAAGACTGCTACAAGAACAAGCGATACTTCAGGATCACTCCGATCACAGGCGAAGAGAACCAGTAAGGGCTGAGTGCAACGTCAGAGATATTTCTGAGCGGTCAACAACAAGTCCAGCATTTCATCCCTCTCAACTTTCGCGTCTTATCTAGACAAATAGTCCATCATCAGGGGGCCCGCCCTTGAGTTGATCTCGCTGAATCTCCTTCAGCGTCTCATTCTCGTAATCCTCGAGATCAAGGTCGACAAATCCACTGCTAGCCCATCTTCTTGCGGATAAGAAGAACGAATGCCCATTGACACTACGGTCACTCAGAATCCTGAGTAGACACTGTCCAGCGTCCTCCACAGTGGCGAACTCTACACCTTTGGACTTGATTTGCTCGAAGACCTCTTTAGACAAAATTTTGGTCTTGACGTACCTGAACTGATGTCAGCAAAGGAAGAATACACGATAGGAGCGGCAGATTACCATGGCGAGATTACGTTGACACGACTTCCGTAGAAGTGCGTGGTTCGTCGCAGCGAATGCATGATTCCTCTCATCGCCCATTTGGAAGCTGGGTACTGAGGTCCGCGTGGTACGTCTAAGAATGCAGCACCTGAGCCTATCAGGATCAGACAGGTATCTTCTTGCTGTTCTGAGACTGTCTGCCCATTCTGGCTAACAAAATGGTGAAGTGATAGTTTGGTCGTGTAGAGTGCACCGTTCAAGTTCACGTCAATGATCTTGAGATTCGGTTTTTGAGGCCCGTTTTCTGGTCACTATCAGAAACACTGGAGACAGATTCTTGACAGAGCTGAAAGTTACCGTTGTATTGGAAGACTTCGTCCTCCACGGCTATACCGGCATTTGCGACAATGTAATGGATCTTGTTGGTTGGGGAGAAGGTCTTTGCCACGTCGAAGAGATTGACTTGGTCTTCCCAACTCGTGATGTCGCATTTGACGAATTTTATGCTATTATACAAGTGAGAAAGAAGTATACCACAAGGTTGGAAATGAGACAGTACTTACCCCGTCAACTCATTCTCGAGTTTGGTTCCTCCTTCCACGTCCAAATCTCCGAAGCATACTGTCACACTGTGAAGATCATAAGCAGGGTCGTTCGAATGATCGGGATCTCTAACATACCCGGCTTTCACAAGGGCGCGGACGTATGCCTCTCCGATACCATTGGCACCTATGTCGTCAGCTCACGTGTCTATACTCCATAGTCGGAATCACTCACCACCTGTTACGACGGCAGTCTTGCCTTTCAGATTCGCAGTATCGAATCCGACATCACAGGGTACGGGTCCAGTATGCTTGTATCCAGACATAATGTTGCAGCGGGTCAAGGGTGTCTTTGCGTGGTTTAGATGTCAATATTTGAGAGTAATATATACCGATGGTCTTCTGTATACTTTCGGCCGATGGAGAGATTTCGGCCGAAATATTGCACCCACGTCATAAAGCTTTCCGCATCAGCACGGCATATGCGATTTGGACTACCATTTTATAACCAACATTTAGAACATGTGAGGATGCGCAAGAACTGTGTAAGTAGATCTCTGAGGGATTTACGACTCTGTTGTAGTACCGATCCCCAAAAAGAGGCGCTTCAACCATAGCAAGCTTGTCAAGGCTTAACAACGTACTCCCATGACAGAGCATTGTCGACCAAGAAGGTAGCAGTGTTGGTGGCTCCAGCACCAGTAGTGTTCGTGAGACCACATATCTGAACGAAACTGCCTTGCGACTTGCTCTTCTGATTGATGAGCGCAGCATAACTTTCAAGAGGACATGATTTTCCGGGTCCATTCTGACAGGAAGCTACGGCTACACGATGTTAGACACTTAGAAAGATATGATCAACATGTTCAGGTGGCTTACGGTAGACCGCGTCGTTGAGTACTATGCGGACGAATTTCTTGTTCGAGCAAGTCAGGCGTTCGAAGCCAATAGTACCACGCATGGTCACATAATGGCTTGCGACAAAGATCTACCAAAATCGTTAGTACACTGCGACCTGCAAATTCCGAGGGTCGGCGTATACCTGGTCATCGGGGATCTTGGTACGGGGTAGAGGCTTCTGCTGATCAAATACACCGATCTCGGCAGCGAGCTGATTAAGTTGACCATCGTTGGTGAACATTGGTATCAGCGGACCCGGCGTCCAAGACTCGCCATTGCTGTTCACATAAGTCTTGTTGGGACCATTCACAAGCCTCTGGACGATGGCGTTGAGCACAGGTTGCATCAACGTGTAGTTCTTTCCGGAACCAGGACCTTCGAGAACTACCATCAGGAATGAAATTTGCAGATATTCGGAAAGTTCAACTCACCGGAGCCATAGTAGTAGCGCAAGTCCTGTGCATACTCGTATTTTTCGAGCTCGTCTTCATTGAAGATGTTGCACCATGGCGATTGACGACCGGTGATCTGGGTCTCGAAACCGCAAAGATATGGGAAGATGGAGACATCTGAGTCGGTGAAGTTGAGGTTGCCATGGATGTGGCTGTTGACGCGTTTAGTCACGGCAGGCAAGTACAGGTCATTCCAAGTGGTAAGGTTTGCGCCGCCACCGTTATCACTGTATAGAGGGCAAGAATCGGAGGGAGCTAACGAGTTAGCAATAGACTTGGGGTCTGTTGATTTGAGCACGTAAATGTCTCCGTAGGTAGTGTTTGGTCCGAGGTAACCTCGTGCGAATAATCTGCATAGTCTGTCAGACTTTCATGTGAAGATTAATTCTGGGTGTGATCAACTCACCTCGCGGAGTTGATTACTCTAGGTGCATTCGGATACTGGTTAGCAAATACAGAGAAGGGAGTATTCTCAGTGTAGAAGTCAGGGTATCTCCAGCGATAAGAGACACCCATATCGTACAGCTCTTTGTAACCCCCTATGGAAATGTCTGCAATCTGTACAGCCGGATTGCTGAGTACAGGCTTCCATGTTTGAAGGAAGCTGTAGTCACCGGTGGCAGTAAATTGCGCAGCTTGAATCTGTCCAAGTCAGCGAGAGTTTTGTATGTCACGAGATATAGTTTCACACCTTTTCAGCGAGAGCAACCCATTGATTGTAGGCACCTGTATCAGGGTATCTCGAGCCATGGCGAGACACAAAGGCTGCCATATCCACGGAGCAGCCATCGGGAACGTCGTAGGAGATGTCGTTGATGTTCGGGCCTGGAAACCATGGGCTATTTCCGCCTAGCTGTTGTGTGGGATCGGCTGTAGCTGCATAACCAATTCTTGCGGTCAAGAACAGGCAGCTGACCAAAGTGGTAATAGTATTGCGGTCCATCTGGTTGATCATCTGCGTGACTTGCCTTATTGTTGAGAGTTGTGAAACATAAGCGCTGCTGGATTCTTATAAGATGTCACCTGTACGAGAGATATGGCTCCTGGCGCTGTGAAGCGAGCTAGAAGGTCATGCAAGCGAGATGATACATGAAATGATCACCTTTCACGGGTTGTGCCTCGTAAGTAGGCAAGAACGTGCTTGAAGCGTGTACTTTCTGGCGCTCTCGGAAGTATACGCGATACGATCTCACGGTCGACGATCTCGCCGGCCGCCCTAATTCTAACTCACGGAGCATGAGGTCTAGAGAGCCTGGAAACATGTGCAGTAGAAAGGACTGTGGTTGGCTAGAAAAAAGGCAGGCGCGGACAAGTCTGCAGACGCGAGAGCAAAGATGGGCAATCTGAAGCGAAATTCGCTTGCAAAATTGCAGGGACTCATCTCCCGCCTCGCGACTGCACTAGGAAGCACACCTCTTCCCTTCGCAATTCCTGCGCAATTAATCATACAAATTCAAGTGAACAGGTCTATACAGTACACGTGCCAAGATGCAGCTACGTTCTTGCTTGTGATGCTATATCATGTCGCGACTATGGCTTGCACGCGCAACACTACTGACCGGCGATCTACACAAGCATAATGGATAGGCGAAGACTTGCAGCACTTCTTGCTGGAGTTGGCAGTAGCGACGGACAAGTCGCATCATATAAAAGGTCAAGATGAGAGCGAGCGAGATGGAGCTTATTGTAAGCACATCAACCTCTGAACATTTTCATCGTTATGAAGCTCTTGCCTCTTGTATCGGTGGGACTGTTGTTCGCCCAGTCGACTTCTGCTACTTTGATCCAGAAACGTGACACAGTCAGCGATGTCTTGAACGACATTAAGAACGCTGCCACTTGTACTGCTTGCCAGGTCTGTTGGACAGCTTTGTTGCAGATTATCTCAATTAACACGTCTCAGTCTCTGTTGGGTGTGCTCCAAGCCGTTGCCCATCTTGGCAATGATGCCTTCGTCGGAGTCATTACTGCAGTTTGTCAATCGCTCGGGGTGAGTATCGACGGAGTGGATGCACAGTGTTTCTTCCGTTGACACAGGTCCAGGTAGAGGATGCAGATGTCTGCGCTGGGGCCATTGGCCTCGAAGGGCCCATCCTGGCTCATGATCTTCGCGAGATGACAGTTGGCTCTCACACCGCTCAACTCTTCTGTGGTACCATCTTCGGTCTCTGTGACTATCCTGCCGTCACTCCATACACTGTCCAGTTTCCTTCGGCCAAGCCGGCTGGCGCCGTTCGTCCTCCTCCCAGCGGCAAGACTCCTCTAAAGGTCGTCCACTACAGTGACATCCACGTCGATCTCTCCTATCAAGTTGGTGCAAATTACAATTGCACAAAAAACATATGTTGTCGCCCATACACTGCTGCCGATGCTCCTGGAAAGACGCAATTTCCCGCCGGCGCTTACGGTAACACGCAATGTGATACTCCCCGTAGCCTCGAGCAGTCCATGTATACGGCCATCAAGACTTTGGTACCCGACGCTGCCTTCTCTCTGTTCACTGGTGATGTCGTCGAGGGTGCTGTGTGGCTGGTCAACCATACCGAGGTTACGGGCGACCTCAATAACGCTTACTCGCTTATGTCCACGCTGGGGATGCCCGTCTACGGCGTTGTCGGCAACCACGATGTCGCTCCCGTCAACAGCTTCCCACCGGCTGCTGTTGACACCACCATCTCGAGTCAATGGGTGTACGACACCTTGTCGTCTGCCTGGACCAAGTGGATCGGTTCCGCAGCTGCCACAACTGCCGACAAGTACGGTGCCTACTCAGTCAAGAATCCTAACACCAATCTTCGTGTCATCTCATTCAACACAAACTTGTACTACAAGCAGAACTTTTGGCTGTACGAAAAGACCATGGAAACCGATCCCAGTGGTCAACTAGCTTGGCTGGTCGGTGAACTTGACGCTGCCGAGAAGGCAGGAGAAATGGTCTGGCTTACTGGTCATATGCCAATGGGAGCTGGTGATGCATTCCATGACGCCTCAAACTACTTCAACCAGATTGTCAAGAGATACAGTGCCACTATCGCGGCTCAATTCTACGGACATACTCACAAGGACGAATTCCAGATCACTTACTCGGATTATAATGCTCAGACTGCTGCCAACGCCCTCGGGGTGTCTTACATCGCTCCCGCGCTGACTCCAACATCTGGCAATCCTACCTTCCGGGTCTACTCAGTTGACCCTGTGACCTTTGGCGTCTTGGACTACACTGTCTACATGGCCAATATTTCATCCCCAACTTACCAAAATGGTCCAACTTGGCAGAAATACTACTCGGTCAAAGAACAATACGGTGTACAACTGACTCCTCCTATCACTTCACCATCTTCCGAGCTCACTCCTGCCTTCTGGCACAACGTGACTTCGCTTTTGCAAACGAATGATGCTATCTTCCAGCAATTCAATGCCCGGAAGTCTCGTGGTCACGATGTATCCGCGTGCGCCGGTGATTGCAAAACCAGCACTATCTGCCAGCTACGCGCAGCAGAATCTCAGTACAATTGCGTTACCATCAAGCCAGGAGTCAACTTCAAGAAGCGCGACTTGGCTGCTGATGTTGTGCACTCGGATGAATGTGATGGTTCTGCAGGCGCAAAAATATTGGGCGCTCTTACCAGCAACATCGATGCACTCCAGCAAGCGTTGGAGAAGCAACTTGGTGCTGGATTCATGAGTGAGGTCGTCAATGCTACAAGCCCTTGATCGGAGAATTGGACGTTGAAGGTGCGAAGTTGAATGCTCAGCCCTAGCTGTGAGATCTTGAAACACATACTTATTATTATGTAGATAGAACGCTTGATCGACAGCACGTCTGTGTACATAGGTTGTGTCGCTTTACATGATTTATACTGTGTAGCGTAGAGAAGGATGCATATAAACACCAGGTGAAGCCAACAGGGCAAGTCACGGTTAATCCCATCAATCGTCAAGCTGAGTCCAGCCAAAGATCACCCTTGCACATATCATGGTCATAGTTGCACTAGCCGGTGCAACTACAGGCTCCGGCCTGACTGTCCTTCACCACTTCCTCAGCTCAAACCATCCACATAAGCTCGTTCTTCTCACTCGCTCACCTCAACCTGATCTCTCAGCTACCCAATGAAGAGTTTCCTGAGATTAAGCCTGTTTCCTTATAAGACTCCCTTGGAAGGTAGTGAGAATGGTGTTGAGCTTGGAGAAGCGAGTTGGGTGGGTAAGAACAAGACCTTTGCATTCGACTAAATTAGCCGTGGGCGAGGAAGTAGCATGGGAATACCAAGTCTCGGAGAATTCAACGAGCACACGCAAAAAAGCAGCCCGCTCGATTGGAACAATTTATCTAGAAGCACGTCTGCTTCCACGGTTTGATTGAATTGAAATTGTTGACTACCAGAGCAACTTAATATATCTCGCTACTATTTTGCTCCAAGGGTGCAAGCCTTCTGCTATCGCGATGAATAAAGAGGCGCTTCAGTGGCCGTATGCTTACAAACCGAACCATGCCATATCTTGAGCACTATGATTTTGTGTCAGCAAAGTCGACAGACGGACACAAAAGCAATCTTACCCGTTCATAGGAACACTGTGACCAACGTTCTGAGCAAAGATACCTTGAACCTTTCCAAGAGGGTTAGCAGAATCAACGCCCCAGATGTTGGTAGTGTATCCATTGCTAGGGAAGTTGTTCTTAACACTCTGGGGCTTGTTGGCATCAAAGCCGAAGACACCAGTCCACTCCTTGACACTCTCTCTGTAGTTATTGGGACGAAGAGTGGTGTCAACGCTACCGTGGTAGATCTGGAAACGAGGACGAGCACCACTGTAGCCTGGATGCATGTTCTTGACGACGCTAGTCCAGTAGGCGGCGGACTGGTCGACGTTGCCCTGGGCACAGGTGGAGTTCCAGGCATCGACAGCCCCCGAGGAGGATACGAAACATCCAGCGGGAACACCAGAGTAAGCAGTGGCCGCAGCGAACAACTCAGGATAAGTCGCTGACATGACATTCTACGCTTCTTTTAGCCTCTGGTCGTTGTCGGGAGTATATTGTGAAATGTTCAAAAACTTACGGTCATCATGGCACCCGAACTGGAACCAGTGACGAAGACTCTCTTAGGGTCGGCATTGTACTTCTTCAGAGTATAGGTGACCATGTTGGCAATAGCATTGCTGTCTCCACCACCATTGTGCTTGAGAGACTTCTGACTAGAGACGTCCCAACAGGTTCCTGAGTGGGGAGAAGAAGGATAGATGACAATGAAGCCCTTTTGATCAGCAAGCTTTGCGTATGGAGAACCCTGGTAATAAGCTTGAGCAGTACCACTGCAGTAGTGGATGGCGACGATGATAGGGGGGTTGGCAGCAAGCTTGGTAGGTACATAGATGTACATAGCAGTGCCTGAGGGGTTGTCGCCAAAGTTGCTGACTTGGGTCAACTGGGCCGCGCGACCAGCGAGCGAGTTACCAGAGACCGCACCCAACAGGGCGAAGATAGGAGCAACAATATAAGTGAAATGCATGTTGAGTAGGAAAATGATTATGGCGATGGATGGACGAAGATTGTCTTGGTCGAGGGCACCCAGTGGTTATATATACTTGGCAGATTTCCTTTGAGTTCTTATCACGCTGCAGCTATATTGTCGTATTATGGGCTATCAGCATAGTGGAAGAAGGTAATACATCCAAAGTGTGATCGGACCGTTCGAGATGCATGTTCGCCTCCAGGATAAATGTAGTGGGGTCGTCTGACGGGTTGCTGAAACGAACAATAGATCAAGGCGTCGGTTAGAATCACTATGAGCATAAGGTCGCTATGGTCACATCAAACGCACTCCGTGCATATTGAAGTATAGGAGTTGCCATACGCACGAGTAGAAGCCTCTTCCAAGCCTCTTCCGAGCGGGGTTGTCGTTCGCTTGGCTAAGGTTGAAACAAGAGAGCGGATGAGTACGGCCGAGTTAGAGTAGAAAACGCCAGTAAGCTCCTTCCATTTATAACGACACGCTGCAGATCGAAACCTCGACTTTTGCCATACTTTCGACAGTTGGAGTGCTCGCGCCGGCGAATAGTCCAAACACAACCTCAGGCTAAGAGCTACACGGACAGATCGAGTCTTAGTTACCACCAGTCACGATGAACACAGGGAGGAGATACAAGAATAGGCAAAATTCGCTGGTCGACTGCTCAATCCTGAATTGGCTTCATGTCAAATGCGCCTAGAGTTTGAGATATATGCAAGACCCGCCATTCCTTGCTTGCTGAAAATGAACAAAGTCCAGCCTGTTGTTTCACAAAGAATCTCCTCTACTCTTCCACTCAGCTACACCCTTCCTTCATCACCCCAGGAAAGCGACCACTTCAGATCAATTTAAGCCTTATAATTAACGGTACTCTTGGTGGTCTTGCCAGAAGACATGTCAACGTCCTTGACGACGACGGTGTCGCCATTCTCAGAAGTAGCTCTGACCCAGGCAGTCTTGGTGCCAGTACCACCAGTGATCTCGAAGAAGTTGTTGACATTCCTAGTAGTAGACTTCCAGGTCTTACCGCTGTCGGCGCTGACCTCAAGCTTGAAGGTACGCAGACGAGCGTTCATGACGGTAGCAGCGAACCAGTATTGGGAAGATCCACCGTGCATCTTGATCTGAAGACCATCGGTGATGGGGCAAGGAACAAACTCCCACTCGATGGGAATCTCGCCAAGATTCTTCTTGGCGATCTTTGAGAACATGTTGGGAGACATGTCCAGGTGGTTCTTATCACCACCAGTCTTGTTGGTAACCTGGGCCGAACAGTCAGTATTCGTTGTATGATGACTTCTTGTTAAACTCGCTTACCATGGCAATCTTCTTTGCCCCTCCCTTGTAAGTGATAGATACGCAGCCACCACAGTTTTGGCCGTTGTTCCAGATGGTCTCAGAAACGCAGGTAGAACCAGCGATGGAAGAGGGGAGGACGTAATCGGTGAAAGCGCAAGCGCCTTGCTGCCAGCAAGCTTCTTCGCCACAGCTCATGCCATACCAAGTACCCTTACCAGAGTTCAGGGATCTCTCATACAGAGCAGGGTTGGGAGAAGTGGCAGGGGCAGCAAGTGCCAGAGGTGCAAGGACCAGAGCGGCCAGCGCAGTGGAGGAAGTAGAGAAGAACATTTTGCGGATAATGGAAGAAAAGAGTGGCTTTGGTTAGGCACCGAGAAGAGAAGAGAAGAGAAGAGAGTGTGTGTTTGGTGACAAGAACGTGGATTCTCGAGAGGTGCTCCGTTCTTAAAGCTCTCAAGCATGAAATTGCGATTTCTGACTGGATGCCACGGTGAGATCACCGTCAAGGTTCAAGTGACAGGTGTATTGCCTGTTTGACCATGGTGTAACATGCAAATTCGAACGCATTGACATTGGTCGGATCATCTGACAGGCGAGTGAGCCGTTGGGACAGCTGAAACTCGACTTTTGGCGTCAGCTTTCTCATCAAGCAAGTACGGGGTACCAATTAGAGCGTTTTGCGTAGCTGAAATGTAGCCCCAATCGCGGGTATCGAGGTAAAGTCGTCCAGAACAACGTATCGAGGTGTTGGCCACTGGTGGTACCTAAAAGAAACTTCATAACAAGTCTTATCAATAGCCTTATCCGTATCATGTGAAAACTTGGAGCTCCGACCTTGCAAATCAGTGGGATCAGGTAAACCCACTCCGACGTAGGTATTGAGCAATTCGTCAGCTTGGATGATTTTCGGCCAATTCGGATTCATCATTCCAAGCCCTTCCTATTCTTGTATTCTCCCTATACTCTGCCTGAGCTTTCTTAATGAGATCGTCGACTGTGGTAGACGCATGTTCTGGACTCAGCATCAGAAGTTCTTCTTCCACTACGTGAAAACTGATATAACTGTTCAAGTAACGGAGTCCGCATAAGCTCATCGACTCTAGTATCAGCTCATCCCTGATGACGGCAAGCAGGTCGATAATTCCTTCGAATTTGTCGTCATAGAAGTCTGAGTTACGTATGTCCAGATGTCGCAAGCTCTTTGAATGTGCCCTCACCAGTCTGGTGAAAGACGCGCCAATTTGGCAGTCCTGGACTGTTATCCCCCGAAACTGATCATGATACAAAGCACTGGTGATCAAGCCGAAAGTCTCTTGATCGAGTTGTGGCATATTCGTGTCCTCGAAGTCTTCGATGGATAGCTTTTCTAAGCGTAGAGTCCGGGTTTGATTGCGGACCTCGAGAACGTGTGATACGAGAGGTATCTCGGTGCTCTCAAGAAGCCTCAAGATCAGATCTATTCCAGATTTGAGACGACCTGAATCCGATATCACAAACTCTTGAACCGCTTCAAGAAGCCCAGGATGACGACTGAGCGCTTGTCGTGCAAGAGGGGTCCACTCTAGATCAAGCGAGAGCCCACTGATAGAACACCGCGAGCTACTAAGTGCCTTTATCAATGCTTTAAGGGTCTGGGCTGCCCGAGGGGTGCCATGTCGCGAAAGACTGACGGAGCCATAGAGTTCGTCATGGCCATATACACGACGATGTTGTCCGTGTCTAGAAGCAGCACATGCCGCGTTATCGAACAGCCCAATAGTGGGCACAATGCAATGCCTGCTCATATTCGTGAACGCTTCGGCGAGTAGTATAACATGCATACCAGTCTGCTCGAATGGGAACTGCTTGAGTGCAGCAATGTTTGCATGGGTTGCACCATGATCAGGTCGGGCATTCACAAGATGTTTTTTCATACGATACAGTCCAATCTCGAATGACTGAACGCAAGGACCTAGTATTGGATGTGCCGTAAGGTCGACTAGACCCTGTAAGCTGTACGGCGATATAACAAAACGAGGATGCCGGAGTTTCGCAAGTCCGAAGAGCTTAGTCGATACGTCATACCACTGTTTGCTGACAAGACGTAGCTTAGCCAGATCCGCAGACTCTGCGGCAGATGCGATCATATGTAGAACCTCGGATGGACATGACGAGATGTTTGTCGCCATCGCAGGGGATATAGCGCGGATTGTGCTGGTGGCTGTATTGCGGGAATCGTCGAGGTGCCTCAGAAGAATGCCAAGGCGGCGGCTCGGTGGCGGGGAAAGCGCTGTCTTCCCTTCCGAGCTTCACCACAACCTCAAGACGTTGCGCTTTCGTGTCTGCTTGACCCGTCACATCTTTCGTCACCTCTCTTGGTGTGACTAGGAGGGTACGAGTGGCTCTGGATCTTTCTTCAAAGACGTGTGTACTTGAGTAAGCAGATACGCAGCATGTCTCCTCCCCGTGTGCAGAATACTGTCACACCCTACCTTCACAAGGATCAAAGCAGGACAACAACAAGTTGTATGAAGGCACAGTGATATCTCAAATCGATAAGCCTAGTACAGGAAGTCGTTGACACGAGATGTCTCGATGACATCGCTTGAACGTAAGAAAGTATCGTGCCTTGAGGCAGCTACATGTGTGACAGTATTTCGCACACGGGGAGGCTGGACAATAATCTTGATTGCCGTTCCACCACCCAGCGTCTCTACAGCGAGTTGTTGCTTGACGCAACTCCAGCACTCGCCCACACGTGGCGCATCCTGCTAACCACATCTTCGGCTGTTTCTCTCCCTTCACGTGGTATGGAAAACTTCCGCTCGTGACCCATCCTTCTCTGGTTCTGCCGTCGATACGCCCACAGTGCGTCCACTGCTAGGCATCTTCCGTACCTGTCAGTATCGCCTGCTATCAAGGCAGCGCCGAAAGACTGGATGTATCCTGTTTATGGGAGCTGTGGGGTTGTATGGCTTCGAGACACAGCGAACAGGGCAAAGAGTCTTTCTTGAAAATGCTAACACGTATTCGTGGATTGGATTTTTGAAAGTGCATGTAAACTATAGGTACTGTCCCGAGGACCGCTCGCCATCGCCGTGCTATACTCTGGGCAAAGAGAGACCGGCTGCTGATATTCTGGTATGCTGTCTCAAAATGCCAGTGCTAGAGCATGCCTTTACTTCTGATTGTCCTTCATCACGAGACTGCAGGATCTACTCCGAAGTCTTGGTAAGCCAGTCGACGCCAGCCTGCGCGACTTGAAGATCTTGGGCGGGAGAACCTCCGCTAACGCCAATGGATCCGAGCAGGAAGTCATTCTTGTAGAGAGGCAAGCTGCCGCCAAACACCACCAGACCGCCATTACTCTCCTGAATGCCTGGTCACTTGTGAGCACGAGTTTGATTGCACAAGGTCTATCAGACTGACCATAAAAGGGTGCGCCAGGCTGTGCGAGATCGTATACAACACCGCTTGGCAGTCCGTTGAAGAGTACGGTAGTACGAGCCTTCTTGATGCTCAGGTCGATGCTGCCGATATAGGCGTTGTCCATGCGCAGGAACGTAACAAGGAGGCCAGAGGGATCGCAGATTGCGATATTTTGTGGTGTGACAGACTCAGCGCACTTTGCTGCAGCGTTCAGGACACCCTGTGCTTGAGCTGCGGAGATGACATGGCGCTACACAACGAATTAGCACGGTCAGAGTTGATGAAATGACCGGCAAGGACTATTCGTACTCACTTGAGCTGGTGTGCTGCCGATTCTGTTGGTAGATGCCAGGTCGCCTTGTGCTGGGCTCATGATGTGAAGGGGATGATATGAGAATGGTTCGGTGCCTCTAATGTATGGATGTGCAGTTGTTGATCTGTGGAAAGTCCTCAGGGATCAGGGCTCGCGACTCGTGAGTGAACGTGATGTGGAACCTTAGAGTTAAGCTTACGTGCGCCTCGAAACTCCACTCACTGTCGACTTCCGCAGCGTCACAGCTTCTCGGATTGTGTGTTTTCACTCACGAGTCACACATCGACTAGGTATGCTTTCGTAATTGTCGTGAAGGTCACTGCGTCCAGACCAATCCGGATTATGCACACCGTCTCCAGGTTGATCTCAACCGGCCCCTTCCGTCTTCGGAACAACGATTACTGACCCACTGATCGACCGCTAAACCTCACATGCGGCCGTGCGGTCTCGCACGTAGGCGATGACCGAGTCAAGCCTCGAACCTTAACATTCTGGAACGCACCGTGTCCTCGGTGTTCACGTAAGAAATTGATTTGACTCTTGTCACTGACCAATCTGGTTCATCGATTCGTGGAAACGCAGGGTGCGTCTGACAGTTGACACTCTAAAGTAGACAACGTGGAAAGTGTTTATTGATCCTTCGCGTGAGGATAAGCGAGATCAGTAAGTACTACAGTCATGAATACATTATCAAATGGAAGCATCGAGAGATGAGGAACAATGTTCTCTCGGAAGAGGCGGAACGCGAAGTGTTGGGAATGACAAATGAATGATATTATTCATAAATACTGAGGAAAAGAAATCTGTCTGGTTCAGGCTCGGTGTTGGAAATAGGTGAAAGATTGTTGGCAATAGTCTCAAGTGGGTCTATACAGTATCGCCGGTTCTGGTGAGATCCTTGAGAGGTATTTGAGACTCGTCAGAGAGGCGGTGCTGGCCATGTGTTTTGCTGAAAGGGTTGTTGGAGTTGTATTGCGGTACACCGTGACTGTTATAGCTGTTCTCTGCAGATGTCCTCGAGGAGATTTTGTCCAGATCGTCGTGGTGGTTTTCACTGTCGGAGTCTCCAACAAAGATCTGGACCTCGGTCTGACGTTGAATGCCTTTCATATCTTCGCGGTCTGCGTTACCGCCTTGCGTGTGTCCAATGTGTGCTGTGTTTTTCGCTCCATTGACTGTATCGCGATCGTTGAACGTGCGCTGAACATGGGACCGGCTTTCGGGGAACGGCGTTCCTGATGATGAGTGTTGACGAACATCAATTTCGGACGTCGTTGCGACCTTGACGATGAGGTCTGCCATCGACATTTCGACGTGGAGCTTGACCATATCTAAGGCGTAATCAGCGTCATGTAGCGGTGGTAGAAAGGAGAAGAGGATGCGAGAAAGGATATTAGTGTTGACTTACAAGCCACAGGGTGGAACTGGATATAAACAACTTGGTTGGGCAGAGCCATCAAGCCCAGAAGCATAACGTCCATACAAATGGATAGTATGCCGAGGCGGGTGTAGTAGCCGATTAATGGTTTGTATTTGCGAAGACCGTGTTGTTTGATCAGCCGGGCATTTACGGTATGTATAAAATACCAATTCAGGCCTGCGTCGACGAGGCAGATCAATATCTTGGAAACACGGTCCCAGTACTTGTTGATCTGGACGTATGTTTGACTCGGAGGTTCGGTCATATGTGCAGGAATCCACTACGAGATTGTCAGTATTGACACTCAAGCCTGGGATTTGGATAGAGCCTACGATACACATGACCATGATGTTGATCACAGAAATGACGACGGCAGTAGTCCATTTCAGCTTGGATGCCATTGTTCTTCGCTCCACGATGATGGCAATGCGATTGATGATGATTTGTAGGAGTAGCTGAACTTCGAAAACATAACAAAAGAGGATAAAAAATAGGACGACCGGTCTGAGAATACGTTAGCTGCTGACCTCAAATGATGAAGGAGTGCATGAACATACTCGGCCTTGAGGACATCGTTCAAGAACAACCAGCCCAGAATGCCAATCAGAAGATTGGCAAGTATCTCTCCCCATATCATATATATGAAGACACTACGATGAGGCGACTTGTTTTGCTTTGTCTGCTTGACAGCTCTCCATACTGTGAGCGTGCCAAATCTGATGTCTGTCAGTCTTCGTAGGGTCAAGCAGAAGCGAGAAGCTTACCCTAGAGTAAATCCCGCTGCAGCGGCAGCGAGTTGCAAGTCTCCCGATGAAGTTGCCATCGAAGCATTCAACAAGCGTGATGTCAAGAAGAGGGAAGTATCAAATGCGCGTTGCAGCCCATAGGAACATGCGTGGACACGCAATGTCAAAACAGGCTGATGTACGGGGCGGCACACTCGTATGCCTATGTAGGTGGATCGAGAGTCGCTTCTATCAGGAGTAGAGAAAAAGTAATCTACCCGGGGATCTCAGCCGTTCCTGGGTCTTCGTCAAGACTCAGGACTAGTCAGAGCATCATCATCAGAGAGGGTCCCGCTCTTTGTAGGGCGTAGGTATCACTCCCGCTTGGTCAACGACAGTCGATTGGAGCCGTGACCATCGGCCGGAAGGAAGATTGGTGATCGGACGGTAGAAGAGCGAGAGTCTTCCGCTGGACTCCTAACCGTAAGGGCAGTAGTCTCGCCATCAACCTGGTATGAGCGCTGCACGTGGCACTGCGTCCCCGTGCCTTGGTAGGGTCTTGCGGAAAAATCTGGGGTGCACTATGTGGATTACCAATTTGATGAGTGCATGGATACGAGTGTCCTGTGTGCCTCGGAAAGGTTCATGGATGCTTGTATGTGACTGCGAAGCAAGTCAAGGAGCCGTTACGAAAGTTCTTGTCCAGCTTGCGCGAAAGCTTTGACCTGGATGGGCAGCCGAGAAAGCCATGAAGAAGTACGTTTAGCTACTCAATCCAATCGGCTTTTCGCTGCTGTCCTTGGAAGTGGCTGGACCTATAGACGATTGAGGAAGGTACAAGCCAGCCTTGCTTGCGTACGGTCGACCCCTCGACGAATTGTTGGCAGCTTGGCAGACCATTGTAGCTTCGAATTGGCTGAAGCGATCCGGTATGCCACGAAAACTCAAATACCTTGCGCGACATCCTGTCGACCATATCGGTCCATAGCCTTAACATCATGGAGACGCCTCACAAGAGGCCGACGACTTTGTTTCTCATCCGTCGGGATGCGCCGTTATGACCAATCCTTCCAACCATGCCTTCGGACAAGTGGCGCCCTGCGTGGCGCAAGTAGCGAGCGACCCGAGTGCTGATGAAACAAGAACGGCCGTTGCTCGCGATTTTCCTATTCAGAAAAGTGAGGGCGACCGTCGAAGGGCCTCGCACCAAGCTAGGCAAAATTTCGGCATCACATCGCCAACCAGCCCTAGCTTTCCAGCTTGCATAACGCAATCTGCACTTCAATATCAACTCGACACGGCCACAATCACAGCATTCCATGGCGGCGACCTTCCCTCGAGTTTACTCTAGGGCGTTCAAAATATGGTGTGCATACAACAGCTACTCGTGATGGCAGCGATTCGCGCCTCGTTGTAAATCGTTTGTCTCGGGATCAGCTCCGTCGCAACCCCACGTAGCCTCAGTTTCCCATGCGTATTTGTCTTATTCGGCATCCCGGCATGTCGACTGGTCATTTCGAACCGTCGTTCTCGCTTGAGCCCACAGATTACTTAGACGCGGCAGCGAGTCAAGCAAGCCGCAAGCGTAATGTCGACTGAGGACATGTCGCTGCATTGTTTTCACTGGTATGACCAAGACTCGTCTTCGTTGTAACAGTGAAAACGATGTCTTACAGAGCTCAAGGATCGGTACGATAGCGAAGCATTCCGCTCTTCGAACGCCATCTCGACATCACGTAAATGTTTAGCTGATTCGACACATACCCTGCTCCTGTGGGTCTCTACAGAGCGATGGCCGGATCAAGCTAGCGATGGCCCAGCCAGCAGCAGATCATTTGTCAATCAGACTCCTCAGCATCTTAAACGGTAGCGCGGAAGCTGTAAGACACGAATTTAGCATATCAAATGCCGAATCTGGTGTTCATGAGTCGAAAAACATCTTGATTTTGAGCCCTACTACCCGTACTGCTGGATGCTGGAAACGTCTAAGACACATATCACAGTGGGGATGGACCGCGCAAATCCCCTCACTGATGATATACCTGCTATTCTTGGATGTCCGTTGTGATACAACCTCCCCGTGTGCAGAATACTGTCACACCCTCTCTTCACAATAATCAAAGTATAGCAATGACGAGCTATAGAAAGGCACAGTCATATCTCGTATCGACACACCTAACGTAGGGAGTCGTGAAAATCTCAGTGCCATCGCTCTAGATCTAAAGAAGTTTGTGCCTTAGGACAGCTACAAGTGTGACAGTCTTTCGCACACGGGGAGGGAAGACTTCGAAAGCAATTCAGCTTTGTCTTGAGGTCAGCAACCGGCTGTTACTGATAATCATGGTTGCAAATATAAGCGAATATCGTGGAGGTGCAGTCAATATCTGCCTATATTTTCCACTACCTCACTGCTTGCTGAACCTCCTCATCGAGATGCTCCCTCCGGATTCTTCCGCTGATCAAGTAGACAGCAGTCCTGACTTCCAGCAGGGGATCATCACTGACCTCTACACCCTCCATGTATCTGGGTATAGGATCATAGATGATCTTCTTCTGTTCACGACCTGCAGGCTCGCCCTCATCCATTTTCCAAAGACGATCAATGACAATCTCGCCCATCTCGGCAAACTCATTCGTCTCTGGCCACACCTTTGTCGAATCGTTGACCTCGTCACCGTCTTCTGCCAATTGCGCCATAAGTCTGTACTTGATGGGTTTGTTGTTCGAAAGTCTGTTCTCGAGATCATCGAATTGGTAGTTCTTGCCTTGCTTTGCGGCATCGGCTTTACTGTGCTTCATGACACCCTGCCATGGCACGATTCTCCAGCGGAAATATCTCTCCTTACCTTCATCGTTGACGAACTTGTAGGCGTGGATGGAGTGCCACTGCTCGGTTGCGAAAGAGTATGCATGTGCTGGAGATTGATTCTCCATGAAATATCTCGCATGAGGATACTTGTCGAGGAACTCCTCCATCTTGTCATCTCTCATGGCTTTGAACTGATCTAAGAAGCCTTCTCCTGTACTGACGACGAAACCAAAGGCGTTGTTGGTGATGATGTCGTAATGAGTGTGTCCATCGTCCGAAAGTACGAATCTGATGGCGAAGCCACGAGAGGCGTTGTCACCATTGTCGGGGAGATTCTTGAAGCCTGTGTCTGTGCTGTAACGCATAATCAAGGGTGTAGATTCTTGCTTGAAAATAGGCGCTTTTGACAGTTTCGAGGCGTCCTTGTGAGGTGTGAAGTAGCCCCTGACGAGCTGACCTTTCGCGTGCACTGCTCCGCTTTAGCAATGGGAATAAGCAGCTTGTGCGGTAGTCGTCTTACCTGGTCGATAGTTTTTGGGTGTGTCAAAAGTCGCGCGCATGGTCTCGACAAGCTCATCAGAGAGCTTGACAATCTTCTTGTCATCGGGAAGAGGCATGATGAATTGATCTCAATGTATTGGAGTAAGCCGTGCAGATAGGGAAGGTGAGTGTGCCATCTTTATGGCTTGTCCGTCGGATGGTCCGGTAAATACCCCTCATCAGTATTGTAATTATCAGATAGCTTGTTGCTGATAAGCTTGTGTCTAGTCGTCATTTTGGGACCGTTGCGGTATATGATTTGAAGTTCCAAAAAGCCAAAATTGGTCAGCAACGGTCAAAAGTGCGGGATTGTTATCAGAGTTTTTTACGCATGCCCGCACGTACGGCCATAGTCAGCTGAAAACTGGGCATCCCGTCCGCTCTGCCATACATAAGCAGTTGAACGGCAGATTAGTACTACGGTGGGTGACCACGTGGGAATTCCTGCTGCTGTACGTTTTGCTCCTCTTTTGCTCAACTCAAATCCTGTAAGTCACATTTGAACCAGATGCGACGTCTATGTCTTTTGCACTACTAAGTTTACTAGGGGAAACTCGGCCCTAATTGAAACATCAGAGTTCATGCATCGGACTCACAAACTATATAAAGAATAACAAGCTAAAGAGTCCTAGTCCTACGAAGTACCACTGCTGTTGGCTAGCTTGATGACTACCCTCAGCACTGCTCGACGTGGCAGCAGAACTCGTGACAGATGTGCTAGAAGCTGTTGGGTTCCCCGAAGATGTGCTGGTAGCCGAGGAGGTGGTGTTTACAGCGTCCAATGTCCACGTGTTCCAAAAATCAAGAAGAAGAGGTGTCGCGTCAAATGAGCTTCCGTTGGCAAGGGCAGGCCAATAGTGTCCGAGACCATGCACTTTGTAATGTACATTAATGTCAGGATACTTGCTGCTACCGTAGTCATAACGAATGACACCTTTGTGGTAAAGCGAGACCGATGTGTTCGAGGCACCAAGCCCGTTGCGTTCAGACCACTCTGTCATGAAATGCGGCAGGTTCGGGAGACAGCGGTCGCGACGAGGGCCACCATTGTAAGGGATCGTCTCATCAGCATCACCATGAGTGGTGAATATCGGGACAGGAGATCGACCAGGATTGCATGATATGGGTACTGTCGCCGCATTGCAGTTGTCTTCGCTATCACCCTGATAATATGCGCCCGAGATGCCCCCAAAGGCTGCAAATATTGTTGAGGCTTTGGCATCACAAGCAAGAACATTCGCTGCGAATGAACCGCCGTTGGATTTGCCAGCAGCATAGATCTTGTTCGTATCCATGCAGTAGGTACTGGAGAGATTTGCGAGAAGCTCAAGAGTGAAGCCAGTGTCGTCGTAGCCCACAGCTTCTGGATCGCCCTGCCACTGCTGATTGAGGCCTTGTGGATAGACGACGAGGTAGTTCGGATTCATGGTTTCGTTTGACATTCCTGAGATTTCTTCTTGTTCCTGCCATGTTCGTGTTCGGCCGTGAAATGAAAAGGCCAGAGGTGTTGGAGTATTGCTATCGTAAGAAGTTGGGATGTGCAGACCATATTCACGAACGATTCCGGCCGATGTGACAAATTCGAGAGGATTGGTGTTGCGAGGGCCTCCACGCTCTATTGAGCCTGGTAGTCGGCTTCCGCATCCTGAGGTTGCAGTAGATGATGATACTGTAGCGAATATCGCTTGGAAGAGAATAACGGCTTTCATGATTTCTTAATAACAGCTTTGATACAAGTCGTGCCGGCTTCGAGTTATATATCTTGTCTAACAGCCAGAGGAATGGCTGCGAGAAAGTTGGCAAGGCGTCCGCGGGGTCCGCAGTTTGCGACGAGTTTAAGTGATGTTAATGAATCTGGCTCTCCTCAGGCACGTGTTGATCGCTTTGATGAGAGGTTCTTCCGAATTATGGTTCAATACTGATTTGGCGGCTTTGACTTTTCACCTCTTTGCGAAACTCGAGATTTGAGAAGCGTACACGAGGATTGTTGAGAAGAGGCTTTGTTGATGAGGGGGGACCACATTCAGCCCCTCGTGCAACGCGAGAAGTCATTGTATCCAAGACACGCTGGTGACGTGCGAAGACTATATGTCATAAAGGTCCTAATGACCCAAGTTGCACTGTCTTGCTAAAGCACGCGCAATGGGAAATCTTAGCCCGATCGTCGCAATCCCGCGGAGAGTACCAACGTCGTCGGCCAACACCCAAAATCGACATGCTCAAGAAACACGTCGTTACCTCGACATTGCCGTCGTTGGCAAGTTTGAGAGCTGATTAGATATCAAAAGCATCGCCCCTTATCTCGTTATCATCTCAACATGTATGCGAAGCAGCTATGCGACAGCTATGTTCGATCGTGATTCGCCAGGCATCATGCAGCCTGCAAGCTTTCGATGGTGGCCGGCGCGTAATGACCTGCTGACTCCGGTATCGACATGGACGCAGACCCAAGGCCGAAGGCGAATTGACAAGCCATCCCTGATGACAGGACCAGGATACAGCTATCCAGCGCTCAACTTGACATATTGACGAGCGATGCCTCCCGCGACGCGAGCGGATTTCGAAGTGGCCATCATCTGTGCTCTACCTCGGGAGGCGGACGCGGTCGTGGATCTCTTCGACCAGCACTACGACGAGGACGGCGATAGATACGGCAAGCAAGAGGGGGACTCCAATACATATTCGACTGGAAGAATCGGCCGCCATGATATTGTCCTGGCGCATATGCCTGCCATGGGCAAGACAAGTGCCGCCAGTGTCGCTTCTGGCCTTCGATTGAGCTTCGTAGGAGTCCGGCTCGCACTTGTCGTCGGAATCTGTGGAGGCGTCCCTCTTCACAATCCAATCATCCTTGGAGACGTCATCATCAGCGACGCAATCATCGAGTATGACCTGGGCAGACAATATCCAGACCACTTCGAGAGAAAAACTGGTGTCAAAAACACCCTCGGCAGACCTAACACTGAAATCGGAGGCGTTCTCAGTAAGCTTCGAGTTCGTCACTACCGTACAATTCTGGAGAACAAGATATCGCAGAACCTAAAAACACTACAAGAAAAGAGCAGCACAGCATTGTATCCAGGCGTGCAGATGGACAAGGTGTTCCCCGCCACATACTGTCACATGCATCGCTCGCGGCTTTCCAATCAGGTCTGCCTTTGTTCTGGGGACGCAGTTTGCGATGAAGCGATTGACCTGGGCTGCCATGTGCTGGGATGCAATGCTGAAGCACCTGAAAACGTGACTCGGGTCAAGCGACTTGAGACGAAGACACCTACTCCTCTCGTTTTCATTGGCACCATCGGCTCGGCCAGCACTGTCATGAAGTCTGGCGAGCACCGCGACCGCATCGCCAAGGAAGATGATGTGATCGCCTTTGAAACGGAGGGTGCTGGGGTTTGGGATAGCATTCCTTGTATTGTCATCAAGGGCGTATGTGACTACGCCGACTCTCACAAGAACAAAGAGTGGCAAGACTATGCTGCAGCAACAGCGGCTTCTGCTGCGAAGGCGTTCCTAGATTACTGGACTGCTCAAAAGCGAGTCTCAAACTCAACTGGCAGCTCTTCTAGGAAACGATTACTATCAGCTAGTGTCGACAACCATGCCGAAGAACCCACTCGTCATCGATCTACCTCTGAGATCCAAGACTCACCGTCAGTAACTCTCGAAATGAATCAAGCATGCATTGGCTCACAGTTCAGTACAGTGTCGCTGAACCTCGAAAGTAGACAAGCTAGATTGGATGCTCTATACTTTGATCAGCTTGATGCTCGCGGTTCTGATATCAAGATCGCGCACAATACCACGTGTGAGTGGTTACTAAGTAAATCGGAGTATCTGGATTGGCAGAACGAGCAAAAACTACTTGAACATCACGGCTTCTTGTGGATCAAGGGAAAGCCCGGTGCTGGGAAGTCCACGATCACGAAGTTTGCCTACACTGCCGCCAGCGCGAAGTCCACAGATGCAGTAGTGATTTCGTACTTCTTCAACGCAAGAGGCGAGCGGCTAGAGAAGTCAACTTGTGGGATGTATCGCTCGCTTGTATATCAGATGCTCAGTAAATTTCCGACATCACAAGAGACCCTCGACGCAGACGAAAGCGCCTGGCGGTCGTCCCACACCGCTGGGTGGACAGTGGATAATTTGCAAAATCTCTTTCGACGAGTCTTCCAACGTACTCATGAAACACCCTTAATGTGTTTCATCGACGCTCTTGACGAGTGTCAGGACGGCGAAGACCAAGTGCGAGAGATGATCGAGTTTCTCGAAGAGCTGGGAGAATGGGCTGTTCACAACAAGAGGCGTTTTTTCGTATGCTTCTCCAGCCGACACTATCCTCACATCACCATCGGCAAGGGCGTTGACTTGATACTCGAGGCCCAGCAGGGTCACTCTGAAGACATCGCCAAATACATACGTTCGAAGCTAAAGGTCGGCAAGAGTAAACGCTCAGAGCAGATCAAAATAGAAGTTCGAGAAAAATCACAAGGCATCTTCCTGTGGGTAGTATTTGTTGTTCCAATGCTACAGAAGGCATGGGATCACGGGAAAGGACACGCTCTCGGAGAGTGCTTGAAAAGCATACCCAAAGACCTCAACAGGTTATTCAAGGATATCTTGAGCAGGGACACAGATGATGTGGAAAACCTAGTGCACTGTCTGAAGTGGCTTTTATACGCTGTTCGACCACTCAAACCCGAGGAGTTGTATTTTGCCACATTGTCTACAACCATGGGCTCTTTAACATCATGGAATCCTGAACAAGTTCCTCTGGAAGTCATCAACAGGTTCATCACGAGCTCATCTAAGGGCCTTGCGGAGCCAACCAAGGTGAAGACGTCGACTGTGCAATTCATTCATGAGGTTGTGAGGGATTTTCTTCTGAAAGAAGGTGGACTCGAGCCGATCCAGGCGGATATGGATGTCACTTCACCTGGCCCTGTACATGACCTTCTCAAGCAGTGTTGTCAGCACTACTTTGTCGAGGCCGTAAAGATATGCAAAGACACAGGCTATCCCACTGCACCCATTCCCGCAATATATCGTCCAGAGCTAGCGAGAAAGTTCCCCTTACTTGAACACTTGGTTCACAATGTCTTCCAACATGCTGAGCTAGCTGCAACATACCAGATGCCGCAAGAAGCGTTTTTGGACATCTTTGATCTAAGCATATGGGTCTTCTGCCACGACGCTCTGAAGAGATACGGCGTGCGGCGATACGGTCCTGAGACGAGCTTGCTGTACATCCTCGTCGAGCAGAACCACTTGCACCTCTGTCAGATTGAGTCATCTCGGAGCAGGTCAGTCAATGCCATTGGTGGCCGCTACCACTTTCCCTTAGTAGCGGCCACAGTCCTTGGAAATATCGAAATGGTCGAACTACTGCTCAAGAATGGCGCTCACGTAGACGCATGTGGCACAAGATCTCATCCTCATGCTCTTAAAGTAGCATTTAACCGATCGGACATCGGTATGATCGAACTACTGATAAGACATGGTGAAAGTTCATACATTCCTACTCTTGAGGATTTCATGAGAGTGGCTATGCGTGCACCGGATGAAGCAGCTGTCCGTTCGGTACTCGAGCTCAGTTTCCAAGTCTATGAGTCGGGCTACGAAGACGCACTTTTCGATGCTGTCAAAGCTGGTAACAGAGTTGTAGTGCGTTGCCTACTGGAACGTTGCACTTGTGTCAATGAAGGCTCTCTGCTCCAACATGCTGTTCACGGCGGTGACGAATCAGTTGTGCGGGTGCTGCTCGAGAATATCAAGAATGGAGCCACCATAAATGATTGGATCAGCGAGATCAGCACCAATTCTCGGGGGTATTTGGTTCACTTTGAAGGCACATCACTCTATGGGGCTTCGCAAAGTGGCTACGCTGGTATTGTACGTGCTTTGATTGAGCATAGTGCCGCTATCGATCAGATTTCTGGGCGTTACGGTACTGCACTTCATGTTGCTTCGTTTATTGGTCAGACGACGACTGTTCTTGCACTACTCGAGGGTGGCGCGAACATTCGCGTATCGAACGACAACCATGGCACCGCACTTCATATAGCTTCCTACGCCGGCCATGAAGATGTTGTGCTAATCTTGGTTGAACGGGGTGCGGATATCAATGTATTCACTGGGTGTTATGGCACTGCATTACACGCAGCTTGTATTGCCGGCAGAACAACCGTTGCGAGGTTGCTAATCGAGAAGGGCGCGGATGTCAACGCATACAGCACTCAGGAATGGAGCACTCCACTTTACAAGGCTCTCCGTCATCCAGATACAGTATCTTTGCTCCTGTCGATGGGCGCGGATGTCAACAACTCCCAAGATCCATCCGTGCGACCCTTGTATGTTGTGCTGAGTGCAGGCCTGGCGGATACTGTACGTATCCTGCTCGACTTTGACGCTGATCTCTACCTGCCATCACCATCCTGCAGCAATGCTTTCGATGCCTTGGACTTTTGCGAAGATGTGGAAAAGCGTGCTGCATGTGAACAATTGTTGTTGGAAAGGGGCGCAAGAAGGTGACGTTCATATCTTCACAAGCATGTGGTCAGGGCAAGAGGAGCATGTACTTATCTTGCGTTCACCTTAGATGCATCAATTTTCATTGTGATTAATACTGCACAAAACAAAACTATAACATACATGCCTGGTGAGTCCAGAATATCCAACATGACTTTCTCACGTTTTTCTGTGGAGGATGGTAGTCGCAGCTCCTTGACAGATTCCTGGCCAATTCACATGTACATTGAGGACATGAAACCAATTCTCTGGCCAATTACCCCTGCCACCTCCCATACACTGGAACTGTTCTTGGAGATCGAGGTCACAGTGCCAATGTTAGAAATCTAGCAGAGCATTAGATGAGACATCAAATTGCGGGATCACAAAGCTAGAGGCGGAATGTGCACATGTCAACATAAGTTTTGTATACTTGAATGGTAGGGAGAAATCTAGATCTTCTCTTGTAGAAAAGTAACAATTCACTTTTGCTCAAGGGATCAAATTGCCAGATCATGCAAGACTTTACCATTACTCAATATGACAGACCCCCAAGCCGATGGACGAGATACCGATGTATCACTGGAAACCCCATGATTATCTTTCTTGAGTGGTCAGTGTTGAGATAACGGTAATACAGGGGCGGAGTCGGGTGTGAATGCTTGCAAAAAGGTCGATGAGGAAGCTGATACTCTTTTACCATGACGGTCACCAGGTTGCTTACCACGACGAAGTGATATGTATGAGATATTCTTTCGTTTGTTTTCCGTCATGGTTGTTCGGATGTGCTTGCATTATAGCATAACAGTAGCTAGCATGCATGAGTTGAACCGCCTAATTACCCGAATATGTCACAGCTATACAGTTCGCACACACACTATCATCAGGTCTCCTATGGCTAATCGATATACACCATCATGTCCGTGAGTCGTGTTCACAAGGAAACATCATTGATGCTGCAAGCTGCCAGGGCACAGCCGGCGTCAACTCCGTCACATCCTGGTCCAAACGTCCCAGCTTTCCAGCTGCCCTGCGCCTCCCCCTCTGCGTCCGAAATGCTACAACACCGCCAATACTACCTCTCAATTCACCAGCACCCTTGTAAGCGCAAAAGAATCACATTCTACACCTTCCACAGAGCTCAAAGGTTCAAAAAAGAGACGACGCCTGTGTGATTCGAACACACGCTCCCGAAGGAAATGCCTGAACTTTACCGCTGGATAATAGCAGGGCATCGCGTTAACCACTCCGCCAAAGCGCCTTTGGTAGTATCCTAAGATTGGTTGGATCTCGATTCTAGATGAGGAACAATGACTCGGCGGGGTTTATAATGTCCAGCGTTTTCGATCTGGCATTTGCTGAACGCGCGCACTCCAGGACCGTCATTGTAGACCCGTCGCGAGCGCGCGAAGATGGTTGGAAATTCTGACCGCACGTCGTCGATGTTGATGATGTGTTGTGTTGCGCGACGAAGTTGTCCGGGGGCGACGAAAGAAAATAAGGCGTGAGTGCGAGGGAAGAAGAAAGGGTTTTCCTCGCTTTTTCCTCGCTTCGGATTTTGGCTTCATTGAGCGACGCCAGTGTCCAGGAGCTCCTGTCCCAACTAATGATTGCACACGCACGTTACCTTCAGACTGCGTTTTCAAAATCAGATTGTATGGCAGCATGAGTATCTAGATTGTGCAGTAACTGGACGTGTTTGCGAGATCTCCAATGTCAAGGTCTTGATTACCACGCTCCACGTACTTTTGTCGCTGCATGGCAGGCACACCTAGGATCACACCTTCTCGACTTCTGCATATGTTTGAGAAACACACGCCATCCCTATGAGCTTGCGTGGATCTCTGTTGACTTTGAATACAAGCAATGTTATAGTGTAGAAGAGCTATATCGTTGGAGATGGGCGCATACTTCGTATTTGTGTAGCTCAAGGATAAACGGCTACAAGGGTCCGTTGCGACAAAAGCAACAAGGGCATCATCTATTCTGCCAACAAGTCGTTTGCAAACGCTGCGAGACGACTCAAACACACAAGAGGGATTTCTGCAGCTACGGGCTTTGGCGCTCATCACTTCGTTTCGTAATCATTTGCTTCGTCAACAGGAGCGTCAATGTCGCTGTACTGTTTCTCATTTCTTGTTTCTTTGCGGATTCTGCGGAAGCCTGGGATGCCCTGAGAAACGGTCGCTGAAGGATACTCGAGGGGCGAGCATGCATTCGACCACACATGTCCTCCCAGATGGAAAGGCAGTGAGTTTCCTTGATACATGTAGTCCCGTGTCCTGGCCGGACGTGTAACATTCATGACTGGATGGCGGTAAAGTCGTCCGTTGTCGGGCGCGTGTCTACTGATCCAGGGTCGTGTGATAACAACAGCAACATTTTGCCTCGCAATCATCTTCGATAGCGGCCAAGTCGCTATCTTGACCTTGTGGCAGCCTGTATGTGCTCTCTTGATCCTTGTGACTGGCCCTGCTCTTCGGAGCTGTTCAATGGTTGTTCCTCATCTTGTACACTTCCCTCATCTGACGGTGGACCTTTCTGTGTTCGTTTCGAGCGAGCGAGCGGGTGGGCGGACGAGGGCAGCGAGTGCAGCAAGGAAGGTGTTTATGTAGGACGATCGCAGATTTTGTCATTACACTGATTGATACACAGCTCCTTGGTCTGTAATCACCTCAATAGGAGCTTCGGAGGCGGTCTTACGGCCCGATTGCCATCGGCACGGACTCCTGTTATCGTTGTTGTTTCTCGACGGCACTTCCAGACGTTCAAGCTCCTTCAACTCCACCACCGTCACGACTCGTCGACGCCTTCCAGTGCAAAACGTATACGTAACGCGCTCTTGTCGTCGTCGTGGTAGAACGATAGAGAAGCCTTGCACCGATGCTACTGTTGTTGAGGGTCTCTCGACAGCGCGACCGCTTTGATGGACTTGTATTAGAAATCTTTTGGTTGCAACAGCGCCGTGGCATGCATGTCCTTTGTGTATGCTGATGTTCTGCTGGCTCTTGCTTCCGCCTCTTCATTACATCGGACCGTATTTGACCTGGAGGACAGTACATGCATCCGGGATATGCTTCCGAATGACGGGCCCAACACTCCAGTTGCCGAGATCCATCAAGTGTTGAACGAAGGCAGGTGCCAGCGTCAATCGCCCATTGCTATCGTAGCACATGGCATCCTGATCCCCTCCAGGCCAGTTACAATCAATGGTCGTGGCAGACTCGGAGTACCAGTATGTTGATTGGCATTGCAAGTCGATGCGCTGGATGACTGTATCCCGAAGCCTGGGCCACAGATGGAAGTCGACGTAGACTGGGTGCGGAACGAACATTTGGTAGGGTGTAGGTCTGTACCAATCTGGAATAGCGAGATAGGTTTCCGGAATCGGGTGGATGATCCATCGTATGAGTAGCCATTGAAGCCACATCAATGCCATGCGACATGACAACAATGGAACTCCGAAACTGTTGGCAAGTCTGGCGGTCCACTGGGAAAGGAGTGATGCTCTCTGGTACGCGAGCTCACTCACCAATGCTTCGACGTCAGGGAGGGTGCCGAACAAGCGCTCTGGAGCAACTCCGCTAGTTATCAGACGCTTGGCCTCGTTGATGAAGTCGAGGTAGATTCTTGACATCATGTCCGGGTTGTCGTTGCGGTACCTGGACATGACTGACCACGCGGGCGCAATCAGGTCATGCACACCAAGCAGCTGTGGACTCAAGGGCACCGATAGGGAGACTGTGCCAACAGTGCTGAATAGGTTGGACGAGATGGTGACGTAGTCGGCGCCGGTACGACTCTTGTTGAGCAGGTCGCGTCTTGTTCGGTATTCCTCAAGGACCTTTTCGTGTCTCTCCAGCGCGACCGACCCTGGACCTGAAGTCGAGCCTGCTGTAGACGATAGAGTGGGATCAATCCAGAGTTTCTTGTGATTGCCCATAAGGTAGGCCGATTCTGGGCCGATGTTACCAAGAATAGGAGATGGTTCCTGCTTGAGGCCTGCCATCTTGGGATACGGGTCATCTTCATACAACAGATGTTGCGAGTCGACTTCGACGAACAAGGTAGCAGCCCAAGGGGAATCATGGCTTGCTTCTCGATTGGTCCCGTCGATCGGCCCGGGGCTACTGGCTGCGAGGCTAGTGCTTCGTTCCGAACGAGACGACTCGTACAGAGGGACGCTGGTGAGCAAGGATGGACCTGCTGGATTGTGAGCAAGTCCAATGCCAAACGTCGACACGCTTCTAAGCGTGGGTATTGCCCTAGGCGGAATGTCAGCCGAACCTCAAACGACAACAACAATAACACACGACAAAGACATACTGTTCTTTCCACTGATCCACTTCGCTCAAGTCTGAAGGACCCTCAGCCATGTCAACGCCAAGGATGCCATCGATCGTGTCTCCAAGCCGAAGCTGGGCGAGTATGGCGCTTGCTTCGTTGTCGGTGCTATATCTCAACTTGTTGACAAACAATTCAAGATTTCGCACTCTCAACGACAACAACGAGACCCTTTGTTTCAGGTCCTCTGTTCGTGTTGCGCCTTCGATAACATCATACGTGCATGACAATCCTCTAGTCTGGCAGGCAGAACATGACGGGCGCTCACCATTGCACTAAATTGAGCACGCGTCAGCAAGAACTGCGAGATTTCGGAAGAATTGTTGGGCGTGAATTAGTAATTACCTTTCGCTTCCGTTTGCGACAGTCGATACAAGCGACAGCAGTCAGTTTTCTGGGTGCCGCCTGCTGACCGCCCGAAGGACCAGGAGTATCTCCATCGACGACGATGGCCTTACCCCGTTGTTTGTCCCTGTCCTGAGGCATTGGAAGATGGTGGTATAACATGGACTATCCAGGAGAAACAGATCGCTTTCCTCAAGACACCCGGCTTTTTCCCACGGAGTTGGCCCCGCAACACGGAGTATTATAACTCGATGAATGTGTCAGAGCTTGGCTTTCGAGGCGTCAGTGACGCGACCACTATGGCTCGAGAACGATACGCCTCTGGGTTGAGCGTTACCGATTAGGCACTTCGGAGCTTGACAGGAATGGACTTTTGCCCGCCGTGCTGAAGAGGCTGAGTTGAGACGGGTTACCGTTGAGTCGTGTGTACAATAGCATGTACTCTGGCTGGGAACAACCAAAGAGTGGAGAAGAACGGAGGAAATCGAACTTCAATAAAGGGCAAGTGCAGCGTGACAGGCGAACAATTAGGGCCAATCGAGAAAACACCGGCGAGTCTGCGGATAATGCGATCTCTCCACGGGCCACGGGTCACGACGCTTCTGCATGATGGTTGGCAACTATAATACATGGGCAGCTTGAACATACATCAACTTCCGGAGCAGTCCAGTTCATTCGAAGTGCGTTGTGTCGACTGAGATATGACAGGCAGTATGGTAGGTCGTCGGGAGGATCTCCGTGACACATCGGATGCTCAGCCTCCTCCCCGTCACTCATGTGTATACAGTCCGGGAACTCCCCAGGGCATTTCTTCGAGCAGACCTCACAAACTGAAGATGCAGAGCTCTATCACAAGTCTTTCTTTTACACATGCGTTCATTCGAGACAGTGGTCAGGCCAGACGACCCATATCCTTCCGAAAAGCGCCAAGTCGGAAAACCTTAGAAGCGACACCACTATGTCGTGATAATTTTTGGGACAGGTGCCATGGGGATGGTCAACGGTAAAGTGTGCTGACACTTTGAACCTTCCGCATTTAGGGGTGAAGGTTGCACCTACTTTGGAAGAAGCTTTTCGAATGAACCGCACAAAGTCTAGACGCCTCGACGTGACACACATCGAGATTCAAGTAGGGTCGATGGAAGCCCAATCCACTTCAAGTACTGAGTTCTTTCTCGATACGAAGTAGAGGGAAGCCATCTGTCACAAATGACTCTTGCCACATGGGTTGTTGTGGGCGAGTTCTAGTGATATTGCTATCGCAAGCATTTAATGCGCGAAGGGGAATTCATTAGCTCGTCGTTCGAGGCAACACAGGTCTCACAATTTCTCCTTATCGCATGTAGCAAGAAAAGATTAACGTGTCATGCATTGCACTCAGCTTACTGTTGGCAAACAGGTCGAGACTCAAACCTCGGAGCACGCGCCTTCTACTCCCATTGGCCGATGCTCCATCCTTTGCGTAACGTTTCCAGCTCTAATGACCTCACTGTCACGTGAATGCGAGATACACGACTTCGATCAGAAACATTTCTCTTCATATCACCACTGTCAATTATTCATATGTCGGGGCTCGACTTCAAGAAAATGTTGCAGCAGTATGCACACGAAGAGTCTGGAGTCTCTAAAGCTGGCGTTGCCCCGGCTCGCGTTCTGCGTCCACGAGCTCAAGCACAATCATCATCCGTGGCAACGATATCGCAACAGGTCAAAAATGGCAAACCTGATCAAGCCGCTGGGCCATCGAAAGATTTACCTTCGTCAAGGCCATCGAAGAAACGTAAAGCGCCAAGCAAGTACGCGCCTCCATCCAAGTATCAGCATCTCAGTCCTCTTACCGACATTCTCGCTCCGGACCTGATCGCGGTTTTCGTGGGTACGAACCCTGGTATACGCACTGCCGCTCAAGGACATGCTTACGCACACCCGTCAAATCAATTTTGGAAGCTGCTTCATTCAAGCGGCTGCACAGATGAACGACTCCGTCCGGAACAAGATATCGAGCTGCCGGCTCGTTACCTTCTTGGTAATACTAACATTGTAGAACGACCTACCAAGGATGCTGCCGAGCTCAGTAAGGCAGAGACGAGCGACGGCACGCCGGTACTGGAAGAGAAGTGCCGCAAATGGCAACCTGAGTGTGTTTGCATCGTTGGGAAGGGCATATGGGAGGCCATCTTCCGCTATCGTCACGGCAAGAATCTTGCCAAGTCAGAGTTCCATTGGGGCTGGCAGGACGAAGATGAAAATATGGGACGTATTGCTGCTGCTGGAGAGAATGGATACCAAGGTGCCAGGGTGTTTGTCACTACTAGTACGAGTGGACTTGCCGCAAGTCTGAAGCCCGCTGAGAAGGAAGCCATCTGGAAACCATTCGGAGATTGGTGCAAACAGAGAAGGACCTCTCGAGATTGGCCGCCTTCTTGAAATCGGAGGTTGTGATAGCCACTCGTTTCGTATTCGACCTCGGCAGATATTGATACTGGATCATGTTCCTGCCACACGGCTTGTACCCAGTGTCTCCCGACGGCCCAAGACCTTATCGCTCGCTGATTCTTTCACCCATTTGATGCGGAAATTGCCTCCAGAGCAGACAAACAGAACATCGCAAAAGCGGACTGTGTTTGGTCAGGAAGCAGCCGGGGGTTCTTGGACACGATCTAGACTCGGGGAACATGGCGTACGTGATCTACCGATCCCTGCTTGCTCTAATCAGTGATCGGTAGTTGTGATGCCGGCATCCGGAGTTGCTCCCATGTTCGGATCACGACTTGGTCGCGGAGGCGGGCAGTGTCGCCGAAGTGGCATTTTCACGCAATGTGGATCTATTGCCAGATGGCAATGTTGATCGCCATGCACACATTCCCACGCCAGTCATTTGAAACGCCTCGTCGCCTGATTCCTACCCACATCGCCGTCATTTGGATCCTGATTGTGCCACTTGGCAGACACTGGTAGACCCATCTGTCATCATGTATTACCATTCACTGATCATAACGGCACTTGTACACATCTAAGGTTGGCAAATGTGTCTAAGCCCTGCCACGCAGCCCTCATGCTGCTTCAAGAGCGAATGGAGGTGGTTCACCTTTCGGCAGTACACACACAGTGACATGTCGCAAGCGATTCAAGAACGTAGCGAAGGCAGAGTCTGACTCGGCTGTGACTCTGTGGCTTCTAGCATGGAGCACTCCAGGCAAAGCGGTGCTTGGATCGATGGGGCGTGACGTCCTGACACCTCATGTGGACTCACAGCTTTTGCTTGGAGCGGTGAAGGGTCCTGCTCTGTGGCAAACAAGTAACAGGACAAACGAAGCTGAGTAGTAAGTCCATCGGATCAGGCCACGCTTGGCAAAATATGGCACTGAGGAGATATGTTTCCGGTGGTGACGCAGCATGCATAGAATCCGGTCTCGATGGGCTATTTGCCAACAGGACCCAAGGCGTCAATCCAGCTTGCAGTATCACCTGCTTCTCTATACGCAGCTGGATGACGACGCAATTGACCAGGGTCGAGCAGGGCTTCGCACTTCACACTTCTCATCTTCGTGAAGCAGATTACTACTCAACAGCACGAGAGGAGGATGAGACGCAAGAGAAGATGGCACAATGAAGATGTAGTGATGGACCAGATACGATAGAATTAATTCATGATTGCGTGTCAGAGCTGAAGAGAGATGGATATGACTGGAAGCGTCACGGTTTAGGAATGAAGAGACCAGATAATAGAAAGAGTGGTGATTCCAAGAAGTGTTAGAGTGGCTGAATTGATAGGGTGATCATGTCGCGCAAGGCGGTGGTCGCAATGATGACGCCAAGGCCATCCAGTTCTGGAGCTCTGGCAGTCGACTTTTGAGAATGACCAAGGTGCTTTGACTTGCTAGTGGTGACCACAACAAGATTCGCTCATTCGCAATGGCGCTCCAACCGACACCAGACCAGAAGATTGATAGACAGACAACGACGCCATTCCTCCTCCGACTCTACTACCGGTCCAATGGCTTCCACTCGCCCAACGAGTTCTCGACAGTGCCGCCGCCGTCATGGCTACAACAGTCGAGCCTGCAAATCTACACATGGCCCTCGTGCACACTCGCCGAATTGACGACGCTCCTCACCACCGCCCTGCCCAGTCTGCTGCCTTCGCCATCCGTCGGCACCCGCATTGGCTACCGTCTAGTCTTCCCCGACACGCGCAGTGTTCCTCCTTCAGGCGGCCACGACGCTCCAGGACGATGGTTATCAAAAGAGCTGGGTAGTGTGGTCCTCGGGCATGGTGATGACTACGATCAAGAGAACGATCCAGCTGGACTTGGTCGCATGGATGGCGACGCGCAAAAAACTCTCGCAGACGCGCGCTTCGTCATTGGAGACTACATATCATGCGCCGTCTTCCCGCCTCTAGCAGACGGCTCTGTCGCTCCTCTACCCCCCGCTACACCTGCCATCAGAGGTACCTCTGGACGTGGAGGCCCACCACCTCGCGGCGAGAACGGCAGAGGTCCAAGACCAGGAAGAGGTCAATTTGCTGGAGACAGAGACTTTGGCCCTCAGCGTGTACCTCAGGGCGAGTGGAGACGGGGCGAGAGAGTGCCTGAGTATGCTCGCTCGGGCAGAGGAGGTGGCGCTGGTGAGCGCGAACGTGGAGGTGGCAGAAACAGGCCTTATTGAACAATGCGCAAACACGACATGCGCAATCGCATCATGCATCCACCCACCCACGCCTTAAATCCGACCATCTTCTAGACGCGGCTTCACGTGGTCAATCAGAAGACTACCTAATCTCGATCCATCCCGCATTTGCAGGGAGAAGGCCCATTCGGAAGCAGGCGTGTAACTGCTCAGAGTCGGCATGCTGTCACGCAGGGAGCTTTGACTCGAGCCTATCCCGCTCAGGTAATAACCCAAGGGCTCCGCGTGGCTGTCCGTAACACATCACCATGGTGTGATATATCCTCAGCTGCTTCATCTGCTGAACAAACACGCCCAACAGGAGACTATCACACGCCCAGCATTGGCATCAGCCCGCGCAACGCAGTGCAGCTATTATCGATCAGTCCATAGAGACTAGAATCTAGACTACCCATGATACAACATTTCCCTCTCTTGCCACATCCACTCTGCTATCATACTCGCTGACAGAGTCATGATCGTGACATTTGCGCCGCTCCGGTATTGCCAACGTCCATACGATCATGTATTGTTGCTTCACACTGATTTGCTGCAGTACATAATCTCCACGACACATCAATATGTATTCTTACATTCCATCACAAAGACAACACGCCAAGTTCTGGAAAACAATGACTTTCGATTCGAACAAACAATGCTACAAACTGCTAGCTACCCACAAGCTTCTAATCCTCTTCCTTCTACCAAACACATCAAGCAGTCCTAGTATTATTCTCATTCTCCACCAAGAAATAATTAGCAGCAACAGGCGCCGCACCAACCCTCTCCTCCAACCCCTTTACCGAAAAATTCATCCTCGCAAAAGAATCTCCATCGTAATCTTGCGCCAAATACTCCTCGGGATCAAACCCTTCTGGCTGTTCGAAAAGATACAAGACGTAATTATGGAATCCATCCCCTTTTGGCGGCATGGGACCTTGATACTCGGCAATGGGGAGACTCTGGTTTTGAAGCGAGAAGAATGGGGCAGAGGCGTGGACGTTGTATTCGAACCAATGGAGGCGTGTTGTGCGGTTTTTCCCGATGCCGGGGACCAAAGAGGCGAAATCTGTGGTTGGGGGCAGGGCGAAGAAGGGGAGGTTTAGATCTACGAGGGTGAAGAGGTAGGTTTTGTCCAAGGGCTTTGGGAGGGGGAGGGGCAGGGGATGTTTTTTGAGGCCGCGGGGTCCAGGTTTGAGGTGGGGGGTGTAGAAGAGGGAGGGTTGTGCTGCATCGGCGACTGGGGATGTATGTTAGTCTAGCTGTTTCTGAATATTGATGAGGAGGCGTGGCAGGAGTGTGGTTTACCAGATTGAGCAACCATTTCACCTGGTGTTACAATATTCTTATCGAACACCAAACCCAACGAATTAGGAACCTGGGGACTCGATCCTGGAGGTGTAGCCGCATTCACACCCACAGCAGCAGCGATACCAAAAAGTAATTGTGAAGGCTTCATTGCGATGCGGATTTCACTGATGAGGAAACAGAAAAGGAAAGTAAAAAGTCTGGTGGGGGGGAAGTCAAAGGGCCCTTATATCAAAGGCCGTTGTATATGATGATGCCAAAGTATGTTGATCATCCGGAGTCTGCGGGACGAAGGCACGAGAATGGAAAAGGTCTGGATCCCCCGCCTTGGACATACGGTATATCGTCTTGCATGAAAATGATTTTCGTCTTGATTATCGCTATATCGTCTTGCATGAAAACGATCTTCGTCTTGATTATCGCTAATTTTTCCGTGTGCATTTCACCATCATATGATCCCGAGCCATCTAAACATGTCGATGTATATCTGGACTAGGTGTACGTTGAGTGGGTACATATGGCTTCAGTCGACCAGAACGGTGAAACGTACATCCAAGGGGTACAGTCCAGTGAACTGCTGATCAGGCAGTTTCCCATCTCTCTGCTTCATCCTTGCTCGATATCGACTATGCAACATGCAAGCACCCATGCTCGAGCCTTGAATGACGGCATCTCAAGGTGCAATGATGACGAGAATGAAGGTGGCTGGAGAAAAGCCAAAAAAAACATAAAGACCTCGGCTCGGTGATAGGCATGTATCTCCGAAATGTATGGTGCGCTCCACACCCTGTCAACAATTGTGATCATTGATCAAACATCATTGTATGGCGACGGGGACATTGTTGAATACCTATGAGCTCTCTTGGTCATGGAAGAATAGACCTGCGAAGTTTTGGGGCGATGAGGAGGGTGGTCGCTCATGTAATTGGTGAGAGAGACCTTGTGCCGCACGCGACAATAAAGTGCTCTATGACAGATGACAGTGCAGCCTTGAATCAAGACGACAATACCCTAACAACTCTTCCCGTCACTTGAATATTCTACAGAGGCTTCCAAATTAGCATCAAGGCAGTATTTGGGTAAAAACGTGCTCGGCTCTCGATATGAAGTGTTGGATTTCTACAAGGAGCAAGAACGTCACAGCGTAAGTCAGTTGCCACGAGAGTCACAACGGAGTAAGATAGACATCATCAACCACAAGCGAAAAGCGAAAAGCGAAAAGCATAGAGACAAAGGTTGGAGAGAAAATATGTAAATTGGGCAATGTATCTACATGGGTATTTGTTCAGAGGCCCGAGACATCCAGAAAGGATGAAAGATAAGTATGTGCAAGAATGTTAGGGGCTAAAAACAAAAAAGACCAGACTCGGATTACAAGCGGCTGTACTTGTGCGAGTAACTGTTTGTCCGCCTCCATTTGGGCAAGACACGCTCTCCCTTGCTAAAGCGTCTCACGGCCCAGAAACCAACGAGTACACCAAAGACACCTCCAAGCGGGAGCAACACGCTCCATACACTCTTCGGTGTTTCTGTTGTGTCTTCTGTTGCGATCTCCGAGGTTCCGAGAATGTTGCCGTCGTCGTCAGATGCAATGACACGATATTGCGTTCGTGAGTCTGCCTCAGGCAAGATGAACGAGGTTTCGAATGCTACCTTGTCGACAACATCTACATCAACAAATTCGGCATTGGTACGAGGATCGACGGATTGCAGTGTCCAGGTGGCTACCTCTGTGGCGCCGCTCCATGATGCATAAAGCCGTCCAGCCTGTATTTTGGCTCTCGGAGCTTCAACGGGCGCGCCCACCCAATCTGCCTTGAGCGAACGGTAGGACGTTACCCGGCCATAGTGCGAGATGTATTGTGCGCCGTAATGAGCCTCACAGAGCAATGTGCCGTCGATATCAAATTCGGAGAAGACTGGCGAGTGGCCCCAACCAACGAAAACCGTGTTTGAAGAGGGGAGGATCTGAACGGAGCCCTGCGAGGCAGCGCGAGTGTGTCGGTCCGAGATGTATTTATGTAGGAGTTTTGCAGTCATATCGGTCGTGTTGATTTGCATCATGCGGGCGGTAGAGTAGGAGGCATCGAGATGGAGGGGACCAGCATCGCTGTTGTCAAAGACGGTGAGGGTGCCTTGGTCCTGGTCCAGCCAGCGACCGTCATGCTGCCAACTGAAACTCGTTGCTTCGCCGGCTGAGATGTCCTTAAAGTCGTTTTGCTTTCCTCCGAGAGTCCAGATGACATCGCCAGTGGTGCCGTTGACTTTGATTAGGGAGTTGAGGTGACGAGACGACACGAGGTAGTCGCCGTGTTCATCCTTCTCTACACTGTTGATGTGGAACCAGTCGAAGGGGATTGACTCCCAGTATCCGGCCATCGGATGTGTGTAGAACGAGTCCATGATGGAGAAGTGGTCCAGCGCATTCCACTCAAACAGCAGCTTGCCAGTCTCAATGTCGATCTCCTGGAACAGGTTGTTGTTGATCCAGCCATCGACGGGCCTCCTCATGGCGCTCATGTCGGTTTGTGTTGCATTATAGATGGTGATGAGGGCCGAGCCGTCTTTTGTTAGGGTGAACTCGTGGAGGTCGCCTTGAAGTCCTTCGCCGACAGCACGGACTTGGTATCTTTCTTGGTACGACGAGTCGAGCTAACGACCATGTTAGTATTGAGGCTGGATGACAGGCAAATGGACATGCTCACCATATAGTAGTTTCCATAGCCATAGCTCGATCCTCGGAGACCAGCCCAGAAGGTAAGGTATTTTTCTCCCTTGTACTCCTGAACCTTCAAGTTCATGGCCTGTCCGTACTGGTCTGTCTGCCAAACGAGATTTCCTCTTGCGTCTAGGATCATAGGGCCAGGATGTTCAACCGATTTACCCTGAGGGGAGATGAAGATGAAGCCATTGTCGCATCTGTCATCCCATCGTAGTTGTTGCAGGTCCGGGGAAGTCAAGTTGTGGGAGACATAGTTCCTTTGTGGGTAACCACCATAAACGGCAAGGTCAAAGAATGTTGATTCCAGTGAGGGGAAGATCCAGCCGACAACAGGAAGCACAAATTGATGTACTGCTAGTAATGCCGCGAGGAGACCAGCCACAGCGGCAAGCAGCAGACCAACCAGGCGCAGGTGCTTGCAAAGTTGTTGTAACATGTTTCCAAGAGAGCGACGTTGCTAGAGTCGACAAGACTCCGCTGGAGGAGTTTTGAGGAATAGACGAGGCGAGAAGCGAGAAGGAGGTTGTTTGCGATGCTTCATTCAGTGTCCCGTACAAACAACCCCGTGCACAGCCCTGATACAATGGGGAAAGTAGATCTTATACATTCGCAACGTAGCGACTGCCAAGTTGTGCGGCGCCCTTCAGGGCTGGGCGGCGAAAGGCCATATCGGCGCAGTGTCACCGTACGTTCCACCGTACAGGGGCGTATCGCGAGATAAGCTGTGACTTTGTCCAATTACTTGTCTTGGGGATGACATGGCTGGCTGTCTGCGAGCGGTTGATCTTTGCAACAAATTGTGGATATCAATGGCGGCAGATGCAATTGAGTTTGACACGCCTCAGCCTCCGTCTCATAAGACTCGTGGTGTGCATGTGGCTACCCTATCCATAACTCTGCTTTGCTTTTTACCCGGCAAACTTGAGTTCATGGATAGTCAGTCAAAGGCCTGTAATTTCTGTGTCGAGGACGACGCTGGCACTTGTTTCAGTGATTCTTCTTTACTCCTTCGAAGCATTCGAATCGTCTTTCTGCGACACTCACGGTTCGCATGCGCGTGTCTCAGGGCCATGGCCCACCCTCCCTATGCTGCTCCGCGAAAGGGTGGATATCGAAATTTCGGCAAGAGCTACCCCAAGCCGCGTTTTGCCAAGTCCATCTCCAAGTTTGACGACTTGGCCGTCCAGTCAAGGGACGAGATTCGAACACCAGGATTCAAAAGTACCCTGCCAGTCACCAATCGAACATGCCCTACGTGTAAGGTTGCACCATCGAAGGATTGCTCTGGAGTATTGTGGCTGCTCATGTCGCTTGCTATTGGGAAAGCACATTTCGCTCCCACCATCAGATCGATTTCGCTTTCGCTTCGGGAGGTCCGACGATGACGCGCGCGGGCTGGCAGATTGAGGCTGTGTAGAAATTTCGAGCAAGTCCAAGGTTGATTGAAACCAAACCCGTTGTGTTGATCGGGGAGGCGCTTCGACACCTCCGTCACGCCAGCCGGTCGTTCTCACCAGATTTTTGCCAAGTTGCGACCGCCGACAGGAGATGGCTCAGGAGATGTCTCCCTCCTTGTTGCTGATAATCGGAATGTGTTTATGCCCTTGCTCGTACAGTGCGTACTCGCGAATATTTTGCTTTGACCTCCAGTCGCAAAAAGAACGAAATGCCCTTGGTCCAGATGATGGTGCGTTAGGGGCGCAATGTTGTCGTAGCACGCGGTCCCTCTACAAAGATCGATTCCAGAAGCAGCCAAGGATGCGAGGTCCAACAGTTCCTGGAGAAGTCCCTCATCTCAATTTCTAGGCGTGGAGCAAACCAACCTCCATCTGCTTGTCCTGAGGCATGGCAATGCATATATACGAGGGGGTCGTTGGAATGTCGCTGCCTTGAACCCAAAGGATTCGCTCGTATTCGCTTGCGACGACTTTTCTCAAACTTCGGCCACTTGAGATATTTGACGTACGTACATCACTGCATTGTGATGGCCAGAAGCCTAGAACAAGTTCACTACAGTAGTCGAGGGGTACTGTTAATCTTATAGGGTTCTGGCGGACGCATATTTCGCAAGAAATCCCTCTTCGGTTGGTCACGGCATTGATACACTCAATTGTGTGACGGCAACCGCGGAACCCGATGTCGACATCAATGTTGATATGAGGATATTCATGGCGCATTATGTACTGTGTGTTTACATGTTCCTAGTGTTCGGTCACATTTATCGCCCGAGTCATCATCACGCCCTTGCCTGAATATGGTGGCACCCAAGTCCTTGCAGTCTCGTACATGTGTTGCTCGACCAAGGAGCCTTGACTGCTTTGTCTGTTCAACGTAATGTCGTCGTTGCTGAGTTCGTCCATCTCGATTCTCGGACTGGTCGCGATCACGGTGTGCGTTCTCGATGTCGAGTTGTCAAACACCTGGAAGCCTTTCTGGTCCTCAAAGCTTGCGCGGGATCTCGTCACACGATGTGACCTTCGTCTCTTGCTATTGCCTGCAGTACTGTTTTTGGTCCTGCCGTAGCCTGTATGAAAAAAAGTTGGAAGTGTCTGCTCCACCATGCTCTTGAACAGTGGCCGCAGGGCCGAGAGAGACGCTGCAGTGATAGCCAATCCCGGCTCAACGACCGAAAGAAGACCAGCATCAATCGCATGCTTGAAGAATCCAGCATCGACAGAAAGTCCTCCGAGATAGGCCATGCGGATGATGGACGCGACGCTTCCGAGACAGCCCATACTCAAGAGGATACCGACCGAGACTTTCGCTTGACGAGGCATATGGCTGTTCCAGAGAATGACGACTGGAAGAGTCGCAAACACAACGTCGGCTGCAGCATTGAGAGCGCCTGAGATGTAGACCAGTGGCATGATTGCCTCATTAGAAATGCATTTCCCCTTGGAGGCGTTGATAAGCAGATCGGACGGGCTTCCACAGCGGAAGGTGACAAGGAAGATGAAGATGACGCTGTAAAGAGTGTAGATTCCGGTCGAAAGGTAGATTATACGGCGCTGCCATTTCAAGACGACGATTCGGAGGAAAAAGACAGCTAGACTGATCTTGAAAAGAATGGTGGTAAGAATGTAAAGGGCGTTGTACACAACGACGTACTGTCAGAACGAGTCAGTACATGTGCTAGAAGTCTGCCTCTGCTTTGTACAAACCTTCAATGCGTGCGTCAATACTATCAAGATGGCATCCAGATTCGCTGTTAAGTAGGCTTGTTCCACTTCTGGGCTTCGACAGTACCTGGCCTCCACAATCAGGCAGGCGCAAAATGAGCTAAAAGTCATCTGGAACGGTCAGCTAAAGCTATGAACGATAGTGGCTCAAGGAACTGACCGTCGATATGAGCAGCATGCCATCGTCCCATCCGAAGGCTCTAATCATGAACAGCCGGACATAGATCCGCAAGGCGACTGATAACCAGACCAGTACAAGAAACGCTACGCCAAAACCGATCATGAGATGTGCCTTGGGTTGTAGTTCCAGGACATTAGGAAGCAGTGATATGTCAAAAGGCTCTGCCATGACCATGTCTACCTGGAGCAATAGACGCAAAGAGGAGTCTTGAAGAAATGTGTGGTGGAAGGATCGAGGATATACTTACCAGATCCCTGGGTCCGCATTAGTGATGCCACTCGCAACATTTTATGAAGACCATTAGCAAAGACAGACGCGCATGACCGAGCAAATGTATCGATCTCATCTCAAATGAGGACCGGGCGGCGTCTAGAGTGCCATCACGAATATCGCTACCATACAATGGTGAATGTCCCGCCACCGGATTGTCTACTTCGTGTGGAGAATGCCAGGCTCGTGTGAGTCGCACCTGGTGCTCGGGTCACAGCATGAGCCTTCTGTTATGCGTAAGGCATAAGATGTAATCTATCGATCGTGTGCCGAAGCGGATCTGAACCGTCAACAAGGGTCGCGACTCAAATTGGCAAGCAGTCCCTTGAGAGATAAAACAAGCCAGACCAGGAGGTAAAATAGGTCAAATGCCGAAAACGTGAATCCACAGAGCTGTAGTTTCTCTTCGCCGAAAAGTCTCGTGCTGTGACAGCGGTTCCCACATGCGTTCAACGGCTCGCTAAATCAGAGTTTGATAGAAGTCATGGAAGGCGCCACTAAAATGGTTAAGCAGACGAGGATACACAAGATTGCTACGCAGAAGTGTGTTGGGAGCACTCAGCACCTGTCTATCGAGCTGATTCCAAATGTATTTTTCAGCTGCTCGGCAATGCCCTGGGATACGATAGATGAGAGGCGGGGAGGGAGCTGATAAGCGAGAGCGAGCTCTATGGCGCTCTACAGGTCATCAACCCGAGCTCCGGCACAGGTCGTCTGTGCCGCACTGGCGTACAATATCAAGAGTCAAGACCATCTGTACGGGTCGGTGGAGGAGCGACACCAAGAAAATCTATGGGCGACGTGCTGGCCTATATGGAGATGTGGAGATAGACTGGGTAGATGAAACACAAGTCAAAGAAGACGACAAATCCTCATGTGGTCAGTCCTCCGTCCCAAGCACGAGATCATCTGAAGCCGTAGTCCTGTCTCTCTCTTCCCCTGTCGATCGGAACTGATGCAAGTGAGGACTGGATAGCAGTAATTCCCATGGGAGCACACGACAAGGCGTAACCGAGACGAAAAAGGGACTCAAGAGAGGCCGAGAAGGGTGCATTCACTTGATTGAGCAGGAGAGAAGGGAAGTCGGCATTGGAAGGAGCGAGGCGTTCTCAAGCCCTTGGCGCTCGTGTTTCAGAAGCGACATGGGTCCCTGAGCTCCACATGTACACGCGACGACCCGACTTCGCTGCATCTTGCTTTCTCATCTCTCGAAAGCGAGAGCGAGCATCGATGCGTTCGAGCATGAGGAGAAACGTTCTCGCACTCCCGGAGAGACTGTTCGTCACAGTGTTTTTGCGGACTAGGACAGTCGGCGCGTCGTCGAGTCTGCGTAAGCGGCGTGCTCTGACAGAAGCTGTGAACGATCGAATCAGCTACGACGAGATCGAAGGCGTCGTTCACTGTCAAATGATGGCCTCGCATCGAACAAGGTATTTCGAGATGCGTGCAGAAAGAGAAATGACAGGTAAGGTGGTGGCCTTGTGAATGCAGCCACTGCAATGCGAGCAAGCAAAGCAGCAAGCTGTGACCTGCCGCCGGGTGCAGCAAAATTGATTGAAATGTTCAAACGAGCAAAGTCGAAACCCTCGGCCATGAGACTGAAATTTGCTTCGACACAAGTACCCGACACACGTTCACCCCGGCGCTCGACAACAAACGCAGTCCGAACAAAAACTACCACGGAACAACAACACCAGGTTTCGCGCATCTCTGATGCACGCTTGCTACAAAAGTCCAGCTTGACTCGAAGACAGGCATTGATCATGCCTCGGAGGCATGAGACGACTCCCCCTTGGGGGAAGAAGCGCAAACGTGAGCCCTCATCTTCAGCTTCTCCACCACGATACAAACAATGCACAAGTCCGCCGATGCGGGACCACACATGCCCATCCGTAGACGACAATGACGACAGGAAACGCCTCAGAATCGACACGCTCCATCATACTCACCATCGACCGACGCCATGGGCAAAGCACAGTGATCCTCTTAGTCCTCCTTCACCCGCTACCCCACCGAAGCGCCATGCGAACGAGAGCAAGCTACAGCAAGCAGCAAAGGCCATGTTTGATTGGACTTAGTCGGACCGCCCAGTGGAAGAGTCTCTGATCCACATGAGGCGCATAGTCGAACTTTGTCAGGACGAGCCATCATGGTCAGGCGACAAGAACTGGAAACAGATCATAGCATCGTATCACGCTTGTGGAGCTACGCAAGATGCTGTTCAGGATCTTCGGGACGCGCGCGAGCCCTTTTGGACTCAGACTCGCATCGGACATGCTTCGACAACTCTCGGCACTCCTAGAGCGCTGGCCGACTCCATACGCACAATGGTCGTCGAGAGTGAAAGGGCCAACGGTCACTACCTTGACAGAGAGGTAAAAGACCAGCTTATGAAGGCTGTCGAGCGTGTCTTTCCACCTACTCAACCCGTCATTTTGAGACCCGACAGCACTTTCCCAAGTCCTGTCGCCAAAGACGCATTAGTTGATGCAGTACATCAGCAAACTCAGCCGTCCGTTGCTCCTGTTGCTCAAATGGCGAAATCCCATGTGCCTTCTATGCTTCCGCCGCCCCCACCTCCACCCTCCATTGCTCCTCCGGACCCACGCCTCGCGACAAGACCTCCAGGATGGGCTGCGAGCCTGAACCGGGACGTGAAGCTTCAGTCTGATGCCCTCGTAGAGGCACCAGACTCTAGAAAATCCTCTGCTGCAGCTCTCGTAGTCTCGAGTCCGATCTTACTACCTGGGAGTCCTGAACCTTCTCAAATCACAAAGCCAAAGCGTCCTATTCGCTTCGTCCCCGAAGCTGCAAAGTCAGTCAACTCTGAGCATTCGCACTCGAACCCGTCGAGTCCGTCCTTGTCGAAAGCTGCAGCACTTCCTATTCAATTCAGGATTGCCACCGGCTCTAACTCAGCCCCTGTTAAGCGACCTCGCTTTGGATCTGATTCTGATGTCGCGATCAGATCTGCTGAAAACGTGTTCGCGACACCCACCTCACCTGATCGTCGAACATCACTACCTCTTGGCTCTACCGTCCAAGCTCCAACAGGTCCGCGTAGTCTGCCCTCCTTCCAGGCGAAGATAACTCCCAAAGAGCCGCTACGAGATACCCGTGAACATAGAAGAGCCATCCTCCGAGCTTGCGACGATAACAACGTTCCTGCCCAGGACGCCACTCCCTGCCCTGACGATGACCGCGCATGGTTGTTACACTTCAGAGACTATCTGAACATGCAAAGCTCCCTCGGCAAAACGATATTCGTACGCGACATCCTCGTCCCAGTGCTCACTCACGCACCCGGCCAATCCTTCCAAACTTTTGCCTTCAAAACACCCTTTTCCCTCACCAACCCAAAATCCGGCATCGACATTTCGAAAGTCGGAAACGACATAATTAGAGCCATCGCTCGCGCCTTTGCACCGCAAAAATTCATCCTGCAAAAGCAAAAAAGTTCGCGTGATGGATTTAAACTCAAATGGCTCGTCGTGTTTGAAGAAGCCCTCGAGCGTGAGAATTTCACGCTAAATGTCACCATGGGGCAAAGAAGAGAAGTCTTTGATTTCTTTGCGCTGCATGAGGATGCTCCAGCTTGTTGGGTTTGTTTGGGGGCGGGTCATTGTGCTGCTCGTTGCGGGTTTACAGATGTCGTCGTGCTGCCGTAACGGGATGGTCAATATCTCTCTTCTACTCCGCAGATGAAGTAAAAGCGTCTGGATGGCAGAAGGGCCTTTGCTTCTGCGCTCTGAAGATACATAATAGCATTGATGAAATCAGGACGCTTTCCACAAGGGAAACTCGGTTACGCGGTCTTTGCCAGACTACGTTTTGCTTTGCTTGAGGTGGGCTGCGGTAAAGTAACAGTCTCTAGCAATCAGGAGATTAGGTCATATAGGCACTCACTAGTAACTTTGAGATATCCTGATGCGCTATATCGAGCCGATCACGAGCAACAGACTACAAGCGTCACAGGACATTACAAGGCACAAATCAAAGTGAACAATATGAGTACCCAAACTACGAGCACAACTCTCAGACTCCGTAATCAAAACGACCTCGACTCTCAAAGCTCACAGCGTACAAGACTCGCCAATCTCGATATCCATCTCAGTGTCCCTCGATCTGCTTAGCACGAACCTTGAAGGGATGTCCCTCAGTATTGAATACCCAGTTCTGCGCCTCTCCCTTGCCAACATGCACCTTGGAGTCTTCGGCGTGAATCAACCAAGCATACTTGAATGTCTCGGCAAACATGTAGCTCTCTTGAAAGTTGGTGAATTTTCCACCATGCGGAGCATTGACGTTTGTGATGGACGAGAAACCAGATCCAACACGACAAGTGGCGTTGATGGCCTGGAAGGCTTTCCAAGACCATTCTTGATACTTGGGATCACCCGTGGCGCGATAGGCATAATAGAGAGACTCGAGAACTTCGGGTCGCAGGTCGTAGTCGATGCTTGTAATGTTGAAGCCATTATCGTCGTAAAATTGGTTGTCAACCTTGATGTCATCATCGTCCACTTCCCAAGTCCAACCCTCTGGCCCTATACCAGTGATGGTAGCACTGTAAGTCTCGGCACAGCTGTCTGTGAGTTGCTGACCGAGTTCGACGAGAGTCTGGTTTCCCAATACTATGCCACCAAGGATCCAGTTGCCGCCGGCGAAACAAGCAAGGTGACCGGTGACATCAGTAGGTTTTGGACCATTCCATGAAGAAAGGAACGTGAGGTCAGGCCTCGTATATGGGTGCGAGAACATTCCTCCGCTGACAGAAGAGTCGACGGCTTTGAGCCATTCGTCCTTGTAAGTAGAGAATTGTTCGGGATCGTAGACATGCATTTTGAGTAGGTATTCGTAGTAAGAATCGTCACCACCACCCCAGCCACCTCTGACGTTGGTGAAAGAGCCATTGCGCAGATCGATGTCTGTACCACGAAGACCAGGGAGCGGCAGTGATTTGTTGTTGGTGTATCGAGGGTGGAGAAGATATTCTTCGGCATGTTGGGTCAGGTCTGCAAAATCAAGCAATCTGACGAGATCTGACAGACGAGTCCATTCGAGGATCAGGCTACCAGCGACAGCAAGTCCGGTAGGCACAGAGATGTCGTAGGTATCAGTCGGGAAGTAGAGGTTATTGGCTGGTATACCCGAAGGCGTGTTGAAAGCAAACTTCATTCTGGTAGCCAGGCTGACAGCCTGTCTTTCCAGAGCGGTGGTATTTCGGCTGGGCTGTAATAAATAGCTGTAGGGACCGTCCAGAAGATCGATGGCCGAGAGCATACCGCCGAGGTAGCGAATGGTGGTTTCAAACAGGCTTACCAGTGTACCGCTCTTGCTGACGGTAAAGTCAATGGAGGGGATGAAGTCCAGAATGGTTGTGACGACATCTTGCGATTCCATTAGAATGGCGGTGCTCAAAGCGTCAACGGCAGTAGCGCCCCAGCCGTTTCTTGAGTTTGTAAATGAGTTGTTGACTGGTCGGAGTTCATCGTTGGGAAATGCGTAGGTGTGGTAACCGCTCCAGGCAAACTCGAAGGCATCCTTCACTGCTTCTGCTCTTCGTTGAGAGACGCCAAGCGTGTCGTTGGCACTGCGTGGATGGTGTAGATGGTATGAATGTACTGGGAAGTACGAGAAAACAACGGCAATGAAGATACCACATGGACGCATCTCAAACGGCAAAATTTTTCAGTTACCGTGTTACGAAGAAGCCCGGAGCAAGAGTATTGATGATGGCGGCTGGTGTTGATGATAGTCAGAACGCGGATGGAATGTCCTGAGAAATAAATTCGAGAAACAAGCTGGATCATGAAGCTTCATCAACTGTCCTGAAGGCAGGAGCTACTGTCCATGGCTGCTTGAAAATCCACGGATACGGCACCCAATACAAGATGGGCATTTTGAAACCATCGAACTTGGACCAACCATACACACTCTGCAAGAACATGTATGATATTCCCATGACCCTTTTGTGTCTGTCGGAAGAGGAGAGCGTGCAGGGATACCAAGCTGAAGCAGAGCGAGTGACTGGTCATGCCGTCATAGCCGTGGAATGTTTAAAGTCTGGGAACATTAGCGTCTGAGTCCTCCATGATGATCTGATGACTCTAGTACATCAATAAAAGGGACAGTGGCCATGGTATAGGCGGACCGAGATATTGATCGATACAAACCATCTTCCTCGAAAATATCTCTGCTTGGTCTACAGTCTCCAACCCTGAGCTACAGTATCTTGTTCCTGACAACTACAGATGCATGTGACAAGAATTCGGCAGGTAGGAACATTAGTCCTCTGTGTTCGGGTAAAAATCTGCATTGATCTTCAAGAAACACGGCGCAAAGATTTAGAAGCTTCGTGCATGCTGCCGCGTGTAACTAGATGTCGCTCGTCCACAAGTTGATGAATAGATTGAGATGATGCGAGTCGACGTACTGAAGGCTGTCAGCTGGTGATATTCCCGCATATCATACTGCACGTCTGCACAGCTCTGCAGCTGTAGCTCGAGGTTTCTGGGGCGCTCATGACTCCAGAGACACCAGGCTAGAAGCAAGAGAATCGCTGTGATCTAAGCATGTGAGTACTATGCATCGCTAGTCATTTGACTGCATACGCTTGCGAAGTAGTGTTGGACAGCATAGAAGATTGCTGGTAGAAGCACAGATGCGGGGTCGTAGAAAGGTTCATTGGCTCCTACCACGCACTCGTCACTAAGTCATAGAGTGACACAACGAGAAGAAGCACGTGTGTCGTATGAATGAAGACACAGACTGAGTATGTGCATGTCTCTAATTCGAGTAATAGGTAACTACCAACCAGGACAGGCAGTAACAGTGACAGGCCTGCCTTGCGAATCATTGTACCGTGATCAACACCTCCAGGTCCAACATCCACTACGTCTATTGGTGAAAGTTACATGAACTCAACCTTGTCAAGCAGACTCTGGCTTGCGACAAAGCTGAAGCCTCCGAATGGGTTCGAGCCGAACTCGAGCTCTTTTGTTGCGATCTCCATGCCTGTCATGGTGGAATCCTGCATGATGGTAGACTTTCTTTCATCTACTGGAGACATTGGCAAGTCTGTGAATTCCTTCGCAAAGTTCTCAGCCAATTCTGGATCGGTAATGAGAGGGCGGATGGGAGGTTCCAACTCGCGCTTTGCGAGTTTCTTCCAGTCAATCCTACGGAAGAAGCGGTGCTTCTTGATGATGTCCAGATCCTTTGGCATATTGGCACCGAGACGCTTGCTAGTTTCCTTGCGCAAGAGACGGGTAAGTAGATCTTTGGAGTCAGGGCCGAGGAAATAGGGCATTTGCAATTTCTGCTTCAGGATATTTTGTTGGATCTTTGCGTTGTTGTTGCCGCCAAAAGGAGGTGAGCCAGTGAGCAAATCAAAGCCAATGGCGCCGAGCGACCACCAATCAACAGCAAAGCCGTAAGCAGTGCCTTGGACAACTTCGGGGGCCATGTATTCGACAGTTCCGAGGAATGAGCTGCACGAGTCATCTTCAAGAGCCACCTTGGAAAGGCCAAAGTCAGTGAGAAGCAGATGACCGTCAGAATCCAGCAAGCAGTTTTCTGGCTTGAGGTCACGATAGACTACACGAACGTTGCGGTGCAAGTGCTCAAGAGCGAGGACCATTTCAGCCATGTAGAAAGAGGCAACCTCTTCGGAGAACATGCGCTCCATAGCCAAGTGGGTGAAGAGCTCCCCTCCTTGGGCATACTCGAGGATTAGGTAGAGTCTCTCATGATCCTGGAAGGCGTAAAAGAGTTTGACGACAAAGGGATGACGGTTGACGCTCTCGAGGATACTGCGCTCGGTACGAGTCTGGTCTATGAGACGTTTGTGAACGGTCAGAGAGGCCTTGCGGAACTGCTTTTGAGCAAACAGACGGCCAGTGGCACGTTGCTTGACCAGATGGACAGTGCCAAAGGCTCCCTTGCCCAGGCACTTGAGCGTCTCGAAGTCCTCGGCCGTCATCTTGCGCAAAAGCGACTCGGTGCGTAGGCCGCCCTCGACGGCCAGAGTAGGCTGAGGCTTAGCACTCGCGTCGGCGTCGGCGCTAATGAAGTCGTGCTCGAGGTCGATCTGATATGTCTCCAGCTCTTTCGCATCGACATCGCTAGCGGCCGAGGACATGGTCGGAGTGCTGTCGAAGTACGAGTTGTTGCTGTTCTCACGCGACATGGACGGGGCAGGAGAGGGGCGGCCGATGGTGAGAGCGTCGAGTTGCGTCTTCAGAGCACTGATGCCCGAGCCATTTGAGGCACTGAGTCGAGGGCTGTTGGCAGCTCCATTCATACCACGCATGCGTGGAGTCATGAGCGGCGAAGGGCAAGTCGAAGCATCCGACTCTTCCCCGCCAGAAGTAATGGGTGTCTCGAAACCTCTTATAACATTTTGGGCGGGCGCAGCAGGAGCCATGCCGCCCTTGTTCTTCTTCTTCTTTCTCTTGTTCTTCATCAGGTCGCTCTTGAGGATAGCTGACAAGGGCTCGGCGGCAGTGCCTGGCGGGCTCATGGTGAAGGTGCGTCTAGGGGAGATGTTGTCGGCGGCATGGGCGACGTCGTTGTGGTCAAGATCCATGGCTGGCATCTTGATGTTGGAGATGGGTGGTCTATCTCAGAAATGGGAGGGTGGGGTCGGAGTTCAAGGGAGACGGCGCATGTGAATGGCGGTTTTCAGCCCTTGTCGAGAAAGTCGTCCGCCTTTAGTCAAGGCGGACCGGGCACAACTGGCCACAGCAGAGATGCGAAACTCGAGTCGGTACGTGACAGACCGGCGACCGTGTCGGGCACAGTGACGGACGAGTTGCTGAAGAGGCAACAGGGACGGACAGGAAGGTTTTCAGTGTCGAAGCCCATAGATGGATGAAGTTCAATTTGGAGAAGATGAGGTTGCTGTCCAAGTATTATCGCCGGATTCTGGTCCAGCGACTTCCACTAAGATTTGCTTGTTGCTGTCGAGGTTGAGCGAGGTGAAAAGCAGAAGAGCAAGAGCCGTCGGTTCATGCCCTCGCTCTTTCCTCCTTCAACTCCACATTTCAGCTTTTGGATGCGGCTGACGGCTGACCTTTCCGCTTCCGGATCGGCATGCCCATGCCCGGCTTTCGCCTGCGAATCGGTCAGCAACGACATGAACGTGTCCATGAACTTGATGTACTCTTCTCCCTTCTTGCTCTGCATTCCACTTGATGACTAGAGGACTGCAAATGTATTGTACGTCTCCTCGACCGGCTTCTCCTGACGATTGAGTGTGCAAAGCGCGTGGCTGGTATGCTCATGGACTGCTCGGGTCAAGACTTTTGGTCCCGTCGACTCTGAATCGTGAAGAGCCAATCCCCGGCTTTCCTTCTTCACATGTCAGACCTGTCAACGTCTTTGGCCTAACGACACTCGATCATATTGGCCTTTGGGCTTCCCACAAGTCTGGCTTCAATACGGGACGTGTCGACCTGATCTTTCAGGCATGATGCTGCTCATTTATCAGATCTTGAAAGCATTGACGCGATCCGATCTACTTGTTGTATACGGTGGCCAACCTGAAGAATCAAAGTCCTCCGAGAGCGACATAGTCAGCTGAAGGCTCGTCCAATACCATCGCTATGACTGCAGTTGACGTGGGTCATCGCTTCTTGATACCTCATACTGGGTTGTCAAGATTCGAACATTGACTGTTCCAGGCGCCAATTCGCGACGTAAAGATCGAGAGCACTTAGGAATGCCTTCTGAACTTGCGACTTGCTGTCTCACATTGCTCGGCCTTCTCTGAAGTCAAGATGTCGTAAACATACTACTAATTACTGTTTGGTAAGAATCATCCGAAACCTGTAAGCGCCCACTCGGGAGTGGCTGCAGGACTACGCGCCCACAGTCCCCCGCCTCACTCCATGCTTTGACTCAACTTACCAGACTCTATTGGCGGGAATAACTAGACATGTCCCAGGCAATCCGCTCAAGAACCACACAAAAGTCAAAGGAGCAGACATAGAGGCTGGGCGCTGAATGTCGTACAGCTGATGCATGTCTGCAGAGGTGCACAAACAGGCCGTTTGACAGATCGTCTGACAAAAATCTATACTGGACACTTAACACTCTGCTAGCACTCAAGTGTCCAGATCCTCAAACGATACTACGAGCCGTAAGCAGTTCGAAACACCAGCATCAAACGAACAGAAACGTGTCGCAAAAGTGTTTGCTACTAACAAAAGACCAGCCACCCACAGATCAACCATCACCTGCATACCTGCATACCTGCATATCTGCACCTCGTCCCGCACCGCCCAACCATGCATACCCGCGTGTTAGTGAGGCGGGTACAGTTTGCTATTCACAGGCGGCGCCTCATCCATTTCTCGAAGCGTCTCCAACACAGATTGACCCAAGCACATCTCTGCCGACCCCATGAATAACTCACGGATAAGGTCTGTTTGTCCGGCATGCACGTCTGCTCCACTATCCAGCCATCTTCTGGAACCCGGACAATCAGGCTCGGCACTCAACATGCAAGCGCCCCATGGATGGTCCTTCAATATAAGGTCTGTATGGGCGCTTCCGCAATCGCTTTCTTTGTTTCGTCTTGTTCTTGGTGCTTCTTGGTGTATTGGGAAAAAGAAACTTGCCCCTGCTTTGCATCCTTCTTTCTTGTGCTGTGACTCTTTTGTACCGCTCCAGCTTCCTTGGTACCTGCGTCGGTTTTGTTTACTTCTGTGAGAGGATCGAATCTACACTACAGGCTGTAGTAACTGGTCACATCACCTTGACTTCCATCGGACCATATTCTTCAAGACAACGCGATCCTCGGTACCAGGTTCTGTCTGAGCACCACGCAATTATGAGAGTCTCAACATTGACTGCTACGCTCACGCTACTGCTACCGGCGTCTGTCGTTGCAGCACCGACAATTGAACAACGCTGGTCCTCGCCCTCCTTCTGGGCTTCGCACTCCGGCCATGGTTCACAATTTCGTCGAGGCTGCGACTACGCCCTCTGCGACCTTTCAAAAGCAAGACTGCCCAAAGGTACATGAATCTCGAACTCTACTCACATCCCAATTGACTGACAAGGGCCGCAGCACCCACACCACTTCCACCTCCTTCCTACAATCTCACACTCAGTCACGTCTCGATCGGTCGCGGCACCCAAAACTACACTTGTGATCTTTCGAACAGCACTGCCATACCTGTAGCTGCAGGCGCAACAGCAGCTCTCTACAATGTCTCATGCATTGCCGCCAACCATCCTGCTCTTTTGTCAATGATCCCTGGTATTGCGATCAATTTACCTCTGCCTTCTTCATCTTCTGCCATGTCTCCCATCAACATGGATCTATCTGGTCACCATTACTTCTTGGACGCAACTACACCATTTTTTAATCTCGACACAGAAATGCATTCATACGGCATTGGCGCGTTCAAGAAAGTCAATGCTACTGAAGCGCCTGCTGGTGCTGTGGCTGGCATATATGGAGCAGGTATGGGTGCAGTACCATGGCTCAAACTGACAGAAAAGGTCGGGGTTGAAGGAAGTCAGAAGTTGAAAGAGGTATACAGAGTCAACACTGCTGGTGGACAGCCGCCTACTACTTGCCAAGGTCAGCAAGAGAGTATTCTTGTTCAGTATGCTGCAGAGTATTGGGTTTATGTCTGACATGATTTTGATTTTTCTTTTTTCTTTTTTTGCGGTGGTAGATTAATGATTTATTATGATGGTTTGGCATAATCAGGATTGACAACAATGCGAACTCCACAGATTAGCTGGAACTTGGAGTACATCTCTAACTTCGCCATCCGCTCTCAAATCGTCATTGTTATTATTTCGTTCATCAACACTCGTTGGACAAGCACGTTGATAAAGGAAAGAGAAAGTCAAAAAATGAGGCTGATGTTCAGATCGGCTTGATCTTAGCGATCGAATCGTGTGCCGAAGGACCGAGCGGGCCGCAAGAAGCGCTCATCATCAACATCGAATTCTACGTCATCCTGTACCAAATCGTCAATTCAACCATACACCCGATTCCACAATGATGGGTGCGAGAGAAAAGGAAAAAGGGCCTTCTGATCAGACCTATGTAGGTATCTGTCACTCATTGACGTAGGTGCCTTATCTTCTGCCCTCCTTCGAGCACTCTTCCCAGCCTTTGCACCTTCCTCTATCACGTCCCAAGGACAGCACCTGCTTTATCGACCAGAAGCCGTTCGCACCTAGGTCAAGACCTGACATAACGCGCCATGCAATCATATCTTCAATACAAGAGATTCCGCCGCGTGTTAGAGGGCCAAATCGAGAAAGATCGTAATCGCACACGCGCAGTCGACAGAGCAAATCAGGACCTGCCTCCTACTGATGCATCAAGAGCGGACGACCCTGAGAAAGATGTCGAGAGAGGCGAATCAGACACGTCAAGCGGCGAGCATACTGTCGTCGACGAATCAACATATCGAGTAATGACCGACAACCAACATCACCACCATGGTCTAGAAGAAGAGGAGGAGAAATATGATGCGAGTGCTGGGAGAAATCAGCTGCCGCTAAACAGTCATGACACGGAAGCGCGTCAAGAGGAGAACAATGGTGATCTCTCACGCACAGCGACGACTAAGAGTGGCCGATCAGGCCTTAGCAGATCTGGTACAGCGCTTGGCCGTATCCTTACCGGTGTCAAGGTGCGAAAGCGAGAGGGCCACGAAGGTGGTGAAGGAAACGTCTTCATTGTCGACTTCCAGGGTGAAAAGGATGAGTTGAACCCTCATAATTGGAGTTGGGGTGCTAGACTTTACATCACATTCCTGGTTGCCAGTATCGGTTTTGTTGTCGGTGTGGCTTCTTCGATTGATTCGGTCGCCATCCAGCCTGCAAGTCAGGAGTTTGGTATCTCGGAAGTCGCTGAGAGTCTTGCTACTGGGTAAGTCACTTTCACACACGAACCTGGTACATTGGATGCTGATAATCTTAGTCTCTACCTTATAGGCTTCGGAGCTGGAGCCCTCTTTGCTGGCCCCTTCTCGGAGACACTAGGTCGCAATCCTATCTACATTGTCACCTTGCTTGTCTACATGGCCTTCCTTGCTGGAGCCGGAGCATCGCAAACGTACACTCAGCAGTTTGCAACGAGATTCTTTGCTGGCTTCTTTGGAAGCACCCCGCTTACATGTGCGGGTGGTTCATTGTCCGACATCTGGAATGCAAGCGAGAGGACACTCATGTTTCCTATATTCGCAAATGCAGCTTTTTAATTGGAAATGACTGACAGGTCTTTGTTCTCACGTTTGCTTGTCTTATAGTTCGTATAGCTGGAAGCTTCTGTAGCAAGCAATCAGGTGTATATAGTTAGATAGCTCCTCAGATGATTCTGAGAATTAAGCAGTCAAGTTATTTTCCACATTTACAACTTTTTTTGGGGCCCATACTCGGACCTGTCATCGGTGGTTTCATCGTGCAAAGCTCTATTATTTCCTGGAGATGTAAGTACTATACGTGAGCTTCTAGCTCGGAGACGAAGTTGACAAGATTTTAGGGGTCGAGTGGATTACCATCATCATGTCCGGACTTGTATGGATTCTCGTCTTCTTCACGCTCCCAGAGACGTTCCCTCCTATTCTCCTCAAGTGGAAGGCTGCACATCTGCGCTCCATTACCAACGATGATCGTTATCGAGCAGAAGCCGAAGTACGGATGGATCCTTTCTTTACCCGCCTCGGACGTGCTTGCTACCGACCCTTCCTACTCACTGCCACCGAACCCATCATCATCTTGATCGCGCTCTATCTCACCGTCGTTTATATCGTACTATTCACTTTCCTTGATGGCTACGACTTCATCTTTGGCGAAATACACGGTGTGAGTATTGGCATCCAGGGCCTATGTTTCTTGGGCATCGCAATCGGTCTATTTCTGGCTACACCCTTGGTGTTCGTCGTCCGTCGAATCGCGGCCAAGGAAATGCAAAAGGCGAAAGAAAATGGCAAGGACAAAGTTGCACCAGAGTTTCGTCTTTGGTTTGCCATGTTCGGCGCACCTGCCATTCCCATCTCCCTATTTTGGATGGGCTGGACATCATACCCCAACATTAGCATCTGGTCTCCTCTTGCGGCCTCTGTACTCTTCGGTTATGGCATTCTTTGCATCTTCATCAGCAGTTATCAATACATCATTGACGCGTATGAGGTCTATGCGGCTTCTGCTTTGGCATCTATCACGTTGATCAGATACGTGGCTGCTGGCGGTATGACAATTGTGGGAGTGCCGTTCTACAAGAATCTGGGTGTGCACTACACCTGCACGATCCTGGCGTGTATCAGTGCTGTAATGGTACCGGTGCCTTATGTCTTCTTCTTGTATGGACACAAGATTAGGGCAAGAAGCAAGTATGCTCCTTCTGATTGATGCAGCTAATCGACGATCTCCGAGTCGGTCGATTGCGGTACTATACACAGCTATCAAAATGCACAATGACTTTTACGAAACTCCAAGTATTCGGTGGAAGAGTGTCATTTGATGCTTCTCACGGATGGTGCTCCGGAATGCTAAGAACACTGCGCCTTCTGACAGCTACAGTTGAACGTGGCTCACGAGGCGGACACCGCTAAGTTGCACATTCTCAATCAGGGGCTGAAGTGGAAGTGATAGACGAAAGTGAGTGACTGCTATGTATTTGGGACATTCGGCATCTACTCTCAAGGTCTCACTTTCGTGAGGTTCATACAACCATCTGCTCAGACGCCCTCAGCAAACTTGACACGCTTGGCAGGAGGCTCCTCGTTAGCAGCAGGCTCCTCATTGGCAGCAGGCTCCTCAGCGACAACAGGCTCCTCAGCGACAACAGGCTCCTCGGTGACAGTGGACTTCTCAGTGACAGCCATCTTAGCAGCGGAAGCAGGCTCCTCAGGAACGGCGCTCTCATCCTCCGAACTGTCCACCATGATGACCTCACCTCCGGGCATCTTCACCGGTTCTGGTTCTGGCTCAGGCTCCTCCTCACTTTCCTCGTCGTCGATCAGACGTCTGATCCTGTCTCTCTTGACCTCCACCTGATCGGCACAACTCTTCATGCGCTTAGACAAACCAACCATACCATTCATCTCCGTCTTGATAGCAGCAAGCTTATCCTCATACTCCCGCTTCATGTTCCAGTAATCATCTCTGAGGGTGTTGTAGGCGTTGACAGCGACGAGTTGTCTCTTGATGGTATTCTCAAGGTTGTTGATGTGCTTGTTCTTGCCGTGGATGATCTTGTCCCTGGCGAGCATTTGGGAGTAGGCTGTGGTCATGATTTGTACATTGTCGCGCCTGAGCTGGTCGATTTCTTCGACCGGGCTGATGGCTTGATTATGAGTGACGGTTGCTTCGTCTTTCGCGATGTCGCTGGGAGTGTTCTCTGCGTTGACTCCGCCGTTCTTCTCGACGTTGATGACAGGGACAGAGGTCTTTGAGGGGAGATATTCGTCGTGTGCCTCGTTGGCGACGTTGATTGTGCTCGGGGCACCGCCGTTGCTTAAGGTTTTCATGTTGACGTCTTCTGCCTGCTCTGCCTTGATGTTGTTCATAGTTGCTGCTCAAAGGATTGTCAGAATCAGGGAGCGATCTCGTATTTGAGCGGCTTCAGTACCTCGTTACGGCGCGAACAACGTGATGTCGTTGTAGAGGGAAGAAAGGAAAAGCAGGCGAGATCCCGAATATATAGTCCTCGAGACTCTCGAGATCTACGTCGACGCGGACGGATCTGGTCGTCCGCCATCACAATGGAAGCTCACGGGGATACGGTCGAGCTCGAGGTCTGGCCTTCGCCAGAAGAGCTGGGATGATCTAGCCGAGTACTCCCTCCTCCCGCCAGTGCTATATATATATATATATGTATATATGTAGCGGCTGTCAGAATGCGCGAAGATATCTGGATGTGGACGTATGACCAGAGAGAGAGACGTATATATCCCGCTCTCAAGGGATGTCTCCAGCTGATTGAATATCGTTCTGCATTTCGGCAGCCGCACTCGCTGAACATCACATCGAGGGATATCTGGACGGGCTCCTCAATATGTCGAAAGATGCCAACTCTCTACGAGCATCGCTGTCAATCAGGAAAGGATTATGCATTCTAACAGCCACGTTAAGTCGGGAGTCACGTCAAGGAGACTATGTGATGGGGTCTTCGAACTTTGCCAGAAGGTTTTCTCTCCGTGAGTAGTATTGCAAATCACAATATGACTGTGTCTTTTCACAGCTCTATTGTAGACGCTGGTACAGGCCGGAGATCGATATGAATCCTCCTCGACATCACTTTCCAGAATTTCACTGAGAATTCTACATGAGTTCACTGGATCAAGAAAGTGAATAACGATATATTCTTCGCACATCGACTCACACTCACACGTTTATTTCCGGCTCGACGCATCACGTTATAAGCTGTATATTGCGCATCTAACTCTCTTGCCTCGACACACACATCGTTTTCGCTCTCGGACACCCCATCTACAGCACGTCTATACGCACAAAACGTATGTTCAATACATCTTAGCTGCCGTCACGACCATATCTAACATGATGCGCAGCCAACGTGCTCATAACGCCTACCGTCATCACCATCATGGAAACCATGGAAGCCATGGACGTCACGCCTCCAGCCACTCCCGACATCCTCGAACCTCCAACCTTTGCAAGTCTCGACGCAATGATCACCTCCACCCAAGCCATGCTCGACTTCCACGATGGCCTGCGCAAGAAACACAAGAAAGCCTTCAAGAACTTTGTCAAGAGCATTCAAGAAGGTCTCGATGAGAAACTCTCGCAAAAGACAAACATCATCACACAGATGGAGGAGAGTGTCGCCATGCAGAAGCTTGTTCTTGATGCTACCGACGAGATGACCAAGTGTGGAAGGGAGTTGATTGATTTGTTTGAGGAGAGGAGCAAGCTGCTTCTTGCTTTGGTCTCCTAGACGGGTTTTACTCGGGCCCGAAAGCGGTCTTCCCTTGATCAAAGAGATGGATTCTGCCTCCGACGTGCGATCTTGGAAGTTTGAGACCGGGTCATCGTTCGATGAGCAAGCGGCATCTCTTTTCGCTTTGATGCATTCATTGAGCTCGGGTGTTGGATGTCGGAAATAGAAAGGGCAATGAAGTAGCACCTTCCTCACTCCATGAACACAATACATTGGCGTTTCGAAATCTTGTCCACACCTCGATTGATCCGTTCTTTCTTCTCCCACTTTCTAGACTTCTCTGTTCAACCAAAGTATCTGCTCCAGCTTCTTCTCACCTCGGCTTCGAAGGATTGAACACATCCATCCACAACCGCAGATTTCTTACAATCGCTTGCTCAGTCATCGATATCCGCGCCCTCGTCGTATTCTTCTGTTGTGATAGTCTTGAACCGCAGATCATCCCTTCGACCTGCCATCAATATCGGTCTACTTGTCAACATAGTACGTATACTCTCGAAATCCCTGTGCACTGCATAATTGCTAATATCGTAAATCTAGCCAACATGTTTTCCAGAACACAGTCCAATTCTCATACACTTCTGGACTCGACAAGTTAAAATATCTCCTATTCGAATTCGAAACTGCTGCCAGAGAGATCATAAGCTCGTTGAAGGGGTTTTCGAGTACGGTTGGGTTGCGGTTTGTCGTTCTCGGAGAGTCGTCGAGCATTGAACCCGCACAAAGTCATCCAGCAGCAGAAAAGAGATCTCATGGATGTGCAACAAAAGATCTTGGAGGTGCAAGAAAGGATCATCAAGTGTAACGAAACACACTACAAGCGATTCCAGGAAGTCATCGTCCAGAACTTTGAAACCATCAAGGAAAGCACCAAAGCCATCGAAGCCAGACAAGAAGTACCGAAACTACCTGAAGGCTCTCTCGAGCATATACTGGAATTTAACAAGGCTGGAGAGCAGACAGACGAGCAAGTCACCATCAGTACAGGCCAAAAGGAGCACAGCTTCGGACCGCAGGACACATTGAGCAAATCAGGCGTGGGCGCAGTCCCTCTATCAATCACGAGCACTCGCGCAACTTATTCGAGTGAACACCCAGCAAAATTCCCAGAATGTCAGTTGGTATACAGATTGATCAAAGTGAAGAATATCGTGCATAATCCATCTATCGATTAACAAACACCACATCCCCCAACCCCCTCAACTTCCTAACAACCTCCTGCTGACCCATGCCTGTGTCCGTACAAACCTCATCCAAACAATGACACCCATCCAAATACCTCGCCAAGAACTGGTCTTCCAAACTCCTCCCTTTACCCAACTCTTCCACTCCAGGCATCTTCCCCTCTTTCCCCTCCTGATCTTCTACTTTCCCCTCTGTGTCTCCAACCTTGACATCCCCTTCCTTTTTCCCTCTGACAAGCACACCACCAAACCCCCCATCCAAAGCCACCGCATCGTCATCCACAGCGACAACAGGAGTCCTCCATCCACTACTCATAGCAGCCTTCCTCCACGTCTTCTCCGCTTCCTTGCGAGCGCGAAGGGCTTCCTCGGCAACTGCCGCATCAGCTGCTGTATCCGCTGCTCTGAGCGCAATAGCGTAGCGATGACTACGATACAAAAACCCTTTTATAATGCCGAAAGTTATGAAACGACGGATATCGATAAAAGCTAGCGAGGATGCGTGGGTTAGGCACCAGTCACGTAGACTGAGGCCTTGTCGTAAGCTGGCGTAGAGGTGGAGGACTGTGGCGCGGGAGGGTGGGGTTGGGGTTGTTGTGGTGGTGGTGGTGGAGGGGTTGAGGTTACTGCTCTTGTGGTTTTTGGTGGCCAGGAAGCTCGAGGAGGGTGTAAAGGATGAGGTTTGTGTTTGTGTGTGGGAAGATGGAAAGGATGTGGTTGTAGAAGTAGCAGTAGTAGCTCCGGGTAAACTGTTTTTGAATGGCGAGTTTGGGGTTACAATGTAGCGTCTGCATTCATCCTGCATCCTTGTATCTTCTACAAAGACACCGATTTCTGCTGTTGCGGCGTAGACGGCTCCGAAGTGGAAGGTGTTTAGCATGAGGATGCAGCCGTAGTAGAGTAAATGTGCTAGTGCTCGTCGTGTGAGTGTCAGATCTGTATCAGCCAAGACTGCAATCTTCTGCACGGAGTTTATGCCGTCGATAAAGGGGATGATGCGTTGGACGGTTAGATCCCAGGTATTAGTCTGAAGACTGCTGAAGCGGACCGTGCTGAGTGGGACATGAAAGATCTGTATCGGTGGTGGCGGCGACCTTGTCGGAAACAACTTGAGATTCAGAGTGTTCGAGTCATCTGTATCCTGTAATCAGCATCTCGCCTCTCCGTCAATCGAATAACATGGATCTTGTCCTTACCAATCGGAATCATGCATTCACAATAGCAATTCAAATCCTCCAACACCATCTCACAGATCGCAAAAACCCTGTTCCCACCCCCATAACCCCTCTCCCCAGCCTTGACCCACCCCTCCCTCCTCTCCTCCTTACTCAACCACCCAGTCTGCTCCTCCAAATTCCTCATCAATCTCGCAAGTTTACTAACCACACTAGCATAAGCACCCCATTCCGCCTTTTCATCCACCACGAGACAGAAGTTGAAGATGAAATCCGAACGTGGGTACAAGACTGGATTGTGGATGCAGACCGGGAAACCTATGATACGGTGGTGGGAAGCTAGAAGGCTCAAGGGCCGGTCGCAGAATTCGCGGCGGGGGATGATGTGGTTTGAGATGCTGGGGAAGTGGAAGAGGGGTTGGTTTGTGGTGTTTGAGAGGGGGATGACGCTGCCTTCGGGGACTTGGTGAAGTACGGTGGGACCTTTGGATATGCGTCAGTACAGATGCTCTAAAATGGTTGTGCATTGCAAACATGTCAACTCGTCTTTTTGATGAACAAGTCAAGGAGGATTGCCTACGATTTTTGATGGCTTGCCGGTTGAAGGTAACTCTCGCGGCAATGTACCATCAGATATCAAGATCATTGCCCCATTCTCTTGTGCAGTGCAAGTAAAACAGGAGTGCGACGAGAGACATGGACGAAGAGTTAAATGACCGACTTTAGGAAATGACGAAACGCGAGATAGTGTGACAAACGAGAGACGCGACATACCTTTCTCTTCATGGAACCTCGCATAGAAGATGGCTTTGAGCATAGTGTCCGACATCTTGGGATGATTACAGTGCAAAGCACTGTTTCGTCATATGGTCTCACTGAGAACTGATTCGCGACCTCAGAACGCGACGTCTGTGGTTCTCTGGGATTGTGCAGGTGCTCAAGGTTGTGGGTATGGTGTTTTGATCTGGGCGATGTTGGTGCAGGCGTTGGTGGGGTCGATGGTGAGTTGACAATGAACACAATGATCGCCTTAGCGCTTCTACATTGATGAAAGTTGACCGTCGTAGTGTAAGTCAGGGGTTTGATGAGCTAAGCAGCCTTTGAGAAGAGCAGAAGACTCTTGGAATGAATCAACAAAGTCCTATAGAACGATGTTGGACAGATCAGGGTTGCTCGCTCGGCGCAACAGCTGCGCTCGCCTCAACCAATCACAGCACGGCAAAACTTAACATCAAGAATCAAACAGGCATCAAGATAACAATGCAATCATCATACTTGACATGACAGGCAAAAGAAAATGGAATAAATTTGAAAAAAAAAGTAAACGGGCTAAATGTACATTTTTGAGAGTGAACACTAACAACCCGGATCGGCATCTCAACTCATTTTCGATGCTCCGCCGAGGTCGCAGGAAAGAAAAGTGCCCCTCACAAAATCTTCTATCGTAGACTTGTAACAAAAAACAGAAGGGGATCCTTTTTTCGTCGAGTCTTCCTCTCTCTCATCTAGATAAGAAACAACAAACATTAAACACAGAATGTGGTGTCGCTATCCTTACGACAGCATTCTGGTCATGTCGTTGCGGATTCTCGAGTAGTCGAGCAGACCCTCGATCTGGCCGACGGCGGAAATGGCAATGTCGCGATCCCAGAGCTTGCGCTTGGCGAACTCCATGACGTCCTTTGCGGTGATCTGGCCAACAACACGCTCAACCTCCTCGGGTGCGAGACGGCGACCGGTGGTGATGATCTGGCGACCAATGTCCTCGGCGACAGCGGTAGTGCCGTCGAGCGAGAGAAGGATCGAAGCCTTAAGCTGGGCCTTGGCGCGCTCGACCTCGGACTCGGAAACCTGGAATGACAGGCGCGACCACTCGCGGAGGGTGAAGTGGACGAGATCATCGATGCGGGTGACGGCGTCGGTGACGAGGTAGATACCCCAGAGACTGGCAAGAGTTAGTGAGGAGTTGCATGCGTGGAGCTGTGGAGAGGAGAATTACCCAGTGTCGCTGTAGGAAGTGCTGAAGCTCATGAAGCTGTTGGCGAGCTTGTGCTCGTGGATGAAGGTGCTGAGCTTGCTGCCGAGGTAGGGCGAGTTGCCCATGGCGCGGTCCCAGTTGCCGACAATGGCCTGAGTGACCAGAGCGGTGAAGTAGTCGTCGTCCTTCCAGCTGACACCCTCAACAGCAATGGCGATGTTGGCGGTGGGGATGGTGTCGTCACGGATACGGACCTCGGAACCAACAAAGTCGGGCTTCTCCTTCTGGGCGTTGGCCAGGGCCTGGGCGGTCGAAGTTGGGGGAGCCATGGGGATGTTGCTGAAGTACTTCTCGGCGAGCTGGACGAGCTCCTTGTGGGGGACACCGCCGGAACCAACAAGAACCATGCGGTCGGCAGTGTAGTTGGTCTTGATGTAGTTGGTCAGGTCATCGCGGCTGATGGACTGGATGTTCTCCTTGGGGCCGAGGATGGTGCGACCAAGGGGCTGGTTCATGAAGGCGGTGGCGTGCAAGTGGTCGAAGACAACCTCCTCGAGCTGTTTGTCAACCTCCTCCTGCTCGCGAAGAATGACGTCGCGCTCGCGCTCGATGGCCTGGGTCTCGAGCTTTGAGTTTTGGAGAATGTCGGAAAGGATGTCGACGGTGTTGGGGACGTCCGAGTTGAAGGACTTTGCGTAGTAGACGGTGTTCTCACGCTGTAGAGGGAGTCAGAAGATGAATTGGGCGACGTGGAGCAGTGCCGAGTCTCACCGAAGTGTAGGCGTTCAGGTGGCCACCCATGTTCTCAATCTCGAGCTCGAGCTGGCTCTGGCTGCGCTTCTGGGTTCCCTGCGACGTCTCTTAGATTGTGTTCCTAGCATTGAGGTTACGGTCGGTTGGTGTGTACCTTGAAGGCAAGGTGCTCGAGGAAGTGAGCAGTGCCGTTGGTCTTGTCGGTCTCTGCGCGGCTGCCGGCATCGATCCACACACCGACGGTCGAGGTCTGGGCGTAGGGAGAGTGCTCGGTGGCGATGGTGAAGCCGTTGCTGAGGGTGGTGCTCTCAGTCTTTGAGCCGTGGCTGACGGGGGTAGCGAGACCGCGGAAGAGCGAAGGCGAGCCGGCCTTGATGGCGTTGATGGCAGTGCGGCTGCGCGTGGCATGCTGCAGGTTCAGTGCGAGCCGACGGGTTGCCATTGTCGAGGCCATTGTTGGCGACGGGGTTATGGACGGAGATGGGGGGGAGAGGGTGCGTTGGTAATGGGCAGCTGTCGCTGGTTGCTGGTATCGAAGACGTCGGGTCGGTCGTTGGCCTCTTTTCTCTCTTGGCACGTTTGCTGACCATGCCAAGCTATTATGCGTGCATCTGTGGGCGGCGTGGGCGGCTCACAAGTTGTGCAGACTCGTGAACCAATTATGCAAGACTGCGGTCTGAATCGGCGACGCAGGCGGCAGGACCTTCTCCGAGAGTTTCCGTACCTTGTGTGAGCGAGCTGCCGGGCACGCATCCATCCTCGGCCCAAAGCAGTCACAGCCAATCACGTCCGCTCTGGTGGTAACTCCAGTCTCCGCGTTTCCTGTGCTTGCTTGACATCTTGAAGCATAGCGGAAGTTGGACTCTTAGCAGGCATACCGACGACTCTCCACTCGACCTCACACACACAAACAATGGCCACCTCATTCCGCCCCGCTCTGCTGTCGCGCCAGCTCCTGGCCCAGCGCACTCCCATGGCCCTGCGCTCCTTCCACGCCTCGCCCACCCGCGCCATTCTCCCTCCATTGCCCCAGGTCATCAAGGGCAGCGGTACGTGACGACCGAATCGCAAACATGCGCCTTGAAAACCTAACACAACTCACACAGTCAACGACGCCGCCACTGTTCCCGATGCATCCTACGCCCACGGCAGCTACCACTGGAGCTTCGAGCGCCTCATCTCGGCTGGCCTCATCCCTCTGACCATTGCTCCCTTTGCTGCCGGCTCGCTCAACCCCGTCATGGACGGTCTCTTCATCTCCACCATCCTCATCCACTCGCACATTGGTTTCCAGTCATGCATCATCGACTACTTCCCCACCAAGCGTGTCCCCAAGACCCGCAAGTTCTCCATGTGGGCTCTCAACCTCGCCACCATCCTTGCCGGCATTGGCTTCTACGAGTTCGAGACAAACGATGTCGGTCTTACCGAGGCTGTCAAGAGAGTCTGGCAGGCCAAGAAGGCTGACCTCTAAGCTAAAAATACCCTTTTTGAATCCTTTTCTTTTCGCTGAAATAGCACCTTGGGCTCCTGGACTTGTGTAAATAACACCCTTTTTTTTCTGTTCTTCTCGTCTAGACTTGTTCTACTTCCATGCTTCATCTTGTGTCTTGCACGTGCGACCTCCTACAACCACCTCTCGAATAGAAAGAGACCTTGCCTTTGTAGAATTGCTATACACAGCCAATGGAGTGGCATATAAAGCTACATCATGTCTCATGTAACCTCAATATGGTATATCTCTCTCATGCAGATGACAATTGTTTCTCAGTCCTTATGAAAAATGCACAGTCGTGTTTTGAGACCCTACACAACTCCTCGTGACAAAGGACATGGCGTATTAACTCCCAGCTCTAAGGGTCGAACATCACAAAAGTATGTTGCATAGTCACAGCCATTCCTCGACATCAGCACATGGACACAGACACCACAATCAAAGAACGAGAAAAATTGGGTTTGTACAAGTGAAAAATTGTATTTGCTCGAAAAAAAAGCAATCGACTATCTATCCCACTACCCTTGGCGCCATGCTCAATCAGACTCCAGAACTACGCTCTAATGCAAATGTATGCTTTTTCGTGCTTTTTCATGCTTTTTCCATCATCTTCATCTTCTCATCTTCTCATCTTCTCATCTTCAATCGTAAAGTTCCATGTCTCCCTCCACAGCATCCAGCTCGGCAACCGCATCCTCCTCATCCCACATCTCGCTGTCCTCACCATCAGACTCTGTATGGTTCGGAAGAACAACTACATGTCCTTCCTCAAGTTCAACTCTAGCAGTCTCTCCATCTCTGATGGAACCTCTGAGAATGAGTACCGCAAGTCTATTCAGCACTTCCTTCTCAATCAAGCGAGCAAGAGGACGAGCACCATAGGCGGGAGAGTAGCCAGCCGAGCCAAGGTAATCCTTGACATCTGTGGAAAGCTCGATGCGTACATTCCTTCCGTTCTGAGAGAGTCGGTGTTGAATCTCTTCAAGGCGGACATCCACAATACTGCGAATCTCTTTCTTGGAAAGACGGTTGAAGATGACAATGCTCGAGATACGGTTAAGGAACTCGGGAAGGAAGTAGTTGCGCAGAGAGCCCATGACCATTTCCTTGGTGGTCGGATCGATTTTGCCGTCAGGTGCATTGGGACGAGCGAGGTACTCGGCGCCGAGGTTGGATGTCATGACGACGATACAGTTGCGAGCGTCGACAACACGACCTTGGCCATCGGTGATGCGACCGTCGTCCATGAGTTGCAGCATGACAGTAAGGACTTCTTTGGCTGCCTTCTCGACCTCATCAAACAGAAGGATGGAGAAGGGGCGGCGGCGAAGGGCCTCGGTAAGTTGACCGCCTGCATCGTGACCGACGTAGCCAGGGGGTGCACCGATCATGCGTGACAGGGAGTGTCTCTCTTGGTACTCGGACATGTCGAAGCGGATCATGGCGCGAGGATCGTCGAACAGGAACTCGGCCAGTGCTTTGGTGAGCAAAGTCTTACCGGTACCAGAAGGACCACAGAAGAGGAACGAAGGTGGCTGATTGGGGTTGGCAAGACCAGAACGTTGTAGACGAATGGCGTTGGCAACCGATGTGACAGCTTCTCTCTGACCGACGACAATCTCGCTGAGGTGACGCTCCATCTGTAGGAGCTTGTCCTTTTCGGTGGTTCTCAGACGAGTAACGGGGATACCAGTCCAGCGAGCAACAATCTCGTTGATCTGATCAGGACCGACAGCATCGGTGAGAAGAGGAGCTTCACCAGAAGCCTGAGCTTGCTTCATTTGGTCAAGATCGGAAGCAGCCTTGTCCTTCTCAAGCTGCTTGATGCGTTCCTCGAGATCAGGAACAGCGTAATACTTGAGGTCGGAAGCGGTCTGCAAGTCACGCATGCGCTCGGCCTCTTGTTGCTTGGTGATGAGTTGATCACGCTTGAGCTTGGCTTCCTGGATCTCCTTGCCGCGCGATTTCTCGCTCTCGTACTTCTCGCGAATAGGCTTGAGGTCTTCTTCAACATTGGCGGCCTCAGCCTTCGCTTGAGCGAGGCGTGCCTGAGAAGCTTCATCCTTTTCACGGTTGAGGGCGTGAATCTCAATCTCGAGTTGACGGAGCTTGCGTTCCATGTTGTCGAGAGCTTCGGGTTGAGACTCGCGAGTGACACGAACGGCAGCGGCGGCCTCATCAATGAGATCGACAGCAGAGTCAGGAAGACGACGCTGAGTGAGGTAGCGAGCGGCCAAGGTGGCGGCAGCGACGATGGCACCGTCGAGAATGGTGACACCGTGGTGGACTTCGTACTTTTCCTTGAGACCACGAAGAATGGAAACGGTCTCCGGAACTGAAGGCTCCTTAACCAAGACTTGCTGGAAACGGCGCTCGAAAGCCTGGTCCTTCTCGATGTACTTGCGGTACTCGGACAGGGTAGTGGCACCAATACAGTGCAATTGACCACGAGCGAGCATGGGCTTCAACAAGTTGGCAGCATCCATGCCACCCTCTCCTGAAGAACCAGCGCCCATGAGCAAGTGAATCTCATCGACGAAGAGAACGACCATCTCCTTCGAGTCTTCAATCTCCTTTAGAACACCCTTCATGCGCTCTTCGAACTCACCACGGTACTTGCTGCCAGCAACAAGAGCACCGACGTCCAAGGAGAGCAGTCTGCAGGCGGCCAAGTTGGCGGGCACGTCTGCATTGACGATGCGCTGGGCGAGCCCCTCGACGACGGTAGTCTTACCGACACCAGGCTCACCGATCAGCACGGGGTTGTTCTTGGTACGACGGGACAGGATGCGGATGACTCTTCTAATCTCTTCCTCTCTACCAATGACGGGGTCCATCTTACCCTCTCTTGCCATGGCTGTCATGTCGATGGTGAACTTTTTCAGATTCTCGCTCTCTTCCTCGGCATCAGCAGTCTTTGAGTCAACGCGCTTGTTGCCTCTGATTTGTTGGATGGCATTGTCGATGAGCTTGGTGTTGGGCACATTAGCCTCGGCGAGAGCTTTTGTGACTGTGGGATCTTGAACGAGCGAGGAGATGAAGTGGTCAATGGCGATAAAGCTGTCCTTCTGGGTCTTGGACAACTGGTCGGCGGCGCGCAGCATCTTTGAGAAAGCAGGGCTCATGGAGAGGTGCTCTGGCGGCGGGTCCTGGCTGGGGAGACGAACCATGGCCTTGTTGAGCGAGCGAGTGAGTAGTTGGGGGTCTCCATGGGCTCTCTCGACGACTTGCTTGAAGAGTGGCGCCGATGCTGCTCCGTGTGATGCATGGCCAGTGGGGTTCTGCTGGTCCTTGCTAAGATCCGGAGGAGGATCCAGCAGTGCGACGGCCAGGTGAAGCGGTTGTAGTTGTGTGTGCGAGTATTGTTGTGCGAGATCTTGAGCATCGGCCAAAGCAGATGCTGCCTTGTCGGTGAATGACATTCCTGAGGCTGCCATTTTATGTGGTGATTATGTGGTAAGCGTGTAATTAGGTTGTGTAACGTGGTATAGTGTCGTGACTCGTGAAGCGTAGAGTAGTAAATGCGTATGCGAGTGCGTGTGCGTATGCAAGGCGTGAATGTGTTTGATGTCTGATATTTGATGTCTGATGAGGCAGAGAACAAAGGCGTCGACAAGATTGATATAGTCGTCGGGTTCGAACATGCAGAAGAAACTCCTGTTTTCCCGTCAGCGCCAGATGATGCTAGCAAGATCAAGGCAGGCAGCGTTCCTGCCAGAATTGTCCAGAAGCTTCTACGTCACCAACAAGTCACCTTCACCAACATGACTCGCCATCACTCCCCCGCACATGTCAACGAGTCAAGCATTATCTTGCACCTTTCTCCTTATCTCTTCCCAATCTGACCCCCTTCCGCCAACATACTCGTACTCCTCGACGCCCTCGTCGATGCTGAATGCATGTTGCCGCGGCTTGTTCCGACATGGATCCAACCCCTATTCAGATGGCAGCAGCCTCTGGTAGGAATCAACCGCTGGAAGGACGTCCGAAAGTGCCTCGCAGGGCGGACTTGAGAGAGGATTCGCATTTCGTGCATCAGCAGTGATAGGGTGCTTGTTTCGTCTTGATTATCTTCTTGTATTTCATTCGATCATTCTTCAATGTCTGTGGCCATGATTATGCTCCTTGGAAGAAACCTACTTTCTAAGTTGTCGTTGAGCCCTCCTTCCCAAATTCCTCTTGCTCTGCTCGTCGGTCTCTTAGTCCGGCATCTGGATATCGACATCGATACCGTCAGAGTCCACAAATCTCTTTCTCTTTCTCGTCTCTGCAGCCTCCGTGACATATTCGATTGCATGCTGTCCATCGAATCGTCTGAATACCTTCACAAGCTCTGAGACCCCGTCTTCAATTTCTGTGCTGTCGCTGCTGAAGTTGCCGGTCGATGCCTTTGTCGTGTGTTTTGGTCTCTTGCCACTGTCTTCAACGGACCCGGAGTCGGAGTCTGCTCGGTTCAACTTGTCTCTCATCTCGCCGAGCTCTGCGACCAGCTTGACAGTGTTGTTCTTGCTCTCCTTGACTTCCGCAAGCATGTCCTCCAAACTTTCTTGTCTCTCTAGCTCCTGTTTGTCGAGCAGTCTACAATGCTCGGTGGTCTGCAATGTGACACTCTTGTTCATGAGGTCATACGAGTCAAGTGCGGCTTCCAGAGACTTGTTGGCGGCTCTAGCGTTTCGTTCATTGATCCTGACTTGAGAACAAAGAGACTGGATGAGGTGGTCGATTGATGAGATATCTTGGAGCTTTGGGATGGTTAGACGATGCTTGGTAGAGTATGGTTGTTGTACACTTACGGTCCAGAGACTTGCGGTTATCATGGCTTTCTTGAAGATGTTGTGGACATGGTCGTCGAGGCCGTCGCCAAGGGTGCCTACTATGTAGCTGTCGATCCGATTGGAAACTGTTTGCCGTCAGTATTTGGTTATGTAAAGGTAAGGCGAGGGGTCGATATACTATGGCTTGGAGAAGTTGCGAAGGCGCTCGAATTCAGTAGTACATTGCCATCTGGGGTCAGTCGAGTAGTCTCGATCAGAGCGAGCTACTGGAGAGGAGCGGGAGACGACTGCGCTTGAACTTTGGCAGTAAAGGGCTCTCCATTGACGACCGAAGAATGGAACGGCATAGACTGATCAGACACGGGCACTTCTTTTGGGTGTTTGCCTTTGTTATCTAATAGTGAGGCGGGTGATTGCTGTTGGACAAATGACTCCTGGACAGTTTCTTGTTCGTCATCTGGAACAGCAAGATCTGTTACAGCTTTGCGGAAGGTGAGTGGTTGGCCAACCAGTTTGCTGTTGTTTACAGACACTGGACTGCTCTTTGACTGCACTGCCTTGTCTGGGTCAAAGCCAGCCATCAGCTCTTCAAAGCTTGTCTTAGTGCGCGGCTTTGCGAGATGCTGCGATGGTACTTTTGTGACGAGGTTTGCGTTGGCATTTGCTCTTGCCCTTCTTGCCGAAGGAAGCTCGTCTGACTTTGACGATCGGATGGTGCTTTCTGCTTGTCCGTGAGTTTTAGATGATGATTTTGTTTGTTGTGGCTGCGAGTTTCCAGGCGCGACTGTGCTTTTGCCGAAATCTTGACGAGTGATGAAAGGAGCTGGTAAAGCTGAAGGTTGATTGTCACCCATGCCATCATGTTTGTATCGAGGTAGACCCTGGGTCGACATCTTCTTCTTCATCTCAGCCCTTTGCGCAAATTCATCGTGTGCTTGTTGCATACTTCCTTTGAGTGCTTGAAGTTTCTCACGCTGTGCTGATAAAGATAGACCATTCGTGACTGGTGATTGTGTCAAAGACCTTGCGAGTGTCGACTTTGTCTGTTTCTGATTCATCTCCACTTCTGCGCGATGTCTGCGCGATCCTGGTGTCTTTGATAAATTGAGAGGATTGCCCTCACGAGAATCGGAGTTACCCATTGTTGTTTAGCTTGACCCAGAAGTGCGCTTGCCGTTCGTGCCTTCCTGTTCGGCTGGCTTTGGGGAGTTGGGCGCTAAGATGTTGTGTTTAGGTCAAGCTTGTTAGTCTTTTAGGTGGTTACGTCTCAGAACCTGTCCAGCATACTCTTTGTCTCATTCATGTCCCGGCAATACTAGGCGATTCGGACTTCACTATCGACTGCAGTCATTCACGGCTAGCTGAATGTATGACAAAGTGATACACAGTGGACAAGAGAAGAAGTACCAGATACTTGATGTTCAGTGAGTGCTTGCAGCATATGATGATTCTTCTCGAAACGACCGGGCGAGCAAAGCACTTACAGCTACGATTCCGGTGACCGCAGAGCGACGGTCGATCAGACCTGGGGCGTGACGGCGTCTACCCAAACTACTGAGAAGCACCTTCCTCCTTGACGTTGACGCTCTCACCAGACAGCTCCTCCTTGAGACGCTTCACAATGCCCTCGAAGGTCTTGACGTCGCCGTCATTGAGAGCATGAGCGACGTTGATGAGGTCGGTGAGCGGTCCTCCAGCACCCAGGCTGTCTTCGCCAGCGTCGACACAAGCTGACTCCAAGAGGCCGTCGAAGTTCTGGAAGTGACTGTCGCGAAGCATGATGTGGTTCTGGACGTCCTTGATGATGGAGAGCTCGATGTTGGAGATGTTCTCAGCCTAATACTGGTATCAGTATTGGATGGATGGCACACTTTAAGCGTGTATGCGTACCATCTTCATTTCAGCTTGTAGTGTGGCCTTAGTGAGAGCATCCTTGACGGCAGCACCAATGCGCTCCTTGACGAGAGTATCGACACAGGTATTGACGCTGTTGACGATGTCGCGCTTGACGATATCCATGACGGCGAGGACCATAGGGTCAGTCATGACCATGGTGTAGACAACGTCCTTGATCTTGACGTCGAGGGCCTCTAGCAAAGCGGTATAGAACACGCCGCTGAAGTCTTGGTTGAACTTGTCCATGCTTATTAAGGTCAGCAAGAGCGGTGTGGATATGTAGCCTAGAGCCTAGAGCCTACCTTGCTGTTTGCGAAACGGGTTGTGATTGCGCGTGAAAGTAAGTATAACAAAACGTAGCGCGCAGAAGTTCCAAAGGTAGTGAGGCGGTGGAATGTCCGGTGCGGTGGATCCCGACGGAAAGGGTTTCTCGGCGACGACATCATCGCTACACAAGAAGCTGTGTTCCAGATTAGAATCTCAGGGGCACGGAGTCGTTATAGTATGCTCTTTGCTTGACTCGACGCCAGGTACATGCTGCTGGTGCTCGAATGTTCTGGCGGGCGACATTCTCTGTACAATCGTGTCTCTCTTCAGTAGAGCTGTCAAATTACAAGGTAACAAGGCATTGGTAGAGCTGCTCATCTGGAGCGCTCGACACTTCGTACACGCCTCGGGTGCTTGAAGATCTTTTGGCGGTCGAGCTTCTCTCGTAGTGATATCGATCTGCCAATCCAGTTGCCGATTTGCGGTGTCCTGAATCATTGTCTAGCTTGGTATCTGCTGGAGACGGTTGAAGAGTACAGGTTTCAAAGGCTCAACGAATGGCACACGCTCGAGGTGCTCAAAGCTTTCTGCCAGCTGACAGCCTTTCTGAAGCCGTGTCCTTCTTTTGGCAGGACTGAAGAGATGCGAGGCAGTAAAGCATTGATATCGGCTGGTCGGGAGCGTTCGACGCAGCCTACACGTCTCTGGTTCCTGAGAGATTCTGGTGCATGACTCTCACTCTGTCCAGCCCTCTGTTGCTATCAACAAAGCTGCCGGATTGCATGGTGACAAGACATTGCATAGCATGGTCTCTGCTGTAGTTCACTGCTACTTAGATACCTCGGGTGCTTGAAAGTTTCTTGCAGATGGCTCTCTTTCTGCGGCGCGTGTAGCTATTGGCATAGCTGTCTGACCGCAAGGTAGAAGGGCATTGACGGGTATTCTCTGCCGTTGCTTTAGGCCAAACACTCGCTCCAGATACATGATAGCTTCCTGAAATTTAGTGCTCGCTCCAAAGTCGGGTCTCGCTCCCAGTAAAGCTGTCGGAATGCAGGAAAATAAAGTCTTGAGATAGTACGATAAGATGGCACCTGCTGTGACGAGTCGCATTGCATACGCCCCGGGTTTGGATGGTCCTGGCAAGTGATTCTTCCACCAGAATCGCGCCTCGGTGATGGTAGAGCTGTCGAATTGCAGAAGCGCAAGTTGTTAGTGCACAACTCGTCAGAAGTGCAGGCAGGCACGCTCACTTTCACACCTTCAAGCACAGCGTCTCGCGACTTTCTCCCAACACTTTTTTCAATCCTTTTCTGAACTTGATAGCCGCCTCTCATCTTCCAGATCCCCGCAAGCCGCCAAACACAACATCTAGCTCGACAAGATGTCGTGGCCTCCACATGGATCGCAAGGGGCACCGTTACCCCCAAGCCCTTTCGCACCTGCAGACGACGTACAAGCACAGCAGTACCAGAGCGCGGTTCTGTCCCATCAACTTCAGAGCACGGCCCTTTCCCAGCGACTTCAGCGCAACGCCGATAATGTACGCGCCCACATGGTCCTTCCTGGAACTGCTGCGCCGCCGATCGCTACGCCAGTACAGGAAGCACAGCGACAAGCCGCGACCCAAGCAGTTCACCCTCGCGTGGCCGAGCTCACAGAATTGAAAATCGAGAAACAGATGCCCTCAAGCGTACCCAACACATCCGCTACGAAACGAATTGTTCGTACATCAGGGCCGATCCACAACAGCCACGCCAGCAGAAGTCCAGAGCAGATAGCAGAAGTTGAGAAAATGAAGAGACATACGGAGGCCCAGAAAGCTCGGACTGCCGCAAACGACAGGGCCATGATGCCACCTCCGTCTCAGATAAATGCACGCACCACGACACAAGCTATACAAAGCGTGATGCAAGCTTCTGGAGGCACGGTCAGAGGCCACACTTTGCAGCCGGCTGGCGGTGCTGCTGTCCATAGAAATGCTGAACACCATGGAAGAAACTTACCCTTGACCAATGTCGCTCCGCTGACTGGTGACGTTGGCCGGGAGCGGTTGATCCCAACGCTGCCATCTGGCGTACAAGTACACAGTAGCCTAGCGTCATCCAGGAACGTCCATGTCCAGGGCGGAGCGGGGCGTGTTGAGCTGAGGAAGAGTCCTACATCCGATCCGTCAAGACGGCTTAATGTGCCGGCCAATCAAAGTACAACACAAGGCAATGGTCCACGGGATCTGGCAGGCTCGGCTCCCAGTGGAATCGCTCGCCAGCATGAGCAGACCGGCTGGCGCCCACATGCTTCTACCCCCGCCGCAGCGCAGGCGGTTCCAGCGTCAAGTGCAATTGACCCCCAAAGTAGTGGACTGACTCAGAACGATCCAGGACAGGCAGCAACTCGGCCAGTCTTATCCACCGTGCATTCCCCCGTCGCTGTCCCTGCCCAGAGCCAGATCCACACTCGAGTCCAGCCAGCTGAACCCGTAAAGCCGTCAACCCGAAGCCATCTCAAGTATCCCAAGATGGGCCTAAGCTTGCTCTCAGCAACGAGATCTCGTTCGATGCGCCAACACCACTCGACCCGCGCGTTTGCCACAAATGCCCAGCCTTCCGAACAGGACAGCAACTTGCTAGTTTCTCTGCCCGATTATGGTTCACCTCACGATAGCCAATTCACCGATGTCAGTCAGACCGACCCCACTGTCGACACTCGTCCTATCACTCGCGAGGCCTCTGTAGCACAGGGTCGTCAGGAACTCAGGGTTGACTTATCATCGGCCTTCGATGTTGAGCAAGCATTTCGCAGAATAGAGAGGAAGAAGGAGCTCAAGAAAAATGTCAACTCGCGCTTTCATGACATGCTCATTCACTTGTGCAAAGTCGACAAGAGCTTACGCCAGCGAGAATTTCGCCGTTTCCTGTCCAGCCTTGGGTTTACGAGTTCTGACCTCCAGCGTGAAGCTTTGAACGTCTTGCGCGTCATGCTGAGGGACCACCGAGCCAGGGATACGCGTAGCGAGTACACCACAGTGAAGCGCTGGATGGGCGGGATGATGGGGTACAGCACAAAGGAGGCCAAAAAGGCGCGCATCATGTCCGAAAAAGCCGTGGAGGCACCAGCAAATGATGGGGCAAAGAAACTGTCGCTCTTCTGTAGCGGAGGGGTCCACAAGCTGAAGTGCGGCCACGATCGTATCTCCAACGAAGCTTGCGGTATGGACTGTTATGGCTCCAAGTATCAACCAGATGTTGACATGAGAGAGCTAGGTTGCCCCAAATGTGTCTGGTAGGCTATGGACCGACGGAGACCATCTCGGGGAATATTTATATTATTGTATCTCCATGGAGGGGAGGCAATACCATTCAAAGATGTTGAGGCCATCACCTGGAGTACTGGCTCGAATGGTCCCTATAAATTGGGTCGTGGAGAGGGGTAGTAGTGATGACGAGACGAGCTTCCATTTCGACGGCTCGAACGGAGGTGCCCTCATGCGTCTTGGACGTCCATCTGAAACGGCAGATTGGAGTCTGACGACAACACGGAGGGAGGGATGTAGTCCTGTCAGCTCAGTTGAAGAAGGACGAAGCCATAAAAAATCTGCAATTCAACAGTGACAACAATATCGTTGGTCGTAAGCATAAGTCGTTGCCAGTGTGACGTTCGTTATTCTTGAATTGTCATGTTGCCTCCAGCATATATTCATGCATCTAACAACGCGTAATAAGTTCTACTGTTCCAGTTGAAGCTGGTATCAGGATCACATTTAGTTGTATGATATTGCAGAGAAATGGACCGCAGCCAAGAAGCATGAAGCATCAAGCCTGAAGTTCCAAAGCAGCTCTGTTTTAATCGCGCGGACAAAAAGCAGAAAAACTCGCGTCACAACCTCGGCACTGCACGGACACCAACCTGTCTTTCTTGTTTGACCAGGTATCTTACTCGGTGTACAAGTCTCTCACATGGCAAGTCGAAGCAATTGTTCGCGTACAGCTCGAAGATGCCTTCTCAAGGACACTGTTGTAAACTTGTTCACGTCCACATTTCGCGCTCCAGTTGCATCGCCCGGTACTGCTGTCAGTATCCGGTGCCCATTGCGCGTCATCGACGCGCTCGACCAGCCATCCGGCAGGTCTTCCCTGTGCAGTGTATACGCATTTACGAGTAGGAAATTGGTATTCACAGAGTATGCCTGACTCTTAACACTGATGTCTGCATATCATCGGTTACAGGGCTTAAAAGCTCTGGGCCAGTGACGCTTCCAAGTCACGATGTGAATGGTTCCGGATATAGGAACTTGCCCCTATGCAGGTGGCTCTGCAAGCTCAAAGAAGCAACCAGCCCCGGCTCTTGTGAGGAAAGGTTGTCCGCTGCGGAGTCTGGCAACATTCGGCATCAAACGCAAGCCTTGACACTCCCGGCACACTTCAATTTGGCCAAGTCTGGTCTGTAGGTCAAGCTGACCTATCCTCCGGGCCCAAGGTTGCCCTGAGAGTCAGGTATCGTAGGTGTTGATCAACTTCAAGGTCGTCTTTCGCGACAGCATCTGTTCCAAGGTTGTCTCTTGCGGCGACAACAATCGGTGCGGAAATATCACAGCTTCCACTCTATTATCGCCGTATCACTTATCACCAATCAGAGAGAGACAAGTGCGCCAGCATATCATCGGCCTTTGCATCAAGACCGGTGTTGCCATCGTCGCATCCACAATGACCCCGTGTGGGGTATCAGAATCTGGGGAATTTTCTCCTCCACTGCACGGCATCGGGTGCTTGGACGGAGGGCTGGAAACCTTACTTACCTCAACAGTCGACATATAAAGGACCAGACAACCCGCCGAACATAATGGACATCAATCACAGAATACATCAGCCCTCTCTGGAATTCATATCCACATACGCTAGAATAAACCCCTCATCAACATGTCCGTCGACAACAAAAAGCTCAAGGACGTCAAGGATGACGTTTTCATCGACAGGATCGAGAAGCTTGACACCTTGTCGGACGAGCACATCGAAGCCGATCATATCGAGAGTACGGCAGCTTCGAAGGCGGCATGGTTGATTGCCATGACCGTGTCTATCGGCGGCTTCCTCTTCGGTCAGGATTTACCCTACGATACACGATGACTCAATATCGTCTAACAAGGTTGCAGGTTACGATACTGGCTACATATCTTCGGTTCTGGTCACCATTGGTACATCTCTAGGTCATGAACTCAGCACGAGCGAACAAGAGCTTGTGACTTCTCTCACATCAGGAGGAGCTCTTGTTGGCGCAGTCTTTGCTGGCCTGGTCGCTGACAAGTACGGAAGAAAAATGCCGAGTAGGTTCTATGTCAATACTCAAACCTTGGACCGGAACTGACGCGAGTATTCTAGTTTATGCCGCATGTGCGGTCTTTGTCATTGGAACACTTCTGCAAGCCGCTGCATTCCATCTGCCTCAATTCGCTGTTGGCCGGTTCGTAGTAGGCCTTGGTGTTGGCTCAGCAGCCTGTATCTGTCCGTTGTTCATTGCCGAAATCTCGCCCATGCGCTACAGAGGAAGAGTGGTCGCCTTCAACAACATGAGCGTTACCCTCGGACAACTCATCGCATCGGCCATCGGTGCAGGCTTTGCTCAAGTGCAAGGAGAAGCTTGGCGCGGAACAGTGGCCATTGGAGGTCTGCCACCAATCGTCCTTGCTATCCTCCTTATGTTCTGTCCAGAGTCACCCAGACAGTTGATTGCTCACGGTCGAACCGAGCTCGCAGATGCTTGCCTTCTCAAGATCTACCCTACATCAACCCCAGAGACGCGTCAAGCAAAGATTCGCTCCATCGAGGCGTCCATTCACGAGAACACTGGGTCGCTGGCCGACGAGTCAATCTGGAAGTCTACGAAGCGTATTTTTACCACACCTGCTACTGGTAGAGCAGTGCTCACAGCTTGTGCTATCATGGCCAGTAAGTCTAGTTCATACTCTCGAACAGCAAAACCAAAACTAACCGAAATACAGTCTCTCAGCTTGGTGGCTTCAACACACTCATGTACTACAGCGCTACCCTGTTCGGCCTCGTTGGCTTTGCGAACGCTACAGCTATCGCCATTGTAGTTTCTGGCACAAATTTCCTCTTCTCGATCGTCAACCTCGTCCTCGTAGATCGTTTCGGTCGTCGTGCCATCCTCAAAGTCACTGTCTTGGGCATGGCTATCTGCATGCTCATCGCAGCTGTCAGTTTCCACTACATACCCATCAACACAAAGACACTGGAGCTCACCAGTGATGTCACCGGCTGGCCCGCCGTTTTGGTCCTGGTCTGCATCATTTGTTACGTCGCCTTCTTCTCCTCTGGTGTAGCTACGATCGCTTGGATCGGCACAGAGCTCATCCCTACTGAAGTCCGTGCTGTAGGCACTATGATCAATACTGTCACTTGCTGGAGCACAAATATCATCGTTTCCTCTACTTTCTTGTCCATGATGAAGGGGCTTACACCTACCGGCGCTTTCGGCTTCTACTCTGGAATCTGCACTATTGGATGGATCTTTGTCATGTTCTGCTACCCTGAGTGCAAGGGTATGCCTCTTGAGGTTATCAGAGAAGTGTTCCAGCGTGGCTTCGGTGTCGGATATTCGAAGCAGTGGCAAAAGGAGAATGCGGCTTTCGCTAAGGCCAATGCCATGGGCAATGTGAACTTCGGTCACTAACATGTACTGGTACGACCAGAGGATCTTGGGGGAGTTCGGGACTCGTCATTTGGTTTACGAATCATGTTATCTATGTCATGTTATGTATGCACGTGAATGTCATATATTGTTGCAATCTACTCATAACTTTACCGCCCCAATCGTTCGTGTGTAACTGAAGTATATGCTCCTTCATGAGTGCATCAGAGTATTACCGTAGCATAAAACCTGTCGTATCTCACAAAAGGAGCACAAATTCTCCCGAATCTGCCAGATGGTAGAACAAATCACTCCTCATCCGTGGCCAAGAATCAGTGGTTGTAGAGCTCGTACGTATCACAGTCTGGGTTGAACCAGGGAGAATGTTTGCTTCTCCAAAGTGTCTCTCCGACTCGGCTTCGTGCAAGTAGCAAACAACAACACTCTCCGTATGACTAGATATACCAATCGATCTGTCTTTCACCCAACACAGCCCCTCTAGTCCAAAAGCACCTCGCCACCAGAGATCTCGCATTTGACCCTGTCCATTCGCCCTGCCCCTCTACTGAAATTCCACCCATCAGGCTCCTCACCAGTTCGATTCCCTTCAAGCAAGAATTTCTTGCCGCGGTGGTACAGGGAGCCACCGCACCACAAAGTCCCCTGAAAACGGAGACCCAGGTAAGTGGTCCTCTTGCCAACACAAGGTTTCTACTTATTCCTGGAGCATGTGAAGTTTTTGACACAGGTTGGCTGGGAAAGTTTTCTTGCCAATACAAGCTGCTTTGAGCCTTTCGGAGTTGAATCGTAGCCGCCTGGAGTTTCTGGTGCCGTCTGAGGTCAATGGTTAGTCAGATGTAAGGTGTCGTAAGTTTAACTCGCCTCCCCCTTCGGTGTGAAATCTCTGTTGGTGCTTCTTTTTTTTGCCATTCTAAGAAGTGAGAGGTGATAGGGTCGGTGGGCATGACTGGGTCACGTCGCAGTAGGCTTTGTTCGATCGTGGTGATTAATCTCCTCCCAAACCTGTAGCTACGAGTCGTGACGCGTTCCATTGCAACGATCACTCTTCCTGGGTCGGCAATTTCCTCATCTAGATAAACAAGGTAAAGAACCTCACTGTTTTATATGTCCTTGGAACCTAGCCAAAGTTTTGTCAGTAGCGATTTTCTTGAAGATGTGAAATATTGGTTTGAGCTTTTGTGACGTTTCTTGTAGTGTCTCTGCGCTTGGTGAAGTAACAGACTAACCACATTTACGCAAATTCGACTGCTTGGTGGAAGGTAAAGGAGGGCAAGACCAAAGCTCATGGTATTGAGCGGAGTAGATCGCTGCGGCGCTTTCCAAGCGCAGAGATAGGCAAGCACTGATTTTGACGAGATAGTTAACAACCACGAAGCTAGACCGAGCATTGATGGTCAATTTCAGGTAGACATAGAGTAAGAAAGCCAGCTCTCAAGCCAATACTCGAACTGGAAAGAGCGTTGCTGCCCCTTGCACCGGCGCGGTACATCGATGGAAGCCCTAGAATATGATAGAGCAAGGATACGAAATCAGCGAACGAGATAGCTCTTGATCGATGTAGAGAGCGCTACGCTGCTGACAACCTGCGCTCCGTCAACGCCAGCAAGATATTCACCAGACTCACATCAACGCATTCCACTCACTCCGGTATCATAATCTAGCAAATATCCCACCACCATAGAGATCGGCCCTGTGGCTATCAGGAAAAATTCGCTCGAAAACCTCTCCAAAGTCTAGCATAAATAGAATCCAGGGGGTGTGAGTTCGAGTCACAGCCTTGGTTGGTCGCAATCATGACTTTGGTTTCAAAGATGTTTCCCAGGTGAATTCCTGGTTTTTTGCTCGGCGTCGATCAGCGAGATCCTGTTTTTGCCGACATGTGTGCTTGTTGAGACGAATTATATAGTCGTTTGATCCTTCCCTGCATCATGTCTTTGACGCTTGGTGTTGGATTGCGCCGCGGATTCAATACGCGTCGACCTCGACCTCCAACTTGGTACTGGCTTGGAAAGGTAAACAAAGGCCAAATAGAAAGACCACATCGCATGCGGCGCTCTCAACAGGGCTGAAATTTCTCAAAAGAGGCTTAGCACTTCCCAATGGCAAGTTGATACGATAGAGATGATTCGTTACGCTCATATCGATCACGTCCAACGCCATCACATATCGAAAAGCTCAAAGGGCAGCTCATATAGCTTGAGGGGCATGTTTCAAGACAAAATCTCATCACTCGCAAGAGATGTTGGGATGTGAAGCGAAAGTTGGTTGAGCAAAGAAGTCCCCAGCCTCGCACTTGCCTGGCCAATCTGCAGCTTCCTTAGACAAATCACCTTGGCCCACTAGTCAAGCGCTACCGGAGATCTCGAGTTCGATTCACAGCAAGGCCAATCCGCGCTAACAATTCATAAGAACACAACAACCCGACACCATACTGGAACACCAAACCGGTCCCGCGGGAGACATTCCCGTACCTTGTGGGGCTGAATAAGCCCCAGAATGAACTAACTTGCATTGAGTAGTCTTGCCACCACAAGCTTCTCTTTCCTTGCCAAGTTCTACAACCACAGAAGCAATGACATGAGCTTGTCAACACAAGGATTGTCTGCGCTGGGGTGGGTAAGTGCCGGGGCTTCCCCGTGAAAGCTTCGGGTTCACGACACACTCCGGGTTCATCCCGTGAAGATCAACCACAACAACACTCGTAAGCGAAACCTCCCAAGTCCTGAGATTTCTGGTAGCATTCCTTTTCGCACTTTACGCGTTTATTGAGACTTCCTTCTTCGCAACTGCTCAGTTACTGAAACTCCACTGTTCTATCCAGCGTTCCATGAGCTCGACACTGATGCATTCCGCGTTCTGGAGACTCGGACTCAAAGCCAGACTCTTCGAGCAGTCAACAGTTGGCTTCCTGACTTCAGTCTTACAAGCGCCCTCGAAGAAGTCTAGCAAGCCTGCAGCTGGTACATGACTTTCCAGTCCAGTCTCGATGTGTGCTTTCAAGAGCTTAAGCCAATCAATCAATGAGAGTCTCTTCAGATTGATATATGCTCTGAGCTCTGGCAGTAGTGCTTTCCAAGCAGTTGTCTGTGGATTGACAACGTTGTAAACCTGGCACGCATTATGCACTGCTGTCGCAGCGAATGCCAATTCGCATATGGTGGCTGCAGCGACGTCAACAGGTAGCCAGTTTATCTTGTCCAATAACCCCAATGAAGAAGGTATAGCTCCAAGTTGTATCGAAGCCGCTAGCATAGCCGGCACCCATTCTTTCTCTGGCCAACGAGGCACATCATCTCCCCAAAGTTCGGGATGAGAGACACCGCCGAGTTGACCGATGCGGCATGTTACGCTCTTCACACCGTTGGCGGCCGCAGTCGTCGCTATGAGTCGCTCAGCGACAAGTTTTGACTGCGTGTAGCCCATAGTCTCTGCTACCAGCCAGTCATGAGAAATCTCTTCGGTGACTTGACCTCCAGATCTACCAAGGACAGATCCAATCGACGAGACGAACACGAAGTTTGGTTTACAGTCGGCAGACTTGCAAAGCTCCATAAGTTCAACTGTGAGACGGATGCTGGACTCGAAATGAGACAGCGGCATACAAAAGTCGACTGGCCACGCATTTTGAATCACACAAGTGATCTCTTGCTGCAGAGTACACCAGACTGATTCACAGAGCCCGAACCGTGATTGGGAGTAGTTCACATGGAGATGCCTGACATGCTTGGAGATTGCAGCATTCCTTGAGCGACCGGGAGCCTTTTGGTTGATATCTGCATCAGGATCGCGACTTAGGCAGTAGATAAGAGCAATGTCTTCTCTTTGTAAGAGCTGGCACAAGATCTGAGTGCCCAGATGACCAGTTGAGCCGACAAGGAGAACGGTGGCCGCTTTCGTTGTTTCAATAGGCATGGCGCGACGACTCATTGGCGAGTAGCGATCGTATAGAATCTGCATCGTCTTGACAGAATCTTCTTGTCCAGTTTCCAGACCGCAGATGTAGTATGAGAGTAGATCAATACTTGGAAGCTCGTAAACAACTTTGGTCGTGATTAATTTTGGTGAGCTCAGAAATGCGGTTCTAAGCTTCCTTGCCAAGGTCATGGCGTGTAGCGAGTCCAAGCCGATATCGAAGAAGCTCGTGCTAGATTGTACCGTCCTGTACTTGGAGATCCCCTGGATGGTCCTTGTGACTGTCTCTCTGACACTGCCAAGATCCATGTGGCAGTCGGTCTCGGCATAAGACGCAGCACTGCCATCTTGTAGTCGGTAGAGCTCGTCGAGTTCCGCTGCAAACCGCTCAAGAGTCCGTTTGCGTTGGACGGTGCCTTTATCTGCTCGCACCATTTTCTTTCCTTGCTTTACCACAATGACCATGTCCTTCATCAGCCGACCATACTCGGGAATGCTTTCGTTGGCTCTCTGTACAGCCGGCCAAAGCTCCTCCACGACCTCCTCTTCGGATTTTTCGTCATCACTAGATCCAGAAGACGACAACTCTAGGAGCAAAGCGCACTGCGTACGACCCTGCCCACAGACTAGAGCTGACTCTACCGCTGGATGACCGTTGATGATCACATCCTCCATTGAGGTTGGGTTAAACTTCTCGCCATTACTAAGGACGATGATGTCATCTATACGACCTTGCCACAGCCACAGATTCGGTTTAACAGGGTGCTTCGCGAAGAGATCTTTGGTATGATACACTTCCATCTCGGGGTACATCGAGAACACAGGTTGAAACTCCTTCAAAGCAGGATCTCGTTCAATGACGAGCTCACACAAGTTGTCGGCATAAGGACGATACACCCCGCCAGCGCAAGGACTAAGCTTGATGTACGGCCAGTCAACGCGGTCCATGACTTCGACGGGAAAGAAGCCAGTCTCCGAAGATCCGAAGACAGTGATGAGAGTAGTCCCAGACGCGATACGTTTGCCTGCCTCTGTAGGCAGTGGTCCTCCGCCATACATTACACTGGAACATTGACACAAGTTTCTGAGATACTCATTGTTGCCAGCAATTTCGGCCAAGATAGATGGTGGCATGATGCTGGCTTCGATATCGATATTGACAAGCATCTCGTTTGCAAGGTCTGCCGTCAAAGGCACTGGAGGCGGCAGGACTGTTGGGACAGTATTCCAGATAGAGAGAAACAGAGTGCTGAGAGCTGATGCATGAAACATCGGAAACAGTAACAGCGTCTTCTTATGGGCGTAGGTGCTAGTCTGTATTGCCCTGCCTGTGCGAGCTTCTATGTTCCGAAATGCGTCTAGGGCAGCTACTGCTTCATGATTCATGATTGTCAACTTCGGCATACCAGTGCTACCAGACGTGTGAAATACTGCTATTGGATCGATCTTGACGTCTTCAAACGTTCTGCTCCAGAGATAAGGTTGCATGCCATCATTGAAGTCCAAGAAGTGTTCGAGCTCAGGAAGGCTGAGTGTCAGCATCGGTCTCTCTACCAGGACGCTTACCAAGAGATTGGAGTGCAAAGGTGCATCTGAAGGCATCATGAAGACGTTGCATTTCACTTGACCAAGCAAGTCGAGTGATGCAGCTGTGCTATTGCGCGGAGAAGGGAAAAACATCTAATCGCTGTTTTAGACGAATCACTCGGGCTTTGCAAACTTTCATACCTTGTATCCCACTTTGCAGGCTCCAAACACCAGAAGGAGGTATCTCAGGTCATGAGGGCCAACATAAGCCAAAGTTGGAAAGTCATGACCTCTACCCAGCTTCTGATGTATCCACCAAGCGCACTTGTCGATGCCTTTAGCGAGGTCGCGGAAGGTGACTCGACGGAGACCGTCTTTGATGTCGGCAGACTTTGGTATCTCAACAAAGGTTAGACAGGGATCGTCCAAGGCAACTTGATCGATGAAGTTTGGAAGCAGTCGACGACCATATTGTGCCATGGCGATTGACATTTGAGCTGAAGTCAGAAGCTGGGCCCGAGAGTCTGACCCGAGCATTACTTATATGTATGTATGAACGTCTCCTGTGCTCGAGGGACCTGGAGGGAGAGATCTGCGTGACTCCTTCGATCATGGTGAATATGCTGGTAGCCATGGATTTCTGACGAGCAATACCCAGAACTGAAGTGCTTACATACGCCACGGCGCGTAGAATCATTAGCTCAGACAGACAACAGCCACGTATGGCCGGCTTTGGTCACTGCAGCCGTGGTCGACGCACCATGATAGGTCGCGCTTCAACACTCGTGACTTGTGAAGAATCAGTCGCTGCGATTAACGGCGGTACAGACAGCTAGCTAGCTGCGCGGGATTTAAAAGCGACGGTTTGCTCCATTGTGTGACTTCAGTCCCGTGTGTGAAGATGAGCTGCATATCATGTCGTTGAAGATACCCTCGTTATGAGAGTGGTCCCATCCCTTCGGAAACGATCTTGTGTGTCGCAGCCGCAAAAAACTTGTCCTAACCTCCCCCAGTCGCACGCCCTGAATTGAGGTGGGCTCGAAAGGCGTACGCGAGCAAGACATCGTCCGGGTGTGAGGGGGTTGGAGGATTGGAAAGCCGATTCCTCGGAAGCGTTCATGCTGTGTTACATGGCTGGATTGAGTTTACCAGCGTCACGCTCAGCGCCTCCCTCAATCCTCCTGTAAACAGCTTGACTTTGGCACTCTGCAGACAAGATGTGTCAGAAAGCTTCCTGATATCACAACAACAATCTCACCGAGCCCACCGAGTAGACATATGACCAATTCGATTCGCAAAATTCGACAACTTTGACGTGCGCTCGCGGAAATCACGGAATGACGGCGACGCTTCAGCGCTCCCACAAAACTGTGATCTCGCCATCACAAGCAACAGCCAGCAGGTCGCTTGTTCATGCAAGACCCATGTAGTCGGTAGAGATGTGGTCACTGCTATCGCGAAAACACAGTGGCTCCATCCTGTGAGGCAAAAACGTGCTTGAGGGATCGCGAACTCATGCGAGGCCCACCCATCGCCGAAGCCGGGTCAGGGAGCTGGACGCCGTTTGCCCGCAGCCACCACCACAGCTTTATTGAGTATCCTTATTCACACCACGTACGTGTTGGCTTTCTCTCCATGATTTGCGATGAATGCATTCGAAGCCATGTCGCAGCGCCATAAAGTTGCATGAAATGCGCAAGAGACGCTGCAAACTGCATCGGTTGTGCTTTCCATTTGTCTTGCAAGAGGTAAAAGAGAAACAAGAAGACAAACGCTCTTTGAGTGATCGTCCGGGCCGCTAACAGGATACCCCACAGTGCCAAGGGAAGCTGGATAATGTCGATGACGCGCCGAGACAATTCTTGCCGACGTCCTGTCTTCTTGGTCACCAGTACATGAATACCTGCCAGCATGACTCGTCTGTATAGCGTGGCTATGTGTGGCGCTGTGGATTGTTCTCTGTCCGCACAACGATTGACTCTCGAGAGCAGTCCGGCAAGCAGTACGGCAAGCTGTGTCTGATAGTCGGAGTGGATCTTCTCCGACCCGTTCCTAGGGCCAAGATAACCAGAAAACGGTTAGATTTCGCAGCCAACTCAAACTGCCTTTAGCATGGCGTTCATTGGCGGGCATTTACGGCCGTTCCATTGCAATCCGCAAGCCTGATGACTCGAGCAAAACCAAAATGCGTTTTACCGAGAACCGAGCAATTCAGCTCTCCTTCCACGAAGGTGGCAGGGCTACTTCAGGGTCCTGGATGTTTCTTAAGAGACCTGTCGATCCCTCCGCATTCGCAGTCCATCAACTTCAGAGATGGCGACCATCTCTGTTTTCTATACCTTCCTGTGGCTCTCCGTTACCTGGCTACTGTACAAGGGTATCAGTCGGCTCTATATTCGTCGGCAACATGCTATCAAGTCTCGCAAGCTGGACTGTGAGCCAGCACCACTATGGCCTGCAACACATATGGGCATCTCGACGATCAAACAAATGATGGCGGCTCAAAAGGCAGGTCGTTTTCCCGCGTATCTCCGTGAGCGGGAGGAGACCTTGTCCGAAACTGAACACAGACCTGTGCATACTATGCGCCTTTCTATTCTTGGTAATGAGGCTCACTTCACCTCGGATCCCAAGAACATCCAAGCTTTACTGGCAACTCAGTTCAAAGACTTCGGGCTAGGGTCCGCGAGGATCGGAAACTTTGGTCCCTTGATGGGTGATGGTATTGTAGGTGCTTGTCGGCCTCGAGATTTCATATGCCCGCTGACAGACTTTACAGTTCGCCTCTGATGGCAAAAGATGGGAACACTCACGAGCATTGCTCCGACCGCAATTTGCTCGCGACAACATCAGTGACCTTGAGCTAGAGGAGGTGCATGTGCAGAACATGATGCAAGCCTTACCCGTCAGTGCTGATGGCTGGGTCGATGAGACTAATGCACAGCTTCTCTTCTTCCGTCTCACTCTGGACAGCTCCACCGAATTCCTGTTCGGTGAGAGCATTGACACTCAACTCGCAGCTCTTCGAGGCGGAGAGGCTGGAGCCGCTGCAGCTTGGAGGGACGAGAAGGTGTTCGGCACCGCCATCGACAGCTCGCAAGGCTATCTGTTCAAAGGCGCTCGGTTCGGAAACTACTACTGGATGGCACATGACAAGCACTTCAAGAAGCTCTGCAAGGACGTTCACAACTTCGCCGACTACTACGTGGGCAAAGCAATTAAGGCACAAGATTCCGAGAAAAGGGCTCCATCTCCCAGCAAGAAATTTGTCTTCCTCGAAGAGCTAGCTGCGCAAACCCGAGACCCAATCGAGCTCCGGACCCAACTGCTCAACATCTTGATTGCTGGTCGCGATACTACTGCCTGTCTGCTCAGCTGGATGTTGTTGCTTCTTGCGAAGAATCCCGATGTCTTTGAGAAGCTCCGTGAAACTGTCATCCGCGACTTTGGCAGTTACGAGAATCCTAGAGACATCACTTTCGTGTCCCTTAAGGACTGTCAATACCTTCAGCATTGTTTGAACGAAGCACTTCGCGTTTATCCGGTCGTCCCCATGGACGGTCGGCGTGCCTTGACGGACACTACCATTCCTCGCGGAGGTGGCGCAGACGGTCTATCGCCCATCTTCATCCCCAAAGGCACTGATGTCAGTTACTCTGTGTACGTCATGCATAGACGTAAGGATATTTGGGGTGAGGATGCCGACGAATTTAAGCCGTCGCGCTGGACCTCGAAGCGACCCGGTTGGGACTATCTGCCATTCAACGGAGGTCCCAGAATATGCATCGGCCAGCAGTTCGCGCTCACTGAAGCTAGTTATGTCATGGTCCGACTACTTCAACGATTCGATAAGATCGAGCCCACCGGACCAACTCTCGATGCCGAGCCGAAGATGCGCTTGACCCTTACCTGCTGCCCTGCAGATGGTGTCTGGGTCAGGATGAGACAAGCGAAAGATGTCGCATCTCACTGAAGATGTTCGTCAGGCGTTCTGTTTACGATTCATGCAAGAATGATATCCCAGAAAAGACCCACGTGGCACAAGATAATTATAGCCTCAGCTATATCTTAATGTTGAATACGATTTATTGACTTTCGCGAACTCCTTTCCTAAACAAAACTATTGGGCGTTACTCGCACACGTCCAGGATCCATTTCCTCCATCAGCCGCAATCGCCGTTCCAGAGCTGTAGAGTCCAGCTACGCATACTGTGGCGCCGATTGCAATGACGATCCAGTTGATACAGAATAGCATGATTTGCTTAGGGCTGTCAAACCAATGTCCATGGTTTAGGAAGAGACCGAAAACACCGCTCAATGTGTAAGTGAAATGCGATGCAAACAGGGCACTGATCAAGCCAAGCAGATCGTTGAAGTTCGGGATCGACTCTGCGATTATCCAAGCGATGACCCAGATGGTAAGGGTAATGCCAGTCCAAGCAAGTGTGCTTGTTTTGGTTCGTCTATTCATATGGACTGTCCCTCTGAAGCAACGTACAAAAATATACTTTGCTGCTACGTGTCCGTAGATGATTCCGGCAATGATGATCTGGTAAATATTAGCTTCCGAAATATCTCAAAGTCAGCCAATACCTACAGTCGGGATTGCGATGCCCCATGCGACTTTTCGCACAACCGGACCTGCCGAACTAAGAGCGGGAGAATCGACATTGGGACCAGCAAATACGTAGATGACAGTCGCGGCAATGATGTAAAGACTGATGTCCCACATTTGCAAAAAGATCAGAGCCTTCGTCCAGTCTTTGGCTGGATTCTTCATCTCGGCCAGGAAACCAAAGAAGCATGAATGACCAGCATATGCGAAGACAATGTTGCTGACGGAGACAAATGCATCCGTAAATGGTAGCACTGTAGTCGTGGCCAATTTGGTGTTTCCCCTGGGTTTCTGGATGCCAATTGCGACCATGCTGATCAAGACAGCCGAGAAAATGGAGATGAACGAAGCGATCGACATCCACGACACGTTTTTCAGTGTTCTAGGTAAGTCGAAGATGAAGAAGATGACTAGCCCAACAACAGCCCAGACCACAGTACATGTCGCACTATCGGTGACGGTGTTGAGGCAGATGGTCCAAGTCAGGATATGACTGGCCATGGTGAAGATAAGAAAGATAGTTTGTGCTCCACCGAAGAACTCACGACCGATGGCTCCCATCTTCAGAGGCTTGAAGAGAATCTCGCCGGCGTCTGCGAAAGAAACTACCTAGAGTGTCATGAGCATTTTCCTGGTCAGGCAATTCTGTTTGCGGAGTCGCTTACCCATGGATACTCCATTCTGAATTGTCCGATCACCTGAGTGCTTGCTGTCAGTCTATATGTATCTTTCGTAGGTCGTAGAGCGCTCGTCATACCCAGCCAGTATAAGTGGCAATAATTCCGAGTCCAACAATCAGGATGAGTCCAGGGACCAAACCAATTCGTGCAAGGACGGATGGCAACGAAAGAATACCAAGACTTATTGTTTCGGCGATCATGACTTGCAGACATCAGTGATGTTAACCACAATATCAGCCACTATGCGCATACTCATCGACGCTTGCCTGTGACTGCATCAGATAGGAGTTCATGCATGAGATAGGTCTGCACTCACCACCACTCCAGTGATTGATAGTCAATCTCTGCATCTTGGATCTCGCCCTCGTCCACACTCTCTTTCCTCGCGAAGGGGTCTTCATATGCGCTGTTCTTACGTCTGGACATTGACGACTTGCGTCGTTCTCCACTCGGTCTGACAACATCGTCGCCATGGTCTAGACTCTCCCTCTTTTCAGGATCCTCGAAAGACATGTTTGCATTACAAACTTGATAGTACGCAAATCGTGAAAGGCAGAAAAAGCGACAGCAGCTACGCCGCTCTATAGTTAAGCCATCCTGTATTCGCAGGTACACATGTACCTTGGATGGCATCACAAGGCTTAAATGACGTAGGTTTCCGAAGATGAAGGGATGGCCGATCCCACCACGCAAGCTTTGCGGAGAAATCTGGAAAAGCAACGCCAATCTGCTTGATACGGAGAGCTAATGGACCAAATGATCAGCAGATACAGTATGAAATCCTACCCATGTCATCGCGATGCTGTCTCTCGAATATTTTAGGTCCATAGACACGCATCATTTTGTCTGACCGGCAGATCACTACATGATTCATCGTCCCTTTGTCGGGACCTTCTCAGAGGGTATCCGTTGCGATGACTTCAAATCGCTACTTCCCAGCCATCTCTCTAACCAGGCCAGCATTCACCCAACCTCGTGCAAAGTTCCTACCGCTAAACAAAAGAACAGTGATCCACCAGATACGGCCAATATAAGAGTCATACCACATTTGTAGCGGGAGATCTCTTTTCTTTCTCCAAGTGAGGACTTGTCGTCGAATGCCTTCCTCGAGCACTACAGCAAAACCATTCGCTGCGAAGAACTTGGCTTCTCCAAGAGCACGACTCCACTCTCCGCCGAGCACTGATCTGACGGCAAACGAATGTACAAAGGCAGACGAAATGAAGCCGCCGAGTACTTTGCCAACATCTGCCGGTTCGTCATTCTTCTTACCTGTGAGCTTTCGCTCCAGCCACTCTCCGGGCCAAACCCCGTAAACTAGGAACAATCGAGCGAACAGTCTGTGCCAACCATATGACCAGAACCCTCGTACAGACTTGATATCCCAGATGCGGGTACTGTAGAGAGGCGGAAAGTAGGCAAGTGGTGAAGGTGCCAAAGGACTGAGCAGGATCGCAGCCATGGAGTGTGCCACTGAAAATGCAGCCATCAAGAAAGCACCGAGAGCTGCAGTCAGAAGAAGTTGAAGCCACAGAGGAAGACGACTATCAAACAGATTTTCTGCGTGAGCACCATATTTGGTGGATGGTGCTTCCTCCAAGTATTTCACGTAAGTGGTCCTGATGATAGCAAAACAAACGGCCAGAACAGGGCCGACATGAAGAAAGATCGAGTGCAGTCGGTTCGTAGCAGTGGGCAACCACGTCTTCCGGGTGTGTCGTACATCAGCGGTTGTCCAGGTAAAGCCAATGCCACGCATGCTAGTTTCTAGCTCAAGAGCCCAAGAGGCTCGATCCAGGAAGTTGTGCGGCCAGCCTTCTTCACTGGTTGCAAGTTCGTGAACAGGCTTCATCTTACTGAGGTCGGAGAGCCTCTTCTCGAGCACGAAATATGAATCCGCGAGTGACCCACAACGGGCATGCGTAGCAGCATTGGAGACGGCATCGGGAACCGAGATACCCTTACCACTCGCTTGGCTTTGCGGTTCGTTGTCGCCTTCGACAGGCATAGGCGTGTGTGCACGAGAAATATGCTTGTAGCGAACACGACGTGGAATATGTCCAAAACCATAGGGGCTGATAAAGAAAGCGTCCAAAACTCTGCATCCGCCATAGAGACCAACAAGCGCGAGTTGATAGTTTAGTCCAATGCTTTGCGGAACATAGTAAGCCAATGGCAGTCGGAAGAACAGAATTCCGGCTAGCAAAGCAAGAGCATTGCGAAGTAACTTGATCGCAATAGTATCAATAGATCGCGGCGGTGGAGGCGGTAAGAATAGTAGAGCAAGGAAGTATATTATCGGAGGCAGAACGGCAGCCTCGAAAGTCAAGGGCTTTGTGTCCGGAATGTGCTGGAGGCCGGGCCTTGGTGTCGCGTCGAAGAGGGAATGCAATAAGAATGTCATGTTGATCTGTACCACATGCACCATGCAAGACCCAGATGATGGCGCTTATGAAGAACTTCCATGTTGATGACTTTTTTGGTTGGTGGAAAACAAATAATATGGAAGATGTCATCGAAGAGAAACGCTCCTGGTTGCGGGCCGGCGATCGGGCCGCGCGATCGGTCTATTTCCATTCTTCCCTTCGCTCTCCTTCCCTTCCTGTCGTCTCGTTGATGTGAGATGCTGCAAAGCAGCTATATGTAGCTATTAAATACATTAGCTTGCGTTACATACCAATAATTCGATATCGAGGAATCTCAACATGCATCCGACGTTCGCCGATCGCGGGCAGCCGGAAGAGTTCTCAAGCACATCCTACCGTCTGCTTCAAAGGGTCGCAAGCATCCATCTCACGTGGCCCTAACCTTGGCCTCATGCTTGACGACGCTTTTGATTACTTCGCATACTCCTCCGAGCGCAGGGTCGCATTGCTACCGTTCCCAACATCGTCACAACCATCCTTCTCGCAGGTTCTGCCAGTCGAAACTGCATCCTCATCAACTCATCCGCTTGCATCCCCCATGGGCGTAATTGGACAGGGTTATGGCAATGCACTGGCAGGATTCAGAAGAACGGAAGTTCAATCCATTTAGACAAGCAGAAGTGGTGCCAGGTTGACGAATAGACCAATCACTTGGGTTTCTTTCCCCAAGAACTTGGCGCCAGAACCTCGCTCTCTTCAAACACTCTTCCCAGCGCATGTTCGTCTGGAAAGTCAATCACTGCTCTGGTATCTTACGTCGGGGGTGATGCGGACTGGTCGACGACCATGTGCGACCCTTCAAATGCAATCCTCATGTGCATGGCGACTAAGATACTACGATTCAGCAATGCGCGGTGCCTTACATCAAGCATCTTTCAAGACATGATTGTGGAAGCAATGTTTGTACAAGAAGCTCATGCTTTGGAAGACCGTGGTGCAACACCAGCATGTGCATGCGCTCGAGCAGAACTGAGCCGATGAGAAAACGGCGAATGTCGAAGCCAGTCCTGAGGGAGATGCGATTACCGTTATTGACCCAACAATGTCTGATTGAGACTCGAGTTGCTTCTACTCGGCCAGTACAGGGAGTGCTTGTCCTCTCTGATTCTGTCATTTTCTTATTGGTGGTCGTCAGTTTCATCGGCTTGAAAAGATCGTCCCAAAAGTGACAATTCTGTCCCATGTCGCTTCCTTGGTATCGTGCTGTTTTGTTGTGAAGGTACGCATCTTGTCAGTTTTCCTGGAGCGATGGCTTCGCTGTCTTCCAATTCACTGTATCAAATGTGATTGTTATCAGATTCTGTACCACTGGGCACTCTACGATTCTACCACCCTCTCGGACACGATCACTTGTTACCATCATACAAAGACGGGAGAAACAGAATGAAAAGAGATGGCAAAAACAAAAGAACAGATCACCGTCATCATCAATTGACAGCCCCATCGGCCCATCCTCGGAATCACTTCCCAGCCCCCCCACTTTCCCTGATCATCCCTGTCAAACACCGCCAACAAAATAGAATCACTCTCCCGCCTAGGCTTGAACTAGGAACCTCTCGATTAACAGTCGAACGCGCTAGCCACGGAAGAGATCGTATGGTGTAGAAGCCGATAGGCTTCAATCCGTCGCTGGCTGAGCGCGTGTGTTTATGTATCGCGCTCTTGTAGCTAGACCGTCGAATAGATGACGACCGTTCGATTATGTTGAAAATCCTCCGGATGAAGTTGGGTAATTCGTCAGGGCGACTCTTGTACGACACGACATCGGGTAGTAAAGTCGTCTGAGCAGCATTTGAGGCCGCGAGAATAGTGCTCCGAAGCTTTTGGATTAGACGTGCGGACCATGCCATCCAGAACACGACACGACACATTGAGCGTCACTGTAATGATTGCAGTATGTATCATGGTCTTGATAGTGACACCCCGTCTTCTTAGAGCATAAAAACGCCTGAATTGATGGAGTTGTTACATGCCGCAAATATGGTCAGGGTCGTTACGACAGGCAGATGACTTGGGCGTGTCAGCTTCGAATTGCAACAACGCAACAATTGACATCGAACCGTAATTTGTCATCAGACTAAAATCACAAAAGATACAGACAAGTGAGATTGGAAGAAATCATGATACAGTTCTATCGATTAGTAGTATATTGTTTGGATAATCATTACGCTGCGTCAGGTGCAACATGAATTTGCCAGAATCGCTGGTAAGCTTCTGGCATCTGTTGCGTGCCATTGGCAGCGCTGTCGTAGTCAGGATGCGTGACCTCCAGGGCCAACAGTCCTGTCCTCCTGTGCGCCTTTTGGTAGATCATGAACTCCTCGGTGACATTGACGTAGACGTCTACACCGTCGTACACATTGATAGTCGATCCAGTAGTCCAGCTCAATAATGTTGGCTCGATTAGAGGAGCGTCCGTGACAGATGGATGTGATGTGCCCAACGAAGTCATGAACCAGGCAGCCTTGCCACGCTTGTTGACATCCGCGACGAGATCCTTAACAACGTCGAAGTGAGGACTACCGAAGAAGACGGAGTGCTTCTTGGACCAAGAGTTAGAGTGGATGACTAGGATTGGCACATCGATGTCGTGATTCAGCGGGCCACTTGACTTGCCGGGATCGAGGATCAGGCCACCGTGGAAGGGACGTTCCGGACAAGGTGCGCCCTTCAAAGCCTGTAACGCGCCTGTGGCGCCATAACTATGACCTGATATGGTCACATTGGTCATGTCGAGTTTCCCTTCCCAAGTGGCCAGATGCTCGCCCTCCGTGCGCGGGTTCATCTCGAAAATAGTTGCGCCGCTGCCATCGTTGATGGCCTTCAAAACACGAATGGTCTCCTCAATTTCTGCTTGACGGAAGTCCAGTTGCGCTTGCTTGAGTTCAGGTGTGTCGAAGCTCTCGTCGTGTTGCAGATCGCCTAGGCCGAAGTGATACAGTGGCCTCTCAGTACCGTCAACGTTCATGATCATACTTCCAGGTCCACTGCCGTCTCTGTGCTCGATTGCTGCAACAACGTATCCTCGACTTGCAAGCTCGCCACAGAAGTGCGTATAGTCTGTGCGAGAGCTCGCCATGCCGTGCGAGAAGACAATCACCGGAAACGCATCGTTGCCAGCCTCAGGTTTACCCTGTCCATGTTCGGTGAATTCAAAGCTGGGCGCAACCTCGCGTAGAGGAACATCAACCTTGGCCGGAATAGTAGTGCTACCTGCCAGACCCCAAAGTGCGACTGTGAAGATACTGTTGGTCAGAAAGTTGCTGATGTGGGCGAATTTGGCATAGCCCTCTGCTGTCACTGCGAGCGGCTTAGGCACCCAGAGGTGTTTGGGTTTATTTGATTTTGCGTTCTTCACGGCCGGATAGTATACAGAGAATAGCACTGTCTCGAGCTGAAATGAATCATTAGCAAGTGTTTTCAAAAGTCATGCGTCATACATACTAAGAACGCAGGCTCTCCTGTGGACTTGAATTTGACGTCGCTCGTCTTACGGCCATCGCAGGGGCTCTCGATGTCGATTGTACCAACCGAATGAGGCCCTGTATAAGCAGGGAGGTTCGAAGACAAAAGAGGCATTCCCCACAGCCAACAATAAACGACGTAAATAGCAACGATGGAGGAAGCGACGTATTTGGGGGTGAGACGAGGGCGTAGAACTGGGGGTACACGGTAGCGCGACATGATCAAAGGACCATCGAAGTAATGTATTAGGCAAAGAGGCAGATTTAAGAGCGGAAAGCACGGATATTTTCGATAATCAGGGGAGAAAAAGGTATGTCGAGATCATGGCTTCGATTTTGTATCACAACAGTGACCACTTCTTGGTCTTGACTTTTGGGCGTCGCCGCGGCCGCTGAAAAATGATGTCATGGTTTCGACATGAGCTCATTTCGCGTCAGCCGAAGCCTCATTCTTTCCTTCCTCTTTCTCAATTGAACGCGTGTTCGAGTTCTCTCATTCGCGCGATAAGTTGTTCAAGTCTTGGTCTTGATGCTGCGTCGACTTTTGAGAGTGTGGTGACATGCAAGGGCGCATCTTTGGGTTCTACGACTCCACAAGAACGATCGATCTCCGCCGAAAGCATCCGCTACGATGACAGTCGCCGGCAATAATTAAAGTTGCAAAAGACGATACCATGCTGGCATACAGCTTCTATTTTGCACTCTCCGTCTGCGTTGTCGCCGCTGTGGACGCTGTCCAAATGCATGAACAAATTAAGATTTATCCACCTGTCTAGGAGCCCCCTTGACGGTCTTGCCCTCGTCACTGGAGAGCTGCTATCCAGATTTCGCTGTGCATCTTGATGGCTACTCGCAGCTGTTGTCACGATGACTGGGAGCAGTGCCCACTCCTGGTTGACTCGAGGCCCTAGATGTGGACTTCCTAGACACCCCGTCGAGCATATCTCGAGCTCGGCAATCGGGACCATTCATGCCATCAGAATGCACAATCTTTTTGAGAAGCACGGCGCTGCGTATGGAGATATCGTCCTAATCTGACTCTCGGTGAGGCATGTTGAGCGATCAAGAACAGTTTATGCATTTTTACAGCTCTGAATCATACCTACCCTCCTTCTGGGAGAGAGTGGCCCCGGGTATCATGCTCTCGCTCTCCAGTCACGAATGTCACAGTGAAAGCATACCATAGAAACGCACAAACATATTAGAAGCAAAGGTCATGTATACGGAGGGCGCCCCTACTCGCTCTCCCAGCAGCAAGATCAACAGCCTAACAAATTACCCTGCCTTTCCACAGCCTCTGTTCAACGCTCGCATTCAAACTTGCAGTTCAAGATCTGAACCTGCTCCAAGGCACCACCCTGAGCGAAACGGACCCTCTTGCGCCTCTTGGTGGGCGTGGCGGCGGGAGGCTTAAGCAGCCACGCATCGTCCTTCTTGACAGGAGTGCGTCTGGGAGATTCCTTGGGAGGAGGAGTGGGTGGAGTGACCGTGATCATCACTGGATCGCCGCTGTCATGATGACTCAGGTTGATGGCTTTGGCGGTGTGGAAGCTGGTTCAATAATCAGTCAAAGGACCGGATGTAGAAAAAAGGAGGAAAAACTTACACGACATTGTCGGGACCGAGGGCGAGGATCCGGTGGCAGATCTTCTGATGCTCGATCGAGATATCGGGACTGCGCAGGAGGAGACGGGCGACACGTTGGGCGGACTTGGGGTCTTCGGCGACGAGAAAGTTGTTGGCGCGGATGATGAGATAGTCGTAGGCTCTGATGTGAGCAGGGAGATGGCTGTTGTCTGTAAAAGAGTGCATCTTGATTGAAGACTGATTTTTGAGATGGTTGATGTCTGAAAGTTGATGTTGATTGATTTTGGTTGATGACGGCTGGTGGATACAGGCGGGAATATTCGAAGATTGGGGTGTGAGATTCTGAACGAAAACGGAGCTGGAGCGAACGAACGAACGAGCACGAGTGAGAACGAGTGAAACTTTTTGTGACGAAAAGAATATGGTTGGTTTTCAGATGCTGAACAAAAGTGCTTGATCAAGACTTGTAAGAAAAGAAAAACATAGAAAATATGTAGAGCCACTGTTCGTCGATCGAAGCTCCCTCCTTACGACACACCACCGCCGTGCACACGCACATGCGTAGGCTTGCTACGTCTAGCAAGCAGCACCGCCGCTGGGGATGTTGGAGCACTTGGTGGACTGCTTGCCGCCGGTGATGGAGTTACCGCTCCAGGTCCAGTTGGAGCAAGAGCCCTTGCCGCAGAGAATGTAGATGTCGGTGCCAGAGCTGGTGACGGAGCCAGTGTTCTTGGTCATGGTCAGACCAGTGCTGTTACTCTAGTTAGCTGAGGCCACTCGATGGGCAGCAACACCGGGAACTTACATTGGGACGCCGGTGGTAGGAGAGCCGGTAGGGCTGCCGTTCTCGTAATCCTGCTCGATGACGATACCGTACTTCTTGATGCCGGAGAGAGTGTTGCCACTGTAAGTGACACCCGACACGCTACCAGTGGCGCCAGAGACGGTCTTGATGCGGATACCATTATCACTGTTGATGACCTTGTTGTTGAGGAAATGGACATCGCTGACAGCGTTGTCAGAGCGGCCACCGACAGAGCCGACCGAGAGACCGTGGCCGCCAGTGCAAGAGCCACCAGAGAAGGTGATTGAGCCTGGCCGAGCATGTTAGCACTATTGTTCAGGCGCAGTATTGCTATGTGAAGGATACTCACTGCCAGAGTTGATAGCAACACAGTCATCCTGGTTGTGGACAACGGCTCCAGTGATGGTCACACCGGTGGATGATCCAATATCGAAGGCATCGGTGTTGTGACCAAGAGAATCGCCAGCAGAGCCGTCAATGGTGATCTTGTCCATGGTCAAGGTTTTGGCTCCGTTGATAGAGAAGGTCTGGACTGGGCTGTTCTTGATCGTGAGGCCATTGCTTTCGTGTTCATTAGCAGGTGTTTTGAATAGCACGAGTCATTGGGTACTTACATGTGCGAGGTGGTCAGGCTGTGAGCGTAGAAGAACTTGGGCTTGGTCTTGCCACCGTTGCTGCCCTTGCCGTCCCACCAGCGGGCACCATCACCATCGAGAACGCTACCAGAGGCACCGGTGACGGTAATCGAGGTACCGGATACACTGACAAGAGGGCCTTCCCACTCCTTGTAACCAAAGGTGGTAGTTCCTTGGAAGATGACGTTCGTACCCGACTTGAGACCAGTCAGATCAAGGGTGGTACCGGCAGGCACAGCAACGTTGTTGAGAACGATGGTGGAGCAGGCAGCCTTGGATGCTTTGGCAGAGGCAGCACCGTTGGCACCCGAGAAGGTACAGGTTGTGGCGCGCTTGTCGACGGGCGAGGCTGCGGGGGCAGCAGAAACGATGGCAGCACCGCCAATGGCAGCGGCTGCGACGATAGAAGAGAAGTGCATGGTGAGTGAGTGTAGTAGTTGGATGATGAGAAACGAAAGGTTGTTGAGAAGGATACTTCAAGACCGGCTTGAGAAGTTGAGATGTGTTGCTTGATCTGTCAATTGAGAGAGTTCATGTCGATACTTATACCTACCATCTTACGTGCGAAAAATCTTGCCCTATACCATCTCGTTTCGCTTTCCGTAACTCTACCCTGCTGTGTCATCTCTGTTGCCAGCTAGGCTCGTGAGATCGTCCAGTTTCTAATGCCGCAGCCATAGCTTGAACGGCTACAGCTGACTTGATTGATTTTCCGTCCAATGGAGAAGGTCGGAAGCCCTGCCTAGGCTGTTTGAAGCAATGTATCGATGCGACACCTGTAGAAGGCCCTTTTCATCGGCAGAAGCTGTCAAGGTTTCTGGACGCCCGACGATGGTGAAACAAGGGAGGGTGAAGCAATAAGTTCGAGAATCGCCTTCAAGCCCCGAGTAATTCAGCCGGAGCCCTCGCCTGCCTGATGCGTTCGAACAATGTGGGGAAAAACGTCCGGGGAGCAGTTAAATTAATTTGCACCACGCGAAACCCTTCTGCACCATGCGATCTATGCTGCGCCTATCACATCCAAGCCTCGCTAAGCATGTTGGACAAGCCTGTCAATGACAACTTGGCGGAGTGCAGTAGCCCATGACTAGTATTCTCGTGTTTGTGGTATAGTGAGACGGCCATTGTGGAGATGAGGCGTGCGTGGCACCGAGAGCCTCAGTGGCTGACAAGCACATTATTTTTACATCGATCTCTCGCTGGGTTGCCACATACGAACGACCTGAAGCAAAGACCCTTAGGGCTGTCAAGTTGTTTCTTTTGGCTTTCCAACCCCTGGACCTGTGCTTTTGATGTCTTCGAACCACACGCAGAAAGCGGAAGGTGGAATCTTGCAGAGACACGGCAGCACAAGCCGTTGCCGTTCATGTGACCAGAATTTGCCGATCACAAGGTACAGTCTACTTCAACGCCTCGCTATTTAATCGATGTCACAATAGCGTGACTCGTTCACAAAGCGAAGGGCGTGCTTGTTTGGCGAGGGAAAGAAGCATTTCCACGAGTCAGAAGACGACCTGAGGAGACTAAGATCTCGAAAGTTTAGCAAAAGTTTCGCGGTTGTGGTGTAGAGATCTGCAAACGTTCCTGAACGCACTAAGCGACCAAAGCCAGTGTCCTATAAACATCGATCCTCGCCAAAAGACACAGTTCTCATAGCCCCGTCACGCGCCACCAGAGCGATGCGGTAGGTAACATGGACTATTCACGGACATGAGCAGTCGCGGTATCGCCGGGATGTAATATACTGGCGTATAGCCCTCGTATCACGTATGGGACTTCCCCGTGTTCGCAATACTGTCACACCCTCTCTCCATGATGATCAAAGCAGGCAACGACGAGCTGTAGAAAGGCACAGTCATATCTCGTGTCGATGGATCTGGCGCAGGGGGTTGTCAACACGAACTATCTTGATGACATCGTTGCAACTTGGGAAAGTATTGTGTTTCGAGACAACCATAAGTGAGACAGTATTTCGCGCACTGGGAGAGAGCAAAGTGCCAAAGAGATCTGTGGATAGCAGCATGTTTATTCGAACGAGTCTCAATGGGAAAAACTTCACTTAACATATTACGAGGACAAGAGACGAGCATGGTTGGAACAGAGTGATAATGAAAGGTCGTCAATGTGACGGACTGATAGCAGACACCCGATCGACGCTCCCACATAACAGAAAGCACCTTGCCATCCCATGTGGCTGTTGTAGTAGGACCAGCATTGGAAGCGAGACAATAGTCCATTCCTGTTCCAGAGAGTTATGATACAATATTTGCGCGGCTCAGCCACACCCTTTCACCCGTCTGCTTATGTGTAAAACTCCTAATGGTGGGCGAAGAATATGTAGTGAGCGGCTCCGAGAAGGACCACGCTAATGGCCAACCAAGGACCAGGATGAACGAGGTCACCACCATTGCTCAAGCCCCACATCTGAGCAATTGACTGTTCGACAGAAATGGAACTTGCAGCAGGGATAGTGATGGTTGAAGTTGTAATCATGGTGGTACCGGTAGTGGTTCCGACGTTCTTGGTGGAAGTCGAAGTCACTTCCAGGACCTCAGTGCTAGTCAAGGTAACGTTCAAGAGGCGGGTGACGGTACTCAGGGAGGTAGCGATCACACCGTCGGTTTGGGTGGAGAAGACAGTTGAGATCAGTTCGACGGTCTTGACGTGAATGCTCTTCAGCTCGTTGGAGGTAAGGTTGCTTCCGAGACCGGAGCTGGGATCGGGGTCGTAAGAGAAGGCGGGTGTGGGTGAGGCGGTACCAGACGAGATCGTAGCGGGGTCGATAGAGACAGTGTCGGTGTAGAACACAGTAACGGTCAGTGTAGAGGTGGTTGTGGAGGTGGTGACCATGTCAGCGCAGACTGCCTTTGTCAATACGGTTTCTATACACAAATGATAGATCTTATGATTACCGGCACTGAACAGAGCAGCCATGATCAAGGCGAAGATGATGAAGATCTTCATGTTGGTGCGTTGTTGATGTGTGTGCGTGGTGCAATAAGTTGACGTGATGATGGAATATTTAGTCGAGATCTTGAGGCTGCGCAGTCGCAGAATTCGAATCGGCGAATGGTGACGAAGCTCGTTGTTTAGTGATGTGGTTCCGCCAAATACGAGTACTGAGGTTGGGTTCACAGAAGTGCGGCTGCACGAAAGTTGGATCGGGGTGTTTGTCGACAAGTCCTCTCTCGAGCGTGTATAAACTTGGTTCGAAACTTGCTTTCCATCCATTTACGATGGTCGGCTACCTTGAAAGATTACCCAACCTACCTTCTCCTAAAGAAATGTCAGGAAATCTATCTTGCTGGCACATGCTATTCATCGACGTTACACGTCTTGTCTCGATCTCTGCTTGACGTCCGTTTTGCAATATACAGGAACGACACAAACGCTTGCGATTGCCTCTGCAGAGAACCACTTCTCGTCAGGCACATGCCTTCCAGTGTCATGTATTCGCATACTTCTATCCACAGGCATCGGATGTCTGTCCACGATGTGTTGGCGAGACCAACGACGTGGCTCGTTTTGCGAAACTCGGAACCATGGACCGATGTATTGAAGGCGGAGCCGCCATCAGTGCAAAACGCATTCGAACTACAGAGTCAACGTACCGGTAACTACTTATCTCGCGATTCCAGAAGACCAGCACCCTGGAGCGCTGTTGAAGACAGGTGCGGTGTCGAAGGTCTCTATCTCCAGTCGGATCTCAAGCTATATGAAGGCACGACTTAGATCTCTTCCAGCATCCAAAGTTCCGTCACGACGGTATTTGTTCCAGGCTTTCCCTGCTCATGAGTTTCTGGAGGTTGAATGAGGACTGACAGGTATAGCTCTGCTGAACTCAAGCGCTCAGCAGCACGGCCATCAGCATCGAGAATTACCACCAAGCCACGACGAGCCCCTTCACAGACTTCGATATTGGCCATGATCGAGGTTTCGTCACAAGACCCTTGTCGGGCATCGACTCTTGTCAGACCAATGACCAGAAGCTTGTACTCCTGGAGGAAAGAAGCGACATTGGCGAGAGAAGGATCGTGGCCACGACGGCGAATTACGAAAGTGGTCGAGAAACAAAGGAACAAGGAGTCGACGACGAGGAACAGAGAGGTCGCGTTCGGATCACACGTCATTGCTTGACCGCCCGGCAGTGGCTTCCCACCCTTGCCAGCAACAACGCGACTTTCCTCGGGTTGTCTTCCTCACACGATCATGCTGTTCCAATAACAGGACAGGGATACGTAAGCAAACACTGGCGGGGAAAGGACCAGGAGTTGGGGACGGCTGCCATCAAGGTGCTGTGGAGTCAAGCCCTCGTACCTGCCTTCTCAACCGACCCGTCGCGTCGCGTCGACTCGTTGACTTGAGCGCATTAATGACCACTCATTGTGCCTTCACTGCAGCGTCTGCGTAGCTCTAGCTTATCGGAGTGGTACACAGATTTTGCACTTACCATCAAGGTGTAGGCTTTGAGTCAAATTCGGCTCAAAGGCACAGATAAGCAGCCAATCATGGAACGGCAGAAATCATCAAGGTGGTCATCACGAAACCCACCAGGGTCAGCATTTATAGCAGCCTGTCCTCTTGTCCCCGAACATCATGGCTCCCAAACGCAGGCAAATCTCACAGCAGGCATCCTCGGCGAAGAAAAGGGCAAAGCACACAAAGATGGCACAACAAGTCAAGGATGCATCTCCCTTCAAGACGCTACCCATCACGTTATTGTCTGGATTCTTGGTAAAGCTCACGTTCATTACAGACAAAGAACCGACTGACACGGCGATAGGGAAGCGGCAAGACAACCCTGCTCAGCTACATCCTCAACTCCAAGGACCATGGCCTGAAGATTGCGATGATCGTCAACGACATGGCTGCGGTGAACATTGACCAAAGTACCATCGTGGCAGACGGCAGGAGGAAAGGTCGTGAAGCAGACAAGATGATTGCCATGCAGAACGGCTGCATCTGCTGCACGCTCCGTGGTGATTTTGTCATCGAGCTAGCCAAAATGGCCAAAGCTGGTGAATACGATTATGTGCTCATCGAGAGCACTGGCATCAGCGAGCCACAACAGGTCGCAGAGAGCTTCACCACAGACTTTACCGAAGCAATGATGGGCGCTGATGGAGCGCTTGATCAATTCGACGAGGAAGAGCAAAAGGTCTTCAACGAAATGTGAGTACTGCACGTGATTGGTCTGACACGTGCTTTGGTCTGACATATAGAAGTGCGCGAAATGGCGGCTTGAACAAAGTTGCCAGGCTTGACACTACAGTGACCGTAGTGGACGGCTTCAGGTTCTTTGAAGAGTTCGAGACCATTGAACTGCTACACGAACGCTTTCAATCCGAAGTTGAGACACCGGAAGACCAACGCACTGTCAGCGATCTGATGATTGATCAGATCGAGTTTGCTGACGTGATCATTGTCAATAAGGTAAGTCATAGCTTGACGGCATGACACCCATATACTGATATCTCACAGATCGATATGATCAACGACGACGTGCTTACACGGATCCGTGGATTACTCAAGACAATGAATCCTGGCGCCAAAGTTATCGAAACCAGCCTCCGAGCCTCTAAACAATCGCAGAACCCTTATGGCATTAAGCCTTTGGACGTCAGAGAGATCATCGCAACTGGAATGTATAGCGAAGAGACGTCTATCAAAAGCTCCGGGTGGTTGAAGAGCATCAACGAGATGTCCATGATCGACAACCACGGCCGCACAGTCATGGCACCGAAGCCAGAAACGCTGGAGTAAGTGGCCCGGTCTTTGAGATCAGCCCATCGTACTAACTCTGCATCAGATACGGTGTCACCAGCTTCGTCTACCGAGCAAGGAGACCATTCTCTCCCGGCCGTCTGTACGAGCTCGTTCATGACAAATTTGTCATTCTAGAGCCACAAGACGAAGAGGAGGAAGAGGAAGAGGAAGACGATGATGACGACTCGGAAGGCATTCAAGATCAGGACGAAGAATTGGAGAGTGAGGTGGACGAAGTTGATGAGTGCCTCGAGGGAAAGGCATCAGACTCGGACTCTACTGTACACTCTGCCGACTCGAGCACCAAGTTCGCCTCTTCTGTGAGCGATGCCACTTCTGTTGCCTCGGACGACCAAGACGCGCTCGACATGAAGTACCCGGACCTCGATCTGCCTACTCGTCTGGCCAACAAGAAAGCCCATCCAGTCTTCAGACCTCTCCTCCGATCCAAGGGATTTATCTGGCTAGCTACGCGTCCCTCCGTCAGTGGTGACTGGTCGCAAGCTGGCGCCATGCTCACCGTCTCTGGCGGTCTTAATTGGTTTGCTGTGGTGCCCGAAGAGCAATGGCCTTCGCCCAGTCAAGAGGTCACAGATCTTATCAAGAAAGACTTTGAGGGCGAGTGGGGCGATCGTAGGCAGGAGCTTGTGTGTATCGGAGAGAATATCGACGTGAAGGCCATAACCGAGTTGTTTGATGGCTGTCTCTTGAACGACGCGGAGATGAAGAAGTGGGAGAGAATCATGAGAAGAAAAGGTGTATCAGATGAACAGAAGGAGAGCTTGCTATGCAGAACATTTGATGATGGCTGGGAAGAGTGGCGCAATCCGCTCGAGGAAGAAGATGCTGAAGGTCATGATCATGCTGGTCATCACCATCATTGAGTATGATCGAAATATTACAACGAAGCGATCATTCTTTGACCTTGATGTTCGACCGCGTGTAGCGACTCTTAAGCGACCTGTCTATGCGCTTCCTATTTAAGGCCAAGAAGGAAGGATGTATCGTGCTTGCCATCAACACATGCGTTACCAGCTTCGGCAATGATCGAGCTGAACCCAATATCATCGACCCGGCTCCTTTTCTCCATCGTACCTGCACCATCCCTCAGTCATCTCCTACTTCACAAGTATATGCCAATTCTCCTCTCCCTCAAGAACCTCATATGCCACTCAGGAGTATTACTCTCGTTTCTCTGAAACCTGGCATTGAATTCATGATCCTAGGGGGCGCGGCAGGCATAACGTCTGGACTAACCTACAAAAATGTCAGTTACTAAACATCCTGCACCATGACTAATTGCAGCGAATACTTACATCTTCACCAGCAACGGGTGTGGTTCTGAGGGGGTGATCTTCAGGAAGGGCGAAGAAGAAATTTCCATTGGCGATGGCGCCGGATCTGATGGCGGCGTGGGCGCGGTGAATGGTGGGGCGGCGAATCGTGAAGGCTCTTTGCTCTTCTGTGAGGGTGAGATCCTCGGAGGGAGAGTGTGTATTATTGGCCTCGTTGGGCTCGTCGTTGTTGGGTTCGGAGATGATGAGTATCTCATTGGTAGGGGGCGCGTTGGCGGATCTTTGCTGCAGACGAGCAGAACTTCTAGTAGGGCCGTGTTTTTTTTTGGCGGGATTGGTCTTATTGGTGACTGTGCCTTTCTGGTTGAGTGCCTTGTTGCCGACAGGGGCCTTCTTGATCGTAGTCTTTTTGATTTTGACAGACTTGGGCAGGGCCTTGCCCTTGCCCTTAATCATGTTGTTAAACTTGTTGCTGTCGATGGAGGGAGACTCATGATCGTCCTTGATATCGTTGGCAGCCTCGTCTCTCTTTGCAACTCTCGAGCTGCGACGCAGGGTCTTGTTGGTCGACTTGTTGATAGGCGCCATGTTGGAAAGATGTTTGTCTGCCTGCTAGTTGAGGCGGATCGGGGTTGAGAGGCTGTTATAAGAGTTGGGGGATGCTATTGTCTATTGTTTCTTATTGACAATCGTACGCGTGTAAATGGAAAAGAGTGATTGGGGTGAAAGACAATCCTGAATGTTATTGCTACACGACTATTGTTGCTACACGACGAACGATGGCTAGCTCCGTTACGGACAACGTCAACGTCGACACTCCAAGATTCACCTCCTTACTATGCTTACCCAAAGCGAAGACGACTTCTCGGGACACTGTCCCACTTGAGTCCCTCCAGTCTCCCTTCGCACATTGTGCCTTCAGTCAAGGAAGAGTGGTATCGGCATTGCACACGGAGATCGTACTCATAGAAAGAAGGGTCATGGACGTGGTGTCGTTCCTCACCCTCGTCGACGCTGCTCTGTCCCGCTGAGCTTGCTGTTTACACACCGAACAGCACCGCAAATGTATCGGTCTGCTTGTGGTACACCTCGAGTAAGAGGATGTTTGAGAGTTGCTTTGGTATGCTGGTCTATGGGGGAGGGGAAGCTTTTTTACTGATGCTTTTGCGGTGGAGGATCCCTTACATGTGATGTCCTTCGGCTGGTCCCTTGCATCTCGGCGACTCCGGCACGAGATATGGTAGAATTTGTGGCTGTAGAAAGACACAGTGTGTTTGTGACATCATGAGATGACCACCGGGAGCAACAAATACGGCGACTCTCCAGCATGGATAATCTTTGGAGATTGTGTCTGTATAAATGCATGATGATTTTCTGATTGGGTGGGATGACAATCCGGAGCCGACCTGTTTGCTGACTCTCATTGGAAAACATAAAGACATCGAAAATCACTGTGCGTTTTTGAAGCGCGGTTTCGTAAAAGCTACTTGCCGAGGAGAGCGTTCAATTTCGTTGGCTACGTGAACAGAGACTTGGAGATTGTGATGTGACGAAAGACCTTTGCTCTAGGCCACTCTATGAACTGACGCCACTCAAGGCATGTGTATATTTCTTGCGTGTGTCTTCCTCACAGGCGTTCAGCAGCTCTTGTAGTTCCTGTACACGAGGATAGTCTGAGGACGGGCCAGCAGGACTCGAGACGGACTCGTGAGGTTGGAAGAGGGGGCCTATCCAAGAGTGCTCAAGGAAAGCCCAGTGATGGCGAACTATGGTATGGACACCTCGCGTGAAATTGAAGTAGAGGACGAAATCGTCAATGGGATCTGAGGTGGGACATGGCTGATCGGGTTGAGGGTTGCAGTCTTTTGCTAGAGCGAAGACGGCCGTGACTGACGACGAGAAGAACATGGCGATGGCGTCTTCCTGTGCCACATTGTGCATAGTAGAACGCACCTGATTCAAAGCCTTGTCGAAGTGCTCGGCGGCGACGTTCGGCAGTGTGGATCGTGTCGCATCTTTTTAGTGTATGTGGAGAGCAGATGTGGCCAGCAGAGACTGGAGAACGTATGAATGCCTTAGCCCGCACTGTACGATTGTTGTTCGCAGAACTTCGTGATCGAGTCCTTTGCCAGCGAAGGTCGCATATGTGTCGAAGCTGTAATTGTGTAGTAGAGGCGTAGCGGCTCTGATGTCTTGGTCGGAGTGGGAGACGCCTAGTCTTGTGATGCTTGTCTCGACGCTTGTCTCGACGTCGATGTGCTACCTTGCAGCACACCTGGCACACAATCCATGTCCAGCCGTTCGCATCGTGAACAGCGAGGCCGTCCTTCATCGCACTAATTAGCGTCAGCAAGACCGCCGATCATGGTCGTATCCTTCATACTCGTCAGCTCAAGTTCGCCCCTATCTTTGAGTGCTGCTGCTTGCAAGCTTTACATCCCTTTCGTGATTTGGTGTGACTTTTCCGCTTTCGAGGAACAGCTTGCGCTTGCATGTTGCCGTCCGGGTGACAGCCAGGCTCAGCCAGACCTCTTGATTATCTCCCTTCGAGCATTTCAGCCATCACAATGCCCTCATCTGAGATCCATCATCATGCAGACTCAGATCGAGGCCCGTTGCTTGTTCGACTTGATGATTGAGTAGACCCTCGTCCGAGTACTCGAGTCTGTTTTTGCTAAGATCGACATCATCCCGGTCCGAGGCATCGAGTTCGCTTTCTTCTTGATCTGTGACCGCACTGGACCACAATCATCTGGACACGGCAGTCTTCGATCAACCTAAACGGCACCCTTCAGCCATGACACGACGCAAGCCAATCTTCAGCAGTCGTTTGTGCCCTGAAGCCTTTTGCACGACTTTTAGAGAGGCGCATACAAGTCTGTCAAGACCATGTACAGTCCTGATAGACAGGAGCATCTTTTTGCAAGACAGATTCACGGCGCCTACCTCAACTCGAGACACAAGCTTGCCCCGGGACAGATCGCTATGGTACTGAGTGCGTTCGAGGCTACTCAGGTCAAGCTTCACACCAGTGGGAAGAAGAACAAACGCTGAGTAGACTCCAGCCCCGAGACGCTATAATTGTGCAGAGGCGTACACGATACATTGTTGCACCGCAAATGTTGCAAAGAGGGTACAGCATCTGATCGGCACGGTGCACTGGGTCAAATCATGAATAGCAACATCATGTCATATCACAAGAAGAGCATAAAGTCAAAGTTCTAGAAGGAGAAAGGTGCTTTGATTGATAATGGAAATTCCTGAGACAAAGCATAACAAACTCACCATAAAGACTGCAGACGCGTATTCAAGTAGGGCTTCCAAAGCTCGCTCACTTGACAACATAATGCGGTCTTGAGATCTTGCGCACGGTATACTCACCTGTGCTCGTTGGCGGCGTTTACCTTGACTGGCTCGGCCAGCTCAAGAGAGGTAACGTTTACACCACGTGCAGTACCAGACCTGGGATCCAGACCAAGGGCGCCAAATACAAGGTGTTTTACAACGGGTGCAACGAGGAACACCGTCGAAACGACCAGAGAGAACAGTTTCAGTAGAAGAAGAAGGAGTGTTCCTGTTGCACATTGTTTTGCTGTGTGGTTTGTGTGTGTGGGTGTGTGTGTGTGTGTGTGTGTTTGATGATTTGTGAGCTTGTTGTTTTGATATTGTGGGATGGAACTGAGTTTGATATTCGGGAATGGGCAGAGGAGTTTATAAGGGAAGGAGTGGCTGATGAGGATCTTGATCAGGGCTTAGGTTGAAACAATGAGCTTGTGTTGGAGAACAAAGAAGCCGTCGGGGTGAGATGAATTGGACAAGGAATTGTCAGTGGACATCAAAGCGGTGTCGTAGAACAGCACAAAGGCGTTGTTGAAACAAGGTGGACAAAGACAAGTGGTCGAGACATTCAAGCTGCGTGGCGGCGCGTGTATGGACAGAATTTCTTTGAAGGCTTTCCTTCAGAGGTGAATTCTACGATACTCGACTTTGAGAGTGTACATTCTAGACACTGACATCAATGATACCGGCACCAGCATTCTTAGGTACACTGGAAGCAGCCTCCGAAGCAGAAACAGCGCCAGCAATATGCAGACCAGCAAAGTCGCCAAAGAAAGAGGTATCAGTATAAGCGTTCAAGCTTCCCGAAGCCTGCTTATACGAGTTGGTCTGGCAGTTACGACCCAAGGCAGACTTACACTTGCTCTCACTTCCAGCAGGCGTTCCGAACAGTCTACCTGCGTAGTCGGCAATCATCGAGTTGATATCTGTAAACACATTGCCCTCGAAGATACCACGGGCCTTGGTATCACCACCCTCGAGGACGTGACCGCCGTTATCGGACCAGACGTTGTTGACAGCGTGGAGAAGGGTGCCGCCGCTGAGGGCAGGTGCGCGACCAGCCGTGCGGTACATGTAGTTGTTTTTGAGCGTGATTTGATCATCTGTGCCGACCATCTCGAAGTTCCAGTAGTGGTAGTTGTCGCAACTAGTAGAGTAGGTCGAATTACCGTTGATGAAGTTGTTGGAAAGGGTAATACCAGTGCTGGGCTCGAAGCCAAAGACGTAGTGCTGACGGCCTGGGTTGTGTGTCTACATCAAATTAGACATGCGATTAAGCACCAATTACCGTCAAGGACCTACCGTGACATGATCGATCCAAATCTTTGAGCTGTTGGTGAAGCCGATGGCATCTCCACCCCAGACGTATTTGTTGTTGAGATCCGCGATCTGAATGTTCTGCACGATGATATTGGTAGCACCATTCGTGAATCTCAAGCCTTTGCCTCGAATAACGCCCTTGTTGCCGACACCGAGAATAGTCTTGTGAGATGCGACGTCGATGGGTATGGTAGGGGCCTTCCACCACTTTGCCATCATCGAAGGTGTATCGCCACAATCCTTCTGAATGATCTGCTGGCAAGAGTGACCAGCACCCCAGGACAAGCAGACATTACCAACGATAGTGCCCTCAGATTGTGTGAAGTCGTAGGTCTTCTTGAGAACAATCACACGAGGGACGTTATCAGTGAGCATAGACTTGAGCTCAGTGATGTCGGCGGGATAGTCGGGCGATGCATTCCCGCCGCCAGTGACACCGTATGCGAAGCCATCAGCCTTGCCAACGACGGCCTCTGATGCAGCCAGTCGGACAAGAGCCACAAAGGCACCAAGGAAAGAAACGGCCGATTTCATGTTTCCGAAGAATATGGCGGCTGGAGAGAAAAGAGTGTGAAATGAGTGTGAAGGGATGTTGATTCTAGAGGCTGAGATCAGTGAGACAGGCGTGATGGTTTTATATGTGGTCGTTCAGTTGGTCTTCAGCACAATATATCGTGTCGAACACCGGTTCGGGTTAAGCAGGTCGGTATTTGGCGAATGTTCTATTTATTCGAGACTCGGTTGAAGAGCCAAGGGAGTTCGGTTCCGCATGTTCACGTTCATACTATGATCGCCATCAGGGCTTTCTTGAACATTCTCAGAAGATCGCGAGGCAAAGATTCTGGTTGGTCGATAGTCAGGTAGAACGAGCTAAGAAACGGAAGTCAGAGACGCAAGACAGCTTCCTCCCCTCAAAATGGCAACACGGGTAAGTCTTGCTCTGCACACAGTAGGAGTTGGGCTGATGTAGTCTTTCAAGTTGTACTATTCTGAAATTAGGGCTCGAGTTTTAGAGTACAGCAAAGCCTCATCAAGATTGACAGGGATCGTACCTCTCGGATGGCGCTTAGAATGGAAGCACGTCTATTCAACCAATCGAAAGAAGCGGGTCTATCACATTCTTACAAGTGAATTCGGGTATGTGTTCCCCGGTATTGCAAGCCCTTCCGGGGAGCCAGCACTCCTCGAACGGATTGCAACATGCCAACTCAGGCCAATTGAAGGTACGCAGAATTAGTAAGCATGTGTCAGTCGAAGTAGAGCTACTGCCATACGAGTCCAACGTGTCTTTCGACTTGCCCGAGCGAAGCTGGCGGCTTCTGTGGACGAGGGCAAGATTGTTCTACGACAGGTCGCTTCGGAGGGTGCAGCCGAGCCCTGATGAAGCTGAAACACCTGCAAAAATAAAAAGTCTCAATCAAGCGAGCGCTTTCCATATTCGGCTCCGGAGCGAGATACAGAGCCCACCCTTCAGCCTCGTTCTTTCCTGTCTGCCTGCAAAACGGTCTCGCTGACAAGACAAAACGTACAGCAGCAGGGATTTCCACGTGGTCACCCACCGTAGTACTAATCTGCCGTTCAACTGCTTATGTATGGCAGAGCGGACGGGATGCCCAGTTTTCAGCTGACTGTGGCCGTACGTGTTGAACCGGCGTGTTGATAGCGATAAGACTGGCGAGGTCGGGTCAACGTTGAGTGGCAACCTCGTCAGCTAGCAATCGCAGTCGCGCCTTGATATGCTCCATGGCATGAAATGGCAGATGCGAATGGTTCTGATAAGCAATGATTATCTCGTGATCTGACGAGGAAGTCGTCAGACGAAAACAATCGCAGATGATGGGAGGTTGGAAGGAAAGAGCAGAAGGGCGCAACTCGTCACGGCGCGGTGTGTGATGACGTTTCTTAGCGTGCCTCGCTCGTGTCAGCCTTGGTAAGCAACATCGTCTTCATCACCTCATTCTCTGTCAACAATATTCTATATAGTCTCATGCGACACAGTAGGTTCATTTGCCAATATCGCGACGTGAGAAACAACCTCTATTCATCAAAAGTTCTCCTTTCGACAATCTCATGACTATGGCTTCTCTAGCAGAACACTACCCATGGGTATCATCACCTGTCATAGTCTCAGCACCCATGAGCGGATTTTCTGGTCCTGCTCTAGCTCATTCGGTTTATGCAGCTGGCGGTATAGGGTTCCTCGGTGGTCTCCCGGACATCAACGCCCTTCGGACAGCTCTCGAAGACGCCACCGAGTTAGTGACAGGTAGCAGAATTCCTACTCCGGACACAACTCTTCCTATTGGTCTAGGTGCTCTTTTGTTCGCACAGAAGCTTGACGAGGTCGTTGCTTTGGTCGAAGAGTTCCGGCCAATTGCGGTATGGTTGTTTGCAGCGCATGGACCGGAAGACTTTGGTCGTTGGAGTGAAGCGATACGGAAAGCGAGCAGCAAAACAAAGATCTGGATTCAGATAGGCAGCGTTGCGGCTGCTTTGAACTCGGTCGAGTCTTGTAAGCCGGACGTGCTTGTGCTACAAGGAGCTGATGCTGGTGGCCATGGTGGTGAGAAGGGAGCCGGTATCATCTCGCTTGTTCCCGAAACCTTGTACGCTCTGGAAAGGGCTGGAGTGATAGGCGTGTCCATCGTCGCTACAGGTGGTATCGCAAACGGTGCTGGTGTTGCGGCTGCGTTGACACTGGGTGCCGGTGGCGTGGCGATGGGAACCAGATTTCTGGCCGCGGAGGAAACAAAAGTGCACCCTGCATACCAAACCGCCATCCTCGAAACAGAAGATGGAGGACAGACCACAGTCCGCGCAAAAGTATTTGACGAGCTGGCAGGCCCGAATATTTGGCCTCGAGACTTTGATGGCAGGGCTCTCATTGCTGATAGCTATCGCGATCATGTCAAAGGCGTCTCCATCGATGACATTCGTAAGTCACACGCCGAGGCAAAGCAAACTTCTCATCTTGGCTTTGGAGATGGCAATAGGAGAGCTGCAATTTGGGCGGGCACCGGAGTTGGTCTTGTCCGTGATAAAGCATCTGCCGGACAGATCATTGCAGAGGTTCGCAGGGAAGCGAAAATTGCGTTGAACAGCGCATTGAAGCATGTCCAATAGACCGAATAGATTCGCAAGTCACATAGTATGAAACATCATTCGTCTGACAACAAATAAGCTGGGTCATTCAAGAGAAACAACTATAGAAAGAAATGAGTATCGAGGAGTTGAAAATCCGGTACGACTGCAAAATTCATGTTTAAACATCTTCGCAACACTTAGATGTTACCAATGACACCCTTGGCAAACTGAGCAGCAGGAGTAGCATCCTGGGTAGCGTAGGACAGATGAGCAGCAGAGATGATGAAAGCTCCAGCGCAGACACCATCACCGAGGTTACAGTAGACCTTAGTGCGACCGGAATCGATGTTCTGGAAGGGGCTTCTCTGGAGCGGGTCACCGAAGGTAAGAGCGACCTGAGATGATCATAAGTAAGTGGTTCAAGCGGAGAGATGGAGAAAAACTTACGGCGACTTGTCCGTTCTGGAGGTTCTGGAGAGCACCATGGACTTGCTCGGCACCTTGAGAGTAGCCAGCGAGAATGACTTTGGTATTGGGGCACTTGCTAAGAGCTTGCTGGGTCAAGCTAGCCATGGTGCGGGCACCCTGAGCAGTTCCAGGGCTGAGAGCACCGCTGATGGCACCAGCGACATCTGCAGGGTACGTAACACTATTTCATGATCAGTCAAAGTCATCGCGACTTTTGGTCAGGAAACCCACCCCTGAGTAGCGACGTTATTGGCTCCGAACGCAGACTCCAGAGCTCTCTCGAGAGCAGGGCCAACAGTAGAGCCCATGTTACCGATCTCAGTAGTACCCCTTGCGAAAATGTAGGTTACAGGCTTGCAGACCCCGCTGGTGATATCGTTCTTGGTAGAGCCACCGAAACCGCCGAAACCACCACTACCGAAGCCGCCGAAGCCACCGAACTGGGGAGTAGCAAGAGGAGCAGCGAGGGTGCTGGTGGCAGCAAGGCAGGCAATGAGGAAGGACTTCATGTTTGGTGTTATGTGTGAGAGGTCGTGAAGCGAGGGACGGATCGAGTAAGGTGTGTTGAAGAACGAATGTCTAAAAAGAGATGAAGACCCAGGCTGCTGATACTTCTGCTGAGACCAGCGAAGGGGAACATCATTATATACTTGAGCTCTATCAGAGTGTCTCAAGAACAAGGCAATCTTTACCTCGGACGGTGCTGTCACAACGCCATGGTGAACCAGTCACCGGATAGTGTAGGGGCCAAGATCGAACTCACCTCCATCGAGAGGAAATAATGTCGTCGAGTGTGGATTCTGCTGATCCATAACAGCTAGTTGCATGGTCCAAGAAATTGGCTTTCACGTTCGAGCTTGGCCCATGAAGCTGCACTGGAGCCGGACAGAAGAAGCATGGCACCAAGAGCTCGTGGCAGGGCGAACTCTAAATTCCGTTGTAGGGCGTATCCCAGGGCTCTGAGGTGAAATTAGCATGGCCACGCTCTAATACTTATATCGTAGAGCAGATCTTCAGTCCTCTGCAAGACGACTATCATGTCCATCAATAGATCAGACATGGCCATGGAGAGCTGTAGTTCACACGGGAAAGTTCTGACACCTATCTGATACTGCACCACTGCGGCCACTATGAAAGTTTGAAACATTGAGTATGGAATAGTGACTTCCCAGGGGCCAAGATGAGGCCGACCTTCGATCGTGCCTTTAGGCAGCTCGAAACTAGACCCACCATTGACAATTCGGGACGTTGATGCATTGAGTTATCAATGATCCTGGCCTTCGATCTGGGGGATGTGATGATTTTTGCGGGGACTTTAGTGGACCATCTCGCGTCCACCGGGCTTTATGTTAAACGAACGCCGGATCAGGAAAGGACGAGAGTCACTAGATGTCTATTAGGTCAAAATTCGCGGAATCCGGCTTCGTGAGTTGTCAAGTGTAGGCGGAATTGTCTATGTCCAGGGAGTAAGAAAGTAGAAAGCGATTTGGCATCGTGTCCTGAAACACTGGGCACTCGACAGTTCTTTCAGTCGCTTCAACGACCTCGGTCCCGGTAGGCGATTCGTCGAACTCTCTTTCCGTATTCACTAAGCTACAGCACCAAGTCTTGAGATGCCAATACGGGCTTGCTTGTCGATCGTCATCGACTTTGGCAGCAACGGACGTAAAATGATAGAAGGAGCAAGTGGCTGGTTGAACAAAAAGCCCTGAAAAACATCGGAAGCCATCCGTGCCTCGGCTGTAAACTTTCAACGTCGACTTTTGAGGTTACATCCACCAATCGCTCCTTTCTAGAGCAGCTGAGAAGGTACAAAGACAATTGACATGATTCATGATCCAACGTCAAGTCGGCGCGACGCACTTCTTCGAGGAGAAGTCCCGAGAGAATTGGTTTTGCGACCTGCCTGGTGCGGATGTTGGCCGAAAATGATCGGCGGCTTCCCTTCATGACAGCTCGGACGCCAGCGGGCCCGCGACAGGATGATCATCGTGTGCTCTTAGGCGAATGAATAGGCCGACGAAGATGCCAGACGACCGAACTGCGTATTCGTACACGTGGGAGAGAAGCTTTGCATCATTGCTGGTTGGCAGTAATATCAATGTGAAAGCCTTCGAGAGACAGATGCAATATCTGCACCAACCAGTGAGGCGTCACTAACTTGATGTGCTTGACCAAAAATTCGCTGATTCTTCAGCAGTTTTCTGCTGGATCTGAGCTTCAACATCCCATTGCAACTTTCGGCCAACATAGCTCGTAGCAATATCTACTTGAGAGGTTTGATCTGGATGAGATAGCGGCGGAGATGAAAGCAAATTACTGGCGTCGCCTGATGCGTCCAGCCGAATCACAGCGGTATTGTCGACAAAAATGCTCGACTAACTCTACTCTCGAGCCGCAAGCTATACACGATATATTCTGGTCTCACACCCGTTGCTTCTCATGTGTAACATCAGCAGAATAATATAGTCTCAACCGCTGTAAGGGCCCATATCAATAAGCCGCTTTAGCTCATCTGGGAGAGCGCCAGACTGAAGTCAACTTCGGCCCCCCTTGCGTACCGCGCGAGAGTTTTCTGGAGGCACTGTGTTCGATCCACAGAAGCGGCAATGCTTTTGCTTCAGGCCATCTCTCTTTTACCAGTTGATGTCTGTCTCTGGCCTCGTCTGGAAGTCGCAGTCGCTGTGCGGAAACCCGTTCCCGAGGCCCTCGTGTAATTTTCTGCCTTGGCTTCTTCCGCTCGATCCGGGGCTGCGGAGGTTTACCTTTTGCATCTGGCTCCGCTCTGAACTGTCGGCTGAGTCCTAATCAGGACATGCCGCCCGGAGCCACCCTATTACTACAATGACATCCCCATCGGTACTTGCAATTCGAACGGCACTTATAAACCCATAAGCTCTGGCTGAGCTGGAGAGAATCATACCCATCATCTCATCCAACGACATATCGACTTACCCTGTACCTGACACTAGTCACATCTGACAGCTTCTTGTTACATTGACTTGTTACACTGCCCTTGCATCGTCCCATCGCTTACTCTATATAAGTCAGAGTGTCCTACGGTATCACTCAAAGCGACACAAACCTCACACGAGCGCCATAAACACATATCTGGAAAGGATGCTTCGAACCATTCACGCTATCCGGACACCACATCGGTTGTTGAAACTACAATTATCAAACCAATTACGCACGGTCACAACAACTGCAAGTGGCAAGCCCGAAGGAACCATAGCAGACTCGTTTGCCTCACTATCTGGTCAGCAGTTCGAAGCGCTAGAACCTCGATTCGCGACGGTGAAGGAAAATCTCATTCGAGGAAATGAGGAAGCTGTGAAGGCATCTTGGGATAGATTGCTCTTGACCTTGAAAGACGAAGTACAAGAGATCAAGCGAGTGGGCTCGTCCATCGTACCTCAGATTGACTTCAAGGATATCGATACGCCTTCCGAGAAATTCAGCAGCGAGTACAGAAAGCGTGGTGTTGCGGTCATCAAAGGTGCCATCCCCGAAGCCGAGGCACTTCAGATGAAGGAAGACTTGAAAGAGTACATCAAAGCAAACCCTCAGACCAAAAGTGAGTTGTCTGCTCTACCAATGGAGCTATATGTAAGCAGGCTGACATAATTTGTAGGTTTCTCGGCACAAGTCTTCGAGCTTTACTGGAGCAAATCACAAATTCGAGCAAGAGGTCATCCCAATCTGCTCAAAGCGCAACAGTTCCTGCTGAGCTACTGGCACTCGAAAGATCCAAACGCATTGTTCTCGGACACACCAATCTCCTATTGCGATAGACTTCGTATGCGTGAGCCCGGTGATGCAAAGTTTGCCCTAGGTGTACGTAACCAGACATTGAGTACCACTACCTAACACCGCGCTGACATCTTGATAGCCTCACGTAGACGGTGGAAGCTGCGAGAGATGGGAAGACACAGGCTACGGAAGAGGTCAAGTCTACAAGGACATTTGGCAAGGTAATTGGGAGAAGTATGATCCTTGGGAGTCGAGCAGCCGCTTGCCTGTCGAGTCAGACCTTTACCAAGGAGCCGGTGCTTGCAGCGCTTTCAGAGCAGCACAAGGTTGGTTGAGCATGTCTCATACCAGTGCGTTCGAAGGCACTCTGCTGGTCAACCCACTTCTCCAGCTTGCGACCGCCTACTTCCTGCTCCGTCCGTTCTTCACTCCGACAGTTGGTCCCTCGGCTCGAGTGTCTGTTAGCGGAGCTATTGAACAAGCCAATACCGAGGAATATCTCTCACCAGAAAACTGGAAGCTCGAGGATAAGCCAAGCTCGTGGCTGCAGGGAGCCAATCTTGGTCGTGGTCAGGAGCTCAACGCACTTCTTCACCCTCATCTCAACTTGCCCGAGACTATGGTCCACATACCCAAAGTGCAACCTGGCGACTATGTTGTATGGCACTGCGATGGTATCCATGCAGTGGACAAGACACATGCTGGGAAGAGCGACTCAAGTGTCCTATACATTCCCGCTTGTCCACTCACCGAGCGCAATGCCGAGTATCTCGTCCGTCAAAGAGAGTGCTTCCTAAGAGGTAAGACACAGCACGCATCACATCTGAGGCACAATCATGCTAACAAAAGCCACACAGGCACGCCATCGCCAGATTTCCCTGGCGGTGTTGGCGAAGGCCAGCACGTCGGTCGTGCGGTGCAAGTAGACATTGCTCTAGTGTCGGGAGTCGACGGCCTACGCGCCATGGGGTTGGAGAGATTCGATGAGGGTATGGGCCACACGCCGGGAGAGAAGCAGGTCATGGCAAGCGCGAACCGCATCCTTGGATTCAATTGAGAAGAGCGCATGGTGTTGCGCATCATTGAATTTTCAGTAGCTGCAAATTCACCTCGTGTTGTTGATTAACGATATGTGTCGTACAGGAGCACTTCCCTGATCTTCAACACATCAAAGCGACGTGCTGCTGTGGTCGCCAGTGTCCCTGTTCAGGCAGTTAGGCGACTCGATTGAATGCTTTCGGAGCCAAGGTGGCTTGCTCTGAGCCTCTGGCGGCTTCAGATGGAAATCCCCAATGCATGCCAAGAGCTTTCTGCCGACCCGCCCTCGGCATCATCTTCCGGTGCCTGCTCTCTTGCTTCCATGATCTCATCACGACTTGGGCGAATTGTCTCGAACATCTCATCTTAGAAAATTAACATGTGCTGCGCTCATGCATTTCCCACGAGTGCAATCGAAACACAACCGACGAGTCGACGCGATAAATAGAAGCGGAAAAAGTAAGCATCCAATACGCACCGCCTCCACAGTCGTACATTACATGTACAGTGTGACATGACAACATCAACTCTTCTACAGCACAATTTCTCAGCCATGCTCTCCGGACCTGTAATTCCTGTACACTGAAGTGCTATCGAACGTGCAAGAGTGGGCAGTTTTCCTGATTGCGCCGCCATAAATCCTTTGCTCAGCCCTTTGCATGCAAGAAGTAGCACGGCCCCCTTGGTCGCATGTGCATGCTGCAACCTGAGGAAGGCATCAGCAAGAATCCCGACACCCTGGAGTGGTCATTTTGTTTCTGCTTAGCAAGATTGATTATGCATGGTTATTGGATAGACCAACTCGGCATTCCCGTGTCTGCTTGTCCACTCTGTGGGGGCTTGTGTGTGTATTGTAGACCGGTCAGCAGGATTGACGGTACCCTGCTTGCTGGACTATTTGTAGACCGCCCACCAACCTCATTCGGAGGGTACTATACGCAACCAAAGCCCCGAAATGGATGGCGTTCTCATTTGCGAAAGAGCGCATCCTTGTTGGCCAGAGGAATGCGGGCAGGGTTTGTTGGTTCCGTTTGATTGGGTATCACTGCCCCATACGCTCTGTCCCAAATACACCTTCTTTCTATATATGCTCTTGCCGGCCAAACAAGAATGTCCTCGCCGTTTCACCTTCTTGCATTCATACATCGTTTGATGTTTGACTTGAGATTGACTCACCCCAACACAGCTGCCTTTCCTGACATCCAGTTCACAGCTGGTGCCCTTCAAGATTTACCACCACGCTAGTCAAGAAGTCGGCTTCAAAGCGTACAAGCATCTCGACTCGAGATTCGCCAACAAACAAAAGCTCCTTGTCCTCGCTGTTCGTCAGCAAGTACGACCAAGACGATGACCACCATTCATGAGTCCGAATTCATGGACCTGGGCTTCGAGAATCAATGCTACCCGACATTCGTTGTCAACGAAACAGGCCGCACATGCTCTATGCAAGACTCGGCATACTCGTCACCTCGTCCCTCATCCTCATGGCTATCCTCCGAGAACATGAGCGACAGCTGTAGTGGCACATGGTCCTCTCCGGCACCGAGTATCGCGTACTCTCCATCACCAAGACCGACAGACTACCGCAACTACTATCCTGACTGGTCACAATTGAACTCGAGCCACTTCACATCGCTGAATCAGGTTCAGATGCCGCCGGACATTCCCTCGTACTGTCAATCTGAGACTGTCTACCAGCCCTGCCACCAGAGTCAATACATCCAGCCACATGTACCCGATGCACAACCACTGATTGGTGTCGGAGATTGGACACTCCCCGAGTTTCAGACACTCGTTTCCGAGTCAATAACAGAGCCGTCACCAGCTCCATCGTACACAATTGCACCCAGTGACGTCTCCTCCTCCGCCTCTCCCAAACCACGAGGCCGGCCGTTGATCAAACAAGAAGATCCCGTCGAACATCACCACAACTGTTTGAACTCGATACCAAGAAAATCTAACACTAAATCGACAATAGCATACCCATGCCCTTTCCTTCCCTACGGGTGTCCATCAACATTCTCGTCCAAGAACGAGTGGAAGCGTCATCTCAACACCCAGCATCTGTCCCTCAGCACATATCGCTGCGACCTCTGTATTCCGAACCCATCTTCCCCGCCCTCGCAATCACATCAGTCCAACGACTTTAATCGCAAGGATCTGTTTATTCAACATCTTCGTCGCATGCACTGCGACATCCCAGATACCCCATCTGCTCACCCGCCTGTCAAGACGAAATACAACCGCATTCAAATTCTAAACACGCCCGACTCGTTGGCAGAACGAGCCCTTCGTTGCTATATCCCTCCACCTTCACCCCCAATCTCCTCGAGTTGCATCTTTTGCCCCTCTACATTCAGTGGTTGCAATGCATGGGTTCAACGGACTGAACATATTTCCCGCCACTTGGATCGCTGGAGAAGAGAGGGTAAAGCTGTTCCTGGTGTCAAGGAGTGGAGGAGGGATGTGCAAGTCGAGGGGTGGTGTTTGGAGCATGGCGTCCTTGTATCAAGGGCCGGAAGGGACGGGAAAGCGAGGGTGAGGGTTGGCCGTGGGAAGGACCGGAGGTGTTGAGGGCCATCACGATGGCTTTTCGAGCGGGAATAACGAGTTGATGTAAAGATCTTATGACGTGTGTATTTATTTTGTGTCGAGACGACAAGAGGGCAGCATAGATATGGTGCAGCTTATGATGTACATGGATTAGATACCCTGTTTTGTTTTGTTTTGCTTTGCTTTGTTTACATCGAGTATGAATCAAGATCTACGACTTCTATCATCTCCCGCTCTCGTCAGTTCGGTGCCTGCTCATCTTCCCTAAGCAAATGCTCCTTCATTGGTTTTCTATCTACATGCTTCGCAACTTCACGACCGATGTCATGACAATTTAACAAGGACGAGACGAATGAAACCCACCAAGACAAAGTACTAACTTTTACAGAGTTAAGAATTCAGATGAAATGGATATTATTTATACCATTGTCAAAGGAGCCATATTCTTACAGAGAAAGCTCACGACTGATGTCTACATTTCTAGGTCATCTTCATCTACACGCCCTCACCACCCATACCCACACCTTTCCTCCTGGCCGCCCCCACAGCTCTCAAACACCTCCCCACCGCTTCCAAATCCCCCAACAATGTAACATGCCCCCTCTCCGAACTCACAAGCCCACCCCTGGCAACTTTATACCCTTCTGGCAACATGGCAGCTTTCGCAAGCACAACGCCATCTCCCGATGCGAAAGCGAGGTTGTCGTAGGCAGAAGCGTGTTTAATGGCTTCTCTGCTCACGACTTTTGCGCCGTAGACTGTGGGTGTTGTTTTACCGTAGATGACGCTCATGGGTGGGTATGCGTTCGAGGCGGTATGAGGGGGGTGGTGGAATAGTTCGGTTTTGAAACATTTGACGCGGGCGAGGGTGCGTGTAAGGTAGGCTAAAGCTTCTTCGCGGGGGATTGTGACAGTTGTGGCGATGGACGTGTTGGTGTCGTTGCCATCAGTGTCATTGTTAGGGGCAAGTTGTCTTGTAGTTGTGGTGCCGCCATCTGTTTGTTGTGCAGAGGGCAGGTTATCAGTACCGTTGTAGTCGATATTTCCCTTTGCCTCTGCATTAGCGCTACTGCCAGCAGAGGCTGAAGCATCCATTTCAGGTGGATTAGCAAGACCGTCTATGGCGTGCGCGGCAGGGTGTTGGAGTGCTTGCTTGGCACGAGAAATGCTGTTTTTGCGGCCTGGCACCATACTGTTCATGACGCCAGCCATGCTGTTCATAACACCTGCCAAGCCAGTAGGTTGAGGAGGTTCATTTAGAGAAGGCAAAGGACGAGCAATGCAGGGTGAGAGTCGCCAGTCGATCCATGTCTGAGGGTCAAAGAAATCGACAGGATATTCTTCCTTCGTCTCCTTATTGAAGAAACAACGGCCATCCAGCGGGAGGAGAGCAAAACTGGTTCGGATAGTGAAGTTTACCTGAGCGGTCAAAACACGACTGCTGAGCAACACATCATCGCCGTTGCGGAAGGGACCGAGAATGTTGACGCAAGTCCTAGGTACGCCAGCATACACCACTCCTGCGAAAAGCTCTGGGCGCTGGTTCACCGCATGTCTGGTGATGAGGCCGCCCAGCGAGTGCGCAATAACAGTTGCACCACGCTTCTCTTTGGGCGTACCGGGTCTGTTGCAAGGCAACTTCTCTAAGAACTCAACAAGCTGCTTACTCAAGAATAGCGGGTCCAATCGCCAATCATAGCCATAATCATGCACGCGCAACTTCCCACTTCTAGCATTCTCGCAGGCGCGCATACGCTTGAACAGTCGTCTAGAAATGTCAACGGGACCAATGTGGGTAAGCATGCCCCCAGGGATAATCTTCTCATGCGCTCTTTCGTCTGCATCGGCATCCAGACCGACTTCGAGATCTACCTTTCTGACATTCAAGCCGACTTTGATGGGAGCCCAAAGCTGTCTGTGAGGCGGCTCGGCAGATCTTAATATAGAACCACGATAGCCTCCAAGCACAACTACATCACCGGTCAAATCATCAAGCGCTTTGGAGAAATGAGGATGCTGTTGGGTAGTCTTGTTTGCTTGCGGGGCGGTAGATGCTCTGGGCAGTTGGCCGCTCTGTCTTGCGTTGGATGAGGGCAGTGCACTAGTCGAAGACGTAGGAGTTGATGTTTGGTTCTTTTTTGAAAAGGAGTTTGCACGGTTGAGAGACAGATCGGTGAGAGAAGAAAAGGATGGCAGAAGTGGCAGTCTAATGTTAGTATCTTGCCAGCTGTCTCTTATAGCCTTCATTCTGCTGTTGACCTGCGCTTGAACGTGTTCGAAGCGACTGTCATCGCCGAGTGAGGGAACTCGCGAGAGAGTGCGGAAGGTGGTGAGGGAGGATTCCGAGGCGGAACGTCGCAAACTCCGGTGGCTCCTACCGCTATTGACCCTGCTCATGGAGCTTAGAGCATTTTCTGGTCGAATGGTCGCAGTCTTCGAGGTAGCTGGGCGGATAGGAACAAAGATAGGGTCCTCATCATAAGAGGCAGACTCGTTGGAAGGTGGATCCCTCTGTATTGGCATGGTCTGAGGATGTTGCAGACGACGGGGAGCTGGCTCGGTCTTTGAGTTTGTAGGAGTCAGGTCTTTCGATGACGTCTTGTGTAATGTCGAGTTCGGACAAGGGATTGAGCCCTCGAGGCCAGCAAAGCTATTGTTTCTCCTCGGTCGAGTTGGCAGGATGTGGGTAGTCGAAGAAGATGACAACGAAGCCAAAGAAGCAAACAGGGAGCCGGAACGCCTCTGTCTGTTAGGCGGACGGGTGTTGCGCTCCGTGTCTTGGGAGTGGTTTGTGGAAAAGGGCGAGGTGAAGTTGTGGATGCTGGTCTTAATGGCATCTCGCCAACCATCCAGCGACGTTCCCACGCTGAAGCCTGTGCCTGTGCCTGGTGGGCCGCCTGACGAAGCTCGTGGACGGAAACCGTCCTTGAGTATGGAGCGGCTCTCGTCCGTCTTTTTGAACTTCTTGGGGCCGGCGCGCCATGGTGAAGGCAGTCGTATCGTTGTCTGATCTGTGTCCGGGGCCGAAGTCTTGTACTCTGTCGTCGGCCCCTCTCTTACCATGCGTCTTTCTCGCGTGACGGGTCTCGATGTACGCTCTTGTTCCACGAGGGGTGGAGTGGGTGCTTTGTCATCGTCGTCGTCCAGATCCGCATCGTCCTGGATCTGCGGTCCGCCGAAGAAGCCACCTTGTTCGTCAATGGCAGCTTGCTTCTCTGCAGCTGGTGTCTGAGCGAGGATGAGACGCGTTTGCGCTCGTCCAAGACTGACTCCGACAAGGGATTGAGCTTCGGCTGGCGCAATGGCTCGCATCTCGGGACCTTCATCCTCGGACGACGTCGCTGTGTCATTGATGAGGTTGTTGTAGTGTATGCCGGCTAGGGCTCGTGGCTGCCGTTCGGTGCGTTGGTGGAGACCAGACATGTTGCGTTATATATACATTGGCTGCGATTGGGTGACACGAAGATGCTGATGCTAATGCTGATGCTGATGCTGTTGCGGAAAGGACGAAGACGCAGGATGCAGAAAGATTGGCAGCCACAGTAGCTCTGAGTAGCGATGATGAGGTATATAAGACGAAGTGAAGGAAAGAGGGTCGATTCAGCCCACACTCGGGTCTGTCGGCCTTGTGTAGACTACGACTGTCAGCCTGATAGCCATGGTGCGCCTCGACGACTCTTGTAAGAGCCCCATCTTTACTTCCGACCGAACCGCCCACCGGATGTCACCAAAAACACTCCGAGAACGTTGCTAGAAAGTCTGAACAGTGGCTGTGTACAAGTCTTGGCAATGAGATCATCGTCAACAATTCGTCCAAAACACGACCGTCGTGTGAGCAGGTCGATCAATGCTCAAGATAGCTTGGATACTGGATGATCGATATCCAACATCTCTAACTGTATACCGCTAGTCATGAAGCTCTGCGTATCAATGCATTCATTGCTCGAGTTGTGAGATACGCCCGTCGTGTTTCGAATACGCCGACGCCAATACGCCGCTATACGCGCGACATCTCGAACAAATTTTATCTCTAGTCCGCTGCACCAATTCCACCAACAATGTCGTTATACTACGAAGCCTCAGACATCCTCGCAAATGCGGAAGCCAAGGGGGGCTCCTTGAAGAATCGGATCTTCGGCAAAAAAGACTTGAAAAGTTCTCCCGGCGCCATTTTTGCTCTGGTCGCAGAAACCACAAAATGGAGTTCGGTGCTGAAAGAAGTTATCGAGAAGGCTGACATTCTGAAGCTGGAGAAAAAGGTAGGGCTTGTTGAATCTCTCATCCTTCTTGTCTCCTGTGTTTGAGACGGTCCACTTCTGACAGCTGACATGACAATAATTGATTTCTTCCTTTCGCCATATACAAATGTTGACATTTTCATTAGCTGACTCCGACACTTGCATTGCTCCTAGCCCACGATCTGATTCTAGCTAAGAAGGGTGTTGCTGCTCCCAAATCACATCCTCTAAACCTTGCCATCTCTCGTCACAAGGCGAGACTAAATGCCGAGTTTACGAAATGCCGAATCAAGGGTAGATTCGCAACGCTCGACGCCTTCCGCATCCATATCAATGCCGCAGCAGCAGACGAAAGTGCGGAAGCAACCGCCAACGGAACCAAAGCTTTCCACCCTCGGTGGGTTCGTGTGAACGCCGTAAGGACAACCTTGGCGAAGGCGCAGAGCACTTTCTTCGCCGACTTTACTCAGGTCTCCACGCTCAAGGAACTCAGCACTACCCCGAAAGGTCTTTATTTGGATGAGCACATCCCAGATCTGGTCGCTATCCATCCCGGAATCGATCTTTCCAAGCATGCTGCATACCATGCTGGTGAGATCATCTTCCAGGACAAGGCCTCATGTTTCCCTGCCTATCTTTTGGACCCAACGGCCAAGGATGGACAAGTCATAGACGCATGCGCCGCGCCAGGTAACAAGACTACTCATCTCGCTGCAATCTTGTCATCACAAAAGTCATACGGTTTGAAGGCGTCGGTGACGGCCTGCGAGCGTAATCCTATCAGAGCCCAGACACTGGAGAAGATGGTAAAACTGGCTGGTGCCGGCAAGATCATCAGCGTGAAGGCTTCCCAAGATTTTACCAAATTGGATCCTCGCTCTCAAGAGTTCGTCGACGTCGGTGCCCTCCTTCTCGACCCTAGTTGTTCAGGAAGTGGTATCATTGGTCGCGACGACACTGCAGTATTACACTTGCCATCCTTGCCTTCAACGACTCCTGCGCCATCTAGCAACTCGAGCAAGAAACGCAAGAGAAAGACCAGCGCAGTTGCCAAAATTCCTGTTCCTGTTGCAGCCGAGACCAAGGACGAGTTGAGTGAAGAAACCCCACAAGCAGCCGACCTCGAAAACGATGAAGAAAAGCTAAAGACAAGACTGGAAAATCTCTCCGGTTTTCAACTTAAGATTGTACTGCATGCTTTCGCCTTCCCAGCCGCCACTAAAGTCACCTACTCCACATGTTCAATTCACGTCGAAGAGAACGAGAGCGTTGTTGTCAGAGCTCTGTCATCCAGAATCGCAAGAGAGCGTGGCTGGAAGATCATGAAGCGCGAGAATCAAGTTGATGGTATGAAGAAATGGGCAAGAAGAGGCGATCCCGAGGCTTCAAAAGTAGCACTGAAAGGCAAGGAGTTTTTGGAAGATCCGACTGTTTTGGCAGATGCTTGTATTCGATGCGAGAGAGGTACTGATGAAGGTACCATGGGTTTCTTCGTTGCCGGCTTCGTCAGAGATCCCGACGCGGATGTCGTGCAACCGGTGGCACCGAAGAAGGAGGAAAGCGAGGGCGAAGATGAGGAGTGGGGTGGGTTTGATGAGTGAACATGGCTATTGTTTCTGGTCTCTAGGAAATTTCATGGTCGCCCATTCATTCCATTTGCTCGGCTATATAAACGACAAACCCTTCTTCCGACACAAGAACATTGCTCGACCAAAGTCACTAGGCGCAGTACCCCTCCGCAGGTGAACCTGCAGACCGGTCTGACCTTTGAGGATTCGGGGTGGGCATTCAGTTGATGACTCTGCGCTCTCGACTATATGGTCAGCCCGGACACTTTGCTCTAGAGTCGCTAGTGAGTGTCCGTTATATCTAAGATACGTCGCAATCTTCCTCCCTGTTTCTGCTGTGCGTTGATTGGTACATTCACAGTAGGTGTGTTTCTTTCCGTGCAACAACAAAGTCCAGGCCTCAAATCCCTCAAATCATCTCTTTGTTCCTGGTGAGAACAAAGAATACGGATACCCCTTATCCTTGAGCCACCAATCCCAATTCATTTTCCAAGTATTACCATTGCCCACTTCGTCTTTGTTATGGTGGCTTCGCAGCCACGAGATCTTACTCACAAAGCATATTACTTACCAATTTCGAGTCATCATGTTCGATCAACATTGCCATCAGCACGATGTTTCTCTATCTCTCACGTTTAAGAGCAACGCTCGAAACATACTTTTTAATCACGATTTACCACTCGAATAATGGCATCCATCAACACAAATCGTGAGACTGCCGGCCAGTTCTCCGACCTAAAGCGTCGCACTTTTGGTGTAGAATGCGAATTCATCGGACTCATTCCAACGAAGAGCCCCCTAGATGCGACTCAATACACTTGCGAGATCCTGCAGAAAAAGGTCACACTGCCTTGTAAAAACAAGTGTGCGCAGGGCGTTCACAGCTGGTATCTACCCGTTCAGGACGAGGCGTCGGAAAGTAAAGCCCCTGGAACCTCAGCATTTTCAGCATGGGACGTTCAAAAAGACATATCGATCCATCTCAGTGATGGCGAGTACCTGGCGTATAGGGGTGCTGAGGAATTCACTGATGTCGGTCAAGTGGAGCTTGTGTCTCGTGTGCTTAACTTTGACTCTCCCACACCATGCGCACGCGGACAGAAGTACCCATGTACTGGAGAGCTCTTCGAGTGGGAGTGGAGGGACGAACTACAGGCAATCTTCGGCGCTTTGCGTGAAGGATTCAATAGGCCAGGGTACCGTGCCTTGATCAATGCTTCTACAGGGCTCCACGTTCATCTTGATAATGGTTCTCTCGGCTTTCCTCTGGATGTTGTCAAGGATATCACTGGCACCTTTATCGCTTTGGAGCGATGTTGCGATTCGATCATGCCCCTGAGTCGTATCATAGGATACTATAAGCAACCGCTGTGTGGCATGAACCAGAAGGGACTTACCTACCATCCTGCAGATCACGAGCACGAATTTGGACATGGGTATCTTGAATCGATGACAGAAACCATGCACAGGCATATTGATGGCTTGATCACCGAACAGTGATGCTCCGTCAGCCTGGGCTACAGAGGTGGCAAAAGGATGGGATATAGTAGAGCCTTCGAAATGGTTCAATATCGCCCAGGATATCCCGGTACAAGGTACATGGGACCACGAACACACTACCGAAGTCAATTACACTGTACCAATTTCACCCGCGATAGCAAGAGAGGAAACCTTTAAACTTCTGCTCAACTGCAATGTCCCGGCCTGGCTGCAGATGATTGAGGATATGCATACCTTGGATCAGGTAAAAGCCCTTGGCTCTCCACACAAATCAGCTATGAACCTCAACAACCTTCAAACCCCTGACCGCTCGGTCACAAAGAACACCATAGAGATCCGCATCCACGCCGGAAGCCTCGACGCTATGGAGGTGATCTCCTGGATAGATCTACTAAGCTCTCTGGTCACACACCTGTCGACAACCTCCTGCGATCAATGGTCCAAATATCTTAACACTGTATACGCAGAGTCAGAGTACACACTCGTAGACTTATGCCAAAAGATCGACGTACAAGAATCCACGCTGACACACTATACCTCCGTGCTCAGCACTACATCCGACTACGCAGAAAAAAGACATGCTCACTACACGTCAGCAAGCCAAAATCCACCTGACCATCTCCATGGCTTGACAACCTTTATCGAGGATCGACGCTGTCTTCAAAAACTTTCAACCGGGAGATATGGTCGATTTCCTTTGACGTTCCTGACTCACTATGTTCGAGAAGCGAAAACTCATTATTATGCGATTGGAGGCTTAGCTATTGATCACCAGCAAGAGGCGTATTTGAGAGAGGCGATGAAGGAGTATGAAGATATGTGGCCTAGGCATCCTTCTGTGAGTAAAGAGGCCTGGGAGGAGTTTGTGGTGTCATGTCTTGCTAAAGTCCGTGATGGGTCTTGATAGTCTGTTTATATGCCTAGAGGTGTGTTCATAGATGAGTGATTAGGACATGTAGATCTAGATGTACTTGAGCACTTCCTATCTTCTCCAAGTTCACGGGGACCTCTCAAGAAAGAAACGTACTGCCTTTGAGGGCATTGAGCCCCTTTTCACGGACCTTGCTCGTCTGCAACAGTGATGGCGAGATGATCTACGACACACTCATGAGGCTGAATCATAATGGTACCACAGGTTCTCAATCACTAACGTCAATCTCCATCGCTCGCATCGTTTTGCGTTACATACACTGAGGATATACACGGAGATGAATCTGCCCGTGTGCTCGCCATCAAACAATGTCGAACCACGGGCTTCTTGGTGATACTCACTACGTCGCTTGCATTGTTCTGCGTCGAGGACACGGAAGCGAGGCACGAAGATCAAGTCAGGGATCGATGCCGAGCTCATGCGATGGCGTGTCTGGCTCTACGGCCATCGACCGGACGTGGGCGGACTACTGCTGGTGCTTGTGACTTCGCACGCCAGACAGCAAAACTTGCAGACTCTGAGGTGGGGAAAAAGGAAGTACATGCCATAAATGGTAGGGGATGATATCTGGTGACGTTTTCTCTAGTCTCGTCGTTTCGTTGTAGTGGATGGTATATGGACGTTGCGTTCTTTCGACGAGAACAGGAATACGGATTATCATGCACTTCGACTTTTCAATCAATATCCAAAGCTATTGCCGATCCTCGATTTCTCTTTTGTCAGAGGTTATGTTGTTGGAGCCCATCTGGGAACCAATTTGAGGAGGCAAGCGCGACCTTTGTTCCGTTCGTTGCCGTCGGTCAGCCATGATGTCGTTCTTCATCTCTTCATCTTTCATGTTATCCTTTGATGTCTCTTTCATCCAACGCCACCCATCCCGTCCACCATGTCGACATCATTATCTCTGAAATTAGCTCTAGAGCACCTCTTGTTCGCACGTACAAAGCGCTTTGTCCTATACCTCGAGTTTCGTACGTTCATATAAAAAGCTTGTTACGAACACGCAGGTAATGTCTCTAGGAAAACTAAAAAATCATCCAAGACAGTCCAGGCGATTATCATTATTCCCAACACTCTTTTGATACATATACAGATATGTCTAACATCAGTAACAACAACAACAAAGACAATGCCGCTGCTGGTCAGCGTGCTTTTGCCTCGGCCCTTACCTTCGGAGTGGAACTCGAGTTCATGGCTTTCGTGCCCAAGTTGACCATCATGCAGTATCACAGTGCAGAGGAATATTTGCGTTCTGTGCTCTGTAATGCACGAGTCAAGCTTCCCTGCACTAAGCCTGGCTGTGAGGCTAAGGGGCATGAGTGGTACCTGCCCATTCATAGCGAATTCGGAGACCGCAGTCCCGAATTCTGGAATCTGGACTTTGACATGACTATTATGTTGCCTAGATCTGGCACAAACCAGGCCACCAGTGAGCTCGTTGAATCGAATTATGGCAATCTGGAGCTGAGATCCCGAGTACAGAAGTTCTGGGGCTCTTCTCCTTGCCCTTTCAACCAGCACTACCCTTGTACTGGCGAGCCTTTTGAATGGACATGGCGTGATGAGCTGAAGTGCTTCCTCCAAGTTATTCAGGAGGCTTTCAGCCCTCGCGGCTTCCGCACCATTCTCAACGAGACCGCAGGTTTACATGTCCACATCGGACAGGATGACTTGGGTCTTCCGCTCGAGGTCGTTCAGGGTCTTGTAGGCACCATGACTGCTTTGGAACGCTGTTTCGACCGCGTCCTTCCTACTCACCGTATCACCGGTACAACACGAAATGCATTTGCTGCCCACCCCGAACCTCTTCCTGGCCTTGAGATCGATGGCTTCCACAGCTTGTATAAGCCCGGAACAAATAAAGCAGACCAAGACTTCGAGACCAAATTCCACCCAGCCGCCACCCGCACCATGTTCAAACATGTTCACGATTGTATCTACGACGAGGCGACAGGCATAGACAGTCACGTTCCTCAGAACAGCCCGACTGGCAGCGCTGTTTCCGCTCGGCTCTCAGCCAAAGCTGCCAAGTCGATCGAGAAGTACCTCGTTAGTTTCAACGTCCCTGGCTGGTTGGAGATCATCAAGAGCAAGTCCACTGTTGACGAGATCAAGTGCATGGGCTTTGCTGATAAGTACACCGCTTTGAGCTTGAGAGGACTGGGTGACTCGTTCGATAACGGATCGCCTCCCACAGCTGAAGTGCGTATCCATGATGCCAGTCTTGATTTGAACGAGATCAGTGCTTGGATCGATCTTTTGTGCAGCCTGACTTGCTGGTCCGAGGCCATCCCCAAGAAGGAGGTCTTTGCCTACCTCCTGAAGTCGTGGAGAGATCCCGAGTACACCATCGTTCGTCTTGCCCGCGAGGTCGGTGCCACTGACGCAACCGTCGCCCACTACGACTTCGTCATGGATCCCAGCTACCGCCAGCGTCGTTTCGAGAAGAACACCGAATGCGAGGCTGATAACAACGTGGTCAACTTGCTCATCATCAACGAGGAGAAGCGTCGCGAGGCATTCTCCCGTGAGAATGTTGACGAGAAGATCCGCTGGAAGCTCGAGTCTGGTAGATACGGACAAGTGCCTACAGCATTCCTCGAGGCCCAGCCCGAGCCTGAGATCTTCACAAGACCCGAAGCCAAGTTCTTGCACCTCAACGAGGAAAGCCAGAAAGATTGGATTGAGTACATGAAGAACTTCTACCGTGTTGAGCGTATGATTGAGCTTACTTCTGAAGAGGACTCTGATGCCGACGATAGCAACATCAGCCCCTTGGTGAGCCAGGCCGGTGACTCTGATGTTCTTTCGGGAAGCTCAAACACCACTGAGAAATCTGTTGTTTCCTCGGAAGGCTTAGATGGAGGCGTTAAGGTCGACGTCGATGCTGAGTCCGTTGCCGCAGGTGCAAGTGACAGCGATGCTGAGTCTGTCGTTTCTAGCTCGATCGAAGAGTCCGACGACAAGTCCGAGTCTGACGCCGAGTCTGAGGCCATTGGTGCAAGTCAAGAGCCCGTGTTCAGCTCGAGCGAAGAATCCAGCGAGACATCCGGCATCCACTCTGCTCTCAGCCCTTCTGCCAAGGATACTGAGGCTACCAAGGCGACTGAGGTTACCAAGGACACTGAAGCCGCCGCAACCCCTGTGAAGGAGACTGACGCCGCAGAAGCCCCTGCGAAGGAGACAGTGCTTCGCGGGCTTTGGGATCTGTTGCCTACTTGGCGATCCACAGTCGAGAGCTCCACTGTTAAGGAGACTGAAGCCGAGACGTCTCCCGTCAAGGAACCCGCAGCTCCCAGCTCCTCGGTCAAGGTCAAGTCCCCTGCCAAGGTCGAGTCCCCTGTCAAGAAGACTGCAGCTCACGTCTTGGAGGACGACTCCAACAACGAGGGCTGGTATGGCATTCACCCTAGCTTGTTCGCCGCATACGACAGTATCCCCGGCAACTACCTGACTCACTTGGAGAAGACCATCGTCAGCATGCCCGATCTCCCTCAGCCCCCAAGCCCCAACATGGCTGCTTTCGCAGAGCTGAAGGCTGACACTTGCACCAGATTGAATGACAATTTCTTCAGCAAGATTACGCCTGAGACCATCGCCAATGCCGAGAGCAGAGATGTTGCTGAGCGTCAAATCGCGGAGTTTGTCGAGGCTGAGAAGCAGATGTACGTCTTGAGATCTTGCATCGGAGAGAGTGCTGCTGCTGAGAGGTACTATGCCAAGAAGAAGGCCGAGGGGTCGAAGTAATGTAGAGAGTAGATGTAGAGCCTCGATGTTGAGCATACAAATTGCCTGTATTTGTTATTGTAACAGTAGAAAGAAATATAATCTTGTTGCAAGTCAACATGGTCCGACACTGTTTGTCCAATCCTGTAAGAGAATTTGTGCTGACATGATCGTCTTCGTCTCGCTATAGTATGGTAAACTTGGTAATTGCGGCCAGATGCCTGCGTCGGAGCCAAACGCGTCAAGCGCGTCATCTCGCTTTCTATCTGAGCGCTGCGATCAAATTGTTCCCACGATTCCGTGACATGATACTACTTCACGCTCCAGACATGCTCGTTATGGTCGAGTAAGAGTAGACGTGAAGTGAACGACATGATGGAAAGCTTGGCGGAGGCTGGGATTATCGAGGCGCACAGGCCATCCGCAAAGCGCAAGTTTAAAAAAGTTTTGGCTGACGGCGCATCTTCAACTTCTCTCTTCCTTTCTTTGACGCCACGAAAAATGGCGGACGTAATCTCATTCGCACCTCAGCACGAGGAGGAGTTGAGCGATGAGCAGATGCAGGAAATGCTCGCTCAGGCTGCGCAGCGCCGCAAGCAGAATGCCAGCGTAGCGCTTTTCGACAAGGGAGACGACAAGGCCAACCAATTCAACCTCCCCAAGCTCAACACTGGAGAGATGGTGCAGCCTTATGTGTCGAACGCAGGGGATATCGCGACTGTTGATCGCTCGCGCTTGTTGGCTGAACAGGACCGCAAATTGTCGAACCAGATTCGCAAGGTGGAGGATCCTGTGGCTATCAAGAAGAAGACGCTCGAGGTACGTTTTGTCTTTCTCTACTCTCCTATCACCACTCGCCTATGAGGAAAATTATCCCAACTTTTTCCTGACGCGGAATCAGGGCACCGTCTTGGTGCCCCTCTGCACAAACTGAAGCTTTTTTATTCATAGTTACTCTGAGGCACATTCACACATACACATGTTTTGAACATCCACATCAGAGAAGATCTTTGCTAACATGCTCTGCTTCTCTAGTCTAAGAAAGCTACTGCCGGCGAACAGTGGTACAACATGCCTCGTACCGACCTCACTCCCGAGTTGAAGAGAGATCTCCAATTGTTGAAGATGCGTAACGTGCTTGACCCGCATAGACATTACAAGAAGGATGGCGGCAAGATGAGAGCCCCAGACTACTCGCAAGTTGGAACTATCGTCGAAGGCCCTACCGAGTACTTCTCTGGCAGACTCAACAACAAGGAGCGCAAGAAGACCTTTGTCGACGAAGTCTTGTCCCGCGAGAAGGACACCGGCCGCTTCAAGAAGAAGTACAGCGACATCCAGACCTCCAAGACCAGTGGGAAGAAGTCTTACTACAAGGAGCTGCAGTCCAAACGCTCCTTCGACCCCAAGAAGAGATGATGACTCTGTCGCTACATGTCCGACACAATGCTGTACACCAGTGTCTGTTTCCGGTCAGTCGACACATCCTTTCACAAAACACACCACCATCATCAGTCATACGCACCTGCATGTCCTTTGCGGCTTCCCTTCCAGCCTCAATCACTTCCTCGTGGTTGGCTTTGCCCTGGCCTAAGTGGTCAATAAGTTCTTGTGGTGACATCGAGCTCAATGCTGCATCATCACCACGAGGGACAGATTGCAGCACAGCTTTATTGGTCACCAGACTGAAAGCGAGGATTCTGATGCCACTATGTCTGGCAACAATGATCTCAGGCACCGTCGACATACCGACCACGTCTGCGCCTAGCTGATGCAACATGCGGCACTCTGCTCTGGTCTCGTACGTCGGGCCAGCAACGAAAGCATATACACCTTCATGCAACTTGCGCGTACCGTCCTTTGGGCGAACCTTTTGCCAAGTCTGGTGTGCTTTTTGACGCAGACCAAGGTCGTAGGCATCAGATAGAGGAGGGAAGCGAACACCAAAGTCATCGGCGTTGGGTCCACGAAGAGGGTGAAAGCCAACCAAGCCAGCCATGTTCAGATGGTCGTTGAGGCAGACAATGTCGCCGACGCTGTATTCTGGGTTGAGTCCACCAGCTGCGTTGGTCACTGTCTTGCTGTCAATACTATTGTCATGTCAGATGGTCAACACACGCACCTATCATGGTCTCAATACCGAGTACCTTGCAGACTCTCGTGGCGAAAGTCACGAGCTCCATGGTGTGGCCTTCGTAGAAGCTTGATAGAAGATAAGAATGAGCATATCATCTACCACGCAATCATTGTTCCCATGCCAAAACTTACTGTGCTCTGCCAACTAACAAGACGACTGGGACCTTGGTGTCGCCCATGGTGCCGACTACGAGCTTGCCCGCATGTCCTTGTACTAACATGCTTATCAGCAGATGTGAATTTAGGGATGTTGATACATCTTACCGGTAGTCTTTGGGAAGTTTGGTATGTCATGGTAGTCAATCTCCAACTTTGTATCAGCAGTGACGGTGTCTGCAATGCCTCCGAGACCAGAGCCGCAGACGATGGCTACACGAGGCTTCTGTAGGTGAGATGGTAGTTTAGACCTGATGAAGTCGGCGGAACCAGAAGCTCGTTGATACGCCTCGGACGAAGGCTTAGAGCTCGATGATCGATCAATTACTGCTGCCATGTTGTGTTTCCTTGATCAGAGACCAAACAATACGAGAGAAGTATGTGTCTCGAGGTCAGTGTTGTGCTTGCTGGTCGTGTGAGTCGATAAGATGCCAAGACGTGCGATTTGCCGAGCGGTGAGACGGCCAGGAATCCCGGGCTTGATTTCTAGATTGACATTCTGCGAGCGCGACGGCGAGATATACGCAGAACACAATGGCTTCATATCTACGGTCACCCTTTGGGCTGGCGAAGCGTTTAAGGGTGCGTTGACATAATGCTGTGTACGGGAGGCAACGACTGACAGGATGCGCGACTACAGATTGCGCCTCCGAAACCCATCCAAGCCCGCACAGTATACCAGTCTCGCCAACCGTGGCATGGAAACCAAGCAATCCCTCTTGAGCACCAGCGTGATGAATCTGTGGACTTTGACGACTTCATGGCACAAACCGCACAAGAGTGAGCTTATTTCCAGCCGGATCACAAGACATCAGACACGACATGTACTAAGACATCCTCACCAGAGCCCGAGGAGTCACTCTCCCAGCACGCGAACCATTCTTCAGCCCGGAAATTCAGCGCGAACTCGAAGCCCTCCGTCTCCCTCGTTCCATCCACCTAAACTACCTCAAGCCCCTCAAGCGCACACCCACCCACGGCGTCCCAGCCGCAGACCTACAACTCCGCTCCTACAGCGTGCGCAACCTCGAATTCTTTGCCGACTTTGCCCTCCGCGCCGCCTACTACCTTAACTTGCCTGCCAGAGGACCCGTGCCACTTCCCAAGATCACAGAGCGCTGGACCGTTCCTAGATCCAATTTCGTGCACAAGAAGAGTCAGGAGAACTTTGAGCGTATTACGTTGAGGAGATTGATTCAGATTCAGGATGGACATCCGGAGGTTGTGCAGATTTGGCTGGGTTTCTTGCAGAAATACGCTTACTATGGCGTGGGCATGAAGGCGAATGTGTGGGAGTACTCGAGCTTGGATGTGAGCAAGGAGATGGATGAGCAGGCTGAAGGTGCAAAGGCTTCGATCGACGAGAGATTGAAGTTGTTTGGCAGACGCAGTGATCGTGTCAATGATGCTGATGTCGATGGCATCATTCACGACGACATCTTCAAGGGTGCTTCTGGTTCGTTGGCACCCATGGGTACCTATGGCAAGTCCAACTAAGCTGCTGGGCTGCCTACCTTTCTTTGCATCTTCGAACGGCGCCCTTTTGGCTGTGTACAGTATTTCTTGTATAAAATGGTAAAAAGGAGGAATTTATGGTTATCAATTTGTTCATATCAAGCAGCCACCCTTCTACATGCCACACTTTCAAATTCAGGTTACACGTTTCCGCCTTGCTGACAAGTGGTACCCAACATTGCTAAATCAGGTTCTGCCCGCGACATGGTGACATTGCCTGATGCCAGCGTGCACATCGCGTGGTATTTCCTGCAATCCTGCAAGCATCCTCTCGTCGCCGCGGTTTGTCCATGTTGAATCGCAGGATGAAGCAAAAGAAAAACAAGGCATCGCAACAAAAGGCACACTCGGACATCTCGATTGACAGCAAAGCATGCGTTTCGAGAACATAGCAAGTCGTCACGTGGAGGATTGCAAGAAGAGGTACCTTTGCCCAGTAACCTGAACAAGTCTTGATCTCGGTTGAGATGCTCTTGCATCTTGCATAAACATGGCCTCGCAGTAGCTTCTGCCTCTCTACCCCGATCAATCCTCGATCTGTTTCTCCTGTTGCAATATCAGTGGCTCCTTTTAAACATCCATATCTAACTGCCTATCAAGTCAAGGATTCGCTCGAAAGTCCGGTCTACCAACCGAAGCGTGTCAAAGCTCCACTCGACCCTGTCCAGTCAGAGGTAACTATCCTACGGGTACTGGCCAAGCGTGTAGCCAGGTCATCCGATTCGCCAAAAGCTTCAACAGGTTTCCAAAAGCAAATCATAGGTTAGTAGGACTTCTCCCAAGACTTCTCCTTGTGTTTCATATACCATGCACACGAATTGCGAGAGAGACAGTCTGGTCGATATTGCAAAAGATCGTCATGACAGACAAAGGTCGGGCGCAAGTCCGGCTCTCCCGCGGTTCGGGAAACGCGACGCGAACCATCGTATCTACCTTGATCTTCCCTGAATTGACCATTTGGTACTGACGTCGGTATCTTATTCTGCATTTCAGATACTCGGCGCATATAAGCTCGAGCATATCAGCAAGAGCTTGCGAAGTCATGTCGAACCCGAATTACAGCGCCATGCAGAGCTCTGGTTCAAACGCACCTCCGCCAAAACGCTATGATGGACGCGACGGTGGTCTTGTATATGATCCTAGCCACGGTGGTCACTATGGTAGGTGAAGCTGTGCGCACTACTGTACTGTCCTCTAGCTGACTTTGCGACACAGGCGCCAGCTCCTACGTAGGTTCAGAACGATGCGCGACATCCGAGCGACTCGAGCTGACAACCATGGCAGATAGCATCACAGGGAAGCGCACCTCCTCCAGAGACATTCACAGGACAATGGTCAAATGTGCGTTAAAGTCGACATTCTCTACACAGAGTCTACGCTGACATGGCCGCCGCTCGACAGGTATCGCAAGGCCTGTCGGGAAACTATAGGGACATCTTGAATACGTACTGGCAGAATCAGGTCACGAAGCTCGAGACGGACGAACACGACTACAAGATCCACCAACTACCCCTAGCACGCATCAAAAAGGTCATGAAGGCAGATCCCGAGGTCAAGATGATCTCGGCCGAAGCACCCATCTTGTTCGCAAAGGGCTGCGACATCTTCATCACAGAACTGACCATGCGCGCCTGGATCCATGCAGAAGAGAACAAGAGACGCACACTACAACGCAGCGACATAGCAAGCGCGCTTGCAAAGAGTGACATGTTCGACTTCCTCATCGACATTGTTCCCCGTGAGGACGCAACCCCTCAACACAAACGTAGACAAGACTTCCCTCCTGGAAGCTTCCCAGTGTCAGAGGCGCAGATCGTGACTGCTGGACCTTCGATGCAGGCTCCCCCTGCGGCCGCACAGCTTCAGAGTCAGGAACAGGGACAGCAACACATGCAGCCGACGGACTACGGTGCCATGGGTCAACACGTGGCACAGGAGTCGTATCAGACGCAGCAGGGCATGTACCCGCCTCCCGCACCTGCGACGGGTTACGCACAGCCACATAGCTTTGATCCCAACATGTATGCTGGCGGCTACAACATGTTGCAACAACCCGTGAGTAGCTTCGGAAGTACTCCTTGAACGAGAGCATGCAGCTAACGAATGTCCAACCAGCAAATGTACGCGCAACAGGGTCAAAGAATGGCAGATCCCTCGATGGGTGGTGACGGCCAGCACCATTACCGCGCACCCGAAGACGACGCCGAGGGCGAGAGGGACCAGTACGAAGTATGAACGGATGCATGCAGCAATAGACACGACGCACAAACTTGATACCCCCCACAATCGCAGAAAACATGGCAAAAAAGCAAACAAAAACAATCGATCCAGAGCAAGGCACGAGATCAGAGACAGGGCACGAGAATCGCTAGGAACAGGACGAGCGTGAGAGACAGAAGGCACGAGGAAGATTACGGGACAGGCAGTTACTTTGGTCAAGGGGACTATGTTTTATGGCTCTATACGAATACAAGCCGGAAGCCTTGAGAACGAGGCAAGCCGTGTTATTCTCTTCTATACTGTCTAGCCTTGGCTAGATCTGAACGGGTGGCTGACTTGATGTTCGAGTTTGCGTGGAGAGCACCTTGATGATGTCGGGATGTTGGAGAGCGCGATATGATCCGTAAAGACCCTGAGTGTATACCCGACCTCGGCTCGGCGTCGTGGGGATCTAGGCCGCCAGGCTTCAGAAGTCATGTTGATGTGATGAAGGCTGGAGGAATCGCTGAGGCACGAGGGAAGACAGTGAGGGTGTATACAAGGGCAGGAAGAGTGTTGAGTAGGTGTACAGGGCGGGTCTGCGGAGGAGCCATGTCGGGGTTTCATTAGTGCATCTTGGTTGAGGAGGGGTGCAAGTGATGACCGTCTTCGAACCCCGAAGCGGGGGAGGGCTGAAGGTCCAAGCTCTCACCACGCAAAGACAGCATTGGCAGGCGGTGCAAGCTGGAAACAGCAAGACCTTCTTACCTCCTTCCCTCTTCTTCTTACAAGATCATACTGTTCTACCACCTCTGAACAGCTTCCTTCTTCAATCCCACACTTCCTTCTACCCCACACAACACCGCAAATATGGTCAAAGTCGGTATGTATTGGGAGCTCTGGAAGCGGGGCTGAATGGTTGAAAGAGTCAGTCGCTGACATGGTATACGCCCAACAGTCGTCGCAGGAGCCTCTGGTGGCATTGGTCAGCCTCTGTCTCTTCTGATGAAGTCTTCCCCTCTGGTCAGCGAGCTCTCGCTCTACGATGTTGTCAACACTCCCGGTGTCGCTGCCGACCTCTCTCACATCTCCTCGCCCGCAAAGGTCAAGGGCTTCCTCCCCAAGGATGATGGCATGAAGAACGCCTTCACTGGTGCTGAGATGGTTGTCATTCCCGCTGGTATTCCCCGTAAGTTGCTCCAATCTACAAGCTTGTTCTCAGACGCTTCAACAGCGAGACTAACACGTTGACCCAACAGGCAAGCCTGGCATGACCCGTGACGACCTCTTCAAGATCAACGCCGGCATTGTTCGCGACCTGATCAAGGGTGTCGCCGAGTTCTGCCCCGACGCCTTCGTCCTCGTCATCTCCAACCCCGTCAACAGCACCGTCCCCATTGCCGCAGAGGTCCTCAAGGCCGCTGGCAAGTTCAACCCCAAGAAGCTCTTTGGTGTCACCACCCTCGACGTTGTCCGTGCCGAGACCTTTGTCGCCGAGATCACTGGCGAGAGCAACCCCAGCAAGACCACCATCCCCGTCATCGGCGGTCACTCTGGCGAGACCATTGTTCCCCTGTGGAGCCAGGCCAAGCCTGCCGTCAACATTCCCGAGGACAAGCTCGATGCCCTTACCAACCGTGAGTTTGCCTTGTTCTTTCCACCTCTACCTCGAAACAACTCAACTAATCACTCCCACAGGCGTCCAATTCGGGGGTGACGAGGTCGTCAAGGCCAAGGACGGTGCTGGTTCCGCCACGCTCTCCATGGCCTACGCTGGTTTCCGCTTCGCCGAGAAGCTCCTCAAGGCCGTCAAGGGCGAGTCCGGCATCATCGAGCCCACATTCGTCTACCTCCCCGGCGTCGACGGCGGTGACGCCATCCAAAAGGAGACTGGCTGTGACTTCTTCTCCGTCCCCGTCGAGCTCGGTCCCGACGGCGCAAAGAAGGCCATCAATGTCGTTTCTGGCGCCAACGAGTACGAGAAGAAGTTGCTCGGAAAGTGCTACGAGGGTCTTGGTGGTAACATTAGCAAGGGTGTTGAGTTCATCCAGAACCCTCCTGCCAAGTGAGTGTTGGAACGAGCATCATTGAAAGGGACAACTTGTGCTAACCAGCTGTGTGGCAGATAGATTGTAACGAATTGACATGACCCCGTCTTGCTCCTTCGACACCAACCTCCTTGGATCACACGAGAAACTGATAAGGACAAGGTTAGAAGAGGGAACAGATAACCACTTCTACTTTTTATCTTTGATATGAACACAAAATGACCAAAACATTTCAAAAAACTCCTTCCACCTTGGTGTCCTTTTTACCACTCACCAAGATTGCCTTGCCTTGCCTTGCCTTGCCTTGCCTTGCCTCTAGGCCTGTTGTGCCATGATTAGTCTTGTTGTGAAAAGGTCTTGGTGTTACAGATCCCTGACCATGAACATGTTCCTTCACGGGCAAGGTAAACACAATGGACCCACTGGACCTTTAGGTTGATCCATTGATTGGTACATGCACTTCATGGATCATGATGGGATGTGATCAGAGAGGCATGGGAAGCTAGTACCAGGACGTGGGACGTGGGATATCCCATAAACATGAACAGTTGGGGGATTGGGATGAACGGGATTGGGATGGGGATGGAATACTCCATCCTTCCCTTCCCATCATCATCAAATACCTCTTTTCCCCTCTCAATCTCCTTACGGCCTTTTTTTACTGCCCCACCGTCCTAATCTGAAAAACCGCCTGCGGTAACTCGACAGTCTCGGCATGCACACTAACCCCCAACCCAAACCCAGCCAAGGCACCTCTGATGACACCACAAGGAAAATACAAAAACGGCTGAGCGAGTCTCAGTGCCTCTTCTGCTCCCTTGAGCCCTCTGCTTCTATCCACACTCATACGGGATAGAGGGGAGAATTTGTTGTCGGTGAGGACAAAGGTGCCACGGTGGTTTGTTTTTAGATTGTCGATTTGCTTGCGGAAGAGGAGGTGCCAGAGGTCTTTGCAGATGAATTTTATCATGTCGAGGGGGGTTGTGGGGCGGGGTGTGTTGGCTGAGAATCTGGAGTGGTGAGTTGGTTGGTGTTTAGCCAAAAAAAAAAAAAAAGGAAAATGGATAAAAGGNGGAAAGGNGGAATGGGAATGGAATGGGGGATGAGAGAGGAAGAAGGGAAAAAAAAGGGAAGAAGGAGAGCTTTACTTTTCCACAAGTCCTAGTCCTACACGATAGCCTAGGGCGTCGAGACGATATAGCACGTCCTCTTGTCGTTGATCTTCTTCTTCTTCCTCGTCTTCATCTTGTGGGCCTCCTTGTCTTGCTGCTTCGCTTCTTGCCGTTGTGCCTGTTGTGCCTACTTCACTTCCATCTGCCTTTTGTGCTTCGCTCTTTACACTCTGTCTTTTGTCCCCCGCTACAGCAGCGGTGGATACATTCAACGTCATATCCCTATCCAGCCTCTGCGATAACAAAGCAGTGTCTCTGGCGTGTAGGTCTGCGGCTATCCGTTGGGCCAGAGGGACTAGTTCTATGAGTAAGAAATCTAGGGCTGAGGCTGCGACTTTTGGGTCGTTGGATGTGGGGTCTGTGGTTGGTGTCGAGGTTGCCATTGTGAAAGATGTTGAGTCCTAGTGTGTGCTCTTTGGCTCTTTCTTTGCTGTGTGAGAGAGAGTTGGTGAGACAGAGAGTAGTTGGCTGGTTATGCGCGATGGACTATTGGGTTGTATTGATTCGTGTTGGTACGATTCGGCCGAGTCGTCACTTTCGGATGTTATATCTGGTATATATGCTGCAAGAGTGGTCGCTTCTCAAAGTTGTTTATGGTCTGAGCATCAATGATCATGGTCGACTTGTTTGTAAAGTGACATCGTTGCGGTTCAGGGCACTTCGAAGCTTTGACCAGTTGCCGCAAATGGGACGACCCTGCTCGTTCAACAACGTGATCCCTTACGGCTCATCATCATCGTGCACAGAACTATCCCAGTCTAAATGAGTATCAGCAGTATAAATTCAAGCTTGTACGAGCCTTTTCAGCAGAACCCGGCTTCGTCATCATGTCCAAGGCTCTACGAAATATGTCGAGGCTTGATTTTCGGGAAAAGTTGATACACATCACCAACCTCGGTCGCCATGACCTGATATGCAAGTCAGCAGCAAGTTCAAAGTCAACTAGGCAGGTGCAGTGCGCAGATATACGAATCGTAGAAGCCTTCGCTCCAGGAAAAAGTAATACAAACTACTCCATAACGTATATGCTCTGCCCCAATGCAACAATGTATCGCATCTAGCTAATCTCAAGCCCTGCCCAAACCCTAGAAAAAGAATAAACCAAGAATCGAATTGTTGTTGTGCTCAGTAATGCCTTGTGTATCGTCGGTGTAGTAAAAAAGGGAAACGACTCCTTGATCTTTACAAGGCCAGCGCATCCATGCACAGAGCGGTAGACATCTAGTCCTCTGACTCTTGTTCGACGAGCCATTCCATCACACTCTCGTAGCAGAGTACGAATTGACGCAGACTCTGCACCATGCTGATTCTCTGCTTGCGGAACTCTTCGACCGTCTTTTCGATCAAGTCTTGGTTCTCGTCATCTACCCATTTTCCATCGACTTCGTCTTCTTGTGGCGATTGACCAGAAGGTGGGCCAAAGAAAGAGTTGTTGTCGTCCTTCATTTGCACAGAGCTTCTGCGTGTATCGAGATGCATGGGCGAGCTGTCACGAGTGTGTCGTTGGCGAGATGCTCGTTGTCTCTTCAGCATGTCGATGACCGTGGCTACAGTGCAGAATGTGCCTGTACGACCACATCCAGCACTGCAGTGAACGACAATCGGCGGTGCTTCTGGGGGATCCGGGTCTGACCAGCTGGTGTGTGTCGTGGCGCGCACAACCGCATCGCATTGCTCTACCAATCCCAAAAGATGTGCTGGATGTGCCGGGGCGCCAAAGTCGGGCCAGCTTGAGTACTGGAGTTGTGTGATTTCGCGCATACGTTCGAATGGGTAGCCCTCGTGCCTAAGTGCGAGCTTGCGGACGATGACGTATGGTTGGTCGTCTTTTGATCCACCGTCGGCAGTACTGGTGTCGATACGTGCGAGGGTGGTGCCGTCAGTGGATTTTCTTCCGCCGACTGATGGGCGTTGGCGATGCCTCTTGATCTTTACCGGATCCAGGGAAGCGCGCTTCTCGGAGAGGAATTCGAGACGAAGAGGACCGTATTGCTTGTCTGACCAGTAATTGTGAGCCTTGACCTGGCCACCTTCCTTTTCAGCTGTGAGCATAACGATCACTCTGGTCTCTTGCTGCCAGATTACGTTCCAGAAGTCCTGCTATACATCAGTTTCTGCAATATCAAGCCGAAGAGGATGCTTAACTCACAGCAAAAGTAGCGGGAATTGGTCCCTGAGTGGCGATATACCGCTTGTGCGAGCGCTGCGACGAGATGTAATTGGCGTTGAAGTAGTCACAACCATGTGAAGGAACATCCTGCAGCTTGACACGGGAATGCTCAAAAGGCCAGATGTTGTTGTACCTGTTCTTTGATCCCTTCTCGATGCCCGCAATCTGAATCTTGGACTTGGGCATTGATTGCGAAGGTGAGCCATACGAAACCTTTCCAGATAGAGCTTCTTGCATGCGTCTCTGTTCACGCTTCTCGATCTGCAGGAACTTGTCAGACACGCGAGCACCATTATCCTTCTCGTCAGCTGCTGCTTGCAGCCAGGGAGGGAAGTGATCGCGTGCTTCTCTTGTCAAATGTGAGGGCCGCTTGACTTCCATCTGACCAACACCACCAATGAGATCCATGTTCTGTCTGATGTTTCCGAAGAAAGGATTGGCGGCATTCTTCTCCATGGGCATGGGACATCCACCAATGACGGGTGCTATCTCGGGACCATCCAGCTTGATCGACATGGGAGCGCCAGCACGACTCGATTGACCACCAGCTCTCTCAACATGCGAAGGGAACTTCTTGGCAAAGTCGGCAAAGCCACCCTTGAGGATGTAGGCAGTACCTTGCAAGCCTTCACTTTCAAACTTCCTGATGGTATTAACGCAAGAAGTGGCGTCTTTGATTTGCGAGGAAGCCGAGTCGTAGACAATGATGTACTTGCTGCTCTTCCAGTTTTCGAACTTTTGGCGTTGGTTGGCGTCATCCTTGAAAGTCTCGGCCAGCTTGTTTACGTTGAAAGAAGGTCGTTTTAGGAGTGTGGTAGGAATGCACAGGTTGAGCGCACCACGAAGATGAGCGCCGGCGTATTGAGTTGAAACGCGAAGATCCAGTATCAACATCTCCTCAGCAGCAGACTCGAGAAGATTACAAAGATGCTGAGGGGTGATGAAAGAATTCGAGTCGTTCAAGGGACCAGCCACAGGAACAGTCTCAGAGCGAGGCTTGAAGTTTGGTTGAGGGGGAAGATTGAGATTGAAAGGCATGTTCAGCCTGGGCTGAGAAGAAGGGCGCTCAGGAGCATGGCGTAGAGCGTCTGGAAACGACGAGTCGTTAGAAAGATGTCTTTTGGGGGAGCGCCCTTGGTACGCAGACTCCGGATCGAGATGATTGTCATTACCTAAGCCTGAGATGGAGCCCGCATGGGGACGACCTCCTGATATGGGGCCTGAAGGCACACGTCCTCCTGATATGGAACCGAAAGGCACACGGCCTCCTGATATAGAGCCTGAAGGAGGGCGCCCGCCAGAGATTGAGCCAGATGGAACGCGTCCTGACGGAGGCATTTGGCGTGACTCGGTCGAGGCCTTTGGACTGGCCGAGAGATTGATGTTGTTGAAGAAGCTGTTGGTATTTGTGTTTGAATTGCTGTGGCCACTCCCGCCAGAAGGCAGTGCCGGCTTCTTAAAGTCAAATTCATGCAGCGAACCCAGATTAAAGCCTACGTTCTGCGATTGGCGTCGAAAAGCGTCGAAGTCTGGGTTTTGATCGACAGGGACCACGCTGGGGGAGAAGGCGGCGGTCGATCTGACGGCGGACGAAGGCGGGCTCCAGTTCTTCCTGGTATGGCGGCCGGATCCCGAGTCGTAGGAGTCTTCCTGAGCAGGGAAGCCAAAGTAATTTGGACTGGCACTGCGCGCGTTGGAGTGATGTGCCTGTGGCGATTGAAGTAAGGGACCCATGTTGTGTGCGCTGGTCGACGGCGGACGGGCGTTGGGGGTTTTTGCCGCAGACATGTCGTGCGTGTGCGGCTGAAGTCGTGTGTATGGGGGAGAGAGGGTTTTTTTTCACGCCGACCGAGATGCGCCAGCTGCTTGGGCAGATTAGAGGGTGGCGTTCGGTATTTGTGAGAGGGGTCGAAGGTATCGATCTAGGCGGCGACGGCGAGTACAGTAGTAGTATCCATCTGTAAGGAGAGGGTCGGGTGTGCTTGTTCACGCTAAGTTGAAGGGTGAAAGGTGGGCCTCGACGACCCAGACCACCGACCACTCATTTTCAATGACATCATCCGCCCAAAGGTCCCTGCAAGTCCGAGCGTCTCCAATAATATGCGCCGTGCCCTGCAGCATTCTGCCCCTGCCACTGCTCACCACTGCTCGTACACTCAACCTTCTATCATGTCCTCGTACCCTCTAATCAGCCATCACTATCACATCTATCTACCCGTTGACTTCTCACCTCGTGCCATCCTAATCTTCTGCTGAGCAAAGCGGCCAGCAGTGTGAACATGACCTCTGGACCCTGATGACTCGAAGACAAAGGAAACAGCTTCACGTGCCGCCTTGCACATCTCTCCTTGTTTCGAACAGCTCGCTCGTATCTCGCCCATGCATCGACAAGAATTATTACCATAACCTGTCAACTCGCCCAATAGCCGTCGCTTGGCTCGGCTGTCTTGACTCTACCTTATCTGATCGTCCCTCTCTTTTTGTGTTGCCTCGTGTCTTCGTCCCTTCTGTTGCCCTTCCACCCTTTTCTCGAAACCCATCCCGTTTTAACCCATCCCGTTTTCGTAAATCAAAAGTCTAGAATTGGACCCTCTTCCGATGGAAAAATGCCTCGTGCTCTCCCTGTCTGCCTGCTGCTTGCTGCTTGCTGACGCCAAGTGCCGGCTTCGGACAATCTACCAAGGCACATGATCATGTCTCGGATATTATTGTTGACGTTGTGAACAAGAGTCATTTGCCGTGCTATCTCGTCAGCTGCCGCTCGCCTTGCGAGAGATTGTAAGCATAGCATCACAGCTGAGAAGTCATAATTACAAGGCGCGCCGCACTTTGTTGCCGCGGAGGCGACTTTTGTTGTATCGTGCGATATGGGGGGTATGCTCAGCCTCAGCTGCGACGACAACGGTTTCGTCATGTCATGTCAATGTGACCGTTCCTGTTTGCCTCAAAAGAGTCGCTATGGATTGTTGTCATGGTCCGATGGCGTGGCGGCGTGTTCGATGCTCACTTGCTTCGTAAGCATTATCCAGGACCATACTCCGAACTAGAGGCGTCATTGAATATGTCATGTTAGTAGCGTGTTACCGAAGGGCGTCTTCATACTGGCGATCGCATCATCATCAGCATCACATGTTGCAAGGAGACGTGGTGAGGTAAAGTGGTTCATGAAGTGTGCTCGCAGCCACTGCTGCTTGCTCTCTATGGTACAAGTTCACGCCATGCTCTCTTTGAATTACTAGAGTAGATCCCAAACTCCGTACTCCACTGCAGCATGTCGGCCGCAGTTCCTTCATTGCATGCGTTGCTCTCCTTCTACTTCCATAGCTTGGTGAGCGAGACCTGTTGGTCGTTGTGTCTGTTGAGCACCTTGGCTGTTGCGAGATCAAAGTCCTCTTGGGTGACGTGAACTCTTCTTTCTCTGAGGGCAAACATGCCGGCTTCTGTGCACACACCCTTGAGCTCGGCACCTGAGCATCCATTCATCTTCTCGGCGACCTTGGTGAGGTTGATACCTCTGGTCAAGTTCATGGAGCGACTGTGAATGCGGAGAATGTCGGCACGAGCCTCGACGGTTGGTGGAGGGAACTCGATCTTTCTGTCAATACGTCCAGGTCTGAGAAGGGCGGGATCCAGAATGTCGAGACGGTTGGTGGCCATGATGATCTTGATGTTCTTGGTGGGCTCGAAACCATCAAGCTGGTTGAGCAGTTCCAGCATAGTGCGCTGGACTTCACTGTCTCCTCCGCTGGAACCCTCGACACGCGAGGAACCAATACTGTCAATCTCGTCCATGAAGATGATGCTGGGCGCGTGCTCTCGTGCCATGATGAACAGCTCGCGCACCATTCTTGAACCTTCTCCAATGTACTTTTGCACCAACTCCGAACCGGAGACTCTGATGAACTTGCAGTCGGTGTGATGGGCCACAGCTCTTGCCAGCAATGTCTTTCCGGTTCCAGGAGGGCCGTACAGGAGGACACCCTTGGGTTGTGCGATACCAAGCGACTCGAACAGTTCTGGGTGCTTGAGACCGAGCTCAATGACTTCCTTGATTTGCTTGATCTGCTCGTCGAGACCACCGATCATGTCGTAGGTACTGTCGGGCACCTTCTCAACCATCATGAGCGAGACAAGAGGGTCGACGGATGAGGGAAGCATGGATGAAAGCTTGTAGGAATCGGAGAGGAGAGTGACACGCTTGCCGGCGGTGAGCTTGGACATGTCGATATCATCGGCGACATCAACGACTGGCAGAGTTGATTAGCAGGGCGCATGGGGAGATCGTAGGCTTGTTTCGACATACCGTATTTGCCTTCAGGATGCACCTTGACCAGGACCTTCTTTGTGCTCATGACCTTGACAACCTCACCGACGTAGGAGCCAGGCTGTTGGAGCAAGCCCAGCTCTTCACGTAGTAGGCGCACTCTGGAGTTGTAGTCGTTTCTTTGCGCTTCCAGTCTGCGGAGGACGGCTTGACGCTGGATGATCTCGAGCTTCATGCTCTCGATCTTGTTGTGGAAGAAAGTGTCGAGCGCCATGGCGGGCAGTCGGCTGATGTGAAGCGCTGGGAGAACAGAAGATGCAGATGAAGAGGTGTCGATCAGCGAGTGACGGCGAGTTGTGATGATGGATGGTCTTGTTGTAGAGATGGCGACTGCTCATGACGATGGAAGCACGGAAGGTCGGAGCTTCGGAGCACAACTTTATGCAATCTTATGCCGCCTATACCAAGCCAAATCGCAACCCCGTTTCCTCTAGCTTTCTCCTACACTCCAACAGCTTCGATTTGAACATAGCTTAGGTTGACATGCACAACAACTATATTCAAGTTAAGACTGACACACGAGCAAGTGCACATACAACAACAACATGAACTGGGTCGCACGAATGAGATAGGTTTCTGAAATGTTTGTCTCAAGCACTTGATTCTCTACGAACTCGAGCAGCCTATACTCGCTTCTGGATCTTGATCTCCAAGTATCTGAGCGGTACATAGAGTAGTCCAGTAACCACAAAAGCCAACTCGAAGCCGATATCGCCAGTCGTCTTCGCAATAGGTCCCGTATACCATACCTGCGCCATCGAAGGTATCACCAAAGCAAAAGAAAGAACGCTAGCTCCTAATGCAGCAATACCGCTCGGGAGCTTGTTGGATTTGTCCCACTTCTCGTGGTCATAAGCCGAGCAATCCGACTTTCTGAACCAAGCATGCTCGATAACGACGACTGCCACGAAGGCCGAAGCCCAATATCCGATCACTCCGATGAAGTTTTCGAGATTGTCGAAGAAGCTCGTCGCAGCACGGATAGCCACCGGGATCACAATGGCTGTGATGACGATAGCGAAGAGAAAGCGAGGGACTCTGACCATCCATGGCAGCAGAAGTTGGAAGTTGAGCGTGATGCTGTACATGGTCGCTGCAATATTGCCGAGCAGTGAGAAGGCGAGCAGAACAACGACGAACTTACCAAATCCACCAGCGGGCTCAAGCATAGCGGCTAGTACACCTCCCACAGATGTTGAGTCGTATCCGGCTTGCCAGGACGGCACATTGGGGCATGCACCACCAATTGCAGCACCGAGCACCATCAGAGGCACCGTAGGCAAGAACAATCCGCCGTAGGTGTAAGCAAAGACCTTAGCACTGGAGGCTTCTGGCACCATGTAGACAGCAAAGTCTCCAGCCAATGCTGCCCACGGAATCAGGAAACCGGCGATGAGTGCTGAGAAAGAGAGAACCGTGGAAGCTTCGGGGGTCTCGAAGACAGCCTGGTTGCTCAAGTGCTTACCACCAGTTCCAGTGGCGATGACGATGGCGATCAAAGCCGGGATCCAGGCGAAGCGTTCGTAGCGATGTAAGATCTTGAAGCCGCAGAAGCAGACCAGCATGGCCAGAATGGCAATGACGACAATACCGACATCAGGCGAGAGATGGCCGTGCGTGATAGCAGAAAGAGATTGACCGCCGATAACACTATCAATAACGCAGAAGCCCGTGAGAGTTGCAAGATTGAGTATCACAGGTACTGAGACCAGATAGTAGCTGGAAGAATCTGTCAGTGGAGTGTATCGCGCACAGTAATCGCCCAGCTTACCCGAATGAGAATCTTGCCTGAATCATTTGTCGCATACCAGTCTTGGGTCCTAGTGTTGCCAGGTATCCCACTGGGATCGTACATAGAATACTGAAGAAAAGAATGATCAAGGAGCAGTCTCTGAGCCCAAGTCCATAGCCTAGTGGTCCAGTCATACCGGTCACAATTCTGCCTTCTGTCAGTGAACTGTTCAGAACTCGTGATACGAAACAAGACTCACGGTAGTAGATTGACACTCATGGTAAGCCAAAGCGTGAAGATACCATGCACCCTCGTGTTCGTCCGCTCAGTCACTGGTATAGGAACGATTCCTCCAGTCTCCACTCCCAATGATGCAAACTTCTTCAAAGACCATGACTGGGCAGTCTCCACATCAGTCTCTTTCACAGGTCCAGGGAAGCCTTTTTCTTCATCCGTGACGTTGGCATCTGGCTCTTTGCGAGCATGACCTTCCATAGTGAAGATAAAATCCGGAAGCGACACGGAGCCAGAGAAGAATAGTGAGGAACTACCAGACACCTGAATTGATATTTGCAGAATCCAAAGAGAAACAAATCTTGTTTATGCGCGATCTAGACCATGTTATATGAATATGACTCTTCTTCTCCACGTTTTGACATGTCTCTTCAAAAGTCTTGCCACTTTTTAGCCCGAATTAGAATTTTTTTGCCGAAGGGCGTTTCCCGGAGTTGCGACCGATTGTTTCCCGATGGATCATGTCGCTCAACATGCATCTCAAAACACCATGAAGTAAATGTTCTCGACAGCGCCCACTGATAGACTGGGCGAGGCATCTTTTGATCTCCCTAGTTCTATCTCCAGTGGCATTAAATACAAGATAAAATCGTTTAAGACTGTTTTCATTCGTAGCTAGCATAAAGTCGTTGACTGTGTGCGATCACACACGCTGGTATCAATTACCAATTACCAATAAAGCAAGCAAGTAAACACCTGTCGCCGTCCAAGCCAATTTTTGGTTCTATAGCAGGATTCATCATGAACTCAGCGTTTAGGAGGCCTTAGCACAACCACTGCAGGTGCACTGACCGGCAGGGCAGGGGCAGTTGCCCTCGGCACCACCACAGTTGCACTTGGTCTTTCTGGGTTCCTCGGAAACAACCTTCATGTCGGCAGACTCGGCGGTGGCACCGCTGGAAGACTTCTCGGAGTGCTTGGAGCAACCGGAGCAGGCGCAGTGTCCATCAGCGCAGGGGCAAGAGCTAGAGTCGCCGCCGCAGGAGCCTGTATTGTTTTAGTAGGGTGACGGATGACTTTGAGCATGACTGGACTTACACTTGGTCTTGCCGTTTCCAACAGAGTGGACGTCGTTCTTGCCAGTCTTGAGGTTGGCAAGGTGACGGGCCTCGTTGTGAACATCGAGGACCTGCTTGCTACCCTGGTTGTAGAAGTCTCTGAGCTTCTGGCCAGTGGGAGTGCCAAGGGCCTTCTCGAAGTAGGAGTTCAAGCCAGACCAAGCAGCGGCACCCTTGTCGGTGACACCGAGCTTCTGGTCGATGCCTTGAGCCTTTGCGGTGGCTTGGTACTTGGCATCGAACTGCTGCAGCGAAGAGGTGAAGCGAGCGCTGACACCGTGCTGCTGGTCCAGAGCAAGGGCGCGCTCGATGGCCTTGTCGCTGATGGTGTAGCCGTGAGCAAGGTACTCTGCGACAATGCGAGAGCGGGGCTTGTCCTCCTGGGAGATGTTGTCCGAGGACTCTTCATCGGCGGCGGAAAGCTTGCCACCAGCGAGCTGGTCAAGGGTAGCGGTGGCAGCAACGTGAACCTGATTGGCACCGAGCTGGGTGTTGTCGAGGAGGAGAGCAGTCTTAGCAGCAGATTCCTTCTCGAAAGTAACAGTGGCAGACTTGACGCTGTCGCTGGCATTCGACTCAGGGGTGATGGAGATGTTGGAGATCTTGCCGCTATGGAAATGTCAGTTGTCTGCTGATTGTTGAGCTTGAAGGGACACGACTCACCAGAACGAGAAGAAGTCGCGGACTTCCTTCTCAGAGGTCTGAGCGGAGATGTTCTGAACGTGGACGGTGGTAGACATGATGAAAAAGGTACTGATTTTTGTTTGTGAAATCAAGTGTGATGTTGGGAGATAGTAAGAGGAGACGTGTGGTCAAGACGTCGTTTTAGTTTCGTGGATACCCCTCAAGGCGGCGAGGAGAGCTCATTGAAAGACGCCCATACGTCATCTGTGGCGCAGCACCGACCTCTACTGCCTTCACTTCTCAGCTTGCATGTGATATTCTGCCACCGAACTCTCTTTCGCCGTCGTGCCGTGGCTACGAACACTGTACGATTACAAGATGTGCGATCAGGATCGAGGTGCTTGGATCGTGGTATAGTCGCTGTCCATCCATCAGTCTCGTCCGGTCTTTCTCTTCATGATGCTTCTTCATACGCACACGCGAACCCAACGATTAATATAAAACTTCGACCATGCCACATTTACAGTTACTGCTTGTGTGTAAGGACTCAAAAGTCCTCTTCTTGGTGAATCTGTTCATCCTGATGACTTGCTACAGGATCTCTCGTCTAAAGAGGGACATTGGAGAACAAGCGATTGATAAGGTCCTTACTAACGGCTTGAGTCTCAGTACTGCTATGGCTGACTCTGCCACTCGGTAGCAGTCTCTGTAAGTCGTCTCTTGACTCTATGCACAATGCGTTGCCATATCTCTCCGGATCCAATCGTCGGTTTTGTATAAAGTGCGGCTACTCTTGTGAGCTTCATACTGTTCATAGCCAGACTCACAGCCCGTCATGTTAATTCTTCTTGTGTCAATTGCTTGCTCGCTGGCGATATGACCTTTTCGTGCAAGTGCCCAAGGTACGTATAGGGCAGTATCTAGCATTCTCATCCCTCGAGTCATATATCGAACCTCTGTCTCGGCGGACGAATCGCTGTCACCCCACTATCCGGCTGTTTCCATCGGCTCTCCGACGATGGTACTCGTGTTTGTTGATACCAACAACAAACGAACAGACCCTATGCCGAATTGGCCAACGAAGTGAATCCTGGAAATTGATTCGCATGACAGAAAAAAGATAGGGTTAATTGCCGTTACAGGGCAGCTTGAGTTTCGAGGTTTCCATTCCACTCGGGATCCTTACATGTTCGTGCTGGCGGTCACAGCAAACAATGCTACCATGCTGCTGCCCTAGTTGCGCGAACCGGTCAAGGCAAGAAGCTCGTAATATTCCTCCAACAAGATTCCATACGGGGCTCAACCGTAGAACCATCTCGAAATGCGATGAGAAGCAGAGTGACCTGCTTAGCGGCCATTTCAACCACTCACGCGACACAATCAGCTTCAACTGCCCCCGCAATGTTTCGTCCGCATACCCGCGACTCGAGCTATCCCAAGTCTGGAACGAGCCGATCAATCACAAGACGCGCTCAACGCCCTCTCCCGGCCGTCTCTAACGATGCACGATGGAATAAGTCGCTCATATCAAGAGATACGAGCACTGCACATGGCATCACGTCTTGGTGTAACCACTGCGCTAGCCCTAAGATAAAGGCGTGGTCTTCCTCGACCTCCGAATTCGCATACATAGCAATCGAGAATTTGGACTCCCCCCGATCGATGAAAGCTGAACGGGCATGGAAATGAAGCATCAAGTAACGAAAACTCGCCTCCGCAAAAGACTATGCCTCTTGAGGCGAATTCGCTGCTTTCTTGGTCCTGTTTAGCGCGGCGCGGCTTCTGCCCGAAGATAGCGGCCTTCGTCTAGCCAATCAGCAAAGGTTTTTATTAGTTCGAGTCGAGCCGATCAGCGCTACATACAAAAGATCTTTCTCCTTTGCCAACATCTCTCCCACGTCGCCTCTCTTCAGCTTCTCACCAACGACATCATCCTTATACGGTCTGCCTCTGATTGGAGACTGGTCGTCAAGCGTGTACCTCGGAACAGATCTCTATATTTTCAACAAGCCTAGCGATCTGTTCAAAGCCTTCAAAGATTGTAAGACATTATCCGCCCTCATGTCTCTTCCTCAGAGACAGCGTCGGGACTACAACAAATTTCCCACTACTCAGCTTTTCTTCTTGGGTAAGTTTGCAGCTCCTTTAAGAACCGGCGAGGCTATTCTGACCAGTCTTCAGCTCTCGTGAGGGTCGCCGAGCCCATAGCCCTTACATCGATTTTCCCTTACGCCTGGAAACTCGTAATCGACTTCAACGTAACTGATCGCGCAAATGCATCCTTCTATGCCGGTCTGCTGATCTCAGCCTTCGCTCTTGCTGAATCTTTGACAGGACTGTGAGTAGCAAAAGCAGAAGTTGCCAGTCTTTCGTAAACTAACAATCTCGCAGATATTGGGGAGGTCTCTCGGACCGCATCGGGCGCAAGCCTGTGTTGCTCTTGGGAAGTGCCGGAACCATGCTCTCACTCCTTTTGGTCGGAGTTTCAACCAATTTCTGGATGGCTTTGGCTGGACGAGCAATTGGCGGCTTCCTCAACGGAAACATCGGTGTCATTCAGACCATGGTCGGAGAACTTACTGTCAACCCCAAGCATGAGCCTCGCGCATACTCGGTCATGCCATTTGTCTGGAGCATAGGCACAATCATTGGTCCATCCATCGGCGGTATCTTCTCAGCTCCAGCGGATAACTTCCCGGATGTGTTCTCACCGCATGGAATTTTCGCCAAATTCCCCTATCTGCTTCCCAACCTCATTTGCGCAGCCTTGATGATGTTTTCAATTGTCTGCGGATTCTTCTTCCTCGAGGAAACTCACCCCGACATGCAGCCCTGGAGCACAGTAGACGATCTCCAACACACCGAAGCCGAAACTCCACTTTTCGCTGCTCAGGCCGGTACGACAACAGCCGCGGTCGACTTGCGCAATGAATCTTACGGTACCTTCAACAAGGTCGTCCAAGATCAAGAGTGGAATGTTTTGCCCGATGGAACGGATGCGCCAAAGGAAGCAGAGCCCCAGGATCAAGTTGTCTTCACGAAGCGTGTGGTCATGTTGATCATTGCACTCGGCATCTTCACCTATCACTCCATGTCTTATGATCATTTGTTGCCCATCTTTTTCCAGGACTCTCGTGTTGAAAGCAGAGCACATGGAAACAAGCTAAGTTCAATGGCGGGTGGTCTCGGTTTGACGATTCAAGATGTAGGTGTCGTCATGTCTGTCAACGGCATTATCGCGCTGGGTGTTCAAGCCATTATTTTCCCTTTGGCAGCAGCATGGCTGGGTGTTTGGAAGTTGTTCATTGTCACCACAGTCTTGCACCCTCTCGCTTACGTCGTGGTTCCTTACTTGGTTCTCCTGCCTGATGGATGGCTCTATCCTGGCATCTACGCCTGCCTGACGATTCGCAATATCTTCGCCATTCTTGTTTATCCGGTCCTTCTGATCTTGCTCAAGGAGGCTTCACCTTCGCCTTCATGCTTGGGTAAGATCAATGGCTTGGCTGCTAGCACTGGTGCAGCGTGCCGCACTCTCGCATCGCCCATCGCAGGTATCCTCTATGGCATTGGTATCGATATCGACTTTACCGCTCTGGCATGGTGGGTTAGCGGCGCCGTTGCCATCATCGGTGCTATTCAGTGCTTCTTCGTTCATCGCAACAAGAGTAGTGAATGGCATCAAGTTCGTGCTCGTGCACCTTGCCGCTTCATGCCACCTGAGGAGCACAGACAGGATATTGTTCACATTGTTGTACAAGACGAGGAAGAGGAGGGAGCTGAAGCTAATGAGCAGCAGAGGCTGTTGGCATAGGCTATAATGACTTATGAGTCAGTCGAAATCTAACGTGTACAATGGATGTTATTTGCATATATCATTTCCATAGCATTTAGCGGCTTTTAGGGTTCTTTTGGTGTTGTATATGTATGTCTCCCTTTCATAGCGAGCGTGGCGTTTTGGGCCGATATTTAGGTTAGACTATAGGTGTTAAATGATGACCTCTCCTTCGAACGCCCTTCTATACATAAAACGACCCTGCCTTTTTACAGCTGCAATACGATGCTGTAGCTCGAGCCCGGGATAGATACAAATGCCATACTCCTTGAATACCTGATCCTGCCCCCCTCCTCGTACTCCATGAGAACAAGTCGTAATCACAAAATCATCATGCCTCTTTATAACCCATCTACAAACCCCCTCAGCGCTCAACGGAGATACATCTAGCCCCATATTCCGTCACTCGCCGGTATCGTTTCGTCTGCGTGACCCGAATATCGTCTTTGGCGGCCTGAGGGTCGAGCGGCGGATATCGAGGATCAAACAGAAGACAGCAAGCTGCCCAATATTGTTCGTGTTGAGCTGTATATGGGTTTCGGTCGTTCTGAGCGGGCGGTTTTATTTTATAGGCATGGTACTTGTGGTGGAACTTGCGAGATAGAAATGTTGTGATGAAAGTACGTATATGGATTTTGGATATTTGGGGCTGGAAGGGTTTTGTTACGGACATGGGACAGCTCGAGGATGAGAGAACAACCACTGGAAACGATGAGGTTCAAGCGGAGCATAAGCTTGATAAGGGACAGCACAAGAGCACAAAGACAAGTTTGTTCTTGTATGTTCATTAAAGCACGTGTGTGGAAGAAAGCTCCATCTACGGAAGAGGTAGAGAGCGTGGTGTATGATTATGTAGCAGAACGGAAGCAAAAGGCAAAAGGAAAACTTGTGATTGTTGGATTGTGAAAGAAAGGGATTGAATGGGTATAGTGCTGAAAAAAATCAAAGAACGCCATGTGCCCAGGAAGGAGAAAAGAGAAACAGAACCAAGATGGAAGTATTTTTTGTCGCTTTCGTGGGTTCAATGAGTTGATGAGTCGAGAAACTGTTCGATGGAGGATGAACGCCCCTTGTCGGCTTTGTGCATGGTACCAAGATCGATCGGGTGTTATTTTGCTGTTGGAACGGTGCAGTAGCCAATGGATATCGGATTTCGAGTCTCCCGTAGACAGTCTTGTACTTCGACTGTGAGACCGGGCATAATCACAGAGTTGAAAATCGCTGCTTTATATCCAGGAGATCGCCGTCGTGAGAGAGTCGTAGTAGTCCATAATGCGTGGTAGTGTCATGGTCACTCCAAGATCTCACCTTCATCGGTGCTGATGTAGCTCTTGACACGAGCACGGCCTGTAGTAGCATCCTTGTCGGCAATCACTGACTTGCCAGCCTCATACTCCTGGTTCCGGATAAACTCACGGTACGACGGACCGTTAGTGACCGGAGCCTTTGTGTCATCAGAGCCGCCGGAGCTCGTTGAGTCGAGGGTGGGAGACGTTGTGGTAGATTTATGCTGTGCGATCTCGATGCGCAGGTGGTCGAGTTTGGCTCTGAGAACCTTCTCGCGATTAGGGGTATAGCTGCTAGCTCCTTCGTGAGCGGATCCTTCGCGGGCAGTGGCCCTTTCTGAGTTGATGGCATAGACACGAGTGCCGCGGCGAGTGTCAGTGTGAGACGATCTGTTGTTGCCCTGTTCAAAGGCACGACGTTTGGAGGTAGATGGTCTATAAGTCTCGTAAGGTCTGTAGTGAGTAGTGCTCTCTGACTTGATCTTGACTCTCTTGTCTGATGGCGGTTCGTAATAGTAAGGGGCAGAAGCGCAAGATCTTGCGCTTCTCGCCCAAGAAGGAGGGACCATCAGGGGCGGGTGCTTGGTAACGACCGCTGGATGGACCCTGTCCGCGAACGTAGTCGTCGTTGGGGTAAGTTGAGGGAGGGGACGAGGTGTCCATTCGTCTGACGTCCATCAAGTCACAATTGAGGACGTCCTTAATGGGGGCGAAAGAATCGAAGTCGCGAGCAGCAGGTTGAGGAGGCCGGTAACCGGGTGTGAAGCTGAAGGGAGGGGGAGAGTTCGTCATTTGCTTGACGTCCATCACGTTGCGGGTCGTAGCATCGTCTTCGAAGGCGAAGCGAGCGGTATTGCGAACAGCAGGACGTTGTGGAAGGTGACCCTGGGTGACAACTGCCATGAGATGTCCCGAGACAGTCATTTCAGCCCATTTGCGGAGCTCAGGGGCAGCTGTGTTCTTGAACGCGAGAACGTTGTTGCTTAGCTGGTTTGCGGTAGCTTGTGCGTGAAAGATAACAAGCGCGTGATGACCTTGCTGCTTGTGCTTATTATTCTGTTCCTCTGACCAGTTTTGCCACTGAAAGTTGTAGATCTCGTGAACCACTGCAGTGAAGATCATCATACCGTCAGGGGCGCTGCGATCCAGGAGGTAGTAGATTGCCTCATCCGTGAATAAGTCGCTAATGATGCGCTTGTTCTCGACCTCTAGGTCGAGGAATTCGCAGAGATCCTTACTTTGATCAGACCGGTCACGCAGGACTCTGCCCGAGACCTTCCAACGAAGACGAAGGGCGTTGAGAAACCAATTCACGCATCTGTCGTCAGCGAACACAGTTCGACCATGACACTCGAGATAGTTGAGATGGGCGCATGTGAATTTTTGTCCCTGACGGATGACGTGCTTTGGCATAGTCAGATCGAGGCGCTCATCGCAAGGTACATAAGCGCTAGGGGTCCTCGAGAATGCGTGGGAACCGGTCTGAGAGGGTGCCATCTTGAATGTGTCGGGTGAAGTTCGCGCAAATGATTGACTATCTGTTGTGGGGAGAGGAAGATGGTAGTGGAGAGCGAGGAGAGTTGAGGGACGAGAAGTAAGCGAGGAGAAGCACGTGGATAAAGCGGAGAATTGGATGAGTGAGAGTCGAGTTCACAACCGACTTTCATTATATGTCGATACGTTCGAGAAGTCGTTCGTACGCAATCACCCGACGCGTCGTTTGCACACCACCTACCCAATCAAGATCTGTGACCTTACCTTGACAATCGTCTTTGCTTTCCCACTGCAAGGCTTTGTTATATGTATTTGAGTACTGCCCGATTAGGATATTCTGTGACTGGCAAAGTTGTCCAGACATATAAAACTACTCGCTTGATCATCGACTTCTGTGAAGGTGTGGCTTAGCTCCATCCCAGAGACAAAGACTTGGCCAGCTCCTGTAAATGTTTTGGACATCTTCTGCAGCTCTCATACCTCCTACTTCTCAGTGTATGATGAAGCGTCAAATCGAGGTTGAGCCATCGCTGATCCCATGTATATACTTTCGGAGTCAGTCATCGTTGCGCTCTATCCTCTCCAGACCAGGTGGAAGAAGGACTCAAGGGACGAGTGGGATTTGATGAAGTATGGGGAAAATATATATATCAGGATACCTGAATCACAATATACGAGCGAGAAAGTAACGCAAGTCACATCAGTAACACTTCCGATGGCGATTAGGATCCGAGAGACAAATTACAAGAAAGGGAGCTGTTACGATTCACTCTGGCCGAATGAAGGCTCGATGCCTTTGAGACAAACGAGGTCTGATGTGGACTTTGGTCGCTTGCCCGGAGGAGATGAACATTACCACTCGCCGCGACAAGGCCGTAGAGAATAGCGGATATTTCAGCTTTAGATCGTGGTTTATGTCGCTAGCCCATCGCGATGCGACAATTTCATCGAGGTGAAGAGGCGATCGCGGAAGAGCTCGAAAGTGCAGTGGAGGTCTGGAGTGAGGAAATGGTGTGGGGAAATGTCATCACTTTGACTTTTGGAGGAGCAGAATGCTCATGACGCTTATAAACGTCACTGAAGCATTGGAGCTCTACAGCTCTTCAAAAGAGCTTTGAGAGCTCGACGCAGGAATATCCTCTTCTTTTCTCATCAAGCTTCTCTCTGCCTCTACGCCTTTCCAGCCAGTCACACGACCCTTTAAATCTACATCAACAGACCAACAAGCACATCAACTATCACAATGGCCTCCCGTAACGCTGACGCTGCTGCCAACTCCAACCCCGACGGCTTCCACGCCTCGGCTCCCAGAGATGAGCCTCTGCTGTCCTCTGGTCACCAGCCTGGAAAGATGGTCGGCAACGACGCTGCTCCTGAGTTCCACGCCCAGACCCTCCCCGCTGGCACCGCTCCTGCTGAGAGGTATGTTATACCCCACTGATTCTCCTCCTCTGCCTTGCATACTAATCCTTGTTCAGCACTTTCCAGTACAACAACGAGGCCGACGCAACCCCAGCCCAGGGCAAGGCCGCCGACTCTGCTTAAGAGCTTCGCGCTTTCTTCCTTGACCTTGTTTTTCAACGATCAACGATACCAATGCCTCGGATACCTTTTATTGTAAAATTGATTTAGCATTTCTGCATCCATGTAAAGTGGCTACCAGGCCTTGATGGCAATGAAGGAATGACAAAATACTTGCGAACACTTTGTATCTTTGTGCTTCGTTGCGACTCGTTTTCAATGAAGACCATGTCATGGCAACTATAATGTTTGTGGAGCAAAGCGATGTCGTTCTTTGCTTCTGCTAGAGCCTCAACCAAGTGGGGCATCGATCTATCTCCATCGTCAGATCGTATAAAAGCACTGACTCTCCATGTTGTAGCGCAATCGCGGCTCAAAGGTGGGCAGAAAAAAGTTCGTCTGCATCGCTGAGCTATACATCACGCCCATTCGGACTTTTGCTATGCTATAAAAACTATAAGAAATTATAGATGAAGCCATATCAGTTAGCAGGTAACGGGCTCTAGGTATGGAGAGATAGTGTGTCCTTCGGCAGCAACCATGACCCAAAAGGTCTGTGCTTTCGTATACCGTTCGACTGTGTTGATGGGGGGACCCTGATCAGACACTACAGACATTAATTAAGCACGTCGCTTGTAGTTTCATATAGAGCTGAAGTAGCACTGAGGCAGAGCTGTGATGGTTATGAACGACTCGTCGGAATTGGATGCTGAAACGGCGAAAGGTGGAACAATGTGGAAGCCTGCGCTTTGTTAAGGTAGGAGAAGCACTAGCAGTGGAGCGAGAAAGCTTTAGAAGAGTTCGTAGGTTATGTCTGTCAGTCAAGTCAGCAAACCGAACCTCGGCTTTCATAAACAGACGATGAAGGACAAGTCGCACGGGGAAAAAGATTGATGAGAAATATTGATCGCTGAATGAAATGAGGGAACACAATCGATGAACTCTTCTAGTATGGTATCTTGAAAAACACGACAGATGAACTTCTATAGTAGATGACAAAAACTCAAAGCTCTACTCGGCACCCATCATGACAGTATAAGACTCACCTGACTCTTTTTCAATCCTCTCGATCGAGCGCTTGTAGCCAGGCATGCTGTCAAGCTTATTGACATACTCGTTCAACTTAGGGTAGGCAGTCGCGTTGATCATCTTGAGTCGCTTCTGACCAGCCTGCATGGGGAAAGACATCAAAATGTCTGCGGCAGTGAGGTCCTTGCCACAAAGGAAACCGCCGCCGTTAGGTGCGGTGGCGAGCTGCTGCTCCAAGAAGTCGAAGTGAGTCTTGAAGTTGGGCTTGAAGTACGCAGCGTCTACTCTACCGGCAATGGCCCCTGTGACGGGTCGGAGGAAGAAGGGGATCTTATCGCCTTTGAGCACTGTAAGAAGCCATGATTAGCGGCTTGATCGTGAGCGATGTGGACGATTAATCCTACTGCTGAAAATGAGGTTGGTAACCATCAAGGCCATTAATGAGCCCTCGGCATAGTGCATGAAAAAGCGGTAGCGTAGCCACTCTTCGGTCTCAAGACCGGGACCTTCCTTGCCCTCCTCGTATCTCTTGGGGGCGAGATGGGGAGCAAAGTGCTCGGTCAGGTACTCGGTGATGAACCCGGACTCTGCAAGGATCGTAGGCTCGGTTTTACCAGGTGCGTGGATACCAATTACAGGCGACTTGCCCAGAGGGTGCACTTTCTTCAACTCGGGAGGTGCAAGCATCTCTGGCGTGCGCTTGAAGATTTCAATATTGTAGTCGACATTGCACTCTTCGAGGAGCCAGATGAATCGCTGAGCTCTCGACTTGTCAAGCCTGGTGGATTGTTGGATTTTGCCATATGTTTGGTGGGCCTCGCATGTTGACCTACCAATACAGAGTGACCTTGGGTGACATGGTGGTCATGATAAACGTACTAGGTTACTACCAAAATTAGAATCCACGATAACGAAGTATGCTCCACGCGAAGGTGCTGATTACACAAAATGGTCTGGTGTGTTGTACAGCAGCGAAGGTAGATGCGTTGGGGAGAAGATGGCATGGTCTTGAGCCTGGTGGAAGGCCACAGCCGAAGGATCAGACGAGCAGCTGCTTGGTACCAAACGGATGATGTGCTTGCATAGAGGGAATAGCGACTTACAAGTAAATCTTGAGGCTTTTTGAAGAGTGGCCCTATAGACGTTTAGAGCAGGGAAAGATGCTTTCTTCCTGCGTGAAATGAACACAGGAAATAAATTGCTTTCATAAGGCCGATGCGATAAGCTATTGTGACCGAACCGAGGCATCGTCACGATCACGAGCAACGCGCCAAGGATAATATCATGATCATCGTCTTGCTCCAGACACGTGATCTCGAATCCTCTCTTGGCAGTCCCGAACGTCAGCGACAGCGACGGTCATTGTGAGTGTGAACGACACAACCTTCTCAATACCCACCCCCAAATAACAGCTACACATCAACTCAAGATGGCTGGCGGTGGTCACAACAGTGCGCAACTCCCTACATCGAAAATGGGCAATTGCGCATGAACTAACACCTCCATAGGTCTCGCCTTTGACCCGGCGCTGGTCAAGTACAACCGTACGCTCCCCGTCTGAAAATGCGCCAATAATACTGTTATCCTGACTACGATTGCAGAGATGTCCGTGGATCGCTACAAGCACTTCAAGTGGACTCCTCGTACTGCCTGGCTCTCGATCATCTTCGCAATCGCTATCCCTAGCTCGCTCTACTACGTCGCCAACAAGACTGATGTAAGTCTTCGAATTTCGTGTTTTTGGAGCTGTATGAGCTGGACGCCGAATGGAATGACATCCAGAGAAAAGTCAAAGAGAAAGAGAAGGACAAGAGATCATTTTCAGGAGGACACGGCACAGAACTGAGTCCAATCAAGAGGAGGAGAGCGGCACGAGCAGCTAAAGTCTGCGATACGGCTTTGCCTTGGGGATTATGGGATGCGAGAGCTACATCCTCGAGAAGCAATCGACGTAGAATCCAGAAGGTCCCAGACATCAAGCACATGGCTTCAAGACTCTGGTTGAAGGCGCAGCGTTTTCAAACAAAGACGAATGCTAATATCAAGAAACGTAGGGCAAGTACGCGTTCCGCGGCAAGAGAAGAGGAGACACCATGAAGGAGTTCTAAGCTCGAAGATGAACGGGAGGTCACGAACAAACGCCACGCCAAAATTGGCCAAGATACACAATTATACCACCATATCAATATCAATCCCATAGGAACTAATCTCTTAGTGCTGGTCACCATAACTGCTGTTATTCGTGTAAAACTAGAAGCTCGTTGGCCTCCAAATGCTCATGCACACGCTGGAGAAAATTCGGACGGTAGTTCTGAAACCGTGTTGGCTGTGTAAACCTTGTATTGCCTAATGTTTTCTCTTACTCATGTCGAGGTGGATGACTGGTTGGCCTGATCTTTCTCGAGTTGAAAAGGCCTCTTGCTTTCTTAAGATAGTTCGATGTCGCAAAAGCAGCGACGGTGAGCGCTTTTGTCTATAGATACGAAAGCCAGTCCACAAGAATAGTAATGTCTTCTTCTGCACACGAGAAGAGACCCCACTCCTATGTGCCTGTCAGTGATCGTCACCGTGTGTTGTGCTGTGCATGGGGTTGCCCGGGACAAAATTCATTGATACGAGACGACGCAGGGACCTCCAGACGTCACATCTTTGCAGAAACCTCAACAAGTTCAACCCTCCTCCGTATCTTCTCATGTACCGGGGTAGGGATGTCTGTTACTCCAGACGAAAAGGCCCACAAATCACTCTGCGGGCTCGTCTGACTGCAGCGCTTGCTGCCGACGCGTCAACTGTTGGCACGATTCACACTCGGATCCTCGTTTTGAAACTTCCAAAGCGCCCAATGCCAAAAGGATCCCTGCACAAGATCGACTTCTTGTCACTGAGGTGATTTTTACGAGTAGGTGTGGTGATCTGTAGTATGTCGTGACTTATCTATGCCCTCTGCCCTGGGCGGTCGCATCTCGCGCTCTTGCTCGTTTGCGACGCTGTCAATCTCTGGCTTCACATTCGCCATACAGAAGGCGCCATCTCGACTTTGGTCTCTCCCTCTTTCCCAAGAAGCTGTGGCCTTTCGACTTTGCCCAAGATGGAAGAAAACAAAGCTTTCCTTCCGCAAGGAACATCACCAGAAACAGTATATCAAGACGCATCATTACACAACATGGAGGATCAAAAGACGACTACCGTGAACAAGCTGTGGCCCTCGAACTGGAGTAAGAAGACCAGAACAGTCGTCGCCGCGATTGGAGTCATCGTCATCATCCTTGTCACCATTCCTACCATCATCATCCTCAGGAGGCGCGACAACAACAAGCTTCATAACACTTACCCAGACTATCACGCTCTCAACTACACACTCAGTGAGAGATGGCAAGGGACAAACTTCTTCGACAACTTCGATTACCACTCAACGCCAGATCCTGCTGCTGGCTTCGTCAAGTAAGTAGCACGAAGGTTGGACGGTTAGATTAGCTCTTACTGATGTGCATACAGCTACTTGGATCAAGCGACCGCCGAGTCCACCAATCTGACCTACGCTGGCGAAGCATCTGCTTTCTTGAGAGCAGACTCAACGGACACAAACGCAAAGAATGGTCGCAGTTCTGTGCGCATTACTTCCAAGAAACAATTCCACACTGGTCTCTTCGTCTTCGACGTCAAGCATACTCCTTATGGCTGCGGAACATGGCCTGCTGTCTGGATGGCTGACCCAAGTGATTGGCCTGGGAATGGCGAGATCGATGTCGTCGAAACTGTGAACCAAGGAAACACGGGCAACCAGATGGCTCTACACACTTCTAAGGGTTGCAAGATGTACAGCAGACGCGTTCAGACCGGCACAATCCAAGGCACTAATTGCTATAATGGCACGAACGACAATGCCGGCTGTGCAGTCATGGGAGCGTCTAGCTCATATGGTGCCGAAGCGAATGACGATGGTGGTGCAGTAAGCATTCGCCCACTCTCTGTTACCCGCATATTCACCACTGACTCTTTGCTTCATAGGTTTATGCAATGGAGCTTCGTAAAGCAGGCATCCGAATGTGGATATTCAACCGCGACTCGCCACCTGGAGATCTCAGGCAAAACAACGACACCCATCCTGACCCTTCAAGCTGGGGGTTTCCTATCGCCGACTTCCCCAGCACCAATTGCAACATCGAATCCCACTTCAAGAATCAATCGATCATCGCGAACATCGATTTCTGCGGCTCCTGGGCAAGCAGTGTTTACTCTACCCAATTCAAATGTCCCGGAAAGTGTGAGGACTTTGTGGCAACGAATGCCTCTGCTTTTGAGAAGGCCTACTGGGAGTTTGCGAGCTTCAGGATCTACTCGGTAGAAGAGTAGGAGCGTCTTTCCCGGTCCTTTTCGATTGTTGTGATTTTATGATACCCTTTCTTTATTGTTGAAATCCTGGCGCCACGATGAGACACAGTGTCAGGTAAATTACCTTCATTCGGTACACATAACAGGTTCATGAATATATAGAATATGAACAGGCTCATGATTGCCTTCCAAGTGCCACTTTTGACAAGTTCCAATCAGTACCCGTGACTCTACACTGTCGATCTGCCGGATCTGTGACTTGCTTCTCTGTTTTTCGGATGTCCGTACTGGTTGCACATGTTACCTTCTGTTGCCTTCACGGTCCTGCTGGAAGCACCGTTGACGACATCGACGCCCCGCGCTGCCGATCGCGGGTATTTCTCGTCACATTGATGATTGGTGCAGGCAGCATGCGAACAGCTCAAGCAACACCTCGATGCTTGCTTATACATACTTTCTTGATGTGTATATACCATCTTTTGACCCTAGTCCCAATTATAAAGTCTTGATACGCATACTTGCATCACACGGTAGCCGACCTCAGATTTATGTTACAAACGGAACAACCTGCTTTGTCCGAAACACCAGAGTCGCACATGCGTTGCTTTCGAACATTAGAAGGAGATATCAATCTCACGGCATCGCCGGGCTTTTGTTTGTCTGATCGCAGTCGAGGCTGGAAGTTTCCCTCGGCTTGAAACAAGATCTGCGAGGCCATGTCACAGTCAAACCGTGAAGCACGTCGCGAAGTACGCCGAGCAGAGTCTCCTCCCAACCCACGAGAGCGCCGCCGTCGTCGATTGAATTCTTCGACTGATCACACGCGTCCGACTGGTTTTGTTACGCCTTGGCTTGAGCAACAAGACTTGTCACGGCCAACTGCGCATGCGCAAACAACAATAAACCTAACAAACTTACGCACACCACACTCTGCCCAACAGTTTCACCTCTGGGCAAATTCACGCTTTCTCGAACAAATGGATCAAGTACCTTCGTATAGCCATCACCTCTGGGGTCAGACCGTGTCGTTGGACAGTCAAGATGCTGGTCCGTCTTCGGTAGTGCACCCGCGTAATGTTGATTTTGATACCGACGATTTCTCAATCCTCCCTCGCGGTGATCGTTCTATTGACTCTCGACGTCACGGACCTCTTTTGAGCTTGGATCAAATCGTCTCCAACAAGAAACAGCCTGCATCCGCGCTCAATGGATTGCCAGCTTCCTCGGCAGCCGACAGCGACGATTCACCCTCTGACTGCAGCGAAAGCGCACAAGACAATGCTCCTCCACCACCTTCTCCTCAAGGTGGGTGGCTGAACTCATACACCGCTAGCAATGACTCATTTTGGTATGATCGGATCAGACCTCGTGACGAAACGATGTCTCAAGCTGGTGCTAGTCGTGGAGGTCACGCAGGCTTTCCCACCTATGGAAGTCATCCTTATGAATTCACCAACCCACATTATCAAGTTGCTTCACCATACACAGCCGAAGGTGCATCTCAAAGCGCACGCAATGTTGAACTTCGCCGCTTGATGGAAGATCAGGAAAGCTCTGCGGACAGATCAACATGTCCTGTGAACCCTGCAATTCTTCTTGCATACCAGCTGGATCGCAACAGTCCTCAGCCTGCTTTACGCTTTCTGCCATTCGTTCCCGAATCTCAAACGAACAACCACAAAGCCAGAAACAAGCGTTACATGATCCAACCTTCGCATAAGCAACGCATGGATGCTGCACAATTGATGGCAAGGAGGGCGAATTGGATTCCTGGGGAATTTCCTGTCGAGCTCTTCGAACTCATCACTCAGCATTTATCTCGTGATGACATCAAGTCGATGCGTCTGGTCAACAAGGAATTCGAGCTCGGTGTCTCACATTCTTTGTTTGACACGGTGGTTGTTCCCTTCAATACCGAGCTCTACGACATGATCGAGCAGAAAGCCGTCAAGCGCGACATGAAGGGCAAGCGTAGAGCTGATGATCCCGTCAATAACTTTATCGACCTGGATCCCGGTTCACTGCTTTGGAAGAATGCTCTAGACGACACAGAAGACAAGGTCTATCGCGGCCACGGTCTTAAAGTCTTCGAAGGCTTTGGTGGTCATATCCGTCGCTTCGGCATGAGCTTTGAGATCAAAGAACAAGCACTTCAAAACCCGCCTCAGAAGAATCAACTCGACCGACACGAAAGCTACTTCGGTTGCTACGAATGGCCATCACAGGAGTATACGCGCTACGAACAGCTTGCTGGACTCGAACGTACAGCAGATGAGACTTCTCAGATGAAGCTAGCCTTCTCACACTTGTCCAAGGTGCAGCAGCTTGCACTCTCTATGGACAGCGGTCTCGGATGGATGAACGGACCCGATAAATCATTGCGCAGCCTGATCCTGCAGCACCCCTCTCCTCTGTTCGGCTGTTCACACGGCGTAGTAGACGCACAACAGCAGGAGCGTATCCGACTGTGGGAGTCTATCGAAGCTGCACACGGCCGACTGGATGCTCTGGAAGATCTGAAAGAGGGCTATCTCGAACGCTCGAACCTAGAAGAGAATTTCTTCCACCGCTCTCCCTTCTCGACAACCCCTTACGCTTCCCCTAGCGCATGGGCAACTGCTCCAGCTAGCGCTGTGGCTTCAGCTATCCCTGACGTTCTCGATGGTAACGACAATGCTGCTTTGGAGACAGGAGTGTTTTACATCAATTCATACGAATCGCGCGATAGCCCATCGCAATCCACCGAAGGTCAAAGAGCAGACATCATAAAGAGGATCGACAAGTTCAGCCCAGCCAATCTAGACAACCATCAAAAAGAGTGGCTGCTCGAGGCTGAGTGGGCACAGAGAGCATTCCTCACCACGTACCTGCTTGGCGTCGTTGACAACAGCTCAGTTTTTGACAAGGTGTCAGTCTTGAACTTCCGTATTTCCAGCCACCTTGTACCCTTACTATCTCGGCACGACTTTTGGACCGCTCTGCCTAAGTTGGTGGAAATCACACTTGCCGTGATTCCTGACTGGCGCACTGTAGAGCGTGACGACGCTGGTGTGGTTGAGACCAAAGACATCGATCCCTCGATCGCTGTTGACAAGACATACGATCTGCTTCAGGCCTTCATCGGAGTCAGATCTAACATCACTAAGTTGAACTTTGCTTGGGCGGCTGGCGGTGAACACGCTGAAGGCATCTTCGCTCGCAATCACCACATATTGCCTGCTCCAATCACCAATATTGCACGCTCTACAGCCATCGCCGTGAAGGACGAGGACCTGGTCGATATGCCGCATGTCAAGGATCTTACGTTCTCCAATTGTTGGTTCACACCCATCTCCATAGTGATGGTGGTCAAGAAGCTGCGCAAGGACTCTCTCAAAAAGATCAAGTTTGATTCAGTCTCGCTCACTGCGATGCCTCGCGTCAATGCCAACAATCAGAATCCGGTCAACGCGTTCCAGAATCCTGCTCAGCCTCTTGTTCCGGGCATGATCGTGCTTGGTGGCAATGCTGCTGCTCAATTCGGAGCTCAAGTATGGCAAGGTCCGCCTCCCGGTACGCCGGTCGACCAGTGGGCTCTGATCATGTCGCAGGGTCTGAATACTCTACTGCAGCAACAGGGTATAGCAATACACCATGTCCCTCAAATCTGGACCAATCATCCGATGGGATTGACACTGCAGCAGATTCATGGTATCTTGGCCGGTCTGAGTGGTGGAATCGCACATAACAACAATCCTATGGTCCAGCCCGGAACGCTCTACCAGCTGCCGTTACAGCAACAGCAACAGCTTCAGGATGGTGGCGCTCAGTTCCAGCATTTGGCACTTATGGCGCATCCTAATCAACCACCTCTTGCACTTGGCACCTGGCAAATGCCACCTCAACCTGTAGCTCAAGCTCTGCCTACTCCCACCAATACGCCTTGGTATGATGGACATCGCTCTGGCTCATGGGTCAAAGTGATTGATACAATAAGCCCTGGACCCAGGCTCGAGATGTACGAACCTCGCGACGAGTTCGATCCGGAGCCTGCGCGACGCAAGAAAGGACTAGCAGCGGCCGAGTTCAAGTCGTGCGGCTACGTGCAGCTTCGTACTCCCACTTTCGACCAGAACAACGTTGAAGCACCTGTTCCTCACCGCATGAGCCGCCACTTCTCGCGTCGCCAGAGCCTTTTGTCATCAGCCATGCTCTCAACCCAAGACAAGTTGATCGGAACTATTGTCCAGCACATGTCGGAGCACGAGTCGGACGCTCTCCGCAACGCGTGGGGCATGTCGATGGCTTGGGACGATGCAAAGCTCGCCGAAGAGGCAGAGTACGATGGCTACCTTGCTGGAGGTACTGGACGTTTCTCAGGAAGTGTGACCAAGGATTCTCCCATCCAGGAGGCTTACACCGCTTAACATTCTTGAGTCTCGATTGAGCGACTATCTGCTTTCTTTTCGTTATCATTGGAGACGGGCGTTCGTTTTGATTGTTGGTTGACGATTGTCACCAATGTTTTTGTTTTTCTGTTTTTTCTCATCATGGCGAAGTACGAAGAGAGAAGAATGCTGGACGGCGTCGCAGATTCTGGCTGGCACTGGAAGGATAACGGCGTTGACATGGCACAAGATTGGGAGCAGCAGACTCTGACTGGCAGAATGAGATGTGGATACATGAAACCCCCCTAAAGATAGAATGAATTCCTAATGAAAATTGTATTGAGTATTGTAAGCAACAAGTCCGACTTATAAGCCTTGAAGACGAGAGTAGGAATGGTTGCGAGCATATGCGTCGGTAGGAGTTCGATGCGGAGGCAGGAGATTGTCGCGGAGGACGGCGGAAGGAACAAGGGTCTCTGGATGCCAAGACAAGTAATTTCTGGTAGCTTTGGAAAGATGGTCGTCTGGAAGTGCAGAGAGCATCCCCTGAACTTCATCCACCTTGAATCTGACAATTCACGACTGCTTCGGAGCTCTATCATAAGACCCTCACTGACGGCCTCTCAAAGTGCGAGTTTCTCGGTCGCGATATCTTATCTGCAGAGACAGCAGTACCAACTCGGCTTCCATCTTCCAATCACCCGAGTCCTGAACCAAAGACAACTTCTGTGACGACTCACTTGACGACTTACTCATAGCGCAAACCTGCGCTCTCAGAGACCTCACACTTCAGGAATTTGATTCTTCACTCCACAACAAGCACACACGCACAATGTCAGCCACACGCGCTGCTCAAACTTCCAGGCAGGATGCCGCCGTGCCCGGTAGCACACGTACTGCTGAGGATGCGCCGAAAGAGAACATCTTCATGTTCGTGCCAAACTTGATTGGTACCATCTCTGCATACAGGAAGTGAAGGCTCAAGTGCTGACTTCGCCCACAGGATACGCTCGCGTCGTACTCGCAATCGTCTCACTCAACTACATGCCCCTCCATCCACGAACATGCGCCCTCCTGTACAGCATCTCGTGCCTGCTGGACGCCCTCGATGGCTACGCCGCCCGTAGCTTCAACCAGTCCACAAAGTTCGGCGCCGTGCTGGACATGGTGACAGACCGCTGCACCACCACCTGCCTTCTGGTCTTCCTCTCAACCGCCATGCCGAGATGGAGTATGGTCTTCCAACTCCTCATCAGTCTCGACTTTACTAGCCACTACATGCACATGTACGCTACGCTTGCCATGGGTGGCAGCGGTCAGAGCCATAAGAACATCGATGCAAAGAGAAGCAAGATCATGCACTTGTACTACAACAACCGCAACGTTCTCTTCGTGTGCTGTGCCTTGAACGAGCTGTTCTTCATCGCTCTCTACTTGCTTGCCTTCTCCTCGCCCTACCTCAGCCCTTCGCTTCTGCAGTCCGCTGGTGAGGCTGCTTCATTGCAGCCTGGCTCGCCCGCTCTGCCTCCTAAGCCCTCGACAATCTTCTCCAGCCCCTGGTCTGCCGGCGCTATGGAGATGGCCAGGTAAGATTCTCTTTCCTCCGGCTTCCGCGACCCTGAACCTGCCAGAATACTGACCGTGTTGTAAAACAGAGCCAACAAGATGGATAGTACCGTCCCATGGATCCTTGTCGCCATCTCTGCCCCCGTCATGCTGTTCAAGCAATGGGTCAACGTCGTACAAATTGTCAAGGCCAGCGAGTGGCTCGCTCAGGGCGACCTCGCCGATCGCGCAAAGGCTGGTCTGCCCAAGAAGACTCAGTAGGGTCCGACTTCATTGTAACAAAATTGGGAAGGGGAAGGCATGCGTCTGCTCACGGTCAGAGACGAAAGGGAGGATCAACACACACATAAGGGAGGATACACGAACGCGGCCACAGAGCCGATCGACCTCATAATATGAGTCTACATGGGCGTTCTAAGGCGCCACACACAACATGAGACAGCAGTCGGCCGATTGCTTTGCTACCAGCACGGATACAGTTCCCTTTCGGCTCGACTAGGAACAAGCGAGCGCGGCTGTCTACCATTTTTTCTTTCTTTCTTTTCTTTTTTCTTCTCTTGCAGCTCTTCTGCTTCTTTGTACCACTATTTCACTATTTACCAAAGGCCCCATCCATGGGTTGCTATGCCAAAAGGGCCAGCGAGAATCTAACATATCATATTTCCTTCATGTTGTTGATGCTCCTTGCATATTCTGAGACGTGGATCTCGAGGCCACCTGCAGAAGTTTGCGATACTACAGTAGGGCTGTCGATATTGCTGTGTTACACCAGATCTTTTTGCCATGCAGGAGTGCTGTTCAGCTGGGTCAAGAGGGTTACACAGGATCGGATCGCGCGGCTGTTTCGAGTTGAGAGAAGTGATACGACATGGAGCCAGGAGATCTACTATGCAGCCATCTGCAGTGTCTAAGATTATAGATGATCATGGTAGAAGACTATACACGAATTTGTTCGAGTCATAAAACTGGGATTGGGAATAGCGATTGTGTGTAAAGATTTTTTTTGCTAAACGTCTACTTACCATGCCCACATACTCAGCGGAATGGATTTGGTACAATCGAGATAGGGTGACCATACTCATGCGTGAACGTTATACTGTGCCACTCGGCACTCCACGGTATCCATAGCACAACTACCAATGCCACTGCTTTTCATGCCCGCCCGTTTTCCTCTGTGCCTCTGTGCCTGTGCAAAAGATGTACATGCCTCATCAGTGCAGAGTACTCTCGACCCAAAGGATCGGGATAGAAAGTGCTTTTACATTGCATCTGTGCGTTCAAAAATACGTATTAATCCAGGTGGCTGGGAAATGTTGCGAGTCAAAGAAAGCCATCATTTTAATCTATAGAGTATTTCAGAGGATGATGACGAGTTATTGGTGGTCATTTATATGAAACAGAATTTAGACAAAGAGCAGGAGCCAATGACATGTTTTGACAGGACTTTTTTGCTTGACATTGACATTGACGTGTGTTTTTGATTGGGATGGTATGCCTTATTTTTAGCCCTGGATGGGGGTTTCTTGACGTCGTAGGTCTCTTGATATAGACATCAAAAACGAGGCATACGAGTAATGAACATACGGAGCCACGGAGGACGAGGCGCATCGAAAACACCGAAGACACATACAGTACATGCACAAAAGAATCGATCTCCAAATACTTGCTGTCTGCCGTCTTGTAAATGGAGTGGCATCTTTGGAGGTGTCGGATGAGTTACGGATTGGGCTTGTTGCCCTTGACGACCAGCTGGCTCCTTTCACAGAAACAACTCATTACCTCTTTCAGTTCATGCAGAAGTGCTGATGATCAAGTTGATCGAGTTTCAGAAACCACCACTTCGTGGATTATCATCTAAGCAGAAGGATTCATCTCGATATATTCGGGGAAAAGCATTGATGACAATAGTCGATAAAAGCACAAGCATAAACGGTCACCTTGCATCAGGATGGTCAACCTCGTGGAGGAGGAGCAAGAAAAGCAGGTTCGGAGAACAGGTGCAGAGGTTTGAATTGCCGACATAAGTCTGGTCTCTGGAGCAAAAAAAGGATTCATAGAGTGAACAGTGCACGATGGGGATTCTTGCAAGTCAGCGATCGAAGATGGGATGGGTTGTCGATCAAGCACTTCCTGCTTTTAGACATGAGCGAGACAGAAATGACATGCATGTAAAGTGCTTTCCCGCCTTACGCAAGTGGGCGGGGGTTTTTGATCTGAGACAATCGTGTTGAAGGCTCAAGAGAAAAGAAGATGGCTGGGCGGGGTTTTGATGGGAAGAACGCCGTAAGCAGGCCACATACTCCGACTTCCCTGTTCACAGGTACGAGAGGACGCGTACCGCGGCGTTATAGCCAAGGATGTAGAATCAAGGCAAAAAGAGAGCGCGTGTGCCGTACTTCTCCTCTCCACAAGGCCTCCCATACAAGAAAGACGCGACGAAGCGTGTTTTGTGCCTTGGAAGTGGAGGGAAAACCACTTTGACCATCAACTTGGCGTTTTCGATAGCGACGAGCAGAATTCGATAGTGAGGCCCACGATCGAAATCCTTCAAAAGATGGGAATTTGTCACAACAGCAATAGACTGGTATGGCGTGGCTTTCAATCTGCGAGCACTGCCCTGGTTCTTTCGGACACTGTTGATGTGCTGCGGCATGGGCTGAGAGGTAAGCGGGTTTTCTGGTTATTAGTGCTTTCGCTGCGCCCATTTGGGATTCCTCAATCTATGAGCGGTCGATCCCTTGGGGGATCTTGCAAGGCGCGGGAGGATCATCTTCATCTGGTATGAATTATTGCAAGGTATCGGGTACATCGGACAACTATGCTTTTTTGCAAGTGTACTCGAGTACCACCAATGGAGGAACGTAGACAGGGAATTGTGGCACATGTCATGAGATGTCGAAGGGTACGTCTCGAGATGGTCGTTAGACGGGCGAACGCATGCGAGCCACGGTTGAGCCAGCGGAACTCGAAACATGTGGATCCAAAAATCCGCTCCCATCTCATCGAAGTCGCTGACGGCGCTGCCGGAGCCTAACCTTATTGTGTGCCCTTCACTCGTGGCTTTTTTGCTTTCCTGGTTCGGCCTCGGTTCCAGCCCCCCTTTGGAAATGGCGAATATGTCATCTTAAGGCGGTCGACCATCACCCTCATTTAAGCAGTTAAGGAGAGGTGATTTCAACCAGGAACGGCGAGAATGGGGAGGCATCTCATATTAAAATGTCGCACATACCACTAGCCTTTTTCCTTCCTTTCACTATCCCATAAAGTACCCCCCCTGTTCTGGGTAGATTTGCGACAGATCAAATACTTCAGCTACGACCAACCCAAGCCGCAACACACAGACGACCACGCAGCAGCGCATCTAAACCCGGCGTTGGGGATACAGCATTAGCCTTGTGGAGCCAGTACGCAAAGCATCAGCCCTTTGCGCTCCTGCCGTGCCATCGCGAAAAACGTCCCGCTTGCATAATCCACGTACTTGGACATCACCAGGATTGCTCCATTGCCAACCCCGGTCATCCTTTTGCCGAATCAAGCATACGCCAGTCCCGGGATCCACTAGAGCAAAGGGCAGGGTGTAGCTTGCTAGCTGAAAGGACGAATCCACCGCCAGCCTCTCGACAAAAAGTGTCGTGGAGTTTGAGAGATCGCCTGTGCAGAAAGGCACTACTATACTAAGGCGGGAGAGGCACTGCAGGCATAAGAGCCTTGTTCCTTGTCAGCACCACTACTGTACAACAACACGCCCGCTCGCTGCCACTTTTCTGTTTGCAATTGTTTCTTCTTGACACTCGAAAGGACCCTTGCATGACATAGTTGAGAAACTTGTCTCACCTATTCTCGAAGAATCCAATCCATACTTTTATACAAGAGCAAAGTCCTTTGACTAGGCCCGTTGAACCCTGAACCACAACCATGGACTCTACTACCCTCGTTACTTTTCTCTAGTAAGTATCGGACTCAAGTCCGGGACTCGAGATGGCCTCTTGCTGACCATCTGCTTTGTAGCAAATCAAGACCGGAAGTTCGTACTGTCGAGCTCTTTGGCTCTTGGGACAACTTCTCGAGGCCGTATCGTATGCAAAGCGATGGACACAGAGGCCGTGGTGTCTGGACTGGATGTCATTCATTCGAGAACATCATCTGCGACGGCGATCGTATCAACCATTTGAGGCCGAGAAATGGTGCCCTGAGACAAGGAGGAACCTACTGGTACTACTACAAGGTTGACGATTCCGAGGAAGCCTGTGACACCGCTACATCAACGACATACGCCTGCCCGTTGCTACCAGGTCAAATGGTCAATGTACTGGAGATACCCATCGAAGTCATCGAAGCCCCTCAGCGAGTCTGTAGCGCCTCGGCCGATCTCCCAACTACCATGGTGATGCCCATGACCATCAATCCCGAAGACAGATACAAGAAGATTTACAGCAAGCCGCCGACCAAACTTCCCCGCTACTACTGCTCTAGTGATGCTCTGAGGGAGAGGTTTGCTTCGGATAGCAGACTACCCAAGACCTACAGGATCAGAGATCGACCTTCCTCCCGTGGCGCCCGATCGATCAAGCGTGTTCGTCGTGACGAACCTGAGTATCAGAGACCTGGTGCCTGTCGGATCGACGTCTCTATGGATGACATGTCGAGGCTCGCCAACATTCCTGATCTGGACCAGAATATGAACGAGTTACCTGAGCTCCGACCTTTCGCTCCTTGCCCTAGTGCTTCGCCCGAGGAACGGCCAGTCACAAGAGGTGGTGGTGGACTGTTCACTGATCTCACCAAAGGCTTGGGCTTTTCCTTCTTTGGTTCGCTCAGACAGCCAAAGAAGAACACTCACCACCTCAGTCAGGACATCAATATGGAATTCGATGATTCTCCGCAACATATTCCTCAATATGATGGTACTTACGACGAGCCTCAGATCAGCCAATGGCCCCTCAGCCCTCCTTTGTCCGAACTTGCCGATGAGGAAAACTGGCCCCTACCACCTCTGAACTGCTTCAGACCAGCCTCTTCGCATACACCTCTTCACGGCCCATCAACACCAACATCCGCCATCCCCATCCTCAATCTCAACAACCAACCTCAGACTCAACATCCAAGCAACTTCCCCCAGCAACACTTCACATCGCCAGCACTTTCCTCTTCAATCACCTCAGACGACTATCACCCCGGCTTCGGACCCAGTAAAAGCATACCCGGAAGCTTCGACATGGCCTCGCCCACGTTCTCAGCCGACACACTCGACTCTTCCTTCTCTTCCAGCCTCACAACACCAGATCATTTCCGTCTGAGCTTCAACCTCGACGCCTCTAACCATGGGCCCCAAGACTCCGAACTCACCGCCTCCAACTTCTCCACCGGCTTGGAAGATTTGAGTAACCGTCTCTCGGCTCTCTATACATCTCCACCCTCTTCATCAGCCTACGACGATGACTTTGGTGACTGTGGAGAGCAAGAGAACAAGAAAATAGATTTTCTCTCTTTCCTCCCGCAGCGTGCAGCACCGCTGTATCTCCAAAACGTACAAGCTCGCCGTTCCAGAAGCAGCAGTGATTACGAAAAATCGAATGGAAGCTGTTTGACACTGAAATCGGTCAAGAGCACTACAGCCAGAGGAGAAAGACCATTTTCGCTGTGTTTGCCTGTTACGGCTGGGGAGTGGGATGTTGGTGAGGAGTTTTCTAGCGATGTGTTGGGGGCTTTGGGAATGGTTTGATTGGGGAGGGAGGAATAGGGGAAGGATGGACTTGCTGTCAAAAGCACGGCTTGCTATGTGGAATGGCTCGTTTTGCAAGGTCTTCTTTTAGTGTATATAGTTGGCTCTTCTGGCAAGAGAATAAGATTAATCATCCGCGTCTACCTTCATTCTCCCGTTGTAACGTTCATTCGTTTGATAGAGCGGTCTCTGGAATCGTTATATCATCGATCAGTCTATTTTATACGATCTTCATCAAACACGCCCTTCTGCCAACCGTCACGCTTTGATTTTAGAGCCGACCTTGTGAGGGCTCGGATACCTGCATGTGAAGTCCACCACGCATTCGGTCTGACTCACTGCCACCGCTCTGATGGCTTTGAGGAAGTCATATTCTTGATAAATGAATACGATACTCTAGGGTTTGAGTCTTACACAACATCGACCAACCTGTACCAGTACAAAAAATGTCCGCCATGGTCTCAAGACATCAAGGTACAGAAATGGGCCTGTGCTGTCAAGACAAACGAGCGTCATTGGCAGGATGGGAGATGAAACAGCGTGATTGGTGATACAAGCAAACGGGCTCAGAGACGAAGGATGGATTGACAAACACGCAGTTTGTTGCTTGAATGTTATGTATATATCTATTCCTCCTTCTATTCTCAGTGCGACCTCTTCGCCTCACCATCTCTCTATAATCCCCATCATCCTCATCATCCTCATACCGAATCCCAAGCCAAAAAAAAAAATCAAGACTCAATACCTTGCTTCTTCAATCTTCTACGACAAGCACCAAGCAAAGCCCTCCAAAATGTGCTTCAGACTCATCTCAACATTCACCCGCTGCGGTCACCAAGATACCCTCGCCCACCTGAAACTCTGCTCTTCCAGTCTCAGCACTTGGCCTTCTATCCCTTGTCCCCTGGACCGTTCTCAACTAGACACGCCTCTTTACGACATCAATGCTTTTTGCCCTTCTTGCACCATCACCCGCACTTTCGTCGCTGCTACGGGCTTTTTGGCTGAAGTTTCTGGTGATAACGGTGTTGTGACGCGCAGAGCTGGAGCAGTGGTTGAGGACATTGGAGCAAAGAGGGAGACTACGGATAGGGCTTTGGAGTGGAAGGAACTCGGTGTCATGGTGGGAGGCGGTGGATGGGATGGAGTTGGCACTGATGCAGCTACTGGTGGGGAGTGGGGCGCCATTGCACCAGTTGCCGACAATCTTAGCAAGGGAAAAGTGAGCCCTACCAATTCTGGCGTTGAAGAGCGAATGGGTGATAAAGAGGAGTCCTGGGCTGATGCTAGCGAGAGGCAGGCTCAGGAGTTGGGTGGCCAGGAGACTGCTATGCAGTGGTGAAGCAAGGCGATCGAGGGTGAGAGTATTTGGTCTTGAGTTGACACCTTATCCTGGCAAGTGTAGCAACACTTTCCTGAGAGTATCAGCTAAAGACTTCTGTCTCTGGTATACGGCCTACTAGCGAGGCGAATATTCCTGGGCAGAAGACAGGAGATGCTCTTCGATTGCTGCAGACTCAAGTTGAGATAGTATTCAAGTATTGAGTGGCAAGCGACTTCTGTCCATTGATACGACCATAGAATGCGGCGTGTTGGGTGTTTGGCAGATCATTGAGTCGGTAGAAGGCAACTTATCGCTGCCCCAGCTCAGTAATAAGCATGCCTTGACCAAAGATTGGAGCTACAAGGCCGAATCGAGGATCGTTCTTTCCTCGTGTGCGTAGTGAAATCCACTCATCCACCTTTCACTTGCTGAGCAGCCTGTTTATCCTTCAACATCTTCTCCATGCGCATAAATTCCCTCATCCCAATCGGTACATCAGCAAATGGATCCTTCTCTTTTCCCTTGCCATCATCATCATCTTTCTGAATGTTCTTCGGCATCTCCGCCCCTACATCCTCTCCCTTTTCTTTCCTCTGCACCTCAATCTGCCCCCTAGCCTTCTCACTCGCTGCTTTCCACTCCTCAACCTCCTCTCTATAGATCTCCCAAACACAATTCACACATCCACTCATGCAGCAATCATCTGCTTCTGGTTCCTTGGGCTTTGGCGGCACGATAATGCCTGCGATTTCTTGACTCTTGGCTTCTTTCTCTTTGTCGACTTCTCCGGGGCTGGCGAGGCGGGAGCCGAATACTATACGTGCTTTTTCTATCGTTTCTTCCTTGTCGGTTTTGGGGATGGAGGACGTGGATGGCGGTGGGGTCGGCACGATTTGAGTGGCTGGTTGCACCTGTTCTTTGGGAGTTTCGGAAAGGCTGGCTTTGAGGGTACGTGGAGAGGAGAGCATGTCCGCGTAGTAGCCGGTCAGGGGATAGACTTGGTTGTTGCTTTTGTCATCGGTGCTGCGGTAGCGGGCATATCGTAAAGGTTCGAGAGTTCGACGGTGGAGAAGGGTTGGTCGACATCGTATTTGTCGGATCGCATGCCGTACGATACTACGTTCCATGACTTGTTGTGTCTTTTGAATTGGAGGATGCTGAACACGAAGGCAGCGACAGCAGGCAAGAAATTGTAATGTCCGATCATTGAGGATCTGCTGGCTACGTCATAGCTATTTTCCATAACTGATACCCAAGGGGTGACCCTGATCTACCTCATGATCACCCTCTTATGCGCCTCCTACTTCTGCCATCTACACAGGGCATCAACAACGATCCGCAACACGTCTCCGAACAACCTATCAGCAAGTATGGCTCCAACCGTAGTGAAACGACGTTGCAGACCTTGATGAACGGCACAAAGCCATAATATACGATAAGCAAGCGAAGGGTGGTACCGTGTTACGCTCGTCATGGACCGCATAACCGTCTCGACGTCGTGCCTGTGAAAATCCATTCCACCTCCGTCCACGAAACACCACCACAAACAAGCAAACCCTCCTATAGCCGCCCCTAACATTAAGCTTCATGCGTGCAATCAATGTACCTAACGCCTCACCTCTCAGCACGAAAGACAGCTACATCCGCACACCGGTCACGGACGCGAGTGTCGTACCTGGGTACACGGTGCCATTTGATCTTGGAGTAGTATGACCGCACCCATAATAGGGAACAAGAATCCAAAAGCACAATAGCTTGGCGAAGTAACGTGGTGGGTGGGAGAGAGGGGACTGGATATCCAGATGGGTCCAGCTGAATGGACATTTGGAACCGTCGTTAGTGTACTCTTGAGAGCAGCGGCGCTGGTTTTGTAGTGAAAGAGCTGATGGCAATTCAACGAATGTGGAAAGAGCATAGCCTGGATGTAGCTCGGCCGATGATGCAATCCTTGAAAGGAGACTGTAAAAAGGCACAGTACAATTGACATCCATAAATTTATCCATTGAGGGCAGCCACTTCTCCATTTCTGTCAAAAACTCACTCCCACCACACCTCATCCAAACCCTCCAAGAACCCCAACTTGACACCAAAGAAACTCTTCCACACATCAACCTCCAACCTCCAAGGCCTAGTCGTAAGTGCAAAATACGCAATAGTAGAGTAATTACGGCACATTTCCCGATTCTTGCCCACAACAAGTACTTTGTCGCCTTTGAGAAACACTTTGCCGTCGATCTTCTTCTCGTACTCATTTAGGCGAAGGCGGAGGGCGTGATGGATGCTCCATTCGCTGAATGGCATGTCTTTGGGGACGAATTTCCATTCCCAGGTGCGGCCAATGTCATCGGCGAAGGATGTGCCGTCGCGCTGGAGAAGCGTTAGTCGGAGTAAAGGTGACAAGGGGAATACTAGACTTACATTGTCATAACCGAGCATCAGAGGCCAGAAGTGCGGTGCGGACCAGATACGCATGAACGAGAAGTAAGCATCAGGGTTCTTGCTCACATAATCGCGCGCTGTGTCAAGCAAAGGTGCGACCTTCGATGGATCCTGCATCGGCTGGCGTGGCTTCATCTCTTGTGCGTCCTCGCGGAAGTCAAAGTAGAGCTCAGGTTTGCCCGGCCGAGCAGGCTCCTCAAGCACTACAGCACATCCAGAGTATTCGGGCTTGTAGCGAGGTGCCAATAGTCCGTGACGGTAGAGGTGAGCAATGGTCGGCCTTGTGATGTACTTCCAATCCTGTGGATATTTATCAGAAGCCCAGAGGAATGCACCGTTGCCAGACTTCATTACCTCATGTCGAATCTTATCCCAGCCCTCCCATTGGAAGACAGACCTGGTACGATTCGAGTGCGAGGATCGTACATCGGGAATCACCTTTGCACGTCCTTCCTGGTCGAACAAAGCAGAGTTCTTCCAAGGTGATCCCTCTTCAGAGCTGAAGAAAGGACTATCCCTCTGGAAGAAGCATGTAATCATGGCGTTGGCGAAAGTCATGTCTCTCTTGACCCTGCGATGAACTCCCGGATCGACTTCAAGAAGCATCATGAGCATGAATTGACGCTCGAGCATACCTGGTGCCCAAGGACCCTTAGTCCCCTTGGCAAAGAAGTCGACGTATGCTTTCATGATCTTCTGTGTCTCTGCATATTTCTCCTGAGCGCCAGCTTCGAGATCGGCCTTGTGCCATGCCTCTTTGAAGCTGCTAGCCCTGGTCCGATCGATAAAAAGTTCCCATTCTTCCTTCATGTCCTCGATCTCTCCTCGAGAGGTCATGGTTGGTGGGAGCCTGGGAGGACGATGGCCGACGGCTTTGTTTTCGCGAAGGTTGGAGAGCGACGGGTCCTCCCAAAGCTCCAGAGCCATGACCATGTCCTGCCATCTCGGCTCTTTCTCGTTGTGATCGTCGACCCAGCGGCCTCGGATGGTCACACCAGCTGCTTCTGAGAGTTCTTCGATAACACCTTCAGCATATTCTTCGTCAGACTCCCATTCGCTACCGTCATCCTCACCTTCTGAGATTTGCTGATACTCGGTATCGCTCAGCTCTTCGTCAGTGTCGAGATCGTTGATCCAGCGGTTCAGGTCAAGTCCATGGTGCTCAAAGTTATGCATCTTACCTGTCTGGCTCGCAAGCACACCTTCCTCGCCACCATTAGACTCGGCATCGGCGTCGGCCAGCATCAACTCGTGACCTGAGTTTGCTGGTGCAAGGTCTGCTGCTTTCTTAGCAACTGCTATGATCTTGCTAGCCGTCTCAGGAATTTCCTCGTTGGTCCATAGACTCCGATCCCAAGGGAACAGCACCTGGTCTTCCAACATGTCTTCCTGCTTATACAGCAGCTGAGGAGGTGCCTCTTCTCTGTGACTCCCGTCGCTACCTCTGGAGAAGTATCTCATCCTGGTACCGTCGCTGTGGATCCAGTCCCAGATGCTCTTACCTTGGCCCCACTCATCGGGACGAAGGTCTCTTGCACGTGAGAGATGCTCATCTCGAGTGAGTGTACGTAGTACATGCTCGGCAGGCTTGTAAAAGTCCTTGGGATCTGAAGAATGTTACGTAAGCTCGATGGTATGCACAGCAAAAGCGAATATCCTTACCTCTAAATCGCAGAGCTCTGATCAGAAGCTCTTGGATTGAGTTGTAGAGGGAAGAGTAGTGTTCGCCACTCTCGATGTCCCAGACTACAATGTCGTAATAATCTTTGAAACCAAGATGCCACTCACGGAAGCGATCAATCTCGTCCCAGAACTTGTCGTCGATCTCTTTCACAATCTGCCATTCGGATCGACTTGCTCTTCCAACACCGGACTTGGTCCTAATGAGCCATTTGTGTTCTTGAGGTGGCTCAACAATGACGTTACCGGTTCGACCGTCGCGAACCATGATGGCCATTTTGTAGGACTCCATGACGGCGTATTGAATCCATCGTCTGGTCACAGGATCGTTGCGCTTCATGTGAGCACATACAAAGTTTCGAGTTTCTACGGCGTGGTGAGTGCGACGCTGTCCGTGAGCACGAGAGCCTGTTTGGTGATGCGAAGTCATGTGTGCTGCTTTATCCATCTGGAAGTACGGTATGAACCCGACCTGGAGCAACTGCTCATGCGTGATACTTCTGATCCAGGACGCCCATTGTGCAGCAGGGAAGTAATGATTGCAGGTGAGGATGTTGAGCTCAAAGAACTCATCCCAACTCCGAGCTAGACTCACTGCCTGGAAAAGAGAACAGTCTTTAGCGATGATCGAAAATTGCAGCCAGCCACCTCTGGACATGGCCTTCTCGCTAGCTGTAAATTATATTAGAGATGGTCTTGCTGAAGTTTCGTCACACGAACTTACGATAGTTGTAAATGAACCTTCCGCAGACCTTGACACGAATCTTCTTGATACGGTATTGCTGCTGATCATCAACATCACCGAAATCAACAAAGGTCGTAGAATCCATGTTGTCAGGCATCGTTTTCTCGCGCTTTTCCTTGATCTCCTTCTCACGCTTAGTCTTGACATTCTTGACCGGGTACATAGGCCTTGATGTGAACTTAGTGCGACCAGCAGGTGCTTCAGCACTTGCAGCAGGTGCAATCTCGTCTTCTTCCGGCTCATCATCTTCACGACCAAGATCGGCGCACGCATCGCGGAGTTGTTGCAACCCAGGCTGTTCCATCTTGAGGCACAGGTCTCTCAACTCTGCGTTAGTCACAGATGGATCGGCGAGGAATTCGTCAACATTCTCGGCTCGTAAGGCTACTGGGAGCAGGGTTGCATAGCCAAGTAACAATCGACAAAACAGCAACTGCTTAATATCAGGGATCTGTTTCATCAAAGTTTCGACTTCATCGTCGGCCAGGGGGAACGTCTTGTCTGTGACAATTTCCGTCTTCGATGGATCCTCGGGATCGAAGGTCTGCAGGACACCACACATGGTCGTGCCTTCGCGCAGACGGGTACGGACCTCGTCTGGCGTCTCAATATGAACCTCACCAGGCTTTCCTTTGCTCAGCTCTTGTGGAGACGGTTTGACTTCCAGGGCTTTCGCCTTCTGACGTGCTTTCTTCTTGGCGTTCTTCGATTTATTCATCTCCACGAGCGCTTGAGAAGTGGCCGGCTCCTTGGAAGGGCTTTGCACCGCAGTAGCTTGCGGAGCTACGTTCTCCTTCTTGGGGCTCGAAGCATCGGCCTCTGCAGCCTCTGCAGCTCCAGCAGATGCTGGCTCCTCGGTCGAGGCGGTGATGGGCTCAGCAAGCCACAAGAAGCGTCGTATGAGATCGATGTAGCTTCCACGCTCATCCTCAACAACGTCTTCGATGGGATCCCATTCTTCACCACCTTCTCCTTCGGCGTTGAGCTCCTCCTCGAATTTGTTGCGTTCTTCCCAAACCTTCTCAAGGTATTCGGCTTGTCTCTTGTCATTCTCTTTCTGTCTCAATCTGTCCACACGAGCAGAGACATCTTTCCAGTGACGCTTGAACAAAGCGGCCTCTTGCTTGATCTTCTTCTTCTCCGCGTCGCGTTCCTTCTCTTCGTCATCCTCGAGATTACGGACCCAGCCAAACCACTGCTGCTGCTTGTACAAGACTTCGGCAGTCCGTCTTTCGAGTCTTTCCAAGGCACGGCTAACATTGTGTTTCTCGCTGATGAGGTGGTCCAGGTAGTGTTGGTGACCATAATCGAGTTCGAGGGCATAGAAGCGCGAATGGTGGAGTTTACGGGCACGGATGCAGCGATCGAGAAGACCATTCTGTTTAAAAAGGAAAGCGTGCAGGGTCTTGAGAGTGTCTTGATCATCTATGTCGTCGAAGGTAACTTTGTGGATCGGGCGGTCGGCAAAGTAGGAAGGAGGGTCTTTCTGCAAAGCATCTAACTGAGCACCTCTGCGCTTGTAACCCTTGTACAAACCTGGACGTGTCAACTCGTGTGTTGAGCTCTACAGACATGCATCAAGTGCTTACTGTAGACTTGTCTCGCATGGAAGGAGCAGAACAAGGCATTAACGTTTGTAGCTTCCTCGCTACATCGCCGTTCATCCGACACGTACAACGCCTGGCACTGGGGTGCCATAGCGGCTAATGCGTCTTCTGCTCAATACCGCGACGCGACAAACGAGAGGAAGGTGCGCCTCTGTGCAGCATTCACTTTGTGGAAGATAATATACTCGGGTGGTTGGAGCTGACGGAGAAGGTGCGACTGGAGATTCGCGCGACCGACGCGCCCGCCGATCTCTCCGCTTGTCACATGCAATGCCTTTGGCTGACCATTATTCCCGACTCGAAGGCGTTCGTCGTTTCGTTTCGTCATGATCAACTACCCTGACTATGTGTTTTCCATCTTTATGTATCCACATCAATGCAAGTCTGATCAGGAGAGATGCAGACAATCGCGCTGCCTGAAGACTCACAGCCGCCTACTTCCGGAGATAAACGGCGTAATATAAGTCCGCGAAGTATACTTTCTTCGAGTCGGAGCAAATCATGGGCCGCCGTTCGGATTCCTTGCATTGTATTCGAGTAGCATTATATTAAGAGGCACGAGGCCTGGTGACCGGTTGCTGTGATGCTCCCTACACATCGACTGTGCAATCGTACAATTGCAGCAGCCAACAAGATTGTCAAGCATCAGCAAAACTTTCACTCCAGCGCCAGAATGTCTTCGTCGACCACCTCATCCGCTTTGTACGCAACAGTCTCGACTTCTTCAATTGCACCTGTCGTGCCCAAGAACCACGCTGAATTGCGCCACCACAACAAGAACGGCAAGGGCTTCATCAATCCTTGGGACTCGTATGTCGACACAACTGCGAAGCAGATCATCTCGGCCCTGCTCTGGTACACATGTCTGCACTAGACTCATCACGCACTTCACCACTAACCACTGCTATGCAGGCGGAAACTCTCGGGCAAGCAGAAGACTCCCGACACGACTCCTCCCACTGTACCCGTGCAGAAACCAGACTTCCTCCCTACGCGCGAGACCAAGACGTTACGAGCAACATGGCTTGGACACGCTTGCTACTATGTCGAATTCCCGAAGGGCTTGAGAGTCCTTTTCGATCCCGTTTTTGAGCCACGATGCAGTCCATTCAGCTTCATGGGCCCGAAGAGATACACGCCATGCCCGGTTGACGTTGCCGACATCCCCATTATCGACGCCGTCATCATCTCACACAGTCACTACGACCATCTATCATATCCCACCATCCTCAAGATCAAAGAGAAGCACCCGAATGCCCATTTCTGGGCCCCACTGGGTAATAAAAAATGGTTCTCGAGCTGCGGCATTGAGAACATGACCGAGCTTGACTGGTGGGAGACGAGAGACTTTACCTTGTCGGCAAATAAGAAAGATGCGGAGACCACACATACGGACTCTGGTTCTACCGTCAATGCAGGAGGTGCCGAAGATATCAAGGCCGTCATTGGCTGTCTGCCCGCTCAGCATACGAGCGCTCGTACGCCTTTTGACAAATCTCACACCCTCTGGGGCTCATGGAGTATTGAAAGTGGTGGCAAGAAGATCTGGTTCGGAGGAGATACTGGTTATCGCTCAGTCCCAGAACTTCCGGAAGAAGAGAACGACTATGATGAGAAGTATAATTACCCGACATGTCCTGCATTCAAGGAGATCGGTGAACTGAGAGGTCCGTTCGACTTGGGCTTGATCCCAATTGGAGCTTACGATCCTCGTTTCATCATGTCTCCCATGCACGCCAACCCCTTTGACAGTGTCAACATTTTTATCGACACACAATGCAAGAAAGCACTTGGTATTCACTGGGGTAAGAAGACGAAAGCCGCCAATTATCAGGAAGAATCCACTAACCGCGACTAGGTACATGGGTACTGACAGAAGAAGATGTCCTCGAACCTCCACGAGTACTTAAGCAAGCCATGGCCTGGAAGAAGCTGCCTGAAACAGGAGTCTTTGACGTTTGCAACATCGGCGAGAGTCGCGACTATTGATCAGCACAATCCGCCACGACACGCATGTTCTTCTCATACTGTATAAATATATATTCGATTTATAGACTGACTGATTTGGGCTCATTAGACCCGTCTAACGACAAGAACATCTAGTGGTCAGCTTATCAAGCGTGATACGCCAACGAATCCTCGTTGAGCGCCGTCCATCAACTCAAGCTCGTACCGCTTCCACGAAGCCTGCTGACGATCAAAACTCCCTCATCCGCCCTCATTCCCGCCACAACCCTCGCCTTTGCCCCTTCCACTCTAACCGTCATATTGTAAGAATTCCATGCCCCTCCATCAAGAAAGCCGTGGTAGTGTAGTGGTTCAACACACCCGTGGTCTTAACACGTGCGTGGTCATTCGTTGTTACTCAACGTCGTGTCAGTCTAGATCCGAGGAGGTCGCGGGTTCGATTCCTGCTCACGGTGCTTACTTTTTTTGCTTTCACCTTACTATGTAGGATTTTCCAAGGTAGGATGGTCGCTTTTCTCTTTTTCTTCTTGTTTCTTCTTCTGTTTTGTGGTGCGCTTTATGGATTACCTCTCAACACCATATTCGTCCTTTTGAAAAAGATCTTGGGTCAAAGACAGACTGAACTTTGAGGGCAATACAAAGATTGCAAGACAAGCAGAGAAAACACATGACGGTCCCAAAAATGTCGGTACGATAAGTCCGTTCTCTTCACCAAATTCGAAGACATGGACATTAACAGGCCTCCACAGGAGGAAGAAACCCCTCGCGGAGATTTTTAAAGCTCGCCTTGCTGCAGGAGTCACTGCATCTCAGTAAGCAGCGACTATCTTTGGAGAGCACTCACGTCCATAACCCGTCAATCTATATACGAGAGCCACACTCTTCGCGCTGAAGTTCAGGTCAGTGGCTCTGCTTGAGCGCTGATCAAGTTGTTTGATTGCAGTGAGCAGTAAGTCAATAACCGAAAGGGTATACATTTCTTTTCTATCATGGAACCTAAGAAAATAACAGAAGAGATGTTTATCTGACGAAGCGAAAGCCTAGACATCGAAGCCTGGGTATGCAACCCTCATTTTACACATTACACATCAAAGAAACACACCATCTCTCCTCAACCACCCTCTTCACGACTTCAGCACTCACAACCCAACGAAAAACATACCCAAAGCACCAATCCCAGCAACTATACCCCCTAGTGCGAAACCCTTCGCTGCAGCACCTGTACTGGGTGTAACAGTAGGAGTAGCAGGAGCTGTGTACTCTCCGGTGGTGGCTGTGTAGTTGATCATGGAAGAGGCAGTTCCCATACTAGGAGCTGTGGTCACAGCGCTAGAAGAATCGGTGAGGATCCCTGCCGTGGCTGCGACTTCAGAGACAGAGGATGCGATGGAAGCGGCGGAAGTGGCAGCTTCGGATGCGGAGGACGCTGCGGCTGCTGCTGGGGCTGCAGCGGCTTGGGGGCAGATTTTTGAGGTGACTTCGAGGGCCTCTGTTTGTTGTGTCAGAGAGATTTACCAAAGCAAGGGGAGAGGGGGAAGTCTTACTGGCAAGATCGGCTTCACTGCATTCAGCCTTGACGGCTGTTTGTAGGTCCGCGATGAGCTTTTGGTTTCCGCATATACAGGCAGAGTCTGTGACTTGACAGCCAGAGCCAGAGATACCTGAGATCAAAGGAGTGGTTGCGCAGGCAGGAATTTCGGCAATGATGCTTGCATCGATCTGAGCGTGGGCGACGGCAGCAAGGCCGACGAGGAAGATGGCTGACGAACGCATGACTGAGATTCTGTAAAAGGAGAGTATGTGTCTTTGAGATTTCAGTAAAAGACAGTGGTTCCTTGAGAGTGGTATGAAGGAAGGTGAGTTTATCCTTACTTGCTTGTTCCCTTTTCTATGTTGTTTCTGTTTCTATTGTTGCTCTCAACACAGAACCAGGGAGTCGGTAGACTTGCATACCTTAGTCGCCTTGTTTGTTTTCATCGACTGCTAATCTTGGATCTTTCCCTTCTCTTTTGTCTCTTCTGCTATGATGAAACATGAGGAATGCAGATACCCAGCCAACCTCTCCCGATTGCATACGCAACGCTTCGACCCAGGAAATGCTACTGGAACCAGGCAATGGAGGCGAGACCAGTAACAAAGGAATGTTAAGAATGTTCTGTGCCTGCCACTCCCCCACAACCTTTGGCTGACAACGTCAGTGGTGACGATGCAGGCGTGATGGGTTCTTTGTCTACATCATCCGCATTCATGAAGAACACGGCAGGGAAACAGTGTCTCGGTACCGATCACTCGGCCCGTATGATAACAACCGAGCAAAGCAAAGAAAAAAAGATAAGGCTATAAGATGTTTCGGGTAGAAATGTATGGTTCATGATGACATCTGGAGAAAGAGAAGTGTGTGGTTGCAGGAAAAGGAGAAAGTAGAAAAGAGTCAAGGACGAGCAAGTCATTACGCACCTACCTCTAAAGTCCCTCCTTCCACTTTTTCCAAGCAAAATACCAGAACAACAGGAAATCCACAATGGTCCCCTTTTTCTACCCACGCAAAGGCCAAAAGCCTCGTCTCCCACACTCCAACGCCTTCGAACATACCCAGAAACACACCCGCCACACCTCATCAACATCAGAAACCTCCACAACCTCATCCACAGACTCAGAACCACACACACTATCCGGTGCCGCAGATCTGTGCTCCTACACAGCGAATATGCGCCGCTGGACACTCGACCAACTCCATACCTCCTTCCCTAGTCTCCCCTCAACACCTTCTCGTGGCTTATCTTATACCTCCAACACTGCAATTTCGAATGTCATATCTCCTCTGTACCCTACAAATTCTTCGTTGTATAATTGCAGTATCAGGACTCCGAGGCTTGGGGCTAGTGGTAACGGAGAGGATGGCGAGGCGATGGGGGATGTGGGTACTACACCTTGTAATACACCGAGGAATAGAGGGTTGAGGAGGAGAAGTACGGTCGTTGCCACCAAGAGGGGAAGGGTCAGAGAAGAGGTTCCGGCCGAGGGGAAAAGTCAGGCTAGATTGAGACCAGTGGAGATGATTAGGAGTCTGAGTTGCGGTGGTTGAGTTCTGAGTATCGAGATTGAACGGGTCTTGATGCTGTTGTTCCCAACGTGGTCGACTGTTTTCTCGGTGTCGAAGTCATATTCTAATGACTTTCTGGAGCTTAGGATGAGACGTGGCTGAAAGTGGTACATGATCGAGATCTGCCTTCGTTAATGTCGTATCATTCATAGCACGTTAAAAGGAGCCGAAGTGGAGGAGGAGATCAACACTTGTTCATTGCTTTTCGTGTCATCTTTGATTCGTGGTCAAAACTCAATTCCAAGCCATCGCTCCGTTCTCATTTAAGTCGCTAGAGAGAGAAAAGTTATCCACATGCTCCATCGTAATCCACACCTTCTCATTTCAAGATCTCTTAAGCACTGCCATTGGTTGCGGGCTGGGCAGGAGCAGTCAGGATACTGAACTGGCCACCACCGGATGCGTAGTTGAGCATCTTGCCACGAGTGGCAGTGTTGTCAATCTTGGTAGCGACCATGATATCATCATCAGTGCCTTGACCAGTCTGGTAGTTGGAGGAGAAGCCCCATGAGTAGGCATGGCCTTCCTCGGTGATAGCGAACGATTGATCTGATGCGGCGGTTGCGAAGGCGACTGTGCCCTGGATACCGCTGACGACGGTGGGGTTTTTGAGAATACGGGGATTGCCACGCTCGTCCTTGATAAGGGAGTCTTCTGGTAGGTCTGCGGCAGCAATACCACATTGGCCACCGTCGAGACGGCCCCAAACGAGACACTCACCAGCGCCGGTAACGGCAATACTGTGGTGACCACCTCCCTTGATGCAGCTGACCTGCCTGCCAGAAAGTGTCTCGACGACCTCGGGCTTGAGCACGACAGCATCGTCCTCACCAGCATTGTCGGGTACACCAGTCTCGCCAAAGTTGTTGAGACCCCATGCCCAGACGCGATCCTTGTTGTCGATTGCGAAACTGTGGTAGTCGCCGCATTGAATGTATTTGATGGCCTTCTTGGGCAGACCAAACTCTCTGGGTACCAGACCCTGAGTCTTGGTGCGCTCAACGACACGACGACCGAGCTGGTTTTGTTGACCCGAGCCCCAGGCAAAAACAGCACCGGTTGCATCGAGCGCAAGAACGTGGTTGGCACCACAGCTGATGTGCTTGACCTTCTTGAGACCCTTGATGAGCATGGGTGTACGCTGTACGAGGACGTCTGTGGTAAAGCCGAAAATACCTTCGTTGCTTCTGAAAGTACCCCAACCCCAAACCTGGCCGTCGTCGGTAAGAGCGAATGATGTCGAGTCACCAGCGGCGACTTGTACGAAAACGGTGTCCTCTGGGAACATGTCTGATGAGATGGCAGTGGGCGTGCTCTCCTTAGGATTCATGCCAGAGTCGCCATCTTCATCGTCCGAGTCCTCGTCTTCCTCATCCTCAACATCACGAAGGCCGCCTTCCCATGTTGTGTCTCTTCCAAGAGCGCCCTGGTCGTTGACACCCCAGGTGAGGATCTTGTTGTCGTGGGTCAAGGCCATGGCGTGCATGCCTCCAGCGACGATTTGCACAACACCGACCGAGTCGGCAGCCAGGTTGGCATTCAGGCGAGGGCGCTTGACATCGATGGCCTTCTTGGACGTACCAAGACCCAGCTCGCCAGATGAGCCCTCTCCGCAGACAAATACATCGAGGCGCTGAGTGGGAGCCTCGTTGATCACAGGACCCTTGGGCGCAACCTTGGCCTTCTTCGCGACTGCCGGCTCGGGAGTGGCAGTGGCCTTGCGCTTTCTTGTAGCCAGTGTTGCTTTTGTTGCAGCCGGAGCTTCTTCAGTCTTCTTTGGGCGGCCGGGTTTCCTCTTGGGTGCTTCTGACATTGTTTTAGCCTGTCGATCGACCGAGACTTGTCGTACGTGGTGCAACGCACCGTCTTCTGACTTTGCTGCCTTTGTATCGGCGGCCTTTGGTCTACCACGTCCTCTTCCTGTTGCGGCGGGCTTGGTCTCGGCTTCGGCCTCGGTCTTAGCGGTGACCTTTGCCTTTGTGTTGGCAGCTGCGCGTGTCGAAGCCTTCTTGACAGGCGCGTCGGCTTCAGCGTCCTTGGTCTTCTTGATGTACTTTACACCAGCCACTATAAATGTCAGTAAAACGCGTCTCCTCTTTCTCTTTGCGCGAAGGAATGGTTCGTGCGGGTATGAGGAATGATTGCTGCGTTTCTTGGTGCTAAGACTCACTTTCTTCGCGAAGTTTGTGTGTATGAGTTGTTCTGAAGTGGTTCGCGACCGTGATTGATCGGTTTGCAGGATGACAGGGATGGACAGAATTGTTGTATGTAAGTCAGAGGAAAAGTTGATGATGAAAGCGCGTTCTAAAGTCGAGAGTACCAAGCTTTGACTCGGTTGGAATGTCCGACAAAGTTCGGCCGTCGCCAACTCCCGAACTCTTTCTTTATTCACCCTACTCGCGACAATAATAACATCAATGTCTGTTCGAGGCATTGCATCCATTGGCATATATTGGTGTCTTGCTTATAAATCCTGGCCCATCGCCACCTACTGAGTCTCGTTGCCTGATCTTGGTGCTACTGCATCCTCGAGACTCGAAGAAGCATGCCATGATGCAAGTGAACGCTCGACGCTCGAGCTGGCCGTATTATTGCGTCAGTCTGCAGATTCAAGAAAGGAGTCGCGATCGCGGCCCTCCGCTCTCTGTCCACCTGCCATCGTCGGGTCGAGTCTCCTGATATTCAGTCACGTGTAATACTGCTCCCGATCTCTCCAGATTAAGAACCATGTTGCACTGTACTGAACGACGTCTGGTACTGCGACATTTATCGCAGACTGTTGCTTTCCCCGCACTCGGTCCCTCGGGTTAAACAACTCAAGTAGGTTAATATGGTGTCGATCCAAGACAGATGACATCGGTGGGTATGTCCCGCAGTAGCATAGTCACACCTCTACACATCCTTCTACATTCTGTTGCGTCTCTATAAGAGAATCGCATTACTATCATGATCGACATGCCTGCAACGTCAATACCCTCGTTCGATGAGCTGCCTGTAGACAAGACTGGACCATTCTTGAATGCTTGGGGACTGTAGGCATCATCCAGGGACTCATTAATGAACCATACTAATCTCATCAGATATGGCAAAGACGATGAGCTAGGCTTCCTGAACCGCCTCACCGATGACTTGGTCAAAGAAGCAGCCAAAGAGATTCAATCTGGCACGAGGTACCTAATCATCATCACATCATCACATCAATAGAACCACCACCACCACAACCCCCCCCCCTTCACAATATCTCTAACCCCTCGTTTTCAGAATCTCCCTAAACTGGCCCATGGACGCTCAAAACGACCTCCCCTTCTTCGGCCGCCAAATCTTCCACAAACAAGTATATCAAAAGCCTCCCCGCATAGTAAACGACGACACCTGGACCTTCAACACGCAGTCCAGTTCCCAATGGGACGGTCTCCGCCATTTCGCCTATCAAAAAGAGGCAAAGTTTTACAACGGCGTCACTTTGGACGATATTCATTGTGATCATAGCACAGTTATTGGAATAGGTGCGTGGAGTGAAAAGGGCATTATAGGTAGAGGTGTATTACTGGATTATGAGGCTTGGAGGGAGCAACAGGGTAAACCTGCCAAAGATGCTTTTAAAGCCGGGATCATCTCTCTGGAAGAGTTGAAAGCTGTGGCAGAGTGGGAAGGTGTGGAGTTGAAATTTGGGGATATACTGATCATTCGCTCGGGGTATATCGCGCAGTACAACAATTCCTCACGGGAAGATCTGGAAGCGCTGAGTAAGATTATGCCGCCTACTTTCTTGGGTGTCGAGCAGAGTGAGGAGATGTTGAGGTGGATATGGGAGAACTTTTCGGCGGTTGCTGGGGATCAACCTTCGTTTGAATGTTGGCGTATGTTGCTCCTCCTTCACATCTACATTGGTTTAATGTTTCTTCTTTTGCACAATGCTGACAGTTTCTACAGCGTCAACAAAGCCGTATATGCTTCACGAAGTCCTTCTCGCTGGTTGGGGTTGCCCGATTGGCGAAATGTTCGATCTTGAAGCTCTGTCGAGGCAATGTAAGAAGACTGGTCGCTACAGCTTCTTTGTGGCCAGTGAGCCTTGTAATGTAAGTGTCCCACAGAAACACTAGCAAGACGGCGTCAATTTGCTGACAGAGATGGCAAGGTTCCCGGTGGTGTTGCAAGCCCACCAAACATCATCGCTATCCAGTGAGGACGAGAAACATGCGACTGCGATCTTCTCTGGCTTTGTTGAGAGACTATCGGCGACGACGGTATGGATTGATTCATGGTCGAATATTACGGCACCGGGGCACTTTTTGGAGGCTACGGCGAGCTGCCCCTGCTGCATTTACTTGGTTCGCTGTCAATCTTTCCGATCAATTACTCGTAGCATTATGCTCATTTTGGGGGCTAATTGAATACACGTAAACGTCAAACTCGTAATGCTTCCTCGTCATATTTCCACCACTTTCTCTTCTTCCCATTCCTTGCTCGCAACTTCCTTCCACCTCAATCCAGTGACACACTACTGCATCTTCTTGACCTCCTCAGGAGGTGCGGCTCTATCAATCAAGCCAGCACCAATCTGGGCAGTCTCATGCCAGTTTCTCTGTCTAGCCCAGAATCTGTCCTCAAGTCTCGAGCTTCTCAAGCTACTCTGTCTAGCCTCCTCTTCAAGAGTCTCTCTAGTAATCTTTTCGCCAAACTTACCCACCTGAGGCAAATTTTGGCTTTGCGAGAGAGACTCGGAAAAGTATTGTTGACGAATCATGAAGCGATCGCGACGCTCCTTTTGGCGGCCGGGGGAGTCGATCTTACTGATGCCAATTTGGACGGCGCAGCGGATGAGGAGGTAGCTGTGTTCGGCGAAGAAGATGGTGAGGAGAAGGGCCCAGCCGCGGATGTTCTTAGGAGTGCCGTCGGGGCCGAGACCGTCATTGCTGAACAGGTAGACGAGCGCAGCGGTAGTGATGCTGCCGAGCCAAGACAGGAAAGACAGAGAGTCCAACCAGGGGCCGATAGTGTCAGCACGTTCGGGGATGGGACGCTGCATCTCGATGCAGATCTTGACAGCGTCGGCGCGGAGCTCGAGCCAGTTGTTTGCGAGGAAAGAGACGGGAGTAAGAGGCCAGACAGTGCTGAACAGCGCCAAGTAACCGAACTGGACGACCATCTCACGAAGGTCAGAGTTGACATCGTAGGTATCGAGTTCGGCCTCGCGACGAACGCGGGTCAAGAATGGAGCCTCCTCGGCATGGTCACTCTCAACAGGAGTAGGAGAAGAGCCGCCCTTCTTGGAGGCACGCTCGCTCTGCATCTCCTTGTACTTGGTGAAGCCTTGGCGCTTGAGGTAGGGCACAATGACTTCCATGCCGAGGTTGACGATCTGTGCCGTAACAGTGAAGTAGATGATTTGCTTGCGAAGACGATCAGGGTTGATGACGAATGAACCAACGCTGGGAGCCTGAAGCTGCTTCTCATTCTCGGCGAAGGGTCTAGCGGTCAAGCTGAAGACATCCAGATAAGGTACTACAACGCTACCAAATGGAACGTAGACGAAGGCAGTCAGGAAGACTGGAAGGTATGAGGTGATGAAGTTGAGAACAAAAGTCTTCTGGGTCATGGCGTAGTTGTAGGCGTCGTCTGTCTCGTAGTTCTCGAACTTGGTAAGACGTTGGGCAAAGGTGGTAAGAATGCCGTTCAGAACGGGCATGACGGTAGTCAAGATGATGGTAGGGAGGAAGACCTAGAAATTTAGCTAAGCACATGTGAATGGTATCGGAAGCATCTTACCAAGACAGACTTCAAAGGACCGTTGTAGATCTCAGAGATGAAGATCTCGATTCCGAAGCAGGTTGCGATCAAGCTACCAAGTACGGTAGCTGCGGCGATAGCGAAAGGAACCTGGAGAAGCTGGCGTTGAAGACGCTTGGTAGCAGGGAAGATCTGCACCTTCTCGCCAGTGACAGGATCAGTGCCTTCCTTCTCATGCTCGAAGTGCCTACGCTTGGTCTGGATCTTGGATACACCGCGGACACCCCATCTGACACCGAGATCCACTTCCTGGTGCTTCCAGTACTCGACAAAGGCTATGCACCACAAGCTGCTGACGATGGCATAGATGGGTGAGAATCTTCCGAGCAAAAGCCAGGCAGTGGCTCCAAAGGCGGCAGGGAAGACCAGGAAGGTGAAGTAGGACTGAGTAAAGGCAAAGTAGAAAGCAATCTTCTCGCCCAATCTGTCTCTGATTTCGTCGAGATCTTGGGGCTCGAGAATGTATTTCTTAGTCCATCTCTTGATCCACTCTTTGTTGTAGGCATGGTCGTGGAGAGCAAAGATTGACTCGACGTTCTTCCACTCTCCCTCCTTGGGAGTGATACCAGCACCACCTTCTTCTTCAGGGTTGGTGATCATTCGGTAGATGATGCGGTAGCGTTCTGCTTCGTGGAGCGGTTCCTCTTCGATGGCCTTCTTGGTCTCCTTCTGCGGTGCTGCGGTTCTGACCCCATGGATCCAGTCCTTGACTCTCGAGCGGTACACCTCAGCGTTGACGTGCTCCTCACTGGCGACCTTGACGAAGATCAAGAGCGAGTGGTTGTCTCCATTGCGAACTTCGGTAGCAAGTCCGACTTTAGCGAGCTTTCCAACGAGTTCAGCAAACTTCTTTCCTGCTTCGGCTTTACCTATGGTGCTGTAGTCAGTACTTGTCGTCCAGATAGATTGGTGCTCACGTACTGGTAGTCGCAAAGCGGAAGACAATGACATAGTCAGTCTCCATGTTCGTCTGGAGACCCTTGTTGTTGTCCCTGAACGTAGGAGACAGGGACGTGGGCGTGGGCGGTTGCACCGATTGTGTCGACATCTTGTCTGAATGCTGTCTGTCGCAGCAATTGACTTCTAAGTAAGAAGAGAAGTCGACCTGGGGAAGGTCAATGTGATAGCTCAAAGGGAAGTCGAGCTAGAAACTTGATAATGCGGGCTACGCGTCCTACGTCATCATCAACGCCGTTTCACATGCGGCCTCGAAAGTACTTGAGCCCCTGGCACTATGGACACCCTCCCCAGACAAAGAGGCCATTGACGAAGGTCCTTCTTGTCCTATGTGTGTCGCTAGATTGGTTATCGAAGAAATTGCTCGTAGTCTCAAGTATCATTGTCGGAAGTGTATCTCATCGCGATGGCTGATAATAGCCTCGGCCAATGAATGCAGATGGGGGGCTTCAATATTACCGATACCTTCACATGCGTTCTTATCCCACCGTCACCGACTTATCTATCTGTATAACGAACATCAGTATACACTTGAGCACTGTGGACAACTTTGCTTCCTAGCATGATCCGATAACACATGCTCAACATGTTTTCCCCTTTTGCGCCTCCATCACCATTCGAGCCGCCATCTCTGCTGTACCTCTTTCTGCTCTCTCCTCCCAAATTCCTCCTCAGAACGATACACGGTCTAATCTCACTCCTTCGATCATCCCCATCACTACAAGCAAATTTGCTTCCCATCAGAGTAGTATGTCTATCAGACACACACTGTCGAATACCAGCCACAGTTCCAGACGGCGACCTTCTGATCCACGCGGGCGACCTCACACAAGCCGGCACACCCAAGGAGATCCAAGCACAGCTAGATTGGCTAAACACCCTCCCTCACGCGCATAAAATGGTGATTGCAGGAAATCACGACACCTATCTAGATCCTCGATCACGGACAACTTTACCCTCTAGTGATGTGGAAGGAGCAAGTTTAGACTGGGGAAATATACACTATCTCCAGCACTCTACCACGACTCTAACGTTTCCGACACATCGAAATCGCACATTGAAGATTCATGGTGCGCCGCAGATTCCTGCTTGTGGAGGACCGGAGTTTGCGTTTCAGTATCCACGGGGTCAGGATGCGTGGTATGACACTGTTTCATCCGGTGTAGATGTCTTGGTCACGCATACGCCGTCGAAACATCACCTTGATCTCTATGGCTTGGGCTGCGAGCATCTCCTCCGAGAACTTTGGCGCGTGAAGCCACGGCTACACATCTTCGGACATGTACATGCTGGAAGAGGCAAGGAAGTTCTGTACTGGGATGATGCACAAAAGGCATTTGAGGACGGATGCAGTAGACCTGATGGTCTGGTCTGGAGTATGGTGGATTTCTGGCTGTGGATTCACGTGGTAAAGACACTTTGGCATGGTGTGTCGAGTGTGGTTTGGGATCGTGTTTGGGGCGGTGAAGCGAGGTCGACGAGATTGATCAATGCTAGTGTCATGTACATAAATACTGGCCAGCTAAAGAACGCGCCGCAGGTGGTGGAGATATGATTATAGTAACTCGTAATATGATAGTATGCGCAGGCTGATCTGGCACTGTCTAAATTCATGATTCATCCCGTGTCGAGCTACCTACCTAGTTGAGCACGCAACAACAACATCAAAAGAGAGAACAAACATCATGGTTAGGCACACGTATAACCAACACTGCAAGGACTTCAGCACTGAGCGTATAGTCAGAGATAAGAGGCAGTCTGATGCCAAAGAACTAATAGGCGAAAAGGAAAACAAATTAGAATAGTCGTCCTCCAGAGTCGGACCCACCTCCTTGCTATACCGTAAACAAAAAGTGGTGTTTGCCGACGCTACTTCTCCCGGCTTCGCACAGCAGTACTTGACCAACTCCTCCGTAAGAGGGTGGTATTCTACGGCTGTCCAGTGGTCAGGGGATCTCCCACTGCGCCAAACTCACTTGAGTTTCGGTCTTACCAATGCTGGGATGTGGGAAGATTGCTATTGCCTCAGTATATAAGGACTCGATGAAGTGAGAGGAGATGTTTGCTTGTTGTTTGCTTTGAAGTGAAGAGACATTTATGAACGGTGAAAAGGGTATAATATTTTGATGGGGTGCATGATGAAGGAACAACGAAACAATTTCTCTCTACTCCCTCTTCTTGCCACCACTGGCCTTCCATGCTTGAGCTCTGTTGCTACTTCTAGTTCTCGGCTTACCCTTCTTCTTACCAGAACCACCCAGCTTAAGACCAGCCTTGCCACCTCCAGCCTTCGCTCTATGACCCTCAAAGATGAAGCTCTCAGGTGTCTTGAAGCCCTGAGGTGTTCCTCCTATCGGCTTGCCCTTTTGGACTTGGGCAGCGGCGGCACGACCGAGCAGTTTACCTGCACGGCCCATGTTTGACTGCATAACCGGGTCGGCTTTGGGGTTGTAGATGCCCTTGTTGGTTGCGCCGGGTGCTTTTACGGCGTTGCTACCGGGCTTGACGTTGCGCTTGATGGTCTTTGCGCGGGTTACGCGGAGCTTGCGAGGGAGCATGGGAGGGAATTTCTTCTCGTTGAGAAGGAGGGCAGCCTCGACGGCGTTCTCTTCCTGGTTTTGTTGTTAGTATGTGGGAAGTTGGGTCTAGATTGCGGTACGACTTACGGTGAATTGCACGTATGCGAAACCCTTTCCAACTCTTGTCATAGGATCACGGGGCACACGAACACTCTCGACCTTACCACAGGTGGAGAATGTGCGCCACAGACCTTCCTCGACATCACTGGGGGTCTTGTTGCCCTTTCGTGTGCCCTTGCCTTCCTCGGCGTTAGCCTTGTCGATGTTGGTCTCGTCGTCGACGAAACCGAGGTTGCCAACGAAGACACATCGTCTGGGTTCGGTCTTTGCGGGATGGGCAACCTCGTCGACACGGAGATGACGGTCCAGGACAACAGTTCCATTCAAGCGGCGAGCGGCCTCACGAGCCAAGGCGTTTGTTGAGTAGACAGCGTAAGCGTTTGTGGACTTTGTTGTCTCGACCATAATCTCCTTCTTTGCAAAGGCGGCCTTCTTGGGGATGGCGCTGGCGTACGCAGTCGAACGGAAACGGAGCGATTCAACACTGTGTGCGGGTTGTCCCTTCTCAGCATCGGCAATGTCCTCGAAGAAAGACTCGAGATGGCGCATAAGCGTCTTCTTTGCCGTCTTTGATGTGATTGCTTCGGCCGAGACGTTGCCCAAAAAGACTGTTCGTTGCGCCTTGACCAGATCAGAATCGTTGTCGGGCTCCAGGGTCTCGTGCATTGGGGGTGGTGACATTTCCATGGCATCAGCAGCGTCCGAGTCTTCCTCCTCGCTGTCGCTGTCACTCTTCTTCACGCGCTTGGAGGAGCGGTCTTCCTTTGCTTTGGCGATGGCCTTCTCCTCTTCGCGACCGAGCTTATCCATGTACACATCCTCCAACTCGGGCTGCTTGTCCTTTCTCTTTCTCTTACGGTTGTTGCTCTCAAGGGCGGCTTGAGCAGCGAGTTTGGCTTCCTCCTCCACATCCGGGACTTCGGAGTCGCTGTCGTCCTGTACTTCGGAGTCGTCGTCTGCGTCAACAGCATCTAATTCGTCATCGTCAAGCTCCGAGAGTTCCTCGTCGTTGTCGTCTCCCTCTTCCTCCTCTTCGTCGTCTGACTGCTGCTTTCTCTTTGTGCTTCTGACGGGTGCAGATGGGATCTCGGTATGGATTGGTTTGGCGACACCGAACTAGAGAAGTCAGTGAATCGCGACTCGATTGACAATCATTGGCTGCCATGTGCGTACAGAGTTGGCGAAGAGATTTGAGATGGTAGGGTCCAGGTTGGCAGCAGGAGCCAGAGCAGAAGATTTTGGCTTCTTCTCGGACTTGTGTTCCTTCTTTTCGACCTTCTCGGCCTTCTCAACCTTCTCCTTCTTGTGCGACTTCTCTTTCTTATCCTTTGAATGAGCCATGATGCTAGTTGTGTATCCGATCAAAAAATTGTAAACGCGCGACAAAGAAATCTTCGGTAACTATTGGCTCTCGGATCTGGGGCTGGGGGCAATGATAAGATAACGGCTTGGCGAAAACCACTCGTCGTGGGGACAACCTTGTCCTCTACACATACGATGAGTTTTCGACAGCTATTGACTTCTCTACGCCGCCATTCTTCGACTGAACGATTGCAGATATACCTTATTTGTCATGGCTCACTCATCGGTAGATGAAACGCAGTGTGAGCATATCGTCACGGATGTGCTGTGTGGTCCAAGAAGATGGCTATTGGACGATTGCCATACTCGGTCTGCTGCAAGTGTTGTGTAGTCACAATAGAGAGATACTGTGAACAGTGGTTCCAGCGTTATGTGCGGCTCGATGATGGACCATCTATATCTTCTGATCGGTATATAGGTAGATTAAGAGTTCCAGTAGCTAATCTCGACAATACATGTCCTCGCGGTGGTGAAGATGATGATGGATGTTGTCGCATAATTGCGGCTTATCGATAAGCTTGGCCAAGACGCCAGAGATCGTCACTCCGCTGCTGAACGCTTCAAGTGACCCTCGATGTGCAAAGCGACCTTTGTGACCGAGTCTGCTGCACCATATCCTCATTGCTCTATTGCTCCTCCGATCGATCATCCGAATCTGTCCTCGCATCCTGCTAAACAGGATCTCTCGACACGAGTAGCTCCAGAGCGACGACGGCGGTCCACTTAGCTCCGCACTCGCACCCTGACGCGCTCTCTCGTCTTCTGCAGCTAACATTGCTCTGTCCACCCAATCACCGAACAGGGCTCCCGCTGCCCACGACGGCGCTCATGCAAGATGGACGAAGACAATCATCATCCTGCCGAAGTTGCGACTACGACGCCTCTCCTGCAGTCGCCGCTCTTTGACCAGCTCAATCGCAACTCGGTGCCCTCCATGGCCACCCCGTCTGTATCTCCGTTGAGCACTACATCAAGAACCGCTGCCCATCCAGTCATCGATCCGATACCCCTCCAGCTCGAATCCGTCGACAATCTTGACGTAGACCCAAGCGACGGCTCGAGTAGCCTGAGCGACTACGACGCCGAATTCGACGACCAAGATCAGCGAGACAACAACGATAGAGACTCCGAAGCAGAAACAGAACGTCTCGAGCGTTCACCCATGAAATCGTGGATTCCGTCTCCGACAAAACTCAATCAAGCCTCCGTTCGATCTGAGCCGGCCTCTTCACCTGACCCTCAGCCTCAATCGCCGTCACCTACACAAGCTCGACTGGGTACGATGATCGCGATCGACAACCAGATCAATGCTGACCGGTCTTTATCAGCCTCTCCTGCAGCACTCGCAGGCCGAAAGCGCAAGCGACCAAGCCCCGTCAGCGACGCCGACAGTCCTCTCTCCGAGCACTCGGATTCTGAGGAAGCGCTCGCTCTAAACCACAGCAGACATGTCGAACAAGCGCCCGAGAGTCGACAAGAGACACCAGAACCTACGGAAGAAGTCGACGAGAACCCCTACATCTCGCCCATGAAGGCCGCTCGTCTGAAAAGAGCGAAGCAAAAGTCTAAACAGACTCGCGATTTTTCTCCTGCCGCTCAGACAGGTGGGAATGAACTTGAATACGACGAGGCGGACGAGCAGAACGACGGCGACGACGAGACGAAGAAGCGCGCCACAGAGGCCTTTACAGCCATTGTTGAGCAGTTCCAGACTTTCCGCACAAAGTAAGTCGCCGGAGTTCCTTGAAACCGCTACGGACACTGACAATTGACTAGAATGCACAACGAGCGTCTGACTCTAGCCGAAGCCGAATTGGAGCAACTGAATTTACCGAACGCAAGTCACCCAGACTTCCTCGCCATGTTGCAATGCATCACTGCTAGACGCGATACCAAGATCCAACAAGAGATCACATTACACCGCTACAAGCTTGGAACACTCCGAACCCAAGTACTTGCAGAGCGCGCCCAGCTGCATACTCAATACTTCCAAGAGGCGCGAGAACTACGCGACTCGCTGTTAGAACAGCTGGGCAAGCAATGGTACGACATACAGAAAGAGCGTCGCCAGTTCCAAGCCGATCAACAAGACAATTACTCGTACAAATTCCCCACAAAGCGCTCCGATCAAGTGCGCAACCAGGAAAAGTACAACCGCGAGGTTTCCATCTTATCTGGTATGGCCAAATACCGAGGCTTCCCAGCTGCACCAGATATTCAAGGCGCACGAAATACCGAGCTCGACGACGATTTCAAAGCTATGCATATTCCACGCAGGCAAACGTTACCTCAGCAGCAAGGCCCCGCTTATCAGAACCCCGTGCATATGCATTCGGCACCTGCATCAGTACGTACCGCCGAAGAGAGATTCATTGAACAGACTCCTTGGGCCAACCCTCAACATCCTTTGCATCACCAGTCGCGAACTCCAGGTCCTTTCGGCACGTACGGCATGCATCTCCAGCCGAATTTGATGCGCCAGGGTTCCGCTCAGGGCCAACGTACTACTTCGCCCTTCACCACACCTCTACCAAACACAGCGAAACGTGCAGAATATCCACAGAACGGTCTTGGCTCTAACGACACCATTGGCATACCCAGCGATCCTCCCTCAAGCGCAGTACCACAGAACGGAGATCGATTCGCGCAAGGCCCGCCTGGTGGTGATATCTCACCAATCGACCAACTTAAAGTGCGTTCTACCCTCGGCAACCCACTCGGCAATCGGGGAGACAGGCGCGACTTCTCAGGTTTATCCAGCGCCTCGACCATCGAGACACCAGGTGATCCAGCCGAATTCGACCGCCACGGCGCACCGTCACATACCAGTGCTGCACAGAATGGCCTTCCTCTGCAACCACCTGCCGAACACTCCGCTCCTCAGCAGGCCTTTGTGACGAGTGCACTACATGCTCATAATGGGAGACAGGATGATCGCAAGCCAGAGCTCTACGAGAACGTCAACTACAGAAGGTCACAATTAGGTGCGTTTGGTGCGCCGATGCCTCTTTTCGGCACCAATTCTCCTGCGCATCAGGATGGCCAGAGAGCGTCGTAGATTGAGCACTTTCAGTACGCTATCACCCATGAATAATGATTAATCATCAAGCAACGGCCGTCAATACGAGCATCTGAGATCTACATAAGGCGTAAGAGATGGAAGCAGCTGACAAGCTAGCTGTGTATGGAGCATCGAGAACATCAAGGTGTTCTCGCCAGTCCGAGTTGGCATATAAGGGCGCAGGAAGGCGCCACGTGAGTAGGTGTTTTATACCCGATGACTTTCCCTCTTCTCAATTGTTTGATTGTTTGATAATTGCAGAGTTAGCGTAGATGCACGTCATGAGACGGGTTATAATATGGCTATCAGTTGATATCAAACGCTTGTATACCAACCGCTTCAAGGACTCTCGTTCTTCTCTACACTGTAAAACCTGCGTAGCAACAATCGCAAAAGGATGATGCCCGACAGGCCTCACAGAGTGTGATGGCAGCCAGCAAGAGACAAAAAAAGAACTCTCCTCTCTCTGAGTCGAACAAAGGACCTTCTGATGACAATCGAACAATTACAGTCAGACGCTCTAAACCAACTGAGCTAAGAAGAGATTGGTGTGACAAGAAGGGGTTTTGTATCGTATAATAAAATTGGACGGAAACAAATCAACCCACCGGACTCCGTCACACGGTCGCGCGATACACGTCTCAACGCACGCTCAACTATGCTCTCCACATCACAACACGGACTCGCATCTTGTGTTCACAGCACAAATGTAGGTCTCACGACGGCCGGTACGACTCTGTTCCTGAACCACTGCCTCAAGTGGCACGTATCACCGTCCTGTAAAGACCTCTACTTGCATCAATCTTCGCTGCAAGGTGCATGCAGCACCTCATCTGCGTGGAGCCGGACTGGCCATCTTTTTGTATCGTTGATCCCCCTCTTGCTTCTCCGCACCAAGCTTTCGACCGGCCAACTATGTTGACGTAGGAAGAAGAGATGCAATAATGAGCAAGGGACACATACCCATCGTTGTTGCCTTCTCCGCACTTGTCATCTTTTGAACATATATTCAGGTAGTCTGCCATCTCCGCTCCAAAAGCACCGTTCCCTGATTGTGCCGTTTATCGCTATGATCACCACCCTATTATCTCTATTGCTCGTATCGACTGCCTGGGCACAGGAGCAAAACACTCAAGACTATGACTCCAACAGGTGAAGCTTCAACAATCGTGCTGTATTGCTGACGATTGGTCCTTGCTGACCTACAGTCCTCAGACACAAGATTCCTACGTACTCTCCTGTCCGCCCTCCAGCTGTGCCTCTTGCTGTTCGCAGTCCTTATACCAGCATATGGATCTCTACTGCAAATAATGGCACTCTCAACACCAATGAAGCCATGTTCTGGCAAGGTACCACCGCTGGGTGGGAAGGTATCATCGTCATAGATGGCATTATCTACGAGTATCTCGGCACTGGACTACAATCTCTTCCACCCCTCGCTAATGTGAAGACTGCTTCCCAACTCGCCGTCTCTTTTGACTCTCAGTACTCGAACTTCACCATCCGTGCAGGTCCAGTTGATCTCGTTGCGAGCTTTCTTAGCCCTGTCATCCCACGGGATCTTTGCCGCACTAGTATACCTCTCAGCTATCTCCAAGTCAGCTTCTACAGTACGGATGGCCAGCTCCATGATGTTCAGCTGTATAGCGACGTCAATGCGGGCTGGATCTCGCCAGAGACTAACACGACTCTGAACTGGAACCTCTTTGAAGGTAATTCAGCCGTCAATGGGAGTGGTAACGCCACCAGTAGTCCCTCGACTGTTTACAGCTGGGTGCTTTCCCAAAAGAACCAGTACGATTTTGGAGAACAGTAAGACGATATCCTTGGTCACTATCATAGTCGTGCTAAAGTATCACAGGCAAGACTTTCCACAGTGGGGCAATTTCACGTAAGTCAGCCCCTCGGCGCATAAAGCTCCCACTGACGTTTGGTTATAAAGATACTCCTCAAGTCCTGGTCAATCCGAAAACTTCAGTTTCCAGAGCGGCCACTCGCTTGATCTTCGTTACAATTATGTCAAACGCCTCCAGCTCTCCAACGTTTTAGATTCTGATTACCGCGGTGCTCAGAGCAAGGAGCCGGTATTTGCATTTGCTCATGACTTTGGATCGACAGTATCGGGAAGTGCTCTTTACACCATCGGAACAGTACAACAAAACGTCATCAGATTCTTGACGTCTGATGGGCTTGTACCTCTGCAGCCGTGGTGGACGGAGTGCTATGGCGATGACTTATTTGACCTCATCAACTTTCATTATGATGATTTCGCAACCAGTCAAGCGAAAGGAGCGAAATTTGAAGCTCAACTCAAAGCGGATGTGCAAGCCTACTACTCAAGCTTCCCTGGATCGTTGTATAGTAACAGCACACCATCGACACTTCCATCGTATGTCAACTCCTCTGGTAGTGAGGACGGCACAGATCAATTTGGGCACACCTACATCCTCGACTCGAGCAATGTCTATGGTTTCCTCGACCCCACCGACTTCAACGGTATCGCCATCCCCGATGTTTCTGAAGCTGAGAGTTACTATGCTATCGTTGCTCTGAGCGCTCGTCAAGTGATGGCAGCGTACGTCTTGACTGTCCCGCCAACTCTTCGCTACAGCAATTCGTCGTCCATTACGTCAGGTGAACCGCTCTTGTTCCAGAAAGAGATATCGAGTAATGGAAACATGAATACAGTCGACGTCATCTTTCCAGCCTTGCCCTTTTACCTCTACGCCAATCCTCAGATGCTCAAATTCGTCTTGAATCCACTATTTCATCATCAAGAGAACGGGTTCTACCCCAACGGCTACAGCATGCACGATCTTGGGACGCATTTTCCCAATGCGACTGGCCATGTCGAAGGTAATGATGAGTACATGCCGGTTGAAGAAAGTGGAAACATGCTCCTCAAGGCATATTCTTACTACAAATTCACTGGTAATACGAGCTTCCTCATCCAACACTACTCCAAGTATCGACAATGGGCGAGCTACGTGATACAATACTCTCTGGTACCTGAGGCTCAGTTAAGCACCGATGATTTCGCAGGGACGCTTGCCAATCAGACAAATCTTGCAATAAAAGGAATTCTAGGCCTCAAAGCGATGTCGTTCATATCACAAGTCGTGGGTGACTTAAGCGCCGCAGCTAACTACTCAGCTACCGCGTCTTCTTACTTCACTCAATGGGAAAAATTCGCGATTGACCCGACTGGGACGCACACTATCCTAGCCTATCAGAGTCGTGGATCCTTCGGCCTCCTATATAACACTTATCCGGACAAGCTTCTGAATCTCGGTATCATTCCACAAAGTCTACATGATATGCAAAATGATTGGTATCCAAAGATCTCTCAAATTTTTGGAGTACGTTTATAAATAACATCGGCAGTCAGAGTTATTGACTGACAATCACAGGTCCAACTTGACAGCCGTCATACCTATACTAAGAGTGATTGGGAAATGTGGACAGCAGCTACATGTGCTCCAGAGGCCCGTCGTCTGTTTGTCAATTCACTAGCACACTGGCTCAACAATACTAGCACGAACCTGGCTTTCTGGGACTTATTCAAAACCGTTGGTACAGGGGGCTATCCCGTTGGTGGTCCGACATTCATCGCGCGCCCTGTTGCTGGTGGACACTACAGTCTCCTTGCAATGCTGAAGACTGGACAAAACAGCCAGATTGGCACAGCTCCTGGTGGATTCATACAAAATAGTACTCAGGCCTTGACCGAGTCTAGAGCTGACTACCTGGATATCTCAGCTGCTAGTGTGTCGCTGCAGACCACGAAGTCCGCCTTGATATCAGCACCTACAAGTGGCCTGTTCAACGTGTCTATCCACACGCGAGCGGTACAGTAGAGGACTTGTCTCATGGTGATCTGGAAGCACCTCTTGTAAGCGTTTCATATTTAGACAAGGGCAAGATTTTCTCATCAAATGGGGTTGTGGTCTAGTGGTATGACATCTTCTTAGCATTGCTCCTTGAGCATTACTGAGTGGAGAAGGTTCTGGGTTCGATTCCCAGCTACTCCAGCATTTTTGCCAGGCATCTGTGTGCCTTGTGCTTTTGCGCATGGGAGATACGAGGCGTCGTGCCCGTGTTTCTATATTTTGCTGTTCAGAGGTGCTGGATTGCAGATGCGGAAGCGGAAGACAGAAAACGTGGGCGGCCCACGTTTTTGCAGCCGCGGAGATTGGCAAAAGCCGACCGACCTATGCTTTCGGTGACAACATGCTTCATCCATCATCAATTCAACAACTTTTTTGATGTTCCAACAATAATCGTCGCAGTCATGGAGTTCGATACTAAAACGCGTGAGTGAATCTGCAACTTGATAGTGTAAGCATGCTCATTACTCTGTAGCTCTCTACCAGACATCTGACAAGACATCTTTCGCGTACATTTCGGCGCGCGATCGCTGGCCTATTATTCTTGTGAGTGACTCTGGATGAACTCTCTACTCCGATGCTCAGCTCAGCCCGAATACCGTTATCGATGTGAAATGTGAACGGGCGCGAATAGTTGCCATAAGACGTGTTTCGTCGGATTAGGAATTATGTCGACCTTCATTGGGACATGCTCTGCTACAGTCTGTGGACTAGAAGGCACCAGCCTATGTCACTAGTTCGGCATATTGTATCGCGTCTGACCGAACATCGAAAGGAAGTCATCGAGCACACGACTGACAACGTGTCCAGACAGGTGCCATTGACGACTTGCACAAGGCCATTGGCAAGACCGACGACGCTGAGAAGCAGACCGAGGGCAAGAGCATTGTTTCCGAGCTCGCCAAGCTGAAGTATGAGTTACAACACGACCGCCAACTTACGTGAGTGACAATACAATTGCCTGGCTGGTTACGAGACACTAATATATTACAGCCCCCTCGCCGATGACGGACAAGGTGACATCGAAAGCTACAATAAGGAGCTCGAACAACTCGGCAACCCAAAATGGTTCGACGTACCCTGGCTCTTCTCAGAATGCTATCTCTATCGCCGCATGAGCACCCTCTTCAAACTCTCCACCCACTGGAAAAACTACGACGTCTTTAACAAGCAGAAAATGTCCACTTTCCGCTCTTCCCGCCCTGCTGTCTTGGAGCTCGCAAACCGATACAATGAACTCAGCAAACAGCTCAACAGCAAGAAGAGTTCTCCACAGTCAGAGGATGAACAAATGGCTGCTGAGAAAGTGCTGTTCACGGAGATGTGTGAGATTTGTCTCTGGGGCAATGCTACCGATCTCTCTCTTCTTACCAACTTGACCTATGAAGATATTCAAAAACTTCAAGGGTCAAAGGCGAGAAAGGCGGCAGAGAAGAATATCATCGCCAATGACTTTGAAGCTACCTTCGAGCTTCTTCACGCTGCTAAGAAGGCAGGCACAAAAGATCGCCGTGTGGACATCGTGCTGGACAATGCTGGCTTTGAGCTTTTCGTCGATGTCATTCTGGCCGGATACTTGCTTCAAGCTGATCTCGCCACTTCTGTGGTGCTGCATCCCAAGAACATTCCTTGGTTTGTTTCTGATGTTGTTCCCAAGGATTTCTCAGATCTTCTTACCGTTTTGGTAAATGCAAAGAGCTTTTACGAGTCGCCTTCTGAAGACGATGAAGCCAAAGGCGTCACACCCCAAAAGCTTTCAGAGCAGGAATCGTCAGATTTGTCATTGCTGTTCCAGAACTGGAGTGAGCTGTATGCAGAGGGCAAGATTGTACTTAGACCCAACCGTTTCTGGACCGAGGGAGGAAGTTATTGGAGACTTCCTGGTACTGCTGGAGCTCTGTTTGAGGACTTGAAGAGTTCAGAGTTGGTCATCTTCAAGGGTGATTTGAATTACCGCAAGTTGACTGGTGATGTGAGTGCTATCCTCTTCCGTTATGCTCTTCTTTGCTGCTTCTGTGCTGACTTTAAAAACTAGGCTGCTTGGGATCCCACAACCCCCTTCACCCAAGCCATTGGACCTCTAGGCCCTGGCTCTGGTATGCGTACACTGGCTCTTCGCACCTGCAAGGCCGACGTCGTTGTCGGCCTCAAGCAAGGCGAAGACGAACGTCTTCGTGAGATGGAAGGTGGCGGTGGTGACAGCGGTGCTCGTAAGTGGGCCTGGAGTGGCAAGTGGGCTGTCGTCCAGCTCTGCGACGGCAAGAAATAGTTCGAAAACCAGCAATGGCCGTAGATCCTGGATAGATAAAGTTTATAAAACGACAAAGTAAAAGAGTGGTTTTTCGTCCTTTTCTGGACATTTCCTCCATCTTCTTGCTATTCCAGGGGCAGGTACGACTAAATTATGGAGCTGTAGAAACGCAGCATCTTTTCTGGGAAACAGCTTGTTTTACTGAGATACAAGTCTCATCTCGTCACACATGATCTCAGAGACAGGTTCAACCATACTCTACAGCTGTAGAAATGCAGAAAGCTTTTCACAATTACAGCTCCTTCCACCGAGAGACCAACGTCACATCTCAGCCTGCCCCCCTGGCTGTGAAGAATAAATTTTCGCCCAGCCACGAGTGCAACCAAACCACAAGCCTGTGGAAATGCAGAAACCTTTTCACAATCCCAACTCTTTCCTCTGAGAGACCAACCTCATATCCAAATCTGCCCCCGGCGATGAAAAATGAATGCTCTCCCGAACACGAGATCGATCACATCCGATGTCTGTAAAAAGGCAAGAAGCTTTTCCGAAACTCCAGCTTTGTCGCTGAGATACCAAACATCCCCATCTCCAGAGTGCAGCGAGGGAGTTTTGGTAGACTGTCGAGACGCAAGATCACATTGAGAACCAAAGCTCTGTTACGGAGAGTCCAATCCACCGAGATAATTTGCCCCTGGTCTTGAAGAAACTCATGCTCTTCCAGCCGCAAATTCAACCAGAATTCATACCTGTGAAAAGGCAAGATGGTTTTCGGAAACTCTAGCTATGTCATCGAGATACCAATTATCTCTTGTCTGAAGTCCGGTGATAGAGTCTCTGTATACTGTAGAGATGACAAGAACATATCCGAGAACCAGAGCTATCATCGTAAGAAGCACCCTCATCTGCTGCACCAGATCAGACACCAGGGTACACCAAAGCACTACTGCCATCCTCACATACCTGCGTCTATACCCCATTGTCCTTCACTCTCGATACCTTCTCGAAGGTAATCCCACGCATCTCGTCCAAAAGAACGTCAAGAAAGCAAAATCCGACACCAGACAGATTTGAACCGCAACACCTCAATCTCACAACTCGCCGACTGAGCGTAAACAAAAATCCTCTCGGCATTCCCACGCTATAAACATGTCTCTGAATCACGACAATGAAATTTTCTTGTCTCGTTCACTCTCGTTGCGCGCGACATCCGGGTCCTCCACTTTTGCATACCCCTCTCCCATCTCTCATCCAGGTAAGTCGTATTGATGATCGATATGATGATTACCAGGAGTAAAAGCACATTGCTGATACGTACGCGGGAGCAGAACAAGATCAAGATGCCTCCTTTGAGCAGCTGCAAGGAGTGCCACTTTCGCTGGATCGCTTGCGATCAGAGGGATCCTTGCGCAAAGTGTTTGAGCGGCAATCGTCGCTGCACGTATACAAAGACCTTGGTGAACGGCGTGCCAGTAAGTTGTTCTTGGACGAACGATGCTGGAGATGAGCGAGTGCTGACAAGATGTAGAGATACCTTGACGCCAACAACCGCAACAGATACGGCAATGTCATGGTGCCGGACGGTGCGCCTGCGCCTGTGCCTGCGCCTCCACCACCTCCTCATCCTCCTCCACCACCTCCTCCCCCTTCCATCCCATCTCCTTCTACACCACCATCGGCCCAGGGAGCGGCAGAAACACCCTCCCCCGCCGCAGCGTCCTCCCCGGAGCTGCCAGTCGCCCCTGTGCACCTCTGGCGCTCGGCCTTTTCCGCTCCCTCGACCTTTACGTCGATCAACCACTCCGCCTCGGGCACCGCTTTCCCCTGGAGAGAAAGCGCAGCTGAGACTGCTCCTGCGCACTGGCGCAACTTCCTGCCTGACCAGGGCGACGAGGACAGGGAGATGGTCGAGCTAGGTGAAGGCGAAGAAGAGATCGAGGCCGACGACGATGAAGAGACGCGCCAGACGCGCCAGGCCGACAGCGCCAACAAGAAGAAGCGCGCTCCCGACAAGAAGAAGTAGCCAATACAGCTAGATGTGGTCGACGAGCACGACAAAGAGAGATGCTATATAGCGGAAGGAGAAGAACAGGATAATTAGAAATGCACTCACAGACCCGAGATCAACAATACGTAACGTCCGAAAGAATGGCATTCTCTTATGCATGAATGTATGTATCGATGTCCCCAGGTGCGCCAGAAAGAAAGAAATAGCCCAAGACGCCAATATCCCATGATCCAGTATGATGGCTTGATGCAAAAAGAAAAAGAGAAAAGAAAATGTGAGTGGTAGAAGCTACCTTAGGAAATGGTTCATATGTCCAGGCACACGGTTTCTGCATTTCTCACAATCGTCCCGATATCCCATGGAAAACTTCTTCGACGTGTCTTGATCGCGAGGAGATGTGAAGGCGCCACTGCGTTGTCGTTGCTTGCGGACGCGTACTTCTGGCGTCTGTGGAGCAGCTCGAGGGGTCGATTCAGCATCCATATCGATATCGCTAACAGTCAACAGAGAGAATTGACTTCCAGTCGCTGTAGTCGGAGTATGAGGCTCGTCCTCAGAGATGGGCGACGGAAAGCGTTCTCTTGAGCCGGGCAGACGAGCGCGCATCGTGGAAGCAACATAGGCGTTGCTGGCAGAAGTATCACCTTGTAGAGGAGTAGGCTTTGGGCGTGTTGTCAGCAAAGCGATAGGTGTTGGTACTCGTGAGCCTCTCTCATCAAGTGCCATCCGAGGGTTCCGGAGTGGAGTATTTTCGAGAATCCAGGGGGCCGGCAGCTCAGGGGATTGCGAACATTCCATCTGGAAGTCATCCCTCATATCCATGTCCATATCGGCGGAAGATTCGTTTCCAATTGTGGTGGAAAGCATCGAGTCGTCAGCAGCACCGGGCATGGACTGAGACTCTATAGTGGAAGTTGGGCCGAAAACATGGTAGTCTTGCCCGACTGAGTGACGCAGTCTCTTTAGGGAGATATGAGTCGCAGATTCAAGACAGCAGTAGAGTTATCATGTCATACCTTTTCATGATGCATAGACACGGCATCTTCGTCATCTTCATGTCGACGTTTGTGGGATAGTGAAGAGAACATAACGGCCGGTCAGACAAGGCTGAAGTGCAAGAAGGTGGGAATGTTGATATCAGATTGTGGTAAAAGAAGGACAGGGTACATGAGCCAGCATGTGAAAGTTTGTCGTCTAGAGAGAGTGTTTCATGGCCTGGAATCAGGCAGGCACTCTGAGAAAGCAGGTGCGATGGTTTGCAGCAAGCGGTTGGCAGTTGCAAGAGAGGTCGTCACGTAGTGGGGTCAGCAATTAAGGTGTGGCTGGCTCGTGCCTTTGAGATCGGCCAGATTCTGGCCGCCGAACAAAGAAAGTGCACAGCCTTTTCTTGGAGCCCTTTGACTAATAATCCTCAATAAATTCATTTTGTCCCAACACGCATACCACGACTATACACAGCAAACATGGCCGGTTCCGACATTGATGCTCAGCAGCTCCGTGAGGCTCAGAATGACGACACCCGCGTTCTCGGCTACGACCCTCTGATTTCGCCCGAACTTTTGTCCTCCGAGATCCCCGCTACCCAGGTCGCTCTCGATGCCGTCAAGAAGGGCCGTCGCGAGGCTCAGGCCATCATCCACAAGCAAGATGACCGTCTTCTGGTCATGTGCGGTCCCTGTTCGCTCCACGACCCTGACGCTGCCATTGAGTACTGCGGCCGTCTGAAGAAGCTCGCCGATGAGCTCCAGGACGATCTTTGCATCATTATGCGCGCCTACCTCGAGAAGCCCCGTACCACTGTCGGCTGGAAGGGTCTGATCAACGACCCCGACCTTGACGAGTCCTACAAGATCAACAAGGGTCTGCGCGTCTCCCGCCAGCTCTTCTGCGACCTGACCAGCCAGGGCATGCCCATTGCCAGCGAGATGCTCGACACAATCTCTCCCCAGTTCCTTGCCGACCTCATCTCGCTCGGTGCCATTGGCGCCCGTACCACCGAGTCCCAGCTGCACAGAGAGCTTGCCTCCGGTCTGTCTTTCCCCATGGGCTTCAAGAATGGTACCGACGGCAGCCTGGGTGTCGCCGTTGACGCCATTGGTTCTGCTGCTGCCAAGCACTACTTCATGGGTGTTACCAAGCAAGGCCTTGCTGCCATCACTAAGACTGCCGGAAACAAGGACTGCTTCGTCATCCTCAGAGGTGGAACAAAGGGTACCAACTACGACGCTGAGAATGTCAAGAAGTGCAGAGAGGCACTCGGCAAGAAGAGCCTCCCTGAGGTCATGATGATCGACTGCTCCCACGGTATGTGCTGAATACTATACCCTTTGCGAGACCGGAGACTAACAACAACCTGTAGGAAACTCCCTCAAGGACCACCGTAACCAGCCCAAGGTCGCCAAGACCATCTCGGAGCAACTTCGCGCCGGCGAGGAGGGTATCGTTGGTGTCATGATCGAATCTCATCTCAACGAGGGTGCACAAAAGGTCCCTGCTGAGGGTCCCTCTGGCCTCAAGAGAGGTGTCAGCATCACAGACGCCTGCATCAGCTGGGAGACAACCGTCGACGTGCTCAAGGACCTCGCCGAGGCCGTCAGAGTCAGAAGAGAGGCCAAGAAGTCAGCCACTAACGGCAACTGAACGAGCATACGAATAGAGGAGTCATCTGGGGGTGTTTCAAAAGCGTATTTGGAGATTTATATTTTCTCTCAATTTATGACCAAATCTTGAGTCTTCGTCTTGCACAGGGCTGCTTTCCGAACTTGCACTCGTTGCGCTTGTCGTTCGTCGTGATTCGTTGACTTCGTAGTGGCTCTTGCCTTGTGATCGTGATGAGTCAGGGCCGTCTCTGGCGCGGCTCTGCTCAGAAGCCCGTATAGATGTGGTGATGCGCAAGTCCTCTGCTCTCCTAGACCGGCAGATCCTTGTTCCTGTTTCCTTCTCCTGCTTTCTCGCCTGCCTTCTGAAGACCCCTGGCGAGGTAAGGTCCTACTACGGGGATGTTGTATGCGAAGCCAGCTATCGTCTTGAAGAATTCACCAAACAGTATGAAGATGCCGTATATCTCGACGAGGAAACCGATCAATGGCCAGCGGAGGAGGATGAGGATGATGCCTGCGACGAAGGCTGCCGTGCCCTTGATCTTTTGGCGACGAGCAAAGAAGAGGAACGTTCGTTGGACTCCGAGAAGTAATGTAATACCGGCGAGGAAGAGGATCTGGAATGTCGTTTAGTACATGGCAACGACATGCTACAGTGGCAGGCGAGCGTACGTTTCCCATTGCCAACCTATTCAATCGCATTAGCTGTTTTGGCTCCAATCGACAGGCATTCAAACATACATTGAGCGATCAAAGAACATGATGACTCCTCCAATCAGGAAGAAGCCTCCTACAATTCACATCAGATCTATCCATACAGCGAATGCGACCAGGCGCACAGCCTCACCTACCGCCGGAGCAAAAGGCAACCCCAATTTCTACACTTACAATCAGCATCATGTATTGCGAGGACTAGACATGGCATGCTTACTCTGGGAGTCTGAGAGCCACATTGTAGGCATCTTTGCGGTTGTGTTGTTTGTGAATTACGTGACTCTGGGTATGGTATTCAATAAAGTGGAAGCTGGCGTGCAGGAAGAATCCAAGGGAGACGTTCCGCGCGGCAGGCGTCGCGTTGCAGATGCGACAAGAACAAATTTCCCCCTTTGAGCTTGCCAGCAAGACCACCTTCCTTTTCCATCCCAGCAATTTGTCCGCCCCTCTCTGTCCAGATGGTCTGAATCCCAGTTCGTTAGACGTTGAGCTGGTATGGGTATTCCACATTTGACGCACTCGCTATCGCCTTATGGCGATAAGGTGGTACTGCTACAAAATCCTGCAAAACACGAGAATGCCATCATTGATGGCCCGAGTCTGGCATACCATGTCTTTTATGTGTGTATAGCGCGCAGGACGAGCGCGCGAAATGCCCTAGAAGCTGCTCCCACATACCAAGAGTTAGGCCAGGCTGCTGTAGACTGGCTCGAGCAGATTGAGCAATACGGACTGAAAATGTAGGTCCACGATACAAGTCCGTCCAGAGTAAGTGGCTGATTCTCTTTCCTCCTCTGTAGTAAAGCTGTGTTTTTCGATGGTCTTTTGCCATTCTCAAAACGAAACACTAGATTGTCCAGATTGCAAAGTTATGCGAACCAGCTTGTTACCTTCAGAGCGCTGAACAAGGAAGACTTGCCATCACGCATGGACAATGCAAAGTCGTCAAAGTCTGATGTCTTGGGCTCAGTTGTATCGTCAAATCGACTCAAGGCCCTTCCTGCCCCGCCTTTCCTGGTTCCTGCCATCATTGAAATGCTGTTCGAGAGTCGGTACAGCTCCCTGGTCTCAGTCATCCCTGGCGAGGCAGACGCATATTGCGCAGAGGCTGCAAGACAATATGGTGGTGTCATCTTCACCAGCGACTCCGACCTTCTTGTGCACGATCTCGGGGAATCTGGCAAGGTCATATTGTACCGCGACCTCGAGACAATTCATCTGCCCAGTCGAGGCAAATGTCTGAAAATTCAAGAGTACCATCCAGCCGCCATTGCGAAGCGGTTCGAACTTCCAAATCTGGTCAAACTCGCATTCTTCATGTCTCAGGATCACCACAAGAGTCTTGCTGAAAACATCAGACTCGCAGCAAAAGACACTCCGATGTCTGCTGGGTTCAGTGAGTTTGCGGACGAATATGGCTCTCTGCCCAAGTTGTCCAAGCTAGCTATGGCGAGGAGCTCGAATGAGGCGAGGACACTAAAAGCGCTTGCTGAACTGGATCCAAGGATATCAGAGATCGTCCACTTGGTCCGCGTCAAGGAGAGCGACGAGGCACCTTCGGATCTGCACGACTCGAACAATCTTGACATGTATCTCCCATTCATCATAGATGATCCTACGAGAACGTCTGCTTGGCGATCTGGTGTATCCATTCGTACTCAGGCGTATTCGTTGTTGCGTCTATTGAATCCGGGTATCACGAAAATCACTGAACAGGAGCGCAAGGGCACCCGTGTAGCAGGAACACTCGTTGATATTGACTCGACGAATGATCACACCAAGCTGCTGGAAGAATGTTTGAGCTCTCTGCAGCATGACCTCGAACAACACCCGTCACTAAGCAGAGCTGCGAAATGGCGCGCCGTGGCAGCCAAGCTTGTCTGTCAGTCGAATCTTGACAACGACAAACCTCCGCCACTCAGTAACGATCTGAACAGACTTGTTGCAGGCTCGCGACAAGGAGTGCTTTCTTGGTCATTCATCCACGTGAGTGGTCAGATCCAAGCATCTCTATACTCCTTGAGAATGTTATTGCAGATCTCAACTGTGATACACAGCTTACTCGAAGGCACTGGTCAAGACGCATACGCTTCACTGCAAAGTCTCATTACCTTACTGCAAGACCTACCAAGTCTACGAGAACTGTTTGATCAGGAGACAGACACGACTGAAGGTGAGATCGAAGCTGCCAAAACGGCTGTTTCGAGTATATTGCAAAGTCTAGGTATCACACAAGATACGGCAGAATCTTCAACAAAGAGGAAAAAGAAGCGAAAGAAGAAGGGCGAGCACACAGGTGATCGTACACCGCCTGGTGTGGCATGGAGGTCCAACAACATGTTCAGCAATCTTGCACATAGAGACTAGCATGATAGTGAGGTCACTCACCGCTACGATCCAACGATTAAGTGTCTGTGCAAGCCCTCATGAGACTTCTCTGCGTTGCCAACTGTGCATCATAGTGCTTCGGATCAGTGTTCGGATGATGAGGTTGATGAGGCTCAGTAGACGGAAGTTGAAAACAGTCTTGCATACGAGTGTAAGGCCTAGACGATCGTTATAGGACAAGCAAAATTCAGGAGCGAGCCCTTCCGAGCGAATCTGACCATTGCTCAAGCCTCTGCAAGTATATACATACAACGAACAAGGGTATATACCTATCCTGTCTAGTCACTGCAAGCTACCACATGCAAGTAACCCCATGCCATCAATCTAAAGAACAAAATCCCAAGCTCATGCTTGAATTATCTCCAGAAAATCAGTCCACTATGTACCATCACCGTTGTATTTCACACCACATCTCGAAAGTGCGATGAACGTCAAAGGATCCCCAAAACACGGCACCAACATCCGATCGACACGGGGTCACCGGGCTGAAGCTTGCATTTAGATTATCTGTCAGACCAGCGGCTGGCTGCCTTTTTTCGAGAGGAGCTGTCAGCCGAAGCAAACAAGGACTGATCGCGTAAATCGGCTTCTCATCTATTCCATGGCACCGGGATCTGGGGATATTGGAGCGCCTTCAGGCCCATTGACCAGTAATTACATCTTGGGCTAAATTGGCTAATGATCTTCCGGCTATTGGAGGTAAATATGTCATGTAGAAAACGTTGATTGATTGCAAGGCTAGCGGGCAGGTTTCTTGTAGAGCTTGAAGAGAGCTCGCGTGGGTTTTGTGAGTTTCGTGGGTTTCGAAAGCTGCAATTGTCTCAGCTCTCCAATGTGAGATGACCGGTGCAAGATGGCGCATCAACGACAGCGGAGATAGAAATCATGTTTTGCAACGTCCCGCTGTTGGTGCTTGACCGTTGGAGGGACCCTGCACTGAGATGGAAGCCATTGTTTACTTCTGTATCACGCGGGTTGTCGGACTTGCTCGTTGGCGGCGTGGACTAGGACAAGCCAACGAGGGAGGCCTGAGGGCTTTTCTAGAACTACTACAGGGTGCAGCGAAGGTAAAGCTGCGACTTGACACAGGGTTGGAAGGGAAGAAGGAATTCGAAACTCGACAGGCCTTTTCAAAGAGCTGGAGAGCCGGTGGACAGGCTTTAAGACTAGCCGAGTCCATTGTAGCGGCTTCTGCGGCCCGCCGAGGAGACTTCTCCTTGTCAAAGTGAAAGTTGAGGTCGGGCCAATCATGTTACATGACCTGCATGCCCGGGAACGTGGTTCATTCATTTTTACCCCTGAGCCAAGCACGAGATGGTGTACGGCCACCATGCAATTGACCGGGATAGCACGACGATGCGCCTCTTGTTTGACTCTGTACAACTACAACGATGGCCAAGCTGATGCGCGTTGCGTAAAAGACATGGTGGTTTGATGTATACGAGGCATGACGGAGTTTGAGGAGATGGCATGGAGGCGGGCACTTGGGAATATGAACAAAGCTACCTAAGATTGCGTGGTTTGTCGGCACGTCACCAGAAGGTGAAACGGACGGCTTGCCAGTCTTGCAGCAGAGTGGGCAGACTACTAATGTGCAAGGGATCTGGGTTGGGGATGGGTGAGAAATTGGGAGCTTGCTGGTGGGATATTAAGGGAGAGGTCTGCTCTTCCATAATTCGAAGAGACGTTGGAGACGTTTTACTATAGAGCGGGCGTCATTCAAATACACAATCCCGATCAGCAGTCATCCTCCACAGCGGTACAAGTGGTAGCGCGGATAGAGTCGTGATCGAACGAATGCAATCTGCGGTTGTGTGAAACGAGAGTCTGTGTGTTCCGCCCTCCTACTCAATTCTCCGACTTGACTGATCCGAGTCAAGCAATCGAACAGCTTCTTTCTCGCCCTTCTCTTCTCATTCACTTGTTGGTCGCATCCTCGACAGCCGCTCATTTTTGGCCTCCACTCGACGCATCGAAGCGTCAGCGTCACCAATTTCCCTTACGCATTCCTCGAGCTGCCACCCCTCATCACACCCCTACCACACACGCTCGCTGCCCCTCGACGGCGACCTGTATCTTCACAATTGCGCAATCCGCAGCTCTGACTGCACAACACGCTGGCTGTGGTTTATCCGTTCAATCGCCCATCGTTTGTCTTTGCATGCGCCGCAAGACCCCCGCGCCTAACTCCCTCCTGGTTTGATCGCCTCATGTTGTGAGAGCATCATTGAATCCACTCGACGAGCCAATTCCTACCTCTATCGTCATTCTCCGCGACACTGACACTTTGACTGGACACCGCCCACCATGAACCGGTTCCTCAACAAGAAGAAGGGCGATGCGGCGTCTAGCCCGTTGTCACCGCCCACGACGAGCAGCAGCAGGTGGAAGAAGAACAAAAAAGAGGTTATTGAAGAGAAGCCACAACTCGACCTAGGATCTGCCTTGCCGTCAATCGACGACTTCCGCACCAGTCTCATTATGCCCAACCTCTCGACCAGATTCAGCATGCTCAGAGAGCAAGACGACCCGCACTCGTTGCTCGGAAAGGCGTCAGATGATAGTGTCCTGCAGCCTCAACGCAACTCCCGTCTACTCGACTTTGGCTTCTCCAACAGCAATCTGAACGACATTGCCGAGGTCGCTTCGATCAACAGCTCGATCCGCCCACCATTCGCTCTTGACCGGACCGGCTCATTTGCTTCCGAGGATGGTTACGGGACAGACAACAACTCCAACCCAGATGGCAGCGTCATGACCCGTGCTCGGCCGGGAGAAGGCAATGTATTGTTCGGTGGTCGACAGAAGGTCTACAAGATTGCCACAGGCTCCGCAAAAAGCATAGGAGGCCAAAGCGAGCGGGCTACTGGAGGTAGGATGGTCTACGACGATGACTTGAACATGTCGGCCTTCCAGAAATACAGACAACAAGAAAGAGAGAGACTACTTGCAATGGGTGCCGATTGGGACAGTGACAGTGCTCTGATGTCGCCCGACACTGATCCTGAACAGCGTGTGTCCGAAGACCTGCCTAAGGGTCTTGGTCTGTCTGGCACAGAAACCGGCTTCTCCTTTCTCAAGCGTAACAGCGATTCAACCACAAACTCAATCCCCTCCCAAGATCCCTCCTCATCAACAGCCACTTCAATCGCCTCACAATCCATCGGGACCGCCATCTCCACCCCCGCGACTCTACCTCAGACATCCCCGAATCCAACCGGTCCTGGACTCGAACGCTCCGTGACCAAGCGTCGTCTGTACGAGCAAGGTCTCAATCAACATATCCAAGATCAGCAAGCTTCGACAATGTCGCGATTGAATTCCATCAACCAAAGGCAACGTGCTCCGACGCTGCCGTCCGCTCTTAACCATTCTAGAAGTATTGGAAATTTGCAGGACCGTCGTGCCTATAAGCCCTATGCTCTGCGCGACACCACAAGTCCAGTGCTTAGGAATGGCATCGCTCCTCTCAACACACTGGTCAGCAGAGTGGCATCAAGCACATCCAGTCCCACGGTTGCGAGCTACCCACAATCTCCGATCAGTCCTGTAATCCCCGAGACCGAGGAGTATCAAGTCTTGCACTCAGCTCTTGAACAAAGTGATCATGGCAAGGCGACCGCTCTAGGCATGTTCAACAAGCCAGCTCAACAGTTTGATGAGCAGCAGTATCTCAAGCGACAGATGCAGATGGGCCAGGCGAAGAGCGAGTCTCCGATCGACACTCCCGTCAAATTGTCCCCAGTCAGTCATACAGAGACAGCCAGACAGGCGTCGGCAGAGCAGCCTCCTCTGAGCAAGTTTATGTCAAGAGAGGGCGCCATGTCAAGACAAGCCTCAGCAGAGCACACTACTCAAGAATCTCGACTGGCTCGTTTCGACTCCGCTAGACAAAACAACTTCTCTCGAGCTTCTCAACGATCACGCTCTCGCTCTGTCTCAAGACCCACAGTGGCGGCTGTAGAGCCACCAGCTAACCCCGCCCTTGCTGTGTTCCAGCGGGCTGCTATGCAAAACCGTGTTGCTCATGGAGACTCACCAGAACAGGCAGCAATCGCAACTTTCGACACTAATCACAATAACAATAATACCAACCGCACCTTTTTCGGCGACAGCGATGACGAAGATGAGATTGAAGAGAGGTCTGACTACGCAGGCCCGATCCCTCCTGCTGGTCGCTACGGAAGTAATACTCAGCCACCTGCGTCGCAACACCCTGCCCTCCGGGACGATTACATTCCCGAGGTAGACGAGGAAGAAGAGGAAGAGCGCACAGGCTTCCCTTTCCCGGAGCCTTCCATTAACATCGCACACACCGAGGCGGGCGCTGAAGAGCGTGCAGAGATTGACTCCCCGACCATCGGCGCGCACGAGGGTATTGGTGGCATGATCAGCCAGCATCTGCGCAACACGAGTGATGTCTCTTCCATCTACCCACCTACTGCACCTTACGCCGATGGTGCCTCAACCATCAGCCGAAACACTTACCTCTCAGACCGCCGTCTATCTGGCAACTCGAGTGCCTGGAACCTCGATGAGCTCGACAACTACTACGGAAACATTCCTTCTCGAATTTCAACCAATTCTGCAACCACTACTTCACAGGGACAAGGACTCACCCCTTTGCCTTTGAAGACCAGCGGCACATCTTCGCGACCATCGACTTCTGACGACAACGTCGAAGGCGCTTCATGGCAGCCGCAACATACTCGCGACGCAAGTACTGCCACCCAAGCAGAACGTGAAGCATTTGCGAATGAGCTAGAGGCTCGCAAGAAGGCCATTCAAGAAAAGATGAGAAGCATCGTGGAAAGTGACAGCCGTGGATCTAGTCCAGGTCCTAGCGCCAGTGGTGCGCTCAAGGCGTTTGGCATGCTCAAGGCCAGACCCAGCCAAGAGACTATCAACCTCAAGCATAATAACGGCTCGAGCAGAATGCTTGGCCTCGGGCTTCCGACGCCTCATCCTACCGAACGCAATCCCAGCTATGAGGACAAGTTGCCCCAGTCTGCAAATGCTGGTGCTCAGTGGCCTCTTGGCCCTGGCACTGTGATGCCCGCTGCTAGACCCCAAGCGGACAGCGAGATTGGTCGTACACCGCCACAGCAAGCTAGAGAGCGATCACGCAACCGCTCAGGCTCGGATGCTTCACGAGCACGATCACGAAGTCACGGTCAGGCTGATGTCGGCATGGCAATGGCTAGTGGTATTGATACGCCCCCTGCTATACCTGCGCAAAGACCGTCGCCAGAAATCAATTCATACAGATCAGCCTCGACGGAGCCTAGAGGCCGTCTGAGAAGCAATAGTAGAGCTGCAGGTCCAGGTCTACATCCCAGCGCAAGGACACCCATAGGATCATCGCCTTCTCAGTCACCAGCAAGCTTCAACTCTGTCATGTCTCCACCTCTTGGCACGAGTACCACAGTGTCGAGAGCACCATATCAGAAGCCGAACGTACCGGTCATGCCGTCGATACCACTTGGAAAGCCCAGAGGTGAGCTGTTGCGCAAGAAGACCATCAACAAGTTCGACATCTCTGAGCCGACGCTTGTGTCATCTACATCCAACATCGATACTGTCGACTTGCCTCCCGGTGCATCACTCAAGAACGGCATGGATGAGATCTATGCTGTTGAGCAGGCAGCAGTGGTTTCTCGCCGCCGCAAGCTGTTTGGATTTGGTAGAGAGGGATCAGCCGAATCGTCCAGGGAAAGAGGTACGGATGGTGTTACATCCCCACCATTGAACGGCTTCACCTCGCCACCGATGAGGTCAATCGTGCCATCCTTCGGATCACAAGAGCATGCAGGTTCACGCAAACCTTCTGCTGAGACTAGCAGCGCTCGTCACCAACCACTCCGCACGCAGCAGAGCTTCGAGACTAGCCACACCACACAGACGACGCAGACTACAGAGAGCAGTGCTCGCTTCGATGCCATCGGCTCACCAGTACTCAATGAGGCTGGCATGTTTTGAACGTTTCGCCTCGAAACACATACACAAGCCTCCCCCACTTATCTCTCACTGATAACCAAATCGAGAGAGGGGGAAGAAGGCATACTTTTTCTCTTCTGTTCATAAGCTAGGGATCGCGAAAAAAGGAAGATAGCATTTTCCAGGAGTTATGGGAGTAGGGAGCAAGGGAGGTAAAATGGGGGAATAAGACATGGATGTCAAGTTTTTTCTTTCGCTTTTGTTGTTTTACTCATGCACGATACCTCTTTACGTAGTTTTTCAAATGTCACTTGTTTCGATGTAATGATCCTGATCGCGTCTCGATGCGGTGATGTATGTGTTGTATTCGTGACTTGCACTTGATCACACTGTGCTACTGTTACGATCTTGATTAGGAACGCGTCAAGATTAATCGCGTTCACATACGGAGAGTTGGTGTGTTACAATGACGGAGTTGTCCAGGGTGACGGCGGGAAGTATTTGGTGACGACGATCCCTTGACGGATTTAAGCTTTACCTGCCTCCACTCTTGCCCTGTCAACAACGAGACTTTGTTTATAACGCTCTTTGACTCCTCGTCTTCCAGCCCCAGCAAGCAAACATGGCGAGTCGCATACACGCAACGCCGATGGACTTTCAGTATGAGAATGGAACAGGGCCCGTAGATGAAAGGTCACCGTTTGCGCAGATCGGCAGACACTCGCAGCGCAACAACGCTAGCAACAACAACAACGACAAGAAACGTACGTCCTCCTTCCCCTTTTGCTCGCGTGTGGTCAAACATGTGCCTTCAAAGATAGCTGATGAGTATTTACAGGCAGCTTTGCAGCGTTCGGATCACCCAACAAGTCGAGCGCATTTCCCAGCCTTCGCGATCCCAATTCTCAGCCACACTACTTTTCGTCGCCCAAACCTCTGCCACTACCGCCGTCTATGAGAAACAATCCTTTGTTCTCTACTCCGAGGAAACTTGACGTGGACGACTTTGCTTCTTCTGGCGGCGAGACTCCCAAATCACCTGAACGCAACGACGTCGACAGTGACGCTACACCAGACATGAGCCTCCGATCAAAGTTCTCCAATCTGGACACGATGAGCAAGCCCTCATTGGCATCAACGAAGCCTGCACCGGTCTTCACTGCTGGGGGAAAGAAGGAGAAGGATAGAGAGTCACCTTCACGTCGTCAGAGTTGGTGGAAGGGCCTCAAAGACATGACATCCTCACCACGATCAAAGAACGACTACGCACATGGAGCCGAGCGTAAAATCATGAAGAGAAGGAGTAAGGAACAGAATGCTCTGGTCATGAGACGAGACAGCATTTCGGACTCCGAGCCCGAGCCTGTCTCTGAGCCAAAGCCACTTCAGGTTGTCAAGCCACGCAAGGTGAGCAGCAAGCAGGATAAGACCCTGGACATGCCGGCAGCACCGCAAGAGCAACTAGATCAGCAGCAGCAGCAGCAGCAACAACCACCTCAACAACCTCACAGCAAGCACTGGACCTTGACCTTATTCGAATTCATCACCGCGCACCCAACATTACCTCACGTCCTCTCTTTCTACGCACAACTACTTCTCAACATGTTTCTCATCGGCAGCATCATGTATATCCTGTACAGTTTCTGGGCCACCATCCGCGGCGACGTCGACAAGAAGACGAGCATTGCTGTTGCCGAAGTGCTCTCACAAATGGCTGCATGCGCAAGAGATTACAACGCGAATAGCTGTGATCCGTCAACCCGGCCGCCAGTGCTGGAGAACGCTTGCAACAACTGGGCACAATGCATGAACCAGAACCCTCACAATGTCGGTCGCGCGCGCATCAGTGCCCATGCATTTGCAGAAATCTTCAATAGCTTCATTGAGCCCATCTCCTACAAAGCCATGGTAAATACTCCCGTCCTTTAATCTTGTTTGATGTTATCACTAACCTTCTTCCCAGCTCTTCACCGTCCTCCTCATCTTCGGCACTATTGCAGGCTCAAACTTTGCCTTTAGCGTCTTCCGTGACAAGGCCGCTGAGCATGCTAGTGCACAGCATCATCATTATTACAATGGCGCTCCTCCACCTACACCTCAACACTCCTATAACCCGGCGTTGGAGTGGGGGAACCCTTACCAACAAGGTCAACAATTAGGCCTTGAAGCTGCTCCTAGTGGATATGGTGGTGGTGAGAGGGAAAATTCGCCAGTCAGGAGGTTGCAATTTCGCTGAACTGGATGAAATGCATATGATGGGAGTTTTTCTGTGATCTCTTTGGGGCCTTTTCATTCTCTTTCCTTTGTTTTCCTTCATTTCTCGGTATTTTGCCTTGCCTTTGGGCCTCTTCTTATTTACGAAAAGAATCGATATGATGGCGGTACAGCATGGATGTCTTGTTTTCTAGGAGGTGAAGGAGGGAAAACGGGTGGATCTGATGTCTTCTTTTTGTCCTTGGGGATTGGAGCCAAAAACGGCTATACAGTCCATCACAGCAAGCATAATATTTGCATATTTTCTCTTCTTGTCTGGACCAAGCTCGACCATATTGTCGCCATTCCGGGCATTCTCATTGATGCCTTCGCAACAGCCTGGCTTCTGGCTGTAGGCCCAGGTAGTTGGGAGTGTGGAGAGTGGTATTGATGATTTAACTCGCGATGGCTTTGAGGTGCAAGTGTCTGATGGTTAAGATAGCCTTGTCCTTCTATCACCCTTGTCTTGATCTTATTATCCAGCTATCGATAGTCCATCAGTATGTACCTTGACATTCTCAACACCAATGAGGGGAAAGAGCGATGAGGATGATTTCGCAGTGGTCATAATAGTGCAAACAGAAGGACGGAAGTTGAGTGACCTACTCTGGAGGCAAGGCTCAGGGACTCATGGTCATCCTCCCATCTGTCCGATAGTGATACTCCGGGCTCTTCTCCTACCAGTATCCGACATGGCCTCCTCATAACCTCGCTAGCATGAGTGGGGCAGTCTGGAGTGAAGTGTGGACCGAAAGAACACGCACGATCACAGACTTTGAAAGTGAGTGAAGTCATCGGTGACTGCCCAACAAATAAAGGACAAGGAGTGTCACGAGCCTCCCGTGCCGAAGGCGTTTGCGGTCTCACTTTTTACTTGCTAGAAAAAAGAGCTTCTTTCGACTTTTCACCTTCGCAACTTTTCTCAAAATTGACCAGACCCAATTTTATGCTTCGGAATCAAGGCGCATCCCGCATTATCTCTGGGCCTTGGGGTCGCATAAGCACTTCATTGTTGCCATTGTAATGCATCTCAGCGCTGGACCCGTGAGCAGGATATCTGCACAGCGAATTGAAATCTGCTTCGACTTCTCTCGAGCCTGTCAACTCGAATTCTTATTTGCTATTCACAAGCGTTTGTTCAATCTGCCCGTTTGGCCAAGTGGTACGGCGTGTCACTCGTAAGCCTCCAGAAGGTGATATGACAAGATCCATGGTTCGATTCCGTGAATGGGCATGTTATTTTTGCGTTTTTTTTTAGCTCTGGATATGGGACAGACTGGCTCCTAGAAGTACCAAATATGCTTGACAAGTTGCCGTCCGTGTCGCTAGACAGTGCTTCGTCAATCAAATCGACCAAGTGTGGAGGAAAATCGGCTCTTGCCTGAACTGTAGTAAACAAGAGTGAAGCCTGCACGAGTGAATCCTCAGGGTAGCCTGAGGTCTCAGGCACCCCTCTTTGAGCACACCCCACCATTACATCATGCCCATGCAGGTGTAATGACAACGCGTGTTCGTGAACCCTTGAACACACTTCCCTCTCTTCACTCGAACCTTGACAAACATACTCCATAACAAAGTTAGCTTGTGGAATAAACATAATGGCCGAAGCAGCGGGTGTCCTCTACGCGGTCGAACATCTTGTCGAAGGCGGCCTCGCATTAGCAAAAGGCATCTACGACCCAACTCTACCTCTCAAAGCAACCACCAGACCTATCAACGATGTGAAGCTGCCGCGAGTATATCACAGTGTCTCCGAAGTCAAGGGCAGAGCATATGTGTTTGGCGGAAAGACAGATGAAGATCAGGTGGGTAATGGTTATATCTGAGATAAAGAATAATACTGACCCGAAGACAGCTGGCCGATAATGCCATGCATATGATCATTTTACCTTCTTCAGGTATCGAAAGTACTGACTATCAGCGCTTGGGACCAACTTCTGAATCGCCACCTGCGAGATATGGTCACAGTTCCGCCGTCATCGACGATCAGATCTATGTCTTTGGAGGCTCGGGCGCCCAAGGACCTCTGGAGGAGAAAGGCAGGGTTTGGGTATTTGATACAGATACAAACTCATGGTCCAGTCTCGATGCCGCTGTGGGAGATGTTCCGAAATCGAGAATGTGGGCAGCTGCTGCTGCGAGTTCTGAGCCAAAGCCTGAGCATCGGAGGACAGATGATAATGTGGCACCGCAATACCCTCTGGATCCGGCGAAGATGGTGCCTGAGCCGCTAAGTCCGAGTGTCTATGGCACTTTTGTCGTGTACGGAGGAACCGTTGACAATGAAGCAAGGTATGTTGGTGAAGCCACCACGATACCAAATTCTTTCACGCATATGATGAAGCTCATAAGTAACATGATTCTAGCTCATCCCCTGAGCTCTGGGCCTTCGACATAGCATCAAGAACCTGGAATCAACTCCCCTCGCCTCCAGCACCGACAGGCTCCCCTAGCATAACCTTCCACAACAACCGCCTCTACGCCGTCTCAGGGACCTCGACTCACTATATCGATCTCTCCTTCTCAGGCTGCTCCTACACCGATAAACCCACCACAGGTCCTACAACATTAAGCCCCTGGTCATCCCTCCCTCTCTCGGCCCCAGACCTTCAGATTCCAACCTCTTCCTCCTCCGCAACATCCCTCCTGCCTATAACAACAGGCCAAGGGCGCAATTACCTCCTCCACATCACCCCGTCTTGCCTCACGACCTTACAACTCACATCTTCAGCAACAACAGCAGCAAGTCTAAAAGACCGCGCTCGAGATGCTATAAGTAAGAAGAATGCCACTCATGAATGGGCGGAAGTAAGGTACTATAACAACGAGGGCGTTTTGATTCAGGAAGGACAAAAAGAAAGAGGTGTAGGTGGCAGAGAAGGATTTTCGGCTACAAAAGTCAAGGAGATCGATGGAGGTTGCGTTTTTATCTGGGGAGGTGTTGTGGATGGAAAGGTTAAGGGTGACGGATTGTTGATTGAGGTTGGAAAGTGAGGCCGTCTTTGAAAAGGACGACTGTTCAGAAAAGCGAAAATATATTTCCAGGGGCTGGGAACTTTCTTCATCATCCAACTACAACAGTCGCAGTGGTTTAGTGGTAAAATTCGTGCTTGCCATGCACGAGCCCCGTGTTCGATTCACGGCTGCGACAATTGCTTCATTCTCTTTTGCTTCTGCATCATCTCAAATGATGTAAGAGTAGGGTCGGTGCAATTGATGTTGGGGATCGACTTCTTTTTTGCTCGCGGGATGTGTACACGTGTGTGGGGGGTTTCTGCATGCTTTCATGGCAAGGAAGCTTTGATACATTTTAATTTTCCTCCCGGAGCAATTGTTCTGCTTTGATGACGACTTGTTCATGTCAATTTAGAGTTGTCTGTGCAAGAGCATTTCTGGTGGTGAAGAATTGAGAAAAGAGAAGAATCCGCGTATTGCCCTTGTCAGGAAAGTTACTAGGAAACAAGAGGGATTAACAAAAGGACCGTTTGTAGTCTGCACTTTCTCTGTATCGAAAAGAATCTAAATGTGAATTATCCTTTTTCCTTATGTTTTTCCAAACAAAAAGTGGTCTATAACAAGTTCATGTCTATGTGATTTATGAAGGTCGAAGTAAGAAAAAGAGGAGGAAATCATCACTCTTCATCATGGACACTCGGTCTACGGCCAAAGTTCCTAGGTTGTCGTTTTAGGAATGCTCCCACAGCTCCTAGATAACCTTCATGGCGGAGGAAGTATGCTTGCTTATTTCCTTTACTCCAGAATTTGATGGCGAAGGATAGGGTGTGGATTGTTTGGCGGTGGCCGCGGATGAAACTGCCGCCAAAGTATATGTGCTTGAGATTGTGTTTTTCGGATTGGAGGTAGGCGATTTGACCGATGTTGTTACTGTGGGGATTCAATGTCAGTGGACTGGATGTGAGAAATTGCTGATGTAAGATGGCTTTCTTACCTGACTGCGTAGAGCAGACTTCGGGATATGTCTTGTGGTGCAAACATGCGGCCTTCGCCAATGTCGAATTTGCGGTCTGATTGTTGTTGCGCAGCGCCTTCTGGTGTTTTGGAGTCGTATCTTTCTGGTCCATCTTCATGTTGTAATTGTCCGTCCTCGGCGATTTGTTCTGCTTCTCTTTTTCTTTTGAATACTTTGCCAAAGGAACTGGCGATTGTTCTTTCGCTGAGGCCAATCTTGTCGTAGCCCATGCCTTGGCCGTAGATGTCGCCGACTAGAAGATCTACTGTGGAGTTGTCGCCGGCGTCGGCCATTGCTAGCATGTCGTCGAATGTGCGTGCTCCGGTGAGTAGGGAGAGGAGACCCCAGAGTGTGCCACCTCCGAGTGATGTGCCGCCGATACGTTGGAACTTGGAGGGTCCTTCGACCTTGATCATACTCACACCACTGCCAATGTTGACAAGTAGGTATGGGTACACATCCGCGCGAGTGTCGGCATAGTGTATGAGGTTATCCTGATCCTCGTCGTGGTACGTAAAGACCTCGTTCGGGATCTCTGTGATGAAGAAGTCCAGCCCTTGGATCAGACATTCCATCTCATCCTCTCTCATGACATCGACACCCAATCTCTCCTTTATGCGATCGTAGTACTTGAAAGCACCACCACCGGTAGCCATGACACAGAGTTCCTCTTGCTTGCCGCCATTGGCTCTCTTCTGCTTCTTCTGCAACTCGTGCATGAATCCAATACACGTATCTATCTTCTCCGTCTCGAAGCGCAAAAAGTGTAGTCGACCTCCCGGCTCTTTCGCGCCCGGCTCGCGGGAGAAATAAACGACTTTGGCAAGCGAGCCACCGATATCCGCGGCAACATGACTGACAACAGAGGTATGGTTTGGTAGGCGGATATCGCGGCGATCGTGCTCATAGCCTTGTTCCTCGACTCCGCTATCACTGGCCGGGGATTGTGCGGGCTCGCCGTTGTCGATTATGTAGGCTCCGCTGACATTGATCTTGATTGTGCCTGGGTCGACGATGCTATGTTGCATGTCTTCAGCCGAGCTCGACACTCGTCGGCGCTTAAGCGGCGGTGGTCGTTCTGTCATTCCGGGCGGTCCGTAGGGTGGAGGGGGAGCACACGACAGCCAAACGGGGCGCAACAAAATGTTGAGATGATGTGGTAAGCTGCGATTGGATGCTGATCTGCGCTTGTAAAGGCGAGCTTCAGTCGTGATCAATGTCGAACAAAGCTGGAGGAAGCGTATACTGCAAGGATGAGTAGAGAGTTAGAAAGGGGCAGAGAGAGTCAAGTGGAATAATGGTTCGACTTGTCTCGCAGTTGCTCGCTCACATAATTAAACAAAGTCCGTGTCCCCACTAGACTGCGGGGCCGAATGAGGGAGACCCTGAAGCTGTTGATAGCAGACTTGTTAGAGAACATGACCATCTGCGACGATCAACAGGATATATCTTCTCCCTGCTTTGAACCTGGGCTTTCGTCTGATCATATGAAAGCCTTTCTTACCAGCAGATCTTGTTGTCGTCCATCGTCTGCCAAAGTCTTGCACGCATGCGAGGCATATTTGGCATATTGTTCTTACCGTGGGCGCTGAATAGACACCCCACACTGTTCGCTAATATCGTCTCCCACTTGGTTGCCGAGTGGCCGAGGTCGAGGCTTCCGGAGGTCCATTTCCACCAAAGTGTTTAACCATCAAACTCGGTAATGTCTCGTGTGTCCCTTGTTGACACAATAGTCCAGTTCGTGTTCTAGCAAAGGTTCTGTCGACAGGAGATGATGTTCATTAAGTACTATAGTTTTGTCACTTTTCCCCTTGCACGTAGAGAATTCCCGAGCCCATGTGCCCCTTTTTATGCTATGCAGACCAGCAAGATTCTTTACCACCACCGTCTCTTTGACCCATACTGTCAATTGATGAGTGCGTCGTCTAATCATACAGAGCCTGGAAAAAGTAGATGACACCGAAAACGAGGAAGGCAACTGCTCCACCAAGAGTGACTGTAACGTGTTAGCATTAATCTGACGCACCAGACAAGAGCAGTGTACTTACCAACTCTCAAGCTCACTCTACCAGCAAGAGCACGTCCTCCGATGACAGCAATACCAGTGCAGATCATGTGTCCTGCAATAGCACCACCCGTCACCCACCAATAATCTTGCCCAGCTGCCATTGCAATAGTGGCAATCTGCGATCTGTCACCCCATTCACCGAGGAAAGTCATGACAAAGGTTTGCACCCACGCAGGAGAAAGAAGAAGGCCAAGGAGGTTGTTGAGTCCGCCGAGTGCGTTGCTGACAGAAGCCTTTGCTCCACGGCCAGAAGGAGATGGCGACCTGGACGAGTCGGATGAAGGTGATTGTGCTCGTGCAGGGAACTTGTGGGCACCGCGCGAACCGGATCTTCTACCACGACCAGCCTCGAGCACATATGGCGAGACAGATGATCGTCGGCGGCCCTCCTTGCGTGCGAGATGTTCCTTCTCTTCGAGTTCTGCTTCGACTTCTTGCATCTCTTCACCAACACCAGCTTCTTTGTCCATCTCGAGACCCTCCCGCAACAGCTTGCCACCAAAGATGAGGAAGAGACCTGCTGCAAGCCATGCAGTGAGATGCTTGGGAAGAAGAGTTGGTACTGCGTGACCGAGGACGGCGGACAGTACGGTCATTGTGATGAGAGCGGAGAAGGCACCGGAGAATACAACGAGCTGAGGGTGACGCATGGCCATAAGTGCGGCTACGAGGAAAGTCTTGTCGCCGATTTCCGAGAAGATGATCATGGTGAATGCAAGGACGAATGAGTGGAACGGCTGAATGATTCCTTCTGTTCCATCTCCGAGGACTGGTGCCGGTTGCTTTCCTTCTGTGTATGGTAATGTGTCTTTGAGAGTGGAGCCCACAGTGTGAGTCAATGTGCCTGAAGATCCAGTATCGAGAGGTGCTGCCTTCCTTTCACTATCCGGCTCTGTGGCTTTCTTGGGTGCGGTCGCTGGGTCATCGTATGGCTTGTTGGGGAGGTCGGCTGGTTTCTGTTGAGCATTGTTAGTCGTATCTTCAAAGTCTTGTATGGAGAGCTCGTACCTCGAGACCTTGTGCTCCCTTGGGCTTTGCGACAGGATTGGTCGCGTCTTTTGCCTTCTCTGGCGAGTCCTTGCTGATGCGCTCTTGCTCACTGTGTGGAAGCGGAGGTGCTTCTTTGGGTGTCTCAGGCTTCTTCTCAACCTTCTCGCCATTCTCGCCCTGTGCTGCCTTCTCTTTCTTGTTTCTTTCGGTGACGCCTCCTTCAGTTCCAGTAGTGCCTTCTTTAGGGACTATACGATTTACGTCATCCATAACTCCGTCGTTCTTTTCGGGGATGGCGTCGAAGTCCGTGGCATCGCTGCCCTTGAGCTTCGAGAGAGAGGTGGGAAGAGGCTTGACCAGATCCTCGGCGACTGCTGCAGGCTTCTTCTTGTCTTCGGGAGTGATGTCGACAAATGGTCCAGCGTGCGGTTTTCCGTCCAGGCCATCCACAGGTGCATCTTTTGTGCCAACAGCAGGCTTCTGCGTCGGCGCACGCGAGGTCGAAGTGGTAATAGCTGTATAATCCTTTACGGCGCCAGCGACTGGAGCCTTGGCTGCAAGTACTCCATCTTGCGCTTTGGGCTCAATGGCGGCTGTAGAAACGAGAGCGGGTAGGAGCAATAGCAGAAGCGTCGAGGGAGGTGATCGGACCCTCATATTGGCGAGAGTCTGTCGAAATGTCTGGACAGTGTATGCGTCGTAGATGTCGGCGGGCTGCTGACGAACACAGCTTTAGCGTAAGTTTGCTTCGTTTGGCAGCACTCGAGTCCGCAATATTGCTGCAAGAAGTCCAATGTGAAAAAGTAGAAGATAGACAATATAGAAGACGGTAAAGTAAAGGAACAGGAACAGCAAAGGCCAACACAAGGAAAAGGGTGAGTTGAAAGCGCAACGACTGTTTTTTCAGGGATGAACAACTCAATGCTTTAGGACGGATATATCTGGAGCGGTCCACGCCTCCTTTCTACCAACTAGCATTGCCAAGCTTTGTAGGTGTCTTGGGAACTCTGTGACAATTCAGCAGGCATACGCGTCGCATGCCTGTTTCGAACATTAGGCCATAAATGCTATCTGTCCTACGAGGGGCTTTTGTCACTCGGTGCAAGTCTTACGACTCCCTCAGATTCTGCTCTCTTGCATTTGACTGCTCAACTCCCAGTCCCCCATCTATCCAGCTCTGCTTTTGGTTGGCCTCGTATATCCCAACAACCTGACACAGTGAGCTCGCTACGAAGCATAACACACTTAGCCTTCTAGTTTCGATCCTGGGCTCGTATGCATCATCATAGAGTGCCCGTCTGATAAAGCTATGTGCTCGACAATGGCCTTCGTGCTGCTAGCGATCCATCTCACATGTGACATCTCACATGTGAGTTTGGTGGTTTAGGGTCACAACCCTAAGCCGGCTCCTTTCTGAGGTAGCCCGAAAGGAAGCGCAGATGACCTCCGACTGTTCTCAAGCGCACGCTCCAAGCTCACACAAGACTTCATAGGTACTCGAACACTCTTGACCAGGAATTAGAGGTATGAGTATGAGTGTGTTCATGGCCATGGCCATAGTAAGACCCACGATGAGAGGCACAGTAAGTCACGTGTCACGCGACTGAGGGGTTTTGACGCGTCGTTGCTGCCTGTCGTGTTGACCACTTTCACTATCAAACACTGCATCAAATTGGCCATTCACTATCTGCTTTGCATCCGTATTGCCCACGATGCCGCGCACAAGAAGTCAGAGCCGCGAGCCCAGTGCCGAACCGCAATTGGTGTACCGTCAGGCTAGGGCCCGAGACGGACAGTCCACGCGCGATACGCGTCAACTCCAACGACGTAAGTGATACTCGTCACTTGTGATACATCTACCACTGCTTGTTTTGTCGAGATCCGGCTACCTCTCCTGCACACTCAGTGAAAGTCTCGTGGATTGATTCATCGAGCAGAACTTGAGCCTCTGTCTGAGGACCTGAGTGAAGCTGAAAACGACAACGATATCGACGTCGATCTAGAGCAGCAAGACGCAGCTTCCGAAGAAGAAGAGGAGGAGATATCTAACTCTGACTCTGTCCCTTTCGACACCTTTTCCCAAACCGAACTCAAACAACTCGACCCTGATGAGATGGAAAATAAGTTGGGAGAGCTCAACTCGAAAGCCGGACTACTTCTTCGCTGCTTCAAACCACGTACTGGCGGATCTGCCGAGCTGCATCATCTGATCCGCCAGTTCAAGGATCCTCAATCAAGAGAACGACAGAAAGCGGACGGATGCTACAACTCGCTCAAGGAGACCCAGAAATATTTTACTCGTGGCGGAGAATTCCTTCGACCTGAGATGATTCTTCGATGCCTGCTTAGAAAGAAGGGTACGCAGCCACTACCTAAGGCTTGTCGACCATGGAGGCCGGACGATGTTATCTACAAAGCCAACCTAGCCGTCCTCGCGTATACAGCAACTCAGCCTGCTGATAACGAGTTGCTGGACGCTCAGATGTCCTTAGATCAATTGTTCCCTTCTCCATCTATGCGTGGGCTTGCCAAACCTGGGTTCAAGCCCATGCCAGGATACAGCGCGCTTGTATCAGAAACGTTCAAATTCGCTCTCGAACTCAGGACACAAGTGCTTGTTGGCATGCTCAAGGACAGCACGTCACAAGACGATGCGGCGCTGATGATTTTACAAGCTATGCTTGAGTTCGATGAGAATGATGACAATTTCGAAGAGGACATGAGCGCGATGCAAAGCCTTCAAACCGCACTTTCTGACAACCGCCATGCAAAGGGGTGGGAAGGTCTTGACCCTCACTCCTTTGGGACCGACAGGTACGCCGAAATGATCATGCGTCGTACTCACGAGATCAAAAGGCTACTCTTCAGCGATATCGAGAATCCTTTTGTGGATTCTTCCGCAACCCTAGAATCTGGCTTGGTCAAGCTGCAGAATAACTATCCTCTGGAGACGTTTAAAGAGAATCTGCTCCAATGGTGTAACTTGCGTCTTTCTGAGATCGATAACAGTATCAAGCAACTCGGCGGTATTGACGAGATCTTCAACAACTTGGAAGAAGAGATCAGAGAACGCCTTGATAATCCACATGCGTATGATTACGAGGACGAAGAGGAGCCGGAGGTATTGCAAGATCTCGATCCTAGCAAGCAAGCCACTGAGAGGGCAGCAACATCGAGGTAAGAGTCAAGTCCTCTCAATCGAATACTCTCACTGACATTCCATTAGCACAAAGCAAGGTGCAAGACCATTGACTCTGTTCAAGGGTCGGCCCAGCCCGTCCACTGATGCTCCAGCGATCAGTACCACGCGTGTGGAGCGAACTGGAAGTCTGACACAACACGGCACTGATGCTCAAGTGGTCGAAGTTACAGCCCCGTCCGCTAGTATGGCACCACGGAGAGACCCTGTGCTGGCAAAAAGGGTCGCGATAGCAGCAGCTCGTGACGAAGAAGATCGTCGGAAAAGACGGTTCATCGACCCACAGCCCGATGGTGAGAGGATAATCGATGATATCCTCCCATCCCAATCCCAGTTACAAGGCGGCCTCCGACAACCTGGTACGCAAGGACAGGTATTGGGGACTCAGATCGTGGTAGATCCAGATTTGATGAGGGATCGTGTGGATAGTCCCAGTGAAGACGAAGGCTTTCAACAGGATGCGCGCGTCATACCTAACGTCAGACCTCGGCCGAGTATCTCAACTGCTCCTGCTCGAGCTCCCACACAAGAGGAGTCTACACAGCCAGAGCGCCGGCGCAGGGTCCGTCAAGAAGAGTCTATGGATCCGAGACCACGAACGAACCCTGGCCAGCTTCTCGAGCCATTCCAATCGACCAATGATGTCGACGCGGACACTGTGAGACTTGCGTCTCTCGAAACCCGACGTGAAGTACAAAAAGCCACCTTTGCGAAGACGCAAAGGCCACGCAACCCATGGACCGATGCAGAGATAGGAGCTCTAATTAGGTACATCAGGGACTACGGTACTTCCTGGGCTAGCATTAAGAGAATCGATGAGGGTCCAGACGGGGAAAAGGTACTCGAAGTACGCAGTGCTGAGGACATACGCTTCAAAGCCAGAGAGATCAAGGTCAAGTTCCTTTGGTGAGTGTGATTCAATCCAGTTCTGAAACACAGGGATAGCTAATGACATCGCAGTGCCTCGAGAGAGCTTCCTGCGAACTTTAATAAAGTCGCTCTGGGCAAGAAGGAGATTGAAAAGGTCAACAGACATGTGACATATGAGCAAGCGCCCCAGCGATCGCGCGCTCGCATTGACACTCCATCACCACCGCGATCACTAGAAGAATCAGCCGAGGAACCAGCTGAGGAGTAATTTGCGGGTCTGCCACCTATGCTGTCTATGCGCACATGTCACGAAAGGTATCTGACAGCGTTGATATCAACAAGCAGCAGCAAATATCAGACAATTCAAATGTATTTGGGTATGCATATGATTTTCTTCATACAAATTTAGAGACATCAGACATTCAAAACACCTTTACCTACGCCGTCGCCCGGATATCTTTCCCTATTGGTATATACAACAAATGCGTCATGTGATTTTCTTCCATCTTCCTCTCCTTTACAAAAAGTCGTTTCAAGAAACAGTTGAAGCCTTTTCTGTCTCTTACAGCTTCAGTCTCTCGTTACCCTTCCAGCCGTGAGCCTCTGCGATCATCTCGGCAGCACGCTCACCAATGGCGAGAACGGTCAACATAGGGTTGATGGTAGGCATCTCGGGGAAAACACCGGCATCCGCGATTCTGACACCCTTGAGACCCTTGACCTTGAGCTCATGATCCACGACGGCAAATTCGTCCTTGCTGACATCGCCCATCTTTGTGGTACCAGCAGGGTGGTAGACAGTATGAGCAGCGCGTCTTCCGTACTCGGAAAGCTGCTCATCGGTGGTGCACTTGGGTCCGGGAGCAACCTCTCTCTTGATCCAGTCGGAGAAGGGGGCTTGTGTTGCGATTTTACGGGCGGCTTTGAAGCCGGCGACGATGGTGGCGGCGTCGTAGCCTTCGGGGTCGGTGAAGTAGCGGAAGTCGAGGGCGGGCTTTACAGTGGGGTCGGCAGAGGTGAGGAAGAGGCGGCCGCGGGAGCGGGGACGGGGAATGTTGGGGGTCATGCAGAATGCATCGATGGGGGTGTCGTAACCGAGACTGAATTGTAGGTTAGTCATTCTGCTTCTTGGGAGTTGAGGATTTGGAGCTCAAGACTTACCGAGAGGTGTTGAGGCAGAAGGGGATCTGGTAGCAGTGCATCATGATGTCTGCGGCTTCACCGTCGCCGTTGTGGGCATCGGGGGCCTCGCGACGGAGGAAGATACCAGCGTCAGAGTCCATGGTGGTCTGGTTGGCGGGAACGGGCTTGTTCAACTCCCACATGATGATGGTCTCGGGGTGATCGAGCAAGTTCTCGCCAACACCGGGGATGTCCTTGACGACGGGGATGTTGAGCTCCTCGAGCTGCTGCTTGGGTCCAAGACCGGACAGAAGCATGAGACGGGGGGTGTCAACGGCACCGGCACAGAGAATGGTCTCGGCCTTTGAGTTGAGAGTGTACTTGGAGCCGTCCTGGAGAGCGACATTGATACCGGTGACCTTGTCGCCCTTGACGTTGACCTTGCTGACCCACGCGTTGGTCAGAACAGTCAAGTTGGGTCTCTTCTCGTCACCACGGAGGATGGGGTGGAGGTAGGCAACGGAAGCACTGCTTCTGTGGCCGTTGTCGGGGTTGTACGAGACGGAGAAGAAACCAACACCCTGGGTCAGTTGACCCTTGGACTTGATCTCCTTGTTGAAATCGTGGATGATGGGAATGTTCATGGCGGTGGAGCACGAATCGATCCAGTCGATGCAGAGCTGGTTGCGGTGTCTCTCGTGGACGGGCTGGGTCGAGTTTCTGATGTTGTCCAACAGACGCATGAAGGTCTTGAAAGACCATCCCTTGCAGCCCTGAGCCTCCCAGCGCTCGCAGTCGTACTTGAAGGGACGGAAGGAGATGAGGGTGTTATGCGAAGAGCAGCCACCGAGAACCTTTGCACGGGAGTGGCGGATGTGCGAGTTACCCATGGGCTGCTCGGTGGTGCCGTAGTCGTAGTCGAGCTCACCACCAAGGAGGTTCAACCAATCCTTGAGAAGCAAGACTCTGTTGTCCATGAAGTCCGAGGGACCGGCCTCGATCAGCAGGACCTTCTTGTTAGGAAGGTAGTCGGAGAGACGACTGGCGATAACACATCCTGCAGTGCCACCGCCGACAATGACAAAGTCATAGTAGTTCTCGGGGTTCGAGGGAAGATGTGTAGTAGTCATGATGGGCTAAGTATGTCCTCCAAACGAATGTGGACAAGAAGAGTGAAATGCAGAGAGACAAAAAGAAGAAGAACCAAAAATTGTCGGCTACTGCGGGCACACGTATATAAGCTTCGGCTGCAGCAAACACAGCTCCTCAGAAGTAACTCCTTCGATCTGTACTCGACAAGTCAACCTGCTCCACCGGCTCACGCGATTGCGGGTGACGCCCCAATCTTAGCGGCCACGCCTAGAGTATCGCTGATTCATGCGTTGGGCAAAGTTTCACAAATGTGCTTTGGTCGCGTCTGCTCGCTGTCAGAAAGTCTCTTGTTCCATGAGCGTGCCCAGGCCGCGCTGCGAGCACACCATCAATGTACGCTAGGGCACGGATAGGAAAACCCTGGTCGTAGCGTCGATCGGAGAGGAAGCTTGCGAAAGCTGTTGCTGGGGAACAGGCAAAGGATCTCGCTGCCGGAAAAAGCTCGACTGTCCTCTCTGCCTAAGCACAAAAAGTTGGCCTATCGCTAGCTTACTCTTGACGAATTGGTTGGCAAGACTTGCATCTGGTGGCTTGCTTCAAAAAAGTGTCTGTTCTGTAAGGCTGCGAAGCCGTCGTTCCGAGAGCCTCTGCTGCCAAAAACCCCTCCAAACCTACCGTCAAACAAACTTTCCACGTGAATTCCCTCCCACGTCAAGCGTGCTTTTTATTGCTCGAGCTCTTATCAGCAAAGGTCATCACATCCGTATTGCCAATATTCTGTCGCCTTCAAGAACAACGTGGACTCGCTTCGTCCGTTTGATCCGACCATTGGAGATAAGGAGAACGAACACTTTTTCGCAATTCATCATGACTTATCCACTTCGCCAGCTATACTACGACGGCAAGCGTCAAAATGCGACATCACACAGCACCTTTGAGACGGTAGACCCGGCTACGGCTAAACCTGTAGGAGAGGTTCAAACTGCTTCCCATGCCGACATTGATAAAGCTATTGTCTCTGCACAATCAGCTTTCCAATCATGGTCCACCACTCCCCCAATCGAGAGGTCTCGTATCCTGTTGAGGGCAGTTGCTCTTTTGCGTGAACGCAACGATGAGATTGCCAAAGTCGAGACCCACGACACAGGCAAGCCTTTCTCAGAGACCAGCACTGTAGATGTCGTGACCGGAGCCGACGTCCTCGAATACTATGCCAACATGGTTGCCTCTGGCGGTCTAAATGGCGAAACCACACAACTCCGTCCTGACGCCTGGGTCTACACGACCAAGAACGCTCTGGGCGTCTGCGCAGGCATTGGAGCCTGGAACTACCCCATCCAAATCGCCCTTTGGAAATCCGCCCCTTGTCTAGCAGCAGGAAACTGCATGGTGTACAAACCATCAGAATTCACCCCTCTGCACGCTCAAATCCTGGCCGAAATCTACACCGAAGCCGGTGTTCCCGCTGGTGTCTTTAACGTCGTCCAAGGAGCTGGAGATGTAGGCGCTTACCTCACCGCTCACCCATCCATTGCAAAAGTCAGCTTCACAGGCCAAGTCAGCACCGGCATGAAAGTAGCAGGCTCAGCAGCCGGAAACATGAAATACGTAACCATGGAACTCGGCGGAAAATCTCCTCTAATCATCCTTCCCGACTGCCCCGTGGAGAACGCAGTCGACGGAGCAATGATGGCAAACTTCTTCTCCACCGGCCAAGTCTGCACAAACGGCACCCGAGTCTTTGTTCCCAAAGCCATGCTCCCAGCTTTCGAGGAACGTCTCTTGCAGAAGATGGAATATGTACGTGCCGGAGACGTCATGGATCCAAACACAAACTTTGGCCCCTTGGTCAGCAAGACGCACTATCAAAAAGTGCTCGAATACATCAAGCATGGTGTAAACACCGACAAGGCAAAACTGATCCATGGCGGCTTCTCAAAGCCCTCCTTTGCAAACACAAACCCCGAAGGTTACTGGGTTGCCCCCACTATCTTCACCTCCTGCACCGACGACATGAAGATCACGCGCGAGGAAATCTTCGGCCCTGTCATGTGTATCCTGCCCTACTCTTCCGTTGAAGAAGTGGTAAAGCGCGCAAACGACACACCCATGGGTTTGGCAGCAGGGGTGTTCGGCCAGGATATCAATGCAGCACATAAAATTGTTTCGCAGTTGCAGGCGGGAATCACTTGGATCAATACTTGGGGAGAGTCACCGGCTGAGATGCCCGTGGGAGGGTGGAAGTTGAGTGGTGTGGGAGTGGAGAATGGACGTAAAGGCTTGGAAGCTTGGGTGAAGAATAAGAGTACGCTGGTTGAGATGGGCGGGATTGTGGGTACTGTGTTTGCTAAGCTGTAGGAGAGACATGTTGTATATTTTATTGTGAATATCATTCCCTCGAGAATATCATTTTCTTTGACTGACATGTCTAACAAGTGGAATTCTTAGAATGGTGCGCGTTACGTGGGGTTCAACGCAAGAGACCGTAAATTGATACCATGATTCGTGCTATATTACAGTGCATGGTATTGAAATCTGAATGGCTGACCACGTGAGAAGATATCCATCTGCAGTGCCAGATAATAATTTCCTCCGAGACTATTAGCCAACCTCGATTCGCAGGTCGAACCAGTTGTCGTTTTTTGGCCGACATCGGACGCTCAGAGATATGGCAGCGACGAAAGCCATACTTACGACGGCCCATGCAGCTGTGCAGCATGTATCTCGGTATCAGATTAGCGACCCCAGAGGATCAGGGGTCTCTTGGTTGCGTAATCCGGCCGAACCCTTGGGGTGGGAGGGGAGCCACGCCATTCAGAGCAGATTGTGGCGTCAGCGATAATCAGGAGCTGTCGCAGTCGCCGATAGTAGATAAGGGTGGATGATATGTCGAGCAATGACCGGGAAACTTTCACCTCTTTGCGTTGGCCGGGATATCATAACCTCTTGTCATAAAATCACGGCTTTTGCCTATCGGTTTGCTCTGATCTCTAGAGGAGAAGAGGGTCTTGAGATTGTCGTTGTGCATCTTGCGCTTCTTGATCTCTTGCTCTTGCATGACCTTTGCTGTCAGGGCAGCGGTCGATGAGTTGTTGATGTTGCTGGCATCCTTCCTGTCGGTGACTGCTACCAGGGCAGGTGCCTCGTCGGCTTCCTCGCGCTTCTTGCGCTTCTTTGACTCTTTTGCGGCTTTCTTGAGTGAATGGGCCAGACCCTTTTCCTTCAGAGTCTTGACGCGCAGACTCAGACGGGCGATGTCTTCGGAGGTGGTGGGTAAGATTGGGATGACATCGTTGGAGGCGTACTCCTGATCGCAAGTAACACAGCGTTCTCCCGAGACTTCCTTGATGGCAGTGGCGGAGAAAGCGTGACCGCAAGGAACGAGGTAGACGGCTTTCTCGCCAGGACCGAGACGGTCGCCAGTGACGGGACACTTCCAGGCATTCTTGACGTCCTTTGCAGCATTGGTGTCGACGTCAAACTTGATCTCGACAATGTCCTTCAGACTCTTGACTGAACCCTGAAGGACGGTCTCTGCCTCTGCTTTTGTAGTGGTGGCAGTGTCGTCGGACGGCAGTAGATATTCAATGATTGATTCTTTATTGTACAGTTTTCCATTCGAGTCGGAGACGATGGGCGGCGAGAGGGGTTTACGGGAAATGGGATCAGTGGACCAGCCATATTCCTGTCGTTCGTTCTGTGATTGTTTGATCTCGGTCGTGGTCGGGTCGCGCGCGGCTTCCTTGACCAGTTCGCGACGCGTTGGGATACTTCCACCGTCGTTACCCATGTCGTCTGGTATGCAGCTGGTTATGGGCGAGTCGAAAGGTGACGAGGTCGCGTCTTGAAATGATGATATTCGTGATGGTCGAGGAGGCATCGGCTTTTCGCACAGCCGTTCCGATGGGCTTGCATGTGACAGGCCATGACGTTGACACAGGCAGTCTTGACTCTCGATATCTCGAGGCGGCAATAACTCGACCAAGTCCCAATCGTCATTGACTCGAACCTCTACGACAACAGACATGGATACTCTTCTACCGTAGCTGCGATATAGACGACTACTACTATGAGCACACCATTGCTCTTCGGTCGCGCCTGTGCGAAACACGCCTGGCAAAGGCAATCTAACACGGCCCTTCCTTTCTTCCAATCACAGGCCACTCGCTCCTTCACCTTTACTGCTAGAACGTACACTCGTCCACGCTTCTTCCAAAATGCTCGCCACTTCTTCCGAAATCCACCTTCGCCCGTCAAGGGTGGCACCGCCTGCCTCGCTGCTGCCGCTCTCTCTCCGGCCGCATTCGTATCATTGAGTGAGAATGAAGAGTCGGAGGATGGCTTGACTGGCGAGCAACAAATGCTCGAGGCTTCTAGGAAAGAGCTGGCTGAGCAAGTCCCTGGCTGGGTTGGAGGCTCAAAGTCTCTCCGCATAGGCATCTGGAAGTTCCTAGATACTTGGATCATTGAGCCTATCGCGACTGGCTTCCGCTTACTACATCTCATCTTCATCTTCGTCCCTGTTATCGTCACCGTACCCGTCATCTGGCTTGGCTCGAGACAAGCCGAGAAAGACAACGAGAGGTCAGGAACTCTCTGGTGGTACGCCTTCTTGGTCAATGGCATGGAGAGGGCTGGTGCTGCCTTCATCAAGGTACGTTGCTTCACTGCTTTGCATGTTTGCAACCCTACTAATCCCGTCTAGCTCGGCCAATGGGCTGCTTCCAGGACAGACATTTTCCCTACTCAGATGTGCGCCGTCATGTCTGCTCTTCACTCCAATGCTCCTGCCCACACGCTGCATCACACTAAGAAGACGATTGAGCGATCCTTCGGCATGGCCTTTGACGACATCTTTGACGAATTCGACGAGAAGCCATTGGGTGTCGGCGCCATTGCACAGGTCTACAAGGCAAGATTGAAGCCTGATATCGCCGTCAGTGAAGATCTTGATCCTCATAGCTCTGACACGTATCGTGAAAAGATCAAGAGAGGCGTCGACATTACTCTCAAGAGTACGCCGCAAAGGACGCCTTCTCAATATGTTGCCATCAAGGTCCTTCATCCAAAGATTGAGCGCATTGTCCGCAGAGATCTGAAGATTATGGGCTTCATGGCTTCCTTGATCAATCTGATCCCTACCATGGAGTGGCTCTCTTTTCCCGACGAGGTTGAACAGTTCGGCGAGATGATGAGGTTACAACTGGATCTTCGCATCGAGGCTGCCAACTTGACCATCTTCCGCAAGAACTTCCGCAACCGAACGACTGCCTGGTTCCCCTACCCTTACACACAATACACTTCTCGCCAAGTGCTGGTTGAAGAGTTTGCTCAAGGTATCCCACTAGAAGACTTTTTGCAAAATGGTGGAGGCGTCTTCCAGAAGGAGATTGCTGATGAAGGTCTCGATGCCTTCCTTCACATGCTCTTGATTGACAACTTCATTCATGCTGATTTGCATCCTGGAAACATCATGGTTCGCTTTTACAAGCCAGCTCAGATTGACGTCAAGGGCAGCTTCTTTAGTCGACCAAAGCCCGATCCAAAGAAATCCACCGACGTAACAGAAGAAGTCCTGGAGCGCTTACGACCGCACAGAAATTCAAAGGAAGACTGGGGCAAGACTTTGGACCAGATTGACCATGAAGGATATCGACCACAGCTAATTTTCATCGACACTGGTCTCGTCACCGAACTCAATGGTCTCAACCGCCGCAACTTCCTCGACCTCTTCAAGTCGGTAGCCGAGTTTGATGGTTACAAAGCAGGACATTTGATGGTTGAACGCTGTCGTCAACCATCCGCTGTGATTGACAAAGAAGTATTCGCTCTCCGCATGCAACACCTCGTCCTCGGGGTCAAGAGCCGCACTTTCGCCCTCGGCAACATCAAGATCGGCGACATTCTAAACGAAGTCCTCAGTATGGTCCGCGGCCACCACGTCCGCCTCGAAGGCGACTTTGTAAACGTCGTCCTCAGTATCCTCCTCCTCGAAGGCATTGGCCGCAGTCTAAACCCCGAATTAGACTTGTTCTCAGGGTTCGTTGATTTTGCCGCTTCTATGTATTTTGAAGGACTTTTGTAAGCTAATGTTTTTTGGCGTAGTGCTCTTCCCATTCTAAGACAACTGGGCACTTCTGGCGGTGCTGGAAATATGCTAAAGGGAGGTGATTTGTCCATGATTAAAGTGTGGGCTGGTCTTGAGGCGAGGAAGTTTATGCAGGCTAGTGTGGAGAGTGTGGAGAGTTTGGTTGCTCATGATCAATTGAGTCCTAATATCTAGATGGAGGATGGCATTTGGTTGGATTCAGCGGCAAGTATGTCTGGTTTAAGTGACTGGACTTTTTGTATCATACGCATCTTCATTTCTGCAGCACGGCGTTCGCACGGACTTGCTACCTCAAACACAAGAGATGTATTTAGGTGTGCTGCTGTTGGTAATAGGCTTTATGATGTCCATGCTCTACTTGCCAGGGTGCTCCCCCTGGCCATTTTGTACGAGCTGTATAATCATTATTCTCGGCTACGATGATGGTCTTGATCCTCCTGATACGTCCCGTAGATACCTGTCAACTTTCTGACATATTTTCGAGGTACGATAGAGTGATGGGAGCATCGTGTAGTTGAAACGCGACCTTTTGTGTTTGAGTATCAATCTCGTAGCTTTCTCCCAATTGTCGTGGACGCGAAAAGCGGAACTTCGAGTGTAGCGGGAAAAAGTTTCTCTCGTAACAATCTTGACAAGACAATCATTCGTGTTTACGGTTATATACACGACTTAGTTATCATAGAAATGACAAGTACATGGGTTGTTGGGGAGAGAGATGTGATGCATCAAGACCATCGCGCGTAATATCAGACACGGCTTGCAGGACGCGTTCTGAGATGTTGGTCCTGCCCCATCCGAGCAATCTACCAACTACATTTTATTACCATGTCAATTGCCTAAGGATCCCAAGATAGAGTGTTTGGTACCTCGACAGACTCAATAACCATTTCATCGTTTCCAGCATGTTTTCCGACGCCAATCGTATACCGGCCTTTCTGCAACATCCACTTTCGATTCGACCACTCTGCGACGTCGCGTAAGTTGACTTTCAGCTCAACGACTGCATTGTACTGCGGCTGCAGAAGATCTGTTCGGCCAAACGCGACGAGGCGACGCGCTGCGTGTTGCTGAGATGGCCACACATATACCTGTACGACCTCTTCACCGGCGACATCGCCTATATTTTGGACGCAAACACGAACAGTCCAGCTATCGTCATCTGCCCGGACACCCGATATCATGGTATCGAACACAGTATAGCTCAAGCCGTATCCGAACCACCACTGCGGCGCCACTCCAGCAGTCAAATGCCATCTATATCCTACTTGGCTGTTTTCCTTGTAGACGACTTTGTTATCGACGCCAGGCCAGCATTCTGCATCAGCGGCGAATGGTGTGTCAGAGTACTTCTTTGGCCATGTCATTGGTAGACGCCCATTCGGTGCTGTGGTGCCGAGAAGCACATCTGCACGTGCATTGCCCGCTTCTTGACCGCCGTACCAGGATTGCAAGATCGTGTGTGTATGGTCTGCCCGTGGCATTTCCACAGGCGAACCTGATTGATTTACTATGATGATGCGGTCGGGATGGCATGTTGAGGTCAGTAATGCTTGAACGAGTGCATCCTGATCGCCTGGAAGGGCCATAAAATGACGATCGTAGCCTTCGCTTTCCCACTCTTCGTTGAGCCCGATGACTACGATGGAGATGTCACTTTCATTGGCTAGTGACACGGCATCTGCAATTGTGGTCGTGTCTTCCTCTAAGAAACCGAGTCTGGTGGATGGCTGTGCGCCGTAGACGTGCATGGGTTCGACGTCCTGCGAGTTTGTCTTTACCGCACTGTTGGTCTTTGACTGTGCTTCCATTACGACTTTATAGCTGCGGCCGGTGGACATCGGTATGCTGGAGCGTATCTCGGGACTCCCGAAGGAGTAGAAGGTCTCTCCGTTGCCGCTCCAATCGGTGTTGTCAACGACAAGCTTATCATCTAGGAATAAACGACTATCGCCAACGCTCGAAATACTGAAGGTGTGGTCGCCGCTTGCCGTTGGTGTCAAGAACGAAGTTAGGCGGAATGAGTATGGCTGTCCACCATCTCTGAGACTTTCCGGTCCAGAGTCAAACAGGTCGATGCTTGAGTTGTTTCGATATTGTGTCTCCACGATCTCACCCACACAGTCAGCAGATGCAAAGAAGTCGATGCGTAGCATGGAAGTCTTCTCATCTTCTGAATGCCACTGCGTGGGACATAGAAGAGGTAGCCATTTGTGCGTACGACATCCTAGTGTACCTCGGCATCTATACCCATATCAACCAACGCAGTCTTGAACGACGCAAAGGGATGAGTAAGATACTCAGGATTCATAGCTGCACTACCACCACCGTTCGCTGCGCCGACCAGAGAATTTGGCCCGATGAAGGCTATCCTCTTGTTTTGCAGTTGGCGAGGATCAAGTGGAAGTCTGTTGCTGTCATTCTTGAGCAGAACCATGCCTCTGGCAGCTATCTTCCGCATGGTCGCGATATCTCTAGAGCCAGTCGACGAGGTCCCGGGCAAACGTCTACTAGCATGAGCGTCGGCCTCTGATAGATTTAGCTTGCCTAGCTTCTCTGCTAGTGTGAGCACTCTAGCAGAAGAGATATTGATCGCTGAGGTAAGCTCTTCGCGTTTTGTTGTCTGCAGTGCTTCGAGGAGTTTGTGGCCTCTCCTCAAGCTTGGCCCAGGCATTTCCAAGTCGCAGCCAGCTAACAAGCTTTCGACAGTTGAGTTTGTCCCACCCCAATCACTCATACAAAGACCTTGGAACCGCCATTGTTCACGAAGAACTTTGGCGAGCAGATGCTTGTGCATATCCATTTGAGTGCCATTGACAAGATTGTAGGCGGTCATGAGACAACCTGGCGGTGTGGATGATTTAATCACCATCTCAAAGGGACGAAGATATATCTCCCTGAGAGCCTGTTCCCCGATCTGTGCGTCAATGCTAAAGCGACGATGTTCTTGCTCATTAGCAACACTACTTCCCAATCAGTGAACAGCACTTCGAAGGACATTCATCACAAAACTCACAAATGCTTTATTGTAGCAACTACCTCACCACTCTCTTGAACACCAGCGACATAGCTTATCGCAAGCTTACCACTCAAAAAGGGATCCTCGGAGAACGACTCAAAGTTCCTGCCACCCAGAGGATTTCGATGACAACAGATTGTCGGTGCGAGTAGAACCTGGGCGGCCTTTGAACGGGTCTCACGGCCTAAAACTCGACCGAGTTCTTGTATATCCGAGGTAGACCATGTTGCTGCTTGTAGTACTGGGGCAGGTAAAAGTGCTGCTTTCGGTCCGTCTACTGAGATGCTGCCGCGTGCACCTGCTGGTCCGTCAGTGGTCTGCTGTGTGTAAGTAAGAATATAAGAGTAGAGTAGTTTTGGAGTGAAATCACCTTGATGGCACCAATACCTAGACGTGGTATCTCTTACGTATGCCAGCCATCTGAACCAGAAAGGAGAGAGACTTTTTCCTCCAGGGTCAATTTTGAGAGTAGGTCGTATACCAAGTTGGATACTATGTTTGACTTTCGGCGAAGAGTCTGTGCTCAATTATCGACTATCTACTGCTGACTTGTAGGAAGTGTGGGAATCGATGTACTAGATATGCGATACAACGAAGTCATGGTTGTCGGAATTGAGGGCCGCGATCCGCCTATCGTTTTGTCAGGGTGGATCCACCATGATACCACGGATAGGACTGTTCCTGATCCGATGCATGAATCTTGAGCTAGGCCAGCTTCAAGGTAGAACGTACTGGTCTCGAGCTAGGAAGGAGCGGTTGAGGAACTCACTTGGCACAGCTTTTCGGCCGACAAACTATGAGGCTGTCGATACTCCAACCCAACACGGTCAAAATATCCATCTCAATGCATCTTCTTATCACCGAAATTCTGACACGGACTCCGGCCAAAGTCATGTGTAAAGAGGATGACCTTGGGTAATGACTAAAACTTCGAGAACACTTCCGCCGACCTCAACACCATTGAAGACTCGACGAGATGGAATCTGCAAACACAACCACCAAGCTTGATCACAATGGCAAATACCTACTCGTCCTACTCTGCTACGTCTCCGTGCTCAACTCAGCGACTCAAGGTTATGACTCCGCTATGATGGTACCATGCCCTCAACCTCCCCCCTTCCAGCACAGCAACCGCTAATCGCACCTGCCATCACAAAAGAACGGTCTCCAGATCCTACCTTCATACACAGAATACTTCAACTTGACAACTTCAACAACTTCACTGAATGTCGCCGTTGTGTTTCTGGGCTCTGTGGTCGCTACACCTTTTGCGGGTGCTTTGGCAGATCGGTGGGGTAGGAAATGGGGCATGGCTGTCACGGCAGCCATAGCTTTGTTGGGTGCGGCGATTCAATCTGCTGCTGTGCATGAAGCTATGTTTTGCATCGGTCGGTTTATTGTAAGTTTCTCTCTTCCTTTTCTCTTACTACTCACAGTCCCAAGATAGGCAAGAGGAAGCAGCAAAAGACTGACGAGTAGCTTAGGTCGACATCTCCATCACTAAAGGCTCCACAGCAGCACCAGATTACATATCAGAGACCTCGCACCCCAAACACCGCGTCCTTCTCACCGGTCTCTGTGGAGCAGCATGGTATGTCGGTGGTGTAGCCGCCGCCGCCATAACTTTCGGCACCCAATACCTCTCCACGACATGGAGTTGGCGAGCACCCTCTTTGCTTCAATTCCTGCCTTCAATGCTTTGCTTGATTGTCTTGCCGTTCGTTCCCGAGAGCCCCCGTTGGCTGGTTTACAATGATAGATACGAGGAAGCGAGGGTTGTATTGTTGAAATACCACGCTAACGGTAACGAGGACTCCGAGTTGCTGCGGGTTGAAATGGCGGAGATTGTGCAAACGCTAGAGTATGAGAAGAGTGTCCAAAAGGCGAGTTTTAGATCTCTGGTGGCTACGAGACCGAATCGATGGCGTTTTGGTATTGTGGCTACTGTGTCTAGTAAGTCACTTATTGCGTCGACTTGTGTAGAGTCATTGCTGACCCGAATTAGTTTTCTGTCAAATCTCTGGAAACAACATTATTACCTATTATTTGGGTACTGTTCTCACCACCGTCGGCATCACAGGGGTACAAACACAATTGGCTATAAATCTAGGCTTGAGCGTTTTCAACCTCATCTGTGCTATAGCAGGTAGTTCTGTATGCGAGAAAATCGGTCGAAGACCCTCATTCCGTAAGTTCACCCTTCACAATATATACACGTATGCACAGCCGCAGATAAGATTGCTTAACGTGATCCCGTTGATATAGTGGTCTCTACAACAACAATGGCTCTCCTCCTCATAATCGTCAGCGTCCTCACAAAACAATTCGCAACCACCACATCCCAAGCCGCCTCTGCCGCCCAAGTAACACTAATTTTCCTCTTCTACCGCGCATACTCATTGGTCTGGACACCACTAGCCTACCTCTACCCCTTAGAAGTGCTATCCTTTTCCTTGCGCGCAAATGGTATGGCGTCGTACAATGGACTCTGCTATCTAGCCGCTTTCTTCAACACGTATATCATCCCTTATGCGATGAGATGGTCAAGTTGGGGATTTTATTTGATTACGGCGCTTTGGTGTTTTGTGGAAGTGGGGATTATGTGGGTCTACTTTCCGGAGACCAAGGGAATGACTTTGGAGGAGGTGGATGTTGTCTTTGATGGAACTACTCATGCGGATCTTGATATTGAGATGAAAGGGATTCCGGTGGTTGAGGGTGAAGAAGTCATGGATGATGTCGTTGGAAAATATGGGATCAACGGGAAGGTCAAACAGTAGCGATTGAGGGTCAAGATTTCTTATGCTCCAGCCATAGTCGCAACATCCTTCTGTGCCTCTTTCGCCGTCTCCTCATTTTCATACCCATCTTTCTTATTGTCCGAAGCAGGACTCCTGTCTAAAGCATGTTTGAAGATTGGGCTCTGCTCGAGCATTTTCCAGTCCATAACCATGTACGCATTTTGCTGTGATAACTTGACCTCCTCTGCACCTCGTGTACTGACTTCATGGGCATAAGACTGGAGTTGTTCTGTCAGATCTGGAGAAGCAGAGAGAGAGAGAGGCGTGATGAGCGGTGAGGATGTTGACAAGATTGTATGCATCTTGAATTGCATGATTAAGTCCCTGTTCACGATCTGTCTCCCACGTTAGTAGTTTCCGATACTGGATGTATAGTGTTACTCACGAGGTGGCATCGCGTGCGCGGCGTCACCTGCCAGGACAACCCTTCCGTTTCGACTGTCCCATACTCTACTCTCCCAACAGCTCAGCTCCCCGAATCTAACATCCTGGTCCCTCTCTAGACATTCGAAAGCCGATTTGTAAGGCTCGCAGAGGAGACTACCTCTACGCTTGAGCTCGGTAATGCGAGAGGAAGGAGTCGTGAATGATGAGCGTGAGCCACGCTAGCCAGAGACCAGTTGGAAAGACCATGTTGAAGGGTCTTCGGATGGTTCATGCTGCACGACTGGTCATGTAAGCGTGATGTACCAATACTGCAATCGTCTCATAGAACTTACTAGATATGCAAAACAAGTCTGGGTGTAAGCATATGCTCCAGGCTGTTTAACGTCAGATTCGCTTCGATACACCAAGACCATTGAAGATTACCAAGATGCGCGGATCTCGAGAACAAGGCCCTGTCTTTATCTCCAGGATGGATGGTAATATCAGTGTGTAGGGCATTCTCCAGCGGCTTTGCAGCACCTTCTTCTTCGCCAATGATAAGGCTACGGACGGCAGAGCATGGTCCATCAGCACCGACGATCAATAATCCAGTCTCTGTCGATCCATCGGCAAAAACAGCAGTGACAGTATTGTCATCATCATATTGTATACCAACCAGTGAGTGGTTATACTATCTAACATCAGCAGCATTCCAGGCAAACGGGGATGGATACCACCTTGACGTCAACACCCTCAGCCACAAATATCCTCAGTTTTCTTCTCGATACCCGAACAATCTTCCCTGCGATGAGTACATCCTTCATGATCTCTCCCGTCAAGCCATTGTACATGCGCATGCGATCAAGTGGAGGCTCTGATCAATCAAGCGATGGGTCAACGTATGTTTCGTGAAGCCTTAGAATCAAATCTGCAGGAAGTAACGATTCAAGGAGGGGCAGCGCCCAATGAAGACCCATTATCCATTCTCGTGGACGGGAGGATGCATTAGATTCGTGGTCGAAGATCGCATAAGGTATGCCTGCCTGCGGTCTGAGGATTTGTAGTCGCCAGAGAAGTCACGATCTAGAAGGAGAAGCTACTAAAGATCTGCAACTGCGTTTACGAGCGGACATTGATCTGACCACGGTACATTGTTCATTCGATAGCAATGCGGAGAGACGGAGGGCATGAACCGTGTTCGCGCGGAAGAAACGATGCAGTGACACATGTCAGAGACGCACAGTCCCGTCAGGCCGTGCCAATCATATTGGATGCTTCATCTTGTACGCCGGACACTTAGCTATCTGCCGCACCACCTTCTTACTTAACGTTGATTAATCTGCCGAGCGCGTTTCGAAGTACGGCTTGTATCTGGGATCAGGGTTGAGCACTCTCGCCCGTCTGTGTGCCGCATCTCAATAGGACGGTCCAGATTCAATTAAAGCTATAAAGAGAGGAGTCGAGGTCCGGCGGAGATGTCACCCTTTTCTTCCATGTCAGCACACAAAACCGCCCAAGAAGGAAGCATTCATCACCATCTGATCGCGGTGACCCAGAATCATAGACGCGCGACACTCGATTGTGCTTGCCGAGCGTGCCGCGGGTTCAGCAGCCGGACGATCCTTGCAGGACCGCACTGACCCTGATCATAGTTGAGCACGAGCATATCGAGAAGCCTACACACAGAGAATCAAAGAGAACAAACATCCATCGTGTCGAAACCTTCGGACCGGACCGTCTGAAAGTTGCCATTCGAAGTGGAGAGGAGGCAAGGGGGCACGGGGGTGAGCGAGATAGAATATCACGATGGCGACAAGGGCAGAATGTAGTAGCGAGCCAACAACAGGATTAGATAATATTGCTGCAGCGCGAAACAACCATGACAATCGACAAACGGATGGTTTCGATGAAGACTTTCCTGAGGATGATGAAGCTAACGTGAGTATATGCTCATACGAGCAGAGATCTATCCTGCTGAAGCGATATTTGTCAGTCATCAGCCAGCGATTATGGACGCTCAGCGTCTGCAAGTTATCACAGCAGCATCCGCAGCGATATCGAAGACTATTACTGGGAGAACGGACGGCGGTACCACGCAATGGGAGGTGGAAGATACCTTCTACCGAATGACGACACGGAACTTGATCGTGAGGATATGAAGCACCATATGTGGACGCTCGTTCTTGAAGGGTGTCTTCACCTCGCTCCTGTTGGAGATCATCCAATGAAGATACTCGATGTCGGAACAGGGTCGGGTATCTGGGCAATGCAAGCAGCAGACCAATATCCATCAGCCGAAGTCATTGGATTTGATATTTCGCCCGTCCAACCAAGCTGGGTCCCGCCGAATCTGGCTTTCGAGATAGACGATCTTGAGAAAGAATGGTTGTGGCAGGCATCTTCATTCGACTTGGTGCACTGCAGATTCATGTTCATGTCTATTTCAGATTGGCCGTCAATGCTTGCACAAGCATATCACACACTCAGACCTGGCGGCTACGTTGAGTTGGCAGAGCTCGACCTACTTCCAGCGCCGGCATTCGACGGTCGATCGGGTCCACCATTGGTCAGCGAGTGGTTTGCGATACAGGGTAGCATCTTAGCGAAGAAGGGCTTCGACATTCGCATAGCGTCCAAGTTCAAGCAAATGCTTCTAGCTGCAGGATTTGAGGATGTGGTAGAGGTTGTGAGGCCGGTACCATGGGGGACCTGGCCATCCGACAAGCGACTCAAGGCCATTGGATTCTGGCATGTTGGTGAGTGGATGCCGAATGGTAAAACACGGCCAGATGGCTGATTGATGTATAGAACAGCTCAAGATGGGATTACAAGGAATCACCATGGCATCTCTGACCCGCGCAGGGTGGTCAGTCCCAGAAGTAGAATTGTTCCTCGCTGGATTGCGCCGGGAGATGAAGGACTCAAATTGGCAGATTCAAGATCAAGCGTAAGTTGCGACCAAAGTCCTACGAGCAGCAGGATCAATCAAGCATAGGTACATCGTATATGGTCGGAGACCAGGATAGGTGGCGGTGTGGTCAGAAGTCGATGGAGTGATTCGGAGAGTAGTCTGGAGGTGGCGACGATGGTGGAAGTGGCAGCTGGTCTGTGCTGTTGCCCAGCAACGGCTGTTTACTCGAGGCAGCCAAATCTTTCCGCACAAGCTCCGGTATACAGCAGATACTCGTCAGCCTAGCCATTCCACACTCAACACACCTAGCTATCAGCATCAATATCCACACAACTGTCATGGCGTCGCCTTCACGATCAGGCGGCACGATGCACGTCGCAGTCACATCACCATTCAAATTCCTCATGGGATCATCACATAGCGCCCCCGACATGTCGGTTAATGCCCTGGTCGATCGCTTCACCACTCTCGAAGTCAAGGATCGCGATGAAGATAGCGCAAAGCGCGCAGTACGACGACTGGAAGCTGCCTTGAGAAGGGCCGAGATGGCACGCGAGGAGGCAGAGACTGAAGCTACGGGCTTGCGCGACGAGCTCCGGGAACAGAGGGATATGGCAGAGGAGCGCCTGCGCGAAAAGATGGACTTGCGCCAAAGACTTGACGAGTACGAGGTACGACCAACACACATGATCTTGCTTGTTTGACGCACAACTGACCGGACATGACAGAAAAAGTACGAAAAGGCCAAGGAGCGTTTCAAGCAGCAGAAAGTTAAGCACGAAGAGCAACTGCGCAAGATGCAGAAGGAATACATGGAGCGCGAGAAGCTGCATTGGAGACAGCAACAACTACTACAAGAAGAGGTCGATTGGGAGAAGAAGCTGCGCGCTGATTCAAACGATTTGATTGCTTTCTTGGAAATTGATCACATTGTGGCTCTTCAAGCTCAGAAGGACAAGCACCTAGAGCTTCTTGCAAAGCAACAACGGGTTACACCAAATGTCCAGCTTCCTCAGGAGTCACTCGACGACTTTGACATCGAAATCGACACCCCGAAAAAGCAAGAGGACGAAGCTATGGCTGAAGACAATGACTACGCTGTCGAGGACAGCCCCGAGCCCGAGATCACGCGACCAAGCTCCAACCATACACCAGTCCGCAGCCACTCAAGCACCCCAATCGCCCACGACTCACCTCAACACACCACATCCCCTCCGCGGCCGTCAGCGCACACAAAGCAAACTCTCCGCGTCCCCATAAACTTCAACGACGAAGACGATTCCTCTTCAACCAGCGACAAGGAAAACTCCCTGCCTCTGCTCCAACCCCCTCGCACGCCAAACCCATCATCCCGCACAGTCAGCGCACCTCCCCACCACCTCAAGACCCCAATGACAATCTCTTGCTCAACACCCGCCTCGCACCCAAATATCCCAGACTTCTTGAACACGCCTATTGATAGGGAAGCCGCTCTTGCTGCAATCAGAGAAAGAAGAGGTAGGGCAAGGAGTAACGGTGCTGCTGGAATGGCTACACCGAGAAGGCTTGGGAGAGATGCCTCTGCGCCCCCTGGAGCTGGCAGTGTGGGTTCGAGATCTAAGAGTCGTGGACCTTGAGATGTATTCTGAGATCGCCTTTCTTGTACAAAGTTTTTCTTTCTTCTGGCTTTGAACTTTCGAGTCTTGGAGAAACTCCCTCTTCTTCGTGTGTTCTTCTAGGGATCTGGTGGGTTTGCAGCACGGCGTTTCTTGGAAGATGGGTCGGGAAGGTGTTGGTTCTGGTTGGTGTCTTTGTTCTTGGGTTCTTCTCTTCTTCTGTTGTACCTAAGTTTTTGTTCGAAATGCTAGTAATGATGTCCAAAACTTGCAAACCCATATCCTTGTCCTGCTTTTTAGGTGATCGGACAGATGAAGCATTCCGTTGATTGAGACAAGAAGATGGTTATACAGTCAACACGAAAACAGTTGGACTTGCTGCTGGTAGTCAGGAGAGTACTGGATGGTCAGATTTGAGCCCAGACGGCGATGAGTAAGTACTAACAGGTGTCGATATTTGAATGCCTACAAGGTGTATGATGTGCGTGATGAGAAGAGTAGAAAGAGACGTGGATTTCATATCACCAGCGGTCATACAATTAAGTCGATCGAGTCAGCACAGGAGCAGAAGCAGGACAGAGTGGATGTGAAAAGTTGAAGATTTTGCTTTTGCATTCTCGACCTGTGGCCAGCCTTCTGGCATAGCATCAAATCGTTAAAAAGGAAGAAAAGAGAACGCCCATGTTTTCCAGCCCTGTTAGATCACACGGAACGATACACCTCATCCAGAGGGAATGTTTTTGTCGTCTCACATCCAGGAAAGAAAGGTCGATTGGACTGGACAACAGAGATGTTGTGACAAAGCAGCACTGAAAGTGAAAAAAAGACAAGCCATGCCATTCTCTGTATGTTTTTTTGATTCGAACCAACAAATCCTTTCCCTCCCATGCAGCCTGCCCAGGCGATACGTTTATCGGTTGGACTTGGCGACACGCTCGAGCTCGTCCTTCTTCTTGATGGCGTAGGAGTTGGAAGAACCCTTGGCGGCGTTGATGAGCTCCTCAGCGAGGCACTCGGCAACGGACTTGACGTTGCGGAAAGCGGCCTCACGGGCACCGATGGTCAGGAGGGCAATAGCCTGGTTGACACGGCGGAGGGGAGAGACATCGACGGCCTGGCGACGGACGGTACCGGCGGAACCAATACGGGTGGAGTCCTCACGGGGACCGCAGTTGACGATAGCGTCGACGGCGATCTGGATGGGGTTCTGGTCGGTCATGATGTGAACCTGGGTGGATTGTTAGTTCCTGACAACCAATATGTAGCACAGACCACACAAGGGTAGCAGTCTGAGCAGAGGACAACTCAACGCACGATCTCGAAGGCGTGGGCGACAATGCGGACGGCCATGATCTTCTTTCCGTTGTTGCGGCCGTTCATCATGAGGGCGTTGGTAAGACGCTCAATGATGGGGCACTGGGCCTTGCGGAATCTCTTCTGGGCGTAACGACCGGCAGAGTGGGGAGTGTAGACGGGCTGACGGATCTGGATGTAGTCGCTGAGGTATGAGGGTCAGCTAAGTGCTTGCGCGTGCCGATACTTCCTCTGCCTCGAAGGTGCGTCTGTTGCCAGTCTGTATGGTGTCTCGATGTGTCTCTCTTGCAAGACCTGCAGGCGCGCGTGTCCCAGCTCTTTGCATCCGTCTCTTTCTTCCATTCGCAGACTGACAATGACCATCCCGCTGTCGCAGAGGAGTGCGCAGACTCACGTCAAAGAGATATCTCTGATCTCGACATCCTCGTAGCTCCACTTGTTGAACAGCTTGACGCTGCCAATCTCGGAGGCAACCTCCTTGGGCAGGACGGGGTAGCCCTGGGGCTGCTCGACTTCGATTTCTCCGGCGTCAGACATTTTGGCGATGTGTTGAGGGGGAGGGACGGGAAATGGGCGAGTTTGGCGTTGGTTGTCGAGAAGTCGCTTCGTCAATCACTTTCGACGCGCAAATTCTGTCTGACCGGAGTGTGGGCTTTCGCAAATTCCGCCGCTAGTGAAGCCGGCGTTTTTCCGTCTCCCAGACTTGGCACCACCCGTCGCTCGCTGAGTCGTCGTCGGCTTCTCACCTCGCCGGCCGCGACCACTTGCGTGTCAATGCTCCCTCACTGCCCTGTCCATCCGTGTCCATCTTTCCTCTCTACCCGATGCCTTCGATCGGATGATAGTCACCTGCCGTGCCTCACGATGGTATATATCATACTATGCATGCATCGCTGCTCGACGTTATTTCACTGCTGCTGCCGAATTGTCATCGCCGTTGAATTCAATCTCCCACCCTCCGACGTCCAGATGCAATTGCGAGACAATTGTAAAGTGTAACTTCACGTAGACATCATCGCATCACTTAATCACAACTGTGCCGATCGAGACTCCCCCGTGCTTTGGCGAGATTAATTCTGTAGCTCTTAGGCACTCGCTATATACACGCCCTGATTCCTTTATTGTCCTGTCGCTGCAGTCTTTCCATCCTAACCAAGTGCTACCGTCTTGCTCCTTCCCAACGTTTGAACCGTACTTAGAACATCTCGTGCAAAGCAGACTGACGATTCGCCTCCCTTGATGACCTCTATATTCTTCCGCCATGGTTGACCAATCCGGATTCTCTGCTTGGAAGCTACCTTCTCGGATTGAGCAATCCTCAATATTGGATCTTACATATCTCAAAGGTCGCGTCTCATGGATTCGTGATGAGCTGGATCCTCTTGTCGCTCGGAATGGTCCGGATACCCTACGGCCGGATACTGTTATTGTCCTGTTTAAATTCTTCGAGCAATTGCGGACATCCTTGCCGACTCTTGAGAGTGTTCGCGAATCTCGCATACACCTGGCTCTTATCGACATCGCTAGACGCGCTACCAGATGGCCAGTCAGACTTATTGAGGAAGCCGAAGAGATTATCCACAAGTGGGAATCAGAATGGGGTCCACTTTCACATATCAAGGTCAATCTTTACGACACAGGCGGCAGGTTACATGGCATCAGCACGCCCGAGGATGTTCAGCGAGAAGTATTGCTTGTTAAATGGTCACGAAAGGAGACTTCATGGGTCAATCCGAATTTCGCAAGGCGGAACGGAGACCTCGGATTCAAGCCTGGAGAGTGAGTGTTATCCTGTCCCTGCTCGTGACACAGCATCTAACAAATCTCAGCTGGTGGATCAACCCCATATTCGCGTTTCATGATGGTATCATCGCCAGCACTACATCCGATAGCTGCGTCACTACCTGCTTCCAACAGGCCTACGCCTTACTATTAGCAGATGGCGATGAGCTTGACTGTAAAGATCCAGCACACTTCACGTACCGCTCAACGCCTGGAGATGCTAGACGATATCGCCTTTGCGCAGGTACGCTTGCTTCCAGACAACCCGTTCGTGTCCTCCGGAGTCATACCCTCCGCAGCTTCTGGGCTCCACGCGCTGGCATCAGGTACGATGGTCTGTACAAGGTTTCTGGATGGCGAATCGTCCAAGACCCGACAACGAAAGCCATTAACTATCACATTTCGTTTGACCGTTTGACTTCAGAGCCACCGATTGATCCGGTGCTGCAACACCCAACTGCGGGCGAGTTGGATGACTACGCCGAGTACAAGCGTATTCGAAAAGAAGTTCGTCTGAATCGTAACCTTCTCCGACATGGACTGCGATTTGGTGTGCCAAGTTCTGCACCTCAACCAGCCCAGGACCGTATGTCCCTGACCAAAAAAGCGGAGAGCGCCGACACTATTAAATCCATCAAGAAGCCCATTGCCCAACGGAGGGGAAGCTCGTTACACATCCAAACTTCGGCATCCGAAACTCCATCCAAACAAGACACGCCTTCCAAGGCGGAAGAGAATCCATTCTTCGCTAGTAGACCCAGCACGAACTCTGATGACAATCCTTTCTTTTCTGGAGGCCTGGATGCACAAACCGGTCTTGGCAATGTCAATACTTTGCGACCTGATATGATCAATTACGCACCTGTATTACATGCCGCTTCCGCTGCAGGTGCGGCCATCGACCCATTCTTTGCACGTGCTTTGGAAGAGCAAGCAGCCAAAAGGGTAGCTGCTTTTAGGTTAAGCAGTGGATCGCTGCCATCACTTGCGTCCGCAAAATCTAGGAACGTTGGTCTCAGTGGAAGGAAACCAGTGATAGGATTCATTGGCGTGATTCACGAGTCTGACGAACACAAGACTCCTCCGGACACAAGGCGGGATTCTCAAAGCCCAGTCTCACAAGAGCGTAGTGCGGCTTGATGATTGTGTTTATTTTTCTAGATTACCTATTTGTTTATGGCGGCGTTACTTATACCCTACATAGTTACTGGTTCTTCCAACCTGAAAATGCTTCATCTATCCATACTTCTATTATCAATCTCTTCTGTTGGTCTCAAGCTTAATTTGTCGATCCAAGATTGAGAGAGGCCTTTTCATCTTTTCGCGCGCATCTCGAATGGTGACCCTGTCACATCGGCAAAAACTGCGGTGCGGCAAATCTCCCCACGCAACATGATCGAGACATCAACAAACACTTGATTGTCGCCGAAACCGCGAACAACCAATTTCTCATAAACCTTGTTGTCAAAATCAATGATGGATGTTTCTGATCTAGTAGAATGTAAGTTGTTATCTTTTCTTCTCATCGTCAGCTTCTCTGCTCCATCTTCCCATTCAGAGGATAAAAAATAAGAATCTCGCACTTGATGCAATGTTGATTCTGCGTGCCTGGGGTGATCGAGTATGATTGTCACAAGCATCGATCCGACCACGAGAGAGCAGTCTTTCCTATCGTCTCTGAACCCAAGTCACTATTAGCTGCTATGAGTGGCTTCTGGTAAAATTGTCAGAATTGAGTACGAGGGTCATGCTACCCCCGATGTTCCTGCGTTATACCTGAGATCTACTGCAATTGTATCGTCGTTGACCCATCTCTCGCAGCGACAACACATGCTTCGCCGTCACCTGATGGTCATTATATCGCTGGCTTAACACCCGACCATCTATACGTCTACTACGCATCAACTCTAACCATCGCATCCTCCTTTCCCATCGACAACTCAACCGCACCGACCACACGATCCACAGAAGCGCCTGTGATTCATTGGACGCCCTGTTCGCTGTCCGTCATTCTCCAGACCAGCAGCCATGTATCACTTTACAGTCTAGCAAATACTTCCAGTCGTGTCAAGATCGCCAACGGAAGTGCTAGCTTGGGTAGAATCGCTATTGTGGACGTTTTTGGCGAAGACGTGGTTGTGGTGTGGGAATTTGGCAGAGTTGGCATTTTTGAGGTAGGAAGAGGACGAGTCACAGAAATTGGAGAGTTGAAGACAGGGATTGGGAGTCTGAAGGCTGCGTGGGGGATCAGAAGAATCAAGGGAAAAGCTGAAGGTATGTCGATTTGTATGATTTGGCAGGGAATTACGACTGACAGAAACAGTACTTGCGATGTTGTGTCGTACTTCGGCCACAGATATTCTGTCGTTGGTCCTGTCTTCATCCACTACACCTTTCACGACGATAAGTCTACCGACAACGGACGCTCAGTCACTGGCTTGGAGTCCTTCTGGCAAATGGATCAGTATACTTGACACACCGCTCAGTGCACCAGGTTCTGCCATACACATATACACTACAGATGGCAACTATTACCGCAGCTATCCTTCAACGACCTCAACACCTTCTGAAGAGACTTACACACTTGGTCCTCTGCGTCAATCTTGGGGCCCCAACCACCTTGCTCTCGCCAATGCGGATGGCAGTATAACTATCCTCTCTACCACAACTTTCTCCCCTATTCACACATTGGATCCGTGGGCTATGGTAGAAGAAGACACAAGTGCTGTATACCGCGAGCAAGTGAGCAGTAAGGGCGACCGTAATTGGGCTTATCTCGGAAATAGCGACGACACAACATCTCAACTTCTATCATCTTACTCACCAGCCCTAGAGATGAAACTCGACGCTACTGGCAGGTATCTTGCTTTCCGTCTCGAAGCTTTCCCTGAAACGGTACTTGTGTGGACACTACCATCGTCCAAACCCATCTTTGCTTCTCAAACCCAAAACACTACTATGGCGGAAGATGAAGCAGAAAAGTACGATGATCGAGGCAGTCTGATTGTCTTCCACCATCACACCACAATCAAGAAACTGCAATGGCATCCCACAATCTCCGGCCTCCTACTCACCCACACAGAAGACAATCAAATCTACCTCTCCTCCACCGTAGGAGAAATAAATGCACCTCTCCACATTACTCATCCTTTCAGCACCTCTGCATCATCATCGACATCCTCAACCACAGTAACCGAGCTCATAAACATCCACTGGGCAACCTCCTCCACAATTCTCATAACGACAAAACGACGTGGTTGGATTCTTGCTTACCCCTTTGGCGCTCCTTCTCCTCCTTCATCACCGGCGGAACCGCAGTTTTCGGCTGATGTGGTGGGATCGGAAGAGCAAGGAGATAATGAAGAAGATTCTTTGTATGACATTCTCAGTGGAAGGACGCCATTGCCTGAATTAAGAATTTCTGACGAGTTACCTGTGGATTCAGAGGATGAAGGAGAGAAAGAGCAGGGGTTGCAGGACACATTCAGGGGCAAAGGGACGGCGGGGACGATTGGAAGTTTTGAGTATTGAAGATTTGGCTTATTCCATCCAAACGAAACCTGCACGACGCGAACACTCTCGTGTAAACGCCTCAGCTATTGAACTCATTCTCCTTCGTCGAGTATGTATTCAAGAACTTGTCAGAGACGACGATCGAGTACCAGTCTGAGACTTGATCCCTTACGTACGGAATGACCGTTTGCCGTCTAGACAAGTAATTCGTTCATGAGCGCCACGAGCCACTCTATAACACTACGTTGATCCATCGCTCCGAACTTGCACACACGATTTACCGCATGCAGACAATGGTGACTCTGTCATCTTTTCGATAGAGTCTACATTAGACATCCCATCAGCCACGGGAATCCTAATATGAGCTTCGTGTGTAGGCACCATAGACAGCCCAGCACCACTCTATCTCATCTCTACATCTCCATCCAACACTCCGCTTTCCCACACCAAACCTCCAAAATACCCAGACCATCTCACCACATCCACACAACCACATCACCAATGTCTCCTCCCCAAAAGTCCATAACCTTCGAAAGCGTCCGCACACGCATGAAAACCCCCCTCACCCCCTCCCAAAAAAAAAACTCCAATACCGCGGCCTCACATTATCCGCAATGATAGGCCTAAAATAACGACCAACTTTTCGGTATCAACACAAACCGAAGAACTCATCCTCGCCGAATACTACGGTAAGAAAAGATTCAGACTCTCCTCCGAACCCTGTGAACTTATATCTCTTCTCCAACGGTCATGGCTTGGCTGCGAAGATTCAACAAAAAAGTATCAAGAAGCCATGTTGAAGAATGAGGCGCATGAGGATAGGGAGTTTAGGGGAAAGTGCAAAGGAAGTAGGGAAACTATGGAGGAAATGCATCAGCTGTATTTGGAGAGGGAGAGACCGGGGGGGAGTGGAGGAGTTGGTGTTGGATCGGATTGCTGTTGATGCTGTGGAGTGGTGGAATGGGTTGGTTGCTGAAAGATCGGAGGACATAGTGGATTGCACTTGCCAGAAAGAGAGTTGCATAAGCGGTCAGAAAGAGAGTGTAGAAGAACGAGAAAAGTAGACATGGATCATGATATACAAGAACGCTGCATGGAACATGGAGGAGGGTAAACCATTAAAAATACAATTTGAGAAAGGTCTATGTTGACTATCCACTCTTGAACCCTTGCCTTCTCTATCATCAGGCAGCCCACTCGACAACCTCCAAAGCAAGCATGACCAAAATAAGTGTACTGGGCAATATCCAGACCACATAACTCTGCAGCAACAACTTGGACATGACGCCCATGAAGACGCCGTTGAGCTGGCAAATCTGGGCAAGTTGAAGGGCAGAAGGAGCACCAGTAAGCAAGAAACAGACGATGATGAAAATGGGATCGTCGAGGATGCTGACAGGCACGTATTTGGCAAAAATGGCGAGGAATGGTGCCATGATGAGGGTAGGGAGCAGCATACGGCTGACGAGGGCGGCGATGAGGAGATTGCGCTCTTCCTTCTTGCCCTCAGGAGTGGTGACGAGTTCTTCTTGTGGGAGGGTGTTGCGGGCGAGGTTCGCGCCTAGGACGACTAGGATCAGAGGGACGGCGACACCACCGCTCTGCTGGATTGCGCGGGTAACGGAGTTGGAGACAAAGGTGTGAGGGGCAAAGAAGGTGTGTTGGAGTTGAGGGACGGAAGCGACAATCAGAGCGGCAATCATGGCCCAGAGAGGAGGGTTCATGAACTCCCAGACACCCCAGGCGAAGCGAGTGGTGTAGTGCGAGACGGTGCTCAGGAACTTTTGCAAGCCAGGAGGGAGTTTGGCAAACATGTTGTTGAAGAATTGCTTGATCGAGGCACGGATGCTGGCGAAGAAGCGTGAGATGTTGGCCTTGATGCCAGTAGGGGCTTCGGTAGCAGCGGTTGAGCCAGTCGAGTAGTTGGGGAACTGTGTCATGTGGCCAGTGGAGCGCTGGCGAGGGCCGAGGTTGCCGGAGAAGTTGCCAGGGCCAGTACCGACAAGGTTTCCGTTGGCAGGTGTAGCCATGACTTCACCATCAACAGGCTGCAAGGCATCGTGGGAAGATGCGGAGCCGATGGACGAGATGGTACGAGGAGACTCGTCGCCAGAGATGGAGCCACTAGTCTTCTTTGTGGAAGACGAGGCCTGCTCCAAGTCATCGTCGTCGATATCGTCGCGGTATCTTCCCTCCTCGATCAGGTTGTCTCTTTCTTCGTCGGCGGCCTTGGTGTCCTCGATGGCGGGAGCAAGCAAGACGTTGTAGCCCCAGGTCCAGCGGACCAATTGACCGAGCTGTTGGAAGATGAGCAAGTACAGGATTCCTCTTGCGGCGACTTCGTTGTCGTTGTCGTGCGGGACACGATCCCAGTGCAGACCCTTGAGAGTCTTGGAGAGCGAGATGACGAGCGAGATGGGCAGCGAGTTTGAGTTTCCAAAGACGCCCATGGCGATGACGAAGTTGGTCTGTCTCTTGCCAAAACCAAAGGCCTTGGACATGAGACGAGCGCAGATCCATGAGACGAGCGTCTGCACACAGAAGATGACGGGAATGACGGCGAGATCGGCGAGCTTGTCGGCGTTGAGCTGCGAGGCGAGTTTGGTAAAGACGAGACACGGCGTGAAGAGTTGGACGTTCAGGTTGGCCACCATCTTCTGAGCCTCGCCGTCGAACATGCCCCGTCTGGCCACAATGTAGCCCGGCAGACTGACGCATACCACTTCCAGCACTGCTTCAAAGACCAGCAGCACCAGGTGGGCAAAGTCTGGGTGTGACGTGTGGCCGTTCAAGGCCATCATAGGCAGCTCCATGGCCGCAGAGGCATATCTCCTCTCCTTCAGACCTCCGAATCCTGCGGACAAGGCATTTGCGGCGTTCAGGCGGTATGGTGTGGGACTCGTGAACCACGAAGTCATGGCGGGTAGTTTTGGTGAGACGGTAGAGAGATAGCTGCGATAAGCTTCTCGTCGCGCTCGCAATGCTGTCTGGACGTGTCGCGTGGGTCGTTGTAGTTAGACACGGATCACAAGCAACTAGGACAGGAGTGAAAGGAAAAGAGAAGGAATGCGCGTATGGATAGTGGAGCGCTATGCTCTTTTTCCGAATGTCTCGAAAGCATGCTTATCCTGCCGCCGCTATGGCTTGTGCCTCAATCGTCGCCAGCCTTTCAACCAAAATGTCCCAATGCGTCATTCTTGGCCCCGCCGCTTTTCCAAGAAACTCTCTCTCCACCACGTACGGCATGCACCATCACCGAGCCATCATCCATGTCACCACCAAGCCGTCTCTGCCACTTTGACTCTTCTCCTTGTTTTTTTCGCTTTTCAAGACTCAGCCTTCGAGCCCAAATGCACGCGTTTCGCTGAAACTGAATTGCGCCATCTACTCATAGCCAAGCGCCGTCCTCACTACACAGCCTGCACGTACTTCACAGCCCACCACACGGGTGCTTTCCTGCCAGACTCCGAAAGCCGCGCCCGCCAATCATGCCGTTGCGCCAATACACGTTGGTCATCCAGCCTCGCAGTCTGCACCGTCCTTGATCGATTTCTCTGAACACGCCGTGGAACCTGTGTTATTCGTGCACCACGACAAGCACTATATCTGCTGTGTCTCCAAGAATGTTTGGACGTGAGGCCTGCAGTGTTGACATGAAATAGCCACATTTCCATTGTCGCCATGGAACGACGATTATGCTCGCTATACAGCTAAGCTGCTATTACAAGCATGCCAGAAAGCTTGGAAAGTCACTATTATTTTCTTTGCAAGACTCGACAATGCTTGAACCAACCAGTTCGCAGCTGCACCATGTCTAACGATCTTTCTATCACTACAAGCATTGCACAAAACACACCTTTGACGACTCTTTGTTCGTTTTCCTTAATTTCTGTCACCGGAGATACGACCGAGCCTGTCTCAGCCTCTGCAATATCAAACCTTTGACCAGCAACCCCACATTCGCATCCTTCGTGTCTTCGCCTATTCTAACAATTAATCTATTTGACACACGACACTCTGAAAGTCATGCAGGTTAAGCTGTCTGCCGAAAGCGGTCAGCAATCATAAATCGTGATAGGTCGAGCTCGGCGGAAGAATAGATCAGGCAAAGCATTTTGCAAATCTTGCCAAATTTTATATCAACTTATAGATACCAAGAATGACTGACCCACTGCCGTCGTGTTCGTGTCAAGGAACGCTTGAAATGATATGGGTTATATAGGGTGCGACCAGCGTCAGCTGCTCGTGTGCTGACCATTTTGTCCTACGACAGCTCTTCAATTTTGTCGTCTTCACCTTGGGACTTCGCAACAATGGCACTTCTCGACAGTATCCAGAACATTGGTACACTTGCCATTTCGGCCGTAGTACTCTACTTTGCAACACACGCTATTTACAATCTATACTTCCACCCGCTCTCGCAACACCCAGGACCTTTGCTCAACGCCATCTCTCCTCTGCCTCGTCTCTACCTGAACATCAACGGTCGCGAGCCTCAGACAGTCCTCGAGTGGCACCTCAAGTATGGCCCTATCGTCCGTATGGCCCCCAATGAGCTCTCTTTTATCACTCCAGCCTGGAAAGACATCTATGGCTTCAAGAGGCCTGAATTGAATAAAGACTGGACCATGTACGCATTGTCCGAGAACACCAAGAGGTCGATCCTGCTGGCTGGTGCAGATCATGGCAGACAGAGAAAGATGTTGGCTCCTGCGTTCAGCGAGAGAGCTTTGAAGTTGCAGCAGGGTATGTTGACTACCTACACTGGAATGATGGTAGAAAGACTGGAGGAGAGAATGAAGGAGAACAAATCTGTTGATATGGCGAAGGTCTTCAATTGCGTGACGTGAGTGTTCTAAGCTGCTCTGTCCACGAGGCTGGCCACCCAATATCTGAAATACATGGGCACTGACCAAACCAACAGCTTCGACACAATCGCTGACTTGATGTTCGGTAAGCCTCTTGGCCTCTGCGAAAACATGGAATACTCAGACTGGCTCTCCCAACTCTTCGTCTCTATCTGGCTCGCCGGCGCATCTCGCGCCCTGCAGTACTTCCCCCTCCTCTTCCGCCTCGCCACAATGATGATTCCAAAGCATATCCAAGACTCAATCGACTCTTCCTACCAGAACACAGTCGACAAGGTCAACAAGCGTCTTGAGATGGAGACTGAGCGTCCTGATATGTTGGGTCTTATGCTCAGTCACAAGGAAGAGGGTGCCGAGATGACCATGGATGAATTGTATGCTAATGCCGATCTGTTGATGATTGCTGGTACCGAGACTACTGCAACGAGTTTGTGCGGACTCACATGGCATCTGCTGAACAACAAGCGTGTATTGGAGAAGTTGACCAAGGAGATCAGAGGAGCGTTCAAGAGTATTGACGACATCACTATGGAGTCGTTGCCCAGACTGCCTGTGAGTATCTCCGAGGCGAAACAGTGGGGATTTAGCTGACCATAGTATCAACAGTATCTATCTGCTTGTCTGGAAGAGGGCATGAGAATGTTCCCTGCCGTACCTGAAGGCATCAGACGCATTACCCCCGCAACTGGTGCCAACATCAGTGGTCACTTCATCCCAGCCAACGTATGTGTATCACATCACCTGCATCAGCCCCCACTAATCTCCCCCAAAGGTCAAAGTCAGCATCCCCCACTACGCAGCCTACCACCACCCCTCCAACTTCACCTCGCCCAGGACATTCTGTCCGGAACGCTGGCTCCAGACCTCCCATCCAGACTACGACCCGAAGTTCGCTGCCGATAAAAAGGAAGTTCTGCAGCCCTTCTCCGTTGGCCCGAGAAATTGTATTGGTTTGACTCTAGCGTATCACGAGATGAGGCTTATCACTGCCAATTTGCTTTGGCATTTCGATGTCGAGTTGGCTGAGGAAGCTAACAAGGATTGGTTGAATCAGACTTCGCATTTGGTTTGGGACAAAGGACCGTTGGCTGTGAATATTCTGCCGAGAGGTAGTGTGGTGGTATAGATGATTCAGAAGGAGAGTATTACACATCTCGTGAGATGAGCCAGACTATGCGTGGTCATGTTCATCTTTCACCGTTCATATCTCAATTGAAGACTATATTCAGGCTCCTGATGCCATCAGACTTATGCTGGCCGAGTCTTGTGCCTTTGAATTAGATTGCTGATGAAATGAGGCTAGATGGATTATTCCCAAAGAACATCATGTGCATTTCTTCGTTCGTTGGTTGGCTTTCTCTTTCCGATCCTTTGTGGAGTTATTATTCATGTGTCTAAATGATACCCACCATCTCCTCAACTCCTCTTTCTGTTTCAGATTTGGTGAGTCACTCCTTCCTGATCCAGTGAGTCGCCCCTTCCTGTCCTTGTGAATCGTTCTCCCCTATCCATTTTGTGAGTCGCTCTTTCCTGACCTAGAGATTTACCCTCTTCTAGTAGGCGGCAAAGTCCGGCATTCTCTACCATCGGGGTAGAGCGTCCATTCTGCGCGAGACAATAAGCATTGGACTCGATGCCCTCCATGCCCTGCAGACAACACAATTCCACTTGATAGATGGTGGCTCAGAAATCCAGTACCAATCCGGGAGCCACCTCCTCGAGATCCTGAACATCGAGCCATACCTCTTGATCTCCTTGTCCACCAGCCTCTTTCATCTCTTTCCTCTCCTTGGCCACTTCAGTAGCTCTGGCCACAGCTTCTCTCACAAACAAATCCAAATACCTCGCCGTCAAGGCATTAGCATCCTTCCCTATCTTGATACTTTTGTCATCGAAGCTCTCATGCAGTAACCGTGTTATCAATGCTGAAGGCAGTAACGGTATATCGTCTTTCGGTCCTCCAATGCCGGCGACAGCGGAGTGTTGTGGTTTTAGCGGTGCGAGATCTGGCTGTATGGCTGAGGATAACGGTGATAGCGAGGGTAATCTTGTGGGTACTGGTGGTAGTGTCTTTTGGCGTTTTGCAGTTGGTTCTACGGTGGTGGGTGGAGCAGGGCGTCGAGTGGGAGCAGCGGAAAAGTCATCGTCGTCGTCGTCTTCATCCGAGATGAGCATGGCTTCGAGGTCTGATCTGTCGATTTGAGCTCCAGCGGACTGGAAGCCCGAGGCTGTGTTGCTGGCCCATGGTTGTCTGTTGCCTGTGGTGAAGGCGGCTTTGGATGAGGTCGCTACTGTTTTTGACGCTCCAGCAGCGGATTTGGGAGGGGCGTTGGCGCTGGAGGAAGAGATTGCTTCGCCTCTTGAGATGACAGGAGGTTTGAATGGTCGTTTCGTTGCTGCTGTGGCGCCTACTTGGGAGGGTTGACGGTATGGTGGTGGCATTTTTGGTAGCTTCTTGGTGGGAGGTCGAAAAACGAGAGACGCGTCACGCGTTGAGCGTTGACGACACCATCAAGGTGGCCGCCAATTCATCGTCATCGCCTCTTGGCCTCACTCTGCCTCTTCTCTTGATCCACTTGACATCTTCCACATCGTCTGCAAGGCTTTTATAAGCCTTCAGCCAGTGTGAAGTTCATCACATTACCGAGCTCTGCAAATAGAATGACTTATGCTTGCTTGCTACCAGTGCAAAGTCAACTCGAGACATCGTACAAACAAGATATCCTCTGCACCTTGTAAAATTGCCATATTCGATCGAGACGTATCCGTGTCGACCGCCCGATGACAGCCTACTATATGCGCTGTCCTGTGGAGTTGTTGCCTTATCATGGTCACATGCTATATAGCTGCGTCAAGGCAACAACGCTATAACCAGCCCTGCAGCAATAATTTCCACCAACTGCATTTATACAAGTAAGCAATCCATGACGTGACAGTATCTAGTAAGGTAAGCAAGACAATACTACTCCGATCTCTCAATCATTTTCATCCTTCTCTTCTTTCCCTACTTTCCACTCAAGGGCATCACTCAAGACATATCAAGGTCTGCTTGCTCCTCCCTGCCGTCCAGCCTGAAAACACCGCCGTCTCACATCGCAACAGAAATAGTCTACACCTCATCAGTCTCAATTTCAAAGCCTGCAAGAACGCAATCTGCACAAAAAATGTGTCTCCAATACACTCGTCGCTACTCCTGCGGCTGCACCAACAACGAAGAGTTTCGTCAGTGCGAGAGACGCAAGAATACCAATGTCAAATGCACCCCCGTCGAGGACAAACCTTTGGCAAAGTGCTCGCATTACTGTCGTGCGCACATGGTTTCAAAGGGGAATGAGGAGATGAAGAGGGTTAGTAAGGGATGAGCATATGGAACTTGAATATCAAGAGAGGGAGGGATGACTTCATGGGATAGTGGTGGAGTGTAATGGCAGAAGTTGGGGAGGGGGAAAGGTCTCAAAGAAATTCTGTCGTTGGAGACTCGTCCTCTCTGGGCATTGAGGGCAAGGTTGGATTCGACTTCCCAGCAATCCAGCCATTGGTATTGGCATGATGACTTGGCAATCAGTCTTCACATTTGCAACTCTAATATGGTTATAAGCGCACTGGGATTCAAGCTTGGAGAGATGGATATAATTCAAACGTAAATTCATAAAACGATGCTCATATCAATTACCCTTCCTCCTCTTTCTGCTCAAAAGCAATATTTTTCTCCTTGTTTCTCTATTCACTCCGTCATAAAATCATAATTGGAGGGATTCTATAATCTACTCCAACTCAACCTTTCTAACACTCTCCCATCCTTCTTCCTCTTCTTGAAGAATCTTGGGTACGATAACTCTCAAGACACCGTCTTCGAGCTTAGCCCCGATTTTCTCTTCGTCAATCTTGACGCCCTCTTCAAGTCTAACTTCGCGCTCGAACATGCCGACTTCTCTACGTTCGTCGGTGACGAGGCAGTTCATCATGTCTTCTGAAACGTCGGGGCGGGTGACTACACCAGAAATTGTGAGGCTGTTGCGAGTGGCAGAGTATGTGACGTCGATCTCGGGCTTCTTGGCTCCGGGGAGGGAAGCGTGGAGGATGTAGGAGGTGGGTGTGCTGAAGAGGTCGACAGATGGGGTGAAAGTGCCATCATTGTTGTTGGCATTGGCCTTGTGCTCCCTGGTGGCTGTGTCGGCAGAGGGTCCACCGAATGCGTTTCCACCGAATGCGTTTCCACCGAATAGCGCGGGTGCAAAGGCTTCGGCTAGTGCACTGAGGTCAAATGGGAATGCAGGGTTGGGCCCACCACGAGGGTGGTTGTGGTGACCGCCGCGCCCACCACGTCCACCACGTCCTCTATGGTGGTGGGGAGAAGGGCCCCGGTGATGATGGGGGGATGGTCCTCTACGGTGGTGAGGGGGTCCTCCATGGTGATGAGGCCCGTGGTGAGGGGAGGGACCTCTACGGTGACGAGGTGACTCCGGGCGTGGGTGGTGGTGAGGCTCGGCAGGTGTCTCTGGGGGTGTAGGAGGAGTTGGCGAGCGGGAAAGAGGCTCGTTGAATGGAGGTGGTGGAGGAGCAGGGACATCGTCGTGCTGGGGAGGTGCAGGAGGGCCAGGAGGCGGTGGAGGACCTCTGTGGCCATCTCTGCCATGACGATGGCCATGGCCTCCGTGAGGCCCAGGAGGCCCATGTCTTCTGCCGCGATTGGCCCAAGGACCCCAGAACTCCTGTCCCTGGAAGGGATCGAACTCCGCAGTTGGGCCTCTACCTTCAGCGAAGATGGGCTCACCCTGGTTGTTCTGCAGACTGGCGACAAAGTCCCAGAAGTTGTTGGCTTGGTTCATGTTTCTTGTGTTCGACATGATTAAGATTGTATTGATGAATAGAGAAGAGACATGAACGGATGCAGCAAATCTACCTTATATGCATACCTACCTTCAATTGCTTCAGGCAACAACATCGAAGACGTGTACACAGAATCGTCACTTCTTCAGCCACAACAGCTCCAACCTGCCGTCTATTCGTCCATAAACATTTCCAATCACCAGCATGGAAGAGCCTGGAAGAGGCAAGTGTGCACCAGAAGGCGGGGGAATAGGCAACTCTGAGCTACGCGTTCGAGATATTCGCCACAAGGAGGGCATGTTCGGCCGTTGGTCCGCTGTGGCGTACGTACTTCGCCACAGATATGGACCAATCGTCGTGAATGCTTCGTCCTGTAACACGAGAAATCGATTTGTTTCTTCCCAAGGTGACTCAGCGATGCGAGAGGTGCTGAAGCGACAAGGAGATATGGTCGGAGGACCGAGATAGATTCGGCCGAGCGGCTTCGACACAATCCAGTGCCTCTTGGCGACTTGAATCAAGAGTCGAGATTCTTTCGGAAGTGAACTTGTCCCTTGAGCCGTAGGACGAGCGCTTGTCAGCGGCTTTCCTCCCACACTACTCCAACAGCCGACACCATGGGCGCCCGGCCGTAAGTCGATACAAAGGACATGTACCTTTCAAAGAATTCCCATGTGATACTTGTGAATCGGGATGCTCTAACTACGACTCATGAGTTTAACCTCAAGGTTGAAGCTTTAAGAAAGCATGTGCGACAGAGACAAGGAGAGAAGGGCGAGATTTCATTGAAGGAAGCGAGAAGCCAGAGAAGGCCCGTCGGAGTGAGCTCCAGATTTGGTAGAATGATGTCAAAGGCTTCGATGCAATCGGTAGCGACGAAAAAATGTCCTTGTAGGATTGACACCCCAAATTCGATCTTCAGCATCCCCGTGAGAAGGTCTTGTTACTACCAATCGCGACCGACTTTGTCATGATAGTCCTACTTTCAAGGTGTCGAGGCTCGCGGGCCATGTGCGCGCGCACAGTTGCCTTATGATAATGAAAGTTTGAGGCTCGAGACGACGAGCGAAGGCACTTTTGCCATGCATTTTTCGCCCCTCCGATGATGTGGTTCCGAGTCAGAAGATGAACAACCTTTTTGTCGGTCTGCGCAAAAAAGAATACCAAAAGCCAAGCGACAAAGATAGCTTGAGTGTTGTGACGGATAGATGAATTGTGGACGAAATGAAGTCGCGAAATCCATAGCAACTATGCAACGCCGAAATTGGCAGATTCGCAGGCAAGCAATTATCTATCGCGCAACGAAGTGCATCAGCAAGCAGAGCGACAGCGGTCTCCACGATTCAATGATCAGAGATCAATATACTACTTCGGTGAGATGGGAGATTGTCTCTCGCTTTATTTCACGATGCTGTATGTCTTACGGCCCAAGTCGAAGGCAGAATCGAAAACCAAGCAAGGAACCAATTCTTGACGAGGGAGTGCCGCTGACCAGAAACCCCGACTTGATACGAGTCAACATCCCACCATCTTCTCTCCTCTCGTTTGTGTCTGATCCGACTCGGTCCTGTTTTTCTCCTCGTGGCTTTCCTGTCTCGTGGCTATTGCGTTTGTGGGGCTCCCAGCCGCATCCATTTTAGCATTCACCAAGTGCTCGTGCGAGCTGCTGCCTTCTTGAACTTGCCCTCAACTGCTTTCACCTCGGCCGTTTCCCTCAACTCCAAGTCTCCAACGTATCTGCTCGGTCCTTTCCATCCAGACTCCACATAGATGCGTTCCAATTATTCAATAATCCAATAGAGCTGTGGAGCATCAAATAAAACACACGGCGACAATGGAGTTCAACTGATCTATTACTTCAACCATCACAGTTTTGCCCTGGTAGTTACATAAGCTTCGTCTACTTTGTTCATCCCTGGTGGACATATGGACCCACCTCCGAGACCCGGCAGAAAGGGCATAAAAGTGTTTTTGATGAGTGGTAGAGGCGATCTTCATCATGTAGGCTTGGCGCTGCTTTTGAGACAGCCATGTCATGCACTGTTGGAGATCATCCTGCAGGTTCCGACTTTGCGGCCGTCACTTGCCGACCCCTTTCGTGTTGGGAAATGCTGTCCCGGGCACAGCGTCACAGCACCCGCCCTCAGCAAATCCCCAGCATCATGTCAGAGAGGCGGTGGCAGAACGAACGACGTAGTTCATGTCAATCGGCGACGACGGACAAGACCAATATACGAGAGCGAGACATACTTGCACACATGCTATGACGAAGATGGGAGACAATTTAAAAGGTGGAAAGAATCATGTAATTGCATGTCTAGTAAGAACTCCTCATCCATGGTATCGACCGGAAAATATCAAGACCAAAACTCCATATCAAACCAGGCACCAATGCCATGTAGTTGTGATGCACCAATAGCCTTGTAGCGCCAAACAGTGAAAACGAAAGAATTAATGGGCTAATACCCAATCCGATAAAGTGGTATCATTCGCTTGAAGCGTCAATGAAAAGAAAAACGTGCTCTGCTGCGACCAGGCGACAGTCAGAGAGGCGAGAAAGGAAGCGCTTAAACGCAGGATGAAGATTGTGATAACGTTGACGCTCAGGCTTGGGAGTGCGTGAAGCTGGCGTGTCGTAGAGTCGGTAAAGGTCATAAATTAAAAGGTGCTCCAGTTCCAGTTGCCGCCAACAGATTGGGCGACACTGCCAACAGGCTGGTGCTCCTCAGATCCCTTGCTTTGGCTGGGGACGCCCACGGGCTGAGTGAAGACGGTCTCGTTGCTGTCTCTGCTGGTGACGCTGTTGTTGCGCGAAGGACGGGCAGCGCGCCATGCGCGATAGTCGGTCCAGCAGTTGTCACAAGCACGCTGAAGAGTACCCTCGGGGTGGAAGCGAGCCTCTTGGTCAAGAGGAATAGCGTGAGGGCTGTGGCTGCTGCAGAAGATGTCTCCGCAACGACGGCAGTGATGGCGGCGATTCAGGATGGAGAAGGGACGAGCGCAAGTAGAAGACTTGCACAGCGAAGCGCTGTTGTCGGGCTTCCAGTGGTTTCTTGTAGGTGCGCCAGTGACGGCACCCTTGGTCTCGTTCCACTCGTCAGAGACAACTCTGGAGATGCTGGCAGGGCCCCAAGGACCAAAGGATCTCGCGTCGTCCTCGTCGGGACTAAGAGGAGGAGATGCGATGCTAGCAGGGGCAGAGAACTTGAAGCCATCTCTGCTCATGTCCATACTGCTGTGTGCGCTGCGAGGAGGAGTCAAAGAGGCTTGTCTTGAGCCAGGCAGCTCTGTGGGGCGCAGGACGGCAGGGATGTAGAGAGGCTGCTTTGGCTGGCGGACCTGCTTGGCGTGCATGTAGGCTGAACGGCTGGAAGGAGAGACATTGTTTGAGGGAGGCGTGGTAGAGTTGCCATACTGAGGCTGGCTGTTGTGAATGTAGGTGGGCGACTGCAGAGGTTGAGGGTGCTGGGCGAATGTGGTGGCCATGTTGAATATTGGTCGTGTGATGAGTCGATCTAGAACATAAATGGGTGTGGAAGGAGGTCGTTAAGTATCCGGTAGTAGGAGATCGTAGGTTGTGGGGAGACGCAAGAAAGAGTTGAAATGTCGGTCTGCCCAGGGGGATGAGATGATCCAAAAGCTGGAGATGGAACGGGGATGCAAGAGGGCTGCAAGATAAGAGAGATAGCTGGCCAACCAGGTACGTGGACAGTCTACTGCAAGGTGCAAGGCTACCGGGTTTCAGGTATGTCGCGTGAGAAAAAGGATGGAGTAGATAAGAGGTGGATGATAGGAGTTGAGTGGCTGTGGTATGTAGTGTAGCACACGATGACCTTCTAGACAAGTCGGGTGGGCGAGATGGGCTATGTATATGAGGCCGCTCGCGTGCAGCGCAACAGTTAACTTGGGGCAGAAAGGGCTGACACGGCACGCCTAGCCTAGCGAGGAGTAGCGGCCACAACAAGGTTTACTTTACGTCCGGCGCTATGGCTCGAGGGTGGATAATCATCGAGGACCCTTGGCTGATGCGGCGAGGGGATCAAAAGCGACTCAAAGCGCTGGGAGCAGAGCCAACGGCCGACCGAGATCCAACGCTGTCAACCGCAAGCGACCGTGTGCTGGATAGCGAGCGCCGGGCCCTGCTGACCACTGTCCATGACAATTCCCAGCTCGCCTTCCTCGTCGGGGTCAGTCGTCGCGCATCTCTGCTCTGTCGAGGCAAGAAAGCACAGAAACTGAACGTCCACACACTTTTTACAGACCGCTGCAGCAAAGCAATACTCATCAAATCTTAATTCATATCCTCTTGGACGATAGAGCCACAAGCTCCACGAGCATTCTTTGCTTCTGGCGGGCCAGCATCATCCTGCATATCCCATTCCGTTTTGGGACTACTCGACTCAAGCACAAAGATAAGCTGGTCTGCTCTGATTGGCTCGTCTTCACTGTCGCATGCTCGACCCTATCTTCCCAACAACCTCTTAGCCGCTACGTCCTTAGCATTCCTAGTGGCGGCCACCGGTTCTCGTGTGAACTCACGGTCCGGCAGGACGCGCGCAAACAGAGGAAGCGCTGCAAGCCATCCGACTCGACCGCGTATATTTGCCGCTCATGGTTGGCTGCAACAGCTCGCAACCTGTAACGGTCTCCAGTCTTCGCTGCATTCTACAGCCATGGATTCTTGCCTTCTGGCGCGGAAGCACCATCTTGCAGCCGCGGAACTGAACCGTTCTCACTATCTCTATCACCTCCTTTGAACCGGGTTTCATGCGAGCACACCACTGGTGCTGTCGCGTGTAACAAGTCTGATTGAGATGTTTCTCCCTCGAAACCATTCCCAACGCCCGTCATCCCACTTCCGATGTTCCAGCGGATCTCACGACTCGGGGATTCGGCGACCTCTCTGACCTCCAGAGTCTGGGCATGTATCCCCAAAACTTATGGGTCACCCAGGCCTGCCGCATTGCATACCGCAGGTTACCGCAAGCCGTCAAATCAAAGCACCGACAAACGCCCATACCAGCCCATAATTCTGGCTGTCCAGAGCCACGAGGTAGGTTTTGGTTCTGACACATCGATTCCACATCCTTTGCGAGAGCCCTCCGCCTTTTGCGACTTTCAACAACAAAGAACGAAAGGACAGTGCTCGGCTTACCTTCATTTGGCCGTCCCGCCAAGCTTCATTGCGAATCGTTTGTGAGGGCTGCCACATGGCTGGGCTTGAGACATTGGGAATGAATTCAACCGAGGCCATCCGCCCATCTCGCTCTCGGTATCAAGCACCTTTTGCAACGATTCGGATGTCAGGTCGTCTGACTGTCAGCGGTTGCTCAATACTGAAATGCGACAAGTCTAGAGAGATGATCTCAGACTGCTCCTCTTGCTAATGAAACAGTCCCTGATTGATCAAATAATCCAGACTTACATCTCAACAACTACTGCATGACGCTTACCCGACGCCGCTTCACCCTTTGATTGGCTCTACCATTTTGGTAAGGGTAAAGCAAGAATCGACCTCACATCTCGACCCGATCGTACCATAAAGTGTCTTGAAGAGAGACGTTCAGACATGAAACCATATTCCAACGCCTCATGATTGAGTACAGGTTAGTATTGGTATGCACCACGACCTGACGACAATATCATTGTCTGTCTATATCGGAGTGTCAACCAACAATGAACTCGAACACTCGAAGAATCGAAGACAAACAACAGGTGTCCTTATGTCGACGGAACGTAAGGACTTGGATGAACGCTACCATACTCGAAGCGGCCAGGTCGTTACTTCCAATCTGTATGATAGACCCCACGCTTTCTGGAATCGTGCTTCGTGGCTTGCTCTCTACTAAAGGATGATCGCGCACAGACGCCTATACCTACGACTTGTACGAGGTGAGAATACTGTGTGATTAGGAATACGTGAACATGCACAGGTGCTCTCGTCAGTATGAAGATGTTCAGCATTCCTGAGCTACCAACCAGTCGCAAATGTGTAAACGTAAGGGGCCGAGGCTCGGTACGAAGTAACGGTGTCGTGAGGGGTCGAAACTGATGTGAAGCTCTCTGAAAAGACATACAACTGCACATCCATACAGCAACGACGATCAACGTTCTTCTGCTACGATATTGATTGTTTTGGTCTCACTCCGTATTGGACGGTTTGCTGTATATCCCTCATAAGCCAAGCTCAAAGCCCAAATCTCGGCACCATCAACGGGTAACCACGTTGCAGCCATTCGACATGTCAAACCAACGTCGTATCACCCAACAGACTCCCAGTCCCCTATCTCCTTTCCAGGGCGACCAAATCTTGACGGAGAGTCAGTGGACCACGTTGGCCTCAATCGTTGATACCATAATATCCCCAGGGACACAAGCTATTGGGGATAGCACCCAGGAGTCACAATTTAAAGCCGCCGTTGATACCATCAAACACCATACAGCCGTTGAAGATGAAGCCTTGTTGTCCGAATACCTTGCAGAGTCGGCAACTTCGACTCCCGAGTTCAAAGAATCGATTCAGAGACTACTGGCGACACAGACTCATAAAGACGGGATCAAGGAGCTCTTGGGTGTTCTCGATGCATTGACGTGATAAACTTCTGCTCCTGAGTAACAAGAAGTCAGTCGCTAACTTTCATCAGTAACGCCCGCACCTCATGGCTCTTGACTGGTCATCTGACACCGTTTGCACAACTATCTCTACGCCAGCGAGAGAAGGTCGTTCAGTCATGGGCGACAGCACGGTTGCAAGTGTTCCGCGTGCTCTTCAGGACGTTTAGCGACATGGGAAAAGCATACTGGACACGGACTTCGCCCACCCTTGGCCGGATGCTTGCTTACCCCTACACCCCTATTAACCATAGTTACGGTCCAGGCTATGACTTTCCCTTTGTTGTGTTTCCGCCACTTCCTCAAGGGTCTACACTTATCCCAGCAACCTTGGAGACCGATGTGCTTATCGTCGGTAGTGGTTGCACTGGTGCAGTCGCGGCTTCTGTCCTGGCACGTTCTGGACTTGACGTTGTAGTAGCTGAGAAGGGTTATCACTGGAAGCCGACGCATCTGCCTATGTCAGAGAAAGATGGAATGGTACATCTCTTTGCAAATGGAGGTGTCACACTCGCGGACAGTGGAAAGATGGGCATTCTAGCTGGATCATGCTTCGGTGGTGGCGGTACCGTGAACTGGTCTGCATCACTTCAGCTCCAGCCTTATGTCCGACAAGAGTTCGCAAAGCAGCACAACTTGCCTTACTTTGAAAGCACAGCGTTCCAACAAGACATGGACGCTGTCTGCGAAACGATGGGTGTTGGCACTCAAGGCATCAAGCACAATCCTGGAAACCAAATGCTTCTCGATGGAGCCCAGAAATTGGGCATGAGAGCCAAGCCTGTGCCTCAAAATACCGGCGGTGAAGTTCATCAATGCGGTTATTGCACACTTGGATGTGGAAGCTGCGGTAAAAAAGGACCGACAGAAAGTTGGCTTCCTGACGCTGCCCGCCACGGCGCCAAATTCGTCGAAGGCTTCCAATGTGAGAAAGTAATCTTCGCCGAGGACGAAACAAAAGACGGAAAGAAAATCGCTATCGGAGCTCGAGGCGTTTGGACATCTCGAGATGAATCCGGCGGCGTTTCTGGAATGGTGTATAGGCGTCCTGTAACGATTTACGCCAGGCGTGCCGTAGTCGTGGCTGCTGGTGCGCTGGGAGGTTCTGCATTGCTGCTTGAGAGAAGCGGTATTCAGAACCCCCATCTTGGCAAGCACCTGAAATTGCATCCCGTCAACACTCTATTCGGCGTCTTTGATCAAGACATTATGCCGTGGGAAGGTGGTATATTAACCTCTGTCGTCACCGAATACGAGAATATTAATTCGACCGGATTTGGCTGCAAATTGGAAGGCCTCACCATGCTCCCGAGTCTGGCACTGCCTTTGATGCCGTGGACGTCTGCTCTGGAGTGGAAGGTACATGCTGCCAAGTTCAAGCGCATGACAGGCTGGATTTCACTCGCCAGAGACAAGGGCGAAGGCGAAGTCTACGCTGATCCGGAAGACAAGTATCGAGTCAGAGTCAAGTACGACACAGCAAAGTCGGATCAGAAGAACATTGCAGTCGGCCTAGTCGCACTCGCGAAAATTGCCTATATCGAAGGTGCACGCGAGATTCACGTTGGTGTTGCGGGCGTACCTCCATACATACGCCGGCCATCTGTCAAAACGTACTCATCGGCGATCGATGCCAGCCAGGCTGGGGTAGTTGATGGAGCCAAGGCAATCACGAACGACCCCGAATTCTTAAAGTGGCTCTCCGGTCTGGAGCTGTTTGCTGCCAACGGCCTTCCTGGAGATGCTGCCCAGGTGTCAGCGCACCAGATGGGTACGACTAGGATGGGCTCTTCACGGGCAACCAGTGTCGTGAACTCGCGGGGCGCTGTGTGGGACACGCAATCACTTTTTGTTGCAGACACTTCTGTACTACCAGGAGCGAGTGGTGTAAATCCAATGATTACAGGTATGGCGGTAGCAAGAGGTATCGCGCGAGGTATCATCGAAGACTTGGGTCTGCCTTCTACACAAGAATCACCAAAGGCGAGACTGTGAACAAAGCAATGCGACCAAGTGGTTGGGTGTGCGGGTTTGCTCTGCTCGAGCTGCCTCGCATCCCAAGCGAGTCATTAAGCTTAAATTGGGCGAAATCTGTTACATAAGATCTATAGTCAATCTATTTACCGAGTAATTTTATACTTTGTGGTATGCATAGCTGGAGCAACCAAGGAAACGCCATAATTATTTCCCTCGCCTAACTCCAGCCCATCTACTGTATATCCTTGCCGATTGTTCCAGAATGCCAACGTGGCATACTGGGATGTTGGTATGGCGCTTTCCGCTCCGCCGCTTCAAAGTTTGAAACAACGCCGCGGGGCCAAATTCATGCACCAAAATTACTCGTAGTTGGAGAGGACACGAAGTAATTGACCGAGCATGTGCGCAGTGCAAATGCAAGACTCGTACGATACTGTTGCGGAGCTACACAATGCGCATCTAGAACCACAGCCATCTTTGCCTAACTAGGAGAGAGTGGTTACAGATTGTACACGACGCTTCGCTGCGCAAGTCACCAGATGATAGTGTGAGAAGATGTTCAGTTGATATTCACGACATCCATCGCGCTCTGAACGAACACGTACTCCAGTAGATCACCAGCTTCTCCACCAAGTGGACACGGCATATTGCTAGGTTATGTGATCCCATACGAGATTCAACAAATTGCAAAGATAGATTGCCATCTACATCACTCTCACACACCGAAGAGGCGCATGAATTACAAACCTTCAAATCTAACTTGCCAATTCTGCAGAGCCTCAATAGAGCTGGGGCGTTTAAGGCTTGACCGACACGCGACGCCCGTGCCAAACAACTCCAATACTGTAGCCGTGCAAACCCTCCGGGCATCTCACCAAGACCAAGCCCCTCCCGCTCTCTGTTGAAGTCGAGAAGTGCGACGGGCGCCCGGAACGGTATGCAGTCCGAAGTTATCCGCTCGCACGAGCTTCATTTCCAATGGGACCTGTGTGGCTGCTAACCGTTCGGAACGAAAGACCACGCATCACGGACCGAAGAACACACTTTGCCGACCCTAAATTGAAACCCAAATGCAACAGCCAAATACTGATTGTCGGTAGGGCTTTTCTGGAAAGCTAAGAAGGACTTTGACGGTCCAGGATTGCGTGCAGGGTGTTGGCTTGCCCCGTTCCATGCCCTCCAATGGTTTTGAGTGCCATTCGTGTCGGTGTCGAAATCTCTGGACCCTTGAAAAGCAATGGCGACCCTTTCCAAAGTCTAATTTTGCTTCTAATGCCCTTGCTTGTTTCTTCCTCGTACCATTCGTCGTCTCGTGTCGAGTCAAGAGTCCTTCTCATTTTGTAGATCAATAGAAAGACGATGGACGGGGAAGGAGATGTACGCACCGAGGGTCGTCCGAAAGTCAACCCACAGCATCAAAGCGACTCCGATGTGGGCAGAAACGGATGTGGCTAGAAGCACTGTTAAAGATGAAGTGCCCTGTGTGGCAGTGACAAGCGACATATGAGGGTCCTCGGAAAGTATGGCTAGACGGCAATCGTGCTTGCTGTTCTCGGTTGCTTGCGGGTGCAGGTAAGTGCAGATTGAAAGGAACACTCCAAGAGACGCACTTGCAGTCACCACTCGGCGTCTATTTCTCGTCTGCGAAGCACGTTTGGAGAATCGGCATCGTGCTGAGCGACAGTGATCAAACAGCAGGAGATGATACTGGAAAAATTCCTGAGTTTTCATCAATCTCTTCTTAGCTCAGTTGGTTTAGAGCGTCTGACTGTAATTGTTCGATTGTCATCAGAAGGTCCTTTGTTCGACTCAGAGAGAGGAGAGTTTCTTTTGCTTTTGCTCCAACCATCCAAGGCGTGGTGTACTTGGTGGCTCGGTACCAAGTTGTGTTTTTGTGCGTGGCTTTGCATGTTTTGTTTTGCCAGGATCGTGTAGAGCTAGCTATCTGTCGTGTGGTGTTAGTGTACTGCCATCGTTGAATCTGCAGATTGGTGATTTCGACATATGACACTGATTTCGCTCACAAGACGTGGTTAGGACAAACAAGATCTTACACATGTACCAAGAGTTAGTTTTGACTTATTAGAGCCATTTGGATTGCACAAAGACAACTATATCTTTACTAACAGAAGTTTTATGATATTGCTCCATGGTTGAGAGGACGACCCTGTCAAGAGCATCGGTCAGATATTTGTAACACATTAAAATCACGAAAACACGAGGTAATGCTATAGCTCCCGGAGTACAGGTGTTTGATATGAATACAGTCATAATAACACCTTTGGATACCGGTGAGCTTTCGCATTGATACTGTGAATTATGCCTGCCCACTTGTTTGTTTGTGTTCTCACTACCATCGAAACAACTTTAGCACAAGTCCATATGTTCTCAGGTAAACAAGAGTATCATGTCCTAAATCGACTCCATCCACAGCGCAACGTAGTCTGCCGACGAACATTTTCAGGCAGGATGATTGAGCCTCTATTCACTCTTTCGCGAAGGATCGCGTGATCCTGTCGTCGTAATACCTCGACCCAAGCAGGCTTTCCATGTCGTCCAGGAGCTCGTGCGAGCTTCGAGGGAACAATCCAATTTGAAAATCCAGACTTTGTAACGGATATTCACCGTCCGACACGGCAAGAGCTACGAATGACAAGGTGAACTCGGCATCGATGGGAAGGTGCTCGATGACAGTTTCACCATAAAGTTGAAGGCCATAACATTTGCCCCGAGACTCTAGGTCAGATAATGATGGAAGCTCATCGCATATGCGAAGTGTGATGTCCGGATTGTGCTTTTTGAGGAAACTCAGAGCGCTAGCTAATATGTCGATAGCCTCCTCGCAGCCCTCATGGACAAACTTGTATCTTTCGTTCAGTTCCGATGATACACATCCATTAGGAATCTCGCTCTGATACCATTGCATCAAGTGAACCCTTGCTTCACGGGTCAAATGATGGACTCCAAAGCTGATCGATCCGATACAAGCGGCAAGCTTAGAATTTTCTGACAAACGAGTGAGTCCTTCCAGACCCTGTCGAGATATTATGCAATGGAAGTCTAGAAGTCTATTGTGGCTGACCGCAAGGCAAGGAGGATCGCATGCCCACGTAACTGATTATTTGGTCCGTCCGGTACGATCAAGACATCTGTATAGACTCTGATCAATAGGATTGCCAATCTGTAGAAGCTTAAGCTGCTTGGCGATCTCAGCAGTTGATGGTGCAGTTTTCGATCCATTCGATATGGCTCTAGATTGAGTACTCGAAGTAGCTTTCGCACTCTTGATCCGGAATACGCGGTCCCTGATCAGTTCTGGAATATGATTTGGCTGTCCACTTCCGGTATGTGCAGTCGCCAAGTTTACCGCAGAATCCTGGCGATGGTGAACTGAGCTCTGGGTTTGAGCATTCACTGCCTCGCAATTTGTGTTCGTCGTCATCACGGTCTTGGCACGATATGAAGGTGTAAGGAGGATGATAGTTCTCCAGGAGGAACAGCATTTGTACCTCTTTTTATAGATCTTATATGTCTCATCTTGATCACGGCTGCTTGTTTGTAATTTACCATTACTTGAGACTGCATTGAACGAAGGTACTCGGCGCAGGTTCCCCGGTGCCGTTTCGAGTCAATTGCAGAAGGTTGAAGATGAACATACCTATGATCTCTAACTGACTAGGGTTATAACCCTAAGAAACTTGGTCACTGAAGTTCGACGGAGCTCGATCCAATTGGCCGCGGCTGATAAGTATGCAGTTGAGGATAGCGAAGCAGCTTGATTATGTTGCTGTGCCGCATGAGCCAGTGTCTCGGTGCGTGGCCGCCTCAGTAATATATTCGTGTCTCAAAAACACATCGATGCGCGTCATATCGAGATGCATCGTGATTGTTGATGGCCGTCGCGAATGGCTGAATCAGACCAGGATCAGACATGATCAGATTTCTTCGACCTTGGAGGGTCGTTGTGCTTTATTCATGGAAATGATTCGGGCGGCATTGAAAGGCGGAAGACGATGCACGTCACAACGGACTGAATGCAGAAGGCGCGATTGGCTTTGAAATCGCGAAACAGACACGTCAGAGAGCAGGGTCACTCATTAAATCGCGAGCACGAACCAGAAGTCAAACGCTGCCAATCGACATCATAATTCAATTCTATGCATTCAAGACGCATAAGGATGATGATAGAAACGGCGCTCGGATTATGTGAGTTCATGCCGACTGGATCCACTCGTGGGTGGACGCAAATGTATCGCTTGAGGCTATCTATTATGCATCCATCGATGTTTCTCTCCGTATTGAGATATAGCTTCCAGGCTCGCTAAATCATCCATCTCAATTTCGTTCGTTTTCATTCTTCTTGTGAGGATCACCCGCTTCGTGACCTATTCCAATCGAGGAAACCAGATGTGTGGCGCCAAACTGGAAATCAGATCGAGCTTTTGGCGCAATACTAGTCCTTTTTCGCATGACTCTCGAGTCTACAGGTCTCCTAGAGGCGAAGGCATACCAAGACCTTACTGTTTGACGTATTGTAGAAGATCGTGGTAGTCGAAATCATCAGGCTGAGGTGAGCGGCCGCGTCCCACTGGCTGGCAATCTTTGAAACGGAGCTGGCGAATCAACTCAAGGAGGATCTTGTCGAACAATGGCTGCTCCAGTTGTTCCATCGCAAGCTGGATGTACTCAGTGTTATCAATACGATGGCCCTCCCACTTGGGCTGTGTCGCACAATACCACGCGCGGTATACTTGGCCGGTTTCTTGCACCTTCCTGGCCGTCCGATTATGGCCTGGCTTTACTTCACCTTGACCGTGAAGAGGGCATTGGATTTGCTTGCGGCAGTAGTGATGTAGTGTCTGGGCCAAGTATAGTTTACCGCCTTCAACTTCCATGCCAAGTCGGGGGTTCAGAAGCACATCTCCTAGAGGTTGCTCAGGTTGCAATCCTGTGAAGGGCTTATACAAACGTGTCACAGAGCCGGGTTCTGCGATATAGCTACCTCTAGTATGCTGGAATACTGGCAAGGTCGAGACGTGAACTTGAGGCAGAAGTGCTGACTCGACGCTGCTCCTATGTGCGCGGTTGAGGCTGGACTGGCGACGGGTGTCGTGCACATGTGCGTGATGAACCAGCTGCTTTGCCTTGACTGGGCCGTCGAGTCATAAATGATCATCGCTGTAGCCATCCTCGCTGGAATCGTCTTCGTCACTGCTAGGCACAACGTCACGATAGATGCGAAACTTGGCCAAGGTTTCTTCATCGATAGCAACGCCGCCATCAGGGGAGACCGATCTCTTTCTTCTTCTCGGAGCATCTGTTTGATTCTCTTGAGTATCTGCGGTCGATCGAATTTGGGGGAGGTCGAGTCGCTTTCGGAGCGGGAGCAGAATCAGGTCAGGTGAGTCATCTCTGATACGCTTCTGACCCGAGTGCGACGAGTTCGCCATTGTGTCCATGTTGAGTAGAGCACGCTGAGGGCGGAGGTGTTGCGTGGAAACAGCTATGACATTTGTTGAAGAGCCAAAGCAGGATGCGAGCCTGTGTGGTCGTGACTATGTGTAATAAATGAATGAGTCAGAACCATACAATCTCCTTGCATAGCCTTTCACTTGTGTTGTAGGGATGGTAAGACAGTAATGGAGAGTCGAAGAGTGACGACATGTCTCGCGGCGCAGAAAGGCGCGACGTGTTCGCGTCGCGTCAGGGTTGCTCCAACAGCCACGGAGAACTGACTATGAATGTGATGATACTCTTTCAAGGCTATCCTAAGCATTCCAAATTACTTCTTGAGTAGCTTTTCGTCATACTTCGGAACTTCAGATATATTTCAAAAGGGGTAATTCGGCGTGTCGGCGTTTGTATAGTAGAAACCAGGTTTCCATTTCGTTCACACAGCGGAAGTGCTCAGCATTCGTGCGTCTTGACAAGGCCCTCACGACTCTCCTTGCGTCAATCTATGAAATGGTAGACCATTATATCAGAGCAGCGCTCTTGAAGCATACACTCGGCTCCACATCAGAATCACTGGCTAGGTCATCATACACTTGGTGTCTGATGGATTACAAGATGTAAAGCTGGAGAGCTCGATGATCTGCCAAGAGACAAATGCACAGGCCACGATCACAGCGCATAGAAATTTCTTCTCAGCTTCGCAGCTTGCGACCGTTCTCTTCTCACCATCACGAGCAGCTCTTGCTTGCATCGCCATCGTCGCCGTGAAACCGCATGCGCCACTGGAAGATATATTTGAAGCTTTCATTGTCGTGTTGCGTGCCTCGGCAGCGCAGGAGACGCAACGCAGGAGCTGAAAGTGACATGTCCTGCGGGCCTGTCAACACAATCCTGCCAACAATTAGGTATGCATCTCTCCTTTTCCATCTCCCCGACCCATCGAGGTGATGAAATTCCTACGCAAAATTCACAGACCTGTTCGGAATAAACAATGTCGAGATAATGCTTGGAGACCTTCTGATCTATCATCAATTGCCCCTTTCGTACAAGACTGCTGCATGTAAGACTTGAACGCTGACTGGGATTTATAGGTCTCGCCCATGGTTGCATCACCACACCTTGACGGCTCGGACGGCAGCTTGTGTGTACTACGTAGACTTAGCTATTATCAAATCCACACCTCGGTTGAAACTACATCCGCCATCTTCCATTGAGCCGTTCCATGCATATTCCTTTGTCGTGCATCTTAGCGAGTCCGTAACCATCGTTTCTCAGCTGCCATCTTGATGTTGTTGCTATGTCAAATGCCGTGTCTATTGCGGCAAGTACTACTACAGACCCAGACTGATGAGAGCGGTAGGGCTCACCGCCGGACGTTCCGAATGTCTCATGCCGGCAAGATACACAAAAAGTTCACCAGAGTAATATAGAGAAGCATGCCAGCAATCAGTGGCTGTAAGTCCGTCTCGGAAATTGATGCATCGTGAAGCTCAGCCTTGCGATTGAGCAAGCACTGCCTGAGTACTGAGGAGAAGAAAAGGGCATTCATGTCTTCTCTCTGTGCCGCCGCTTATCTACGTTAAACGTCTCATCCTCGTTGGAGTCCTCGAACGGAATACAAGACTTGCGCTTCGGTGACACCGTGCCGTGGCAAGAAGAATACGACGCCGTGCTGGACCATTTCCATTGTTTGGCTCAACAGGTCAGTAGTGTATGATCGCGATGCATGTATGCGTGTTGACATGTTCTGATCAGCAGTAGTTTTTGACAGACACCATCCACCGTCGGAGTGTTTTCCAGCGCACGTTCCGACTTCCTCGGTAGTCTGTCCTGCACGCGGTTCGCCAACAGCAAAGCTTCAGCGGCCGGCTTCAGCTCCAGCTGAAGACCCCTGGCACAAACTTTGTCTCTGCCGCAATCTTTCACCGGTGCTCGACACACATTACACAGAAAACTGCAGGGGAGAGTCGCAAGTCACCAAAAAGGCACAGGATTGCTATAGGCTGATTGGCGTTCACAATCTCACACCGAAAACTAGGCGGAAATATCTCTCCAATTGAGGTGTCCTGCCAATCACCATCTGGAGTACAACCTACGGGTCGCACACGCGGGGCACTTACCGAATACAGTTAATGATCTCGATAGCTCATCGAACCTTGCCCTCTCCGTATTCTTATACCCACGGACTCGCCGGGGATCAGGTTCACTGCCTTTTTCCCTTTCGAGTCTACAAGTTTGCTCTTTTCCCCTTTACGGATTTTCTCCTCCTGGTCCAAGTTCAAGTCTTTGAGAGAAGTGGAGCAAACAAGAGGCAAAAGCAGCAAAAACAGTGTCTGATCATCGTCTGATCGAGGCCCTAACTTTGAGAGAACGAAAACAGACAAAGACCGAACCATGGCGGCAGTAGGCAAGTTCGTGTTTGTCAACTACACCGGCGAACCAGATGTCGAGGCCAAGCAATCTCTGCCAACCGTGAGACAGCATGTTATGCATGACTTTTTCCGGCGGCAAAGGGAGGCAGATAACGGCGTTTCTCCAGAAGAGGTTCCTGTGCTAGAGGTTTCAGCTGCAAAGACGAAGGACACTCGCCGGCGAAATACCAACACTCGTCAGGCTGCGTCTCAGCCGCGCCTCAAGCGCCCTTCCGTAAAAAGAGCATCACGAGCTCGCAAGGATCAACCTCAACTACATCGCCAGTCATCTTCCTCGTCGACTGAATTGATATTTCTTCAAGAGTTTCCTGAAGGAAGTCCAGTATCATCCGGCAGGACTCCACCTCTCGACGATTCTGACTCGTCCCCGCTTGGTCTCACAGACACGAATAGCTATACCGATTCGTCATCACCATTCTTCTCAGCTGCACATTCTAACCCTTCCCCGGACGTATTTGACGTGGTCTCACCACAATCCACTGCCCTCGTTCAGATTAACTCGCAAGCATCTCCTGTGTTTTTCCAATCAGACCAGTCTGCGCTGTTACAAGCGCCGAATCCCTTCCTCCAGAGTCCGGCTGTTCATCGTTGGGATCCATTTAACACACTCCCACTAAACGGACTAGCCGTAGATCAACTGGCGAGTTGGCACTTCCACCGACCCATTAATAGGAACAATATCTGGGAGAGCAAGGTTCTTTGGCTTGACAAAGTCGACAGTCATTTCAGAAGGGGTCTCTGGAGCATCGCGCTTACAAGTACACCGCTATTCCACGTCCTTCTCTGCATTGCAGAGATGAAACGCAGTGTTACGACCGGTGATCGCAACCAGATCAGTTACTTTGAGCACAAGATTGCTGCCATGCGTGCGGTCTCTCAAGGTGTTTCGAGACTGTCGAGTCTTCCTCAATTCACAGGCATGAATGGCATGTCATTACCGAGTAAGTTATTCAGTAACATAACATACGGACATATACTAATACTCGACAGCGGACGACACTTCTGGCTTGGAAGAAACATCATCAGACACCTTTGTGATGTTGGTGGCCATCCAAGTGAATCTGGCCCTGGGCGATAAGGAGTACGATGCCGCAAAGACACATATGCGATGTGTGACCGACTTGGTAAACAAAGCCGGAGGCCTTCAATCGTTTGCGTTCACGCAATGGCGCCACACGATCTGGAACGATCTAAAGCTAGCCTCGGCGCTTTTGGAACGACCAATGCTTGAATACGGCCTCCGTATGGAATCCGCAAACGCCACTTTCCCCTCTGAAGTCAACAGCGAAGCCCACCGCCTATCGTTGGAAACGGTTCGCATGATTCCAACATCGGAAACGTTGACATCAGCCATGGCTTATGATATGTTCAACCGTCTTCATCAACTCTGCCTCGCGTTCGACACTACCCTGAGCCAAGAATCCCACTTCCTCGCCGTCGAGAACACTTTCTATACTCTTGTGTACCAGCTGTGCAACTTGATCGCAGACAGCCAAACACAAACCGAATGCAGTGACACAGACATGTTGGTCCTGGGTGCCCAACTCAGTACCTGGATGTGCATGCCTTCCTTGGTAAACATGCGCGCCCTTTTCAACACAGTCATCAACACCATCCAATCAAAACTAGTATACCGCATCTGGAACGGCCTCAAGCCAGACCTCATCATCCAATGGGAAGCTGCCGCAAAACTCGACTCGCTTCTCTGGATCCTATTCCAAGCTTCATCTGCAGCCATCAGTGTCTGCTCGTCAGGCGAGACCTGGATGCCGACGTACATGCTGGAGTCTCTGCTCACCACAACCAAGCAAGTGGCGATGCGATTACAGATCCACAGCATGGCACATTTCGAAAAGACGTTGAGGAATTTCCCTTACAGCGAGAATGTGTTTGGTGATGACTGTAGGATGATGTGGAGGCAGATGGGCTTGGATGATGTTGTTGCTATCGAGGGAATGGTATCACCTGCTTCGATGATCATGGAACAGGTGTAGACACTTTCTGTTGTTGAGCATTGGGAGAATGGCAGTAGAGGTTATCCCTCCTGCCCAAGGAGTTTCTTCGTTTTACTTTTTCTTCTTCTTCTTCCTTCTTCTATTCTTCTGACGCTTATGAGACGTCTTTTGTACAGCTCATGCTGTCTTTTGCATCTTATGTTCTCACGGCCTTTTGTATCCTTTGCAACGCACTTTCCCCAATCAGTAATCCTTCATATATCTTCATATTCTCATATTTTCTACCTCCTTCATCACGTGTATCCTAGCCTGCTTACTAAAGTCTTGTGTGTCCATGCAAGTCCGCAACATTGTTAGTGAAGCCGACTCATACTCAACCCACTCTTACAATTCAATCTCATATTTGATAAACGTCTCTTCCTTACCTGTCGACGATACCACAATTCTAGCAGTGACCCAAGGGCACCGTCCAAGTATTTGACCAAATGAGAGAAGCCATGGCAAAGACATGGATTTGTTCGCCAAAAATGATGCAAGGATTGGAATATCGAAGCGAGAAAACAAGGGTTGAGGACTACTATTGGACCCAAGATATGCTCGATGTCCAATGGCCGATGGATGGAACTAGACGTACAATGACGATTACAAAAGGCCAGGAGGGACGGTGATGGGGCAGCAGTGGTTGAAATCGTGCAGGGGACACAATGTGTCAAGAATCACAATATCAATGGACGACACAACATGTTGAGAGAGGAATAAACTTTTGCATGGGTGCTGCCATCGTGACGAACCACAGAAGGGGATATCATTGTTTTTGGCTCGACTTAAGAAAAACACCTTGATCCTTTGCCCAATCGTAGACACCATGCATGCAAAGAAGGTGGGAAAGAAAGAAGGTTTGGGAGCAACACCGCTTTTTGTCTTTTTGTTATCGCTGGTAGATAGTCCGTTTTCGGGACCGCTTTTCCCCCAGACCGATTTCTCAACATCGCATCGTCATAAATACATGTTTAATGCATTTATGCGGCGGTGATGGCCTTGCGGTTGCGCTGAGCGCGCTGGCGGCTGTTGATGCGGACACCGACGGCCTCGGGAGCCTTCTGAACGACCTCCTCGCCCTCGGTGAGGATCATCTCAATGTGGCAGGGGTTGGACATGTAAGGGTTGATCTGGAAGTGGTTGTCAGTTGATGGACCAGAAGAAGAGAGATATCGAAGGGTAGACGTACACGACCGTGAGCACGGTATGTGCGGCGGCGCTGCTTGGGGGCCTGGTTGACCTGGATGTGCTTGACGATCAGGTTGGAGGTGTCAAGACCCTTGGTGTCGGCGTTGGCCTCGGCGTTCTTGAGGAGCGAGAGGATGAACTCGGCAGACTTGACGGGCCAGCGGGCCTTGGAGACACCGAACTGCTTGCCTTTATGTAATAATCAATATGTGTGTTCTTATTCCCAGGTGGACTTTCAATCCCCATATGCATCCTCGCAGCTGGCAGACTTACCCTGGGCGGTGCGGCCAGTGCTCCCGGCATAACGTCTCATGGGGACGGCCTCGGCGTGGTTCTTGACGTTCTCGAGGTACTGGAGGGCACGGGTGACCTTCCAGCCGTTGATGGCCTGAGCGGTCTCACGGGTGTTCTTGAAAGAGACACGGAGGTAAGAGCCGCGAGCGCGGGCGCTCTTGGCGTTCTCGATTTCGGTAGCGGCGTAACGGACCTGAAGGGAAGGATGTGTTAGTCGGGGAGTCGCATTGTTTTGTGTGTGTGTGTGTGTGTCGCGAGTGCGCGGTTCGTGGAGATAGATGCGAATTGGATGTTGATCGGCCAAAGGCTGTTTCGTTCGGACGCAGAGGAGAACAATTGCGCAAGGAGCGAGACTGGGCAGAAGTGACAGAGTCTGATGCGATTGTAGGCGACTGGTCTTGCCTGGTGGCAGAAACGAGCAGGTGGCCGATCGGAGAGAGAGCGTGTAGCGAGCGAGTGTGTCGGTCGATAGAGTAATGTGTTCGATGGTATGATCGGTGAGGCAGCGGTATGGGTACTCACCATCGTGTCGGTGTTGTCTTCGTTGGGCGATGGAAGAAAAAGTCGTCACAAACAATCAGAAGAAGGACTGAAAATCAGAGGCAGGCGCACTCGAGCTTTGCACGGCCTTGGCGCGAAATTGGGAGTGCGGATTTTTCCTCGCTTGGCCGCTCGGACCATCGGTGTCGATCCGCCAAGGATTGGGTTTCATGTAAAACATGTATAGCTGCGGTCGGTATAGATGGTGCCTGAAGAGTGTAAAATGTCAGCTTAACAGTTTGAAGAGGATTATTGACGATTTGAACAATCGATCCATAGGAGTTCCACAATCAGCACAAGCTATATACCACAAGACCACCAACGACAGCGCTTACTGATTACTGGTGTTCCCAGACAGCGGTTACTGACCGGATCTTCAGACGGCAGTCACTGACCAGGTCTCCAGACGGCGTTTACTGACCAGAGAGTCCCAGACGGCGATAACTGACCAGAGAATGTCTTGTATTACCACATGCCGAATCTGGAATGGCGCTCTTCCCAGCATCCTCATGAAACCAACCCCGTTACAGCCTTACTGACAACATAGAAAAGCACAGTATCTACTGACCAGTCATAGAGACAGCTATTACTGCTCTGGAGCTTCTTGGCTAATATTTCATCATGAGGGAAATGCTGTTTTGGTTCTGTTGTTTCTGTCTTGACGAAGAAAGTGAAAGGCATACATAGACAATCGCTTACAATCAGAAGATACTGGGCGCCCTCTGCGCATGCCATAGGCGACAAATTTAATTGGAACTGCAGCGAGCGCAAGATGAAGATTGAGTCTGCAAGCTGCAATGAGCAGGGAGGGGTTGGTACGTAGGAAAGGGCGTTGATGGTCAAGTGAGAAAAGGCATCGGATACATGAACATGAAAGAGGAAGAGAGGACGACATGAACATAGAAGCAAATGACCATCACACGCAAATGTTACAGCGTAGGAAGGAGCGAACCTCATGCACCTGCCAGTTCAAACATTACAATACAGGAAGCAGCGAGATCCATACACCTGCTAGTTCAGTCAGTACACGGAACAGCGTCCACGATGGCAGCAAGATCCTCATGGCCAGAGGATCAACCTGCAGACTGGGAACGGTTGTCTGCTTGCAAGGCTCGATTTCGCGGATATGGCTGGCACTTACCTCGTCCGGCCTTACCTGTTCTCCAGGTAGCATCGGTCGCCTTCGAAACTGCTGCAGCATGAATTGATTGAGCTCTTCTGAGTCTGACTTTCAAAACGCGAATTGGGTAAAGAAAATGTTCTATCACATGCGATCATTGCAAGGCAAGCCTCGTCTGACAGTCAGCTTTTTGGGGGAATTTTTCTTTGTTTTCTACATTTGTTTACACTAGCGAGCGCAAAAAATCAAAGGGGGATGCTGGGGTTGCTTGCTGGGGTTGCTTGCATTCTTCAATCTCAAGCACGTAGCATCCAGACCTGTCGCAGTAGAAGCCGAGAAGCGATTCGTCATCTTGTGGTGGCTTGTCACTCAGTGCCCATGTATGGATAGGCTCGTGGGAGCTGCCCCATCGACACACTCGAGCAAATGGTTCCTGATCGGGGACACATCGATCGACGACGGATTGTTTTTGGCCAGCACCAAGATTTCCACTGCTAGTTTGAGCTCTGATTGATACAGGATCCGCATACTCTGATGTGACGCGGGCATGCGCAATGGAAACATCAACCCTGTGATAAAACATGAGACTGTTCGAGAGGAGAAGCTTCCTGCATGCCACAAGTTGCTGATCATGCTCTATCTTAGCGTGACGAGGACCTGCAACACGTGGAGCCGGCGCCCAGTCCTCTCTTGTCCACTCTCCAGCCAGCATCGCCACATCGAACATGCCCCACACGACATGGCTGTGGATGTCCTTCTTTCTCTGAGCTTTCGATAATAGACATGCAGGAGTGGCCCAGTCTAACATCGGTTTCTGGACTATGACCGGGTCGGAAGGATCAGCGATGCCTCTGTCATTGCAGATCAGAAGCTGCCCGCGCAGGTGAGGGTAGGCTTTAGTCATGTCTTCCCAGCTGTCATTATTGACAGATCCACCATCGAGTCCTGAGATAATGATACGATAAGTAAATTGACCTTGGAAGGTCGGATCGTCTTGATTAGTCTTCTGAGCATAATCTGATAGTTCTTGAAGAGCCGCGACGCAGTCCTGGTTCTTGTCAAGCATCTCACGGAGGTGATTGGTGGCTTGCACATGAGGCAATGCGCATTTGATATGCATAGGGTAATCGAGGCTTCCTTGAGTATAAGGCTTTGTTTCGGGTTGTTGCTTTTGAGCTCCGAATAGGGCATTGTTTGTCTTGATACTTGCTTCGAATGACGAGTCCATCTTTCCAAGCTGATGTGTGCTTAAATAATCACTCCATCGACAGACGAAGATGTGAAGCATTGCAGGATGCTCAAGTGGGCTAGGAGTTGGGCTGCACCTCTTGGCTCGCAGCTCATTGAGATATCTTCCACTCAACTCGCGAGCAGGAATTGTTGTGACAACCCATTTAGCAGTTCCGTTGTCGACTTGCTGGAAATGGTGGCTTTGTCGATCGAGCATTACTCGCAGAAGTCTTAGAATGTTCCAAGTTTCAGGTACAGCGAAATTTTCACGTTGAATCATTGCACTAATAGGGGCTTCCATGTCTTCAACAGTCATACCTGCGGCGTTTTCGGGAGCTGACAAAAGTCTGAATATCAGGTCTCGGACGCCGCTGACGCAAGAGGGTAGGAATGTGGTAGGCGAGATGGTCTTCTTCTGTCGCTTGCTGAGTCGCCTGTCATTGATCATCTGACCAAGATGTTGAATACCAGCCTTGGACGTCTCATTCTTCTTGCGAGCCTTCTTCTTGGTGTTCTCGGGCGCCTCCTTGCGAGTCGCATTGTTAAGAGACTTGATGCGAGCCTGGGCTCGCTCCACGATGGCTTTGGCGACGGCATTTGGAACAACAAAACCTCGTCCTTCGAGGACATCATCGAGGCGGTTGTGAGATCCTTCGACGCCCAGTAAAAGACCTCGGATGGCCTCAAGATATTTCCATCTGTAGTCTATGGCAAGAATGCGGGCTTGTTCCGAGCCTTGTTTTGAAGGCAATTCTTGGCCAACTAGAAGGGCTACAGCATTGACAGAAGCAAAGACGCCGCAATCATCCAAGTTTGCCTGCTTGGTAGGTGTAGGGCTCACAAATCTCTAATCAGTGGCCGGCCACCCACACTTTCGTCCACAAAGTTGGGCGAACAGAACTAGGACTTTGGAAGCATGAGTTCTACGATATTCGTCGGGAAGACTATCGACGAAAGTGACGACTCCCGATGGCTGATCAATCGAAAACGTGGTCCAATGCCCTGGAAAACCAAGCACAGATACAACAAGGGTAGTCGTCTCCCCGAGGGGGAAAAGCTTTGCCGCCTCTTCATCGTTCGAGAGGTATGCATGGAGCTGCGCTAAGACGTCGGATGTCTTGAGAGAGGGCAGGACAAGGCTAGTCAGTCCCGGGTTGAGGTACTCGGCGCCATCCAGAAGGCCTTCACGCTCGGCGAACAGATTGACCATGTTCTCGATCAGATCATCGTTCAGCCAGGAAGGATTGCCCTTCACTAGAGGGGAAGATGGCTGTAGTGCCAAGATATCGTAAAGGAAGATCTCGCGGGTGAGTATGTCGTGAAGCATGCTCGTCTGGGTTATTGATTTCTGCTCCGTGGCCGCCTGAGCGCGGAACTTCTCTTCGACGTCCAAAAGTGATTCCGCAAACACCCCAAGTGCGGAGCTCGAACCAACATATGAAAACAGTTCGATGATACCCTTGTTCAGCTCCTGCTCTCGCTTTTCGAGAGCCTTCTGTTGAGCTGTCGAAAGGCCGCCAGGTTGATCGTCGACATCAAAAGGGTTCTCGGACGTGCCCTGACCATCATTTCCACTCGTGTCGACAATCTTGACCTCTGAACCGCTATCTCCATCTTCCGGGTCATCGCCGAAGTCTGAATCAGAACAGTCTTCGTCGGAACCAAAGGATGGCCAGCTTGGACTGTAATTGCCAGATTTGGCGTCTGAAGGGTTGGTGGACGCGTTTGACTCCGAGCGTCGAGTGGTTGAAGAAGCGACCTCTTTGGTGGTAACGTCTGCGGACTCCGAGACAGGGGGGTTCATGGTAATCTGGAGCTTGATATCTGAAGAATTCAGGATACAAGCCACGATGGCGTTGATGTCGCCTGCGTCAAGGTGCTTGACATTTGAATAGCCGCCAGCTGCCTCGGAGAGATCATTGCCGCGGTCTCGGAGAGCCTTGTCCTTCTTGATCTTTTCCGCAATGTCTTTTTGAAACTGACGTTCGACGGTAGATTTGTCGTTCAAAGTTGTGGTCTTTAGAGTGATGTTCTGTCCGGTACGAGAAGTGTTGGCGTCGTCGCGTTCTTCGGCGATCGTGTGCGCGACTTCTCTCGCCTCTCTGTCTCTCTTGCGTCTCTTGCTGCTGGGGTTGTATTCCTTTTTATGCTTAGGACATCGTCCACCAGGTTGACCCGGCCTGCAATCGGGACAGTCTCTGACTCCGCTAACCATTGTTGTAAACTGTTCGTTAGTAATGTATATTGGAGTGATATAATATGGACAAGTGAAGAGGTGCAAAGTGAGCAATCTCCAACTACGAGTAATTGTGATGTATATTGGAGTGATACAATATGGACAAGTGAAGAGGCGCAAAGTGAGGGATCGTTGTCACTGTGTGATACGAGTTTATCATAGGAGATGTGGTTGGGATGAAGAAGAGAGGACGTACCGTTTCAATCAGTTCTTGAATGAGGGGGAGAAGCAGGAGGGTCAGGAAGAGAGTGTTTGGGACGCGCGCGAGCGAAAGATATGAAGATTCGCAAAAGTCGGCGGTTTGTGTTATGATTTTCGTGTTGTGTGGTGGTGTATTGGGTCTTGGCAGCGGTGACGAGTCGGGAGGCAGAGAAGAAAATTGTCGTGTGTTTCCGTGTTTTCGTTTGGATATGAAGAAGGGATGGAGTTGATGAATGGCAGAAACACGGAAAGTCGTCAAGCACAACATCAGGGATAGCGGACTTGAACTTGCGCTTCTGAGTACGACAGATTCTTTCCAGAATTTGGCAGAACCCTCGAACAAACTTTGACAACAATGACAACACAGTCCTATGTGGACTCCTCCTCGTACGATCTGATCTGTACAGACTCCTCGTATCACTATGCTTGAGTGTTTTTTTGTTTGATTGATGATGCATTCTGGTTCCGAGTCATACTGCAGTAGCAAGACCATACTAATATCAACCTTGTTTCTTCCCAGTAGCAGACCTCAGGTGCGGTATTATGCGAACTGACCTCGGTGATAAGTTTTGAATGTGATAGCACTGTCCAAGACGGTTGCCTGATCCATGTACATACATCCGAGTATTGGCGATATTTTCAAAGAGAGCATGATGCCTTCGGCACTGGAATATCCACAGAGAGTCCTTGTCTTCGATGCTCTTAGATCGATTCATGTATCACACAACGAGGACTGCCAGATACGCGTCGAATAGACGAGACTTCTGAGCAACCGCTGATAGCTATACCAAACCGGTGAGATTGGCCACAAGCGAAAGTCATATACTGTGTCGATTGATATCGAGTAGCATAACGCACTGTGCCCTCTTTCAGGTGTGTGCACATTGAAGTCTTAATCGGCATGTTAATGTTGACCAAGCTCTGTCTCAAAAGGCAGGCAAGGCAGGCTTCTTCTTGGAAACGAGCTACGATTACCCCACACTTCTAATTAGCCGTAGTTACGCCGCCGCCAGAAGAAGCAAAGCTCGGATTCTTGCGAGAGGATTTTTTTACCTGCGGTTTTCAAGTCTTCAACTTTCAGGCAGTTCGACCCAGATCTTTCCAGCAGATTGATCTCTTATCTTTGTCGACACTCCGGACTATCTATACAAAACTCACTTAACAATGGCTTTCACTCCCAGAGGACGTGGTGGTTTCGGCGACCGTGGCGGTAGAGGTGGTGGCAGAGGTAATTTTCATGCGCCGAACATTCGTCTCGCACACACTCTGACGACTCCAAACTAGGCGGATTTGGCGACAGAGGAGGTCGCGGCGGCGGCAGAGGTGGTGCCCGCGGTGGCTTCGGTGGAGACCGTGGAGGCCGTGGTGGCGCTCGCGGTCGCGGCGCTCCTCGGGGCCGTGGTGCTCCTCGCGGCGGCGCCGCTGGCGCGCGTGGTGGCGCGAAAGCTGTAGTGGTGAGTTGGTAGCGCCGATAGAGAGCGAAGCAAGACACTGACAAGCATTGCAGGAGCCTCACCGTCACGCCGGCGTATTTATCGCGAGAGGCAAGGAAGACCTTCTTTGTACCAAGAGTATTGCACCCTCGGTGTCGGTGTATGGCGAGAAGCGCATCACTGTCGACTCTCCCGCCCCTGTTGTTGAAAACGGCGAGACTGCTGCTGCCACAAAGGTCGAATACCGTGTCTGGAACCCCTTCCGTTCGAAGATCGCCGCTGGTATCCTCGGTGGTCTCCAGGACATCTACATGAAGCCCGGCAGCAAGGTCCTCTACCTCGGTTCCGCCTCCGGTACCTCCGTTTCTCACGTCGCTGATATCGTCGGTCCCACCGGTACCGTCTACGCCGTCGAGTTCTCTCACCGTTCAGGCCGTGACCTGATCAACATGGCTACCCACCGTACCAACGTCATCCCCATCGTTGAGGACGCCCGTCACCCTCTCAAGTACCGCATGCTCGTCGGCATGGTCGATGTCATTTTCGCCGATGTTGCCCAGCCCGATCAGGCCCGTATCGTCGGTCTTAACGCCCACTTGTTCCTCAAGGTCGGCGGTGGTGTCCTTGTCTCCATCAAGGCCAACTGTATCGACTCGACCGCTGCCCCCGAGGCCGTCTTCGCCCGTGAGGTGCAAAAGATGAGAGAGGAGCGCATCAAGCCCAAGGAGCAGCTTACCCTTGAGCCCTTTGAGAGAGATCACGCCATGGTTGCTGGTATCTACCAGCGCGCAGCATAAACTTGACCCGCAAACTAAATCGGTTTCGCGCGGTTGCGTTTTGTTTCTACTGTGTCATACGTGTACGATCTTCTTGCTTACAAAATGGGAGTGTCAGAGGAGAACGGCTATTTCTTCTCTTGTGGCTTTTGGGAAGTGGCGTTTTGTGGTGCAAACATTCATCATCCTGGGAGTTTTACGGGCTTAAAGAGCGTGAAATGCAACATTTTCTTATTTCTTCTTCATATCGTCGTTTGACTCGTGCTCTTCGTGACTGCATCTCTCGTGCTGTGCTCATGCTTCTGAAAGCTTACTACAAAATGACCTTGAGAGCATCTTCTTTCGTGAATCGTCAATCTAGGCCATGCCCTTGACCTGAAGTACAGCCAGATCGAATTCATCTGAGCGACCACTAACGTATGATCGAGCGAGCGACAACCTCTTTGTGCACACTCGACAAGCTTGGTGTTGAATAATCCCTGCCTCCTTGTTGACTACGAATGCGTCATGACAAGCAGCCTTTGCGCTTCACACATCGTCATCCCTACCCAGAGGCTCGACACGAATGTGACAGCCATTCAGCCAGACCCATCTTCTGAACATGACATGCGGCATCTTCTCTTCTCCCTCTTCGCCCTGTCCCATGCCTCTTGCGATCTCCTCTGCCATCTCTTCAGGCAACCTCACACACAACAACAGCCTGACCTCTGCAACACACTTCCTCACCGACAGTATGATTTCCTGCAACTTTGGATCTTTGAGCCATAGATCCGCGTTTGCCTTTTCATTCAAACTCGGCTGCCATCTGGGCCCTCTATAGCGGATGGTCAGTTGGCGTAGTCCAGGCAAATCGCGAACCAGACTTCTCTCGGCAGCATTTGTGTTGAACCAGCCAGTCCAGAGACGAGTATCATTACTCCGAATGCGTAGAGTGATGTGCGGGATCAACTCAGCAAACGAGCGATTACTCAAGGCATGAGCAAAGATATTCGCATCGCTGGGGTGAGCGAAAGTAGGCGTATTTGTTTGGTAGAGCACGTGAGCAGCTTCTTCGTAGATTGGCCTACATGTGCGCAGGAGTTGTGGGGCCAGATGGTGAGATTGGTGTTCTGTGGGCCAGAAGATATTTTGGCTGCTTGTGAGGAGGTAGGAGTAGATGTGTAGGCGGAGGTCGCGTGGTAGGCGGAAGAGTGGTGAGTCGAAGACTGAAGGTGGGAGGTTGTCGGTGGAGGGGACTTGTGTGAGGGCATCGTGGAAGTCTTCTTCGGCGTAGTCTGAGGAGATTGAGGTGAGGGTGTTTTTGCGCATGGTCGAGGGCCTGAGGATGGAGTCGGCGGCATCCATGTTGCTGACATATGAGAGGCTGCGTGTGGACAGGACTGATTCGCGCCATTGGTAAGGGTCGGTCATGTTGATGCCTTCTTTCCTGCTCCTTCTAGAAGAGTGGCTTGTGACGGATGTTTAGTAGGGTTTTCATGTAATTGCCATGTTGTTGTTGCTGGCCTCTTCCAGATGATGCACTTTCTTGACGCCCGCGTCTCTGACCTTGTTGCACCCACAAGGCCTCGGCCCCGACCATGAAGTCCGTCTCTTTCTTCGACAGCAACCTCCTCCTCCATCGACATACTCAATGATACCTGACCTCTACATCTCGCCCTAAATCCATATTGTTCGGCTCGATTTAGCATATCACGGTCAAGTACAATCATCGCATTTCATCCATCTACGCTCGTCTGTTTCAGAAACATTTCACCGCCGCGCTCAACTTGCATGACTTCAATCTATTCACCCCATCCTTCATCCGCTGATTGGTCCCGTCTTACACCATCCCCATCTATTTTCGATGACTTGTCCTGCAGCAATACAGCCTCGTGCAGTTCGGCAATATGCTCTTGTCCCTCCTTGAGCGCCTGCGCTTCACCTAGCGCTTCCATCTCGACTCTCTGCCCTGCTCTCTTTCCCTCTGCTTTGTCTACTCCTTCATACGCGTACACGAAATACCATTTTATTGCTTCATATCACTGCTTCTAGCCGCTTTCACACTCCTTTGTGTGACTTGTTCCGTCTCTGTATGGTTGTGTGATACACGCGCATCTGACCGCGCGACTGGTCTCTGCCATGACTTCCTCGACTGTCTCAACCTCGGCCACTGCCCTACCAAGTCCGTTTTCTTTTGCGCCTTCGCAATACTGGGACGGAAATGATGGCCTGTACGGAACCTGTATCAGCACCCTGGCAGACGTGACACTAATCGTTCCATAGTTGGTCTTCGTTCATGGTCCGCATAGGAACCCCACCTCAAGACTTCCGTGTCTTTCCCTCCACATTTGGTCAAGAGACACTGATACCCGTTCCTGAAGGATGTACGGAAGACGATCCAGCGAATTGCGGCAGTCTAAGAGGAGTGATGCCTTTTCAAGGTGATATCAGTACTGGCTTCTTGAGCAACGCTTCGACTACCTGGGACGATATTGGCATCTACACAACGGACCTTGAGACCCACATCGGCATCAATACAAACGGCATGTATGGGTTTGATACCGTCGGTCTGCAAGTCGAAAACTCGGGTGGCATACAACAAACGCATCAGGTTGTCGCAGGCATAGCCGACAAGAGCTTTATGTACGGCATCATAGGACTGGGGCCTCGCCCATCCAATTTCTCAGTGTTTGCGGACCCGCAACCGTCATTCTTGACAAGTTTGAGGGAGAATAATACTATACCCTCAAAGTCGTATGCCTACACCGCGGGCGCATCCTACCGTAAGACTACTCTCCCTCCATATCTGGGTATGGCTGACACAGTAAAAGGCTATAGCAAAGTCCTGGGTAGCCTCACGTTCGGTGGTTACGATGCATCAAGACGAGATGGCAACGGCACTATATTTCCCTTTGCTTCCGATGATACGAAACCGCTACAAGTGGGCGTCACTCAAATCACAGCCAAAAACACCCTCCTCGGCACCGCAACTCTATACTCTACAGGCTACTTCTCTGTCATCGACAGCACTGTACCACATATCTGGATGCCTAGGGAAGCATGTGACAACTTTGCCTCGAATTTCGGCTTGTACTATGACAACCAAACAGACCTATACCTAGTGAACGACACCATGCACTCAAAACTACAACAACTAAATCCGACCATAATTTTCAAGATATCACCGCAAACCACAGATGGTGGTCCGAGCACTAATATTGTTCTACCTTATGCTGCCTTAGATCTACAAGCAAAATACCCATATTACCAAAACGACACGAGATATTTCCCCATCAGGAGGGCTGCGAATGATACACAATACATCATGGGAAGAACATTCTTGCAAGAGGCATATCTGATAGCCGACTACGAACGCAACAACTTCACCATCACACAAGCTGCATTTGCGAACCCTATGCCTGCTGAACAACTGGTCTCAATTTTACCACCAGGAGTCAAGGCTACAAATTCCACAGGAGGCGATGACGGCGTAGTCACCCGCCCAGACCCTGTACTCTCACGTAATGTCATTATCGGTATAGCCGTGGGAGTCGTCGCCGGCGCCGCACTAGTCCTATTTATCTTCGGCACATTCTTCTACGTGCGCAGAAGAAGGCGTCAACGACTTGCTCAAGCTCTGCTTGACACAACACCAGACCCCGATGAGCCTTCACCGTCTATGCATCTATCTCCTCCTGTAGAAGTAGATGCGGCCGTGAAGATGGAATTGCCTTCTGATTCTGAAGCTGCCTTGAATGAAATGCCTGCTGGGACTGAGAAGTACGGGTGGCAGCCTTATGAGGTGCAGGGAAGTAATGTGCAATCGAGGGTTGAGATGAGAGGGGGGTGGGAGCCACCGGAGTTGGATGGACGGTCTTTGAGGAGTGGGACGAGAGGAGGAATTTATGAACTTGAGGGGAGTGAGCCTGTGCAGCAGCAACCGCCGCCGAGGGAAGGTGATGGCAGGAATAGGTTTTCTTGGGAACGGTGATGGAGAGCGTGTGCATAGTTGGTATATAAGCTTGACCTGTGCATCCTTCAACATGTCAACCTCGCAAGCCCTACGAGCGATGTGGTGTCTTCATCGTCTTTCATCAGCTCTGTTCTGTTGCGGCATGCTAGTGGTTCTCAAGCAAGGGCGAGTCCTGTTGCTAGGTCCATATACAGATCGTGTCTGTCATTAATCTCCACCGCTCCATCCACTCTTGCTTCTCCTTGAACGATGGCACGATGTTTTGAACTTCACGCGTGAGAGCGAAACAATCAAAAACCTTGCGCTGACCTCGGACTCTCACTCGTGTTAGTTGATACAATTTACCTTCCCTCCTCCTCATGAGGTTTTCACATGTCCAGGCACGATATCCATCAGCAACGACACAACATTTGTGCAGACTCTGTATTTCAGGTTGCCGTCTGTCGATAACTCCTTCCGCGGCTCTTCAAAGAAGGATCCCACATCCGAAGCCACCGACCCCCACGTCCGCAACTTTCCATCTCCGCAACCCCGGTCGATCCTCGTCATGATATGGGGATCTTCTGGATCTACCTTTACAGTATATAGCAATGATCTTCATCATCAAGCACTTAGAGCCGCGCTCTGGTGACGACAACTTTTGCGATCGCTGGCAACTTTGTTTTTGGAAAGTTCCGCGTGCCGTTGTGGGTATGGGCTCTCGTGGGAGGGGGGAGATGGCTCTCTGGGGAAAGGATCACTTCCCTTGAGCAGTTTCAAGCAGCAAATCGTGGTTATTTGATATGGATGACTATGAAAAGGTTCGGAGCTAGTAGTGTCCTGATCACATTGGAAGGTGTTTATAAGTGACTTGCCTTTTCCTTTCTCTACCTCTGTCTTGCTTCTGCTCTTTTTTTCGAATCTCCTCAAAACACCATATCGGGGGACATCGCAATCATGACTTCTCACTCCCCATCTCCCCCGTCCACTTCCCGCAAAACCTCTCACTCCGACCCCGACGCCATTCAAAAATTCCAGACCAATCATCTTGAGAATGGTGAACCGATCAATCCTCGCTGGGCACCCGGTTATGGACCTCTAAGTCGCATCCCCACGGATGGCTCGTACCTTCCTGCTTTTGGAGGTGCTTTCCAACCTGGTCTCTACAAGGCTCCGAAATCCCAAATTGCGAATCCTGCTCCTCTTGGTTTGGCGGGTTTTGCTCTCACAACGTTCTTGCTCAGTATTATCAATTTGGGGACGAGAGGCATTACTGAGCCTAATATTGTTGTTGGACCTGCTATTGCCTATGGAGGATTGATTCAATTGCTTGCGGGCATGTGGTGAGTACTTGAATGCTTGAAAATGGGATGACATTCGGACCTTGGCTAACGTGAAACAGGGAAATGGCTGTTGGCAACACTTTTGGTGCTACGGCATTGAGTTCGTACGGAGGCTTCTGGATAGGAGTTGGCATTATCTTGACTCCTGGAGGCTTCAACATTGCTGCCGCTTATGGTGGTGCAACTCCTGAGTTTTACACCGCGTTCGGGTTCTACCTCTATGTATGCTTATCTTCGTCTTTTGCCATCTCGCAACATGCTGACACTCTGCAGGGCTGGTTTATCTTCACCTTCATCCTCTGGCTCCTAACTCTTCGCTCCACGGTTGCCTTCTCCTCCCTCTTCTTAACCGTCTGGCTCACCTTCCTCATGCTAGCAACAGGCTACATGTACACATCTACCGTAAACGGCGTTACCTCTCCCCACAGCACTCTCAACAAAGCAGGAGGAGGCTTTGGAATCGTTGCCGCATTTATCGCGTGGTGGAACATGTTGGCTGGTATTGCGGATCGGGGTAATAGTTTCTTTTTGGTTCCCGTGGCGCACTTCCCGTGGAGTGATAAGGGCAGGCAGAGAAGAAGGGAGAAGGCGGAGAGTATTGCCGATGTTGAGAAGGGTGATTAGAAGTGTGTAGGTGGTGTGATAGAGTCCTTGTTGAAATTACTTGTCCAACTAATTATATGTCCCTCCCTAGAAGGAGACAATGGAAGAAGTATCCGCTTAGAGATAGCCCTAGTTTTGTCTGTCACGACGACCATACGAGCCAAACCCTGCTGCTTGTTCAATCCCGAGACAAGATTACTGGCATTCGTCAAGAAAGCAACGCCGGTACTGTTACCATACTGGAGTGTGTCAATGAACATGCTTTTCAAAACACCAGTATCTTTATCCGACGTCTCTCGACTACAATCCAGTACATTCCACCACCGCAGCACTCGAAGTAACAGTAACCATAGAAGAAGGCTCAGCAGTCCTAAACTCCCCAATTCCTCCAATCAAAATCGTAGCAGCACCATCACCCAAAAACCTCTTCATCTCCTCCTCACTAGGCACACCCTTCCCCATACCCACAGCCATAAACGCCCTAACATCCTCCTCACTCGGCAAATCCTCCACAGCCGTCGCCCGCAACCTCATCGTCACAGTCTTTGACATTGGCAAGTAAGGTGACACACCAGCAACTGCGAAGTTTGGATTGTAAGCCGTATTTTGGGGCGCGAGGACGGCGATGAAATCGCGTTGCACGATGTTCTGGTTGTGGGGTCCGTCGATGGAGTCGATGGAGCCGAGTCTGGGGGCGACGAAGATGAGGACAATGGGAGTTGCGATGAGAGCTACGGCAGCGAGGGGCGTTGATACGGCTGCGACGACTGCGCCCATGGTGGCTGGTTGTGTTGGGGGTGTTTGTGGTTGATGGCAACGAGGGAACGGGAGTAGGAAGGATGAGGTGAGGGAAGAAGAAAGAAAAAGACACAAAAGAAATGCAGATTCATATACCTATAGTAGCGGTAATCGATGTGTTTGAGTGGATTTACCAAGCATTGTTCGGCATCAAGTGTGGTGAGCGTGAGTTGGAGCAAGATCCGTTTGGGCTGCGAATATTTCACCATGTGAACACCACGTACTTTCTTCAATCACAGTTTCTAACCTAGAGAGTACTCATCATGAGACCTTCATCTTGCACAGATCTGTTTGCAACCGATTGCTGAGATTTCGCAGTGATCTCCCAACGGGTCAAATATAGCAAACATTTCAGGACAACATTTCGTTCCTCTTGTCCTATGACAGCTGGTTTTGGGTATCAGGACCATCTCCACTGCCACTGATCGAGGTGTTATACATCAGTCCGTATAATCGTCGAGATAACTATACGTGGTATACAGTTATAGAATCGATGGGTTGTGACGACTTGAGGGCAAGCAGCCTGGATAGCCTATGTACACGGCTTGAAGGTGACTGTGGCATGGCAAACTTGTTCGCGAGACCATTTGGGCAATTTTGGACAAGTTGATGGATGATGTGCAAACAGCCTGCGCAGAGTCAGCTGGCAAAATCTTACAGAAGGAAAACTTGTCATCGTAGCTCAGCAAAAATAATTATGCCCGTGCTCCGAGTCGATCCGTGGGCCTGCGACACTGTAATTTATTTGCCAGTCTATTCTATAACGAACAGCAAAAGGAAATGCTCCATAAAGAGCAAAAAGAGAAGGATAGCTAAGCTCGGTTTCGATCCGAGGTCCTCCGGGTTGCTTGAACTAGTTCATATGAGCCCGGCGCGCTGCATGTTTTGTTAGTCTAAGTGTTGACGGTGGTGGAGTCTGAATGTTACGAACCTTCCGCTGCGCCACTCAGCTGTTGTTGTGGCAAATTTCTGCTTTGTATAAATCTGATTTCTTTTCTCTGACAGAAAACCACGCTTCGCAGCATCATTGAACACGCCGCCCACCACCCTTGCAACCTCGCAACCAAAGTACAAGAACTTATCGTTGTTCGAGTTACCGCACTATGCTTCTCATGACTAGTTTTGGGCATCCTCAGAGAGTCGGTGTGCTTGCATGACTAGACCGAGCCATAGGTGAAACAGCCCTTCTTCTGAGCTGCTGCTACCCTTCAGGAGTGCGTCAATCGACTCAAAATCAGACTGCACGATCGTGTATGTTTCCTGGGCGATAGAACAAGGACCCTACCTGCTTTCAGACACATGCAAGTTACCCAATAAATGGTGTTCTCTCCAAAGTCATTACCTCAAACTGGTTATGTACATTGATCCAAGCGCCGCGGGGTGGCTTCTGAAGCCTCATGAAGGGACTTTCGGGTGTTTGAGAAGCCTCACCTTGCAAAGCAGACTTGTTCTTCGATCTCCCGTCATAAAAGATGTTCAACACAATCACGATAGGTGCACACAGCCGACGATCAAGAGATCTGAACTCTCAGTAATTCTCCCGTCATGTGAACCAGCTTATAGGTAATATGGCTCGGTAGGGAAATTTGTTGACGATCTGAACAACAAAAAAGCAGCTGGTCTGTCCGCTTTTCTGAAACGCGCAACACACGTCGTCGATTCGCGCAGCCGTCGTCCTTTTCCCCATCTAGCCGACTCTCCATGTCTTGTTCGGCATAATCCTGTCTCTCATAATGCCAAACTTGGCCATTTACTAGCAAGCTTGCAAGCATATTCTCACACCGGATCAGCCAGCCTGATGCTGGAAGCAAGCCACACCCCATGGCGTTTAGAAACTACACCTTCGATGCACTCCATACCCAACCCTAGAAGCCATGGTTCGGGCCGCACGGTAGAGCCAGGCTCACATTGCGTCTTTTAACAGTGTTCATCGTCTCGCGAACCAGGGCCTTGATGGTTGCACGTACCTTCAGCAATTAATTCGGAAAGTCTCAGGCATTGGGTTTTGCGCGTTCAGGTGGGTGGCCGTAAAACATATAGGTAGGTGGCAGTACGTCAGTTGTCTTTTGGATCTTTTTTGTTTTCCAATCACTCGCTCTCAATAAACATTCCTATCAGGTTCTGATGGCGCTTATCTACGACCGTGATCTCTGGCCACGCCAATCTTTCGACCCTTCTTGTCCCAGTGGTGGGTCCTGGTATGCTTGCACAACTGGATCCAGGTTTGTCGGATGCTGCACTGGTTCCACCGACCCATGCGACGAGACGACGAGTTGTCCACAAAAAAATCTCAAGCCTGCGAGCTTCGACGTTGCTAAGTATGGCACGTTTCCGGACCAGACATGCGATGCCGACAGTAATTGGTTCACCTGTGCTGGGACAAACCCAGCTTTCATGGGTTGTTGTAAGAGCAATCCTTGCTCAAGCGGATGTCCGACGAAAGATTTGACAGCTGCGAGTCTGAGCGTCGACGAGGCAGTGGCGTCGGCATTCATGACGACGTCTGCAGCCGCTACTACCTCGACGGCAGCGGCAACAATCGCCCCTACTGCTGCTGCTTCATCATTCTCGGCCGGAGATCACGTTGGAGCTATTGCAGGAGGTGCAGTAGGAGGAGTGGCTGGCATCACTCTAATCATAATCGGTATTATCTGGTGCTTGAAGCGCAGAAATCAAGCACGAAGAGAAGAACGCGAGCGACAGAGGATGGCGGAAGATTACAAGAACGATGACGGCCATTTCCACAACACATATACACCACGACAAGCTGATACGCCACGAGAACTTCAGCCAGAGGATGACGAAGGACCCCGAAGGACCGTCTACTCCATGGAAGATCCAGAAGGACTAGAGGTTGATGATCGGCCTCAGCAAGCTACCTCAACGAGACCGAGTACAGCAGGTATGATCAAAAGCTTACGCCATCAGCTGAAGTATGCTAAGCAAAGCCAACAGATCAACACCTCACATCAAACACCCAATCGTCCAGCATCAGCCCAAATATCAGCCGACCACCCAGCGCCAACAATCCGATCAGCATAGGTCCTCCACCCAGTATCGGCGCCTCGTGGTTCACCCGCGACTCAATCTTCACGAACGGCTCTCCTCACCTCGCAAGCATCCCCTCCCCTGACGAACAGCGCCGCGTCTCTTGGATCGAGCAAGCACGACACAACGGTAACAACAGCCCCATGATAACTCCCATCCACTCGCCTCTTCACAACAATCAACCCGACTACTTTGGCGCTTTCGAAAATCATCAGCGTCAGACTTCGCATGCGACACAAGGTCCGATTTCGCCACAGAACCAGCGTTTCGAACTTGATGATACGCAGTTGAGTCCTCCCGTTGAGCTTGAAGCTATTGAGGCGACTTCGAAAAAGCAGGGACACGAGGCTAGGCAAGAGGACCCCGTGCATGAGCCAGCACAGAGACGTGGCCGACATGATGTAGAGGAAGGACAGACCGGATCTGCATATTTCTCGCCAGACGATATTGGGAAGCCGTAGACTTAGACTCTGCCTCTTTCCTATCCATGGCGATGGAAGCACACAACGAACTTTACGATTCTTCATCACGAACTCTTACGTATCATTATCTTTTTCATTGTCAAAAAATACTATCGCTATTAATTTCTGTCCTATTTTGCTGTTATAATCTTCGTATATTGCCAAACAAGATCTGCTTGTAGTTCAGAAAGTAGATGACTAAGAGCGATCTGGCCATGATCGTCGAGGTAGCAAAACAGAGCTCATATGCCGAATGAGCGGTAATGATCCATGCCTGACCCTGCATCGTGCCTGAAGGTGGAGATATATGTGGCAATTTCAGCCCAAGTATAACGTAAACACATGAGTGGAACGGACTCATCACCTTGTTTCAAAACGACATCAGGATGTTGTTTTATTTTCGAAATATCACACAAGTCTCTAGGACGAAACTGCCGCTAGAGAGGACGAGAAGAAATCCCTGGTTGGAGAGAGACAGTGTATACGTCTCGTTGTTCGACGTGATGTTGATTTGCACACAGAGTGTTTCTAGGCTGAATAGTGAAAAAAAGTACGAGCAGGTAGAATAAAGCACCAGACTCGGTAGTAATAAATAAGCTATGATTCTGATCTTGTAGAGCAAAAGTCTTTGAGAGCAGAGTGCTGGAGAATATAGTAAAGAACGTGCTTCACTCGTTTCTCGATACGTGAAGTAAGAAAGTCAGAAAAGAGAGCTCGCGAGGTACCGTACAAGCTAGAAGCAGAACAACCACCATAGCTCAAGTGAGAATCAAGCTCCTTGGTTCAAAATCCAATCGAGCAACCAGATTGACCGATAAAGCACTTGCCCCTTCACTTCAAGTGTCCTGGTACTTTGATCCAATCAACCGACCACTGGCCCACATTTCTTTCCCCCAAGCCCTCTCCTCATCACTCAAGTCCTTGCGATGGTCAGGAAGAGATGGCGTCTCAGGCACAGTCTCCACCTTGACTGCATCGTGCTTGGCTTCCCATGCTGCCTTGTACTTGCAATCCTCCTGTTCAACTCAATGCCCTCTTTGTTGGTTTCAATGGGAGCCCAGCCGAAAATAGGACGATCCTCGCTGCTCGCAAAGAACATGATGTGTTCTATCTGGCAAGGGTGGGACGGTCCAATCGGGGAAGGACTTGCAGAGCAACTTGTGGATTGGCCAATCTTTCTTCTGGCAGTCTTTGCTGTAATAGTAGATGTTGTGGCACTGGCTTCATTGAGCGCCAGCTTTACCGCAGACGGCGCAGTTACTGTTGATAGCTTGCATCGTGGTGTGCAAAGTTGAGAAGATGGAAAGAACGACCGACTCTGATGGGGAGCTGGCAGGAAGTCATATGAGGAAGGGACGTAGTGTGAGAGTGACGCGTTGAAACAAAAAGACGTGGAAGGGAAGAGACACATGGGAAAAGCTTGAGAACTAAGAAGTCGACTACCTGCTGTCTGACCTTGTTTTGAAAAGACCCAAGATATTGGATATGCTGAGAGGGTACCACGCCGGTCTTGCCTCTCCCATTGCTTGCATATTGTGCGCCCCTCGATATGCTATTTGTTTCTTTCCATCATCCCATCCTCGCATAGCTTGCCCTGATCTCGAAATGTCGCTCCCGCTTCAGTCAACAATATGATCTCAATATTCATTAGAGATCTCTGGGAGCTGACTTTACCACACGGTCTCCATTGAAGTCCACGACGTGATTGCAACATCACCAGGAAGACCGCTGACAGAGTGCCTACTTCTCCCGAGGGCGATATTCTTCAGGAAGCCGGGTCTGGCGCTTCAAGTGATCTGTGTAGTCACTGCTCTGACTCGTAATGCGTCCGCTTGTCTGCATTTCCTTCCTCCAAGCCAACTCATCTGCATCCATAGAAGCCGAGAAGCTTTGCTGCTTTTTAGAGGCCCGAGCCTTGATCTTAGCATCCCATACCTTTTTGAAGGCATCCACTGCCTGGAGCCGCTCCTTGAGACCAAGATTCTGGAGATTAGTAGGCATGGTCAGTCCCCTTGTCAACAGCTCGCGCTCGACATCCTGGGACATTTCGAACATGGCAGTCGCGTCCAGAAAATTGTCGTTTGCGTTCAGCCTGTCCGCGTATAGTTGCTCGTTCTTGCACTTGTAGAAGCCTTGAGCAAACCAGTCTTTGATGACGTTGAGGTCTGAGGTATCTAGATTGGTACATTTGACATCCTCGTTCTCCAAGGAATCGATGTTGCCGTAAGCGAGGACTGGTCTAGCAAGTTTCGAAATGCATGGACCGCCGGTCAGATTGTGCACGGCTATGCTGGTGATGGAACCGTCGTTCTTGTAGCCATCGCGGAACATGACCGTGATACGGTGATGCAGTCGTACGCCAGTCTTTGGGTCTTGTACAAAGCTTCTGAAGTCGACCAGTGCGGGTTTGTTGGCACCAAGCATACTTCCAACGCCGAAGAAGCTGCCAAAGTCAGGGCACTGAGTCTTGCCGGGCTTTATAGGCAGCCAGCGGAATTCGAGCTTTGTGGTGTTGAAGGGAAAGACGATGACGCGCATCATGTTTGGGCCAGGGGGTTCGCGTGAGTCCTCGAAAGTGTGACAGAGCAGCTTGTGAACCTTCCAGTCGGTCTTCTGGCAGACAGAATCACAGTAGTGAACGTTTTCGCAGCTGGCGCAAAGCTTGCCGGGCTTAGAACAAATGGCGCACTGGTTGTCGATAGGAGCCATTGTGGTGTAAAGCGGAGCGGGATGATCAGAGTGATGGAGTTGTTGTTAGATGGTCATAGAGGTGAGAAGAGCCTGACTGCTGTAGCTGCGCAGAAATATGGTTGTTGTGAAGGTTGGTGAGGGAGTAATTGTTGTCGGTCTAGAGGTAGATGCAGGGTGGAAGTCAAGATGTGTGAGCCCGCGTATTGTTTGGCAAGATAGTGAAATGCTGTACACGTGAGGAGAAGTGATCAAGTCTGATTACTTGAAGTGATTGGTAGTGTTGGTCTGTCTGTTTAGTCAATGTTCCTGTGACTTCAAAATGCTCACTCCTGAGTCTCACTTACCCTCTGAGAGTGCAGTTCAACCACAGTATGTCTGTGTCTTTGCGTGTAACAAATGAAGACTCATCAAAACAAAGCGCCGAAGTGATGAGTGGCACGGGTAAAGAAAGTGAATTTCAAGCAAGGCCAAATCTTCGAATACAGATAAGATCCAAGGCAATAGGGCGAATAGCAGAAACAAAGTTGCGCCGTAATTATCGTGAATTGTCGTAAAAGCAATTACATGTCCTCGCGGAAGATGCTGCGTCGCTCTGAGGGAGAATCGACCGTCTGAGCACCAAGACTCTGTTGGTTCTTGTGATGCGGTTGCTTCTGGGCCGAGGCGCCAACGGTTGTGTCGACAGTCGGACGAGAGCCGTTGTTCTTCAAGCTACTGCGCTCAGCAGTGTCATCGCCGAATGGGTTGTTGTCGTGCATCTCTTCATCGTATCTTGAATCGAGTTCGCGTTGACGACTGGCAGCACGTCCTCTTGTCTCTTCAATGCCTCCGACACCGACACTTCCTCCACCATATCCATGTCCACCATAGGGCGAGTGCATGTCTGATGCGCCCAAGTCATGCTCCTCGTAGTAACCATCACGATTGACGCCGTAGTCTGCCTCGTTGCCGACACGAGAATCCCAGGCTTCATCAGGATCCAGAGGACCAAAGCCGCGGTGACCACCTCTTCCGTACCCACCACTAGGCTCGTATGCACCTCCGGATGATCTACCTCCACCAACACTGCTCTTCAATGCGCCGATCTTGTCCTTGACCCAACCGCCGATACCTCCGGATGCTGCTGAGGGGGCGACATAGGAATTTTGTTGTCGTCGGCCGCGTGTGAAGGGGTTGAGCGAGGGAGCGGGAAGGCCCAATCGTCGGGCGCGGTATTGCGTGAAGCTATTGAGGGTTCACGAGTAAGGATATGTCGCGCATAAGGTAGACGAGCTCTAGAGCATCTCTTGCTCTGCAACGGCAGATGGCTAAGGAGAGAATACGAGACTTACATTATCCATGCACATCCGCCTATGACGATGAAGACAAAAGCGACAAGGAAGAAGATGCCCCAGCCAGAGAGGCCACGGTCGGGATCGCTAGCCATATTGTGTCGCACTTGTAGGTCATGCAGTGCGTGTCGTTTCCCGAGTCGCTGACGTCTAGCTTGTACGTGTCGTCGCAAGATGCATGAATCGTCAAGTCAATGGGTCCAGAAGGCAGCTACTTGCTTGCGGCGTACTGATCCGAGGCGTATGACGGTCTTGCTTGGCGCGAATTGTGCTGCTTGTGCATGATGATGTCGACTTTATGCTATCGCTCCTTCCCCGTCTGACACCATTGCGTCTTCTTGATATTAATTCACGTAAGCGCCTGCCTGCTCTTGCTCTTGGTCTAGATCCCTCGTCTATATCTCCGCCATCAACCTGCAGCACTCGTGACCTCTTTCTGATTTGTCTTCGCACCTCGACGAACAGTAGGACGGATCTGTTCCAACCTGCTTGACGACAAGATAATCTCTCTATCACACTTGAGACAGGCAGTCTGAAATTCGCGAAATGGCATCTGCTCGTCACGTCGTCGTATCGACAGGCTCAGGAACGGGTCAAGCACAATCCTTTTACGAATCACATTTGACCGAAACATTCAAATCTCTCGGATTTAAGGAGGACGAGCACTTCTTTGTGCACTTCACAAAATCTGAGAATACCATCACAGAACTTACAAAAGACGTCTTCTTACCCGCCGCGAATAGAGGGGCTGTGCTCTCAATTATACTGCTCAGCGGAGATGGCGGTGTTGTGGACATAATCAACGCCATCCTCACCTCCCCACGAGGCCCCGACTTTGCTTCTCCCGAAATCACTTTACTGCCATTGGGTACTGGAAATGCTTTAGCAAACTCGTTGGGTATCACGGCAGATGATAGTATGGAACTCTCGAAATTGATGCAAGGACAGTCAAAGGCTTTGTCGATCTTTCGAACGAGCTTCTCTCCAGGCTCAAGACTGCTCATTCACGAAGGCAGCGGCGAAGCCGAGCTTTATGATCACCATGGCAACCCGACGGTATGGGGAGCCGTGGTGTGTAGCTGGGGTATGCATGCATCCCTAGTAGCCGATAGCGACACGGCCGAGTACCGCAAACATGGCGTCGAGCGCTTCCAAATGGCAGCCAAGGCAGCTCTCTACCCCGAAGATGGTTCACCGCCACACAAATATCGTGGTCAAGTCTCTGTCTTGCGAGGGTCAGAGTGGCATGAGCTCAGCGAAAAAGAACATGCATATGTGCTTGCTACCTTTGTCTCGAATCTCGAAAAGAATTTTACCATCTCACCTGCTTCAAAACCTCTTGATGGCAAGCTGAGACTAATCCAATTCGGTCCTATGTCTGGCGATGAAGTCATGAAGGTCATGACAGAGGCATACAATAAAGGCAAACATGTCGAAGATGATCGAGTCCGTTACGAAGAGATTGATGGCCTCAGGATAGCCTTCGACGACTCTCAAGAAGACGGCCGCTGGAGAAGAATCTGCGTGGATGGTAAGATCATCCGCGTGGAAAGTGGAGGCTGGGTTGAGGTCACCAAAGAAGATGCACATGTCATAGACATTGTCTGCAACTCTGAGCATGCTTGATATCAGACTCGCTTGAAAATATAGATCTAACGACTAATGAATGTCTACGCCTGAGTTACACCTACATCTTTCTATCTCGGTCTCATGATTCACGGCATTCCAGACCCGATGAGGCAAGTCAGCTGCTCCTGCCTCAAAGATGAGGTAGATCAAGACTCTTGTCCTTGCACCAAGCATAAAAGCGTGCTCGAATGATCTTGTCACTAATGCTGTCACGCAGCTTCAAAACATATAGTCTTCTTTCCTCCTTCGACTTCTTGTCGTTAGCCAGCTCGAGTTCACAGAGCTGACGAGTGCTGGAGAACAAGGTGCGCAAGTCGTCTCTGATCCAAGTGCAGTATGCCTTGAGATAGGTAGCAAGGAAGGGCAGAACATTCTCCTAGAAGCAGATGACCAAACAAAGAATTGAAGCTATACTGGATATGAACAAAGAGTGGAGAAAAAGATCGTGATTGATAAAGCGTGCGATGAGTGTATTTACTTAGCAAACATGCATGAGTAACGAGACAGAATTGGCCAAAGAACCAAACCGAATGTGCAGGTCCTTCCGGCTTTATAGCCACCGAACGCTGACCACGCTTCTCATCACCTTTGTAGATCCAATGATGTACGCTCCAGCTCTTTCCAGGATTCGCAGAATCTCTGACTAGTGAAAGCCAAGTCTTGATGAGAGCCTCCCATCCCAGGATCTAGTTATGCACCAACTTCAAATCTTTGTCCTTGCACCACGCATAGAATCTTGCTCTGCTGATACGGTCCCACATCTTCTTCCTCAATTTGAACAAGTCTGATCCACGTCGGTGTGCCTTGGGGTCGTCGTCATCGAGATCCTTGGCGAGCTCGTACATGATTTCATTGTGAGCGTCTGCAAACTTGGGAAGAAGGTCTTCGTGAATCCAGGAGCAGAAGGCCTCGAGATAGGCTGGCGTCAAGGTCTTGCCATCTTTGCGGACCACTACGGTGCTTCCGAGGTTTTGAGCGAGGAAGCTGTTGATTGAGAAACGTTAGCTTTCAGGAGTTTTAGCGCAACCGATTGCCCACATACTGCTCAGGGACTCTTCCAAAGTGCTCCGCTGGAGAGCTTCTGCGATTACCGATATCGACCAAGAGGAGACTGGCCATGGTGTTGCCGAATTTTTGAAGCATCTGGCGACGCATTTCTTGCTTGCGATCAGGATCTTGGATTCCATCGAGCTGCTTGAGTGTCGGAGTCAAGATAACCAGAGGCATACCGAACAGCTTAGAGAGCTGAGATTCGTAGCCCATGGTTCCGTTGGAGAAATCATCTGAAGGCGTCATGATAGCTTGGCCGAACTGAGAACCATGTTTGCGCTTATCCTTATCGCTGCGAATGTACGCACCAAGCATCTTTCTCTCAGGTTCAGGGCGCCCCAAAAACCAGTTGTTGATAGGCGTAAGTCCCGTGGTATCGAGATCGGTGCAGACGGTGTGCTCTTCGTCGTCGTGATCGGATTGAAAGTAGCCATAAGCCAGTACAGAACCTTTCCAGCTGTGATATGTGCCACCAATCAACTTCGTGATACAGGAATTGAGCGGCGCGTCAAAAGAAGCAGGACTGGAGCTGCAGCCCAGCATGATTTGAGGAGAAACTCTCTTCAGGCGAACAAGGTCTTCAGTGACAGGAATAGGCCATAGGTAGTCTTTCGAGTTGGCAAAAAAGGTCTTTCGCATAGCTGCAAGGTCGGGATGGCGGTAGGCGTATCGCTTGTCCATTTCAAGCCAGACAAACTTGGGCTCCGAACCTTGGGCAGGAAAGTAGATCGCACGGCGTACAGATGGACGTGGGTGATACTTGAATTGCGCGAACGATTTGCAGAGTGCAAGGTGAGTAGGCCGGTCGATTATTTGACACTCCTTGCTACAGTAGTGCGAGCATAGGCACCCCGCACATGCTTTTGTCCTCTCCAGACGGGCACATGCCTCGCATGGTTTCCTCTCAGATGGCTGCATCGCTGGTGGGACGATTTTGGTTTTTGAGCGCTCAAAGGATGCCGTTGTTGCACAGCAGAGATAGGTTGTACGAGAGTCCAGTGCGAACGGGGACCGCCAGCTTGAGATCGTGAGGATACAAGAGCGTGAGATCGTGAGAGTGCAGGAGGACGAGAGCGTGAGAGTGCGAGAGCGTGATAGATTGTAAGAGTGCGAGTCTGAGAGCGCGGGAGTCCGAGAGCGCGAGATGGTGGAAGTGCGAAAGCGTGAGATTGTAACAGATCGTAAGAGTGCGAGACTGAGAGCTTGAGAGCTCAAGATTGTTAGATCGGATTTCTCCTTCACGAAACATTCAGCAACATCGATGGTACAAACATCAATCTGCGTGACTTTCTTTCTCTGCAGGTCCCCCCAACAACACGAATGCTGCCTTGTGACTGGGCAATGAAAGTGAGAAGGACAAGAAGAAGCGCTCTGCAACACACAGACAAAATAAACACGAAAAACAAGGCCGGGCAATTGATGTGGAGTAAACAAAGCAGAAGTGGTATTGTACGTATGAAAACAAGACTGCCGAAGCCCAAACCTGTCATTGTCCAGGTCTTTCTATCCTAGCTCATGAAGCAACCGAGAATTGAGATATTATGATACACATGAGGTGATGATGTGATGAAGAAAAGGTGATGATCCTGCGTCACCTCTCCTTCAATGCGAAAAATGCAGATTCTTGGTTTACAAGAAAAAGAGAGAGGCGAGGAAGGCACCGAAGGTTGCAGCACCGGAAGTGGCGATCATAGGCACCGCGGCACCTGAGCTAGTGGCTGCAGCCTGAGAGCCAGTGGCAGAGGCAGATCTAGAGCTGCTGCGGGTGGCACTGGAGCTACCGCTGGTGCTCTGGCTACCAGTAGCTGAGGCAGTTCCAGTAGGTGTAGAAGGAGTGTAGTTTCCGGCAAGACCAGGGCGGTTGCTGTCCTGCTCGTCAAGAATAGTGAGCTCGAGGTTGTTGACCTGGTCGCCGTTGTAGTCGTAGACAGTGGCAGGCATAGCGGTCTTGGTAACAGATACAGTCTTTCCCTGGTTGGCGTTGGAGATGCCGTTGTTGATCAGGTCGTCGACACCGTCGGGACGGGCGGGAAGGTCCCAGCTGCGGTAGAAAGAGCTCTCGGTGATGAGATCGGGATCGCATGCAGGAGCGGTACGACCAGTAGCAGTGGTGTTGGCGGAAGTGAGGAGGCTCTCGTCAAGCTTGGCGTACTGGGTGGCCAGGAAGCCGTAGTCTTCGCGGAGAGTGATCTCGTCGGCACTCGTGATGTTGACAAGGCCGTAGTCGTTGATACCCTCGCTGTACTCGTACACAAGACCACCCGACATGACACTCATCTGCTCGCCATAGAGAATCGGGACTTCGGTGAAATGGCGGGGCTTGACGAGATTGCATCCGTATTCGGAGAAGAAGACGGGAATGCTGGTGTTGCCGAATTGTTGCACCAACTTGTTGTAGCCGGATGACTCGAATGTCGCGTCTCCGCAGAACTCGTAATCGTTGAGGCCGAAGAAGTCAATCTTGGAGGATGTCGAGTTGGACAATTCGCAGCCAAGGTACTCCCAAGTGTCGCTGAGGGATACGGCAACATCAGCGGCCGAGTAACCAACGCCAATCTCTCTGTCGACGTTCTTGGCGATGTAGTCTTTCATGTCGCGGGTGACCGCGCGGATATAAGCAGGCGCATTGACAGCACTCTCCTCGTTGATGATCTCGTTACCAGAGAAGAAGCCGAGAAGGTTGGGGTAAGGTGCAAAGGCCTCAATAATGCTAAAGACATGGGTAAGGTACTGGTTGGTGTAAGTCGTCCAGGGCGCGGTGCGGTCGATGTATGATCCGAGGTTTCCGTTGTTGACATCGAGGAGCATGTAGATACCCGCAGCGTTGAAGATAGATGCACATTCGTCATGGTTGAGGTCGGCGATCAAGTTGTAAACTCTGATAGTGTTGACACCGAGGCGCTGCATGAGAATGGCATCTCTCAAGCAAGCATTGCCATCGCTCAAAGGATCGCTAGTGGCGCTGACACCGGAGGAGCCGCCGGGCTGGTAGCTGAAGCACCGTTAAAAACGCGCCTTGACGAATATTGCGTCATGTTCAATGCTTACTCAACACCGACGATAGAGAAGCGATTTCCACTTGACTTGGTGACGAAGTTCGCGCCATTGACATTAAGAGGCTGAACTGCTGCTGCAAAGGATGAGAAGAGCGAGGCCACTGCCAGAGTGGCGCCCGGAACAGATGTCTGGATTTAGAGTTAGCATACGCGTCTTGTCTATTGTGGCATTGCGCCCTGATGGTAATTACAGTCTTCATGATGATGTTGAGGAATGTGAGAAGATGATTCGTGAGCGAGCGTGTAGCAAATATCGGAGGAAAGAGCGATTATAAGAGTAGAAGAGTTCTCAGCCTTCACCAAGCCAACACAGCAAACGTGAACCAAAACCTTGATATTCTTGAGAAAAAGTGGGAGTACGAGGGTGCTTGAAGTATCCGACTAGCCGCGGCGCCTCTTGGAGAAATGGAGACTAAACGCCTTTCTGAATGGACGGGAGATTAGGCATGTCAGGATTGATAGGTGCCGCTTTTACATTTCATCCTAAGACAGATTGTATGAGCCCTACATTCGGATCTCCATTAAAAAATTTATTTCTCGATATTCTGTACGACCTGCGATGGCCATGTCCTGTTGATTCCTCGCCTCGACACTGCTGCTTTTCGCTTGATTGATAAACAATGACCGCTGTCAACAAGTCTTTCGCTGCTGGTTGCGATACGAATGTTCGTGTTTGATGTTTAATTTTGGAAATCGTGTCAGAAAAAGAGTCGGTCCGAGCACCATCTTGGAGACAATCGACAACGACGATCCTTCTGGGAATCCGGTTGCTCAAGCAGCGAATCATCATCGCCAAAATAGTTTGGGAGTGGATGAGGCTCGTCAAAGCTATAAACTGGCGGAAATAGTGTGGTGCAGCCGACTTGAGGCACACCGCGGACGAGAGCAGACGACCACTGTGAGATTCGCAATCATTGCAGTCATCACTCAGAAAGGGCTGCTGCATATCCACTGTTTGACGTCGACATAAGCAAGATATCGTTCAAGCTTCAGCACTAAGCATGCATGGCATAGCATCGCATCAACGTTGTACCACATGCAAATCAAGCCCTCGTCGGACACAAGACGGGTGCCGGCCTGCTATTAAAGAGCGCTGTTTTCATGAAGTCTCGAGTTGGTCCATATTATCAACTTTCTAGACACTGTGTGGATCTTGATCGAAGGCACGACTGTTTTTCTGCTTCCCATACATGATTTGAGGCATCTCTTGACATGTTGTATCAGTTCATAGTCAAGCTCATGCAATCGGTCTTGTCAGACTTGTCGCAAGCTGGGCGCTCGGCACGGATGTCTGCGGCAACGTCATGCGCTCGCTGACCAGCCACCTTTGACGGACATGCGGCAGCTTGCAGTTCTACTGTCAACTACAAACAAGATATCAAGGTGATTACAACCTTATACCAAACCTTGAAAACTGCCATCGCAAGCTTGCAATATGTGTATCGCTTTGCTTACGACAGCTCATGACGAATACCCTTTCATTCTGCTGAACAATCGCGATGTAATTATGCCCAAATCGTGCTGGCCATTACTGGCCGACTAATGATACCACGACTATAGGAGTTCCTCACTCGGCCAACTGCAAAAGCCGACTTCTGGCCATCGCCTAATGAACATGTTGTCGGAGGTCGTGATCTGCAACGTCCCGAGCAAGGCACCTGGCTAGGTCTCACCAAGCAGGGTCGCCTGGCCTGTCTGACCAATTTTCGCGAGGCCGACACACAAATCTACGGCGTCAAGTCTCGAGGAGGATTACCAAAGGCGTTCCTCACACTGCCTCCTGGTAGTACGCAGTCTTCGGAGGAGTTTGCACGACACATGGTTGAAGACGTTGGTGTAGGTGATGTCGGAGGCTTCAGTCTTGTCTTCGGTAGGTTACGCAAGGCAGATATTTGCTCGGCAAAAGGCAAAGGCCTTGCTATCATCTCAAATCGCACCGCGGACGCCTCTGCTACTACCTGGATCTGCGGCAAGCCTGGCGAAATTCAAGGTCTCAGCAATTCTTATTTTGGCGACAGGACGTGGCCTAAGGTTGTCGAGGGCGAAAGGAGATTACAGTCCGCTATTGAAAAGCAGAGCGCGGCGAGATCGAGTAAGCAAGATTTACTCAAAGCATTATTTGAGGTCTTGAGTCAAGATACATTACCTCGTCGCAAGCACGGTCAAGACTGGGAAACATATGTTTACCAGCTTCGCAACAGCATCTTCATTCCACGTATTGGTGGAGAAGAGCTAGACGATGCTTCTGCTGATGAGATTGCTGCAGCCGATGTAGGTCGCAGTGCGAAGACTAATAATGGAGGCTACGGTACGCAGAAGCAGACGGTCATCCTTGTTGACCACGATGGAAAAGTCACTTATGTTGAGAAGACCCTCTACGATGAGCTTGGCCGTCCGACAGACGGCGACTTCGAGCAGCATGAGTTTGAGATTGAAGGTTGGAGCGATTGAAAGCGTAATCTTGTTAAAACGTGGGAACTGTCTAATGCTCGAGCCTCCTTTTTTATTATACTGAGATGGAAGGCAATCATCTAGTGTCACCGTTGTCACCTTATCGACGGCCGACAATCAGACGTCGCCTAGAGCGCTCCATGTTTCCACCTCTGCTCGGCCAGGATCTACATTTTCCTTCCCTTTGTCTCTACCCATTCTTATTCCCAACCCAACCGCTTTTGGCTTGACAACAGATGACAGCTTCTTTGGACTCAGACTGTGGCGTCGCCTGACTGGAGACAGCTGACTTGACTTGTTCCTCTGCTCAGAGAGCAGCATAGGTGCACTTGGCAATGGACTCAGCACCCTTTGATGCTTCTGAGGTTTGCCCTTCTCACCCTCGAGATTTGCGATCTCAGTGAAGACCTTGAGATTTGATCGCCGCTTCTTCTTGGCCTTGGGGGACTTGGTTGCAGACATATTGCTCTTCGCGGCTGGGATGTAACACTCACGAGCCTTGCCGACTTTTCGCATACTTAACACCGAGGCTTCACCTACATAGCTCTCATCATCGTCGATTGGACCGTGATCATCGCTGTACACACTACGGTCGTCACTCATGATGGCCTGAGTCGAAGTTGAACCATTGTCGCTGTGCCGGTAAGCTGCAAGTGTGTTCAAGCTGGAGGTTGGCGACGCATCCAGATATGCTTGCAGCTCGCGTGTACCAGCTGTGAGCATGTGCTGGTTGAACATCTGCGTTGAGCGACCAGAAACAGTGCCATTGTGGTCGATCTGTGGTGTTGACTTCACTGGTACAGTTCGAGGAGAGACGCCGGATTCTGGGCTCGGCTGGACAGTCATGCTCAGTGCATCCGCGTTGGTGTGGCCATGAACGGCCTTGACAGCTGTGAAAAGTCGTGCAGGATTGCGGTTTGGGATCGGTGGTGGTGGTGTGCTAGGCACAGGTGGCATAAGTGGTGACAATGGCGGTTTGGGGTGTGGAGTTGCAGGTCTTGAGAATGGCACTCTTGACAGGTGTCGCGAAGCAACTCGGACGGGCGGTGCGTTTGGACGATTGATGATCCCACCGGCATCCTGAGGAGAACGATAAATCGTTGGCCATACACCAGATACCACCTCTGGCTCATCGCGACGCTCGCAGATCGCGTTACGTCGACGCATATCATACATCGGCAATCCACCCTCGCTAGCACGCGATCTGGTCTCTCCCAACTCAATCTCTTGTCTGACTTGGGCCCTGACAGCGGCGGTCTTTGTCGCACGTGCCCTGCGGCATAAGACACCCAATATCAAACCAAAGGAGACGATGAAAGCTGCCACGGAGAGGGCGAAGAACACTACTAGTGCAGATCTTCCAACAATTCCATGAGGGGTACCCACCATCACACTTCGAACAAACAAGATGGCAGAAACTAGCAGAATTGAGCCAGATGCCAGTGCTGATATACTGAGCGCCGGCAATGACCCGTCGAGATTGTGGACACATCGCCGCTGGGTTCGCAGCAAACGAGGTGGTTTGTTGTCTAGTTTCTGGATTGAGGGTGGCACATTGGAGGCCGGAAGAGTTGGTAAAGGTGTTGGTGCTCTGTAGCCAATCTGTGGCGGAACAGTGTCGAGTCTCTGGGGCGGAGGAGTCACAGGGTATGGCGGATCTTGTGCGCCATCGGTATTCAAAAGATGTTGCGGTGTTCGGAGAGCCCCTCTCAGATGGGTCCTAACTTGGTCGGCTCTTCTTCGACTGGGATCGTCTTTATACATCCGAACTTCTGACTGCTGGCAGTATCTTCTACCATGATGATTTGCACCAGAATCGGGACGCGGAGTTGATTCAGAATGAGGGCGTACGTGTCGATGTTGCTGGAGATCCTCTGTTCTCAAGATATCCGGTGCACTTTCCCATGCTGATAGCAGTCCAACCTTTGCCATGACTGGGTTATGGTCTTGCTCACGAAACAAACTTCTGACCAGCGAACAAGAAGCAGTATATGAATAGAGGGAAGCTCGTCATTCCACGTCAAGAGGCCGAGAAGTGTTGGAGAAGTACAACACGGTCTGAGACCAAGACAATTCTGCCACATTCCATTCACAAGTCCGCCAGCAAACATGCCGCTCTATATTGCTGCTTCTATCGTTGTCTTACTGGATATTCTGCGTTCATGGAGGGTCAAAGCCTGGAGTGGATGAGACATTTCACCCTTGTGATTCAAGGTTTTTGAATACTCGAACTCTTTGTTGTACTCTGAAAGTCTCTGAGACATTCTGGCTTCTTCCAGAGCTGTGCTATTAGAGTCTCAGTATCTTGGTTCTTCTGGCGTAGTCTCCTGCAGTACTTGGCTGTTAGTATGCACGGCTGGAGCATACTCGCAGCGTGATGCGCTGAGGAGACAATCCAGCTCAGGCTATCTGGAGAGCTAATGGAAAAGTAAAGTTCTGCATTTGAGTAGAAGGCGGTCCATTGCACGGTTCTGGAGAGATTTCGATCTGTGTTCCGTACATGTTGCAGGATCGAGGTCCTCGAGCTGGGAGGCAGATGTCACAACGTCCGACAGGGTTTGCTTTAGGCGATAGCTGGTGATGATTGAGCTCTCAAACAATCGGTGATACCCTTCAAGATAGATGCCCCAAAGACCTGCGCGTACGACAAGAAAACAAAACACGCCCAACACCAGCAAAAAAACCGGAACTTAATCAGGGAAACATCTTTGCAACCAAAGTCATAATCGCGACCAACCAACGCTGTGAGTCGAACTCACAGCCCCTGGATTCTATTTATGCTAGACTTTGGAGAGGTTTGACGAGTGCCTGTGAGCCACAGGACTTGTCTCTTGATAAGGAGGTGAAGCTATGGGATTATGACATTGGAAGTGAAAGTGAAGCTAGACTCGATTGAGACGGTTCCAAGAAGTGATGATGAATCGAACCTTTACTGCTACTCAATTGCAGACAACTGGATTGTCCTACTAGACCGTAGGCTTGGAACCAATAGTAGACTTGTGCGTCTAGTCTGCACATAGCAGGTCTGTGACCAGAAGTTTCTCAAGGCTTGCATAGCAGCCGGATTCGGAAAATCGAGGTCACCAGCAAAGGAAACAACTCACTTGCTTTGGTGAGCGAGTTGATCGGCTTTCTTTTCCGCGCCGTCTCTCTTTCACGCTTTCCCTCATCTTTGCATCTGGTTGTTTACGCCATCATAACAACCCTTGACTGTGCAAGTCGCATTCAAGTGTACACAACAATGCCCTCTCTCAAACAACTCACCTGCTCCATCGAGCTTGGCAGCACTCACACAAAGATCACGGAATACGGCAAAAACTACGGCGATGGTCTTGTAACCAGCTACATCGCCGTCCCCAGCGAAGCAGTAAACTTCAGCATCCACCTCACCTCTCACGGTTATGTTGCACCTGGTCTTGCCATGTTTGTTTACATGGATGGCCAGTACCAATGCAATCGTAATAGACGTGGTTTGATGCTACCTGGCAAGGGTGTCAAGGATGGACAGTTTGAGGTCGATTTGCGCGTCAGGCAGAAGGAGTCGAAGCAGAGCGATGGAAGTTTTCTGGGAAGAGATTGGACGTTTCATGGGTTAAATATGGGTGAGTTGTGTGACGCCAATACGACGAGGGGGATTGCTGACGATCTTAGTATCTGCTGACAAGGTCGAGGAGACCGATGATGTGTTTCTTGACAACTTGGGCACGATCGAGGTCATCGTCTTGCGCTGCAAGGATGCTCCTCTACCACCTCCCAGTGTACCCATTGTCAGAGAAAGCTCGTCCAGAGCAACTTCCAACAGCTCACCTCGACCTCCGACTAAGCCGGAGTCCAAGCACTCCACTCCAAAGCCAGAGCAGAAGGAACCATCCAAGCACTCTTCTCGTCAAAAGCAGAAGGAGCCGTCTGCAAAAGCAAAGGCACCTTCCAAAAAAGAAAGCTCGGTTGGCGGCATGTTCGGTCTTTTCGACGGCGCCTCAGACGAACCCGACGGTATCCCAGCAAAACCCTACTGGAACGATTGGAACAAACGCCCTACGCTCTCCGGTCCACGTCTAACCCGCGACCTCTACATCGCTCCTGAAGAACCTCTCCCTTTGGTCCCAAAGCAAGCCGCTCGCAGCAAACATGTTGAACATCAAGTCAAGACCGGTAAGGGAGCCCAGTATCTCCACTTGTGTGCTCGTCCCGAATACCTGGATAGCATGAAGCAGCCTTATGCCGTATTCACCTTCAAGTACCGTAGCAAGAGATTCATTGATAAGAAGTTCAAAGTCGAGATCAAAGAGGAAGGAAGGAACCTCATGGCCAAGATAGCAGATATGTCCAAGAACGAATTGGCAGAAGAGCTGTTCAGATTGAGAGTGCGTATACACCCCCATGCCCAATTCTAGCCAGCGGTGAACCGCGCACCGTCGCCAGTAGGATCGCCCCAGGGTCGTACCCGCAACTTGCCCCCCCCCCCCCCCCCCCCCCCCCCCTATTTCTTCTAATCGCGAACTGACAAGGGAAGAAGATGGCAGACAAGGAGAAAAGCATCAAAGCCGCCAACGACAAAGCTGCCAGTGCAGCCAAAGCTCCCACCCACAAATCAGCATCCGCACAACTTCCCACAAAAGACAATGCCTGGGAAAAGCCCGCCGACAAGACTCCTACAAAGTCAAAGTCAAAGGCAAAGACAGCCACTGCACTTGTATCCGCAGATTGGGCGGCTGTTCCTCCCGCCAACGGTTGGCCAACTGTACCTGCTCCTGCAGGTGACTGGACAACTGTTCCTGATCCTGTCAAGACTTCTTCCAAGTCAGCAAAGAAGTCCACTTCCAAAGCTCCTTCAAAGACACCTTCGCAAAAGACAAAGGATGCCCCTGGAGCTTTCCCTGATGGTGATGAGCGTGGGAAGTCTGCTGTTGGCGGTGCTACAGAGTCCAGTCATCACACCGTCAGTGAGGCCGCAAAGACCGCCAAATCTGTTTCCAAAAAGTCAAGTAAGAAGGAAGATCCTGCTGCTACCGACGGACAAGCAAACTGGGACCAGATACCAGCTGCTGGCGGTGCTACCTGGGACACCGCGCCTGCTGCCGGCGGCGCCAGTTGGGATGTTCCGGCTGATACCCCTGCTGATGTGCAATGGTAAACTTCCCTCAAAGTAGCAACTATATCGAGATGGGAAGAGAAGAAGGCTGACGTTGGAGAAGGAGAACTTTGCGCATTGCTTTCACAATCATGACTATCATTGCTGCTATCGCTCTTTCGATTATCGCGTACTATTGGATCAAGAGCTACGTACTTCAAGCCATTGCCTTTTGCTTCTTGCTCAAAGACTGTATGATTGCTCCGTTTACTTGGACCAAGGATCTCTGGGTGAAGACGACAGAGGTGATCTTTGTCTTCACTCCCGTGACCTGGGCAAAGACTCTCTGGTCGGGACTGAAAGGCTTGAGCTGGTTCTTTACTCCTCTGATTTGGCTCAAGGACGGAATGCTGAAGTTTATGGAAATGGTTTCTGGACACGAGATTGGCAAGCCACGCTTTATGGAGCTTGATTTCTGGAGTATGGAGTGGCTGCAAAGACCTGACTGGCTTTTGTGGCCTGAATGGCCCGAGTGGAACTTCGATTTTCCAGAGGCGATCAGGAATGCTTCTGCTATGCTCTCGAACTTGCTTGACGCCGTCTGGTCGGTCATGCGCCCGGATGGCGTACAGGCAGTGCATGTCGTAGACGATGTGCTTGAGGAGATTTGAAGCATCGAGTGCCGGAGGAGATCGACAATCAACGAGACAGCCACGGGTGGACTGACCAGAGCCTGGTGATAATGAACATGGTCTTCGTAAAGTCGTAATGCTTATACAGCCGCTGGGCTGTTTTCTTTCATGGTTCCTCCTCATTTGTTATGCACCAAGAAGTTCCTGAATGAGTCCCAGTGATCCGCGTTGTCGTACCTATGACCTCGTTAGCAATCGTGCCTCGCTCTACGACTAGCAAGGTAACCCACAGATAAGTCATCGAACTCCTCAAACTCGGCTGCAACATGTCCGGGTAGTATCTGAACAACCACATCACACAACCCCAACTCAAACTCGCAAACACCGGCCAAGCATTCCTCCTCACCTTCTCTCTGCTCACATCCGACATGCTCAAGAGCCCCATACCACCTCTTCCTCCATACTGTCCTCCCAGAAGTTCATTGTCACCACGAGGTTGCACCGCCAGACTCGCCGCAGCAAGCACAACCCTCGCAGCCACATAAATGACAATCTGCTGATTGACACTACTCCTACTTCTGCCAAAAACATAGTAACCACCCGCCAACCCCGCCACAAAGCTATCACTCTTCACCTCTTTCCCTCCCGGTCTGATACTCTTTTGAAGCAGCATAAAAGCCTTGTACAAGAAGGCAAAAGTGGCAAGATTCTTGGCATGCTGGCGTGTAGCTTTTAGGACAGAAGAAAGCTTTTGAGGCAAAGGACCGGAGCGGAATAAGAGGATCATTACGAGGGCGTGGGGGAAGCGGACTTTTGTGCCGTAGACTAGGCCGTTGCGGAGGGCTTTGAGGAGGGAGAGGGGGGCGTGATAGTGGGGGTCTAGAAGGATGCGATTGGCGGTTGCCTGTAAGAGATGTATTAGTATGGTATGGGCTTCTTGGAGTGGAGGCAGCGGACCTGGAGAGTTGAGATGTCCATCTTGACGGTATGATGTGTGGTGTCGTGTGAGGCGGAAGAAGTTGTGCCGTTGGCGAGAAGACGAATACTATCGTCCTAGTTGTTGTCGAGCTAAGGTAGAACAAGGTGGTGAGAGAGGCAGTCGTGTTTGTTTGGGCAGGTACGAACAAGTCATTGTTCCCTCAAGAGCTCCATGTGCCCTTTGGCATATGATGGCAGCAGCCGAGGGCGGGCCCAGAAACATTCCAACCTCGGTACGAGCTTACCCCAGATCTTGGCCGTCTGACGTAGTGCTCACATCTCGCATGTGATTGCCGGAACTCAAATTGCTCGACTTCTTCTCCTCACACGCCCATGGCACTTGACATGATTTCAAAGTCGCTTCATTGCAATCTACCTAGCATGACTTCAATGACTGTGAGCAGGATGCCGGTATCCAAGTCATGAGCTGCCTCCACTGAAGTTCACCGGACTGATCAAAGTCCCCGAATTGAGACAGTCAAACTCTGGTCGTCGAGACCACGCCTCTTTCAGTTCTCGTAGTCGTATGGCATCTCATCGTCGGTCAAGTCGTTGTTGTCTGGAACGTCCATCACATGACTGTCCACCGTCATTTCGTTGTTCAGTCTGGTCCTGCTCCACACCAGCAGATGTCTTCGGGAAATCTGCTTGGAAACGCTTCTTCTGATATTCTTCATTGCAAATGCTGGGTCCGTTCCAGTACGCAAGTTGTTGAGATAGTGGCGCTCCAGCTTCAAGCAGTCTGTGCTGGCTTTCTGAAACATGGGTCGCAGCTTGGCCTCGATCCAGTCGCAGAGAGTTCTCAGGTAGTTGACTGTGAGCGGCTGTCTGTCCACACGTGTCACAATGACGTTTCCAGTGTCCTTTGATCGACGGTACAAGCCAAATCTGTGCTCACTTGTGTTGCAAAGGATGGATAACAGTTTCAATACTGAATTGCTCTTGTTGAGTCTGTTGCGTGAGATGCGTTTGTGAAGGACGTCTTGATCCACAGACCCTGAGGTGGCCACCAGACGTACACCTGTATGCTCTGTCATGATCGCGGCGCGTTCCCAATCGTAGCCGTGAAGGAAGTCGCTGCTTTGTACAACTGTAGCCTCGAAACGCGGAGCGATACGCTCGTCCACGAGTCCATCGCAGTTGATACGAACAGCCGGAATGTCACAAAATTCATGCAGAACGGCCCGGAAGAACTTTGCGCTGAAGACGATGGTCCTGAACACTCGAGTGGATCCACGCTGTTCGCGCCTACCGCGTGCTGACCGCGACGATACGATAATGGATCCTTTGACAGAAGTCACTGCGCCATTTGTAAGTGTCTTAATGCAATTGTTGGCAGCCATGTATTCTGACCTATGCTCAGAGGCGGTGATAGAGACATGTTGACACGATCTTGTATGGTGTGAGTGTGATAAGCAGATGTGATTGCAGTCAGGTCCACAAGCACAGCCGGTTGTACATCCCCTGATACTAGCAAAAAGTTTGGCGGCGGACGATTGCTGGCTTGTCCAGACGATACTCTCATACTGTTGGCCCGAGGTTACAGGGAACAGTCTGAACTCAGGCTCCCTGCCATTCTCAGGGAATTAAAGTGCCCAAGTGAAACCAGGATGGAGACTATCATCGCGTTCGGCGAACTTCTTGCAGACGACCTTATGGGTTGGCCAGTCATTTTTCTGATGAGCGCGCGAGCAGTAGCGAATGTCCTTGCAGCCAGAGCAAAGCTTTCCTGGCTACGCACACAAAGCACAAGGTCCAGCCATGTTGATTGCGTAAGTCAAGGATGTGTTTTTTTGGTAGTTGTTGCAGAAGAGCAAAAGAGTTATTCAGACTGAAGCCAGAGTCGGCTTCTGAAAGGTCTTTTTATGCAAGTGTTGCTTGCGTAACAATCTACCTTGGCCAGGAAGACGTAACGAAGAAACGGTGGTTGCGTCGTTGTATGAGAAGAGGAGAAAATAGGAAGGTTGGTGGGAGAGTAGAACAACAAGCTGCGCGGAGCTTTGTAGAAGCACAGTTGAAGAATGGAAAGTGAAGGCCGCAGTCACACTCGTAATAATTGGATGAAGGAGACGTTCCAGACTCAAAGTGAGGCGCTCACTCTCGACACCATGATCGTAGTCGTAATTTGACTCTCCTTGGCTTCTAAGGAGTATCCTAGAGGATTACAGATGTAAACGAGGCCACGAAGCAAAAGAGACGCAGAGAGAGTCAAGGTTGGCGGCGGGTCAGAGCAAAAGAGAGAATAGATAACAAATGCTATGGACTCTATGTAGGCCATAGTTGTTTATGGGTAAGCCTCGTCGTCAGATCAAATCTCATCAATCGAAGAAGACAGACGGAAGATACTAGGAAAACTAATGCTTCCTCGAAAGTGTTCCCGATCGTCAGCCCTCACGGTTCTGCTTCTAGTCAGGATCACTCGTTCCGAGGCTGTCTTCCATGATAGTAGTGCTTCCGCCGATGGATAGTATGCTGTAGTGCCCAAGGCGAGGAACGCATTATGTCCAAGTCGAATAATAAGAACTTTGTATTCGTCCTTTGATGACAAGACTAAGGTTTCTAGTGGCTCGCATTGATAAGCAGTGGTGTGCAGATATTGCCGCCGAGTGTAGAGGAGCCCTCAGTCGAGACTATCTGCGTCGCCCTCGGCCTTCTTTCTTTCGACCTCGCGCGCCTTGCGTGCTGCGAAGCAGTTCCTCGCTTTCCCAGTCGGGTTGTTCGTAGCCCGTTCCAGATCTCAGTGGCAACCACTGGAACTCAGGCTTGGCGGTCGTCTTGGTGCGGAAGTAGAGGACGCGTCTCATTCTGGGAGAAGGGTGCTCGCCGAGTTCGACGAACTGCTTGCAAACATTAAAGTGAATGTCCCAGTCATCTTTCTGATGAGCGTGAGAGCAGTAGCGTATGTTCTTGCAGCCAGAGCAGAGCTTGCCTGGGCGCGGGCAGACAGCACACAGGTTATTCATGTTCATGGTTCAGGTAAGGAAGTGGTGGCGCAAGAGCGTTGTAGCCGATTGATGTAAGAGACTGACTGTTGTGCTGTGATGATTGGAAGTGGCGCAATGCAGTGCAGTGCAGTGTTGTACTGCGTGTTGATGATCGAGAGTGATGCTTTGTTGTGATGTGTTGCGTTGTAAACTGTTATGTTGTGATGTGATGTGAGAGCAGCTAGAAATGAGAGGTAGCTCGAGTGAGCTGTGATCAGAGAGAGGTACGGAGCCAAGTTGAGAGTCTTGACTTAGATCAAGGACGAGGAGCCAGTGAAAGGTGCAAAGAACTTGTAAGAGACGCGAACAACCAGTGAAAGCGCAACAAGGATTCCGGAAAGCTGGACGAGGCAGCTTTTTGCGGGAGAAGATGCTACTGATTAGAAGGGATTTGGTAAACAAAAGTGTTAACGTGGGTATCAAACTAGCAATCTCTTTTGGACTCCTCTCCAATGTAACTTCTTCCACAACATTCACCCTCAACATATCCATCACCATCTCTCCTTAGTTGTTGGTATTAAACCTATCTCGCTGTTAGCCATCCCATCTCTCTCATTTTCCCTTCTCCCTCCATCACACTTACTTATAATCACAAGCCGGGCACCTGTAGAAGATCGTACTACCCTCATCCGCGCCTCTCAACTGCACATCTCTAAATCTCATCTCTGGGTTCGCACACTGAGGACATGCTGTAGTAGTCATGGCCCAGGTCTCGCGGTCTTCAGCACTCAAAACTTGGATCTCCGAGCGGGCGTCACGGAGACGAGAGGGAAATGCTGTAGAGGCGGATTCGGTGGTAATGGACGTGGGCCATTTGTCTGTGTGGTGGAGGTTAGAGGGAGAAGATTCGAAATTTGCGCATTTTCGTGATGTAGTCTTTTTTTCCCCTCCTTGTACTTTCCATTGATACTTCCAAGATTTTCGGAGATTATGGCATTCTTGCTCTTTCTGATAGTCTTCGCGAGAGATGAAAAAAATGAGAAGAAGGAAAATACTTACTCTGGTTTCTCTTGCCACAGACATCGCAGTCAATGTTTGCCTGGGAGGCAGGGCATCGCTCCAAAAGACCACCGCAGTCGTTGCAGAAAAGAAGAGCACCGACTAATGACATGTTTGCTGATTTGTGTGATTGGAAAAAGATAAATTGATAGCATCGATCACGGAGGTCGGTCGAAGAAGCAGTTATGGACGCCGAAAAAAGTTTGTTGCATAAATTTTGCATAATCACGTTAAAGTCTGCATAAATTGGAAAGCCTAAATCTTATGACCAATAGTCAACGTCAGAGCAATTTCAATGATAAAGTGATTGCTTTTGTGTTCTGAAGAATACCTAATTATCGATCATGAAAATGTAGCTAGATGTGTCCAAAGCCACGAATTATCTGCGTGTAATGTGCTTTTGCAATGCAACTCTCCCAAGAGGCAAAAAACGCCGTTCTGATGCAATAACAATAATGATGATATGTGGCATGTCTACCATGCCCAACTTCCCCTCCTGGCTCCAGTGCCCCAATTGCCACCAAGGCCTGTCCCTGACAAGCCATTCTTGACCATATTCTTCTCCTGTCTCGCCCATTCTCTGACATATAATTTCAGTGCATGCCATCTCGCGCAGCCGCCATCTTCGAGCTCTTGATCTGTACCATCGCCTCTTCCCTCAAAATCCTCGCCGAAACGAATGTATCCACGCGGCATTTTCTTAGCAATATCATCGTCACGTCGGAGTTCAGTGATTGAGATCTTGCTGATCTTACTCAACTCTTCATCGAAAGGTCTGGCCATAGTAGGGTAGCCCAGAGAGAGGTAATTGTAAACTTGAGTGATGAAGGAATCAGGAAATTCGCGCTCCATGACATCGTCAAGTTCCGGTTCTTCGGTGAGAATGATGTCGATCTTATCCAGATCAACATTCTCTGGAGGTGTTTGGGGTAGAATTGCGGGTGGGGGTATACTGAAGCCAGTCTCGAATGGATTGGGTTGCTCAACAGCTGGGGTCATCAATCCGGTTTGTGTGCCCACATTCGGAACAACGAGGCCATTGTCGCCGGACTTGCGATCGTCAGTGCAGAAGCCTCCCCACAGTCCACCACCGCTTTGGGATGTCGTACTCTTCTGACTGTAGATGGTGTTCTGGCTCTTGTGTATGCTCTTCTGGTGCTGTGATGCGTCTCTTGAAACGACCTTCTTACCACCCCAGAGACCTTCAGGTGATACTTCAGCTTGAGACTGCTCGGTCAAATAACACATCTGACTACGCAGTTGGTTGGAACCCTGCGTGACATCGAAGCGTGCAGGTTCCGGCGAAGCAGAGCGAGGGAACTTCAGATCGCTACCAAGCATAGGTGGGCGTGCTCTGTCCCGCATGGCTCGCGCTTCAGGATCAGGGTAGTTGGAGCCTGCAAAGTCATGACCATTAGGATTCCACCACGGTGAGGGCTTGACGGAAGACTTCCTCCTGGTTGTGCCAGCAGCCTTACGCTCCTGCTCCATCTCCTCAAAGTGTTGGTGCATCTCCCTAACCTCGTACGTCCCATGAGTTGAGCCTCGACCGTGTGGTGTGCGAACTTTCATCATGTACTCGTCATCCTCGTGGCCCTCCCAGGTCGCTGGTCGGTCATCCATCTCCTCATCTTCATCTTCGCTTTCACCATTCATGAAATGTGTGACACTCTCATGGTAGTCTGAGTTGGGAAAGGCTGCCAATGCTTGCTCCTGGAGTTTTGCCTGAGCCTTTCTGCCCTCCAATTCGAGGAGATAGCGGCTGAACGTCTCGTCAATACTTTCACGAACTCTTGTGGCATGCTTGTATGCAGGATTGTGTGGTTCCATGGCTGCTCCAAGAGAAAAGTCGTTAGATGAAGGACTGGTTGAAAGACTAGGTGGCGCACTAGGCTCACTTTCGGAACTTTCAATAGTCTCGAGTTCAGGCATACGGAATGAGTGGCTGCGAGCAGAATCCGATCGTTCTTTCCGGCGTGCGAAAGGCATGATGAATCTAGGATGCCCTGTTGGTGAAACCGATCTCTCACGCTCTGCGATTGTGATTCGCTGGCCCAAATTGTTGTATACGACCCTGCTGCTCTCACCAGGCGTTGTGTCGGTCCTGTGATGCGAGGGCAAGGAAGGCTTGTCGTCCGAGTTCTTTCGAGAACGACTTGACGTGTCGAGGAGCTGGGGAGCGAACTTGCGTCTTGGCTTCGCTGTAGGGGCGTCTGCAGGCTTCAAGGAAGGAGACGCTACTCCATTGGGGGGCGACTCCGTATAAGGTGAATGCGACTGAGGCGACTTCGACTTTGGGCGATTACTATTCGACGACATCTCTATAGGTTGTGGTAGGAAGCGCGACTTGGGCTTCTCTACCGGTGGCTCAGGCTGTCGGCTGCTCTTCGTGCTTGTCTCGACAGGTTCAGGTGCGAACCTCCTTACTGATTGTTGTGGTTGTGGTGATGCTCGTGAACTCTTTGTGCTCGTCTCTACGGGTGTTGGACTGAAGCGCCTCGGCGTTGTAGACCTTGGGGATGCTGCCTCTTGACCCTGTGCGTTGGCGTCCTTGCTGCTTCGTGTCGTGGTCTCGGCAGGCTGGACATTGAACTTCCGGGGAGCAGTGTTCTCCTCGGACTGTGCTGTTTGACGGCTCGATTTTGATGAGGTCTCGACAGGAGTCGGGTCAAAGCGGCGACGTGGCTGCTCGGGAGACATGCTGGATTATATTGAAGAGACGAGTTTCGTCGAAGCGGTCGTAGTATTTCAGAAAGAGTGCAACCTCATAACCTTGGTCTAGAATGGTGGAAGCAGGTGGGAGGTGGTGTCTCGAGCTTGTCGAGATAGCCTGGATCGCTTGGTGGCTAAGGCTGAGTAGGAGGAGAGGAAAGGTCGCAATGCTCGTACGATGGAGAAATCAGTGAACGAGTGCTATAGATTAAGTCAGTTGGAGAAATGATTGAGGTAGGACGACGGCGGGGCACTGCATACTATGCTGCAAGATGCGAATGTTGGACTTGTCTAGAGTGTCGGCTGAACTGGGATGCGGCAGGCTTCAAAATGGGTGTGTACTGAGTAGGCGGGGGGCCGATGACGGATTATGCAGAGTAACCAAGAATGTATACGTCTTGTCGCTCGAGGGTCGCCGATGTCGTGGGAGTAATTGGGAAACAATGCAAGTGCCTGGTCGCTGGAAGTAGATGGTGCAGAAACGAGGTCGGGGTGTGATGACCACAGAGGAGCAGATCGACAGATGGAGAGACGAGATCGGCCTTATCGACGCGTTACGCAGCGCCAAAAGCAATCACGGGAAACCGTCTTAGGAGCTTGCGAAAAGGAAGCAATGCCACCAAAGCTGACCGACAGACGCAGACACAAGAAGACACTGAACAGCAGACAGGGGAAGGAAATATTGCACACAAATACTTCGGTACCTCGTCGACACCGCTTCTAAACCATCGCACCCCCAATCCCCGTCAAAAAGCACATGCTCAAGTGCCATGTCCCGTCGCCGCCCGACCCAAGTCTGCTTTCGTCAAAGGCGTCGAAGCGTTTACGTTTGGCTTACACGCCAAGCCACCACTTCTCCAGTCTCCAGATTCACCTCTAACCGCACCGCACCCTCCAGTCAACACATATCAAAATGTCAGCCCTGTCCGAGAGTTGAACGACCACCGCATACACCTCACATCTAGCACACGAGTTGGACATGTAGCACACTTCTCGTAACTGCAACTTCCCACATCTCCCAATCTGCCCGCATCTTTCTCCTATCCTCTGTCTTTTTATCTCCATGCACGCACCCAGACAAGCTTCCCCAACTTGGTCTTGCCGCTATTGGTTTCGTTTTCTCCACATCTCAGCGCAAAAGCGCAAACTCAACCGTCGCGGTACGCCGGGATCTCGTCACATCGGGATGCTGGATAGAATTCTAGCCCCCCCTTGTGCTGTTGCTCGGCGAATTTAGATCATTGCTTAGAGCCTCTATGTTTCTGACTTGCATATGCTTGTTTAACATGTCTTTGATAAGATGATAAGAAGTCCTCGTGTTCTCGTCCCTCTGGATTGAGATTAGAGTCATGATTTTCTTGGGTGCTCGATATTGTTGGCATTCTTGTTAGTAACCTCCAATTCGCGGATGTGGCTTTGCAGTGCTCGAGCTTGGGAGGATGTCAACAATGGTGCATGGTTGAAATAAGAGCCGAGACGTCGGGTCCCCCATGTGACTGCAAGAGGAAATTGAAATACTGTATGGCCGTCCAACAAGGGGACAATTGGGTTAAGGTCATGCATGATACTCATTTTACATTTTTTGTATCTCGTGTTTACAGACCGTGCAAAATATAGCCTGCTCATGATCTGTACCTTCATTTCATGCTAAACAACAAAAACACCATTTTTGTTTACCTGCTCAGGGCAATGTCGTCGATTCTGAGAATCATCTTGACAGTCTCGGCGGCCAACTCAATGGCGCTGGTGCTGACGAGAAGGGGCTGCATGACACCCTCACCACCTTCTCCAGCGTTGCCGCCAACTTCACCACCCATGACACCAACGCCTCCACGCTTGATACTAACACCGACATTTGTCTCGCCGTTGGCGTGTCGTGATCGGAGTTCTGTGACGACCTTGATGGAATTGAGACCGGCGTTCTCGGCCAGGGTGATGGGAATGACTTCGAGAGCTTCGGCGAATGCCTTGAAGCAAATGTTGTCGGGATAGGACGAGGTAAGTGCGAGTCTGGAGAGCGAATGCGCAACGGCCATTTCCGGCGAACCACCACCAGGGAGGAGAGCCTTCTTCTTTACCAGACAGCGCAACACACACTGTGCGTCGTGCAAACTTCTCTCAGCCTCATCGAGAATGAGGGGGTTGGCACCTCTGCAAATGATGCTGACAGTCTTGGGGGCGGTGGGACCTGTTGTCTTGATGCCGGTGACTCTGGTGATGCGCGAGCCGAGCGATGAGACCTCCTCGATGAGGTCTGCGCTGGCGAGCTTGTCCTCTGTGAATGAGTCGATGTCTGCGATGGGCTTGCAACCAGTGCTCTGTAGTATTGTTAGCATGTCTTGCTGTTGTAGGGTTCCCAGAGCTCGAACTGCCGTACCTTGCAGATGAATTCAACTTCGTCTCTCTCAATATCCTTGACACACATGATGCCGAGCTTGGCCAAGAAATGCAGAGATAGGTCGTTGACGGCGTCTCTGAGAATAGATTTTTGGATGAAGAGCACGTTGCACTTTGCCTTCTTGATCTTCTTGACCATGTTGAGCAGGTATGTTCTCTCCTCTTTCAAAATCTTGTCCATCTGTCTGTAGTCGTTGACAACAATCTGGTTCTCCATGTCGGGCTTCGGCGGGCTGAGCTGGAACTGAATGAGGGCGATTCTGGCCTTCTCGATTCTTGTAGGACCACCACCGCTCTTCACGACCTGCTGGTTGAGGACCAGACCGTCAATCATCTCACTGTCGTCAATGACACCACCGGGCTTCTTGAGGATGCGAATGTTCTTCAAGTCGACGTTGTCGGCAGTCTTGGGGTCGATGATCTTGAGGACGGAGTCGACGGCCATGGGTGCGAGTTTGGGTTCTTGTGCGACAATCTTTGAGGAGAGCGAGGTGGAAGCGGCCTTGAGGAGAGTCTGTCTGTCGGAGAGGTTGATGGGGATGGAGATTGAGGTGAGGACCTCGACGGCGTGCTTCGCGGCGCGTTGGAACGAGTCTGAGATGACGGTAGGGTGGAGACCCTTCTTCAGCAGGCGCTCGGAAGCACCGAGGAGAGATCCAGCAATAACAACAACTGAAGTAGTGCCATCACCAGCCTCGATATCCTGAGCGTTTGCAAGGTCGACGAGCATCTTTGCGGCGGGGTGCATGACGGACATGTCGCGCAACATGGTGTTTCCATCGTTGGTCTGATGAGTGTCATCAGTATGGGATCGAGGCGAGCGGTAGTGGTGTTCGAGGTCGTCTTACAATGATTGTTTCGCCCTTGCCGGTTTGGATCTGTAACCATGTGTCAGCAAGTTGCGAAGAGAGTCAAGACGTTCTTTATGCACACCATCTTGTCCATTCCTCTGGGACCAAGCGACTAGCAGTTGTATGTCAATATAAGTCCAGATGCGGTGCGGCCAGCGGCTATCTTACGGTACGAATGGCATCGGAAACAGCTACATGGAGTCAGTACAGGGATTCAGAAGGGTTGCAGGACCTCGCATACCTCTTGCGGCAGTGATGTTCGCAGTGCGCACAGCCTGGGGCTTCTCCTTGTCCTGGCGGGCATTAGTATTGATAGGTCGATAGGAGAGTTTCAATGTTTAGGGACAGTTCATACCTTGAAGGCGGCGTTGCCGGCGTTGAAGGCCGGGGCTTGGGAGGACATGATCTCTGCTGCGTGGTATTTGAATATGCGACGAGCAAGAGATGGCTTGAAGAATAGACAAGCAGCGGGAAACGGGAGTTGGTTTCTATTGACCTTATGGAGATATTAATTTTCGAACCCTCTCAGCGTCGGCGTCGGGAATGGGAATGGGCCGCCAAGGCGGGCGTCTTCTGGAGCTGCTGGCTGCTCGCTGCTCGTCACTGTTGCGGCGACCCCGGCGAGAGCTTCCACCAAGGCCATCCATCTTCCATCCATACCCACTCGTAGAAGCTTCTTCGCCATCTGCCATCTCTCAAGCCTCGTCCCGGTCAACAACCCCTCGGACGACTGCACAAGTCCGCCTCTGACCACCATCTCCCACTCGGCCTACCCGAACACCGTCACTCCATTCCCGCCTTTCGTCATCAACTTCTAAACCACCACCGCCATGCCCAGCGCCACGGGTTCTAACTGGGAGAAATACCAGAAGAAGTTTGCCGACGATGAGCCCGAAGAGAAGAAGATCACTCCCTTGTCCGATGAGGATATCCAGGTCTTGAAGACATATGGCGCTGCTCCCTATGCCGCCGCCCTCAAGAAGCTCGAGAAGGAAATCAAGGACCGTCAGACCAGTGTCAACGAGAAGATCGGTGTAAAGGTATCATCTCTTTCTACTCTAGTATACTGCAGGACTCATACTCACACCATCGCAGGAGTCGGACACCGGTCTCGCCCCTCCGCATCTCTGGGATATCGCCGCCGACAGACAACGCATGCAAGAAGAGCAGCCGCTTCAAGTCGCCCGCTGCACAAAGATCATCCCCGATGAGAAGGACACCGAGAAGAGCAAATATGTCATCAACGTCAAGCAAATAGCAAAGTTTGTCGTCAACCTTGGCGAACGCGTCTCTCCTACCGATATCGAAGAGGGCATGAGAGTAGGGTAAGATAAATCCTGCCACTGCTCATTCGAGTCTCTTACTAACCCTGTCCCTGCTAGTGTTGATCGCAACAAGTACCAGATCATGCTTCCCCTGCCACCCAAGATCGACCCCTCAGTCACCATGATGACCGTCGAAGACAAGCCGGATGTCACCTATGGCGATGTCGGTGGTTGCAAGGAGCAGATCGAGAAGCTGCGTGAAGTCGTTGAGATGCCCCTGCTGTCACCGGAACGTTTCGTCCATCTCGGCATCGATCCTCCCAAGGGTGCTCTTCTCTACGGTCCGCCTGGAACTGGTAAGACTCTATGCGCCAGAGCCGTCGCCAACAGAACGGACGCCACTTTCATCCGCGTCATTGGTTCCGAGCTGGTACAGAAGTACGTTGGTGAGGGTGCCCGTATGGTGCGTGAGCTCTTCGAGATGGCCCGTACAAAGAAGGCTTGCATCATCTTCTTCGATGAGATTGATGCTGTCGGTGGTGCTCGTTTCGACGACGGCGCTGGTGGTGATAACGAAGTACAACGTACCATGCTGGAGCTTATCACGCAACTCGATGGTTTCGATGCTCGCGGAAACATCAAGGTCATGTTCGCTACCAACCGTCCTTCCACTCTTGACCCTGCGCTCATGCGTCCTGGACGTATCGATCGTAAGATTGAGTTCTCGTTGCCCGACATGGAGGGTCGTGCAAACATCTTGCGCATTCACGCAAAGAGTATGAGCGTCGAGCGCGATATCAGATGGGAGCTCATCTCTCGTCTGTGTCCCAACTCAACCGGTGCTGAATTGCGATCTGTCGCAACCGAGGCTGGTATGTTTGCCATCCGTGCGCGCAGAAAGGTCGCGACCGAGAAGGATTTCCTCAGCGCCGTCGAAAAGGTCATTCGCGGTGGTCTCAAGTTCAACTCAACCGCCGCCTACGCCCAATACAACTAGAGAAGGACTTGACAATCATCGGTTCTTTCTCTTTGTTACGATCTCCCTGCACACAAGCACCATCCAACATCATGTCATGGTTGTAATTTTATCTTTTCAGGAATCACTTTTCAAGAGGGTTCATCCAGCCCGGCGCATTTGAAAGGGCTCTTTTATGCATCGGCTGTCACGAAGGCGTTCTGGGATGAGAAAGGGCGTAGTAGAATAACATTCACACCAAATGCAATCGTCCACCACATGCAAACTGGCAAAGCTAACAGAACAAGAGTGACTACGGTGCCTGGAAGATGGCAGAAAAACATTGAACGCAATCCAGACTCGACAACGCTCGCGAAAACCCTGCGCCGCGGGAAGTATAAGGATGCCAACGCAAGCACGATCTCAGTGTAAATAGGAAGGATCGAATGACAAGATCGGCCGCAAGTCCACAGTGCCTTCCGTATCGAGGTCAAACGCAAGCTCCACGTGCTCGTTCCATGCTTCGTTTTGGTCTAAAACCACTCGGTCTTCATCAACACCACAAACGGGTGGCCCTGTTCCAGGATATATCATCCCCCGAGCACATCATAACCCCTGTCTTCCGCTCAGGACGCCTTCATGAACCCGACAGCAAGATGCAGCTCCTACTTATTGTCGTCTCCGCCGCAATGGTTGTCCTGGCTCAATCTAGCACTAACGTGCCTCCTTGCCTGGTATCATATAGCTCTGTCGAATCACTTCGTCTGATTGTCGCTGATCATACTCGCAGTCGGCTTACATGGCACCATATCCAGAGTCGCACTCGGCAGCGACATGCATGTCCAATTGGACTCTAGCAATCTCTTCCTGCATCGACGCATCATGCAGTGTCTCTGTCTCTTCCGCCAGTGTCAATACCCGCACGAGCATGTTCTTCACACCCAGTCATGATACCTCGTGTCAACAAGCTTCCATCAATGGTGTGACTCAACCTGACTCGATGCTGCAGCTACGACCTGGTATCTGCCAGATGAACTCTTACAGGTTTGAGTCGTTCTTGGTGTCGACTGGCCAGAACGGTATACAGCAAGACTGTTCGTTGGGATTGTTCGAGGGGACACAGTGTGCTGGTGGTACGAGAGAGGTTCCTCTCAATGGTAACAGTGCTTCATCCGGAGAGTGTTGGGTCGTCGGTGGTCAGAGCGTGATGCTATCATGTGGCGAAGGAGGGGATGCATCCGACAACCAGGGTAAGTGGCTCACACATCAACGATATTTATGAGCACTGACGAATCTCTCAGCCGCTCACAGCTACATATCGTCTTTCTGCAGTATCAGCGGTCATACGCAGACCTCCACTCGCTTGCAATCGTCGACCACACTCATCGCTGCAGATACGACCACCCTCGCTACAACAATCGCCTCAAACTCGACTTCATCAAACCTCACGGCCGGCACATTCGGTGACCCTGCCACACCTGCAAACACGACATCTCTCGCCACTACTAGCATTGTCGTCATCATACCCAGCACTGTCTCTGTCAGCGGCGAAGGTGTCGAAGAGAAGATGGCAAGGAAAGGTGGTGCTGCACAGTGGGCCTTGGTCGTCGTCGTGTTTGCTAGAAGCCTTATGTATTGAAGACCGACCTTGACTTGATATTACTTGTTGGATATTCTATAGGAACTAGAAGCATAGTTCAGGACTTGAAGAAGGAGGGCAAAGAGCTAGACTCGAGGATGTGGGAAAGCAGAGTATAGATATTTGATAGCATTTCACAGTGAGTATGATCTAAAATGTATGGATATTGTATACTTCAGCTCATTCACTTTGCCGTGTTGGTGAATCGGTAAGGAATTGACACAAGGGGGCATATCTTGATCCGATGATGATGGCTGGTAAAAGTAGGCATAATTCCTCGCTTCAACAACCGAAGACCAACGGTCACCCTGTCATACCGAAGCTTCCTCCGACCCTGACGATACGACCTTCGCTAGCGTGACCGGTCACACCAAAGGTTCTTGGATAGAGCAAAGGAGAAGAAGCGGGTCAACGCACAGATTTGGTCGTTCGAATAACCCGGCATTGGGAATGAGATTGAGAATGAACATCTTGCAGCGCGTCAGGGTCACTGAGATCTGGTCTTGGAAGACATTGGAGTAATAAAAAAAAAGGGAACCCGTGACCGTGCGTTGACCTTGTCGAGGTAATCGGGTTCTTACTGGGAGCGGTGGATCTGGTATTCGAGCTGGTCGAGCTCCTCTCGCTTCGCCTTGGAGGTATTGTCTGGAAGTCATAAAGACATGTGGCGGTCAGACTTGTCTTTGCCATGACCGGCTGATCCGAGCTTGGAGCAAGGTCATGTGCGAGGAGGGATGACATGCTGCTGCAAGCTAGCAAGGCACAATACACCACACTTCACCTTGGGACAAAAGTGATTGACAAGAGATGTTCAATTTGATTTTTGATCGACGTGCATGACAATTGCCTCTTTGGCATTCTTCAGCCTGTCTTTTCTTCTATTTTTTTTTGCTTGATTGTTGTTTGTTTTCGGCCGCATAACAACAATAATTAACGCAGCTGAATATTGCAAAATTGCAATTCATCTCATCCCAGCCCATCCCATCCGGTCCGCGAGGAGTCCCAACCGTGAAAATACAAAGAGCAACTTTTTGTCTTGTTTTTGTGGTATAATGCAAAGAAAGCCAGAGCACCACTTAAGAAGATGAATGATGGGAAAGGGAACTTTACACGATAGATTTTTAGATTAGTTGGTTGGTTTGAGGAGTTTTTCCGGGTCGGCACCTCTTTTGAGAATGTCCTCTGTCAAGAGTGTCTCCTTTTCTGCGTAAAGGCACTTGTAGGCGCTTCTGATCGTGCTGTCACTAACTTTCGCGATCTCTCCAATGGCCTTAGGTGATCTGACTTGGTCCATAAGCAAGCTGGCCATGTAAATACACGCAGCGGCTCCAGATAGAGGTGAGCGGCCCGCAAGAGCTCCGATGCTGGCCATGCACTTCGCAAGTTCTTTGGCAACTTGGGTGGTTGGGAAGTCCAGACCAAGCTGACCGCAGAAGCGATCACAAAGTTCATCAGGGTTGGTGGAAACGGTTCCTTGGTAAGCGTCGTGGATGCCGACGACACCGTTGCCCATGACCTTGGCCTTGCCTCCATCACTCTTTCCAGACGATGACAGCATGTTCTCGAGCAATTTGAAGGTTCTCCCAATCTCCTTCTTGGACACGTGGGTCATGTCGTAGATCTCGCGGAAGGTACGGCCAACTTGGTTGCGACGGCATGCGATAAAGATGCAGCCCGCGATGATTGCCTCTGTCGACTTGCCTTTGAATTTCCCGCTGTCTTCAGCATCTTTGAAGATGTGCTTGGCGGCATCTGCAACGATATTCGGAAGATCATATGAATCACAGTAGGCACCGATCTGTTTGAAGGCCTGGAGCAGGTTCTTGTTTCCCTTGTCGGCATTCGCCTTGCTCTGGGCACGGTGAAGTTCTTTGCTTCTGAGCGAGCCATCGCCAAAGGCAATGTTCGTCTGCAGCTGACTGCCGTTCAGCAGGAGATTGGGACCCTCACCAACACGCGACGGGTCATCATTGCCTTGGTCGTCGTTTGCAAAAGTGCGCCACTCAGCACGCTGGTCGATACCGCGCTGCGAGAGGACCATGCCACAGTCTCCGCAGATGACATCTGCCGCCTGAGGATCTTCAACGAGGTTTGGCGGGTCTTCCTTGCAGTCAGGGCACACCATACGCACGCTGAGATTCTGGCGCCATTCATCAGGGGCCTCTATCTTCGGTTCGACGTCGGGGATGGCACCCGGCGACAAAGTGTAGCTCATGATGGTCTTTGACTTTTGATGCGAAGATCGGCGCAAAGATTGACGACGCTTGATGGCTCGTGCAGTCACTTTGAGATTGTATTGTTTAGCGCAGCAGCGGATGAAGAGCGGAGAATACACTTTGACGACGGGTGACTTATGGAAGACGGATCAGACAACTACGGTGCAGAGGTTAGCTTGAAGAAGATGGCGCATAGGTACAGACGGCGAGTGAAGGTGGTGGGTGTGAGAGGCCAAGTTGAGTGGCGACTCTGAGTGCTATGCTAGTGTAACGCAAAGCATCGCGGCTTACCCAAACATCTAGCGGCAGATGGCCCTTGTGAAGTGTCTGGGAAGTGACTGTCGCTGTCGATTGCGATTGTGTCTTGTCTAAGCGACTGGCAAGAGCAGGTAACCGGAGTCTTGGGTGTTCTGGGACGGACGCGCAGAAGACTCGAGCGACGGTCGCGGTGATGCGGAGAGGACGAGAAGGACAGGCGCCGGGATGTAGAAGTTGCAAAGGACAGACGGACGTCGACGACAAAGAACAACGGACGGGACTGATCAAGACGGATATGACTTGACGAGGCGCAGAAGGCCTTGTTGTCGCTGCCTTCCCTTTGTCAAGAGCGTCGCCGCGCGAGGAAGGAACGCACGTGCCACAAATCACGGGATCAAACGACGACTGGGCAAGAGCGATGGGGCGCGACTGCGAAAGAGTTGTTTGGTAGTCGTTAGAGAAGGGAAGCCCATCATATCCACACTCCACTCAATCGCCATGCTCGGTCAATCTCTCAGGGCCTCGGTATGCCACTGCTCGACTCTGCGTCTTTGCGCACGCTCCTGTTCCGCCCACTGACACCCGCCACAGCGCCAGTCGCTCGTTCGTCTTGCTAAGCAGCAGTCGGCCACCACCTTCCGCCGTACTTTCGTCACTCCCACTGCCGTTCGCCAAGGTACTTGAATTGCCATACCGCCGACTCCAGCATTCGAACAGCTGCTCATTGATGTTCTCCCTGCAGCCGATCTTGTCCAGGATCTCTACCTCCGCGAGCTCAAGTCCTACAAGGCCCCCGCCGTCAAGGCTTCCGACTCTGAGGGTCACGTCCAGAAGTTCGCCCTTCCTCAAGCCCCTGCTTCCCCCGAGGAGGCCGACATTGCCAGCCAGCTCAGCGCATACGAGACCCAGGAGGTCGAGGTTGAGGGTCAAGCCGAGGCTGGTGCTGCCCCCGTTGAGGACTGGTATTACACCCACTTTCTCGCCGAAACATTCTCTACCACATCCGCTGACCACAATCCCAGGTTTGATGAGAGCGAGCTCGCCGACGAGGAGCCTGCCCACCACTGAGCTCCTGTAAATACAGCCATGTAAAACAGTGAAAATGCATTCGAGACTTTGACCTTACAATTGCTTCCTGCGGCACCGATTCATTCTACTGGCTCTCCATGTTCACATCTGCTCAGAAGTATCTTGACACGACTACAACCTTCTTTCATCGCCAACTCTCAGTCTTGCAATGTGACACGATCCGTTCCAGTCCGCTGGGTGAAGATTGTACACTAACTTCTCAAGTTACTCAGATGATCCCTCGAGTCGCACACCAAAGATCAAAGGCAAGCCATTGAAACGCGCTTATACATCCCTCGTGTGAATGGGTAGCAACTTACGAAAAGGTTGCTCTTGCCAGTGCGATGTTATCCGTCCCGGACGCCTACAGCTCTGGTTACCCCGAACGAACTACCGGTTGATGTCGCAGTGCCACATCGAACTGCGACTCTCGTGAAGACCTTTGTGGTAAATCGAATGGATTCTTGGCTCGAGATTCAAGTTGTGTTCAGTGAGCTTTTGGCCTAGCTCGGCTCCCTGATATGCAAGCCTCAATCAGATATCCCGTGTGTCTCGTTGATTAAAAGCTTGTTGGAGAACAGCACGTGGATATTTGTCTCTTCACAAGTCCCTAGACTCGAATTGAACAACCCGCTTACACTTGTTACACTATACGGGAACATATGCGATCAATTTACTCCACATTGCACCATTCTCAATCGATATCTGTGATATGCATATCTCCACCAAGCACTTTCAATTCAGATGAAGACCCTTTCCAAGTCGGCGCGAAATGAGGCTCGTATATTCCACCCCTGGATCATACTTCAGAAAAGGCTCGCTCCCTACGGTAGAACACGCGCAAGTAGACCCCTTACAATATAGAGTTCAAGTTGAGCCGCCTTGAACACTTACTTCAGATGTTCTGTGAAGCGGAACACATGCCTCGAGTACTGCTTCAAACTTACGAGCAACAGTCCCACTCGGCGGGTGAAACACCTATAGTCTGTGTCACCTCATCTGCCAACCAGTAGCCCCCATCTTGTAAAATCATCTCGGAAGCGGGCAGCCGCACAAATCACAGACTGTTGACTTTTGACGTGCATGACTGGGGCTTGAATAAATGGACCCCCAGCCATGATCTGCAGCTGTATCATGTAAAGGTCGTGCATATGATAAAGAGATAGATGGGCGCAGCGTGTACAAGATCACGTACGCATAGCTCGTTCAAGGCTTTGCTAAGTTGATGTGATAGTCAGTCTGCCACTCCGAGGATGCAGGTCGTGACTTGTAAGACGTCCATCGGCACGCCGTTGTGGCCGCGTAGATCAGAGGACGAGTCCACGACGCGTACTAGGTAGCTAAGCCGGCGTGGCACGACGACTTCCGGACTCTCCTGATCAAAGGATGCACTCTGTATGCCTCGACGAACATGAGTCGTCAGCTTGTGCTCGTGCCTAGTCTGATGGCACTATGCACGACTCAGATTAAGGTTGAGATTGGAGAAGGAAAGAGGCTGCTTCCTACGGTGTGCTTTTGCGCGCGCGATTATTGTTGGCGGGAAGCGAACGGCAGTTTGCCGGGCTTTTGGTTGCGGTGACTTGAGCTAGGATGTTTTGTGCATACTCAACCGGATCAGCCAGATCGAACAAGGATACAAGATTTGTAGATTGCAGAGGTGTGCCTCTTGGCATAAGACATGCTTTCACCGCAAAGCAGACGATCACGGCATATCTGCGCCGAGCTACGAAATCCTGGCAAGTCGGTAAAGGAGTATGAGGTGCAGCAAGTCATGCTCAGTCATGAGCGAGACGTACTATGGCAGTCCGAAGATGCCAAGCTGGTCGCAAAGTGACGCTTGTTTGAGCATGGACAGCAGCTGATACTATTTACAGTTCTGGAAGGAAAGGGCGAAGAAACGGGGCCAGGGCCAATGAGCTCGTGCGGCAGGTACTTTGACGGCGCCAAGTCTCGCGGTTACGCGCCTCCCGTCACAAAGATTCGGGATTGTTCTGGATCTGCCTCTTGCTGGCAGTGTCAGCGCTCGATAGGGCGCATGTGCAGGCCGTGTAGTGCAATGATGATGCGCGTAGCAGGCATAGACGGCGAGTCGGACAGCAGGGACCTGAATCGTCATGGCGCAAGAAGCGAAGACAGCGGTTTGTTCGGGAATGGTGCCTAGTTGACCATGGGCCTGCTCCGTGCCGATGCCCTGCTTAATAGTAGTCCCGCCGTTGAAACCGCGCGCAATGACATTTACCTAGCCTCCCCTCGAGGTCTCGTCTCACCTTGTTCTGACCTTTCTCTGTTCTGCCCATTTGCATCTTATCTTCCAACGTCTATACATCTGCTCTGTCTCGTCCCCGCCTGCGCCTGCGCCCACTCGCTGCCATTCGAACCATCCATTGACTTCTGAGCCATCTTGAGACACCCCAAACCCCACGAACCGTTGCCCGAGTCAGTGCTCTTTGTTCCTGTCAGCACGCGTACGCAGTCGAGCGATCCATCTTGGACGATCCGGAACACAATTGCGCCAGCTTTGCTGTATTTGGATATGGCTGGATTGTAATCACTACGCCCAGTTTCCGTTTATACCTGTTGAGCCTGAAGAGTGGGATAGAAAGAGATCTAGAAAGAGCACCGAGGTACAATAAAAGGCAGAGATTTAGCAAAGGAAAAGACCGCGAATCTTGGCCGGTACAGCGTCTTGGAGAAGGATCGAGCACAAATGTCAACCATGACGAGCATTGCGAACAACTACCACAACCATGCAGATGCCCTCGCAAGCCCGAGAGCGAGAAGGTCCTACGTCGATGCTCCGAACGGTCCACACTTCCCACGTAGCGCCAGTTACACCTTTCTGGGGCACGCAGCAACAAAGAATCCCGCTTACAACGCACCAAAGCCTCTGCCCATCACAAACAGGGGCAGCTTTTGTGAGCAAGACTTGATCGCTCCTCTGGACGACAGCAACGACACATCCCCACCCGAGTCTTCTGGTTGGTCGACGCCAGCCGACGATCAGACAATGCCTGTTTGCATGCCCCCTCACGATCTTGTTGCCGAACTTCACAAGAGTCCCAAAATCACAATCACCGCCAACAGCGAGCACAATCCAAGCCCACCAGTCTCGCTCAAAGACGGAGCGAGTATCGACTCTGCAAAGGTCCTACCTGCTCCTGTACTCGGCGACCGTACTCGCTCTACATCAAAATCAAGGTCCCTGGCCAAACGTCTGAGCAGGAGGCTATCTAGCGCGCCTCCATCACGCTCTCCTTCTCCTTCCAACCGTAAGATTGAGGCCAAGGTCGAGGACCTCGCACAAGATGTTCCCGCTGAGCCCTCACCAACTGCCGGCCGACCGGTAGCGACTCGGAGAAAGTCGATTTTCAGGAGACGAGACTCGGAAAAAGCCAGGGACGACGACACAGAAGCCACAGAAGCTGGTGGCTTCTTGGCCAGAAAGGGCACTGTGCTCAAAAGAAGATCGCTCAAACCAGTGGCGCCCACAGTGAGAGCATCCATGGAAGAGCCCACCAAATCTCAACCTCCCACGCCACAGCTGCCCAAATCCTTCTCGACTGATAGATTGCAAACCGTTTCACATTTACATCCCGGCCGTGCCAACCCAATGCCACCGTTGGCTTCTGTCGAGAAATATCAGACCTTACCATCTCTTACTTTGCCACGCAAGAAGGATGAGCTGTGGAGTGTCTTCAGGTCGCTCGATGGTGACTATACCAAGTAAGTGCAGATCATCCACTCATGCCTATATGTGCTCATAGTGTACAGATTCCAGTCCAAGTCGAGCACGCTCAAAGCGAATGTGGTCAGATCCTCGCTGCTACCCTTCCTACGAAATTATGCCGACCATCCGTCCAATCTCGCACTACGAGCAGAAGATTTGGACAGACGCACTAATATTCTGAATAAATGGTGGACGGGCCTTCTCGACATGCTTCACGGAAGAAACAACCAATCCATATCCGGCACTGATCGCCCCGCTATTCTAGATGGCATATCTGGCATTATGGATCGTCAAGAATGGCGGCTGTCGCCTTCTCCATTGTGCCCTCTCGACCGAAGGAATATCGTGGCGCCCTCGAGGAACAAATCCACAACTTCGCTTTCGTCTGCTGGTATCGACTTCCTCACAGAGTCTGTTCACCACAACGTACGAAATATGTTTGTGCAGAATCTCAACTCTCAAATGGCTTTTGTAGTTGACAGAATGTCGCTCAAAAACGCTTCTGCCAGTCTAGTGACATTCTGTGGAAAGGCTACTGCATATGCCTTCTTTTTCTGTCCAGGTATCGCCGAAGTGCTCGTACGCTTGTGGGACGCTCCAACAGAAGTCATGCGAAGAGTTCTTGCCGAAAGTGGTGTCAGCAGATTTGACAATCTCGGTGAAACTGCTGCAAGGATAAATTCTGCTTTCCCTCCTTCCATGCAATCCTTGGGATTTATCTCACTAGGTAAGATGCTCAAGCATCTCAGAACTCAGACCCCTTTGCCGCTCGGGACAGCGAATATCCAGTGGTATGGATATTGGCTTGAGCGATGGTCTGGTCGTGAAAGTGACCTCTTCTTCGCCTTTGTCAAACACTTCCACATCTTGGTTGCCGACTACCTGCCATCAGATGCCACAAAGCAGGAGAGAATCTCTGTCCCAGGTCTCCTTTTTGTACACTCCCAAATCCTGGTCAACCTGGATTCTACCATTCACCGTGATGCAGGTCCATCGCACGGTGATTCATCAAATACTATTTCTCCTACTTTCGACGACGTTCTGGTTGATCCAGATGCTGTTGCGTCAACGTTACCCTTACCACCTATTAATGCTATCCGAATCATGGCGGAGAACCGTCTGATAATGCTAATTCGAGACTTTCTATCGGAACGAGCCTTGGAATATCCCTTCGCTCGACAACTTTTCGCCGAGTCATTCGCGTGTCTACTACAAGCGGGCGCGCGCGGCATCTCGGTCTACAATCATCTCGCATGCTACACTCTTTGCGACTTTCTTGAGGAAGCGTTCCCAATCATTCTTCGCTACGAGCAAGTACATCCTTCGCAAGAATGTCTGATTGACACAGACTTCTGGATAGACGTTTGTAAGAGAATGGTGTTCAGCCAAAACACGATGACTGAGATTAGGCTATTTGCCTTCCTCTTTACAATCTGGAGTACGGTCAACAGCAGTCCAGACCGCAAGATCAAGATATGTATTGATCTTCTGCTCGACCAAGAAGTGTTCGAAAAGACTTTTAACCACTGGTGCCCTATGGTACGGGCTTACTATATGCGGCTGCTCTGTTGGCGTCTTGGTCGCTACGATGGAGAAGGTTCATCAAGCGATAGGTGAGTTACATTGGTACATCTCCACGAGTGCTTAGCTGACTTGTGTTGTTTCAGGTTGATTTTCGAGACATTGCTCCAGCGCCTACAGGTTGTTTGGTCACACTTTTTGTGGCAAAGACAGCAAGCTGCTCAAGGCAGGATGCTACCACCTTCTACAACGCCGTGTAACCCAGCACCTGGCAGACGTCTATTGATCATTCGCACTGATACACAGGTCGCGCCGGGTGGCTCCTTCCTGGCTTTTGATGGTATCGTCCCGCCTCACCCCTCAGCCCCTATTGGAGCCCCAAGCCAAGCATGGAAGCGAGACTCTGTCATGTCGCAGGCAGCTTCGCTAGACATTCGGCCCACGTCGTCGGCATCTTCTGACTTCAGCTCTGAGCTCGAAAGCAGCGTGGGTGGACTACGTGGCTTCCTTCGCGGACTCATTGGTGGCAAGAGTCGCTCCAAGGCAACGCCCACCCCCACGGTCAAGACTTCTTCCTCGTCAGCTTCGTTACCGCCGGCACTAGAAATGCCTGTGTCTGGTGGCAAATTGACTCGATCAGCGACCACCGCCACCCAGGCACCACGGCCGCGTGCCTCTGCTATGAAACAATCGCCTCAAGTCACACCTCATGCCAGTCGTGGTCCCTCCCCTGTCAGGCACCGCAACTTCTGCTTCAAGTTCTCCCTTGAGATGCACGTCAAAGCACACCACCCCACTGCCATGCGTCTGGCACCGCCCCGTCTTCCTCTTGCAGCGCAGCTCTATCTCCAAGAAGACAATGGCGATGACGCGGTCATTCAAGCTGCTGAACCCCTCGGCGAGGCCAAGGCTCAGTCTACCTACTCCGGCCGAGCGTTGGCTGAGTGGATGTGCATCCTCATGGAGTGTCAAGGCTTCTTCGAGCGCAGAAAGTCCGAAGGCGCTCCCACCAACAAGCACGTCGAGACACCAACACTGGGTGTTGAAGTCTTTGGCAAAGGAAGATGATAAAGCCTGTCTTGCAAGCGTTCCTTTTCATCTTTTGTTAATTTTCCCCTTATCGATTTCGTAAATAGCCATGCATTTGTTGGATATGGGTGATCTTGTCATGTTGTTTTTTTTCATCTCATTCGCATACATGCGGTCGTTCTTTGCATCATATGGAGTTCTCTTGTTGGATGGGAGGAAGTAAGATGTATACATGTGCGCTTTTGAAACTCTTGAAGCAATTCAATCAGCACTTGCCCAAGCTGAAAGGCAGCGTGGCTATCGCATCGACCTTTTTGTGCAGGCTTTCGTTACGAACAAGTGTGTCCAATCTGGATGATGACTGCCAGGCGAGATATCATGACTTACCCCGATGACTCTCCTGTAGTGCTTCTATTGCAGAGCACTGAAGAAGATGAAGAAGTGTTCCATAGCCATACTTGTTTTGAGTGTTTTGATGATCCAAATGATATCATTCGTGATACAGCATCATTGTGAACAGGACTGATAGGTGGCCATGACCAAGTGCGACCCTCTTTTCGTCGGGATGAGTGCCAAAGGCAGAATTAATTTGGTGATGGACCACATATTTCACTCCCTTCACTCGTCTCTTCCCAGTCTAACAATATCAGACTGTTCCAAGACCCAGAACCTCGCCGGAGCTTTGCCCTCTTCCACAATCTTGGCAGTAGCAACCGCCGCCCTTCCTATAACCTTCTGATCTTCCGTTAAACGGATGACAAATTAGTCCTGCTCAAAATCACCATAAAAAAAAAACAGGACGACATGAACACGCACAGATACGCTCAAATGCTTTTATCATTTCAAGATATAAGATATACAGAAAGAAAACATCCTCTAAGAAAGACCTGGCAACTTTTCTTTGACGAAGACAAACTAATCAACGCGAAGGACTCGGGGTCCCTTGCGCTTGCTAGTCTTCTTTCTCTTGTTGCCCTTTTCGAACGCCATGGCGCTCTGGTGGTCTCTGTTGAGGTTGTCAAGGTCCTTGACCTTGTAGATTCTGATGATCCAGTTCTCACTGGTAAAGGCTTCCTCCAGAGTCGAGAGCTCAGGACCCTCGGCGGGAAGCTTTGAGCCGCGGACGCGGTCGGTGGCCTGACCAGCAGGGAAGAGGGAGTTGTAGTTGTAGTACGACATCTTGTACCTGTAGGCAAGAAGATTAGTTGTGTTCAATTAAAAGTCAGAAGCGTCAATGCTTACATCAAGCTGTTCTTCATGGTGTCAGAAGCTTGGTCGTCGATGCGGTACTCGCCACGAGGGGTAAAGTAGTCACGCTCCTTGATCTCATCTGGCCAGATGCCCTCGGCGATACGAACCATCCACAAGAACTTGTTGATGTCATCACCCGAGTATCCAATCAAACCACCAAAGACGATGAGGACATAGTCTACCTCATGCTGTCTCATAATGGGGTAACTGACCTCCTCGCGGGAGCTCATGGCCTTGCCGACAGTGGCAATGTGGGTGTTGTTCCAAGTGTTGTTGTCGACGAGGGTAGGGCGGTCAGCCATACCACCAATCTGGTAGCCGTAATCCCACCACGACATGATCTTGGCGTTCTGCTCGGTGTTTTGACGAAGCCAGTAGTAAGCTTCACGGTAGTCGTCAATGATGTGCTGCGAGCCGTCGGCCATCTTGGAAGCGAGAACGACTGAAGGCGACGAGTAGGCGTTCGATGTGACCCAAGTACAGTGGAGAACGAAGAGCAAAAGGTAGGCAGTGATGGTACCAGTCATGGCGAACTTGGAGAAGGTAGAGTAGATACCAACGAGAGGCTTCTGGGTCGAGCGAAGTGTATCGGGGATGAGGGAAGCGGCAGTCTTGGGGGCATCGGTGTTGCCGTTGGCTTGAGCGGGAGCGACAGGAGTCTTGGTGACCAGGAAGGTGTCGAGAATCTGCGAGAGTGCAAGAGCTGCAGCGACACAGACGACAGGGGTCAGCGTGAGCATCAGACGGACCATGACACCGGCGAAGTAACTGGCCAGGACGGCGTAGATGACGACAAAGACCTGCTCATCCTTGAGGTTGCGGAAGCACATGTAGACTCCGGCAGGGAACAGCCAGATCAATAGGTTGAGATCGAAGAAGAATGCGGGCCAGGCGGTAGGCTGGTGCTCCGAGACCGAGGCGATGATGGGAATGTGGATCTTTGCGTAGCCCGTGTCCCAGAGTGAGTAGAAACGACCGCCCCAGGGAGCGACAACGCCAGAGAAGGTGAGAAGGACGAGGACACCGAATGCGGCAAGGAAGACTACCAAGACGAAGGCGCGGAGGAGCGTCTGGAACTGCTTGCTGGGCAGAGTCTGGCGCACGAACTCGACGAAAGCGACAAGCTGGAGAAGACCGAAGACGCCTAACACGCTGTTAGAATAGAGACACGGGCATGTTTACTAAGGGTCACAACATACCGAGAGCAGCCATGTGATCGCTGGTGCGAATGGGCAAGAAGCCGACAAAGGGAATCTGCATGCTCGCAAGCGTGCCCAGCGAGTACCAGGTCGTGTAGCTGGTGTACAGACGAGGACTGTATCTGCCCATGCACAGCAGGACAAAGACGTGCAGAGGGAGCAGATTGGTGATGAAGACGTAACCACCCCAGGCTGAGACCATGTATCCGTAGAAGAGGGCGGTGAAAGCACCCCACATGACGGAGCCCTGCTTGACACTCTTGATCCAGAGGTAGAAGGTGAAGACGAGGAGGAAGATGGCGATGGCTTCGTTGTCGTAACTGCCGGCAACGGAACGGGAGATGTAACCAGGGGCGATGCCCATGAAGATGGCGGCAAGGAGACCGGCCGAGGGCGAATCGGACATCTCGGAGGTCAGGAGGTAACTGGCAAAGGCAGTCAAGCCAGAGCAGGCCGGGGCCAGCATGACACAGATGTTACGGATGTCGACAGGGAAGGTCAGGAAACGGAGGAAGTGCCAGATGGCGCCGCTGGTGACCATGAGGCCAGGGTAGAGGGTACCGCCAGTGACACGGCCGAGAGGGTGCCATGTTCGGTCGTCGAACCAGTCCCAGAAGCTCGTGAAGCCATTCTGGACGAGATACTTGGTCGCGCGGAAGTTGAACCAGGGATCGACTGTGAGAGGTGCTTGTTAGCCATCATGTCCACCAAGTCCGAGAGTCTGTCCCTCTGAGGATGCTTCCCCGACTAGTCCAAGAGTCTGTGTTTTATTCTGAGGGGGGGAGTTTCCCATGCCAGATGAATCGTCGAGTCAAAGGCTTCTAGACTAGCCATTCGGAATGGGGATGCGGTGTGGAAGAGTCGAGAATTGACGTACATTCGTGAATGATGCTCTCAAAGCGGATGACGGAGAAGAGACGGGACGCTACAGCAGTTGTTGCAATCAAGACCAAGATGATCAATCGCAACAGACCTCTGGTGTTGCGGCCAGTCTCTCCCTTGAAGAAACTGCTTCCCACGCTGGCTGCCATGGTGCTGTCTATACTGGGATGGTATTGGAGAGCTGCTGGCACAGGCACAAGCGGACACCTAAGCTTCCAGCACAACGCATGCGCGTCAATCTGTCCCGACCCCCGATCACTCGGCAAAGTCCGTCCGTCCGTCCTCACCTCCGCATCTCCAACACGCTACCACCTGCTGCACTTCGTCATCTCCGCAGTTTATCATCACTTTGGGAGTATCCATATGCTTATGAGAGTGATCACGTTAGGAGTATCAATGTGCTTATGAGAGTCTATCATGAGAAATCTGCATTGAAACAGGACAGGCAAACTCCGACATCCTCATCTGACTGTCAACCAAAATCGCTCGTCCCTCCTCCAAACGCAGAGCTCTCGTGTGAGTAGGCAAAGCTCGTATCTGACACCTCGTCCCAAGCTCCGTCCACGCTATTGTGTCGTCCACCAACCACACTGTATCCGTACTGAGTGAGTGCTTGCCCATTGGAGAACCTCGGGACCACGTTGGAGACGTTCATGCTCGCTACTCTGCCTCTCCTGTACTCTGGCCTGGTCATCTCGGCCGCCTCCTGAGGCATGTCGTCCATGTAGTCTGACACGTTCGTCTGCCACAGCGGAATCGCTAATTCGCCTGCATCAGCCTCCGAGACTATCTCACTGTGCTGCGGCGTCGTCATCTGCTTCGTCGTGCGCTGCTTGCCTTTGCTCTTGTTCGAAGTTTGAGCACACTTGGCGCGGCGCAGTTGTTCCATCTCTGCTGGGCTAGGCGTCATCTCGGACCTGTAGGTACCGTGTTTAATATGCTAGCTTACCCCAAGGTTAATTCATGCTCGTACCTTGCGATGAGATGGTCAATGTCGATACCCATGTTCTTGTGCATTCGAGTAATGTGGGCTTTGAAGTTGTCTTTTCGAGACCATATCTTGTCCCGCTTGGAACACGTCGGCAACACGCATCTGTAGTAATTCTGAGGCCCATGCTTTGGCCGGATCAGGTGAATGTCCTTCTGGTGTCTCTCGAGGTCGTTTGATGTTGCAAAGCCTTTCGTGTTGGTACAGTTCTTGACATGACACTTGAAAGGTCGGCTGTGTGTGGAAGAGTGCTTTCTACATGCATAGTCAATATCACCAGTCACAATGATACGAATGACTGTCTTACCTCTCTTCGGCTTTGTTCTTGAACGCTTTGCCGCATTGAGGACATGTCAAGGATTTGCCGTTCAACGATACGTATCCAGAATCCGTCTCGTCTTTTTGGACAAGCATCAAGTCGGGCTGCGATGCGATGATCGTTTGTGATAGAGTTGAAGTGCTTGAAAATCCGATAGCCTGACTGCTTATTCCTGACCACGGCTCCGCAAACGCACTTTCGGCCACACGTTGCTGTACAAGCTCTTCGTTGTACAAGAACGCTTCTCCGCTCGCGAATTCGTAATTGATTTGGGAAAGCCCACTTGACCCAGACAAACCGATATAGATTGATGGATCTACGTGAATGCCGCTTAGGGGATCTTCGGTCAGATCTTCATCATCCTGAAGGCTGGTGTATGGCCTTTCGAATGACTCCTTAAGTACGTTAGCGTGGCCTCGTACAACCAGTCGTGCGGAAAAGCAGATCTACAGGCACAGCTGTGAATGGGTTGCGCAGGTAATCTGAAGCACCGAGATGCGACTTGCCATGGAACAATCGTTGGACTCTAAAAAGGAAGCCATTTGTACGAGTCTTGTGTGTGAGTCTTGCGTGTACGCTGAATTACAGGAGCTGTTGGAGGGGATATTGTAGATGAGCTTTCAAGGCGATGGGCGGGGCTGTGCGAAGAGGCGGTGTTGAATATGGTCGGGGTTAATTGGTGCTTTTAACTCAGGCTGCAAAGACTTGTAGTGTCATCTATCCGCGTGTGGATTCATATAGAATCCAGAAACACCTCAACAGAAGTACCGCCGACCATGCTGTTGAAATCATGTGTCGCGGCGGGAACTGAATCAAGTCGGAGTGTTTCATGATTGGAAAGGGTGGGGTTCGGGGTCGAGTTCCATGGGTCATGAGGTAGCATCCCACATGAAAGATCGGTGACATGGCAGAGGGAGATGGATGATCCGATTGGCTGATCAGACTTTGTTCAACACTCCAAGTTCCAGGATAAGCAATTGATTTGGAAAAGACGCTGCAGTAAACGCACGACTTCCTTGTATATAGCGTTTACTGACATGGTCGTCTTCATTCTGGAACATGTCGGACGGAGGATGCGCAAACAGCGCGTGCATGACAGTTATGCTGCCAGCTCGAAATGGTCAAAAAGCATGACGAATTATCCGTGTTCACTTACAGCCTTATCCTCGCTTTGGCGCAAATGGGTATCTCGTGGCCGTCAAAAGTTGCCTACTCTCTCTTCTCATCGACAAACTTGGTATCCTTGGGCTTACCATCGGTCGAACGCTCCTTAGTCTGGAAATCCCAGTTGTTCAAGTAGCCGCAGCCTGCTGACAGATATGTTGCGAAGCTAAGCCAGCCGAGGTAGGGGACAAGAGTCCATGCAGCGACTTCGTCAACCTGACCCCAGATGTAGGCAAGATATCCGGTAACGCCAGTGAGGGCAACAATGTCGACGGTAGCAGCAATCGGACGTCTCAGGGAGAAGAAGAGGGGCATCCAGATGAGGTTAAGACCGAGTTGGATGGTGTAAAGGGTTGCGCCTTGCTGTGACGGGGTCAATACCAAAGTCGCCGAGGGAAAGGGATTGAGGCGATGAGTACCTTTGCGAGAAGGACCTTCTTTGCGTCAAACGAGTCCATGGCGGTGGACCATGCGCGGAAGGCGGCGTATCCCATGGCTCCGTACAACAGAGTCCACACGGGGCCGAAGACCCATGGGGGAGGTCGGAGGGGAGGCTGACGCAGGGCTAGATAGGTCTTTTGCGTCTCCTTGGCTGTCAAGGGAAGTAGTGGTCAGTCGTGAGTCTGGCGATTGTCTGCAGGCATGTGTCAACTCACGTCTGGTCGAGTAGCCAACAGCGGTTCCAAGTGCGACGGGCAGCAGCACGGAGAGGGCCGGCTTCTCGAAGATGAACGAAGGCAGAGTCAGATGGGGAATGTAGGAAGTCATCTTGGAGGTGGTGATGCAACAGGAGACAGGCTAGACTGATGCTGGAGGGAAGATGAGAGAAAGTCTTTGGTCCTTGGTCTGCTTCAATCAATCGCATCGGCAAGAAAGGCAGTTAATCGAGCCATGACGCTCCCACCCCAGCCTAGACGATATGGAAGCCCTTTGCTCGGACTTTGAGCCCGTCAGCAGCATCGAGCATGATGCGAGTTTTATTTCCTGCATGTCCGCCATACGGTCCTCCAAGATCAAGCACTCGGCTTCGTCAGTCCCATGTGCAGGAGAAGATGTATTTGCTCTGACATGGGTATTCCACAAGGACGATGGCATCATGCCTCCGTAGGTACCAATTCGACAAGGGCGACTTCACCCGAACAGCTCTGAGCTTCCCCAGAGAAGGCTCGCGACAACGGCGGGTCCGTGCGACTCGCGATCCGCTCCGGATGGCAGCGAGTCGCGAGTGCTCAGCAGCGGCGCGACGGGCTCCATCACTCACCCTCGTCCATCTTCTGGTCGACCGCATCCCGTCTTTCATTGATGCGTCGCCAGCTCTCGGCTCCTGTTCTGCCCAAATTGTTCGTATCGTCTCTCTTTCTTTTGCGAGACTTTCACCTTCTTCACCTATTCGTCTCGTTGTCGCGTCTGCTCAACCTCCCTATCACCATGCACCCGCCGAACTGGCCCGTCGTGACTCCTGCCTCATTGCAGAACACCCCGCTACATGCTGTCTCTTTGTCTCCCTCGTCTTTCTTGTCTCGTTTCTCGCTTCTTGCCCTCCTGAAACCCGTCTAACTTGCCATGGCGGTAAACAGTGCGCTACAGTCGCTTTGTTGAGCCTCTCCACCATCATATCCTCGAGCCACCATCATGGACGCTTTCGAGTCATACGGCGCAAAGTCGCCCAATGATCTCTCCAGAGTTGATAGCTACGACCGCGAGTCTTACAACTCCCGTGAGAGGGACCCTTACCGCGAGAGACGCAGATCGCCGAGTATGCTGACATGCCTTCACTACCAATCCTTCCATTCTCGACTCACACCCTCTTCACAGATTCTGATCGCCGATCTCGCGTTGCTGGCCGTAATCGCTCACGCTCTCCTACACACATCGACCGCTACCAGCCCGACCGTTCGCGTGACGATTACTACCGTGGACGCGAAGACCACCCTCGCGATAGACGTCGCTCTTCTCCTCAGATCCAGCCTGGCGGCCCAAAGAACATTGATCGATACATTCCCGGCGACGACGCTGCGGTTCCTCGAGCCATCGCAGTGAACCAGCTTCGAGATCCTCTGCTGGAAGCTTCACAAGTCGGATTTAGTTACTTCGCCGAGTGGTGGAAAGCCGAACAAGAGATCAAGCAACAGCGTGAGCGTCAAAAGAACGGGGGTCGCCGTCCTGATCCCATCAAAGAATCGCGCGACGAGCAGAGAACAAAGATCCAAAACGCCTACGACCAATACAAGCTGAACTGGAACACAAGAATGGCCAAGCTGTTCGTTCACGCTCATAAGTACGACACATGGTTCCGCGAACGCTACGTGCTAGAAGTCCGCGATCCCTTGCGCCAAAAGGTTCTCGATTTCAGACGCGATCTCTTCGCGCGGTGGGACTCGGATTTGACGGCTGGTACCTTCGACGAGTTCACCCTTGAGGGTATCTACAAGAGCGAAAGCAACGGTGCCGGGGGTATCGTTGAGAAAGAGGAAGGAGAGACCAGCGCTGCCGCTGAGGTTTTGGCCGTCTCAGATCTACTGCCATCCAAGGGTGGTGATGTGCGAGACCCTGTTGCTTTCCAACCTACATTACTCGTTAAGACCATTACCCCAGCGGTCTCGCGAGAGAGAATGGAAGAGTTCTGCAAGGAGCATCTCGGCGAGGGTGAGGGTGGCTACAAATGGCTGAGCTTGAGCGACCCGAATCCTGGAAAGAAATTCCACCGTCTTGGCTGGATCATGCTGAACCCTGCATCCGATGTTCCCGAGGACGATATCAAGCGACGTGGCAGCCGCGATGATGACGATCAAGACGCCGATGGTGGTGCCATGGATCAAGACAAGCCAACTCACGCTCAGACCGTATGTGAAAGAGCTCTGAACGAGATCAACAACAAGACGATTCAAGATCCAGAGAAAGGTGACTTCACAGTACACGTCGGCATTCATCACCCTCAAGATAACCCCAGGAAGAAGGCGTTGTGGGACCTCTTCTCCGCCCCTGAGCGAGTCGAGCGCGACTTGGATCTTGCTCTCCGTTTGGTCAAAAAGCTCGACTCTGAGATGGGCGATGACTATGATGGCATCGGCAAGATCGAGGAACGCGTTGATGAACTGGCTGGCAAAGGTTACTTGCAACCTCCTATACCAGCTCCCAAAGTCATCAAGGAGGAAGACGTTGACGATGGCGAGATGGAAGAGGGTGAGGAAGACGAAGGCGGCATTGACGAAGATGTTGATGACGAGGAGTTGTTGATCAAGAAGAAGAAGCTTGATCTGCTCGTCGAGTATCTTCGCCGTGTCTGCAACTTCTGCTTCTACTGCGTGTTCGAATGTGACTCGGTCCACGAGTTACAACGCAAGTGTGCAGGAGGTCATCTTCGTCGTCCCCGTGCAAGTCTTACTTCTGCTGCCAAGGAGACTGCCAGAGCTACTGCGAATGGAGACCCTTTCCCGCTCAAGCGTCAAGAAGGCGGTCTCGGAGATGGCGAAGATGGTTCGCCAGCCGAAGAGAGAAAGTCCGCTCCTCGAGCATACGGCAAGAATCAGCTTCAAAAGGCATACAATTGGGTCAAGACTTTTGAAGAGAAGTTGCTCATGATCCTTGAGCCCTACAACGTCGATCTTCGGAAACTTGGTGGTAAGCCGGTAGACGAAGGACTTGAAGAAGACATGATCAAGTTTGTGAAGCAAGAGGACGAGTTCAAGTTCAGATGCAAAGTCCCAGAGTGCACAAAGCTCTTCAAGGGTGAAAACTTCTGGAAGAAGCACGTGGAAAAGAGACATCAAGACTGGCACGACAAGCTCAAGGAAGACGTAAGTACCAGTGCTTCCCTATCATGGAAGGATACTAATTTGGCACACAGATTGAACTTGTCAACCGCTATGTCCTCGACCCTGCTAGACTTGCTCAAGGACGTAACGATGCAAGTAGCAATGGCCACTTCCCGGTTAACAACAACATGCCCACAGGTACGCCTCGCAACTTCAGCTTGAACAACATGCCATTCTTTAACAACGGAATGCCCATGCCAAATGCTGCGGGCCCCCTTGGCTTCAATCCATTTGTACCAGGACAGTTTCCTGTCGCCATGCCTGGTTGGGGCATGCAGGGCGGCGACCGTGGCGCGGGTCCGATGAGGACTGGCGGTATGCGCACCAACAATGCTCGGGTGCCAGGACCATACGATCGTGGCATGAGAGCTGAGCCGCGACGAAGCATCAGTGGTCGCCTGACACCGCCTCGTCGTGGCATGTTCATGGAGGGAGGAGAGCACACTGTCGGACCCAGACAGGCAGTTGAAGGTCGGACCATGAAGAGCTACAACGATCTGGATGCCGCCGGCGGTGCTGGAGGAGCCGAAGAGCTCAATTACTAAAAGGAGCGTATCAACAGATGATCGCAATCACATTTCGTGAACAGAAATTCAAAGATGCTGTCGCGTCTCATCGTGCCTATCCTTATATTCTTCTTGGTCTTCTTCAGATTGCGTAAACTAATCCTGAAATTTGCCGTCAGGCTCTGTGATTGGTGGTGTGCCCGCAACGCAGTCTGTATCCATCTTTTCGAGGGATGATGATTGAAACCTTACATTGCCATAACTAGTGATCGCCATCGAATCACGACAACCGACAAACGGTTATGAGTTTGCGATGTATCAGAAGCCTATACGGCATGTCTAATCGAAAGATCGATCAATGTTGTGTCTTTGCAGAGCCGCCGACGTGTTTTTAAATGCTGTTGCAGGCCTAACCCTGCCCATAGTAGGTAAGCTATCTTCGACCTTGCTTCCTAAGCTTCGAGAATAGCTCACACGGCCCGCCAAGTACGATCACGGATTCACGGCAAACGATCAACTCATTCACCACTTTGTGTGGTGCTTCTAAGAGATTGCGCATTGATCAAAAGAACTCGTGTCATCCAAGTTTTTGGTCCAAACAAAGGCTCGGCAGCCGCGGACCCTATAGAATACCAAGCTTTGGTGGGGGTGTGAGATGGCCGCTGTGGCTGGTGAGAATCGTGGCAGTTCATGATGATTTGCAGAGTGGATGTGGGAAGATCGACGAGAAGAGGTTACGAGCACTTGTTTCATGTGAATGGAGAGCAGCGACACCTCAAGCCGGAAGGGACTTCGATTCGATAAATGATGAGAGTGCTTCGTGAATCATATCTAGCCACATTACCAAAAAGTCTTCCTGCCAGTTGCGTCGTCATGCTGAGGAAGAATGTTTCCAAGTTGAGGCTTGGCTGGAAGCAGCGGCCAAACGGGTGTTTAGCCTGAGGCCGAGGAAGGCATCAGGTAGACAGGCCCCTGGTAGACCAGCTTGAGCACTTTCGCACAAGGCTCATTCCTGGAGGAAGGCAGAGACAACATGAGCGAGGTGACGCAATGATCAGGAGATGGCTGAACACGAGGTCATAATCTCTGGAAGAAGAGGATTCGCGGTTGTCAAGACTGCGCCTTGTGACCGTGGTGAGTGAGCAAGCTCAGCAAGGTAAGGTAAGGTAGGGAAAGAGCGGGCGTCGGGACAGGGGCTGTTCCTACCTCCTGCTCCAAACGTCGTCATAAGGCTGCGTACGCGTATCATGCACGATGCATCAATACGCTCTCAGCGTAACAAGATTTACTTTATTGCTCTCTAGTAGAAGAAGAAGGCGCCCGCACGCCCATGAGATTGTACGCATCGACCTAGCACCCTAGCACGATATTATGAATAGCTCAGGGCCAAACTCCGCCTCATTTGCGCCTCGCTTGGAGCGCTTCAACACTGCGCCAGAGGATCCTATACAAGACGGCCTGGTGCAGCCTGTCGCCGTCTCACCACAGTCCACTCGCATCAATATGAACCGCTCGTCTGCTTCCACTTACTCGGCCATCTCCAAGCACTCAATACCGCCGCCTGGTTCCGTCCTTACCGGCAAACAAGAGCACTGTGTGTCGCTGCCGCTGCCCTGAGTGACCATCATGATACTGACCTTCTTCAGACCTGAAGCGCGAACTCATCTCCCAACAGACTGAATGGGAAATCTCGGAGCTGGCCTCGGAGACTGCTCTGCAACGCTTCGGTGCCCCCTTCAAATCAGATGCTGGTGAGGTCGCTCCGGAGGACTCGGAGCTGCCCTTGCTGCGCTATATGTTCGTTCACCATGTTCGCAACTTCCCCTTCCTGGACCGAGCAAGAGAGAAGGAGTTTTGGCAGGACAAGCTACAGACGGTGAGTCGAATTATCTTGGCCGCTATAGGCAAAGACTGACAGCTGCTCTTCTAGTTCCTCGAATCCTTCGCAACCAAACGCATATCTTCATCTGAAGACCGCCTAGAAGAGACAAAACGCCGCAAGCTCGCCATAAAGGCTCAGAAGCTAGTCGAACTAATGATGGTATCTGGACTGCCCACTGCATCTGGTTACGAAGAGCGCATCCGCTTCTCGGAGATGGAAGTCGTCGATCGACAAGCCAACGAGGAGGGTCTCGCTTTAAATGTACCGGAAGGTCACCAAATAAACGGCTGGGATGTCAATGTTGCATCCGTCCGAACAACAAGTGTTAAGAGGCATGTACGCCATCATGCCCACGCCGAGTTTCTGCTCCGCGTCAAGCGTCAGGGCAAGCCCGAGATCTACGTCGGAAGACGATACAGCGAATTCGCTCAAATGCACAAGAGACTACGTCTAGAGCTTCCAGGAAAGGTTTTACCGCCACTACCTCGCAAGAACCATTCAAATTCGCTATACAGCAGGGATGATGACGATGACGATTCCATCTCTTCTGTCTCCACTCAAGACGTGAAAGAATCTACGCTCACACTGGATGAGCCTGCACCGGCTAGCAGTGGTTTCCGCAGCTACCTTCCTAACCCCTTTGGTGGTGGTCATCGTCGTACTGCCTCAAGGTCGTCGCAAACCGCTTCGCCCCGTGCTTCCATGGATGCTTCGTCGACAACCCGCTTCGGCCGCAAATCAGGAGACTACGGTAGAGATCACTCACCACCGAAAGTGTTATACCGAGAAGAACAACGTGTTTCATTAAGAGCTTTCTTGCGAAATTTCTTGCAGAACGAGAGCATTGCCCAAAGTAAAGCTATGAGCGAATTCCTAACCGGTAATGTCATCAGAATCAATGAAGAAGAGATGGAGGATGTCAAGCGGCGTGTCGAGATGGATGAGAAGCGCATCGAAGAACAACGACGATTCTACGAGATTGCTCGCCAGAGAGCTAGGGAGCTTGACGTTCACATGGAAAAGTTCAGAAGAGACGTTGTCGAGAGTAGTAAGTTGAGCTTCTCGAGATACACTTGAGTGAATGCGCTGACGTTTTTCAGATGGTCTGACAAAACTATTCGCCGAGATCAAGCAAAAGAACACCATCGCAGAGCTATCTCCTGAGTACAAGAAGTTTGCCGAGTGGCTACGAATTGAGTATGTAATATCGCTACCCAAATCGACAGCGTAATGCTAATCCAATAATCTAGGGTGGCAGCCGTGATCTACCACTTATTCCTGGCCGAGGACAACAGCCCCGAATTATTCGCTCAAGCAAAACGCATCCATTCATTAATACCATACACGGCCCTGAAGCAGGTCATTCGCTTTGCAAACCCAGCTGCCGTCATGGCTGGTGTGCTCGACCTGTTCCTTGCTCAACCTTTCGGCGCAAAGTCTTTACTGCAACGCATATTCTCATTGGCCTTGGGCGACAGTATCAAGACTGTCCAAAAGAGCATAGACGGACTTGCCGTCAAGATCAACGAGCCAGTGTTCTGCGAGAAGATCAAGAACTACAATCTGTGTGATCAAGATCTCAAAGATGCTATCCGAAGAGAAGCTGCCGAAGACGACATTGACTTGCTCGTGGCAGTTTTGCGCAGTGAAGACATCAAACCAGAACTGAAACCCGATGAGATTGGAAGGGCGTTCAATGCATACGTCGCATGGAACAGTGCAGTCGAGAACGTAAGTATTGGAACACTTGAGATAATAGACACTCACGCTGACGCGGACTTTAGATTGACGAAGAGCTGAGATCGGGTGCCGAGACATTCGCTCACCTCAAACAATTGCTAAAGCTCTACACTCGTCAAAGAGACAAGACTATGATGTTGCGAATGATCGAAGAGCCTACAACTCTGCAACTCTTCCGCGATCTCTTCACAATCTTCTACGAGCCTCTCGTCAGAGTCTACAAATCAGCAAACGTCTACAACAGCATCAGCGATTTCGCACGCTTCATGGACGACATGATTTCTGTGGTAGAGAAATGCCAACGGCAAGACGTATCCGCCGACCCCAACCAGACGGTCCAGGCATTCATCGACCTATGTGCAAGACATGAAGACTCGTTCTACAAGTTTGTACACGAAGTGCATCTTCACGACAACGGCCTATTCGATCAACTTATGGGATGGATAGAAGGCATCCTCTCGTTCCTCCGCACAGGTCCTCGTGGTGGCGGCAAGTTGGATATGAACGCCCTCTTCCAAGGTGCGGTCGAGATGCGACAAATAGACCAAGATGCTGCAGTACGCGAGATAAACTCTCTCATCAAGTGGCAAGAAAAGCGCAAGAAGTGGCATCAAGACAAGACACGTCAGAAGATGGCCACGGGCGATGCACCCAACGGTATGCCTGATACCGGCGCCTCTGATTTGATCAAAACTTTCAAGCCCGACGATTTTGGCCTCAATGCCTTGGACATTCAAGATCTCAATGACGACGAAGACGAGTACAGCTCTACAGACGAGGACGAGGAAGATGCCGATCCCATCGCAGCGGAAAGGAAGCGTAGAGCAAGACGACAAGACTTCCTCAGGAGGAGTGCTGGTGAGCCTGTCAAGCCTGATATTGTCGAAGTCACAAAGATGCGCGACGGTTTCTTGGCCATGCTGAGGATGGTGCTGGCGGAGTGAGTGTTCTTGCCTTCTTCTACCATGCTGGGTTCTAGTTTCTATTAATACATGATTTCTGTGGCTCTCTCTATCCATATGGTTACTATTTCTGCACGATCGCACCTCTTCATGACTTGACATGCTGTAATGAGTTGGTGATGCTCGCTCTTACTGAGACCGTGACATAATGAATCCCATCAATGGGGGGCACTCTTGATATGTGAGTGACAGTCTAGTGCATCACAAACGCAGGGACAGAGAGAAGAAGGAGAGAAAGTCAAAAGTACGAATGTTATGATCGTCATGGAAAGATTGCTTTTTCATCATGTCTTCTATCATGAAATATGTCAAGGAGAAAGGAGAAACATGGTATATCATCTAGCTCAATCTTCCACCCTGGAAATCAGGTCTGAAAGCCACTGCTCCACCCTTTGTCAACTCACGAAGAGCCATGGTGGCATACTGACTACTGCCCAATTGCATCTTGATGATCACTGCAAATTTTTGCTCTTGTCCCTCGGTCGAGTCTGCCATTTCTGTGTCTTCTGTCTTTTCCTCGAGTGACTTTTCGAGACTCTTGTCGGAGCCCAGGAGAGCTTCTGCTCCTCCTAGTGCGTCGGCATTGCCCTCTTCCTTTGCCTTGGCAATCAACTTGTCAAGATCGGTTTGGATGAGTTGTTCCTCGTCGTGGAAGTATGGCTTGACTTCCCAGTCCAGTCCTTGAGGTTTAGCCATTATCTTGCGGTATGATCCTGATAGTGAGACGTCCTTCCATTTCCTGCGCATATCGCGAGGGTTGAGTTTTCCGCCTTTCTCGCTACCCATGTATTCGGAGTAGTAGGCTCCTAGTTCGTTTGCTGGGTACATGACGTCGAAACCTGGGAGGGGGAGCACCAAGTCGAAGATTGTGTATTTGCCACTTGCTGCTTCTTCGGGAGTCAAGGCGCGGGCACGCTCGAACTTGTCTTCGAGGGAGGTAGCTGTGTCGTGGGCGGCGGGACGGACGATGATTTCGCCGGCATCGTCGATAGTTTCTTCATCTTGGGGTGCGTAGGCTTCCTTGTCTTTGTGTTCGTGAACGAGGACGAGATCACCAGCGACGACTTTGTTGCCGTAGAGTTGGTAGCGGCGTCCTGCTACGGTGTTCCAGACTAGTGATTGGTAGGCGTGAACGTACATGAGACGGAGATTACGAGGGATGTTTTGAAGAGCACCTTGCCAATCCTTTGCGCGTAGTAGGTCTCCAGACTTGCGATCCACCCAGCCCAAGTGTCTGATCAGAGCATTCTCTGCTTGGAAACGGCGAGGTAGCTTGTCGAGAGCTGCACCAGACTTTTTCGTCGTCTTCCAGATGTGCAGGGCTTCGGCGCGGGCAATGTCGTCTTTTGAGATTTTGGTTGATGCTTGATCAGGATTTGAGGCAGCTTCCAGTGCTTCGGGACTGAAGGACAAGATGTCTTCTACGGCGCTTTCCAAGTCACCACGAAGCATTTTTCTACCAATGGTGTCTGTGGAGATGGCAAAGGTACCGAAACGCTGGAGCCCGTAGTAGTTGATGAAACCACGTTCTTCGAATTGCGAGACAGCACCACCGATGATCTTCTTTGCGTTCTCAAGCTGAGCTGCTGCATCGCCCTGTTGACCGGGGAATGTGCAGTCACGGAGAGTAATGGTGAACTCGTTTCCGTAAAGATCACCCAGGTCAAGACCCTGCGGCATGTACTTGAAACCACCGAGTCTTGCTTGTCTGAGCGTAGGGTTGACACCCGCAAGACGGTCGGCAGCGACGCGATAAGCACTCACACGCTGAACAGTGACACCTCTGCGGTCCTTTGTTCCGGCGAACTGGAAGTTCTTGACGTGCAGCTTGAGCTGACTAGCAATCCAGTACAGCACTTCCATGGTATCCTTGTTCTCCTTGTACAGAGTAAAATGCAAATGTTCACCACCAAGCTCATCCCATCCAACCTTGCCCTTGGGACGGCTGTTCTTTCCCTTTGAGCCAGGAAGAGCGCGAGCGTTGGGAGCTTTGTTGGCAGCAGCAGTAACCTTGATGGCAATGGTGTTGTCGTCGTTGGTCATGGTGTCGATTCTTCCGCTAAAGATGCGACGGACGTTGATGTGGGCATCGGTGCGCATCTGCTTGTCCGCAATGACTTCTGACTGCATACTGCCGTGGTCTCTTGTCTTGCGATCGGGGCGAGCGACTGCTTTGGCGTAAAGGTTACAGAGGTCGGTCGTCGTCTTCTCACCAAAGATGGTCTTGAGCATGTCCATGTCGGCGGGTGCAATCTACAGCTTGTCAGAGCTATATCGGATTCGACTTCTGGCCAAACATACCGAAGCGAGGGCTTCCTCAATGCGCTCTTTGACGTCCATTTCTGCATTGTCTGGCTTGACTTCTTCCTTTGCGGGAGCAGTCTCGGTCTTGATAGCTTGGGCAGCCTTCTCCTTCTCTTCAGCTTGAGCCTCCTTCTCGACCTTGTTCACAGCCTTTACAGCAGGGCCAGTCAGTTCGTCCAGGTGGAAAACAGTGCCGGAAGTGGAGATCTCGTTGACCAGGAAATCCGTGTAGCGCTTCTTGACGACACCCCCGAATCCGGCGGCTTGCGATGCGAAGACGGTGATTCCGGCATTCTTCTCCTGTTCCAGTTGTGCTGCTACAGCGCTCGCAACTTCTGAGAGCGACACGGATGGCGAATCGTCGGGACCGGTAAGACGGACCTTCTTGCGCGGTTGTTCGTCCGACATGATGGTAGGTATTAGAGACCGACAATGAAGTGGTCTTGGTATACAGAGGTTGTTGAATTCACCTCGAGCCTTCGAGTCTGGTAGCTGGAAGCATGGCCCTTTTTTCAAAAGTTTGCTCTGTTTGTCTCGATGACGGCAGAAAGTGCGACCTGTCTATCACATGCCAACCTCAGCTTCACGACTTCCACCCTCCACTATCAAACACATGTATTCAAGAACAGTGATATTTGGACCGGCTTCTCGTATGTCGAAAGCCTCTACTCTGTGCTTTTTGATAGATCATGTCCGTGGCCGCCAACTCTGCGTGCTCGACCAGTGTCTACTGTAAGCTATGGCATGCTCACAGCCCGAGTGATCAGTCCTCAGCAAAGCTTCAGCAACACCTATCTGCATAGAAACGTCCTTCAGGATAGTCAAGCGCTTTGAAGCAATGTAACTTCGATGGTCTGAACAGAGTGCGTGAGTTTTCGAGCCTTTCTTCTTGGTGGTGAGACTGAGTTGTTGCCTTGGAGCGTGCCTGCCCCTTCCATCAGCGCCGCCTGGTCTCGCAACACAAACACTGCAACCTTCACTCGTACGTTTCCATCTCGCAACACGCTCGATTCGTATCCTTCTTCACCATCATCACCGCGTCCATCCCCGACCTCTTCATCACCACATCATCACACTCTTCTCAACTGCCACCCTCCACTCAATACTACCACCCTCCACTCAATACTACCACCCTCCACTCAATAATACCACCCTCCACTCAATACTGCCACACTCTGCCATGCCTCCCAAAAAGCTCGAGGCTAGGGAGCACAATGTCTTTCTCACTACTTCGGTCACTTTCGACAACAAGAAAGACGACTTTGGCAGACTCCAAGTCTACCAAGCCTTCTCTTCTCTCGACGAGGCAAATGAGTTTTGCGCCGCCAAAGCCGACGAGCTCGCCCTCAGCCTTGACATTGTCGCCCCGGAGCCCACACTGAAACACTACACCAACGATGGAACCTTCAGAATGGAGCTGCCCTTGGAACACCGTAACAGAGACGTCATTGTCGAAACCATCATCATGCCTCTCATGGGTGGCATCATACTCCACAACAAGTCAATGTCTCGCAAGACCAAATCAGTGACAAAGTCATCCAAAGCCTTGCCCAAGCCTAAGAGACAGAAGGCTAGACCAGCCCCGTCTTCCGACGAGTCTACCGAGGAAGAAGACGACGACCAAGATGTAGACATGGACAGCGCTCCTGCCTCGCCCAAATCAATGAAAGCTATGAAGCGCGCATCCATCAAGCTTGAAAACCAGGATTCGACGACCGACCATCCTGACGCCGTTAACCTCGAACACAGAGACTCTGTCATACAGCCTATCATCGATCCCACCGAAGTCACCGAGGCTGATGTCGCTGCCGCTCCATCAGGCCGTCCCGATTGTCTTCGCATGTCATCGTACTTCATTACCGGTACTCACCCACATTGGAGCTACGAGCAGCTAGAGATCATTATCAGAATTTTTGGAGGCGAGGTCAAGAAGAAGCTGCCAACCTACAACCTCGATGCCATGTTCACCGTCGTTCTGGGAGCTAAAGTTCCTGCGGCCGCACTGCGTCGGATCAAGACAAAGGAGTTCAGTACCATCACACCTCAAGAAGTCATCACTCGCATTCGCTACTCAGATACCCCTACAGACCCTACACGAATCGCTAGTGAGAAGGTCGCCAAACTCTGCAAAATGGTTGCCGCCAAACCCATTCCTGCCAGAAGAATGGTCCAGGATGAGGATGAGGCTGATAGTGACGTACAAGAGCCAGCCACCAAGAGGAAGTCTGTCAAGTATGAGGATGAGACGGACAGTGACTGAAGTCAACTACCAGTTCACCACCAAGGACAGACGTTGGTATGGGACTTCTTCCATTCAAAGTGATTGAGCGGATCTTTGGGGGAAAATGCTAGATCCGAGACCGTCGCTACGAAGAACATCGTGGCTCATGACGTTGCCATGAGGGAGGGAACTTTCTTTCGGTGATTATCGCACCTTAAGACTTTAGTCTTGTTGTCGCAGAAAAGAGCATAGCCATAGCGCAACACATCGTCATGCTCCTCAATACACGTCCCGGTATTCATTCTTATCAAGTCTTTGCAGCAACTCAGATGGGTGGAAAACATGCTTCTAGATCTGCTTCGACATTGCGTCACGATCCGCTTTCCGATCGACATTTCCGTAACCTTGAACCCTGAACTTGATCTTTCAACATTTTACCCTCTGCTCCGTCCTGTTTAGGAAGACGCTCTATATGTTGTACGCGTCTGTAATTTCTGTGCATGCTTCTTTAGCATGACGATCATATCGGGAGGTGTGAGTAAGGAGTTGTGCCGTCGACAGCTCCGTCGGAGTCGGAAGTCTGCTGAAGTCCCGCGTCGGTCCGGCTTCATGTGCTTGTTGACTCAACGTCCAGCATCCTGGCAGGCTCAAGCAGATGTCTGTCAATGGGATTGCTACAAAGATGGCATGTCGCACGGCATTCCTACTGCCGCGAACCTCGGTGTGGATGCATTCTTGCAGGTGATGACAGTCTTAAGAGCCGCTGCGGTGCGCCATCCAGAAATGATCTTTCGTGCGAAAGAGTGGAATCCACACTGACGCAGCTCGTCCTTATCTCGGTGGATCTTTGACAAACCGAACTTTTGAAGCTGTTCCATGTTTGGAGAACGCATCAGCGTAGATCATTCAAGATCTTCGAAGGTCGTTGTGTTTCCTAACTCCCTTCTTCTCCATTGAACTACTTCATCTTTGTCTATTCAATCACTTTCCTCGCCATCACATCTTTAACGACATTTGAGATTTGTGACACAGCTTCACTTTTCTCCGACGTTTGAGACCTGCAATACCTAACGCAGACAGTCCGATCCCGATCACGTGCCTTACTACATTGAAAGTCATAGATTTTGCAGTTAGCCATCATGGCCAACACAACATACAATGGCGGCACCTCGTCGCCAGCGATATCGTCAGAAGGAGTCCCTGCACCTGGAGAACATGCTCGTCTTCACCACCTTCTCGCCATGGTTGATGAGCCTGAGCGACCACCATATGCTACGCGTTCTCGTGTGCATTCGATAACACCCACACTGTACGACGACAACAACGATCGCCGCAGCTCGAAGACGACCAAGAGGCACTCGTATAGCTCAATGAACGAAAAGGAAGTGGACAACCGCGAGCACATGATCCAGCAGAAGTACGCCGAACGCCTGTGCGCCAAATGTAAGCATCTGGACCGGGACCAGGAAGCTGCTCTAGAAGCCATGCAGATTGTCTCACCAGAGAAGGATGTCAGCAGCAAAATTGTCACTTGGGACAGCGAGAACGACCCGAAGAAACCAATCAACATGTCTGAGACGCGCAAATGGTTAATCGTCATTTCCACTGGCTTGATGACCTTCTGTGTCTCGTTTGCTAGCTCAGTGTTCTCAACTACAACATTCGTGACGGCCGAGTTGTTCGGTGTCAGTAGCGAGGTTATGATCTTGGGTCTATCATTATACGTCTTGGGTTTTGCTTTTGGTGAGTCTTCCGTGGCTCTCTTTCGTTGAGACGTACGCTGACAAGAGCGCAGGACCTCTGATCTGGGGACCACTTTCAGAAGCTTATGGTCGCACACGACCCCTCTTCGCTGGCATGATCATCTTCTGTATCTTCCAAGTCCCTGTCGCCGTTGCTCAAAACCTGCAGACGATCTTCATCTGTAGATTCCTCGGCGGTGTCGCTGGATCCGCTCCTTTGGCCATCATCGGTGGAATGTATGTCGACTTTATGGAGCCAATCAACCGCGGGGTAGCCACTAGTGTTTTTGCCGGTGCGGTCTTCGCTGGACCCGTCGCCGGGCCCGTGGTCGGAAGTTTTATCACCTACAGCTACCTAGGATGGAGATGGACTGCCTGGATCACATTAATCATGTCCGCTTTCTTCACCATCATCGCCTATCTATTGACCCCAGAGACTTATGAACCAATTCTACTGTCCTGGAAGGCCGAGAAACTTCGCCATGAGACCAAAGACTGGGCTTTACACTCCAAGAGCGAAGAAGATCCTCTCAACTACGATACTATTGTCAACAAATATCTTATGAAGCCGCTCGTGATGATTGTCAGGGAACCCATCCTCATCATTCTCACGATCTACATGAGTCTGGTGTATGGCATCCTGTACTTGACGTTCGAAGCCTACCCCATCAGCTTCGAGATGGACCGCGGCTGGTCTCCCGGTCTTGCGTCTCTACCTTTCATTGCAATCTTCATTGGTGTCGTACTTGCTTGCGCCATCATCGGAGGCTTCTCCAAGACATGGTACGCCAAGCGTCTCATCGCGTCCGAAAAGCTCAATCCTGAGGATCGACTTCCACCCATGATTGCTGGGTCTATCATTCTTCCGATCGGACTTTTCTGGTTTGCTTGGAGCTCTCACCCAGACACTCACTGGGTGTCTCAGGTGGTATCTGGCATTTTCATCGGTCTCGGTATTATTCTGATCTTTATGAGTGGTGTCACATACATGGTTGATGTGTACCTGCTCAATGCCAACAGCGCCATCGCTGTGAACACGTTTGTCCGCTCTGCAGTAGCTGCCGGATTCCCCATGTTTGCCACCTACATGTATCAGGGACTCGGTGTTGACCGGGCAACTTCGTTATTGGCATTTGTCTGCATTGCGCTCATTCCCTTCCCCCTGGTTTTCTGGTTCTACGGCAAGAAGATCAGAACCTTGAGCAAGTTTGCGTTCAACCTCGGCTAGAAGCTCCATCATCATCTGCAACGACTGAGATTGTTGAGAAGAACGACATGCTGTGAACGAAATCATGAGCCTCCATTGTACATTAAAGCACCGTCGATACATAGATATAGACTTAGCATCTGCATAAAAAAACATCATACACCACACCACAATCTTGTCTTGACACTTCCGGGTAAGCAAGCACAAACCTCCAATACACGCAATCGAGCTATGGAAAGTCACTGATGTGATCCCCATGTCTCTCCAGAACCAACCCTGCTAATTTGAGGATCTCAAACAACCTCAAAAAGAGAACTTCGGGTGATATCGAGTCTTTCATACAAAAAGGACCCTTTCCAACCTTTGATTTGTCCTTCCTTCACATCTTACATCCACAATCACAATGCGTCTTCCCAGCCTATTGCTCGCCCTCTCTGCCTTGATGCTCAGCGTCAAGGCCGAGATCGACATCTCATCTCTCCCTCAAGCCCTGGTAAGCTCTAAAAAACCCACCTCACACGTAGTACAGATCACTGATCCTATCCTCCAGCAAGTATGCATGACCGAAAGACAAGGCGACTTCGGCATGAAACACCATAACTTCACCTGGAAAACCGGAGATGCTGCAGACCTCTGTGCTATGCCGGTGGAAAGAATGATGGCTCTTACGAGATACATCGTGCCTTGCGTCAGACAGTATTGCATGACGAATGAGTGTCCTACTGATGATGAAGGAAAAGCGAGTAAGTTTCTCGTGTTGTTTTCGCTCTTTTTGGTAGTTTGCATGGCTTACTTTTTATTGTTTTAGTGCTCGCAAGCTGGTATTCGGGTCTTTGTGGAAAGGGAAAGATTGGAGCTTGATCTCGAGAGTACGTCTCGCGGGAAGGAACGCACGAAGTCTGGCAGAGAAGGGCCGTAATTGTCTCTGTTCTATCGAGCAAAAAGTCCTGGTAGCGTTATTCACTGATCCTACAATGTATGCTCTCAGGCACGAGTCTTCTACTGCTTCGCCTTCCACAGCTCTACTACGCACCTTTATCAGCTCTTGTCCTTCCTCTCTCGGTGCTTGCCGCCCAGCTTGGGTTCTGCCTACCACGAATCTTTGACTGGAAACTGTATTTCTTTGTTGGTAAAGTACGTTCATTCACATTAAGCAGCCATTCTTTGATGTACAGGATTCACAAGCTTGCACTTCTTTCATGATCCAACAACCGCATTGTTTTTTCCAACACCTGGTCTCTGATTTCTCGTCATTCCAGAACAATATATAATCCCCCTCTTGCTCCTCTATCAGAAGCTTTCTTCAACCTTCAACACACCAAACACCGACCTTCACCGAACAACAAACAAACCAACATCACACAATGATTCTCGAGTACGAGACTTTCAAAATTGTCATGTTCTTGGTCTTCAACTTCTTCCACGTCTACATCGGGCCCGTCTGGATGCGCTTCTTCGTCGAGCTTTGCATCACTGTATATGACTCTCCCATCGTCTACTTGGGCTCTCTGTTTATCGCCATGGAACTCTACCCCTCCCTCATCAACCTATCCGACATGGCCCTGGAAGAAGGTCGCTCCATACTCGCTCTCGCACTCTTCCTGACAATCTCCAAGGTTGTTTTGCAACTGCGAGCTGATGGTTTTCCCACTGGCAGAATGGGATCTAGAATCATAAGGGCAGATCTCATGATTTATACCCTCGGTGTGATCGCATTCGACGATGCACACGCCAATCAAGGTGAGTCTATTATACTGTGTGGTCTTGTCGTCTTGGTTGCCCCACTTCATTACATGATCGGATATGTATTGGCGTAGATCTCTGAGTTTACTACGTAAGCCTCCCTAGCTAACAAGCAAATGAATAACCCCTTCCCCCCTTGACTTAAATGTCTTGAGAACGCTCGTTTATAGATACAACCTCTGAAATACACTATCCTTGAAACTCATGTACATGTTTCCAATCCTCCCTGACTACTTCATATATGTGATTCCCGCTCACGAAGCCCGACCTATATCGTAGTAGATAGCCACAAATGAGCTGTAATCTCGCATAAATACTTTTGAGGTCAGATGCAAGCCAGTAAGAGCCGATGGAGGTAGTCTGTCATTAAGCTGTAAAAAGCCAAGATGGTTACTTGAATTTGAAGCCCGCAAAGGGAGTCAGCAAAATAATGTCTATCCGGAGACATCACTTCATTTGTAGAAAGTACTGTGCCTTGAGACAACTACAAAAGTGAGAAGCGAAGTTGGGAACAGCGAATGAGAAGCAAACAGGTCATGGACGGGTATTGGCCAATCAGAGCCGCGATGATTGTTTGTGGGGTAAGTGTATTCTCTCAATTTCAAACTGATGCTGACTCGCTCTTCTCGAGCAACACGACAGCACAGATCTGGATGCTATGGCAAACAGACGTCTGCAGCTTATCCAGACAACTCAGACGACGAGAATGGCTTCCCAGTCTCTACGATGAGCTCTGTTTGGGAAGAAGAAGAAGAAGAAGAAGATAAAGTTCGGGCAGAGATATACCGAGGATAAGACAAAGGCTAACTCCGCATCTGCATCGTCCAGTGTGGGGACACTGTGACATGTTATGGGCTGCGGCTGAATATCCCTTGTTCCGAAGAGGAGAGAACTGCGACTTGCCGGAAGACTACCGACTACCGACTACTTGTTGAATCTCGATCCCGTCGGTCTACTTCTCGTCCTCGCTTCTCACCCTTCCTTTAACGCTGCCCGCTCGTCCTCCATCATTCAACACAGCTGCTGTTGCACCTCTCGAACTACTCGTTTCGACATCAGTTCATCGACGGGATGAATCGTCCTAGCAACAACGCTCAAGCGGTCAAGTTGACTGGCGAAGAAATAGCAAAGCACAACAATGCCGACTCATGTTGGGTCATCGTCCATGGTCGTGCCTACGATGTGACCGAGTTCCTGCCCGAGCATCCTGGTGGCCCCAAGATCATCCTCAAATATGCCGGAAAGGACGCCACCGAAGAGTACGAGCCAATCCACCCTCCCGACACACTTGACAAGTTCCTGGACAAGAGCAAGCATTTGGGCGAGGTCGACATGAACACCGTTCAGCAGGAAGCCAAGGAGGAAGATCCCGATGAGGCCGAAAGACAAGAGCGGATCAAGTGTATGCCTATTCTCGAGCAATGCTACAACCTCATGGACTTCGAGGCCGTCGCAAGGCGTGTAATGAAGAAAACTGCTTGGGCTTATGTGAGTAAGGTGAAGGTATAAATTCAGTGCGTCAGCTTGCGTGTTTGATCGAGAGGATGAAACAGGGTCCACACTCCATTTCATTCGTCTCGAGCCCAACCCATGAGCTGCCTCACTGAACAAGTACCGTATTTCACTCCGTAATCTTTGCTAATGCTACCTTCACCTCTAGTACAGCTCGGGTGCAGATGACGAGATCACGATGCGTGAGAATCATAGCGCCTTCCACAAGATCTGGTTCCGACCGAAGATCCTCGTTGACGTTGAGAAAGTCGACATGTCGACGACCATGCTGGGTACCAAAGTCAGCATGCCCTTCTACGTGACAGCTACTGCTCTGGGCAAGCTTGGAAACCCTGAAGGCGAGGTCGTCTTGACCCGTGGCGCCAAAAAGCACAATGTCATTCAGATGATCCCCACCTTGGCTTCGTGCTCTTTCGATGAGATTGTGGATGCTGCCGAGGGTGATCAAGTCCAGTGGCTCCAACTCTATGTACTTTTACCAACTTTTTCTCCGAGCTAAGCCAGCAGACTAACATGCCTATACAGGTCAACAAGGACCGCGCAATTACAAAGCGCATTATCGAGCACGCCGAGAAACGCGGCTGCAAGGGTCTTTTTATCACTGTTGACGCACCTCAACTCGGCCGTCGCGAAAAAGATATGCGTTCAAAGTTTTCGGATGTTGGCAGTAATGTCCAAAACACTGGCGGAGACAATGTTGACCGTAGTCAAGGTGCGGCTCGCGCTATATCGTCCTTCATCGACCCATCGCTTTCGTGGAAGGATATTCCATGGTTCAAGAGTGTCACTAAGATGCCCATCCTGCTAAAGGGTGTCCAGAGAGTCGAAGACGTGATCAGGGCCGTCGCTGCAGGTGTCGATGGAGTCGTACTTTCCAATCACGGAGGTCGTCAGTTGGACACTGCACGATCTGGCATCGAAGTCCTTGCAGAGACAATGCCTGAGCTTCGTCGTCTTGGACTTGAGGACAAAATTGAGGTCTACATCGATGGCGGTATTCGTCGTGCCACCGATATCCTCAAAGCCTTGTGTCTTGGCGCAAAGGGCGTCGGTATCGGTCGCCCCTTCCTGTATGCCATGTCGGCATATGGTCTACCAGGTGTCGATCGTGCGATGCAACTCCTCAAAGATGAGATGGAGATGAACATGCGTCTGATTGGCTGCACCAGCGTCGACCAATTGACACCAGAGCTTTTAGATGTTAGGAGCTTGCACACCCACACTGCCCCTGTCGCGCCAGATACACTCAGCGTGGCCGCATACGACCCTTTGGCAGGACCCAAGGACAGACTGGCTAAGCTTTGAGGCTGTTGTCACCTGTACGTTTAATCTGTTTATATACTGACATGCATAACGAAGTTTTGTTTTCCACCAGTCTCCTGTTCATCGCACTCGTACGCAGTCCGTACTCATATCTCTGGATTCTGCTACCATCCTTTCCTACATCATCATGCTCTCCGGACGACAGCTCCGGTACGATACCTGCTTGACCAAGCGATTCATAAGACCCGCTGAATAGCCATGTTATGGTAGACCAACGACTAACACCTTGGCCTAATACCGTCTAGGAGCGGTTGAGAATCAAATGCTGCCGCCCTCAACCAAGCGCAAACAACGAACAGATGTCTTGGGTCATCGCCTCTCCGGAAACTCAAACTATCTCATCACATGCCCCTACCCTAGCAAGCAGAAATAGGAGAGAGAATTGTAGAATGCCTGAGAAGTGTGCATTATCGCGTTTCGGCGAGATCCGACGTATTCTGTGTACCAAGACATCAAACTGAAGTTAAGCTCTCTTGACGAACCACTCCTCTAATTCGCGCCTGGCCTTCTTCCCATGTCCGCACTATACGCTATTTTGCTCTCTACCGGAGCATATTCTGGCTTATGATAAGACATGTTGTCTGCCGGAAACGCTGATTTTAGATCTCAAGGGACAGCTAGCCTCCTGAGTGAGTCGAAACAGACAGTCTGTACAACATGTTGATCTTGCACGTTTACTTCACCCTGTGTATCGCGATAAACACTTCCAAGCTCAATATTGACTTCATCCAATACAGGACAGTCTAGCCTTTGTTGCTGGCTCTCTGTGAAGACAAGTTTTTTTTTGTTAAGGTTATACATGCTCCACGCTCCTGACAGGGGCTAAAGAGTGCAGCTTCGCTTAGCTGGGTCATACTCGAGTATGAGGGTATTTCTGCCTAGAGCGTCACGTCATTGGATCCACAGCACGAACAATGTACACAAAAGTAGTTTTGGTAAGAATAGAATTTCAAGAAGTCTTGTCCGTAAACAAAAGAAGTAGACACCACATCTCTCTCACACACACACGCAACAAACTACAAACCCCCTGCTCAAATGAGCACTGAATCTCCATCACATCTTCCACGCTTCTCAACATCTGCTTTAAGCAGAGTTGAAGACACCAGCAATACACTTGCTGACAATAGCTTGATCGGTGTAGGAGCCAGCGCTACCGTTAGGGACCTCTGAGAGAACGTAGTCGGTGGCGAACATGCCGGCAGACCAGCCGGTCCAGCCAAGGTAGACGTCGGAGTTGGTCATGAGGACGCCGAGCATCTTGCAGACGTTGGTAAGGCAGGACTGGTCGTTGGAGCCACCGCCCTCGGTGAGCATGGCCTGGCGACCGTTGCTACGGAGCCAGGTGGCGAAGTTTTCAAAGATTGAGGCGTTGTCTGTGGTACAAGCGGAGTTTGTGCCCTATACAATGGTATTGTTAGCGTTGTTTTATGGGAGACAGGGGTACGGAGAAGCTCATGATTCATCTATCGTGAGCTTTCCTCGATAAAACCTACCGAGCCATCAGAGTCAGAGTATTGGTGGACGTCGAAGACAAGGTTGGTCTTGCTGCCGTCGAGGTTGGTGATCTTGTTGAGGGCAGCAGCGGAACCGTCTGACACGCTGTTTCCAGCATGCGACCAATCGTTGCCTGAAAGCAGGATAATGTTCTGGGTGGCACCGGCCTTACGGATGGCGGTGACGGCAGCTTGAACGGTGGTGGCCCAAGCGTTGACATCCTGAAGGTCGTGGGGCTCGTTCATGATGCCAAAGGCGACCTTGGGCTTGGAAGCGTACTTGGTAGCCAGCTGGGACCAGACAGAGGCGAACTGAGCGTTGGTAGGACCGCCGCTGCTGCCCACGATCTGGCCGTTCCAACGAGCATAGTTGTGGAGATCAAGGATACAGAGGGCTGCACCAGAGTTCAAACAGTAGGTCACCTGCTGGTCGTACTTGGCGAAGAAAGTGGAGTCGAGGTTACCACCAAGGTTGTTGTTGACGAGGTATTGCCAGCCAACGGGGATACGGAAAGCGTTGAGCTTGTCATCCTTGACAAAGTGGTTCATCTGGGCTTGACCAGTGGTTCCGGGGTCGACGTAAGAGCCGGAAGAACCACCGTTGGTATCGATACCGAAATCGAAGCCTGCAATGTTGACACCGGCGTCTGCATGAATGTCAATGGAGGTCTATCAATCAATACACATCCGTTTCACATACACTTGACCTTGCCCTTGGAACTAGCAGAGGAAGTAGCAGAAGTGACAACAGCCTTGCTGGTGCTGACAGGGGCCTTGGAGGGAGCCTGAGTAGTGGTAGCCTTGACCGAGGTGGTGGCCTTGGCCGAGGTGGTGGCCTTGGCCGAGGTGACGGCCTTGGCTGTAGAGGCAGGAGAGCTGGAGCCAGCACCAGGTACGCACTGGGAATACCAGTCGTTCTGAACAGCACAGTGGTAGCCAGTGACACAGTCAACAGCACCAGAGAAACCTTGGCCACCCTAAGAACGAGTCAGCATCTAGGGACAGAGGCAGATGGAAAGACCATCACATACACATTGGGCGTATGCAGGAGCAGAAGCAGCTGCGGCAGTACCAGCTGCCGCGGCGACGACGAAAGTAGAGTACTTCATCTTGATGTAGAATGTAAAGAGCGCGAAAAGAATGGCACGCTAGGTTGAAAGAAGGGGGTGAGAAGAATGAACGAAAGACAAAATGTCAAGAGTGCTTGTCGGAGAGAAGAGAATGACAAGACAGATCCCAGAGCTCTTATATATGGATACCTACCTATGCAAAAGCGGATGTCGCGGCCGAAAGATGGCGACTGCAACCTCGATTAAGCATGGTCGACTGTCTGGAATACATTAATGAAGCAACGCTAAGATCTAGAGAGGGGTGATGGAAGACTACTGTGCTGCAACATAGACTAAAGCCCTAGAAGCCTAAACGTTGATAAAGGCGAGACAAGCATTTTGACGTTAGTATGAACCTGGTCGAGGATCGGGATGAGCATCACATCGCGTGGAAGAATTCAAAACACCATAAATTGTGCATAGTGTCTCGGACCTGTCACTCGAGATTAGCTCTGCATGCCCTGAGCTTGCCCTTCAGTCTCTTGGGAAGGATCACATCGCAGTGGGCATCCGTTGCGGCTTAGAGCATCAAGACCCACAGCAAAAGCGTGTCCGAAATGACAGGAAGCAGGGGAGAGGACTGTTCCACCGGTGGTCGATGATGGGTTCTTTGTTTCTGCAAGCGAGCAGCGGGAGTGGCGTAACTTTATATGGGGCCTGAAACACAAGCACAGCATGTCTTGACCCTCCAGACTTGGGGATTTTTTGTAAAGTGAAACTCGCACGAACTCACCCATAAGATGCCGATACCACTTCTGCCTGTTACTTGATTGATCGTTCATGCCGTCAGCTGTTCAATCTCGCGTGCAAGTGGAGAGGTGTTGTTCTCCACATCCATGTGCAAGTCATGCGAAAGAGCGGGAGAGAAGCAAGAAGCAGGAGGGATTCGAAACGGTTTGCGGGCCGGAACGCCGTCGGTGCCAAACACGTTAGTAAAGTGTTCTCGCCTGGTGTCTTTTCCTGATTGCTCATCAGGTCGAGATCAAGGGCGGTCGTGTTCGGTTGCGGTGGCTTCCTCTTTCAGCGCAGCCGGAGAGAACAAGATGAGAAGTGCCTCAGATCGGTGCAGGGATGGTAGAAAGGGAGGAGGAAGTTGGGTCGTTTTCCCGATCACAAGTAGAAATACAGCTATATACACAAGATGATGTTTGTACACAATTACGAATCACGCATTTGGGTCTCGTATCTCTTGCCCCTGAAGGCCCAGACACCCCAGTTGCCAGCGCTGACGTCCTGAGGGTCGAGATCGTTGAGATCCCAGCGTAAGCTACGGAAACGGTTCTCGCCAGGCTCGAGCAGGATGTCCATTTCATCGCCGACAGTGTTGCGCACCCAATCAATGTCGCGCTTCATATCGTAGTCCGTATAGCCGGTGGCAATGATGGGCACTTTGGTGTCCAGTAGTGGGCGGATAGTGTCTTGCCACTCGTGAGAGCTGGCAGGGTGGCCTAGACCAGGGTGGAAAAGGACAAAGGCGTCAAAGTAGGGGTCATATGGATAAAAGGCTTGGGCGTTGTGCAAGGTGTGGAAGTACTCGACGTAGGTGGTGACCTTCAGCTGGTGGCTGATGCGATCCTCGACGATAGCGCCGAAGGGGTTCTGAGGAGTGCGGGGAGGCAGAGGATATTCGTCGTCTCGGTTAGCCATACTTTCAGGGCCGATGAAGATCAGGTGGAAGGTAGAGCGGGGGAAGAGCCAGGCTAGTTGCTGCCATACCTCACGCGGCAAGGAAGATTCAGCGCGAGCGCCAATACAGAACAGGCGGACAGGCGGAGCAGTGGGACGTAGACCCTTGATGCCATCGCCAGCACCCGAACGAGGAGGATGCAAGGTGTATTGCAGGGCGGTGAAACTCTTCAGACCCTCTGGTGTGAGGCGGTTGCGCACGTTGTAAGGACTCAGTTCATGGAGAATACTACCAACGGTAGCGGGGTATGTGAGGAGACGAGTGGCCTGGCGGAGACTGCGCTCGTCGTTGATGGCGTTGAACTCGCGCGAGTACAGCATGGTGTCCCAGTTGGTCAAGTTGACCTGGGCCTCGTCGATCTGTGGGCCAGGGTACTCGAACTCTGGGAAGAAGCGGCCAGACACAAGGTCGTGGTCGTCTTCATTGATCTCGCGTAGCGTGTCACAGATGGCCAGGTGGGCCTCGTAGTCATCTGCCAAATGTTCCTCGCAGCAGGCTACGGGGACTCCGCAGTCCGGACATTCGTAGCGGACATGTGCAGGCGGCATGGAGCCAGTCTTTCGGACTTCGACATCATCGGGGCTGGTCGGTTGACGTGTGGCGGAGTGGTCTGGGTGGGGGCAGTATGCATTTTGCTTGATGAAGGCGGCGCGCTTGCGAATGACGGGAGAGGGCGAGTCACTGAAGGAGTGGAATAGGTTCCCGGGTTGGAGGAGCTCGCGGCTACGGTCGCCAGCAATCTCTTCAGGACGGTGTTGGAGAGCAGGCGAGTCACGTCTCAATTGAGCAAGCTGAGGTCTGGGCGCACTCGTCGACAGGCGCCTTTGGCTTCTCGATATTCTCTTGGACGACGACAAGGCCGGTTGTGCCGATGTGGATGCTGAAAAGAGACGAGTCGGAGGCCTTGAGCGCGGAAGGGCGACGCGCGCCAGGCATTGTCTGCACGCTGAAGCCGACGACAGGGAAGCCATGCTGATGTGGTGGATTGATCCGGTGTCTTTCGTCTGCTGCCCAGTGCCCAGTGCCATCAACTTTCGACTCCATGATGCAGCGATTCAACAGCGGGCGGCCCGAGCTCTTTGCATGTCTTGGCCCGGCGTTGCGAGCTGTGAGCCGCCGTCGACTTTTCTATACCGACCCATCTACTTCTGTAACTACCTTATACCACTCTCTAGGTGGACGCCATCTTGAACGCGCCTGTACTCTGCGCTGTTTGGTCTTGTCCTCTTTGTGCTCTTTCCTGGTCTTTGCGCATCTATCTCCGCCCTCAATCTCTCGGCGCAACTTGTAGGACCAGCTCGCGCGCCTCTCCACGACCTTGACGATTCGACGACTATACAAAAGTAGTTCCTTCAGTCCCGCCGAGCACCCTCGAGGGTCGCTCACCACCCACCGCCCATCATGTCCATCACCTCGAATATGAGCATGTACTCGCTCACCCTGCAACCTGCTGGAGTCATCACGCATGCTATTGTCGGCAACTTCGTCGCAAGCAGGCCGAAAGAGCAGCAAGTCATCCTGGCTCAGGGGGAGAGACTGAGTCTGTTGACCATTGACAAGGACACCGACCAGATCCGCACCATCCTCACGCACAACGCCTTTGGCATCCTACGCAACCTGTCATCCTGCAGGGTCCCCGGTACCCCTCGCGACCTGATCATCGTATCCTCCGACTCTGGACGTGTCTCCCTCCTCCAGTATGACGACGAGAAGAACCGCTTCGAACGCGTCCACCTTGAGACTTTCGGCAAGTCTGGCATCCGTCGCACCATCCCTGGCCAATACCTCGCGTCTGACCCACGCGGTCGATGCTGCATGTTCGCCTCTGTCGAGAAGAACAAGGTCGTCTACATTCTGAATCGCAACTCGGAACAGCAGGTCACAATCTCATCGCCTCAAGAAGTCAACCGCCCGCAGACCTTGACCTTCGACATTTGCCCTGTCGACACAAACTTCCAGAATCCCGTCTTCGCTGCCCTCGAGGTCGACTACACAGACAGCGATCAGGACCCGACAAACGAGTCCTACGATATTCGCGAGAAGCTTCTCGTCTACTACCGTGTCGATCTCGGCCTCAACCATGTTGTCCGCGAGTGGGCCGACGCTGTCGACTATTCAGCAAACAAGCTGTTCCCCGTCCCCGGTGGTGCTGACGGTCCCAGCGGTGTCGTCGTCTGTTCTCTGGGAAAAATCACTTATAGACATCCCATGCAGGAGCCTCACACGCTGGTCATTCCTCGTCGCAGGGGTGGTCTTGAGAACCCCGATCGCGAGAGACGCATTGTTGCTGGTGTCGTACATCGTTTCAAGGCTGGCTTCTTCCATCTCCTGCAAACTGAAGACGGTGACTTGTTCAAGCTTACCATGGATCTTGTCGAGGACGATCAAGGCCGTAAGACTGGCGAGGTTGGAAGTATCGAGCTACGCTATTTCGACACCTTCCCTATTGCCTCGACCATGTGCATCCTGAAATCTGGTTACCTCTTCGTCGCAGCAGAAAATGGCGACAGTCACTTCTATCGCTTCCTCAACCTAGGCATGAACATCGACCCTCTTACCGACAGCACCTCCCAGGAAATATCTTACTTCTTCCCTCACGACTACGACAATGTTGACCAATCAGCAACCGTCGCCAGTATGCATCCTCAACGCAAGACTGTGGTACAGGACATTACCGGTGGTGATGATTGGAAGATTTATAGCACAGCTGGAACCGGTACTCGCAGTTCTTTCAAGGTCGTCAGCCATGGCCTGAGCGTTAGCGAACAGACTCGCGCCGAACTGCCCGATCAGCCCAACAATCTTTGGGTTGTCTCGGATGATCGTTTCTCGGAGGCGGACAAATACATTGTCCTTGGTTTCCGCGATGCCACACTTTTCTTGGAAGTTGGTGAGAATACCCACGAAGTTTCCGATCACGGTCTGCACAAGGAAGTCACCACTATCCACATGGGTCTCATGGGTGACACTGGTATTCTGCAAGTCTGGGACAGAGGCTTCCGTTTCTATACTGGTCCCGATAGCCCGCAAGAAGATTGGAGGTGCCCAGCGCATCGTACTATCATCAAAGCCACGAATAATCACCAACAGTTGTGTCTAGCGCTCAGCTCTGGCGAGCTTCTGTACTTTGAGGTCTCACAGGACGGCAGGAGAATCCAAGAGTATGAGCAAGGTGCCGATGTCTTGACTGTTTCAGGTGTGGTTCAAGCCATGAGTATGGGTGATGTTCCTGAGGGTCGTGTCAGAGCACCGTTCCTCGTTGTTGGGTGCGACGATTCGACTATTCGTGTCTACTCTCTTGACCCTGGTGGTGAGATGCTCAAGTCCCAGTCCATCCAGTCGCTTACATCGCCTCCTCGATCTATCGAAATCTTGCCAATGGAAGACTCGACAGGTATGACCAACTTCGTCCACGTTGGCCTCTTCTCTGGTCTCTACCTACGTGCAGTCTTGGACGAGGTCACTGGCGAACTTGGCGATGTACGCTCACGCTTCTTGGGTGCTGACGAGGCCAAGCTTTACCCAGTCGCCGTCAACGATAGTCCTGCTGTGCTTGCTTGCGGCGCCAAGACTTTCCTCTCATATCCCCATCCCGAAACCAAGGAGCTGCTACTGACCCCTCTTGACTACCACTCTTTCAACTGCGCAAGCATGTTGAGGTCTAGAGTGGCTGGCCGCAAGGGACAAACATCAGTCAGGCAGTCGATCGTTGCACTACGTGGTGCAGAAATCTTCGTCTTCAGCATCGGAGACACTTCTAACAACATTCTCACAAAATCGATCCCGCTCAAACACACTCCTCGCGATTTCTGTAGGCACCCAGAATACCGCTACTTCTCAGTCATTCAATCAGATCAAAACGTACTTAGCAAGCAGGCTAGGGAAACACTTCTTGCTGACCCGACAAGATCAGAAGAAGATAAGAAGCAGATGGGTCCAAGTGAGCAGTTCGGCTGGCCACGAGGTCCCGGTTGGGCGTCGTGTATTCAGGTGGTTGACCCGACAGCTGAAGATGAGAAAGACGGCGTTGCATACACAGTCGACCTTGATTCGAATGAGGCTGCTTTGTGTTGTGATATGGTAGCCTTTGAGAACCAAGACGGTGAAGTCTTTTTGCTTGTTGGTACCGGAAAGAACATCCCATCTGGTGCGCCGACACCAAGCTCGCCCAAACCTACTGGTTCGGTACATGTATATCGAGTGTTGGATCCAGGTAACGAGCTTGAGCTGATTCACAAGACGGATTTCGAGAAGCCGGTTCGTGCGCTCATGCCCTTCCAGGGTCGTCTTGCGCTCGCTGTTGGAAACGAGGTATTCATCTACGATCTGGGTATGAAGGCTTTGTTACGTAAGGCCCGCTGTCGCACACCTGGCACTCAGATCATCGGTATGAAGACACAAGGCTCACGTATTGTTGTCGGTGATGTGCAAGAGTCGGTTTGCTACATCGTCTACAATCACAAGGACAACAAACTCACACCATTTGCCGATGACGTAATTGCTCGTTGGACAACTTGCTTCACCATGCTCGACTACGATACTGTCGCTGGTGGAGACAAGTTCGGAAATGTGTGGGCTGTACGCTGTCCGAAATCTGCATCTGACGAAGCGGACGAACCTGGAGCAGCGTCATTCCTCGCGAACGAGAAGGCATATCTTGGTGGTACTCCTCACCGTCTCGCTCTGCAATTCCACGACTTTGTACAAGACATCCCTATGTCGATGCAGAAGACAACTTTGGTACCCGGCGGTCAAGAAGTGATCTTCTGGGCTGGTCTTCAAGGGACTCTGGGTGTCTTTGTGCCCTTCATGGACAGAGAAGACGTGGATTTCTTTGGCAGCCTGGAGCAACATCTGCGCACTGAGGACGCACCGATATGTGGACGTGATCATCTGATGTACAGAAGTTACTACATTCCCGTCAAGGGATGTATTGATGGTGACCTCTGCGAGAGATACTTCTTGCTGAGCAGAGATAAGAAGGAGAGGATCGCTGGTGACTTGGACCGTACTGTCAGAGAGGTGGAGAAGAAGATTGGTGAGATGAGAACGAGAGTAGCATTCTAAGAGATCCTTAGTACAAATAGAATATGATATCCAGTGCAACATTGTGTTGCATGACAAGTTAGCATCATGTGCGGAGCTTTAGTGTCTGTGAACAAGCAGTTTTTTGTGTGAACAAACGCGTCTTATACGCGTGCGATCGCCGCTTGATATGGCGTCATGGTATCGAGACAGGGTGTTCCCATTTTCCACCGACCACGATGTAAATACACAATCAGCGGTTGGGCCACGCCAACTACATTGTCATAGCCATGTCTGAGAGTACCCTCATGTATAGGTTGTCTCGAGTATAGATCCGAGTGTCTGCGGGCGGGATCTGAGTTGATGAGTTTGGGTTTTCCCGGATTTCAAGTTCAGAAGATTACGAGCTGTCCTGCTGCAGCGGTATTGAAGCATTGTCAGCAGTTTTGAATCAGCTCTCGAGGTCCCAGGGCTCTAATTTTTCTCGAAATGGTAGCTTCTCACGTGTATCAGGACCATCGTTATTAGTCTCCACTTACGCTGGACACTTGCCACACTTTAAGAGGATCTTATGCTGCCTATCGATGGCAATGTACACATATCCAGGGTCACACCGCTTGCACGGTACTTGGCGGTCAGTTGTCGGGGCAACAAATGCGCCAAATTTGTCTTCTTGCCATCTTGGTACACGACAAAGACGACGGTGTATCACCACTGCGACGAGATGCTCGAAAGACTTCCGGTTGAAGTGATTCGACTGGTATTTAAACAACTTGCGACGACTCCAGACCTCATTCACTACGACAATGTCGAGCAGAATACATACCACCGCAACAGCTGGAAAGCCCTTGCCCAGCTTTGCAAAGTCTCACGACAAATAAAAAGTATCGCCGAGCCTTTGCTATATCAGAACTATGCAAGACCTGACTCTACTTCGAATCCTGTGGCACACTACTCTTTCCGGAAATTCCTCACCACGGTACTTAGACGACCGGAACTCTTGAAACATGTTTGCTCACTCTACATTGGTGCTTGGCGACACTATCCTGAGCGAGAGCTGCAGCATGCTGCGAAGAGTAAATTTCCTGCCTGCACCGCTCGCGTTTGCGATACGCACTTTTCACCGGAGTTGCACAGTCTTTACAGCAAGTACGCCAATGTCTCGATCCTTGGCGACGAGTGGAAAGAAGCACTCGATGCCGGTGAAGAAGCTGCAGAAATCGCTCTCTTGATGAGCTTAACGCCGAACCTAGAGCGAATCGAGTTTTCCATGCCACACCTGAGTCTAAATCTTACACATGCCTCTCCAAGATACTTCTGGCCAAGACTACTCGCAGCTTCGGCCGGATGGGACCCCTCTAAGCACTTTCACCGATTGGACTGTATCATGGTTCATAAAAGAAATCTGATACCAACACTACCAGAATCTGCCGAGTATGGTTTTGAGATCGATCCATTCTTACCATTCATTGGTCTTCCCAAACTAAAGGTCTTCTGGGTTGAGAGCGACAACTACGGCTCATACCGGAAGCTCTCAGAAGAGTATCCTCTGAATGAAGAGGAGTCGCATCTTACCGACCTTACACTCGGATTATCCTACATTCATCCGATGAAGTTGATGCAGATTCTGAAACGCTGTACCAAATTAGAAGCATTTGTTTGCGACTTCCAGCCAGAACTCATTTACATACCAGGTTTCTCGTGGAACACCATTGGAGAAGCACTGGAAGGCAGTCGTCAAACGCTTGAAGAGCTCACACTGGGTGCTGATATGTCCTCTCAACTAGCTACCGAGGAATTCACCGGCTCCGAAGGCACCTGTGTGTCGATCGGATCACTCAAGAAGTTTACCTCGCTCAAAAAGCTTGATGTCCTGCAAACTACTCTCTTGGGATTTGAGAACATGATTGATGAGATGAACTTGGTTGTACCTGCATCACCCTTTAGAGACATGTTGCCAAGCAGTCTTGAGAGTATCACCATTGATATATGCACTCTGACTATCGTGCCCTATTTGGAGAGCATGTTGGCCAAGCTTAGGCAAAACTTCCCATATCTTCAAGAGATGCGGCTGAGTGATATTGATTTGATGGAGTTCGACACGAATAATTGTACAGGACAGCAGTTCGAGGTATTGATGCAAGGTCGAAGAGACCGCGTAAACCTTCTGAAAGCGGGGTTCGTCCAAGCAGGTGTCAAGTTGCGGTGAGCTGGACAGGTCACGTCCTCCACCGAAGAAATGGATGATGCTACATACGACTTTCGAGCGAAAGTTAGAGTTGCTGGCAACTCATGTATTACCCACTATACATGCACGACTGTCGATCAAAGTGGGGCTTATGACTAGACAGCTTTCACTTCTGCACATGAGGTTGAGCGATGTCCTTCTTGCTCTCGAGATTTTGTTGATCGTTGACTTCGACTGTCAACTCAAACACCGAGTTCATACTTTGATCACGAAATGATGGGATTCGACAATAGAGATGTTCTTGTGCGACCCGCCAAAGATCTCGAGGAAGCGATGGATCTATGGTGGCCATTGATGACATCTCTAGGCTGGGTGAATCCCTTCCTGTTCCTGTGCTGTGAAAGAAGCAAAGAGTCTGACTGTCAACTATCTCCAGAACCGCTCCTTTCATGATCTGGAGTCGTACATTTCGGCATCGCGTTCTCGAGGTTTGCTTGTTGCGGTTCCTGGCGGATGTAATGAACCCGTGGGGCACTGCATGCCAACACTGTACGACAACTTAACTGGTTGGGTCACACTGTTTGGTATGAACCCCCCATCTCTCAAACTTTTAGTCTTCTGCTAATGACATATAGTTGTGCAACCAAAATGCCAAGGGAAAGGTTATGGGAGCGCTCTGTTTGAGGCAGTGTTGCAAGAGTTCAAAAGCAAAAACACTTCCATCATCGGATTGGATGCAGTGGTTGAACAAAAGACTACTTACGAACGTCGAGGATTTGTTGAATCTCCGCTCGGCAAACTTCGCTGTATGTCTTGGAACACATCAACCAATATTGATCATGGCACATCACATGACCCTGACACGAACCTGCGACTGATCGACATCAAGGATGTCCCATACCACCTGCTCGCAGAAAGCGATCTCGATCATACAGGATTCAAACGCAACCGACTTTGGGGCGAAAAGTTTTTCAGCAGATCAGATGTGTTCGGGCTGGCTCTGTTAGGTGGAGAAGGTGCCACGAAAACCGCTGACATCCGTGCTTGGACGGTTGTGCGTGAGGTTCCTCAAGGATATCGCTTAGGTCCGGTGTACGCAACAGACCAAGAGTCTGCACGTAGGATTGTCCTTGCTTCGATGGAGCACGCCATGGGAAGGATTGAAAATACCTCAACCAACTCGGTAATATCGTGCCCCAGAGTGGAAGATCCGAGAGCCCATACAATAACGGCTGAGATCTGGGATGGCAATCCTCATGCGGTAGAGCTTTTCGAAAAGCTGGGGTGGAGCTCAGTCGGTGTGGATTACCATCGTATGTGGTTCAAAGGAAAAGCTACACCACAACAGGATAAAGGCGGGTTAGCACACTCAGGCATGTACGCCATTTTTGACGCTGCCATCGGTTGATGGGTATATCATAAGCGATATCGTCGACTCAATCTGCGACAGTGGGCGGTTTCTCGTACCTTGCACAGGACCTTGGCCTCGATATGGAGACAACAGTACTCCCACAAGCACGAGGGACACCAGAATAGATTCAATACAAACTGGAATAGTCGTATCAGGATGGCTCAACAAGACGATCCTGCACGATCATTACCTCGCCTCAGTGAGAATTGCATTGTGAAGGGCGTCATTGTCTTACTCGACTGCTCGCGATAGGACGAATATCTCCGTCGTGAGCAACGGGGATTGCGGAGCTCAATCCTACGCCCGTACAGTAGTGTGCCTGTTCCTGCAGCGGGACAAGAGGCGAAGTGTTTGGACGGTGGAGCAGGAGCCAATAGTCTTGGGATCTGCAGGTTCGTTATTGCTGCGATGACGCATCATCATAACGATCGACATGTGATTTTGCTCGTTCCTTGCCGCAGCACGAGTGATCGGAGCATGAGGGTTGCACGACAAGAAACAATAAACTAACGTTTTTGCCAAGCTTTATGGCATGGCTGGGTTGACAGCACGGGATTCGGGAGATCTGCCACATGCTGCGGCAGGGCGTGCCTGCTTCTCTCGACTTCACCTCGTGCCTGGCACCATCAATTCTATCAGCCATATACTTTTTTGACATACACGTAATAGACGCCTCTCACGCCTTGCGTTTCTGTTATTCGTTGCGTCTGTTTCAACCGTCGTCTTGCGGCGCATCACGATTGTGTGATGGCGGGTGTGGGATTACGAGTGTCTTGCCCGTCTCAATCTGAAAGCTGCAACGTTCCAGTAGAAATTTATCGATTTGGCAACGGTCTCCATCTTTAGCAACCAGAACCTCAACGGTAAGTCAACTGTTTCCAAGGTAAATAACCAGCTCTCGAGAGGTTGGTAAAAACAGCAAACCTTCTTTGCTGGAGCGACTGACGACCAGCGACCTGTATATAACCAGCCCTCAGCAACCAACAAGCCACTTCTTTCTTCTCATCCACGATTACTTTCGCTCATCGACTACCCACTCTCGTTCAAGGGGACTCTTGTGTTTGTATACCTAATAATTCGGACTAACTACAACACACGACAACAATCATAATGCCTTCGTTCATCTCTGCAGCCGTCGCTGCTCTGTCGCTTTCGAGCTTCGCCTCCGCCAACGTGGCCTACCGCCGCCAGGAGAGCTTCCCCATGACCAACAGCTCGAGCAGCTCTAGCCAGCTGTCTTCCAGCAGTGCCTCTGTCCCTATCGGTACTGGCAGCTCCAGCATTATCAGCTCCAGCACTGCTGGTGCCGGTTCCGGCCCTGGCTCAAGCGCCAACTCTACCGCCACCTCTACTGGCGGTGTCTCTTCCACTGGCTCCAGCGCATCTTCCACTGCTACTGGTGCCTCTCCTTCGGTCATCTCCATTGGAGGTGTTACCTTCGCTCTTGAGGTCGACGTCACCTACTCTGGTGTCCAGATCGCTCTTGACATCGTTCTCTCCAAGAGAGCCGACAACACTCTCCCCGAGTGCCTTTCCACTTGTGCTGCCAACACCCAGTGTGTCGGTACCGCATTCAACTCCAACACTGAGACCTGCACTTTCTTCAGCTCCATCGATGCAAACTCGAAAGTTGCAGCCCCCGGTACCACCTTCGCCACTGTCGTTGGCCGTAACAACGGTACCAACCCCACCAACGGCACCACCTCCACCGGAGCTACCTTCCCCACTGGTGCTGCCAACAGCACTTCTACCGGAGCTACTTTCCCTACTACCACCAACAACGGCACTTCCGTGACCGCCACCCCCAACAACCCTGGAACCAACGGCACCTTCCCCGATGCCGAGTCCATCATCTGCCCTCAGTACAACGACCAAGTTCTCCAGAACAACGATGGCACCGAGTACCTCATCAACTGCGGCCTCAACATTGAGGGTACCGTCCTCTCTTCCCGCAAGGCCCGCATGATCAGACGTCAGTCCACCTTCGGCAACGACTGGATCATTGACTGCATTGACTCTTGCACTGCTCTTGGCAACTGCGTTGGTACCGTCTACAACCGTGTCCAGGGGACTTGCACTTTCTACAGCAACATCGAGTCTCTTTTCGCTGATGCCAACACCGATGCTGCCATCATCGTCAACGAGACCCCTGATGCCACTCCCATTGTCTCCACCTTGACCGTCACCGATGCCGGTGTCACCCAGACCATCACCACCACTCCCCTGACCACCAGCACCGTCTACTCGACCACCACCAAGACCATTCAGTCTTGCGCCCCTGGTGTTCCTTGCGTTGCTGCCACCGTCACTGAGGTTGTTGTTGCCTATACCACCGTCTGCCCCGTTTCTGCCATTCCTACTGGTGGCGCTGGTGCCGGTGCTGTCATCACCAAGACTGTCTGCACTGCCTGCCAATACGTTCCTTCGGTCGTCACTGTTTACCAGTGCCCTACTGCTGGTCCCGGTGCTGGCAAGCCTACTGCCGTTACCACCAAGACCGTCCAGGTCCCCGTCCTGAACGGACCCGGTGCCAACGGCTACACCACCTCGACTGTTTACTCAACCGAGGAGCATGTCACCACCACTTGCGGTGCCAACGGATGCAACAAGGCCACCGTTACCGCTGTCGTCTCTCTCTACACCACCGTCTGCCCCATCAGCTCCGGTGTTGGCCAGCCCGGCACCGTCGTTGTTCCCGGAACCACCGTTCCTGCCTCGACCAAGCCTGCTGAGACCGTTCCCGCCACCGTCGAGAATGGAACCACCAAGCCCGCCGAGACCATTCCTGCCACTCTTGTTCCCGGTACCACCAAGGCATCCAGCACCGTTGTCAAGTACACTCCTACTACCAGCGGCGTTGTTACCTTCACTGGTGCCGCTACCAAGAACGGTATGGGCTTCGCTGCCGCCATGGCTGGTGTCGCCGCCCTTATCCTTTAAATTTGAGGATCTCATTTCACGATGCCTTTGATGCGTCTGGCACACATCACTCTCCTTAACGCCGACCCCCAAATACTTCAACTCTTCTTGATGCTCTCTTGAGAGCTCTGATGGCCACATTGGATCGTAGTAGATCCAAAGCCTTGTAATACCCTAACCATTTATTTCCTTTTGTCATATGTAAACTATACTTGGAGGATGAAAGGAAGTTTGGGATGCAATACCCCCCTGATATGTTCCCATTTAGAATAGTGTGCGACCGAGATCTGCAGAATCTCTGAAGAATAGAAATCGAAAAATGACATTCTTACACAACAATTCTTTAATCATGCACTGTGATCAGTAGTTGCTCTTGCCCATTCTGTCAGGAAGTTGTGATCAAGAAGCTGCGTCTTCAATCAGCATCAGAGAAAGTCGTGACCTCCAAACAAGTTTGAGTTTTTGACTGCACGCCTGTAGGCAGCGAGATCCATATTGTTACATCAAGTGCTTGCATACTCTTCTCTCCCGGTGTGTCAACTTCTTCTCATTGTGGTGACTGTGACCAAAAGTCTACTCAAGTTATTGGATGCCGACAAATGCGCAACAACTATCACCCACCACGGTCACTTTGGCAGTCGCGATATAAACACGCCTCCCCCGGTTTGGAACTCTGTCACACCCCTATTCATCGATCTTGAAGTCAGAGTAAAGACGAGCTGTAGCACGGTACATTCATATGCTAGATTGACAAGGCTACCGCAGGGAGTCGAGCAAAATAGATGTCTCGATGTCATCGCCCCAAGTTCGAGGAATCATCGTGCCTTGGGCCAGCCACATGTGACAGTGTTTCGCACGTGGGGAGGCAACCTGAATGCACCTTCTTCAATCTATCCTTCATGTCGAGCATCCCACAAGTATCTTGACCGTCCTCAGCCTTCGACACAGCATCACTATCTCATCAATTTTATTCATCACGACATGTCTTTGAGATGGTCTGTTCAATTCGGAGAATTCAATCTCCTCATTCGCTGTGAGAAGTGTGATGTAGAGTGCCGTCAGAGCGATTGGACCCTCCACGTTACCGTCTGTGAGCATCTCGAGAGAGCTGGAAAGCGCCCTTCCAATTCGCATCACCGTATAATCGCATTCTCTCCCAGTGCCAGCGCTCCTTCGTTCTTGTGGGTCGATGACAGAGATGGCTCACTCATCCAAGGACAAGATTCTCGCGCTTGCACATGCAATGCTGAATACAGCAAAGAGGACTTCAAGTTCTGGCTACTCGACGACAGTACCGCACCAATCTCCATCATGTGGTATGAACAGCCCGGCCAAGAGAAGACCGAGTCATACCAGACAATCTACACAACTTCTGGACAGAGGTAGTACCCGCTGCACGCGAATGGTCCACTCTTTGCCAACGCATACGAAACCCGAGACGGCGTGAGGGTTATTGTGGACTTCGATATGCAACGCGTGCGGATGCACATCGATTTTCTGAAGGCTCTTGTAAACAAGGGAGGAGATGTCACATCAAGAGGGTTTCCTGCGGAAGACATGGTCGATGCCATCGTGGTGTTGTGCCAGGGCGAGTACATGCATACCCGTTATCCATTCACGGATGTCAGGATCCACAAAAACCACGCTGTGTTTGCCGAAGGAGCGACCTCGCCAATTTTCAAAAGCCTCGTCCAAATGAACTTTACCTCAACGATCCTGCAGACTCCTGAACTAGGAGACGACCATATGACCAACTACCCTGCAACCATGCTACATTTGTCCTTGGATGTCGAGCAGGGAGAGATCGCGGATGACCGCTGGCTTGGCAGAGTCGGTAATGTTCTTGTCGTCGTGCAGAAACATGGGAGTTGGCCAATGGACTTTTTGCTGGTCGTCATATGCTCGTAGTGTGTGCAGGACCTCTTGCAATACTACATAATTGCGTTCAGAAATGTTAATCCACGAGTGGATTCTGGATGTGGCGATACGGCTATGGCTCAGGCCGCCTCCCGTCGCGTTGACGCCAGGAGGAAACTCGCTCGTGAAAGAATGATCACCCGAGTCACGATCAAAAGCCTCACTGCGTACATCGACAGGTGGAAAGTCAAAAGCAACGACAAGAGATGGGACATGTTGCATGATCTTTGTTCAGGAGATGCTTTCATGTTTTCGAGGGGCAAGGACAAGATAGATGCCGCGATTGGTCTCGTAACGATTGGAGCGGGCTGGCCTTTTGATGGGCTCTTCTTGAAGGATGTGTTCTGCTGAATTCGCTCACTGCCACTTAGCGTTACATGCCCCTGAGAATCAAATCACATTTATTTCAGGATTGGTCTGCGTTCATTCTCCCTTTTCGGAGCTGTCTCAAGGCAGAATGTCCTTGGGAACCTTACCGCTGATCAAGGAGATGTGTCATTTTGTTGACTCCCCGTGTGGGCGATCGTGACCTACAAAGCGACTGTGCCTTTCCAAAGCCACAGCCCACTGTCGCGCTCCACCATCGGAGAGGGTGATGGGAGTAACATAGATCAGCGCATAACGAGTTGGCTCGGGTCCGCTCGCTGTCAAGCAACAAGTCTCGCATTGCACAAACCTCTGACTTCAAGCTGTCAAATGTTGTTCAACAATTAAGCCTGCCAAGATGACTTCGAGTAATGTCAGACGTATGTCGTATCACTACCATTTAGACGTAGATACAAGGCTCGACTTGATTATTTCCTTGTAACTACTACTTTGTAGCGGCCTCACGCTCCGCCAACATCTTCGCCATACGTTCTGCTTCGAGTTTGAAACGAAGTTGGCACCACTGTGAGAGGATCAGCAAATCACTAGTACCTTCAAGTATAGTTTACTCACATCACCACAGCTGATTGGATCGTACTTGGGAGGGTTCTCAGGACTCGTGCATGTCGGAATGACACCTTCCACACAGTTGAAGTTAAGACCTAATCATGTCAGCTTCTAGTCGAATTTGGCTTCTTTGGTTAGAGGCTTACCAAAGAAGAAGGGCATAGAGACTCTCTCGACAGGGGCACGATTGTACACTCTGTGCACCGTACTCTTGAAAAAGTCGTTCGAAAGCCTCATCATGAAATCGCCAATGTTGACGACAAAAGTGCCAGGTCTTGGTTTCGCCTTGATCCACTGGCCGTCCTTTGTCAAGACCTGCAGACCACCGACTTCATCTTGCCAGAGCAGGGTAAACAGCTGAAGATCGGTGTGCGAGCCCAAGCCTACTGAATTGGCAGCTGTCTCCTCGGCCGTGGTGACAGGGTAGTAGTTCATCACGCCATCAGCACCAGGGAATGTGGTTCTCGAGTCAAAGTAGTCTTCGGGCAGATCCAGACTCAGCGCGAAGACCTTGACCAGTTGTCTAGCAAGTTGTAGGCAGGATTTCCAATAAGTCAATACATCTGATTTGAAGTTAGGGAGGTGAGATGTTCCCTGCCAGACAAAGTCTTCGCCTCGGATCCATGGCTGCACTTCTTCTGGTAGAGAAGATAGAGGTTGGGGATGATCAGGATCGTTCTCGGGGTGATAACGCCAGCTGAAACTCTCCTTTACGTCGACAGATTCTGTACGGGAGATATTCGTGCTACGAGGAGCCTTCCAGCCATTGTAGTATTTGGACTTGTCTTGAGAGACTTGGTCTTTGGCTTTTGTATCTTGGTTGACGAAACTAGACATGGGGTCAGTATGCGGTTAGATGGTGCTAGCAAGATTTACGCACGTGAGAAATTGGGATTTTGCTTTCGCGATAATTTCTTCTTCGATGCCGTGATTCTTGATGTAGAAGAAACCCATGTTTGTGCCAGCGTTACGAACAGCTTTGGCGATCTCTTTGCGACTCTCAAGGCTGCTGAAGAGACCGGCGAGGTCGACTACGGGCACTTCTTCCTCTGTGGCATCGCGAGGCTCAGCCTTCAAGACATCACGGAACACTGGACCGTAGGCAGTGTGTAGCTCGAGCTTGTAGCTCGTAGGAGCTTCGGTCACAGTTGTGGTAGACATTGCTATGCGTGGTGGGACGATGTTGATCGTGGAGTGTGGTCATGGATTTTGTACAGTGCTAGCGACCCAGTGCATCTTTTGGGCTCATCGGAAAGCGGCGACTGCCCTATCAGTGAAATCGACAGAGTACGGTCACAGATATTTGATGCTTGATCATCTTATCATGCCAAGTCAATACATGGTCAAGGAGGTGGTCAGCGGCAAAGAGCAGCGAAGAAATCGTGGAGAGCGAGGGGAAAGATAGGCGATCATGTCTCGAGGCCAAAAATCGTGACCGAGACGCGACAGCCGAGTCAACAACCTCTCTCAACTCATCTCCTTCATGGAGCACCACAGTTGGACAATCAATTTTGACATCCTGCCGCGAGTCATCACATATTTCGCCGCTATTAGGCACTCAATTGTACAACAACAAGGAGAGATAAGCAATGCCCTGCCCGCTCTCGCCCGCGGGCCGTCTGTTATCTCGCCAAGGTGTCAAGGAGGACGAACTCGCTTCATCTCCTTGGCTGTGAGGAGACTTTGGACGAAGTAACGATCTCAAACAGCGTCTCTCGTCAAGATATGGTAATTTATCGCTCGCCGTTAGAACAGTGAAGAGATGAACTCAGGCAAGTCAGAGGCATGGTTGGACTCTCGAGACCTCGCATGTTCAACCGTGTTGGACAAACAATATCCGCAAATGGCTGCGACTACTAGGTGGTCTACCGATCGGCCTTGCCTATCTGTAACTATGCTGTGCCAAACTCTCGGCACTCACATCTTCAACCGGTTCGAGCGATAGGCGTTTTGTCTCGAATGCTGCTCTTTTCGGATTAAAGATAAGAGAAGCGAGGGCTGAATGCCGACATGGATGGTCGGAATGTCTATTAATTGATTCGCGTGCCTTGTGCAGATTGATGTTATTCACAGCTCTTGTTTTTGTTTGTCGTCTCTATATTTCGACATGTCAGGACTTGTGAACAGACTACGCAATGGCATCCCTAAGCCTCATCTTCGTGCAGCAGGCACCGAGGAGGTCAAAGGACATGACATCTGGCTCGACAATGACGATATCAGGTGCGGCATATCTAACAGAGAGCGGATGAAATTCTTGCTAAACAACAATTAGACCACTCAAGCTCGCTGATCGAACATGGGGTATGCCAGCGTACCTCACGTTCTGGTTCAGTGCAGTAGCCACCGTCTCGAATTGGTATGCAGCATCGTCAGCCCAAGCTCTCGGCTTGAGCATGTGGGAGTCTGTCGCAACTGCTCTAGGAGGACAGATCCTGATCGCCATCGTGATTGTGTTTAATGGCCGCGCTGGAGCGAAGTACCACGTCGGTTTCCCAGTCTTGAACAGAGCGGCTTTCGGAGTCTTTGGTGCCTGGTGGCCAACTTTCAATCGTGCTGTGATGGCCATTGTCTGGAACGGAGTCAACGGAGTAGGTGAAAACACAAAGTGCTTCGACCCAACTCTTGCTAACGCTGCTGAAGGTCCAAGGAGGTCAATGTATCTACGTGATGCTCCACGCTCTGACACCGAAGATCGCCGATCTCAGGAACATCATGGGAGAGGGCTCATCTATTGGCTCAGGCGAATTCATAGGATGCATAATTTTCTGGCTCATCACCTGCCTCTTCCTCGTTATTCCAGTGCCCAAGATGCGAGGGCTAATATACGCCAAGCTCTTCGTCTTCGTCGTCTCAGCAATTGCCATGTGCGCATGGACCCTGACAAAAGCTGGTGGTGTTGGAGCTATTGCACACCAAGGAGGCACGGCAACTGGATCCGAGAGAAAGTGGCTACTCGTCCGCTTCTTCTTTCTGGGTGCGGCAAACTGTGCGACTTTCGCATCCAACGCAGCTGATTTCCAACGTTATGCTCGTAGACCCAACGATGTAATCCTGGGAAACCTTGCTGGATTCCCCCTGAGTAACTTCATTGTTTGCATTGTCGGTAACCTCGTGGCATCGGCGTCTCAAGCGATCTACGGCGAGGTCATCTGGAACCCCCTCACCTTCCTCGACATGCTTCAGACCACTGAATACAGTTCTGCGAATCGTGCAGGCTGCTTTTTCATCGCCGCTTGCTTTGGTTACTCGGCCATCTTCTCGTCGATCTTTGAGAACTCTCTACCCGCCGGAAACGATATTGCTGCACTTTTCCCCAAGTACCTCACAGTACGTAAAGGTTTCTTCATCTGTGCCGCTGTCTCCTTCGTCATCAATCCCTGGTATCTCCTTGGCTCAGCAGGAGTCTTCATCTCTTTCCTCGCCTCGTACCAAATCTTTCTCTCCGCAATCACCGGCATTCTTCTCTGCCACTACTACATCATCTCTCGTGGCTACCTGAAGATCGATGATCTCTACACCAGCGACAAGGATGGCGTATACCACTACTTCCACGGTTGGAACTGGCGTGCGTACGTGGCGTATGTTGTCGGCATCGCCCCGAATTTCTACGGCTTCCTCAATAACATGGGAGTTTCGGCACCTGCAGGCGTCACAAAAGCTTACTATTTCGCCTACGAGATCGGATTGATCCTGAGCTTTGGTGTGTACTGGGCATGTTGCTACTTCTCCCCGCCGGCGTTGGTCATGCCGTTGAGTGAATGGCACGAGCCGAAGGACTATGTGAGACCAGAGGAGAGGGCCGAGGTGCTTGAAGGAATGCCATCAGAGACTTGGGGCGATAATGTGGACGGTGTTTCCAAGATCGTTCAAGAGGATGTCAAGGAGCTTAGATAGGAGGATACTAGATTCCGTCGCGCTTGTAATTTAACGTTTTCCAGTTTGGCGAAGCTTCCGTGTATAGTGAAAAGATATGTCGACGACACGATGTAGTCTGGGAAGCGCCACGCCGTTTCCCTCTCTCCTTGGAAATTGTTGCGCTTTGATACAGCCACTAGAAACATCACGCCTCAGATAGTGTGGTTAGCCTAAGTAGCGGCGAAGGAGTAGACTTGGGCAAGGTTGGTGTGTGCTCAACTGGCGTTTTGGGCAGCGTTATGGACCGCGCATATGAGCTTGAGCCAGATGGCTCGTTGCACATCTGCAGAGAAGGTGCTGACCGCAATGAGATATGTCCCGAATAGCTTCGTAATCAATCGGGCTTTCTCAGATTTCTGTGCTGTGAAGGGTCGACCTTGTACTCTCGTAAAGTGGCAAGGTGAACCGGGATGTGCTCGCAAAGATTTACACAACTACGCGAACCACCACAGAAATTTGATCTCGAGCTACCTATGCGAGGTTCGAAGACGGAGAGAATCTGAGAACGCAGTTTCGGTGAGAAGAGATGAGAAAGTCCTCTTGCGAAGATTTGGTGTGGACCGAACCGTCCTCGCAAACGTTGACATCTCCTCTTGGACCACCACCAAGATGTGACCATTAGTGATCGCCTTGCGAGGATCAAAATCAGGAGAATTTGAGTATGTAGTCACGACAAGAATAGTCTGTAAGTTACTCTCGCAAAGAGTCAAGGTGGACCGAAGTATGCTCGAAAACTTTGGTATGGCTACATAGAACATCTTCGTGATTTGACTATTCTTGGTCCAAATCCGAGGGCATTGAGTCACCGATGAGAGGCGTGGATACGACGACTGGAAGCTCCTCTGCTCTCAAAGCTGCTTGAGCAGCCACAACCTCTCTGGCGCACTCTTTCCTGATCTTTCCGTCCCTCTCAGTTGCTTGTGGCTGCATCGAGGCTGGTGAAAGCGTAGTTGATGTTGGTGCAGATGACAGACTAATCGGCTCCGACGATGAAGACACAGTTAGGTCGCAACTCGCAGCTTCGGATGTCGAGCATCTTCTTCTGTCAGTTGTCTTGAGTGCAATCAATATCTGGTCTGGCGTTATATCTTGCAATGCGCACCTGCCCACATCCAAAAGACACAATCCGAAGACCATTGACCGAATCTTGCTCTTTGTGCGCTCCAATGGGATCGTAGTGACCCTCAGTCTAATCTTCCCGTACCGTGTGTGTAGATGGTCGCGTGCACCCCTGCTTGCTTCACTGATCACGGTCTGATGGACACACATACTCATTGCTTCGCTAGTCTACACATCATTCGCAACCCGCATGTATCAACGTGAAGAGGATCAGAGATCCTGAATTTAGATGTGGATGTGACAAGGGGTATTCTGATACGAAGGAGACTCTATTCACAAATAGTGCATGAAGCCATCATCTCTATGCGGCGGCCTGCACAGGGACACCTCTGGGTTTCCTGGCGAACAATCCCACCACAGCATTGAACATCTCGCTGACGGGCATGAGTGCAATGTTGTCTCTGTCAAAGACCTGAGCCAACTGCTCGGGTCTAACGACCGGCTTATCTGCTTCTTCGTCGTTCTCAAGAAGGTACACATCCGCTTGCTCTTCTGACATTTCGACGTCTTCTGAGGCTTCGAGAGATGACGTCGAGACGGGCGCCGCAACGGATGTAGCGATTGTGGAGAGAGCAGCACCTCCTGAGCGCTTACCACGTCGTGTGCGTACGCCGGCCATAGAAGGAGCAGCAGGACGGGGACTAAGTGTGAAGACCTCGGCAGCGGTGGTCAACACCTTGTAGCCTCTTCTGCCCTTTGCTGCCAAAACGGCTGACGCAGGGTAAGGCAAGCTTTGATTGAATTGGGGAGCTGAGCTGGTAGGGCTGAAAATTTGAACACGAGAAACACCGCCCTTTGACCTTACTGACACAGCGAAAGTCCTTTCGTCAGGATTTGTGGTAAGAAGAGAAGCGCCGAAGCGAGCGGCGCGGTCAAGGTTGATACAATAGAGTTGAGTCTCATCCACGATATCCCAGACTGCGATGGTCTGGTCGGCGAGAACGATGAGGTGGCGGTCGAGGAATGCGAGGGCGCGAACGGTGCCTGTGAAGAAGCCAGAACGAGCTTGCTCGGTTGCGCCATCCACAGCGTTGATGAAGTGAACAGTGGGTGTTTCAGTAGCTTGCTCGAAGGCCTGAGAGACAGCCAAAGTGGAGCCGTCTTCAGAATAGGCGAGTGCAGCACCCGTGGGAGGAGGCAGAAGGCGGGGCTGATCGGGTATCTCAGCCAGCTCAACACTGCGATCCAGGGGAATAGAGTGGCGGCACGTCCAGTCAACGAGACCTTCGGCCTTGGTACCACGAACGACAATGCCGTTGCGAAGGCGAGTCTTGGGTTTCCAGATGCGAACACAGCTGTCCTCGCCTACAGTCGCAAATCCGACCTCAACTGGGTCAGCAACGAGGTTCAGAACACGGCCAGGCTGAGCATCATCACCGAGCTGGTGAGGACTGTCGATTCTTGTTTCCAAAGCCCAGAGATTGCGCTCGGAGTCCCAGCGCCAGATCTTGAGGTAGACCTCGCGGCGGAAGAGGCGTTGATCGTCGTTGGAGGACTTGTCAGCAGCCAAATGCTCAACATCTGGGTAAGGAGGTGACCAGTGTTCAGCTGTGGCGAGCCATTGTCCATCGTGGCTGATTTGCAAGGAAGTCACATCAGGAACCTTGATACGGTTGCCCTCGGGACCCTTGTTGTAGTCAGTGACCATATTGCGGGTTAAAGCCTGGCGAGAGATGTGGCGGTCGTTGGAGATATCGTAAGTCTGAAGGAAAGGTCGAGGAGCGGCGGCAGATGTGTGCTGGGAGGTCTCGTTTGTTGAGGAAGGAACAGAGAGTATAAGTTGATCGGGCGAGAGTGGGTTCAGAGTAGCAGCAGCGGCGCGCAAAAAGCTCTTCTCAGTGTCGACTTGAGCACTTGTGTTCTTGTCAACGCACGACTGAGCCTGCAGTCCAGCGAAGTTTGCGACAGGCTTGAGCTCGGTAGTAGATAGGACCATGACGGAATTGTCGGCCAGTTGAATTGCGTATGATGCTCCGTTGGGAGAAACAGTCAAGCACTCAATTTCGGCAGTCAAATGAGGAAGGAATTGCTTCTTGCCGGTAGACAACTGCCAGAGCACGAGAACAGTTTCTCTGCCACCGGAAATGAGATAAGTTCCATCCTTGGACCACTTGACGGTCGCGACTGCCTCGCGATGCCAATGGAGAGTGCGAGGGGTCAAAGATTCGATATTCTTGTCGGAGGGGTACACGTTCTCGTACAGGAAGATTTCACCAGAAACATTTCCTACAGCGACAGAGAGGTTTTCTGTCTTGGCCTTCTTCTTTGACTCGCTCGATTCCATTCTGCATTCGAGACTTGTTACACCAGCGGAGACTGTGATTTCAACAAAGTCGTAACGAGTGGTATCGGAGGGAACGCGCTTTCCAACGACCAATTTGGCAGAGGTGGCAGCCACAACGAAGTCACCCTCGACACGGAGATGGCTCAGAGAGTCTTTGGATGTGTAGATAGAGCGGTCTCCAGAAACAATATTCCAGCTTCCGGATTTGTGGCAGATTGCGTACAGGGTGTCTTGTGAGGCATCGGTTGATGGTGCAACAGCCAGAGCAGAAACGACCCCCTCGAATTTGATGTCGTCGTTTACAGGCGTACCAGTGATCCAGTTCCAGCGCTGGACACGTCCCGTGGATGAAGCAATATACAACTCCTCCTCATCGGCGAGCGACAGGGCGAAAGCAGTGGCAGAGTGATCGGGTCCGGGCAATTTCCTCTCGACCAGCGATGTGGCAATTGACAGGACGTCGATTTCACGGCCATTTGAGGCGAAGATGCAGCTGTAATGGATTAGAAGGTATCGCAGAAGATCAGCGGCGGTTCGGCATACCTCTCGTCTTGGGCAAAGATGGGGTCCTGCAAGACAAATCTCCCTCCCAGAGGTTTTGACAGCGACCATGGCGATCTGCCCTCAAGCTTGACCTGCGGCTTCTCGACGACTTGGGCCTCGTCGACAGCGACGCGATCGGTGCCCTTCCTTCTGCTTCGCCTCGTATTCTTCTTTCCTTGACCGGGAGTTGTAGCTACTTGGAGGGCGTTGATATCGGTCTCGCCGACAGTTGGCGGTAACGAGACAGTCGGTGTGGCGACCTGGTCCTTGATCTGAGTCTTTGGTGTAGAGGTTGGTGATTGCGTCTTGACGGGCTTGGGGGTGCTTGCGGCCTTGTCGACGTCCAGATGGTCGCTCTTCTGACGCTTGGGCAAGGCGGTCGCAGGGGCCTTGTCACGCTGAGAGCGCTTCCTCTTCAATTGTGTGTCTGACATGTTGTGATTGCGAGATTTGTATGTTTCTCGCCGGCCTCTGAAAAAAAGAGGGTGATCGCGTTGCGGACGCCGGAGAACGACTTGGACCAGAAATTCCTGACGCTAGACTCTTGGCGCTGCTTTTTGCGATTGACGAGGTCCCGGCCTTTGCGATTGTATTGTTCCCTCGACCATCTCTGTCGTCGCCTCGAGCATCGCATACACCCACTTTTCATCCCCCATCCCCGCTTGATACGCGCAGCCCAACACACAACATGATCATCCCCATCCGCTGTTTCTCCTGTGGCAAGGTGCGTTGGAGCGCTGGCTGCTCCGCCTCTCCTCCGCTCCGCACGCGCTGACTTGATGGCCAGGTTGTCGCCGACCTCTGGGAACGTTACATGGCCCTTTTGGACGATGGCATGCCTGATGGGTGAGTTTGCGCCCACTCGCGACCACCCAACACCCACTCTGACTCGTTTCGCAGTGACGCCATGGACAAGCTCGGCCTCACACGCTACTGCTGCCGCCGTATGCTCATGACCCACGTCGACCTCATCGAGAAGTTGCTCCGGTACGCACTCGCACTCGCACTCGCACTCGCTCTCGCCCTTGAATTGTCCAATCGCTGTCCCACTGACACACTCCATCAGCTACAACCCCAACGAGCGCGACATCATCAGACAGCGCGTCTAATCTCTCACAACCACACCTCTTGCATACAAACATACCGGCGTTATTGGGTCAAATCAAAGCATGGAGTTTCGGGCGCCTTCTTTCGAGAACTGGAGAAGTTGGTGCTTCGGTCGAAAATTACGAAAAGTCGACGGACGGACAAAGAGTGGAAGAGCACACGCATGAACAAAAAGCCTGCAGCTGAACAAGGCTATCTGAAGAATCACTCAAACTTACAACACGAAATGATACCCGTGTGATTCTGATCTGGAACCTTCTGCTCCGCTTGCAACTCTTTCTCAAGCCCTACTTTGTAACATGCTCTGCCTGGCACTGAATAAAGCTCAGCACGTCTCGACTAGGGACTTGCACACGACGAATACCTTGTGCTGTATGATGATGGTCACTTGGCTCCGCTTCATATATCAACAATGGTGCACGCAATCATTCATTAATCATGGCCTGAGCAAGGAAGTATCGCGCACTATCACAGCCTTGTTCAACGAGACATACGAAAATGGAGAAGCCTGTTCTTGAACCCAAAACGACTTGAATGCATTGAAAACTTACTAGCACGAAAACCCGCTCGTCAAAATGCGCAAACTATGACTTGATGCCGCCTGCAATAAACAAAAGGGAAAATGCCCAGATCATTCGCATATCGTACATATCTGACTCGTAAACGCCGTGCATGCATAACAGCATATTGAAAAAGTGTAACGTGGGAAAGCGCTATCAAAAGGAAACAGAATGGTGTCCGGCAGTCTGATAGAAGAGATACAGCCTGAGATGGGGGCTCGCGTGGTTCGTATCAAAAAGGGGGCTTGTGGTGAATGGAGGGTATTGTGCGGATGGCTGTAGAGGTGTGGATGTGAATGTAGAATGGTACCAGTGTGTCGTAGAAGATGGGTTATTTAGCAGCAACGACCTTTCTTGGGGTTGATGTTGACTTCGCTTTCGCCAGTCTCGGATGTACCACTAGGCACACCGGGCGTACCAGGAAAGCCGAGCCAGCTTCGTCGTTTATCGCCATGGCCGACCCGGAAACTGCCAGTACCGCCATTTGGAAGGTCGAAATAGCTCTGGCCGCCATCGGTGAAAGGGGTTCGGCCCATGGTGGCCTCGATCGTTCGCTGCTGGTCGATTTTACGCTGGTGTTGCTCGACAAGCTTGCGTGTGATGACGCGGAACATTTCCTCTATGCCTTCACCATCCTTTGCGCTGATCTCGTGACAGCAGTCCCAGATATGCTCTTGGCCCCAGAAACCACTGCTTCTATTGCTGTGTGGAGAAGCCATGGCGGCAAGATTACCGTTGCTGGGAGGTGAACTATGCATGGCGCTTGAAGGACGAGCACTGCCAGGAACGACGTGGTCTGGGTAGAGTTGCTCGGCGACATAGCCTATACAACGCTCAAACGGGACTTCGCGCTTAGACGGATCCTCTGCAACGACATCACTCTTCGTGCCTACAACATGCAGGATCAAGTCGTCAGCATCGCCCCAGCCAGCCTTGTCTCGCAGCTCTCTCAGCCATACGCCCATCTCTTCGAAACTCTTCTTGCTTGTGATGTCGTAGCACAAGACGGCAGCATGGGCGCCTCGATAATACAGTTTGCTGATGCTGCGGAAGCGTTCCTGGCCGGCAGTATCCCAGATTTGTAGACGGATGTCCGTGTCTGTTTCGGGATCGTGCACGCGTGTGGTCAAGAAGGAGGCCCCGACAGTGGAAGGAGTGCTGGGAGGGAGAAAGGACTGATGGACAAAGCGGTGGACTAACGAGGTCTTGCCTACGTTCTGTGAGCCCAGCACGACCAGCTTGGCCTCTAGTGAGGTCGAAGGCGCCGGCATGACTCGTCGGATTATGGAACAGGTTAACAAGAAAGAAGGGAAGAAGACAAAGGAGTGCGCGTGTATCGCTAGGTGGGCGCTTGATGGGATCCCTTTTGCGCCAGTAAAGCCGCGACAAACAGGGTCGTTGGTGGCCCTGTGAGATGCTCTCACCACGCTTGTGATGAGTCGTGCCGGGTGGTTAGTTTGGGGTCTCTAAACACAGTGGATAAGCCCCAGCAAGATTCGACAAGCGGCCATCGCCCAAGCGGCGCCTTTAGAAGCGAATAGTAGATGGAAGGGAGAATTCCCTTGGTCAGGATGGAAGAAAGGGTCTTGCTCCTGCAATCAGGCTTTCCATCACGACTGAAGTTGTTGATCTTGTTGACCCCGCGGCCAAATTGGGCTACTGCGGTCCGCCATGTGCGGGTCAGTGCTTTCTTGACACCTGCCGTACCACATCTTCTTGCCCTCCAACATCTCAACTTGACTTCCATCTTGTGTCCCTCCTTCCGTCGTATCGTCATCAGCCGGACTTGCCACCGGAGTTAATGTCACCCACGTTCGTGTCCCGCAGAACACTTTGACGCGTCGCATCACGCTGCTTGGTCTTCGTTCACACTGTGCACTCCTCCGGACTATGTAGAACGTCTTTATTTAAATGCTGCACGTCAAGCGTTGCGGCCACAAAAACGATCACGGTTCTAGATCTTTAGGCTCAGCTCGCCGCGAACCCTTTCGTCGCCCGTCAATGTCCGACCAACCTCCTCTGTTGCCGTCACTGTGTAATCCAAACCAGCCATCCACGCCAAGTCCGTTTCAACCCAGCTTGGAGGGTGAGGTTGATTGATATATCCTTGCCGCGGACAGACCGCAATCGTTAAAAGCTACTTCAGCAGATGCCCTGCTCTGCAGATGGCCATGATGATACACGTGCTTGGAGGTTGCCCGTAAGATAATGCGGAAGTGTGACCAAAGAATGGTAATGCTGTTATGAAGAAAAGCCCTTCATTCTCGGACATCAACGGACCTCCATCAATGCACATTGACTTATGTAGCATTGTACATCTCACCGTTGCGCACGCAGTACATCCTGCTTGTTAACGCTCAAGCTAAGAGCTTCCTGGAGATTTAACGGCCATCTATACTGATCACATATCGGGCAATCACGGACATGTCCCCAAGCCTCATAGTTGTATCTCACCAGGGCCCAATCTATGGATCATCACGGAAAATGAATTGATGTTACAGTCGAGTCGCCATCTCCATTCTCAGCGGCTCCCTCTGAGATATACTCTAGTTCGGAGCGGTCGCTGGAACGGTCGCTGGAATGTCTCTGGTGAGTCGCGCCCAAGGATCCTTCCGCCGTTGTTCTTCTGTCCTATCGGTGTCTGATCAATACCTGTTGCTGTGTCAATGAGTTTCAGCCTCACAAGATAGATCTGCGCTCAGGGAACTACGATACACCCATTTCATTACCGATGCCGTCCTGGTTTCTGAAAAGATCTAGCTCGTGGTCCACAGTGAGTCGAGACCGTACTGAATGCAGTATTCGCCTGTGGTGGTTGTCTCGAGTCAATCTCGTAGTAACCCAATGTTTTCAAAGATTGAGCCCAGCATTGCCATAGTGTTTCGTGCTCCTACAAACTTTTAGCAACATTCGCTTTCTCGCTGATCTTTTCTACTACTGCTATCGTCTATCGTCTATGCTCGATGCGCTTCTACAGCGCATTTCTATCTGGTGTTGTTGCACTGCGGTCGTTCCCAGGAGCTGTCGGTCAGAATGCGTCGACAGAATCAAGCCGAATTACTGCGCAATCATCCATTGAGGGGCATCTCAACGTGGAAGAACCCTGGACCAAGAAATCGACTTTTGCAGACGAAACTGGAGCCTCCATGCCTGACACGAAAAAGCCGGTGCAGTCAGAAAGTGATCACGTCCCGAAACTGGAAATTCGAGTACATCAAGATGATTGGCCTCCAGGAGTTACCTCGAATCTGGAATTGGGTGATGAGCTTATGGACGATCTGGATCCTTCCACGCCCACAGTTGATGTCGCTTTCACGAAGATAAAACAGTTGTGCCAGTCGACGAGAGCCTCAAGCAGAGCTTTGCCGAGAGTTCCTAGTAAATTCTCATCAAGTAGGAGTGATATCAAAACTTCGTTTAAGAAAACAAGCCAGATCAAGAAGACGAGTGCAACCACGAATTCTAAGAGTTCCGCCAAGAGGACGACTTCGACTAGAAGGCCGACGTCAAGCAAGAAGACGACTTCAGCCAAGAACATGAGCGCGACCAAGAAGACAAGCGCATCCAAGAAGACGAGTGCAACCAGGAGCACAGGTTCATCCAAGGAAAGAAGTTCAACCAAAGGAAATGTCCCTTCCGCCAAGGGAACGTCCAGTTCGAAAGCACCATTTCGAAGTATGAGTACAATCTTGGGAAAGTCCCTGACATCGAAGACAAACTTCGGCTCAAGCAAGATAATCTCGAGCTCCGCTCGTAGATCATCTTTTGTGGATGGCCTCAAGACAAAAGGCCAGTCAACGAGTTCACTCAAGAATGTCCCTTCCTCAACAAGGATTACAAGGAAAACTAGAGGTCCCATATTGGGAAGCTCTAGAAGCCAAGCTTACACCTCCACTAAGCGAGTATCGAGCCCCACCAGAAAGGTTCCAGGTACCACCAAGCGGTCTTCGAGTTTGATCAGAAACGTCTCAGGCTCAACGAAGGCAACTTTTATCTCAGATGGAAGGTTTTCGAGCTCATTTAGATCACTCTCACGCTCTAGCAAGACGATCTCAACTTCAAGTAAGAGAACGATCAGCTCTAGCAGAGGGATTGCTAGCTCTGCCCGAGAAAACTCGGGCATCAGCAAAACCATCGTCAAATCGACAGGAGACATTGATAACCTTACGAAACCCATCTCCAGCTCTACGAAGTCTGGCACTCGCTCGAGCTCGGGAGTATCTCAAAACTCTGGTCAAAGGACCTCTAGTAAGAGCTCGGTATATGGCAGCCCTTCCAGCGCCTCCCAGGTATCGACCAAGGGCCATTTGCCTGATATCTCAAGCAAGCACACAGGTACTCGCGCCTCCTTCTCTCGCTTTTCATCAAGCAAGACTTCTTCGCGAAATACATTGCCAGTATCCAGTGAGAAATCGAGTGCTATTCGCGCTTCTTCTATCTTGAAGATCTCTTCAACGAATGCTCATACTTCCCCTGACACAGCCAAGTTGACTTCGACGACCAGGTCGAAAGCCATGAGTACTTATGCTATACCTGTGGTTGTTACAAGTTCTCGAAGGTGTGGTGACCTGTTATCTTGCACCTCTGATACCTCGAGCTTGAAGTCCATGTCATCAACATATGTCTTCCCGCTCCAGCCTTTGGAGAGTCTCATTAGTTCACATCCTTCGATCTCATCCAAGGTGCTAACCGTGAACTCTACCATCGAATCAATCCGCGTTCAGACCGTGACCTCGCAAGCTTCCGTGATGGCTTCTTCGATCGCCAGCGGCAGCTTAGTGACCTCGTCCGGCCTGATCACCACTGGAAAAGAGCATCTTTCTTCGAGGCAGACTGCCTTATCGACTCCATTCACGACTGTCTCCGTGATTGTTGGAGTTAGCGATAGCGGTACTATCCAGTCCGCGGCTTCTACAAGAGCTTCGGCTGTTCGGAGTCAAGTGAATGCGTCCAGCCGCAAATCGAGCGAGCTTTCACGGTCAAGCAAAGTCGCATACAATCAGGCCTCTTCAAAGCCTCAGCCGGTCAGCCCTACCAGTCTTCTGATTAGCTCGACGTCTAGGTCCAGCTATATCGACGAGTCGTTCTATGTATCGAAGACGGCAACTCAGGAGGATTGGACTATTGGGACGGTGCCGCACACGACACAATCGGCATCCTCGGAACGTTCGATCGGCTCACTCGATATGCCTGTCGCTGCGTCCAATACTTCGTCTACGTACCAACCATCAGAGGTGAATTCGAATCCTAGCGATTCGCACAGAACATCGAGCACAGTGTCTTGGGTAGCGACGACGCCATCCTGGAGTAGCGGTACTTCCTTGGACACGAATGTCAAAGGAACGTCATCTGCTGGCAAGCCGCAGGATGGCCCAGCTTCTATGACATCGACCACAAGCGTTGAAAGCGAACCTTCTCAGCAGGTGTCGTTTTCAGAGATCGATCAGGGTATCACCAGCTCGACATTCGGTACGTACTCGGCGCCTCAAACATCCAGTAGCAATCGAATATCGAAGGACTTTGCTTCTTCTGATAGGTCTTCTGAAGGAGACCCCTCAGTGGTGAGCACAACTTCGGCTACCACAAGCACGACAGTCGGCATACAGGAGACCACGAGCGAACCGCGTATCGTCTCTACAGACTCTACTGAAGCAGCTGCTACTTCTCTCATCATTACAAGTGCCCACGCTTCTACAGGTTCCAGTCTATCAACGCCCCAAATTAATCTTACCCAGACAAATGCTGCTCTAGTCCTAGCTTCCTCCAACACAACAGACTCTGGCATCTCTTCCATCGCTCTACCTTCCGAGCCTCATACTATACCAGTGCAGAAGTCTTCATCTCCAACCGATGATGATGATGTCCCCTCGACAAGTTCTCCCACCTCGACAACAGAAGTCTTCGATCACTCGGTGACAGTATTATCATTCGCAGGTGCAACGCCGTCTTCCAGTTTTCAGACCATGACCAGCGAGGTCAAGTCTTTCTCCACGTCTCAGTCTGGTCTTTCAACCAGTTTTGCCTCGATCGAGCCTACCTCGTCTGTCTACAGCGATTCTACCACTGAAGAGTCTGTCAACACAGCTAAAAGCTCTAGACTGGCTGTGATACCAAGCGTACCGCTTGAGTCGGATATCAGATCTTCCGACTTGGTGAACATTGCGTCAAGTACTGAGCTCGGTGTTGATGTCATGTCCATGCAGACATCAGGAAGCTTGGCTCTCGTGACTGCCGTCCTTGAGAACGCTCTATCGGATACTCCAACCCTATCAACACTGTACAGTGGTATTGATCTTGCCCCTACGACGATCGCTCTTCCTTCAGAGGAGACAAAGGTGCAGTCTACGGCGACGGTCACCGCCATCAGATCGACCCTCTCGAGTGAAACGAGTGACCTAGCAGATGCTAGTGTCAGCCTCTCGCAACGACCAGATGATCCGAATACTGCGACTCCAATAGCTCTGTCTTCGTCCGATCTCGCGATGTCCCAATTGCAGTTCGCGAGTACCGCAGACAATATTTCGACGTCGCCTTCGGGCACGTCCGAACTGGCGCCTACTTCGATGAACAGTAGCTCAGTATTTACAGCTCTACCTTTCTCCACCGAGTGGACATCCTCCACTCCAATTGCCACTGCCCCCAGTCTATCATTCAGCCCAGGTCCACGCCCAAACGGTGAGAGTGTCGACACATCATCGAATTCCGTTCAATCTGGTAACATCGATCTTGGTGAGACATCAGACATCGCTCTTGTCCAACCAACTTCGACCAGCTCAAGGTTTTCTTCAGTCGTACTCTCCATAACATCTGGAGCGGCAGAGACCATTAATACGCTTATGAATATCCCGGTCGACTCTTCAAGTTTAACAGATTCTCTTCAACTACCTTCCACTATGTCACAAGAAGTCTCAGATCACACTAGAACCTTGGATGGGTCAATAAGTCTCCCATCCGAGGACATGCCTGGCTCGATAGCGACTTTAAGTCCCGCTAGCGAAATGCCAGCAGTAACGAGCGACGACTGGAATCGCACTGCGGAATCTCAGACCACCAGCGCTGTAGAATCAAGCGATGCCATGACTAGTGAGATCATCCATTCGAGTTCAGATGAGGCAAAACCAAGTTCAAGCTTGCAAGATATCCTAACATTAAGCACGTTGGCGAGACCAGATCTAGTCAGCAGTGCCACGGTGTCGGCGATGTCTGATTTTGACAGTGATATCACCGCGAGTGCTATCCTCGATGTTCCGAGCTTCTCGATCGATCCTTCCTCTAATGACTCAACTGATCCTGGTTCAGAAGTCTCTAAGGCTGAGCCCGTCGCGACTGCTATAATTATCACTAGCTTCATCCATAACCCAACCACCACGACGGAAGCTTCAACCTCCCTTGATGGAATTGCTGTCTCTGAAACCGATCCTGTCATCTTAAGCTCGTATCAAGACAGCACTCCAACTTCCAGTGAAATGCTTGCTGTGATTACAAGTATCGTCATTGTCAACCCTCCAAACATTGGAAACCCGGCGTTTGATTCTGAGATTGCGGCGGACTCTTCTGGAGTGACAACAATAACCAATTCTCTACCACTTTCCGATAGTATAGTCCCAGTCAATGCCGCCACAAAACTGGACATGTTCGAGTCGATGGTCGAAAGTGAGCTTGCTCCATCATTAATCTCAACAGACGCCGTACAGGATTCGTTCACCAACTCTGCGATCTTTGACGAACCAGCAGTGACTATTAGTAGTCTTCCACAACCTACCGATAAATTGCATACCTCTGCAAGCTCCGATAGCCAGTTCGACGTCTCAAACAGCACTAAAAGACTGTCGGATGCCACTTTTGTACTGTCTCTGGCGACTATCACGCCTCCCAACACAAACTTAGAGTTTCTCGCGTCAATTACAGTATCAGCCTCAGAGGCTTCTCAGTTGCCGATCGACAGTATTGAGCCCAGCTATTTCGATGTCAGCTCGACGGTTCAGACTGATGGCCCTTCGATAACTCCACCTGTACTTGATGACTCCACTATCGTGTCATTCACTGCGACCACCAGTACCCTTACGCAGGATATTGAGTCTCAGTCCGACTTGCACGAATATACCGAGCTCTTCATCTCTTCTAGTAGTCTTCCCACTTCTGGTGTGGGAGTTTCTTGGATATCGGATCCGCAATCTGCCTCGTCGACAACGATGGTGCCAGGGCTCGAGACGCCTTTCTTGACGGCGATGCCTGATCTCGTCAGTACTAGTTCCCTGATACAGATCGAAGCTTTCACAGCTATCCCATCTCAAGCATCAAGTCCTGTGACAGCGTCTGAGGCCTCAATTCCGATTAGCCAACAAGTCACTGATTACTTAGACATCGCTGTCAGTTCGACTGTCCAGTCCGAAACATTTGGAACCATCGTGTCAAGCCTCATCTCTGAGCTACTTCCGTCGGTAACAACTCCATCGGCCTCGATTGAGATAGCGACTACTAGTGTGGAGAATGCTGCTACCACCAACTCGAACATTATAGGCCAAGATTACACTTCTCATATCACTCGAGCAACCAGTTTAGTTGATGCCATATCGCTGCCGACAAGTAACCTCCCGACAGCTATCGTAAGCTTAAGCTCGGTTCCCTGGATTCCCACCTCGTCCGAGATCAATGAGCTAAACGCTCAGATACCCCTGTCGACTTCGATTGCTGACTTTACCACAACGTCATCGGATCCTGGCTTTGTTTCCCTGGCCACAGCAGATGATCCAGATGTAACGACTGCTACTGGTGTTGGAGTCGATTATGTCTTTCCATTGGATGTGACTAGTATCGTAAAGCCAACTTCGACCGAGGAAGAGAGCCCAGAAATCACTGTTAGTCTTGGTTCTGATCTCGCCAATCCATCATCATCAGCGGACATCAGTAAAACAGCCTCCGATGGTTCCATCGAAGTTCCTACATTTGCCATGTCCTCGACTTTATTCGACAATGCAGCAATCGGAGTACCTACCACCTCGGCCAAGCGTCCCGACGAGGGTCCATCCTCGTTGACTGCTGCAGAAATCTCAGCAGATGTCTCAAGTAGTGTCTCTGGTGATGGTGTCACACTACAATCAGGTACCACAATCTTTGAAGTCTCAACAAGCGTCGCACAGGCATCTTTTCCTGCTGTCATCTTTCCAGAAAGTACAATTCCTTCATTTGTGGCTGAAACATCAGATGTTCCTATGCCCACCTTAAGTTCACCGACCGAGCACGATACTTCTTTAGCAGCCCCTGAGCTTTCCTTGAGTTCAACGGCTACAAGCATAGATACTGAACGCTCATCTACCGATCGGATATCCTTAGTATCTACAATCGCTACCCGGGCTGATCTATCTGTGGTCAGCTCAGCGCCCACATCCTTGTTATCTGGTTCCGAGGGTACTTTCAAAGCTACCATCACAGCTGGTCCAAGCATGTCGTCGAACCCTATTGTGCCTTTGCAGACATCCATTGAGGTGACTTCACTAGACACTCCGGTCATATTGTATACAACAGCCGAGCTGCCAAGTACTGTTTCGAACGCAAGTCCCAGCGCATCTCTAGCGGAGTCAAGTTTGGACTACATAATCACCACGTTGGTCACTCAACCAGCATCTCTTACTCCGCCCTCGCTGCCGCACAAAGCTTCACTCGCGAGCACGATTCAAGCCGAAGCTTCGGCAGCTCTATCTTCTAATATTATCTCCTCGTCCTCTAGCGTAAGCCAATGGTCCGAGGCAGCTGTAGCTGTCAATGGTAGCCAAAGCTCACCTCAAGAGGCCCATACTGATAATCTAACGGACAGCATTATATATCAGGTTGTCGAAAGTACTACAAGCTTTATGTCAGCGTCGATCTCTGCGACTGAGGTTGTCTCGGCTTCTGTGGATGTTCCACTCCCGACAGTGATCTCTCAGGCCGATCCTACTTCCTCTACCACCGCAGCGCCTGAGATCCAGACGTTAGCCACAGCCGCCATCGCTCCTAGCGTCTCTGAGTCCATGAGGTTGACGGCGGTCACGTCTTCGGGTTTCCAAAATATTCCAATCATCACGCCTTCCGGTCTTGTCATCTCATCGCTGCTGTCAGATCAGTCTGCGACTCAGAATGCGCTCCCGACCTCGGAACTACCACTCTCAGTGGCCAACGTTACATCAGTTGCGAGTCATTCGGAGACTTCCACTGGCTATGCGGCTAGCGTCAGTGCGTACAGCGAGAGTGTTGACCTTGTTCAAACCATCGGCGCCGATGGCTCACTTGATACTGGGACCACACCATCTACTATACCACAGCAACAAGCGACCACCAGCGTATTTTCCGTGTCAACTTTCTTTATCAGCTCTAGCCCTAGCAACTTGAGCGCAACTTCAATCGCGTCGCAACAGAGTAAATTCTCAGCTGATCCAATCGCTACACCGATCACCTCAATCGAGAATTCGCATTCACTTAAGACACTGGTTTCTCCGAGCACATTCGTCGTTTCTGGTAGCAGTCAGATAGCCAGTCTGTCTCGGTCCATGTCAGGCTCCACTGATGAGTCGGTTGGTTCCGTTATCATCACTAGTCGTCTAATTGGAGACTCTGTAACCACAAGTCTTGCATCTAGTGCAGCCAGTTCGCTGGCCGTCATGGAAGCCTCTATACTCGACAACGCACCGACATTTACAACAGTTGAAACTCCAGTCCTCCGAGGCTCTTCTAGCTCTTCGTCGTCTGCCTCCATCTCTGCGACTTCTGGTGTTACTACACAAGATCTATCCGTCCGACCAAGCACTTTGGACTTTTTGAGCTCTAGCAATGCCCAGTCATCAGTGGGTTCCGTTACACCGCTCACAAGCTCATCCACTACTACTGGCTATATAGTCAATGTCGGCAATGTGGATTCGACCTCAGGTGTCGTCCAGACAGCAGGTGACAAAAACATGAACGGCCTCAGCGCAGGCTCGACAGCTTCGACGGTCACGACTATCGCGGATGCAGTCGTCAGTAGCTCAGGAGATGGCCCCACTGTAACCTTTTCTGCGAGCACCCTAAGTACCGCATCTTCTGCAATTCCTTCTGCTCAGCCTCAAGGTACCCTGACCAACCAAGGGACTTCGTCTTCAACCTTCATCTCTATGGTATCGAGTGCATCGACGCTTTTCACCAGCTCTCTCGTCTTTATCGTACCACCTTCATCAAATATACTACCGGCTTTCCAGAGCACATCGACTATCCCGAGTGTTGCTTCCACTTTGACTTCGTCGACCACGGTACGAATTGTTGCATCAGATCAGTCTACGCTAGTCCCTTTTCCGAGCACAGTGACGCCAGGCAGTGTGTCTTCCAGCTCGTCCGCTGTCGCCATTCCGACAAGCAGCTCTACGAGCGCCCTGCCAATGTCACAAACGGCTTTGACTACAGCGGGCCCCGCGAGCATCTTGTTGACTTCCCAACAACCAGTTAGCCTACTGAGTATAGCCAGTCCGTTGTTTGTATCAAATGGTACGCCATCCAGCACCATGGTACAAGTCAGCGTTATCTCAATTTCTGTACTTCCTTCATCGTCCACGGGCGTGTTGGCTGGCAATGGAGTCACAGGTGTCACATCGTCGCTTGGGACCACTTCCACAAGCCCGACTTCTGTAACTACAACGTCGACGGTCTCGGCGAGTAGCAGTCTATTGAGTCAGATAATGTTCTCCTCGAGTGTTGCAGTTACGGGTAGTAGTACCTCGGTCCCTCCTGTTGTAGTTACTATCGCTACGAGCCCTACCTCTTCTGCTATCTCTACCCCTGTCGCGTCATCAAGCCTCGCATCATCTAGCGTCGGATCCGTAAGCATCTTACCTTCGAGTATCGTACCCTCGAGTATCGCATCCGCAAGTATCGCACCCTCGAATGTCGTACCCTCGAGTATCGTACTTCCAAGCACGCCATCGAGTTTCTTATCTTCGAGCACTGTGGCCCCGAGCGGCATTCATTCGAGCTTCATAACCTCACCCTCAAGCGGTGGGCTTTCGAGCATACTGACCTCTAGTACCACGTTCGTGACCAGCAGCTTTTCAGTCGTCTCTACACAGTCTCTCGCATCAGGTATCGCTGTGATCAGTGTGACCGCACCCACCTCGACAGCACCACAAAGCACTTCTGCTGCGACAGGGATGAGCCCTTCAGCATCCTCAGCTCAGCTCAAGAGTTCATCCTCAAGCTCAACTTCCCCAGCCCCTAGCTCGATCGCGACATCCTTGAGCCTCTCCATGGTGTCTAGCAGCTCATCAGCGGCCTCTCTATCTGCTGCCTCGGTCGCTTCGAGTGTAGTGACAACCAAGCCCAGCAGTGTAGCTCTGAGTTCCTCTGCTACACCTGCAACCAGCACGGTCAATTGCGCCTATTTGATTTCTGCAGGCTTGCTGTCTCGTGCCCAGCTGAGCGCTCTCGGTTGTGGTCAAGTGATCGGTGGCATTGTGAAACGAGATGAGCGTACGACTTTGCGAACATCGTACAAGCCGGCTTCTGTCGTGTTGAGTGTTAAGTGATGTTGGAAGCGGGCTGAATTCTTCTGCGTTTCCTTTCTGCTTTCAAGTCCTCTTTCCTTTGTTGAGTGATTTTTCCGAGCCTTTGACGCTATAGCTCTCAGGCTTTGCTTACTTAATGTATGTAGCGACTGCTAGGTTGATCCCAGAATTGTGCGGGCCCATGAACTTCTGACAATGGATCAGAGATTAAATTTTTCTCAATAAGTTCATTGTATCAGCTTCGAGTCGGAGACATTGAGTGAACTTCTTAATTACCTTGATCGAGTCGCTCAATCCCAGTGGACAACTTCGCTGGCTTTTCCTCACGCTGGCTTATCCACAGACCAATCAGAAGCATATAGGAATGAGCGAGTGCAAATTTGTTAGACCTTCCGAGAGATACCGCGGGCATCTCGGAAGCTTGCAACCATTGTGAATTTACCTTTCAATGCAGGGCTACAGTTTCCTACGAGCCTCACTGGAGCCTGGTCCGGAGGACAATGACTCAAAGTCCAATGCGCCCAGCGCTGTGAGCCAACCGCTTGAGGCATGTTCATCTTTTCCGCAAGGAACGATTGTCAAGTGACACATGAATTTACTGAAGCAATAGTTCGTCCTTAGAGGCCGCGGATCAAGATCGGACGAAGCGGACCGCGCAAGTGAAAGATCAAATGCCGAGTAGCGGCTCTTACAATATTCCCGTATTCACGCAATCCCGGCGTCCGTCTTGAGATGCCATGGCGAAAAGAGGAGACCGGTAGAGCCGCGGCCGAAAAAAAAGAGCCTCAGGCAGACCGACGACCGGGTTGACGGCAATGATAGAGTTTACCAAGAGCAGACGGCAGGGAAGGATAAAGGAGATTGCAGTCTTGAGTAGACAAGAAATAGAATTCATGACTCTTTTCCACTCTTCAAGACGTGGACGAAAAGAAGGTCTCGATCAGTATCTTGTCAGCGAATCGCTCGATCGTCATGTCGAGTTGAGCACGCAAACCCACCAGCCATCGTTGCCAAGGCGTGGAGTCGCTGGAGCCGCAAGGTGTGGCTTGACGGCTAGCATGAAATGATTACCTCTTGGGGCTCATTGTGATGTCGGTGATAAGTAGACAGAATGCTGCATGGCTTAAGCAGATATGCATCTCAACACGGGACGTGTCACGGACAATGGAAATGTATCGTCAAGGGGCGCTTGATTGAAGAGTGATGCATGTCGGGCGTGCCTCCGAGCATGATGCAAAGCGGGATGAAGTGGGATGAGGGCTTGGAGAGCAGCGAATTGCGGAGCATGATGATTGGAGCAATGTTGATATCATGTTGCTGGCAAGGCACCAAGGTTTGGATATGCAGAACAAAGCTGGCAGTCAGTGACGGTCTTGATACATGGTCAAGTGATATTGCACCAATTGCATGAATTGTGGCACTGCAAGTCCGACCTGAGCGAATTCCATGGATAGTGTTTGCGACTGCCATCTTTTCGAAAATGACGTATGGAAGCAGGAAAGGTGGGTGCAGGAAGGAGTCCATGGCCGACCACTATTGCAAGCGAACGTGCAGACGAGACAAGATAGTACAGCAATCTCTCTGTCCAGGGATAAAGACAGTGATATGCCCGTGATATAGTGCAAGTGTACGAGTAGAAGTGATTCGATGGTAGCAGAAACAGGGAAGGAGCAGGAAAATGCAGAAGGTGATGGATCATGATGGTCGGTGGTGGCTTGACGTTCGCACGAGCCACACACGGTTGGAAAGCTTTCGAGAGAGACCATCATCTTTCGGACCAAGTTCGTTTTCGCTCTTTGATAGACATACATCATCGGGCAGTGCGTCGGTCTCTTGCCCTTCCCTTCCCTCCTGCATCCTGAAGCCTTGTGTTTCATCTGGTGACAATTCACATCTGACGACCCTGCTCGCTTCTACAAGGCAGCCCCAACTCGCCCGTCGTCCGTCGTCCGTCGTTTCCCCCAGCTTGCGATAGGCCCAAGTCAGACACAGCCTGGCACACAGCGACACTGCTGCCCATAGATCCTACAGCCAACAAACCTCCCACCATGGCGTCGACACCTTCGGACGACTCGAGCAGTCCGCTGCAGTCGCCCTCGTCGATAGCCTCCCCTCCCGAATCTCCAAACGCTGATCGCCCACAAATGTCGCCTCACTCCATCTCGTCTCCCACTGCTCCTACCGCTGCCAACATGACCCCGTCCTCAACTCCCCTCGGTAACGTCAATGCTGCGAGACGACCTGCCCCCACTGTCAGCACCCTTGGTCGTGGAGGTGCCGTGAACCCCGACATCATTGCTAGAATGAAGGCCTTCCACATGAACAGACAAGGTGCTCCTGCTCCTGGTCGTGGTGCTCCCACCACTCCTGGTGCTACCACTCCAGGCGCTGGCGGTCCTTCCCCGACCGGCCCTCAGATGCCTGGTGGTCTACCTGCTAACTTCCGTCTTCCACCGGGCGTCCCTGGTAGCCGACCTGGCGGCCCTCCAAGTTTCGCTTCGTCTCCTAATGTCGGCGCTGGCAGAGGTCCTTCTCTTGCCGAGAAGCGCGGTCTGAAAATGCCTGGAGGTCTTCCTGGTGCTCCCCCAGCAGCCGGCGGCAGACAAAAACCTAAAATGTCTTTGTCAAGCATGGGCGGCGGTCCTAACGGCGACTCTGCCCCTCCCAAGCAAGAGTCGGCCATGGACAGATATGCCGAGTACATTGACAAGGAAACTGGCAGTCTCAAGTTCAAAGGCAAGGCCATTCTCAACAGCAAGGGAGTCCAATTCTCGTCAGGTCAATCATTCCAGATTTCGCTGGACGAAGTCGACACACTTGACGAGCTCGGCAAAGGAAACTACGGTACAGTCTACAAGGTCCGTCATTCAAGACCGCAAATGCGCAAGGTCGGTCAAGGTCTGGCTGGAAACAAGGCTGGACCTGGCGAGACAAAAGACGAGACTGCCGCTCCTCGCGGAAACACAACTGGCATCGTCATGGCCATGAAGGAGATGCGGCTTGAACTTGAAGACTCCAAGTTTGCGACCATCATCATGGAACTTGATGTACTCCATCGCTGCGCTTCACCTTTCATTGTCGACTTTTACGGTGCCTTTTTCCAAGAAGGAGCCGTCTACATCTGCATGGAGTTCATGGACGGTGGTTCTATGGACAAGCTGTATGGTGACGGTGTGCCTGAAAATGTGCTCCGCAAGGTCACTGTTGCAACAACGCGTGGTCTCAAGTCTCTCAAGGATGAACACAACATCATTCATCGTGATGTCAAACCTACAAATATCTTGATCAACACGGCCGGTGCAATCAAGATTTGCGATTTCGGTGTCAGCGGAAACCTGGTTGCCTCGATCGCAAAGACAAATATCGGATGTCAGTCGTACATGGCTCCTGAGCGCATCAGCTCTGGTGGAGTTGCTCAGGCTGGAGCCAACCCTGGTGGCGGTACCTACAGCGTTCAGAGCGATATCTGGAGCTTGGGCTTGACCATCATTGAGTGCGCCATGGGCAGATATCCTTACCCTCCCGAAACATATGACAACATTTTCAGTCAACTAAGTGTGAGTATCGATTGTCCAATCTACCCGTTTCAGCTGCTGACTTTCAAATCAGGCCATCGTCGACGGAGAGCCACCAGATCTTCCTACCGGCGATTTCAGCGATGCGGCACGCAACTTTGTAGCGGGATGCTTAAACAAGATTCCCAAGCTCCGACCAACATATGCCATGCTACTTCAACACGCATGGCTCGCTCCATTGGTGAAGCCCGAAGCCATCTCGGAAGAAGACGAAGACGCCGAAGAGGCACAAGAGGGAGTTGCTGCATCCGATAGCGAGGTCGATGCAGCAAGCAAGGCACAACAGCTCGGTGACTCTGAAAAGTGGGTCGACCGTGAGGTTGGTGAATGGGTACGAGGGCAGATCGAGAAGAAGAGGAACGGCACATTAGGCAAGAAGGCCAAGCCTGCACTGCACGCAGCACCCCTGGATGCTACTTCGAGTACCAAGTCCAACAAGGGTGCAGTGGCAGTATAAGCAGAGAAATAACGAAAAGGAGAAGGGGCTATGAAGAAGAAGTCGAGCACAAGCACACACATATATTTCTGTTGGAAAGAAGGCAGAGAGAGCAGGCGCACACGTCGAGCACGCTGAGAGAGCGGACACAGCGACAGGAGGTGGGTGGAGAGAATACGCACAACATGTACATTTGCATAGGTTAGGCAGCGATCCGAGACGTCTCTTAAATGAGGAGTGAAAGGTATGAGAATATGAAGTTTTTCTTTGCTGATGCTATTCCTCATGTGCGGAATGTAGTCGCTCCCACCATCTGCCGATGAGTTGATGGGTCGATCTTGGCGGGCTCGTCCTCAACAACGAAAAGCACATTCGGAACCTCTTCATTCGTTTGCATCCATCAAGGTCATATCTTCTTTCTTGCCCAGCATGCCACCACAACAAGCGTGGGCATCCCGTCAATTCCAGGACTGCGATTCGGATGGAAAATCACGCGCCGTCCAGTGCAAATGGTGCATAGACAAAAAAGTCGCCTACAACAGCACTTCGCGCAAAACGTCCCATCTCAAGCAATGCGTCGCCTTTAACGAACACGTCGTACAGCTGGTCGAGGCTGAGAATGCCGGCGGCTATTTGTGTCGCGAGCTTGAGCAGATGCCGGCCGTGGTCTTGGACGCTGTTCTGGATCAGACTGGATGTAGGAGACTGCAACAGGGTCACGCTGGCCAGGGCGCTGTAGGCATGGGAGCCGTCAACGGAAACTTGGGCGTCCAGGCTGCTGCCGTCTTGTTCGGCAATGGCAATGGCAATGGCAATGGCAATGGCAATGGCAATGGCAATGGCAATGGCAATGGCAATGGCAATGGCAATGTTGGCCCTCCACGATTGAATGGCATGAACGACACTCCGCGCTCTGAGCGGCCCACCCCTTCTTCAGCACTTCGCACCGGCGCAAACCCCATTTCACATGCTTCGACTCCCTCGACGCAAGCTCCTCGTAGTGGTGCCAACTACAACCGCGCTCAAATCGACAGAGCCTTTGCGTCCGCCTTGAACCACCCCGCCACCAGCTCACCCGCTCTCCAGATTCACCAGACTCCCAACCATTCCACACTACAACCTTCCCATGGTCAAGACGTATCAGGCCTGCTCAACACATTCAACGCCTCGACAGACCCACGTATCTCAGACGCTCTACGTCTCTTGGACAAGGACACGCGAGTTAGAATTGCGAGAGAACTGCTGGACGAAGCGTACGAAGGAGTTAAAAGAGCTGTGGACAATTACATTGAGAAACAGCAATATCTCAATGCTATCATGGAAGACGGCGTCGATCTAGGCGCTGACGATCAGGCTCGTTGAGTGGATAAGAAAGAAGAGAAGAGCAGAGGGAGGTACACGTATTTAATGATACCCATGAGGGCGATGTTGATGTTGTGTTGTTGCTTTATTGCGGACAAGAGGCATGCTTTAGCCATTTGAATACCCGTTCTTCACATGGAATTGGTTAGCCATTCGAATACCCGTTCTTTGTATGAAATTGGCATGCGCAAGGCGCTTCTGTTCCCTTTGCGCAGGACCCTTTTGTTCTTGCATGTTTACCATCATGTGAGACGACGTGTACAAATTTGGTGTCTTTGATAGTGATCATGGAGCAGGCATCGAAGAAGGTGAATTTCTCGAAAGTCCGGTTCTGGATTCGCATTTCACTCCTTCGGCCAAATTTGATATCCATCCCCTTTACCGAGCGCCCGCTTCTCAATTTGTAACTCGCCATGAATGCAATCGTACATGATCCATCCTCAACGATGGTCTTCTGGCTCCTCAGCCGTAGTCGCTCACTTGCCCCGTCTCGGGACCCCAAAGCACACTGCGTGCCAGCCCGGCCTAATTACATCTCCAACTCAAGTCTGAAGCGTCCGCTACCCAGCACACCAACGCGATCGAACCAGTGCGTAGCCACCACATGCCAGACCAGCTTTTCTCCTTGGTAGCGAGCGCTCCGCTGCATGAAGAAGAGAAGTGAAGCGTTGTGAATGCGCAATATTGTTGCACCTCCCTCCTTGCTGCTCCAAAACTGCCTCTTGCCCCATGCCCTTTACCCATTGTCCTTGACTCCTTGCCCTTTGCCGCTTACTTATCAAAATTGCCCCTATCCCGAACCAACCACTCAATCGTCATCCTCTTCATCTTCGCCCTCGTCCTCCTCATTGGCACTTCCGACACGCATACGAGTTCTTCTACGCTTGGAAGAGGGATTTGCAGTACTCTCCCGCGTGCGCTTCTGGCCAGCTTGGGCAACGCTCTGCTCTGCAGCTGCCTTAGCAACACGGGCTTTGGTGTCTCTGCACAGTTGTGGAACCATGGTCAACTTTTCGGCATCCTCCAGTGCATACCACTCGGCAACTGCCTTTGGCATGTGTGTAGTGTCGGCTTATATGACCCTTCTCGTGGACAACAGTCTGAATTAGAACGTGAAGTTCTCCGAGACCGCCCGCACCTGCTTCAAATGCGAACTTGACGACACAGTCACCGAGAAGGCAAAGACCAAGCAGTACGAGTCCCAAGTCCAGCTCAATCCAAATCTTGAAGGTTCTTTCCATTCTGGATTCCATCTTTGGCGCCGCCTTTTGACCATCGCAGCTCAAGAGCGCCTCAACACCGATCCTACAAGAGGGTGATGGACCTGGTGGTCCTCCATCTATGTTCGTTCAGAACACTCGGGCACAGCCCGCTCCTCAGCATGCCACGGTTGGTGACCAAAATGACATTGCCATGGCTGAATTGATCACTGAAGCTGCTGAGGCTGCTGAGGATGACGTGTCTGCCGATGATGATGATGGTACTGCGATGGCTTGAGATTGCTACAAGGAGACGGTGAAGTCTGTTATGAGGTTGTTTCAATGAAGAGCAGTGGACACTGATATGAGATAGCTATAAGATGATACAAGATAAGACGTTGGTTGCATTATGCCTTTGCTATCACTCCGTGACCAGAATGATGGTACCACCACTCCAGGACCATCTTTCATTCACTCTTCAATCACTTGCTCGCTAGTGATGTAGCGCTCGACTGCAAGATTTGAATATTGCCCGTTCTTGGTAACATGCACAACTCTAATAGAGCAAGCAAGGCAGCATGGAGGTTGGTACTGACGATGTGTCAGACAAAATTGTCGTGAGAATTGATTGATTTATTATAAGCTGATAACATCAGCAATTTTCAGCATATGGCGCTCTGGCCGAGTGGTCTAAGGCGTTAGACTTGAATCAATTCAGTAATCTAATCTCTTCGGAGGCATGTGTTCGAACCACATGGGCGTCGTCATCCTTTTGCAGCTTTTTGCACAGAAACTATGTGAAGGCTCTATGAGGACATGAGGTCGAGGGGGCGTGCTGAGGCACACCCAGCGGCTCAGCATTCAGACGAGATTGGAGACACGTTGGTGGTGAACATGCATATGTGTTTTCACACACGCCGTAGCCGGCCGCCAAAGCTACTCTACACTCACAAACAATCTTGCATGGCCTCTGGAAGCTTGCCTTCTTCGCTGTGAACGCGAAATATCGCGGTTGGTATGCCTATCTGTCAGATTCAGCTCGCTGAGGAGACGTGGCTCTTATCAGGCTTCAGGCTTCAAAACAGCCACACCACCATCCTTGACACATCCTCGTACACACATATCATGCTTTTCGTTATGCAAGACCTACGATCTTACCAAACCAATGGCGAACAATTCTCCTGATGCAGACAACCATATGTCCAGACATGTAAGCACTGTCTATCTACTAGCCGATCTGGTCAACCACGAGGATATGCACGTCTCTTACCCCGCCATCATCCACATCCAAGAAGATACATGCCCTATCGTCGACCTTGACAAAGAAAGATAAGCCATACAGAAAGCAGGCTTGGCCGTTACTTGGCTTGCAAGGCTGGTTCTTGCTTGATGGTGGTCGAGATATCGGCCAAAAGAGGACAGTATCTCGACCCCGATAATGCTCCGATCAGAGAACTAAACCCAAATTGGTGTATCTTCCCGACCACACATGGGCTTACCTGAATCTCGTCTACCGATAAGCACATATGAGACCACACATGAGCGTTGTAGGTTGGTAGTACATGCGATGATTGATTAGCTCTGTGAGCTGAAAGGTGAGGCTCTAGTAGCAGGACGGGGAGGAGGGGTAGGAAGATATACAAAGGTTGGTGTCAGGTACATTTTGCTCCATATCGCTTTTCTTTTTGTATCATTTACCCAAATTCTATTGTATTGGAGTGTACCATCACCACCCTCGTCACCGCTCCCCGCCATCATATCCTCGCACATCATCCCTTCGACTTTACTGGACGCAAGACCCATGTCTGACGAGTCCATCAAGGCTTCATCGCCTAGTATGGCAGATGAAAAAGGTCTTGCGCGTACTCACACTGGAACAGATAATGGAATCGGGGAGATCAACGACATCACCCAACTAGGTTATAAACCTGAGATGGCCAGGAACAGATCTATGCTTACACTTTTATTTCAATCCCTCGCCATTGCTGCTATCCGTAAGAGTTGTATCGTTACGCTGCTGCTCCCCTCAACTAAATACTCTCACAGCATATGGAGAAGGTGGTCCACTCATGAGTGCCATCTACGGCGGTGGTCAGCTATCGATCTTCGTCGGTTGGATCGTCGTGTGTATACTTGATGAGTACGTCCTCCTCTCTTGCTCGAACTCGAACTTGGCTGACATTCTGTCACAGATGCATTGCGCTCTCCCTCGGCGAGCTGGCCTCTCGTTACCCAACATCTGCCGGCCCGTACTACTGGACGTTCCAATTGTCCTCCCCGAAAACTCGCACTGTACTCTCCTTCATCAATGCATGGACGTGGCTGATAGGAAACTGGACCATAACACTATCTGTCAATTTCGGCTTTGCTTCTCTCATCGCTGGAGCGGTAGGGATGTATCATCCTGATTACGCCATGACGAATTGGGAACTACTGCTCATCTTCTACGGCCTCTGCATTGCCACTTTGATCATATGTGCTCTGGGAAACAGGTTCCTACCCATGGTGGATACAATTTGTGCCGCGGTTACCGCAATCAGTATTCTCATCATTCTGATCGCTTTGTCTGCGAAAGCTGATGTCGGTCGTCATTCTGCTTCTTATGCACTATCCCACTACGACAAATCATTCGCTGGCTATGGGAACTTCACCTTCTTTATCGGTCTACTGCCAGCAGCCTACTGCTTCTCTGCTTTGGGAATGATCTCCTCCATGGCTGAAGAATGCGAGAACCCTTCCGTCAGAGTGCCTAGAGCAATTGCTTTATGTGTACCTGTGGGCGGTATTGCTGGTCTCTTCTTCATTATTCCTATCTGTGTCCTCCTTCCTGATCTAGCAGAGATCGTGGATGCACCTGCTGCTCAAGCTCTTCCATTCATCTTCCACAAGGTTATGGGGACACCGGGCGGTGGATTGGGGCTGACATTCCTAGTGTTGCTGATCACACTGTTCTGCAGTATCAGTATCACCACCGCGGCTTCACGATGCACATGGGCCGTATCTCGGGACGCCGCGGTCCCTTTCGCTGGCACGTTCGCCAAAGTCAACGACAAATTGGGTGTTCCGCTCAACGCTATCTTCTTGGTCACATTGATCCAAATGCTTCTTGGTTTGATCAACCTGGGCTCTTCATCAGCTTTCACAGCCTTCGTCTCTGTTGGCGTCATCGCATTGGCAGTTTCTTACGCTATCCCTATCATCATGTCTCTACTCTCTTGGCGCAAGGAGGTCAACACTGCGAATTGGACCCTTGGCAATGGCATCGGATATGGTGTCAATGTTATTGCAGTAGCATGGATTGGATTCGAGTTGATCCTGTTTTCTATGCCTGGCGCGTTGCCCGTGACGGAAGTCAGCATGAACTACGCCTCTGTTGTGCTCGTTGGCTTCCTGGCTCTTGCAGGACTCTTTTATGCTCTGTATGCGAGAAAGATTTACAAGGGACCACCCGAGAGTGATGCAGTCGAGTGATTGACACAGGTGTTGTGTTAGTGTAAGATTTCTGTAGATGTAGATAGTATACATGATATTGTAACGATGCATCATCGATTTCTATTCGCAGTCGAAAGACCTAATAACTAGCACAGTTGGGGATTGACTAATCACGATCTCTTGTTCTACACAAGAAATCCCTGTCCCGTCAGATCAACAAGCGCTTCGCGAACGAAGAGCGATCTGACGAAGAACACGCACCGAGGCCGCGTTTCTGGTGCTCGCAGCACGGTCCAGTCAAGTATCCCAATGGACAAAAACGCAGAAACTCCTCGGGCGAAGCCTATAGAGGGAATTGTGACGCACAGTGGTCACTCCTCCCCCGAGTAGAGAACGACTCACATCCAGGAATAGAGTTCACGCTTATCGCCAGAAGCGTCCTATCTTTCTTCAGTACCATGAGCGACCAATGCAGTCTTGAACGAAAGTGGGCAAAAAACTTCGAAGGATATGAAGTATGTGCGTTATTGTAAGCGTACAGACGTCCTGATTACCAATGGCAAAGAATACCATGCTACCAGCCAAACTTCTCCACAGAGACCTCTAGTCGTGCACCCTGTCTCACGAGATTTGCACATGCGTTCCTGCAGGTTCTGTTCATACTGTCAGGCCCTGCAACCACAACGCCAATAGTTGGATCTTCCAGCTCGTCGTCCCATGCATGCGCAGCACCGTCGAGCAGATGAGGAAGATCCGGCCTTCCTGCTTTCCCTGTTGGAGCTGGTATCATGACTTGACAACCAAGATCACGTAGCTCATCAAGTCTGTCTTGGGGTAGCCATTCAACATGCTCTTTGTCACGGACCACCCAAATCAAGCAGACCCGAGGCTTGAGCTGCGTGTTACTCTCAGGCTCCGTATCTCGCGATGTAGCGAGCAAGCTCCAGACCAAAGGAAAGGCTACGGCAATACCTGAACCGCCGGCCAGAATGACAGCAACATCATTTTCATGAAGCATATTCAGGGCGTGAGATGACCCATAGGGTCCATCGATCCGAACATTGACAGTGCTGTGGTACTGAGCATATCGTAAAAGATCTCGTGAAAAGCCGTCCTGAGCTCGTATCAAGAAACTGAGCCAGGCATGAGAGTCAGGTGGACTGGGAGCAGCGGAAGCGATGGTGAAAGGATGGGCCTGTATCAGGTGCTTGTGCGACAAAGCTGGTATAGTGAGGAAGACGTGTTCAGCAGGTTTCCAACCGTTCTTGATGTCGAATCTTGAAAGCCTCCACCAGGGAACATCCGTCAGCTGCCAATTCGAGCTCAACATCACAGTTTCGCCATCCTCTAGTATAGACAGATCGGCTCTCATTGTCCTAGCTTTCAGGATCAATCTGAACGCCAGACGGTCAATTGCAAATATGCAGAGTGCAGCCAGGACGTAAGGCTGACTGTTGTGGTGATGGAACCATAGGAAAGCCAGCGCAGCAGCCTGCAAAACGACGTGGAGCCCGAGGAACAGTTCGTACCACAACTTCCTGAAGGAACCCAGAGATGTAAGATACAATGTTTCATAGGAGACGAAGGCGAAGATTCCAAGCCAGATGATGGGCAATCCCAGAAATCTTGTAAAGCTAAGACGAGCGGAAAGTGTAATGTACCACACCAAGACCATGCTACTAGCATGCGACAGGGCAAGCAAGCACATCCATTCCCCTAAACGGCGGTGAATGATGTTTAGTCCTTCATAGGAGGCACCTGTTAATAGCTTGAGTGGCTGATTCTTCGCTGCGAATATATATAGTAATGGCAGATTGGCCACAAATAGCAAGCCAGCTCGGTCGGCGAAGACGAACGCAGTGGCAACAGAAATCTCGGCTCTGTAAAGCAGGAAGAATAAATTAAGGCCGAGCAATAACAGAATCCCAATCGTGGTGGCGTTAGATGGAAGGATCTTGTTGATATATGGCACGTTTGCAGGCTGATAGATCAAGAACGATCGGACGTAAGCGGCCAAAGAGATCTTCTTGGACGTGCGGATATCTTGTTTATCCTGGTGAAGAAGTGGCGCTCTTTCTTCTTCATTGTTCTGTTTGTGAATCTTAGGTGAGCCGATGGACGGTTGTCCGGGTGGCGAACAGGATTGGACGCGTCGACGTCGATGTCCGCCGATTCTGTGGGCCCAAAACCACAACGTATAGGCTGCTAGGATCCCTGCAAGTACAATGCTGTAGGTGATGATGAATCTGCGCGAGAACAGTATGCTTTCAATGGCCTTCCGTCGACGTTCGTTGCCCTCATCTGGACCACTCAAGCTTTCGACGCTGTCTGATGCTTTCGCCCGAAGCATAAGACTAAAGATACCCTCGACATAGGTATTGCTAGTGGAAACCATTATACGGCTGTGGAATCGCGAAGAAGAAACAGAAGTGTGCGTGGTTGAACGATCGTGTAAGAGATAAGATATGACATCACGCGCATCTTGTGAGCGAGGGATGCTATCGGTTCAACCGATGCATATGAAATCTGCTTGGATTTGTGGAAGCTCAAAAAGCCAGGCACTTTTTTCGACACATAAGCAATGCAAACTTATCACAAGGTATCACATTATCATGGACACAGAGTCGAATGTATCAGGTGGGAAAAGACATTGAACGTTTTGAGAGCTTTTGCCATGAGCTGCATTCTACCTGTGATGCATTGCCCGTGGGATGTCATAAAAACCGAATACAATGCCTTTCCATTTGCGCCTTGCTCCACCCAGAAATCAACCAGTTTTTGTGTCAAGCGGATACTTAGTTCATGCGGGCAACAAGGGCAGAGATCTGCTCCTCGCGGTTGCCAAGGTCACCACCCTCAATGAAGTGGCGGAACTGAGAAAAGGTTAGTTGATTATGGTAGAAGACAAAAAGGCAGGTTAAGACAAACCTTGCGCTTGTGGAAGCCACCGAGAGGGTTGGAGAGCTTGAAGGGCCACAGGAAGTTGGAAACCTGCTTGAAGTTGGGGCCAACAGTGAAGATCTCGTGGATGAGATCCTCCATGCAGACAACACCGTACTGGCCGAGGTTCTCCTCAACAATGGCGTTGTCGGAAAGAGCGACACGCTGCTTGTTGACCTTACCGTAACCACGCTTGTAGACGAGCTCACGGACGGTCTTGAGGTTAGGGTAACCCCAGGCGACGAAGGGCTCGACGATCTTCAGCATCTCAATGGTAGCCTTGGTCAGACGGACGAAGACACCGTTGTTGATCTGGAGAAGACGGAGGAGCTGGAGGGTCTTGCGCTTCTTGGGGTCAATCTTGTTGATACCCTTGATGCGGACAACGAAGGCAAGCTTGGCCTGGGCAGGGACGTAGAAAGAACCCTCCTGCTTGGCGACACGCTGGAGGCGGATCTTCTCGCGCTCTGCATCGCGGTACTCCTTGATGTAGGACTCGGCGCGCTTGAAGATAACCTGACGCTTCTCCTTGTTGGCCTGGACTTTGATTAGTAAAAGTCGAAGGGTGGTTTTGAGTGTGCCAGTGAACAGGATGTATGTCGATCAGACCCGAAAGATGGTTAATTTCGACAACACCGACCCGAAGGTCTAGTCGAGATGTGGTTGTTATGCATCATGTAGACAACATCCTGCTCTTGCTAGGCGGCGGTGTAACTTACAGCGCGCTTCTTCTGGATGTCGGCAGTGCGGGCCTCACGCTCCTTCTCCTGGGACTTTCTCTTCTTGAGAAGAGTCTCAGGAACGATGTCCTGCTTGGTGGGGACCGAGCTGCGTGAAGAAAGTCAGAACACAAGGTTGCGTCGATGGGGAGCCTCGTAGCGGAGAACTGCAGCACAGCGGCATTCTCTACTGGGTGTGAACTCGATGGTTCCATGGGGCCATGAAAGGCCAGCTCGCAAAGCTTTGCGACCAAGGACCTCGACCGTACATTCTAAGGCGCCAGACGTGGTGAGACGCTTGACGGCCAGAGGACTACGGTCGGCTTCAGAAGTATCGAGGTAGCGCTGATTTTTCGCAGCGCTCCAGCGAGTGAACCGACTGTGTCTGCATTTCTCCGCGCAGAGCAGAAACAATCAATTCACATACGTCTTGACGGTTTGAGAAGGCATCTTGACTGGTTGTTGGATGGCGAGGGTGTCGGCTTGTCAGGTCGCTGCTGAGAAAGGAAAACCCAAGGTAGATTTGCGTCGAAGGACTTTTCGTGCGCTGGCGGTTGTTCCCGAGCTTAGCCTGCCAAGATTTTGCCCTTGCTCCTTGGCGTTGTGCATCATCCATCCCTAACGCGACCCTGTCAAAGCAACATAATTCTCCAGCAGTATTTGTCTTTGCGATATTCTCTTAGATAGTCAGCGGTGAACATGGCTAGTAACAGAAAAGGGGTCGGACTGTCGGCCTTCTCGCGCAACGCCCTTACTTCAGACCATTATGCCTCTCATGGTGCTGCCCTACGATCTGCCCACGCCGACTCCCTAGCAAATCAACTCTCAGTCTTCCAAGCTGCTCTCCATTCCTTCTCTCTCACTCATGGAGCGGAAATTCGTTCAAATCCAACCTTCAGAGCCGAGTTTGCTCGCATGTGTAATGCAATCGGAGTCGATCCGCTCGCCAGCTCAAATCACAAGACTTCCAAAGGCGGCAAGAACGAAGGCGGAAGCTTCTGGTCGCAGATGCTTGGAGGCAGTGTTAACGACTTTTACTTTGAACTTGCTGTCCGCGTCGTCGAGGTCTGTCGCGAAACTCGAGCGGAGAATGGCGGCATGATCGAAGTACTTCAAGTGCGAAAACGAGTTGAAAAAGGGCGAGGCATTGGTGGAGGACTTCAAGTATCCGAGTATGCACATATCGAATCGTTGAACTATCAAATGCTAACAACTATGTATAGTGATGACATTCTTCGCGCTGTCAAGTCACTAGAACCCCTTGGTTCTGGTTTCACTGTGATGAAGATCGGCTCAAAGCAGATGATTCGGTCTGTCCCAAAGGAACTCAATACTGACCAGTCGACCGTCCTCGAGGCCATACAAGTGCTTGGATACGTAACTGTTTCCATGCTTCAACTGAATTTAGGTTGGGAACGCGCACGAGCCGTCGCCGTCATTGATGATCTTGTTGCCGATTCCCTGGTCTGGGTAGACGCTCAAGCAGAAGAGAAAGAGTATTGGAGTCCAGCTCTCATGCATGAGATCGGTGGCGACTGAGATGTATTTCTTGCACGCCACGAACGACCAGGGCGGAAGCATGCCACATCTTTAGACAGAAGATGCCGTTTTGACTGGTGTCTTGTCAAGAGATTCGTACAACTGGATTAGACTCCCTATCAAAAACGCCCAGGAACCCCAAAACGTGGAACATGAAGCTTGGTATTGCACCCAACTGCTGGTCCCGTAACCAAATACAGGACACAGTGTGAAACTGCGAAGGTCAGCATAGTCACAGGATGGGAAACATGCGAAACGCCTACCCAATGCCGCCAATAAGATTCCATGCACCTATGTGCCATCCTAGGACTGTTGGTGCTGGAAGCCACCAATACTTCTGCGTCTCAACCATGAACAACCAACCAGACAAAATGAATCCTGCACCACCGACGACCTGTGGCGTCCAATAAATCCCATCACTCAAGCCGGGAGAGAGGACATTGTATATTCCAGGCAGGGCCGTGACCCCGCTGACCCAGAAAATCGTGGCTCCAAGTAGTTGGCTGAGACTGGCGATAAAGCCGAGTTCATGGAGGTAGTGAGTTTTGAGCTGATTCCATGGAGGGCACCAAACCCACGAACCCGTCTTGACTAGCTGAGGTTTGGCCGAGGGAAGAACGGGTGTCGCGTTGCGTGTTACACGGTCTGGCTTGCCCACCAGGTTCTTCTTGTTTTGATGGTGATGGGTACAACCATGGGGTGTGATTCGCAAGTGGCTTGTCATCACAGCCTCAGCCCTACCAGCGTACACGTCATACGTTGACTCGACTGCGAAACCGAAACAGCCTTCCCGATGCTCGTTGATGGCCTCCAACATGAGAAGTATGCTTCCGACTTCGAAGATTGTTGCTCCGATAAAGGCGGTGATTCCTCCTCCAACAAGAGCCTCATCGTGGAATGTTGACGAGGGTCGGATCAAAGGAAGGAAGACGAAAAGAGAGTTGATCACCCACAGAACGCTGCCGAGGGTGAAGATGGACGCTACGCACCAGGATACGTCCCATACAGGGTAGAATGTTATCATCAGCCATAGCGTGTGCAAAATAGATCGCCAGTTCGTAGTACTTCTGGGTGTGGAGATGTTTGTCTCTGGATGTTCCACGGAGAGAGGTCTCGTGATAAGGGTGTGTCGTCCCTTACGATTGTCTCGAGCGGTCCATCTGTACTCAATGTTTGTAGTGGAAAGTGTAGAAGACTCAGCAAGCGGGATCAAGTCCGTTGTGCTAGGGCGGTCTCGATTTGGCGATATGGCTATCTTGTGTTCGTAGTGTGCTTGTGTTGGGTTCAAGAAAGCGACTGGTCCCCTGACTCTCGACTGTACTATCCGCAGGGTGTTGCTGTTGCGCAGAGGCTCTCGATCATCTGCAAACTGTCTACTGCGATGCGTTCGCAAGGACGCCATGAATAGGGCAAGTCGCACGTATTCTCAGTAAAAAAAAACCCCTCTGTGGTCTGATACCATGTGTGTCTGTAATCATCACAAATGAATGCGATGGTTGGACCCGAGATTGGATTCTAGTTTCTGCCACATCATCTGCCGTGCCTTCCGTCGTGCTAAACGTTCGATGATGAATCTGAACAAACCCAGTCACCACTTCCTCAAAGTGAAGAATCCATAGAACACACCTGCTCAATTGGATTCCCAGTAACACATCGACCAAAATAGGCTTATCTCGGTTTCGTGCAGCCGCAGAAAGTCGACCTTCCTCCGACGAACCGTCAAAGGTGTCGCAAGGCCTGCCACAAAGCTCAAAAGCTTCCCCGTCAGGGTCGGCTGTTAGGGTTGTACAGTCTTGCGAAACATGCTATTTCGGTCTGCCGCAGCGAGCAGGGTCAATGGGTCGTCGTTTCACGCGTCGTTACTCTCTGCACTGTGACACAGTTACGCAGCCACTACAGCGGACCGGCACCATGTCAAGGACGGTTCCCGAAAGTCAGCTGGATTTGTCCGAGGCAAATCCCGATCCTCGACTAGTTACTCCAGTCTGTCGAACGTGGATGCCGCAGCTGTTACAAGGGGGGTAATCCGTTCGTGTACCCCCCTTGTAGTAGACAGAAGCGTCCCAAAGGACATCGAAGGTGCTATGCTGGGATGAACGCCATGTTCAGCCGCTTGGTGGATTTCACAAGGGTGATCAGTCCCCGATAGAATTCACGCAACGGCAATCTTGATCTACTGGTTTTTGCTTGAACATGAATATCCTCAACGAGATGATTGGTGGCTCGCATGTTAAACAAGCGAGATGATGGGATAGACAGCGGGATGACTGCTCCCTTCGATCGAAGAATGCGAACAAATCTGAGAATCTTCTGCCGACTCAACCACTGTAGCACTTGCCGGGGAAAAAGAAAGCAGAAGAAGGAGACACAAGATTCAAGCCAATGATTGGTACAGAGAAAAACCAAGAAAGAGATTCAAGATCTCAGCAAAAGTGAGAATGGCAGGGCAGTCCTGAGCTCTCAAAGACGCGCATGATCTATGAACTAGCAGCGCTTAACCAGCCAGTGCCAGCCACCTCGCAACCTTTTGTCCACAACATGCGTGCATAAAGTGGTACCTCATACCAGTAGGCAGGGGGGCTTCAACTGTCCAACCAAAACTTCGAGTTCCGTGACCTTTTTTGATGCGAACATACGGCCTACATTGTCCAATCACGGCCATTTTTCTCGCGAAGACATGAAAGTTCTGACCAGTGACCACTCGTATCTGAAAACCTTTGCAGAATAGTTGCAAGCAAGCGAGAGCCGCACCAAGAAGATGCATCTTCCTGCACATGTCAAAAGTATGTGCAACACGAGGCGCAGTCAGCGATGCATACCGTGGCGTCAATTGGCTGGGTAGCTGCATGTGTGGAATTGCACGCCGCTGTCCTGCTTGCGCACTTCTCGTCGATGATGCACCAAAATGGGTTTGCATCAGCGCTGCATGGCATTGCGTGTGATTCTAGAGACCTTGCCGATAGCAGTCACATTTATGGGTCTGGAAAGCAGCATGGTAGTATGGTGGAGCTTTGAAAATTTTGCAATGTTTTGTACAGAAAGGACTCTAAGGTGTCTTGTTGAGATCAGATAAAGTGAAACTCCGTTTATATGCAAGTCCTCCGCTGACCTGTGTCAGGAATAATGTGGTATATGATGCGCAAACGAATTTCCACCGAAAGTCTAGCCAAGGCCATGAACAGCCTGCACCGATGTATTTACAAAGATGTGGGCGGAAAGGTAGAAAGAAAAACGTTGGTCGTGTCATCGCGATGGATACAAAACATCCGTGCGGTGCGCAGGAAAAAGCAGGTCGTAATGTGTGGGCGTTATATGCGGCGTTGTCTCGTAATGTTGCTTTTAATGTGGAAAGATGAAGGTGGTGAATATGGACAGGTGAAGTGAAGAGGAAGGTTGCCTAGAAGACACGCGTCGGGAAGATCGAAGCGTGCTTAGGAAGTGTAGCCATGAATTGACTATACCATGGCGCAATGTATGCTTGAGGAGTGCATTGTCCGTTGGTGAAGAAGGCAAACGGACCGTTGCCCTTCTGAGGCTCCGGTGTAGCCATGGGTGGGCTTCTGGAAGCAGGAATTTGATCGAAGTGTGACACGACCGTTGGAGGTTGAGAGTATTGGAGGCTGGAGGCTGACAGCTGAGACATGGGCGGAATTGGCTCCATGATCTGACCAGCTGCGAGGTAGACAGCGTCCCGGGCAGCATCGGCGGCAGTGTAAGATGGTGAGGGCATAGGCGCGGGAGCAGAAGGCTCGCTGGTGAGTGTTGGGCATAGAAGGATGGCCTGTTTGAGCTCAGGAAGTGTCATTCTTTGTGCAGGGTTGAGGTCGAAAACCCGGCTTAGAATGTGATCAAGATCGGAAGAGAGAGGAAGTATGGACTTTAGGAAACTGCGATCCTTCATGTAGGCACGGAAAGTAGAGTCCTCCATGGATGCCTTCTTCCAAGGATTGCGGCCGCAAGTCAGGTTGACCAAAATTACACCGAGGGACCAGATGTCATTAGGGGCAGAAGCGTAGCAAGCATTGGGGCGCGAGTTGGATTGCTGACATTCAGGAGACATGTAAAAGGTGGATCCACAACCAAAGTCCGATGTGTAGTAGTCCTGAGTGGCAAGACCAAAATCGGCAAGCTTCAAAGTGATGCCATCCGAGGAAACCAAGATGTTTTCAGGCTTGAGGTCACGGTGGTAGATACCAACTGAGTGACAGAACTCGACAGCTTCCAGGATTTGAAGAAAGGCATTCTTGGCCAAAGCATCACGGCCAATGTAGAAGCCTTGTTCCGTGATCCTTGAGAAGAGGTCGCCCTCAGGGCAGAATTCCATAACAACAAAAGTACAATCCGGAGAGTCCAGAACCTTGACCAGAGAAACCACGTTGGGGTGTTGGCTTACTTGGTGATGAAGCTGGATCTCTCTCTCCTGGAAACTCCTCTGCCTGGGTTCGAGTCCAACCTTGTTCAACGCCTTCACGGCGTACTGGACTCCTGTGCGCATATCGAAAGCGCGGTAAACTACTCCATAGGCACCGACACCAAGAACCTCGGTCAATTGGATGCATCCGGCAAGAACCTGGCCCAAACGATCCTCAGGCGCGCAAGCACCACATGACCTAGGAGAAGGAGGAGGTGTGGGAATCATGTTGATGTGATGTTATTAGATGCCTAGTGAAGTCTCGTAAGGCAAGGAAGGTATGCTTTAAGCAAGCATAAACAGAACTCCTGAAATGGACCAGAAGAGTTGTGGATATAAAAGTCCGATGTATGTAGCCAAAATGACTTTTGATGTTCCAAAGGACTGAGTGAAGAAGGTATATGAAGGAATGATTACGATTGTGAAAAAGAAAAGTCGGTCGGGATAGCTGATCAGTAGTATTGCTCGTAACGTGTGCGACGAACAGGAGGGTGTATGTATGTATTGACGGGAGACGGTGGCTCAGGCGGGTGATATGACGAACAAACGGTCCCGGCAGAGTCTAGTTAAAAGTAGCTTGGGAGCAAAGACATACTTTGTGTGGCATAGAGTGTTCGATGGCCTTTTTCTGGCGGGGCCTCAGAGCTCTGTCCCTGACGCGAAGCATCCTGCGTGATCGTTAGCGGCGCTCGAAGCCTGTCACCCACGCCCGCGCTTGCTGACTAGTGCACCGGCCACTAGCACCGTGGCGTAACGTGTGCCTATTTCTGAGTCGTTGGAATGGTGGGTCCACAGTGGGCATGCACAAGCGCGCCAAAAGCAAAGCCGTGTCGGGAAAGCTTACAACTTGGGTGCAGAGGTGGCACTTGGCCACCTTGCCGCATGCCTCCTTGTCCTCTATTGGCCCGACGGCTGGGTGTGGCAAGGATGGACAAAGAGTGGTCGTCATGCCACTCATTGTCGGCACCACAAACACCAGCACCGATTGAGCAAGCAGCAGGCTGCCAGCAGCATCCTTCGCGCGTGCGACACACGGCTCGATGCAGTCGCCAGATCTGTTGCCGGGATATCCCTCGATACCACCACTATGCAGGCTGCAGCTTCGTTTCGCGCTGTGGTCAGCGCTGATTTGCCGCTCAGGGTTTGGCACACCGTACACGTAACTCTTCTCTTCGCAGAGATGAGGAATGACCAAGCCATGACTTCGTCTCAGGATGATTTACATTGCTGTGCTGTGCGATGCGCGAATGGTTTATTCATTGCAGGCGCCCAGAGGAAAGCTACAAGACTGCAGCCGGTAAAGATCGTTACTGTTTCGAAAACTTGCGCATCCCTCTTACATGGATCTTGTTTCTAGTCAGAGAAATGCTGCGTGCAAAGTCCTCTCTACAGCCACCCCAACCTTGGTGTCTGCTCTCCTCGATGCTGAAGTCTCGTAGTCGCCGGATGTGGCAGAACTATCTAAGCCTATTCGCTTAGAAAAGAGATAGTGTGTGCCTTAGTGCGTGGTATAACACATGGCTATTGTCGATCATCCTTCCAAGATTTGGCCTTCTCGAAGATTTGGGCTGCGAAGAGGCTTGACGCTTGGTCCTGCTTCTTGGGGTTGTCTCTTGGAGCCGCGAGCCGCGGATTGGAATCTTGACAGGTTGCAACTTTCGAGCAAATTCCCGTTGCTCATTGGTGCACGGAAATTGGTCCTGCCGGTCTTCTCGAGGGAAGAGTCAGGTGCCAAAAAAAAATCTCCCAGCGAGAAGATGAAGATCGTGTTATTTGAGCGCATGGATCCATCTGCTGGAAATTTTTCGAGGCAGCCATATTGGATTTTACTTTGTAGTTACGTATAGCTTTCTGACAACCAGCCTTATCCTCCTAAGAAGCCAAGCCTAACATCAACAGGAGAAGGGCAGGCTGTTGGTGCTCGTAAGTGAAGCGTACCAGAGAGTCGATCAGCTGTTGGCCTATCAGGCCCTTGATACTCAGGAGTCAGGATCGTACGCTGGAGCAGTCCGCGGGCTCTTCGTATGCTTGATGCACAATGTGACCACTGGGACGTCATGACACAAGCAGAGATGGACCGAAAGTCAAGGTTAACAAGGCGCTTCTAGGAGAATCCAGACCTTGCGGCTGCATACGAATGACTCAACATGGCAGAAGAAAGGAAAAAGAAGATGTGGACGGTGCAGGGGACTGCAAGCACCCTGTCCTCCACTTTCACGATGAAGCCAGTCTACTTGCAGCAAATCCCCTGCCCATCCATACGCGTCGCCAATGCGTACCCTACGATAGCACGCCCGCAAGGCTCATCCGCGGCAACCGACCACAGCCCGCGTCTGCGACTTTTCTTCGGTGCTGCTGCAAGTGGACCGATGCGCTAGGACTCGGGGTGCTGGGCGATAAGCACGCATGAACTCACTTATTCTGTGACTGTGACAGCGTGGGCGCGTGCTCCTGACCAACATGAACCACACCCCATCTGATACAATCCTATGTACAAAGAGCATGTCGTCTTGAGGAATGCTGCAGATTCAACGACAATCAGCGTCCAGTACAAACTAGAGCGAGCTGTCACTTTGCAGGCGCATCTTCGGTACCTCGAAAACTAAAACGTAGGCACCGCACTATGCATGCATCTCGCAACTACTATCGTATGGACGCAGCGGTTGGCACGGCTTTGCAAATTGTATCGCGAAAACCATGCCAATCTCAATCTTGGGGCCTTTGAAACTGGAGTGTGAAAGGAAAAAGACACGTCGGACGACGCTAGAGTTTGTTTGGCGCTAACCTTTACGGGCGATGGTCTTGATCACCAACTGGCCGCTCCTGCGTTTTTCGCCCAGCTTTGTGCAATCCATAGCATTTTGAGTTGATCGAGCATGCCAACGCTTACACCGCTCCCTTGCGCACGACGCCCATTCTCACGACGCCCATCCTCCAGGCTTCCACCCCCTTTTCATCGATCGTTACGCTAAGAAGCGCGGTCGAGCAACGGTTTTGAAGATCTGAATCCGCAGATCCCATCTGCCCAATCAAATGAGCCTCGACGTTGGAGGCGCGCTTGCGCATACCACAGCTCAGCGGTCAGCCCACAGGTCTCTACAAGCCATACGTTCCTCTGCTAAGAGGGTTCATGGGTCGATCAACGACGCTTGATATCTCCTGGCTGAGTGATTGCTGTCCTTGCTCTGCATCTTGGTCACCACTTCGAGTAGCTACTGCTGGTCTTGCAGCCCATGCTTGCGCTCATCTCTCCTGTCTCACAATCGTTTCAATGAATCGGTTACAAGTCGAAGATCATCTTATTCCAACTGTCACAGTGAATTTGTGGCCATGATATGTATTGAGGTTTCATACATCAAAGACAGCCTATCAAACATCAATACGTCGAATTGTCCTCGTGCTCAACGGCTAATATGGGATCCATAAGTCGACAGCATCATTTGCTCCTTCCAAAACACGTCAACAGTCGAATATACCCCAAACGTCCCGTTTCATGTCTCTGTTGTTTCTCTTTTATTACCACGTCCAATGGTTGCCTTCTTCCTTTGACCGTTGTTCTTGCTCAGTGTCCAAGCGTTTTGAAACAGTTACGCCCTGCTTCCTTCCATCTGTTCTAAATATCCACTCCACTCCACTCCACCTCTCCGCCGTTGCCTTGTCTGCAACGGCAATGCCTACAAGAGACCATCGTTCGTCGCTACTGGGCCGACAAGTGCCGTGGGATGAGGCAAATGACATTATCGATTGTGACCGTTGTCATATTTCGTACGCAGCGCAGCGCCATGTCAAACAATGTGCACATGGAACTCACCACCACCTACACGCACCACCACACATCGCTGGGGAGATGTAGAAAAACGGGTTCATGTCCGCCAGCCATGAGCTCTCCACTATGCAAACTGGTGCAGCCATCCATATTGCAAAATCGCTCATTCCGTACAGGAGGCACATCAAGTCTCATACTCCTCGGCGTCGTGCGCGCAACGTTGTGACCCAGTTGGGATACTTCATGTACAGTACGAGAAGTCTTTCCAAGACAGTGACTGTCCAAAGGTAAAGGGGGGCCAATATTCGAACCTCGAACAGAATTCCTCGACTGGCCGAAGAGTGTCGTAACTCTGTAAAAACGTTCGAGTACGACTCTTTGTTGGTATACCGAAAGGAGAGGATCAGCAAGCACCGAGTAATTACCGTTAAGACACTGGGAGCATCATGTCTCCAATCTTGTTGCTCTCCTCTCTCTCCGTTGTCATCCTGCCAAAATAGCTTATTTGAGCCGCATGCAAAGACACATATACCAAACCGAAGCGACCGTTGAACGAACCATTCACTCATTGGACTTGTCGCAGATTACTCGAGATCTTAAGCCATGGCGAGGGATCACTTATTGGGTAACAACGTCTTTATCCTCGCTCTACCACACCGACCTGACTGAGTCGGTATATGTGTCTTGGAGACACGTGCGGCTCAATGGCAATTTATCGAACGGCTTTTCCAGAAGATGGGTCGAACAATTACGGCCGCAATCGACGCCTTGTTCTATTGCATATTGTTATTCTACTTCATTTCCACGTTGCGTTTTGAACCTAGACTAATCTGTTGCTGCTCAGATGCTGTTGCCGCAAGGGCTATCGAAGCAGGCCCCCACTGAGACAGAATTGATGAGAGTTGTCTCTTTGTCTCCATATCCCGTGCTGACCATGCGGCCTCGTCTATATGTGTTCTTTCAAACGATAGATTGCTGTCAAGGCATCGACCGTGCCGAGTGACAGGCGTCACAACTAGGCTTAGGATTAGCACGGTTAAAATTGGACGACTTGCTACCTGGAGCGGTGAGTAACATGGTGAGTCGGTCAAGACAGGCTACCGTGTAGATATCGTTGCCGGCCTTAAGACAGCAATACCTTGGCAATGTAAGCGTTCGAATTGCTGATCTTCCTATGTGTCTCTGCCACTGGGACTTGATGAAAATGCGGTCAGAATAATAGGGCGGATCGACACCTTTCATTTCTCTTCCTGTTCGTTTCATCAATAACGAAAGGGCCGGTTGTTCGGTTGTCTTATTTGATGTTATGGGGAGGAACGGGCCCTGGCCGGGAGATGAATGGATGTTTGAGAGCATCTGTCGGTGTAATCCTTCTCACCGGGTCGACGGCAAGACACTTGTCCAACAGGTCTGCAAAGAGATTCAGCTCTTTGGCGTCAGCAGGACTGAGACCCTTCGAACTGGCAAACAATCGTGCCTTGAGCTCCTTGGCAGGTACGGTCCTGGTGATATTCATGCGGCGCACCACTTCTCGACGAGTGACGTTGTCTATCTCCTGGCTTAAGAATGTGCCGTCAGGTTCGAAATGTTGCGCCCAGAACTCTGATCTTTTGAGCATGCGATTCGGGATTTTGCCGCGACATTCAAGTATACCCTTCAACATCTGATTGTTGGTCGCGCCAGTGAAACAAATCTTGCCGGTGTACAGCTCGAATAGGGTGCAACCAATACTCCACATGTCGATGGCATAGTCATGCTTGATGCCGAGCATAATCTCCGGAGCGCGGTAGAAGCGAGAGACCAGTGCATCTGTGACATCGTTGTCATCAGCAGACATGGCAGAGCCCAAATCGGCAATCTTGAGCTGGTTACGCTTCTCATTGACGAGGACGTTGTCGGGCTTCAAATCAGCGTGCAGAATCTCGCACTTTTTGAGCAGAGTGAGACCAAGGAACATCTGCAGGGCGTATTGGCGCACAGCTATGATGTTGATACCTATGTCACGGCCAAACTTTTTCAAGACTTCACGTAGGTTGATACTCAGATTTTCAAAGACCATACAAAGATGGCCCTTGTGTTCAAAGTGGCGCTCCAGACGGATAATGTGTTTCTTGTCTTCGGGATCTGCTTCGGCGAGGGTCTGGAGAATCTCAATCTCCTTGATGCCAGCCTTGTACCTAGTAGAATGTTAGTTCTGGACGAAGGGCAGATGTTGTGGAAGAGGCTTACATTGACTCCTGGGTACGAATGATCTTGATGGCAACGGTGCGATTAGTGGTGGTATCGAGAGCGCGTACAACAGCGGAAAAGACACCCTTTCCTAGGTTTGTTTGGATGTGGTAGCGATCGTCGAGGAGCTCCCCAAGAATGATACGGTAATAGCCTTCCGGATCGTCCCAGTCATCGAGCATACTGCGATCGAGCTGCTTCGCTTCAGGCAAACGCACAGCTTGGGTACCATCGTCCCTTTTGTGACCAGCAGCGGGTTCCGGAGCAAACATGTCGTCATTGTCTTCGTCTGCAAACATGTCCAGTTCATTTGATTTGGCGGATTGGGTAGGTTGTAAAGGAGCATGTGACGAGTCTTGGTGGTTCAAGTCACGAGTTGCGGCAGCTGAAAGATGAGCTTTGAGCTTGTCTTGTTGCATGTCCATGGTCGGGTCATAGTCAGCGGCTGAAGGAGTATGTGTGGCAGTCGGAGAGGATGGATCTGGATTGACAGGATTGGCGAGATGGTGGTCGTTCGCGTGGGAGAAGGAGGCAGGTGATGCGGGGGATGAAGGCACAGAGACATCAGGCGAGGGCACGACAGAGTCTGCTTCATCAGGAGTCGCAACATGCAGAGCTTGGTGAAGCAGGGGAGTGGGTTGTGGTTGCGAACGATGCTTTGCGCGCAGGGCTTCACGGCGCTTGCGACGGTCTTCAATCAGCTTGGCCTCGTCGACTGGGGGCTCCTCTGGGAGATCGGGTACGGCGGCGGGAGGTGGAGGTGGAGAGGCACGATGGGACTGGCGAGCAGGTTCGGGACTTCTGTGAGAACGATGACGCTTTTCTGGAGGAAGATTGCTGTGGCGAGAGTCGTGCGAGTTGTTGGAATGGTAGGAGTGGACAGAGCGGCGGTCGTCTCGGTCGTCTCGGTCGTCATGGTGCTGGGAGCGGTGGGGATAGGGCCGTTTGTTGTTCGAGTTGCTTCCATTGTTTGAGGTCGAGTGGCTGTTGTGGTTGGACTGGTGGTTGATGTTGTAGTTGGAGTGGTGGTGCTTGTTCTGGTGGCCGTTCTGCTTGTAGCGACTGCTTCTGCGGTCAATGGCGCTGTCTCTAGATGGGGGAGGTCGCGATCTAGTTGCCTTGTCTTGGACTATCTCGCCCTCGGACGCCGAACTGTAACCCATGATTCCTGTTGTTTGTTGATGATTTCCCTTTGTTCGAGCTGCTCAAGATCAAAAGTCCAAGTGCAACTTCCATCGAGACCCATGGGGACCGTGCGTTTGCCTTGATGGGCCGCCGATTAATTCTTGTCTCCGGCCAACAACCAAGTCTCTCTACACGCACGTCGCTCTAGACACACCTCACCCTCCTAGACTTCGGTCCTGTTCTACGATGCTCGCTACTCGTCTCCGTACTCCACTCGTCTCTCGCCTGCCTCCTCTGGCCAGGCCGTCGACTGTTGCCCGCCGCCTCTTCGCAGACCAACAGACCACGCCAAACACCCCCTTGCCGCAAACTGCTCCTCCTACCTCGCCCGCCGCTGTTCCCAATACTCCTATACCCACTCCCACCACTCAGCCTAGGCCCACTGCTTCCCCCGACGTTATCCCCATTCCGCGAGCCCAGCGCCCACCCAGGTTGCAGGATGGCTACAGTGGCGCCTTTTACCTATCCCTGCTAGGTGGCTTGCTCCTCGCAGCTCCCGTCATCTCCTACTTTTACTGGGAACACCGCAAGACTCACATGAGGGAGAAGAAGGAAGCCATTCTTAGAGAAATCCATGCCAGAGTCGGCCGACCCTGATCAATATACCAATACAACTACTATCGACCTACTTCTCTCATCCGACCATCAACCCTCTACTCGTCGCCTGCCTCCCTGCCTGTCGACTGTAACTAGGTCGAGTTGAGTCTGCTCGAGCGTCTGGGCTCTCCCGACTCGGTGGCCGCCTTCTTTGCCTCCTTCTTGGGCTTGGCTGAGGAGCTCTCATTGCCATTCTTGGCTGGTCGTCCGCGCTTCTTCTTGTCGCCATTCTCCTCTCCGCCATCCTCCGTCTTCTTCTGCTGCTTCTTGCTCGGCTCGGACTCTTCTTGCTCCTTGTCTTCCTTGGCTGAGCGCTTCGACCCAGTCTTTGCAGAGCTGTCGTCCTTCTTCGCTCCACCCTTCTTGTTTGCCGCCTTCTTCTCCGTCTTCTCCTTCTTCTCGCCATCTGCCTCTTCCTTCTCCTCGTCGTCTTTCTTCTTGTCATCCTTCTTTTCATCCTTGGTCACCGTCTTCTCCTCTCCCTGGTCTTCCTTGTGCTTGTCACCCTCCTCCTCGACGTCGAGCTCATGGGCACGCTTGACGACATCGTTGCCAGAGCGGGAAATCTTGACAGCGGGGTCCTCGGGGTCGGCATTCTTCTTGACCTCATTGCCATTCTTGGTCTCGATTGAGAGCTCGCCCTCCTTGGCAATCTCTGACACTTTGCCGCCGGGACGGCTTCCAGACCATTGCCACGAGACTATTCATCTTTCGTCAGCACTGAAAATGGAAACATGAACCATCGACTCGACTCGATGCTTTGACGCGCCGTCATGACTCGACACCTCGGCAACGCTGCCATTGTCGCGTAGGCGCGTCGCGTCCTTGGTTCGACGCATCGGAAGCTGGCCATGGCTTGCGCAAATTGACAGGGACGATCGACTTACCCTGATCTCCTTCTTTGATTTCCTTGTCGCTCATATTGAAGCTGTCGTGTGGGTGCGATGGGTGCGGAGTTGAATGCGTTTAGACAATTGACAAGAGTAGAAGCTTCGTGTAGAATATCAACGCGATCGCGCAAGTTAAGCGATTCGAAAGTGAAGAGTGCAAAGATAAAGCGACGCGTATCGTTGGGTTGTGAGGATCGAGAAGAGAGAGGTTGTCAGAGAGGTCGCAGCGCGTCAAGAGGTGGAGAGGCAGGTACGACCTACTGTAACGTCATCTTCGTTGCCGCGGTAGGAAACTGATCGGCGCTACTGCCCTGCTGCCCCGGTTCTTTGGTCCTTGGAACACTCCAGCTGCTTTCTGCCCTTTTCGTCCATTTGTTCTGGGCTTCGAGTCCTTGTATGTATTCTAAGCTCTTCAGCTACTCATTTGACGCTGTCTTCTTCTCTGCTGAATATTCGTTGTTTTCTCGTCATTCATCTCGACTTCAGTGATGGGTTTGGGCTAGACGTTGCAAGCTTCAGCTCGAGGCCGATCACACCATTGTCACCATCTCAACCGTCGTACACTTGGAGCCGTCTATTGGTGTTTGTTGACACAGTAAACACCTCGTTCTAGCTTTCTAATCTTATATTGGTTCACTTTGACAAGTCATGACAAGCTCCCTCATGTGATCAACTTGCAGGTGGCTTGGACAAGTAGCTTAGCTGTGGTGAAGCCATAGTGAGAAGCTTCGTGAGCAACAACAAAGCAGAAATCGAGCATTGCATCTCGACGAGAGGCTCCATTGACTAGAGATACCGAAGAGATTGACGCAACATGGTATTGCCTCATATTCATATACGAGATAGAACTCGAGAGTGCATGATGATGAGTTGAGACCAGGGAGCATTTGGTGTCAGGGTGTTCCGGGCAGCAACCAGGCTGACCCTGTCATAGGTATGCTATTCTCACCTTCTCCCATCCTTGTGCCAATCAATGCTCAAAAGATAGATTGCCCAAGATTGATGCAGTGAGTATGGAGGCCTATCGAGAGCGAGTACTCCGCAGGTATCTACTAAATGTTAACCTGATGAGAAAGTAAATGTACAGCATGGCAGCTATATGCTAAAGTCTACAATTTTGACCTCCCCAGGATGGTCGTACACCAGAAATAGCGAGAACAAGGTGAGTGTGAGCAACATCGTGTAGGTAGTAATGAAACTCTTGTCAGTCTATACAATTGTGCTTCTTTTTCTTTTCGAGGCTGACTATGGTCCGCCGCCCCTGTGAAACTCCTCCCAATGCAACAAAAAACATGTGATCTTCGTACCGAACTGCTACAATGTACTTGGTCAGACAATCACTCCGCGTCCATCTGCTAAAAGGTGGCGAAAGAACAAAAGAAACCAAAGACAGGTGACCCGTTTGTTTCGTGTTCCGTACAACCAGCCAACAAGAACACCGTCAAAAACAAGCCCAGAACTATGTCGACACGAAAAGAGATTTGGGATTGAAAGTACTCCCTAGCAATGAATTTCGAGGTGTTTGAGATATGATCATGGCTTAATGCAATGGACTTTATACGTCCATACCGTCGTTGAAGATGCCCTGGGGTTCGTTTGATGAGGAAGTTACACCGCTCATGCGCTCTCCTTTGCTCAAAGTCTTCTTCAATTCGTCACCGTCCTCTTGCGAATCCTGTGAATCTTGCTGTGATTGGTGCAAGTGAGCAGTGTCGTTGCCGAATTGTTTGTCCAGAGTACTCTCGTCAACGAATGTGAAGCCCTTGAATGCCGTCTGTAGTGTGGGGCTAAGGGGTGTGCTGGCTGGGTTGACGCCACTAGCCAGAGCCGCGGCGCGAGCATTGAGAGATGACGAGTTGCCGCTCGACAAAGCGTTTGTGAATTCTGGGTCAAAGTTGCTGACATCCAACTCGCCCTTGAGCTTGGGCTTGAAGGGTGGCACAAGTGCCTTGCGACCAAGGGCAGCCCAGTCAACGTCAGCGAAGAAGGCGTGGGCCATAAGCTCATCAGCATCAGCCTTGGCTCCGAGACGATGGTTTGGGTTGCGGTTCAGTAGTCCCTTGACGAAGTTGCGACCTTCTGTCGACAAAGCATCTCTGGGGAAGCGGACCTTACCGAAGGCAATGTTCTTGTACATCTGCTGAGTGTCTTCGGCGTAGAATGGCGACCAGCCGCAGCACATCTCGAAGACCAAAACACCCAGCGACCAGAAATCTACCATCTTGGTGTAGCCTTGCTCGTCGAGCAGAACCTCGGGCGCAAGGTATTCTGTGGTGCCGCAGAATGTGTTTGTGGTATCGCCCTTGGAGAGGTTGGCCTTGGAAAGACCGAAATCGCAAAGAGCAATGTGACCGTTGGCGTCTAGCAAGATGTTCTCCGGCTTCAGGTCACGGTACACAATGTCATGCTGGTGAAGGTGTCTCAGGGCTAGGATCAGCTCTGCAATGTAGAACTTGGCTCTGCCCTCGTGGAAGCGTCCCTCTCGCTGAAGATGCCAGAAAAGTTCTCCTCCCGACATATAGTCGGTAACCAAGTAGAGGTCCGCAGGAGTTTGGAATGAAAACTTCAACCCAACGATGAAAGGTGACTCGGCGGTGGCAGTGCGTACAAGAATATTACGCTCGCCGATAGTGTGTGCAATCTCTTTCTTTTGGATAATAACCTTCTTGGAGAGCACCTTCATGGCGTAAATTCGTTGCGTGTCCTTCTTGCGCACCTGGAAAACCTGTCCAAAGGTACCCTTGCCAATGAGTCTCAAGATTTCAAAGTCCTCTGGTCCGTAGGCCTTCTTGTCTATCTTTTGGAAGCTGAGCCTGAGCTGGATCTCGCCGGAAACATTATCGGTCTCGCCTTCTCTAGGCTTTAGTTTGTACCAGGCTTCGTGAGGGGCGTCGTAATTCTCGAGATTGGGGCTGAAACGGACATGCCCGATGAAGGCTTCCTGGTTCTTCTTGTCGTACACGGAAATGTCCAGTTCGGACTGATCGCCGACGACGTCGCTGGAGCTCGGTTAGCATGAGTATTGCAAGGATCGAGGTTCGTAACGTACAAAACCGCCTTATGGTTCCACAATGGCTCAGTAACAAGTTGATCGGAAGCGGCATTCTTGAGCTTGGGGATATCGGTCTGACTGGTTTGACGACTGCCGAGGTTAGGAATGCTCATTCCCTTTCCTGAGTCACTACCCATCCTTCTCATTGCGACTCCTCTTGCCAAATTCTCATCCTGGTTGCTTTCTTGATCTTGTGTCTTGCTGTTTACAGCATCTACTTCAGCGCCACCAGATATGTCTTCGTTCAGTTGATAAATGCAGACGACGTAAGGGGCGGTGCTGGGCTTGAGGCCTCTTCCCTGTACAATGTTGACTGAGAGCTGGCCTTTGGTTACGCCGACAGTAGGTTGGTTACTCGATTGGTTTGAACTCGAACGACTGCTCTTCTCGATCGTCGAGATCTGAGGGGCGAGGGAAGCAGGTGCCTCTTCGACTGCCGCAGCAGCAGCAGGCTCATTGTGTGACAAGGCCCGCGGTGTTCGAGGCGGAGTACTCTTCGAGTCTTGTGTTAGCTCTTTATTCTCACTATCCAATGGTTCAGGCTCAGGTGAAGAAGGACGAGAAGAATGTGAAGATTCAGGAACAGTGATGGGTCGAGTAGCGGGGCTCGAGATATGTGCTGAAACATGGGGTCTGGAAATGATGGTGTCTACGGCGCTCGAAGGCAGTGTTGAACTACGGAGCCTTGCTGGCCCTGCGGATGTGCTGTTCTCGACCGGAGTCTGCACTTCTGCAGATCCTTCTTCCTCGCCCTGCTGGCCATGAAGAGAGGAAGCCGACGACAGAGGTGGTGTAGGATACGAAGGTGGGGCAGAGTCTGTCTGCTCGTGTGGGAGTAGTGGCGGTCCTTGGCCGCTGGTTGAAGGCGAGCATTTGGGCGAGTTGGGAGCAGTTGGTGGGGGGGCGCCGCTGGTAGCAGAGATGGACGGGGTTGAAGGGTTCATTTTCAGGCTCGGGCCATGTGTGAGGCTGAGGGTGAGGGCCGAGGGGTGGGCAGGGTGGGTGGATGGTGTGTGAGGAGTATAGAGAGAATCACAAACCTGAGCAAAGTAGGCGTGGGCCAATTCGGGCTGACGTTTATCGGTAAAATCAGGACGGGGCGTTGAGACACCGCCGGGAGGTGTTGATGCGCCCGAGCCAACATGATCGGAATCTTCGTCCGGTGCTCGAGTACTAGTGGGACGAAGATGATTAGCGTCGGCCATGATGAATTTTCTGAAACAAATCAAGGACTCGAGGCGTGCATAAATTGACAAGGGCAGGAATGAGAATCGTCAGTCAAAACAATTGCAGTCCTGAGGATGAGTCGGATATGTGTTTTGTTGGATTTGACTGCCGGTTTGAGCTTTTGCCATGCACGTAACAATTGGCTGCTCCACTGTCGAGCGTTCGGACCGACCGATGACGAGCGGCTGCAGATTACGGCCATCTGCCACAGCTTTTTTTCGCTGCAAAAGCCGGCGGGAGAAGAACACATTGATTACTCTCCACATGGCCTTTGTGCTTCTAGAAGCGGCTGCCGGCAACTGAGCATTCCAGCGAGCACCCAGTGGTCCGAAGCATGGCTGCACCGGGTTGAATAGAAAATACAGCGGAGACGCCGGATCGGCCGAGGACGAAGGCAGAAGATCGAAAGCACAAGGGAAAGAAGCGGAGCAAGCTTACTTTTGCATCATTGCTTGCCGCAACAAGTCTGCGGCAGGGGACTGCTGAGGCAGGTTGGAGGATGAGGGTGAAGACATTGTCAATGTTCTCGTAGACCACGGGTCGGCAGGAGCAGGCTCGATGCACACGGTCGGTATCAGACTGCTAGACTTAGATGACAATGGCGGAGGTCGAGGTCTTCTCTGCGAATTCTGCTTATTCGAGGAGACGGAGGAGGAAAGTCTTGGTCTTTTCCGATCAGAAGGTCCTGAAGGGTTAAGATTGCTGCTGCGATTCAACGCCAGGATTGATGACGATTCAGAGCGCGCGAGCGGTGATTGATGAGGAGAATAATTAGAGGATGAAATGGTGCTGAAGGCCGGTGCAAGAAATGAAGCGTCTGGGCGAGCCATGTCATTGATGGCGTTAGCGGGGAAACTTCAGTCCAACGCTCCAGCTCGTTCAAGACTCGAGGCCTGATGTTGCTTATTCCCAGCAATCAATCCTGGTATGCGTGTAGTCTTGCAAGACGTTGCAGGAACGAAAAATCAGGACCCAAGGCAAGCGACAGGGAGAACACTGTCGCTTGCAAGCCTCGCCGCATCCCACAGCCTCATCATGTGCGGCTTGTCTTGATCATGCATCATCTGCCCCAAGGACTCGCCCTGGCCCTCGGTGACTGACCGCAGATCAATCGAAACCGCTTGGCTGAGGCGTCCCGAAACAGATCCATGATTTACCAATCTAGGGAAATATTTGGTCAAGTCAGGGATGCCATGTGCAAATTATGCGGAACAACTGCTTGTTTTGTGCACCATCTGCATCTCTTCCATTAGACGGCATGGTCAAGGACTCAAGGTAGTCTACAAGTACATTCTAGGCGAACTTTGGCGACTGGCAACGGCTATACGTCACTTTCGTACTTTCTCCTGGCAAGATACCAACAGAGTTGATCAAGCCTATTTTCACCATACATAAGAGGACTGATGTCGAGTTGTCAAGAGTGATTTGATCCGGGATATGAATAGGTAATTCCCATTCTCATAGTTGGCCGAATACATAGATCGTAATTGAGAGATAAGATAGCCACGTGTCGGAGCGGGAGTTGCCGAAAGGCCGACCCTACCGAATCGCGCGTGTAGGGTCGAGTATGGTTGGCGCCAGAACAGAGCAGCTCGACGCGCCAACAATACACAACATCGTACAGATCGCAACCATGCCACGAGGAAGGGGTAGAGGCGGTGGCCCAAGGCTGCGCTTGTCAGCAAGTACGTACAGCTCGCCATCTGTTTCGCGCAACATTTATCCGACTAACAATTGCTCAGGAAATTCCACTCCCGCAGTCAAGGTCGATGTATCCGATGAAGAGATGCCGGACCCAATTGTGCAAGACGAGGACGACGGAGATGCGGATCATGTCGAGAACGGCGGCGCCGAAGAGGATGACGGCGAACAAGAAGTCGAAGAGGATCAAGACGCCGGAGATCGCAGCAGTCCACCAGTCATCCAAACCATTCCGCGCAAACGTGGCAGAGGTCGCCCACCTACACGTCCTCGCCCAGACTGGGACACTCCAGAGCCCGGTACTGCTCACGGATCAGAATCTGGTACCCCGCGCAGAAAGAGAGGTCGCCCATCAGGAGTTGGAGGACCGCGCGGCGGCTTCAGAGGCAGACCTAGAGGAGGCCCTTCACACGCAACCAGAGTGCCCATCGACAAGGAGGGCAACATGATGGACGTGATCAACGACGAAATCGCGCTTCCAGAGGACCCTGAGGGAGAGACCAAAGTCAACAAGGACGGCCATCTGCAGGGCGGCCGCGACTACCGTGTGCGCGTCTTCACCATTCTAGGCCGCGGCGACAGACTCTACATGCTGTCGACCGAGCCCGCTCGTTGCACTGGTTTCCGTGACAGCTACCTCTTCTTCACCAAGCATCTGCAGCTCTACAAGATCATCATCGGCGAGGACGAGAAGAAAGACTTGATCTCTCGCGACATCATCCCGCATTCATACAAGGGTCGCGCAATCGGTGTGGTTACTGCCCGCTCTGTTTTCCGCGAGTTTGGAGCGCGCATCGTTATCGGAGGCCGCAAGATCACCGACGATTACCAAGTCCAGGCAGCCAAGGAGAGAGGTGACATCGAAGGTGAATTGGCCGATCCCAACGACCGCTTACCTCCTCCGGGCGAGGCATACAACAAGAATCAGTATGTCGCATGGCACGGAGCCAGTCAGGTCTACCACAACAATGCTCCTAGTGTCCCACTCCAGCCGGGCAAGCCTGCTCCAGGAAAGAGAAAGACCAATGTTACCACTGGCAACTGGCAGTTTGAACATGCCAGAGAAGCAAGGTATCTACCCAGTCGCCCCAAGATCTTCTATTTTCTCTCGCTGACCATAAATAGCCGTTTCAACTCCAACCTGACTGCCGCACGCCGCGCAAATCTTGACGGCGTCTACGACATCAACACCAATCTCATGTTCTATCCCAAAATCATGCAACCGACTCACGTCAAGTGGGAGCATGTCAAGTCGACCGAGGACGCCCCGAATTCAAACGGAGAGCCCGCTGTCTTCCAACCTCTTCCCGATCGCATCTCTAGAAACTACCTTGTCACCGACACCTACTTTGAGAGTGCACCAAGAGCAAACCTAGGCGTTCCTGGTCCGGATGGCGATGCTGACGATCTCTCTACTAACGGGCTCTCGACCATCCCGCAGGATGTCCTCGATGAACTGCCAGAAGAGTGCAGAGCCGCATTCAACGAAGCAAAGAATGCCGAAATCGCATGGAAGTCGAAGTGGCACAACGAACACACCGACGGCGCACGCGGCAAGTTGCGCATTGGTTTTAATGGCTTTCCTGTCTGAGTTGGTTGGACGAATGCATGGTTTAATGAGGTGCGAATTATCACGGAGTTCTCGGAGCGCAGGCGTTTTTTTCTCGACCAGTATGGCGAGACCAGCATGGCGAAGGCAAAATTAGCTGACAAGGAATACCCAAAATTAGGTCAAAGTATCTGAATGTTCTGTTTCTATGAAAGACTGACTAGCCTCTCCTCCACACAATTAGTGAATAGTGTAAGGTGGCAGGAATGCATTCCACGTTGTCGCATTCCTTCCCCGAACCCAGCCCAGACTCGCCAGCGCTTCCATAAAAAGACGTAGTGGGCATGGTCGATCTGGAAAACGATTCGCCGGTTTCGGGTCTTTGTTCTCGACCATAAAGCACATAATCACTAACCACACCACTTCTTCCGCATACGCCGCCACCCGCCCAACTCAAGACTCCTTCGCTGCGTCTTCACATCTACGAATGGCGGGTGATATGTCGTTTTCGGGAACTTCGTGCCCGCTGCCGTTCTTGAGCAGGGACAACTATACTTCGGGAGGAGGATGTATGTTTGGAATCGAGTCCGAACATAGATATACGCTGACTGTCCTCCAGACATCGGAGGTCGCTTTTGTAGTGATGAGTGTTGTCTGCCTTGTCCACTGACCGAATTGGTGTATTCCGACGGTGAGCATATCGAAGGGTTATGCAGGATGATGCTGATTAATGACTGTTCAAGCATTTCCTACCCACGAGCTAGCGGCCGAATGGCTCAGTGTCGTCAGTCTGAGCAGCAGCGTCTTTCTGCTACTGACCTTTTTGATCTTGGCTCCTGAGAAGAGTCATCGCCACTATCTCAGCGTAGGCCTTACAGTCGCCAATGTCCTTCTGCAGGTATTTATTCGACCCTATCACTGGACCAGACACTTGGAGACTAATTCTAGCTCCAGCTGGCTCTCATCGTTCCGCTAGCGTCAAAGCCTTCCATGTGCTACGATGACATTACCCCCAATGACATGTATTCGGACTTGTCGTGCGCTTTCTCTGGAGCCTTGCTTCTATGGGGAGGTATGGCTTCCGTTTGTTGGGTCTTGTCTCGTTCACTATGGACCCACCTGAGGGTGTGCTGGAATATCTCGGACACACGACTCTTTTTGATCGCATCTCACATCTTCGGTTGGGGAATCCCTACTATCCTCACTGCAGTCTGCATGAAGTACACTGGGGTTTCCTATCGTTTGACGATCGTCTGTCTGCCCAACGACAAGCACACATTCACCACCTATTTCGGCTGGATGATTGCCTTTGCTAGTCTGGCATTCATCCTGCAAGTAGCGACCAGTTTTTATTGTCTCTACATCTATTTGATGAATGTATGGAAGACTCATTCATCGTCACCATCGCGTGCCACGGGCACCTCGAGCGAACTTCCTACCAGTGCAACCACAGGCGGCACGTGGGACAAGCCTTGGAAGGCGACTCGCCAACAAGCATGGGCTCGAGTACGTAGGGTCTTCGTACTGCAGTGGCGCAACATCACGCTATGTCTGCTTGTCATCGCTGTTGTTGCTATGCTCTCGGGTGTCTTTGTGAGTCTCAACACATCCCTGGCGAGAGACAAGGCTCGTGGTTTCCGTGCAAAGGAGATTGCAGGCTGGGCCGCCTGTCTTGTCATCACGCAGGACAAGAACAAGTGCCTACCATTAGCCAAACAACTTGGTATAACAGAGGCAGCCATCTCAGCAAGTCTGATCGTTTGTGCTGTAAGTCATACCCATCTCATCACCCATCCTAGAACGCAGTTTACTGACGGCTCCTCATAGTTGACCGGGCTCAAGAACTTCTTATTGCTCATGCGCTGGAGCACTCTCGTGGCTTGGTATGAGCTACTTCGCGGTGGTAGGAAACGCCGTGACAGCGAAGACTTCCTCAATGCCGAGCCTCGCCGTATCACCTTTGATCAACCGCTCGAGTCAGAGACAAAGAAGAACGACCTTTCGCCTGTTGATAGTCCTCTCTCGGAGTGCTTCCCCGGCAGAGGTCCTGAATCCACTCACAATCGCGACTCGCTTGGCGGAGATTCGATTCAGCACAGATTGGATTCCGACACACCAGCTCCGATTCATCCAGGCAGGACATCCATTTTCATTGAGCGTCCTTCCGATCTAGAGGACAACCCACATCTAGATAAAGAACATGGAAGAGTGATATAGGTGCGCTTGGAGACTTGTAGCAGTATCATCAAATTAGCGATATTAATATATATCCTTTCCAATATAGAAGTTTAATTCCGTCCATCTAGCATCAAACAAAGGTGTAACTGTACATATCGATCTTCTCATAGTATTAGCAGGTACCTCATGCAATATCTCGTATCTCACAGTGACTCTATCCTACCCAGAAGCCCGCTGTCTGGCTCACAATTTCAATCCTGCTCATCAGTCCTGATCGACTCTGCCGCTCCATCCTTGCGTCCAAGATAGCGTCTGCCTGGACGTCAATCAAGAATACCGCAAAATGCGGCTTCGGTCATAGCGATGGAAATCCCCGTCAATCGAGAATTTCGACCTTCCATTTATGTGCAGTTTGATGCACATCACCATTACCACTGCCTGAGCCGAAAAATTGCTGCTCATATGATTGCTATGAACAGTAACCATCGCAGCATTATGAGCCGCCTTTGTGTGAGAAAGTCACCCTGTCTGATCTTGGTAATGAGATGCTGCATCACGCATGTTTGCCCTGAGTCTAGAATCTTCATTTACTAGTTAATTCACACAACTGGAAAGAAAGAATATCCATAGGTAGTTTCGATCTCGTGTTGATGTTTGCCTTCTCGCAATGCTGCTAAGAGCCTTCTTGCTCGTTCTCGCCAGAAGGACGCTTCTCTAGCTCAAAACAGCTAGCGCACACGTGTTCTGTGATCGCCGTACTCGATGTCCCTGGTCAGAGTTTCGCAGTCTCCAACTCCAACGGATGTGTGTAGTCTCCGTCACTCAACTCGTCCTTCCAGTGGGATCGCTGAGGCGATGGACGTCTTCAATATCCTAGGTTGGTCGAGAATACTCATTGCGAAACAATTGTGAAGAAATGAATGATTTAGGCCAAGCGGCTGCAAAATCGCATGGATTCACATCAGATGTGGAAAAGTAGGACGGATCACACAATATCCAAGTGGTCGGTAGCTGCAGTGATACCCAGACTTGAAGTGGTAGACAAAGTGGACTATTTTGGTTCGAATTGTCCAAATTATGGCACATTGGTTGTTGCTCGGATGGCTGCTGCTGACAATGACATCTGCAGGCTGGAGCTGATGCGACCATCCAACACAAGACGACAACAGTCCGAATGGTGGAGAATCCAAATGTGAGTCTTAGGTGCGTTCGACTCGCCTGCTCTATCTACCTATGGACCGAGATTCGTCAAAGCATGGAAGCCTGAATGAACCCTTGAAGGGAGTGGTTAGTCGCGGGACGACATCGAATCTGATGCCACCACCACGATTTCGTTCTTTCAGTATTTCTCCGCCCAGCGCCTCTAAGACCGTACCTGCGAGTGTGTGGACTGATTTAATTGAACAAGACGTTGACCAGATTGATGATTGATCCCTGAAAGGAACGCCTCGGCAAGTCACTTTCCCCGCTCTTACCCTCGGTTTCTGTATATCAAAATATATATGGTACTCGACACCTAGCTACTAGTTAGATCCCTTAAGGCTCTCAAGAGAACAAGTTGTGTCGTACATCTCTTAGTGAAGACTCATTCAAATTCAAGCAGCAGCAACGATGAGTGGTCCAGGTGTCGGGTTCGAATACCCAGCAGTGCCCGTGTCGTGGTACAAGAGAGATGTCCTGTTGTTCGCCAATGCCATTGGCTGCGATGCCAAAGACGAGCTTCACTTCTTATATGTACGTGCTTCTGGTTCATGTCAACCAGTTGACATCAATCAGCGTGTCCCTGGCACTAAACTACGAGCGTACAGGAGCTAGACAGACGGTTCCAAGCCTTTCCCACATTCAGCATTGTTTTGCCCTTTCGCGGAACCTCGCCAGAGGTCATCGACTTCTACGCTTCACAAAACTCCAAGCGTGCAGCCATCCCTGGTGTACCAAAATTTGACAGCCGCAAGGTTGTTCACGGAGAGCAAGCCATAACTTTCTTGAAGCCTCTGCCAACAACCAGTGAAGGTCGTGAGTTTGAAATGAGAGCAAAGGTTCTGGGAGTCTACGACAAAGGAAAGCCCGGTTCGGTAGTTGAGACGGAAAACTTGATCGTCGAGAAGGCAACTGGTGAAGTCTACAGTCGAGCTGTTGGCATGTCATTCTTTGTTGGCCAGGGTAACTGGGACGGACCCAAGGGTAAGTCGAAGAACTGCTGTTCAATGAAAAAACGTGCTAAGACAAAAAAGGACCAAAGACGGTCAACTACCCCCCTCCGGAAGGTAAGAAGCCCGACGCGGAGTACGTGTATCAAACCAATGCCGAGTCGGCACATCTATACAGGTAAGGCAGGAATGCTTCTATGTCGCTTGCTTATCACTAATCTCGCTCAGACTTTGTGGCGACTACAACCCTCTGCATGCCACACCAGAGCCTGGTCAGCAGATGGGCTTCGGTAAGACTTGACCCAACGAAAACAACAATTTTGCGACCGCTGAGAACTTCACAGGTGGTGCTATTCTTCACGGACTGTTCAGCTGGAACACTACCGCTCATGGGCTGCTCAAACTACTTGGAAACTCGGACCCATCCAACATGAAGGAGTTTGCCGCGCGATTTGCAAGTCCCGTGAAAGCAGGAGACACGCTCGTCACACAGATCTGGCGTATGGGCAATGTCGACGACGAGGGTTGGGAGGAGGTAAGATTTGTCACCAGTGTGAAGGGTGGAAAGGTATGCTTGAGTAACGGCCGAGCAAAGATGAAGATTGCAGGACATAAGAGTAAGCTTTAAGGCAGTGTGTGAATGTAAAAGCACATTGGCCTGTCGAGAGAGCTATTAGAAGACGAGATGTGTCAATATCAGTGAACACTGTAGAGTATCAGAGGTCATCGTACACTTGCATAGTCGACAGGAACACATGACAGAAAAAAAAGGACGGGATAGGATGGGATCGCTGAAATAAGTCCATGATGAATCGTGTCTAGCTAAGGCTATAATTACAAACCCGGGTATGTGTCGTTCACTCAAAGCGCCTCCAACCCCGCCAATGCAATGAAAGTTGAATCGCTTAAGCGTAGATGGAGATTCTGGACTCGGGTCAGTAAATGTCAAGATATGGCGGTGGATGGGTATATCATACGATTCCTTCTTCTTCGATTGAACCTCGGCAATCGCATCAACGTAGTGCTCGTGAATGATCTTGGACTGTCCTGAACGGAGTGCAATCATTCCAGCCTCGACACAGACAGCCTTGAGCATGGCACCACCGAACTCATCGGTACTTCTTGCCAGCTCGGGCCAGTTGACGCCCTCATCGACAGTCATCTTTCTGCTGTGAATGCGCAGAATCTGAGCACGAGACTCCTCATTGGGCAGAGGGAATTCGATCTTGCGGTCAAGACGACCAGAGCGGAGCAGGGCAGGGTCCAGAACATCGACTCTGTTTGTTGCGGCGAGAACCTTGATTCTGTCGTCGCTAGCAAAACCGTCAAGCTGATTCAACAACTCAAGCATGGTACGCTGGACTTCACGATCACCACTCTTGTCACTGTCGAAACGCTTTGTACCGACAGCGTCAAGCTCGTCGATGAAGATGATTGAGGGAGCCTTCTCCTTGGCCAGAGCGAAGCAGTCGCGTACCAATTTGGCACCGTCACCAATGAACATTTGAACGAGCTGGGGGCCTGCCAGCTTGAGGAAGGTGGCTTCTGTTTGAGCGGCGCATGCACGAGCGAGGAGAGTCTTTCCAGTACCGGGAGGGCCGTACATGAGGGCACCTGCAGGACAAGGTCAATTGGAGAGTCATGCTGTAGAGTCAAGACAATAGTATACCTTTGGGAGCCTTGATGCCGATCTTCTTGAAGCGCTCGGCCTCCTTCATCGGCCAGACAACAGCCTCGACTAGCTCTTCAATCTGCTTGTCCAGACCACCGACATCCGTGTACTTTTCGGTGGGCTTCTCGTCGACTTCCATGGCCTTGACTCTGCTGTCGTACTCGGCAGGAAGTGTGTCGAGAATGAGGTATGAGTCCTTGTTGACTCCGATCAAATCACCGGGCTTGAGCTTCTCGTGGTCGACCAGACCGATCAGAGGCAGGAAGATGGTCTGGCGGGTTGACGTCTTGATGACGGCGGATTTGCCTACGCGGGTGGCATCCAGATCGACGTTGGCGCCCTCTTCGGCGGCGTCCTCTTCTACGTCGAGGTCGAGAATCTCGACAACGTTGCCGACAAGGTATGGGAGTTGGCTGGTGGGGTCATGTCAGCAGAGGTACGGTACGGTACGGGGTAAATGGCAACAGAGAAGCCACGCACCGGTTGTTGTCGATCTTGTCAACATTATCCTTGATCTTCTCCAGCATGGCTTGCTTCTCGTGTGTGAGGCGCTGGAACTCTGAGCGCATGATGCGCGTGTCGTTTTCTAGCAATCGCCGCCTTGTGACAATGTCTCTTGTGCTTGAGTTGAGAATGTCCGAGTCCAGCACCTCTTCCTCCTCTTCTCCCTTGTTGTCGCCGTCGGCATCCCTCATATCGGCATCGCCGCCCTGGTTGGGCTTCTTGGGATCTTGCTCATCGCCGTCTCTCTTGTCCTCGCCTTCCTTCTTGTCCTGGTGCTCCAGGGCGTCAAGATCTTCCAGTGTCGACATTCTGGCGGCTCTTTGTTGATATGCCGATGGGGTGGATGGAGCGGAAGCTTGTGGCGATGGAACAGCGATGGAAGATGTGGTGAAATGGGGTGTTGTATTAACAATCTGAATGTCTAGTTACACGACTTGGCTTGAGCTCCATCTACAATGACATCGCTCTCGGCGTTTGCCGCCGGACTTTCGCTCTCCAACACCATTTCCCATGCTCCCGTAGTTACACGCGTTTCGTCAATCCTATTTCACTTTTTGAAAGCACAGTTTCTGTAATCTAGCATATTACAGTGTACAAATGAGATGGCTGAATCCCACAGCTGTCTGACAAGCTTTGCGTCTCGCCTCACTACAACCTGTTGCCCTGTGGCTCTTCACCCAGTGACAGTCGCTTCAAGCACTTCATCTCTACTCGAGTTTGTCAACTTGAACTTGGAGACGAAGTCATCACGGTTGACTGCATATGTCAGCACGGCTCATCATTCTGCTTCAGATCTTACTCACTGTAGCCTCCGGCCATTCGTCTCTTGCCTGTGAAAACACCTCTTCCATGCAACACTCTCCAATTATCGAAGACTGTCCAAAGATGTGAGCTAAACAAAGATTTTGATCAAGGCTGTCAGACCACACTTACTCAGAGGCATTCCTGGTTGCAGCTGTGTCCAATACTGATTCTGTGGGCTGTTCAAGATGTGGTTGAATTTCCTGCTTGTCTTTAGCATGGTGTCTCTGCACAACAGGAAGGTCTTTCTTACCTGGCAGCTTCATACCACTTGTCTATCATGTCGCTGGGCGCTTCAATCGCAGCTCTGTCTGCGTTGTTCCATCTAACTTGAACCAAATGTCCCATAATAGGATCGTGAGAAAGCACCGGGAAGCATACATATGGCTGGATACTAACATCCTCATTACCACTTGCGTGTGCCCAGACGCCGATTGTACTAAGGATCTTGTAAGCCTCTTTGTCCTCGGCATAAAGCTGTCTGGCTGCCGCGAATCCATCAACTAGCAGGGATTCTCCACCAGATCCACCAGTGTGGGAAAGCATATGGAACATTTGAAGTCCAGCTGGCTCGGAGAAGTATGTCGTGTCTGTATGTGCCTCAAGAGCCAGTGACGTGTAAGCAGTGTCTTTGCTTGCCATGTTGGAGGTGAAGTCATAAAAACCGCCTTGTCCCGTTAGCTTCAACTTGACATATGAGACCATATATAGCGAAATACACCCACCGTAATGTGTCTCACGTATAGGACCAATCGTCTCCAAAAGCCTTTGCGTTGCATCGGGATCGATTGGGCAGTTCTTGACAAATGAGAACCCATGTACGTTCTTTTGAATCAGCATTGGTCCTGTCGCAGCGGTGTTTTGCCATACTCACAATTTGACGAGTCCATTCTGCAATACCATCTGCTTCCATGACATCTTTGTAATCAACCGTCGGTGGGTTAGCTGCGATTGATTTGTCGAACATGATTTGCCTAGATAACGTCAGTCCTCTGTAAGCAAACAAATCCGTTTTGCCTACTCGAGTAGACCTCTTCTCCGCACACTGGTCTGAGTTGGCCTGCCTTTGCGAAGCACCTTGAGTGGGTACTCGCTATGATGACCATCCTGCCCTGTCCAAGCATCAGATCTATGGTTGCCTCATAGCACGTTTGAACTTACACTCAATTTGTATAGTCTGCTTAGACTTGGTCTGTATGTTTAGTTTGACAGGTTTTGTAACGGGATCGATCTGCGTTCTCGTCAATCTCTGATATCGTCTACGTTCGAAGCAAGCCATACTGAAAAAGTGTCAAGTTGTCTCTGTCGTGTCACAGGATGAACACACTCATCACATGGACATTGGTCTCTGTTGCTAGTTAGTCTAGTCATAATCTGGCGCTTATGGTATTCCTCACCTCAGCCAGAGATTCGAGCTAGAGTGCCATTGTCAGCCCAAGCAAAAATGCCCGAGAGTGTTCGTAGCTTACACGTATGTTCGGTCCTCCCCATCTGCGTTCTCAAAGTACAGCCTCTCCCCATCCCAGCGTAGAGATTCGCTGCCAGGACGCTCATTGACTTCAAGCTCTGCAAATGGCGACTATAAATAGTGTCAGGCCATGATCGGTCACCAGGACCTATACTACTCACGATCCGCAACTTCGTGTCGAGATAGACGCCGTCTTTCTTCAGCGCAATCTTTCCGAGATTTAGACCATTTGAAAATCCGTGGGTTGCTGGTGTTGTCTCACTCGCCTGAGCAAGGATACGTGTGCTCGAGAGCGATCGTGCACTTCCCAACAAGCACTGCCTGGAGGCCGCGCCTCGACCCGTGGTAACGAACTTGTGCAGCCTAATTAGACCAACACGATTGACCCGTACGGCCATGTCTGAAAGCATCATTGGGGCAGTAGAGTAGGACGTGTCTTGGGTGGAGTTGTGGTCACCAACTACTCGGCTTTGGGCAAAAGTCGAAGCCGAGAAAACCACTTCGTGTCGTAGAACCTCATCGAGGGCCCGCAATCCATCGGCCACACTAAACTGCGTATGCTTCTATACATCAGAACCAGGGTTTCAATGCGACCTCTCCGTGTGTAGAATACTGCCACACCTCTTCTTCACTGATCAAAAGAGGGCAACGACGAGCTGTAGAAAGGCACAGTCGCGTTGCGTATCGATGAGCCTAGCACAGGGACCCGATGGCACGAAGTATGTTGAGAAAATATCGTGCCTCAAGGTAGCCACAAGCGTGTCAGTATTTTCGCACACAGGGAGGGACCACATCATACTCTCGGGTTCTCACAATCATGTATCAACTCTACAATCTCCCCATGTGCGGAACCGTCACACTTGTAGCTGTGTTAAGACACAATCATTTCTGGATTTTCAACGATGTCTCCGAGATCTGTTCTTTAGATAACTCTCTAGGCTATCTTTCTGGATTGCAGATTTGGCTATGCCTCGATACAGCTCGTCATTGCTCTGCTCAATTGTTGGTAAAAAGTGCGAGTGGCGGAATTCAGCCCACCGGACCCAAAATCTGTGAAGCCTGCCTGATTGTAGTCCGTTAAAGATGGCTTCACATAACCATTATGATACACTTGGTCTAGGATAACTAAGCATTACATATGCTCTTGGACAATGTGTGGACATATGTGTAAATGTGTGAATATGTTGCTTGTTCTTAGAGTAGTAATGTGTGAAGCCGTCCTGACTAGGCTTCAGATTTGACGAACCATCACAACAATTCACGAGGCAACACAGCATTTTCCTTGTAACAAGTTACATTGAACAGTATGATGCTCAAAAGATGAGTGACAGCTTCATAGTAGTGGCTAGTGCATTTATGCTACGGCGTCGTTGAGTATTTCTGAAAAATTGTTCGCCTAAAAGTCCCCCTTTCTTCGAACAAACGTCCCTACCACTACCAAATGAATCACGATGAAGTTCGAAGTATGAATGTTGCAGGAGTGGAGAATGCTGGCCGGCACAGGCATAGATAACGACGAAGCCCAACGACAACAGACTCTGATTAAGTAGATGCGCGCATCTTCGGGCGACACACCGATGATGAAGAGAACTAGCTCATCGATAGCGAGACGACGGAGAAATGATTTGCGGCTCAAACGTACCGCCTACGCATCGATGTTGAGCACATATCATCACAACATGCTGTGCTGACTGAAGCGGCTGGTCGGATTGGTCCCCCAACCGATCTAGTCTGGGCCTTTTTTGCGCCGTTAGTGAGTGTCTTAGCTTCGTCGGGAAGAGTTGCATGGTCTCGTATTATTCTGGCCTTGAATGGTCACATTTGAAGCTGGAATTCTCTCCTTTGTCTATGTTGTATTAAGATGCTATGGAAATCAGGCTCGATGCTTGCGTAGTCAAACAAATAAATACACAAATTGGGCCGCATGTATGACTGTACTTTTGATCGGAGCACCCTGTTTGCTGGTGTTTACGCTTGTCTAAGATGACTACTCCGAAGACCTCGGCAAAATCATTCCACATCAGGTATCCTTATCCTATTCCAAGGACCATAGTCACCTCCAAATTAATGCTGAAGATTCAGAATTGCAGCGGGGACTGACAACAATGCAGATAGTTCTATGCTTAGTGTAGTTTGTATGACCACAGTCTAGATATACATAAAGAACCTAATTGTGAATTTCCTTCAAGCTTAATCTGTTAGAAGCAAGCAGAGAAGAGTAGCCACTAGGCACCTATATTGCAATTGACACAGTGACACCAAAAAGAACGACCCTAGAGCGATTCGAACGCCCGATCTCCAGTGAACAGTGGGCATACGGTGGAATACAACACCCGCATGTGATGATGTGTAATATATCCATACCCAAATCGGAAACTGACTGCAAATAGCGTTAGTCCAAGTTGAGCACAGGGTTTGACTAACCCAAGATAAGATGTACTGACCACCTTACCACTTGGCCATAGGGCCATCGTTCACCATTGCACAACTGTTGAGTTATATATGTTGTTGGTATTCGTCAAAGCCAGTGTCTTTGAGAAGAATCCTTCGAAACCAAGCATGTAAATATTTCTCGTTCTCCTGCACCTATCTTCACTATATTCATGCATCGGGGGCCGCGATCCCATAATCGCGTTTCTAGGTGTAGTGTACGGTCCGAGACGCGAGGCAAGCCTAGAAATCGACTCTACAATGTCTCAGGTTACCTAATGGAGGGAGTCTGGATGCAACTAGGTGCATTTGGTGTTTAGCAAGTCTCATAAGTAAAAGACTGGAATGGATAAGCCTCTCACTGAGGGAGAGGGTGCTTAGTTTGAGAGGACAGGAAAGCCAGAAAGCAAGGAAGTAAGATGGAAAGAAACAGCGATGAAAGCTTGAGCTCATGATGATCTGGAACCACGCTTCATCTTGCGATACGGCATGTCTACTGGACACAGCCTCTACACACGACCAACAACAGACCCTTTGCCGTGTACTGCTTCTAGATGTTTGCATTGATGGTGCGTTAAAGAAGGTTTGGGTATGGGCACTCATACTGGTATGGAGAACCTGGTCATAATTTGTCTATCTCCACGCTCAGTTTACAAAGCACTCCGAGTACGACCCAACGGAGAACGCTGAGCCATCAATCTGACAACGAAATCTAAAGCGAGTCGTCGTGCGATACGTGCGTAGATCTCTGTGAGAGAATATTAGATCTTCGGTTGTCAATCCAGTCCATGATCTCTTGCCGAATCTGAATCTGGCAGCTTCTTGTCGAATTTAGAGTCAAACTGCTTGATTGATTCCATCAAAGTCGACAGAAGATGGAACGAACTCTCTATCGGGGACCAATGTCGCAGAAGGTCCCCAGACATCTTTGGTTTTTGAACATTTGTGATCGTGGGCGGTTGCCGTTACCAACTGCTTTGTCTTATCCCGACTTAGAGAGCGACGATCCAGTGTGTATATCGATCAAACCTTCGGCTTTCTTTCCGTTTATTGCATTTTCTATTATCGCATGAAACAGCTCCTTGCTGAGAAGGCATCTAGAGTGGTAGTCGATAGGCAGGATTCAATGGTCAACGATCGATGATCGACGTTTGATGTGCCAAGTCGCTATATATCGGGTCAAGAGGCATGACTTTGGCATCCCATCGCGGACAATTTACTGCGCAATGGTTTCATGGCTGTACGGCGTTAGTTTCTGACCCGGATTACAGGTTGTTGCATTGACAGTCTAATTTACAAGCTCGGCGCTGACTGTGGAATTAGCGTTTTACCACACCAGCTTTCGACAAGAATTACCTAACGATCGGCGGTTGGGTCCATGTCAAATTCTAACAGAGGACGAGATCAACTCTCATGTTGGAGGGGAATGTAGTAGTATTCTCGGAATCTTTGGTGTCTCAAGAATTCGTGACGAACGTACGATACCATACATCCACTCCCATGCACTTTCTGCGCTGGACTGAGCGAATCCATAGACAGCTTCGCGGGCAGGTCATCAACTCGAGCAGACCCGTACTGGAAACATTCTCAGAACCAAGGCACGATCTCTCTCCAGACGCATAGCGATGGAAGCAAGCGGCTATAATGGTGCAAGGTAAAATTCAAGGTAGTTGGCTTTGTTCACAGAGAGCCAGGCGAAAACCACCGGAGGATCAATCCCAATTCAGGGGATTCTAATCTTGATATTACCTTGCATTCGCGCAATCTCAGTTGCCTGAGTGCAACAGAACAACGTTTAGTATCACGGTCGGCAAGGCCTCAGAGCACGGACGTCTGGAGCAACGGTAAGTATCAACCCTCTGTGTCATTGCGAACTATATATGTTATACTGTATCTCTGATTAAGCCTCTGCTATGGAGAAACAGGGGGATGTTTGTGAAGCGATGCATTGTGGCGGTAGTTTCGAGCGATAATAGCATGTGGTGTGTGTGTGTGTGTGTGTGTGTGTGTGGGTGTTTTCGAGACTCGTTGATCGACGAGATTGGGGCATTGTTATGAGACTAATGGGAGACTTTCGATCTCTTAGAACCCTTTTGAACGAAGACCCTCTTTTCTTGGTCGAGGCAGTCAACATTAGCTTGCGTGCATCTGTTGCAAGGACGACCGCCTCGGCAACTTTGCTTGTCTGTGTAGCAACGACGACAGGCGTATCCAGGACGAGAATTTGAAGAGAACCGACCGTCGAAGACTAAGCCAGTCTCGTGTTCCCAGAGCTCAATGACAACCTTGATATCCTCTTCTCCTCTCTCAAGTGTTGCTGTCACTGTTGAAGAAGTACAAAGCATTGTGCGCGTTGGCGTACGCTTCGTGGTGAGCGAGAGGGCGTCTGACCTTGTAGGCATGGTTGGGCTTACCCTTGTCAGCGAACTTGGTCATAACAGTCTTCTCATCACGATCGAGCTTGTCCATGGGCCCAATGACTATGACTTGGAAGTTCTTTGCACGCGAGGCCATGACGCAAGTACGTTGAGCCGATTGGAGGAAGCCTTCGCTCTCATCCCTGACGACATCGTTGATTACGAATTCAGCCTCACCACCGATACCTCCGTCGATGGTCTTGACAGCAGGGAACATCTCTCTAGACCAGTTCCATTCTTGCTGGTAGATGGAGATTTGGGCCTCGTATGCGTTGAGCTGTGCACGGTAGGGTACTTGGATGAGGCATTTGAGCTGAGTTTTTGTGCCAAAGTGGGTTTTGAGGACTTCGAGACGGTACTTCTGTAGAACCCATACGATATGAGGATGATTCTGGGATGAGTTACTACCAGGAGGATGAACGAGAATCGAGTCCCTGATGATGACATGAGCGTACCTACGGGTGAATTGTTCGTGAGGCATTCTCTGAAGAGGAAGGAAGTCAATGAGCAAGTTCTCGTCTTCAGGACCGAGATCCGCGTGGAGTCTGGGATCATCGGTAAGGTTGCTCTTTTGATAGTGAACTTCGTTGACAGGAATGTTCAAGAGCTTGTGCTGGCGTTTTTGCTGCGGAAGATGGTAGACAGGAAAGCCGTTGTGAAGGAGACGGACAAACCAACTGGCTCTGTGCTGGGCCAGGAACTCGTTCACAGTGTTGTCCTTGCCAGTAGCCGCAATGGGGTTGGGACCGAGTTGACGTGGATCGCCAAACTGGTAGATACCCTTGATCTTGTGAGCATATTTGGTCTTGAAAGGAATGAGAATGTTGACTTCGCCGATGGTTGTAGCTTCATCGGCAAACATAACGATCTCATCCTCAGCGTCGGAAGCGAATTCAGCCATCTCCCTAGTGGCAGCGACTGGACAGGTGCAGAAGACGATCAAGGCTTGTTGGTAGACTTCGTAACGGCAGATCTTGAGACTCTGACGGAACTTGCGCTTCTCCTCATCAGACCACTTCTCTGCGTCAAAAAAGTCGGCATAAGCGGGTTGAGCGATGCGTGCCATGTACTTCTTGAGCTCTTCGTACATGTTCACAAGTGGGCCGTCAGGGATTGGTTTCTTCTCATCGTCAATGCCGTCGGTGTAATGCGCCATCAATGGAGGTCTCGAGGCGTCGTTGAGGTTCTCGTTCATCTTTGCTTCAACCGAGTAATCAGGCAAAGCTCTACGCTTGTTCTTGTAGGTCTCTTCGACTGACTTCCAAGCAAGATAGTGTGCAAGGGCTTGCTTATCCTCTGCATCGATGTCGGCCTGAGTGCGATCGACAGATGGCTGGAGAGGGCTCTCGAGGCGTGCAGAATAGGCGCGAATAGGTCTGCTGTTATCCATCTTCTGGACTTTCCCGGATGCCACATCTTCAGACATCTTTTCATCAATCTTGAGTGCGATGTCGTCCAGAGAACTGTTGATCATGCCAACGATGAGGACCTTCGAGCCAACGATGGTCGAGAATTGCGCGAATCTACCCATGACCAGCGTCTTGCCGGTGCCTGCAGCACCCGCAACCAAATTAACACCTCCGAAAGGATTGGGTAAGGCGTCCACAGTGCGAAATTGGTGCTTGTCCCAAGGCTCCGAGTTTCTGAGATACTTGAAGGCAGCCACAGTGTGCTGGATATCACGATCGAATGCAGTCTTGAAGACTTGCTTACGCTCCAGGGGCTCACCCTGATAGACGAAAGGCCAGAGGAACATTGCAGGGACATAGTTGGGATTGTCTGGCTTGTTCGCAATGCTGAGAGCGGATGCAACTGCATCAATGCCATGCTTGGTGGTAACATCGGAGATGATGGGATCGATGTGCACGTTGAGGATCTTGGGTCCAGCGGAACCTGCTTCTGAGAGAATGGCCTTGAACTCACTGCTGACCTTGTCTGTGATGACAGCGAACAGGTCACAGCCGAAACCGTAGACATCGACACCAACGAGTGCGACACAGTGCCACTTCTGCTTATCCTTGTGATCGCCGTAGATGGTGAGCTTGAGCTGTGTGTCGACAGGGATGGTGATCTTCTCTTCGTTGGTGAGATCGGGGATTCCGGACGCAAGAGGCTCTCTGTACTTGATACAGGCGACAGCATAGTTACCAGCAGGAACGAGAGCGAGAAAATGTTCCTTTTCGCTGACACTGGTGATGTGCATGGCTTGCTCCTTGTGAAGAAGATCGGCGCCAATAGAGAGGTGTAGAGCGAGCTCGTCATTGTCTCTGACCAGCATACGAGCAGGGATGGATGCACCGGGATGAGGAGGGCGCAGTGCAGTCTTTCGCGAGACCTGCTGGTTATACTGAAGGCTGATGACTCCCTGCGGGTTGCGGTATGTCATGTATGCAGGTCCAGTGAACTGTGGGAAGGCTCTGCCGTATTGCTTGGAAGGTAGCTTCTCTGAAAGAAATTGCAGCTGGGTCTTCTTGCTATTGCGCTTCGCCTCCGCAGCCACAAGACCTTCGAGAACATTGAGCTTGATGGTACACGACTGACCCGGAGTAAGCTGTGCAAGACGCTTGAAAGTATTCAAAGCCCATCTCTGTTGCGGAGCGAGACGTCCACGAGGTATGACTTGTCGCTCATGGTAGGCATATTCAGTGTAACAGAAGACATCGTGAGCACGGCAACCTTCGCTCTTGAATGTAATCAGAGCACCTTCATCATTGGTGAACATGTCAAAGTCGGAGATCTCTTGACGGGTCTTGAGCTCCTTGTCGGAGATGATGTTCGTGGTGTTGAATGCAAATTCGACACGACAGCGCGCGCCAGTGGCATGGCTTTCCTGGCTGGGAAACGTGAGTTCGAGAATGATGGTGGGTGCAAGGCCGAGGAGCTCAACCGAGAAGTCGAGAAGACCCGCCTTGCCTTCGGCGTCAGGAACAGGGCCGATGATGGTGCCGTCATCGAATTCGACAGACAAGGTAGCAGCCGACTTGTAACAGTTGTTGGTCTGCTCATCTTCCTTGCTTCCATGCTTGAAGTTGTTGAGTACGACGAGCTTGTCTCCGGACTGAATCTTGTCTGTAGCCTTGCGGACGGCGCGAGGGTCGGGAGCAGTCACCTCGACGATCTCTTCACGCACGGAGAAGTCAGGAATGGTTTCCTCGCCAGCCCAGCCATCGACAGGAGCGTGTTCAGGGTAGAGGGCGTAGGCAAACGGAGGAATAGGGACATCGGGCGCGAGACCGAGTGTAGCGCGGATGACATCTTGACGTGAGAGCTTCTTTTCACCGGTCTGCTCTGAACCAGTCTGCTTTGAACCAGTCTGCTCTGACTCGGTCTGCATGGAGGACAATGCATAGCCTTCCCAGCGGTCGTTGATGAGACGGATGAAGATGGGAGTGACGTCCCACTTGTGGTGCGCTTCAACCACACGCCAGTTACGACCGTCGGAGAGGTGAAGAGAGTACTTGTTCTTGGGGTGTGCCTTGTTCCAGTCGAGAATGATATCGGCGCTAGTCTGGATGGCCAGAGGCAAGGCGGTGTCAGGAAGGAAGGACTGCAGCTCGGTCTGGTCTCTGACGACTCTGCACTCAGGATCGTTGAAGTCGAACTTGACAGAAGGGTTGACATGTTCACGGGGGTGCATTGCCACTGCGATAGCCCATGTTACTGCCTTCGGGCCTGTAAAGCTGATGTTAGCCAAGGGCTAGACATGAAAAGAACAAAACAAGGGGATGGATAGCAAGAAGCGAAAGAAACAAAATGCGCAAAAGCATATCGCGGGCTTGGAGTCATGTGCTTGGACACTCATTCGGCACACTCGGAGGAGAGTATGCGAGTGGTGCTCAGATTCTTCCAAGGACAAGATCCAAACGAAGAGAAGAAGACCAATTGAGGGAAACTATGCTTACCTTGAGGAGAGTTGGTGATGGGTGCGATCTTGAGGCTGGCAAGAAGTCCGTTGACCTTGTTGGAAGCGATATGACGGTATCGAGGAGGAGACATTGTGGTTTCTACCCAATGTTAGCTCTGTCAAGATAGTGGATTTTGAACAAGGCAAGATAGAATGTGCAGACGAGCATACGCAGGCGGAAGATGTGAGCAGGCAAACGCGAGCAGACAGAAAACGCGCGCAGGCAAACGCGAGCAGGCAGAGAATGCGCGCAAGCAAATGCGAGTAGGCAGTAAAGGCGCACAGGCAGAGGAAGCGGATAGGCAGGAGGCGTGCGGATAAGAGGTGTATACTGAGAGATCTTGGAAAGGAAACACTTACAGAGAGAGGCGCTGCTCGGTGATGCCGAGTAGACGCGGTGGTGGAGTTGAGTTGGTTGTGATGGAGTTGGATAATGTGATGAAAGAGGGATAAGATGATTGATGGAAGAGGGATAAGATGATTGATGGAAGAGGGTAGTGCTGAGCAAAGACGACTACAATGAGAACCTACCGAGCAGCTGACTTGCAGTGCTGAGATAGTGTTGATCAAAAAAGAGAAGGCGTGGAAGGAAGAGGGGGAGGGGGGGAGACGCGCAAGCGCAGGGAATTATAGAGTGAGCTGTGCGAATGCGCCTTGGCGGGTGCGGACTATTGACTTGTTTGCGCCCTGCTTCACTACCATTATTCACCAGCTGGTCACTCACATATTTGCTCCGTCGTCTGCCAGCCCTCTTGGTATGCTCGTCTCGCCGTCTCGTATGTGATATCATTTTATTTACTACTCCGACAAAAGCTCTCAACCTATTCAGATCCCTCTCTCGAGCTATTGTGATACTGTCTGTCGATACTATGACCAGAGTGATGCTATGTGTCTGCAAGCAAGGCTCTGGAAAACACCCTCCTTGAACACGCTGACATACAACTCCAGCTACAACACGTATGGTTCTTGAGATATTAATATCGACGATCAAGGTTTCTCTTTTTCTTGTGCTTGAAGGAGAGGTGGACATGGAAAGAAAGTGAAGACGTCGCTACAGCCATAGAAATATATACAAGTACGTACCGTTGATACCATAAGCATCGACACCAACTCACCACAACCACTGAAGTGGAAGGGTCAAATTCATTGTGGTTACCATTGCCATTTTAGCTACGCTTTGTTTACATCCAAATGGTGTCGCGGTTGGACGCATGATGCGGAAGAATCATCGCTTGTCCTGACACCAGCTGAGGTTGATGGAGATGTTCGCACGGACCTTTCCAGAGGTCAAACAAACTCCACACAAAGCTGGGGAAATGCGATCCTTAGCAAAATTGCACAGTTTTTGTGTTGAGCAGTATGTATCAGACTCTGCCTCTTCCTTGTTAGCCTTTTCGGAGGCATTGACATTTCGTCCGCACTTTGTTACTCTCCCGGGATGCATGACCGGGCATTTGTTAGCCTCATAAATTCACCCTGCTTTGCTCAGAAGCTGCATGCCCATGGCTGAGGACACCACGCGTGTTGGATGCCGTCGACTGTGGCAGAACACTTGAACCTAGCCCCGGCATCGTGTTAACCATATCGAATACCATCCAAGCTGACATGCTCGATGAAGGTTATCAAATGAGAGACTTTGACGAACAAGTATTGTCAGAACTCGGGCGTTCGATATAGAGCACTAAGAGGCCAGGGTACTCCTCGTCACGGCCAGCTTCTTCATGTTGACAGAGGACAACTTAAACCGTCTTGATTTTGATCACGTCTGTATCTGAGGCCAGATGAATATCATGCTGGCTGGATTCGGCCGTAGTCGGAGATGCCACGTGTGGAAAAGTGGTGGGACGAGGATACTCGTCCTTGTAGGCAAAGAAGAGACCAGGACAAGATGGTTTGACAGGTATGAATGATCGATTGGTAGTTGAGACAGGGATGTTCGACTGGGTTTGATTTGGTCTGTAAGCTAACATTGTAGATACACGAGAAATTATTGCCTGGATGACAGCAATGGCACTGAGTATATCGATAGTGGCACCTCTTGAGCCTCTTGAAAATTCTGGAGAGAGACTCTTGGTAGAGTAGTCGTGTTGAAGACAAGTCTTCGTAGCCACGCGTCTCAAGAGCATCCGATCGTGCTTACACAAGCACCGACGACAAGGAGGTCAGCATCCAGATCTCCATCTCATTGTAGTTGATACAGGAGACATAAGCACCCAGTCTGCACTGTAATTCCGCCCTCCGATTTCTGTCTTAGGTCAGCCCTCGTTCTCGTCGGCACGATCACCAAAAAGCCAGGCCTAGAGGGATGTTCTCATTGTGACTGCTCGTCGCATAACTGCGGCTTATCTAGCTCAGGTCAGTGGTCCACGCGGAGAGTGACTAGGACAGGTTAATGCTGGTCAATTTTTTTTGACTGTCTGAGGGATGAAGCAATTCAAATCTTCCATGACCGCTCTACTACCACAGAATGTGGATAGTGGTTTAGATATGCTGGACTAGGACGATAAAAGTGAAAGATGACGTCGGAAGTGGATGCTTCCCTATATGCAAGTCTGTCCTCTACTTCTGCACTCATAAGTCCCATTATTGGTTGGCTCGGCTCTCGATGAAGCAACGCTCGATTGAAGGAAACACTGAGCCTTTGTCGCTCTTCAGTAGCGCTGCAGAGGGAAGAGCGTGATGGAAAGCAATTCAAAGAGACAACGTATTTAAGACTGAGAATTGGTAGAACGAAACATGATAAGAACTGAACAGGCAAGGGGGCTTTTGTGAAAAGTTCTACACAGCGTGTATCCACAGTGCATCTTGTTTATACTCGGATTCACAATAAGTTGTGACTTCACAATTGACGGATTACCCTGAAAGAAAGAACTTCGTGGTGAGCATGGTGTGAAAAATGATGACACGATGAACTGAAAGAGAGATCGGGGAATCAAGGTGAACAAAGACGGCGGAGGCCGGGGCGGCGATGAAGAAGAGGAGCCGAGCACAACCGGTTGCCTTTGAACCGATTGTAGGTAGTGTGCACTAAAGCCAGGTGGCTGGACTACTTTGTGACAAGGCCAGCAAATATACAAACGTATGGACGAAAGGGATGTTGGGTAGATTAGAGAGGGCACCAAGACGATGTGTGTGCTGGATATACGAGTGCGCATGTGAAGAAGGATGATGCACATTGGGAGGGAGAAGTGACGTTCTGGTTCCTTGGCGAAGACACTGACGGCTGGCAAAATTGGACTGGCTTCGCGTTCGGCCGGCACTGAAAGGCCCTGAGTGCTGGGAGTCGCAGGCTTCAATCCTTGACACCACTCAACCACCCCCTCCACCCTCTTCTTTTTCCCTTTGAGGAGCGACGTTGCAGCTCGGAAACCTCTCGTTTCCCTGATCAAGTCTCTTGGGAACAGTTTGTGCACAAGCCTCGACGGCCAGGCCTCTCATAACCCCATCGCCCACGTCGCAAGCCATCGCTGTTGACGGCCTCACTCGACACAAAGGTTCTATCGTCCGAGTTTGCGAGCTTTTTGATAAGTCCTCGCTGCTCACCTCTTTCGTCGCAAATTACCTACACCATCTGCTGCCTGCTACACTCGACCATTTCCTACCCGACCATCTCGCATACCGTCCACGTCAGCCATCGTCCACTCCACGCGTCGCACATCTAGGCCTGTCCTGTCGCGCATGCAACTGAGCCTTTGAAGAAGCGTGGGCTCAAGCCTCTCTACGCTTCGCCATCGGCGCGAAGTAATCGGTGCGCGATACCACACTCTCTTGCCCATCGTCCTCCCTTGCTGACTCACTACAGGGTGTGTGTCCACACTCGATCCTCGACAACCCCGCGGTCATGCCGTCCTTCTACCCCCGTCAACTCCCTCCAACCCCTCCTGAGTTCATCCCCTCCAGCTGCCAGCGCATGCAGTACCCTCAAGACTCCTACCGCACCTGCGAGTCCCGTCAGGATGCCGCCTATGACTACTCTAGAGCATACTCGCAGCCTAGCCTGCAGCGCAACGCCATTCTTCCTCCCATCAACAACTACTACGAGTCAGCCAGCGCACCCATCCTGCCCCCTTTGAGAATGCAGGAGCGTCTGAGCGTTGAGGATGATTATCGCCTTCGCCTGCAGCAGGAGCAGGAGCAGCGCAACCAAGCCGCGCAACAACTGCAGCAGCAGCAGCAGCAGCAGCAGCAGCAACAACAACAGCAGGCACAGCAACAAGCGCAGCAATCGACACAGAAGGAAGACAAAGCAACAGGCGGAGTATCGGCCAAGCTCGACTACGAAATGGAACGCATGACGAACTTTGTGGCCGAATCGGCGTCGGGAATGTATGCTCTCCATCTGTCCCCCATCTGCCTTGCAGATATTGACATCTGTCGAAGCATCCAGCCTAGTGTCCCCATCCAGCCCTCGTTCCGCAAATGGGTCTCGCAGGTCCTGTCAGCCACCAGACTACCCTCGGCCACCATCCTTCTCAGTCTCCACTACTTGACCGTCCGTCTGCGCGACTACCCTCCGAGGACCACCTCTTCGTCCGAAAACCACATCTACCGCCTCCTCGCCGTCGCCCTAATCCTGGGTAGCAAGTTCCTCGACGACAACACCTTCATCAACCGCTCGTGGTCCGATGTCACTGGCATCAGAGTTTCCGAACTCAATAACCTTGAGATGGAGTGGCTCGCCCTCATCTCCTTTGACCTGCACTGCGATCCTACTGACCCTGCTGGTCTGGCCAGCTGGCTGCGTGCCTGGAACGACTACGATGCTCAGGCCATCAGTCGTTCGCGCACCACTCGCCTGTCACCCTTGAACACCAACGTCCAGCGCCAGTCACCTCGCACTTCGCGTTCTCCGTTCCAGCCGCAATACAAGGGCAGCTTTGCCGACTTCACTCCCCAATCGTCAAGGCCTTCTTCTACCTACTCCGGTACACCTTACACTTCAGCTGACCCTTGGAACCGCCCCGAGCCAACCAATTCTGTCGAGGCTTTCTACAACACTCAGCACCGCTACCCGACATTAGACGAACTGGACCACTCCAACAGTCTTGCTGCCTTGGAGCAGGCTCGTAGATCCACTGCCTACGGTAATTGTGCTCTGCCTCTACCTCCCGCTCTGGCTTCGTCTTACTATTCGCCCTGGAACCAGTCCACGTGGGGAAGCTCTCACCCCCCTGGATGTAATTGTATGACATGTGCCCGCCAGTACATGCCTTTCATGGGTGCTTCCGCATATCCTGCCCAGACTGTTGTTGGTTGATCGGGCAAGTGCCCACTCCAATACGATCACCCAACTCAGCATTGTGGATTCCAAGAATGACCCACCTGGCACCAACTGATCCAACCCGATTTCTATTCAACATTGTTCGAAAAGTTCTATTCTTTGCCGCACTCCAGCATATTTCGAACCACCAAAAAAGTTTTTGATCGCATGCCACCATCGCTACAAAAAAAATCTCTTCTTTTAGCGTTTCTTCAACTGTTCATACTTCATTCCTCCTTTGTCTGTCGATCCTGGGACAGACAGCACAGCTTTCCGTTACGATGCTCATCATATTTCTTTTCCCTATTTTCAGCGCAGCCACAATATGCGCAGCTAGAGTTCTTTTTCTTTTAAATGGGTTCCCTCTACACCTATAGACTATTCTATAGGTCTGGGATCGCGATTCTGGTATGCGTTTCCTATGGCGTTTGTTTTGGCCTCATCTTCGTTACTTTATCTGCGGGTGGATCATCTTGCAGTCTTGCACACTTAACGCCCCTCTTGTTATCGTTCTCGTTTTTCTCTTCTACTACGACTGCAGCGAAATTGGCTGGGCAGGCATGCGCTGTGCCCTGCGTTCTGTCGCTCTTGCCGGTTTTGCTTGACCTGATCACCTGCCTTGATGTCTGCTGCTGGGATTTTCATTCTTTTGCCTATTCAAAATACACAAAAAACATTCTGAGCTTGGCTCATACTTTGCCAGAATCTTTGGCCCTCAAACATGTATCTCATTCCTCTGCCCATTGGTGCTTGTGCTTTATCTGGACTGGCACCCAAGTCGCACTCCTATGGTCCGAGATCCAACAGCCGCTGGTCCGTTTGAATCTGGCGATCTCGAATCGGTTTCGGAGTTACCTCCATCCTTGAGTGCTGAGAAACAATGTATATCCTGTTGTGCTATCTGCGCCTGTATCTCAAAACTCGCGGGACCTGACCCGAAAGAAATACAATTCCCCACCAGGTGGCCTTCCTTGCTCCAGGGGCTCAATCGAGTTTGCACGTCATGCGATGTTGCATCCATAGCTCGGTTTTTAATTTTGCCTATACCGCAGCATCCATGCTAGTACACCGTGGTTTCAAAGCGCCCTCTCGTGGACTACTTTCGAGGGCGACCATTACATCCAAACTCTGGTAAGAGACTGTCTTCCCCTGCGAGAGGTTATCTTAGGTGTATTAAGCTCTGGAACGCATTTTTCCAGTCCCGACGCGCCGATAGATGAGGTCGTGGTCTAACTCAGCCATCGGAACAATTGACAAAGTCGCCGTGGAAAGGTAAGAAACTAGGCTGATTCGTAGAGCTTCCACCGACAAATGGTCGTTTTTATCTTGTGTGATGATTCTTCACGCATGTTTCCTCTAGAGGCCTCACATGTCGTTCATGCAGACATCGCTCACCCAAAAGTTCTCGATTGAAAACATTGTTTGCCATTGAAGAGGCGTGCACGTCAACTTCCAATAATTATGACACAAATTCAGAGCCATACTTGTAAAAACTTTCGGTCCAAGGCGCTAAAGAAAATGCTGTAGAAAGGCACAGTACTGTTCGAAACGTATGGTAGATTTTAGGAGAGTTATGGATGTCAAGACTCTCTTTGGTCGCAGTCTGTATACAGAAATGTTTGTGCCTTTCTACAGCATGTACATCGCATTGATCCGCGATCGGAGAAGAACGTTGTCAGTTAGAATGTGGGCAAGTACTATATTGATGAAGCATTTTATACACTCCCGGCGCAAGAGATCGAAGAAAGGAAGCTGTGGAAAGGCAAAGTACTTTGTGAGAACTATGATATCTCCTTCGAGAGCCGCGAACATGGATTATCTCTCTAGCCATAGCCTGATCAATATACTGTCTCTGCCTTTCTACAGCGTACAAATCACAGTGAGTCACGGTCGGAGAGGATGATTGTGGAAACGAAAATAGGGGCAAGTCATGATGTAGCAAAAAGTTTTATTGTGTCTAATTAAGCAGTCCCAAACGCCATCCCAAATTTGCAATATCAGTCATCGCGCTATCCAGCAGGCGATTGTAACCTTTGTTCAAGAACGCCAAAAGAAAATCCATTTCATTCTGTTGTTCTATGCAATGCGTGTATGGTGTATGGTGTGTAGTGTAAGGGAAATGTGAGGGGGATGTGGAGGGGGATATGGAGGGGGACGTGGACGGCGTAAGGGTGAGGGCGTAACAAAAAGCCGGTAAGAGTTGCCAAAGTGAGCATCAGAGTAAGAGAGTAGTCTGCTTAACGACCCCAAACCTTGTTGTCCCTGGTAATAAGCGCGTACACATTAAGCAAACCATGAATGTACGAAAAAATTATCATACCAGGGATGAACTTGATGTCTTGAGGGAATTCGCAGAAATGAGGGATGATCTTGACAATCTTGGCGAAGAGGATCCAAAGGGCAAGGACGATGACAGCAGTGTTGCGAGTTACATCGTCGTAGGAGGACATACCGCGATAGAGGAAAGCCAGGAGAGATCCATCAATGAGGAAGGCAGGGGTCTGGAACTGGCCGATGTAGATAGCGTAAAGACTCCAGATGTGAGTATCGTACCAATAAGTTGTAGTTTGCATGACGCGGAAGTTACCTCTCCAATGACCACGAGCCCAGCGCATGCACTGATTGAGGAACATCTTGGGTTCAGTCTCGAGAGTTGTCATGATACGAGCTTTAGGATCAAATTGAAGAGTGATCTGAAAACCCTGGTCATAAACCCATCTAGTCAGGTTCTTGTCGTCATCGTGATTGGCTGCATTCAAAAAGTAAGATGTGAAGGCTTCGGTTTGAATGAGCGAGGCGCGGTAGAAGCTGGTACGACCAGATAGGGTAGAAACAGCGCCGTCAATGCGGTTGGTAGCACCGGTATTGAAGTTACGGCGCTCAAGGTAGCAAATACCCAAAAAATTCCAAAAACTGGTGGGTTTCTTAGGACCGGTAGAGCGGCATACACGTTGCGATGGGCCGCAGGCGCCAACAAGTGGGTCGTTGAAACAAGCAAGCATGGTCTCCAAGAAAGCATCTTTGGGCCAGAAGACATCATCATCAGCAAAAGCGACAATTGAACCAGTTACAGCTTGTTGAAGAGCGGCGACCATCTGAGTTCTCTTGTTGAAGATGTCGACACCAACGAATTGAACCATGCTCAGATCTTCACTCGGAGATTCAGCAGTAGCCGTGATCTCATTACAAGCAGCCTTGACCTGATCAACAAGGTCCTTCTTGGTGACGATGATCAGTTGATGAGGGTTGCAAGTACGAGCGCGCTTGACACAAGCCATGACCTCGTCCTTGTCCTTAAAAACGGTAGGGATGACAACGGAGACATCGCTAGGCGTGAATGAAGGGTTGGACAAGACAGGGTGACCTTTAAGATTGGCGAAGGCGATGAGATTGACGACCAGGCGGAGGTAGCGGAACACACTAAGCAGGAAGAAAGTTAGCATGTAAGGGTTGGAGAACTTGTCAGAAATGCCAAAGACAAACAAAGCGATCGAGAAGGCGATCATTGAGTAGGTCTTCTTGGGGTTGTTCTTCAGGAAAGGCTTGGTGTAGGGCTTGAGGGTGTTGACAAGGGAGCTAGGGCCTGCAGTCAGCATACTGTAAACAGCGTTGAGGATGTTTTGGATCATGAAGATGATCGAGAGGATGGTGAAAATGAGCATCTTAGTTATGAAACGAGCCAGTCGTTTTTGTGTGTTTTTGTGTTTTGGTTTGGGAAGGCTGTGATTGCCGTTGTGTTTTTGTGTTTGTGTTTTGATCTGAGAGAAGGATACAGGGAGGATGCCTCGAGGGCTATATAGTGAAATAGAGAAACGAGAGTGAAGGAACTACCTTGTCTACGTGCACAAAGAGCGTCTTGCTTAGTCGGGCCCTGATGAAAGAATTGTAGTGTAATCAATCGACTAGCGGAATGGGCACAAAGACTGGACAAGAGACGCGAAAGGGAGCTCGCGGAGTGTGAATGAAGCTGATGTCGCCTTGAAAGGTGGCACAAGTGATAATGAGACATAACATACGAGTGAAAGGACAACAAAGCTGCTGTGGGAAGCCTCTGGACAAGTTCTGAATGAAATGTGACAGGGACCTGAAAGAAACGTGAGATGAACTGAAAGAAACGATCCACCTCTCAGTGCAAGCTCACCGATTCGGCCTGTTTACTTGCCTTTCCACAGCGACTTTGACGGATGGGTGAACGACTGAATTGACTTTCAGCAGGGATTGATCCCACAGTGTGTTACGTTACGGCGACAGTATTTTGGCCGAGAGTCACCTTCCACTATGGCTGATATGGAGATAAGATTCTCAGGATTTGGAATATACCTCGCATGGAGGTCTTAGCATTGACAGCTAGACAATCGAGAGTTTCTAGCGACAACGTGAGGCACGTAGGTAAGTCTGGGTGAACATTCTGTGTTACCGACCTGAACCCTGGCTGCGCAGACAGAGCTAGCACACATGAATATGAAGGAAGTGGTGTCACGGAACCAGAATGGAAAAAGTCGTGATGGAAGACGTACTTCGCAAGTCAGACAAGGTAAGTCGGAGAGCCAGGATGATTCGGTGTCAAATTCATGCCGGCTTGACATCGTCTAACATATGGCGAGTCGAACGACGTGAGACGAGATCACGCCGTCTTTGGACATGGAGTCTTTCAATCGAAGAGTTCTCCAACTCCTGACTTCAGAGAGCAAGACTTCACAGATAGCTGTCATATGTCGTCCACCTTGATTGCACTTCCTTCATCGATTTTCCTTAGGATCTGATGTGCTTGCCATGTATTTACGATGTTCGTTCAGCGTGTCCATATGCCGGGGATATTTCTTCACATATCGGTAGTCGAGTTGAATGATTTCGATTCACGATCGACCTTCTCTTGTTGCGCTTTTTGAGATAGTTTAGATCAATGTTGCCATCAACGGTCTTTAATCGGGGTCTGTAGTTGACAGTACTAGCCTGCCAAGTCTTACGAAGTTTGCCCGTGCTTGTTCTGGGAGCATTGGAAAGACAAACTTTCGCAACAATGCCTCCTAAGATTTCTTCTGTACGTACGTACACTGTCTTTGTCTCATTGTGTGCGTGACTGTAGGTGCTTGTCGTATGCTCACCCAGTTGAAACAACTTGCTTTTCCTGGATGGAGCAGCTGCGCCATGGCGTGTTCGTAGTTGCCCATATATCCATCATCGCATTGCGCGTACTCGAAGCGTTGAACATCAGCTGCATCGACTGCGGAGTCCGGGATCACGTCAACGCCAGAGCCATGGTATGTATCGGTGGGGGAGAAGAACAGTCGCTTGGTGCGGGACGCATCTACCAATCACTCATGGACCTCGAAGCGGTGTAGCATTCGATAGGTGCGGTGTGGGCCCGAAAGCTGTAAGCCTGTTCAATTATCAGGTGCCTTAGTGGCCCTGATTGGAGTATCTTTATGCGCTGTCGGAGCGGCGTGCAGCCCGCAATTTGTCTGGTTGGCCATCACCGGTCAATTCATTCGAAATGCGTGGGCATTTATGGGTCGACATTCGATACTGCTTGCATGTCCTGCTAAGGTAAATGCTTTGTAGCAGAGGCAAAACAGACATGGACAGGCCACCTCTCTAGATTACACGTCGCTTGGAGCCGTAGTTTGTATGACTTAAGACTGATCCGACGCCCAGGACCCAGGAATTGTCTTGCTTGATTCTTTGTCTTACTAGTGCTGCTCCCGGCCAAAACGAGCATCACTTGCAATAAATAGCGTCTTCTGGTCTGCACTTTACGCCGCTCAAGTCGGTCTCCAGTTGACAGACGAACATCCTGCACACATAACAGGTGCTGACATCAAATCCTGAAGACGGGAAGCGGCATATCATATCGGCTGTGCCTAAGCGAGAAGATCACGAACGCCAGATGGCTCCAAAATTGTTGGTCGTTCACGTTCTACACTGGATCACACCTATCGCGATCGGTACAACTTTCGGTATCGGGCGGCTCGTTGCATTTTGCAAACTTCAGAGACCATCTCGGTGTTCTCGTGGCTCGGCGAAAAGTAGACAATTCGTTTCTGTGACATTGTCGGTAGCTGTTCTGCTGCTATTTGTATGTGACTTGGCACGTTCCACCAGTTCCCACTGACGCTCTCGAGATCGCTCAAGCTTTAGGATATGCCCTCGATCAATTCCAAGGACTGAATCAGCGCGATGTAACACAGGATATTCAAGTGAGCACTGGCTAGACAAGTTTTATCTCACACGCTGATCATCTCGATCAGGTTTACGTTGGCGGATCTATATTCATCTGGGGGACCGTGGCTGTTCATCTTTTGGGCAAGTCCAAGCGGATATGGCATCCATATGTTGCAGCATGGATCATGGGCACATTTCTCGAGGCTTGCGTGTTCTCCACTGGGCATTCCTCTGAAGCTGGTAACCTCCACTCCGGTCTGGATTCTGCTCTACATATTTGCCGTATTGTTTGCCTATCAGCTCTTGCTTGCAGTGGACTATGCTTCTCCGTCGGCCGTCAGCTGCTTCAACCTAGAGCAGATGAAGAACATCGACCTTTGCTCATATCCGGAGTGAACGAGGGTCATGCTACAATTGTGTCGGATCATGACGATGAGGACGATGAGCACTGTCCAGTCATCGAAGGAGAAGATGGCGAACCCGATCGAACAAAAGAGTTGAAAGAGAAACAAAGGAAACGCTTACAGGAGTGTGGAAGTTGGATGGCGTATTTGAAGGATTTCAAGCTGCTCGCGAAGCTTGCTTGGCCTTCTGGAGATGGGTCCGCTAAGATGTGTTTGACCATCCTGTTTATGGTTATTCTTGCTGACAGGGCACTGAATCTCTTGGTCCCTAGACAACTGGGCATTATCACCGACAAGCTCTGGTCTGCACACGAGACTGGTAAGATGCTCTGTAGTCTGAGACAAGATCGACGCTGACGACACCAAGGGGAAATTCCTATCAAGGAGATCGGACTTTGGATGCTCTATGTATGGCTTAATTCGTATGCTGGTCTCCACGCAATCACACAGTTTTGTCAGCTCCCGATCGAACAATACGCCTATCGAAAGATCGGAACGACTGCTTTTGGTCACATCATGAATCTCTCAATGGATTTTCAAAGCAACAAGCATTCAGGAGAGCTGATGGCGGCTATCGGACAAGGCCAACATCTATATCGACTGTGCGAATTCGTATTCCTTGATGTAGGTCCCATGATCTTCGACCTTGTCATAGCACTTGTTTACGTCACTCTCCTCTTCGATGCTAGCATAACTTTGATCATGATCATGGTCGGAGTTGGCTATACCTGCGTTGGGACCAAGACCACATCTTGGGCCATGCAGCGACGAAGACGGTACAATCAGGCCCAACGTAACGAGTCCAAGGTTCAAAACGAGAGCATCGGAAATTGGCAAACCGTGGCGTATTTCAATATGGCCGACCATGAGTGTAGCCAGTATTCGAAGGCTGTCGATGAGCACAATGTCGCGAGAAGTCGCTATTACATGGTGCACTACGCAGGGTACGCCGCGCAGAATCTGATTCTCCTACTTGGTCAGCTCTCTGCTGCTTTGCTGGCAGCATATCGCGTATCTCGCGGGGCAGCGCCAGTTGGTAACTTCATCACATTGGTGACGTACTGGAATACTATCGAAGCTCCGTTGACCAGCGTATCTTTCTCTGTCAGGCAACTGTCCCAGATGCTCATCGACTCAGAACGGTTGTTGGAACTCTTGCGTACACAGCCTAGTGTTACCGACCGCTCCGGTGCAAAACCTCTGCATTTCAAGCAAGGCAGGATCGAGTTTGATAACGTCAGATTTGCTTATGATGTACGCAAAACCTCGCTTGATGACGTTTCCTTTGTTGCAGAGGCTGGCAAGACGATCGCACTTGTCGGAGAAACAGGTGGTGGGAAGTCGACGATCTTGAAATTGCTCTTTCGCTATTACGATGTGTCGAGTGGTAGTATCAAGATTGATGGTCAAGACATTCGAAATGTCACTTTGAACAGTCTTCGTGCTGCTTTCGGAGTGGTACCTCAAGACCCATCTCTGTTCAACGCCAGTATCATGGAAAACGTCCGCTACGCTCGACTAGAAGCCAGTGATGAAGAAGTAAAGGAGGCTTGTCGAGCTGCAGCGGTACATGATCGCATCATCTCGTTTCCCGACGGCTATCAATCTACAGTTGGTGAGCGCGGTGTCAAACTGAGCGGTGGCGAACTCCAGCGGATTGCTATTGCTAGAGCTATGCTGCGCAATCCTCGTATCGTGTTATTGGATGAAGCAACAAGCATGGTGGATGCCGAGACGGAAGCCGCGATCCAGAAGGCCTTCCAACGACTGACCAGAGATAGAACAACGTTTGTCGTGGCTCACAGACTATCGACTATTCAGGATGCGGATCTGATCCTTGTTGTACAGAATGGGCAGATCATCGAGAGAGGTACTCACGAGCAGCTGTACACTCTCGACGGCAAATACACCCGACTTTGGTCAAAACAGTTGTCAAAGCAGACAGCACAGATCTGAATAATGTCGCATTGCTTGATTGTCGTGTGCAAGACCGCTGTTGGTAAAATTAATAGCAAGCGTGTGATACCCTATCAGGCGGCTGTGGGCTGGGCTTTTCGGTATTTCTAATCGTTCAAAAGTTAATTGAAGGGAGAGGTTGGTTACTTGCTTGCTTGTCGGATCACACAGCGAGTCCTGTCTCTCTGCCAAAAGAGTCATGGTTCTGCGAGGTTACCCTGCAAGCTCGAATCCAGTATTCGATTAGTATGTATGACATTGCCAGTGAAAATGCTTCTATCACGCTGTGAAATGATGTCGCGGTTAAGCGAACTTATGAAGAGTCGAGGAAAGTGGGATGATGTCGTATCTCGTGCACAGACTTCTAGGGGCATCAAAGTGCATTTTCCCGAGCGTGGAGACATGCTCGCGTAGGTGAAGCATGAAGACTGCGAGCGAGCAACTGAGAGGGCGGTGGAATGTATAGAACGATGTATCTCAAGATGTCGCACAGTGAAACAGGATTGGAAGGTTTGAAGTGAAGGAGCGAGTGCGAGGAAGGAGTGCGAAGGACCCCGCAGTGAGCTAGCTCCAGCCTCCACACGCAATGAAGCCCCAGGCTGGATAATTAGAGCGGACGATATATATCATCCGGTGTCCACATTTTGTCTGCTCGTCCCACCTCTCTACCCACAACAATAACAATGGCAGGAAACGTACCCGTCACCCAGTCGCTGGACGACATCTACCCTCAGGATGCTCTCGAGGGCCAACGCAAGAGGTGGAACAGGCTGCTTTCTGCATTCAAGGATAGCTATGGCCGGCCCGCCGAGTTCGTGTCACGCAGTCCCGGTCGCGTCAACCTGATCGGTGAACACATCGACTACTCGCTCTATGAGGTTATCCCAATGGCCGTCACGGCCGATGTGCTACTCGCCGTAGCCGTATCTCCCGCTAGCGCCTCGCCTACCGTTCGCATCGCCAACGTCCAGTCGGACAAGTTCGCTACCCGTTCCTTCACTCTCGCCAGTGATGGAGAGGTCGACATTGATGCAAAATCACACGAATGGACAAACTACTTCAAGTCTGGTCTCCGTGGTGCCACCGAGCTGCTCAAGAAGCACGGCGTCTCCAACATTGGCAAGCTGAACATTGACATTCTGGCCGATGGCACTGTCCCTGCAGGAGGCGGTCTGTCCAGCAGTGCCGCCTTTGTCTGCGCCAGTGCCTTGGCTGTCCTAAGAGCCCATGGTCAAGAGACGGTCAACAAGAAGGAGCTTGTCGAGCTGGCCGTCGTTTCCGAGAGAGCCGTTGGTGTCAACTCTGGTGGTATGGACCAGGCTGCTTCTGTCTTCTCCGAGAGAGGCTCGGCTCTGTACGTTGGCTTCCAGCCAGAACTCTCTGCCCGTACCATTGAATTCCCCAAGACCCACACTCCTTTGACCTTCGTCATTGCTCAATCCTTTGTTGCCGCCGACAAACACGTCACCGCTCCCGTCTGTTACAACCTCCGCGTCGTCGAATGCACATTGGCCGCTCGTGTGCTGGCCAGCATCTGTGGTCTCAAGAATCTACCAGAGGACTCGTCTCCCCTAGGCTTCAGTCTTCGCTCCTTCCACGACAGCTACTTCAAGAAGAAGGGTGCTGTCGGAGATGATGTTAAGGACTTCAGATCCCAACTCGACCAACTCATTCACATTGTCGACAACTACTTGGCACAAGAAGAAGGTTACACACGCGAGCAAATCTCGGAGCTGATGGGTACCTCCGTGGACGAACTCGAGAAGAAATACATGACCAAGTTCCCCGTACGTGCCGACACATTCAAGCTCAGACAGAGAGCCATGCACGTTTTCGGCGAGGCTGTGCGCGTGCTCAAGTTCATGGACTTGCTACAGTCGCCCACTCCATCTGACGACAAGGAGAGCGAGGACCTTCTTAAGAGTTTGGGAGGCCTCTTGAACGATACACAGGAGTCATGCCGCGATATCTACGAATGCTCATGTCCCGAACTCGACGAGCTTTGTCAGCTTGCTCGTTCGGCTGGCGCATATGGCAGCAGATTGACAGGCGCCGGATGGGGTGGCTGCAGTGTGCATCTTGTGCCTCAGGCCAAGGTCGAGGCTGTCAAGAAGGCCTGGGAGGAAAAGTACTACAACAAGCGATTCCCCGACATGGACGCCGCACGGCTGCAAGACGCCATTGTCGTCAGCAAGCCTGGCAGCGGAAGCACTCTCTTCCAGGTTGCCGACAGAGAGAGTCTTTAGATTATGGATGGATGGACTGCGAGCATCACTTCGATACCATTGCTGCAATTTGCTTCCTCGTGTATAATAGACACTGTTGCGCATTCTTGAATTCAGAGAAACCGCACGTCGGTCATTTACAGCCGTTTGTGATGTTATCTTACAATGGGACCTGAGATCCAGGAAGACCAGGCATGCCGTCTAGACCACCGACCTTCTCCAGCAGCTCCCTAAAATCGACGCCGTGCTTCTCAAACTCTTGCTGCACCTTCTTGTATGTCTCGACTTGACGCTCTGAAGTGAAACCGCCAGGGCGACTGCTCTCGTACTGGACAATTTCGATCCAGCGGAAAAACAGGCTCTCCTTGCCCATGACTGTCAAGCGATCTTTAAGAGCAACGATTTTCTTCCTGTTTTCCTCTTCCGAGCCCTCTTCATCCAGTTTGTGCACCGGCCAGTATAGCCATCCATGTTGTTCACTGTACGCGAGTACACTCTTTTCAAAATCTTGTAGACTGTTCTTCTTCTCGTCGATGAGGCCGTGGGCAAAGATCATTGCACCAAAATCCAAGTCCCAATCCTTGCCCATCATAAGGTATGCCGTCTTCTGGCGCATGAAGTTGCGATCGATCGCTGGAAGAATACGTGTCGAGAAGAACGGACTGTCTCCTCCAGTCTTGACACCTGCCAAAAGCTCCTCAGCACCCCAGTCCCGACTGATGCGGACAGCGACTTCTTGGTCCTGGAAGCCGACCTTGATGCGCCAGTAGCACGGATTGGCGGGAGCCTCTAGGAAGAAGGTGACGGGCCATGGTAGGATGAAGCGACCGAGGACAAAGTCAAACATGAACATGGCCACACGCTTGGTCAAGACCCATGCCAGATGAGACTTGGTCTTGCTGGTTGTGTCAATCGTCGCGGGCGAATCGAGGCCAATGACCGAGGTGAAGATCGCCAGGTAGGTCGGTAGAATGGCGCAGATTCGCCATATTAGTAGCGCTGCAATGGCGACATTGAGCAGTACGGGGACTGTGAAGATGCGCTTCTTGAACGCTGCAGGAAAGCGGTCGACATGCACAATGTAGACGTGGGCTTTGTCCAGAGTTTCGACAAAGGGTTCGAGGGCTGTAGGCGCTTTTGTAAAAGGCGGTGGCGGTAATCGCGGATCTTGCAGAGGCTTGATCGCCTTTTTTGCCGCCGTGCGTGCCATTGCAGGTCGTTGGTGTTGCGCGGTAGTTTAGCAGATGGATGATAATTGTTAGCTGTAACGACCATGCCGCAGCTTACTAAGTTCGGAAACCCCCACCAAGCTGTTGCAACTCCTCCAGATGCTTCCAGAGGTCTGATCAGTCTCCCGACGTGTACTATCCCACTAATCGATCATTGAAGTACTTAGAGTAGACACTCATACAATGTCAAGGACAAAGACACAGCACACAACCAGACAAATCACCGAAGCCAACCGTGCCAGAAATTTCAATTCTTTTCTGATGATGCCGCAGAATCGCTTGAAATGCGATGGACGAGAGATGAACAGGCCATAGAACAGAAAGAAAATCTTGTCATAGAGTACAATGTTCCCCTCCCAATGGCGAACCTGCCGCTCATGAATAAAAACGCCTTGGTTTAGTGACCGCCGTAGTTTCCACCCCAGCCACCACGTGCTCCGTAGTAAGAGTTTCCAAAACCGCTACCGTAACCGCCGTAGCCACCCTGTTGCTGCTGCTGCTGCTGCTGTTGCTGCTGATGACCCTGTCCGCCGAGTCCACCGAGACCGTACTGACTGTTAAAGCCGGGGTATCCGCCGAAGCCAGCCTGGTGGCTCTGAGGAGGAGGCAACGTAGTCGAAGGGGTCTGTCCACCGACGCTGTTGGCAGCCGAGCTGGGTCTGCCGGGTTGACCGAGACCTGGGGATGGACCGCCGGTCTTTGACTCTCCGAAGGGCTTCAGGTCATCGGCCTGGCCACTGGTCTGCTGCTGGCCATAGCCTTGGGTTTGGCCCTGGTAGCCAGACTGGCTGCGACCGAAAGGTTCCGACATACCGCCAAAGCCGCTGCTAAGGTTTGAAGGCTGGGCAGCAGAACGACCGTAGTCGCCGAGGCCGCTGCTGATTCCAGTGTCACGAGACTGCATTGAAGGCTGTGCGCTGTATCCGCTGGCGTTTGCGGGTGATGCCGAGTGTTCGTACGAGGAAGCAGAGTTCATGCCGTAACCGTGGGGCTGGCCATACATGGCACCCTTGCCACCGAACGGACTGCCGTAGGCGGGCTGTTGGTAGCCAAACTGGTTCTGGTAAGCCGCGTGATAAGGGCTCTGGTAGTAAGGATGTCCGTATGGGTAGGCAGGGTTGTACTGGGAATGGGGCTGCTGGTGCATAGCCGCGCTAGGAGCGGCAGAGGGAATTTGGCTATTGGTAGGAGCAGGTGTGTTGTGACCTGATCCCGGAGCCTCACCATAGCGAGACTGAGACAGCGAATGAGGATCGTGCTCTTTGGAATACAAGGACGGAGCATTACTAACCTGTTGAGGAGCTTGGGAGGCAGAATATGCCGAGTCGCTAGGGGCAGATCCAAAGCCACTGCTTGAACGCTGTTGGTGTGCAGTATTGTCCTGAGATTGGGAGGCCTGTTGGCCGTAGGAGCCGCCGTAGTAGCTCTGGTAAGCATTTCTCTGTTGGTCGGCAGTGTAGTATTGGGAGTAGTCGGAAGGAGCAGAGGAGAAGGCGGCGAATGGCTGGTGCTGTTGAGCCGAGTGTTGGCTTGCGTAGTGGTCATAGGCAGTAGAAGGAGCCTGATGGCTGAAAGGATCGAATGACTTTTGAGACTGGGCGCTCATGTCGGGCTGTTGCATACCACTCTGACCGTAACGGCTGTACTGGCCATAGGCATGGGACTGCGCTGATTCTTGAGGTATGGATCCAATATGCGAAGCATCCTGGTGGCCACCGTAAGATTGCTGAGGGACGGGAGGAAGTCCAGGAGCCTGCTTGGGAGTGGGGACGGTGTCGTGGTGAATTGAGGGCTCTTGAGTAAGAGAAGGCTGTCTAGGGGCAGGAGGCAGCGAGGCTCTGGGCTGGGAAGGAGGAGATTGCTGAGGGGGCTGGGTGCGTGTCTCGGGCTCCTCTCTCTCCTCATCGACGTCGAGGCTGTCGGGCTCACCATTCAAGCCCATGCTACCGAACTGGACAGCGGCTCTGTCAACTGCGTTGTGACCAGGCATGACAACAGCCTCTTGCTGCTCGAGCACTCTACGCTGGTAGCTTGAGTTGCGGCCAGGTGTGCCTGCGGCTCTGTATGCGCTGGCTGCGTAGCCACCCATGGGAGGACGACCGATGGGAGCTTGTTGGGAAGTTGCGGGAGTGGCCACGCGAGGATCGATCGAGCCAACGGTGCTAGCAACAGTCTGGGTCGCGGGCTTGACTGAAGTATCGGGAAGATGCTCAAGGTTATCCTCGGTGAGAGGAGCGTGTGAAGATGACAGATCGGTCTCGGAGGCCAGAGCAGAGGGCTCAGTAGCTGCGGGTGAAGGCTCGGAGATAATAGGAGCTGTCTCGGTTTGTTCGATCTCTGTGGGCTGTTCCTCAATGGCTGTTGGCACAGTGTCTAGCTCGGGTTGCTGCGCGGGTTCTGTAGTGGTCTCCTGAAGGACAACAGATGGAGGCTCTGTCTGCTCGGACTGCTCTACAACAGCGGGTGTGGACTCGACGGCGGCGGCAGGGACTGCAGCTTGGGCAGGCTGCTGCGGAACGGCAGGTACAGGTGGAGGCTTGGGCTTGGCAAACATACTGGCCCATGTCTTCTTGCCCGAACTTTCAGACACTGCGACGGTCTTTGCGACATCATGAACAGGAACTGGAGCGGAGTCGGTGGTGGTGGCATTGCCCCATGCGCCTTGTTCGGTAGCGGCCGGGGTGTCCCAGGCGAGCGCAGGGGCAGCTTCGGCGGCGACGTTGTCCCAAGCAGAGGACTCTGTGGTAGGAATAGAGACGGCGGGGGCGTCCTTGGGTAAAGAGTCGGTAGCGACGGCATGACCACCGCGGGCGCCACGGAAGCCTCCACGGCCGCGATCGATGCCGCGACCTCTGCCACCTCTGGAGCTCTCGAAGCCACCTCTTCCACGGCCACCGCGGAGTGGAGTGGTGGTCTGTTCTGCGCCGGCGGCAGCTGAGGAATCCTTGGCCTTCGAACGCGCTCTATCCTTGCCCTTCTTGGGGACTTGGGCGAATTGCGAGACGTTGCCTGTGGGGTAGAAGTGGTTAGCAAGAAGCAGCACGACAAGGTCTTGGGGAGCGACGCACCCTGGGTGATTCTATCAATGACAATCTGAACATCGCCGTCGGCCTCTGCGATCGCAAAGACTAGATCGTCGTCGGTCCATTGCGGGAACATGTCGCGCATAAAGCTCAATTGAGTCGAGTAAGTTTTCTTCATATTGCCCAGTTCGCCCTGGTCGTCGAAGGACTCATCGAATTGCACCGACGACGTGGGAGCGGTCGAGGAATTTTGAGACTGGCGAGGAGGACCTCTTTGATTCGAGGCGCGGCCACCTCTGGTAGAGCTTCTGCCCCGTGATGCCACGGGTCTGGAGTCGATTTCCGACATGGTATGGGAGCGACTGTCCTGTCCGGACAGGCAGAAAAGATTCGAGTGGGACTAGATGGGCGGAGGGGGGAGAGAGAGACTGCAGTGATTGGCAGGGACGAGGCGCAGGAGCGAGATGGAGATTTGGGGGAGGGATTGATCTTTGACAGCTTTGAACTGGTGAAAGAGAGAGTCGCTCTTGCTGCTTGCGAAGCTCCGTCACTCGTCAGTCGTGGCGTCGCGCTCATGTCACGTGTTTGCCATCAATCTGCTCCTCTGTCGCCGTTTCAATACCTTTTTATTGTCTGGACGAACATTGGACTCAAGCGGCCATCTCCCAGAATCATCGGCCTCACGATTGGGAATGCTCTCGAGTGCTGTGTGCTGCTACGCTATTTCCTGCTCACTTCCAAAGCACGTCTTTCACTCTATATGCCTCGTCAAGCGTCACGAACCATCCATTAAGACAAGCACTTTGTAAATAGCTGTTTGCTTGTCTCGTCGCGATATGCAGCCTTATGTACGGTTTTCTAGTTAATCGTCGACGGTTAGTCGAGTTGATAGCTCATGCGATTGACGCTTTCTCTTCACGATAGCTTTTGACTTTAGGGACGACCATGTGATAGAGGAGTACGCCAAGAACTCTCGATTCGGTCATGAGGCGCGCTACTCTACCCTCGGTCTGTCGTCTCCCGTCATGTCCAAGGTCAGATCAAACATTGACCACAACACTACCACACAAGATGAAGGCGTCGTCGGTCCAACAGGCCTTCAAGAGCCTGACTTCGCGCATCCACCCTCAATTGCCACTATCGGAACGTGAATCGCAGCGCCTGCTCAACGCCCTCACATCCTCGTTCCGTACCCAGCTGGAACAACCCCACCACCACCACCAGGACGACCCTTCAGCTCTCACCACCTCTGCCTCAGTCTCACCTTCAACCTCCACTCCGCAGCCTCTGTCGTCCAGCACCGCCACTGACCGTCACCTGGCCTCTATCCTGACCAATCCTCTGCTTACCAAGCCCGTCCACCAGCAACTCAAGGCCAAGTCAAAGCATCCCGTCGCCCTGTTTGAAGATCACGTCGCCGCTGGACGCGCCAATCTACCCTCTGCCAGACTGTGTCTCGAGGCTTTCAGAAATTCGCTATCTGTACTGTTTCCTGCCCAGATCAAGGACCAGATCAACCGCTATGCTGCTGGCACTCGTGTACTGAGATGGCTGTGGACTAGTGGTCAGACTCACTCGCTATCTTTTGCCCTAGATGCTCGATTCTGCAACCAGCTGGCCTTCTTTCTGATTCACGAGGGTAAGGAGGCTGCTTTGTGGGAGCTCATAGACACTCCTATCGCCGCTTCGTCCAATCTTTCCCTCAAAGAAAACAGCAGACGCAAGGGTTTGTTGCTCAGCTCTATCGTCAAAACCTGTCTCTCCGCTCCTGATGAGTCCCTGGAGTCTGCTCTCTCTGCCTTCTTCCGAGCTCTGGAAGCCTCTCACTCATCACACGCTTCCATCTCTCATGCTGGTGTCTATCTGACACAAGCTCTACCTAAGCTCAACTACTCCTCCGAGTCCGACGTTCTCTTGTATAATCGCTTCGTCGAAGCCATCCCTCGTTGGAACAAGAAACACCCGGACAGAGCCATCTACAGGATCGCAAATCTCGCCCTACATCACCCCACAACGCCATCAGCAGATCCCGCTCTGGACTTTATCCGAGAACTTCGCCCTCTTGCTTCTCATCCATTCTTGAGCCCGTCCACTGCTTTTCAGAGGTCCACTGTCTTTGCTTTCTTCTTCGACACGGTCAAGCTCTTGCAAAAGCAAAGTCGCTTTGACGATGTTCTATGGGTCATGGAGTTCATGCAACAAAAGTTCCCCGGGGAGTTCGTACCAGTCAATCAACCCCTGTCTACTGCCTCGGCACCATCTCAGGCTCCTGAATTCTCGACTACTTCTTCTCATTCGAGTTTGCCTGACTGGAAAGTGCCCGAATTTGGCTGAGCGCCGCTTGACTGCGATTCATCGACAACATCGCTAAGCAACAATTACTACGATACATCACAACACTCACGGTTGATTTTCATAGACGCACAATACATGAGTCACCACTATATGTGCTCTGGAATCACCGAATGGATGCCAACGCTTCCTCTGCGATCACTATACCCGAAATCCTGGACGATGCGCGTCTAGAAATGGGTCTTACATACTCGCACAGGCACTCAGTCCTGATCAGCACGCGGACACCTACCGCTGTCATGCAGGATATTCCAAAGTGTCAGCGGGTCGCTGGAGTATTGTCAACGATGCAGTTTGAACGGAGAATCATGAAACCCGTCCTGCAAGCAGTTGATCCTGACTCGTTCTCGCTGCTCATATAACCCCCTGATTTAGGAGAATAGTACTGGTGTAGAGAAGCATTTACACATAGTTCATAGCATTGCCTAAGCAGCACTTTAAATAACTATGTAGTTCTCGCATTCTATAAGCGTCTAGTGAATTTATGATTGTTCATTGACATCTGCTTGAATCTACACTAAGGCTGGGTCAATACTCGAACTATCGAGTCAGCACTCACAATCATAGCTTCTGTTATAAACCGCGCGGTGTGTATCGGCAGTGCTACTTATGGAACCTGGCGGTACCCAACTCGCTTTGCTTTGGAATACCGAATCAAAGGCTCCATCCCAAGTGCAGCTACGAGATATCGAGCATATTACAAAATACTCAAGATGGTCTCCGCTGAGACACGGGCCAATCGTGTTGCATCTGTGGCGACCCTGTCTCTATTACCTTCTTGCTCTCGAAATCGAAGGACGTCAGATATATAGGCTTTATTCCGTCACACGCATGAGATTGATGATGCGATTGATGTGACAAAGATAACACAGTATAACAGGAAGTTTGAGGTTCGGTAGACTCATTTGGTGCGAGAGGAGTAGCGATTGTGTTCTTGCGAACCGCAACCAACAACTACAACATTTCAAATCAGAGCCAGCCTCTTAGTCTCGCCTTTAATAGACAGAACCGAACGCTTGTTGAGGAACTCTTCATTCAACACTCAGCCATAATTCGTACTCAATATCTAGGCTATCATGACCACTTCTTCACCTTCGAGTCGTGCAAATTCATTCGGAGACGCATCGGCGATGCAGGATTGATAGGACGCACCTCTTATCAAGCTTCAGTTGGCAACAGTCCGGCGTAGCAGACGAATGCACGCACATGGTCGCAAGATTGCAATCGATTCGAATCCAAGACTGCGCGCGATCAATCGACGAAGGAACGCTGACCGCTTCCGCATGTCCTTTTCCACCTGATCGGCCGGCTCGGCGTCTTGCCTGCCGTGTGTTTCGCGATTTGACGGAAGCAACGAGACAACGTGGCAGCCCGCCAACACTTGTTTTGCGATTCCCTTCTCACGAAAGTTGGAAACACTATCCCGAGGGAAGCCGTAGTGTTCATGTCGATTGTCGGCCGCGGCGCTACTCGGATGGTTGAGCTGGCTCGTCTATCGAAGCTCTCGATCCTTACGACGTCAGTGTGGATTGTCCGGTCGTTTTCTTGTGCTAAACAAAGCCCGACCTCGTACCGACTACCTAATCATATGGTAAGTTCAGACAACTGGCAGATGGTTAAACAGACACAGAAACCTTGGAAGTTTAGCTCGTGAGTGCCTTACATGCGCACAGCTAGCACGGCGAGGAAGCGGAGCTTGAAGTTATTGTCGTTCTTGGCCTCGTTCCAGGTTCCTTCAGGTCAGGCAGCCACCCTAAACTTGTACGACAAGCGATTCTGCTCTTGATTACTTTCACGTCTGAAACGTATCACCTGAAGACAAAGTAGAGAGTTGTTAAGATGTCTAAATCTCATAGCATTCATAAGTATGTTTGAATAAGCTCAAAAGCCTATTGCTGGTATTCCCGCCGTCTAAGTTCTCGTGCCGTTCATGCTCCTAGCTGCATAAAAGAAAAAAGTAAAAAAACGCCAAAGTCAACACCTCCTGGGTGGACATGATATCAAACAGAAAATAGAAAACGCCATCATGCTTTTTCAGTCTCTTACTCAATAGCAGAGTAGTCCTGGCTGCCACCGAGGACGGGGTTGACGTTGTCAGAGCTCCACTCGAACTTGAAATCCTGGCCGAGCTCCTTGCGCATGGCAGTCTTGACAGCCTCGAGGACGTTGACGAAGACACCGAAGCTGGCAGGGTTGTTCTCGTCGTTGTCACCACCCTGGAAGACACCGGTGCGGACGAGACAAGTGTTCCAGCCGTACATGTTACCACCGATAATGTCGGAGGCTGGGTTGTCACCAACCATGTAGATGTTCTCTGGGAGTCTCTCCTCGTTGTGAATTTGCTCCATCCAGCTGGCGATGACCTCGTCGGCGTACTTGTATGTAGCCAACTCGGGCTTACCGTAAACAACACGCTCGAGGTCGACACCAGTGAGAGCCTTGTACATAGCCTCGAGACCAATACGGAAGGCACCCTGAGACATGCGAGGGAATGGGTGCTCACTGGGGCACAACAGATCGCCCTGAGAGAAGTAGATGGGAATACGCTGACTGGTGGGGTCTTTGGCGACGGTGCCGAAACGACCGTTCTCCGACTTCAGGAGGTCGATGATGATCTGCATGTCGGTGGCGTAGTCACGCGAGTCGGAGAAGACCATGATGGCGTCGATGTTGATCTTGGAGAAGTCGCGAGGGCGAGAAGTAGCGCGCTCCTCGTCAGTGAAGACACGGAAAGGTGCAATGGTGGGGTCCCAGGCGATAATGTCGTTGGGGACAACGATGTCCTTGAAGCCGTAGGCCTCGGCGACCTCGCGGCACTTGTAACCCTCACCACCGACGACAAGGACGGTGCTGTAGTACTCCGAAAGAGCTCTCATGGGAGTGTGAGATTGGATGAACTGATCGACGCTGACACGGTTGCCGAGGATCTTGGAGAGCTGCTCGCAACGAGGAACCTCGAGCTTACCGGATCCGTTGGTAAGGAAGATGTGAGGGATCTTGATGCCGAGCTCGTTGTCACCGTTGAGGATCTCGAGGGCACGCTTGCCCTCAGGGATCAGACGGTCACCGTGAACGAGGACACCGTCAATGTCGAAAGCAAAGGCCATATTCTTGGCAGCCTTGACCTTCTCGCCAGAGAGGTCCTGAATCTGAGAAGCAAGGATGTCGCGAGTAGGTTGGATTGGGGGCATGCCAGGGCGGCCAGCCTTGGAGTCAGGGTAGTGGACAGAAGACAGACGGGACTGTCTCTTGGAACGGGGGATGGGAAGGGATGCACCAAATGAGTTGCGGGATCCTCTGCGGTCCTTCATTGAAGGAGAGAGGGAGAGCTGGTGCATGTAGGGAGAGGGGTCGGCGATGCTGCTACGGGTAGCAGGGACCTCGACGGATCTGTCGGTGCCAGGCTCCATACCGGGGACAGGCAAGCTGCCACCGAAGCTGGAACCGACAGCTTGGCTGTTGGATCTTTGCTGGGTGGGCTGGGCCTCGACATTGAGATCGGAGTCTTCGAAAGCAGGCATGATGGAGGATGTATGAAGATGTGTGGTGTTCGAGTAGTGTTCGGGATGATAGAGAGGAGGGAAGATAGATATGAGGAGGGTGGGTAGAGATGCTAAGTCAGCAGGAAAGGGAAAGAATGATCGTATGTTTTGCGTCACCAGGAGGGTCCTTGGGTTTACTTATGTATATTTCTGGGTCGGGCCAAATTACGCTGAATCAGAGCCATCGCGAGGGCGATAATGCTCTGACAAGGGGGTATCCACCTGTGGCATCATCGGCCGGTGTCAACAAAAATGTTTCGAATTTTTTCGACTCGGAAGCATTCAGCAATGACGAAGGTTGGAACAAGCTAGAGGACCCTGGTGCCGACACCACGAGGCAGCAGAAGTCCTGGCGCTACCGGCGGCGCCTCTTTTTGAGGTAAAAACGCCCTCTGGCTTGGGGACGTTGACGCCGAAACGCTTGGTGTGAGGCTGAACAAAGTTTAGGGTTTTGTTGACGATTCGAGTCGGGCTCGGCATCGACGTCACAGGCCTCGAGAAATTCCAGAGATTGGTGCACGGTGAGCACCGTGGTGGATACCGAGCTCCCCAACGACTGTTTGGAGTCCCCTGACCGCCATGGAAAATTGTTGTATGACGTTTGTCTCGTCTTTGCTCGGAGCGAGGTCGTGGCAGGATGTCGGCCGAACAGGTAGCTAGTAAATAATACCTCATGGCCGAGGATTGAGGAGTGGTCTTCCTTTCAACATTTTTTTGCATATCGTGCATCCTGTTCAGTCCCATATCACCAAACAATACACAACATATCAATCGTCAACATGTCTGCCGGACTCACTCGTACTCTCAACAACGGTGTCAAGATCCCTGGTAAATAATCCTGAACTGCTGCGTGGAATTGAGCTCGAGTCGCTGACTATGAAATGCAGCCGTTGGCTTCGGTACCTTCGCCAACGAGGGCTCCAAGGGCGAGTCTTACAAGGCTGCTCTACACGCACTGAAGACTGGCTACAGACATCTCGACTGTGCCTGGTTTTACCAAAACGAGGACGAGGTCGGTGCTGCCGTCCGCGACTTCCTCAAGGAGAACTCAAGCGTCAAGCGTGAGGACATCTTCGTCTGCACAAAGGTCTGGAACCACCTTCACGAGCCCGAGGAGGTCAAGTGGTCTTTCCAGAGCTCCCTCGATAACCTCGGCCTGGACTACATTGATCTGTTCCTTGTCCACTGGCCCATCGCTGCCGAGAAGGACGACAAGCACATGCCCAAGCTGAACGAGAAGGGCCAATACATCATCAAGGAGGAGTTGACCAAGAACCCTGAGCCTACCTGGAGAGCTATGGAGGAGATCTACTCATCTGGCAAGGCCAAGGCCATTGGTGTTTCCAACTGGACCATCGATGGCTTGAAGCAGCTCATGACCTTCGCCAAGGTCAAGCCTACTGTCAACCAGATCGAAATCCACCCTTTCCTGCCCAACACCGAGCTGGTCGACTACTGTTTCTCTCAGGACATCATGCCTGCCGCATACTCACCTTTGGGCTCGCAAAATCAGGTCCCCAACACCGGTGAGAAGGTCAACACCAACCCCGTTCTCAACGAGATCGCCGAGAAGGGTGGCAACTCTCTCGCTCAAGTCTTGATTGCTTGGGGCCTGAGAAGAGGCTACGTTGTGCTGCCCAAGAGCTCCACTCCTTCAAGAATCGACAGCAACTTCAAGAGCATTGATCTTACCGATGCCGACTTCGAGGCTGTCAACAAGGTTGCCGAGGGCCGCCACACTCGTTTCGTGAACATGAAGGATACCTTCGGCTACGATGTCTGGTAAGTGTACTGACACACACTTTGATGATCTTTCTTTCTAACCTGCGCTACAGGCCCCAGGAGTCCTCGTAAGCGATTCGATTGACACAATGACGAACGATCGATCAAAGCCGACTCGAATTTTCGACGTCCTGGTGACGGAAGGCGGAGTTTCATTGGCGAGCACAACAAAAGTTTGTTTGGCCTCTGGCGATCGGTAGCTGGTCCTACCAAAGACCGGCGATGCGGAGAGATGTTTTCACGAAAGAGTTACTTATTGTCGATACCAATACGATTTCACGTTTTCTTTTCTAGCATTAGGCTCAACCCTGTTTGTTGACTTGCCATTGATGGATTTCTGGCAATTTTTTTCTCAACCATCAGCATCCAGCAACCGCAGATCGTTTCGGTCGACGCTGTGACTTGCTCGAAGCTCTCTCAACATGACTCGCGTAGCTGTGACAGCATCAACTGAGCATGCTCTTGAGTTTCAGGATTATTCAATCGTCGAATCCGTGCAGACATGTAACAAGCCTTGTGGAAGTGATATCTGAACCTCTACGCTGGTATCGTAGAAACTAGACTGGCATTTACATGCTCGAGAATGCTACGGTGATTGTGCAGCTCCCTGCACGATCGACAATATGCCAAGCCGATGTCGCATCATCGACGTATCTTTCGCCGTGTGTTTGGCACGAGTTCTTCTGCTACGAAAGAGGATCAAAAGCAATCACCATTCTTGTACAAGCTGTGCTTGGACCCATGTTCAGTGAACGAAATGCGGCCTGACAAGTCTTCTCGTCGCCGAGGTACATTATTGTACGTAGAAAAGCGAGGCTGCTTGAAAGTTTTGATAGAGTCAATGGCTAGCTTGAAAAGGGCCAAAATGCTGCCTGAGTCTCAGGCCGAATTAAACCCAGGCACGCCTGTTGACAAGAAAGCAAGACAGCCAAGTGTAATTTTGTACAAGAAGAGATAGATATGCATGAATGTCGTGGGAAATCAAGTCATGACATATTTTGGGCCCTCACCGCCCTAATCAGGAATGTCAGCATATGAATCAGGTACAGTTGAGGAACGCTTCTTACCTGAGGTGTTCTCCACGTAATGTCCTGGTCAGGAACCTTAATATCACAAGTCTTACAGTGTACGCAGCTAGAGTCGGGTTAGCAACGTGCACGTACGATAGCCAGGTCAGACTCACTTTTGGGAGTTGATCTGGAATCTCACACCGAGCGGTTTGCTCTCGTCCTCAATGTATTCATACACGCCGGCCGGGCAGAACCTGTTCTCGACACCCTGGTATTTTGGATACTCAAGCTCGGCGTGCTTGTCCCAATCCTCCACGTGCAGATGGCAAGGCTGATCCTCCTCGTGATTTGTGCCAGTCCTGCTGACACTGGTCAAGATGTCGAAACTGATCTTGCCATCTGGCTTGGGATATTCGATCTTCGGACAGTCCGCAGCAAGCTTAGTAGCTCCGTGATCGGTACCAGCGTGCTTGATTGTCCATGGTACTCTACCCTTAAGAAGATATGCTTCGAGGCCAGAATACATAATGCCGCCGTAGAGCTTCAGGGGAGAGTGGAACGAAGGTCGCATATTGCGAACCTCCTTGAGCTCTTTCCAGATGGAAGATGAACGTAGCTTATCCTCGTAGTCGTACAGGAATACGGGACTAGAGTCATCTGCATCGCGCAGCGCAGAGAAGGCTGCTTCAGCTGCAAGCATACCCGAACGCATGGCAGTGTGAGTGCCTTTGATCTTGGGAACGTTGAGGAAGCCAGCAGTGTCGCCGATCAGAGCACCGCCAGGAAATGCGCACTTTGGAATGGATTGGAAGCCACCCTCATTCAGTGTACGTGCGCCATAGGAAATGCACTTTCCACCCTCCAGATACTTCTTGTACATGGGATGATGCTTCATCTTCTGAAACTCACCATAAGGAGCCAGCCAAGGGTTGGGATAATCCAGTCCAACGACCAGACCAATACTGACTAAGTTGTCACCGAAATGATACATCCAACCACCACCGTAGGTATCGGCAGGTAGAGGATAGCCCAAGGAATGAACGACCAAACCCTTTTCGAATTTTGCAGGATCAATCTCCCATACTTCTTTAATACCAAGACCATAGGTTTGAGGCTGACTGTCCCTCCTCAAGTCGAACTTCTTTGTGACTTGTTTGGTTAGACTACCGTGACAGCCCTCGGCGAGTAGAGTGACACGAGCATGGAACTCCATACCACGCTCAAAGGAATCCTTGGGCTTGCCATTGCGACCGATGCCCAGATCGTTTGTGGCGACACCTTTGACTGAACCATCGGCATTGTAAAGCACTTCGGAAGCGGCAAATCCAGGGTAAATCTCGACACCAATTTCTTCTGCTCTTTCTCCTAACCATTTTGTGAATTGATTCAAGGAGATGATGTAATTTCCATGGTTGTTCATCTGGGGTGGAGCGGGGATGGGCAGTGCGTAAGACTTGGTGAGGAAGCGCATGCGGTCTGTCGTGGCGGCTGTGACATGTTCGTAGCGGTTGGGGTTCTCAGGCGAGTTCCAATCGGGCAGCAACTCATCCAGGGCGGACGGCTCTACAACATTGCCGGACACAATGTGATCACCCAACTCTCCGGCCTTTTCGAGTAGAAGAACGCGGAAGTCCTCGTTACCGGCGTCATTGGCAAGTTGCTTCAGACGAATAGCAGCACTGAGACCAGCAGGGCCACCTCCGACTATGCACACATCAACCTGGTCGCTTTCTCTTTCGATGTCGGCAGGGTTGAATGAGTCATCGTGCGTGGCAAGACGTCTGCGTGATGTGATGGAAAAAGGACGGCGCTGTCCCGCGCGGAAAATGGCCGGACGGGCAGATGCTGTTGTGTTGTGTCGAAGGGGGGCGAAGGAAGTAGCAGTGATGGGTCGGAGGGATGAAGGTCGGAATAGGCGAGCATCCTGAACTAGTGCTCGACCTAGAGTAGTGGCGGAGGGGAGATGACTGACGGAGGGCATGGCTGTGGTGGACAGAAGGAAAGTAGACACCAGAAATTGCAGATTAGATGCTTGAAGATGAGCTTCCCTACCGCCGTCTTTGTCGACAAAAGCTGAGGAGAGCCTCGGCTGAGCGCACGGCGAGTTCGGACAAGAATTACCCTCCTGTCGATGATGAGCATTCGAAAAACGACCGCTGACCTCGGCGCATGTGATTGGCTGCCTCGGATCCACGCCGGCCGCCGGCACGGTCACCCTGTCTGAGCACAAGGCAGACGCACGGACGTAGCAGAGCGAGGGAAAGCGCCACGGGCATGCTTGTTCTTGGCGTGATGAGTGTGTGAGTTATCGCCCTCCACCAACGCCCGCTACTCCTCCGACTGTTCTCTATCCACCATCTCTTTCACCACTTTGCGCCATCACCCGACTTGCTTGTTTCGGATCTGGTTCTTCGTCTTTAGTCCTCTATCATCTTCATCATGGGCGACGTGTCTTCGACCCGGCTCTATCTGGGAAATCTCCCGCGCAATGGTACGCTTCTGCTCGTGTAGCTGGCCTGAGCATTGAGGATCTGGACACCTGCTGGACTCCTTCACCTCTGCGCTTGCTCGCCCTGGATATTCGCATCCCGCTAACCGGATTCGTGCTCTAGCCACAAAGGCCGACGTCGAGAACCACTTCGCCAGCCATGGAACTGGTGAGATCACCGAGATCAAGCTCATGAACGGCTTCGGCTTCGTCGAGTACAAAGACGCCATGGACGCGCGCGACGTCGTTCCCGGTGAGTCTCTCGTCTCTTGTACGCATCCGCCCTCTTGCCTCTTTGTCTTCGCTAACTCGCCCTCTGGGTAGCATTCCGTACGTCTACCCAGCTTCGGCTGCTCCTCCGACCTTGCCCGCCCGCCCTTACACTGACCCTTCCTTAGATGGTTCCGACTTCATGGGTGAGCGCCTTGTCGTGCAATTTGCTCGCGGCTCCACCCGTCCTCGCGAGTATGGTCACCCCGAGCAGCGCGCTCCTCCTCGCCCGCGCCGCACTGTCCACCGCATGTCCATCACTGGCCTTCCTTTCGAGACCAGCTGGCAGGTTAGCAATCTCCCTTCGATTCATCTTTCCATTTATCTGGCCCTGTCTCATCATCCTTGTCGTTCTTCCTGATTTTGCCGGTGTTGGATCATCTTTCATCTTGCTTTGGACTTGCTGCCTTGTTACCACATCTTGGACCCGGACTCACGTTGGCCCTATAGGATCTGAAGGACTTCGCTCGCCAGCCTGGTCTTGACGTTGTCTACTCCGAAGTTGGACGCGAACGCGATGGCAGCGGCAACGGAAAAGGGTGAGTTTGGCTAGTCTTGTCTGTAAAGTGTGTTGCATTAATCACCCATCTTAGTTTCGTCGAGTATGAGACCGCTGCCGACCTGGTTTCCGCCGTAGAGAAGTTGGACGGACAGGAGTTTAAGGGAGCCACTGTCCGTTGCATTTCTGATGTAAGTGTTTGCGCATACGACTGGCGCGCCTCTCTCTAATGCTGCAATCCAGACCCAGTCAGAGATTCCTCGCATGCCACCACCACCTCCCCGCGATTCTCGCTACCGCTCGCGCTCACCTCCTCCTCGCCGTGGCGGCGGTGGCGGCTATGGTGCACCTCCCATGGATGATTACTATGCAGATCGCCGAGGTCCTCCTCGTGGTGCTGGCGGCTACAGCCCTCGTCGCGACGACAGCTACCGTCGTAGAAGCCCCCCACCTCGCTACTACGATGATCGCAGAGACCCATACCCCCGCTCTCCCCCTCCTCGTGCCCGTGGACCCCCTGTCGACGAGTACGCACCACCCAGAAGCCGCGCTTACCCCGCCGATGATGGCTACGGCGCTCCACCTCCGGCTCGCCGCTATGAAGCCGACCCCTACGCCAATGGTCACGGAAGAGAGCCCAGAGAGCCTAGAGAGCCCAGGGAGCCTAGAGAGCCTTACGGTCGTCCTCCCAGCCCTCCTCCCAGACGTGAGCGTGGCTACGATGCGGGCTATGACCGTAGACCTTACTGGTGATTATCCTCTTCTCCTTTCTTACCCCACGAAGACAAGCCAGCCTGTCTTGCTTTCGTTTCAAAGAACCCTTTACTCACTCTTGCACAAGATTTACAACGATTTGTTCAACCAACCGTCGCCACACCTCACAAAGACAAGCTTCGTGCTCAACGGAAGGTCAGTGGCAGCGTGTACAGTGGACAGATTGCCAAGAAAGCACGAATTGAATATCAGGCCGGAGCAGACAGTTGAATAAAGCTGGCTAAAGTGAGTCGGCTGTTTCATTGCAAACGCTGCTAGTATGTAACAGTATCAAATTCTTAGCCTGAATGTCGTCAAAGACGGATGACCAAATTGAATGATTATGTTTATAAATCTCGCTGGTCCCACGCGTTGGCGGTCTGAATGACTCGAACATGGCCTTATGCAATCGTTATATTTGTGTGGTCCAAGGATAGGCATGTCTACGAGCTAGGCGAAATCATGTCGCTCTCGTTCTCGATGGGAAGCACGCGGACGATTCTTTCAACAGGCAGTTCTCCTCCTTTCACTCTGACCTCGACTTTATAATCTCCCAGATGTCCAATCTTGTCGGATTCGGCAGGTGCTTGCGATGTCAGGCTGACAAACTTGAGGTCTTCAGCAGCCAGAACAATTCGTGATGCTTCTTGATTGTCTCCAAGGAGATGTTTGATCCTGCTAGCAACGTCGGCAGTAGAAATCGATCCGAAGAGTGGTGTCGCGAAATCATTTGGAGCTGGTGGGGGAGCAGTCTGAGCAGCGAGGAGGTCAGCAGCAGCGCTCGAGAAGCCTCGCTGGGCCTTCGCCGGGTTTGGTGTCTCGATTGCAGGAGTGGGAGCTTTCTGAGATCTTCGTCGGAACTCCATGACTGGGGGAAGGAGCATGGAGAGTAGTTCGATTGAGCGCTTGGGCTGTTGCGATACCAGTCAGCACAAATGTTGGATTTCAGCAGGTATACGGCATTGGAACTTACCGCCAACTTCTCCACTTCAACGGTGCGAGTAGGTGAGCGCAGAGACTGTGGCTCGACTGTCTTGACCACGGCCGGGTCAGGCACGCCGAACTGGAAGTCTCGCTCGGCGGTGATGTTCTTTGCCTTCATCTCTTTCAATTGCACGCTCGTCACGTATTCGGCGCTTCTTGTCGGGAAGAACTCGTTGCGCATGCGTCCGATCGATATGGGGACGTAGGAGCCCTTGCGACCAAAAGTTGGTACATCCTTGGTGAGGCGTACTGTGACGGTAGTAGGCAAGTTGGCGATCTTCTTCTTGCCGCGAACCTGTTGTCCACTACGCCATTCTTGCAGACCTAGGCTGCTGATGCGTCGTAGGCATGACGTGCATTGTGGTAAGAGCGATGATCGTATGTTCAAAGACATGGTGAGGTGTTGTCTTTGTATCGTAATGTTTTTCTGAACGCCGTCTACAAATGTTGTCGCCAACTTGATTCGGCCTTGGCGTACTTTGCTAACTAAATACCAACATTGCCCGCCATCTTCTGGCCGTCATGCCGAATTACTAGCATAGCAATTCTACCGTATTTCTAACCTTACACTCGAGTGGACTCAACATACTTGCACATTCTGGCTTTGGTTGTTTCACTGAATTCTCTCTCTGTTCGACTTTGTGGTACTGAGGATTGTCGGAATTGAGCGTTGTTCATCTGAGTGCCCGATAGATTGAATGAGGTCCTTACTGGCGTCAATTGATGACAGTAGCTTCAGTATAGAAGAAACCAGTGAGTGCGTTATAACAATCTAGAGGGTGAACCTCTCATTCAGCAAGATCTGCATAGCTACAATTGTAGTGATGTACAAATCTTATACCATAGCAGCGTAAGCATAGAAACGTCCCGTCCTAAGCTCTAATGGCGTCCTCTTGACTCACGGAAGGACTCCCTCGAGGCACATAATTAGCTTGGCGTTGACTCGGCTGAACAATGAGGGCGATGATCCCAAGCAAACGACAAGATATGTAGGTATGAGCCTTGTGCCCAATCACAGCTTCTCCGCTGGAGTGGCATCATTGGCTTCATCACTGCCTACATGCACAAGTTTGCCGACGACCAAGTACTTCTCCGAGAACCTCTCCTCCCAGCCTCTTAGAGCTTCCATCTCCTCGTCACCCAAGTCCGACAGAGTGTCGAGCGGTCCGTTCAGATCTTTGGTCAACATATCTTCGTCGAAGCTGCCACAGGCCAAGCCCCTACTCGCGTCGCGTCCAGCGAAGTTGGCATAAGGGCCTCCTGGGCCGTAGAAGTTACGTCCAGGTGTCACATCGAACACTCTGCCGCGAACTGCGAGATAGACGGGCATATTGTTGCGGCCGTTGTAAGGCTCGAGATCGGGAGGAGTGAAGGTCTTAAAGACTGTCGGTGCTGGTGGAGTCGGTAGGGTGAGTGCTGTCTTGGGACTGAGGCGGTAGTATGCCAGGATCATCAAGAGAGCAATGAGAATAAGATTGATGGGTGTTGCGATAGTTGCACTGCGCTCTCAGCGTTCGTTCTTGGAGCCCATCGAGACGACATACCCATCTGTTGCCGCGGCCGATGATACTTATTGAATCAGTGACATGCGTAGAGAGCAACAGAGTAGCACTTACCATCCGCCATGATTACGGTCCTGTCTGATTTGGATTTTTCAAACACTCAGAGTGGTCTCCCTGCACCGTTGAGAAAGACGCGAGGAGAGCGTCACTGAGCTCACTGACTGTGACTGACACGAGACTGATGATTGCGGGGGAAGCTAGCTTCCAGGGCTTTGTTCACTTTTGTCGATATTCCCTCGTCCTCTCTTCTGGGTATAGCCATGCACAGCCACTGCTGCTATGACCATGGACTTCATAGAGTATGATAGCTGATGGTATGCCTATGCTCTTCGAAGATCATGGTATTTGAATATTCTGCAGGACTTTGGCTAGCCTGCAAGTGGATACTGTGTACTGACCGCTGACTCCTGCTTACTGCCAGAGCATGCCAGAGCTGGAGAGGACTTAGACCCTACATCTGATCGGTGAGGACGAAACGGAAGTCCAAACTGAGCTCGTGTGTCAGGGCGACCATGACTATGCCTGGAACTCACCCTGTCTCTATGGCCTAAGAATCACACGTTGATTCCATAGCTACATCGCGCCGACGAACTCATTACCAAACAACGAGATCCTTCCTCAACTCACCCGCGATCAGGGCTTTGCTCGATATTAACAATCGCGACCAATATCGCTAATTTTATCTAGCCACATAAGCGCATGTGGTGCCGCCCTTGGTGTGGAGTATCTGGTCTTGATCGCTCGAGCCATGATCGAAAGCGTTGTGTAAGTTCTGCAATGCAGCTTACATTCCAATCAGGACCTTTGACACATGCTCAAGTGCGCGTGCTGATGCACTGGCTCAAACACGCAGAGTCGGATTGGAGGTCGAACACGTTCCGTTCATCTGAGAAATCGGTCAAAGCTGAAACGCGCCGTAAGGTGAAACACGAAGCTCCTGCATGACATGTTCCTTTGGCGGTTGTCGGGTGTTTATTTGCCATTTAGCAAGCTTTCCCATTAGATCCTCGTGGTGGTGAACGGAAGATTGACAACTTGCTGCTGACCTTGCTCGTGTCTCTCACGCCTTGTTGTTCTTGCTGTTGTTTCTGTTTACCTGCTTGTCCTTCTCTCGCACACCACTGGCAAGTCGACTTCCACTTTCTATCCTGCACACCAAAAGTAAGTCATGTTCCTCATCATGCTTTAGTTGAGTACGCGCGTAGTGCGCTACATTCCTGCTGTGCCCACAGGATTGATGATGGAGCCCAAATATTGTTGGGGGTGGATCGATTTTGTAAAAGCGCGTCTCATAGCTCGTCTTTGGATATATCCATCCAGGTCACGGTATGCTACAAGTCTTGCACGTGTGGCCAGCCCGACACAACACGCAGTAGCTTTGCAATACACCATTTTCTGAAGAAAAAAACCACTCGAGATCTTCACTGACCCGAACCAGTTATCAAGGCAGGACACATACCCTCAACTCTCGATGAGATCCGCAACGCCAACAGATATTCGGGACCCGAAGAGGAATTTCGACAACCCATATGATGCACGATTTGGTGTACAAGTTTCGATCACAGGAGGCGACAAGCCCAAAAAGTCGACCTTGGCCGAACGAGCCGCCAGATTTGGACGTCACGCATTTGGGAGCCGTTCTGCATCTGCCGGATCCAACTTTGAGTCTCAACGACCATCTCTGCCAGGGCATTATACTGCGATGAAGAATGCCTCGGGCTTGTCTCGAGAAGGATCCAGACTCAGCGCCAGCGCCAGCACAAGCTCACTGGTTTCACAACGCTCAAAAACAAGGAGCATGCGCGACTCAGTGGCATCGAGCATCTACGACGAACCCGAGACAACAGATCCTGCACCTCCGTTGAAGATCGCCAAAAAGGCCATAGTGCCACAGCTACCACCTATCTGTTCCGAGAGCGACTTGTCGTCCCTGCACACTGCGACTGGACGTCACTCAACGGATAGCAACGACTCTACGAGGACCGTCACCCAGCCGAGACTCGAGCCATCCAGGAGCCACTTCAGTTGGACGACATATGCAGAGACAGAGCGCAGCATTTCACCGACCTCGTCTTACATTGGAGACACAAGTATCGCACAGGAGCCAGACAGCCGCTTTAGTTGGACGACGACAAGCACCGACACGAACTATCAACAAGACACACCGCCCTTAAGCCCAACCCCCACGCCACCCGGCTCGATCATGTCGCGGCGCCGCCCTGTACCTGGCAGGGAGACAGGTCTTCCTCCAAAGAGGCACGACAGCATGGGCGATGTGCAAGACTTACATGAAACGAGATACGACAAAGTGCTGCCCCAGCCACCGAAGACAAGACAAGAGCGCGATCACGTGGATGAGCTAATGTCGCGCTTGGAATCATTAGAGCTGCAAAAACAGAACATGCAGAAACTCTTCAAAGACCTGGAAAAGATAGAATCAGCTAGTCCAATTGAGGTGTCTGAAAGAATGCGACGAGAGAATCGCAGAAAAATGGGCGAAGTGCAGACTAGGCAAGACGAGGTACAGAGGGAGTTATTCGAGGTTGGAAGACTACTCAGCAGAGCCAGGGCAAAGGCTGAAGAGGCGAATGGAAGTACAGGATTGTGGCTTCGTCGTGTTACAGATTGAAGGAAGCATCCAAGGCGGTGCGGGACACCAGACTCCTACCAGTGTTGTCATTTGCAGTGAGTGTTGATCACAGGACAGTCCTTGGTCAAGTAGAGATTGATTGAAGGGGACTAATCGCAATTTTTGATTGCCACGACTTACACTCACCAGTACTTTCCTGCTTCTCTCGGAGCTGGTGAGGGCGAACTCGATTCAAAGTTTCGAGCAGTCGCCAGACTGACTGCATGGATTAAGGACTGATAAACAGGGCGAGGCGCGAAACGAGTCTCCCGTGGAGTGGAGCGGCAGTCGAGCAGGGAGCAGAAAGACGAGGCGAACAGGTGACAGTAGTGGTGAATTCTCGAATTTTGAATAACAAAGGGGTATGTGTCGAGCCTTGCAACGCCTGAAATGGATAGGTTTACTTCTTTCCGCTCTTCTTGATGCCCTGGCCGCCAGTGTTCAAGGGGCCCTTGCCGCCGGCCTTCTTGGCCATCTCCTCGCGGGCCTTCTTGTCTGATGTCGAAGTCAGTCGCGATAAGCGACATGCACGGGGGAGACGGGAGTGACATACCAGCAGCCTGCTTGGCCTTGAAGGCAACGTCGTCCTCATCTTCGTCCTTGGCAGCCTTCTTGGGCTTCTTGTCTAGATGGAGAGCATGGTCAGAATGGGCGAGATTGCGCGGGTGGTTGGTGGGTCGGGGCGGGCATAGTACGCACTGTGAATAGGCTTTGTGCCATCTATAATCATGTCAGCAAGCATGTCAAGTGAGCGACGGGGCAGTACTTACTTCCCATACCTGAAGGCATGGTTGCGGTTGTGTGTGTGGTTGGTGGGATGAGGGATGTTGTCGAAGAGGAAAAAGAACAATGGAAGATGATGATAGTTATTGCGGGGTGTAGAGAGGTGCGGCATCAAGGGTTCTTTGGAACGCGTTGAGAAGTTGAGAACGTGGGTGGATGGATCGTGACGGGCAGGTGTCGAGGGAAATGGAGAAGTCGACTTTGCCATGACCCATGATCCATCATCAATCTCACCCTCACCCGACATTCAACACACAAAGACTGGCCGCTCACCGCCCGTCTCCTCCAAATGCCGCCGGTCTCGTCGTCGACCGACCACCTGCCTCCCCACCAACCTGCCGCGCGCCAACGCCCAAAGTCGCCAGATCGTGTCCTCGCAGAGGCCGAAGCACAATGGCTGTTCAGCGAGCAGGAGCTGATGCACACGCCCTCGGTGCAGCATGGCATGGCCCCCGAGAAGGAAAAGGACATACGCGCAAAGGGCGTCAACTTCATCCGTCAGGTGGGCATCATGCTCAAGCTGCCCGAGCTCACCCTCTCCACGGCCGCCATCTTCTTCAATCGCTTCCTCATGCGCGTGAGCCTGGTCGACCGCCCTAACCAGAAGGCTCTGCACCATTACACCCTCGGCGCCACTGCCCTCTTTCTGGCTACAAAGGTCGAGGAATCTTGTCGCAAGATGAAGGATTTGGTCGTCGCCTGTTGCCGCGTCGCGCAGAAGAACCCAAATCTGCTGATTGACGAGCAAAGCAAGGACTTCTGGAAGTGGCGCGATACCATCTTGCTCAACGAAGACGTCCTGCTCGAGATGCTGTGCTTCGATCTCACCATCGAGCCTCCACACAAACAGCTCTACGAAATGCTCAAATATTATCAAGTTCACCACAACAAACAGTTGCGCAATGCCGCCTGGGCCTTCGTCACCGACAGCAACATCACTCAGCTCTGTCTGCTGTGCTCGAGCCATACCATCGCTGCTGCTGCCCTTTACTCCGCCGCTCGCTACTGTGGCGTCTCTTTTCCAGATTCATCCGACGGTCGTCCGTGGTGGCACGTTCAGCACGTCTCACTCGATGATGTCCTAAAGGCTTGCAATTACATGGCTGCGAATTACGAACACGTCCCAATCAAACCTGGTCATGAGGGAGCCCAAACTATCTATGTACGTTTCGATGGCCAAGATTCCGATTGGGATGCCACGAGGCTGAGTAGTAAACAGGCCATCACCAGTCCCTCCGCTCCCGCATTACACCAGGACGCCGCCGCTCTCCACATCACAAAGACACATCAGCTTGATCTGCCCCCTGACGATAGAGCCGTCAAGAAGAGACGCACCTCCGAATCTGGTACTGCTACTTCGATTCATGCACATGCCTCGCGCACAGTCGAGAGTCACGGTAGCGAAGAAGGCGAGGTCGAGGGTTAGCCATCTCATATCATATCATGACTTTACTGAATCTGCAATTGAGCGAAGGCGTTACGGGATGTGGTCCTGTACTGGGGTTGGGGCCTTGCATAGCGGACATTGTACTTAGGGTTTCTTTTTATCATCCTCACTCGCGACGTGATACCCTTGATATATTATTATGACTGGTGCCACAATTTATTCCAAACTGTCACATGGGATCGCCTGTAAATCTTGCTTATGTAAGCCGTGCATCTAATCTTTTTTACTCCAAGACTCTTTCATAATTAATTGCTGTATGCACCCGGAACGTCACGCGCGTTGATGTACATGGCTGACGACAAGATGGAGTCATCCAGAAGCGTACAGTGAGCACGTCTATATGGTTTGAACGTCGTGCTTCCTGACTGACCACATCGTGCCCAGTCCTTTGAGTCTCTTCGCTATAGCCAAGGCGGAGGGCAGACCACTCTTTGGTGAGTAGATGGTTATAAACATGCAATCTTGAACCAAGCTCATATAGTCTCGAGTCTCGGGTCCTATGGTTCGGTAAGAACAGACAACGTTAGGACCTTCTGCTATGAACTGACAGTCGTCGCTCTGCACAGCTACAGTAAACTTCCCTTTAGATTGCTGGTTCAAGACTACAAAGTTGATCTCACGTATACCCCAATGATTCTGGCACACGAGTAGGTACCATGATCACGTCCAAGGTTCCTTTCAATTTCGTTTGATTTCCTTGCCTCCATGCAAACTAGAGCAACGCTTTCCAGGTGCTCATTCTTGCCTCGCAGATTCATTCGTCACCCTGTTGCACGCTCCTCAGATTTCAGTACACATCAAAACGAGGGCCCGGTCATTGCTCAGTTTGCCTCCAACGATCCAGTCGAGTTTGGGCGAGCCGCAGAGATGATCGGTCCGTGGGTCAATGGTGTTGACTTGAATTGCGGTTGTCCGCAGTCATGGGCAATGAAGGAAGGAATTGGGTGCAGCATGATGGGAAATCCAGAAAAGGTCGCCGCCATGATCAAAGAGGCAAAGCAAAGGATTGGGGCTGGCAAAACTGTATCATGCAAGATACGTATCCATCCCGATTTGAGGTATCATCGACCATCACTTATCCTGGGTTTTCCGCTGACCTGTTCCACAGCGAGACCGTCAGGTTCATCAAGATCGTGGAAGCGGCAGGTGTAGATTATATCACCATCCATGGTCGCTTACGCAACCAACGATCATCAACGCCGCCTAACTTTGAGGCAATCAAAATGCTCAGGACTCAAACCACATTACCGGTACTGGCGAACGGCGACGTATACACACTGGAAGACGCTCTTCGGATAACCAAGGAGACAGGTGTAGACGGTGTCATGGCAGCTCGAGGTCTTCTGGAGAATCCTACCTTGTTTGCCGGCTACGACAAGACGCCCATCGAGGCTGTGTCTCAATTCATACACTATGCTGTACAAGGTGGCATGAGACATGAGCTCGTGGTGCATCATCTTACTGAGATGATGGGTTCATCAACTACAAAGAGGGAAAGGGGCGGTCTGGCAGTCTGTAATGATATGGTAGATGTGATAGATTGGCTGGATAATAGGTGCAAACTGGAGAGGCCTATGGTATAGGACCGTACTCGAGCTCACTTCTGAAGGGCTACGTACAAGGCTTCCAGGAATCAACTGAGATTGGAAACACCGAGGACACAAACATATCGTCTTCCCTCGAGAGATACCTACCCACATCTTTCCATCGTCTTATCTTGCGATCCTGCTTTGACATGTCCAGATCCCAACAAATCGGTACTTGTGTCAGGGCAACTTTTGGAGCCAGGCCTAAAGTGTGTGACATGACTCTTGGAAACCATTCGAGAAGTTGAACCGCGCAGCATGCACCCAGTCATGAGCTCCTGGCAGCGCTGTGATCAGTCCTACGATATCTTGTTCTGTGGAAACTCCACACAGCGACCAGTGGTTGGAACCGCATGTTGTTTATTCTATAGATTGCTGTCGCTTGTATTTGATGTACCTCGGATCGTCGACCTGCACGACAATCTCGTCGGCTCGGCCCGTTGACATGGTCTCCGACATGACGATGCCATTCATCAAGGTTGAATGATTAGTTTTTTTCTGTCTTGTCGCGGCAGGGGATAAACACGAAAGCCTCCGGTTTCTTCGGCATTGTATCTTCTTAGGCTTTGCAAATGTCGAGATACGCTTACCAATGTACCCGGTCACTACTTAACAAGAAAGCCCTGTCCTTTCCGTTGAGCAACTTTGTCCTATTCTAGATGCCACTTCGTTACCATGTCTGCTCCCATATCACAGTCCCTCTTTCTCAGACTGCCTCCGGAATTGAGGCTTGACATTTACAGACAGCTTCTGATACACAATCCGCACTGTGCCCCTGCGAACTCTAAGCCTACCTTCCTTCCCACCTCGATAGACTACCACGGCGGTCATCATACAGCGATAGAACACCCAGAGCCCGACGCTGTCGCTCTTTGCATACGTGCTGAGGATCCGGCCCACTACAAGTTGCGCGCGGCCAAACATGTGCGTAGTGCCTTCATAGTCCGCTCAGGCGGGTTGCGCCCTGGGTGTGTTCCGACGACATACTTCTGTGTGAGCAATACAGGCATCCACACAGCCATACTACGAGCGAACGCGCAAATCCACGCCGAAGCGTGCCAAGTGTTGTACTCGAACCATGTCTTCGACTTTGACATGCACATAGAAGCCCTTGTGGCCTTTCTCGCCGACTTGACACCATTCGCATGCAGCTGCATACGATCACTACGTCTGGTCAAGCGTGCACTGCCCTATGAGAAAGAGTACTCGAAAGCAGAATGGGCCACTGCCATGGAGTGGCTCGGAAGACTTCGCAGTCTGAAGTCGTTGACGCTTGGCATCGTTGCTGGAAGACCGGGTCAGGATGGATGGGAGACTGTTCCCGCCTTGAGATCGGCGGACTTCGATGTCCTCAAGGGTACCGAGGGCATGGAGTGGATAGAAGAGCTCCTTGCGATCAATGGCCTGGACAACATTGAAGTCGAAGCAATCGTCGTGCACTGCCCGTTTCCCAGAAGCGCAGCAATGGCACGTTATATCCAGTTTTCCGCCAGTGTTGATGATGGATCGTTTGCGGTATGGTTGAAGGACAACATGGCATAGAGGATCTGAGACCTGCACAAAAGCTATACGTTTGGGATAGACAAGTAGTTTCGAATCTCTGGGAGTGCATCAAAGTAACCAAGTGTTGGGAGAGCTTCTCACAGTGAACAAAATCTGAACAAGTTACTTTTGGTTTGTGAGTAGTGTGAAACCTGAGCATTATACGAAACGAACAAGGGATTGAGAAGCTGAAACTTTGTGTGCCCATTCCCGTACAGCTTGAAGTGCTCCGGACGCCAGAAGAGGAAACGTAAGCCGTGGTAGCAGCTTATACCTTGACCCAAAGCGACAAAACACTCTTTGCGTAGGCTGTGATCTCGTTGGAACCGATCTTCGAGTCTCCGTACAGACGGTCGACAAAGCTGATGGGGACTTCAGCAACCTTGAAGCCCATTGCCTTGGCTCTGACCATCATCTCCATCTGGAAGCTGTAACCCTTGCTCTCGGTTTTGCGAATGATCTCCTGAAGCACTGATTTCTTGTAGAGTCTGAAACTGCCAGTCAAGTCGCTGACACCCGGTCTGAGCAGAGTGTCGGCGAACAAGTTGGCACCTCTGCTGATGATCTTTCTCTTCAGGTCCCAGCCGTAAACACCGCCATCGCCAGCATAACGAGTTCCCGTGACGATGTCGTAGTCGGCGCCGTTCTCGCTCTGTTTCTTGATCATGCGAGGGATGAACTTGGGATGGTGGCTGAAGTCGGCGTCCATGATGATGACAAAATTGCCAGTGACATACTGCAGGCCGTGGACATAAGCGGTACCGAGACCCAGCTTGCCAGCTCGTGGTTGCAGCTTGATGCGTTCCGAAGAGTAGGCCTTGATGAGCTGTTTGGCGATTTCCTGTGTACCATCAGGCGAGGCGTCGTCGATAATGATGAGTTCCCAGTCCAGGTTGCTATGGCTCACTATCAGTATCACATGTTGGTCTGAGCTGGAGTTTCAAGGAGAGCGTCACTTTTCGGTGAAGGTCCTGTTCAGTAACCAGGCGATGATGGGAAGATTACGTCGCTCATTGTAGGTCGGAAGCAATACCGAGTACTTGTTGCGGACAGCCATGTCGATCGATTGTATAAGGTGGTGTTGACTGTGTAGGGAGAAAGGGGAAACAGTCGCGCCATCTGGAGCTTGACAACTGCTGCCAGCTGTTGCGGAGTCAAGCGCAGGGTTACCCCCTCGACACCAATTCACGAAGATGCAATGTCACATACTCCGTTGCTCAGCTCACTACACACCCGTACCAGTCTATATCCTAGTGTTTGGACATCAGACCCATCAGAGACCGAGATCGTTGAGCGGACTGGCTGTCACTAAAGGTTTCTTTGTACTAGGGAGAAACTAGACGAGTTATTTGAGCGGACTTGTAAAAACACATGACATGAGATGTATGCAGTGAATGAAACGATGCAATTGAGTCATTGGAATATCTACTCTTTCTTCTGCTGTTGCTTCCGTTTTTGCTTGCTTGCCTTTTCTGCAAGGAGTTGGTCTAGATATGTTCCGGATCTTTTCTTGCTTGGCCTCGCGTCATCATCATCGTCTTCTGATAATGGCTCAGTCTTCGAACCCTTTTGTGAAGTGGTGGCAGCGGTTCGAGAGGCAGGTCGAGCGGCCGCCTTTCTCTTCAATGCAGAGTTAGAGGCGACCATGGTGGCTCTGCCCTCGTCGTCCTCATCGTCTTCGTCGGCGTTAAGCTGATCTGGAGCGGATGGCTGCGAGGGAAGCGGCTTCTGAGCTGGCTGGGGTTTGGAAGTGGCCCTGTGGCCTCTAGCGGCCTTCTTGCCTAGTAACTGCTCCAGCAGCCTGTCATTGTTGGCACCGGATCTCTTCCTGAGCAGAGGGTCTTGATCGGTGTCGGGGGCGGTGGCGCCAAGTCCAAGGCTAGACGCTCTCAGTCCATCTCTTTCTATGGCAGAGGAAGCGACAATGCTCACAGCTCTGGTGTGGATTTGAACAGTTCCTCATCTTCCTTCAACAAGTCTTGATGGGTCTTGTGGTGCGCCGCGTCTTCAGTGGATTTTGTCGGCAGCCATGACTGGACCAGACGCTGACTGCGGGCAAGAGCGACATTCGCGCGGTTGAAGATGACATCAGCATCGCTGGGCGTGCTATCCTTGACCATGGTCGATGAGTTTTGAGTGACACACAGCGAGTAAACAATTAATAGGCTCGGTGATGGTTTGCGGGCTGCGGGCTGCGGAAGGCTGAAGCGGTAACTACCAATGTCGGCTAACATCGGGGGTCTCAAAGGCTTGGCGTGAAGATTGTCGGGAGAGAGAGTTGTATCTGCCTCTTCGCTGAGCCTTGGTCGACTGCACGAAAGCTCCATACCCGTCCTCTCCCCTCTACAAATCCGCCATGTTCAAGCTCGCCCGCAGCAGGCAGGTTGCCTCTGCGCTCAAGGCCGTCAAGGTTGGTCTTTCCCGCTCTGTTCTCCACGCAGGAGCCCCTCGCGACTGACACGGTCAACACAGGATGCGCCTGTCATGCAACAGAGACGTAACCTCTCCATCCACGAGTACCGCTCCGCTAAGCTCCTCGAGTCCTACGGCATTGGTGTCCCCAAGGGTGATGTCGCCCACTCGGCTGCCGAGGCCGAGCAGGTCGCCAAGAGCATTTGTATGCTGAACCCAACCCCGATAGCACAAACACGTGGCTCCGGTACTGATTCTTTCTAGCTGGCGACGACATGGTCATCAAGGCCCAGGTTCTTGCCGGAGGTAGAGGCAAGGGTCACTTCGACAACGGTTTCAAGGGTGGTGTCAGAGTCGTCTACTCGCCCAAGGAGGCTTCGATCCTCGCAAATGAGATGATTGGACACAAGCTCATCACAAAGCAGACTGGCGAGAAGGGCCGCATCTGCAACTCCGTCTACCTTGTCGAGCGCAAGTTTGCCCGTCGCGAGTTCTACCTCGCCGTGCTCATGGACAGAGCCAGCCAGGGCCCCGTCATTGTCGCTTCATCCCAGGGCGGTATGGACATTGAGGCTGTCGCCAAGGAGAACCCCGAAGCCATCATTACCACAAAGGTCGACATCCACCAGGGCGTTACCGATGACATGGCCAAGACCATCGCTACCCAGCTCGGTTTCTCCCCTCAGTGCATCGACGACGCTGCCTCGACCATCCAGAAGCTGTACAAGGTCTTCATGGAGAAGGACGCTACCCAGATTGAGATCAACCCCCTGTCCGAGACTTCGGACCACCAGGTCCTCTGCATGGACGCCAAGCTCAACTTTGACGACAACGCCGAGTTCAGACAGAAGCAGGTCTTCGAATGGCGCGACACCACTCAAGAGGACGCCGACGAGGTCAAGGCTGCCGAATCTGGCCTGAACTTCATCAAGCTCGACGGCGACATTGGCTGCCTCGTCAACGGTGCTGGTCTCGCCATGGCCACCATGGACATTATCAAGCTCAACGGAGGTCAACCCGCAAACTTCCTCGATGTTGGTGGTGGTGCCACCCCTGCCGCCATCAGAAGTGCCTTCGAGCTCATTACTAGCGACCCCAAGGTTACTGCCATCTTTGTCAACATTTTCGGTGGTATTGTGCGTTGCGACGCCATTGCTACTGGTCTCATCCAGGTCGTGCAGTCCATGAACCTCAGAATTCCCATCATCGCCCGTCTCCAGGGTACCAACGGAGAAGCTGCCCACAAGCTCATCAACGAGAGTGGCTTGAAGATTTTCAGCATTGATGACCTCCAGAACGCTGCCGAGAAGGCTGTCCAGTTCTCAAAGGTTGTCAAGATGGGTAAGTCACTCCTCCTCTCTTCCATTATCCAAATTCTGACTTGCTTTCTACAGCCCGTGACATCGATGTTGGTGTCGAGTTCTCTCTCGGTATTTAAAGGGCAGATATTGTGGCTTTGTAGTGGGCGGATTGTTCCCTTTGGGCGTTTAATTTGCAGACAGTCAATCACCGTCGATTGTATATACCTAGCGCTTTTCTCTCTGTCAGTGTGGAATCAAAGGACCGTTTCTTTTTCGTCGTCACGTATGCTTTCTTCTGCTTCGTTTGTCCTCTTCCGCTCTATAGCCGACACTCGGGATGCGTTGAACGGGATCAAGCGCGCATGGCAAAAATCGTCTACACAATCAATTGCACTGTCATATCCTATGCTGGCTACGTAAGATCCTACTTGCATTCAGCAGCACCCTGATGACCCCCTGACAAGCTTGCGCTTCGTGTCTCCAGATTATCTAACAAACTAAATCGCTAACTTGCGGGACCTCTGCCACGACTGAAGACACAAAGCGCTGTTCGGAACGCTGAGGCTTGAGAGGCCGTACAAGACTGCCGAAGGAGCCGATCCAGTGCCGAAGAACACACCCGTCTTCTCCCCGCAAAGAGATTCCCAAGTTCAAGTAGCTACCTTTAGCCATGGCTAGGATGGCGATGTATCTTTTCAGTCCCAGTTCCTACTCTGCTTGCCCGTATCTCTTAGTCTACGACTGATCCGCGTCACACTCCCATCGCCATGGCCAGCTTCATTCAAAAGGGTGCCAAAAACATCCTGTCCAAACAACCCAACGACGTCGTCTTCTTGTCAGCCCTGCGAACTCCCGTCACACGCGCAAAGAAAGGAGGGTTCAAAGATGCCTACGACCACGAACTACTCGCCCATGTGCTCAAGGCGACACTCGAGGCCAATCCCAACTTAGACCCCGCAAAGATCCAGGATGTCCAAATAGGCACCGTACTCTCAGAGCTTGGTGGTAGCAAGGCTGGCAGAATGGCTTCCTTGCACGTGGGAGTTCCGGAGACGGCATCCTTCCAGACTGTCAATAGAGCATGCTCCAGTGGCCTTGCTGCCATCACTGGCATTGCTCATTCTATTGCTGTTGGCGCTATCGACATAGGTATCGCTGGTGGTATGGAGAGCATGACAAGAAACTATGGTAGCCGTGCAATTCCTACTCAACTCTGGGACGAGCTCAAGAACACATCCGTCAAAGACGCCAAAGACTGCATCATGTCTATGGGTCTTACCGCTGAAAACGTAGCCGAGCGATACGGAGTCTCGAGGGCTGATCAAGATGCCTTCGCCGCCAACTCGCATCAAAAGGCAGCCAAAGCACAAAGAGATGGACTTTTCGACAAGGAGATCGTGCCAGTCAAGACAAAAACGCGCCCCAACCCAGAGACACCTGAGAACACCGAGGAAATCACTGTCAGCAAGGACGACGGCATTCGACCCAAGAGCACGCCCGAGAGTCTCCAAGCAATGAAGCCTGCTTTCAAGCCTGATGGTGCCTCCACAGCAGGAAACAGCAGTCAGGTTTCTGACGGTGCTGCAGCAACGTTGATGATGAGGAGAAGCACAGCCATGCAACTCGGACTCGAGAAGAACATCATCGGCAAGTGGGCGGGTACCCAAGTCGTTGGTTGCAAGCCTGATGAGATGGGCATCGGTCCTGCTATCGCTATACCCAAGCTTCTGGAGTACACTGGCATCTCCACAGCCGAGGTGGGCATCTGGGAGATCAACGAGGCATTTGCCAGTCAAGCCATACACTGTATTAGAACTCTCGGCATCTCAGAAGACAAGGTGAACCCTAAGGGAGGTGCTATTGCCCTCGGCCATCCACTAGGCGCCACTGGAGCCAGACAACTCGCCACTCTGCTGCCGGAGATGGAAAGACAAGGCCAGGAGATTGGTGTTATATCAATGTGCATTGGAACTGGTATGGGCATGGCAAGCTTGATTGTAAGAGAATGAACAAGTAGGCATTGGTGGTAAAATATAGAAGAGTCATACTTGGGTGTCTGTACGTACACCCCGCTTACCAGCATAGTGTCTGTGCCTTGCGACAATTCCTCTGGTCGTTCTTGTTTTCCTTATTGCAGTCCCAACATCAATTTAGGTACAGCTACGCTTGAAGTTCGCCATGTCCGAAGAAGCGGCAAGATCCACGTTGTACCAGATGATACTCGACATGTTGGTAAGCGAAGTGCGCTGTGACCAATCTGCTCACAGCAGAAAGATGTCGCCTTGCACAACATGCCTGGTGGCATAAGCTTGTACTATTCATTGCGCGCACTTGTCGAGCAACCATGTCATTGGGCGGGGAGGGGGGGGGGGGCATCTACCACTCCGCAATCCCAAGTCAGGAGGCCCTTTGCTTTGATCTACCTAGACACGCCGGTAACGAGCCCTCAAACTTCCCGGTTACCTCCCACATCGAAACACTCCGTCATAGAGAAAACTATACAGCACATGTTCTCGATTGGGGTTACCGTATACAGGACGCTGCAACGTCGATGGAGTATTGGAAGCCAAGCCAGTTGGAATGCTGCTCTCGGTTTCCATGGCAGTTGATTTCAACGGGCACCCAACCTCCTCCCAGCCACTAGAATACCAGCCATTTTTGTGCCCACCGACATATTAAAAAGCAGTCACCAGCAGGCTAGCACGCAGACCCACTTGCTCACACACCGCAACCAAGCTAAGTCTTTACTTTCGAGTTTCCTACCTGCCTCCTCCTTCTCCCATCGTCTCCTGCACGATCAGCTCACCACTGAAACCCACTCTTCATCTCTCGCTCCAAACCACATTCTCCATCACAAACTCCTGAAGAGCAACAATGCGTTCGGTTGCACTTGCTCTTGCGTACTTTGCTACTGGCATTCATGCCCTCCCTAAGCCTGCAGTGAGCTATGCAGTGGTCAATGTCGATGGTGGCTCCGCTTCGACGAGCACTCCGGCAGCACAAACGACGGTGGTCTCTACTCTCATCGAGTCGGAAGCACCTACGACTGTCTCACAAACTGTATACAAGACTGTGACCGAGTCGTCGGCTCCAGCCACTACCGTATCCGTCAAGACCGTCACTGAAGTATCGACTGCGGTTCCCACACATTCGAGCCCTCAATCTGTGGCTTCTTCAACATCAGCACAACCTATGGAGACACCCTCGACGCCGTCTCCGTCGCCATCCTCATCGAAGTCTACATCAGCATCCGCATCATCCATATCCTCGCCATCATCTTCAAGCACAGCATCACCTTCTTCGACAACCTCGACGCCATTGCTACCAGTCATTCAATCCTCGACGAACACACCATTGTTGTCAGGAGAGTCATCGACGTCTCACACGCTGAAAAGCAGCGCAACAACAAGCGTTGAAACATCGACGCGCAGCTCCACAACGACGCCAACAGTCTCAATCAACTCGATTGTATACGAAGTGACTGGCGGAGCTCTTACAACAGACTACGTGACCGTCACACTGTCTGGCAGCGCGCAAGCCACAAGCACGTCAACTAGCGCGGCATCGTCTCTGAAAGAATCGGCTGCCTCAATCGTGGTTGTGATTCAAACACAAACGGTTATCCCGGCAGCGGCCACCAAGTCGGCATCATACTATGACAACGGAATGTGGCACACGTCGTATGTGGTCAAGAACTTTCCTACGCTTGCCCCGAGTGCCGCAGGACACCATTGGAACAGCACCTCGCACTAGGCCGTGGCTCTTCGTGCACAAGGAACCGGATATGGAGATGATTGAAGATAGAATGGGGGATAAAGAGCGACGACTGCTGGCAGGCGTCTGGTCACGATATATACGATGGTGTAGAGTAATAATACATAGTAATGACACAGACAAATCACAAGAAGCATATTTGAGCACTACCGTGAGCGTGTAGCGTGTAGCGTGAAGATTGAGGAAGGGAAGGAGAGCAAGATGCGCAGAGAGAGTGGTCAGTGATTTCAACGCGATGGCGAGGTGGGATGGTTAGTGCGGAGGAGGCTGGAAAGCGGAAGGGCATCGGAAGGAGCGGCGGGCCGCGTGGGCGGAGCAACAACACGCTTGACGCGGAGGTCTGGCATACCGTCGTCATGCGACCACCGTGCTAGTGATTGCGCCGTCCTTCGTACCAACCCACATAGTACCTTCTCGAAAATGGCATCTCCCCCACTGGTCGAGGACCAAGCACGACTGCTTGAAGATGCCTTGACCGTCGTGCGTCAGCAGACGGTCTTGATGCGCCGATGCCTAGACACGCCTGGCAAGCTCATGGACGCTCTCAAGTGCAGGTATGTACTAGACCTAATCCTCTACACACGTCAATCCCTCTCGCTGACTTGTGCTACAGCTCGACCCTCGTCTCTGAACTACGCACCTCCAGCCTCGGCCCAAAGCAGTACTATGAGTTGTACATGTCCGTCTTCGATGCCTTGCGCCATCTCGCCGTCTACCTGCGCGATTCACACCCGACCAACCACCTCGCAGACCTCTACGAGCTCGTCCAGTATGCCGGCAACATCGTCCCGCGTCTCTACCTCATGATCACCGTCGGTACCGTCTACATGGGCATCGAGGATGCCCCGGTCAAGGAAATCATGAAGGACATGATGGAGATGAGCAGAGGCGTCCAACATCCCATCCGCGGTCTCTTCCTTCGCTACTATCTCAGTGGTCAGGCCAGAGACTACTTGCCAACTGGTCTTGGTGAAGGTCCCGAGGGCAACCTTCAGGATTCCGTCAACTTCGTCCTCACAAACTTCGTCGAGATGAACAAGCTCTGGGTCAGACTCCAGCACCAAGGCCACTCGAGAGAACGTGAACAGCGTACCAAGGAGCGTCAAGAGTTGCAGTTACTGGTTGGCAGCAATCTCGTTCGTCTCAGTCAGCTGGTCGATCTCGAAGCCTACAAGTCGTCTATTCTCCAACCCTTGCTGGAACAAGTCGTCCAATGCCGCGACGTGCTTGCTCAGGAATATCTGCTTGAAGTCATCACCCAAGTCTTCCCGGACGAGTTCCACCTGCACACGCTCGATCAATTCCTCTCGGCCACCGCCCGTCTCAACCCCCACGTCAACGTCAAGGCTATAGTCATTGGCCTTATGGATCGTCTATCTGCATACGCTGCCCGCGAGTCCGAGTCTGACGCTCCTGAGGATCGCGAGAAGGCTGAGACTGAAGCCACTACGAGATTACTGGAAAAGATGAAGCTCGCTTCAGAGTCCGCTTCAGCCTCTGACAACGATCATGCTGACAATCAGAACGGAAACGGCGATTCAAAACCCGAAGATGAGAATTCCAAAGAAGTCTCTTCTGATCAGACCACAGAAGATGCAACCAAGTCTGAAGTCCCAGAAGCAAATGGAGATACAAAGAAGCAACGGGCTATCCCGGATAACGTACGTCTCTTCGAGGTCTTCCACGAGCAAGTCATCCACCTTGTCAGCATGCAGAGATTGCCAATCCAAGACATCACCGCACTTCTTGTTTCGTTGATAAACCTCGCTTTGAACATCTACCCTGATCGGCTGGAATACGTCGACCAAGTTTTCCAATACGCCAACAAGGAGGTGGCAAGATTTGCCAACTCTGCGGATCTTCATTCGCAAGCATCTCAGGTCAACCTCTTGAATCTGCTTCTTGCGCCTGTCAAGACCTACGTCTCTCTCTTCACAGCTCTTGCAATTCCTAGTTTCATCCCGCTTCTTCATGCCCAACCGTACCCTACCCGTAGATCGGTCGCTGGAGAAGTCGCTCGTAGCTTGTTGCGCAACGAAACCAGAATATCAACTTCTGAAAATCTACAAGGAGTTCTAGAGATTGTCAAGGTCTTGATTAAGGAGGGAATGCAACAACCTTCTGGTTACCCCGGAGGACCGGTGCGAAGAGCTGCTGCAGAGACTGATGAGACTGTCGAAGAACAAGGATGGCTTGCACGCATTGTACACCTGATCCGTGGCGAGGACTGCAACACTCAGTTCAAGGTGAGATCGGGCTTTGTTTTGTCTTCTGCGTCTACTGACAGTAATTCTAGTTGCTCCAGCTCGCTCGTGATGCATATGCTCAAGGCAGCGAGCGTATCAAGTACACCACCCCTGCATTAATCACAGCCTCCTTAAAGCTTGCCCGCCGTTTCAAGGCCCGTGAACATCTGCAAGACGATTGGTCCAGCCAGTCCTCTGCGCTCTACAAATTCTGCCACACACTAATCTCCACACTATATACCAGAGTCTCCACACCCGGTGTCCCAGATCTGGCGTTGAGACTCTTCATTTCGTGTGGCTCCGTGGCCGACCAATGTGGTTTTGAGGAGGTCGCGTACGAATTCTTCGCACAAGCATTTACCGTATATGAGGAAAGCATCAGCGACTCAAGAGCTCAATTCCAAGCGATCTGTGTCATTGCACAGAGTCTCAGTGGCGCACGCAACTTCAGCCGGGAGAACTACGACACTCTCATCACAAAATGCGCGCTTCATGGTAGTAAGCTGCTCAAAAAGCCTGATCAATGCCGTGCAGTATATCTGGCCAGTCATCTGTGGTGGTCGGTCGAGAAGAACGCAGAGGAGAACGAGGAGAACAAGGAGAGCAAAGAAGGCAAAGAGGTATGGCGTAAACAGACAGAGAGCCCGAGTCGGTCATTGCTAACCTTCCGAACCAGCTTTACCGCGACGGCAAGAGAGTGCTCGAGTGTCTCCAGCGTGCGTTACGCGTGGCAGACGCTTGCATGGACACGGCAGTTTCTGTTGAGTTGTTTGTCGAGATCCTCAACCGCTACGTATATTACTTCGACCAAGAGAATGATGCTGTAAGTCGCTCATGCCAGGCTTTGTCATACATGGTACTGACACTAGACAGGTGACAACCAAGTATTTGAATGGGCTGATTGAGCTGATTCACTCCAACCTTAACACGAACGAGAACAGCTCGAGTCTAGACAACCCGAGAAGGCATTTCCAGCGGACGTTGGATTACATTGCAGGCAGAGAGTATGCTGGAGTCGAAACGCGACCTAAATGAAGTACTGAGTGTAGATATTATCATGCATATTCGACTCATTAGCCTCGTAGAATTATGTGGGCTTCAAAGAATAATGCAAACAAATGAAGCGTTTGTTTTGTTTGAGAGAGCAGCGACGTCACAGAGTGCCAGATTAGTTTCGGTCCACGGAGGAGACGTTAGTGCACGTCTGTCTGTTACCAGTAAACAACAAATCACTCCAGTCCCTCTGCATCGCAACAACATCCTCGCCCTGTTAAAACATAGCAAATCGTCGTATTCTTCGCCTCCGACAAAGGCAATAATCTCGCACCACGTATACCCCGACTGGGCGACAAAGAGAAGAAGCGCAACCTTGAACCGGACACTTTCGATCGAGCACACACGAGCACACGATCACACACCATGGGAGGCTACCTGTCAACTTTCTCTCGACTCGTATGGGCAAAAAAAGAGATTAGGATATTGATTCTGGGCCTGGTACATGAATGCCCACCAACAAACACTTGTCCGAACTGAAGCTGATGCTCTCGCCTCACTAGGATAATGCTGGAAAGACAACTCTTCTCTATAGACTTAAGGTGTGTTGAGCTCTAGTGTTGATGGCTATGCGCCGGTCTGATCAGATTCATCCGATAGATTGGCGAGGTCGTTACGACTATTCCAACAATAGGTTTCAATGTCGAGTCGGTCAACTACAAAAACCTCAACTTCAATGTCTGGGTATGCATATGTCACTGCCGCTAGTACGACACTCTGAGCGCGTTCTGATGTGCTTCACAGGATCTGGGAGGCCAGACATCTATCCGCCCGTATTGGAGATGCTACTATGCCAACACAGCCGCCGTGATTTTCGTCATCGACTCGACTGACGTTGACCGACTCGCGACCGCTGCCGATGAGCTTTCTGCCATGTTGAATGAGGAGGAATTGCGGGATGCTGCCTTATTGGTCTTTGCAAATAAGCAGGACCAACCCGGTGCCAAGGGAGCTGGTGATATCAGTGAAGCCCTTCGCCTGGGCGAACTCAAGGATAGGAACTGGACCATCGTTGCGTGTAGTGCCATCGACGGCAGGGGAGTCTCGGAGGGCATGGATTGGATGGTCGTAAGTCTCACTTCGTCGCCGCTGGTGCTACCAATATTGTGGCTCGCGTGATCCCGGAACACGTACACTGACATTATGCAAAGCAAACTGTACAATCAGACTCGCCGTAATTGAGCGAAGCCAGTGATTCTCCAAGAGAGTCTCGATCACGTCTAAGCACCATATGGCCGACTCCCAAGTCCACGTCGCTGGCCTCCCGTTGGCTTACCAAATTCTTATTTTATGATACCCACTCTGTAATTACACGCTCTCTAGCAACCACGTCGCCGGTCCCTCTGTGAAGCACACTATTGGGTAAATCGGGAGGTTGTACTTCAACGATTCCTTGTCCCCGATTAAGCCACCCTTCAAGTCACAAGACATTCGTCAGCGTGTGACTATATGTTCTCAAGGTCCAAGCGCTCAGTAGAACGCGACAACCAATCCATCAGACAAGCGAGTAGATGTGTAGAAGGTCGCTCAATTTCTTCTCCTGAGTACGCAAAGAAGCAATCCGAGCAAAAGCCATAACTGTACCAGTACGCAGCTTCAATCCCTCCCAGTCCTGGTCATGCCGATGGCATAGAAGAGGTCGTATGAGATCTGAGCCTACATTTGCTCACATCTTCGCCCGCCCCGATAATTGGCAAAGATTTGCGCGACATTGGTGTTGCTTTCAGTCAACGATTTTCGGTCCCGGGTCATGTTCTTGATCCCATACAGCTACTTGTAGTAGTCCACATAGTCGTAAAACTGTCGTTCAATGCAGCAAATACATTTTGTTGCTACAAGGTCATGTGCTTCAACGCTACTTCTTGCAAAGAAGTGACAATCCAGAGCTCTCGCGCTGTGTTCCCGTTTCCGCGCTCCAAGCGCACGTGAGTTTAGCCCGAAATAGCTAGAGCCGCGGCCCCTGATCTGGTGATCGTGATTTCTTTCAAGCAGGGACGCTCGACCAGCATAGGCAAGATAAGTCGCAATGACGGTATTCGCCATGCGCACTCGGTCACTGAAGCATTGTAAACCACAGCAGATGAGTTGTCACGGTCTGACTTCTACTCGAGGAGAGATGGACACATAATGTCAGGGTCATGTCTGCAGCGGAATCCCGCATTCTCGATCTTGGCAGCATGTCCATCGCTCTTCTTACTCGCCAATGTTCTGTATCTGTGCCATTCCTTCCAAGTTCACTGCCATGATAATATGCGACATACAGCGTGATTGATGCCGTCGGCTTGGAGCGGACATCGATTATGTGGTTTAGCCGAGGGCGCGGGATCGGCTCAATGTCGATCGGCTCGCCGACAGCTTGATCATCTCCCAAGTCCAGCAACACACCTCGGCACAGTGCTCAACCCTGTAGTTGATCACCGCTCCAAACATCCATATCGTTCCTACCATGCCTGTCATTGAGGTCGCAGACATCACGCTAGTTGCTGGAAGCAATGTTTTCGATCAAGGTAGCGAGGCAGCTCGTATCTGGCAGGGAATGATCGATACCATCTCACAACAAGAGGGCTTCGAGTCTCTCTACTCCGGTTTACAATATGAGAAACCAAATGTCGCTCAATTATTCATAGGTCGGTCCATCTCGGGTTCGCGGACCACAGGAGGCTAAGATGTACACTGATCCATTTATATAGTTTGGACCGGATTGGAGTTCAATGAGAGATTTCAGGGCCGCCATATCTACCGACAGATGTTGAAGAGTCTCGAGCCGATTATGGACGGACCACCACAGCTTCTGCATCTCAAACTCGAATCGTGCAACCACCTCGCCTCGGCTCTGACTGCCCCAGTGACTGAGCTCGCAACACTCTATCTAACAGCTGAGACGTCTTCCTTCTACAGCAACCTGGGCGCGTTTGCGAAGCTTCTTGTCGATCACGCGCAAGGGTTTTTGGGCGCCTCATATTCCTTCAGTATCGAGAACGTCGAGCACGAGGGTCTCGGCGCAGGTGTGAAGGGCAAAGCTTGCCAGCTCGCCATTGGATGGACCAGTATCTCTGCTCATCTTGCATTCAAAGAAACCAATGCTTTCCGCAAGGGCCTCGAGTATCTGCAAGAGGCGCGAGGCTCCGAGATACACCACACGACCTTCCAAACTCACGCCTAACAATGTTTGGCTGCGTCGATCAATCCACTATATTATCGATGATCGCTCCGTGTATGTCCATCACTTCGCGGAAGCGAGAAATATGCTTGGTGAGGGTTGAAGTTGCCGAGGTTGAAGTCGCCCATAGCTCCGATGGTGCCCAGTTCTGCATTGGGAGCAAAGTATTTGTCCCACTCGTTCTAGTACAATCAGTTAGCAAAACAGATCCAGTCGACAATGTAAAGACTCCCAAGGATATCACTTACCCAATCCATGTTGGCCACAGCCTCCATTCCTGGATCAGTTGAGGAATCGCGGTTGACACCTGTATGACTTCCACTAGCATCTGAGGCGGGACCTTGTTCTGTATGAGGCAACTGAGAATAAACCATGGTAGGGGTAGTGAACGTTTGAGCGGATCGTGTCATGTGTGGTGCCGAGATAGGCGTATTTAATTGTGAGCTTGTCGAGGGTCCAGGACTAGATTGGCTTTGGACGTCGGCGGTGGCGCGTAATTTACGCACGCTGTGATATTTCTCTAGACGGTCCCGAAGCGTGATGATAATACCTTCTGCTTTGTCCGTCATGGAAGATTGGGGTGGTGTCTCAAAGATATAGTCAAGACTGCTCCAGATCCGTGCGGCCTCAGGCATCTCGGGTCTGGCGTAGACTTCGAAAACCAGAAGCACTGCAGCATGATACTGTAGGATGGCTCCTCGATACCACGCCCATGTTGCTAGCTCTGGACGAGTTTCCATAGCTACCCCAGCTTCAACGGTTCCCATACATGCCTCGATCAATAAGTTGCGAAGTCTCTCTGGCATAGGATAATTCGTTCCCACAGCGTATCGCTGCAAGATGACGACCAGAGCCCGATTGCTCGAAGCGCGGTACATTTGCTTGGCCAGAACTTGCTTGGGTGTATTACCTTGAACCAAAGGTGAGTACTTTGCCTCGGTTGTCGCGCGGAACTTCTTGATTCTATTAAGGACGGATGTCAAGGAGAGCTTCTTCTGATCCATACGTTGCATGTCCACCCATAGCTGGCGTATGAGCTCGTAACACTCGAATTTGAGCTTGGAAAGAGTCATGTCGGTCCAATAGGGCAAATCATCCACGGGCGGGGAGGCTGACATGAGATCTGTATCATTGACGTTGAGAGGCAGCTTGGTGTCGTACTCTTCTCTGCGAATCTGGGGACGGGGTCCGGTAGCTTCGCAGGTTCGTACATCCAGGAAACAGATTTGGTACCAGATCAGTCTTCGAACATGAGTATCCACAGCGCTAAGGCCGAAGGTGGTACCATCGCGATGAAGTCCCATACATTGTGCAAGTCGAATGGCTGTTCCAACGAGGGCCGAATGTGCTCGAGAAATCTCTGTCCGACATAGAGGAAGCTGACCACATTAGCTTAGTCAGTGCCTCGTTCGAAACCGTCTTACCATGTAAATAATGAATGCTTGCATAGTGTCTATTTTTGTCGTTCTTAAAAGGTTTGCTCTCGATAGCATGAACTCGGTCATCTCACGGAGTCTATCGACAAGTGAATGCTTAGACATCTCTGAAAATGATGCAGCTGTATCGTTTGGTAGACTGACAGCCGCTGAAAACATTGCTGCAAATAAGATGGCCTGGATAGGAGCTGGCGTTATGGTGCCGTTGGTAAGATTGCTCCAGAACATTGTGTACTGTCTCTCAAAACTTGGTTGATGTACGAGTCGAGCAACTGGATGCACAGCATTGAGATATTGTGTAATGAGTCGATCAGCGACGTGCCGAGGTGGCAGGAAGTAAGCCGTCATGGGGTCCGGGAAGAACAAATTCGAAGAGGGGACAATGAAATCTGGTCCGGGATTGAGAAACGGCTCCTGAGATACCGTCCCAGGCTGCCATGGCACTGTGGAATCGCTATATCCATGGCGTTGACAGTACAGATTTTGACTCTTGTGATTGGCGCTGCGTAGCTTTGCATTGAGCTGGTGGGCAGTCAGTACGAGAGAGCGAAATCAAGGACTACATCCTTCACGTTACCTCATCAGACATTTTCGGTCGCACTGCGCTAGTAAGCATTGTTTACTTGAAGACCAAGCTGTTGAGCAGCACTTACCTAAACCACCTACTCTATCCGACATTCGCAGCTTACCAAGCTGAATCCCCAGGTCCATGAGTCCATCGTCGGCATCGTTGTCGTACACTTGGTCAAACATGCCTAGGGGAGAAGGCTCAGGGTCCTGTTCATCATCCGGCGACAAATGATCATAATCGTCGTCCTCATCCTCGATCTTGGGAACTACCGAAGATCGATCGGATCCAGATTTGGCGGCAGCACGGCGAGCAACATCACGTTCAAGCGTTTCCTCAAGATCGCCGAGTCGGTCCTTGATTTCCGCCAACTTTTGTTGAGCAGCAGTGTCCAGAGCTGGAGCAATGTACAAACAGTCCCTCTGAAAGCGCTGACAGTTACCACACGGGACCTGTTTGTCGCATTTCAGCTTGCGCTGACGACAACTCAAGCCTAGGAAGAGTCAGATGGAATGGCCTGAAGCGCAAACGATTGGTCCGTACATGATGCGATGGTCCTGTTGCGGCGACGGATTTTCTGCTGCCCTTGCGGGAGGTCGGCCGGTCTGCTCTTTCTCTCGGCCGTAGCTTTCGAGGGTGGGTTATTGTGGACGGCGTATGGATCCGCCATGATGATGATGGCTCTGCCGTACAGTGTTTGATACGCCACCAGTTTTTTGAACACGCAGAAATATCGAGAGCAAGTCACTATTGTAATAATGGATAGAAAGAAACAACAGCCCAAGGTCAGGTGACCAGATTTTCAACGTGCTGTAAACTCAATGTCGCGGTTTGGACTCTCTGCATGTGGAGCGTGCTGTTCTCGACCTTGATGATCTTCGCTCCCGCTGACGATGACTCTCCTCTGATCCGATGTTACTCGTCTGGCTCATCGCACTCCGAGCTCGCTACTTGACTTTGACGCTTCGTATCGATGCGAAACCCTTGCCTCTCCTACACTTCACACGCTCATTCGTGCTTGTGCGATACAAAGTACATGATCTGCCAAGTCCTCGGACGGGCCGCACCGTCAACATGGGCACTAGCCATGCATGCATTCGGGCCTGAGCTTTCAATTTGACAGCACGCTATCAGCGACAACAATACCTAGGCTATCGCGCCAAAGTCCCAAAACACTGGGCGAAATTCGAGTGAAGATCACGACTTGGAAACTCTCTTGTCAGACAGTTGAGCTCAATTGAAGCTACATGGACGCGGTGATAAATCCAGTTGCCGGGAGCAGACTGTCGGCCGTTTGATAGTGATTCTCGTTTACTGATATTCATTATTCTACAGTTGTGCGTGATGAAGCCTACGACCATACACTCGGACATGGAGCTGCTCATAGATACTTCTTATCCGGATCTAGTTTATCGAACAGATCCATAGTCTTCTCGTACCTAGTAGCCAGAATTAGCAAGCTTCCACTATAATGTGGATAGCATAACATACATGGTGAAAACTATACCGCCGCTCAAGATGAGTCGACCAAGTCTGGGCAAAGCTCCCGACCAGAGAGTCAAGAAGCCTTCTTCTCGAACAACACGCGCTGCGCAGTTGAAGCTGTTTTTATATTCGGTCTTTGCTTCGATAGACTGCATTCTCGTCTTGACAGTATCCAAGGGCATGGTGACATATCTATAAGAGGATCAGTGGCTGACGATTGAAGGTTTTGTTGGAAACATACACTGTGATGATACCAGCTACTCCGCCAATACCAAAGGTGCTCATGGCGCCGAGCTTCTCGCCCGGAGCAACATAGCTCTGCGCCAATTGTCGCAGGCTTGTATAACTACTGAATCTCACGGCCGAATTTGCTGCTTGTCTTGCCGTGGTAGGGACGAAGCCCTTGAAGAAGCCACGCACACCCTGCTCATGGGCAATCAATCTACTGCCGTGGAGGAAGCCCTTCATCCTGGGTTGAGCTGCCTTGCGGTCGTCGATCAGTTGGGTCTTGATGCTCTCAAAAGGAGTGACGGCCAACAAGCTCTCAGTCACGCCAGCACCGAAGCCAGCCATGACGGTGGCAGGGCCGCTTATGGTGCCGTCAGGGCTCGACAACATGTTCTTGTATGCATCGAAGGCGACGAAGCGAACGGCAGCCTTGATGGAGTTGCCAATGATCAGGGTAGTACAGCCAGCATACCACTGACTACCAAACGGCGGCCATGGGAGCTTCTTGCCTTCAGCGAGGCGACGATTGAGCTGGGATCGGGTCTTTGCGAACTCGGCGGGATATGTGATTGCGATCTCGACGGCACCGGCGCTGGCACCAGCTATTACGGAGCGCAGAGCTGACGGTTTCCGTTTTTGCTCAACAGGCGCGGCGGCGCTCATGGTGTGGAAGAAAGGGCCTCGTGGACGGACAAGCGATGGATGCTTCTGAGGTAGATAGCTGGTAAATTCGACATTTGAGCGCAAGCGTTGGCGTCATTGCCCATGTACATGCAGCGGCCGAAGGCCGAAGGCGGGGCGGGCGGCGGGCGGACTGTTGCTGGCTCCTCCGAAGTTTCGCTTTTCGAAGCTGCAACTGCCCAGCATCACAACTTAATCTCCACTCGAACATTACATTGTCAACCCGCGTCAAGATGCTTTCTTTGCGCCAACTCTCCCGTCAACTGCCCCGTGGTCTTGCTCGTCTGAGCTCGACTGCCGCCCGCCAGCCGCTCCGCACACCTGCTTTTGCCGCCGCCAGATGTGCTGCCGCCAACTTCTCCACCTCTCTGTCCCGTCGCCAGGGTGTGTCTTCGTCTCGCATTCCTCTTTTTCGTCTGTCGCTCATGTCTGCTCTCTAGATGCCACCACCCAGGAACTCGCTGCCAAATTGAACTCGGAGATTGCTCTCGAGAAGGAGCAGCAAGCAGACGACAGCTACCGCTACAACTGTCAAGAGTATATCGATAACAGCGACTTTAAGATTGAAGACAAGACCGGTCAAGAAGAGGTCCATCTCACCAGATCATACGGAGACGAGAGGTTTGATCCCATTTTGCCCAACTCCGCGCGCCACTAGCTAACCAGCCATGCCATGTACAGTATCAAGGTCACTTTCTCAATCGCCGACTTCAACACCTACGACGAGGAGGCCGACGCCGAGGACCCCGCCCTGTACGGTGACGAGGACAGTGCTCTAGACATGGATGGTCAGTCTGGGGGTGCCAACACAAAGGGCGCCGTCAACCAGGGCCGCACCGCTGGTGGCAACATTCGCGTCGCCCCCGAGGACGATGTCGCGCCTGCCGACAGACCCGAGCTCCAAGACGAGGAGGATGGTTCGGCAAGCTTCCCTGTCCGCGTCCAGGTCACCGTGACTCGCGAAGGCAAGGGAGCTCTCGCCATCGAGTGTCTTGCCCAGGACGGAGAGATCAGCATCGAGAACGTTTACCACTTCCCCAACGCCGAGCTGGCTGAGGCAAAGACGGCCGAGAAGGACTGGGCGCGAAGAAGCCTGTACACCGGCCCTCCGTTCGGCCAGCTTGACGAGGATCTTCAGATGCTCTTGGAGAGATTCCTCGAAGAGAGAGGCATCAACACACAGATGGCCCTCTTCATTCCCGAGTACATCGACTTGAAGGAGCAGAAGGAGTATATTGGGTGGTTGAACAGTGAGTATCGAAGGGTTGCAGGCATTTGCGCACAGCACGCTAACGAGCTTCGCAGACATGAAGACATTCGTCTCGTAGAGCCGGACTGAAGACTGAAGAGAAAGGGATTGTACACTACGAAAAATGCAGGACGTTGATGTGGAAGTGTACGAAGTACGCCACGAGAAGCGAGAAGTTAATTATATTCCATTCCACTCAAGATCGATGAAGGCGTTGAAGACAAATGATGCTCTGTGCAGATGGATGCCAGATGATACATTGACGTTCGTGTGCTTGGATCATCAGACACAGCTGCAGGGAGATCGAAGACGTGACGATAGAGCTGGTGTCAAAGAGGAGGTAGGTGGTTTTGAGAGGCTCGACGAAGGTTCAAGGTAGAAAGGGTAGAGAAATAGTAAGAAGCGACAAGCGAAAGATGACATGAATGTGGGGATATTGATATTCTGAAACAAGGGTGGGGATGGCAACGCAGGGTCCTGCCGTGCTCAGTATTGTGCCTAGGCAGCTAAGCAAACACCAAACTGCGCAGCTTGACATGATTTCAACATCAACGCACATAGCATAGCACACATCATGTCGGCGGTACCTCCAACCTTGATCAATCTGCCTCCCCCGGACATGGACGCTCTGACGCCCTCCGATGCCCCTGGCACTCCCAATTCTACCACTACCTCCATGTCGGAGCTATCCACGTCAGTCATCATTCCCTCTGGCCATGGACGACTTTCGTGCCAGCTGCTAACACGTCCAACAGAGTTGCTATCAAGGACGGTCATCGAGGCCATCTGCCTCACTCGCATCATTCACAAGCTGGTCCCACCTCGGGTACTTTGGATGCTGAACGAGCCGACCGCATCTCACGCCTTGCGGGCCTCGAGCGTGTCACGACTGCTCGTAATCCCACCCCTACCTCCAACTTGACTCCCGGCATCGCCGCTCCGCATTCGACCGCCGTCAGTGGCTACTTCGATTCACAGGGAAACCCCGTCATGGGCCGCGAACGTAGCACTGTTGGTTCCGCTTCGGCAACTGGTAGCGTCGGCGGCCGCACTACCTGGGCCAGTGGAAGCGATGTCTTCGACCACGACAAGATGAGCGAAAGCCAGGACACGGATATGGATACTTCAAGCCTTGGTGCAGCTTCCGAAACAAACAGCCTCGTTGGCTTTGGAGAAGGTGCTCGCACCCCTGCGCGCCACAGTGCCGTCGGTAGTCCCAGCGTAGCAAAGAACACTCCCACAGCATCGGCTCTGCCCCAGCCCTTCCAAAGGGACGCCAGCCTGACTCCTGTCAGTGCTCAGGCCCAGTCAGAACAACACGACCTTCACATGATCGACCGCAGAACTCTCGACAGTGGTGCTGAGACTGCTGAGCGCATCATGCGTGAACGTCTTGGTCCAGACGGTGGTCACAGAGCTCTCGAGTCGCCCGATTCTTCTCGCGGTCCGGGACGTGACTTGGGTAAATTTTATTTCGAGTCTGGCAAATGATCTGCTCAGGACCGTTACCAATGTGGTCCTCGACACACTACTTACCTTTACATGACTGTACGAAATGAGGAACGAATCCGCCTTTGTTTTTTTCTCTAATATATTATGACATTGCATCGAGGCGCCTCCCAACCCTGGTGATCAATTTGCCCTCACGTTGCATCGAGATGGTGTGGTGCCTGGAGGACGGAATAGCAGTATCCATCAAGACACTTTGGTTTCCACGGTACACCACGTAATGCGCCTATACCATAATCAGAACATTACAACTTTCTATTGGCATGGCACAAAGTCGTCGTGACTACCACTTTCTCGTGTTGGTGTGGTTTGGAAGCTGGTGGGAGCGGCCAGCATTTGCTTTCGCTTTCTTGACATTGCCACAACTCGGCAACCACATCTAGCTATAGCGCCATCAGATCCAGAACCAAATTCTTTGACATAACATTGACAATCCATGACCGACATCAGCAGGATACAGGCACGATATCGACCCACATGGATGCTGGAAACACATGGACAGGGTGACTGGGCCCCAAAAAAAGACGCTCAACGCTCTAATGCTGACTGGTAGAAGCAACAAACAAAAGAAATCAGCCTGTGAAGACAAATCTCGAGAGACTAAGAGGAAAGCCAGACCGAGGATGGGCACCTTGCTCCTCTTCATCGGCTTCCTCTCCTTCGCTATCCGGGATCAGAAAGTCCTCACTGCCTTGAGAGAAGCACGGTTTGCTAGCACCACTAGACTGTGTACCGTGACACGTCGTCCCACTAAGCGGCAGAGACTGGGCAGCATACCAATCCGCTTCGTTGATATCGTCGTCCGTGTCTCCGAGTTGGCTGGGCTTGAGGATCTTTCGGTCCACCAATGGCGAAGAACACGGTACCACACCGTCTTGCTCGCCCCTTTTACGCTTTGTGTCCTGCGTTGTCGAGGGATGCGTTACATTACTACTTGAGGTCGTATGCTGGTGAGAAAATCTGGCTCGCAACGACTGCAACTCGTCCGCCAATCCCGCGGTGAATGGCGTTCCGGAAGTCGTGCCAGAACTCTCCTGTGGCACATCAGAGGTGTCTGGATCCTGAAGGACAGAGAGCTTTCTTTGTGGTCCCGCTGAGTTCCGTCTTTCCGTCTTGTCCGCTATCAACCCCATGGCTTGCTCGACTGAGTCGTCGGACCAGAGATTGAACTCGTCCTTTGAGGATCCATCTGTCTTATCGGGCGGGGGACTCTTGCGAGATCCACCGGGTTTGAAGAATTTGCTCGTCCCAGATTCAACCCGCCCCGCTGGGTTTGACGAAGGAGACGCGTGAACCTTACTAGAGCACAATCGTTGACGCTTCGGTGAGTTGGAATCATCCCGTGGGTTGTGGAAGGAGGCGCGCCGCGGTTGCTGAGAGCCTACAGCAGAAGCTATCTCAGAAAACAGAGGAGGTCGACGAGCTGGGGCAGCAGACCAAGATGCCGGACTACGTTGCAATATGCGCTGTTGACTGGGCGAAGGTGTAAAGCTGTTTGGATCGAGCTCTGCCAGAGGTGTGCGTTGAGGCTTGAAAAAACTGTCGATGGATTTGTGTTTTTTCAAGTCGGGTGTCTGTAGAGCTTGCGTGCGGCTGCGGTGGATGGATGGGAAGGGATTGCGCACAATCTTGGGTGGGCACAGAGGCTGCTTGGTATGAGGGTGGAGATCACCGACAGCCACGGCAGCTGCGATATCAGCCTCGACACACTTGCCAATGCACGGATAGCTCTCCAAGTCCACATCAGACGCAGGTTCACTAAAGTTGACCAGACGACGAGATCGAGGACAGTAGACCCATTGATAGAGAAATGTTGCTTCCGCAGCGGCGAATGCATCGAGATAACCAGGGGGCACCTTGATCTTCCCGTCGAACTGCACAGAACGTATGATGCGTTCGAGCGTTTTGTGCTTGCGAATCATACGGTATGCAGTCTTGAGACCCATCTTCTCGATTCCAGGAAGATAATCACAGCCATTGAGTATTGCCATAAGTCTGAAGTCAGCGTCGGACCAGCCGACGAGACTGATGTCGCGGCAGGCAGTGAAATCATCTCGATTGATCATGATACACTCACCATATTGATCAAGCTTAGTGAGCAGACAACGGGCGCCGAACACAAGAAGGTCAGAGTCCTCGGAGATGATGCCGTGAACCAGGCCGCAGCGTTCCAGATAGACCATCTGTGAGTCGGCTTCGTAGGGAGCGACGACATATGGAAGGTCAAGACCTTTCAACTCGTCGATGAGTTGACGGGCCATCTCGGGAGTCACATCGATACTCTTCTGCAACTCGGCCTGAGCCAATGAGGCCTTTCCCAGACGCAGGAGCTCGAGGCCCTTTACTTTGCTCTCTTTGCGACGGTGAGCGCGGTCCTTTTCGGTCCCGGCCTTGCTAGGCAGATAGTCGCCATCAAAGACAAGGTATGGAGTGATGTTGAAATGTTGAAGCATACGAACTCGATGCAGAACAAAGTCGAGCCATTTCCTGGTGGGCTTGCCCTGGGCTAGCTCGATTGCACAGGCGACGGTGCCCCTGTGTAGCCAACCATAAGCGTCAACAGCCAGGGTTTGACCAGAGAAGTGCTGCTTCAAGTGGCATGGCTTGTGAATTGACTTGAGCAGAGGAAGCAGACCCTGAATGCCCATGGTGAGTGACGATCTAGGTATCCATGCTCTGCGAGCGGCCAGCAGAAGACGAGTCAACGGGTCGCGGACGAGTACGAGTAGATATCAAGGGCTGCAGGTGGCGTCGAAATGGCAGGCGCGTCCAGGACTCCAAGCGCGTCTCCTATGGCGCCAGGCCAAATTTGAAATCGTGGGGTAAGGGAGATATGGAATCTCGGATTTAACGCTGCGGCTTGCAGCGAGAGAAAAGCAGAAAATAAATCACCTTGACCACAACATCCACATAAACCATGCCGTCCAAATTCGCAAAAGTACAGAAGCAAGTCTCCAAGAAGAAGGGTGGTGCTCTTGCATTGCACGAGAACAGTCGCGACGCTCTCCGTCTTCGCGGCGCTGTTGCAAGAGACGACCGCGTTGCACGCCTGGGCGCTGTGCGTGAAAAAGCAAACGATGTATACCGTACGTGTGCCCTCTCTCACGACTGACAACTGCACCCGTCTGACCCGATGATGCTTGCAGTCAACCGCATCCTTTTCCTTCAGGACGAAATCCCGGACCCATTGCGTCCTATGACCGACGCCGAGGTGCACGATGCCATTGCAAGATATCTTCACCGTGAAGACGAGACTCTGGCCACAATCAAAGGCGAACGCCGCTCAGGGCGCCCCAAGAGCACAAGACAGAATTTGATCGAACAGCAACAAGATCACGAGCAGAAAGAACACGAGTCTGGCTTATGGATACCCGACATGCAGAACGAGTCTAACCTCACAAAATTGAGTAACTGGAAGGGCGAGTGGATGGCCCTGAGCTGTCTCAGCTTTGTGAGAGTCGACAAGACTGGCAGCATCAGAGAGAGCGCCTTTCCACCAAAGGGTGCCTCATGAACCTTCGCTTGTGCCACATAGGTAGCCGTCCGCCGAGTACTAGCTTCGTCTTGTCTCTCGCGTCGTCTGCTATCACGCCTCTTCCCTTACGCCGCAAGGACGGCATCTCTCGTCTCATGGGTTGGACGTCCAATCGCCATGATCATCTTGACAGCGCCCATGTCATCACTGCTATAGGTCAGTGTTCCGCACGCTCCTCACTGCTCGACGCGCAAACAGCGTCGATGAACCACGAAGCCAGGACGCCCGATAGAAGACTACCCTCTGTCTTGAGGTTGGGGTATCCACTCGTAGTCAAGGCCATAAACTCACTTCAAACAAATAAGCAAATGTGTTCGTGTGCTTGTTGGTTCTCGTTGACTGAGGCCTGTCAGCTGTACCTAGTCTTACATCCAAAGGGTATTATATACATCTCAATGGTCGCGGTATCCACCTACCATCTCCATCGCAACGTCTTCTTCTCTACATATACCGAGCCCGAGCTCTAGTCAGCCTCATCGGGCAGTGTACACACTGGGCAACCGCCTTGAACAGCTCGCTTGATCTGGTGCGCGTGCTCGACTTTTGTCCGCACGCTTCTGCTACTTGTGTCGTCAAGCTCTTCGTCTTCCGAAGACCTCCTAATTTGTAATCCTTCGATATCGGCTTGATCAGCCTTCGTGTCGAGATCAAGAAGACAAGAAAGATGAAAGACGTGGCCACAATTGAATCCGACGAGTGTCTCTTTCTCTGCGTCAACGTTAGCGCTTGTACAGATGCCGATCATGCCGGGCATAGCTTACCATCTTGATGGAACATGTCTTTGCAACCAACGCAATGTCCTGTATTAGGGCCATGGTTGGCGCTGATATCGTCCACACCATTACCATTGATGATTGGCACCGTATCAACATGCACCTCGACATCATCAGCTTTTTCATGTGTGACCTCGAACTTCACTGCTTTCTTCTGTCCTGCTCGAAGCACGTCCATGCCCGACGTTACCTCTCCCCGTAGCACTTTGGCAACGCCATCGCTGATGCTGTGTTGTATCTCGTATTCGCGTATCATCTTGCCAATTCCTTCCCTCAAGCCCTCAATCTCTAGCCCATTTGGTATCCGCCGTACCAATGTAATTGGGTTGATAGATGTGCCGACTTCTTCCAATAAAGCGCGAATAAACTTCGGCTTGTCCATGCTGTAGTCCAGCAGATCGTCCCAGAGATCAGGATTCTCTTTGGTGAAAGAGATGGCTTGGCTGACATCGCCGAGTTCTCCAATGATCAGGAACAAGGCTCTCTTGGTTTGTCCAGTCTTGCTGAGAAGATACACGAGCTCCGGCACATAATGTTTGTCTTCACAGATATGCGATGCCTTTTCGTACGTGTACGACGTTGAGGCTCGTAAAAAGTCCATCAGAAGTTCACGATTATACTCCGCAAACAGCGTCACGGCCAAATCGCCGTATTGTTCCACTAGCAATCTGCCTTCCTCTATCTGCTGCTGAAGCTTCATACGCTCGACTCGACTGATTGGTGCTTGATTATCTGTCGTCCGTCCTGTCCAGAGAGCATGGAGATAGAAGAATAGAAATGGTTGGTAACTGGATCCATGTTGCTCGAGCTGCGACACGACCACGTCGGGTCGGACATTGCCTGCAAAGGCTTCATCAATCAGTAGTCGGACGACCTCTGCGGAGGATTCTTCGAGTTCTTCCAGGGATGCTGTCTTCATTTGTTCCTTGGATACACGAAGCATCAATAAACCAGGAATATCGTCGGAGACAGCATCAGCTAGATGGTATTCGCGGATCAGTGACATCGCAGCATCGCCGTTTTGTAGTCGGACGTAACAGCGCAAGGCATCTGTCGTGCAACCCTCAGCCAGGTGCAGCTTTGCTAGTCCATCCAACAAAATGCGCCAGTCTCTTCCTTGCTCACCTCCTTCCACCGATTCCTCGTTAACATCACTCGAATCAAGTTTGGTTTGGATGGCTGTCTTGACACTGGTTATGTCGAATAACTCGGGGTCCCAACGATCTAGGAGTTCGCGGAACCGAGGTCGATCATGGCCAATGTAATGACCAAGGATGACTTCGTATACAAACGATGGCAACGCAGGCTTCAGGTCGGTACTAGGAATGTACGGCGTGATCTCATCGAAATGGCCATCTTGTGCAAATGCCAAAACCCATTTCTCCCATCTGGAAGAGGTGCCGAGAACCTGGCCAGCTACTTTTCCTGCTGTCGACCATTCGTCGTTCGCAACAAGCTGCTGTAGCCACAGGTCACCCACCCTTTGCTTTTCTTTTGTGGCAATGGAGTTTTGTATCTTTTCGGGAGACATGGTAGTCTGGGATATGTCCTCGTCGGCAAAGAAGTCTGCCAAGCTGTTCTGCGCCCGCGTAGGTCCGCTCGGTGACGATGGTACAGATCGACGATCACTTGGGGTGCTGACTATGCCAGGGTGATCATCAATCAGACTCCAAGCTTTCCCGTACTGTTTGCGTTCCAACAGCCATCCAAGATGATCTGCGAGCTCACGTCTGATAGCAAGGACGCAATCGTAGGGGCTGTGGACGAAAAGCTTGAGGCCTGTTCGCGCGAGGAATGGATTCGCATCAGGCGTCGAGCGAGGCGTCACTGTGATTTGAGAACCACCAACAGATCCCGCGGGAGATTTGACTGCCGTTCTTCCTCCCTCACTAGGTGGCGGACTCTTCATACTGGCGCCAGAACTGAAGAGCCGTGTTGCACTTGCACCTGCATCCCACAAGCCAGCACCGAAGTTCTCGAGTGCACCCCTTTGCGCTGGAGCAAGACGGGGTGGAGGAGGTACATATAGCGAAGTTAGTTGGTAGTCGGCAGCTGAAAGCGACTCGAATCTGTTGATGTTAAGGGTGTCGACGTCAACTTCCTCGCCAGTCGCAAAATTGATCAAACGAAGCTCTGGTTGTAGGCCTGTCTGTCGGTGGTGCCTGCCTCTCTTTGGAGTGTCCTGCACGGAAGAAGGTACGGGATTGTCTTGGTCGTCACGCGTACGGTAGGCAAGTACGGCGAGCAGAGAAGGGGTATAGAGGGACAGTCCAGAAACGACACAATCATCGAAGGTCAGTTTGTGGAGAATGTCGGCGCGGCCAGGTAAACGCTGGGCACCATTCTTTCCGGCAGTCATGCGAGCGGCGTATACGTGGATCAGCCAAGCGGTATCACCCCATCCGACAAGTAGCTTCTCTGGCGGGGCCTTTTTCGAAGACTTGTTGGGTCCTGGAGCAGGCGAAGGATTTGGAGCTCTGGGTTCATCCAAGTCTGCCTCCAGAGCGTCGTTGTCAATCCACTGTACACGAGCCTTCCAGACAGCAGCCATATCGGGCCAAGGATTGCGATTGGGTCGATCGACATGAGCAATGCGCTTCCAGGCGGACTCTGATTCGTGAGACTCGAGCTTGAGGTGCGAGCGCATGATCTTGATGCCATGTTCGTTTACCCAAACAACAAAGCGACCAGTATTGGAAAAGGCGATGGTGCTGATGGCACCCTCGCCGGAGTGCAGTACGGTATCCTTTCCCGTGTTGCTTCCCAGACCTATGGAGCCCAGCCAGCCCGAGGCAGCGGCAGCAGCGCTATTGGTGTTGGCATCGGCACTCACGCCAGATTTAGCACCGGTAGTCAGGATGAGGTTTCCAGAGAGACCACCGGAGAGATAGGTACGGTCTAGCTTGTAGTCGGGCGACAGGGCGACAGCATTGACGGGACGCGCAAAGTTGCGAAGAGAGACATCCTTGGGATCGACAAGGGATGAGACGCAAACATGGCCGTCAATAGAGGCAGTTGCGATGTGGATGAGGTTAGACGGAGTCGAGGGTACGGGAGGAGGTTGCTTTGGGTTGCGCGACGAAGGGAGGGGCAAGGGAGGGGCTCGCCAGGCATTTGAATTGAGGCGGTCAAGACGGGGGGCGGTAGAGGCAGAGGCAGGTTGTGGGCGAGGAGAGACATCGATTGCCGTGATGGAGGCTGAATGAGCGTGGTAGAGGCGCAGGGAGTGTAGCGAGGGCAGGGCGAGAGTGTGGATGTTTCCATTGTGTGTTCCGAGGATCATCTTGTCGCCGGCGACGAGCAGCGAGCTGGTGGCATCGCCATTGCGGTAGACGCTGACCAGAGCAGCCGTCAACTTGTCGTACTTGAGATGCGGCTCATCTTCGTCATCGTCGTCATCTTCCTCGTATTCCTCTTCTCCTTCCTCTGCCGTGTCGTTGGCAGGCTGGTCCAGGGCCGAGTCTAGGGCAGATGGCGCGTGGTTGTTGTCGTGTGGACGGGCTTGTTGTTTACGGTCGGGCGTCTGTGGAGGAGCGGGTGTTACCTCTGATTGTCGGTGGTCTCGCTCATTGTGGAGAGTCGCCTTGGGCCCAGCAGACATAGTGCGGGCATGGGCTTCGAGAGCTGGTAGAGTGGCCGCAGCGACATGGTCTGGAGTGATTGCTCCACCCTCGGATGCTCCACGCTCCATGCTCCATGCTCGTGCTCGTGCTCGTGCTCCAGCGTCATGCCAAGCTCAAGTCGAAGCCCGCCCTCCCCGGCCGGCCCATCCATCTTCAACAGGTCAAGCCTCGTTAACAATGGACAATGCTCAAGAGTGCTGCCACTCTCACCTACGGCACTGCCTGTCGACTCTGGGCCCGCTCGCCCATTCCACTCTTGCCTGTGATTCATGCCCGTCTCAAGCACACCGATACCGCACCGATACCGTCGGATCAATCGCACTCCAACTCGCCCAAGCGTACCTCTCCTCGTTCGCTCTCTGCCACAACCTCTCTACGTCGTGTTGCCGTCGAAGCACAGCGTTCTCGCCACTCTTTGATCCGTCACAGCGGTAAGCACCGCTTCGTAGATCCAGATGTCCAGACTCAACAAGTCACCGCCTATTGCGCCGCCGAACAATATACTATCCCAATTGCAACTCGTCTGATCTCAAAAGAGGGCTTTGTCGTTGATCCCTGCGCCACCGCCTTGTATCCACACGTCGTCCATTTCCAGACCCCCAATCATACTACCAAGGACGACTCTGCGAAAGAGCGTCATGAAGCGCCCGGCGATGTCTTTGTCTTTCCTTCAGGCACTCTCGTGTGTTGGAATGTTCCCGAACCTGTTCAGCAACATCTCGTCCATCGTGTCTTGCTGCCCTGTGCCGAAAACCCTCACTTGGATCGTGTCGAGATTGAAGACCTCGAATATCTGCAGGACCCTTCACACCACTCAAGTGAAGTCATTGGTGATACCATTATTCTTGGGACAAAACCTCCAGGTGATGCCTGCTCTGCTTCTTCACCTGATATTGACACCGTCCTCGCCAAGATAGCTTTCTCCTCGGGCCTGGCTCGCTCAGCCAAACTTGCCGTCCTCGAAGAGCTCTTGTCCTCGTACTTCTCTAGCACTCGCTCCATCCCCACCATTCTGTCACGCGGTTCGCCCTTGCGCTTCTCAAGATCCTTCATTTTGCGCAAGACCGGCGAACTACTCTCCATCCGCGCACAGCTCAATCTCTATTCTGAACTCACCGACAGCTTGCCAGACATCTTCTGGGACAGCCCCTCCTCTCTTGGCTTGAGTGCCTACTATGATGAGGTTGGTCGTGCCTTGGATGTTGGTGTACGTATCAAACTTCTGAATGAGAGGATGGACTATGCTGGAGAGATAGCTAGCGTGTTGCGAGAGAGATTGAGTGAGAAGCACTCGACTGGTCTAGAATGGCTCATCATCTTCCTTATCAGTGCCGAGGTAGGCTTTGAGTTGTGGCGCATCTGGCGAGAGAGGCAAGAGAGACTCGATCCTGAAAGTACTGAGGCTTTGTTGAGACGTGTCTTGTCGCACAATCTGGCCCTTCGCGACTCTTGAGCTCCGCGACCTTTCTTAATATGTATGGCCGTCCCTTGACAAGGTAGGACGTGCGGCCTCAAGACCGAGTACGTCATATCAACCTCGGCCATTAGCCTGTCGATCTGCTGCCTGCTACATACACAATCAGCATTCACGCGCAGTGGACGACGCAGGAGAGAGAGAGTGGCGATGCAAGTTGTGGTATGTCTGATCATTATAAAAACTTGTCTCTATGTGGTGCTGGCTCTAAGTAGAAGACGGATCTTCATGATGCTGTCATCGGTATGATAAGACTGCTCGGTGTTGTGGACAAAGGAAACGAGACTCAAAAAGAAAAACAAGACCAACAAACGTCAGCCAAACCAAGCATTACAACCTTCGTTCCATGTCAGCCGCCAATGTAGTGATACCAACGATCCTTCTCAAGCTCAAACGACAACAACAATCAGAGCGGCCACGATGCCCAAGGCGAGAGCAGCAAAGACACTCATGACAGTCTGACGAGAAGCTGTTCCGGTGTAGGTGGTCAATGGGCCAGAACCAGTTGGGACAGATGACACCGAGATGTTGTTGCTGGATTCTGAGTCGGCGATGACCTGGGAGCTGAGACTGCCAGTGCCCAGTGGCAAGTACGAGATGGTGTACGAGCTGCCGTTGATGGCAACACTGGTGGAGACGGCAACGTTGATGGAAGAGGTGATGCTGCCAGCAGATGTGCTTGCTGGTGACGACGAACCAGTTGATGGAGAAGCTCCTGCCGATGCTGAAGAAGAAGTGGCTGCTGACGAGGATGATGCACCTGCTGGGTTAAAGTCGGATGCTGAGGTCGACTGGATGGGAGATGCCGATGATGCTGATGAGAGACCCGATGAGATGCTTGATGCAGAGGCAGATGCTGGGCCAGAGCCACCAGAGCCTCCAGAGGCTGATGCTGAGCCACCCGAGACGCCCATCGACGTAGAGCTGACTGTCACGCCGGTTGGAAGAGAGGGTCCACCAGAGTAGAGAGTGGCCTGGCTGGTGACGACAGACTCGGTCGAGAAGGCACTGTAGCTGATGGTCGACCAGTAGTTGAAGTCGGTGGTCGACGAGCCGATGGTGATGGTGGAGCTGCCAGTCGAGTAAGTGGTTGAGATGGCCGAGGCAGAGCTGATGGAGGCACCAGGAGTCGATGATCTGTAGCTGGTCGAAGCAGGCGTGGTGTACGAGCTGACACGAGTGCTGAGGAATGTGACTGGGCAGATGGTGGTCGACATGCCGACGATGGCAGTAACCATGGCAAGCGACGTGGCAGAACGGACTGGGCAGTTGGACACGTGGGGTGCACAGCTCCAGACGGTGAACTGCGTGGTCTGGTACACAGTAGAGGTTGAGACTGCTGGAACGTACTCGACGACCAAAACGCTGGTCACAACTGGGTCTCCGATGTTCTGACCGAGGGCGGCAGGCAACATGGCCATGGCAGCAGCAGCAAAGACAGTGGAGAGCTTCATCTTGATGATAGTAGAGGTAAAGACGGTGAATTGAACGATGCAACAATGGCGAGCAAGTCGTTCGAGAGCGATTTTTGTTGATGTTAGAGGAAGAAGAAGAAGATTGGAAACCGGCCTGGAAGAAGATAAACAGCTGTAGCGGCATGAAGTAAGTGGGAAGGCACAACTGAGACTTGCTGATTTGGAAAGGCAGGAGTTGCTTGCTCATGCTGACGCGTCCTGCGCGGCTGCCACAATACAGGTCATAGCCAACGTGGGTAAGGTAGGCACGCACATCTTTGATATGGCCAGCCCATATTGCCGTCCACGCTCACGCATGGCCTCTCGAATTCTACGCCGGCGTCTCGATTCCAACCACATCACTTGTCGTTACTCGAGAGTATCCAAGGGACCAGGTACGGCTCGCCTGAACAATGAGACTATTGTGCTTGGGCATGCCCAAACTTTTATCAGCATTTGTGCTCCTCAGGTTGTGCGGTCTGCAAGATTGTCTGATAAGAATAACACCAAGGTAAATGACTCGGGCCTAGTATCTTTTTCGAGAACAGCGTTGCCTTTAGTTGCATCATTCCTCTACACCTGGAGATATGGCTGGTAACACATAGGCTAGTGTGTGAGTTCCTCCAGAATTCTAAAGTGCTGTGGTAAGTCAGCAACCGCAATTATCTGCTTTGTGCAGTCACGTCTAATATGATCGTCACGTTGCTCCAGCAGATCGGAGTCTTCTTCGAACGCCACTGTGTGATGTCACAGTCTTTTCGTGTAGTGGGGAGCACCTTCCGGAGCTGCGTTGGTAAACAAAGGCATCACAGCCGGCTCGCTCGTCTTGCACTCTCCAGCTTCCAACTACCAACATCAGCATCAACATCGATAATCACTAATATTATCCATCAATCAACATCAACATGAAGTTCATCGTTACCGCCATGGCTCTTATCGCCACTAGTAAGAGATCTCAATGCTGGATTCTGTGTTCAGTGACTAACACGTACTCAGTTGCTACTAGTGCCACTGCTACCGCGTATGAGACTGCTATCATCACAAGCACCACCAGTCTGAATGGCTGCATCAATATGGCCAACGCCATCAGTCCTGGTGTCGAGGTTCTCAGCACTTCGTTCAGAACCATTACCATCTCCGACATCATCAGCCCAGCTATTCGAGGTGTCACCCCTACTCCTACCGGAAGCATGAGCCTCGCCTTCTCTCCTATCGAAAAGGACAACTCGGCTCCCACCAAAACTGAGGATGACGGCCCTTCTCCTACCGATACCAAAATCGACCCCGAAGATGAAGATGAAGACTTCACCTATTTTGAAGATGAAGAACCCGCCGACCCTGATGATGAAGACCCCGCCGACCCTGAAGATGAAGACTCTACCGACATCGATGATGAAGTTCTCTCTCGGATTAATGTCAAGGGCATTCCGTCTGCCTTGAAAGATCTGAGCAGCATTTGGGAGACTGCCACAGACGGTGTCCTGAGCATTTGGTCATCTCTCACCGAGGAGGGCGCCTCTGCTACCATGAGTCCTGATACCAAGAGCATCTCTCAAGGCATTACCCATTCGTCTGCGGCCACTCTAGTCGAAACCAGCTTTCTCGGCGACACGACTGTCTTCATATCCTCTGCTGCTGCTATGACTTTTGCTAGCGCTCCCTCAACATCAGCCTCCGCACACAAGGCTCATCGTGTGTCTGCCATCGCCACCACCAAGCTCTCCAATGATGCTACCGTCCCCAGTATGGTTGGTCTGACCTGCGTGTTGTCAGTGCTCGCTGCTTCTGTCTTCAACTTGGTCTGATGGTTTCGAGAATCCCCTTATCCCTGCTTACGAACTATGATTATGATACGAGCCGTTACCAGAGGTTGACTCTGTTTTATTAGCGTTTGTAGTTCAGACCGAGATATCCCTTTTGTCCAATTCCATACTGTACCCTCCACCAATGCTCAACTTCCCAGTCTCATCGTTGCGTCAATGCGTAGTGATGGTCGTTCCACGTTTCGTAAGAGTTCCACAAAGGTCTGGAGATACACAATTGAATTGGTCAAGAACAATCGGCGATAGCATTGATTATCAACAGGAAGCCAAATGTATTGAACAGCACGTCTCTTCATATTCCGTCACCATGGTATCATAACAATTCTCCAAACGCCGCACTCCCAATGTTCAATGTACAAATCCACCAAGCCTATCAGCCTCCTTCTGCGCCAGACCACACCGGCTGAGGCTATTATCATGTAGCAGTGGCTTGAATATAATCTTTGTTCTCGATCGTAACACTTTTTGTCTGTTCAGTCGTTAGTACAATATTTCAAACCAGGCCATAACAAGTACTCACCATATGATTGACCTTGTAAACACCAACCAGTCTAGCAGCCAGCTCAAACATGTTATTTCTGAGAGAAATGACAATGAACTGAGCATTCTTGGTTCGCTCCTTGATATAACTGGCAACAATCGAAACATTGCGGAAGTCAAGAGCAGCATCAATCTCATCCATGACATACAGCGGTGTTGGCTTGTAATGGTGCAGAGCGAAAACCAGTGCCAATGAACTTAGTGTCTTTTCTCCACCAGACAAGTTGCTGATGTTCTTCCAACTCTTTTTCGGTGGCATGACACTGAACAAGATGCCTTCGCTGAAAGGGTCGAGACTGTCAACGAGCTCAAGCTCCGCGTTACCACCCATGGTGATCATTTGGTACATTTCTTTGAGTCGCATGGAAATGGTTGAGAATCCCTCCATGAAGCCTTCGAGACGCATGCGTCTGAGATCATCAAGACGTTTCTTTGCCGAGTCACGACCAGTCAAAGCTTCGTTGAGGTCAGTCAAGCGTGATGTATGTTCAGAGACTCGTCGACGGTATTCAGCCAAGACGGAAAGCTCGACTGCCTGAGATGTCGATTCTTCAAGCAGCGCGATCGAGGCCTTGAGCTCGTCTTTTGACATGTCTTCGAGTTCATCTCGGGTGTACTGTGCCATGGGAAGAGGTTCGAGTTCTTCTCCATCGTCCCTGGAGTGATATTAGTGGATGAATTCGGTAAGGAAGCGGGCCGACTTACCCAATGTTTTGGACAGTAAGCTTTGACAGCTTCTCCTGCCAATATCGTAAGCGTTTCTGATTTTCGACCATGATCTTCTGATTCTCTTCAAGTTTGTTTCGCATCTCGATCTCAATGCCGCGAGTCTCGTTCATAATGGCTGTTTGGGCATCGAGCTCTGTTTTGAGAGCTTCGAGTTCTTCTTTCTTGGTCTCCAATGCCTGGACTTGGTCAGTACATCGTATTGTCTGTCGTGATTTTGTGACATACCTCTTGAGCTTCCTCTGCCTCCTTGCGAAATCCTGCAGTACTTCTGGTCTGCTCTCTAATCTCGTCTTCGACCTTCTCCGAATCAGCCGTCAGCTTTTCCAGTTCGGATTGTGCGTCGTTGTACGTCTTTTCGTGCTTAGATCTTTGCTTGTCAGCCTTAGCTTTATTAATCTCCGCATTTGACATCTCTTCCATGCGATGGTCTATCTGTTCTTTGAGACCGTCGACCTTGGCCTTCTGAGTACGGAGCTGCACACCGCCAACTTCCATGATTCTGTCTTGCAGTGCTTTGATTTCCTCTTCGATACCGGTGGTTTCGGATGATAGTTTCTCAGTCTCCCTCTCAAGCGTCTTGATGAGCTTTTCGAGCTCAGAGATACGCCTGTTATCTGTCGGTGAAGATTGGCTCTCAGTCTTGAGCTCTTCGAGTCTTGTTTCGGCATCAGCAATGTTACGGTCCAGACTTTCGACTTCTAGCCTCAGCTTCGAAGCTTGAGTTTCAAGTTCCGGAATCCGATCTTGCAGTTGTCTGAGGCGAGCCTCGAGTTGTTGAGATTGTAGCTGGAACTGTCCAAACGTCTCCTCGAGAGCATCGCGGTCAACCTCTAATTTAGCGACCTGATCCTTAGTCACGTCGGCTACAACCTTGGAAGACATGGCACCCTTGGCGACTCTTGTACCACCTCCACTCATAGTACCCGATTTGTCAATTAATTGGCCGTCGAGCGTAACAACCCTCCATCGTTTGGCACCGTACGCGATTCGGTTCGCTTGTTCGAGATCCTTAGCAACGAGTGTGTTCTGAAGTACACTGTAAAAGGCGGGGTTGTAACGATCATGCTTCGGTTTGACAAGGTCGTAGAGTCGAGGCACGTTCTCAGGCGTTTGTATGGCAGACAAATCCCGTTGCGGTAGGCGATCAAGGAGGATAAAATTGGCGCGTCCGAGGTCGTTCTTGCGAAGATACTCGATGCATTGTTGACCGACTTCTACAGAGTCGACCACGAGGTTGTCGAGGGAAGGGCATGCGGTAGATATCGCTACATCAAATCTTGCATCAATGGCACCCAGATTGCCGAGGCGTCCGTGGAAGCCATCGATTCTGCCAGACTCTTTGAGACGCATGAGACCAGTAAGGACGTTACCTTGCGTCTGTGTAGCAGCCAAGCTTGCTCGTGCTTCATCCGCCTTTTGTCTGGCGCCCGAGAGTTTGGATCGCAATGCGGGTTCCTGTGATGTCAGACGATCGGCTTCAGCCTGCGCTTCTTGCACAGACTGCTCGATCAATCTTCGTTCTCGCTTGCAATCCTTGTACTCCACCACTTTGGCTTCGCGAGTCTCATAGAGTGTCGTGATCTTGGATTCAATATCCTGAACTGCGTTCGCTCCAGCATTGCCTCTTTCCCTGAGGATATCAAGCTCACTTTGAGCAACGGATATAGAAGACTGCTTCTCATTGACTTTTGCTTTCCAGGGCTCCAGAGTCTTCTGCTTGGTTGCAATTTCGTCCGAGATGCCTTGAGTCTTTCCCTTGAGACTCTCCCTAATCTGTGCCAGACGTGACTCTTCTTGCTGCATCTCTGCTTCCATGGTAGCTATAGATTGCGCGTTTCTCTTGACATCATCCTCGGCCTGCGTCGCCTGTGTGCTGGCTCCAGTCATAGCAAACTTGCTATCTTCTGCTGTCTTGGAAAGCTTCTTGGCCTTGTTGGCGAGGAACTTCTTCTTCTCTGCATGCTTGACAGTTTCCTTGTCGAGTTTTGCCATTTCCCTCAGGACGGATTGTGTAGTCTCAGACATGCGCTCGTATTCTTTGGCCGTAGTGCTGTGCTGTCTCTGCAGTTGTTTGATTTCTGCTTGGTTGCCTTTGTGCTTCTCCAACTCCGCATCGAGGTGCTGCTGGAGTTGCTGGACGGCCTCCTCGGTTACAGTGACGTTATCGGAGCATTCGTTGATGTATATTTGATACAAGGCGGATTGCTTCGATGCCAATTCGTTCTCATCGCGGATGAAAGCAAGCGCCTTGTCCTTCTTGTCCTCCAGGGCGTTTCTCTCCTTCTCGACGTGTTGTACTCTGGTGTTCTTCTCGGCGCATACCTCGTTGAGCGCTTCCGTCTCAGTGGCGGCCTCGTCGATCGGAGTCTTGTATTTGGAGGTACCAATGATGTCCTCGAGGTATTCCAGAAGACCGTCGTCGTGCTCGCCAGCGGCTTTTGGCTTCATCTGTGCAATAGACTCCACTTCACCTTGCAAGATCAGGAAGCGTTTGTGGTCGAGATCGACACCGCGGTCGCGCAGTAATGTAGTGACGGCGGTGAAGTTCGACTCGCGGCCATTGATGTAGTATTTGCTCGCGTTGTTCTTGAAGGCACGTCTCGAGATCACAAGCTGAGAGTCCGCGACAACGTTGTGACCACCGGCTGGAAGATCCATAACTTGCTGGAAGTGGACCTCGACCTCGCAATGATCCAGATCAGGATAGGCAGCGGAGTTGTGGATTAGAGCAGAAATCTTGCCCTGACGCATTTTGCTCGCACGGAAGCCAAACACGAAAAGCAACGAGTCGATTACGTTTGATTTGCCCGAGCCATTGGGACCGACCACAGAAGAGAACGAGGCATGGAACGGGCCAACTTCCTGGCGGCCCGCATAGCTCTTGAAGTTCTTGAGAACGAGATGGGTAATGACGGTACGCGATCGGGGCTCTGCAGGGGCGCTTGAAGCAGGCATAGTAGCGGCAGCTCTGGTACGCACGACGATGTCCATGGGCTTCTCCAGTAGTGTTGTGTTGGTATCGACCTTGTGGACCTGGCTGGACGGGGGGGGCCTGGTCTGAGCACGAGGAGTTTGGTCGTTGACAGCCGTCTCAGTGATGTCGGCAAGAGGCGTAGCGCGCTTGTGTTGTTGCGAAGTGGGAGGAGTGGTTGGCCGAGGGGTTGACATGATGGAGGCCTCCACGTCGGACACAACGGAGGTAGATACGCGACTCTTGCGCACAGTACGAGCCGTCTTCGCAGTCCGACGCTTGGGCTTGGTGGGTGAGGTCGCATCTTCTAGGACCGACGAGTCGGCAGCAGGGTTGCGGCGTGTGCGAGTAGCCGTCTGCGGTGTAGCTGACTCTTGCGAGGGCGCATTCTTGTTGTGACGCACAGAGCGTGTCGGTGCCGGAGTGTATTCCTCCTCCTCTTCCTCTTCTTCGTCATTGTTTTCCTGTCTCACGCCGTCGCCCATGTCCATATCCACGTCCATTTCGTCGTCGTCGGAATCAACCACTCTGCGTCTCGACGCAGCATTCCGCCGGCTCTGTCGTACTGGTGAGGTCGCCGACATGATGTGCTGTCTCGATGTTACTTTCGAAGGTCAAGCCCTTGATCATTATTGTTTCTCGTCAATGCTGCTGCTTGCCAAACAGAGCAAACAAACATTGGGCTTGTGCACCCCACCCCACCGTGCACTCGGTCCGACTATACTACTTCTTGGCGTAACATCCTAGGTACTTTGTATTCTTCTCACTCTACTGAATGCGTGCTGCAATCTTGTCATTTCATTCATGTGAGTGAGGGAATGGTCTTGGATACTTTGCGAGACAGACTACACATCTGTCCATCTTCTCACTCTTTCCAACCATCGACCATCAGTCTGGCGATATTCTTGCCCATCAGACTGCTCGTTTCCATTGTGCTGATGAAACTTTCGATGCCTGCTGTGTACCAGAGGCCGTCGTCTAGCTGCAATTCTTCGAATGTAACTCGTGGATACTCGTAGGGATAGCTGTGCCAAACTTTCCGATACATCCAGCTAACATCCTCTTCACTGACCGACTCGTCCTTGGCCAATCCCAGTATGTTGGCTATGAAGGTTTCGTTCAGAGGCATAGGCGAAAACACCTTGTACACGTATTCGAGCTTGTCCCTGTTTCCACGTGTATCCATACTGGGGCGCAGAAGGGAGATACTGAAGAAGCCAGGCGATCCTACTCCCTCGGCACCGTTGCCGTGGTGCTCGCCTGGAGGGAGCGTGGTCAAAACCACCTGAGGAACTAACTCATCAGACGGCAGATTGAATGCTCCTGGCGAGAGTTTGTGTTTCGATGTGAAGAGTGTGACGTGCAGTTGTACATACGGAATCGAGTCCGGCAGGTGACGAGGTTCGGGGTCGAAATCGATGTTGGAGTACTGATAAGGTCCAGCCAAAACCACTTCGTCAAAGACCTGCTGTTCAGAATCTATTGGTGTTCCCTTCGAAGATATGACATACGCCGACTCGTCGAGCTTGGATACTTTGTCAACCGTCCTGTTGAGATACACATTCGCCTCAGCAGCAGCTAGCATATGCGAGAATATCTGCCAGTTGCCACCCTCAATTGCTTGTGCTCCATCGGTAGCCATACAAACCATCGACTCCAGTCCGTGGATCAGCGGCAAATTTTGTGCGTAGTTGACCCGTGTGCTAGCCTGGATGATGTCTTGTGCGAAAAGCTTTCCGATACCATTCTTCTCAAGAAACTGTTCTCCGGTAAAGGCGGTAGCGTCTGTCAAGCCGAGATCATATGCAACTTGCGATAGTGACTTCCAGGGGAAATATGGCTCCTCGTACATCTTGAGGAACTTCCCAACTGTAGCCTTCATCAAATTCACAGTTTTGAGCGGAGCAAGACCATACTTCCAAAAGAGTTTTGCAGTATCTCGCCAGCTTCCACCAGAGGCTTGTGTATAAACAAACTCTCGGCCATTCCATATACCAAGCGCTGGACCTTCGCTATGAAGCTCACGGATGCCGGATGTGGACAAGTTGAATTCCCTGGCAGCATTGACGAGGTTTTGGTTCACCTCAACAAAGATGGACGCCCCAAGCTCGACGGGGTTCTGATCGTCCCCATATACGCCGACTGTAGTTGACCGTCCGCCAATATGACCATCACGTTCGTAAACTGTGATGTTGAGGGGAATGTCTCGCTGTTTACTGTATTTCCGTAAGAAATATGCTGTGGAAGATCCAGCACTTCCAGCGCCTGGTGACGTTTTAGCAAAGAACCACGAGAGACCAACTCGGTGGGCGATACCTATGATAGCAACATTCTTGGGAGCTCTTGGAGTCACGGATGCGTCTTTCAAGATGACCTGGTCAAGAGCAGCTATTCCCCTGGGAACATGGGCCAGCCAGAGCACAGCCACAGAGACGTGCTGAACTTTCATGATTTGCTCAACACCGAGCTTGTCGGCGATCTACTGCTCAATTCTCTTTCGACAGCTTTTGTGTAGAAAACATCGAAGTGAGAGTATCCCTGTACAGGCAAATGGCGGGCATACCGCATGATGACGCCAAGCAACGCCGGTTCCTGTTTCGGCCATCATGTTCTAGTAAAAGTCACCAATCTCGTGCCAGGTACAAAGTAAACAATGTCAACAACATTAACAAAAATCCGCCAGCACCATTGAGAACTTTTGATGGACTACTACGCACAGCGTGCCATGGCACAAGGCATGTACGCAGCCATGGACGCGTTTGTCCAAAGTGCAGCCATGAAAGTGGACTGGACGCGGCGTCTGAGCGTTGTAGACCGACTGCGCCATTGGATCCGACATCGATTTATTCCTGCGGTCGGTCTCTCAACACCGAATGATGTGGCCGACTGGGAGAATACAGCTCTCGAACGTCTGGCGAAGCAAAGAATCAGACATATTTTGGACTACGTCAAGGCCTGGCCGCATTCCACTGGAGCCATATTAGACCTGAGAGAGTGTATGCATTCGTCAGAAGTCAAAGTTCTGATTGCAACTTCTTTCACGCAGCAGCTAAGTCGTCGCATGCTACATGCTGGTGTGACAACATCGGAGCTACTCAGCATCTATATCAATGTCATCATGGCGTTCAAGACCCTGGACCCGCGAGGCGTACTCTTGGATAAAGTGGCTGTTCCTTTGCGCGCTTACCTCAGACACCGCGAAGACACCGTCAGAATCATTGCAGCAAGTTTTCTTGCTGATGTCGGCGGCAATAGTGATTGTGATAACAGCCACGTTGGAAACTCGTCCGAAGAAGTGTGCGACGACCTAGCCCGAGAAATCAACCTATCGGAGGGTCAAGCGCTGCATGTAGAGCACAGGGGTCTTGATTGGGATGACATGGAATGGATGCCTGATCCAATTGATGCAGGACCTGGTGAGTAGGTTGAACTCTGATCTAGAGTATTCTAACCAGCATTACAGACTACAAAAAATCAAAGAGCGAGGACGTCATGTCATTCATGCTCACCCTCTTCGAGCAAGCTGATTTCCTCAAAGAAGTACAATCACTATTAGGAGAACGTCTCTTAACTGTAGGCTATGATAACACAGAACTGGAGAAGGAGGTCAGTACTTCATCTTACAGTCCCCGGAGGCTCGAGTCCGTACTTACTTCCCCCAGATTCGTCTTGTAGAGCTTTTCAAGGCCCGTTTTGGTTCCGATCGTCTCCAATCATGCGAAGTCATGTTGCGCGACATACAGGACTCCCGGCGTATCAATACCACCCTTCGTCCACGGGACGATCTCCCAACAGCACAAGAGATACACAATGCTATTCCTGAGTCTGGCATCAAATATCAGACATTGCTTTCGAAATTCAGAGCGCGTGTGCCGACGACGGACAATGCTCGTCGAAGATTCGATAATTTGGTCAAGTCCGTGTCCACCACGGAAGCGGGCTCGGACATGTTGTATCCCTCAGCCGATCAACCTATGTTTGGGCCTAACGTAGACACCGGATCATCCGTGGTCTTCTATACTCAGATCCTTTCCTCGTTCTTCTGGCCGAGTCTTCGAGAGGATGACTTTGCTGTGCCGACACCAGTCTCAAATTTGCAACGGAGCTTCGAGCAGGACTTTGAACGTATCAAAAACTTGCGCAAGCTGCACTGGCTACCATCATTAGGGAAAGCCACCGTTGAGCTTGAGCTTGAGGACCGCACTGTCAAGATTGAAGAAGTTCAGACGTGGCAGGCAAGTGTCATCTATGCCTTCCAAAATGATACTCAGGACACTTCGCTCGCTATTCCAGCATCTAAATCTGTGCAAGATCTGGAGGTGTCGTTACGTATGGACGAAGTTCTTGTGCGCAATGCACTCACATTTTGGGTAGGTCACCGCGTTCTGGTAGAGCATGAGCCGGATGTCTTTACCGTACTTGAAAAGTTGCCGTCAGCCGACAGGAATGGCACCTCAGCTCCTGCAGCTCATGGACCAATACAGACTGACACCGTTATATCGGCGGTGAAGTCTCAAGATGCGGTGTTCCAAGACAACAAACCTATGTACGAGATGTTCATGATGGGCATGCTGACTAATGGAGGTGCCATGGATGCGGGACGTATCACCATGATGATGAAGATGGTAGTCCCCGGTGGTTATGGTTTTGGCGAAGATGAGACAAAACTGCTACTTTATGGTTTGGAAGAGCAAGGGAAGGTTGTCACCAACGGCAGCAACTACTCTGTCAAGAAATGATAGTACGGCCCCATGAAACACATTCTGAAGTTCGGCGATCGACTGGTCTGCTCAATTCACAAGAGGCGGAGCTATGCAGCCCGTTGCAGCGATGTCACAAGACCGGCGAGACAAGTCAGTGGCAAATCAAGTGTGATTGACAGTTTCAGATACGTCGACATGCAATACCAACTAAGCAAGCCTTCCTGACCCAGAAATAAATATTACCAGCAAGGGGAACTGCCGCGGGGATGCAGCAGTTAAGAAATGAAACAGAGAGCGTGAAGCCATAGCACTCACTACACACAAAGGAAATTCAAACTCTCCTAGTCCCCTCTCAATCATCATCACCATTTATGCTTCGTTGTTCTCTGAAAGTTCATAAAATCTGCCGTAACACGAGTCAAGACTCAGTACTTCTTCTTGTATCCACCACGGAAACCACCATAGCCACCGCCATAGCCGCCACCATAGTTGTAGCCCCCAGAGCCGTAGAAGGAAGGAGTTGGCAGAGCGGGAGGAGCTGAAGACGGCGAGCCCGTGATCGCACCGGCTTCCGAGGTGCCCGCGCTGGATGTGACGACACTGGTGACGAAGGAAGACGAAGGTATGCTACGAGATGGAGATACACTGCGGGTACCGCTACGGTCATCATCGGTAAAGGAAGCAGAAGGACCAGTGGGCACAGAGAAATTGGTCGCAGTAACAGGACTTGCAGGCGAAGTAGAGGACTGAAGAGGTGCTGTTCCTGTACCATAGTAAGACACGAGAGTACCGTTACGTCCGCCTGAAGAGTATGACGCAGAGAATTTTCTCGAGCTTGATGTGCCATTGTTGGTGGAAGTGGTGATGGGTCCAGATGATACGGTAGAGCTTCTAATATATGTACCGCTGCGATCGCCGCCGCTGGAGGATCCTGAAAAAGTACTGCTATTGAGAGCATTGGTAGGTACAGTAGTCAAAGGGATCGTGCGGGTTGTGACTAGGGTGAGCGTGATTGAGGAATTGAGATGGATGGTCACATGTGTAGTGCTAGCACCGGCTGAAGTTGAATTTGACAAAGATGCCGTGATTAGAGAGTTGGGAGAACTTGATGGTCTGAAGCTGCTAAGGATACCAGTACCTGGAACAAACGGAACGTAGGGCGACCAGGTGAAGGAGATTGCTGACGACGTTCTGTTGGCAGTCACAGGTGAGGAGCCGGTTCCCAAAGGCATTGAGATCGCAGTTCCTGGCAATGAAATGATGTTGCCAGTAGTCACTGGCGAGTTTGGCGAGGAAGAGTGTGTCAAAGTAGTGGTCAAAGTGATCACGTCAGTGGTCAGAGAAGAGATTGTGGTTGCGTTGGTGCCAGAAGATGAAGAAGGCAATGCAACAGATGCGATACTGGAGGACGATTCGGAGCCCTGAGGAGGAAAGAAGACAGTAGTGATCACGGTCGTGACTGCAGTAGTAGCAGAGTAGATGGTGGTAACGGCTTGCGCAGAGGATGTTGTGGCGTTAGGAAAGAGGACCGAGGCCGAGATTGAAGAGGGAGCAGAGGCAGTACCACTTCTACCTCCTTCAGACGACGAGGGGACAAAAGCAGAGCCACTTCTAGGTGCGTCGGAAGACGATGGAACAAAGGTAGAAGAGGCTCCAGTTGCGGTAGGACCAACAATGAATGAGCTGGTGTTCGAGGTCGGGAAGGGCGCTCCATAGGAAAATCCAGGGAACGGAACAGGACCTGTGGCTGAAGACAGACCACCTCCAGTACCGGTTGGGAAGTTGCCATAAGGAAGTGGTTCGTTAGAACAATCTGAGTAAGGTGGGGAGTCGGCCAAAGCGACGGCGAAAGCATAAGGGAGGAAGGAGATGATCTTGAACATCTTGAGATAGTTGTGTAGGAAGTTAAACGAGAGACTGGTGTTGGAAAATGCTCTCAAGGACGAGCAATGGTCTACTTATACGCCTGGGTGGACATGTCGAGCTCTCGTATATCGCAAGGGTAGGTAGTGAAGTTGCGTTCTCCCGCTGGCTTGCTTCCTTGCCTGGCAAATGTCTTTGAAAGCACTCAGATGATGCACGCAGTGGGAGACTTGGATGGTAGGAGCATGTTCCCTTTCTTCAGAATGACCCGAAAGTTTGACCTGCAGGTTGCCAGTGCCACTTGATGGTTGTTTGCCGACATGTCAGGGTGGCCTAGATGAGCAACAGAGCGTTACTGTTGATTGCTAGATGGCCCACATGGGCGAACAAAAGATTTCATGCATGATGAAGCCTGGCCGAGCCATGCGGTGTAACCAGATAAGATCAAACACGGAAAGGGCAGAAAGTAGTCAGGGGTGAAATTTTAAACATTAGCGTTACACAAAGGAGAAATCCATGCAGGAACGGTCGCCGGCTGCATCTCTGATACTAGTGTCGCTTGCCATTTGCGTCACACTGGACCTAAGTACAGGTCAACTCAAATCGACAAGAAACGAAATTTTCGGGTTCCCTTTGTTCAACAGATTGGCATGAGCTGCAAAGGGGATGTGCAATCTCCAGCTGGCTGCAGGTACAATTACATTTGTGGATATGTAGACGGCTCGCTTCACACTTCGTTGTTATCATCATCGAAGGGGCTCCGTTCGTCATTTTGAGGGTTGGTTGGTGAAACTCGTAACAGAACAGTCTCCTTTGACTCTTGCTGCTGCAGCTTTTTCCGCCTCCGAGGGGCGGGCACCATAGGTTTCTCTTTTTCAACCTTTGCAGTCACCTCTAGGACACTCAGACTACTCTCGCCTGCCTCGGCCAGATTCATGCCCAGCAGCCGTTTGGCCACATGAGCATCGGTAAGAGGACTGACAGGATCCTCGTGGTCCGACTCGTCTCTTATCCAGGCCACTTGCTTGCAGCGAGAGACAAGTCGAACGACGGTCTCATCAACAGGACCGAAGTGAAATGAAGATCTGTTTACCAACAAGTAGAAGAGTTTGCGCAGTTCCTCGCGTTTGTAGTGGGCGTTATCTTGAGCCAGCTGAGTATTCTTCAGAAGTGGACACAAGACTCGTAGATATGTGTGGCGAAGAGCGCGCTGGCCTCCGCCTTCCCTCGGCAAATCAGGATGCTCGTCATCATCAGAACCAGGATCGAGGTCGAGCAGGTTGCGGATGATGACATCAACGAGAACGTGCAGGTCGTTTGTGTAGAAATACTCGAAGGTGGAAGGGGTGGTGAACAGTAGGTAAAGAAGTTTGAGGATCAATAATTGAGGCCCAAGAGCAGATTCGCGATTCAAGAGTAGGATGAGGTTTTCGCCAAAGGTGCGGTAAGAGGGGCCATGGTTGGAGAGGACCTTGATGATGCGGTTGGTCAGGGTGGGGTGAGAGTCTGGAGAGACGGCGTAGCACATGTATTGCTCGTTGAGGATGAGGAGAACGCGGATGGTGGGGTAGTGATAAGGGTCGTTTGCGTCGTTGGACAGCTCCTCGATCAGCTCGAACAGATATATGACAAAGGCGTCATCGACGGTGGCTGTAGTGGCTTGTGTTAGACAGCAGCAGGAGGTAGGATCATGGCAGGGTCATGGCAGGGTCATGGCAGGGAAACAGCTCACCGAGGTCGTCGAGGGAGAGACGCTGGATCCTTGACATGTCGCAGAGCAACTCGAGCAGCAGGCGGTGCAGACCCGAGTTGTCGTCCTTGTTGCGCTGGATGAGGTCGAGTAGACGAGTAAAAGCGCCCTCGACCTGCATCATGTCAAAGACGGCCTCATCGGTACGGCCGTCGTATAGCAGGACGGCGGTAACAATGTGCAGGACAGGGGGGTGCTCCTCCTACAGTAGAGTGTCAACAATGGCGTCGCGTGCAGGCGTGGGACGTCGGCGCATACCTGTAGCAGGCAGTAGACAAACTGGCGGCGCACATAGTCCTTGTTGTGTGTGAAGAGCGACGAGTCGATCAGGCGGTAGCAGCAGCGCGCAATGTCGTACTCGGTGTCGAGGAAGCCGTCGGTCGAGGCGTCGAGGAAGGCGCGCAGACAGTCGTCGATCTGCTCGTGTGTGTGGCAGAGCGTCGACAGCACAGCGTGCAGCCGCTGCCAGAAGGAGCCTTCGTCATCGTCGTCGGGTCCCATGGTCTGGCCGGCTTCCAATCGCCCAGCTAAAGGCTTCCGCTATCCAAGACTCATCGCTGTCGTGAAGCGTCTTGCAACCGGACTACTACTGTTGACCAGAGCGTCATGCCCGCCCCGACCATGTCTTGTTCCTCGAATCCTCCCGTCTCCTCGCTCCGCCGCCGCCGCCGCCCCGCACCGCACCGCCAGTCTAAATGTCACCCCATCTCGTGTCTCTCTTACTTTGACCGCTGTGTCTTCCATCTCTGTCTTTCCTACAGTTCTTCATCTCACATCTGTAAACTCTGTCGATTGCTTGAATCTCGAGTCATTACATTCGTTGATCATATCTAATCTTGTTCTAATCCTCCCTTGAACGCCGGTCCGTCCTTTAGTGTGCGTAATGCCGTCCCGTTCAATGGCTATTTCAAGGCACGACTCTTTCTGCATTTGAATCGATAGACCGAGATACCTCCTTTCGAAGATCCCCTGCCTTGGGTCCGTCGATAGGTGTGACTGTGCTTTGCTACAGATGCATCTACACCTTTTCATCCCTGCCACTGCTCATTGACTTCTTGCGCGTGACGAGCACTGCCATGGCCATGCAGATGGCGCTTAGAAGCAGACAAACTCCGCTCCAGATCTGTACTCCAAGGTACGTGTCGTACCTCGTGACCAAATGACCGGCAATCACAGGTCCGACCAAGGCAAATGGCGCTGCCGCTGTATACATCATGCCTGTCCACTGCCCAAGTTTGGCCTGTCTGTCTGCCTCGGGTCCAAGGATTGCCGCCATCGATGCTGGGGGTAGTCCGATCACACTGCCGGAGAACGCTCCAAACAGTATGGCAAAAGCCAAAGCAGGTGCCAGGGTGTTGGCAAACGTCCACAGAAATAGGCAAAGAATGCTCGCCACGATCGTCACCGTCATATGAACATTCAGCGCTCCGAATCGGTCGCAGAGCCATGCCGAGCTGAGTCGGCCGAATGTACTGCAGCCATTCATGATGCTCAGCAGCCAGTATGTCGATAGAGTTGTCTGTCCTCCTGATGGAGCTGTACCTTTGTAGGCAATGCCGTTGGTCGCTGCCCATTCTTCAAGGTTGAAAAACACGCAGTAAAAGCCGAGGAACAATGCAGCAATCGATGCTGTGAACCAACAGAATGCAGCATCACGGAATGCCGATGTATCAACCCACGTTCTCTTTGACAACCACTTTTCTGGTTTTCTAAACGTATGCGCAGGGTTGGGTCGAGCCAGCAGCACTGCCGCGAAACTCGCAACAGATATGACTATGGTGACATATCTCACTGCATTGTTGAAACCTTGCGACGTGATGAGAAAGCGAAGCATGACTGGCATGACGAGCCCGGCTGTAGGTTGTAAGCCTTGTGTGTCATCGAGCTAAAAGGACCGAAGAAACTCACATATACTTGCACCAGAGGCCACGATGCCGATAGCGAAGCCCTTTCTCTTGTGGAACCATGTTGCCGTTACTTCGGGATATTAGTCATGTTCAAGTGAGTGCAGCATGGAGAAGCTTACTCTGAGAACTAGCGTGGTCCGTTAGCACTGTTGAGAGTTCATGACAGCAAGCATCGAACTTACCTCGATACAAAGAAACAAGCCATACCAAGGCCAGTCACCAAGCCTTGTGTCAACCATGTCAAACCATAGTTGCCCTGGTTCAGGCCTCCATTACCATTGCTAATGCTCAGCATGAACATGCCAATGGTGATGATGACTGAACCTGCCAGCAAGAGCTGGCGGCTATGGTTGGCGTCCAGCAGTCGGCCAACGATAAACGAGAAGAAGAGTACAACAAAACATTGTGTCGAGCCGACCAAGTTGCTGAGCAGCATGTCGTCACCCCGGAAGAGAGACTCCGAATAGTAGGAAGCAAATGTTCCGCTGAAAAAGTCAGATTCTTTTTTGAACTACCACAAAGATATTATCGAAAGATATCTTACTAAAAGTTGACAGTTCCCCACGCGCAAAACATAAGCAAGAAGCCACCCTAGATGTGTCAGCGAGGTTTGATGACTGATTGGGAACATTCGGCTAACTTACGAATAAAGCTGCGTACGGCCGCCATCCTGTCGGCCAGTTCTTTTCCGTATCATCGACTGTGGATGAGGTAGACAGTGTAAGAGAGCCTAGTGCTGAAGGCTCGTACTCTCGCTTTTCAGAAGAGTTGGAGCCTATCCTTTGCCCGTCCGGAGGGCTATTTCCAAGAGGGTAAGTCATATCGAACTTATGATTGTGATCAATCACGAATGCTGACTGGAAGTGAGAAGAAGACGATCAATCAGATGAGATGATCTTCTGAGAGGACCTAGAGAGCTACTGGGTTATACTGGATCCTTCGGAGAGATAAGCCTTCCTTTATACTCCTCACGTCCCCGAGATCAACACGCATGCACTGCCAGTCTCCAAAGCACGTTTGCAATCAGGACGCGTCAGAATCACCGAGACGATTGTGATCGCCCATATCTCTTATGCGGGCCAAGGCATCAGATGTAACAGCCAAGGACAAGCCATCCCGCCGACAAGCATCAAGAAGAACCAGTCGGCCCAAGATCGAGAGGCCCCGTTATCTGAGAGAGACAACCGCCAAGCAGGGGGACAAAAGCTACAGACCGCTCAGGTAAAAACGCTGGGGAAAAACAACTCTGTCTGCACCAAGGCTTGGCTTATGAAGTGTGCAATCGTCGGAATGTGGATGTGCATGGGGAGAATCCAACCCGGACGAGAGAATGGAACACACCCCGGCCCGATCGTGGAGTGCACTTGCTAGAGAGTTTGCCCGGCGGGGTGTTGTTATGAAACAGGAAGATGAAGATCAAGAAAGAGAACATTTAATCCGGGGTACAAGTGGGTCTACGAGTATGGAGATTGGGGGCTGAGTGTCTGTGAAAGGCTTGGCAGACATTGGTTGAGCGATTGCTGCGGACGCGGAGACAGGATATACACATATGCATGACGCTTGAGTAACGCATCATGCTCGAAGAGCCAGTGCGTATCGCAGCTGGGTGGTGCAGGTCGAAAGGCGAGCGCTCTAAGCATGCGAAGAGAAGCTTTGTACGCCCTTTCAACAGAGTCCAGAGTCCAGACGCGATGCGGCTTGCTCAAATCCGGGGCCTGGGCAGCAACGCTGGGGTTACGACCTCTGGCTTTAGCTTTTGATATGATTGCAAATGCCGCCATGGCAAAGGCGCACTGATGTGAAATAAGTGTTGATCGAACATTGGCATGTCGTAGTTACGGACGTACAAGAGTTTCCAAGATGCCAATGCCGGACGGTGGAAAGACAAGCAGATGTGGAAGAGTCAGTTTTGACTTGCGACTCCATAGACTCATGCGAGATAAGGAACTGGAAACGTTTACCCGGCGGGTGGCTGTGGAGAGTTGGCTTCAGTTGTGATCATGATGCCACCACAGGGTCCCCTGACGCTCCATGTCGACATAATACCCGGAGGCAAGGAGGTTTCTCTCGACCACCCTGATGGGCACGAATTCATCAAACGATTGAGCAAACTGGCTAGTCCCTTCCGGTAGAAGCAATTGGTGTGCTGGCTGTGCAAGGAAAACGCAAATATGCTTACGGATCTTAGGGCTATGTCATGTAGATCAAAGGCTTCTGACTCTTACCTGTTTGGAGGTGATAGTCTTCTCAAAGGTGACAAGCTTACCAGCCATTAACAAGGTGGCTTTTAGCGTGGGAATCTTGAGCGCTGCGCATTCCATATTTCTGAGCTTTGGCCGCGTTACGTGTCTCATGGCCCAGTTCGGTCATGTAGGGTGTAGAGCGCCTACGTCGGTCCTACAAGAATGTCTCAGTTAGGCTCCGCCTAGACTACGCTGCTCTACTAGATATCCTACGAGCCCATGATGTCTATCTCAAGAGCGCGGTGAGCGTTGAGAGCTACGAAAGCGATATATACCTAAGCAAGGAGATGAAGGGGTAAACATCGAGGATCTCCTAGTTTGAGATGGGGATTCGAGTAGGTTCCAAAGATGCTTGCACAAGACGCTCGGAGTATCGGGCCAATCTCACTAAACGCCGACCTGTGCGCCTGATCGCGTCACTCCGTTGCCTCCTCGCCCGGTTGACGGCCTTTCGTGCTCCTATCCTCACATCCTCGACCAACTCGCCTTTGACTCGAATCGACGTTACTCATACTCAGTCTCACTCCTCTCGTCATCTCCCGACACTCACCGACACTCACCGACACTCACCAACACACGCATACACACACCAATAGCTGCTCGCTCTTCAACACAACTCCGGCCGTCAAGCATCTCTCCACCGTCCATTTGTCATTACAGTCATGGTCACGATGCGCTCCAACAGCATCACGTCTGTCTCATCTCTGTCCTCTCGCTGTTCGTCAGCAGAGCCCGAGTCCAGCATGCAGATCTTCATCAAGAACATCGCTGGCGACAGTAAGTCGTCCTGAATCACAAACCGTTCGCTCACGTGCTTACAAGATATAGCTTTCGCCCTAGATGTGCCCGAGTCAACTTCGATAGCGACACTCTCATCTCTTCTTGCCATCCGTACAAATCTCCCCGCTCAGGACATGCGCCTTGTGTATGCCGGCAAGCATCTTGATCTCTCGACGAACACCCTATCGGACTACAACATTGGTCGTGAAAGCACGCTGCACCTGGCACTTCCACTACGAGGCGGAGCACCCAAGAAAATCCGCTGTCAGTTCAAAGATTGCAAGGACGCGGCCCAGCGCATCGTCGGTGATTGCGGCTTCTGTAACGGCCACTTCTGTGGCAAGCACCGCATGCTCGAGAGCCATGCGTGTAGCGGACTCGAGACGTGCAAGGAGGAAGAGAAGCAGCGAAACCGCGAGCGCCTTGAGAAGGAGAGAACTGTTGCCATCAAGGGCATCTGAACACATGACGTAGGGGCTGAACAGGGGTTTTAATGTCACCATGGAGTTAGGGAATGAGCGGGCGCAGGGAAGGAAGGTGGTGTTGCTTTTGCTTTAATTTTTCCACAGCCACGCACGACGCTGGCTGGCTATCTCGCTTCGAGAAGTATACATATTCGACTTTCGTCTGGCTAATAAGAGACACAATACACAAGGCATAGCTGTGCCAAGCTAGCATTCTACTGATACCTAGATTTCACACCGCGCGTTCATGACAGTGCTTATAGGCTTGGTTGTAGCGAGTGCAGAGTTCCGAATGGGTCAGGTTGATAATGCAGGTCGTTGGGTTGGCACAGAGAGCGTGTGGGCTTGATTGGCGTGAGACTGAAGTCATATGCAGCTGGATCATGACTTGAAGCATCACACGGTACTACTGCAAGACGGGGGCGGGTCAGACAACCACAAACAGTTGCAGCTCTGGCTGTCTGCACAGTAGTCCAAGTCAACAGCGTAAGCAGACGTGGTCGGTATCGAGGCAGTACGGCCAAGTGATGGCTTATCATATTGGTCGCAAAAGGGTGGCTGTATCTTCGAGGGTCTTGGCAAGGGCTGTGGCTTGCCCATGTCTTTGTGATAGACGCGAGTCGCAGTCAACGTCATGAGAGACGAGGCCGTGCACACCTTTCAGGCAGGCCCCGCGATAGATTGCGGCCGGGCAGACGTTCACATCCTTGACCGACATACCAAAACACTTGTAACTCTTTGCTTGTGTACTTCGACATCGCACCAGCCATGGCTTCGTCATCATCAGGTCTCTCTGCCCCTCCATCCGAGCAGTCGTCCCGAGCATCTACCCCTGGACCCGGCGCTGCGCTGGGTGAGAAGACGCCTGACGACAGCAGTAAACTCAAAACATTCGTCGGCATCCTCAAGAAGTAATCCGCTGCTGTCTTTGACTCTCTCTACTCGCCGGTGACTGACGTGATTGCTCAGGTTCATTGGAGTCTCTGATATTGCCGCCGTCCGCTTCTCCTTGCCCGCCCAGCTGCTCGAACCCATCCCCAACCTCGGTACTCCCCCCGCCAACATGCAACAAGCACACCCTCTAACCATCCACACGCGTAGAGTACTGGCATTACCTTGACAGACCCGACATCTTCGCCAGCATTGGTGACTCGGATGATGAGCTTGGCCGCCTACTCGCCTGCTTGCGCTTTTGGTTCACCAAGGATCTGAAATATGTCAAAGGCAAGCCTTGCAAGCCATATAACTCGACGCTAGGAGAGTTCTTTAGGGTGCGTGATACTCTCGCTCTCTGCACAATATCTTGAGTCTGACATTAGTCCAGTGTCAATGGGAGGTCGAAGACAACGTGCCTGTTCTCCAGGGCAAGCCTGTCAAGGCCGACGACTCTGGGAAGCCCGTCAAGGTCTCTTACCTCACTGAGCAAACCTCGCATCATCCCCCAGTATCAGCCTACTACGTCGACTGCCCCCAAAAAGGCATCTCTGCATGTGGTTTTGATCAGATCAGCGCAAAGTTCACTGGCACCAGCATCCGTGTCACTCCGGGAACCTACAACGAAGGCATCTATGTCACCCTGCACAACTGGGCTGATGAGACATATCATCTCACTCACCCTGCTGCATATCTAGGTGGTTTCTTGAGAGGTAATCGGCCCAGCTCCCAGTCCCCGGCACCGCTTGCTAATACTGAATTTGATAGGCAATCTGAACGTCAGCGTGGCAGATACTTGCTTCGTAACGTGCAAGAAGACCGGCATCAAGGTCATCCTTCACTATCTCGAGGAGGGATGGCTAGGCAAGACCCAGAACAAGGTTGAGGGTGTGGTGTACAAATGCGACGTTGACAAGGACAACTTCACCAGAATCAAGGATGTCCCGGAAAAGGTCATCCTTGGCCGTATCGAAGGTGCCTGGCACGACAAGGTTTACTTCACTAAAGGGTCTGGTCCTGCGTCTAAGAACCCCGACAAGACTCTCCTCATCGATGTCAACCCCCTTTGGCCCGTTCAGAAGATTGTCCCTCCTGCTGAGCAACAGCTGCCAAACGAGTCGCGCAAGTTCTGGAACAGCGTCACCGAGGCCATTCTCAGCAAACAATACTCCAAGGCCACAACAGAGAAGCAAGAGCTCGAGGAGCGTCAACGCCAAAAGGCGGCCGATAGGAAGGCCAGAAATGTTGAGTGGTCTCCTCGCTTCTTCACAGGTGCTACCACCCCAGCCGGATTCCCTGAGCTCACCGAGGACGGCAAGAAGGTACTTCTTGGTCTGCAAAATGGCGACTATCATCTTGAGGAGAGCAAAGAGACCGGTGCATGAGACGAGACCAGACCTGTTATTACATATCCGTCCCCCATTAGACCAGACATTTTTGGAACTGCACATGCAAGGCGTTTTGGCGTTCGTGCTTGACCTTTATTATTTCCATAGGCGGGCGAACGAAATGAATATATCCAAGTCTTGCAATCAGACTGTGGATGTACCCCTGCCCCGCGCTATAGATCATTGAGATATTTGATGCCTGCCGTGTTCATTCGAAGGAATAAGCTGATAGCCATGATTGTTCAGCGTGACCCATGTGTTGTATAATCAAGCAGTCACACAGCTCTCCGGTGCCCTCCAGACGCAGTGCTTTCGGCTTGCTTAGCACAGCATTCATCGTGTCTATACCTCAGGTCTGCGCGTAGCTTTTCACCAGTGCACAATCTGTGTACGCGGCCAAGGTCACTCCGCCAACGGAGCTCATCTAGCACGTGATCCTAAACCGCGCTAACTCAGACGAGCCTATCGAGAGCTCTCAAAACACTCGCGAGCAGATGGAACGGAGGAACGCATCAATTCCCGTGATGACATGTGGTCTCCCAAGTGGCAGTTCCAAGATCTGATCGTCACGGACCGAGCAGATAGAACAAGCCATAGACTCCTGTATCAGGCACGAGATTGTTCATGGTCGCAAGGAAAGATTTGTCGAGCTCGAAATCTGAACGAGGCAATTGAGGTAAAACAGAAAGAGGTCTCGGGTGATCACCACATCGCGTTATCGGAGACCCCTCAGCGAGTAGTAGATTTGGCCCAAGCAATGTGCGCTATACGCAGGCGAGGGGGTGTGCCAGGGAGTGAGTTCGCCTACATGATTCTCAGGCCGAGTGTTTGTGGCATCTGGGTGATCAGGATATGGCTGTGTCAACGACTCTTCCCTCTACATATGTACTGCCAGAGAACAAGAGTGGAAACACGACACAGATTATGTGTTTGGGGCTCACATTTGAGATCCTGCCACAATCTGCGAGTTTGCGGTTCGGACGATGTGTGCCAGCTCAACAATGAATGTCCGATTTCTGATTACATAGCTGTGTTGATTTGTGTATACTTAGCAGCAGAGCAGGCCTCGTGTTCGATGTCTGGCTCTATGACGCAGAATCCATATGAGGGTAATATGCGAGTATGTAGCCTGGAAGAAGATACTAAGGACAGTAGAGAGCAAATAGTTTACTGTGATAACCAGAAGAATATTTCTACAAGTACAAGAACATTGGGAACCGGATATTGCATGTTTCTTTAACCATTTCTATTTGTTTGGTACAAAATGACTGATCTAGACATGCCACTGGGGTTTGTCTATTAGTTTTAGATACTGTGAAAGCCTTTGGGTAAAGCCGGGAGAGATAGTCCACCTGTATAGCGTTGTCAAATTCAATAGCCATAGAGAATAAATTTCATTAAGTCAGTCGGGGCATGTCGTTTACTTGATCAACTTGATTAACTCTCACCATCTTTGGCCGACTCTTGTTGCAGATCTAGTGGAAAGGCTTAGCAACGGTTGCTCGTATATCATTGACCGAGGTCTGCAAATGTCCAAGTCGCTGTCAGGGCTCGGACATGACTTGGGCCGAAGAGCTGACTAACCCCATTCCTCCCCGCCTTTCATGAGGTTGCATTCTACGTGCGCAGAACATCAGAACGACGATCTCTACAACGGCACCCTACAGCGAACACTCTAAAACACGAATTTATCCGTCCAGCATTTCTGCCTTGTTTCTACGGGAGAATGAACACCGGAGGTATAGTCATCAAGAGGGGTAACTTTCACCTGCACCCAGTCAGAGACGTCGAACGCTCGTTATACCTTTACGCCTAGCATCGCTACGACGAAGATCGTCAAGAGGTGCGTGATGCATACAGCGCGAGAGTAAGTACGATGAAGTAATGGGCTAGTCTTACGGACGCTACAGGTGAGTATATATGGGCTCTCCCTTTGCAGTCGTAAGATAGTCTGGTTCATTAGATCATCAAGGCTGCTCACAATGCATATTCCACTTTCTCTACTGCCCATCTTGGGTTCACTTGCCCAAGCCAGTCCTATTCTTCCAAGAGCATCATCATGGCCTAATGCACCTTTCACTGCCTCTGGTCGCGACATCAAGAACAGTCTCAATGAGACTGTTGTCTACGCCGGTGTCAACTGGCCTGGCGCTGCGGATGTCATGATTCCTGAGGGCCTGCAGTACCAGTCCGTCAGCAGCATCATGTCGAAGATCAAGGACCTTGGCATGAATGTCATTAGATTGACCTACGCGATTGAATTGGTGGACGATATCTACAGTGGCGTTGATAGCAGTCTCAAGGCCGCTTTCATTCAGGCACTAGGAGAGACAAATGGAACAAAGGTCTTGAATCAAGTCTTGTCGAGTAACCCTAGCTTCACCGAGAATACCACTCGCCTAGAGGTACGTGTCATCAGGTGACATGTCATAGACTGCTTACATACTAATACCATCGCTGTAGGTGTTTGATGCCATCGCTGCAGAAGCCGATACCCAACTGATATACGTGCATCTTGACAATCACGTATCCAAGGGAGAGTGGTGCTGCGGCCACGATGATGGAAACGCCTGGTTCGGTGATACATACTTCAACGTCGCAAACTGGAAGCGTGGTCTGGCGTACATGAGCAGCCATGCAAAGTCATGGCCAGCCTTCACTTCCATGTCTCTCCGCAACGAGCTACGTACAACATCCAACGGCACAGGTGATAACTGGGTCTCATGGTATGAAAACATGGTACCTGCTGCCGATGGCATCAATGCTGCCAACCCTGCACCACTGATCTTCTTCTCCGGTCTAAATTACGATACACAATTGGCCACCATTGTCAATGGCAAGGACATTGGCAATGGCACTACCTTTTCCCTCGACAACTATTCTTACAAGGACAAGATTGTCTGGGAGTTGCACAACTACGCCAACAGTGCCACAAACTGCAACGATATCAAGGGCAGTCTCAGAAACCAGGGTTACAACGCCATGGAAGGATCTGCTTCTGCTGTGAACAAGGCACCTGTGGTGTTGACCGAATTTGGCTTCGATCAGAACACTGGATCGTCGAGTGTTTATGCGCAGTGCATCAAGGAATATCTCACTACGCTGCCCGGTGGTCCTGGTGGTTGGATGCAGTGGGTCATTTCTGGTAGCTACTACATTCGTGAAGGGGCTCAGGACAAGGACGAAACATGGGGTCTATTGAACCATGATTGGTCTGATTGGCGCAACCAGACGGCCTCTGACTACACAAAGAGTTTTGTTGAGAAGACGCTTGTTTAGTCATATCAGGAGCATTCACATCAACACAGTATATCATACATGGATCAAGAAACAGATGCTGAAGTGACTTCATTTGATTGAAAAAGTCTACGCAAAGTAATCTGAGTGAGCGCAAAAGCAAAAGGCCATCTATCTGAGCAAGAAATCCACCTGGTGACCAAGAAAGATAAAGAGCAACGAGATGCCAGAGTTAATGTAAGCAGACGCGAAAAAGAAAAAAGAGGTCAGACAGTCTTCGTGCTGACATGACAAAACTGTTTGTGGTATCTGTGAGTTGCAAAAGGCCAAACCCGGCGTCGAGACAATATAAAATAAGCAAAAACGAAAAGGACGAAAGGCAGGACAAGCGAGAAAGGAAGAGGTGCAAAAGGTAAATCAAACAATGTACTCAGAACCGCGGAGCATGCAAGACGCCAGCTATAATGTCTATTGCGTTCTTGGAAAAAGGCAACGAGGTCAAACACGACTGTGTTGTTGCTTTCGGGCTCAAGATGTTGCTTTTGCGGCGGCCAAAAGGCGAAATATGACTCCAGTACTCCAGGGTGGTAAGTATACCTGCCGTTGCTTCATTAGTCATGATACACATCATGACATGTGGGTCATGTTGCTTGGATATGTTCAGCGACGGCTAAAACCGCCTCTGATGGGGCCCTTTTTCTTTAGAGGAGGGCTCTTTGTGAGAGGACTTGTGGTGGTCATCGGAGAATTGCGTGCTCCGACGCCCTTTGCCTTCTTCTTTCTTAGAGGTGTGATGGGTGTGTTGGCTGCTGCACGGCGACCGGTCTGCATTGCATTCGTTTCTGATAGAGAGGCTCGCAAAGCAGGATGCGAAGGCAGAGAACCCACGTGCTTGGCGAAGTGTTGGTTGCGGCGGAATGAGCCCACAACGCCATGACGGTCAAGATGGGCAAGCAGGTCAAAGCCGCCTGGTTGGGAGGATGTGGTGTTGGTGACTTGGGAGGAGAAGGATTGGTTGGTAGGTGAAGCGATGTGGTCGGACTCGTCGGGCATGTCCTCATCTTCGTCGTCGTCGTCGAAGTTCAAGAAGCACATTGGATCTTGATCTACCTCGGCGCCAGCAGTCGCGGCATCGTCATCGTGAATGACAGCGCCAGAAGCAGTGACATCAACAAAAGGAGTGAATGCTTCCGGAGGACCAATGACTTGATCTGTACGAAGAGCACCGAAAGCATCGAAGAAGTCGTTTTCTTCGCCAACGCTCATGCCATCGCTTTCTCCCGAGGGAGTGAGCTGAACAGACTGGCGGGGGCTAGTGGTCCGGCTAGTAGCACGACTATTGGTGTTGCTCAACATATGCATACGCTCCCACAACTGCTTGTCGGCAGCAGACTGAATCTTTGCAGGCCAGAGAGTGCTCTTTTGCGCAACACCAACACCATCGATGGTGAGCACAGGGCGGTGAGGGTCTATGATGAATGTACCCATCTTTGGCTGTGTGGGAGTCCGCTTGCTCTTGTTCTTGCGGAGAGGTAGTCTGATGGAGGGGCGGGGAGTGGCCATGTTGCTGCTCGGGCTTGTGGGCGCCGAGGAGGCTCTCTTGGGAGGCGGGGGCATCGGTTCTTCATCAGTTGTGTCACCGTCGTCGGCTTTGGGGTCATCAAGAGTCAGCTTCGGGGTGTAGGCAAATGTCAACAAACCGGTCAAGACCTACATTCATAGCCGCTAGAGCCAGCTGACGAATCCGAATCCTCCTCTTCCTCGTCCATGAGCAGTACTCTCATCTCGTCAGCCTCGAAATCCCACTCGGAGCCGGCATTACTACTGTCGTCCTGGTATAGCTCGTGGTCGTCGTCCTTCTCGATCAGGCGTCTGAAGCGCGGGTCGAGGTGGTCTTGTTGGATGAAGAGATCGGGGAAGAAGTCACTGTCGGCGTCCGAGTCGGTCTCGTCGGACATGTCAGCTCTCTCTTCGAAGCGTACACGGCGCTGTGTAGGGACTGTCTGCTCGCTCTCTGTCCTTGTAAGGGGGCTGCCTTCGCGGAAGAAGTCGGGCACGGCCATAATCTGATCCGCATCGAGGTAAGGTTGCGAGAAGGGGTCGTCGCCCAGGAGGTAGTCGTCGTTGAATTCGAGATAGGCCAGCTCGGCTTGGTTGCTGTTCTGGCTGGACAGACTAAGCCTTCGTGCCAGAGCAGCGTTGCTCTCTTCATCGTCATCGTCGTCGTCGGCCATCAGCTTCTCCTCGGCCTTTCTCATGCTCTTCTCTTCATCGTCGCTGTTGCTGATCATGTCGACAGCATCGTAGTCGTCGTCGCTGTCCATGGACTCTTCCGGCGGTCTCCAGCCACTAGCTTGGAGCTCCGACATCTTCCGCTGAAGAGCACCTGACATGTTCATGTGTGTAGCCATGACAGGTGCGCCTGTGTCTGCGTCTTCGTTGGTGGCGCTTTTGTCACCCTCTGCACCATCTTCGGCCCCGTCGATTGAGGTCTGGGGTTTCATGGAACTTTTTGTCGGTTTTTGGGGACTGCTCTGGCTAGCAGGCTCTGTGTTGGGCATGGATGGGGGGGGCATCCTCGAGTCGGGAGTTGCGTTGAGGTGGATTGAAGAAGCCATTGTATATATCTGAGTTGAATCAAGGTTTGATGCGGTCTTCTATAATGATGGGGGATTCGAAAAGTGGAGTCTTGCAGGACTCGTCGTTTTTGTGTCTCAACGGTTGTTAATCTTGAGGTCGTCCTTCGGTGCGAGAGATCACAGGCCGACTTGTCGATGTGGTGAGTAGTGACAAGACTGTGCTTGGGCTACTCTGCGTAGTGGGTGTCTTGTTGAATGTGATTGTAAATCTCGGTAAGAGCTCTTGAGAAGGACCGGTCACCAGAGGGCGCCGAACGAACAGGCGCCCCCTAGCGGTGGATTTAGTGAGCAGCGGCAGCCGGCGACATTGTGTAAGACGAGGTGGAGATGAATATGCGTTGGAATAGGTGGTGGTAATGGGCGACTTCTTCGTCTTTGTCAGGAGCTCTTCTTGCACAAGAATGAAGGGAAAAGAGAAAGTGTTTTGGGACCGTCGTTGGTCGCAAAGAAGCAGCATCCTCCGTCAGTCCTGTCTTGGCGCAGACACTAGCGCCACGTTATGCTCTCCCGCCCACCTTTTGTCCTTTCTTCAACGAGCTCCTCCGCCAGGTTCGGCTGCTTCTACACCTTCGACTCCTCGGCATGCACCCCGTTCATTCGTCCGTGTATCCTCCATCATCTGCTGCTTGCAATTGCTGCCTCGAGAAAAGAGTCGTCCTATCCGACTTGTCACTGTACCCATCTTCCGCCCAAACGGGTCATGTCCAGTTCGACCAATCGCCAACTACTTCCTGCATAGTCTTCTATCCGCCCGCGCCTAGCGTATACCTTAACCGCAGATTTGCCCAGGCTGTCATTCGTCAAACGTCCTCTCACCACCACATAGCAGCCTGTGCGGTCACTTCCCTGAACCAACTTTTTCTTTCCACCCTTCTTCCCCAGATAAAAAAGGAATTTCTATTCCTTCACCTCATCACCGCCCCACTTTGTCAAGCACATCTGGCGATGCATCGATGGAATCATGTTTGACTACGTATCTCTCGCTTCTGCTCGCCTATCTTCGCATCCTTGACGTGACTGAACATGCGTGAGATTGTCACACTGTCAAGGCGTCCGCCGTTCTACTCTGCGGGTCTATGCAGTTCTCGCCTGAGCGTCTCGTGACCTGGTATTGAGACGTCGGATCGTATCCGGGTGTTGTGGTCCACCGTCGGCATTATTCTGAAAGCCTTTGACTTTGGGCCATGACACGTTTGTCGAATCTGGCCCTCCGGCTTGCCGGCTCTCGCTTTCTTTTAACAAAACGGGGTTAAACTGTTGTACGACTACGTACGAAAACCTCTTATCGCGTCAGAAGATTGACTGAGCACGCACTTCGCTCGCGGCCGCCCGAGATTACTTGAGAGCTGGATAGTCATGTGCTGCTTCACACTGTTCACGCTGTTCACACTGCTCATACTGCACGCCCCGACAATACAACATCTACCACGCTTGTGGCATGATCGGTAGAGAATCACCAAGATCGTGAACGGAAGTGTGTACAACTTCCATTCCACAACACGAACATGCCCTTGAGCTTTAGCACAAGTACAACCGCCTCTTGGGCCCGAGACAAGCACGGTAAGCTGGCATTACAAGTGTCCACGACGATTCACAAGTTGTATCGAAAAGAGTGAAGGACATCCACGTACTAGAGGAAGGGCGAGTACCGAAATTATACACATTCAAGGTGCTCACAGTGTTGACCGTAGTCTGAGATGCTTGAGAGCACTCAAGGCTCTCCATGCGCAAGTGCGAAGATATGTCATAATGCTGCCATCTTGAGGGCTGCAATCAAAAGTCGAGTTCTTTTGCTTGCATCTTCGCTCCTCCTAGCAGGATGCTCATCCTAATAATGTACATGGTATCTTCTCCTCTTCTAGTGCTGCTTGTTTTGGTTTTCTGAACGCCGTGTTCTAATATCACAGAGGGGAGAAGATTGGTTGACAAAGGTATGCTGCGCGTAGGCGCAAGATGTCGGGAATCGTACAAGTCCTGAATATAAAGGAAGGGATAACAGAGAAACGCCGCGCTGCTTTGAAAATATGCCGAAATAATACAGTGGCCTGAAGGAGTCGAACTTTGGAGATGCAAGGTGGAGATCGAGAGGCCTGGCGAAGGCTATAGGAGGAGATCGGGGATGCAGTGTAAGTGGGTCGAGAGTCGACGCTCATTGCTGCCATGTTTTCAGCAAAGGTCCAACCTCACGACTATCGGTTCTTGTAAACCTTTGGCTTCCATCCTTCCTGCAGTTCTGCTTCCCTCTCGGCCGCCCTCGCGGCCTCGCGCACTTCCATTTCAATCCTCTCTCTTGCTCGCAGCACCTTGCTCTGCAAATAGAAACTGCCTCCCTTCTTCGGGTCGTTTTGGTCAAACAATTTCTTGAAGCGCTCCGTCACTTGTTCCATGTTGGCCTTGCCGCCCTTGGGAGGGCCGACATTTAGAATCTTGCAGGCCTCATCCAGTGTCAATCCAGCTCCACCAGTAGATCCCTTGATGCCGGTCGCTGCCTGGTACTTTTGTGAGGCAGAGGCGTGGCGGTATGCTTCGGCAAAGGCGCGGCCGAAGACGCGAGCGCCAGTCACGAAGACTTGAGTTACTATGCGATGTGCCTGTGGTGGTGAACAGGTCAGCAATCATCACTTATTTGCGCCACATGCACACGAACCATTCTTGCGTTATATGTGCCTGGTGATCAGTAGATTAACAAGAAGGACGTAGTAGCAAGAGCGGCGAGTCGGCGACATTCTTTCTCGACTCTTCCGAGACCCTCCCAACTCTTCCCGCAATTCGGCCTTGGCACTGCGTGTCAAGGTCATCCCCTCAGCAAGCGTACTCCGGTGTTCATCTGCCACCTCCGCTCTATCTGTAGCTTGTCTAGTCGATCAACCTGATCAGAAGGTGCTATAGCCACGTGACGCTATATCTAACTGTGCTGAAGTCTCTTTGTTGCGTTGCGCGAGGACAATCGGCTGTTTGTCATTACACATGATTTTTTACCGCAACATTGAACCCAGGACCGTGTGGCACGCCGGAGACTAGTCATGTCAGACCAACCAACAATGTACTGCCCGACCTGAATGATCTCCTTGCCTTAGTAGGGCTGAACGATAGCCAACAGTGTACGCAAGTCAAATGAGCGAAGGATCGTTCATGGCCGAGTCTTGCAATTGCGACTTGCGACTTCTGCTTCGGACCCTAATTCGACACGCTAGGCCTACTAAATACGTCATCACCCACTGTTCTCATACCCTTTCAGCACCAACTTCGACCTTGGTTCGACCTCTGAATACTGGCAATACTCGAGCCCAACACCCCTCTCTACCCTTTGGTGAGAGCTGTGTATCTAGTGGCTGCCCGGTTCCACGCGGCCAATCGATGCATATGTGAGCTTTGGCTGTGACTCGCCGACTAGGCAACAGTCCCCCACAGCACGCGTCGAGAAAACATAAAGGACGCATCGACTCCCCAACATGCTACGAGCTATCATTAACTGGGTTACCATGGCAAACACTGACAGCAACGCCTTCCAGGCGGCTGACTTCGTGTCTAAAGCGGCGCACGAACAATCTCAGTCTCTCCTCTTCTCTGTCTTGCCCGGCGAGATTAGAAACCAAATTTGGAGCTACGCTCTTGCAGATTATCAAGACGAAACTCAGGTGTATGATGACGCGACATGCTACAAACGACCAGAATACCTCGCTCCGAGAAAGACTGACACAGTGCTACTACGAACGTGCAAACGCATCTACCAGGAGGCCTGGTTTCTTCCGTGGACTCATGCCGAGCAGATTTTTTATCTCACCGGAACCGATCGACGACCACTACGCACAACCACCGTGAGAGACATGCAGAGAACGCTACTTACAATATCAAAGACTCAGACCATGCCGATCATACAGCACGTTCGTGTATTTGCTCAACTGTATCTTCTCGAGAACGGCACAAAACTTCAAGACATCCTCAACCTCAGCTTCTTCTACCCAAAAAGCATCACAATAACGATCAGACATACAGACTGGTGGTTCTGGGAAAGTGATAACAATCTTCACTTTGACGCGACCTGGGTCGACTTTTGCAGATTCCCGAATAGCCTGACAGAACTGCGTGTGGCATTTGAAAGTCTCGAGCGTAAGAAAGACCAGATTGACGATGTTGTTAATCAAGCAATTCGTGGCTGGACCTTCCGCTGTAAGGACGATACTGAACTATCGGCGAAGGACTGTAAGCCTGAGATTATGAAATGGAGCGGGAACGCTACATGGGGAGGTCGACGTTGGGTGCGTGACGAGACAGGGCCGAACAAACTGGACTACTATGTTTCCACCGCTATCTGGCGACCCGTCAGCTCGACCAGCGACAACGAAAATGGCACTCCCCGCACTTATGTGACCGAGGGAAGACGATTCCCCAACCTGGATGCTACCGGCTATGCTCAGCTGGACGATCAGATACCATGGGTACCGACTAGTGTGATGCGAAATGCCAACATGGCTCCCGACGCTCCCACCCGGGATGTTCGACGGCTGCTAGAAGAATCCTCCGACGAAGAAGGCGAAGAGAGATTTAGAGAAAGCGACGACGACTCTGAGCAAGACGATATAGCATCCGAAGACGAGGACCTTTAATGGATGCCGAATCGAATAATGCTGAGAGGAATGGCGCTGTTGATTGCTAGGGACGGACATGTTCTCATACGAGACAATCACATCTTTGAGAAAACAACGACATTGATGCTTGGTCAGTGACGATCATGAGCTATATTTGTTTAATCGACAGTTGATCGAACTGCACACACCACTGATTTACTGCTGTCACTGTAAGATGTACCTCTCGCTGGTATTATGAAAGCAGAAGCGTGTAACTCGGTCCCTGGGTCTTTTTGATCGCCAAGACTGTCTTAGATGAGATGCTTGTCGAAGGCTTCGATGCCATGACTATCAGCAGATCGACCGAGTAGAGTTTGGCAACGAGATGCCATGCAGTATACCGAATCAGTGAGTACACATGCCCTTTCGCCTCGGACGTACTCTGTAACATGCTATCCGTGGAGAAGTGGCCAAAGCAGGGGTTTAGGCTAAACGTAGGGGTCTGCGATCTTCTTTTACTTACAGTATGCACACACGGTTAGTGTCACCACTTGATGGAAAACTGTATGTTGTGCCGTGGGGCCGTGGAAGATCAGTAAATACATCCTCCTCCTTTGCAGAATACTGTCACACGCGATCTCCTCGATGATCAGAGCGAGGTGACCACGAGCTGTTGAAAGGCATAAATATATCTCCTATCCATGAAACTGGCACAGGGAGTTCGTGAGAAGACATTTCTTAGTGATCTCGCTACTGGTTGCCAAAAGTATTGTGCCTTGAGGCAGCTTCAAAAGTACCAGTGTCTCGCACACGGGGATGAGAAATAGATCGTCGCTGGTGCAGGTATGCGGGGATCCTGGAGTACAGTATACTCGTCCGAACTGAGCCGACATTGCTCTGATTTGATCTGCTAAGTAAGGCGGCAGGGTCACTTGAATATCCGGAGCGGTATCGACTGCAAGAACACAGGCAAAATCTCGAGTCTTCCGGGTCAATGTGGTCATGCAGTATATCACGGGCCGGTCGAGGAGAAGTGAGGGGCTGCGCACAAAGCTCGAGCTGGTTTAAGAAACATAAAAGAAAGCCTTCATCGAAACATATGCTTGAGGTCTCCAAGCATTTGGCGCACAACCAACCAACATGCTCTCCAGTCTCTTGTCTTTCATTACCTCAGCGCTGCTAGTACGCGATGCTATTGCATGGCCGAGCGCACCTCCGGCTCCATTTGTCCAGAACGTAACAGTGTTCGTGCCACCAGCCAATTGGCCTGACAAGGGTGGCAGCTATGCCCGTTCCGTCATCCTCAACCAAAATTGCGAGAAAGGGGAACCTACCATCCTGGCCACCGCTGCGTACAACGCTCCTGATGGGCAGTACTTCATGATCCATAAGAGCACCGATTACGGAGTCAGTTGGTCGGAACTTTCGAAGGCATACTTCAGTGGCAACGCTAGCTTGACTGGCGGTATCATTCTCCAACCATTCCTGTATGAGCTCGCTCAGCCTTTTGGAAAGTACCAGCCTGGAACTATCCTTCTGTCTGGTAATCGCATTCCTGGCGACTTTTCGAGTACCAATATCCAGTTGTATGCTAGTGAAGACAAAGGGTGAGTCTTCGCCCATCAGGGCCCTCGTTTGTAATACTGACGTTCTCCAGTGTGTCCTGGGAGTATGTCTCGACGGTCGCGTACGGAGGGCCCCCAGATACAGACAATGGAGCACCATGTGTGTGGGAGCCCTTCATTCTCGCCTACGACAACCAGGTGAACGTGTACTACTCTGACCAGCGCGACCCAGCATATGGTCAGAAGCTCGCCCATCAGTCTAGTGGTGATCTAAGGTCGTGGGGTGATGTTGTCAACGATGTCGCTTATGCGAATTACACTCAGCGACCTGGTATGATTACCGTAGCACAAATTGGCAACGGAAAGTGGATGTGCTCCTACGAGGTTGGTCTTTGGACAGATCCCGTCACTGGCAGCAACGACAGCGCGCCCTACGCTACGCATTATAAGATCGCAGATTCACCTCTTGAGTTTGGATCAGTCAGTGACAACATCCTGAAGACTCCCGAAGGTATCTCTAGTGCAGGTCCATATACCGTGTGGACACCAGCTGGCGGGCCTTCCGGTACAATCGTTGTGAGCGACTCTTCCTACGATCAGTTCTTCCTCAACACACAAAATGGCGATCCAAATTCGTGGAAGAACGTTTCCAGTCAGGGCCACGGAGTTGGCTACACTCGATCGCTTTCGGTGCTTCCAGGAAATGGCGGAAAGACTGTACAAGTCCTCAATGGTGGTATGTACGGCTCAAACATGACCATATTCAGCGCTGGCGATTTTATCGTGCCAGGACCGCTTGGTCATGGTCCGGGTGCTCAAGGCTTCCCAGCATGCCAGCATAATAGTGGCGGCTATGGTCACGGTTGGGGTTGGGGCAGTCCTTGGTGGTAGAAGACAACTCGGTTCTCCAAAATGGCAGGTGGTTGACTGAGGTCGGCGGAATGTAGATCATGCCAAGCTCGCACAGTACGTACGCCAAGCACCTACTCAATCTGAACTCTCTGACCACGTCTCACAACTTTCCAATTGTGATGTCGGTATGATTGACACGAGCTCGACAAAACACACGAGCATGACTACAACTCGCTTGTACACGTTTGCTAGTCGGAACAATGCCATTGGTGTCTCCCATAGAGCCACCGTCTCGGGCCGCTAAATTTGCCGAACCACGCCTTGATGGCTAATGTGGACCTTGGCAAAGCTGCAACAGCACACCAGTCCGGGAGGGAATGTAGATCGTGTCCACCGACCCTGTGCCATCTTATGACCCCGTGGGGCACAAAGTGGAGTGTTTGCGGAGTCCCACGTCAGCAGACCGAGGCTCGACCAGCAATTCTCCCACCGGACATCTTGTCTGTACGAAAGATCTTCGACTTGGCATCTAGAAGCCCTACTTCACGCTCTGCTGCGAATGGCCTCCAAGCATACGTTCACCCGAGCGTGATGGCCTTGACCACGGGGAGATTCCCACGTAGTGGAGATGTATAAAAAGAGATCAGCTCGACACCTTTCCACAGCATAACACCAGCTTCGAACTCCCAATCTTCAAGAGCACTATCTCCACAATCATGTTTTTCACGCAATTGGGACTCCTCGCCCTCAGTGGTGTATCCGCTGTTATCGGTGCCAACTATTCAAACCCTCTAGAGCCCAAGGATGGAGGAGATCCCTCCATTGTATGGCACGAAGGTTACTGGTACTTCACTGCAACAAACTATCGCGATATCAGCGTTCGACGTGCAACAACTCTCGATGGACTGAAGACTGCACTGCCAAAGACAGTATGGGAACCTAGTGCCGAGTTTCCTTCGCGTCAATGCAACATCTGGGCCCCTGAGCTGCACATCGTCGACGGGCAGTAAGTTTCATCATATTATGAAACAACAGGACCTTGACTGACATGACTTGTAGATGGCACCTTTATTTCTCTGCTGGTGGCTGCGGTGACGGCTCTATCCAGCAATCTCAAGTTTTGCGAGGTGGACCTTCTCCCTGGGACCACTTTGACTTCTATGGCACTATCAATGCACCCGCATGGTCCATTGACGGAACGCCCCTGAAGATTGATGGTCAAGACTATTTTGTCTACTCTTGCTTCCGTGGTGATACTGGCGAGAATCTGCAGTCTCTCTGCATCGGCAAGAACTCAGATATTCTCACCATCGGTGAGGAGCATCTCCTTGCCTCCCCAACCGAAGCTTGGGAGCGTAATGGACAAATGCCCGTCAACGAAGGTCCGTTCGCTCTCTACAAGAATGGTCGTACTTTCCTGTCTTATTCCGGCTCCTTCTGCTGGGATCCATCTTACTCGCTCGGTTTACTGGAGTATGTCGGTGGTGACCCTCTTGAACAAAGCAGTTGGGCCAAGACCGGCCCTCATTTCAGCCAAGCACATGGCATGTACTCGACCGGTCACAACAGCTTCTTCACCAGTCCGGATGGTACCGAGACTTGGATGGCATATCATTCGTCGCCTAATCCTGCTGGTAGCTGTGGTGACAGATACTCCAACGCGAAGAAGATAGAATTTGAGGCGGACGGCTTCCCTATTCTTGGCGAGCCTATCGCAGAGGGAGAGGTGCTACCAGGCCCTGCTGGTGAACCGCAAGCTTAATTAGATGAGAGCTAGCCTGCTTCGCATTTGCTTCCCACGAGCTCCCCTAAATTTATCTCGTAGATATAACGATCCACTCCAAAATTCAATCTTCGCTGTCTAGACTTAATTATCACATTTGATTGTAGGTGTTAAGTGGATGTAGAATGGCCATAAACCATTCAGCTACGCCTGGTGAGCTTGATACTGTATTTGTTTCCAGGATAAGCAATTCAGCTCAGTGGGCGTCTGCCTTTGATCGATCGACAGCCTAGTGCACAATCAATCAAGAGACGTGAGACGTCAAAATCGAACTTCGAACATGTAGATTCCATTTTGCTGGTGTTCATAGTGGAAAAATGGATTTGGAGTATTCGCTTGAAAAAAGTTCAAATGTATCCCAGTCCCTCGCCAGCGATGATTTCCAAATCACTTCTCATCCCCCAGACTTCTGCACCAGCTCTGCCAAGGACTTCTAATCTTTTACCGGCTCCCAGTTCGTAGACTCTGGTGATGAGATCTCCGTCTACGATACCTCTAGCGCCAAGCCCCTCACTCTCGACCGCACGGTAGGCTCGTGGATTGAGACCAGCCGAATGCTCAAGGATACTGGAAAGAGTTGTCTGTAGTGCTGATAGGCGACGATAGGTTGCCTCGTCAAGAGGCGTTAGCAGTGCGATGCTACCCGTCTGTGTTGTGATGAGAATATGGTTGAGAGTAGATGTGGGGGAGGGTCCGCTATCATCGTCTGCCATCTCCTCATCAGGGTTCTGTTCGGTGAAAGGCGATAATGTGGAAGGAAGTAGCGTCATCGAAGTGGGCATGTGACCAAGGTGGAAGGTACTTCTATGCAGAAGACGTTGGCCGGAGAGTGATTTGGGATCTGCGAGAGTCAGCTATGTCACAGGAAACACAGTGAAGATACACACGTTCGGGATCGTATTGCAGCACGTGGATGTCGAGATCCGCATCGACGAGGATGATGTACAGCTGACCCTCAAATGGAAGGAATTCAGCCGTTATGACCTCCATCTGCGAGCGTGACTTTCCGAAGAGTGAGAGTTTATAGGGCTCCTCCTATGAACGTGTTAGCAATGATTGCAGGAGTGGTGACTGTGATCACTGACCCCAAATCCACCGAACCAAAGGCCTTTCCAAGCGTCTGCGGCAATCCAAAGTTTACTACTCGCGAGGGTCTTCAACAATGTAACGTAGCACTGCGCATCGAGGAAGGCGACAGGTAAACAAGATCCGTCTTCTCTAAGCCCACGAATCATAATCTTCTGCCCCTGAGCGGTACCAACAAGTCCAGCGATGCCCATCAAGGCCGTGATACCATTCTTAGTCTCTTCTCTGCCGAAGACTCGGAACTTTTTGCCTGTCTCGGGTTGACCAGGCTCTGGTACAACGTCAATGATCTCAAGTGTGTAGATGCATCCCTTAGCAGCATAGTTCTCAGCTCGTTGAGAGATGGTGCCCAAAGTGACTAGTGATTTGTGTTGGTGGGTAATCTCCGAAACCTCGAGAGACATGACTTCCATGGACGTGATAAGTTCGTAAGGTGGAATATCATAAGTGTCGACAATTCGGTCTGCTCTCGCATCGTAAAGGTGCACGCGGAACTGCAACGTTCTCGGTCGGAGTGTTATCTCTGAGGGAGGTCTGTCAGTGTTATCCGCGTATGATCTTCAGGAGGACAAATACCTTCGTCTGCGGCTGGGTGTCTTGGATCGTCCTCTGGAGGGTAAAAGTCTACCTCCTCTTGAGTCGTAATGACATAGACGCCACGATCTGCATGATATGCTATCTTTTGAACTTCGATGTGTTCGGAAAACGGTGAGAACTTGCGGACAGACCATCCGTTGGAGGCGAATGTCGTGCCCGCCGGAATCTGGCCTTCATGTATTGTGCCCTTATACGTGGTCAGTGTTTAGCATGCACACCGAAATTCTACTACTCACAGTGGTATCGATCCATGAGAAACCAGCCCGGCACTTGCGACTGTTGAGGCCACAAAGTCCACGAACGCCCTTTCCTCTAAGGCTGACAATGCGCGGCAGAGTTGTGGCGTCTTTTATCACGAAGCTTGGCGAACCACCTGCCATGAAAACAGCAGAGTACCCACCCACATTCGGTAGCAACCTGAGAGCGGCAGGTCTTTGAAGAGATGGATCCTCGTTGAACTTAGGCATATGCAAACCGGGTACTTTACGGAACCGTAAGTTTTTGGTGAAGGACGGAGATGTGACGGGTGCTGCAGGGTAGTGGAAGGGCTCGTAGATGATGAGATCGTCGGCCGACGAACGTAGCTAGATCTCCTTGTGAGTGCCTGGTTTGTTGAAGCTGGGGGATTTGAGACTCTTACAATCAGGTATGGCGATTTGGCCGTCTCATCGCCTAGATCCGCGAATATCAGTTCGGTCAGCGTCTCCTTGCCAACTGTGCGGCGGGGAGCACTCTCATTCGTGACCACAGGCGACAGGACTGAAAGACTGGCAGCCTCGTAGACAGGCTTCTCTAGATTTGGCAGCTCGAAGATCTACATTTTTGTTGTTAGCAAACCATGCCGACTCAATAACTGGTGATAAAACCTACCGATAAGCCCCCATCTGCATTAAGCAGGAATGCTAACGCTTTGTTGCCCGTCTTCTCGGACTTGTAGACACTGCCAGACAACCACTTAGAAGCTAAAGCGGCATCACCACGCTCCAGCTCGTCAAGATCGCCACTCTTGTCCACTTGCAGAATTTGTAGACTCGAGTCCTCCCGGAGAAGTAGGAGAAAAGGGTCGCAAAACGATGCGTGAATCACGGTGAGCTCTGCATCGGTCTCTTCATCGATGATGGGGAAAATTTGAGAAAGGCCAAGATCTGGAAATGCTCAATTAGTTACACACTTTGTGGACGGACGAGTATAGTGACGAGCGGCAAGCAATGGGAAGATGGCAGATTTGTATTGAGGAGGCTATAGTACAGATGACGGTATACACGAAATTCTCAGTGTTGACATCCGCAAACGACTGTGAAGCTTGGATATCCCGTGACAGCGCTGCCACTGATGGACACAGTCTCAAGGCATTGTGTAGTGATGGATAGACAGGGGAGGTGCTTGAATACAGGCAAGGTGGTATGTGGGCGCTGAGGATAAAGTAACGAGACTTACCTGCGTCATAACTTCTGACTTCATGCTTTCTCACCTGGACCATTCTTGTGCCAGAAGCCAGGATGCCGACATCTAAGGTCTCACCTTCGCCCTCAAATTCAGTTCCGGTCACCTCAGTGTAGCTCATACTGCCGTCGCCTTGCTTAACCTCGGTGGCTTCATTATCAATTCTGAAGACCTTGGAGCTTTCTGTACCGTCGTCATCCGCATGACAGGTGACAAGGTACTGATCGCACAACATATCAGATGCAGGTTGAATTTCCGGATCTTGAGCGCCACCTGTAGACTTGGGCAAACCACGCGGTGCTGCTCGTTTCACACAAGCAGTCCACACTGCTCGAGCATGAGGTACATCTACTGTGCGGACAGGGCTAGGGGTTAGTTCACGGTTGATTAGCGCCAGCTTCGACGCGGAATCGCGACCGACGCTTGCGAGTATGGACAACTGTGGCTCCATTTCGTTCGCAGAATCCTCAGTAGCATATTTGCCGAGACAAACGTTTTTGATGGGTCCCAAGCTGAACAATTTGTCGTGTATTCTGAAGAAGTAGTTGTCAGGACCACTGGATTCAGCAGTGTGTGACGTCGTTTGCTTGACAACAGGCGCTTCGTCAGCATACAGATCATCGTCTGCGTCGTCGTCTAAGTCTTCTTCGTCCAGCGAGAGTTCAGCGTCCTCGGCGATCATCTGAGCGTGGCTACGCTTACGCGTCTGCGCAGTCTTTTTAGACCAGCCAATCAAGGTGGAGTCACCATCCTCACTGCCCAAAAACAGTCTACTACGTCCGAGAAATGCAGCACAATTTACAGCAGTCTTTAGCTCGTGACCGCCGTGATCAGAGTCTACCAGATGAACAGCTAAGCCAGATACCGAGCGGCCATCAATGCGGAAGGACAGCACAGCCAGACGGCCAGTCTTTAGTATGATGAGCATGTTGCCGTTAGTGTGATCCAGAGCCTCGACGACACAGTCCTCCAGACGCAAGCCAAGGTCGGATTGATCGGCCATAGCGAAGTTTGAGCTTGGCTTTGCGAACTCGTTCACAGCTACGGCGTTTGTTTTTCCAGCTTGATCGACATGCACCAACTCGTTTGCGCCAACGAGAAGAGCTCCACCCACTGGCAAAGGCAGTGGCACAACCCGGAATATGTCGAAGGGAAGGCCCGGGACTGAGAGCAGAGTCGTGGATGCACGTTGTTCCAAATCCAGCGTGAAGACAGTGTAGTTCAGAATATCCTTGCGCTCGTCAAGCAACCCATGGCTAGGAGCCTTGTTGGACGAAACAATGCCAAAAGTGGGTTCTCTATACTCGTGCAGAAAGGCCAGATGGATTGGGTGTGTGAGTGCGGGGTCAAGAGCGGTCAGAGGTAGGACAAACGAGGCCGAGTATGGAGTTTCGGCTTGGGCCTCTGTACCAGGCGCAGACGGCTTGGTGGGCGGAGGCGTATCGAGGTCGTCTTCGCCAGCCAGGTCGTCGGAGGACTGGCGGAAGGGAATGATGGCGAGCTGCTTAGTACCAAACTTGAGAGCGGCGCATCTGCTGCTTGGATCGACGCTTAGGTAGCTTGGTGTGTCGGCAAGGGAGGGACCGAAGGGAAGAGAGTTTGGGGTCTCGCGCTCGTAGTAATGGATGGACAGAGTTGAGATACGGTGATTGAGAGGATCCCATTCAATCAAACTGACTTTGGCGTCCTGGGTAGACAATAGCAGGGCTTCGGCGCCTGTTTTTGTGTTCAGGGCTTTGACCCTCTGTAGCGAAGTGATGGTTCCCGACACGGGATACTCGCCGAGCAGGACGAGCTTGGCCGAGTTCTCGGTACGATGGGAGGGTTCTGGGTCTTCAATAGTACCAGTGTCGCCATTGGACTGGAGTGATGATGGCTTGACATCGGTCGCGACGGTCTTGATGGCAAAGAGCTGGAGCAGTGAGGTCTTTGCAACGACCAGATTAGTTGCGCCCGGAGCGGTAAAGGGCAAGGCAACGGCACTCGACACAGCGGTCGGCGCCACAAGTTCGGTATAGCATTGCATTATATGTCGTCGCGCATTGCACGCAGTTGTGGCTGTCCGCTTAAGATAAAGGCACGCTGTATCTCGTCACGCTCGAGAAGCGCGGAGCTGTTTGCCGAACTTCTCCCTGTCGTGAGCGCTCGGACGCCTGGACAGCTTAGCATGTGAATCTAGCTTTCCTGAATGTCAAAGCCGCTCCTTCCAAGCCTGGCTATATGCGCGACAAGATCTGCTTATCGGCTTGCTGAGATTATTAACAAGTGCTACTCAAGCTGATTGGAGCTCCCAGTAACCCCTAGCTCATTGACTGGAAGCTTAGATACACAACTCCGACTCATACAGGTGCAGCGGGTCAGAAACGCCAAGATGACGTCTGCCAGTTGCGGAGGTGGACAATCAAGGAAGGAACATTTGACTCGGTGAAGCTACCACTCTCTCCTCTTCTTCACTTGAAGCCTGCAATGCGCCGTGTGTGAACGCGCTGCTCTCTTGTAACAATCTTCCGTATTTGTGGGAAGAAGCTCGTTCATAGCACCTTCCTGTCTCTCGCCATGGCTCTCATCCAGACCTCACTCATCTGGGTCGCATACGCGGTCGCGCTTGCCATCCTGCTGGTCGTCGCTTCCATCTTCGTCTACCTCTACCAGGCTCCTCGCGATCGTTCTGCCGTTGTCTCAATCGTCTGCATCATCACCGTGCTCTCGCTCCTGGCTACCGTCCTGCTGCTGCCTGTTGATGTAGCCCTGGTCTCGTCGACTACATCGTCCAAGCTCGGCAGAAAGAAAGACTGGGCTACTCCAGATGCCGTCGATAACATCCTGTTCCAGCTCAAGATCGTCTACTACGCTCTGTACAGTCTGGACGCCATCTTGTGCTTGATCGTTGTTCCCTTCACCTACTTCTGGTACGAGGAGCGCGATGAAGTCGCCGCTGAAGAGGGTTCCCAGACTGCTGCTAGCCGTCTCTGGGGTGCCTTCAAGTACACCATTGCCTTCATTCTGTTCGTCGTCATCATCTTCCTGGTAGGCTTCTTTGTACCCGTCGCCAAGAACAGACCCCAGAAGCATCTTGACCTCGACTTCTTCAAGGACCTCTTGGCCGAGAATCGTAAGTTCACCTCATCTCCGACATCTGACCCAAACACTGACTCGTCGCAGACGGCGAGCGTGCCTTGACCTTCTGCGTCGGCCTGCTCTTGACTCTCGGAACGCTTCTGTACTGCTTGTACACGGCCCCCGGCCTGGCCCTTCTGCCTCTCACTTTGATCAAGACAGCTCCTCGCATCTCTGCACCAAATCTGGCTGCCAATACATCTTCTCAACTGACCCAGAACCGCGAACGCCAGAGACAGCTCGAGAACCGCGATGAAGGCCGTGACAACGGACTCGACACGCGTGACCGTCGTGAGCTTGAAGCTCTCATCCGCGAAGAACGTACCCTCGTTCGTCGCGAGCGTCTCGCCGCCGAAGACATGGGCGAGGGCCAAAACTGGTTCATCCGCGTCTGGCTCAAGACAGAAGCCGTCTTCAGACCCTTGAAGCTTCTCGGTGGTCTTTTGCTTATTCTCATCGTTCTCTTCGTATGGGGAAGCATGCTAGTCACTGGTGTCGACAAGATCAAAAACTCAGTGTGCAAGACTGGTTGCGGTTATTTGCTTGGTCACAACAAGATCTTCCAGCCCATCAACTGGCTGTTTGTTGTCACCTCAAAGGTCTTCCCTATCGATTACGTCATCTTCCTCCTTTTGACCCTGCTCTTCTTCGCTGGCTCTGTCGTCGGTGTCGCTACTATCGGCATTCGCTTCCTCTGGGTTACCTTGTTCCGCATCCGCAAGGGCCACACTGCACCCCAGGCCCTTCTCATGGGAACAGTCCTGCTTACTTTGATCGTGTTCGCCATCAACTACGCCATGGCCATGATGGTCGCCCCTCAGTACGCCACTTTTGGCCCCCAGACCTACTGCGACAGACCTACTCATCATCCTGACCAACAGCCCGACTGCAGCAACCACCACAATGCCATTCGTTCTTGCCGCGAGGCTGCTGATAACCCCGTCGCTCGCTTGGTCTGCACGCCTACTGTTGTCAGCTCCTTCCTTAACCGCATCACTATCAACTTCCCCTTCTTCGGCATCATCGCCTTTTGGGCTCAATTCGCTTTCCTCGGCGTCTTCTTCATTGTGTTCGTTGTCATGCTGTTCCGCACTCCTCGGCTCGATGAGGAGCAGCTCGACGATGACCTTGCTGAAGAAGAAGAGGAAGGCCTCTTGGCCAGTACAGGTCGACGCTTCGGTGCTACATGGTCCGACATCACTGGCCGTGCTGCAGGTGTGAAGCGCGCTGGTGCTGACTACGGCACTCGAGGAGGGTCTTCTGACGAGTGAACCTAATGTGTAATGTATCAGCTTTTTCGTTTGCATTTTATGCTTTAGTCTTCGTTGTTTATATGAGATTTACTTGATTTGACCAAGTCGGTTCGATCAGCTTTCGCACTACTCTAGGAGGCTTGGATTGTTTTGGCAAGGGATGCCAAAAAGTGAAATTCAATCAAGCTTCTTTGCCCGCATATGCTTCGCTTTGTTACCAATGTGAGGGACGTGCAGTTGGCTCAATGACATGGATCAACAATCATTTTCCTTGCGGACCCAGAGAGCATCACTTGTCTAAACATCGGAAGCAGCAAGATTCCCCAAGTTGTCGTAGCTAGGCAAAGGAAGCTTGTGTGCAAGCAGAAGCTTTACATGCATGAAGGGGCGACCAGTAGTACAAGGTGACGGGTTGCACTATCAAATAGCGCTTGTGTGGTGATGGAAAAGGTAATAGTGGAATTAGATGGAAATCTGTTCATGTATTCGCCAAATGCGTTCGTACATATCGTAACAATTAAAATGCTCAAATGGATATCTTTCGTGAACATGAAATGCAAGAGGGATGCAGAGCAAAAATGCTGCTTAGACCTTCTCAGCCATAATGCTCTCCTGGTGAGTAACACTCTTCTTGCGCATAGCAGTGTTCTCGATATCAGCAAGAGACTGGTTGCGAGAAGCACCGCCGGTAACGTCCTGCACGTCTTGGAAGGAGACGGTGGGGACGAAGCCTTCTGACTTCCAGGCCTGAGAAACTTTTCCGTAGAGCTCGTCGACTTGCTCCAAAGACAAACCCTTGGTTTCGTAGATCATGAAGTACACAAAGAAGCAGCAGAGTACGCAGAACCCAGCCCAAATCCAGAACACATTGGTATGGATAGCATCTACCATGTAGGGGGTCGAGTAGGCGATGGCCTGGGAGGTGTTAGAATTTATTTCTAGGGATTTTGGGAAAAAAACGGAAACTTACCCAATTGAGCAGCCAGTTGGAGGCAGTAGTCATTGACAGAGACTTGGCACGAACCTTCAAGGGGAAGATTTCACCAGTGACAACCCATGCACAAGGGCCCCAGGCTGGCCAAAAGTTAGCATGCTTTGTTTCATCGAGATACCATAGCATTAGCGACTTACTGGAGGCGAAGAAGAAGATGTAGATGCAGACGAAAGAGACAAGAGCCTTCTGAGCAGATTGATTCTCGGTAGGGAGGAGACCGACACCGGCGACAATCAGTTGACAGGTTGCCATGCCGATGGCTCCGAAAAGCAAAAGCTTTCTTCTTCCCCACTTCTCAACCAAGTACAAGCCAGGGAAAGTCGAGGCTACGTTAATGCAAGAAGTGATCAGCGAAATGGTAAAGGGATTGCCGATCTAAAGGTACTGTTAGTATGGTTCAAATGCGAGGGATCCTACGGAAACATGGGTTGATCGCCACATGCGCAGTCACTTACCCCGGAGCTCTTGAAGAACGGCGTGCCGTAGTAGAAGATGAAGTTCACACCAGTCAGCTGCTGAAGAGCCTGAAGCCCACATCCGGTAGCAAGACGCTTGCCGAGATTCCCCCTGAAGCAGTCGACGTAACTAGCCTTACCGAGAGACATCTCGTACTCGTGATTCGCGGTGACCTCGGCAAGCTCTGAGACTACGGAAGGGTGGTCGATCGGAAGGCGTCTGAGTCTTGACAGAGAGTGGGCGGCTTGCTCATATTTGCCCTTCTTGATATAGAATCTGGGAGTCTCGGGAAGAATAACCAAACCAGAAAAGAGGATGATGGCCCAAGCAAACTGAACAGCAATGGGAATGCGATAAGATCCAGTGTCTTGACGGTTCTTGGTGGCATTGCCGACGATAGATGCGAGTAGAAGACCAATTGTGATAGCGAGCTGGTATGCACCAACGATAGTTCCACGGATCCATTTGGGCGCAGTCTCAGATTGATATAGCGGAACAAGAGCCGAGATGCCACCAACGCCGAACCCAGCAATACAACGACCAGCGACAAATAGAGGGATTGCAGTTGCGGCAGTTTGGAGGACCACACCGACACAGAAAACGAGTAACCAAGCCATCAGGCCCAATTTGCGACCAAGAAGGTCACCAGTAGGAGAGGCACAGAGAGCGCCGAAGAAAGTACCGACCGAGAGCAACGAGACAATTTCGGATGATTGGTTGGCTGTGATGACAGGTGCACCACTAGCATCAGTGTGGGTAGCAAACAGCTTCAGCCAGTAGTCCATCGCCAAAATGTCGGAGATAGTTCCTGTATCGTAACCATAGAGGACACCACCGAAAGCAACGAATGTGCCGACGGCGATGGCGGGCCAAACGGCACCGACCTCGCCTTCAGGCCTTCTGATGACGAAAGGCATTGTGTGGTATAGAACAGGTCAAGTGCTCTGCGGGGAGAATAGCAAAGCAGGTATAAAGAAGAAGTGATTGGCGATGGTGGAAAGAGATAATTGACAGAGGGGTATCAGTGTTTATATAGGGGAAGGAACAGAGACAGGGACTGCAAGCTCCCCATGGGCTCAACTTCTCCGTGCATAGTCTCCAGGATCTAGACTGTGGAGACTGGAAGCTTGGACGATCCGGGTCGCGGCAAAGGATCGATACATACGAACTTGCGAAGCCAGGTGGGAGTCGGTAAGAGAGATTGAACATCGGCATGCCGCTACTGCTTACTTGCCGTTTCGCCTGATGCGCTACCCGATCCATGAGCGCGCGAGTACGTACCTTTGACATAGAAGCATACCGTATGTTTAATGACCAGAATTGCCTGTGTCCTTTCCATTTCAACCATAGATATCTGTTGATAGACAGTCTAGGCATCACAGGCCGACTCACTATCCCTTTGTGAGAGCACTATGTGTCATGGGAAATCGACCTCGAACCCCCGAGGCAAAGAATAGGACATCCAAGCGTGACAAGCGTGTCTAAGCTCGAGCTCAAGCCTTGTACAGTCTGGGGGAAACATGCCCTAGGGACTTGTAAAGTTCCAGCCACAGCTCGGCGGTTTTCTGCACGAGTCGCGCCGAGTACGGGAGCCTTGTTGGCGAGATGATTTCATCGGCAGTACCTAGTCATGTTGAAGAGCGCGAGGGATAATACTGATCTTGTACGTCACGCTGAACTCCGGATGCGTTGTTGTAAGACAAGTCAAGAGCATAAGCTTGGCTAGCAAAAGTACGAGCGAAAGGTATCAAGTCGAAATCTTGTCTTCACAACAATGTCGCGTGCTCCTGCTCGCCGATCCTTGTTTCTAGCGTCAGTCTAGAAATTGCGTGGACCTTGTGAACCCACCTCGCACTGTGCACGCTGTTGCATACGCGTACGTACCCTCGACCCCATGGCACCCCCCAGAAAGATGATCATGAACAGCTAGCTATGCGCCCTGAACACTACCGAAGTCAGACTCGGTGCCACTTCACTTGTTCAGGGTACATCCTCTCATCGTGCATGAGAAGCGGTGGGCGTGAAGAAGCCATGCATCAAGCTGAGGTGCTGGTGGAATGGTTCTCGGTCCGTGATGCTCGGGATTAAGAGTGGCCGCGACTTCCGCAAGCCGCCCGAACGCCCCCTTTAACCAAAAGAATTGACAAGAACCCGTTCAAGTCTTGGTAGAAGCTTATGGCGCCGTGATCACACCGGAGCTGGTACTTTTTGGGCGTAGAGCCAGTGAGGCCGCTACTGCAGGTCTGGCACCAGTGGGCAGTTGTTGCGAACAAGGATTATGCATAATCTCATTCTCAACATTGTGCCCCATGGAGGTATCCGCTATGTTCAAGTGGGGATGTTTCAAGCGAACCGTGACTTTCATCAATCGCGACGAACTGTGGATGGGGATTGTGGGATGCGTGGTCGTGGGCATCACTCGCGGCACGAATACCGATCCGCTTTCCGCCATCGAATTGATCTTGACCAACGTTAATCTGGCTTGCTAATAAAGCGGATTCTCGGTCGGCACGTATCGACGGGTAGTAATTAGGACGAACAAAGGAATCAGGTTATGCTTGGGTATCATGCTATGTATGCTATACTGTATCATCAGGTTGTTGGGTCGTGCTCGCTAATTGTGCTCTTGCGGCGAGTTTTGGGAATGCAGAGCCCCGCATCTTCGGCATGTAGCATCATCGCCTCTTGTTGTTTCTTGATCTCTGAAGTTCTAGTAAGTCATTGATCCTCCAAGGAAAGTATTGCTTCAAACGCACCTTCTGGACTGGCATCGTAGGGATAGCCGTAGTCTGGCTCGAGCTTGAAGACGGGAGACGAGAGCGATTCGAGACACTGTTGCAGAGAGTCTGTGGGCCTGTGGTAGCCCTGGTCATCATGAAGGCTGATCCATTCCATGCCCAAAGCGGTCTCAATCTTCTTCAACTCGACATCATACTGCTCAAGCAGGTCAATCGGTATCTGATCGTCCCACATGGTCGCATGCTGTAAGTCGCGAAGGAGAGCACGTCGTGTACGAGTTCGACACTGCTTGAAGGGGATACCACTGTCTCGAAGCATCTCCCAAGCTCGACGCGTGTCTCCTGTATCGGCCATCATTTCAATGAAACTATAATCGCCTCTGAGCTTGGTGTCTGTCAGTAGTGAATCTGGTTTGCCTGACTTCAACCGTATGGGGCTGTCCTGCCAGAGTATCCACTCCTTCCAGATCTCGTCTGGTGCCTTGCAACGGGATAATACGACGAGCCATCCATACAATTGAGTCCACTCAGTTCTGTCGAGAAACAGACCCAGGTGATGCTGATCTTCCCTGGGAGTATCTTCGAAGCCGAGAAGAACTTGTAGCAAATCACGGCGTGACCACCTCCCATTTCGGATCTCACCATAGCCATTACTGCCGACGCTACACTTTGCGATGATAGCTCGGAACAAGTTTCTCGCCATGGGGAGACCGAGGTCTTGATACAGCTTCAGGTATCGCTTCATGCCGGGCAAGCTACGAGATCGAGCAGCAAATTTGATACCAACGGCCAGAAAGTATCGTGTAATTGGCAGGCCTTCTCTCATGAAGCGTGAGACAATGGTGTTTATGGCGCCAGAAATCTTATGGTCGGAGGCAGTCTCTCTAGCACGGTAGAGAGCTCGCACTATGCAAAGGTCCATACCAGGCAACTGTCGGCTAGTTTCTTTACGCTGCAAAGCTACAGCAAGGACGCGCATGAGATCGTGAGTTGTTCGACATCTCAAGAATTGCTCTCTCATGAGTCTCTTTAGGAACTTATACCCATGGTTAATAGCCATGTGTCTGCGTTGATCAGCGCAAGCTCAACATTCTTGTAACGACAGAAAAGGAGCTTGATCCCGTCTCATCGATCTCGATTGATGTGAATGTAGCAAGGAGAAGTTGGGGAACAATATAACATACTGGCGAAATTCGGATGCATCAAGCATTTGACCGTTGATTGGAAAGGAGATGATCAATGCTTCATCAACGGCAGAGCGCAAGCGCATTTGACGAAGTAGAGGACGCGTATCATTGAGGAGGATACAGCGTAAAGTATCGACAGGAGATTCTAGGTGAAGCTGATGTTGAATCAAGTCAAGCTGGACATGATCGACGGGGGAGACTTGGATGCAAGTGGCGTGCGGACGAGAGCCCGGGCGAAGATTACGAATGAGAGTGGAGCAAATAGATACTCTAGCGGACAGCTTCATAGCGCTGTCGTGTCGGATGGTGCACGACAATCGCCATGCTGAAGATGAGCAAGGTAAAGCCAACATGGACGACAGGCGGAGTCGGACCTAGGAGCATGTAAGCGCTGGTGTAACGTGGGGCCAAACGTTCTGTATCGAGTCGGTCTCTTGAATCAGGAAAAGCCGTTAGCTCCGTCGAACTTGACGTAACTCGACATGTTTTTTCTTTGCGATTGTGAGACTCTATTTGTACGGAACAATTCGAAACAGTCAAGTCATGTCGTCAAACGAATCGCCCGCAGCGGCGCTAGAGCCTACGCATACCTTTGCGCCAAACCAAGGATACGACTATGCCAACAATGAGCAGGAACAAGCTGGTGGCGTGCTGTTGGAAGAAGGGATCGACAATGAACAAGACGACTACTACGACGACTTGTTCGAGGACAGCGCCGACGAAGTCAACGACTCGGAAATTACCTCGTCCAATCCAGCAGACTTCACCAAATCATACAACCGCCAACGACGCGCAAACGACGATCAAGTCTCATCGACTCAAAAGCCAAAAACCAACCCTGCTGGCCACAAGCCCACTGCAAACACACGGTCAAGCGTCGACGACCAAGTCCAGAGTCTGGCCCAGCATGCATCCAAGCTTCGTCTGTCCAATCTCGAGGCTGGATTCGGCGGCGGCAAGCAAGAAAGAGGAGGTGGTGGCAAGGACAAGAGCGATCGCGCCACCAGCGAACAAGTCCTGGATCCTAGAACCCGCATGATCCTCCTGCAACTCTTGAATAAGAACGTCGTTTCCGAGATCAATGGTGTCCTGTCGACCGGCAAGGAAGCCAATGTCTACCACGCCGCACTTGTCCCCGAGTCCCAGGATGACTCTGAAGGTGCCGCTGCCCCTTTACACAGAGCCATCAAGGTATACAAGACGAGTATCCTGGTCTTCAAGGACCGCGACAAGTATGTCACTGGCGACTTCAGATTCCGTGGCGGCTACAACAAGAGTGACAACCGCGCCATGGTCAAGGTTTGGGCCGAGAAGGAATTCAGAAACTTGCGCATCTTGCATGCTGCCGGCATCCCTTGTCCCGACCCTCTGTACCTCCGCCAACATGTCATGGTCATGAGCTTCCTCGGCAACAAGAAGGGTTGGCCTGCACCTCGCCTGAGAGACGTTGATTTCCAACTACCTACCGAAGAAGAGAACGCCGCCAAGTGGCGTGAGATGTATATTCAACTGCTCGGATACATGCGTGTCATGTACCAGACCTGTCACCTGGTTCATGGCGATTTGAGCGAGTACAATTTGATGTATCATCAAAGTCGCATTTTCGTCATTGATGTCAGTCAAAGTGTTGAGCACGACCACCCCCGTTCTCTGGAGTTCTTGCGTATGGACATCAAGAACATCAGCGACTTCTTCGCCCGCAAAGGCATCGACTGTCTGCCGGAGAGAGCCATCTTCGGTTTCATCACTTCTGAGCAAGGTGGTGTTGAGACCTCTCAGATGGAAGACCTCATCGCCAAGATGTACGAGACTAGAGAGCAAGAGGGCAACCAAGATGATGAGGATGTCGACAACCAAGTTTTCAGACAGCAATACATTCCCCAAACACTGGAGCAAGTTTACGATGTTGAGCGTGACGCTGCAAGAGTACAGAAGGGAGAGGGAGACGACCTCGTCTACAAAGCTCTTCTCGCAAACAAAACCGCCAATGGCGAGGACCACGAGAACGAAAGCGACGCGGAAGGTTCAGAAAGCGAAGAGTACGATTCAGAGGATCCCGACCGACCGCGCAGAAAGCGTAACGAAGGTGAGAGGCCTAGAGGTAAGCGCTTCGAGGACAAAGACACGAAAAAGGAGCACAAGAAGGCTGTCAAGGAGGAGAAGCGCGAGAAGAGAAAAGAGAAGATGCCCAAGCACATGAAGAAGAAGCTCATTAGCGGCTCTTCTCGCGGCAAGCACTAGACGATCTGACCCTTTTTAGCGTTCTTTACAAGCCAAATGATACCACTTTACGACTTGCAACAATCTCTGAACTCCTGCTTTTGGTATCTGCCGTATATGAAATTCGAGGACTTTCCTTTCCACACAGCTTTGACGATCCTGCAACAAAGACCATTGTTGATATAAAGCTGTTTGGCGTCAGTCTGCCTAGATACTAGGGCAGAAGATAACACTGAGTTAACAACCAACTCCTTGCATTGTGACACGATGAGTCGCGTATAGCATCATGGTTACACGTATGGTCCCGTTTGCAGGATAGTTGTAATTTTCATTGACAACCCTAATCAACTAACAACATTCTTCCGATCTATCACAACTTTCGTCCCGTGGAACCGGATGATCGAAGTGTACATCGCTCTGACTCTTCCATACAATGTTTCGACTCGAGCATGAAAGACCATACCAAAAGTTCCATCTCCCAAATCTGTAAGACCAATTGATCCAGGTGCGTTTAAGTCGAAGTCGTCTGTCTTCAGCAAAGGTTTGCTTGCACGCCGATAAGGACCTTCAATATTCTTGGACCAAGCATATTTGACGTCGTACGAAGGATCTCTTGTACATCCGGACGAGAAGAAGAGGAAATATATGCCCTCTGCACTTTTGACGAGGACTGGTGCCTCCACGAGGGGTCCATCTTGCTCGATACGATCGAGGATCGTGACATCCAGACCTTCTGGTGTGACTCCATCTGCGTTCATCCTCTGCAGTTTGATAGGTGTCGAAGCCAAAGGAGGGACACTGTTCCCACAGATACCGCCGTTTCCCACGTTGTTGCCGTCCACCTTGTAGACGACGTAGAACGAGCCATCTGTGTCGATAAATGGCGAAGGGTCGATAGCACCGCCTTTCGAGATAGGACACGCAATGGTTGTGTTCAGTGGAGAATAAGGTCCGGCTGGTGACGACGTCTCCGAAATCGCAGCGCCGATACAGTGCGATCGCGTCGCATTCTCTGCCGCAGCAGAATAGTACAAGATGAATTTGTTATCTGTGGCTCTTCTGATAACAGCAGGGGCCCAGACGTTGGCTTTGGGGACTTGCTTCTCGGTCAGGCCACTCTTGACCCAATTACCCATACTTGGAAGGGGATCGTGCTTGTAATCTAGCTGAGTCCAGTTCTTGAAGTCCGGACTTGTTGCTATCTGTACGTTGCTCCTACCGTAATCGACGACCGTCGTGTTATGTGGCTGTGCAAGAATACCTAAACATGTTAGCCTTGCTTGCACGCCTCGAGGCCAGGAGAAATCCATCTCGTCTACCAAGTCCGTCATCGCTCGGGAGAGAAACCGTGATGAAGATGCAAGGTGCGCAATACTTTTGAGATATACAGAGTCGTTGACGGAGAGCACCCGGCTCCGCGCTCCCACTAAAACAACTTCTGATCCCAAGAGGTCATGCAATCCCACGGCCAAGATCTCGACGGACTCCAGTGTATGGATGGGTTGGACTTGGGAACTCACCTGCCGCATTTGTTGTGGCGAACGCGTAGAACAGACCCTCATGTTCAATCACCGCCGGATCGGCGAAGTTGGCGAATACTGCCTCGTGAACAGGTGACCGCCGCAGTGCTTCTTCCTTGTCGTGATGTCGTACATATATCGTAGCCAAAACAGCGCATAGCGTAGCCACTATAATCATGCAGAGAAGTACAGCCAACGTGATGAACCCTCGAGACAAGAATGAGAAACGAAGGATTGTCTCTTCATCACTTCCACTATCGCCTGTTCCAGATATCGATGCCTTCTTGTAAAAATATCGCTTGATAAGAGATGGTTGTACTTGTCGTGGTTGTTCGTCCTCGGACTCCTTTTCCGACACCATCGCTAACGCTTCTTTCTTCTGAGACTCAATGATATGGGAAGGTAAAGAGCGTTTCCGAAATTCTGCGAAAGAGGGCGAAATGAGGGAACCCTCAGTTGCCATGTTAGGTGTATGCATGCTGCTAGAAACGCAAGGAGCTGATTATGGCCTGCCTCTTTGACGCTGGGAAAAATCCGGAATCTGTAAACATAACCTGGCACAACCAATTGGTCAAACGTTTTCGTGAGGCAGTGCAGCTAGGATCGGAGTGTGAAACGACAGTGCCCAGTTAACTCAAGACGTAGACCGAGTAGGAAGCAATTTGAACAGGAGCGCAAGAAAACTGATGATATACGGTCGCGCAGCTGTGTATAAGAAATAGAGAAAGGGAGACAAGAGACAGCGCGAGGCAAAGGCATTGGAGCGGGTTTGGCGAAGGTTTATTAAAGACGATCCCCTGCGACCGGTCTAGGCTCTTCACAATCAGGGACCAGATGCCCCAACGCGTGTTCAGCTATAAGACCTCTCACCTCGCGGTCTTCATTTGGAGGTATACGGCGGCTACTGTTGCACGAGTCTACCCTGTAGTAGAGCCGCAGACTCCTGAATCCATCCAGAGGAGCTCCTTGCAGACTCGCAGTCCTGGAACGATCACGGTCTGGGCAAATTCATCCCCGCAACAGCCTTAACCTCACTGTAGCACTCGTCCTCCGGACATCTCGGCGCTTGGAATTGTGACGCCGCACGAAAAACTCAAAAGCGCAGAAACCGGCGTTCGTGCGATTCTCTCTCTCTACCACCACACAGCCCATGGTAGCATGGCGGGAACAGGAGACAAAAGAACAAAAGAAGAAGCTCTTCCGCCTGGGCTTGAACCAGGAACCTCTCGATAGACAGCATCCCATAGGAGTAACAGTCGAACGCGCTAGCCAATTGCGCCACGGAAGATGTGGAAGCTGGGCTTCCTCGTGGTGCGTGCTTGGTCGAAACTCTAGCTGTACTAGAAGCCTCGACGAGCGATCCACAGCTGAATCTTGGCATGCATAATGCAGATCCAACTGGGCTCTCAGCAGGTCCCTCCCATGCAGCAACACCATGGTGAACAATTTCTTCGACGGTACGGCTTCGTCCAGGAGAGTGCCCTTCACGCTCGTTCATCTGTTGCGATAGCTTCCTCGGGGAGGGGCCTCCTAGCTAGGTTGTCCGTTCTTCCGCAGGACAAACACCTGAGGAACACCACGTTTGATGTGCTGTCATCAAGTTCGATGTCGGTAACTATGTCCTGATGATAGATGATGTTGCAAACTCGAGTATACCGTCCGATGACACCGGTGGTACGAGAGATCTGTGAGGATGTGGACTGATTGATCCAACCGACGAGGCGACTTATGAATTGCGCGTACGTCGATGCGCTGGTGGTTTGTCGTCCGGGACTAGCGCATAGGACATGTTGCTCAGACTCCGAAGGATAGACAAGACTAGAGTCAAGGATGTGGAAGTACTACGGAACACAGACCTGACTGGAAAGTCGCGTTCGGTTATTGGGCAATGATGCTCGGCCGCTCCTTCCATCACACAAGGCCACAAGGGCTTCACCAAGCCAAACACCCCGCCCCGCTGTTTCTGCCTACACTTCTTGGCCTGTCTCAACATCTGCCTCCACTCAAGGACCTGTCGTTGGCGTTGATCTTCTGACAGAGATGTGTGGTGATGCGTCTGTGGACGGATGGCCCCACAAGGTTGCTGACAGCTCCATCTCTTCGGCTTTAGCGTTCTCGCTGTGCTTGACTTCTTGATCTATGTCTTCCTGGTGGTCTTCGTCATCGCTGCGTTTCGCTTCCTCCTCTTCGGATACGACTCCCCTACTGACACCGCCGACTTGACCATCATCCTGGTCCTCGTTGTCATCCGAAGTGCTGGAGGTTTCGCCTACTTCAGCTTGCTCTCCCTCTCCATCGGATCTTTTTCGAAAAGTTCTGAGATCCTCAGGCATTTCGGTATCCATCTGAACAGCAAGTCGATTCAGGAAGAAGCGATTTTCGTCTGTAACTTCGTCGAAATCGTCGTCTTGTTTGAACGGTATTAGGTTGCGAGTTGATGTCCAAAGTATTTCGGCTGCATACTGATAGTCCTTTGACATGGTCAACATGGGCGTATCCTGGACTTGGATTCTGCTTACTTCTGCTTCATACCAGTCTTCTGACGCTTTTGCCAGAAAGGCATAAGCTCGAATGCGCCAGTAGCAAGGGAGCCGTGAATCGAGTAGAAGCGACTTCAGTTTCGAGATGCCGCCCTCCTCATCGCGTTTTCCGAGCATGTCAGCTGCAGCATCGATCTGCTCACTCCAAAAAGTCCCGGGCAGAGCATGTGGTGCCATCACAGTGTGTGGCAAATGGTTCATACAGGCTGTTTTGATTTGTAAGAATCGCGTCGTCTGCGTAGCAAACTGACACAAACATGGGCAGCCAACACTCGGCTGATCGTGCAAGAGACATGCGAGCCTACGCTGCTTCAAAGCAAAGTTTGTTACGTTCAGCCAGGAAAGTCCAAGTAGGACATTCGTCTTCCGGCATCTAGAATTCAGCGTCCCTCTAGTCATGAAATCGATACACTGACGAAAGGACGCTTCGCCAGCGTTCTGTAAAAGTGCGTATGCGACTCGACATGCGTCCCTCATAGTCAGTGCCGATCGCATATCGACCCACCGTATCTTAATAGCGAGGCGCGGTCGAGATAAGCTAATGCTGTATCTGATCTCACAAAGGGGGAGAAACAAGAGCCGGAGAGAGTGCAAAAAGGGGCTGATACCGTGGATCAAACCTGGAGCAAGGGCAAAGACTCCGATGTCTACTACTCCCGGCGTATACAATCATTGTAAAAGCGGTAATTTACTCATGTACAGAGGATCGGCGGTCTCTTTTAGGCCAGACTACCGTATGGACTTACACAAGTGATGTGGTAGGTCTCAATTTTTTGACCTTATATGGCCTTATTGTCTTGCTTTGTTGGGCTCCTTCTCGCAGTGCCTACCTGATTAGTTGTGGCTGTTAGATGTCGCTTCGCCATAGCTCTTGAAGACTGGACGTGTCACTTTCTTGGTTCCCACGCTCAATTGTAACAGCGTCAAGCAGCAAGCAATCAACGGGCTCTCTGGATCACGACCACGTGAGACACGAATTGACTCGGTATCCCACAGACTCGGAGTTTAAATCGCCCATTAATGTTTTCGCGTAACATCACGTCCTTGACCACCCCTCTACCCACTCGATCTCCAAATCCGAAGGCGCTCTTTCCGCATCGATCAAGATCCACGACACAGCCACGTCAACAGATCCCGTTTCCACTTCGTCATTCTGAGCTGTGACTTTCTACCATTGTACGGCAATGTAAGATCTTCGCTGTTTGCTATCAACTAAAGCAGTGCTGAATATTATAGCCAACCCTTATCAAATCACTGTCTGTCGGTCCTTAAGGAGGGCGCGCTACATCAGCCTGATACACTCTACTCTGATCACAATACATGAGAGCCTTCAGCGTATAAGCGTATCACCCAAGCTCACCAAAACGCCCCGTATTCGATCTCGTGATGCCTTCCATCAGCGCAACACAGAAAAAGTTCTGCCATATCGACCACGATCTGAAGACGAAGTCGACCCACGATCTTTCCCGCTCGCAAGACCTGTGCAGATCGTCGAGATCGCTCGACCGACCATGCTAATCTCAGTTGCTGAGTCCAATGCAACAACCACTGCTCTTGGTTCCCACGGGAGAGAGCGGTCTGCTGATCAGACAGCCAGCCTATGAGATACGTCCATCGCGCTCAAAGCTACCGTCGGCGACAATGCCGCTCTTTTTGCCGACATTGTGATAGCCGACGGCAAGAATGAATGTCTCTTGTCCCTGCTCGATGACATTGCAGGATCAAATCATCGCCTTCGCTATCTTCACCAACGAGTAAGCGAGAATCGCGACACTCTCTTGCAGCAAGGTGAACAACTCGCCAGCGCCAGCCAATTCATCCTCAAGACGAAAAACACGTTGGTGACTAAGTCTCGATCCTTTATCGAAGGGGAACACCAAGCCTAACGCAGAACCTGTCATTGAAATGGAGATCAGCCCTAGATGTGCGACGGATGGAAATTATCCTGGAAGGACTGCAGAGTCACGCGGTGACCGTGGCATCGTCCAAGGGACCGAGGTCCTTGTTGCCTTGATTGCCTCCCTGGTCACCCTGATCAACACTCTCAAAGACCTAGAAGACATTCTGGTCAAGCACAGGAACGCAGTAGACGAACAAACCCTAGAAATCAGGACTACCATCGCTGAGAGCTTACAGAAGGAGTCTAGCAGCATGGGTATGGTGTGTAAGCTTCCCTGCTTCCGCTAAGGGCTGCAAAAGGTGTATGAGCGGCAGGGAGTTAGTCACTGGGCGCGTTGTGCTTGTGGATATGGTTGACTTCGTACTTGTCTACGAGATCGAAACCATCAGGCGACAGGCCTCAGAACAGAAAGATCACTGCTGCGATCTTGCAGAACTTCTCGAGCCAAAGGACGACAGTTGTAAGACTATTTTGTTTGCAGCTTTTCTTTGTGTACATCATAATTATTCCTGTTCTCACTTTTCGTTCAATTACTCTGTCTCCCAAATGGTGACGCGTAACTCCATGGATCTCTGTTGCATATATATCAGATCAGAGCGTACGCACAGCAACAGGCGTGCAATCGTCCAATCTAATCAGTATCACACTTCCGAAACATTCGACCTGACTCATCTTCGAAGATGCCGCATGAGGGAGACGATGCTCCCGAATTCTCCAGTCTCTGGTTGCGGAGGTAACTGGATCTTTTCGTGTTTCGTGTTTTCTTATATATGTCAACAAAGCATGACACGTCTTTCTGATCAACCCTCCTCTCGCCAAGTCAACAACCAAAACCACGTCAACAGCCAAAACGCCTTTGCTGTCATTTGAGACTGCCAGAGCAATTCATCAAGATAAATATCATAAATCCTACAGCTTCTCGCGGTGGCACGAGTCCCATCACTATCAAAAATCGCAAGCACAGCCAGAATGGCGGCTGTGCCAAACACTCGACATGCCAGTGTAAGTGACTCTGACGCAAATTCACTCGTCTGATCTTCACTTACACAAATCCAGCGTATCCCAATCTTTGTCGAACACAAGACAGCTCATCCGCAACAGAGATTGCTTCCGCCAATTCCCAGTCCGACAAAGCCTCGTCACTTGCGATTAAATCACAGCGTACTAAACACCATCCACGAGGCAGCCCTGGAAGAAACTATCGTCATGCTCGATCAATACCCTTCCAATACCATCTTCCTTGTTGAGGACTCCGACGATCGACAGACTCCAGAGTCAGATGAACGACAAAAACCAGAGTCCGAGACATCCTCTGTCAGCTCGCGGTTTGAGACCTCACTCACATCAACGCCCGCAACAACACTCAACGAAATTGAAACATACGGATCGTTCAGCGATTACGAACGAGCATACGTACAATATCTTGTCGCCGACTTACAACGTCAGAAGTGGACCATAGTCACTGGTCTAAGACACGCTCTGGACAAAACCCAATTCTTGACCATCCAACTTCACATCTCAATGTCGCCCCTTTACACCTTCATTACCATACTTCAAGAACTCAGTCATTCTTCCGAGACCGTCCAAATACTCCAAGAGCAAGTCATCGATCAACAAACCGCCATCAAACACCAGATTGACGAAACAAGACTCGCCATTCGAGAACTCCTCAACACAAACCAAGCCGACATTCGAGAATGCGAAGTCCTGGTCAAAAAGCACGCCAACTCGGGTCTAGATATCGCTCTTGAACTCCGTCTGGCCGTCAATCATCTCATGATCGCTCTTGCCGCAAAAGAAGACGTTGACATCGACAAATTCGACAACAGCCACAATGACGAGCTCTCACACCAACAAACCAAACTTGCCGATTTCAGCGCTCGTGTTCGCAGTCTGGTGGAAAATATCGAGGAGGAAAATAATGAGCTTGATAAATGCATCGGAGATGTCAATAAGATGGTTCATCAGATCAAGGGCTTGCTTGTTCGCCATGTCGATCGCAAGAGCGCTGTCCGAAAGATGTTGCAGAACTTGTTACGTCGAGTCTAAGAGTAGGTCGATGCGTTGGTTCCACCGAGCGTCCTTTTGCAAGTTGTTCGAGACTTGTCGATCAGAACAACCCGCTTCTCATTCACGACGGTTTGTGATGCTTGTTCTGACGGTGTCGTTGGCGTACACTGTTCTGCAGATTGTTTGGTCATTGATCTCATTGACTGCGAACGTCATTTCATCACATCTCGCGAGCCAACGATGGCAAGAACCTAGGAGAAGACATGTATTCATTAGGGCAACAACTGTCCTACACTCCCCCCCCACCTTCCTTCCTCAATCCTGCTACTCAATTCCCCTTCCTCTCTCAGATCTCATACTCTGCATTAAACAAATTCCACAATCCCGGTTTCTTATCCACGCTTCCTCGCCTTTCTTCTCCGACACCATCAGATCTAGTCTTCCTTGGTGACGTCCCAGCTCTGACTTTCGAAGGCGAGCCTTTAGTGGGTGACACTGAGCGAGGAGGATTTTGAAGATGTTGAGCTAGAGAGCGAATGCTTTTGGATGGACTCAGTGAGCGAAAGGGATGAGTATCTGCGGTCATAGTCGCCGAGGGTGGTGGCATACGTTGGGATTGTGAGATTGAAAGGGGCTGGACAAGAGCATGTCAGCACAGGATCACATGAAAGCAGACGCGAAATGAAGGCGAGAGCGGATATGAAGGAGTAACGATATGGTGATAATTGTGCATAAAAATGATTGGTGAAGTGTAAAAAGGTCGTCAAGGACCCCACAGAAGATCTTTGCGCACCTGAGCTTGCTGCTGCTGCTGCTGAGACGTCGACTCCAATTGTGGAGATGTAGCAGCCGTGGCGGCTGAAGAGTCGATACCCAACCCCCTCTCACTAGCCTTCCTTCTCAGGCTCTCATCTATGACATTGTTTCCACTATCACCCCTCCTGACCGATTCGCCCAAGAAACCTGCCGTGAGCCCTTTCTTGGAGTTTGAGCTGCTGCGTCGGCTGTCTAGACTCTTGTTAAGTGTCTTTGCTGCTTCGCTTAGATTGCTTTGCTGTTTCATGCGTATACTGCCTTTGGCGTCGACGGATGAGCTAGCTACGGTGCTTTTGCCTAAACCTGGTGTGCTAGGAGCGCCGGGCTTGTCTTCGGATGCATGGACAAGGTACCATGTCAGACCATCAGAGAGATCGAATGGATTGTCGTTCATCTCATCTAGAGACGCGGCGTCTACACTTGTAGAGCCGATGCTGCGTCCGTCAAAGGATGCAGAAGGTTTTGACAAGTCTACAACGCGCTCCTCAATCTTCGATATCCTTGCGACGAGCCATTCACGGCGATTCAGGACCATGCCCTCACGTTCCCGCAGGAAGTGGTGTGGTGCATTGATGTTGAATGCGGCCCATGCGCCTGTTCGCTGGCCTTTAGTCGGCAAGAACAATGCTAGATCACCCTCCTTAAAATCTCTAACAGCAATCTTGGCAGAAGACTCGGCTTGCAGGCGTGTATTCTTCTCCTTGTGTCCGCGCGCCTCTTTCTGCCATTTACGAGCAGTGTATTCGAAGTCTCGCAGACGCTTGCTGATGGCCTCACTGAAGATGTCGGTGCTGAATAGAGAGATGTGGTCCATGTAGTCAGCGAATTGTACTTCTTCCTCTGTCGCATTGCTGGCTTCGGTCCAGTGCAAGAAGGTCAAGGACGAAGTGTCATCAGGGATGGCTGACGATTTACGTGTCGGAGGAGGTGAGGACATGGAGATCGCACGGGTCAGACTCGAGGTCGGGTCGAATGTAGTACTTGCGGTGACCTTCGAAGCTCGCTCTATAATCATGTTGCCATCTTTGTGAGCAACGACAAAGCCAAGAGCTTCGAGCAGTCGTAAGAGTCGTGTGTTCTGAGCATACAGACGCTGTGCGATCTCCTTTGCACGAACACCACGTTGTCTGAATTGTTCTTCGACAGAGGCAGCTGTGGACGTCGCCTCATTGAGCTGTTTCTGCACTCGCATAATCTCAACATCGAGACTGGCCGCATGAGCCTGAGCGTCCGAGAGCCTTTCTGAGAGTTGAATGACTCTACCTTCCTCCTCCGAGACACGCTGACGAAGCACATCTGAGCCAGTCTCTCCATCAGCGAATTTGGAGCGAAGCTTACGCAGCTGCTCACGTTCGTCTTCAAGGCAGGTTGCCAATGATTCGGCATGCGCCTTTTCTGCCTCCATTTCATCTTGCAAACGAATGAGTTCAGCCTCGGTCACAGCCTGCTTGGCTTTTGCTGACTTGAGCTCGACTCTCTGAATCTTACTTTGGGATCGAAGAGACTCTGACTCTGATCTTGCAAGTGCGATGGCATCGCTCAGCTCTTTGACATGGTCTGTAGACTTCTGTGCCAGAGTTTCCAATGCGAAAACCAGATCCGCATACTTTTCGGGTGGTGAATTGGCAGGTGAGAGGTGCTTGTGTGTCGTTTGAAGAGCTCGAACGTGATCCGAGTCGTGCTGTTCTTGTTCTTCTTGACTTTCTCTAAGTGTTCGAAGTTCTTCTTTCAAGCGTTGGTTCTCGTCGTGCTGTGTTTTGTACGACGACTGAACGTCTCGGAGATCGTTCTGATGCCTCAACTCTGCTTCTTCAGCAGATTGCCTCATGTGTTCGATCTCGGCTTCGAGTGTCTTGGCTCTTGCGTCGATACCAGAAACTTCCTGATCACGACTGCCTAGTAGCCTGTCGATTTCATCTTCAAGCTCTTCGATGCGATGTCGCGCTTGATCTAGGTCTTGTTCCAAGACTCTACGCTCATCTGCAAACTCTCTTTGCTGCGCTTCCATGTTTTGCATGATATCCTTCTTCGTGGAAACGGCTTCTTCGATTTCGCGCTGACCATCTGCTTCTTTCTGCTTCCTGGTCTCGGCATCTTTCTCGAGGTTGAGAGAAAACTCCTTCATAGTATGCAGTTCGGCTTCCAGTGAAACAATACGGTTTGCGAGTTTACCTTCTTCAGTGGCGAGACTAGATGATGGATGTCTAGAGCCGACAGTCTGCCTCACGAATTCTTCTGTGGGCCTCGGTGATGGTGGAGTCGGGGTAACCATGTCAGAAACCAGTTCGATCGAGGGCCTGAAACTATCGCCCGAGGTAGCGCGGTTCATGTGAGCATGGCGGTGGAGGATATCTTCCAGTCTTCGAACTCGACTTTTTTGACCTTTGAGCTCTTCTTCAAGTTTGAGGTTCGCCTCTCTGAGGACCTTGTACTCGTCCTCCCCACGGAGCATGAGAGATGTGGTTCCGAAAGCAGCTTCGTGCATGCTCCCGTTCTTGAACGTCTTTGCATGCTTGATTTGCTTTTTTGTTGGTCGGTCGAGATCTTTGATGGCGACTGACAGTGGCTGTATGATATCGACAGGCAATTCAAGCTCGGTCAGGATCTGGATGTATTCTTGCAAAGTTTGTCTCTGCACGATAGGCCATTCAAGGTCATCTGCCTGGAGATTCACTTCTACGCTGAGAGGCTTCCCCTCAAAGACTTCAGCCTTGACAACATCATCAACAGACTTCAGCCATTTGGAGCGACGGCGTTCTTCCTCTTCCTGATAGGTAGCCATCTCTTCGGCGAGAGTGGCAGAGTCAGATTTCATCTTGACAGCCCATTCACGACGACGCACGGCTTCGATCATGAGAGCTCCATAGACAAAGGGAAGCTTGGACAAGACGTTGAGAGTGTCAAAGACTTGCTCATCGCTCTGCGACATGTTTAGAGTTTTGAGACTCGAGTGGACCTGAGCTAGGCGAGACTCGATGCTTGACAAAGTCTGCATGTGATGCAGGAAGTTCTGAGCAGCATTGTTACGCTCTTGGATCGTCTGATGGACCAGAGAGTTGAGGTCGATACACAGCTCATCGAGATGAGGCAAATAGTTCCGTGTATGCAACAGGGCCATTTTGGAAGCGCGCGCTGCATTCTGGGCGTTCTTAGGCAAGGAAGCCACATGATCCAGGTCACTAGACATTTTGTTTACGATGATATCGACTTCGTCTAGAAGCTTTGCTGGCTCATCAGTGTTGTCAAGACGACTGGTGTGAAGGGTTTGGACGGCTGCGAGAAGAGAGTCACTGTCCTTTGCGGTAGAGTGTAGAGATTGCTGAATAGAATAGACTCTCTGAGCAAAGGTGGTCATGATGTTGGTTGCAGACGAGGCGGCGGATCTGACGTGGTCAAGGTGGACAAAGTGTTGCAGAGTGACACGGTCGTGGTTTGCGGAGTCTTGTAGGGAGACGGGACTCTGGGCTTGGATGTAGCGAGCGAATTGAGGCATGGCAGGGATATGGCGCAAGAGGTCGAGGTGTCTCTCCCAGTTGTCGATGTGGGCCTCTTGTTGCTTGAGCAAGTTCTCAACCCAGTCCTCCTCGTGGTGGTACTTCTGCTCGGTGGAGCGAATGTGAAGCTGCAGGCTCATGACGGCTACGTTGACGCTCTGTTCGATGATGGCCTGCTCTTGTTGATAGCGCTGGGTGCTGTCGATGCGGTCTACGTATTGCGCACGCAGGGCTCTCGCCCATTCGAGGCGACGGTGAAACAGGTCGTTCCATGACTGAAGCTGGTCGTGGTTGGCGATCGAGTCGGGAGGAGCGTCGGGCTTGAGAGGAGCCGGGTCCGGGATGAGGGAGAGGGTGGTGTTGTTTGGTGAGAAGGAGGTCGAGTCAAAGACGTAGATTTCGGGCTCGGTGAGCAGAGTCTGCGCTCTCACGGCCTTGCCCTTGTTGGTCAAGAAGACCTGCTTGTTCGGGGCTATGTTGACGGCGCGGTGCACGTGGGCGCGGAGGCCATCGAGGCTGTTGACCTTTGTCGGCTCGGCGACGACTCTGTTGCCCGTGTGCGCGACATGGATTGTTAAGGACATGCCCGACTGAGCAAACTCCTTCTCTGCCGACAGAGTCGCAATAATAATCTTGGACGGCCGCTCAGAGATCAAGGTGCTCGGAAGACGCGACTGACGTCCTTGTGTTTGCCCGAAAGTCTGGGGTCGCGCGACAGGGTCATGCTCAAGAATGAAGCCTGGAGGCACATGTCACTTAAAATCACGCTGACCATGACTCAACACGTGAAAGCAAAGATGCAACTGATCAAGAGTAGTCCTGTCGCGGGACAGCTTTGTGATATATCATGTCTATTGATCCTGACCATTAGAGTCGTCTCTCTCTACATGCAAATCCCCAACCCAATCTATGCGTCAAATTTTATCCTACAGTGCTCAGTTGAGGCCCCTTCCTCTTCGGAAATAATCATAACTCGTGTCTTCCTGCTCGCTTCCAGGCGTGTGGATTTCTCCTAGTCGTAAAGGTCCGTAGCCGCCGGGCGTAGGTGCTGGCACTCCACTGCTGCCCATACCCGCTGCTCCTGACAAAAGATGTGATCGATCGGCATTACCGATATCCATTGAGCGAACGCTGCTAGCCGGACTTTGGTCGCGGAGTGCCGAGGGCGCATGGTGATAACCCTTGGGATATGTTGTACCCGCCTCATCACCGTTTCTCGTGGCTGATGACTCGCTCGATCCTCTGCGGCTGTCGTAGTCGGTTACAACTGTGCCATCTTGTGTCATCAACGTTCCATGCGATCCTCTGCGAACCATGTCTTGAGGTCTTCCATAGAGTTCGCCTTCACCTCCCGCTTCGTCCCTGAACTCGGGACGGTTCTTGTAGAACTCAAAGTCCATCTGATTTTCTGACACGAATTCGAAGGGTGCAGCTGCCTCACCCTTAGCCACTTTACCGGGTTCCTCATGCGACATTGCATCCATGTACACGTCCGAGTAGCCAGCCAGAGGCACATCCACTTCCGCCGTACGGCCAGAGTAGATACTTGGCAACAAATGCCTCGCTTTGGCCGAGACCATGGGTGTGATGAGTGGCTTGTAGAGCACAGGGTGACCAAAGCGGACGCCAACACGGTCTGTACGTCTGGTCTTGAGCTCTGCTGGGTTCTCGGTATCCGCCGCCGTCAATCCGGTGGTGTAGAAAGTCAGTTTGTCGTCGAAGTGATGAGCGCACCACCACTTAAAGGCCAGCATGAAAATTGGCAGAGGGGCCAAAGTGCAGACCTTGGGCAGCCATTCGGTGTATCCAAAGGTGGTGTTGCCGACACATACTAAACCTACCAAAACGTCGGACAGAATGGTAAGGAAAATGTATCGGTTGAACAGGACCTTCCAGAACTGTCCTCCAGATTCAGTCTTGGTTATGAAGACATACAAAAGCAAGTACTTCTTGAGGTAAGAATCAACCCAGAAGTAAAAGGCCGCGACAGGCAGAACCAATGGCTGTACATAGGCGAAGCACAGTGCAACCGTCGAATAGAACAGGAAGTAGTTGTAGTATCCAGCATAATCGAATTTCGGCGGTGCACTCAGCTCGATCATCTCGCGAGGAGTGGGGTTGAGAAAGTGGCGCGAGAACGATCCCCAGGCCAGGTTGACAAACTGTGATAGATCGACGGCTGCTCCGAGGTTACGTTGTAGCAACCATGTAATCCAATATGTCGAGACAGAGTTGAGTGCTCTAATTCCCTTTTGCAATAGTTGACCCTCCTTGATAGCTGACCAGGCGTCCTCTTCATGGCTCCTGCTGATGACGGCAGCAATGTAACCCCAGATGGCAGCGAACAGCGAAAATAGGAACAAATTGTTAAAAACGAAGAAAGTGTAAAGCTTGTGCATGACGTGGCGTTCTCTGCTAGTCTTTGACAGATCGCCTGCGCTGTTGCTAAGTCTTCTGAAGATGGCAGGCAGAAAATAGTAGAACAGAGAGGTGAGAGCGGGCGCTGCCACACCCTGCACGACAGACCATGTTTTCGGATTTTTAGCTAGTTGTGTCGCAAAAGCCGGCCAGACAAGGGCTAAATTTGACAAGTTAGACAGGAAAATGGCGATGAGAGCGTTGGGTGCAATCCAGACGACGGTGAGGACAGCGACCCAGATGTTGTTAATAAAAGTCTGCCAACCTCTCTGTTTACTCGTCATGGGCAAGTTCTTCCAGATAATATCGTGGGGCCTGGGAGCCAAACGGATTGATGTTTTTTGTGGGCCCTTCTTGCGTGTCTTGTATGCGACAGTATGAGCATCGGCGATAGACTCATAACTAGCGAACCCGTATGACATGGCATTTCTCTTATCAATGGATTCTCTGACTTCCTTGATTTGTAGCTCGAGCTCTCTGATGCGTGCAGTCAGATACTCGATAGCGTCAACTTTTTGGCCCTTGCGATAAGTCTGGTCTGATTTGTTGACAGAGCACGTAGGTCGTTTTGCTGGCAGTTTGATGGGGTTTGACAAATACTTGGCGAGTACTTGCTCGAGATTCCTGACCGTCTCGTTGTGCTCCTCGATGAGATCGGGCAGATCTTTGACGTTGCGTGCGATGGCGGTACGTGGGTTCGAGCCGGTGTCCTTTGCTTCGGTGACAATCCTGACAAGACCTTCATCGGTTCGAAGGCCTCTTGGAATTTCGGTCACGAGCAGAGTTCGGGAGTGCAAGCTCTTTTGATAATCCGGACTGTCGAAGTAAGCTCTGCGCAATCTAGCGACACTCTTGTAGTTGCGCCAGAGAAAGAAAGCGATACACAAGTTTGCCAACCAGGCCAGTAGGACGTAGCCCCAAAGATAACGGCCTTGGACACCCTGTGACGTCAACTGGATGAAGAAGTTCTTTGCGTCTGTGCTGGCATTGGAGCTGCGGTGCTCGTATAGGTTGATGGGGACAAGAATAGCAAGGCCCACGATGGTGATGCAGGTGAAGATGTTTCTACACATGTTTGCGAAACGCAGAAAGATGGTGGCGTCGAGGCCGACCTTTTCGACCAACTCCTGCTCTTTTGTCTTGATAACAGGCGAGACCCAGTCGAGTACACCCTTACCGACCGGCGGTGGGGCGTGTTTGACATCCGCATGGCGGGAGCGAGGAGCGTAGACGACGCTGTTGTATGGGCGAGCGAAACAGAAAAGACAGGCAATCAAGGCAGAGCCTCCGATTGAAGTACCCAAGGCGGACCAGAAAGCGTTCTTCTCGATCTGTGCAGAACGTTAGCTACGCTTGGCTGAATGCTCATTCGGGCATCGGAAACTTGCCGACTGTGCGAAGGGATTTGATAGCAGCGAAACAAAGGCGTCAAGACTGCTTTGCGTCTTTTGCCGAGCGAGCAGGTCGATTGTCCGTGTCGGCACGTCCATGGCCGGCGAATGTGCTGTGTGAAATGTTCAAGAAATGATGTGCGCTGATGATCAGGCGCAGGTGGCTTGCAGCATCAAAACAATAGCGAGTGTATGCAAGAGAAGTTGGAGCGACAATAGAGGGGCGGACCTATTGGTAGCTTAAGGCCGCGGGGAGTCTGAAACGATTGAATGTGTCTGTCGAGACAATCCTTGTTCGAGTAGGACAAAGAAATTCTGACACTCAACAATTTACACCTGAGCTGTGTGTGTGCGTGTAACAGAGTAAAGTTTGGTACAGGAGACAAGAAGCACATGCCCAAGGCAACAGGGCCACCAGCAAGGTCATCATTCGTTCCAGATCTACGAGACCCTTCTCTCCACGACCCATGACGAAACTCGAACCTTTTTCTTGTCCTCGTCGTTTCTGCTTGACGCGCGGTTCCACCTGATATCAGCCGCAGTCTGCTTTTCTATCCGACGCCAGCCGAATGCCTGCCATTTGTTTCCTGATGCTGTCGCCGTATCACTACTGTACACGCTTCATCGCTAGATGTCGCGGTCGTACTCGAGTCTCATGCTCGAGAACCTTGCATGTGTTGTACCTGCAGCGGTCAGACATGTCTAGCACAGCATACAGACAGAGATGTGCCCGATAAGAAAACCCCATGTGCTTGATAGCGGCTTCAAAAAGTGCCCCAACTTCCAGGACCCGGCGCGTCTATAAAAAGTAACACCTCCCCAACATCAACAGCTTTGACAAACGTTCCTTTGGCTTGGTCAAAAGCATGCGTTCCATTCAGGTGTCTCTAGCCGCCCGTACCCATGAGACCACCGCATGGCTGAAAGTCTCGAGGGATTCTCTTTCCGTATATGTCAATTCTTCGTATAGCCCTCCCTCGCGTCTGCCGATTGGTCGAGAAATCGTAATGTTTACTTTTCGTCAAAGAGAAGGATGCGTGTCATCGTGCATGCCCGTTGATGGTCGTGGCTGTGTAAAAGAAGAACCGCTCATCGACAGGCACGCCGGAGCGATCACATCCGAGCTTGTGTCGATCATTTTTCTCTACTCCAGCTGCCATGACGGGCAAAGAAGACGACTGTGGAAATGCAAAGTTATTTGTCGTTCTAGCGCTCTGCTTGAGGGAGAGGTCTGAGAGCTGTACCCCCAGCTTGGTAGACTAGACAAAAGCAGAGCTGTAAAAATGCAGGGTGATTTTTGCCTAAGTGTCACGCTCGAGGGAGAGAGGACCATGAGCAGTACTCCTAGCTCGCCCGATCACTTCAAAACAGGGCTGTCAAATGGCACAGTAATTTCTCGCTGGCCTGTGATGCCATGGGAGATGGCGATGTACTGCTATCGCTCCAGCTCTGTCAACTGCACAAAAGTAGGTCTGTAAAAAGGCAGAATTAAATTGTAACTCGCTGATACCATCTCAGGAGAGCCAGCAGCTTCCAGAATCATTGGTACCGGTTATGCTGTCTAGCTCATCGCCTGTGGTCTTCTCAGTATGGACCCGGTGCTCGACTCGGCCCATCTGATCCCCGAACGAGACTGCTCGGAGCTTGTGCTTTCATTCATCGTCCTCGTCGTCCTCGTCCTCGTCCTCGTCATCCTCGATGTAACTCTCCTCGGGCTCTATCCATGGATTCTCGGCTTGGTACGCAAAGATGTGGTGAGCCAACTCAGCATCAGACTTCATGACGCGAGTGAATAGCAGAGGTTCCTCCTCGATGGTCTCGAACAAGCGGGTAGCAATCTCGTGCTTGAGCATCTCACGCATTTTGCCATCAATCTCGGTTCCGGCGGCCGTGTTCCAGAAGACCATACGGGTGAGCATAAGCAGAGAACCTGTGTCCAAGGGACTTTGAACCTCGATTTTACGGTAGATGAGGTCTTGTAGAGTGGTCAACTGAAGTTTGTGGGCAGCGTTCCAGAGAATGCTAGCTCTCTCGGCGGCTTCTTCGAATTGAGCGACACTCTTGACTTTTTCGAGGTGAGGGTGCTTGTCGTCGATCAAGCGAGGCTTGTAGTCGCCAGTCTTGAGCCATGTGATCAGAGATTCGAACAGGTCTGGCTTGAACTTCTCGAAGGTTTTGTTGCGGATTTCGAAGCCATTCTTGTTGTCGCCGGTGATTTGCTTCAGGAACGAAGGGTGCTTCTGGATGAGGGTGCGGTCGAGGATAAAGAGCTTTTCCTCGTTACCGACGTAGACATTAACCTTGAGAGGACTGTATGTCGTATTAGCATGTGATAATCAAGATCAGGGCTGGAGTACCTGCTCTTTGACGGGCTCTAGAACCTTGGTCTTTTCAGGTGATGTCTTGCCATCGCCCTTCTTCGTCATGAGTAGCTCGAGTTGCTTTCTGGTAACATAGTCATCCGCCGCTATCTTTGGCAACTTGCCGCTTGGCTTCCATTTCGAGGTGCCTGGTTTGGCGGTTGGCTTCTTGCTGGGCGTGGATGTGTATAAGGCAGAGCTTGGAATGTCATCATCGCTGTCGTCTTCTCTGAATGGTGTCGAGGGAGCCGGCTTCTTTGGCGCCTTTTTGTGCTTGGGAGTCGGGCTGGGAGATGGTAAACCAGGGCGTTTAAAGGCTATAGAGTGACCGCGCTTTCTGGAAACGGCAGTAGCGGGGAGTCCGGCATCGCTGTCGTCAATATCGTCACTGTCGTCGCTGTCGGTCAAGATGATGGCGTCCCCCTGCTTCACTTTCTCGCTTTCCTTCTGCAGTCTCGAGGCAAGCATGTGGTAGTAGTTCATGTCGTGACAGTCTAGTGCCTCTCTGTGTGCCTTTTGGCGTTGCGCTTCAAGATCGGTACCATTGGGGACAGATGGGGCGTAATCAGCAGTGGGCTCCCACTCGAGCAGCTCGGATGGTTGTACCCAAAGGAAGACGTTGCGCACGAGGAAGAAGACTGGAAGGGCTGTTTTGTCGGGTTTCTTGCCGATCAGTCCATTGGGCACAGAGTGGTCGGGGAATACGAAGACAGGCCATAGTTCTTCCTTGTAGACAACGACGCATGTGGTCTCAATAATGTTAGAGGTAGCCATGATAGAATGTTGTAGGTGAGTAGTGTGTAGATGGAGTGGTGCAAGAAGAAGTGGGTAGAGAAGATAGGGAGCAAGAAGGTATAACAAGGTATGGATGATTGAATGACTGTGAACGGGAATGGAAGTGATATTCACTGAAGGTGAAGTACAAGAGCGAGGGCTCAAGTGAAGAAGCAAAAGAGAGAAAACAGGCTCCCCTCGAGGAGTCTCCCGGATGCACTTTTGTGCTTGCCTTTTGACAGATCAGGTCGAGGAAGCGGTTGTGATCTGGGAGAGCTGATAGATAGTCACGCGTCACTTACCTGGGTCGCCAGCGGATGCAAGACATTTAAGGAATCGGCTAGACGAGCTAGTCTCTCAGCATAGCTTACATCAGTTTGTATAACACTGTGCCTTTTGATAGGATCGCCGAAATGCCGCGATGCGGTCGGAGTGCGAAGATGAAGGCTCTCCAGACATGCCGCGCAGGAAACTAGAATTGTTCCTGCCTTCAGACAGCTCAATTCGACAATGGAGTGAAAGCTGAGAGTGCTTGTAGTCAACAACGAGTTACCTACCTGAGTCGTGGTGTGCGAGTGAACAACGGGGTGTGTAAGTACTCATTTGGGTGAGGCCGTCTCCCAGTACAGCTCAGATTATTCTGGATAAGAGTGTGCATTTTGACAGGAGTATCCTACTAGAATGACGAGCTCGGAGTACGATACAGTTGAAATGAGAAAAGGTTACAAAGGTGTGGCGCAAGAAACGACATTTGATTATGCACTGCGACAGATTGCTTTTCCTGAGATGCGTGCTCTTGAGATGGCATGTGTGCATTGATCGTGTTCACCGACTTGGGAGAAAGATTAGTGAAAGAAGCGGTGCGTTTCACCAAGACGGAGAAAGCACGGGCTGGCGCAGCATGACCGGCGAGCATCCCAAGCAGCGGTGACGGTCCGACGGAGCATTCGAGGCATAACAAGATAGCAACAAACAAGTCTCTCTTTGCACCTTCCTCCTCTGAAAACGGCATCCCAACCCTATAGAAATATTTAAAGAACGCAGCAACAATGGCGCACAACTTTGCACCATACCAGAGCAGCCCTCCTGAATCGACACGCGCACTGTCACCACCGCTCCGCACATCGACGTCGTCGCCCCGTCCTGCAGTAGTCACGCCTCGCGCACAAGCAAGCATCGAAGACCCATGGGCTGCGACACGCGACTCCCAATTGCCCTTGCCCTCGCCCTCGGCATACGATGATCTAGAAGCTGCCGACACAAATCAGAGCTCGCGGTTGAGAGGGGATGGCTACTATGTCTTTGAAACGAGCTTGGGCATCCGTATGGACATTGAGGCCTGCCTGCCATATCTACTACTACCGCCTGCTGGTGGTGTTGCCATGTTGATTTTTGAGAGAAAGAGCGATTATGTTCGGTGAGTTGCTTCGTCTACTCAAAACAATCAACACCATGGTACTGATACCGACGTATAGTTTCCATGCCTGGCAATCAAGTCTGGTCTTCACAGCAGTCTTCATTCTACATTTGCTGCTTTCTTGGTCACGCTTTCTATCCTGGCTGCTCTTTATCGGTGACCTAGCCCTGATTGTCTTGCTGGTTTTCAGAGCTTATCGCGATGGTAAGACGAACTATACCCGTTCCTGATCAACACTTTATGCTGACTCTCTTCCTAGCCGAAACACTCGACCGATTCGAATTACCTTTCTTCGGGCCTTTGGCCAGCACCTACGTGGACCGCGAGTAAGCTGCCACGCGCGCCCACAACCTTCATGAACATACTATCCCTCTCTTGCTTGTTATGAACGATACCCCCGACCTTTTGCATACACGTCATCATCTTCTTGAACTTACCCTTATTGTACAAAAGGCTCTATCATCTTGTAATGCTACATGTTTCTGTTCTCTACACCTCACCGCGACTTCGAACTAGTTACGTTTACACCAAAGCCCGATGTCGGCTCACACCTGAGTGTTCAAGTTGACCATGCTGAGGGCATGACCCTGACTTCTTGCAAAACATCAATCCGATCGCGTATCGAGCTAATCCAGAGTATCACGTAGCATGCCTTTGGCTATGCATCACATCTACAACGGATTGGTGTGAGTAGGTCAAAGTGACTCTGCTTCCAATCAAGTCACCGAGCATCAAAGAGCTATCATGAAGCACAGTCTTACTTCAAACAATGCACGTCCATGTGTAAGCAACATATCTATGCATACGAATCAATCATCCTAAAATCCTACTTTTGGAGATCCCAAGCTCTTATTGCAAAGCGACTACGATAACAACGACTCATTCTACATTCCATGGCCAAAAGTAGTGGTGGCAGTACGACGCTTCTCATCCATATCCCCCACAATCTCCTCTCCATTCTTGACAACCACATTGCCCTCTTTAGCAGCGCGACCCCCGAGGTGTAATGTCATTTTCTCCTCTTCGCCGGTGGGACTTCTGATGGTGATGTCTTGTTGACCGGTTTGTACGCTTGTGTCTGTCATCTGGGGCTTGGCTTCTTGCTCGGTGACTTCCTTGCTCTCAGACGTTTCCTGGCCCGTGGATGTTGAGGTGCCTTGCACAGTCTCGGCGACGGACTCTGAGACGTAGTTGACGGCATTGTTGACAGTCTGACCAATCTTGGAGACGAGACTTTCTTCGGACTTCTCAGTGGTCGTTGTGCCCTCGGACTTGCTAGCAGAGGTTGTGTTTTCGCTCTTCTCGACATCACCTTGTGTTTCTTGAAGCTCTCTGGGTTCGGGAAGAGCGGTCTGGCCAGGAATAGGTACTTCTGACGTGCGATCGTTCATGTGAGGAATGATATCTGTCTGACTGTCGACAGGCTGCTCGCCGTGCTTCTCAGAGTCAGCAAGCGCCGCCTCGAATTCAGATTGAATGGCTGATGCGCGCTCCATGGTTGCCTGCGACAGCTTGGGGTCAGGTGTGTCTCCAATATGACCAATAGCTTGTGCAGGAAGACCAGAAAGTGCAGTCTTCTCATCTTCAGGAATCGAGGTCGAGGCTGACGCCGAAAAAGCAGGAGCGGCGCCATCAGTGTTTGCTGCAGCCACAGTCTCCATCTCTTGGGCACCCTTGGCGAGGGCAGGTGAGAGCTGATCGGTAGGCACTGACAGATTTCCTTGATCGTTGATTTGGAAAATGGTGAATGTAGTACCAATAGACAGAGTTGATGCGCTAGATGAAGTAACAGCAGGAGCAGCAGCCGCAGCCTCAGCAGCAGGCTTTCTTCTGGCTGGACCTCTAGCACGACCCTTTCGTGCATCGGCAAGAGGAGCCTTCTCCTCGACAGGTGCCTCGGCAGGCTCTTCATGCTTAGGAGGACCCGGAGGGCCAGAGCCAAGACGAGCGTTCAGGTTCTCGAGGAAGCCAGCCTTGAGCGCGGCGAACTTGTTACCCGCTGGCCTTGCAGGAACAGCAGGCTTGGCCTTGACGGCCGGAGGCGATACAGCTCTTTCTGTCGATGCGCTATCTTGAGTCTGAGCAGTCTCGCCTCTGGCGGGTCTGGCAGGGACCTGAGGCTTAGGGCGCTCAGGGATTACAGGTGCCTGGTGACCAGCCGGTCTGGCAGGGATTTGAGGCTTAGTAGTCTCCTCGGGTACGGCGGTTGACACTTCGGACAACTTGGAAGAGCGGGCAGGACGCTGAGGAACGATGGGAGACTTGATGTCAGCCGGACCAGTTTCATCCTCGTCCTCCATCTGGGGAGTATCGACGGTGGTTTCGAGCTGTAGACTGTCAGGCGAGTCTTCCCATACATCTCTGCTAGGGAAGCGATTCTTGTAACTAGGACGGGCCATATCCTCGGCCACACCAGGCTTGAAACCAGTCTTGGCCATTCTCTTAGCTTCTTGGGTGAGGAAGTCGGCACGATCTTCCGGGTTGTTGCCCTCCTTACGTGCTTGTTCCTTGTCCGGATGCTCAAAAGTGGCGGAGGTCGTGAGATCTTCCGGCTCCTGGGGACCAGAAACCTCAGTCTCGTACTGTAAGCTCTCGGGAACATCCTCCCAAATATCTTGACTGGGGAAGTGGTGACGGGCCAAATCAGGACGCTTCAACTTATCAGCAACAGTCAGAGGGGGTTGAGGCTTGTCGTCGTCATCGGGGAACAGAGGTTCATATTCCTCAATCTCCTCGAGAGGTGTACCGGCACCCGAAGGCTGAGCCTCGCGAGACTTGAATCTTGCAAGATCACCTCCACTGCTGGTTCTCAGCTTCTCACCACTACGTCTGCGAGACGGACCGGTAGCCGACGAGTCTGAAGCATATGCGTCGTAGTAGTCGTTGCCCTTTCTCTCCTTCTGAGGTGAAACAGCGGGCTGCCAGTACACGGCCTCGGGATTATTTTTGGCAACCTCATCAGATGCCAGGATAGGCATGCCATCGCCATTCTCAATGACCCATCCACCACGCTCAGAAGTGTTGCCTCCCTCAGGACCGAGATCCACAGTAGGAGGATCGTAACCGCCGCCGTGGATCTTGCTGTGACGGTGGGCTGGAGGGTCAATATGGATGGTCTCGTCCTCGACCTCGCTTTCCAGAGCGTTGTCGTCCAGTGCAAGCTCTTTCTGACCGAAGGACTCCTTTCTAAGAGGGGACTCGATGGCTGGCTGGGCACCACTTGAGGGACGCTTGCTGAGGCCCGACAAAGGCTTCGGCGAGTTCATGCGGGAAGTATAAGCTTCTGAAGCCATGAAGCCAATGGATTCATCGGGCGTGCCAATGGCGGCGGGAGACGAGCCTACACATGTCAGTACAACCAAGATATTGGAACGATGTGAACAAAATACATACCCATTCCGAGGCCGCGTCCAGAGTTCTGGTGGACGAGCTTGTTAAGATCATCGCTGCTCAGAGCCCAATCACCGGGAGCATGGCCAGGATCATAGGGACGGTGTTCCTTGACAAGCTCTTCGGGATGCTTAGCATACCATGCCTTTTCGAACTGATCCTTGGGGTCGTGACGATGGCCGTGGAGACCATAACTACCAGGGGGACCATGGAACTCCTGACGCGAACTACGCTTACGGTGGTGGTTGCGAGGAGTTGCGTCGTTGAAGCTGATACTCGGGGTGCCAGATTTGGAGGGCGCGGGCGTAGGAGCCTGAACGTCACCGGCGAATTTGAGCATGGGAACTTGGATACCGATCTCAGGAATGCCATGTTCGTCTTCCTCGGTCGGCTCCTGAGACAAGGACAAGTTGGAGCGATTGAAGCTCGCCTTTGCTCTCAAGGGGTGTATCCCAGCTCCGGGCGAGCCGATCCCGTGGGAGGCAGCTTGACTAGAGTCGGTACGGGTGACTGTTTGGATTCTGGATTTGGCAGTTGATTGTGGTACGGAGGCCGTGGGAGCGTGCATGGGCAGGTCCGGAGAAACGTTTCTATGCTGCTCAGCAGCTGCTTGCTCTTCTTCCTGGAGGTTGGCATATTCGCTGCCCTCCTGACCGATCGACGGGAGGTTAACACTCGGAGGACGGGGAGGAAGATCCTGGGCCGAGAGGTTTCGGTGGTTGTATATCTTGCCATTGGCGCTAGGGGCATTCGCAGGCATGTCGTTCAGGGGAGAACGCGTGTACTCTCCTCGCATGGGAGAGACGGATCTCTCGTTGCGACGCTGAGGGCGAGGAGGGATTATTGGAGCATCCATGACCGGGTCTGACGCTCTCTCCTGCGTACGGCTCGGACGCGGAGGCACTTTGGGTAGTTCGGCGCTCATGTTGACTGGTAGTGGGACGATAAGGAAATGTGGGATACAAGAAGAAACTGCAACAATCGATCAGTCCTGCTGGCCTTGCGACCTTGAATGTTTGCGATAGAGGCTTTCAGGGGACGAGTATAGATATCAAAAAAAGGAAAGCCGTGCAACACCGCCACATGTCTCATTGGTTCGCTCAACGCCAGTGCCTTTCTCAGCACCAGCGAGAGCTCACCAATGGCATTTGCTGCTATCCTGTATCTAGGATGCAGATCTGCGATAAGCCAATGCATGCAAGCCAACTTACCACGCGGAAATCAGTCGACCTTTGTATCGTCGCTTTGCACTTCACAAGATGGAGGTATGGGATGAATGTGTGGGTTATTGCTGTCAGGGGACAGGAACGATTGAGATGACTCGAGGAGAACACAGAGACTCGTGAGACGAGGACAGTGGCAGAAAGCGACTTGGTGACGAAACTCCAAAAAGACAAACTGCCCCCGATCGACGCTAAAGGCGTGACGAGGACCTATTAGCTACACCCGTCATATCATTGGCCGCCCGCTTGCTCGCGGCTCTGCCATACCTGAATCTCTTGCGATATTTCCACCTGCAAATATCCCTCACCGTCTTTCCAGAAGCTCATGCCGCCTCGTCTGTAATCTCTCATTGTATCTGTCTGACACCTGTATAGACAGTCTTGACAACACGTTGCCGTGTGGAGGCCCGACACGATAACGCTTAGATCTCCATGTTGTCAAGTCGCTATGATGCGCCTCGGAGCAAATCAAGCCACAGTGCCACACCTGCCGCCCCGCGTGATGCTACATCTGGAGAACAACCCCTCCCTTCCAGGGTACCTGGCTAGTAAACAGGTTCCTGGTGCCATGTTTACTTGATCAAAGCTACCATGCTGTCACGCAGTCTCAGACTCTCAGGCCGCAGCAGGCTTCAAGGTTCATCTTGCTGTGGAGGACAAATTCTCTTTGCTCCCAATCGTCGATCGTAGGTGGTATGGTCGTTCTATCGACGCATGACCGTTTCCTCCTTCTGCCATGCACCATGTACCGCTGAGGTAAGCACTTTCTTCACGCTATCACTTGACGGCTCGTTGGCTGTGCTACCAAGATCATTCAACAATATCCACATAGGTAGGGCTAGCTTGGGATGTGCGAGAAACAAGTTGATGGCAAGTTCACTTAGTAAATTGCGTCCGGGTAGAATGAGAAAACCAGCTTGGACAGAAGGTCCCGATCTTTCAAGAGGTCGGCGGATATAGGAGAACGGATTCGGAGCCGCCGTCATAGCATTGTTTGTCTCCATGCACCGGGCAAAGGGCTCGCGTGCTAATGAGACAGTTAGTTGCACGCGTTGAAGCTGTAGACATTTACAGCAGTCTTGTGTTGGACTGGATCGTGATTAAAAGATGGCTGAATGCTGCAACTCGATTACGATAGACCCTGCCGTGCATAATGGCACCGGTGCTTTGTGACAGTATCTTTTTCTCATCTCTGAATCTTCCTCAATGTCCCTACCGTCGCTCTTCAAAGTAGACCGTATGACGTGTTATGCTCCATGCGACTAGACAATCATCTGAGCGACACCGTGGCCACCCAACGTCTTGCTTCCAACAAAGCCTTGACCCTTGACTCCAGCCAGTGCATAGAAACAGGCGGTGATCAGCAGAACAATCGCAGCTACGATGAGACTCGTTGTCTTTACGGCAATCGAGATCCATTGGATGACGCTCATGGCGAGGTAAATGGCGGCGCGCATGTAGTTGGTCTCGAATCGGCGGATGAACGTGTCAAAGGTCGAAGAAGTTGGGCAGACGCGAAGGAGCAGAGGGACTTCGACGAAGAGGATGACGAACGAGCAAATGCTGAATAACATGTCAGCACAGTCCATCTCTAAATAAGCAGGAGAAGCAAGTGCCACTCACAGGCATATCACGGCAAACAGGATGACCCAGTGGAAGAGGAAGATGTTGCCGATTCCTAGACCGAAACACAGGACCATGCTGATGATACCCGCCCTGCCAGTTGCAGTCAGTAAGCGCATCCACTGACCATGTCGAGTCATGCCGATCCTACCATTGGCCGTATATACTGAAGTTACGCGACCGGAGCTCTTCTGCGATCGTCATGTTGTCGGTTTGTTGGGTATCGTGTTCTTTGTGTATAGACAAGTGGAGCGATCAAGCTGTCGTAGCGTCGGAGTTGAGGAACTTGTCCTGTAGCTATGCTTTGGTTTGTGTGATGCGGATTCACAGAGATAGGTCTAGGAGACACGATAGATGGAAGACGGCTTGTTCTGTACTGAGGTGAAAGTGAAATGTAGATGCCTGCGAGTAGCGAGAGCTTGCGACAAAGCCGCGCAACAGCAACAGCAGGGACAACCGGCGCGCCGTCACCGTTCCCCGACCTGCTGCCAATAACAGCCCACTTTCAGGGTCCTTACTCCCGACACTTTCTGTCATACACGTACCGTAATCATCAATGAATACCTCGGTCTGTCTCTTATCGAGATGCATGACCGCTTAGCTCACCTTTTCTGCGTGCACGTAGAAACCAATCGTCTATTTCACCGTGGCTTCTGGCTTCAGCTCTGATCAAGGTATCTTGCATCTCCGCAGCTCTGACATCAACTATTTTGAGTTTGGGAGACGCGACAAGGTGACGGATGTGTTCAAAATGTCGATTGAACGCCTCTGGGATAGTCATAGCATCATTCGCTGCCAGAACGAGGACTGTTAGAATCTTCTTTTGGAATGAGCAGCAACCCAGTGTATCAAATCAACATGACACGCGAGTATCGAACACGGCTGGGAGCAAAAGCTGCAATGCAAGTTTGCAGGTGGATTCAATAGTCGAGAGTCGTGGATTCGTTGGCCTGATATTTTTATGACTATCGGCTCATCAATTGGTTTCGCTCCTTCTCCGTGGCCCATATGGCCGCCTGTTCATGGAAGACAAATCCAGTTATTACATGACAAATGTTCATCTTATTTCTCTTTTTTGACCCATCACACTGTGTGGAATCGCTTATGCGGCGGCGTAGACGAGTCTGAAGATGTCGTTGAAGACGTAGTAGCTGCCAGCACCGTCGGGCAGGAGCTGGAAGGACTGGGTGTAGCTCATGGGTCTCTGCTCCTCATCGACCTATTGGGTTCGTTAGCTGATGCGGTGGAGAAGCAAGAACCGGTCCACGTACAAGAAGTCTTCCGGCAACGAGGACCAAGATACCACCAGCGTCGTTGGAGGGCTGAGCATCCAAGCTGGCGACCTCGTGTTGGACCTTTGCGAAAGGCAGACCCTGAGAAATTGCTTAGTTCCCTTGATATCTTTCTGAGCAACGGAGCAAGCAAACGTACGACGAGCTTCTCGGTGATGCCAGCGGCGCCCTGGACGGGCGAGTTCTCAAAGGTGAGCATGGAGTGGTCCTTCTGTATATTCCAGTCGCATCAGAGTGTGTTCTTCTCTCCCCATCATGTTTGGTCTGTCCGTACGTAAAGGGCACCAAGGGCGGAGCGGTTCTCATCGAAGGTCTTGTAGTAGAACTGAACAAACTGCTCTGAGGATCTCATTAGGCTCGAGTAGTGGTGAGGAGATGGTCTGAGGTCGGCGCATACCAGCGATGTTCTGGAAGTCTATTCGAGGTCTGGGTCAGTCGGTATTCCGCATCTATGTTGGCAAAAGGCGCTTGCGAGCATGAGGTAGAGGTAGCTCGCCGCAGAGCCTGTCCAGAGGGTTGGTCAAACTTACCGGCCATGTTGATGTTGTGTGATGCGGAAAGTAGCACAAAGATCAGTTACAAGAAATGAAAGTAAGAGAGGTATGAAAGCTTTCGAGTAGTGACAGAGCGTCGTCGACTCTTGTGTTGTTGGCGGGGCTCTTGACAGCCCGCCTCGGCGATTTCCGCCCGACGCATAAATTCGACTTGCCTGACTTTTCTTGCTTTCTCTCCTCCTTGAGACTGCAACAAACATCACCAAATATCACCGCTGTCACGGATACGGCAGCGGTGATCTCGCCGTCATCTGTAAGTGTCGCCTTTTTATACACCCTCCTCTCGCTCACTATGATGAACACCACAAACGATAACTTATGACTTCCATGGGCCCTCCTCCGGGACGCAAACCCATGGAGCCTCAAAATGGACTTCAAACACCCACTTGAGGTTTCGTGATTGTCAACAAAGCTCAACAGCCTGATCCACAGCACTTCATTCCTCTCATCAATCATTGTTATTCTTTCGCGGCACCGTCGGCTAACATTGTAAAGTGTACAGGCATTATCATTGCAATCGTAGTTATTTAAACCTAGCTAACCTTTTGATCATAATGAAAGCTCATTGTTGCTTCTTTAAATCTATGCTTCGACCGACTGGAAGGACTTGACAGTGTCCTTGATCGACTCGTGAAGTGACTTGAACTGAATGCCGAGAACGTCCTTGGTTCTGCTGTTGTCGTAGCTGTAGACTCCGTCCTTGGGGTAGTCGCCGCCCGACGTGCTGTCCGAGGGCAAGCCTTGAGTTTCGGGGTACTCCTTCTTGATGATCTGAGCAATTTCCTTGTTGGAGAAGTGTCCAGCAGTGACGAAGAATCTCTTGTTGGCTGCAGCCTCAACCTCGATGGCCTTGACGTGGCAGAGTGCAAGGTCACGAACATCGACCCACAGGAAGGTTCCGGTCTCTGGGATCTGCTCCTTAGCCTTGCCCTGGTAGATGTCTCTGATACGCTGGTTGCTGGTGTTCAGCGAGTCGAGCGAGTTCAAGTAGTGGACCTGTGTTCTTGTTAGTCAACTCGTCCACCAATCAACACCCGGGATGACGTACAATGGGCCCAAGGACAAGGGGAGGGTTAATGGTCGAGATGGTGAAGTTGGGCTTCTCCTTCTCAACAAAGTCCCAAGAAGCCTTCTCGGCAAAAGTCTTACTGGCACGGTAGCCATTGGCGGGGTTTTGGAGTGCTTCCTCGTGTGTGATTGGGTTCCAGTCGGCCTCGGTGTAAGTGTGATCAGGCCAGTTGCCCTTGGAGGCGTTGATGATGGCAGCAAAACTGGATGTAATAACAACGCGCTTGACGGAAGGTGCGCTCTTCTTGATCGACTTCAAGACGGAAGTCGTGCCGATGACAGCAGGATCCAAAAGCTCCTGGAGTTTTGTTTCAGTAGAGCAATGGCGAGGCTAGACCGGGAAACTGACCTTCTGAACGTCAGTGACGTTGAAGTGGAAAGGCGAGGCCGTGTGGATGACAGCCTCGAAAGGAGGATCGGAGACGATGGCCTTGTCAAAGGCACCCTCTTGTGCGATATCCTCAACAATGGCAAAGGAGAGCTGCTTCTCGGAAGCGTTGGGGTGAGCCTCCTTGATCTTGTTGGCCTTTTCTTGTGAACGAACAGTCGTCACGACCGAATGACCATGCTCAAGGAGGATGTCGAGAACGTGGGCGGCAATGAAGCCGGAGCCTCCAGTCAGAAGTACGCGTGTCATGATCGTTTGATTGGGGTACGATGTGAATTGAAACCAGATTATTGCCTTTGTCGTAGAAGGGGCAATGTTGGATTATATATCATCTCAGCCGTCGATGATACAATAGGCTGATCGTCGCTCGACACATTGCCTAACTCCGTCATATCTCCAGGTGGAAGGCACGAGGCTGGAAGGTACGAGGAAGTCTATTCCCACCAACCACTCTCGGACCATTTGACATATGCACAACGACAGACTTCCCGGCTCGGTCTGGGACGGCAGGCATCTTTGAGTGCTGTACGGCCTTCACCTACAGAACTCGGTGAACTGTCCGAGGTGTCGGAATTGCAAGTGGATCATCAATGGCCCGAGGTCGCGAGGCTCAAAAGTAAACGTCATCAAGAGTGCCAAGACTGGAGTAGCTGCCGCCAAAGACGCTCCTCGCGGTTCTGTTCCAATAGCCAACAGCCAGACATTGCTTCAAACAATGACAGATCGCCATCATTTCTCGAGGCGGCGATCACGCTCGCCAGGCTCTTCCAGACGTGATCCAAAGCAGCAGAAGAGACGAAGTCGCTCTCCACTTTCGAACCAACTGCCACTGAATGCGCGTGCTCTTGTAAAGCACGATCTCAAGGCATTCAAGAGACTGTTTGCTCTTTACCTCGATATTCAGAAGCAGATTGACATTGACGATCTCGATGAGACCGAAATCAGAGGTAGGTGGAAATCATTCCTAGGCAAATGGTAAGTCGTCCGACTAGGCAAGAGCATGAAGAGCAAGTATCTGACGCACACAAGGAATCGCGGCGAGCTCGCAGAAGGTTGGTATGATCCTGTGACCAAAGAGAAAGCCGACCGTGCCGCTTTGGAAGCGAGAGCGAGCCGCCGTAGTGCATCACCAAGAGAGCAGCAACAATCTAAGCAGCAACAGCAGCAGCAACCCACAGCCCTCGACCAGCCAGTGTCAGGTCATGACGATAGCGAAGACGAGTACGGGCCCTCTTTGCCCACCACTTTGAGCCGAGTTGGGCCTAAGGTACCATCTATGCAGGATCTGCAGTACAGAAACGGTATGTCCGCGCCTGCACGATCTGCACAGTCGCACATGGCTTACAGCCAACAGAGCTTGCCGAAGAAGACGAGACCGCCCGTCGACAAGACCTCACGTACGACCGAAAGATGGATCGAAAGCTGCAGAAAGAGCGCTTAGAAGAACTGAACCCACGCGCCGAGCCAGGTTCCCGCGAGCGCCAACTCGAGAAGAAGCGTGAGAAAGCTGGTGCGAACCGTGCTTTCCGTGAGGAAAAGTCTCCTGGCGCCGAAGAGGTTGGCGAGGGCGATCTCATAGGCGGCGAGGATGGTATCAAGGCCCATCTCCAAGTCACACAACGCAAGAAGTCGGAACGCGAATTGCGAAAAGAAGAAATTCTACGTGCTCGCGAGGCCGAACGTGAGGAAAGGCTCGCCGAGCACAGGGCGAAGGAAGACAAGACCATGGACATGCTCAGGACTCTGGCCAGACAGCGCTATGGCTGATACATCCACACCTTGGTCCGGCTCAACTCACGTAATTGCTTCCGGACCCGGCTGTTCAGTGCACCTCATTTATCCATACACCAGCCACGAGTTCGTCAGGGAAGCTCAATCCTCGAGATACTGTCTATGAAGCTTCACAGGGACCATGAGGCTGATCGTATAGCGTGTGACGCGTCTGGAGCAACATGCCTAGATTGTACGCCGCTCTGCATACGCGCCGTACTTTGCGACCAATGACATAAAGTATTTAGGCGCCTCGCGCCTGTTGGCTCAGCCTTCTTAATTATTATCCAGCAAAGCTATTGGGATGAGCCAAGTCTTACGGAGAAATAGTTGTTACGCACAACCTCCTGATTGACTATCGAATGGGCTCTCCAAGTATCGATGTGCTCTCCACCATAGAAATTGCAACATGATCATCGGCTTGAATGTGCCTCAGAAGGTTGCAACCGTTGGAAGGTCAGCTACGGCGGAACGCAAGACTTTATTAAACGGAATGCATGAGCCAGATCACTACTAGTATGTATATAACCATCATGTGGACATCAACCAGTTCGATACCCGAGGTCGGCTACCAGGATCGATCAATAGCGACAACGACACTGCTCCAGTACCTTAGTCGTCCCAGTCCGGAGTTCTCTCTGGTAAGACAAGATCGAATTCACGAGCTCGGACCGGCTCGTGAGTCGTATTTCTGGTTCGATGTCCGTAACATAAGCACCTGGTCGGCTTTCAATACCAACACATTGATGAATACGACACAACTGAAGACAATCCTTCATCGCGAGCAACTCTGCAACGGACTTGCATTAGCTACAACTAATGTCGATCTTCCTGTCACGCCGAACCACTTACGCCAACTCCACTACAGCCATTACGGCATTAGACTGAACTCGGCGTTGAAAGCATCGATGGCTGAGTCTAGCCTACAGATCTCTAATGTTCCAGCTGATGGTTCGTCAATGCAACCAGACTTCGTCTCCAAACCACCTGGAAGCCATCAACAATCTACATCTCAATCCTCCAAACGTGGTCGAGTCATCGGTATAGTCTTGTGCTATGAACAGTGGCGTAGCGACATGCGCAGATCAGAGAATCCAACCGAGAAGGTGCGCTATCTATCAGGTCTGGCACGCCTGCAGTATTTCTTGCGCGAGCATGGCTGTCGCTATGGCTACATCATCACCGAGATCGAGCTAGTCTGTGTACGCTACGGCGGCGATGATAAGATCTACGAAATCTCGAGATCCAGATCGTCAACTACATTCGCGGCTACTGTTTCGTCGTTTCCAATCCCAATCTTTGGGTATTTCGAGGTCAGTAATGCTGTACCGCTATCCAGACATACACAAGACGCAGAAAATGTCAAGATGACCGCTAGTCTTGCACTCTGGTATTTGCATATGCAGGCATATGATCAACCATTACCTGGACATCATCACTGGAGACTCGAGGTTGGAGGTCCTTCGACAATGACAAGGAAGAAGCATCTCTTTAGAGATTCAGAATGGATGCCAAAGATGGTCCACCAAAGAGAGCAGAGGGAAGCAAACAGGAAGAGAGGGTGGGTCTGGCCGAACGAAGAGTCCAGCAAGGGAAAGGGAAAGGGTAGACGAACCGTTCTGGGGAAGTCATGAGGTTCATGATAGTAATTGACCTCCTTTGTCAACGGCGCTGATAAGGCGAACGGACTGGATAGATGGTTCTGAGGCGTAGCGTATAGCCATTCTCGAGAAGGGTACACCTCAATGGGACACACCAATTGACTTGCATTCGTCTTCTGGACCATCTATGAGGCGTGGCCTAATCCGGTCATATTGCTCTGGAATGCCGCAGTGAAGCCAACCCAAAGTGAGTCAAAACAGGGAAGGGGGGGGGGGGGGGGGGGGGGGGGGGGGGGGTCAAGTTGCGGGTACGACCCTGGGGCGATCCTACTGGCGACGGTGCGCGGTTCACCGCTGGCTAGAATTGGGCATGGGCGGGAGGGTATATATACTACCAAGATCCCCTTTACTATAAGCAGCAACCACCGCCAGCTTGGTCCCGTGGCCCACTCGGTAAGACCCTACCATCTGGTGGAGCGGTGTTTCCTTGTCGTGGTTCGACTCCCAGCAAGGAACAGTAGCCCGCTCTTATCGCCACAATCACATAAGTGCATTCCTCCAGCCAGTGATTGAGAGTCCAGGTTGCTGCTTCAAAAGCAAATCCTTCCAAAGCACTTTGTAAACCCTCCCCCTCCGAGGTCGCTAGTGCGGGTTTCTCTGACTCTGTGAGGTTACGACCTCTGGAGCAGTTCTTTTGCTCGAGGTGGATATACCTTTTGCATGGTTCGTGTCGTAGAAAGTATCACTCAAGCGCAATACTTCCACCAGAACAGAGGTCGAGTTGTATCAAGAGATCGCGTCGAAGTAGTGCACTAGCTATGAACACTTTTCACTCGGTTGAAATTATCCATGGAGCAGTACTCCGCTCATCGCGACCAGCAGCAAGCTGTTTCGCACACAGTGCCCCTTCAATTACTCAGTGCTACGCACGCAGTGCGTCGATGCTGCTATCCGGTCGATGAACGTCTGAAGAACAGTTACGACTCTCCCGACCCCGAACAATACTTTGTACAATCTCACGGCTCGGCAGAAAGTCAATATTCTGTGCGCGGAGAGAAGAGTCTCGCTCGGAGCCTGTCTCTCGAAGGTCGGGCTACTGGGCGACTCATCCCGTTCTTACGGTATTTCGTTGTTCGATCTTGCTGGTGTATACACCCGTTACCATGCAAAGAACTACTGTTCACGTCCACAACGCCGCACGAGAGATGGAAGTGTTTGCTAGGTGACTTAAGCTGGTATCCGACATCTGCCTAGTGTATTTCATGACAAGGACAGGCACACGTCTGTTCCATCAAAGCATACGCTAATAGGTCAAGCCATCAAAAGGCACAGTGATTTCGGTATTGGAGAACCTGGTTGGGGAGACAGGTCACAACTATTATCCATCAGCACGATGTTTTCTCATAACACCATCTTTGGCATGTTCTGACTCCAACTTCGCGATAGTTAGTTGTGTTCTTGAGCGAGCACTCATATCAGATAACACTGATAGAAACAGTCTGCGTTACTCACTGGTGTGAGAGACAACATATCGTCTCATGATCGAAAGGAAGAAAGTGGAATCTGATTTTTTGCACGAAGGACGAAGTGCAAGAAGGGACCAGCCCATGATTAAAAGGTCTAACAAGGAGGAAAAGAGGGGTATCAAGAGAAGAGAATAAGACCAAGACGCCCCCCAAAGCAAAAGGTGCCGACGTGTAAACACGCAAAAACATGTCCACCAGCAGAAGTCACAGGTTCTGTCTCAACTCAACGGCGGCGCTGAAAGAGATCACGAAGGCGAGACAAACGACTGTCCGGAGGCGTAGCAGCCAGCGAGACCGAAATCAGGGGTGACGAGGGACCTTGCCAGGGGCCAGAGAAGGGGCGCCCGAGACGACGAAGAAGTCCAGGCGTCAGAAGCACACCAGCACACTCACGCTCCGAGGGGACGAATGAACGCTGAAGGCGACCGCGAGGTGTTGCTCTGCGAGTAGCGGAGCGAGCGGTAGCCGGAGAACTACTACCTTCGCTGCCATGGTGGCGATCTTGAGGCGGAGGGGGAGAAGGGGCGGAGATTGGCGAAGGCTGCGAAGGGAAAGTAGGTTCCAGAGGAGAGACTTCAAACTGGACAGCACCACGACGGCGGCGGCGATCGCGAGCGAAATTGGCGCTGTTGGTCATGAGAATTCGCTCCTCGGGTGACACCCCGTCAGCCCAGCCAGGAGAAGGAGATTGATGCTCGTCGCTGTCGGCGGCCAAGGGAGATGCGGGAGAGGAGGCGCGAGGGGCGGTGGCCCTGGGGCTGACGTGCAGGCTGTGAGGAGACAGTGGCTCCGTTGGAGCAACACCATCGCTGCTGCTGTCGCTGAAGAACGATACTCTGACCTCGTCTTCTGTGGGAGAGGGGGTCGCAGCCCGCTGCTCGGCCAGGGTCGGACCCGTGCCCTGCTCAGGAGCCCATGTCTGACCAAGGGGCTGTGGTGCACCTTGAGTAGCGGTAGCTGGGATGCCACCCTCGACCTCTGGTTGCAGATTGGGGTTTGCCAGGTCGAGGTTAGCCGAGGACGAGTAGCGGTGGTGACCATCCGGAGGGGCGACGTTGCGGCAGTTCTTGTCTGCGGGCAACAACAAGGATGATGTGTCCCTCATGCTGAAAGAAAGAGGCAGAAAGAAGTGTAGAGATAAAACAGAAAGAGGCGAGAGTCTCGTCCAGCGAGAGGTGCCTGGTGATATTGACAACAGAAAGAAACTTGGTGATGGCAAGGAAACGAAAAAGCGTAGTGGGAGGCAGAAGGAAAGGTTGTTGACAGAAGTAGAAATAGGAAAGACGCACTGGAAAGCCAACACACGAGATGATAAGACCGGGAGTGCGACAAAAAGTTTGTGCAAGACTCGACTATGATCTTAGCTCCAACACGATGTTATCGATGACTATACAATGCCATGGTAATCGAACAAAGAAAGCTCAAGGAATGGCAATTGAGCTTCTCTTACAGTTCCCTCCATAATACAAGCAGTGCTTGGAATGACATTGTACTGTTCAGCGATGTAGCAGATGACGCAAAGGAAGAACGAGACTGTTCCACTTCCTGAGCAGGTCTCAAGCACATGAGACATGCAAGAGCATACTATTGTGGGAGGCGAAAAAGATAGCACGAACAACGCATACTAACTCAAGTGCTCTTCTTGATACAATGGGCTCCAGCGTATTGCTGCAAAGAGAAAACTTAGTGACTGTCCAGATACACGATTTGCTGTATATTTTGGTGAGCCGTGGAGCTCTCTCGTCGAGAATCTACGATATGCCGAGACAAATTGAGCGCAGACCGCTCGCGGCGGCTTTTGCAAGAGCCAAAAGTCTTTCTTCTCAACTTTGTGGCTCCAGAACGCAAGGGGAACACGTGAACAAGAAAAGGGTAACTGCAATTGACAAGGTGTGAGGGAAGAAGCAAGAGCTGATGTCGATTATAGCAAGTGGCTGGACATCGGTACGCGAGTCATGGAAAACAGCGAGAGCGCGGGAGCACCCGTCCCTAAGACCAAACGGGTCAGCTTCGCGTTGGATGAAGATATCGCGACTCTGCTTGAAGCACCCAGTCCATCACCAAGCTCGCCAAAGACAGCAGACATGTCGCTCTTTGCAAATACTGGTAGCACCAATAAGCCTGCTGGTACTAGCATGTTCGGCGGTCTAGGATCTACCCCCGCGACGAATCAATCGACTACACCGTCCCCATTCGGTAGCGCGCAAGCAGCTGGCAACACTGGAGGTCTTTCTGGAAGTTCTTTCGCTGTCCCGCCAGCAGGAGCACCCAAGCCCAAGCTCTCCCTCTTTGGAAACACATCGGCCACAGGCGCTGCCAGCAATGGGGCCCAACAGCCCGCGAGCACTGGAGGTGGTCTCTTCGGCGGAACTTCTAATGCAACCGCGCAAGCCTCAAACACTGGCAGCAGTCTCTTCGGAGGAGCCTCAAATACTACGCAACAACCCACTACCACCAGCGGAACTCTCTTTGGAGGAGCAGGCTTGACCTCAGCCTCATCTGGAGGTGGTCTGTTTGGAAACAACAATGTTCAGCCTTCGTCCACTGCTCAGCAATCGACCTTTGGCAGCAATAACCAGGGTAATACACGGTGGCCCTCGACTGTTGATGGAAGAGACTGACAAGATGGCAGGACTAGGCGCAAGCACCGCACCCACCGGGCAGCCAGAGCACAACGCCCGACCCGTCTACTTTGACAACCTGATCGAGCGCAACATCAAGAGACAGGGAGCCGAGGCCGGCGCCAGCTCACGCATGGGCGCCTTTGGAGAGTTGCCTACACTGCAGTTGGGCTTGGGCGACATCCAGAAGAAGGTGCGCGGTCTGGGACAACAGTACACACCGGACAGTAAGGCCCACTACCTGCTTGCCGCATCTGGTGTCAACACAGGCGCCGCCCTACGCGATCTCAACCTCTTCACCAACAGCTCTGCCGCAAAGGCTCCCGCTCCCGCTCCCCTTCCCGCAAACGATCCCCTGTATGGCGACCTCGACACGTACGTCGAGAGCCTCTACCAGAAAGAGAAGAAGGACCTGTTCGATGAATTCATGGAGGACTCCAAGCGCGATTTCGACCGTTTCATCGAGGACAACCTGCAATGTAACTGGGAGCAGAAGCGCAAGGATATCTACGAGCACTTTGGCATCACGAAAAAGACCGACAAGGAAGAGGCCAGCTTCGAGGGCACGACCACTGACGGTGCACGCGGCGCTTTTGGACGTTCCAGCCGCAGAGCTCCTTTCGGTGCTTCGGCCGGTGCTTCGAGAATGGGATCAAAGTCTGTGCTTGGAGCTACAGGTAGACAGACGGCTAGAGTCAGCCAGTTCACCGACGTGGCTGAGAAGACTCCTGCCGGCCTGCAGAACGTCACCGAGAACCGCATGCTCAGAGACAAGCAGGACAAGTACTCCAACAAGGTCAAGGAGCTCAACATCTCCCGCATCGAGGGTCGCCTGTACCCTCTGCTGCACAACTTTGCCGATATCGAGTCTCAGCCTTCGGTCGAAGACACGACCAAGCTCATCGATGCTTACAAGGCTCTTGCTGACATTGTTGGTGAGAGTCCCGACTACCAGACCTCGTCCGATCCCCGTGCCATCAAGGAGCGCCACTTCGCCCAGGACTACCTTGACGAAGCGCCTAATTCACGCAAGAACTTTGACCTCCGCAAGCGAATCATCGACGGCTCAAGACGCTTCCTCGAGAAACAGTTCCTCGCTCAACTCGAAACAGCCATTACCAAGAACGCAAAGGAAGCTGCTCTGGGAGGTGTCCCTTCTGTCATCAACAAAGTTCGCGCCTACGTCCGTCTGCGTGCCGCTCGTAAGGAGCTCGGCCCTGATACCAGCGAGCTGCAGACGATCAACGACGACTATCCTTGGGTCCTCATCTTCTACCTCCTTCGCGCTGGTCTCGTCAACGAAGCTGCCGATTATGTTGTGGAGAACGAACGTGCAATCAAGGCTTGCGATCGCAACTTCCCTCTTTTCCTCGCCGCATACGCTCGCAGCGTCGACCGTCGCCTTCCTCAAGAGCTCCAAACCAGAATCAACAACACATACTCTCAACGCGCACAGTTTGCTCCCGAGAACAGCGTCGACCCCTACCGCATGGCTTGCTTCAAAATCATTGGTCGCTGCGAGCTCGGAAGACGTACTCTGGATGGCATCAACCAAAACATGGAGGACTGGGTGTGGCTTCAATTTGCTCTTGCTCGTGAGGTCAACCGTGTCGAAGAGACCGCTTCCGAGGTCTTTGGTCTCGAGGATGTCAGAAACGTCATCCACGAGGTTGGACAGAGACATTTCGTTCAAGGTGCTGAAGGTGCTGCAGGATATGGAACTTACTTCTTCCTCCAAATCCTGGCTGGTCAGTTTGAGAGTGCCATCGCCTGGCTCTACCCCAACAACTACCTCAGCGCTGTGCACTTTGCAATCGCGCTCAACTACTACGGTCTCTTACGCGTGAACGACTACAGCAACTCGGAAGACCTTCTGTCTTACACTACGAGTCAACGTCCTCAGATCAGCTTCGCACATCTCGTCGGTTACTACACCAAGGATTTCCGTGCCCAGTCGCCCACCACTGCTGCCGACTACATTGCTCTCATCTGCCTCAATGGCGATCTTGGTGGTGAAATTGGCCAGCGCCAGGTTGCGCTCTGCCATGATGGACTTCGCGAGCTTGTGCTTGAGACTCGCGAATTCGCTCAACTGCTTGGCGACATTCGCTCCGATGGTCAGCGCATTCCCGGTTCCATCGAGCAACGCCTGAAAATCATCCGCATTGCCGACGAGAAAGCATTCTTGCGTTACATCACTATCAGTGCTGCGCAGATTGCTGATGACAACGGTCGCGTCACTGATGCTGTTCTACTCTACCACCTCGCCGAAGAGTATGATAACGTCATCACTATCTGCAACAAGGCTTTGTCAGAAGCAATCAGTGTCGAGTTGGGTGATGCGCCCCTCCGTCTCACACCTCTCAAGCCTCGCGACCCCAACGCCATGCAGACCTCTGCGTCTCTCAGTCTGACAGCTGTTGAAGACCCTTACACACTGACTCGTAACATGCGCGCGTTGTACGAGAGCAACCAGCTCCATGCAGCAAAGATTAAGCAAGTCAACCGCGAGTCCTGTACACTTCTGCTCGGTATGGCTGAAGCAAAGTCTCTCGTTGCTGAGGGTCGCTGGGCCCTCGCCCTCGACGCCCTTAACAGCCTGAACTGCCTTCCAATCTCCGCAGGCGGCAACATGAGTCTCATTCGCGCCTCGGCCAACGCCTTCAGCAACCTGCCTCCTCCTGTCGCTCGCAACATTGGTAACCTCCTCATCTGGACTATCACCTGCTGCGGTCAACAGCGTGATTACCTCCGCTCCTCGCACTCTGGTTTCGAAGAGCGCGGTCGCGAGAAGGTGGCTGATGACATTCTGCAAGTGGCCAAGGACACCATGGTTTTTGCTGGTTTGATCCAATACAAGCTGCAGCCCAGGGTCTTCGAGGTGCTTACCCGCGTCGGTGGTGATGTTGGTGCCTACTAAGGCTTACCCGATACGACAATGGATATGTTGCAGCTCAATTAGCATATGGAGTTTGGTGGCGTTTAACGAAATTCTAACGTTTTCTTGTACATCGAAGGAGGAGCGGATTGAAAATGAGGTTGCAATGAAGAACAAAGGAGGATTTCTTTCAAGGAGGCGGGTCGAATACCCAACCCTCCGATCGTGCGAGATACTGCAAAGAGTTGGATCTTCGCAGCACCTGTAGTCTAGATACATAGTCGTACAAATGGCAGTCGCGCTGATGAGTAGACCTTGGTGTTGTGCATGTGTCGAAATCAGGCGGACCTTTTCTAGCCAATCTCCATGCCTTCTCTCGTATCTGGCATATTCAAGGGTCATTCCACAACTGGTTGTCCTTCGACTGGCTCAGTATCGAGCGTCCATGTCTTCAAGGTCCAACTCTTCCTCTTCATCGTCATCATCATAAGCCATGACTTCTTTTTCCGACTCCTCATCACTCTGGACCTCATACTGATACCCATCTCGCCCAGCCTCAACCTGATCCTTTTGCAATCGGTCGCGCAAATTAGGCGTCTTATTGCCATTCATGACTTGCTGCACAGATTCAATACCCAACAACTCCATCTGCTCAGCAGACAACTCTACAATCGTAGGCGCATACTCTCCAGCCTCGTCATCTTCATCAAAAGCTGTATTGTCCATTTCGACTTCCTCTCCGTCTTCAAGACTGAGCATTCCCGTTCGTGCAAAAGAGCCTTGTTGGATTTGCCAACCTAGTGTCTCTTGGGTGTAGGCTAGCAGGTCGTCAAGTTCGTCTATGACATCTGCATGCGCGTTTCCTGGTAAGCGGTCGATGGCTTTTTTGAAGCGTAGGAGTAGTGATTTCAGGAATGTTGCTCCGTCGTCTGTGAGGTCGAAAAGTCCAGTTTCGACATCTTGACCGTGTTGCAGTTGCAGTTTTATCGTTGCGAGTGCGCGGACGAAGAAGGATGGGTGTGTGGTGACTGCACTGACGCAGGTAAGTATGAGGTCGAGTATCCTGCGCCATTGCTCCAAGCATGAATAATTGTTTAGGGTCAATACCATGGCGAAACAAAACTGTAGCTCTCCAATGATTTGATTGATATCATCATTACAGAAACGGGTCATGAGATCTGCGAGCGCCCATGAGCGATCTTGTGCAGCTTCTGTGCGTTCGCGTCCGGTTGCTCCTTCTCGCCATGTTTGTTTCAGATCTACGGGTAGAACACGCAATTCACGCTCGTTACCAGTAAGATCAGAGGCAGTAAGTCCTGGAATGTCATCAAAGTCTTGCTTTGCACTGCTGGATGACGTGAGTGTCCAAGTCTCGGCATCCGAGTCCAATATGCGTGTAAGGAGCGACTCAGTAATGCAGTCTGTCAATTGCACCCAGCGATTCGAGTCTTCCGTCGCCACAGACTCCTGTGACGCGCTTTGCCGGTACGGTGTCAAATTATCCCTCCATATCCGTCCGAGATTGGCTCGCTGTTGTAGTAGTGTGGTGACGTCTGTTTCCGGTAACAGCTCTTCGCTGCTCGAGTCCCATTTTCGAATGAAAAAGTCTGGAGGTGCAGAAGCAGAAGGCGAATTAACCTTTATCCAGACACCGTGGCGAACAGAAAGTGTGCTGGTGGAACCAACAAAGATAAAATGCAGTCCAGAAGGTATGTTTTTGATGCCTTGGAATTTTGGCGTGGTTGTGAACGACAGCAGATCTATACCTCCCAGGGCTGAGCTCGGCAGGTTCAACAGTAGGATTGCTGGTGTGATGGCGTCCATTCCGACAGTCTTTTTAAGGAACACAGATAGATAGTGATTAAATTTTGGCCTGTCGACTCCGAGAGCGTGTTGACGCAAAGTTGTGGCGTCAGAAATGCTTGGACTTTTCTGACGATACGACCCAGCATGAGTGTAACCACGGAACCTTGTCGGAGACCCTTGTCCGAATGAATGATTGCTATCTCGGGATTGTTAATCGGTTACGAGTGAGTGTAAACAGTAGTCAGCTCATTCTTATAATGCATCCTATAGAAGGCGGATGATGATGGAAAGGAAGTACGCGTCGAGTCATGAACAGGCTTGCTGACTCGAGCGTGTGAGCGAACGAATCACCAATCTTGGCATCGATATTCACGTTTCTATGCCTTGCGATGGGTCTACCTCACAATAACAGTTCATGACGACTATGACACATACACTGCTAGGTATAAGATTACGAATAGCAGCTGAGCTCAATGGGCCTCGGGCAAATCACATCGCGTTGTGGCCAACACACGCAACAACGACGGGTGCCCCTCGACGCAAATCCTCACTTGTGCACCCCGAATCCGATATTCGTCGGATTGACCTCAAAGCACAAACCACGGAAGATGGTTTTACGGAGGGAGACTTGAAAGCACCAGACCGTTCTGTTCCCATCCGCGATGTCTCCGAAAATGAGGAAATTGCGTCTGCAGCACTCGATACAAGACCCTATTCGCCCGATCTTGATATCAAGGATTGGTCGTCGAAACTTTTCCGACCACCAGACTCCTACTGGAAGAAGTGGGTACCGCTATTGGGCGAGAACAATCTGGGCGGTTCTGACACGGTGCTGAAGTCTGTGAATCGTTATTGGCGTGGGAAGTTTGAGACTCGATACATTAGGAGAAAACATGGACCTTCACATGCTGAGAGAGACTTTTATTGTTGTTCTAATCGATATCCTATAACACCCTTGTTGGGTACTCGCATAGTATACGCCTTTGGCCATACTAAAGTAAGTCCAGACATATGCCTGATCGCCCTGCCTTCCACGCGGATTCTAAATGTACCATCAGGAAGAGGCGTTCGAAAACGTTGGTCCCGCGATCGTGTCTGAGCTGTACAAAGCCGGTGCTCTTGATAAGCTCTACGAGAACGTTATAGTATCGAGGAAGATCATTGATGTTTGTCGTCGCTGATACGTTTCACAGTGGATGCACCACAGCTGACACGATGTGCAGATATATGAGCAGGCTGCTCGATATGGCTTGTATCCGCGCTTCAGTGCCGTAGCGCGTGCCAAGAGTGTCCATCGCTTCCGGATCACAATGGAAGTACCTGAGTGGAATGTTCGAGCTATGGCTATCGGACGCACATACATCGAAGCTCTCGAAGCCGTAATCGAATCGTACGATGACCAGGTCAATGAACGTGGTGTCAAAAGACCACTCACACCAGAAGCCACAAAAGACCGACTACAAGGTCTGAATGTTGTCACGTCATCTCGAACACTTCAATTCCTGCTCCAAAAATTGCACCTGAGCTCGATCAGGACTGAGGTTGCAAATCAACCCTTGCTAGAAGGACGATATGTCTGCAAGATCTGGGCCAAAGGAGAACTTATCAGTGCCGGCGTACCGATGGGACAAGTATCAGTGGCCAAGAAAATCTCACGTCTCACGGGCGCGGTTCGACTCTTACAGCGCTTTGGGTTTGACGCAGTCGAAGGACTCGAAGAAGGCCTTGAGGCAGACAATGCTGAAGACATAACACAGAAGAGTATCGACCGAGGCGAGCATGAGATGCTTACCACAGACGAACAAGCGATGGCGGATCTGTTCGATAGCTTTGACAGTCTCTTGGATGACACTGCAGTCGGAGAGACGAATCATAGTAAGGATGAAGAGTTGAGATGAAGAATCGGGATTTGCTGGTACGAATAACGAGCATCAACCACGGTCGCGAGAAATGAAGCTATGGATCGAGCAGAGCCTTCGTGGCACCGGCAACAGGTCATACAGAGCGGATATGTGTGCTCAACACGGTGGGGACAGGGTAAGCCGGGCTGTGAAAGACTTGGTCTCTCAACGCTATGTGTCAACGTTGAGTCGCAGGTCACGCGATGAGATCAATGTGAAAGGCGAGTGCATGTGGTGACTTGTTTGACGCGAATTGATTTTGGTAGACATCAAAGGTATTTAAGTGAGAATAATCATGTCATAAACATTCCTCAGCCATGATGTTTGTGCGCATCATGCGGGATCAATCGTGAAAAGGGGTATCTAGGACGACTTGGAGGTCTTGTCCTTGGCAGCCTGGTCGAGGGGACCGGTGGGGTTGCTCTCGAGGTTGGCCTTCTGGTTGTCAGAGGCGGCCTTGGAGCCCTCGGAAGGCTCAGCACCCTGCTGATTGGGGTTGCCTGAGGTAGGGGCGGACTGCTGCTTGGAGCTCTGGTTCTCGGGCTCGGGAGACTGGCGGCCGGCGTTGGGTGCAGACATTGCTGTGAAGTTGTTAGAAACGCGTGTGGTGAGATGCGTTGAGGATGGTGGGGTCGGCGTACTGAAGGTGTTTGGAGTGCTGAGGTGATTGTTAGTGTCTTCTCTTGTGACTGCAAGATTGCGAGCAGAGCTTACTGTGGGGTTGGAAAAAGGTGAAGAAGGTGATTTGTTCGAGTGAGATGTTTGTTGACAGGAAGAAAAAGAGCAGAGGTCGTGGTAGATGTAGCTTGAACAGCCCGCCGATGATGTTGTCCAGTGGAGCTTCTTCTGACGTCACAGAGCTCGCCTTTTGTTCAGCCTGATTTCGCTTCTCCGGCCTTTGCTTCGCTCTGCTCCCTTCCCCTTGTCGGCAACGAGTCTATCTCTTTGTATTACCGGACAACCTAAGACTTGCAATATGGCTTCTTCTCCAACGGCTTCTCTCACTTGTAGATACCGTGTGGCTTACTATCCAAGGCATCAAGACGTCTCCAGACCATCTCCCGATCGTTCAGCAGACCCCGCGATCCTTGCGATATGACGCCGCGGTCTTTCCGACTTGTTGAAAGCGACATCATTTTTCAGGACTGAGCTCGCTCTTGGACATTTCGAATCTGAGCGCCACAGCTTCTTCATTCACTTGTGCTCAGATTCAGGATTACAGATCTTCCAACTGCTCAAGTACTAACTGCGCGGTGGTTTGCTGGGCGGAACGTCTTCAAAACTATGCTTATTCGATTGTGTTGTGTTATCTTCTTTTCGCTCCACAGTCTTAGCGACTCGCGATGATATCTGCGCTAATTTTTTCAGCAAGGCCATACACAGTACTGATGGGATGACCAGGCGGCAACAGTGCGAACGCAGAAGCGTCCACCACTCTCAAACCATTCACTCCGATCACTCGAGCCTTTGAATCCACGACGGCCATTGTGTCGTTGACGCGGCCCATTCTACACGTACATGAAGCGTGCCAGTTCATGAAGAACGTGTTTCGGATGTACTCTTCAAGCTGCGCATCTGTCTCTATGTCATCCCCGGGTGCAATCTCGCTGCCGAGTCTGATTGGAGCCAGAGCAGGCGAAGCCATTATCTCTCTGGCGCGCCTTAAAGCTTGTATAGCGAGTTCCATGTCGGTATCTGAGGTTAGCCACTGAGGATCTATGATAGGAGGATCCAGCATAGAGGCAGACTGTAATGACACCGTGCCGCGAGACAGTGGACTAACGGGAATCACAACAAAAGTCCCGTAGCCGCTGAAGTCCTGCGTATCTGACGTGGTGTAGATGGATGCAACCTCATACTCAATCTCTGGCCAATCTGAAGGAAACACGGCGAGCTGTTCGCGTGCTATTGAAGTCAGATTGGCCCGATAGTCGGAAGGTAGCTTCTCCCAGCCGATGTAATCAGCACCATAGGAGCCATACATGGAAACGGCTGGTATAGCGTGAAACCCGTCGAGTTGCTCTTGATTGTATGTCTGATTCTTCAGTGTGTTGAAGCCTACGACGTCCACCTGGTACGTCACTTCCAAATCTATATGATCCCACATATTCTGGCCTACTCCTGGACGATCGATGAGTACAGGGATGCCATGCTCTTGCAATTGAGCCGCAGGTCCAATGCCGGATACCATGAGCAGTTGAGGTGACTGGAATGCGCCTGCTGAGAGTATAACCTCCTTACGAGCACTTAGGACATAGTCAAGTCTCCCACTCCGCACAAGCACACCTGTTGCGGTCATATTGCTCAACAGGACTTGCAGAGCTAGAGTATGCGTATATACTCTGAGATTCGTCCGGTTGCTGTCCAAGGCTGTCTGAAGGTAAGATGTCGACGATGACTCGCGTTCGTTGGAAACTGGTCGTAATGCTTGTGGAACATACTGAGATCCCAAGAGCTGGCCGCCACTGAAGCTGCTGATGTTGGCAAATCCGAGACATTGGAAGGCGCGCTGTGCCCAAGACGAAAATGGTAGAGCAAAGTTGCTGTGGGAAACATGCAGTGGTCCTCCAGAAGAGCTGAACTCAGCCACATTGGCCCCTTCAGGGGTAGGTACCGTAGCATTGGCTGCTCTGATCTCATTTGGAACGGTGTAGTTCACTCCTTTAGCAAAGAAGGGAAGCCATTGCTCAAAAGTATAGGAATCGTCACCAACGAGATTAGCCCATTCTTGATAAGAGGCGACAGTCCCTCGATTATACACATTGGCATTGAGAGCCGAGGAACCGCCCAACGTCTTTCCCCGGGCGTAATGTAATGTTCGGTTGTTTGCTCCCGGCTGTGGAGTAGTGACATATCCCCAGTCAACTAAGGGATCGGCATTCGGTTGTTGTATGTTGGCGAACTGAGGATTATAAGCGGGCGTCACGCTCTTGTTGCCAGCCTCAATCTGGTAGAACCCCCCAGCTTCGACTACGGCTACCGTATGCGTATTGTCTTCAGCTAGACGCATAGCAACAGCAAGGCCAGCCGCACCACCGCCGACGACCACATAGTCAAAGGTCGCGTTGCCGGGTATACCAAAGCTGTCGCCGTTGCCGATGTCGAAAGGCGCGCTGGAGTAGAAAGACTCAGAAGCAGATAATGCAGGGTGTACGCCTACCGCTAAGGCGAACAGCAGCTTTGAGACGAGCATGCCGGTCTTCGTTAGCTACAATCTGAGCTAGATAGCACTGTGCTGGTTCAGCCTTTATACACAATGAGATTGCCTTCATGACGACTGATTTCTTGGGCGTCATCAAAGGCTTTTGCTAATGTGTCGGGCGAACTGTAGCACAAATCTAAGATGACCGCTGATCAGGACAGTTGTGGAGTACTTGCTCGTGAGCCCTCAAGGTAGTCATGCGCTATGCGAAGATCACGTACGCAGGTTTGCTCCGCTCAATTCTTGATACGTCGACGCGTCACCGCATCTCTTCGTTATTGATCAAATCGTGGTCACTGAAGCAGCATCGACGAGATTAGCTTTGTTACCAACAACGACTTCTCCACCGAATTAACCTTGGAACGAAGTTCTGGCGCAGCACCGTTGGGGTGAACGCCATCTTCCGTCATGACTCCGCGGCAGGGTATTATGCCTTTCTTCATTCACGTCTCTCGCCAATGTCCCTTTCATGTAGAACAGTACAGTTCACATCGGCTCTTAATCTCGTGCCATACCCGCAAAAGCGCCATAGGCAATTCGGGTGCGGTTTCAGCAGACAGTAGATGTCTCCTCGTCCCGCCATAAAGCTATCGCATACATAAGTGTTGGACTACAAAGGGCCCTTGATCATGAACAGCTTGCCAACTTTAGAGCCACTGTTTGTTACGCTTCTCCTGGAATCTGCTAGTATGAGATCATTGTAAGCCTCCACGGCTTCATTGTGCTTCATTATGTAATAAACGGGTCATAGCAGCAGGATATCATGAGAGCTATCAGTGTTGAGGCTTTAAAAAGCCTAGCGAAGTAATGTCTCCAAGATTTCTGCATCCAGAGAATGTCGTCAAATTTCGGTAGGGACTCATCGAGTCTCTACCAGACAACCAGGTAGAGTAAGAACCACATCGTCAGCACGATTCGAAATCTCAATGAGCAAGATTCGGAGCGAGTCAATTCTTTCTCGTGCCTTCTTGTCACTGATCTTCACTCGTCAGGGGCACGACTACAGATGCTCCAGACACGATCACTCACCATCGAGTGAAGAATGGCTTTTGGTGACAGTGACCGCAAGACGCATTCTTATAATGATGACCAGCTTCCTCTTAACACGAACACCCCCTTTTCAAACGCGCTCTCCGTATCGCAGCGATGGATCCCCCTACTATCGTGACTACCGATAATACGTCGGGATATGACCGTCAATCTCTGGACCTCGCTGCTGCTCAGACGCGTGCCAACCTGACCGCCTTGGTCACCTCATCACTTCGCATGACGGCCAGTCTCCGCGCGTTTATGGCAACTACCTCCCAGGTAGGCATAGCTGGACATACAACTTCTTTGTGCATTAGTTCATTGCTCATCGATGTCTAGACGACTACCACTGTCCCTGCACCAAGGCCATCAGAACACCATCCACGCGGGCTCTGATCTGAGACCTAAGGTATGTTACATCCCAGATGAACGTCGTCGTAGATACTTTGCTGACTTGGTGCAATATTTCTGATATCCGATTGCGCGCTGAAAGAGTGGCATCATGTTGATTCTCCGGGAGCTGGCTTTTAAGAACAGAAAAGTGTTGTGCCTTTCCACAGGCTGTCAAACCAGTGCAGACGATCACGGGAGCACGACGACGCCGCTAAAGTCAGGGTACCTCTTAGAGTATGACAGGGTATAATCTGCTGTTTATCATTGTCCTCCTTCCATAGACGATGCCCTTGCGACTCTCTTCATCGTGCTACCATCTATCTCCCCACTCTTATGTACGTCAACGTCTTTGTAGCCAAACTTGCGGTATAGAAATTTACCCGTTGGAGAAGCTTCGACCCAAGAAGGTAAGAACAGTTGGTCGGCAAGATCGCAACCCCATCGAAGCATCATAGATCCGATGCCTCTGCGCTGGTAGTCCGGATCTGTGAAGCAGATATGCAACTCTGTATACTTACAATCAGTAATCGATGCCGCCGGCGAACCATGAATGAGAAAGGCCGGGGATAGCAGAAGTGCACTCACGACAATAAGGCTCAGTAAATAACTTCTTCCTCGTCTGCATGATTGCCTCAATAACACCTCTGACCTTTTCCAATTTCTCCTCATCATCACCCAACCACTCCCATCCCAGGTCTTCTTCATGTATGGGTACACTACCCATGTGCACCCTCCAATTGCTGGCTCCGACCACCTTCCCAGTCGTTTTTTCCTCAACCTTTATCCACACATCGGCGGGGTTCTGGAGAAGCGTCTTCTGGTACATAGAGGAGAGGTTTGCATGGCCGGACGGGGTGTCGGGTCCCATGAAGATTTCTCGGATGAAGGTGTCGGTAAAGGTCTTGAATTCGAGAGCAACGATGGCGTCGAAGTCGGCAGGAGTAGTTGCGCGAGAAAGGACAAAGGGGCCGGTCACACTCCTTGCTACTGCCATAATTATGGTTGTAGCTCTGTATCTCTTCTTAGAATCGTGTTTGTTCTCGTTGCCAGTCTTGCGTGGTACAGCTTGGTGATGAAAAAATTGACTTTGTTGTGTTGTCTATGATCTTTGTGTTCGAAGGGAAGTCGTTGCAATATATGCTGCGCTCTCGGTCCATGCAGTTACCCGAGTGGGCGTCAAGAGGATGTGGCACAGCAGGCACAAGGTAAAGTCGCACGAGACTACCAAAAGGGGAACTAGTTCAAGGCTTCTGATCTTGTCATCGATATGAAAGAATCACATTTCCATCGCCCCTAGCACTTGGAGTAAGGATGTGTTGAGATTAATAAAGCAGTCTGAGCAGGGTGACTCAGAGTGATTATCTCAAAGAATAGAGACGCTGATCATACACGCGGAAGCCGAGGCAGTTTCATCATCATCGATTCTTCCTGGAGGAGCAAGAAGCACATACAGGACAAACACGGCATAGAGATCAACACGGTGATGCGAATTCTCAACACTGTATACAACTTCATGACAACTACATACATCAGATCTCTTCCTACTTATCTACTCACCAGAAGGTCCGTTGAGTGATGTACCAAGCTTCACTGCCTTGCCGAAGTTGGGACTACCGTCAGAGTTCCAGTCCACTCTTTGTGCTTCAGTGTAACGATTACCATCGCAAGCCCCGGCGGAGTTTGCAGTAGCGTGATAAACATTCCAGACCTCCTTACCATCGGGGCTGTTGAAGAAGCTGAGGGATTGTCAGTCATAGTCATGTCGATTGTTTCTTCCTTATCATAGACATACCCGTTGTGGCCAGTGCCATAGTTACCATTGGCAGAACTAAAGACAGGACCGCTCTTGGTCCAGCTAGCAGAAGAAGTAGGGTCACCACTACCCTTGTAGGTCAAAAGACCGAGTTGGTAAGAGCTTGTCCAGCAGTAGCTTGCCGAGTATGTCAAGAATGTCTTTCCACCGTGGTAGAGCGCAGCAGGCCCTTCGTTGACAGGAAATTCGCCAATCTTCTCCCAAGCAAAAGTAGGTTGTGACAACGTTTTGGCGGTCCCGACGGAAGTTGGTGAGTTCATGGGAGCGATACAGAGAGATTGGAGGTTGGTTCGTTGGCAGGAATACACAAAATAGTTTTTGTCGGAGAAGCGAAGAACGGTGCCATCGATACTCCATTCGTTGAAGAGCTGACCAGCGTAGGTGTAGGTACCAAAGATAGCAGATCCACCTGCAAGCACAGTCAGTCTCCGATTATGTGATGCGAGGCACAAGTGACTCAATACCTTTGAGGACGTGGATGCGTTGGGTACCAAGGTCATCCTTGTTCGAGGCACTGTAGTATATATACCACGCGTTGTTGATCCAATGAACTTCAGGAGCCCATACTGTGAATACGTCGATCAGTATGCTGGCACTCTGAGCGTATCACACCTCATGTCACATACCATTACAGCAACGCGACGCAGTGCTGTCTTGCCACACGACTTTGGTCTCTCCAGTCTTGAGTCCACCAAGTGTCTTCGACCTTGTGACTTGAATGTTGGTCCACTCAGTGGTCAAGAGATAGTAGTAGCCATCTCCAGAGTAAACGATGAATGGATCTGAGCCATCTTTTGCTCTCAACGGATTGGTAAACGAAGCGGCAAGTGCAGTAGTTACAGCACTGAGTGCCAGAAGAACAGCTGAAGCGAACTTCATTGCGAATAGGGAAGAGTGATTTGTGTACAACAAAAAGACCAGAATCCACGTCGACAGCCCTTGGTCTTATAGCCTACCTTTGAACTTGTCGCTCATTTGCCTACCTTCTACCGCATTCAAAGTGTAGGCTTTTACCGATAGATTATCCGTCAATGAGCTCCCCATACGTGACCAAGGGACGCCTTGTTCAGCTAGGCGAGTAGGGCTTGGTGATAATACTTCATTGTCGACCTTGCTGGACTTTAGGGCTTGAAACGGTTTCCTACAGGAAGCACGATTGCTGTTGAGCAGAATTGTGCTTAGAAGTTCTAGATATGTCTTGGCGTTTGGGATAGATGTTTAGCGAGGCTTAGACCGCACCCCGTGGGGTCGTAGCGTGGAGATGTGGAGGATAATACTGGAGCAATGCAGAATGTTATTCCGGCGAGTTTAGAGGTGCTCCGGCGGGCTGCTTGTAACAGAGAAGCCGAAATACCACAGGAGAAGAAGTCACTCTCTAGCGACACCATGCAAGCGTCTCCTAGCGCATCTTGGCAGGTTTCAGGATAAAGTCTTTCGGTAAATTGAGAGCAGAACCAACATAGAATCTTCTTGACAGTGCGGCCAAGATCTAGAGAGACGTCCTCGCAACATCAAAGTTCTCAGCCACGCCTTGTAACAAGCCCCCGAACAAGGATGAATGATAAGTCTCTAATCTCGACGAACGTCGACGACTGGACCTTTGTACACATGTCTCCCCTTGACAATGTAGTACATGATCGAGATGATGGCTACTCCACCAAACATCACACAGCCATAGTTCATCGTCTTGACGGTGACGATCGCAAACATGGGGAAGAAGCTGATGATAGCTTGCTGGATCATGTATAAAACAGCAAACGCGTTGATGGGTATACCGAGTACACCGAGGGAGAACCGACCTTGTGGTAGTGGCAGTCCGCGAATCTTCCTCCAAAGTACACATGCGATACTGATGGAGTATGAGAAACCTCCAGAGCCAGCGAGCAGACCGACAATCGAGTTGAAGGCTGTCGTCGAGCCGAGATTGACAAGTGCGAGTACTACGGTTATTGATAGGGAGAAGATGATGGCGTTGAGGGGAATTGGTGTACCGATGGTTACGATCTTTGAACGTCAGCAAAGTCAACCAAGTAGATCTGGGACATGTTCCTTACTTGTCTGAACCAGTCAGATGCAGGCATTCCCTTGTCGCGAGCGAAGGAGAAGATTTGACGAGATCCAGCAGCGACGACGCTCAGAGCTGCGAAGAAGTTGAGGAGAATGAAGAGCGTCGTCATCAGCGTAGCACCGACATCAGAGCCGACAGCATGCTGGAAGATCGAGATGTATGGGTAAACCGACATGTTGTTTGCAACCATCGTATCATAGTCGGTGATACAAAGGACGAAGGTAATGATTGAGATGAGACCCATCGCGCCATTCAGTAGGACTGTACCCAGCATGACCCGAGGGACCACATAACTTGCGTTGGCAACCTCCTCAGCGAGATGAGCTGGAGCATCCGACCCTGAATCTGTATTAGTAAGAAGAATATATACGAGTAGGATCTTACCAACCTCCAAGAGATCCGACAGCTGTCAACTGCCCTATGACCACGGCTGCCCCGATGCTGCTCCATCCGCCAGTGTTGGCAAACGAAGTAAAAGCTTCCTTCGCAGAGATCTTGGGAGCGATGACCCACAGTGGGGTTAAGACAGCAAAGAAGCCAAAAATGTGCAGGAAGAGAATGACAGCTTCAAGTAGTGGTAGACGCTTTGCTCCCAGCGTGTTAACCAACACAGCCAATACTGCCATCAATATCGTCATGAGTGTTCCGTGCCAGAGAGCGGGCGTATACGTAGGATGTATGGTGGAAGCAAGTTCAAGGGTAACGTTTCCAGCAGCAAAAGACGTAAGCGCAATCGATGCTTGCCAGCCGAGCGCAGACAGCCATCCGACAAAATAACTCAGAGCTTTCTGATACCTCGCAGGAGCGAATTCGCTCGTCCCTAAGACAAGCTTTGGCTTAGTATGAAGCAAGACACAGTTATGAGGAAGCCTTACAGTGATATTGACCACCCGAAGTAGGTGCCATACTAGCCATCTCAGCAAGAGACAAAGTGACTGTGATGGTACAGATCCAAGTTGCAATGTAGGACCAGATCGTTCCGGCAAGACCTCCATTGATCAAACTGAAACTAGCAGATCCTATCAGAGCCTGCCAGGTGCCCATGCTGAAAGCGACATTAGCACTGTTTCGCGAAACAATGTGATATGGATGCAAGCGTACAGAACGCTGGATAGACCGAGCATCGAGAAAGCATGGAAATTTCTCCTGAACTCCTGCTTCTTTCCTAAGCGCATCATATCGGCTGCATCTCGAGCTGTTCCAGATTTAATGCCCTGGCCGGGTTCCTTGTCACATCCTTTCTCGCTGATGGGGTTGTGAAGTTCGTAAGCTTCCGACATGTCTTCTTCGTTGACTGTGAACGATAAGCAGTAAATTATTCCAACTGGGAGAAGACATGCCCCTCATATAACAAGTCTACTCGATGTCGGCTGATGTCAATGGGATATCGATGGTCTTCTTAAGCCCTATGCTGCATTATCGACTCTACCCATCAAAACCCAGTCACCTCGCATGGCCGCACGGCACTTGCTACGTGCTGCACCAAGCCGGGATCTTCTGAGCGACTCGATTGATCCCGAGCCCGAAAGTCGCTCCTGCTGTAGCTCGCAAGTAATGTTGTACGGGGGAGCGAGTCGTACCTCGAGAGCAGCCACTCAAATCAATAAGAACGGTATGCTTGTAACCTTAGTGTACATGACCTTGTGTAATACTAGCCCAGCGTGGTGGCGGTCCGCGAACGAGCACCCCGGGTAGGCTTGATGAATGGAGCGAATTCATGCTTGCTCATGGTAGCGAAGGTGACACAAAATCGGCGCTTGCATTGCGTAACCTGGGATCTGCGCACCGTCCTAACCACTCAACAACCAGGAAGCGAGATTCTTCACAATTAGTATCAGACTTCAACGAGATTTGCGTGGACGCTTAGCTCTGAGCCATAAACGAATTGCGAGTCACGAATGGTCTCCTCCACATCCGTGAACCCATCTGCGTGTGAATAGAGACTGAAGGAAAAGCAAGCTCTGCGTGACCTAGCTGATGGCTGGTGTCAGTCTTACATGTTGCCCTGGTGCAGCTCTTTGTGCTATCCAAGTAACGTCACCACGTCCAATAAGGCTTCGGGGCACAAATGCCACGTTCCGGTGGTGTACGAGCATCCTGCCGTCATCCTTCGCAAGACACGCGATGTGTATCACCGAAGCCAGAACATTTACAGCAAGATGTGGCATCCAGATGGAGCTCATGCGTGGCTTACGATTCGAGTCCGTAAAGGCTCCATTGAAACCGGGTAAGCATGGCTTCTAGATACGCCACTTGAATCCTCCAACGGACTTGACAGCTGCAGCAGGAGCAAGCTCTATCTGCCTCTGAACACAGCATGGTTCCGGTCGCGGGCACCTGATGAGGCGCGCTCACGAGAGATTGGTAGTAGGAAATGGTTGCAACAAAGAAAATTGTGCTCCAGGGTTGTACCTCCGATGGTTCCGTCCGACATGTTCTTTCAGCATACAAATCGCACAGAACAGCCATGTACTGCTCTAATTGAGTTGAAATGGATATGGCGATCTTGGCCTCGGTTTTTGCTGCCTTGTGTAGAGGGCACCTGAGATGGTGCTCTGTGTTACGCTTATGTTGTGTTCAGACTGTTCTTCCTTAAATTATCGCATCCACGACGTGATTATGTCGGCGTATGCATCTGACCTTTGCTCTTTCGCTCTGCCGAACATCTTTACAAGAACCGGAAATCTCCAATGGAAGCAGCAGACTCCACGACTCAACCTGTCGTTACGACAACAAACCATTCGGCATTCATCTTCGTAGCAGCGGCTTTATGTCTTGTTTGTATGCTGCTATTCCTAAGCATCAGGCTCGTTTTCCGATATCCATGGGCGCGATCTTTCGGACCAGATGATTGGGCAACGCTTGCGACGTCGGTGGGTCTAGGATTGAGTTTAGGCAAGCTTTTGAACTGACGATGTAGATATGCGCTTTATGCCAGAGTGTTGTGTTGCTATCAAGCGCGAAGGTTGGTCTTGGAAAGGCCGAGTCGGACCTTTCGTCTTATCAAATCAGGACAGCTCTCAAGGTAAGAAGATCCGCTGCAAACGGCAAATGGTGTACTGACTGTTGGCAGCTTTTATATGTCAGCGACCTTCTCTACGTACCAACTATCTTCGTGGCGCAGTTGGCAGTCGGTTTGTTTTTTCTGCGATTATCAGGTCCTGAGCGAAGTTTCTTCCATCGGCTCGCTCGCTTTATTGCAAGAGCGTCAGTGCTTCTTGCAATTCTGTGTTTCCTAATGATAGCCATCAGAATGGGACACGGAGAACACGTATGGAGCGTGGTGGTAGTGGGCCACAAGTCGATAGTAAGCCTTCGTGCTCTTTCACTCGATACATCGCTGACTCTGGCACAGCTTTATCGTTGGATCGCAACAGGCATCCTCAGTATGTCGATCGAAGTCCTGTTGATCATCTGTCCGGCATGGCTTCTGTGGACTCTACATATGCCTCTGAGAAAGAAATTAGGCTGTGCGATATATTTTGGCCTCAGATTTCCGTAAGTGCATGGGCTGGTCATTCCGAGATGGTTGCTAACGTTCCAGGACGGTCATCCTGACCATCTTTCGGCTGCTGGTGTTTATCAAAGCGAACAAGGAGACGGATCCCACCTTTTATATGACGATGCCAGTGGTATTGACCCAGCTCGAGATGCATTTTACCGTGTTGGCAGCCACGATTCCAATTCTTCGAAATCCTCTTGAGAAGCTGAATTCTGGTTATCTCAACACAACTCTGGAGCAGATGGATCCAGCTGCCAGTGCAATATACATCTCGTCCAGATCAGGTAGCAGCGGTAAAGGGCCTTCGATCGCTCTGTCGCATATGATCGGCAGCAAGCGACGTGACGACGGAATATCAGTGCAGAGATCGGGCGAGGGAATCGAGACAATCGCCGAGGGAGGATCGGATACAGTTGAAGAAGGACAAAGTGTGCTGTCGGAGAGCTCTGACAAGATCATGATCAAGCGGACAGTCATGATAGATTATGCATGAAGTACGCAGCACTCGTCAAGTATAGGACAAGAATATGAAGCATTTCTTTCTTTAAGACAATTGCGAGAAGAGCGACCCCAACTATCTTTTCTCAGTGACTGAGCATGAGTTGAGGGAAAACATCGGGGCGGGGAGAAGGCAATCTCAGCGCAACATGCAACATGCAACCAACGACGAATTTGGTGGTGAGTGTGTGTCGCGTGTAAAATGGAGAAAGTCGGAGGGGAGCGCGGAGATAAACCGATGCAATCCGCGCGTGGCTGGCGAGCTACGTAGCTGACTTATCGAACCCTTGGACCATGCCACGACAATGCCAGGTTAGAGCAAACGATCATCTACTACACTGGCAACATGTGCTGCTCGACTACGATGCTTTATCACGGTGCTTGGGTGAGTAATACTTGCGACGACATTGAGAGATGGCGACCATGATGCGGAGCAGAAACTCCCGCAGTGATACTTACCCCACTCTGCGATGTGCCGGGAAGAAGGAAGGCCGACTTCGGAAGCAGCGATCCAGACGCTGCGCTTGGCATTGCAGCGAAAGTCAGTGAATTGAACATGAATATTTTTGAGTCATCTGTCCAGACAAAGCCCCCTCTACTTGCAATTCCTCGAAAGTGAGGCGTCAATTCTATCCCCGTTTCCTCTCTTGCAAGTTTCTTTGATTGTGGCACATTGGACAAGATGCTCTCATCACAAGCAACGAATCGGGCGCTTCGCTTGTCGCTCCGCGCTCGCCACTTTTCCACATCTCGTCCTGTTGCTGCCGTTTCGCCATACAGATCGCCGAATTCCTCGGCAAAGCCGCAAAAGAAAGTCGAGAAGAGAGAACAGAGCACTGCTGCCGCCACGGCCGCGGCGCATACTTCGCCAGCTCGTGCTGTGCCCAGTCCGGCCTTCAATCGCTCTGGCAAGGACGATGTCCAGCCTCTCCAGGCCTTCAAGCAGCCCGAGATGGACCACTCGTTCGTCGGCATGAACGGTGGTCAGATCTTCCACGAGATGATGTTGAGACACAACGTCAAGCACGTCTGTGAGTAGCTGGCCGCGACTGTTCCGAAGACATGTTGGACATGCGACTAACGCGCTTTGACAGTCGGTTACCCGGGAGGTGCCATCCTGCCCGTCTTCGATGCTATCTACAACTCTGAAGCCTTTGACTTCATCCTGCCCCGCCACGAGCAAGGCGCTGGCCACATGGCCGAGGGTTACGCCCGTGCCTGTGGTAAGCCTGGTGTTGTCCTCGTCACCTCTGGTCCCGGAGCCACCAATGTCATCACACCCATGCAGGACGCTTTGATGGACGGCACCCCCATGGTCGTCTTCTCCGGCCAGGTCCCTACCACCGCAATCGGCTCCGATGCCTTCCAGGAAGCTGACATCATTGGTATCTCGAGAGCCTGCACAAAATGGAATGTCATGGTTAAGAACATCGCCGAGCTGCCGCGCAGAATCAACGAGGCCTTCGAGATTGCTACCTCCGGCAGACCTGGCCCCGTCTTGGTCGATCTGCCCAAGGACGTCACTGGTGCTGTGCTCAACCGCCCCATCCCTATGAGCAGCACCCTTCCCACCCACCCCAGTGCTGCCTCGCTCGCCGCAAAGGACTTGAGCAGAAAACAGCTCGACACTGCTATCGCCCGTACCGCTGCTTTGATCAACATGGCAAAGAAGCCCGTCATCTACTGTGGTGCTGGTATCCTCGGTCACGAGGATGGTCCCAAGCTCTTGAAGGAGCTCTCCGAGAAGGCCCAGATCCCCGTCACCACCACTCTTCAGGGTCTTGGTGCCTACGATGAGCTCGACCCCAAGGCTCTTCACATGCTCGGTATGCACGGTTCCGCCTTCGCCAACATGGCCATGCAGGAGGCCGATCTCATCATTGCTCTTGGTGCCCGTTTCGACGACCGTATCACTGGCCACGTCCCTCGCTTCGCTCCTCAAGCCCGTCTTGCTGCTTCTGAGGGTCGCGGTGGTATCGTCCACTTTGACATCATGCCTAAGAACATCAACAAGGTTATCCAGTGCACCGAGGCTGTCGAGGGCGATGTCACCGACAACCTCCGCCATCTTCTCCCCCAGGTCAACAACACCGCTGAGAGTGAGCGCAAAGAGTGGTTCGCCCAGATCGCCGACTGGAAGCAGCGTTTCCCTTGGGCTTACGAGAAGGAATCTGGCCCTGACTCCCTCATCAAGCCTCAGACCGTCATCAGCATGCTGTCTGATCTGACCGCCCACATCAAGGACAAGACCGTCATCACCACTGGTGTTGGTCAACATCAAATGTGGACCGCTCAGCACTTCCGCTGGCGCAGCCCTCGCACCATGATCACTTCCGGTGGTCTCGGCACGATGGGTTACGGTCTCCCCGCCGCTATTGGTGCCAAGGTTGCCTGCCCTGAAAAGCTTGTCATCGACATCGACGGTGACAGCTCGTTCTCCATGACCCTGACTGAGCTTTCCACCGCAGCGGAGTTCAACATCGGCTGCAAGGTCCTCATCTTGAACAACGAGGAGCAGGGTATGGTCACACAATGGCAGTCCCTCTTCTACAACGATCGCTTCGCTCACACCCATCAACGTAACGCCGACTTTGTCAAGCTTGGTGATGCCATGGGTGTCCCGGCTCGTCGCTGCAATAAGATCGACGACCTCAAAGACAGCCTCCAATGGCTCATTGAGGGTTCCGGTGAGGGCCCCGCCCTTCTTGAGGTTGTGACTGACCAAAAGATTCCCGTCTTGCCCATGGTTCCTGGTGGCTCTGCCCTCCACGAGTTCCTTGTCTACGATGAAGCCAAGGAGAAGGAGCGCCGTAAACAGACAAGAGAGCGCAGCGGAAGATAGACGTACCTCTCGATGCGATGAGACGTCTTTTTCTCTCTTCTTCCTCTTGTAAATTCTTTTGGCGACTTTTTGCCTTTCATGATGACTTTGTGTGGTGTTTTTTGAGCATATTTGGCAGCGGAAAAAGATTGTGGTTTTATGGCGGGCGTTTTATATCTGGGATTCCGAGACGATTCGATTTTTTCGTTCAAAGAGATGGATCAGAGTGCAAAGCTGGATATCTGGCCTTCCTGGGTGAACAAAAGTCTACATTTTCCGTCATCGCTTGATATTGTCTTGCGCATGAGCGCTAGGCAGAGGGAGAATGCGAAATGAAACCGCATTCTCAATTGATGTTTCAATCGTGTAACCAGTTGCTCTCACATCATAATCTGCGAGTGTGTGATCTTGTGCTTGCTTATTTTATGCTTATTTTAGCATTCCATTGGTGCATGTAACTTTGATACGCGACTTGCTCAAATCCCTTCTCAAGCCAAGCCCGCGAAGCGACCGTGACATGGCCACGACGGTCGACTAACTTTACGTTCCTCCAAACACTTCTGAATCCCGAATTGTCACTGCGACCGACGATCGCGACTGAGGTCCATTTGTCTCAGCCTGGCAGGCAGCAGAACACGAAAATGCTTGGAAGGGGAAGATGCAGATATTGGCGGGGCAACCAGACAAACACAACTCACCTCAGGCACCAGCATAAACATTCACTGCTTCTTATATGAAAGTAGCAGCTTATCACCCTGAAAATGTGATATTAAACACACCTTCATGATGGATCTCTTCTACCTAAAACACACAGCTCTCTATCAAACATATGTGGATAAACTTGATCCAAGCAAGACCCCTGTACACTTCTCAAATCTGCCTCAGGTTGCGGAGAAGCCCTCAAACAGTGCCAATCCGAGTATGACCATCAGCGTTCGAGTTCGCCCTATGCTGGAAGACGACATAACCGCTGGCTTTCCTTGCGCCGTTTACCCGCGTCCTCGCAAACCAGGCGTCGAACACGAGACCATCGATCTCCATGATCTTTACAATCACCCAAGGAGACCTCGTCCCATCCTCAAGTCTTCGGCGCATCAGGTTCAGAAACTCTTTGATGCTAGCGCGAGCACAGCACAGGTGTATGATGAGGTTGTGCATGACCTGGTGCTCTCTGCTTCAGATGGCAAGCTCGGAACATTGTTTGCATATGGACAGACCAGTTCTGGCAAGACCTTCACAGTCACCGAGCTGCAGAAGCTTGCCATCACCGAGCTGCTAGAACGTCATACCGATCTGTACGTCACTATCGTCGAGCTAGCTGGAAAAGTAGCCTTCGACCTGCTCCACGAAAGAGAGCAAATCGCCGTCCGAGAAGATGCCTCTGGAACCACTCAACTCGTTGGAGCCATCGAACGAAAAGTCACCAACAAAGAAGAAGGTATTGAGCTATTGGAAAACGCCATGTCTTTCCGTCGCTCTGCACCCACCCTCAAGAACGACGCTTCATCACGCTCCCACTGCATCTGTCGCATCCGCATTCCACAACCCACCTCCTCCGAATCAGGTCATCTATACATGGTCGACCTTGCCGGCTCAGAAATCGCCCGCGATGTATCACAACACGGTCCTGAGCTGATGCGCGAGACAAAAGAAAACAACATCAGTCTCTCAATCCTCAAGGATTGTATCCGTCAAAGAGCATTGGCGGCTTCAAGCAAAAAGAAGGTGCATATACCCGTTCGTGGGAGCACATTGACGAAGATCTTGAAGCATGTCTTTGATCTAGAGGCCAGTCAGGAATACAAGACTGTGGTTATTGCTTGCTTGAATCCTAGTCTTGCTGATGTGTCATCGTCGAAGAATACGCTGAGGTATGCCGAATTGTTGGGCAAGATAGATTGATTACCTAGGGTAGTTATATGACCATGGGGCTTGCTTATCATAAGCTGACATATGACTCTGCACTCCCTGGATGGAGCAGCGGGTCTTCTGAGAGAGCTTGAGCGTCTTCCAGCTATCCAGCATAGGCACATGTAGCACCGACAACGAAGTTGCCTCACAAAAATCAAAATTTTACTCATCTTATCGCGACTTGCCTTTTGGGACTGCCGAGTTCCACTTTGCGACGATCAAGCTGGCAACTGCATTTAAACCTCACCATGTCTCTATCACAGCCACTTCGAGAGAAGCGCGATACGTCATTCTTGATGTCTAAGGTCGAGCGGAACCTTGCAACAAAGTAAACATATGATTAATCCTTTCTAAGGTTGGTTCGTAAGCGCTCAACACAGGTCCCAGAGGCTCGCCAGGAGGATTATAAAGTACCAATCGTCCCCGGTGTGGTTCCCATGCCCATCATTTCAACCGCCAATTCGCACAGAAAAGTCTCCCAGGTAAGACGCTGCCCAACATGGTTTAGCACGATGCTTATGGCCAACCCACAGCTGCAATCTATTTACCATGGGTCGTCATGCTGATCATATGACTTTTGAACGATCTGATCTTGATAACATTAATGACAACTAGTATTGGAAGTCAGGGGGTCTTTAAATACTCGGAGCTCCGCCCTTTCTGTCTCGAGCAGAATACATAGCAACCTGACGTGCTTTTCTTCATCACCATGGCACTGATCATGCGAAATCCTTTTCCATCGTTATCCGCAGACAACTTCATATCTCAAGGTAGCGCGGGTCGGATTCTCGCCATCCATCACAGCGAGCATTTGCTTCAAGTGCCCGAATCTATATGTATCGGGTGACCTGACGCGCTACGAAGAAAACGAAATGGACGAGAACATCGGAAACATTGAGAAAGAAAAGGCGATTTATCACCTGCTCGATTCACATCCGCATCCTAATCTCCTCTATGCTATACTCTGTATCCCCGAAGGCATCTTCATGCCTCGACTCGAAACATGCCTCGCAGCCCTCCTCGAACCACCGTCTGCCGTATCGCCCGACCGCCAGGAGCTCTGGATCCAGCAGCTGGCGAGCGCGGCCGCCTGGCTCGAAAAACTCGGTCTGGCACACGGCGACCTGCGACCCGAGAACATACTCGTCGACCGCGACGGCAACCTCAGCGTCGCCGACTTCGACGCCACGGTAGCAGTCGGATCCGAGCTGCGGCTCGCAACACTGCCGTTCACCAAAGTCGACGAAAAGTTCCAGACGCCGCCGGCCGGGCCGGAAACCGAGCAGTTTTCTATCGGGTCGTGCATCTACAACATCCGCTTCGGAAATGCACCGTTTGCTGACCTCGGGTTCGAGTCGCCCGTCTGACGCAAGATGCTCGTTTGTAGACAGTTCCCTACTACCGAGGGTGATCGCTACGGAGCTGTTATCCAAGACTGCTGGAACGGCGCTTTTGCCTCGATCGCCGCTCTAGAGACCGAAATCGCGCGGTTGACGACCGTGGGGCTGGTGCAGCGGACCACGTCTGCTCGCCGTCGTCTGTGGTACCTTCGTGCTCAGTGTTACGAGTATGTGACTAGACAGCGTCTTCTCTTGGGAGGTAGTATGGCTAAGAGACTCCAACTGCGATTTCGTTTGGTTGTATAGACTGTGATACGAGCAGGGTTGGGTTTGTTCTATAATGGCGACTGAGTCTTTCTTGTAGCAAGATTGGGGTTGCCATGTTCGTTCACTGCATGTTTCTCAAGAGTCACAGCGATACGTGAAACGAACGCACAAAGGGGGTCCCACTGCTGACCGCATGTATACTGTTGCATCGAGCCGTGGGGGTTTCGAGATTCAAGTTGCGACAGAAAACTTCCACATATGATCTCAATGTCAATCTGGAAAAAGGGAATCAGCAGTCCGGAAGGCAGCGAGCGGATATGGCAAAAAGTTGGAGGAGATGCAAAACATACAGCAGCAGGGATTCCCACGTGGTCACCCACCGTAGTACTAATCTGCCGTTCAACTGCTTATGTATGGCAGAGCGGACGGGATGCCCAGTTTTCAGCTGACTGTGGCCGTATGTGCCTGGGGGACAGAATCTTTGGTTCATGTCACAATTCATCCAGTCGTGGCATACAGCCTGCGCATCAGTGCGACGAGTCTGCCAGGTCTGATTCGCTTCGCTGAAGTTTGTCGTCGCGTCTGTCTCTGGCCGCGTCTCGCGAATGTGTGTGCGACAACTACACCAAAACTGCTTGACGTCCACGACCTGGAATCTTTGGCTCTACAACTTGCAGATAATCACCAGATTGCCACTCGCACTTGACGGTTCTTTTCGACTGATGTAGCAGTACAATGGACTTATCTCAATCTCGGCCACCCAACCCGCGTGTTTTGGCTTCCTCTGGTGGACAAGACAGCATTCAAGTCTTTCCCAAGACGGGCCGTTGAAGGTCATCAATTGGTCACATCGCGACAAGCGGAACGTCTGACTTGAGTCCGTTAGCTGCGATAGTTCTGTGGTCTCATCGCTTCCCCACATCGAGACGCCTATGGTTCTGTATACCCGATTAGGCATGGCACCCCAGCTGGTCAGCCCCCGCGTCGATCCCACCTGGTTTACGCAACCCTTAGAGAAGTCACGGCATCCAGAACAAAAGTGCAGACAATCGAAGATGGTGTTTTCTATATCTAAAGCATCTTCCCGTGGTAGGGAGGAAGGCATTCAACCCACTTTGCTCCATCATTATACCTTTGCATCATCTCTGCTCAAGACCTTCTCCTAGGCTTCTGCAAGAACATTGAGCACTAGCTTCCGATTATTAGAGCTTCAGCACCCTATTTCCTTGGGAAGTTTCCCGACCATCCACAACAATGCTCTCAAAATTGTATTCGCCACGCGTGGTCATCATCGGAGCTGGTATCGTCGGTACCAACGTGGCTGACGAGCTGGTCGCTCGAGGATGGACCAACATTACAGTGGTTGACCAAGGGCCCCTGGATATGCCAGGAGGTTCCACATCACATGCTCCCGGTCTCGTCTTCCAGACAAATGTTTGCAAGACTATGACCTTGTTTGCACGCTACACAGTCGAGAAGTTCATGGCCCTGGAAGAAGATGGTCAGAACTGCTTCAACCAGGTTGGAGGACTGGAAATCGCCACAGACGCCGCTCGTATGGCAGAATTGAAACGCAAGCATGGTTACGCACAGTCTTGGGGCATAGAGGCCCACCTCATCAGCCCTGAGGAATGTCTGGAGAAGTACCCCCTCCTCAACAAGGAGCAGGTCCACGGAGGTCTTCACATTCCCACCGACGGTCTCGCCCTTGCTGCTCGCGCTGTCCAACTCCTTATCAACCGTACCCGCAAAGCTGGTGTACAATATATCGACAAGACTCCCGTGACCGGAATCGCAAAAGCTGACGGCCATGTGACCGGTGTAGAGACACCGAATGGCGTTATCCCCGCTGACATTGTCGTCTCATGCGCTGGTTTCTGGGGTGTTGAGATCGGTGCCATGATTGGTCTTCCCATTCCTCTGCTTCCCTTGGCTCATCAATACGTCAAGACGACCTCTGTACCTGCTCTGGCAAGCCGCAACAATCCCGAGGGTGGCGCTTCCTTGCCTATCCTCCGTTACCAAGATCAAGATCTATACTACCGTGAACACGGTGATCAATATGGTATTGGATACTACGGTCACAAGCCTATGCCCGTCGTAGCCTCATCTCTGGGCGTTACTCCTGAGCATGTTGACCACAAAAACATGCCCTCCCGTCTCGAGTTCACTCGCGAGGACTTCGAGCCTGCATGGGAGCTCTCAAAGAAGTTTTTGCCTTGCATGGATGAGGTTGAGATCGAGGACGGCTTCAACGGCATCTTTTCCTTTACCCCCGATGGTGGTTCCCTCGTTGGTGAGGCACCCAACCTCGAAGGATTCTTCGTCGCCGAGGCAGTCTGGGTCACACACTCTGCAGGTATTGCTCGTGCAGTAGCTGAGGTATTGACGACTGGAAAGAGTCAGATCGATCTTGGAGCTGTCGAGCTCAACCGCTTTGAGGAAGTTCAGTTGAGCAGCTCGTACGTCAAAGAAACTTCGATGCAAAACTTTGTCGAGATTTACGACATTATGCACCCTCTGCAACCACGAGAGTCACCTCGCAACCTCCGCGTCAGCCCCTTTCACGCTCGTCAGAAGGAGCTTGGTGCTTACTTCCTGGAAGGTGGCGCATGGGAGCGACCTTATTGGTTTGAGGCCAACGAGAAGCTTGTCAAAGATCTGCCTGAGGAGTGGAAGCCCAAGGATCGCGATGCTTGGTCTTCCAGGTATTACAGTCCAATCGCTGCGGCAGAGGCGTGGAAGACTAGAACGACCGCTGCGATGTACGACATGACACCGCTTCGTCGTTTGGAAGTCTACGGACCAGGTGCTGTCGAGCTATTACAGCGAGTCAGCACTGGTGACGTTGGCAAGAAGCCTGGAGCCGTCACGTACACCCTCTTCCTTGATGGCAGAGGTGGTATCAAGAGTGATGTGACCGTCGCCAGACTTGAAGACAAGTTGTTCCAAGTCGGTTGTAACGGGCCTGTCGATCTGGTATACCTCAACAAGGAGGCCGATAAGCAGATGGAGCAAGATCCCACAAAATGGGTCACTGTTCGCGATGTTACTGCCGGAACCTGCTGTATCGGTCTTTGGGGTCCCAAGGTCAGAGAGATTATCAGCAAGGTCAGCCAAGACGACTTCTCAAGCACAGCCAAGGGTCTGCGCTACTTCCGTACCAAGCGCGCCAACATCTCTGGCATTCCTGTCACCATCATGCGATTGTCGTATGTTGGAGAGCTTGGTTGGGAGATTTATACCACGGCTGACCGCGGTCAAGCACTATGGGACGCACTCTGGGAGGCTGGTCAAGAGCAAGGAGTCATTGCGGCTGGCCGTACTGCCTTCAACGCCCTCAGACTGGAGAAGGGATACAGATCATGGGGCTCTGACATGAACACTGAGCACGACCCTTATGAGGCCGGTGTTGGCTTCGCAGTCAAAGCAGGAAAGCTAGGCTACTATGGTCAAGCAGCTCTCGAAGGGCGCTCGGTCGAGACATCGAAGAAGCGTTTACGCTGCCTGGTCGTCGATGATGGTTCCTCGGTTGTGCTTGGCAGAGAGCCTGTGTTCGTTGGCGGCAAGCCCAGCGGGTATGTTACTAGCTCTGCATTTGCCTACACCATCGGCAAGCCCATTGCTTATGCATGGTTGCCAAGCACGATCAACGAGGAGGACAAGGTTGAGATTGAGTACTTCGGCAAGAGAATCGAGGCTACGGTTACTGCCGAGCCATTGTTCGATCCTTCCATGTCACGTCTGCGTGGTTGAAGGCTTCTAGAAGGATAATGATTTATTTATAGCATAGACATGGCGCACTTTAATGATCGGGCATATATTTAGTAACGTTATTGCAACCGTTTTCCGTCGCTATTGAGACTTTGAGATGATTTGTGTGTGTGGAACAGCTTCGCACGATCAGACTAATTGGGCATGGTTTATGATGCCCGGTTTTGTTCAGAGCATGAAGCATGCTGAGTTGAGGTTCTCATGAGTCGTTTACAGTCTTGCTGCCGCCAGAGCTTGCACAAGGTATCCTATCTCTCATACTTGGAGATGTGAGCTTCACGTTGGAGATGATGGAAAGTCCTTGATGACGCATAGCACGACGACCTTACTCTTCCAGTGCCCAAATTCAACGGGATCCCAAGCAAGTTGGAGTCTCTGTCTCCCTGGTGTCAATTGAGAGATTGTATACGAGAGACGCTGTTCTATTCGAGGGACCAGCAATCAAATTTCATACAGTCCAGGGTGAGGCCTTCGGCGATTTCGGCTTTGCAGGGAGAACGTCATGACGTGGTGGTGAACAGCTTTTGGCCTACAACGTGAGCCTGGTAGCTTCAGGTGCCTGAAGAAGTCTGACATCTCGCATTCCAGAGCCATGCTTGGGTCACAGTGTGCTGGGTCCTGTATCACGCCAGTGGGTGTTTGGGAGAATCGCATGGACGGATCGGGGCATCATTCGAGGTGAGCTCGCGGGGTAGTCGCGGGGTGCAATCGGGCGTCGGACGGGAAACTGGCGGAAACACGTGAGTTGAATGGATGAGACTTCCGTAATCGGAAGTGGATATGATGACCATGTTGAGCATCGACCCTAGATCACGTAGGTGCTGCCAAAGTTTTTGTGTTATAATAGAGACAATCGGCAGCATGTGGTCGTCGTTCGTCATAAGCATATTTTTGCATTCTCTAGCGATTTCCTTCTAGCAAGCATGGCATCCGACAAGTCATACATCATCGTCGGCGCTGGCGTTTTCGGCGTTTCGACCGCGTTCCACCTCATCAAGAAGTACCCCAACGCAGACATCACTATAGTCGACCGTGATGCTTTCGACCAAGATACCCGTGTGGCCGCCTCATGGGATTGGAACAAGGTAGTCCGCGCCGACTACGACGACATCGTATACTGCAAGATGGCTCTCGAGTCACAAGACATGTTCCAGAATGATCTCCTGTGGAAGCCGTACTTCTACCAGACAGGCATCTACTGGATGTGCCGCAGCGACTACGCCCAGGAAGTCATCGACAACTACAAGAAGCTAGGCAGATCTGCCGACCTCGCAGCCGTGCCGATCGACGAGGCTCGCAAGATGTACGGTGGTCTCTTTGAGGACGCCGACTACACTGGAGTCAAGGAGGTCCTCATCAACAAGACCAGTGGCTGGGCAACTGCTGGCGAGTGTCTGATCAACATCACCCGCGAGGCACTGAGACTTGGTGTCAAGTACAAGCAGGCCGAGGTCGCCTCGCTACTGCTCGACAACGGCCGCTGTGCTGGCATCAAGACCGGCGCTGGCGAGACTTTGACTGCAAAGCACACGCTTCTCTGTACTGGAGCATACACACCGAAACTGCTTGAGTACTGCGCTCAAGCAAGCGGCAACAATGAACTTTGTGCTGGCGATAGAATTGTTGCTGGCGGTATCACCACTGGTATGACAAGGCTTGACGAGGAGTCTTACCGCAGATTTGCTTCCATGCCTGTCGGTGTGCAAGGCTACACTGCTGAAGCAGGTAAGATTGGAGCCCCACCCGTGTCATCGCGACTAGCGGCTAACCAATGTGACAGGACCTTTCATCGGCAGTCTGCCACCAACCAGGGATAGAGAACTCAAGTGGTGGGGTCAGAAGATTTTCAAGAACGACACAGAAGTCTTGCCTGGACGCATCGTTTCTGCACCACCGGCCAAGCGGGACTATGGCCAGTGGGACGTCTCAAGTAAGCTGAAGGAGGACATCGATTACGCCAACCACGTATTCTACGGAAAGAACTCTGCACACTGGAACATGGAGAAACATCGTATTTGCTGGTAAGTCGTTCGACCACTTAGTACTAGCTCCGACCACTGACACTTTCTAGGGATGCTTTTACATCCAGCTCAGACTTTATCATCTCACCACACACCGCCGCCAAGGGTCTCTACGTCGCAACATGTGGCAACTTCCACGGCTGGAAGTTCTTCCCAGTGCTAGGCAAGTACATTATCTCCATGTTGGAGGGCACATTGGAGCCTGAACTGTGTGAGAAGTGGGGCTGGGACAGAGAACGTCCTGATCCCAAGTTCTTTGCCGACTTCCCAAGACATGACATGAAGGATTTGTTGGATCCTGTCAGAACCGCCAAGCTATAATACACCACTTCGACAGCTTAATATATATGAGGAAACGCATTTCAACCTTTCATCCGGTCTTCGCGAGGGACAATGCATGGTGATAGAAGCAAAAGTGAACTGGATATTCTATATCTTCTGCGCGACACAATCCGAGAGCAACCCCAGCGACCTTAGCCGAATTTTGCAACCAATTCGTTCCAGGCGGCCGATCGATCGAAGTCACAGCAAAAGCGAATAACCTGAGCAGCGACAGGAAGAGGATGCACCTGCGTATCTGCAGCCACGGCTTTCAAGTCACGGGTAGGGCTGCATACGAACAACAGTGACGCCAACCCTGCGTGTCAGTGGAAGGGCGACTTAAGCGCATCGATGGGTTTCCTCATCACGGAAGATCTTTGCACGTACCATTAGAGAGCGATCTATATCTCGTGTGTTAAGCTGATTGACGCAGGAAGTCATGCAGATTGAGCGATATCTCTCAGGAGCCTATTTAGAGCATGATATCCAAACATAAGCCGTGCGTTTCCACAGCAAGATTCAAGCAGGAGCATTCAACAAAAGAAACTACGCCCGACCCTTCCGATAAGCTAGTTTCTAGCGATGAGGCAATGCGAGTCTGCGATCCCGATAACCTGCGACGCTACCCTGCCACCACATATCTTTGGCCGTTAACATTCTCATCGGAACAATCGAGTGCGATGTAACCCATCGAACTTGGTTCTGCAAAATCACAATCAAGGTCGAGTATCCTAAGAGTTGGCGTTCATGCTAGATGTGGAGGACCAGAGTGGTCAGCAAAAGCTGCCACACTGGCTACGACCACAGCACACGAACAGTTTGCTCTGCTCCCACAGCGATGAAATGGATGGATCTTACAGGATTGGACAAAACAGCTTGTTTTAGCGTACTCAAGCATACAGCTGATATTTCATGTTTCGAGGAGGCATCTTTGTGCTTAGAATTCGAGACCACCCTGGCGAGTCGCTGTCAAGATAAGCTTACAGAATGCGTCTTCCCAATTTGGTTGCGAGTTCCCCAAACCTAGATTGTGGTTTCCTCCGGTATCCTTGGTTTGGACTAGTCCCGTGACTTTCCTGATTGCCGCATAGCAATTTCCCTAGGAACAGTGGACTAAAATCGGTCAGACGTTCGCACCTGCAGATTGATTGGACGATCACGATTCGTGTGTCATGATAAGGTCACCATGCAGGGACAATGAAACAACATGGTAACGGATTCGCAAACCCTGTCCTCGTACGGTAACTCACGACACATGAGGTTGTGCCCTCCTCAGATGTATCCCCCGCGTGCGTACGTACCCCGTAACGGTAAAGGCAACCATTCACCTTGCTAGATATCAACCAGGGCGATCTCTTCAAGAAGACGAATCGGGTACTCTTCTACAGAGAGTGGTAGCATATCATTGATCCATCATCTACCTTCCAGTCATCTCCGGACTTCTGAAGACCATTTCACCATTATCTCCTGCCTTTAGTCACATAAAACCACGCCAGAAAAATGTCCGCAGCAGCCCCACAACAACCCAAGCCTTGGGCATGGACACCTTTGATTGAGAGTCGACCACTCTCAGAAGCAGCAGGATGGTTCGTCCCCGAATTCTTTGTCTCATTTTCGATCACCATCTTTTCTATCATGAAACCTCCAATCGACCCAACCCATGTCCGACATCGCGTCCCACTTTTAGCAAATGATTTCTAAATCGCAGAAGTAGAGTCTTCATGAAACTCGACAACCTACAGCCATCCGGCTCGTTCAAGTCCAGAGGTGTTGGCAACTACGTTCTCCAACGAGCCGCCGAGCGTATCTCTACATCTGGTGTCCCATTGTCAACACACTTCTATGCCGCGTCAGGCGGCAATGCAGGTATCGCTTGTGTTCACGCCGCTAGCACACTTGGGTACCCTGCTACTGTGGTAGTACCTAAGAGCGCTAAGCCAGTCATGATTGCGAAGATTTGGGCCATGGTATGGTTGTTCCCATCTTGTCATCGCGGCATGTGACTAATACAAGAGATAGGGTGTACGACAGGTCATCCAGCACGGGTCAACGATTGCTGAAGCACAGGAGTACATTCTCAACACTCTTCTACCTGCTGATCCTACCGGCGTCTTCGTCCCACCATTCGATCATCAAGACATCTGGGATGGCAATGCAACTGTCATGCAGGAAATCGCTTCTCAGCTAGGCGATAAACCTGATGTCGTTATATGCAGTGTCGGCGGAGGAGGTCTGTTGAACGGTATCATGCAAGAGATTGACCACAGGAAATGGAGCAACGACGTGCAAGTCCTCGCCATGGAGACCAAGGGAGCGGACTCTCTAGGTCAAAGTCTGGACGCTGGTCACATCATCACTCTTCCGAGAATCACATCACAGGCTACGAGTCTTGGTGTCGTCAGAGTTGCTGACAAGACTTTCGAATATGCACAGAGGCCCAACGTAACTAGTGTTGTCCTCACCGACGAAGAAGCTGCCAAGGGATGTTGCTTGTTGGCCGAGCACGAAAGAATGATGGTCGAGCTCACCGTGGGAGTCAATGTCCCAGTGTGTTTCGATGGGTACTTACAGAGACTCTTGGCTTCGAAGAAGACGATCACAAAGGACAGCAAGGTGGTTCTTGTTGTTTGTGGTGGTAACGACATCTCACTCGACATGCTCATGGCCTGGCGTATGGCTATGGTTGGCAGTGAGACTGTTCAGGACCACACTACATCATTGCCTGCAAGGGTCGGAGCCACTGGAGTGACGGCTTGAAGGACTGATTTTATGATCAAGCGGATGTGGTTGGATCCTGCCACACAGATTAATGGGTTTATGCATGTTTTTGGTTTTGGTTACATACGGCTATCAAATTGAATTTGCTCTACTGCACGGATATCTCTATCACCTAGATCATATGCGTAAGAACGGTGACAAGATAACAAGGTGGACGCGATTTTGGTACATCGACACATAGATAGCGAGCATAGCACGTGAACACTTTCTGAGCCTCATCGGGTGCGATTCATCAAGACCGCATCGAAGCCCACAATCTTGATTTCGGTCCTTCTTCTTTCTCACGTCGGTTGGTCTCATCATCCACATATCGCAGACCGCCAGACTGAGTTGGGCCTGACTTCCCTACCACATGAGGTCGTTGCCAAGATCTTCAGCCATGGATTAAAGTTGAGCCTGCTCAAAGGGTCTGGCTGTTGGGCCGACCCCGGATGGATTCGCATACCCTTTTGGGTCAGTATGCACATTGATCGCCACCATCGAGATTGCGATAGCGCTACACAAGCTCGGTGTATCTTCTTGGTCGCGCTCACAAAGTGCGACTAATCTTGGGTAACGAATCCTGCTTTCATCAGCTAATGATTACGCAAATCGAGCATTTGTCTCGAGTGCGCTGGCTAGCATGAGCGAAAGAATGCTCAGCGTAGGCCTACCCCACGGGGCTCTATAGACCGTGTTGACGAGGTGCTCTCGTCCATATAATTGAGTATCGGTCGAACTTGAGTTGTGTTCTTCCCTTTTCATCTTCAACTTTGAATATTGTTTTCATCCCTCTACCTCTGTCGAGTGTTGCTTTATCCCCTTGCAATCTCTACAACCTTTGATAATATTTACAATGACCTCCTTCCTGAGTTACTTCAACCGCAGAGATAGTGGCAACACAACGAAACCTGCTATCGACAAGCCTCAGCCTGTGAGAGCACTTCCTGCATCATGGTACACATCCGCCGACATGTACGAGCTTGAGCGTCGTGCTATCTTCTCCAAGCGCTGGCTTCTTATCACACACAAGCTTCGTCTTACCAAGCCTGGTGACTTCCTTCGCTATGATGTCGCTGGTTTCCAGTTCGTTCTTGCCCGTGACCGTCAGGACAACATCAACGGTTTCCACAACATTTGCCGACACAGAGCATACCCCGTCGTTGAGAAGCAGGAGGGTTCAGCACGCATCTTCGCTTGCAGATACCACGGATGGTCATACGGTCTGAACGGAAAGCTCGCAAAGGCACCGAACTACCAGGAGCTCGAAGGCTTCGATAAGGAGGCGAACGGTCTTTTGCCAATCCACGTTCATGTCGACAAGAATGGTTTCGTCTGGGTGAACATGGACGCGAAAGAGGAGCCCGAGATTGCCTGGGAAGACAACTTTGATGGTGTCGATGTCCAGGAGCGCTACCAACAATTCGACTTTGAAAACTATCAGTTCGACCATAAGTGGGAGATGGATGGTCCTTACAACTGGAAGATTTTGGCCGACAACTACAACGAGTGTTACCACTGCCCGACGACACACCCCGACATTCCAGCTTTGGCAGATCTTGAGGCATACTACGTCAACACAACAGCAAATCACATTCAACACGAGGTCGCAAGTCGACCGGACCAGGTTGCCGCTGGTATGACAGTGGTGCCGACATACTACTTCCCCAACGCCTCTGTCAACGCAACGTAAGCACTTCCCCTCGGCAGTGTCACCTCATGAGTTTAGACTAACATGAGAATCCAGACCAAACTTCTTCTTCATGCAAAGATTCGTTCCTCACGCAGCTGGCAAGGCCACCATGAGCTACGAAGTCTACCGCCACAAGAACGCCACAGACGAGGACTTCGACAAGATCAACCAAATGTACAAGCGCATCATGTCAGAAGACAAAGTACTGTGCGATGCCGCACAAAAGAACGTCAACGCCGGTGTCTTTGTCAGCGGTCTCATGCACCCCAGAATGGAGAAGGGTCCTCTGTACTTCCAGAAGCTTTGCAGAGAGGCAGTGACGGAACACCATGACTTGGAGAAGGCTGCTGGCGGCAAGATCCACCCCGCCAGACAACAAATGTCGCAAGCTGAGATTCAGAGTGAGAAGGATATGGACTTCTGCTCTGGCTTGGCTTGTGGAGAGGAACAGCAGGAGGCATTGGCTTGGTGAAAGAGTCTAGAAGGGGTTTCGTGGTTCAAAGAATGATACACATGCATAGCGTAACGACTTTTGGTCTGATTTAGATATGAGCGATTTGACCCTAATTGAATGGTTTGACTTCTCTATCTTATCGCTCCAACCTTCATCATCGTGATTGTTGAGTGTGACGAGACATCATTGTCCCCTTTTCCTTTGCACTTCTCAAGCACATCAACATGATCCACCTATCCCGTGTATTTGAACAGCGCAACGCCATACAAATCCCTACACAACTATGAGACGAACACATAGGGCAGTGCTTGTCTAGAAAAGGCTGTACCGTCATCGCAATAGACATTGACGACGCATCTCCGATCGATGACAATCTCAGCATCAGCTAATTTTCTCACGAGTGGTATGAGAGGTAAGGGTCTTACGGAAGAAAGAGAGCATCGATCACTACGAGCACACATCCTTTGGAGGGATGAGCAAAATTCATGGAGTAGCCATCGGAAATGCAAGACGATTTTCGACATTGATATTGATGCTTGTGGAAATGTTTCCAACGGCAATGATGCGACACACCAATTGAATTGGAAGGAGCTTGACGTAAGCGTGGTTCCGTTACGACAGTCGTTCTATTCAGAGTTGCGAACTGCACCTGTCCGAGCAGCTTCTTCACTACCCTCAGTCTGGGCTCCAAGAAGTGCACTCTCTTCATCCACAACTTTCTTCTTAGGTACAACTCCTGCAGAAGCCGTCTTCGACTTTTGCAAAGCAGACCAAAGCGTACTGGCAATAACAACAGCACCTCCAATACATGACCAGAAGCCAGGGAAAACACCCCAGATAGCCCAGTCGAACGCGAGTGCAAATAGGATGCCTGTGTATAGCATACTGGTCGCCTTGCTGGTTCTGTCAAGTTGTAATCCAGCGGTGAGGAGGAATTGCAGGACAAAGCCCAGGACACCGAGGAGTGATAGGAGCAGCCACTCACGGGCGCCGTGAGGCATGGTAAATCCCATTCCCGGAAGTACAAGTAGAGCACCAGCAGAGCCAATAGTGCTGATCAAGGCGAAATAGTTGACTGAAATCAGTGCATGTGCGCGAGAGCCAATAACACGAATCAGCGTGTATGCAGCAGAAGCACCAAGAACACCAATGACAGATACGAAGATTGCGAGGAGACGCTGTCCAGAAGAGACCTCGTCGATCTTGTTCGGCTTATGCGGAAGTTCAATGTCATCGTCGACTCTGCCGAAGATGGCTGCTGGATGGGCAATGATGACAACGCCCAACAACGCGATCACTCCAGCGAGAAATTCGGTTCTGCTAAAAGTCTGTCCAAGGAATATCGAACAGGCCCACGCTGTGATGATTGGTACCAGGAAGCGGAAGACTGTTGCTTCGGCCAGAGGAAGATAGTGGACGGAATCTAGTTTGGTCTACATGAGTTTGTGAATCTGGATTTGGACATCGAGATTTCTTACAATAAAGACAGAACAATCCAAAGAACCCGGCCAGGGCTCGCAAAATCAGCCAGCCTCTAACAGATGGCGCTCCAAGAGGAAAATCGGGTACTTTTGTGCACCACATATAAATGCTACTAAGCAGAGCTGTGATACTCATACGAGCAAAGATAACCTGGAAAGGGTGCATACCATGTCCTCCTTGCTGCAGAAATCGGACAATGGCATCCATAGTTGAACCAGTCGCTTGAGCAAGCAAAATCAGAAAGACGCCCTTGTTGTTGCGCCACACTTTTTGCAAGGCGTTCGGCTTGGTCTCAGAGCCATTACTAGATGAACTCGAGAGGCTTTCTCCATGATTCTGCTCATTTCCAGACATTTTGGATGTAAAATGCTGTCGTGAGAAAGTTCATGTTGAATGTTGTGTCGGTGAAGGTGAAGTTTTATAGCGCACGGACGGAGTCCTCTCCTTTGCCCAAACCGGCAGGTTCACCCGGCATACAGTCATACTGCAAACACACCTTCTTGTTCATGTAACCAAAATCTTCGACAAATCGGTCAGTACGCTTGCTCGTCGAGGTCAATCAGACGTGTCGCGCAGATGACGTCTGTCACATCAAGCATGTACTAGAGCTTGCCGCCCTTCCCGGATCGCGTGACACAGTGCAAGAAGTCTCCAAACATGCTGTCCGGCAGGCTATGAGAAAAAATGCAGAGCAGCTTCTTGCTCATGTTCTTGATGAGGGAGCTTCGGCCCCCCTCGTCTTCTCATCTTCCTTGTACTGGAGGTTTACTACAACAACGGTGGAGTACTTCGAGCGACGAGCTTGGTCGCTGTTGCCATTAACTTGTTTACATGATTTTATGACATTGATGTAGCAACTGTGCAAGCACATCCATCGTTCCTGCCTTAGTACAATCCAAAGTCTCTCTTGACCTCACGACCCTCAGCTTGCAGCGTAACCTTGAACAACTTGTGCTCGTTGAAGATATACATGCCATCAGGCACGAAAGCAAAGTTTGCAGCTCCACCACTGACTGCGAAGATACCGAGCAAGACACCTTCAGGGTTCCATCTAATATTGATCAGCTTATGTGTTCTGGAGAGAATTCGAGGTGACAGGAGGACTTACACATGAACACCGTCTCCACAACCAGCATACACATTACCCATAGTATCGCAATGAATACCATCAGGAAGGCCGATATCAGAGTAAGCAAACAACTGCTTGTTCTCCAATCTCTTGCCATCAGCAGTGATATCGTAGCGGTAAATTGTCGAAGGCATAGTCAAGTTATCCTTGTTAGGGAAAGTGTGAACAGCCGTATCGGTGATATACACATGCTTGAAGTCAGGCGACAGCTCAATACCATTGGGTGCAACTGCATCATCAGCAACTGCTTGTACCACACCAGTTTTGGGCTCAAAGCGGTAGGCTTGGTACTTGATGACAGGAGCAGGGCGGAAGTATTGCCAGTATCCGTATGGGACGTCTGTGAACCAGAGATCACCAGTCACGGGATGCTGCTTAACATCGTTGATGGAAGTAAAGTTGCGGCCGAGGAAGTTGTTGAGCAGGACTTGACTCTTGTTGGTTGCTGGATCTACGAGGACCAATTGGGCAGGGTTGACCAAATCGCCTTCGTCGCAGAAGACGATTTGTTGGCCTTTGCTGCTGTTCCAAGGTGTGCCTACGGGGTAGAATGCAGATGCACCATTGGCCTCTGCCAACTGCTCGTAGCGAATAGACTCAATGCTGTTGTTGCCGCTGATATCAATGGCGGTAACATTGATCGGATTGCTGAAGTTGAATTGCCAGTTGCTTGTAGCATAGAGCTTGCCAGTTGCCTAACAGAGACGTCAGTCAAGATCGGCGACGATACATTACTAAAGGAGAACCACTGCACATACAATATTATACACGCCACTTTCGTGGAACGGTTGATAGTCATTGTACTCGCCGACCAATTGCTGCGAGACATTGGGTCCTAGAATATCGGTGACGAAAGATTCGTCTGTTGGAAGAGAGCTGTCAGTAAACCTACTATACCTCGGCTCTCAAGTCTGGAGCATCCTCTACTCACTGTATGATAAGAAAGAGACATAGTCCGTCGATGCATTAGCAACAGCATACAGCTCCTGCGCATACGGAATGCTCGTCGCCAGACTCAGCAAGTTGACGTTTGTAATATTGACCATCTTGGATATCTGATTTTACACTGAGAAGCCGTCATTTCCATGGTGAGGAGCCGCCCTTCTTATATTCGGACTCAATTGATTAGTCCGTAGGTACAAAAAAGATCGACCAAGCACTGCCGTCTGATGCCCCTCCTTGGTATGACGCTCTTGCTGTATTAGCCTAAAACCTTAAATGGCATTGATGCTCATGCGTTAACCTGAATAGCCGATGTTGACATGTGCTCGGCCGCGAAGTCGGACAGACATCCCAAGACATTTCTTAGAGTGCCCAAGGCATTGATCAAGCAAAGAAAAGCGATGCCAAGTTCACATACGAATTGTTGAGGTTTGAAGTGTAGTGGTTTTCTGATACGAAGAAACTCAAAAATCTAAGAAACGCCGAAAGGGCCAATATTGAAACAAATCCTGTAATCCTCGCTCCCGCCTTGTAATGTGCACCCATTTGTATTTATGAAAAGGTTGAAGGTGTGTATTGAACCAGCGACCATGTAGACAAGATTTTTACAGAGGACGACCGCCAACGAAGTCAGCCCAGGGGCGGACCTCGGAGGGGATACCCTCAGCCTTGGGAAGCTTCTCGCTCATGCACTGAGCGAAGAGGACAGCAGTCTTGGTCTCCATGAAGAGAGGGACACCAAAGTCGACAGCGTTACGGCGCATAACGTAGTCCTCATCGATGAGACTGCTAGCACGGACCTTTGCCAAGTTGAAGACACCACGGATGTCGTACTTCTCGAAGACCTCACGGAGAGCACGCTTGTCCTCCTTGGGGAACTCAATGACCTCAACCTTGACGCTACCGTCCTTGGAGTTGTTCTCGAGGTGCTGCTTGACGGACTCGTTAGCAGCGAAGAGCTTGTAGCCGAGAGGGTTGACGAAGTCGACAATCTTGGCAAGGTCGGGGTTGTTGATGTCTCCACCGAAGAGAAGACCCTCACCGGGCTGGGGAACGCGGAAGTTCATGGCAGACTGAGCGGCAGTCCAGTAGGCCTCAACAAGGTCTCTACCGAAGCAGGCCATTTCACCAGTAGAAGACATCTCGACACCGAGGTAAGGATCGGCACCAGCAAGACGAGTCCAGGAGAACTGAGGAACCTTGACAGCGAGATAGTCACGCTTCTGTGCCATGAGATCCACAGGCTCAGGGACATCGGTGCTGGTGAGAGCACGGGTAGCGACATCAATGAAGTTGGTACCGAGGACCTTAGAGACGAAGGGGAATGAACGAGAAGCGCGGAGGTTGCACTCAATGACCTTGAGGGAGGATTCACCACCGTTGGGAGAGTCGGCGTCGATGATTTGCATGTTGAAGGGACCGGTAATCTTCCATGCCTTGGCAACCTTGTCGGCGATAACCTTAACACGCTTGATTGTGCTCTCAGAGAGCTTGGCGGGAGGAAGAACGAGAGAAGCATCACCGGAGTGGACACCAGCGTTTTCAATGTGCTCACTGACGGCGTGGACGAGAACCTTGCCGTCATGGGCAACAGCGTCAACATCGATTTCGCGAGCGCCTTCGATGAATTGAGTGATGACAACGGGGTGATCAGGGCTGACTTCAGCGGCGGCATTGAGCTTCTCCTGGAGCTCACTCTCAGAGCGAATGACAGTCATAGCAGCACCGGACAGGACGTAAGAGGGTCTGACGAGAACGGGGTATCCGACTTTGTTGGCGAACTGCTGGGCTTCGGCGTATGAAGTAAGTTCGCTCCAAGCAGGCTGGTCGACACCGATAGAGTCGAGGATGGAAGAGAATTGTTGACGATCTTCAGCCTTGTCAATGTCCTTGGGATCGGTACCGAGGACCTTGGCCTTGCCGCTCTCCTGGAGCTTGAGGGCCATGTTCTGAGGGAGCTGACCACCGACAGAAACAACGACACCTGAGGCAGTCTCGAGTTCGTAGATGTCCATGACACGTTCGTAAGAGAGTTCTTCAAAGTAGAGCTTGTCGGCAACATCGAAGTCTGTCGAGTACGTCTCTGCAAATTTGAGAGTCAGCGATGTGTTCCGATGTATCTTCTCCGATGCTATTATCCGTCACGCATGCAGCTGCGTCAATGCAGAGTACAATTTAAAGCCGAGACAATGTCCAAGGAGAGTCGTCGCTTATGGCTTCTCTTGAGGAATTGTTCAATCTGGAAATTGACTATGTCTTACTACAGCTCATCCAAAACCTTGACACCCTCCGAAGAGAGAGCGAAGATAGCAGATCCTAGCACATGGGGGAGGGAGTAGTTGCTATACATACCTGGGTTGTAGTTGATCATGACAGTCTTCTTGCCTTGCTTTTTCAATCCGAGAGTTGCATTGACAGCGCACCAATCGAACTCGACCGAGCTTCCAATACGGTAGACACCAGATCCGAGAACGAGGACACCATGGTCGTTGAAGTCAACATCGTGGGTAGAAGCGTTGTATGTCGTCTTGAAAGTAAAGGTCAGTAACGGCTACAATGTGTGAAAGAAACAGCAGTAGTGAAGTCATGTTAGTTAGGATACTATATAGCGAGGCCTGAAAAAGGTAGGTCTGCCAAATAGTCATGCATCAAGTCCTAGTGAGATACTCCAGCAACGGCGCCAAGGTTAAGTGCAGCCTGGTAGAGATGCAAAGTTAAGAGTCACTACCAACCCTCCATAGACAGATCAGAGAAAGTTGAACGCCGTCCGGCCAACAACGACGGTCAAGCTCAGAGAACGTCGTGCCTTCAATCAAGCTCAATGACGATACGGTCAGGTGGAGCTGGAGCTTGAGCGTGAGTTTCAGCTTCAGCTTCAGCTTCAGCCTCGGCCTCGGCCTCGGCCTCGGCAGCCAACATCTCGTTGTACTCGACGCACTTCCAGACGTGCTTCTTCGACTTCTCTGTGTGGTCGGTGTAGCTGCTCTTCCTGTCCGTGCCATAGCAACACGGATAGCACTTGAACTTGAACTTTTCTATGTTCTCACCAGCGAGCTTTCTCTTGTGCTTCGCGGTAGCGTTGTGCTCGTCAAGGTCGCTCTGGCTGTGGCAAGGGGTGTTGCAAAGTGCGCAATAGAAGAGGCGGTCGTTGTATGCTTGAGCTCTCGATTCGTGTTGGTGAACTCGGAGGTGGTCCTTGTTGCGAGATCTCCATGCGGCGGTCCTTGCGAGACCCAGAAGTCTGTTGCGTTCCTTCTTTTGGGCATCCAGCTCCTCGATATCCTTGGCGGTCAGATCGAAGTCACCAGCACACTTCTCGCTCAAGCAACAGTGAGTACAGAGTCTATCGTACTCAAGTTCGTGGCGTGACCAGAGGCAGAGGAATGCCATGTGAGGGTACTTGTCTGGGTAACTTCTCAAGGTCGAAAAGTTGAATGTGAAGGTGGCCTCGAAGGCGAGGAAGAGAAGACGAGTGCGGGCTCTGAGGTGTGGCGCAGGAATGGACGTCGTCCAAGCAAGCAGGCCCTTGTGAACGATGATGAAGCCTTCAGCGAGAGCGGCCTTGACCAGCACAGGCAACAGGGGATGGTCCGGATCATCATAGACATCAAGTCTGGCGTCGCCGCCGTCGATGGAGTCCGTTCCGCTGCCAAAGTAAACTCGAGACATGCGGCCAGGCTTCTTCATGACGATGGCATAGTCAATCCATCCACCAAATGTCTTGGTTGGTAGGCCCATGAAGAATTCGATGGTAGGAGGACGGGGGCTCTTCATTGTGTCCCCGAGAGTGGGTGCGAAGTTTAGTGGAACCGCCGAGGCGAAGTCTTGGAGGTCAGAGTAGTCGGTAATGATTCGACCATAGAGATCATTCTGATGACGTTCTGGGAGCGTATTGAGGCATTCCCAGGTCAAGGAGAGAACGAAGTCTTCGGTCTCGACATCGTCAGGACCAAGAAGGCGGTCAATATCCATGGGGTCGAAGACTGATGACATGTTGAGAGAAACAGCCAAGTTTGTCCGTGGGCAAATCTGGTGTGATGAGGTCGCCGTTCGGGAGCCAGTAGAGGTACTTGAGAGTCACTCTCGAAGGTCAGTTTGAGTCAGTTGGACGTGGTCCGAACTTGACTTACAACAAGGCGACCAAGACCAAATGAGCGAGTTGACACTCAGTGTCAGGTTGAGGTGCGGTCAAGATTAACCGGTGTGATTGAGGTCACCGTTCGGGAACCAGTAAGAGAACTTGGGAGTCACTCTCAAAGGTCAGCTTCAGGTCAAGTTGGACGCTGTCCGAACTTGACTTACACGACGCTAGCGCTCAAGCCGAAAGGTAACGCAGTGAGTGGTGATGGTGCCGGGCTTAGCAAGATCGATGAAGTTTGTCCACGGACAAAGTGCTGATGATTGAGGGCTTGGGAAGCGCTCTCGCAGGTCAGGCGAAGTTGGACGCTGTTCGACCTTGGCCCAGGAGATGCTCACGGTCAAGCCGAAGGAGTGACTCGATGACAGTTGATGCTGCCGAAGTTGACAGACACGATGAGGTTGTCAAAGAACAGGTGGAGAACTTGACGCTGAAAGGCGAAAAGCTCAGGTGCGAGGAGCAGGCAGCAGCGACGAAAGCAGCCGAAATTGTCCGCGGACAGATTGACGCGCGTGCGGCCGACAAGCTGAGGCAGGTGGTGTTTGGTAGCTCCTTCCTCAAATTTGGCATGCGACGAGAGTCGAAAATTGCCTTGGTCTCCACGACCCCCGCCGCCGCCAAATTGGAGTGGGATGTCGCTGGGAGGATTAGCTTAGAGAAAAGCGAGCTTATACAGCTGTTTTCAACAGCCTCTCCGAGTGCAATCACAGGCTCAATTCAGATGCAGCGAGGCAGAGACTTGAAAGCACGAGCGAACTCAGGAGGAGATGGCACGGTTACTTCCTTCTCGAGATGGCAAGTCTGAGATAGCCATTTGAAAGCCGAGTCTGACATAGCCGTTTGGAGACTGCGCTGACAGGGTGCTATTTTTCGATCCAGGGATCAAAAAATTCTCACCAAAATGGGAGTGGGATGTAGTGGAGAGGGTTGCTTTGGAAGAAAAGAGGGCTTATATAGCCGACTTTCACAAGCGTCTCCCGCCCTTTACCACAGACCCGACGAGCTGCTGCGCGGCACGAGCATACCACAGGAAAGCACGTTCACCGAGAGAGCCTAATGATCGAGCTGATCAACGAGGCAGGTGCGCGCATAGGCCGTCACATGCTCTGCAACCTTCTTGCACGTGGAAGGTGCGATCATAATGGCGACAGCTACGAGGTAGTCCGTTGCCAGCCTAGCGATCATACCCCCTTGAGGGGTGAACACAAGCGAAAGTTGGGATAAACAAATTTGTTTTCCAAGTCCTTCAATGACTGAGCAGCGAGGAGCTGGAAAAACAAATCTATTCTTCCAATATCGAAAATGCTCGATCCGTGCAGCCCGAGATGGGAGGTGCCAAGACTTCGCATGAATAGTGAGGTCGGAAAAGCTTGAGATGTAGATAACAAGCTTGGGCTTCGCTCAGTTGGCCATGTTCTTCAGTACGGCCGCCGAAGACTTGGTCTCGGAAGTGAAGATTCTTGAGGCAGACTTTGTCACAGTTGTAAAGATGATCAGACTTGACAGCGACCGCGAAGATGGTCAAGGATTCGTCTTCGCCTCTAGACGACTGACCATGACGGTTTACCCCCTGAGGGGTCACCGTCATCAAAGTGCACGTGTTGGTGCACCCCCTGGGAGGTACGCAGGTACTTCAACTTGAGATACCTTGCGAGATACAAGCACTTGCTCAAGCCTTGAGGTTGATGGTCAAGATCGTGATGCTTAGTGCTCAGCACTTGACCCCGACGATGATGGATTCCAGGTCCAGGCTCCAGTATTCAAGAATGTATAGCCGCGACGGTCAACTCACGAGGCAAACCGTCGCGGATATGGAAGTACATACCAAGTCACGTGCTTGGCTTCGCGAAGCAAAATTTTCAAACATACACAAAAGAAATGGAAGGACTTACGTAGAGATAGTTGGTCGATGCGGGAAATTCGGCCGCAAGGGCTACAAAGAGGTCAGTATAGGTATCAGAAGTTGGGTAGAAGCAAACTTACTATCAATCTTCTTGACGAAGGGAGTGATGCCAAAGTTCTTTCTGCGTGCACGGACCTCATCCTCAGTGCTGCCGACAGCCTTGGCAATCTGGATGTCAGAGAAACCTTGCTTCTTGGCCTTGTGCATAAGTTCCTTCTTGACACCGTAAAGACTGCCAATGGCTTCAAGTTCTTTAGTGGTGTCAACAATGTTCTGGATCTTGTAGAGGAACCATTTGTCGATCTTGGAGAGCTCGTGGACGCGGTCAACAGTGTAGCCTTCGTGGAACATGGCTTGACCGACAGCCAACCATCTACGGTCGGTGGGGTTTGCGAGAACATCATCGAGGTCGTCGAACTTGTCACCTTGGATACCGTGGAATTTGGGGTCAACCTGACGGATAGCCTTCTGGAAGGATTCCTCGAAGGTACGACCAATAGCCATGACTTCACCGACAGACTTCATAGCACTGCCGATATCACGCTTGACGTTCTGGAACTTGCTCAGATCCCAGCGAGGAATCTTGGTAACGATGTAGTCCAGGGAAGGCTCGAAGTTGGCAGTGGTAGTCTTGGTAACAGCGTTAGGCAGCTCGGGAAGAGTGTGGCCTAGACCAATCTTGGCGGCAGTGTAGGCGAGAGGGTAACCGGTAGCCTTGGAGGCAAGAGCAGATGAACGAGAGAGACGAGCGTTGACCTCAATGACTCTGTAGTCGAGACCATCAGGCTGAAGAGCGTATTGGACGTTACATTCGCCAACGACACCAAGATGACGGACAATCTTGATGGCAGCGGTACGGAGCATGTGGTACTCCTCGTCACTGAAAGTTTGACTGGGAGAGACGACGATACTGTCACCGGTGTGGACACCGAGAGGATCGAAGTTTTCCATGTTGCAAACGGTGATACAGTTGTCGGAGGCGTCACGAACGACCTCGTACTCGGCCTCCTTCCAGCCCTTGAGCGATTTCTCGACCAAGATCTGGGGAGACAGAGTGAGGGAACGAGCAGACAAGTTGCGGAGCTCTTCAGGGTTGTTGGCGAAACCGGAACCAAGACCACCGAGAGCATAGGCAGCACGGACAATGATGGGGTAGCCGACCTTCTCAGCGGCATCGAGAGCCTCATCGATGGTACCAACAGCGATACTCTCAGCGATGGGGATATCGATCTCCTTGAGGGCCTGAGCAAACAGGTCTCTGTCCTCACTGGTCTTCAAGGTCTGGATGCTGGTACCCAAAACTCTGACGTTGTAGCGGTCGAAGATACCCATCTCGTCCATCTTGACACCCAAGTTGAGGGCAGTCTGACCACCGAAAGACAGGAAGATACCATCGGGACGTTCCTTCTCGATAACGTAGGTAACGTACTCAGGGGTGACAGGAAGGTAGTAAATCTCATCGGCAAGAACGTGAGATGTCTGGATAGTTGCAATGTTAGGGTTGATGAGCACCGAGTGGATGCCAGCCTCCTTCAAGGCCTTGAGTGCTTGAGATCCTGCCACGTTGTCAGTCCTTGCTTCATGGTCTTGAGGCTTCGAACTCTTCACTAACCAGAGTAATCGAACTCTCCTGCCTGTCCAATGGCAAGACCACCACTGCCAATGACCAGAACCTTCTTGACATCGATCAGGTTCTGACCTCCAGCAATGGCTCCACTCTCGAGGTAAGCCTTTGCGTTGGGTGCAACTTGAGCATTGCTGGTTGCGTTGCGGACTTGTAGGAAGCGGTTGGTAGATCTCTTGGTTGCGCGTACAGCGCGGGGGTTGCTAGAAGCAAAGCTCGACTGAGTCGTCAGAGTGCGAGCAGCCAGTCTAGCGTACGTGGGCTGCTGGCTCTGACGAAGCAGGTTCGAGGCTGTCTGACCAGCCAGACGCCTGGAGAAAGCCATGGCTAGGGTTGGTGTAAAGTAAAAGTCGGTAGTTTGTAGAGATAAGAGGCCGATATCAATTGACGTTGGCCTTCCACAGGTGGTCGCTAATGTAGTCTGAGAGGTCGTTAGTTTCCAATTGCTCACATCGGCCTCAGAGCACCGACTTGCAACGCTCTTGCAGAGCTTCTAGTGCTTGCAAAAGAATGGCGTACCTTGGGAAGTGAAAACGGAGGGCGCAGTCCGCATAAGGGCGAATCGCGTGCCGACGGCAGATGAGAAGGTTGAGACTGATTGCTCAAGATGGGAGTGTGTGACAAGAGGGAAACGGTAAGAGAGCAGCGACGTCGAGTTATTTTTCACATCGGCCATGCACGGCTCTCTCGTCGATAAGGAGCACAGCTTATCACACAAGAAGCTCGAAATGCTGATTTGCAATAGTCCCCACATAGCTGCAACGTCTCCCATATCAAAGCTGGTGAGCCGACCACCGGCGTCCCAATACTTTTGAATTTCGCTTATACCGACGCTTTACTTTTGGTCATCCGGCGAAGCTCTATCGAAGTGCTCTATTCGTACGTCACATCGTCACATACACACCCAACAGAGGACCGATTTCAGTGAAAATCGAATTGACCCTACGTCTCTGCCTACCATCTCAGTCAATTCACCCACTGAGTCCATAACCACAAAAGATACTGCAATAAACGCATGCGCGGCTTATGCACGAGCTTAAGCCGTTGTCCCTGCCACGTCTTTTTGCTGGGGAAGCCATCCCCGAGACCGGCCGCGGATCACTTTGACTCATCGTTAAACATTGTCGAGTTTTCTGCATCGTGACTCAGTATCAAAATCTGCCAAGGAGGAGAGAGTGCGGTATGCCGATGATCTGAAAGTGCCATGTCATATCAACATATCAACAAAAGTGGTATAGAAAATCTCAAAAGTCCGTAACCCAAAATCCTTTATGCAACAGAAGCAAATGCACGCTTTTTGGTACCTCTCTCCAGCTTCTCCTCTTGCTCCTCTGGTTCATCATCCATGCCATGCACCTGTGCTTCCTTGATCTCCCTGCCCATGAGACCCAGAGCGGCCATGTTGAAGCCGAGCATGTTCTTCTCTTCCTTGACGAACTTTCCATATGCCTCGAGCACCTCGCTCAGTATGTCTTTGAGCTGCTTGCTAGCCACGATTTGTGCGTTATGTGTCTGTAGCAAGAAGTAGAAGACGCGCCATGCCAGTTGCGGCTGCATACGGCGTTGGATGAAGACCGAGACGAACATGAAAAGGACTGGAAGTGATGAGAATGGTACGACCATGAGTGCGTCATTGAGAGATGCATTCGGGATCTTGCGAATGGTCTGCAGCACGTGTTGTTCTGCGCTCATATTGCCGTATGTGAATATAGGGTTTCGTTGTGGCGGTGCAAGGTTTGCTTTCGTTGCCTTTTCAGCTTCCCACAATTGCACGACTTGGTAGTCTGCATAGCCAAGCTCGAGAGCTTCCAATATGCGTTCACCATATGTCAGGGTAGCTATCGTTTGCTTAGAGGCGGCAGCAACATCATCCTCAGCGCCCTCGTCATCGTCTGCGTGATCCTTGTCGAGCTGTGTGGCCAGTGTCGATTCATACATTTGCTCGAGTTCCTTCTCTCGCTCTTCTTCCAGGAAGATGAGATCATCTGTGACATCCCAGACGCGGATACTCTTGTCGTGACTCGCTGTAATGACCTTTTCGCCAGTCCTGCTGACTACCATAGCCCACACCTCGCCATGATGACCCTCCAGCTTCTGGATCTGCTCAAACTTGTCACCATCCCAAGTCTTGACAACCGAATCTTTACTGGCACTGAAGAAGAGATGTTGCTCTTCCTTCTCGACAGGATGAGGGATGAACAAGACTTGCATAACACTGTCTTGATGAGCGAAGAAAGCCTTGTGACAGTCACCAAAGTCCAGACCCCAGATGCGAACATTTTTGTCCGCACTGCACGTAGCGATAAGTTTGCTGTCTGATGAGACTGAGATGTTGAGAACAGGGAGCTTGTGGCCGTAAAGTGTGAGGAAGAGTTTGAGTGTGTCGACAAAGAAGACCTTGACAGTGTTGTCAAGGGTGGAGATGGCGAGCAGACGGGAGTCGGGTGAGAAACAGACACTCAAAACATCATCTGCAACCTTGAGGATGCGAGTTTGAGTGAGCTTCAGCTTAGGTGTAGTTCTTCGGGTTCCGGGGATCTCTTCCTGGACGATGTCGAACTTCCAGAATTTGGCAGCCTTGTCGGCACCACCAGTCACAACTGATGTTCCGTCAGGGTGCACTTGCAGAGTCCACACAGCACCGTCATGAGCCTGGAATTTGTCGATCAGAGCGGAAGAAGCAATGTCGTACAACTCGAGCTCTCCAGTCTTTGTTCCAACCAATACAATCTTGTCACCAGGCAAGAATGTGCAGCAGAGTGATTGACCACACTCGAGAGTTCGAAGACAACTTTGGGTCTTGACATTCCAGATCTTGAGAAGTCCAGCAGAAGCAGAAGCAAGCATGCGGTCATCAGAGCTCAAAGCCAGAGCACGAATATCGGTTCTGTGTCCAGGCATATCGACAGCCAGAGCACGGTTATAGTCTGGAGCCTCGGCGGTTGCCTTCTTTGACTTCTCGCGGCTGGTAATTGTGTATGACTCGATCTGGTTGTTTGTGGTGGAGCAGACTAGCTCTACGTTCTTGGAAGATCTGCTAGCAGCCCAAGCGGCAGATCTGACCTTGCCACCAGTGCGGACGATGACATACGAGACAAAGACGTCGGACACATCAGGTGTTGTGCTTTCCTCCTCTTTCTCAGCTTCTGCAACAGAAGCTCCGGCAGCAGCAGCCTTTTCTCTTCTTCTCTTTCTCTTTCTGGCCAAGCTCTTTTGTACCTCCTCATCAGATCTGATGCGCCAGACCTCGACAGCCTTCTCTGAGCCGTGGACAGCGATGTACTCGCCTTTGGGGTGGAATGCGACACTTAAAGTTCGGTCCTTGGTCTGGCGGAAGAGGATACCCTGTGCAGTGAGAGAAGTCGACTGTTTTGCTTCTGCAATGTTTGTGCCAAAGTCGGCGAGACTCTCGAGGTCGAGCGACCAGACCTTGAGCTCGCCGTCGTTGCCAGCGGTGATACAACCCATACCGTCGGGCGAGACACCAAGAGCCCAGCACTCACCATTAGTCTGGGCGACGTGTGTCTCGATACAGTGAGGGGTCGAGAGGTCCCAGATTTTGATCAGAGCGTCCTTGCTGGTCGAGAGCAGGTACTTCTCCTCGAACTCCTCAGGCTCGCCCGATGCCGTGACATCGACAGCCTCGTCCGTGTGAGGCGATTGGCGACCCGAGGGTCTGGTACGGATGAAGTGTAAACCGGTGATCTGGTCCTTGTGGCCACGAAGACGGAACTCTGCAGTTTCGGAGAGCAGATTCCAGATGATGATGTCGGTGTCCTTGGAGCCACTGGCAAGTCTTGCACCCTCGGAGTCAAAGATCAGGTGGGTAATGGCAGAGCGGTGGCCGTTGAAGCTCATGATGGGGTTGTTGGACAGAGCATCCCACACTCTGATGCTGCCATCCTGGTAGCCGACAGCAAAGAGATCGGGCTGGGCGAGGCACTGAGCGATGGCCGAGACCTGAGACTTGCAGTCGACGTCGTGCCAGCGACTGACCAGCTCTCCCTTCTTCACATCCCAGGCCAGGACATGCTCGTTTGCGCCGACGTACGCTCTGCCGGCGCCAGTGTTGCGCGAGGACGACGAGACAAGGTTGTCGGGAGTCCAGACAAGGTTGGAAAGGGCAGTGTTGACGAGACCGAAAGTGACCGACTGCTCGTACTTGCGATAGGATTTGACCATGATGCCGACAAGGGCAGCAAAAGACAATGGTCAAGGCAAAAAGTTCTTGAATCTCGAAAAAGTTGGGTGGTCCAAGCGTCGACAGGCGCCAAGAGAGTGTGGGGAAGTTCAGGACATGACGATATCGTAGGGCTGCGCGGCCGGCATGCAGTCGCCAGTCGACTGCCCCAAGCCACAGCCAGAGCGTCGCTGCTAGAGTGCTGTTAACAGTCTGCGCTCTGCTATACCATCCACTCCCTCTCTCCCCTCTGCCAATCCCTACTGCTGTCTGCGCTCTGCTATACCATCCACTCCCTTGCTGTTGAGCTGTCGCCGCCATGCTGTTGCTCGACTACCAAAACGTGCTCATTGAGTCGCTGCTCAAGGACCGCTTCTCTGGGTAGCTACCCCTCGTCGTCCTCGCACGCGTCCCACACCACCCGACTGACGCCTTGTTGCTATAGTGCTGCCCCCACCTCGATTGACCAGATCGTCTCGGACTTTGACGCCGTCACCTTCCACATCTCGACGCCCACGTCAAAGACAAAGATCCTCATCTCCATCAACATCAAATGCTACAAGGAACTGGTTCAATATGGCGCCGAGCAGGTCCTCGAACGTGAATACAAGGGCTACATTGTCGAGCCAGAGTCTGGCTACGACTTCTCTGTCGAGATTGATCTGGAGAAGCTCCCTGCCGACGAGGAAGCCCGCACCGACCTCATCTCCCGCCTCAGTCTGCTAAAGCGCAACGCCATGGCTGCTCCCTTCGAGCAAGCTTTCGATGAATACCAGGCCCTGCACGACGAGGCCTCCAAGTACACTTCCGAGTCTGCTCCCCAGGGTGTTCTTGAGGGCGGCCAGGTTAGAGCCATCCACTACCGCGAGGAGGAGGCCATCTACGTCAAGGCCAGCCACGACCGTGTCACCGTCATCTTCAGCACAATCTTCCGCGAGGAGACGGACCGCATCTTTGGCAAGGTCTTTTTGCAGGAATTCGTCGACGCTCGTCGCAGAGCAATTCAGAATGCCCCACAGGTCCTCTTCCGTCATGATCCGCCTCTGGAGCTGCAGGGCATGTCTGGTCTGCCTCCTTCAGGCACCGCCGATGTTGGCTACGTCACCTTTGTCCTGTTCCCTCGCCATCTCCAGCCCGCAAGAAGATACGAAGTCATCTCCCACATCCAGACTTTCCGCGACTACTTCCACTACCACATCAAGGCCTCAAAAGCCTACATTCATTCGAGAATGCGCAGACGAACCGCAGACTTCCTCCAGGGTAAGACATCTTCTAACCCTGCAATTTATGCTCTACTGACATCCGAACAGTCCTTCGTCGTGCAAGACCGGAAGCTGAAGAGAAGGAGCGCAAGACGGCTAGTGGCAGGACCTTTAGAGTCCAGGCGTAGATACATACCATGTTTATACAGCGAAACAACAGAAACGATACATTTCAATGACCTCATGGATTTTCTGTTGTTCTCGAAGCCTCTCTGTCGTTTGGAATATGATCCAAATTATCTTCTCGCATCTCGCGCGCCGGCACTTTTCCTTTTCCATGTCAGTTTGACTGGTGGCATGACCCTGTCTCTTTCACGGAGCCTCGATGTATCTTCTTTGGAGCTCCAAATATCTGATGCGATTATATCAACAAGGTCTGAGATGCCTTGAACGTCCATTTCATTAGATCTCTAGAAGGTCAAGGTCGTTGTTGTCTCTTCATATCGATTTGAGAAGAATCACATTGGCTTTTAGTGACTCAGATGTCACAGCCTCTGATTGTACATGCCCTTTCCATTCTTTCCAGTCCTGTGTAAAAATCGCTATATCGAAATCCGTCAACCGTATATGATTGAGACGAGCATATTTAAACTAGACCTTCCACTTGTCACCTTTCCACACAGCACGACAGGGATGTCGAGAATTGATGCCTGAGCAAGCAAAGTGAAAGCTTGGCGTACGTCGACGGGTGATCAACTTTCACTCTTTCAGGCATCTGGACAGCAGTACGACTTTCCGTCAAATCACGACTAGATCGTGCGCAGTCTCCCAGTCCTAATACATCACTCGAATCACTTTGACAAGAGCGGCTCTTGTTTAACATCACGGAACCAACAACGTGTTCCAGAGCTTATTCATCTACCCCGCATCGTTCGCGCATCGCTACATACAAAATGCCACCCCGTTACTTCAAGAACGACGAGGCCCTTAGCAGCAGAGACCCGCACAAGCAGCTCATTGCTTCGCTCACTCGCCTGGTAGTCCAGCATCCGCCTGCTGAACTGCGTGCTGGCGGTGGCTTCTATAATGGTCCAACCAGTATTGCTTACCTGTTTCTCGTCCTGCAGCAGCTCTACTCGGATCTGATCATCGAGGGCATACAACTCGGCACTTGGTCCGCTACCTACCTGAAGCAATCTCAGGGTGAGTACCTGCCCACTCCATCGCTTTCCCAAGGCAGAAAGCACATGCGACACATGCCTATCGTTTTCTGGTCTTGTGCTAATTGCGCATACCCAGACCACATCAAATCATTCCCAGGCCCTCGCGTAGGCAAGTGCGGTATCGCCGATGATATCCTAGCACTTCTGGCCATAGGCGCAGCCAGCTCGAAAGATGCGGATATGGCAGCAGAACTCTGCGACTATGCTGCCGAAGTACTCGACCAGGACAGTGAAAATGAATGGCTATACGGACGCGCCGGCTATCTCTACTACCTGCGCCTGGTCAAGGCAGCATTCATAGATGACGCCAAAGTCTCGCAGATGATTGCTGACACGCAGGAAGATGTTGTCGAAGCCATTATGAAGTCGGAGAGACCATGGAAGTGGCACGGCAAGAGCTACGTTGGTGCAGTTCACGGCCTCATCGGCATCATCACACAGGTGACGCTGACCGACCCTGAGCGCTACGCAAGAGCTGTCGAGGCTGACCTCTCGGTCCTCCTGACGTATCAGTTCGACAGTGGAAACTGGCCCAGCAGTCTCCCTCCCGGTAAAGATAAGCTGGTGCAGGTATGCCATGGTGCCCCCGGAGTGGTCAGCTCTCTACTCTCAATCAAAGATCACTTCCCCAAGCTCTCAAGCAGGATCGACAGCGCGATCCGCAAAGGCAGAGATTGCATCCTGGAGCGCGGTCTTCTTACAAAAGAGCCATGCTTGTGCCACGGCATCTCAGGCAACGCTCTCGCACTCGACGAAGAACAATGCCAGCATTTCTTGACTTACACAACTGGTCACGAGATGAAGGGGCTGGAGAAAGATGGCTTGGTAGAGAAGTCGGACAATCCGGAAGGGCTCTGGGGCGGCGAGGCAGGGCGTGCATGGGCATGGGCGGTCATGGACAAGGGTCTGCCCAAGAGACTGCTTGGCTACAATGACATCTGAGAGATTGTGATGGACAATGACCACCAGCCTTTTGATTCGATCGATTGCAGTTGGAGGGAATCTCGGGCGTGTGTAACGACGGCAGCGGGCAAACGCACGCAAACACAGCTCACAGACGAGGCACAACGCGCGAGACAGCCGGCTGCAGGGGGCCCTGACTAGTGGTTTTACGACATGACGAATAATGCATCATAGAGGCAGGCAGATGGCTGGAGCTCCAGCAAGGCATGCCAGACGGGAGTTTGAAGATCAAACAGAGAGACACATTGACATGACGGTTGCTGGGTATATAGCACAAAGCAAGAACAGCGATGACGAAGTGATGATTGATGCACGACGTGTTTACCGTGTGCGCGTTGAGTGTTTGCGAAACATAATTTCCTTCTCCAACGTGATTCGACGCTACTGCGGCACGGACGTTGGATGATCGTATCGCGGGCCTCCTTTGGGGGTTTAGTTTGGGCGTTGGTTGGGGGGCAGCGCCGAGCAGCATTCCATTCGCATTCTCTTCGTCGAGCCTCTCCCTGACGACGACACACGCCGACCGACGAGGCGACCACGGACGCGATTCACCCATAGCAGCCCAGTATCTAACTGCAGTCATTCTTTCCAAGCACGCTTTCCTTAATCAACCTGTCGCTATCCGTTCACCCCCCGCTCACGACCCATTGAGCCTTCCTCAAGCCACCCACGAGATCGACAAAACGTGACTCGCACAAGACCGAGAGCACCTGCATTCTGGACCACCGAACCACTCGCCCGCCGCATGCCAATCCTCTCTCGTCTCGTTGACTAGCTACCGACCTTGGACACACCCAACAACCCATATTCTTCCATCATCCTTGCGTCCGCTCGACCGCGCCGCCGCCGTCCCCGACCAAGCGACGGAGAGCCGCGCTCAAGATGAGGTCGTCAAGATGCTTGTCGCGCCCTCTGGCTTTTGGCACTACTCTCGCTTCCCTCCTCTCTGTATCTACCGCCCGTAATTTCACCCAGGCCCCGTCACCGAATATTGATCTCTCTGGACTCGGCCGCGTCGCCCTAGCCGGTGACTTCGACTCAATATCTCTCTACACCTACCAGGGACAGACACAGAACGCAAACTTCGCCAATGGCAGCCAATATCTCTTCTCACAGTACCCCGACGCTTCCTTCCAGAGTCTGGCCCTCGCCGATGCCTTCATTACCACCATGTGCCCATTCGTCAGCGGCGGCACCCTGCAAGGTGTCGTTGTAGGTGGCAACTTCACCAGTCTCGGAGGCGTACCGGCTCAAGGCATTGCCCTATGGAACCCAAACACCACAAAGATTACGCCTCTGGACGGTCTCTCTGGTTCTGTATCTGCTGTATACTGTGACGACGAATCTTCAATGGTCTACGTTGGAGGTACCTTCACCGGAGGTAACTCGACAAATGCAATTGCCTGGTCTACAGGATGGACTAACCTCCCATTCGCTGGATTCAACGGTCCTGTCACTTCCATCACCAAGAGCTCAAACGGCTCCATCATCTTTGGCGGCTCTTTTGACGGTCTGGGCAACACCACAACACCCACAAACAAGGATGTCCAGGTCATCAACCTTTCTGCTGGAAACATCACCTCTGGCGCCTCTACGTCGACCACTGGCTTCAGCGATCCTCGCAACATCATTTGCCAAACCGGCGGTGACACTGCTGGAAACACCTGGCTCCTCGAAGACAACACTCCCGGTTTCTGGAGAGGCTCATTCGGCTTCGGCTTCAACCCCACCAAGCTGAGACTGTACAACACCAACCAGGATGGCCGCGGAACAAAGACCTGGCGCTTCACCGCTTTCCCCATCAACGGAATCATGAACTTTACTTATACAGATGAGAACGGCAGCTTTGCTTCCTGCACTGCCGACTGCCCTCTGCCTCAAGGCAACACCTCATACCAAGACTTCCACTTTGTCAACTCTGTAGGCATGAACGATTTCCGTATTGACATTTCCGCTTGGTATGGTGCTGGAGGTGGTTTGAGCGGCATTGAGCTGTTCCAGGACGACATCTATTCCTTTGCCATATCTACTTTCAATGAGCCTCGTTGCGATAGTGTTAGTACCGCTGGTGCCAACTCGACGGCCACTGGCCCATGGCTCCAGACAGCTTCTGGCTTGAGCACGTCTGACTATCTTACTGCCAACCTGAACGGCAGCGTCACTACCGAGAGTGCACAGATCGTCTTCATGCCTGATATCAAGCAATCCGGAAACTACTCGATCACTCTCTACACTCCTGGTTGTCTTCAGGACGGTACTTGCTCAAGTCGTGGGATTGTAAACATCACAGGATCCTTGACTACCGAGCAGGGTGCTATAAGTACCACTTTGTACCAGACCAACTATTACGACAAGTACGATCAAATCTACTATGGCTACGTCGATGCGGCCTCTGACTCTTTCCGTCCTGAGGTCACTCTGACGCCTGTCGCTGGTCAGAACACCCCCTTGACTGTTGTAGCTCAGCGGGTTCGCTTTGAGCTAGTCACTTCGACTGGTGGTCTAAATGGCCTCTATGACTATGATCCCAACGTCGCTACAGTTAACACCGACTTCTCAGCTTCAAAGGTCGACTCTGCTGCCATGACTCTGGATACCGGAGCTACAATCAATGCTCTTGCTGTCTACAAGGATGTGACATATGTTGCTGGCAACTTCTCCAACGGTGAAATTAACAACATTTTCAGTATTGGCAGCGAGAACGCCACCTCACTCCCCGGAGGCGGTCTCAACTCTGTCGTTCGAACTCTGTACCAAAATGGTTCCACAATCTATGTCGGTGGCAACTTCACCAACACAGTAACTGCTCAGACTTCCGGTCTCAGCGGTATTGCTGCTTTCTCCATCGACGACAACTCTTGGAAAGCGCTTGGTGCAGGTGTTAACGGTCCCGTATGGGCCATCGTTCCTCTGCAGCTTAACATCACTGGTAGAGATCAAGAAACTGTTCTTGCTGTAAGTGGCGCCTTCACCAGCGTGTACGCTGTTGGCAGCAACGCCACTTACTCTGCCAACGGTTTTGCTGCTTGGGATCCCTCCAGAGGCAACTGGCTTCATAACGTAGCTGATGCTACCGTTCGCTTGAGCGGAGGTCTGTTGGCGCAGACAACAGTAGCCGACTATGGCCAACTCCTCGCTGGCTCACTGGTCGCGTCGCAAATTGGTCTGAGTGATGCGGTAGCCCTCACTGGCTCTGGCAGACCTTCCATTTCGCCGCTTGGTATTTCCATCTCGGCTTCCGGAGAATCCTCTGCTATGCGCAAAAGAGCTACCACAAGTCAGAATGTCACCGGTGTCTCCACTGGATACTTCTATTTGGAAAACGGCAAGAACATGACTATCCTTGGCGGTCACTTCACTGCCAACTCGTCTGCCGGATCAACCATCAACAACCTCCTGATCATCGATAACACAAATGGCCAGAATGTTATTGGTCTACCCAACACCATTGATGCAGACTCTACAATTCTTGCGCTTGATGTTCGCGATACCAGTCTTTTCGCTGGTGGCTCCATCACTGGTTCGGCCAACGGAGACGATGTCAATGGTCTGCTTGTGTGGGATCTGTCTACTAGTGCGCTCGCTACTAGTCAGCCTGCCGCACTTGCCGGTAATTCTGTCTCTGTCCACGCCGTCGCAGCTCAGCCTGGTTCCTCGAATGTCTTCGTCGGAGGCAACTTTGAGAACGCCGGCTCCATGTCCTGTCCGTCATTCTGCATGTACGACACCTCAAGTGGTCAATGGATGCCACCGACTTCTGGACTTAGTGGTACCATCAACACCATGACCTGGAGATCGAATACCCAACTGATCGTAGGCGGTGATTTCACAACTGCCGGCAACAGAACCAAGCTGGCTCTGTACGACTCCAAGAAGCAGACTTTCACTGATCTGGGCGCTTCAGCCGAGCTTCCCGGTCCCGTCACCGCTATGACCCCTGCCAACCCCAACTATGATGCTTGGTGGGTCGCAGGTACTGCAGCCAACGGATCATCATTCTTGCAGAAGTTTGACGGCACCAATTGGCACATTGTGAACGGCTTTGGCTCCGCAAGTGCTATCAGAGGTCTTCAGATAATGTCTCTCACGGAGAAGCATCAGCTCACTGACCTCGTTCCCTCGAACGAAGTTTTGCTGATCACTGGTTCCGTCGAGCTTCCTGATAATGGTAATGCTAGCGCCGTGCTATTCAACGGAACCACTTTCCAGCCCTTCATCCTCACAACAACCTCCAACGGCGGACAAGGTACTTTGAGCGGCATGTTTGTACAGAACCCTAGCAACTTCTTGAGCTCCAAGTGTAAGCGATCCCAGTCACATTGTGCGATTGAAAAATGCTAACGATTCACTCATAGCCCACCATCTTGCCCTTGGCCTCGTGGTCTTGATCGGCCTTGCGATTGCTTGCGGTCTGACTTTCCTGCTGGTAGTTATCGGCATATTGGTCGAGCGCTACCGTCGTCGCAGAGAAGGTTATGTACCCATGCCTCAGCTAAGACCTGATCAACATGCCAACCTGAACCGCATCCCGCCAGAGAGTCTTTTCGGCACGTTAGAAAAGCGCGACACCGCACCTCGGGTGTAAGGCGAAGTTGACGAATCTGGAAAGTCGAATTCTTAAAATGTAGCGCGGAGTTTATGGGTGTTTTCTCTCCTTGTTATCACGATCAGTTCCTCTTCTCATCTTGAAGGAACTTTTGCAGCAAGACAATCGCTTATTACGTCTGTCGTTGATGCAGAAGCACAAACCTGTCGATATATCCTTGCGAGTCTCGGTTCACGCCTTGCTCTTATTTTCCTTCACTTCTGTACTATACCTCTTCCATCACACGATGGCCTTTTGGATTGTCTTTAGAGGATTCTTTTTCTTTCTTTTTTCTTCTCCAATTTTTCTTTGGTTCCTCTGTCTTTTATCATCCAGCAAACGGCTAGCCGTTGAGATTCTCTCGTTCAACCCCTTGAGGTCGGACCCTTTGTCATTTTTGTCCTTCCATCGCTTCTCTGCAAAGTAATGTATAGCGAGCAACGGCTTTGCTTCTTTTAGGGGATTGATTTCTATTTTGGTCCCCGGGGGAGCAATAAACTAATGATGAATGTTTACTTGTCTCTACATGTGTTTGCTGGTGCTGTGACGAATATTATGATTTGGCTCTTGCTTTTGCATGTTTATCCGTCTTCGAAGACCAATTGCGCCTTTCGAGCTCTCAAGAATAGATGGCGTTCTCCGAAGATGCGTCTTGCGCCAAGGCTTTTTTGGTTCCCGCTGCAGCCGCGTCCTGGGACTCCTGTCAATCCATCGGCCGTTTCGGTCTCATCCCTGTCTTTGAATGCTCCCCACTCATTCTTTTTTCTTTCTCGAGATCTTTGAGTATGCTCGACTAGGCTCTGTTTTCAAGTGCCAGAGATGTCAAGCATTATAGCCCGACGACTTTTATAGTCTCGCAGCAATTGACAATCAAAAGAGTCATGGTCACATGTACTCACTTCTCGCGCGGCCTGTTTTTTATTACAGCTTTGACCCAAGGGTTGGTTCTTCAATCACAATATGTTGGATGGTCAACGAGGAGATATTAGCGGAGAATAGACCGGATGCTCATCCCTTGTTTAGAGAGCAACTTATGGCTTGGAGAAAAGTGGCAAAGGACATATGTCCAGGGGATGTTGTGCTCTAATTCGTTCTTGGTACAAAGATATTACTTCTAGGTGGCTACTTTATAGTTATCTACGATTGTGGCACCAGTCCACCATGTTTCCACCTAGCAGAAATTAACCTTGCTTCTTCTTCAGACCATCATCAATGACCATCGGAGGCGCGGGAATCTCAACATCCTCAACATGCCACTCCATACCAATATATCCATCACTAACCACCTTGATCGAAACGACTCGCTCGCCAGCCGAAGGAGGCAATCTAATCTTACTTCTCGAGATCGGCTTAGGGTTGATCTGAGAAGCTTGCTTGTTGCCCTGACCAGCCACATGCCAAGAAATGCGCTTGAGAGCGAGTACTTCATCGGTCTTGGTGTCTGCAACGACCAAGAAGAAGCCCTCGGATTGAGGTTTGGGGAAGCGAGGTGCGTACATGTGGAACTCGCGGTTGAGAGCGGGGTTTAGACGAGCGACCGAAACACTAAGACCAAGTGCCGTGACGTCTGAAACATTGACACGCAATTGAGGCAGAGCGGACAGAGCCTTGAAAGCGCGTGGCTGTTGTGGAGGTGCGAGTGAGAGCTGCTTATGCAAGACCACCTCCATGTCCTTGCGCGATGTAGTGGTCGCCTCGACGAGATTCTTTGGCTTAGGCTTCTTGGAGGACGAAAGACGCTGGCGTTCTCTTGGAGGCTCAACACCAGGAATCATGGCCAAAGGACCATCCTCAGGCCAGCGAGCAGACTTGACACATTGGAGCAGAGTGATCATCATACCACAACTCGAGTTGAACCCAAGCTCCGTGAGAACATCGATAGATGCCTGCAAGATACGAATTGCCTGATCAAGGACCGAGGTCTGATCACCGACGTAGTCCGAGATGGGAAGGTCGATGCGCGAGAAGTGGGCTTGAAGGAGAAGGAACGCCTTGACGTGGGGATCCCACATTGGCAGTCCCGACATGGCATCCTCGGCATTCAACGGCAGATTGGCAGACAACTCTGCATTGATCAAATCTTCATTGTGGCGCACGGGGAGCTCATCGTATTCAGTCGCACCACACATCCAGGCGAGAACTTCTGCGAAAGTAGCGTTCGGCTTAGCATGCTGGATCAGATGACGGATAGTCTTGTGAGCTAGATAGTAGTAACTCATAATCTTTCCCAGTGGTGTTGGGTCAACGTCTCCATTGTTATGAATAGTGACACAACCAGAGTCGGCAAGTTCAGAGAGCGACTTGTCAACCATCTCGACCATGTAATCGTTGGCGTATTGCTGAGCGGTCATCGTGTTGTGCTCCTCTGCCGAGATCTCCAGACCATAGTACGAAGGGTTCTTGTGTAGTCTTCTGAAGAAGAATGTCCAAGTCAAATAGTCAAGAGCATCTTGCTTAGTAGCGATAGTTTCTGCAGACACTTCGGCGCCCAAATGGTTGTCCAAGACGTTGTGGAGCGACGACTCGACTGGGAAACCAGTGTGCAGGAAGTGCTTGTAGAATGCTTTCTTGGCATCTTGTGTGAAGATTCGGGCGATACCTGAAGTGTCGAATTGAGGTCTTCCAGCACGACCAAGCATTTGCAGGACATCGGTGAGATCCATGTCTTTGTATGCCTCTGTCTTTGCGTCGAAGAACTGTGTGCCCTTGACAACCACAAGATGAGCGGGCAGATTGACACCCCAAGCCAAGGTGCTGGTGGCGACAAGGACCTGAATCTTGTTGTTGGCGAATAGCTCTTCCGCCAACGACCTGTCTGACTCGACAAGACCCGCATGATGCAGACCAATACCAAAGCTCAGCGACTCACGCAGAGCGTCGTCCTTCACACGATCCAGATTCAGAGCGAGATCATCCTCTGACATGCGTACGAAGCGACGAGGGTTCTCTTCCATACCACAAAAATTGATGAGATCGCGAGCTGTCAGTCTGGTCTGACGACGAGAGGCAACAAAGACGATAACCGGCTTGTCAGGAGAGTGAGACTTGATGGCAAGGAAGGTTGGTCGGTTCATCGATTGCATGAGCGGGCAGAAGCCCTTCTGCTCAGGGAAGCCATCAATGTAAATCTCCAAGGGTACAGGTCGCACAGAGTGTCGGAAGTTGAACAAGCCTTCCTTGACACCAAGCCAATTACCCAAGTCGGTGGCGTTGGCACAAGCAGTCGACATACCCACGATACGAACGCTTCCCTTCTTCTGGGACGCAATGTAGTTCATTCTGGAAACGATGATCTCCAGAATAGGGCCTCTGTCACCGCCGAGCAGATGAATCTCATCGATAATGACCAGACTGACCTGACGTACGTAGTCTCTGGTCTGCCAACTACGACTGATACCATCCCACTTCTCGGGAGTTGTAATGATTATGTCAGCGTCACGAATTGTTCGGGTATCCGGTGTGTTGTCACCGGTCAACTCGACGAGCTTCAGTCCCATTTGCTTGGTCAAGCGACGGCCCCAGTCTTGGACTCTCTCACGAACCAGAGCTTTCATAGGTGCAATGTAAACGACCTTGGACCCTGGCTTTTCGCGGAATGCCCACCACATGGACAGCTCTGCAGCAACTGTCTTACCACTACCAGTTGGAGAACCCAGCAACACATTGGCTGATGTATGATACATGCAGTGGAATAGTTGCGTTTGCATAGGATTGAAGAATTGGAAGCGCTGGCTGTAGATCTCTTCCAACAAAGGATTCTTGAGCGCAGCGATCGGCAAAGGCTGCAGGTTGAGAAGATCGGTGTAGACACTCTCGGTATCAGGTCGAATGAGATGCTGGAAAGATACTGGAGTAACGGTCTCAGCTCCGAGCCATCGATCAGAGACAGCGCGTACATAAATTTGCGACGGGAGAGGATCTGTTAGTGGAATAGTGAAGCTCAGCTCATGATCATCGTAGAGCTTTCTTCTCGAGAGGATGAAGTACTCGTGATGGTAGATTTCCGAGGTCTCAGAGTTCTCGACCCAGATCCAGTACGATTCAGACTTGCCGTGATGCTTCTCGTTCCATCTGAAGTCAGGTGTGATGTATAGATGGATACGAAGCACGTCTCTGTTCAAGGGTGCAATTTCGGCCTCAACGGTGAGAGTGGGGAAGTTGTCAAGCAGCTTTGCAATTGTGTAACCCATCTTGTTGTTGTGGACAAGGTGACCGATTTCTGCTGGCTCCATATCTCTCAATGCTTCAATCGACGTAGTCGAACCCTTCTCATCCAGGTTCTTCATGACTGCATGCGGGATGTCGAACTGATGGAAAGGGTGTTGATATGCCCAGACTCGCTTCTCGATTGACTTGCACATCGATAGCAGGACGAGACATTGATAACCCCAACGTCTGTTCAATGCGATCATGAACAATGCCCTACAAATACGAGCCGCGTTCTGGGCCACGTAAGAGGTATCTGACACCAAGGTGAAGTCTTCAAGACGAGCCCTGGAGATGTATGATTGCAGAAGAACATTGGTCTTGCCTGATTGAGAACCGATGCCACCTTCAATGTCGCATGGAGCAGATTCATCTTGGAGACGCAACAACTCCTTCTCTTCTGGCTCCTTAGATTGGATGTTGTCGAACTCACCACTCATACTGATCATCTTGAGAACATCTGCCTCTGTAGCCTGGGGTCGCATCATAGTATTGAAGATTTCCACGCTTGTCTGCAGGACATAGTATTGACTCGCAATTCGACCTACATCTTTTGCGCGGAGTTCCTCGGTTGTCTCGTTGAAGATGATCATCTGACTTTGTTGCAAGACCCTGGCAGCCTTAATGATCAGTTCGCGACGTCTTTGCACAAGCTGTGGATCGTCTCGGATCTCAGACCATTCAATACCGTATGCCATGGGGTTCCGTTGCATACGGACGAACAGGTAAGAGTAACCAAGCCATTGGACTGCCTCTGAGACCGAAGTCACCGTACCCAAAGAGATCTCGGCATTGAGATTGTCGACCATCTTCTTTGAAAAGTTTGACTCGATCGGTTGCTGTTGAGTAACCGCAGTGAGATAGTGTTGAATCTTATCTTGAGTAGTGCAGATGAAACCTATACCAGTGTCCTGGAACTGGGGGCGACCGGCACGTCCGAAAATCTGGAGGACATCAAGAATACCAAGATCAACGAACTTACCTGCCTCTGCACTATAAAGCTGAGTGCCCTTGATTACGACAGCGGCAGCTGGTAAGTTAACACCCCAGGCGAGTGTGGCGGTACAGCACAACACTTTCAACACTCCGTCGGCGAACAGACGTTCCATGAGGTTTCTGTCCGAGCGAGGCATACCGGCGTGATGAGTTCCAAAACCCTTGGGCACAAGTTCTCTAAGCTCACGGCCCTTGGACGTTTTGAGGTCGCGCAAGGCTTGTTGGTAGTTCTCATGGAAGGAAGGATCGAAGAGATCGGTGCATCCTTCGTCCGTAGCCATCTCATACATGGTCTTGGCAGTTTTCCATGTATCTTTGCGAGAATGTACGAAGACCATGACTTGATGTCCTCTTTCCAGCATGTCGCGTACCTTCTCAAACGCGACAATCTCCAAATTCTCTCGCGAAGTCTTGCTGCCAGCTTTGCCCTTGACTCCAAGGAAATGTTGTTCAAGAGGCACTGGTCTGAAAGAACCATCAAAGTAGAACAATCCAGCCATTCGATTGACCTTGAGAAAATCGGCGACATCAACATAGTTGGGGAGAGTGGCAGAAAGACCGACGATGCGGATCAGAGATTGTGTGCTCTCAACCTGTCGTTCGGTGCGAGCAACAAGCGACTCAAGCACAGCACCTCGCTCGTCATGAAGCATATGGACTTCATCAATGATCAGGAGACGAACTTTTTGAACAAGCTCGGTATCTCCAGTGCTCTTTCTTGTGACGACGTCCCACTTTTCCGGCGTGGTCACAATGATCTGAGTCTGTACGATCTCGGCTTTGGTAAGGTGCATGTCTCCAGTAAGCTCACGACATTGGATGCCGAGCCAGGCAAGTCTTTTGCCCAATTTCTCTGTAATTTCTGCAGCCAGTGCCTTCATGGGAGCGACATAGACGATCTTGAAATCATTGAGTGAGACTGCAAGATCGGTAGCATCTGGGTCATCGGATGGGCTTGGTGTAACATTCTTGGCAATGGTGTTGAGAATGGTCAACATAGCGGCATCAGTTTTACCAGCACCAGTAGGTGCACAAATCAGCATGTTCTCGCTGGTCCTGTATGCCACTGGATACACCAGACTTTGCATGCGATTCAAGGACTTGTAACCTTTGAAAGTCCTTTGACAGAGCGTGTCCATGTCTTTGATGTCGACAAGCGATTGACCGATACCCAAAGTACCGACCTTCGCAGGGGGAATTGAGTACTCTTCATACTTTTCGTGCTCTGTACGCTCACTACCCAGTGGCAGCATATACTTCCGACCATGCGAAGAAAGCATGTTTCCTGCATCGTGAGCTCGATAAACGTGGGGATATTCAGTGTTCGAGCGATTCTGAGCAGCGGCTAGAGTGGCAGTCTTGTGTTTGAAATCCTGCTGTTGGAGAGCCTCTTCTCTTTCACGGCGCGTAAGAATTCTACCGTCAGACTGACTTTTTGCAGGGGCTTGCAAGGCCGAGGAGATGTCTTTTCTGTGGGCGATGAAGTCGGCCACCAGGTCCAGTTCATCGAAGCCCAGAGTATCTGCGAGAAGCATCTGAAGCTCATCATCGCTGCTGTCCGAGCCAAGTATGGCGACAACATGATCTTGCAACTCGTCGACACTCATTTCCGAAGAGACATAGGAAAGTCTTTCGTGTAGCCACGCCGGACCATATGCTGCGTGTGCTGTTTCAGCCTGCACAGGATCTGAGGAGTCACTAAGAGACGCTTCATCCTCTTCGTCGTCATCATCATCAACAAGGTCCCAAATATCATCATCACTCGTAGGTTCCGAAGATTCTTCTCCATCTGTCCATACATCCTGGCCGTAAGCCGGCGCGTCTGTTTGGGGCAGTTTCAGTTCGGCAATGGCAGCCCGCATAGCGCTAAGCTGAGCCAGCCATTGAGTCTCGGCAGCCGACATATTAACACGGTCCAGGCGAGTAGGGAGGTGGATGGGTGTAGGGCGGTGGTGGGGTGCGTGGAGGAGAAGGTGGCGGCGTGTAGTGTTGGGGGTGTTGGGGGTGGCGGCGGGAACGACGAGGCTCGCGAAGTGCACTCTATGCAGCAGTGACGGCAGGTGCGACGGAGATAACAATAGCAAATACGAGGATTGCGATGGACGAATACATTAGGTTGCTGGGAAAGAAGCACTTTTTGGTGGATATCAAGCATGCATGACGCAGTCGATTGCGGTTACTATTTCGGGACTAGTCTTTTTCCAGCACTAACACCGCCGTCGTCTTCCGTGCATGCTAGACGCTATGCACCTGGTTGTGTATGTGCCCAGTATTGTCTAGAACGATAAAAGATCCCAAGAATTGGTCATGTTATAGAAAATCATTTCTGCTAAGTAGGTAGCCATGCGATGGCTCTCACGATCTTAACGCGGAAAGATCGGGCAAGACGACCCCGAAGTCCTTCGCGATGTGCAGCAACAATTTCCCCACTCAACCTTTAGTGTAAACACAAAGTCATCAATCGAACAACATGGTATGTCTTGTCTGAACAATGCGTTGCTGCGGAGCTTACCAAAGCGACACAGGAAAGTCCTCATGAACATCAGCAGAACGTTCTGCTCTCTCGCATAATTACCAATGTCGTAGGTCAGCATGCGCAGCGGATTGATATGCCAACGCTGACAACTTCAACAGGAGAAACTGAATGAAGCGGTCATGATGTTGAATAAGAGCTTGCAGGTAGGCCACTTCCTGCCGACGTGTGCTCTCAATGTAAGCTAAGCCAACAACAGGAGATCAACATCAACAACATGGATGTTGAGCTTGTCGCTCAGATGTTTAAAAACTATCAATCAAATGTGCTCTTCCACCTGGAAGGTAAGTTGCAATTTAGCTCTTGATCTCTGAGATGTCATACACTAATTCTGTTAGCGACGGACAATCTTCGCGAAGCATCATGAGAACACTCTGATCTGATTTGGACACAACAGTCCACATGTTTCCTGCAAACTGCGTAACAAACAACCTTCCTATACGGTCTGCAATCACTCTAGTGATCTGCCGGACAGCTATTCAACGTCCATGCTATGCTCCGTACCCACAAGAGTATCGCGTTCCGATGTATGCAGCACGAGCCTAGTTTGCTTACTGAGCAAAGAACCTTACTTCTGGCAGTGCAGACGGGATCCTCGGGCCACGATGTCAGCAACGGCTCCAAGGAGCTGCTTCCTGGATCGCTTCAGGCGACGAAGAGCCTCGTGCGGGTATCTGAGCAAGCAGGGGCCGAATCAGGAATGAGGTTGTTGTGTCTGGAAGACAAATCCAGAGTAACCACGATAGGTTTCAACTGAGCTAGGTGATGTGACCAAGCTTTCGAATGTGTTCATCCATATATCTCATGTTTCCACAGTCAATACACGCAAATGTTTGAGATACATGCCAAAGAACAACATGAGTGATAAAACTGCACGAAGGTAACCGTGCTTTGACAACAGGATATAAGTGCTTTTGGTGGCAGGTGTATGGGGTGCGGGTATGTGACAGGGTTGTGGGGGAAGCAAGGACACAAAGGCGTCGACGAAGCGCGTCAACGTTCAAGACAGTCGTCGCATCACAATGCAATAGACACCAAGTCAGCATGGTGTACCGCGTATACGATATCAAGAGCGAGGCTCCGAGCGGTCGCAACACTCCGCCAGCGCGACCGGCCCAACCCTACCACGTCAGCGATCCCCCCTACGAAGGCTACCATGCTGTCGAGCAGAGCGCATACCGCAGCAGCGCTCCCGACAGCGCCATAGTCATCGACAATGGTATGGCCTAGTCTTGTCGCGGTCTGTTACACCTGCAGAAACTGATCTGGTCGTCGTTTAGGCTCATACAACATCCGCGCCGGATGGCAATCCGACCGTAGCCCACGCCTGTCCCTACCGCCGCTCATGGCTCGATACACGGATCGCAAGCTAAACCGCAAGCTCAACTTCATCGGCTCGGAAATCTACTTCGATGGCACAGCTCGAGGTCAAGCCAAAAATCTGTACGAACCCGGAAGCAACATCATCAACAACTGGGACGTCCTGGAGGGTGCTTTGGACTACATCTTCATCAAGCTAGGCATTGACGGCTCTAAGGGACACGTCGATCGCCCCGTTGTCATGACTGAGCCCTTGGCCAATCTCCATTACTCCAAGCGCACAATGTCCGAAGTCCTCTTCGAGCTGTATGGTGTGCCCTCGGCTGCATACGGTGTCGACTCTCTTTTCTCCTACGCACACAATGGTGGTCGCACGGGGCTTGTTGTCTCATCATCATACACGTCAACTCACCTCGTTCCCGTCGTTGACAAGAAACCACTCTTTGCACAGGCCACGCGACTGGATTGGGGTCGTTCACAATGCGCCGAGTACCTCAACAAGCTGCTACGCGCAAAATACCCAGCACTGCCCGGCAAGATCAACGACACCCAGATCGAAGACTTGGTTCGCCAACACTGCTACGTTTCTCAGAACTACAACGGCGAAATGGCAAACTATCTAGATTGGACTGGTCTGGAGGACCGCGATGTAATCGTTCAACTGCCCTTCACGGAGAAAGAGGTGGTTCAGAAGACCGAGGAAGAGCTCGTCAGAGCTGCCGAAAAGCGCAAAGAGAGTGGTCGACGACTACAAGAACAAGCTGCCAAGATGCGCCTCGACAAACTGATTCGCAAGGAACAAGAGCTGGAGTACTACAAGGATCTCCAGGAGAAGCTTACCACGGCCACCAAGAAGGATATACGCTCCATGCTTGAGGCTGAAGACTTCAACAACGAAGCTCAACTGGAGCGCAAGATCAAAGATATGGAGCGTTCAATCCGGAAGCAGAGAAACAAGGATGTTGGCGACATTGACGAGCCCGAGGAGGTTCCAAGTTATCCCTTGCTTGACATTGCAGACGAAGACCTTGACGAGGAAGGACTGAAGCAAAAGCGTCAGCAACGCTTGGTGAAGTCCAATCACGACGCTCGTGCTCGTGCAAAGGCTGAGAAGGAACGTGAAAAGGCCAGAGTCGCAGAAGAGGAGCGTTTAGACGCTGAGCGCCGGGAGAATGACACTGAAGCCTGGCTGGAAGAGAGGAGAGTTGCACGTCAGAACATGGTTCAGCGCATCAAGGAAAGAGACCGCCTTAAGGCTGACCTTGGGAATCGCAAATCACTCGCGAGTCAGATTCGCATGAAGAACATCGCCAATCTAGCATCTGACACCCCCAAGAAACGTCGCCGAGGCGGAGACGATGACACCTTCGGTGCAGACGATGCCGACTGGGGTATCTACCGTCAAATCGCCACTGGCGATCAGAGTGATGATGAAGAGGAAGAAGATCTCGGCGCCAGTCTCAAGGACATCGAGGCACAACTTCTGAAGTACGATCCGACATTCACAGAGCAAAGCACACAAGAGGCACAACAAGACTGGACCAAGAGTGTTCTTCACTCGTTCCTACGTGGACCTTGGCCTTTTGATCCCGAGAGCCAGAGAGAGCTCAATCAAATACATCTCAATGTGGAGCGCATCCGCGTGCCCGAAGTCATATTCCAGCCCGGTATCGCGGGTATTGATCAGGCAGGGATCGTCGAAATCGCCGAAGACATCATCACACAACGCTTGTCCGGCTCTTCAAGGCGCGACGACATGCTCAAGGACATATTCTTGACGGGAGGTTACACCCACTTCCAGGGCTTCGAGGAGCGTCTGCGTAATGAACTGCGCGCTGTATTGCCTGCGGACATCGCTCTCGGCGTACGTAAAGCCAAAGACCCCGTTCTCGACGCCTGGAGAGGTGCTGCTGAGTGGGCCGCTAGTCCGACGTCAAGAAAATCGTTTGTGACACGAGCGGAATATCACGAAAAGGGAGCAGACTACATCAAGGAGCACGATCTGGGGAATGCAGCTTTTTGATAGTAGATGCAGGTGTGCAGTAGTTTTAATTCCAGATGGGGCTCGGCAAGTGGCGTTCATGGGCGCAATATGAAGTTGCATGGTGATACCCGTTTTTTCCTCGTCTCAGACGACTCTGACGATTCATGGCGCACCAATTTTTAGTTTATTACTGCAAAAACATGCATGCGACCAAAACTCGACAGCCCTATTACAGTGCCTAATGTTATAAATGAATACAACAGGCTTCCAATCATATTGACTGAACTTAGTGCCCAGACCGCCAGTCGTGTGGAAAGCAATCACAATTTCATTGCCGAGAATCTGAAACGCCACGAAACCACTCGTGACTTTTTCTTGACAGGCAATTAGCTCACACCCTGCGACGTGTTTGAGACGGCGCGCCTTTGCGAGAGATCGTCAGGGCCTCTCAGATAATGGCGCAGGTCAGCTCGACCCTGTGGGCGTGCTAATGTGCGTCCCGTGCCAATAGCCAAACACGAGTAAGCACAGATGGGGCGAGCCATAAATTGGACGCAGGTACCAATGCACTTTGATACCGCGTGGGTTTTGTAAGTTGCCGATGGCGAACAGCGGTAAGCATGGGTTCCTCTCGCGAACCTGATTCTTCTTCTCGTCTTCTCCAGAAACAATCGTGAGACGCTTCACACGTCCGTCCTTCCTTCCCCAAGGCTTCCAACCGATTTTGCTCAGTCAAATCAACCTGCTGTCATTTCAATCTACCACTGTTCATTCTTTCTTTGCCTTCTTCTGGTCTTACTCGGCGGGCGTGAAGCGATACTTTCTGGCAGGTCCAATAGTCTGGAAACCCTGGCGGTCTTTTACCCTTACAACTAAAGCTCTACCACCGCAAGTCGCGTGTCACGAGTAATGGGTTTCTTAGAAAGATCGCGGTCCCTACGCCGTAAAGAGACACCATTCATGCGCCAGAAACAGAACGAGACGTTACAGCAATCGAAAGACGTCGAGGTGGAGAAGGATGTGCAGCGCGACATCAGAAGTGCCCACAGCAACAAAAACTCAACATGGAAAGAATCACGGGCATCGGGATCATCACGACCTCCAACTTCTAGCAGAGCTCATACACAGGAGGCGTACCCAGAGATGCCACCGCCAACCTCAACACGAAACTTTCCAGATCCCAGCAGCTTCAAGTTACCCAGTGGACCATCAAGAAGAATGTCGATGACTCCATCGCCACGAACGACTACGAATAAATTGACTCTTCATGCTAATCATTCCACACCCGGTGTTGCGTATGAAAGTCCGCGGAGTTTCAAGCGGTCCATGACTACTCCGATCAGCCCACTCCCTATGGCAGCCAAGAAGGAGGACAAAACAGCCGAAGCAGTCTCTCAAGCTAAGAACGAGATAGCATCTCCTGCTCCTCGTAAGGAACCTCACTTGCGTAAATCAAAATCTGGAACATGGAGATCTTTCTTCTCCAGAAAGCAATCCAAACCACCACTTCCAGACTTCAACCCCGCGGATATCGCACCACCTCCGGCACTTCCCAAAGTGCTCTCGAAGAAGTCGGCGACTTCGTCAAAAGACGCTCTACCAACACCTCCTGTCAAAGACGGCAAGAAGCTTGACCGAAACTCGATTTCTGTAGACAAGACACGGGGTATGCAGAGCCAAACCAGTACTCGAGCACAATTCACCAAGAGCATGGGCGATCCGTCAGCACTACCCCAATTGAAAATGGCGAATCTATCGGTACTGGAACCATCGTCACGATCATATGCACGAAGCCCTAGTGCAGAGTCAGCAATTTCACAGTACTTTGACGCCGCATCGTACAATAGCGGCTCCTCTTTACCTGTGACCCCTCTTGAGGCGCCGACTCAGCGAAGACTCAACGTCAACATACCTGCTGTTGAGATGGAACGCTACAGCGTCATGTTCGAGAAACTTCTCAAACCGCAGACATCACTCATGGAAAGGCGGCAGACGATGGTCAAGCAATTGGACCTTCCAGATCAACCATCAGGAAGAGTAAGCCCTGAGTTCGCGAAGTGTGTGAATGAACTTGAAGCTAACGATAGAAACAGCTTGCTCCCGAATCTCCTGCCTTGCAACGTCGCGCGACATCTCCTAATCTCAGCTGTCGCACACCAGTCACTGCTGAAATGATTGGAGGCGAGTCCCAGGTCGCCACGCCAGTGCCAATCTACCGTACCGCGGACGCACCGCGCCTTTTGCGATCGCAGACCGCACCATCAGGAGCACCGATGGCCTCACGCCACGGCTATGAACAGCAAAACCAGGCTCTCAGCACTACCAACAATTCTTCTGCATGCTCTACCAGTTCACGAATGTGGAGTGATGCATCCCAACCACAAACGCCAACTTCCGATACGGAATCCTTTATCAGTTTTGATGTTAATGATGATGAAGATGACAGTGGTGATGAAGATGACCACGATGATACTACAATTTATATCCACGATGCCGTGGCAATGCAGGCAACTCCTTTGTTCAAGGACCCTCACTGGAGAAACGACACACCTGTCATGTCTGCTCCACCAATCCCACCAAAGGCACTGGGTCGTCGAAGCCCACCTGCTTACGAGCCAGAGCAAAAGGAAACCATGATTGCTCGACCTCATCCTCCACGTACCAGCTCCCTTGATGACAATGCTGCGAAACGCAAGACTGTCATCGGTCCTCAGATCGGCATTGCGAGAAAGATTTCTGTGGTGCGCAGGGGCACTCCCGGTGGCCTGACTGTACCCTCTCCTGCAAAGGCGAGGTCCCCGGCTGCTCTCGACCCAACTGCGCCAATGCCAGTATTCAGCAAGCAACCATTGCGTCCTAAGCTTGTGGATGTACGAAACCGCAAGAGTACTCTGGTCGTACTTGACGAAGCCTAGAAAGCTTCATGCCTTCGGGATCGCGTGCTGCACGCTATACTGGAGCCTCACGACATCCTGCTCCTACCATGATCCTTGTCATCAAAATTTCGATTCGATCCTCCGGAGCTTGGAACAGCCCACTTGGAAGGCATTTGCCCGTCACAATCGCTACTTTCATCATCATCATCATCTTCATTTTCTTTCCTTGTATCTCTCCTACCAACTTATAATGGCTGTGCCTTTTTCCCCAATCGCTCTTTCCGTATTGGTTCCAGCACAGCAACAACGAGCCAGCAAAGACTTGGTCTCAAAGCTGATAGCTCCTTCCCGCTGTCTTGAAGACAGTAGGATTTCGATTCTTATACCCTTCGTTTTGTCCGTTTTTCTTATCCCACTCTTTCCTCCGAAATTATGTATGAAGCCATCTGAAACATGTAGAATATTCTTTCATCACAATACATTGTTAACAATCACTTCCATTTGCCTATTGAGTGATCATATAAAGGAGAATGCAGACGTTGAAGTGGAGGCGGAGGAGGAGGATGAGGTATGTTTCTCACGATTCTGGTTGATCAAGTTCCTAACTTTGACAGGACGTCAGCGAAGAATCGTACCTTGATGATGGGCTGGATGCCGAGTAAGAGTTTGGATAGGACAACCATGCCAAACGATAACTGCGAGGACGTGAACAAGGAAGTCCAAGATTGTCCAGGAATACAAAGACACATAGGGTAACAGAAAAGTGGTTGTTTTACTGCTGTACACGACGCCAAACTATTCCCACACCCTTCTCTTCTTGGCCTCTGGCTTAAAACTCTCATCAGCAATATGTGGCCCAGTCTCACACCCTTCACTATCCCCAAGCTCGTTACAACATTCCCACATGAAACCTTGCGGATACTCATCTGCAAGATCCAAGTCAATAGTGCCGTGGATCTCCTCATCATGATCGGCCCAGAAATCACCGTCCCAATCGACTTCAAGTTCGCCTTGCAATGATGGTCAGTTACCTTCTACTACAATGAAATGTGGTGATTGGATTTCTGCTGTTACCTGTGTGGTGTTGACAAGCTTCGTCGTCGTTTTCGGTAATGTCAAATTCTTCTTTGCATTGCTCACATATGGCGTAGCGAGATCTCTTGACACCATTGGTTGCTTGTGTAGGTATGTCGTCATCGTCAGTAAGGTCGATGACAGTGGTTGATTCGGCGGCCAGAAGCTCTTCTTCAACAAGAGCACGCGCCTCAGGCGACGCGTCGCATACTTGTTTGAGCAGACTCTGGAGTCGGCTTAGCAGTGTGTGGTCAATAGCATGATCCAGTTCTGCGGAAGGCATGTTTGATAATAATTACGTCGAGATTAGAAGGATAATTGCTGACCACCGGGGGACGCGTCGAGGAACGGATGTTGGAGTCCTGATGCCTCGGCTTCCAGGGTCCAGCTGAGCGAGTCTTGAAACTTGGTCATTCTTTGGAAAGAGCGATTCGTCCGAGTAATTTCTCACTCGAATGTGCTCTAGTTGGGCCATATAGAATGCTGGTCGTATTTCTGTCATGATGGATGGCGGCACGCGATGCATGGGCACATGTGAACAGGAATAGAAGCAAGGAAAAAGACATGGGTATCATTAGGGATGCTACATGACAATGCAGCAAGAGTTCTGCTTCTTGGCCTGTTTGGTGATGGAGTCAGCATCGTGTCGTGTGTGTGTCAACAAGTTGTAGCAGAGGAGAGATGCATACCTGTGTGTAGAACATCTTGCTCTGAGCACTGAGGCCATCACTCTTTGCGACGAGGTTGTCAATCTTCTCACCACGCTCCAGCACACTCTCAATAGTCTTGTGCAGCACAATCTTTGTCTCGTCCAACTCCTTTTGGATCTTCATGATGCTGTCGGCGGCATGAGGGTCCTGGTACTTGACGATATACTCCTTGAGAGCAGGGAACGGCAGCTCTGCATTCGAGTTTGCAAAGGCGGTGCGAGGGTAGCGCGAGAGGAACTCGTCCAGGATCTTTGAGAGCAGTTGGTGGGCGACGAGGGCGGGGTATTCCTGGTCGGAGATGATGATGCCGGCGACGCCTTCGCTGCGGCCATAGGCGTGGAAGGTGTAGGACTGCTCTTCGACGTCTTGTCGTTGGCCCGGCTTTGTGCGCTCGGCGACCGTCTTTGTAAAGAGCGACATGAACTCGCCGACACTGGAGCGGGTGAAGCGGGAGTAGCTGCTCAGGTCGCGTTCGGCGCACAGCTCGACGGCCGGCTTGCTTTCGTTCTTTAGGATCTGTCATGTCGTCAGTCTTGTGATCCTCGTACACCGTCGGCGCCACTCTGCATACGCCAATATAGAGAATCTTCATTTCGTTGTCGAGGATTGTGTTTATGTCGAACGCTGCCTAGGGGCGGCGCCGCATATCCATCCAAGTCATGCCAAGCCCTCATCTCCCCCAAGATTCACATGTCGTCAGAGTCACCCTCCAGTCATCTCAAATACATATTATTCTCATGACGACTCACAGTATGATCGTCACATGGGATTGGTATGACCGAAAGTAATAACAATTGTTTATTGGGTATCCACATCTTGTCAATTGTAGACACGATATATCTCCTCGTCATGTTGCCAACCGCAAGCCCTCTACTCGTCTAAGCACCCTCGCTACCGAATTCTGCAGTCCATTCCGCATTATGCTTCAAGTCCTCCTGACTGACTGTTGGTCTCGATGCCTTGATTGCCTTGATAAAGTCCTTGACCATGAGCGGAGGCTCGAGCAGCTTGTCTGTATCAACATCCATCCATGTCATCTCTGTTGCGCCTTGGTCGCCTGGTGAACACGGTGTGAGCTTCTCTTGCCCATCGACAGTGACCTGATAAGAGAGTTAGTACCATGAGTGTATTGAGGAGGATTCACAGTGACAAACCTTCTTGTAATGCGTTGCCATTTGAATCTTTCGTACGGGTTGCATCAAAGCGTCCTGTACCGCGATACTGATATCACTTCCGGAGTAGCCCTCGCTGTATTGCGCCAGAGTTCTGTAGTCCTCTGCCTTCATCTCGCATGGCGTTGATCCAACAGCCAGTTCAAACATCCGTGTTCTGGCCGGCAGATCGGGCAAGCTGATGTGCACTCTCCTCTGGAAACGTCTACGAATGGCAGAGTCGAGTTGCCAAGGAATGTTGGTAGCTCCGAGAATGAGGACGCCCTTTGAATCGCGACCGACACCATCCATCTGCACGAGGAGTTCCGTCTTGATACGTCTGGAGGCTTCTGACTCGCCTTCGCCTCTAGGACCACAAAGTGCATCAATCTCATCAATGAAGATAATTGACGGTTTGTTTTCTCGCGCCATGTTGAACAGCTGCTTCACGAGACTTTTGGATAAACAGTCAGCTCATTATGCTGTATGTCTTGGGGGAAGGATCAAAGACATACCGTTCACTCTCACCCATCCACTTGCTTACCAAGTCACTACTGCTGACACTGAAGAAAGTGCTGTTTGCCTCTGTGGCAACAGCTTTGGCAAGATATGATTTACCAGTACCGGGAGGACCGTAGAGCAGGATACCCTTCCACGGTTGACGTTTGCCGGTGAACAGATGGGGGAACTTGATGGGCAGGATGACAGCCTCTTTCAAAGCCTCCTTTGCACCTTCCAGACCAGCCACGTCCTCCCACTTGATGTTGGGCTTGTCGGTCAAAATGGCACCAGCGAGAGCACCCCGCAGCTTCTTAGACTCGGGATCTTGTTCATCATCGTCGTCCCTAGTGTGGTCAGCGTTTGGGAGCGGGTGTCCAGGTGGGAGAACTGCTCACTTTCCCTTGGCTGCACCGTTGGAAGCCTTTCCGTTCGCACCCATAGCACTAGGCTTCTTACGATTCGTGTCTTGTTCAGCGAGATGATTCTTGAGTTTCTCAGCTCTTTCCATGTATTCGGCAGCCTTTGCGCGGATCATCTCCTTGGACTTTGCGTTCTTCTCCCCTGTTGTACGTGTTAGCAGTCTGCGGATACGCGGGCACCAGGCCGAAACACACATTTCAGAGCGAGCATGAACAGTTCAACTAGGCCAGAGTTAGTGTCGGTCTGTTGGGGCAAGAGCGTCTGAGTCGCATTGGCACGTACGAGCTGCGTAGTATTGTTGGTAGGCCTTCTCGTACTCGCCAGCGGTGTCCTGCTCAATGGCCTTCTTCACCACATCGATGGCACGGCCCAAGAAGTCGGTGTTGCTCATATTGAATGTCGTATGGAGGGGTAGAGTCGCGTTGCGAGGAAGGCGTGGTGACGTGTGACACTGGGTAGGCTGGATCTGCGCTGCACCGGTGACTAGGCGTTTGTGCTGGTAGTGGGCGACTCCCTGCCTGTAGTACTCTCAAGACGATACGAAAGGCGAATGATTGGACTACGGTCGGCTCGTAGTCGCAAGATGCGATTGTGTACAAAAGAAGAGAGGACGATCAATCAATGTCGCGAGTCGAGACGTTCCCCGCCGTCGCCCGTTCGAACTTCCCCACAAATCAACACGCAGGCTTCCAATCTCGCCCGCCTCGTCAGAAATCCAACTCTGTTTCCATCAGACTGTCCCACTTAAGACATAACACACACTCTCACACACATACACAACCCAACATGGCATCTCCTGAACAGCAAAAGCAGCTACAAGCTCTGTCTGATGACTACTCCTCCCTCCAGAACGGTACCCCTAACTCACATGCACCCACTTTAAACATTTTCTAACATATTAATATCAGAATTGCAAACCACTGTTGCAGCCAGACAGAAGCTAGAATCTCAACAACAAGAGAACAGGGGTGTCAAAAGTGTTCGTCTCGTTACCTGGACTTTTCTCAAGAAAAGCTGGCTGATGCTTTTCATCAGGAATTCGCAAACCTTGACGATGATGCCAATATCTACAAGCTCGTTGGACCTATCCTACTAAAGCAAGAGGTGTCCGAAGCAAAGAGTACTGTTGACGGACGATTGGACTTCATCCAGAATGAAATGTGTGTTACTATACCTTGCTCTTCGTACGAGGAGGACATCTACTAATTCGATCACAGCAACCGCATCGAGAAGCAAATCTCAGACATTCAAGAAAAGAGCGAGGAAAAGAAGATGGCTGTAAGTTCTCCATCGCGACAACATTGATCTGCTTAGGCTAACATATTTGTAGGTCTTCCAACTTCAGACTGATATCCAGCAAACTGGTCAAGCATGAGAGCATAAACCCACTGCAATCACAATGTAGTGCCACCAGAAGCATTGGATGTCAAGCTGCAGCAAGATTCGAAAGTAGGCACACCCGGCCTTCTCTGAGCGTCGACTAATGCGTAAGCTGAGGACGGTGTCTCTGGAAGATGCCGCTCCAGACTTGTGACGACAGCCTAAACGGGTGCTATCTCTAACAGACGCTGCATCTGAGTGCCCAAAAGATACCAAAAGATACAAATTCGGTGATGGGAACGAAGCTGCTGGTCACAGAGGAGCAAAGGCGTACTCGGCTGAGGTATGTCAAACGAAACACACGGCGTGTCAATAGTCAGTTGTCAAACAATTATATGCACGACTACCCATTTTCTCCTCACAATTTTCACACAAAAGTGATACAGGGCAAAGATAAGTAATGGCGTGAATGTGTTTTTAATTATCATTTTCTATCATTTCCGGAGACCTGCTGCCATCCTCCCAGAATATTGCCGACCGTAATTACGTACGAGTACTTTTAACCAAAAAAGGCACGAACAGCATGTTGGACCTCTGGCGACATCTCGGCAAGAAGCGAGGTGGCGTCCAAGTTTGCCATGCTGACAAGAGCCTTTGCCGACTGCACGACCTGTTGGGCAGTTCTACCTTGCAGAGTCTCGGCTTCCAGTGCCAATGCTACAAAGTGGAAGCAACGAGCTGCTTGCTGCACGACAGCGGGATTTTGCCTAGATGTAAGATTAGTATTTGAAACACGATAGTTACAGATCAATTCAAAACTTACTGATCGATAAGTTGTGCCAAGAAAGCGTAGGCAAAGGGTGCGGCCTCCTCGTCGTTGACGACAGGCAATGTTCCAATCCAGGCCTCGACAACTTGTTGGCTGTTGGCGACCTTGGAGTTGTTGAAGTGAAGAATCTTGGCGATACTAGCGCAAGCGTTCTCGGTTGCAAAGACATGGTCACCAGTGCGAGCGTCGGGTCTTTGTGTTGCCTGGAAGAGTAACGGCAAGCTGGCATTGGCAAAGTCTGACCATGGTGCACCACCCTTGTGTGCTGCGACACCGGCTCCGTAGGTGGCGGCTTGTCTGTTGGCAGGAACGTCATCTTGCATACCATCGACCAGAGGCTGGACGATATGGCTCTCGAAAGCCCATGAATCTGGACCACAGAACTCTAGCACATCGTCCATGATGCACAGTGCCCATTGCCTTTGTGTCGGGTCCTGGTTGACAAGTGCTTGATCGAGGTAAGGCATGAGCTTTTGCCAGAATGGCAGGAAAGTAGTGCCGTGGTGCTTGAAGATGGTGTGGAAAGCCTTGTTCATGTCGGATAGCAATGTCTGGTCGTCCTCGATGGCGAAAAGAGTATCCTCGCTAGCCTCTTCACCATCCTCACGTTCAGCAGCTTCCTCCAGTCTCTCGTTCACGCGACCTTGGTAGTCCTTGAGCACACCCTCGGCAGAGTTGATGAAGATTGCCATGTGGTCGGTAGTGAGACAGCCGTTACCGCTGACTTCGACTGCCTCATAGAAGCATTGATACATCTCAGCCAAGGTCTCAATTGCAGGTTCGGTCTCGAGAACTTCCAAAACCTTTGCAATGGTCGTCGTCCAGAGTTGGCGGAACTGTGGTGATTGGAGTCCGTGGGCGAGCTTGTAGCAGTTCAAGAGTTGAGGTACACATTTTGCAGCAGCCTGACGAACGGGGTCGTGGAAGAAGAAGGCCAGACCGGGAATAGCGATGTTCTCCATAATGTCCAAAACGTAATTCTCGAAGCTTGCAGCAAGATGTTGAGCATAGACAACAATGAGCTCGATAGCCATATGCTTGTCATCGAGAGTGCTAGTCTTGATGCCAATGTACTTGCCCTTCAAAGGTACAAGCTCCCATCCTTCTTCTTGCTCGAGAGTTTCTTCATCATCAAGCAGCTGAATGTCGGCCTTGGCCTTGGCCAGCTCCAGAAGCGGAGGCATGACGGCGGGTAGGTAAGGAAGGAAGTCGGCGCCCAAAATGCGGCACATGCGTCCCCAGCAATGCAGCAAGTACGAAGCTTGAGGATCATCAGAATCAGTGATACCTTGTTGAATGCTGCCAAGAATTTGCACAAGCTCGAGAGCGTCATTGCCCATGCGCTCCTTGCCGACCGCAAGAGCAATCAGAGTAGCGCACTCCATGGCTTTGGCTCTGAGCAAGCGGTTCTCCTTGGATTGATCCGTCTTCAAGACGTTGAATAGAAGAGGCATAAGGTCGCTGTAGTATTTGGCAAACGCAGCTTCAGCAGAATCGGCAACAGTTGCTATAGTTGACAAGGCTTGCTCCTGGACGTAGCGGGTTTTGGTGTTGCGCAAAAGGTTGAAGAGGTTTGTGAAAAGACCATCGAGGTAAGGTGTGAGGATTTCGCGCTCAGCCTCTTCGCAGAAGTTGACGAGCGCGGCGGCGGCGTGGGAGGCAACACGGGGCTGATCGGATTTGAGAGACTCGACCAAAGCAGGGAGCACGACCTGGTGGAAGTTTGATTGCATGATGCCCTTGAAGTCAGTGCTCATTTGGCCCAGAGCATTACACGCGGCCCATCTAACACGGGGGTGAGGATCGCTGAGTCTAGGGAGGACGAGGTCGAGAACCTGCTGGAGTTCGCTCTCCATGAGTTCTTGACAACCTTCGGAAATGGCCGAGATGGCCATTAGGGCGGCGTGGCGGTCTCTCCAGGCACCGGATTCGATCATACGAGGAAGCCATTGGAAAGTAGGGGGAAGAATGGCCTGGCCGCCCAGCTTGTTTGCCAAACGGTCCATGGTCTGCTCTCCAGCAACGTGGTTCATATCAGCCTCATCCATATCGAGGTCTTCGGTAGTGCACCAGTCCTCGGCATCATCGTCATCAGCACCAACGTCAGTCATAAGAGACAGGCACTGGGTGACCATGTCGGCAGTGTAGTTGGGATCCTTGCGGCACATCTGAGGGCTGTAGTCGGCGAAGGTGGCCATAAGTTCGAGGGCGTTTTGTCTGGCCTTGTCATCGAGGTCCTTGTCCTGAATTACAGTGATGCTGAACTTGACAAGCTCGTTGAACAGAGGCTTGAACATTTTGGGCGCAGCTTCGGCAAGATCAATCATGGCCACGAGAGCCTTGGTGAGGTCGTCGGAGTTGGACATGTCCTTGAGCGGTGGGAGGATGTTGAGGATATCGGAGATCAGGGGGTAGTATTTTGCTTGAGACTTCTTGTTGATCGAGTGGAAGAAAGATGCGAAGGCGTCCATGGCGGCCAGGCGGACCTGCGAGCAGGCAAAGTATGCGTTAGTCGGTGGACGTGGGCAGAGAGGCTTTATAACAACTTACGGCCACATCGTCGTCCTTGAAGCCCTTTGTGAAAGCGCCCAAGACGACTTCCTCGTGCTGCTTCTCGATGATTCCAGGAGTAGTAGCAAAGATTCTGAAGGCCGTCTCGCGTTGTCCAGCGTCAGGCGACTGACTTGACTGGAACAGAGCAGCCAAGAGATCGGACCATGTGTCTCTGGAACCGTCTTCGTTGAAGACCTCCTCGTCTGTGTATTGTCTGGCAATTTCGGCAACAGCGTCACCGACCTTGTTGCGGAGCGACGGTTGCGCCACGACCGACGGTGATGCCATTCCTTGCAGCAGGAGAGTACGGATGGCGTCCCGCTGAGGCTTCTGCAGGGTGAGGAAGAGCTCGCGCGATTGACCAGTTGTGTCCTTGGAGGTGCGCGACGACATGCGGCGGAAGATGACAGCGGCGAACGATTGGGACTAAGGATGTCAGCAAGGGGAGCAGGAGGAGATCGAGTGCTCGCTGCATACGGTGGGCGAATCGGCCATCTGGATCTGCTCAACCAGCCCCATGAGCAGCACGTCGGGCTTGCTTTGGGCCCATTCAGTCGCAAGACGCTCTTCGGCCTGGCTTCTGATGTTGTTGTCGGCGGCTTGAAGGCCCTGTAACAGCTGGCCTAGGGCGCTGTGCACTTCTGCGGGGAGCATCGACATGATGGTGACTTGAGAGGGGGAGGTCGGGTAAGAGCGCCGCTGCAAGAGCGCCGCGTTGATCGATTTGATGATGTGTCTGAAAGAAGGCCTGTCCGGTGAAGAAGAGCCGGTGGGTGGGTGGGTGTGAAATTTGCTCTTCGGATTTGGTAACCGATTTTGGCGGCGAGATTACTGCAGCAAGCAACAAAGGGAACGCGTTGTGTCGGAGCTTGGTTTGGTGTCTTGAATGTTTTTCTGTTTTTTGATAATTATCTAGGGGGACGGACCCTGATTCTGAATCGGCTTGCTCCGCCCGACACCACCTCTTTGCTTGTCTTGCAACTCCTCCACACGGACATGCTTCCTGATCCATCCGCTTCTTGTCACACACTCAACCTTGATGTTCGTCATTTTCTCAACCTTGTGCCTGTTTTGCGACTCACCGAGACCAGCACTTCTACTATTACATCTGCCCAGATCATGAATTGTAAACATCCTGGCACAACGATAAAGGAATGTTCAATTAAACTAAACTACAATCATGAGTGGTATCGATGCCCCGTGCAAAAGAAATGTAATCCTGCCCGCCGCTCAGGAATGCGTCCCGTCCCCACACCTTACTTGCTTGACATCCTTGAGATGGCAAACACTCCAATGATGGCTACAGCTAGTGTCACGATTGCGCCAGGTAAGAGGAGCTCGTTCGGAAGGCCTGCGATCAGTTGATCCTGTCCTGCTGCTGGTGCTGCTTGACGTTCTTTTCTGCGAGGCTTGTATGTCTCGCTTTCCTCATCAGACTCGGCCTGGGCTGTCTTTCTTTCACGCACCTGGCTTTCAGAAGGCGTCACCGTCGCCAAAGAAGGCTGTGGCGCAAGTGTCGATGGCAATGGGGCCGTTTCGGGATCATGTACAAAAAGATCAACCTTGTCGTGATGCGTCAATTGCGCAAGTGAGATAGCATCCAACAGGTCGCGATCCGTCGTGATCGACACCGTATCACCTTCGTTGTCGAGGTAACTCAATGCAAATCCGGTGCGGCTGAGTTTGCCGTCAACAAAGGTAGGTACTCCACCAATAGCTTCAGCCTCGTTGCCCAGTTTCTCTGCGACAACACTGACTAGCTCACTCATGCCATTCGAAGGTACAATCTGCAGTCTGTGTACGCGACCACTAGGAGCCTTGAACTTGAAGGGGAATGGGACGTCTTCGTATGCAGCTCCAGCTCCAGTGAACGCGGACGGATCGGGTGAATCACGACCACCAGTATGAGAGGCAGAGTCGGTGGGCATGACGCTATCGCCTCGGTCAACTCCGGGCCTCGACATCTCAGGCGAGATCAAGGATCTCCCGTCTTCTGTTTGAGGGTGACGGCTGCCACCCTCGCCGGACATCATGGATTCTGTTTCATTGTCGAAAGACATCCAGAACTTATTCCAGGCTGGTCCTTCGCTGTCTCCGGTCGACATGCTGTTGATCTATACTCTGTCAGTCAAGGTACTACACTGAAATCCAGAATACATTGACTTACCTGATCAAGAGTAGCATAGGTAAGCTTCAGAACATCTACCATGCCGACAATCTCACCGTCAGCGCTCATGACTGGCAAGTTCAAGTAATGTCCATCTGTCCTTTGTCAGCATAATCTATAGGCCAGCGTGTGATAGCTCATACCATGCATCTTGCGGAGTGCAGACTGAATGCTCATATCAAGTGGTGCAAAGTCCGGGTGGGGAGTCATGACACGCACGACGCTGCAGTTACCGGGATCGAGACCAGCAGCAATGACACGCAGAACGACATCCTTGCTAGTAAATATACCGGTGATGGCTCCGTTGTCTGTTACCAGTACAGCAGTTGTGTGGTTGGCCTTCATCAAGGCAGCTGCCTCGCGGACAGAGGTGCGAACTGTCACGGTGACAGGCGGCACACCACTCAGTACGGTCTCGAGAGTGGGACCTGACATCTTGTGACGGATAGCTTCTACATACTGAATGACTTGCTGAGGCTGGCTAGATCCCAATTCAGCTTGGACGCCCTCGAGCGCGTCGTAAAGTTTCCTTGAAGAGCTGTATGCGCGTTCCAACTTCTCCATGGCATCGTAAAAACATTTTGTGATGTCGAGAATACCAGAGATATCGTGGTTCTCGTCCATGACAGGGAGATGGCGGAAGCCTTTGCGAACCATAAGATCGAGAGCATCTGTGGCACTGGTGTCGGTTTTGGCGCACAAGGGGTTCTTGGTCATTATTTCAGCGATGGTGATGCTGTTGGCCTTGATTCCCTCTCCGACAACGCGGAACGCCAGATCCTTTGCGGTGAAGATACCTGCGATGCGATCATCATCATCGGTAACAAGGACGCAATCCTCGCGCTTGGCTGCCATAAGCTGGGCAGCTTCGGCGACCGTGGTGTTCGGCTTGATCTGGAGGGCCTGGCTGGGTCTGAGGGCGAGAACGGAACCAGGGGCTGCCTTGCGAGTCTGGCGGGCGCGGGCAGGATTGCTTCTCTTCTTGTTTAGGTCTGTTTCAATCTTGCGTCTAATGGCCTGCAGCGAGTGGTGGTCAGATGTGCTGGACAGTACGCGACGATGCTACAGCACACACCTCGTCCCTCTTGGACTGCTTCGCCCTGCTGGCACTGAGAGTCGACATCTCGCTTTGGGTGGTGCTGGCGATAGACTCTAGCTTTGGTCTCGGGATGCTCGATGGGCTGTCGAGAGCTTGGAAAGGATTTTGGCCTCTGGCTTTATCTTTGGGAGTTCCGCGATATGTGCCAGTTGCGGACATGGTTCGCTGCAATCTGAAGTGGGTGTGAGGGCGGTGAAGGGGCCAGAGCTCACTATTTACCAGACTCCGCGACCCAGAGCTTCTCCTTGGGCGACTATAAACACAAATCAGGGGAAACTTTTGGCTAAGCCCGTCCACCCCTGTGTACAATCCTTGTGCAATTTTTATGAGCGTATTGTACTTTGACTATCAAACAGGCTAACGGCGCGCCTCGCTTGAGCATCACTTTCGCTACTTGTTGCCCGACAGACGCGAACTTGCAGCTCGAGCTACGGGCATACCGGAAACCGCTGCTATGTTTTTCTATGTACTGATTACATGTACAATTCTGAATGCAAGCGACACGAGAAGATCAATCGATGGAGTTGTGACTCTTCAGGCTTTCATGAGTTTGTGATTTGGTAGCCTGTGCAGGCGTCACAACAGGTGTGCTTCAGCCATGATGCGGCATTGAACAGACATCTCGATTCTCTAAACGGCATACCAGAATATGATAGTTGGCTCACTGACATCTAGTGTGAGTTGCGTGTGCAGCACACCAGCAACCCTAATAGTCGATGCGGCAAGTGACACAGAGCGATCCAACCATGGCTGGATAAGTCAATACATGATGTGGTGGCAAGAACCTCTGTCGGTAGCACCAACATCAATATAGAGTATTGCAATAATACAAGTGATGTTTACATGTTGCGACTGTTCAGCGAGACGCCATCGACATGGAGAGTTGGCGTCGACGCGGAAGATGCAGCGGAGTTTGCCGTCGCGACTTCTGGCCTTGGCGCACTTCAATTTGATCGTCTGCGGGCAGCGTTCAGCAGAAACCGCGAAGCGAAATCCGACAACACAGCGCCTTTTTGGGATTTTCTATACTCTTCTGTCACTAGGAGAGTTATCCGCGCAACACACGTCAAAATGGTCAAGAAGAGAGCCTCCAAGTACGAAACTCCTGGTCTCTGGTGCTAGATGGATGTCGCGCTGACATAGTCTGTACAGCGGTCGCAACAAGAAGGGTCGTGGCCACGTCAAGCCCGTCCGCTGCTCCAACTGCTCGCGATGCGTTCCTAAGGACAAGGCCGTGAAGAGATTCACTATCCGCAACATGGTTGAGTCCGCCGCTATCCGTACGTCGAATCTGCCAGGCTCCCACACACTACGAACACTTCCGCCGACCTCTCGCTTCCGCTCCGCCAACACGCCCATGGACTTCCTCGATTGCACCGACTAACACAACTTCCACAGGTGATATCTCGGAAGCCTCCGTCTACGCCGAGTACGCCGTCCCCAAGATGTACCTCAAGCTCCAGTACTGCATCTCTTGCGCCATCCACGGCAAGATCGTTCGGTATGCATCCTCCTGGAAACACCACCCTACCCGGGCGCAATCCATACTCTTAAAATCGACAAGGACACGGAAGACTAACTCAGTGCAGCGTCCGTTCCCGCGAGGGCCGCCGCAACCGTGCCCCTCCCCCGCGTGTTCGCTTCAACAAGGACGGCAAGAAGGTTAACCCCCAGCAGGCCGGCAAGGTCGCTGTCGGTGCCGCCGCATAGATGATGTGTTTTTTCGGGATTTGACAAGGCGTCTGTCTTCCGGTATTACTTGGCAGGCACGAGGTTGCATTCATGGCTTCACAAAAGAAAAAGTGAGAACAGGTCGGGATGCCATCTTCAATGGAGATTATCAGCGGCAGCATGAAGCTACCTTTACGGGCACTGTTTATTCTCCTGCACAGCGGCTAGGTAGACTTCAAATGCACGCAAAAGCGGTCGTGGCTGCTACGATTGTTGAACTTCCCAAACTCTGGTCTTTGCGCTTGTCTTTGCACGTGTGTCATTATCAGAATATGGACTATTGACCCCTTCTAGTCAGATCGCTTTTCAGCCGTGACCCCTTCTTGGTCGGCCTGTATTTGTGAGCTTGCGGGCGCCTGATCGTCATCCCAGTCTTCAGCATTCTCATCCCAGTTGTCCAGCTCTTCCGTGATGTTTGCCGGCTGCTCTGAACTAGGCAGGACACCATTTTCTTGGTCGGTGGTATTATCCCCCAGTTCAATATCCTGCTCTTCCCCAGGCACGATTTGATAGTTTCTTGCGGCGCGGCGTCTCTCCAACATGCGTTTATGGTACCAGCTGCAAGCCAATAAAGCAAGCAGTGAACCGACCACATTAGCGAGGATATCGTACGGATCGAACTCGCGACCATTCTGAGTGCATGTGTTAGTACGATGTGTTCAGTTGGAGCGCAAGGAGTAACATGCCGGAAGCAGTCCTTGGACAACCTCGGAACCAATGCTCAGAGCAACAGTACAGGCCACGAGGGTAAAGTGGATAACGCGACGACGATTGGTCTCAATGATCCAGTAGAAGCAAAACTGGTAGTCGCAGATGATTAGCTAGAGCATAGACGACGCGCAGGTCAACTCACAGTTATTAGGAAGAAGGTGACGAAATGCAAGACCTTGTCGCTCTGCTTGTATTGGGGTAGCTGGTTCGGGGCCAGGCCCAACGATGCTGCTATGAACAGCAAGACCACAAAGGCAGCTGCGCGGGGGAATCAGTCGCATAATTTGACACGAGATGCAAGAACCAGGGACAAACCTGCAAAGGGCTTTCTTATCCTCATGGCTCGAGTCGGGTCCTATCCGAGCAAGTATGTTTTGTATATACAAGTCGCAAGTGCTGGCAGCGGAAGGTACAGAGCGGAGTGCCCAAAAGTGGATCAGACGTGGGGGCGTGATTAGTGTATGCTCGTCTCGCATGACTATCCACGTCCGGTTCAGCAATACAGGCCCGATCTATGAAGATTTATACGGTTAACTAGTGTACATGTCTTAGTGTATCATCAAACAAGTGAAGACACAACTGGCAAAGTGCTACGATGGTAACTTGTGACAAGGAGCAATTGGCAGCAGCGACAAGAGCGTAGAAGGGCAACGGGGGGTGTGCTTAGCCGAGACTCCGACGCATGGAGCGCAACGAGTGCGTCGCCATAACCCATCATCCATCACCCTACGCGCGAACCAGCGACTTTCCATCAGGCTACATCTCTCTCCCGCCTCCTGTCTCTCCTCAGCATCCCGCGCTATCAGATGCTTGTTACTCCTCTGCCGTATCAGAGGTCTGCGTGAATGCGCAGCATCAGCACTCGTCCCCGGCTTGGCCATGAACAATAAGGAGCGCTCGAGACCCGCGTTGGCCAGCAATACCCTCCAACGACAGAAGTCTACCAATGGCCTAAGTCCCGCGCCGCTGCCCCGAGATGCTTCAATTGCGAGGACTTCCAGAGCCGATTCTAACCCTGCCGACCAACCTGACCATGACCCTGACCATGACCATGACCGCGATCCCGATGACGACGATCCGCTCCATATTGCCTTGAAGGCTCGCTTCGACCTTTCGCAAGCCAGAATCGCGAATCTCTTCTCTCGCAATCCCCTACCGATCTCGCATCCAGATCCAGAATCACAAACAAGCCGTCCGGCTCGCGACCAATCACCCTTCGGCCACTCCACCCCACCCCCACCACCTCCACCAAAGAGACCTGCACGCACCATTGACGAAGATGACTACGGCGATGATGACGATGATGAGGAGGATGAAGACAGTCAACAAAGTCAACAACAACATGCCACTGCCGAGTCTCCCTCGCGTTCAAAACACGCCGCTTCGCCATCCTTGTCGCTGAAGCCCACCATCACGCGCACCAGCAATTCACCAGCCTCTTCGGACCATGTCAAGTCTTCGGAAGATGTGCGCAAGAAACTCGAGCAAGACAAAAAGGCTGTTGAAGATGCGGCGCGAAAGAGTTTCCACATCATGTTCTACACACTCGAGGCTGATCGAGATGCCATGATGGAACAGCAAAAACTCGACGATCTGGACAGACAAGTCGAGAACGAAATGTCTGGAAACCCAAATCCTGCTCCAACTTCCGACCCCTCTGGTATCCAACAAGGCTCTCTTAGCAACGCAGATCTTGGTGCCTCGAGCTTGACCTTGAAGAATCTCATTGCCCGTATAGACGCCAAACGAACCATGGTCAACGCGAACGACACCCAATTGCGAACTCTTATTAGTGAAGTCCGCAAAGGACGTAGCAAATGGGCGAGCGAGGAGAAGATCGGCCAGGAAGAGCTGTACGAGGCTGCTGAAAAGGTTCTGATGGAGCTCAAGGCAATGACCGAATACTCGACGCCTTTCTTGCAAAGAGTGAACAAAAGAGATGCCCCCGACTATTTCCACATCATCAAACAGCCCATGGACATCGGTACCATGATCAAGAAGCTCAAGAGTTTCTCTTACAGATCGAAGAAGGAGTTTGTGGGCGACTTGAACCTCATCTGGGCCAATTGTCTGACATACAATGCTGACCCGGGTCATCTTCTGCGCAAGAAGGCCCTGTACATGCGTAAAGAAACCGACAAACTAGTGCCCTTGATTCCCGAAATCGTCGTTAGGGACAGAGCAGAAGTTGAAGCAGAAGAGAGACGTCTACAAAATCTTGATGTTGACCTTGAGGGAGGAGAAGACAGCGACGATGGTAATTAAGCGTGCTCTTCACATCTTTATCACCCGACTGATTAATTCTGCAGATCAACCTATCATGGCATCGCGTGGCCGTAAAGCTCCAGGCAAAAGCAAGAAGGGACAATCGAATACGACTCGGCAGACTACTCCAGGTGCTGTTGAAGGCACTCCAGCTGCCGAATTCAAGCCTGCAATTCATGCTTCTGCGACTAGTCTGCGAAATGAATTCCTGCGTGCCGATTCCGACGCCCCTGCAGAAGCGAGCTCGAATGGCTTTACTACGCCACCTCCACCTGGCATGGCGACCCCGTTCGGATTAAATGGAATGAGCCAACCCGATCTAATGGAGGTGGATGTTGTCGGAAACTCGATCGCCATCAGTTCACAGGTCGAGGATCCAGACGAGGATGATGCTGAGTTCAAAACATGGAAGCAAGTGACCAAGAAGGACAGAGCTATGGCTGCCGCTGAAAGAAACCGCTTGTTTCGTGGTAACCATCTGAATTCAGACGAACCGGCTCTGCTGCGCACAAAAGCAGGAATGCGAAGATGGCTCCGTCAGCAGAAGCAGATCTTGATAGAGGCAAATAGCGCGCTCTCGAAGACTGAGACTGATGAGTCGGAACCCGACACGACCACCACCGGAGAAACCCTTGCCGAGATCCAGAAAGATCAAGACCGCACACTTCCAGACTACTACGACGTTCTGGCTGCGATACCAGATCTGAACGAACAGTTGAAATGGACCGAAGACTCGGAAGGCAAAGTCATACCCCAAGTTGAGGATTACCTGCGATTGTTCCCAAGCGAACAATTCATATCGTCAGAAAGTGGCCTTACCAAACGAATGGAAGCGAATATGAGGCAAATGCAGGAGACTCGAAAGATCTGCGCAAAGATTGGCATTGTCAAACAAATGCAAATCCAAGCTCAGGTAAGTGACTCTGGACTGACAGCATGACTTTAAGACGTGTACTGATTTACTTTTCTCAGACCTATCAGAACCAATTCCAGAAGTACGATCCTCAGCCGTTCGTAGAACAAGATATTGGCGCTGTTGCTGTTTCCGAAGATGGACCCATCATGTCACCATGGGTCTGTCGTGCAGCCTTCCAAAGATCGGTGGGTAAGATCTTCTACCATGCCGGCTTTGAAGATTTCCAACCTTCTGCGCTTGATGCAGTCACGGACATCGCCAGCGATTTCTTTGGCAAGCTTATACGTACCTTTACCCTGTACAACGAAGCGCCAAAAGACGATCTGGATGCTCATAGTTACAGTGCCGAGGAGCAAGTGCTCCACTGCCTGCACAAGAATGGTCTGGATTTAGAATCTCTCGAGACATATGTCAATGAAGATGTCGAGAGGCTAGGAACGAAGTTGGGTGTGGTACATGAACGCATGAAGGCGCATCTCGCCGATCTACTTGTGAGTATACATTATAAGCGTGTTGAATTCATGTCTGACATGTACAGCGTCCGGCCTTGGGCGACAGTGTTGGTGCAGATGGCGTCGGTGCATTCAACGATGGCAGCGATCAGTTTACCAGCGGCGACTTTGCTGTCGACTATGACGAAGACTTCTTTGGCTTTAAGGAGCTTGGCCTGGCTGATGAGTTCGGTCTGGAGAGTCTCAGCGTCCCACTGCATTTGCTGCAGAACCGCATGCACAGCGCCTACCAAGCCAACCACACTAGCTTGATCACATCATCTGGTATCGTATTCCCTGTACCTACCCCCTACGACCCCATCTCGACGGACAATCTGCCCTCCCAAATTGGCTTGGTTCAAGACTTCTTCGCCACCAAACTCGCCGCCAACCAAGGACGACCACTGGTCGATGACGAGGACTTGCCTACTAAACAGCGCTTCCCACGTCCTCGTCTACCTCCTACAGGCAAGATCAGCAGTCCCCGCAAACGACCCATCCGCGAGCAACAACAAGCAGCAAAGAAGCGCAGAAAGTTGGAAGAAAACAAGGACGACAGTAAACTAGTCAAGCCGATCGGACCCCTCAAGTTGGCGATGCCAGGAGTCAACAAGGGCAAAGACGCAGAACCGGAAAAAGACCACGAAGGAAAGAATGCCATGATGAGTCCACCCGAAAGCATTACTGCCAGCTAAGAAGAAGAAGAAAAAGAATGAATTTTTTGTTGCACATAATGCGGGAAAGGGGCAAGCAAAGAGAGAGCTATGCTATGGGAAGTGGTCATGTGTTTCTTTTCCTGGGGATAACGCGGCGTTGAAGGTTTTGGGAGGATCTTCCGAAAATGTTTATACCCAAGGCAGAGATGGCGGTTCTTTTCTTTTCTTTCTCGTGAGTCTTTTTTTTCTGTTCTCGGGCATTTGGTGGAGGTGAAAAGTGGGAGAAGGAACGATTATTAATTATGCCTGGCTTGTACATAGCAGGAAAGCTGAGAGCAAGAGAGAGAGAGAGAGAGAGAGAGAGAGAGAGAGAGAGAGAGAGAGAGAGAGAGAGAGAGAGAGATATAAGAAAGTAAGGTAGTGAGTGATGACGAGTATGCGAAATTGGACACCTCCTTTGGAGTTTCATGTGATTTTGACAATGTGCCTCTGTTCGTGAGATCATGGATGTGGAGCTGCATTGATGTTGCACACTCGAGTATGATAAGACAAATTGGGCTGTATACGAAAGCTCATACTGAGCAGCCTGACTCTGATCAAGTCACAGACTCAATGGAGACATGGTTCAAGAGAGATGGAGCGGTCAACAGCAACAACTTCATCAAAGGACAAGACAAAAGTAGGAATGAAAATGGTTTGTCATAAGAGCTATTGCAGCCAGGTATTTCATATCATCATTGTGCATAATCGCGCTCTTCGTTCCATCGCAGGTGCCATCAAAAGCTTCAAGCCTTGTGTCAAAGCTACGCCTGCCTCCATTATAGGTAGTGGTGACGGGGGAAACGTTTAGTTCGAGACCTTGTCGGGAACCTTCTTGCCTGTGTTTGTTGTATTAGTATCCTTTTTTCTTTCTTTCCTGTCAAAGGTGAGATGGAGGTGTAGTAGCATACCAGTAGCCTTCTCGAACATGCCACGAGCGGTATCGCTGACCTTCTCGTTGACGGAGCGGAGCTTGTTGGGGTCTTGACCTTGCTTCTTCTCGAGAGCGTCCATGCCCTGTTATGACGTGTGTCAGCGACGATGTACTTCAAAACAGTTGCTCCACGCGATGGACGGAAGAGAAGAGAGCTGGAGCTTACCTTGTCGAGGTAGTCCTCCTTGCCGGCGGCGGGGTTTCCTTGCTGAGGGGCAGACATGATTGAGTTGTTTGTGGTTGGGTGTTTTTGGTGTTTAGTTTGAAGTTTGTGTAGATGAGAAAGAAGAGAGGTTGGATGTTGAAGTGGTCTCGTTGTTTATAAAGGGTGTTGTGAGGATTGCGTGGCTCAGGAAACCTGCTTGAACCCCGCCGACGTCACGGAAGCTCTTTTGGGGGGGGGGGTGCAGCTTCCCACTCTGGAACAGGAACTCTGATGTAGCATCTAGACGGGCCTTGCAAGACATTGGTTTCAAGTATATAACTTATCATTCTGATTCGTCGAAGATTTTTCCAGCTATTCCCGATAAGCAAGTATATTCATATTATTGTCCTCCTTCAATCGAATTAAGCAGGTGCTGTTTGTTATGAGTGGAGGCTTCGATGAGGTAGCGATCTACATGCCGTGTCTGCTGCCAAAGTTGGATAAGCTTTCTAGTCGAAGCTTGTGTTTGCATCCACGCTCTGAGGCGGTTTCGTTGCAACCCTCCTATGTTATCGATCGTGATGTTTGCATCGCGGACAGTTGAGTGTCATCCAGCAACTTGAGATCAGCCGATCAGCGTGATTCTACTGCGAATGAACAAGTTGCAATTGAAGCTCCAGGTAGGCTCTCCGCCTCGATGATGAGCTCGAGTCCCAGCTGCCCAAATGTCGACTTCCAAAGCAACAGCGAACTAGGCGAGACATGGAGCTGGTCACATTGGAGAGGGAGAGCAGCCATATTAGTTGTATTCTCTCGCACTTGATGCTCGGGGGGTCATACATATGGTCTTCTATCGCCGATTTTTGAGTCAAATCAGGGTACCCTTGTCAGCTTGTTCGACAGCCAAATCGGAACACCAACTTTCTCCCAAACGTACTTGTTACAGCGCTGGTTCACGGTACTTGAGACAAGATGATGGGCACAGCAAGGGAAATAGAGTCATAAGTCAGATAGAGTATGTTCTTCCAACGAAGCAGGGTTGATCGCGCTGGTGAAAGAGAATTCATTGATGCATGATTTCCAAAGACAATGCTAAGGCTTCCGAGCCGATACCTTCTGCAACTCATCGGACGAAGAAACGAAGAAGCCTCCGCGTCTGGCAGACATGAGTCCGCCTCTAACCAGGATGCCACTAGAGTCAAACTCCTCTGATATGATCTTCAGCCGAGAAAAGAGGCAATCGAAACTGTCGCTTATCGATCGCTCGTCCCGCATCTTCAGTACGGAAGTGAAAGCTGTTTGTGTAACAGGGCATATGACAGCTCAGGGAGATCCTTGATACACTCATCCAGTTCGGGCATCTGTATCCATGTAGAGAGACCGTTCGGTACATTGCTGTAGAGATTTTCGACGATGACCTGACGCAAGCCTTTGTCTGAGTCCACAGTGCTGGTGTAAGCTATCTTGATAGCCTTGACAAGTCCAGCGGCAGTGTGCTTCCAGGTATCCTGAAACTTGCTGCGTGCTAAGCTCTTGAGTCCAGGGATGCCGTATTTGTCGCCCATAGCATACATCATTGCATGATGGATCAGGATACCCTCTCCGATTGCGTAGTCTTTGGAGACGCTTGGAGATGTACCCGCTTCGATCTTGGCAGTTTCGACCTCGAGATAGTCCATGTGGTATAGAAAGTGGATCATGAGCTTGACATACTTGAGATCTTCCGCGTCAATGTCCTACTCGAGATCATCTTGGCCAGGCTTGACGCTGCGAGCAGGGATATCCACAACGCCAGTCTTGCCCTCCTTGAAGTCGCCATCGGGATCGTTGTGGTTACGGCAAGTGAGGTGAAAGAACTCAGACTGAGAACAAACAATAGCCTTGTGGACTTTGTACACATCAGAGCCGCAGGTGATGGTCAAATCAGAGTGGTCGCTACTTTCTTGGAGACTACGTTGTGTTCATTGTGTTCAGTGACTTCCCAGCCTCATGTAAAATCGAAACGTCTTACTCTGCCATGCCTTTGAGCAGCACTTTGATAGGTTCTTGGGACGTCATGATGTGTTGATATTCTTGCAGGTCAAGTTGGTAAAGTAGATGTGGAAGAGAGAAGAAAAGAAGAAGATGATGATGATCATAGACCAATATATATGGTCAGCGATGGATCTGTTTGTCCCTCACAATCAGTGTTTTGAAAGCTTGTTGAGGTCTTCACTCGTGTGACAATGACTTCCAAGACCGCAAAGTGAGACTTGCTTCGTAGTGACGGGCAGATTCGACATTTCCTCAGTGCGGCAAACGGCAGCTACGATGGAACCAAACGCGAAGTTTGGTCGCAAGAGAGCGCCAAAAGTGAAGTCATTTGAGCTTGGGAAAGAACGATCTGGAAAATGCGATTAACTATTTTTATGAGTAAGAGTAGAGTAGAGTTGGTAGAGATGATGAAGAACAGACAAAAGCACCCAGTGATCTAAGACTGTGTCCTCACACTCCATTTGACAGGCAAAAGAACAGACATGCTTGAACGAGAGACGAAAGTGTAAAAAGATAAGAAGCTCATTAACAAAATATGCAGTAAGTACGAACCCCTCTTCCCAAGTGTTATAAAAAGGCAATAAACAAGGGACATTTACATATGCAACAATTGACGACACATCTATGCGGCCGACAATGTCTTGAGGATCTCCTCCTTCTCCTCGACGGGCAGCATGCTCAGCATCTGAGCAATACCCTTGAGACCACCCTCCTTGTTGGCGCGCAGCATGGCGGCAACGTCGTAGGCGATGGCGTCTTGCTTGAGACCCTCGATCTTGGAGTAGATGTCTTGACGATTCTCCTCGTACCACTGAGCGACCTTCTGGTCCTCGGTGGAGAATTGAGGAACGCCTGACCAGGCCTCGAGGGTCTGGAGGTTCTTGGTGCGCGAAACCAACTCCTTCGATGACGACTTGGCCATAGCCTTGAGCACGTACTCCTCGTCAAGACGACGGCGCAAACGCCAGTAGAAGAAGCGACGGGCGTTTTGCCATTGCAGAGGCATGCGGATAGTGTCCTTTGCCTTCATGCGGCCTGCACGGTCGTGCAAGTCGGCGTACTGCAGAGAGATTTGCATGTAGACTGGCAACAGCAACTTCTCGCGCTCGGTCATCTTAGCCTTGGTCTCGGTAGCCTCCTCAGCGGACAGTGACTTGTCGGCCAACTTGGCCTTGAGCTCGCCATATGTAGGGTCGAGACGGGCCATGGTCTCAAGCTGCTTCTCCTTGCGGAACTTGATACCGACGATACCCTCAGGCTCGAGAACACCACCACGAGACTCCTCGTCGGCGTACATCTCCATGTATTGAGGGTTGATGGTAGGATCGACGACGACCTATAATGGTTGTTAGCATCTTGCAAATGTGTAAAAAATATTCGACAAAACTTACCCATGATCCACCACGAAGCTCTCCGTAGGGAGGAATGTAGACGAAGATAGGTTGCTCGTACTTGACGAGGGCATCGACGATGTATGAACCGTACTTGAGGACCTCGTTGTACATATCTCTCTGACCACCAGAGAAACCTCTCCAGTTGGCAAGAATCATCAAAGGCAATTGCTCACCATTGTTGAAGTCTCTGATAGCCTGGGCGGTCTTGAAGGCGGAGTTGGGGTACCAGACACCACCAGCCTCGTTGGTGACTTGCTCGATAGAGTCAGGGTTGGCAGGGTCAGCAGGTGTGACGTTCTCAACGGAACGAGTCTCGACACCAATGACACCAACAGGGATACCACCAAGGCGAGCACGACCGACAACGACAGTGCGAGCCCAGCCGCCAAGAGCCTCTTCGAAAGAGCCCTTGTCGAACAGACCAGAAGCAAAGCCATCGTCTTCCTGCTTACCGTGGATGAGCCATCTGACATCGTAAGGCTGCTTTTGGGGAGGGAAGTAGGTGATGTCACGGTCCCATGAGTCGGTCGAGGGCGAGATGGGGATGGGGTTATTCTTCTTGTCAGGAATGAAAGACATCCACTTGACAATCTTGGAGACACCCTCAAAGTCGTCACCAGCGGTCATGTGAGAAACACCATTCTTGTACATGATCTGGGTACCACCAAGCTGCAAGTTGGAGGTGTAGACCTCGCGACCCAGGAGCTTGTTGATGGCAGGAGCACCAGTCAGGATGATGGGTTGACCTTCGATCTGAATGGCACGTTGACCAAGACGAACGAGGTAAGCACCGATACCGACTGAGCGGCAAGTGACGAGGGTGATGGTGAAGATGTCCTCGTATGCTCTCGAAGTCTCACCAGCGATGAGACCAGAGCCCTTCAGACACTCAACACCAAGACCGTCCTCAGCACCAATGATAGTGGTGATGACGTGTCTGACCTCGCCGTTCACATTAGTCTCCTTGGTGATGACGTGCTTAAGCTCACCATCCTCAAAGCGAGCCTTCTTCTCGGCAGTCAAGTAGAGGTAGTCGAAGCCAGCCTCAGGTCTGGAGGCGTCCTTCCATGCGACTGAGAAGTGGGGAATGAGCTCCTCAGCCATGCCGATGCGGGCACCGGAGTTGGCGGACAAGTAGATTCTGGGGATACCGAGCTTTCTAGCCAGTTCGGTACACTTGTGGAAGAACCTATCCTCTGCAGGACCGAATGAACCGATCTTGAATGTGATGTCGTTGGCAATAATGATGAAACGTCTGCCACGAGGGTACTCGGGGGTCTTGGCGGTGATGAGCCATGCAACCATACCGATAGAGTTGGTACCGGGGTCACGGTTGACCTCAGCCAGGTTGTCGGTATCATCAAGAACAAGCTCGTTGTATTCTATACACTCGCCAGAGATGGGCTGCTTGTCCTTGAGAGCAGGGTGGGCACCAGTGACCAAGTTCCAGCTGTTCTCGATGGCTTGTCTGAACAGCTCGGGGAAGTCGTAGACGTACTGAGTACCCATGATGTGAGCCTTGTAACGCTTGGGCTGCAGGGCACCCTTGGTAGTGTAGGGAGTCGACACAGGGCGCAGGTGCATGGAACCAATCTTGGTGCTGCCACCAATGCTCTGGAAGAACCAGTCATTGCCCTTCTCGGACTTGCGCTCTGCGTACAGCTCAACCTGGATGATGTAACCAGAGGTGTTGTTGATGAGAACACGGAGAGGGTAGGGCTCGCCAGTGGTGGGATCGGTGCAGATGATGCGGACCTCAACGCCAGTAACGCGGAGGCGCCAAGCACGACGACCGAATCTGTCAAGGAAACCGGCAAGGGCCTCCTCAACCTCACTGGGCTCGAGAGGGAAGACGGGAGAGAAGTTGATGAAGATGTGGTTAAGATCGGAGTTGTTGTTACCGATGATCTCCAGAGCATCAAGAATGTCGGTCATGAGTCTATCAGCTTCCGAGATCATGTACTCAACAGTCGAGATATCGTCACGGACACGGCCGGGACGCACAACGGCGCGTGTGAAGTAGCGCTTGTCGTTCTCGACGCCCTTGCCGACGGCCTCGTAAATGTGAATGTTACGGTTCTCGGTAAAGACAGGCTTGATGTTGAACTTGGACAGACGTCCGAGTTCAAGCTGGAAGGCAAGAGCAGGCTCGATGTGACGGATACTGGAATCTTCCTCGTAGGCAGGACCACGGAAAGTGTAGTAGCCAGGGTAGGTACCATCCTTGTGACCGCAGATGAATGTCAAGCGACGAACACGACGTGCGAGGAGTTCCTCCTTGTACTCGTTCACAATAGGAACAAGGCGAGCGAGAATCTCGGGATCGTCGAGAGACTCAGCATCCTTGACAGCGACGTTGCAGACTGCAGTAAGCTCGTCAGTAGAGTCGATCTTGGGAGCAGCAGGCTTGCGCTGTCTGGAGAGATCGGCCATGTGACCAGAGTTTGAGCCGCGCTGCTTGCCGCTGTGGCTACCCGCAAGAGGGAAGACCTCGAGTGCCTTGGACAAGTACTCTTCAATCTCGTCGATGTACTGGACAGGGATGACTGCACCCTTACGAGTGGGCTCGTCCTTAGTACGGGCGTCAAGGTAACTCATGTCGCTAATAGAGTGAACACGGCTGAAGCCTCCAGGACCGGCGGGAGTGCCGGGCGTGGAAGGGTGTGATGACTCGATAGGGAGACCGAACTCAGACTGGCCGACCTTGCGGAGGGAGAAGTCCCAGGTGAGGACGTAGGGGGTATCGTTCTCGGTGACGTAGTCAATAGTCTTGAGCTGGTAAGCACGGTAAGCACGACGAGTGTAGACCTCAAGAGCAGCCAATGAAACCCATGGGTCAGCGTGGACGAAGAATTGAGAAAGCACGTCGAACACGGTGTACTTTGAATCAACAACCTCCTTGATGATCTCAAAGCTAGGCTCGCGGTGGTCCCAACCAGCCTCGCCGTAGCGGGACTCGAGAACAGACGAGCGGAGAATGTGCTCCATCTGGGATGTACGCTCCTCCAAAGAGGGCATGGCGCACTGAATGAGGAGCTCACGGGCCTTCAATGAGACCTTAGCGGTCTGTCTGGACTCGAGCTCGGCAAGCTGGCGCAGAGAGGGGCGCAAGTACTTAGCGACGCTGCCGGCACCGGGCTTGTTGGGGCGGTAGTAGTCAAGGATGGCGATGATGAGGTTGTTCTTCGAGCCGACGCGAGCGTGCGACAAAGCAGTGTGAACGACCTTGATCAAGCTGTCCTTGTTCTGGTCTCTGAGGGTAAGGATTACCTCCTCGTCACGGTTCTGTCTAGCAGCGAAAAGGTGCTCGACCTCGTAGTACTGCTTGAAAAGAGAAGACATGACGCTGAACTCGTGGCCCTTGAGGCCATCGTTGAACTTGGTCATGACTTCGAGGATGGGAGCCAGTCCTTGGCGAAGTGTATCAACATCGCTAGGGGCCACATTCTCCTCGAGGAAGCGGGCGAAAGTCTTCTGCAACTGCTTGCTTGGGAACTCAGAGCCACGACTGTGTGCACGCTCAACGATCTGTTCAAGCTGTGCGTCAAGCTTCTGGGGCATACGTGAGTGGAGGGCTGATGCTTGTGCGTTCCACTCGCCGTATGGCAGCTCAGGGTTGCGGAGAACATCAACAAGCTCCTTCAAGGTGTCTTGCATGATAACAGAGTTGTCGAAGCCTTGCATGATGCTCTGGAGGATGTTGTGAAGGAAGGCAAAGCGCTGAGGAGCCTTGTTACCCAAAACCTGAGGAGGACCAAGCTCGGGGAGCTGGCCGAGGAAAGGCTGGGCAGACTTGACCTTGGAAGGGTCGTCGAGGGAGAGTATACCGAGGATATCTCCAGCCTCGAGAGTGGCACCGGGCTGCTTGATGAGGTTGACAACACCATCTTCCTGGGCAATCAGAGGCATGTACATCTTCATCACTTCGACCTCAGCGAAAGCCTGGCCCTTCTTGACGTGCTCGCCGTTCTGAATAGTGAACTTGACAAGCTTACCGGGAGAAGGAGTTCTAAGCTGAGTTGGGTCGTTCTCCTGCTCGAGCAGGCAAGTCTTGCCATCAACACTGAGACGAGTGGCACCGACCTCCTCCTTCCAGTAGGCGTTGTGACTGCGTCCGCTAAGCAGAATGAGCAGACCACCATCAGAAAGGGGTCTAACGCCGACGGAACATCTTGAGCCGTTGATGAAGAGTGTGTAGCTGTCCAGGCCAGAACGAGTGGCTGTGAACTTGTAACGCGATCCCTCGTAGATGAAGTCGATAGGGAAAACAGTCTTAAGAACGTCCCTGGAGGGGACTTGACCCTTCTCTAAGCTGACACGGTACTCGGTTGTGCAGATATCGCTAGCAATGTGAGCCTTGGTGACGGCACCGCAAATGACAGCCAGAATAGGGTCGGGACGCTCGGCAGTAAGCTTCTTGGAAATCAGCTCGTCGAGCCAGCCAGTGGTAATGGTGTTGTCCTCGAAAGCGGGAGTCTCGAGAAGCTTGATAAGGTATTCGACGGTGGTTCTGAAGTCACCACGAATGCTCAGCTCCTTGAGAGCAACAACCATCTGCTTACGCGAAGCCTGTCTGTTCTCGCCATAGGCGAAAATGTGACCAAACTGCGAGTCGGAGAAACTGTGAATCGACGAAGCAGCACCCACTGAGAAGTAACCCCAGACGTTTGCGCTCGATCTGAAGTTCAGCTCGTGCATGGTACCGCTGGAAGGCTTGAAGCCCTCACCAGGGTCCTCGGAGGTGATACGACAAGCAGTGGTGTGACCCTTGGGTTGAGGTCTGCGCTGGTTGAGCGTGCTGCCTTCCTTGGAGAAGTCGAAGTCGATCTCGGTGGAGGTGTGGGGATCAACACCGTAGAGGAGACGAATGTCGCGAACACGGTGTAGAGGAAGACCCATAGCAATTTGCAGCTGGGCAGCGGGAAGGTTGACACCCGAAACCATTTCAGTGGTGGGATGCTCGACCTGAAGACGAGGGTTCAACTCGAGGAAGTAGAACTTGTCGTCCGAGTGTGAGTAAAGGTACTCAACAGTACCTGCAGACACGTATCCGACCAGGCGACCGAGCGAAACGGCAGCCTTCTCCATCTGTTGGAAAGTCTTTGAGCTCGCGATGGTAACAGGAGCCTCCTCGATAATCTTCTGATGTCTGCGCTGGACGGAGCAGTCGCGACCGAACAGCGAGATGTTGTTGCCGTACTGATCAGCCAGCAATTGTACCTCCAAATGTCTGGCGTTGCCGGCAAGCTTCATGATGAAGATGGGCGAGCCAGGGATCTCGCTGGCGGCAGCCTTGTACATGGCAGCGAATTCCTCCTCATTATCGACCTTGCGGATACCCTTACCACCACCACCCTCGGAGGCCTTGACCATAACAGGGAATCCAATCTTCTTGGCTGCAATGAGACCCTCCTCGGCAGAGTGCACACAACCCTTGTCGTAGATGTCGTCTTTGACGGTGACGATGTTGTTCGCATCGACTTCGACTTGGTCAACACCCTCTCCTGACCACGGGATACAGGGTACACCGGCGTGTTGTGCGACAATGGTGGAAGAAATCTTGTCACCGAGCGATCTCATGGCAGAGCCAGGAGGACCGATGAAGACGATCTTGTTTGGTGATGCGGCGAGGGACTCGGGCAGCTTGGGGTTTTCTGAGGCGTGACCCCTAGAGTAGTGTGTCAGCTGTGACTCGGTGCTCGAAAATTGCTACAGGGAAACTCACCATCCAGCCCAGACTGCGTGAACACCCATACGCTCAGCAACATCAACGATGAGCTCGACGTTGGCGTAGTTGTTGTTGTTGGTACCGCCAGGCACCTATTCTCCAATGTCAGCCCGCCACTCCGTAGGTCCGGATTCTCGAGTCTTCAGCTGTCACATACCTCGACGTACTTGTCTGCCATTCTGATGTAGTCAGCGTTGGCAGCCAAGTCCTCAGGGGTGGCCATGACGGTGAATTGAATGGCGCGCTCGTCGCCAAAGGTTTCGTATGCCCATCTTCGGACAGATCTGATCTCCTTGACGGCGGCGATACCGTTGTTTGCGATCAGGACCTACAGACGTCTCGTCAGTATGCCGTGGAGCTTCAGTCGAGGGCTGGGAAGGCCCCTGAAGGAGTCTGTCGCTCACATTGGTGATGACCGTGTGTCCATCGTTCGCGGCGACAAAATCCTTGACAGATGAAGGGGGAGCCTGGCTAAGCTCATTGCCGCCGATGAAGTGTGGTGCCAAGTTGAACTTTGAGGCGTAGGAACTTGATTGACCGTTCATGTTGCCATTTACCGCTGGCGCTCCTCCCACTGCGTCCGCCATGGTTGTGGTTGGAAGGCCCATTCACAGATCTGAACTGTGGGACTTTGAAAAGAGGGCCGAGAGTGCGGAGAACAAGAAGCTAATGCCGGCCCGGTCTGCGAGCTGCTCGGGACAGTTGTTCTTCGCAAGAACGCCCACCTTGGGTATCAAAAAAGAACAAGAAGGAAAAAGAAAGAAGAATTGGGTCGTGTGGATTGTGATCAACGGCTCGCGATGTTCATATACCTCGCCGGCGGTAGGTGCGTGAGTCGGGTGTTGGGGCTGGTATTAGCAATTGTCCGAGTCTATGCGTCCTTCATGGAACTGAAAAGAGGCTAGTCTGGACCTGCTGGGAAATTGGATCACGGTAGTTCGACCAGCGACGAGAAGGCGACGGAGTCACAAAGGAGGAAAGGAGAGTTCAGAAGGTCCGTCTACTGAGACACAGCGAGTGCTTTGCTACTTGTACATGGTGTGATAGCCTCACTATCTATATCTTCGGCACAAGGGGGGCGGCCAGTTGAGCTGTGCCAACAAGCGCTAGCTCACCACCTTGTCCGAAGCTCCATGCTTGCTCCCGGCAACACAAGAGTACGGGGCCGCCCGCATCCTCTTGAAGAGGTATTCGTTGATGACACGCAGTGACTGCATGTGTTGAACTCTCGGACTGCATGCCTGGGGACAACATTATTGATCCTCATCCGACCTATCAAGAATTCAACGGCCCAGCGCAGATAGCCTGCATCCCAATGGAAAAGGCACGTAAAGCTTGGTCTACTATCTCTGGCGATCACAGTCAAACGTCCTCAACCCCTCTTATATTCGAATTCGAGCTTCATTTCAGACATTCTTTTGATTCATATTTGATGGTAGCATGTTCACATAAGCCCCGACTACAAGCTCACAGTAGCGTCCTCGTAGTGAGCGGGTCATTAAATTTAGCACCATTTTACCGCAAGGTACGGAGAATTTTGGCTGGATCTTTGTCCCATTCCCGACCGACGCTTCATCGGGGTCCGAGAATCTCTCGCGGAGAGCCGAACATTCCTTGGAGGTCTCTATTGGTATTGAATATCTCGTCAAGCTTGAACGATTGACCGGTCACCATGACACCATTGCTGTTCAGCCTGCTCCATATGATACTCAAGGTCGTCGATCCTCCAACCGGCGAGGCTGTCTGTCGTACTCGTACTCGAGTACAGTCGAGGGTGGCTCCTAGTGGAGAATTGTTGCACTACAGCTAACAGCCATCGATCTTGGCGGTCTCGGAGGTTTAACTCGATAGCTTTAACAACGGTAGAGAATATCTCGGAAACTCGGGTTTCGGAGAATTTCTCACCACTGCCAGAGGGAGGAGCGGGTAGGTGCATTAATTCATGAAACTTTCTACTGCAGGATAGAAACCGTATCGACAGTAAAGGTGTATACAGCGACATGTACAACAATAATATATTGAGCCTCCCTGACACCTGCAACATTGTGCGTGCAACATTAAAAAGCAAAGGTCGTAATCATGACTAGAATGTCTCTCCCAAGTCGCTCAGCTTGCGAGATGACTTGTCTGACGCGCCATCGTAAGATTGTTGCGACTGGTGACTTGGCGCAAGGCTTGACCGGCGGCCAGAAACGCTGTTCCCGAAGCCTGTTCCGCTTTGCCGTTTCATACCTGGAGTCGGTATGCCACTTCCTCCGATTGTTGTCACTGTTCTTTTGATAGTAGGCGTGACGACTTCTTCAGCCTCTCTCGCTTCCGACACACTGTTAGATTGTCGATGCACACGATTGCGCTGTGATGATGCGAAAGTTCCTCCCATCGAAGTGCGAGGCCGTGAAGGAAGAGTCGAAGTTTGTGATTGGCCATATGATGTGTTGCCAGAGCGTGACGGAGGTCGAGCAAAGGAGCCTGTCTCTCCGACATTGTTGGCCCGGCTGCTTGGACGGCTGTACTCTCGCGTGGCTGTAGATGTTGATGTGATAGATGTGCTTGACCGTTCAAGTGGATGCGGTCGCTGTCCATTGAGTGACAGTTGTTTGACGTGTATACTTGTGCTTGTGGATCTCGGCGTTGGTGGCGGTAGATAGCTGTCTTCTTGCCTTGTGGACGAGCTCGTGCTATTACTTGTGCGGTTGTTTCTGTTCCTAACAGTAACGCTACCGGGTACGAACGCACCGCCTGTGAGCGCGCTTATTCGTGGCGATCCTTTTGGTGTAGTTGCCGCTCTCGGAGTATTTGAGTTTTGGGGTGGCAGCTTTGAGCGTACTGAGTGTACTCTTTCTTCAATCTTTTGCATTCTGCCGATCAAGCCCTTGATCTGATATAATGAGCTCGATCTCGGTACACCTTCTGAGCCCACACTGGGTCTTGATTGGAGAGTAGTGCGTCGTTTGGTGGTAGGAGTGGTTGCGGTCGCGAAAGACGGACCGCGTGAGTGGCGAGCAGGTTTGAGTGCGTTCACATTGAGAGTAGCGCGAGGTGTCGAAGTCGTGTCCGGCACAAGGGGAGTCTTTCTGGGTGGAGGAAGCATCTTGGATATCGGGTTGCCGGAGGCGTCGGAGAGAGGCGGAGATGGAGGAGTGGGCGTGTCTGAGAGTGTTGATACTTCGGATCTGACAGGTGGAGGAGTGGAGACAGTGGGTGATGAAGCAGCAGTTCGCGACGAGGTAGGCGAGCGAGCGTGCAGTGCGGATGGACGTCGTACAGGGGTGAGGTCGCGGTATCTGCGTGATCCAGTCTCTGACAGACGAAGTTTCTCGCGCGTGATGTCTGCCTCGATGCGAAGGTCGGACAACTCGTCACGAAGTCGTTGGGTTTGGATGCGCAAGTCTTCTCGCTCCTGCTCGCCGGCGCGCATCTCTTCCTCCATCAAGACGCCTCTCTCAATTGCGACATTGTACTTCGATTCGAGCTCTTCTAGCGATGACGTTGTGTTGCGGGCCTGACGCTCGTAGTCGTCATTGTCAACTTCGATGTCTCTGAGCTTGAGTTGTAGCGTCCGATTGGTCTCGCGCATGGTTGTGATCTCTTTCTGCAGTTTGGTCTGGGCCGAGTTCGCCTCTATCTTCGATTGTTTGTACTTGGTCTGTAGCAGGCCGTCAGCAAAGGCATACCAAGAGGGCTCAAGACCAGCCTCGCACCTTCCATTCTTCAACCTCGAAGCCCAGACTCTCGACTCGTTCTTTCAACTTTCGCTCTCTCTTCTCCGATGCCTCGACATCTTTCTCGAGCTCGGCTTCAAGTTCTCTACTGGATTGTTGGAACTCCTGTAATTCGACTTCCAGTTGTTCATATTGTGCCTTGTAGTAGGCGAGTTCTTGGTCGACAGTAGTGCCGTGGCGGAAGGGCGAGGAAGGCGGATTGCTCATGTTGTTGGCGCTTAATGGGCGAGTAGGTCAAGATGACATAGCCAAAGTCGGGTGGTGAGGGGCAATGCTTGTGATATGTCGAGACTTTGCGCAGTGAGATTTGGGAGGCGGGCTGCAATCAGGTCGTCGGTGAAGTCTGCGTGCGGTGTAACAATGCTAGATCAGGAGTCGCGGCGCAGTGTGGGATGTTGTCGTGTCGGTCGTTGGGTGTTCGCTGGGTGTTGGTGGATGAGGTCAGGTCGCAGTTGTTGTGTGTCGTGTTTACTCTGCACGCCAACATGACAGTGCTAGCGTCGTTGTCGGGGACGCTTGGCCGACGACTCAAGACCTGATCCGACGGAAAATGCTCTATCAATCTCCTTCGCAGCTGCCTGATGAGACAGGACACGATCACTTTGGACAATACCAAACTGTCTGTAATGGCGTGAGACAAGATATCCACCAGTATATTGACATCTGACACTGTTTCTCATTGTCGCAACCTCCATCCTATTGTTATCATAGACTACGGCCGGCTCAACGGCCGGATGCCATCCTCGTCTCTCAGCCTCCAACCCGCAGTTGCGACATGAAGGGGTCTTCTTCATAAACACTCCCTGATAGCACAACCTATCTATGCAGTCTAGGCGATACACACTGCAACTGCGTTCGTATCGAGGAAACTATTCGGTTCAAACTTCTTGTGTTTGGTTTTGGTGGAAGAAATGTGCTCGTGGTCGCTGGCAGAGAAAGCATAGTGTAAACTTCCACGTGTACCTCGAAAAGGCAACGACTCTTATACAACAACCAGCTTTTGACGCAATCATAACGAACTCGATATCTAGCCATGTAGCACCTTTCTGATCGACCTGTTGAAACAAGGACTTCCCATCCCCTCGATAGACGATTCAATTGAGGCCTTGCTCAGGCGTCAGGGTTGCCCCGGCTACATCTCGACTTGCACTTTTCAGACTGGTCAACCCGGCAACCATGAATTTGGACATGGACATAGTGAGCAATAAATCAATATGATTATTGAAGACATGATTCTAAACTTTCTTCCGAACCCAAGGATATTTTGTACCAGCGTGAATATACATCACCCAGAATGAAAACGCCAATGCTATGCGCGCGCAAAAATCCGGCAAAATAGACAAAACCCAACCCATTCTTTTTACAGATCCATGAAAAACGCCTCTTTGCTCGAAACCAGCGCTCAAGTCTATCTCATCAAGTCGTTCAGGTTTCTCTTGAAGCGTTCACACTTGGCCTTGAGCGTGCGGACGGATTCCAAGAAGACTTCGTCACTATCGATTTGACCGGTGCTCTCGACACTGAAGATGAAGTGATCGCGGATGCGGCCGAGTACTACCTTATCCTTGAACTCGTCGTGACGTAGGCACTCTCGCGAGACAGTGTCCTTCATGGGGTTTGCGACAACAGCCTTCTTTTCACCTGAAGCCTGATCGTCCTCCAGTGCGATGACGCCGCGAGGGAAGCAGCGGGCGAACTTCTTTGCGTCTGCGCCAAGGATGGGCTCCTTGATGGTGATAGATGGCAGGAGGCGGTATGAAGCGGTGGCTACGGGAGAGAACTTGGCGTGGTCTGCTCCAATACCCTTGATGCAGTGGCATTGCAGGTGGATAGTCTGACCAGGTCTCAGCTTTGCGATCAGGATGTCGGGGTTGACGGGGCGGATGGCGTCGGGGCCGCTGAAGTATTCGGACTGGTTGCCCTGAGGGTGGAATTGGAACTGGTGGGCGTAGACGGAGCTGTTGATGTAGAGCTTGTTGGGATCGCGTTCTCCTTGTCTTGCAAGTTCTTTGCCTTCTTGACGCCATTCGCAGGTAACATTGAGCTCGAGGACGATGGTGTTGTTGTCGCGAGGAACGGAAGCGCTAGGGTCGATAGTTTCGCCAGACTGCTGGAAGATGTGCTGCTGAGCGGGATCATCCTTGGGAGGGCCCTTCTTGAACCATTGCATCCAGCGGAGACCTTCGCGAGAACCAGTGAAGGGGATCAGACCGAGACGGTGACAGAGGACCTCGTCCTGGATGATGGAGGTGTTGTCGTAGACAAAGACGTCTTCTATGGCCAGGGTAGGGATCTCGGACAGCATAATACGGCGGTATGCGTTTGCGACTGAGGCATCGATGCCGACGAGGGAGAAGACCGAGTCGTACTGGTCATTCTTGTGAAAGTTCACATTGAGATTCTTGGGACTGGTCAGAGAGAGCTGCGATCGGACGCGGGATTATCGAGAGCGTACCTGTTTGAACGAATCGATGTTCCACGAGTGGTCCTCGCCAGGGTAGTGACCAGGAAAATCGGTAGATACGACATTCGAGACGGTCTCGGGATTAATGCCCACAAGCTATACAGATGTTAGTGTTGGTTTGTGTGTAGAAAGTGAATCGCGTACTCTGCGTTTCTCGACTTCCTCTTGCGAGGGCTGCTTGTAAGTTCTGGCCGACATGGTTGGATTGACTCTACTTTTTCTCGAATAGCGCTTTCAGAGCTCGAAGAAATTCTGGAAGCGCGGCCGGGAGCCGGGGAGAAGAGCGCCAAGACTGCTCAGGCGGAGCGGGGCGGGGCGGAGAGATGATGACCAAAGGAAAGTCTGTCGATGCGTCGTTGATTGCCGCAGCTCTGTCGACGAGACACGCCGCCCTCTTTACCTTTCGCGTCCGCCCTAATTTCTCTCCACTCCCCGCCTGCCTGTTCAATTGCGACAAAATGGCAGCTTCATTTGCTCGCATCGCATCCAGGCGACTGTATCAGCGCCCGGCTCTGCCTCGCCCCTCGACCACCTTCCGTTCGCTGTCGACCTCGCTGCCCCGTCACTTCGCCGCTCCCATTGACAACCCCAATGCCACTCGTCTGATCCCCGTCGACCCTAACTTTGTCCCTGGAGCCAGCAATGCCGACTCATCTAGCGCCAGCATGGCAAACACTTCCGACGAGGACCCCAACCAACGCAAGATCCGCCACTACACTGTCAACTTCGGCCCCCAGCACCCTGCCGCCCACGGTGTCTTGCGTCTGATTCTCGAGCTCAACGGTGAAGAGATTATCCGCGCAGATCCCCACGTCGGTCTGTTGCACCGTGGTACCGAGAAGTTGATCGAGTACAAGACATACCTCCAGGCTCTGCCCTACTTTGATCGTCTCGACTACGTTTCCATGATGACCAACGAGCAATGTTTCTCCCTGGCTGTCGAAAAGCTGCTCAACATTGAGGTTCCCGAGCGTGCCAAGTGGATCCGTACTCTGTTCGGTGAAATCACCCGTATCTTGAACCATCTCATGTCCATTCTTTCCCACGCCATGGACGTTGGTGCCCTGACTCCCTTCTTGTGGGGTTTCGAGGAGCGTGAGAAGCTGATGGTACGTCAACACCTTCAGACTGACCAAACATACATACTGATGATTTGCCACAGGAGTTCTACGAGCGTGTATCTGGTGCTCGTCTTCACGCTGCTTACGTCCGCCCCGGTGGTGTCTCCCAGGATCTCCCCGTGGGTATCCTTGACGATATCTACCAATGGGCCACTCAGTTCGGTGATCGCATTGACGAGACTGAGGAGCTTCTGACCGACAACCGTATCTGGAAGGGCCGTACCCAGGGCGTCGGTGTTGTTTCCGCCGCTGACGCGCTCAACTACTCGTTCACTGGTGTCATGCTCCGTGGTTCCGGTGTCCCATGGGATATCCGCAAGTCCCAGCCTTACGATGCTTACGACCAGGTCGAGTTCGATGTCCCCGTTGGTGTCAACGGTGACTGCTACGACCGTTACCTCTGCCGCATGGAGGAGTTCCGCCAGTCTCTGCGCATCATCTTCCAGTGCTTGAACAAGATCACCCCTGGTCCCATCAAGGTTGAGGACTACAAGATCGCCCCTCCCCCGCGTGCCGCCATGAAGGAGAACATGGAGGCTCTCATTCACCACTTTTTGCTTTACAGCAAGGGTTACACCGTTCCCCCTGGTGAGACCTACTCTGCCATCGAGGCCCCCAAGGGTGAGATGGGTGTCTTTGTCGTCTCGGACGGTTCCGAGAGACCCTACAGATGCAAGATCCGCGCTCCCGGCTTCGCCCACTTGGGATGCTTCGACCAGATCTCCAGAGGACATCTTTTGGCTGATGCTGTAGCTATCATCGGCACAATGGATCTCGTATTCGGTGAAGTTGACCGATAATCACGCTGTCGTTCTGTTGAAAACAATACTTATGATGAAGAGAGGCGTGGTAGTGTGTTGTAAATATGGGGCGTTTTTTTATATCAGCTTTTTTTCTTTTTCCGACGTCGGATTCGTTCAACGGCATTATGTATTTTACTTTAGATAAGTAAACCTGATCCTTCTCTTTTGTATTAGCTGCCTTCAGTGCATGATGTTGTCGTCGTCGTCGGGTTGGATGACGGTATGTGTAGTGAATCGTCTTCTGAAGCTTCGCTCGCTTGAATTCGGTCGACCACCCTTCGACAAACGGCCACTTTTTCCATGTTACCTCGACCCTTATTCTCGACATCCACAGAGCGAAAATCTTTCGTAGAACGACAGTAGTCTCCCATGGCTTCCCGAGAGAGTCTGCAGAAAAGTCAACACAGACAATTACCCGGGAACGTGCCTTCAAAAAGCATGATGACTATCAGGCTCCCAAACACGTCCGCTGGGAGACGTGAGATGATACCCTCTCAGTGATGAGAGTTACAAATTGGAAAATTAATATGCATTTGCGCAGCCTCTATTGCAGTGTAATCAATATCGATTCATATGACTTCTTCTCGTTACACAAGTTTTGTTGTATAAAGAATGCAACCATGTAACTAAGTCTGTGTTATCCTTGATTCGGGATTTGACCCCGACTGTCAACATCGCTTTATCCACTAATTGTCTCTAAGTGTTCTGATTTAAGCAGTTATAGTAAATTACTACGATTTTAGTAAATTGGATGGGTGATGGTTTGCTTGAATGGCTTGAGTCCTAAAAGTGTTTCGAACTTTGGAGTCGGTAGGTTGGGAGATTTGTTTATTGCGTTTATTGTGCATTCGATATTGTAAGAGATACATCGTTCTCCAATCACATGTACAGTGGTAGGAAAGAGACAAGGATCAAGACAGCAATCCAAGCACTTGTCATACTCTGGCTATCGAGATAACACAGGCTACAACGAGTGGCTCTATTGGCTTGGATCTTGTGGTCGCTGCACTTGAAGATAACATCGGCACAGCGACCCGTCAGTATTGAAACGACATGTGGATCTTGATGTGTCATGTTTTGGGACGTCATAAGAACGTACAACTTTATGGGTATAGGCAGAGTCGACAATTGAGAGATGTGCTCGGGTGTCAGTTTTGCAGACCCCAATCGCATTGCAAATCAATTGTGAGTCATCACAGCCAAGTCAGTCTAAGCTCGTAAGTGAAACGTGTGCCGACCTGTTACAGGGTACATTCTAGTGTGCCAGAGATTGCTTGTCATGAATAATGTGAATCTGAAGCAAGAATATGTTTTGATGATCGATGAATATTGATAGTGATAAGATGAGATAAAGTGAAACAAAATGAATCACTTCCCGTGGTTTGCTTTCTCGTAAGTGGTTCCCAGTTCTTCGTGCCTTTTCCATTCGCATCCAACTTTACAGTGTTTCTTCCTCGCTCCGATCATGTTGCATCTGCTTCGATTCCAGTATCGTCCAGCCAAACCGGCTCCTCATCGTCATTGATCTTGGACCTCTTGAACATCGCCAGAAGAGCCTTTGCTCTTTCCACGTTTGATGCCTTTATGACCTTTTGGATATCAGTTATCTTGCGGCGCTTGATTTCCACAATGCGATCATCGACTGTGCCGGCCACGGTGAGGGAGACCATTGTGGTCTCCTTCTCTTGACCGATACGGTAGATTCTACCGCGAGTTTGTAGCTCGGTAGATTCGTTGAAGTAGTTGTCATAGTTGATGAGGTACCTGTGTCTATGTTAGCAGAGTATCATGTGATATCACAAAGAGAGACCAACTGTGCGACTGTCAAGTTCAAACCAACTTCTCCAACTCCGCTCATGGCAAGCATAATGAAGATCTCGGGATCCTCTTCGAACCGCTTCACACTTACATCTCTCTCTGCACCCGACATGTCCGAGGTCAGTGTAGTGAGCTTCCAATCTTTCTGACTGAAGGTAGCTTCCAGAAACCTATGAGAGTCCTTGAAGCCGGTGAAGACAACAGCCTTAGCCTGCGGATCTGCGGCGCGCCAGCTTTTGAGGAAGCTCACCGAGGCGGCAGATTTCGTAGATGGAATGACGTTTCCCTCCTTGTTGAGCCATCTGGGTTCTTCAACCTTCTTTTCAGATTCATCTTCCTCTTCTTCGAGAACGGCCTCCTTCACTTCAGGATCGGCCTCGTTTGCTTCTGCCTTGAGTTTCTCTTCTTGAGGCTGGTATTTCTTCTCCTCCTCATGTTCCTCCTTTATCACTTCTAATATGATAGTGACTTCGCTGATTGGAGACTTGCAAACCACACACTCCGCACAATCAAGATTGTGTTCAATTGCAAGACGCTTCTGTTCATCGAGACAGGGGCCGCAGTGCACATGGTAACATCTCGTGTATTGCTTGTCCTGGGCTCCTTTGTGGCAAATTACACATCGAGCGTTCTTGTGAATCTTCTTGAGAGCCTCGATGTAGTCTTGCGCGTAGGGGTCGGCGGTGATAGAGATCTGCGTGAAGATCTTGGTCATGTCTTCATCGGTCAGAGAAGTGAACGGAGTAAGTGTCGTAAGTACATGACCTATCATCATTCTGAGTAGCATGAGCTGGCCCTTGATGTACTGGGATGCATCAACGCTACTATGATCGTTTACCATATCGATCGCAAGCAGGAGCAGTCGCTCACACACAACTGAGTAGATGATCCTCTCGGGTGCTGAGAACTCCTGGGTCCAGTCGATGATCTTGGGGGTCGGTATACCAATTAGTAATTGAGCGAACAATTCGTCTTCGTAGGTCCAGCGGCTCATGCAGTTCTTCAGGAGGCCTGCAATCCACTTTTCGTCTACCCCCTTTTTGTCGTCGTCTTTGCTATTACCTTTGCTCTTGCCCTTGACCTTGCTCTTGCCCTTACCAGTACCCCTACCTCCGCCCTTGCTCTTGCCCTTGCTGTCATCCTCAATCTCGCCCCTATGACGCTTCTCGAATTGCTTGAACGTCAATTTCAACGCTTCGGGATGGCGGATAAAGGTGAGGAGAGAATACAAGTCTTTAGGACTATTTGTCATGGGCGTGCCTGTCAAGACCCAACGATGCTTGCCGTCGAGTTTCTGCACCGCTTGAGCAAACATAGTCTTGACGTTGCGGATGATGTGTCCTTCATCAATGAAGATTGCTCGGAATCTGAATTGAAAAAGCGCACAGAGGGTCGGTCGAATGACCTTGTCAAAGTGAGTTTGCTTTTCTGCTTCAGATATATTTTCCGGATACTTGTGGCTTTTGAGGTTGAAACCGCTCACTAGTTCTGGGTACGTGGCAACGACGAGATCGGCCATCTTGAACTGCTGTATTAGTGATTTGGGAACGCCATCTGTGCTGTAGGCAATGACAACACTGAGACCCTGCACCTCCTTCGATTCGGCGCAATACGGCGTGCGCTAGAGCTTCCTGGATCCATTGATTCTTGAGCGACTTGGGAACGATGACCAGACTAGTAGTGGATTCTCTTGGGCCACATAGAGACTTGCCCTGAACCATACTTGTCAGACTGCAGACAGTCTTACCAAGGCCCATCTGGTCAGCCAGGATGCCACCCTTCGAACCGCTTGTGGCCTTTTCTCGTCATCTCATGAAACCAACATTGATGACCTGATGAGTTCTGAGAGGAGTGATAACACCGCCGATCGTCCAATTTCCGTCTCCAAGATATTGTATCTCGTCTGGAGGGAACTGGCTGACTGCGTGTAGAACTCTTGTCCTGTCACGTATCGCTGCTTGCTTCTTGTGCTCCGGAGCCTCTGCGACTAAACAGTCCAGCGACTGTCGAATAGTCTCATTCTCCTTTGCTGGTTTGTCGATCGTAGGCGACTGTACTGGTTCTGTCTCAAGCTTTCTCTTTAAGCTGGGCGACGCTCCAGCCAAATCGATCGCGTCGGCACAGGGTTTCTCGTCCGGCCTCACGAACAAGGACGGGCTGGAAGTTCTTCTGCGCTTATTGCCGTTGCCGGTTTCTTCAGTGTTGTGCTGTTTGGGTTCATTTTGCTCTGCCTCTGCCGCCAGGTACTGCTTGTGTAATGATTCGAAGATCACTCGCTCTTCGGGGACCAGGGTATTGTTTCTCAGAGAATTTTCGATGGCGATCTTAGCTTCTTGGTGTCGCTCCTTGAGCTCTTCGACAGTTTCGCCCTCAATGGTTGGATAGGCGGAGACGTTACTCATTCGCGCAAAGAAAGCAAGTTGTTCCTCAGGAATTTCTCCGTGCGTCTCTGGATCACCTCCGTTGTTTCTATGCATATGTCAGTCAGCACGAATCAACAACTACGTGAGATATGATATACTGACAGGTCTAATCCGGTTGGCTTGGCGTCTGGCAAGAGGGGTGAAGGAGCCTCGTCCATAGGCTCTGGACACGACATTGTGACAGACAGGCCTCGCGGTATCGCTGAGCTGCCGAATTGCCGAGGCAGGAGTCGGACGAAAAGCTTGTCGAGATGAGTAATGATCACAGAATCGTCGTCAGTGACAACTTGTCGGATGTGTCCAGTAGATGCACCGGTCTCAAATTAGTAGCATTCACTAGCCGTATCGTTGTTTGAGTGAGGAACTCAATAGCCGTCTTAACGGTGCAGGTGAAGAAGTTGATCGAATGTTTAGGCCTGATGTCGATAGGTAGAAGCAACTTTTGTGAGGCGTGAGTTGTAACGTTCTTAGTGCTGCGTGATGGCTTGGAGAGGTGTTGTGGAGTGGTTCAGAGTGTTGTTGGGTGAATGATGTCTGTGATAAGAGATTGGCAGTCCCAGAAGATATATGAGCAGATGCCCACGGAGGAAGCAGAGCAAGTGACAAGACTTATTGTTGTTAGTGTGAGGGGTTAGATGACAGTCGAGAAGAGCTTGTCGTCAATGTGTGTGTGTGTGTGTGGCACAAGAGGGCGTGGAGGGAAGGGAACGACTGGATGAACAGAGATTGGCGAGAGGCCATTCAGCGGAGAGCGACTGATAGAAGATCGCAATCACGGTATTCGATGGGCACATTATCACTGTGCTCTCATGAGTTGCATGTGATGACCAAGATTTAGAGCGAGCATATAGTGCTCGTCGACGTCGTAATGGCAGAGCTTGATTAAGCTCGTCAATGTTAGTGACTACACGAAGGTAATAATACTCACGAGGCATAGGACGACGTTGGATGTGACGACAACGTAAGCCCAATGCTACAAGCCGTCATATCCCAGCCCGTCTCGATTTCCGACCAAAGCTGGTGGACGGACGTAAGAGGTGTACCACGCCTCTTTTCGACACATCTTCACGTACAAACTTTTGTCATGGAGCAAATCTGCGCCAACTTACCTCTGCATCTGCCGTAGCATTATCATCAAGGTGAGGTGGGAACGACTTCCGACAATCTGTCCCCTGAGTCTCGATATTTCTGTCGTCCGAGCACCCTTTAGCAACGTCTTGCGTGAGCTCGCAAGCAATGATGTTCTCGAAAGTTGTGGTACGCGACCGGATGTGATAATCAGGTTGTTCGTGTGCTGAATCATCACTACAGTACCACTCGTCGAGGATTCTTAATTTTTGCTTTGATTGCATATTCCAAGCTACCGTGGTCTTCGTCGTTGAACCGTTTCGGTTTCTGCCATAGCGGATGGTTGCTATAACATCATCGACGTTGGCGATGAGCTTTACTAAAATGCCGAGTGAAGCTTGCAAAGTCGACGTCGATGTTCGATCAGTACGGACTGCGATTAATGTCGAAGATGCGATATTGACATCGCGTCATAATTTGCTTGACCTTGGTTGAGCGGATCTGTTTCCAACCTGAAGTTGATGCGAGCGGTCTGCGGGAGGCTGGGCCCAAAGTTACTCCACCAGCAGTCTCTCAAGAACGCGGGCTTGGCGCTCCGGCAAAGACGGCCGAGGGCGCGTCTTCCTGTTGATTGATTTATCCCTTGGACATGAATTCGCGCCCAAGAATGTCTGAAGGATTCGCTAGCCTCCAGGCATCGGGCACAATTGACACGAAGATGCCTGGGCCCTGAGGACTTATAAGCCTCAGTGGTGATAAAAGCCGCATGACCCTTCCTCGGGCCAGTTGCTCGGGTGTTGTCACGGGGTACGACAACCGATGATGCATACAAATACATGAGTGGACCCTTGGCCACCAGAACTCGGAGTCTTTCCGTTCATATTTCCTCGTTTCGAACCAGTCAATACGAGTCAAGTGTACCTATGATGGAGAAGAGTGCTGCCATAGCTAGTTCTTCTAGGTCTGGGCCCAGGCGTGACAGTGGTCACCCAACTGATTCCGATCTGCCGGCCTATTCCCAAGCGGCTTTAGACACAGTGGTCGACTCCGAAACTGTTTCACGCATGCCATCACGGTCTCAAACTGCTTCGACCATTCCCACATACTCTGATGCTGCTCTTGACACAAACTCTCGACCTGTCTATAATTTTGTCCGGGCTTCGATCGTCAGCTCAAAACTTCTTGTCCGCAGCAATGAAATAGACAAATATTGTTTCGCCTCAGATCGCAGTTCAGAATCAAAGGTCTGGATTCATGCAGGTGCCTCAAAATCCAACAAAGCGCTGGGTTGTTTATCATTCCCAGAAGCACACAACACATTTCGAATACATTGCGCTATCGTCATTGAAGGAGCCACTGGAGATGAATCCATCATCGGTCTAGACAACAAGAAGTTCCTGTCTGCGCCCCTGGTCGATGTCGTTGCTGGTATTGGATACCCTCATCCAAGGACTTTCACACTAAAGGTGCCTAAAGGTCTGGACTTCCGTACGAAGCAATTCGTATGGACATACCAGGGTGGAGACATCACTGGCCCGACTCCAGCGCGTTATGACCTACGCGACTACAGTGCAGGAGGTGCTCTGATTGCCAGCCTAACGACCACAAAGGAGGGAAAGAAGCAGACGGCAGTGCGATGGCTGATTAATGCAGAGAGCGAACTGGAGCAGGCTGTGTTGATCATGTCTTGCATTGGTATCGTCACTAGGTTATCAAGGAAGGGAAAGTTTTACAACGACAAGGGGATGTATTCCAAGTGGAAGTACTTCTGGTGGATGTCAATGTTGTCTGGAGTGGCAGTCGCTTAGCCTTGGGATACCCGAATGTTTTTTTTTCGATACTGATAGACGTTGATCTTAGATTCTGCTGCTTTATGTTTGCGCAGCGACGGAGCCTTATCTTGGCCTCAGATTGTATCTACCCTGTTCATCATTATTGACATCCTCGCTCAACTCTTCGTCTTCGTGGCTCTCACCTTCCCATGAGCCTTCCTCAGAATCTGACACGTCGGACCGTTCTTCCTCTTCGTCGCGGATACGACGATTGCTCGGATCAAACATTGGGTGCGAGACTATGACCTTATCATCGTCTGAAAAGATATTCAGCTTCATCCTCAAAGCCTCAAAGATCCCAACCACGAGCGATAGGTGGGACAATTCATCCTTCTCCAAATCGTCCGCTGGCTCGAGAGTCTTGAAGTGGATTCCAAGTGACTTGAGCTTGCTGAATTTCCTCTTCGAGGTGATCAAGTGAGAAGCACGTTCTGCCATGTCTTCGTCAAGCCGGCAGTTCCTAATGTTCAGCTGCTCCATAGACTCTGGAAGATTGTGCGGGAGCTTCACAATGTCCGGGTGGTCTGGTTCCGAGTTGCGTTCGCGAAACAAAATATCATAGTCGATGGAAAGCGTTTCGAGGCTTGCGAGTAGACGTAGATCAAAGGGAGCATTGATGAACAGCTCATTTCTGTCACGCGGTTCAGAGTCATTCGGGAGAAACAGACTCAAGTTTTTGAGTGTCTCCTTACGGCGAGCCAGAGCATATATGGTCCACATGCTAAGGCTGATTTCATAGGTGCAGTACGAAAATGTGACGTATAGAGACTCGAGTGCTTCAAGGGAATCCACAAGAAGTACCAGGACAGACTCTGATATACTACACTCGTCAAGTGACAGGTGCTTGAGTTGCCCTAATGGTGGTTGAGTGTTGTGGCTCCACTCCTCTTCCTGGAGGCCAAAGCCATAGAAGCTTCTAATTGAAGGTATAGTCAAGATATCGCTGACTGAGCTGATTTTTGGCGCATACGTGTTTCCCAGCTCGTCGACCCTAGCAGAGAAGTACTCAAGGCGTGACAAGCTAGACGGCGTTCCGCTCTGAGACAAAAAGTCGACTTTGATATCTTCTTCTTGTCCATGCTGCTCTACTTTGATATCCGATTGTGATCCTAACAACTGACGCCAAAGATCCTGAATATAGCATCCATAATCTGGCGAGGAAGTTCCGGGGTCTAGCCACCTTATGTTGGGTAACAAAACCATCGAAAGAGCCTCTTCTGCGACTTCGTCACCTCCACGAAGTTCATTCCGCCAGTCTGATGCCAGTCTGATTGCCATTCGGAGGTTCGCCAATGCCATTTCGTTTTCTGCGGTGGAACCTTATGACTGGCTTTGACCATCATTTCGCCCAAGCCCGCATTGACGTCTGTCCTGCCGTACGACAGCTCTAGATGCGCCATCTCATCCCAATAGTTGCTGACTGAAAGGCACTCGACATTTTCAGCTAGATCTGGACGTTCAATCATCGTTCGGATGAACATCCCGAGCTGGATTGGTTTTCGGTGATCTGTGTAGCCCGTCTCTTCATCAGTCAATGCCGAGATGTCCTCACCTCTTTTCTCCATAGCTTCAATCTTGGCTTAATCGTACTCATCATGGTCCAGATTTGGGTCAGTCTTTTCACTCTTGATATAGTCTCGATAGAGAAGGGGCTGGGCTATGTTGTGCCATGCTCTGGAAACAAGACACAGGCTGGCGAGCGTGATCTTCACAACGGTGTACTCCTCAAGCACGTCGTTGGGATGTTTGAACCTGGTGAATGCCGGATAGTATTTGACGATCTCAAGATTAATCTCATTCGGAAGAACGGCCATGTTGTGTCGACGGCAATTCGTGCATAATGTTATTCAATTCTCCTTCTTAAGGAGGAAAGAAGGTAGGTGGCTGGGAGATGCTGGCGAGCGGAGCAGCATGCGTCATCGACGAGCTGTTGGACGAGACGGTCCAACCTTCTACAAACACGGAATTTAGTCGCGTCCGATACACATTTTACCTCGTCATATCTGCCTGTTTGGCAAAGATCTAGTCGTGTTGTGCAGGCACGATCTGGTGCAGAAAGCGCTGCCGAATCTTGAGCGCAAATCTCTGATCACTTAAAGCACCGATACACACCAGCACACGCCATGCGTCTGCCTTTTTCTCTTCGACTTTCTGCAACACAGAGCACATGATTTGGGAGTGGATGTCGACAAGACGGCGTGCTTTAGGACATCCCTTCTACTGCTGCGCTACATTACTGCGTTTCCAGTGAGACGCTTGCCTTTACCAGCTCAGTACACCAACTTGAGCGTCAGATCGTTCTGCCAGGCTCCACCCGTCGTCACACCCTCAAGCCCGGTGATATAAGTCACATCGCCACCAGTCTTAACTTCAACAACGGCAGTTTCGCATGCTGCACCATCAATGTGAAGACTAATATCCTTGGGCAAAGCCGATGCTCCAGCGATCGTGATGTTCGCTAGTGGGATACCGTCCTGGAAGTCACCAGCCACCTTGGTAGACAGCATGCCCTTTGAAAACTCGATCTGATGATGGTCAGTGAAGCACAGCAGTAGTGAGCAAAGAGTAGACCTACCTCGACGTTCTTGGTCGCATTCTGAACAATGTTGATGCCGTCGTCGAGATACAGCTCACCGCTTGCCTTACCATCCTTGTCAAGGGCGATGAGCAAACTCCAAGGACTCTTTCGAGACATGGCAGTCGTGTTTCCAGCCTTTTGAATGGGAATGATGTAGCCGCCTCTGACAGCGATTGGCTGATGCTCGATTGGTGCGCTCATCGTCTTGTTCTCACCGGCCACTACGTCTACCTTTTGCAGGGTGTACCAATCATACCAGATTGTTCCGGCAGCCACTCCAGGGAACACTCCTTGAACTGTGGTAGCGAGTGGTGCGAGCACTGGCGTCACTAGCAATGCCGGACCACTCATAAATTGGTTGTCAATGGCCTTGAGCGAGGCATCATCGGGGAACTCCCATGCCAGAGCTCTGAGCACGGTTTCACCGGCCTTGTTTGCTTTGTGGAAGAGTGTGTATGTGTACGGCAGCAAGGAGTAGCGGATATTCATAATGCGGCGAGTCGACTCAGCTGTGGTTGACCATCGGTATGCTTCTTGTGCAATCGTATTACGGTTGTTGTGGTTGCGATACCTGCGTCGAGCGTTAGTGGCGTCCCTAGGCGCTCCTTCCTTGTCACTCACATTGGGAACCAAGCGCTGAGCTGCATCCATCTTGTACACAGCTCCATGTCTGAGTTACCATTGAAGCCACACGTCTCGACACCGAAGTATGGAATACCAACGATGGAGAACTGCAATGCTTGCGAGATACCGAAATACATGTCGCCCCAGTCGGAATTCGTGTCACCGCCTGTTGATGTTAGCATAATCACGTTGACCGATGTCTATGGTCGCACTTACCCCAATGGCCAGCAAAGCTTCCACTTCCAGCAAAAGTGCTTCTGGCGATGAACCACGGTCTCTTGCCTTCATACACTTCAACAAGTGCATTGTATGTCGCGTTACCACTGAGATGGCCGTACAGATTATGCAATTCATACTCGGTGCTATTGTATGGTCCGTCTAGATGAGTGGCGTTCGGTGCAATTACTTGTTTCAACAGACTGTGTCCAGGCAAAAAGTTATTGATGGCGTAGGGCGGGAAGTTTATGTTACGAACACCGGGTGTGGCAAGTGTGCGTCTCAACACAGGAGAAGGTGCAAGCGTCATCGAAGGATAAGCCGACATCTGTGAGGCTCTTGAGGCACTGGCTGCAGCTGCTTCGGTCGCATTTGTGATGTTGAACATTTCGGGATATCGGAAATCGACAGCAATACTCGTGTTTGGGTCTCCAGGTAGTGCGAAGGGCACATGTACTGGGTTCAGGCTTCGCTGGTACTGACCGCAGCTTCCGGTGCACCATGACGTTGGATCACTGACATCGAGCCAGAAACCATCGAAGGCCAACTTCTTGCGGTACTCGACAAACTGCTCAGTCCAGAATTGCTGAGCTTGTGGGACCGAGAAATCGGGCCAGACGCTGAAACCGTTCCACTCCATGCCGTAGTATAGGCTGTTATTACCGTTCCTGATGAAGACTTCAAGCTCTACACCACGATCATAGGGGGCGTATGTGTCACTGGCGTTGGTCGGATCTGGAGCATAAACGTTTGGGTCCAGAATAGGCAAGTAGTACTGGCCGCGAGCGTGCAGCCAGTCCAGGAACTCCTTGCCCTCACCGACAGGGTAGTTTGCATTGTTTGTGAAGATACGATTCAAGTTCAGGTAATCGAGATCGTTCATGATGCCTTCGAGCTGAATGCCCTGCTCGGCATATAGCTCGACCACATCTCGAAGATTGGTCCAGTTCAGGTAGCCCCAACGACATTGATGGAAGCCGAGTGACCAATAGCTCTGCATGATGGGTGTATTGACGATACCGACTTGGTACTGGCTGATGACTTCCTTCGGAGTTGGACCGCTGAGGAAGTAGAAGTCGAAACTACCACCGATCGTACGGTACGTGATTGAATCTTCTCTGAGAAGCCACTCTTGTCCATGAGCGTTTCTAGCATACACTCCATGCGATGTCGAAGAGCCGTTACCATAGCGAGTCTCGAGGTATACTGGATGCGTGCTATGTCCATTGACATCAGGCAACTGATCATTATCAAGGTTGTACGCATTCCAGAAAGTCTGCGTGTAGTTGGTTCCTAGTCTGAAGGAGTGGAACGACTCGGCTAGGCCGTACACGTTGTAGTCTGGCACCATTGAGGTGACGAGCTCAAGGAATTGATCTTCGAAGACAATCTTCTTTCCATAAGTACTGAAGATGGTCTCGCCTGAGCCAACGCGAGACACCATGAATTGGAAGGTAGGATTGTTGCTCCACGAGAAAGCCAAGTCGCTGGTGGTGTTGCTACAGCCGTCTTCTGCTCCGGGTAGTGGTGTGAATCGCTCATTAAGGATGTAGAGGGACTCGTTGTGCGGAGCCAGATACTTTGGAGTGATGCTGACAGCGAGTCTGCTTTGACTCTGGTACCTGACAGATAGAACAAGATCTTTAATATCGTTACCGTACACATTACATGCTGTACCAGCCAAAGTCAAATCGGCCTGGATACCCGAGCTGCTTTGTTGAACGTTTGAGGCTTTGTAGCCCGAACACACTACTTGAGCATTGGGAGCACTGCTATCAAGAATGTTGGGAAGAACACTTGGAGCGTTGTTGTATGCCGATGCCAAAGACGGCTGCAGAGGAAAAGCGGGAGGATATTGTGGTTGCTGAGCTAATGCAGAAAGTTAATAGGACGTTGTGACAGCGATTGATATCACACACCTGTAGCTAGAGCTACCAACAGCCCTATCACCGCAGAGGACAGTGTCATTTTGCTAGGCAGTCAAATTATAGAGGTCAACTGGTATCGCCTAGTACCGACAGGAAATGTGCCAGGATATATAGCCATGTCCGAGGGTAGAATAAGACGTCATGAGATAGCTTGTCACGCGGCTGGTATGCTTGAATAGTCTTTCTATCAAGGCTTCACATCACCAATCTCGATCTTACTGCCTATATGGGAAATTACGATAAAGCATCTTGTCAATATGCAGTTTGGGGCCGCATAGAAATTGAGTTTCTTCCCCGCGCTATGCCATCATGGTACTTGGTGATCTACACCGATGCACACGCGAAAACATGCGGGGCAATTAAATGTCAGGCCGACGACACCCGATCTACTTTTGCGCTTAAACTTCCATTCGACCTTGTCGGCAAGATTTGCAACACGAAAAAGCAGATCCTGGAAAACGTGGCACCCGCGACTTCTAATCATCAATCAGTCGGGTAGCGAATTTGAACATCTGGTTCGACTCGACAGAAGACTCGTCTACCAGCTTCTCGGCAGTCTCTGCACCAGCGGCTGGCACTCTGTACTCGAAGTGCTTACCAGGAGCGGCAGTCTTACCCTCGATTGGATAGTTGAAAGGCAGGTATTCCGGGAGTAAACCCAGCTGAACAAGAGCAGTAGCTTGGTCCCAAGCAATATGCTCATGATACAAGCGATCTCCTCGTATGTTGACGATACTAGTGAATGGTAGGCGACACTTCTTCCCTGTCGGTGGTATACCCGGTAGGCTGTCGATGTTAGCATACCTCTGACCAAGCACCATAAGTAGTGTACTTACAGCCAATCGATCTCCCGATCATGGGTGAAATTGAAGACAAATTCATCGATGACTCGATCGATACCCACAGTCCGACTGACCAACTCTAAAGCAGTGTCGTCAGGATTGTTGAAGACAAAGTGATTGCGATAGAAATTTGTCAAGCTTGCTCTACCGATACCACCAGTTATCGTAGGGATATGGTTGACGTATGGCTCTTGCACCATAGTAGACATGGTCTTATCAACGGCCCTCTCACCAAACTCATACAGGGTATGCTCTTCCCATATCTCTTCGAGATCGAACCACGGACCACAGAGTATGGGTTTAAGGAAGGAGAGTGTGCGTGTGTGTGACACCGATGCCGAAGAAGCGTGGAAAGACTTGTGTGCTGGAAGCACGAAGAACGGTTCCACCTTAGGATAGTAGTAAGTCTTGTTCTTCTTCGATGCATCTTTCTTGATTGGGATCGGCGGTTCTCCAAGCTTGTGGAAAAGCGTTGGCTTGGTGATCTGTATTTCTGAAGATCCATAGACTACCATCGAGGCGATGTCCGAAGATGTTTCTAGTGCTCCGACAATCTCTGTAAGCCATGTTGAAAGATATGCTGATCCTTGTTAGTATTGCTTACAATCACGTTGATAGAAGCACGATTACCGATCAATCCGATTTTCTCATTGCCGTCATAGGAGGCATGGTCCTTGATATGCTTGATGGTCTCGGACAGGGTGGCCTCAAAGCTCTTGGTTGAAAGGCTGGTCACGTCTATTTGACCAACAACAAAACTCTCCTCCGCCCATTTTTGTAATGGCGGAGGGTCGATACTGTCTGTCGGAGATTTCGATGCAGACTCTTGGTCAATCAGTAAGATGAGAGCAGGACCCTTGCCCAATCTTGACAACGGCGGCTGAATCACCACAGAAGACGAAATGCTGATGATAGGTGCCGACGGGAGTGGCAGCGACTTCTCCAACTCATCTTTGGTAGACATTGCGATAATTGAAACTTGCTTTAAGGATAGCGCAGAGGACGGAAACGGGGTCACTGTTCGTGGATGATGACGAAGTTGTATCGGCTATCTCGATGTCGATCATTGCCTAGTTCCCTTATGCATGCATCACATTACATCCCCACTTCACAACTAGCCCCGCGCGAGAAATACTGGACCACTTAGAGCTGCCTCAAAACACAATACTTTCTTAACCTGCAACGATGTTATCGAGATACTTCGTGTCGTCGATTTCCTGCGCTAGGTTTACCGACACGAGGTATGACTGTGCCTTTCTACAGCTCGTCGTTGCCTGCTTTGATCATCAGGAAGAGAGAGAGAGGGTGTGTCTAGTATTTTGCATACGGGAAGGAAGCACTGAGACTTGCACAAAAGTGGTGAGTGAAAATTGGAGACGCCTGTAATCAACTACGCCATAAGCACACAATCAAGCACAAGTCGACTACAGCATCACCGGTCAGCAATCTGGGATCAGTCATCGGTGATTGAAAAAGTCTGTGGTATTAGGCCGAAGCTATCTTCCCATTATCCCTTCCTTTACATGTATAGCGATGCAGTAGCACAGATGTCGCGCTTGATCATCTCCTGGCAGGTCTGCATCTTTGTGAACAGCGTCGGATCACCGATAATCCTTGCAGCATTCTTGACCTCTCTGCAAGTCTCATCCAGACGTGTAATCACACGCACGATAGTGCCCTCCATAACATCCGTCAAGTCGGTGATACGGTTGAACGACATACCACGTGCCCACTCGTAAATCACCTCGACCAGTCCGAATCTAGGTCTGCTCACAAAGTCGTTAGAGTCATCGGCGGAAAGGATGACTTGATGGAGCGTCTGGTAGTGGTTGACCTTCTCAGAGATCTTGATGATCGTCTCCTGTCCACGCTCCAATGCTGGTGTCATGGTAGGGATCTGATCTGTCTTCTCTTGGAAGACGAATGCAGAGAGTAGCGCTACGATCTCCTCTGGCTCATAATCGGCAAGTACGTTCTCGAGAACCAACTCTGTTAACACGAGTTCATCAGCAGAGTGAATCTCACACGCGACCTTGCCCTTGAGCTCAACGCGAGAGTTTTCGTCCACGAAACCAAGGTCCTTGAGTACCGCGATACGCTGTTCGTAGTCGGGCAACAGCTGCAGATTTTGATCCGACATCAAGGCCCGCAATTGATTGATGTTCTCCTTGATGAGCCATTCGTCATGCATCATAGCGAAGTGCCTGTCCAGGTTTTCACAGAGAATACTCTCCTTGCCTTCCTGTGCATCGTAGGCTGCTTTGTTGCGCTCGTCGATGATGTTGCGAATGCCGATTTCCTTGATTCTAGAGTAGTCGGCTTCATTCCAAGTGGCTGATGTCCAGCTTGAACATGCGCCCAGCAGCTGCTCTTTAAGCTGCTCCATAGCTTCAGGCATCTTGCTCGAGGCACCTGTGACATCAAACTGCAGAGTGCTTGCGGTCAAGCATTCGAGTTCACTGTATGGTACTGTTGCAAGTCTGAGCTTTAGATGCTCAGCATCTGCGGGTTGCGGGGTGAAACGGCGTCTGTAGCGAGGGAGGTATGGCAGTAGATCAGCATCCTGCCTCTTCGACTTGGAAGGAACGACCTCCATGACCGACAGACTTGGTGAAATGCCCTTGGAGACACCTTCACGAAGAAGTACACCCACAGTCCTGATTCCATCTCTCTTGTACACAACAAGTCTCTTCGGATGCAGCATTCTTCTGCCGATCGGCGAGCCGAGGAGAGCAAGATGTAGATCGGCAGTGAGCTGCTGATATCTCATGGCTGCAGTATGACAAGCTTCGAGATCCTTGTCGCAAATGTCGCATTGCTCTCTCTTGATCTTCGCAAGATCAGCCTCAGATAGCTTGACCTTCTGTTCATGCTCGGGCAACAGGGCCTGGGTCGCGTTCTCACTGAAACTGCGCTTGATCATCTCTTCAATCTTGAGGGCTTCTACACGCAAAAGGTTCAGAATCATGTTGTAGGTGAGTCTGAACTGGGAGCGAAGCTTGGTGGGGTCTCCCAGCATCATCTGTCTCAGTCGACCAGCAGGTGGCGCTTCGTCGGCTCCGGGAGCGACAATGATGACTGATCCGACAGGGTCAAGACCTCTTCTTCCTGCTCTTCCAGCCATCTGTGTGTACTCGCCGGGTAGCAGATCACGAAACTGACGGCCGTCGTGCTTGCGGTAACCAGAGAATACGACGGTCCTGGTTGGCAAATTCAAACCCATAGCAAACGTTTCGGTAGCGAACAGAACCTTGACCAAAGTCTTTGCGAACAAGATCTCAACACACTCCTTGACGATTGGCAACATACCACCATGATGAACGGCAATACCTCTGCTGAGCAGCTCACGAAGACGGCGAATCTGAGGCAGTTGGCGATCCTCAGGCTTGAGTCGGGCAAGTGACTTTTCCAAGATCATGTGAATTGCACTCTTCTCGGTCGCTGTACAGTAATCCAGATTTGACAGAGCCTCGGCGTTCTCCTCGCATCGCTTCTTTGAGAAGACGAAGATACAGGCAGGGAGCAGATCTTCCTTGCGTAAGTGCTGAATCAGATGTACCCAGATGTTACGGTCTTGAGCAGCTGTTGTTCTGCCGCCTCCACGACCTGTACGGGCAATGTTGCCTTGGGCACGCTGGGCAGGTGCACCGCGTCCACGTTGCTGGGCTCCGCCACGTTGCGCGCCACCTCTCTGCGGACCACCGCGCTGTGACTGACCACGTCCGCCTCTTTGCGAACCGCCGCCTCTAGCAGCCGCAGCTGCTGCTTCCTGCTTCTCCTCAGCTGCCTTGATCTTATCCTTGCCAGAAAGTACATCGTTCGCATCCTTCCAGCCCTTCTCGATGAATTGTTTGTCTGAATTGACGATCTTGTACATCTCCTTACCAGCCCAGAGATAATGTTCTAGAGGGACCGGGCGCTTGGGTGTGGAGATGACGTAGATGTTCTTTTTCTTGGTGCGGCCGACCCAAGAAGCAAACTCGAGTGTGTTCGGTACAGTCGCAGAGAGCAGAATTAGTGTGACGTGCTCAGGCAACATGATGATGACCTCTTCCCAGACCACACCTCTCTCCAGATCATTGACATAGTGGACTTCATCGAAGATGACGAACTCAACATCGCGGATAATATCGGCGCCGCGGTACAGCATACTTCGCAAAATCTCTGTAGTCATGATCAAACAGCTTGCTTCTGGCCGTATTTGAACATCACCAGTCAGGATACCAACATCGTCAAACTCTTGACGGAAGTCTCTGAACTTTTGGTTACTTAGCGCCTTGATAGGCGAAGTATAGATGGCCTTGGTCATATGTTTGGCTGCCAGTGCGATAGCGTACTCTGCAACAACCGTCTTTCCGGCAGACGTGTGAGCAGCAACGAAAACTGAGTCACCATTCTCCAAGTGGTAGATGGCTTCCTTTTGGAAAGTGTCGGGCTCGAAAGGCCACTCACGAGCCATCTCTGGAACCAGATCTCGAAAATTGGTCATAGGCCGGTTGACATCAACCATGTGAGCCCATTCGTGACCAGTTCTCTTGTTACTTGAAAGACCTAGCTGACCTCTGGCAGCTAGTGCAGGGAATTCAACTGGCAGAAGGGCGTCCAATTCTTCTTCCTCTCCTTCATCTTCGTCCTCGTCTGCAAGCTTGACTTCATCTGCGACATCTCCATTAGCAGCTACAGGATCCTGAGGCTCCTCTTCAAGCACGTTCTCGACTTCCTGAGCGGTAGCCTCATCCGTGGGGGCCTTCTTTTGCAGATCAAGACCACGAGTAAATCCAGGCGGCAGCTCGAGTAGCGCACCGTCAGCTCCGAAGTTGATGACCTTGTCCAGACCACTTTGCTTAACAGTACCGTTGGTCTGGGCGCCGAGCAGAAGTTGGTCCTCGGCAGCAGCGGTGGCTTCAACTGCATCCAAACCGCCAGGAGCGAAGGGGAAGAAACCAGCAGCACCACGCACGAAGTCCGCGCGATTCGCGGGTTTTCTCAATATGGAAGTAGAGTTTTTTGCTGTAGCACTGTTTGCAGGGACGGTAACCTCCTTGTAACCAGTGACACGTCCCTCAAGACCTTCACGGGTAAATCTGATGATAGTGCGAGTTTGCGTGGGAGCCAATTCGAAGAGCTCCTCATAATTAGTCGGACAGTCCCATCTTTGTTGCAGACGATCGAGCCATGGTGTGCTGAAGGATGTAGACGGCGCAAGAAAGTCCTTCTCCAAACTTGAGCGGATCTTGTCAGGCGATCTTCTTGTGCGCTTCCTTGGGCGTTGCTGGTCAAGGATAGCATCAATTCCTCCTGCAGGCGCATCTGCCAGACGCAGCCTTTCGAGCGCAGGCGTGAGATCGTCCATGTTCCAGAAACTTGTATAAATCAACTAGTCGACGTGTTGGTAAAAGTGAAGGGTTGAGTATCGATAATTGAAGCCGAATGTTTGACCGCGATCGGTGACGCAATCAACACGGACAACATCGACTTTTTGCTCCACACCAATCCAAACTGCTCACCAAGCCTTCTTTTGTTCACACCACGATCAATCCAAGTTCGATGTGTTGCTTGTGCGAGTTCATTTCTCTTGGTTACCTATTTCACTCATTGCATACTATAACTCGTCTTCATCACACTGTCTTTGGGGCCTAAATTCCTGAAGCGTGAAAATCAAATCCACACAAGTACACACACTTTCTAGCCACTTTTCATACCTCAGGCAGAGATTCGTCTTGAGTGTGAGCCTTGCTTGTCTTGTAACCCGGCTCCACGAACTATAAGTTACGCAGTCTTGACCAAGGGGCAGATCAAGCAGCCGAATCACAGCATTTATGTGATTAGTGTCGTGATTCAGACAGCTCATTGTCAGGATCTCGGCAGAGCAAGCAACATTGATCGTGTCTAACAATAATCAAGAGCATTTATGAACCCACTAGACGCACTCATACTCCTCGAACGCGTATTCGTATAGTTGCAGTTTTCAGAGGCTGTAAAAATGAGTCGCAATGATTTTCGAGATGCAGCAGAGGGGCATCTGAGACGCATGGGCGCGTGTCCCACGTGGAAGCCATCTCACAAGCTACAGTAGATGATTGACTTGTGCCACCATGTGATAACAGAGGGCGCGCCTGGTCAGAAGCAGATGCGTCGCGTGATAGTGTAGTAGCACGTCTTGTTGAGATTGAGAATAGCAGGCAAATCAACAACGGTTCGTGTTGTTTTGATTGTTGTGGAGGCGGTCGTTGATACGGCAGCGTCAGACGGCGTCAGCGAAGTGGCAGAGATCTTGGCTTGGCTCCTGTCGAAAAAACCCACGGCCAGACCCTGAAGCAAGCACCGAAGATTGAAAGTGATCACTTCCAAAGCCGACGTGGCTGACCATTTGCAATAATTTCTGGAGGGGCGCCAGTTGATTTCAAGCAGTACTTGACGCGGAGGGACACAGGATTTTAACCGAAATCTTTCACACATCATGGACGCCTCTGCCCTCAGGACTCGCATCCAGGCCACTCTGGATGCAAATGCTGATGCCCGTCGCCAGGCAGAGCTGGATCTGCGAAATGTAACACTGCGCATACTGGTAGACAAAGGCACACGACTAACACATCCAACAGGCCGAAGACACACCCGGCTTCTGCGAGGCGCTGCTGAACATCCTTGAGGCCGAACAAGACACTGCAGTGCGCCTGTCCAGTAAGGCTCCCTCTCGTATCTGTGGCATTCAGCGTGAAACTGACATGTTCGTCAGCCGTCGTCTACCTCAAAAACCGCATCACCAAGGGTTGGGCTCCCATCGAGAACGAGCAAACACGATTCAAGGCCGTCCCCGAGGGTGACAAGCAGGTCATCCGCCAACGTCTCGTCCCTATCCTCGCCGCTTCGCCGCCGCAAATCCGCGCTCAGCTTGTTGCTACCCTGCAAAAGATCTTGCACTACGACTTCCCCGAGCAGTGGCCCGACTTCCTCAACATCACCATCAGCCTTCTGAACCAGCAAGATGCAGGCAGTGTATTCGCCGGTCTGCAGTGCCTCCTGGCCATCTGCCGCGTTTACCGTTTCAAGGCCGGCGAGACAAGAGCCGACTTTGACAAGATTGTCGAGATGACCTTCCCTCAGCTGCTCGCAATCGCAAACAGCCTTGTCAATGAGACCAGTCTCGAGGCAGGAGAGATGCTGCGTACAGCTCTCAAGGCCTACAAGCACGCCATCTACTTTGAGCTTCCCCGTCATTTGCGCGAGCAGCAGCAGATTGTTGGCTGGTGCACTCTTTTCTTGAACGTTGTTGCAAAGGATCCCCCAGCCGAAGCAATGGTCGAGGATGTGGACGAGCGCGAGCAGAACCACTGGTTCAAGTGCAAGAAGTGGTCATATGTCAACCTGAACAGACTATACGTCAGGTGTGTTTTGTTATGACAAGAGTTGGGAGGGAAACAAATACTGACAAACACAGATACGGAAACCCAACCAACCTTTCAAAGACCGAGGCCGAGTACACCGACTTCGCAAAGAGCTTCATCAAGGACTTTGCCCCGGAGATCCTCAAGGGCTACTTGGGTCAGATCGAGAAGTGGGTTGGCAAGACTACATGGCTGAGCAAGCCCTGCTTGAGCTTCACCCTGGTCTTCATGGAGGAGTGCATCAAGCCCAAGACCATGTGGGACCACCTCAAGCCGCACATGTCCATCTTGATCCAGCACTTGATCTTCCCCGTTCTCTGCCAGTCTGACGAGGACATTGAGCTTTTCGAGACCGACCCCTCCGAGTACCTCCACCGCAAGCTCAACTTCTACGAAGAGGTTTCCGCTCCCGATGTCGCCGCCACAAACTTCCTGGTCACCATGACCAAGGCCCGCAGAAAGCAGACTTTCTCTGTCCTCAACTACATCAACGACGTCGTCAACCGCTACGAATCCGCTCCCGAAGACCAGAAGAACCCAAGAGAAAAGGAGGGTGCTTTGCGCATGATTGGAACTCTCTCTGGTGTTATACTTGGCAAGAAGAGCCCCATCGCAGACCAGGTCGAGTTCTTCTTCGTGAGACACGTCTTCCCTGAGTTCCGCAGCCCTCACGGATACCTGCGTGCTCGTGCCTGCGACACCCTTGAGAAGTTCGAGGCTCTCGACTTCAAGGACTCCAACAATCTCCTCATCATCTACCGCAACATCCTTGAGTCTATGGCTGATCCTGAGCTGCCCGTTCGTGTCGAGGCTTCGCTCGCTCTGCAGCCTCTCATCCGTCACGACGTCATTCGTATTTCCATGCAGGGAGATATCCCTCAGATTATGCAGCAGCTGCTCAAGTTGGCTAACGAGGTCGATGTCGATGCTCTTGCCAATGTCATGGAGGACTTTGTTGAGGTCTTCGCTGCTGAGCTCACCCCCTTCGCCGTTGCACTCAGCGAGCAGCTTCGCGACACCTATCTCCGTATCGTCCGTGAGTTGATCGAGCGTAACTCATCGAAGGAGGGTGACGACGAGTACGGTGATTTCTTGGACGATAAGAGCATCACTGCTTTGGGTGTCCTCCAGACCATCGGTACCCTCATTCTGACTCTTGAGAGCACTCCTGACGTTTTGGCTCACCTCGAGACCATCCTCATGCCCGTCATTACCATCACCTTGGAGCACAAGCTGTACGATCTCTACAACGAGGTCTTCGAAATCATCGACAGCTGCACTTTCGCCGCCAAGACCATTTCTCCTACCATGTGGAACGCGTTCGAGCTTATTCATAGAACGTTCAAGTCTGGCGCTGAGCTCTACCTCGAAGATATGCTCCCCGCCCTCGAGAACTTTGTCAACTACGGTAGCGAGGCTCTCATCCACCAGCCTCAGTACCTGGAAGCCATTGTGGACATGATCCGCACCATTTTCTCGAACGACTCTGTTGGTGGTGTTGAACGTATTTGCGGTTGCAAGCTCGCTGAGATGCTCATGCTTACTCTCCGTGGACACATCGACAACTACATTCCTGAGTTCATCATGATCGCCATGAACGTTTTGAACAGCGATGATGTCAAGGTCAAGTCATACCGCATCCACTTGATGGAGACTGTTATCAATGCTCTCTACTATAACCCTAGCCTTGCGCTGCACATCCTTGAGTCCAATGGCCAGACTAACAAGTTCTTCAGCTTGTGGTTCTCAAGCATCGACATTTTCACCCGCGTCCACGACAAGAAGTTGTCAATTGCAGCCATCACCTCTCTCATTATCTTGCCTGCAGACCAAGTGCCCGTCAGCGTACAACCTGGCTGGCCTCGTCTGCTCCAAGGCATTGTTCGTCTTTTCCAGACTCTTCCTGCGGCCATCAAGAACCGCGAGGAGGCTACCAGAGAAGACGACTTCGGTCTTGGAGGTGACTACGATGACGAGGAGGAGGATGAAGAATGGGAGGGTGAGATTGACTGGGCAGCTGAGGAGATCGAGGGCGAGACCGACGACGTCAAGGACGAAAGCGCCGCTTACCTCGATTTCCTGTCACAGCAGGCATCCAAGTTCAGCGCCATTGGTGATGATGACGATGATGATGAATTAGAAGAGGAGTCATTGCTTGAGACACCCTTGGATAGGGTGGAACCTTACGGCATGTTCAAGCAAGCACTTTTCCGTAAGTTTGACACCGCATCTCGTATTGCTATGATCCCAAGGCAGAATACTAACAACGCGCTACAGTACTTCAGCAGCAACAACCTCAGCTCTACCAAGATCTGACCAAGACGCTGAGCCCTGAAGAGCAACAAATTATCCAGACGGCTGTAAATCAAGCCGATCAGATTGCTGCTCAACAAGCCGCTCAAGCACAGCAGGTCTCTGAAGGAGCCGCACCGCTCAACGGCGGCATCTAATGAATGAAGAACAAGAACCCCAAAAGAAGAATACGAAAAAAATGCATAATCGAAAAGAAAAGATTGTGCGAAACGCGTAGCAGCGATGGAGGACGAACATTTTCCGAAAAGTCTTGGAGTGTTTCCAAGCGAGCAAACTGGGTGGACTGACTATTAAAGCTTCAATCATCTTTCTTTTCTACCAAATATACAATTGCCTTGCATGGGCATATTTCTAGTCACACACAACGCTCTGGCCCTTCTTATTTTCGGCTTGGTGTGCTTTGCTCTATCCTTGCTCGGACCTACTTACTCCTGCCTCTCGTGCTCTGTAACCATATCATTGTTTACGCCTCGATCGCTGCCTCCCAAAACATCTGGCTCGGTGATCCTGCCGTTGGTCAACGTCGTTCCTTCCCTTTGTTGAAATCGGCGACCTGCTCTTCGCTCGACGAGTACTGCCAAGACTTTACGCTAATGGCATCACCCTGACTAATTGTCCAAGATCAATCTCATCCTGTTCACACGTTGGCTATCTAGTTTCGATGGCTATGAGAGAACTGCAGACAATTTTCATCCCTGTATGGGAATGTTTTACTATGTTCTAGGCAACATTTCCGCTGCTGTTGTTAAAAGTTATAATCTTGAAGCATTTGACATTGCTTGTCGCAGAACAACACCCCGGAAGAAGTAGATATTCTTACGTCAAATATACAATCACTACAACTTGTGTAATATACTCCGACAGACGACTAATGATGCTTACAAATAGATGTCACAGCTCATCTCGCTGCTCCCGATATCTGCTCTCTGCTGTCAAAGGTCTTCTATCGATGCTACGCTGTCGTTGGAACGTGAAACATGTAATCATGAGTCCCAAACGCTAACATCACGTGAATGTGTACAGTCGCAGTGGTTTAGTGGTAAAATTCGTGCTTGCCATGCACGAGCCCCGTGTTCGATTCACGGCTGCGACAACCTTTGTCTTTTGCTTGCCCTAAGAGCACCTAGAGATAGAGGAGATGCTTTGCTTTTGCTCGGATGGTGCTCTCTGGAGTGTAGAGTGGCGGCATGGACAGTGTTGAGTAGCATGAGGTCTTAGTTCTGCTGGGTTCTTGCAGGTCAAGCACAGCGTAGAGTAGCCAAGCAGTCATTGGATCAGAACATGATTGTACTCAAAGAGGACTTTAGATTAGTAGAGATCGCCATATCTCAAGCTTGAGATGACTTGACAGAAGAATCCCACTGCTTGTCTTACCTCTTATGAAGCCTATCACTCCTTAGTTCTATCTAGCACACATCCTTGACACTCCAGTCGTCTAGCAGGCTTCATCAAAAAAAGTCCCTGCCAAGCTCAGACCCTCAAAAATCTCGAACCTCCACCAATTTTTTTGGCCCGTTTCAAGCTTCAGCTCAACCCCTTTGTTCAACACACCTCAGGGGGAGCAAAAGGAGAGTCTACATTCGCTCAACAGGGCAAAACAACGACGCCTAAGAGATTCGAACTCTTGCTCCCGAAGGAAATAGATTTCTAGTCTATCGCTATAACCACTCAGCCAAAGCGCCAGGATTTCTTTTGTTCCGTCCGTGGGATGGTACTGATTGTCTCGTGAGCGAAGGGAGCTTGATGTCTGACCTGTGGAGGACCTTGCTGCTCACGAGATAACAAGGTATGGACACCAAACCTACACGAAGTCTCAGTGTGATACCAGCCGTCACATGCTGGTGTCGTTGAACTTGCCACAACCTCGAGTTGCTAATCGTGATGAGATGCAAACTGTTGGGTAGAAGTTCTGTCTGTGAGGTGCCGGTGATTCTGAGGAAACTCTGAATCGCAGACCTGGAGAGATCAAGCGAGAAAAAGCAAAAAAGTGGACAAGAAACCGCATCCACATACCTGTGAGGACAAAGAGCACACCATCGTCTCTGAGTAGGCATCAATCAAGAGACTGCAAACCTACCTGATCAGACATCCCACCACCAAAAATAAAAGTCAAACTTCAACTCTCGATTTGGCTCTTCGCCTGCCCCTCCTCCTGTGGCAGCAAAAACAGGAAACAAAAAAGAAGACAGCGTGTGTATAGGAATAGCCGAAGGCGGGGCTCGAACCCGCGACCTTGAGGTTTGGAATATCAGAGATGATAAGAGCCACACGCTCTACCGATTGAGCTACCCCGGCAGGTCTGATGATCTAGTTCACTGTGTGAACTGGCTGCTGACTTGTGACCACTGAATCGACGAGAGGGTATATATCGTCCTGATCAGAGAGGGGCGCAGGTCAAGCCAAGCTGAGACTGCAGTCGTGCCAGGGGTCGGCAGTCTTCGCGCAGGTCGGGGTCATGGCTTGTTCGACGAGTCCAATGAGAGGGAGAGAAAGTCCCAAATAGTAGTGGCTCGAGAGTTGCGTCGAAGTCTTGCTTCTTGGATGCCGTTGAAGAGTTGTTGATTGAGAGGCGAGAGTGGACGAGGACCGAGGGGGAACAGAATCATGACGCTGGTCAAAGGGATCCGAGCGCGGGTGTTCCTCCAGCCTTCGCTCTTTACCAACCTCCTGTCCAATACCCAGCCATCCAAGCCCGTTGTGGTGACGTCTCCATTTTGTGGATCTCCTAGTGTATGATGATAAGTGGAGATGAATTGGCGATGGTGACGACGAGACGATTGTCCAGCTCAAATGTTTGGCAGCGTTTGTGATTGACTACTCGTACATCCACAACTAGGAGGCCGAATTGTAGATTCTCTTCTTGAAGGCCGCAACTCAGCTGACCCTGGGGTCGAAACAGAAGATCAAGTCACGAGGTGCGACGCGACGTCTACTTGAAATTTTCTCATTGCAGCTGCATTCCTTGATGTCGACTCAATTGTTCTCAAATTGTTCTGACATATTTTCGTATATACAAGATGGCCAACTCGATTATAGTTTCCTTTGTAATGTCAAATATCATCAGACAGGACGATATAAAATTAGATCGACGGAATTACTCCCGATGATGGCCGTCCCACTGTTCCACCTTCAGTTCATACCCGTGGTCCTAACCACAGCCGGAACTATCTCCATCATCCCGTGGAATGCTCTGACGTGTTGTGGTGACTCCTCGTCGAGTAGACCAAGTCAGCATTGGAGGCTCTCCGGATACTTGCTGTAGGTCTGTTCGGAAGCCATAATCTCTCGGGTGGTCGAGGTAGACTTTTCTGTATGGAGCAATATGACTTTGCTGCGACTTGGTCTTGGTACGACAGACACTCCAATCGCTTGGCTCAACTTATAATTACAGCAATAGGGGAGGCGAGCAAGTCATGTGAGTATTGATATGTTTTGTTTCGTTAGCCAAGAAGCATATGATATACCTAGCTTGCACCCTTGGCACGACTCATGGGGCCCCAGTTCGCCCTAGGGTTGGTTTGATAGCGCATCAGCTTCTTGCTGTGGTAATCCTTGCCCAATTGCTCATCAAACTTGATCTTGTGCGTGAAGATGTCGGCGGGAGGCTGATCTCTAGGTTCGTCTTCGCTCTGGTCTCCATTCTCCTCGGCATCCTTCTTCTCCTGAGCTGCATCTATCTTTCTCATCTTCTGCAGAATCTTGTAGCCAGCTTGAGTCTCACCGACCTTGCCTTCCTTCACTGGCGCCTTTTGTCGACTCCACTCCCTGATGACCTCCCAGATGGCATCGAAGTTGGCATTGGTCTTGATGGTGCCAGGCTTGGTATGCGATCGCGTGGCGATGTAACCGGCATGACGAAGTGCACCCTTGATGGCTGCTTCTGAAGGAGACTGACAATGGATGACCTTGCACAAGTAGCTAGGGATGAAGAAGAAAGGATATGGGTCAGTGACATGGCCTGGAGTAGAGGGAATGAAAGGAGCCTCGGTTTCACCCTTGAAAGTCTGAAGGACGGTCTCCAAAGTATCAAGCTCGTCCAGAGCAGAGGTGAGCATACCCTCGATACGAGCTGTGGTTCCGTAAATTGTCTTGTCCACATTGGGAAGCATGTCCAAGATACGGCGGATGAAGTAAGGGTTGTGTAGAGGACCTGCCCACATGGGACCAGCAACATGAGTCTTGAAACCACATTGGGGACATCTGCTCTCGCTGAAAGATAGAGAGGCAGTATGTTTGTAGTTGGTGAAGTTCTTTTGAGGAGTGTGTTTGGCAAGAGGCTGAATCTGGAAGCTTCCGCAGCCAGTGTCGCATTGGTGTACAAGCATGGTCTTTCCAGCCAGGAATTTGACATCTGCAGGAGATTTCTTAACCCGCACCCAGACTCTAGCGTAAAAGTCGATACTGAGGGACAGAAGCGGTTCAATGGCGATACCTTGAACAGCAGCAGCCTTGGCAATCGAGTTCAGAATCAGACGAAGACCGGCTTCGTGCGAATGTTGGCCCTTGAGCGGGAGACCGCCGTAAAGCGAGTATGTCTTCTCGACATAACCACAGGAGGCAAAGACACCGGCATCAGTGCAGGTAACGCACAGTAGACCGCCGTCGTTCAGCGCTTGAACGGCGGCATCAAGGAAAGGTGCAGCGGTACCATAGGGATCCAGATCGATAACATCGTACTTGAGTTGAGTGTGTGCAGAAGGACCATCTTCTGAAGTTGGGGTGTAGTAGGCAGCATTATACATGTGACCGATGGCGTTGCCAGTGGATGGAACGATCTTGCCCGTCAGCTTGTTGTGTCGTACATTGAGACGAATGGCCTCGACGGCTGCGGGAGACATGTCGTTTGCTACGACAGTTGTCACAGAGGGAATCTCCTGAGCATAACGTAGAGCACGCAGGCCAGAGGCAGACAAAGCATCCAATACCCTGAACTTTGGCTTGTATTTGTTTCTCTTGGGCGCTTCAGTGGGCTTCACCTCGGTGTCATCGCCGACCACCTCGGATCTGACATCAACCTTAGTATCTTCTTCTTGAGCTTCCTCTTTCGCTGAAGCTTCTGTGACGACGTCTTTGGCCACTGCAGCACCGTCATTGCCCTTCCTCCTCTTCTCCTCTCCAGCATTGCCCTCGGCCTGTCTCTTTCTCTCTTTCTTCTGAGTCTCTTGTGCAACCTTTTTATCGTGAATTTGCTGCTTGATAGCACCAAAGTGCTCGCCAAAGGCTTTGATGGCGAGGACGGAAAGATCGCGGTTGAATTGTTGAATCGGGTTGTAGAAGACACTTTGTGCTTGCTGCTCGCTATCGTCGTCCTTGTTTCCTTTCTTCGCTCTCGGATCTTGCTCGGTACGTGCGTTCGGTGGGACCAGAATGTATGCCAGACCCTCCTTGACAGTGCCATATGACTTTCCATCGTGCTCGATCAATTGACCAACCGCCGGTTGCGATTCTATCGTCGCACTCATGTTTGCGGGCGCTGAGCCAAAGACACGTTTCTGTATGGCAGTGCGTACTTTGTGAATAACTCGGACCACTCTTATGGTCATGGAGCAATGCGACTGCTCTAGTGTTCTTTGGTGAGCCTTGTCGCGCTCTACTTGTCACTTGCTGCTACTTTTTTGCGACCGGCTGGAGCCTAAAAGGGTATAGATCGCTGGCCTTGGCGCTTCTTATCCCTTGTCGCTCACTGTCCACCCAACATCCGAGCTCCTTCCTCGAAAGTAGTTATGTTGTCTCTCTTTTGGCAGCGAAGATAGTCGCAGAAGACATGCGGCCTTTTTGCAGGCATGTGTCAAGCCTCCGTCGTTTCTCGATCACAGTCGAGGTTCTGAGGAAGGCACCGGTTCCAATTCGATAATTTCATACTGGGCTTTCCACCACCTCTCAGTGATCATTTCGGCTGCCCACTCTCATGACAATCAACCTTGTCAGGATGATCAGAAGCCTGAAGATACTCCTGGGCCTTGGATATCCTTGCTGATCCACAAACAGGACACTTATGAGAAAAAGGGAAAAATAGTTGACAACGAACAAATTTGTTGATTGATATAGATAAAGAAAATACAAGAGATTGTATGTACATAGACATTAGTTGGTGCAATAGATTAGTGAGCGTAATTGCCAGGCATTAGTAGCGACTGGGGTTGGATATCTTCCTGTTCCTTCCTGATTTGTGATAGGCTTTCCCTCCTCTTTCGATATTAGGCAGTAGGCAGTATATTAGGTATTAACTTCTTCTTCATCGACAGAAACTGAATCTAGCAGTAGCAAGACTCGGTATTCTTGGTGGCGACACCAGCAGACATCAGACCCTGGAAAGAGTTATAGTCGCTGACAGAGCCCTCGCCAGAGAAGGCGACGCTGCTTGAGTATGCCTTGGCATGGCAGAAAGACCCGCCGGAAAGGTGTTGGGCGTAGGCATACTTCTGAGTGTTGTAAACAGTCGCACGGCCGGCGAGAGTGTTGCCCTCCTGAGCCTGGATACCGTAGCTGCCAACGAAAACGGGGAACTTTCCGGAGCCCTTGAGGAGAGAGGCTTGCTTGCAGACGCTGGGAGCGATCAAATGAGCAGGGAGCTTGCCAGTGGCGGCACCACTGCCATAGATACCAGCACCAACACCTGTTGAGACACCACCGCCGATGTTTGCACCAGCGTCCAAACCAACATTTGCGCCAGCTTTCCCATGAACGCCACCTCCAATAAGACCATTGAGGCCTCCAAGGAGACCACCTCCGATATGTGCGCCGACTCCTGCGACATTTGTGCCAGCATTCAAGCCAGCATTTAGACCACCGCCGATGTTACCACCAGCGTTCAAGCCAGTGTTAACTCCTCCGCCAATTCCAGCAGAGATTCCAGCGCCGATGGCTCCTGAGAAGGAAACGTGGCTGTCAATGACAAGGTTGGCGTTACCAGAGAAGAAGGGAGCCCAGTAGTCGTGACCGAGGAAACCGTCCTGAAGCATGCAAGGAATACGAGCATCAAGCTTGGCAACCTTCTTCAGGACACCCTGGACGTAAGTGTTGATAAAGTTAGTGGCACCAAGAGATAGACCACCGCTGGTGGCAAAGCTGGCAGTGACATCGCAAGGCTCGTTGATGGGTGAGATGGTGAAAGCGTTGATGTGACCAGTGGCGGAGATGAAGCCAAGGATAGCGTCAATGGCCTTGAAGGAGTAGGAAAGGTTCTCGGCAGAGTTGAACCAAGCGGTAGCGCCGATACGCTCGCCAGAGGCCAAACCGTTGACACCACCAGGGAGAGAGTCAAGACCAATGACGATGTGCATACCGTACTTCTGGATTGCGTAGTCGCAGACAGTCTTGAGGTGAGCCTGCTGGTTACCGTGGTAGAGACCGGAGCCAGGGACAGAGACCCAGGCGGAGTAGTGGGTAGGGATTCTCAAAAGGTTGATGCCAGCAGCAGCGAGCGAGTCGATGTAGCTGGTGGTGATGTACGAGGCGTAGCGAGCTTCAAGGACAGCACCTGCCTTAGCACCAAGCTTGGCAGTAAGAGACCATTCGTCGTCGCAGTCAGAACCATACTTGTTCCACCAGTCGATGTCGAGAGACTTGTCTTGGACAAGCCAACCACTAAGGGTGACACCGTTGGCCTTGAAGTTTCTCCAGTTCATGAAGGCACCGCCATTGATACCAGCGGTCCAGCCGATGTTGTGGGAAAGACCAGCGTGCAGACCAGCATTTACTGAGACGCCAGCCTGGCCGTTGAGGGAGAATGGGCAACCGACACCACCGAACCCAAGAGCTTGACCATGAATGTTGGCGTTGGTCTGAAGACCAACACCCACGGAGCCAAGAAGGAGATTGAGATCGGTGTGTACATCAGTAGTGATACCCTTCAGAAGGCCAAACACAAGGCCGAAAGTGGGGGCAGCGTGCACCTGAGTCGAACCTGCGACTAGGGCAGCGGTAGCCACTGAGGAAGCGCGCATATTGATTTGTGTAAGGGAGGAAACAGGGGATTGAATAAACAATGTGAAAGCGGAACAATGATGAAGGCAAGCAGATAAAAAGAGAAAAAAGAACGAATTAATGATGATGAACTGCAAGACAGAGGAGAGCGAATCGATTCTACTTATACCTTCGTTCTTGCCTCGCCGTCGTACATAGTCGCATTGATTAGCGATGACAGGTCGTTATTCCTTGCCTTTCTCCGGTGTCTGCTGACGGGTCCGCTAGTCATCGAGGCTTGGAGAGATATTTCTAGACTTCGAGGTGTTCTAGAGGAGATTTCAAGAGAATGTCTGGGTGTGAAACCTTGGACATATCTCTAGCCTCGCAACCATGTTAGATTTTGGCACAGTAGACCCGACTATGCGGAGACTAGACAAAAGCGGTGCTGTGCAGTGACAAAGTTGGTCTGCTGAACACTCGAAAGATGAGCTGGTCGACGGAAGGAAGAGATTAGACTGTGTTTCAAGTCCAAAAAGAGGAGTGGGCAGCGCGGATGAGAGCGCCGACCACATTTCACCGCTTTGAGCAACATGATCTTGGCGAATATCGCAAGCATTGGTCACGCTAGAGCTATGAGATTGTCTAGAAGGAAGTGTCAGTGTCAATGACAGTACATCTGATGATCAACAAACTGATGCATGCTGAATGTCAGTCGTAAGTGAACCATCTAAGAGGCTGCGGGAATGACATATCGGAAGACTGTTCAACAACTATTGCCATCCATCACCGCCAGCAAGAATAGATCGATCGACCGGATGCTGGCTGCTCGACCGGCTGCTCCCGACTTCCTGATTAGTTCCCCGAGTTTCATATCTGTTCAACGACTCTCGAGCACCGTACGCAGCCGTATACCATTCTATTTTGTGCCTTCGAGGCCTCCGTGGCTGAGCAGTGGAGATGCTAAAAGTCACATACATGAGTCAGACGTTTCAAGATGGCTATATCAGTATGCTAAGCATTGACAGGAGCTCAAATCAACCAGGAACCACCAATCTTCCAAAAAATATCGCCGCCAAGCTTCGCGAAAAACGGTCATCCATTGTCCACAGGCCAGAGCATAGATGTGCACAGAGTTCTGTCACAGCTATGGTGGAGCACCACTTGCCTCCCAATCTTCCGGATCCGCAAAGTCCCCGGAGCAGTTTTGGCTAGGAGAACCAACGCTTTGGTTCCTCGGGGCTGTGGAAAGGCATTTGTCAGTCCACGGCAGGCGGTAGGTTAGCGGTCAGACTATGGCACCTGTCCTCGTCTGCTGCAGCAGATTGACCATGCAGGTATAGACGGCGTGATCATTGCGAGTCAAGACGCGAAATCTGTGTGTTTGCTCATCTCGCTGTTGAGGATCATGATCTTCTCCAGATCCTGATGGCTGTTGGTAATTCTCAACTGGTCCAGACTTCAATGGTTGCCTTCAACGTTGAGAACGTTCTGCTTCGATAGGATGACCCTGCCTCGTCTGACCAGATCTCGCTCCCTCATCTACTCCACTTCGACAGGACTGCTTTGTTATTACTCTGACGTGCTCTGCGGAATGTTGAATGTCGTGATTATCTATCGAGTTGTGACCAACTAAGAACGATTACAAATTGTGATACCCAAGCAGTATTTGTCGTAAGAACTCTGCACTCACGACGGATTTGACAATACTATGTCTCGAGGAAAGAGACCAGTCACTTGATTTCTGAACATAGGCCCTTGAAATTTTCTTTTGGTGGCAATTGCGTGGGTTTTTATTGCATAGATGCTTGATTATCTACACAGATGTTCGTCTCGCTTGGACTGTTGGCTTGAGGTTGAGATCAACCCTTTTGTCGTTCAACAATGATTGCGCCAGCTCAGCGAACCAGCGCTTAAGCTTCGCAAGTCCCTGCTCGGCTGAAGCATCAAGTCCCTTACTATGCTCATCTAAGCTATCCATGCATTGCTGGGCTAGCTCTGATATCTCCTTAGTGCAGTCGTTGGTGACGTCGCGCACTTCAGTGATACCTTCATCGATTTGCTCGCGGACGCTAGCTTCGTTCATCTGGCATTCTTCGTAGAATTGGTCGCGGTAGTCTGCGACAGCACCATTTAGGAACAAGTCAGCAGCTACTGGCAATTGCGACTCTACTAGAGCGTGAAGGCGTCTCTGAGTATGTGTCTTGAAAGCGTCCTTGGTCAATCTGCTCAGACGCTGTTCGATGATAGTATCAACTCTTGCAGTGAGGCCAGCCTCTGATATGTCCGCGGAGGCTTTCGCTACACGCAGCTCATTATGGGACGACTTTGTGGCCTTTAATGACTTTATTTTGACTGCTGGAGTTACCGGAGCGAGCAGATGTTCATGTCCTGATTCTGCTAGTGCTTCACGCACCAGTTCGTCAGGGAGACCTATTAGCTGCCGCTGTAACTCCAAGACCTGAAGGCGTTGTTTATAACTCTGCGTATCATCATTTGTAAATTTGGTTCGTGAGACATGCGAAGGCGACGGGGAGCAGGTAGTAGGGGTGTTGACTTCTGTAGGAGACCAGGGCGGAGGTGGCGGAGAGCCCGAGATTAATGATGCTGGGAGGGATCCTTCAGTTGGTGAACAGTCTAGGCGTTGTCAGTTTACAAGAAGGAAAATGGTACGTAACAACCGATCCTAAGTAAGCAAGATCATCTCTCCGGAAAGCACGCTCTCGAGGCATATAACTACCAGAAGGCACGGCATAATTCAGTAGAGACTTGTTTGCTGAGAGACTGCTTGCTCATAAGCTCGACAAGTCTCTCACCGCAAGCTTTCTGATCTCAGTTGACTTCACGCGTCTGATAGCTAGGATCCCAGAGCATGAGTCCGGAGAGACTGTGCGTGTCACTTAGCACCGATGGTTGGATACAAGCATACCTCGAGCACGTTTCCCAAGCACACTTCTGGCGGACCCACAGTATGGCGGCGGATCTAACAACTGCTCGAAGACCCGCCAATCCCTTTCTATCGCGCCGTGTCCTGCATTGAGCCGTTTGTAGTCAAAAGGTTGTGCTTTGAGTACGCGAGTACGTAGTGCGCCAGAAAAGGTGCGGAGATGATGGAGTTCAGAATCCTTCAGTTGTTGCTTCGATAGGTGCAAGTGTATGATTGTGCTCTGGCAGATCTTTGCGAAACCCTTAAAATTGGCATCATCGGGACTTGCGGGGCTTAATATTGTGTCTGCGACTGATGGTGGAAGTATAACGATGCCAGTAGTATTGAGTGATAAAACAAGTGTCGATACAGCAGCTGAATTGGTCACAGATACGGGGACCATCGAGAACATGCGATCTGGTATGAGCTTGTCATTGCTTGTAGCGACTACTGTACACGTGTCAACCATCTCAGGACGGATGTTGAGCATCAGACTCTGCTTTGATTCAACGAGCTTTGCATTGACTCGAATGGATATGGATCCTTGCTCATCGTGCTGATCATGGGATATGCGAAGGCGGGCAACGCACGCCACATCGAACTCAGGCGCATGCGCAAGGACCGCCTTCTCAAAAACCCACGAAAGATCCGACGTCGGTGAAGTTGTTGACATTTTGTTAGTGGCCTGCCTCATAGGGCTAGGTTTAGACGAATGCCCTCGATATTATCGAGTGACCCTCCCACCCGGGCTTTGTGTCGACTTTGAGCAGCCCTGACTCATACAGCGACAAGTATGAATGATAGACGTGGTTGAAATGAAGGCAAATTTACGCTGCAGAACACGTTCTGATCTCAGCAGCCTGGTCACAAGTGCGCGCCCAATCCAAGGTCAACGAATGACCTGGAGAGTCCTATGAGTACACAGGAATGGCAAGACGAGTGGCTAGGACGGCGGGAACAGAGGTGATACGGAAGCGCAAAGTGAAATGCCGAAAGATGAGATGTCTCGAAGATGATGTCGAGAGTGGAAGATGAGGAGAGATGACGGAGCAAACACGAACGCGGCGCGTCGATTGTCTCCGAACTTTTGCCGAGCCGTCACCTTCTTGTCTCCTATCTTGTTCTGCGAGTTATCGATAAGGCGACCATCAAGGTGAATGACGACTGTAAAACCTCTACACGATAAGTCGAATCTGGACGGCTCGAATACCACATTCAGCTGCTAGGGCCAAAGTTGCCGATTCGCCTAGTGCCAAAAACCGGTCGCAGTAACCAGTTCAAGAATGATTTGATCCACGTGCTTGAGCCAGGCCAACCCCCGCCAGGTAAGTCGTGTTGTAGTGTTGATCTAGGTGGATGCATGTATTCGCTATTGAGATCCGAAAATGAACGACAAAAGACACGACGGGTGTCGGACTGCTTTATGGAGCACTTTCAAGACAAAGGAAACGCAGTGTGAATGGATGAGGACCCTCGTGATGGGCGCCGTCTGTACAAAGAAATGCCAACCACAGCACGACCGGATACAGCTGAGTAGTCAGCAGTGTAGCAGTCTGTAAAGAATCCATGAGGCCGCGAATGCAGATGATCAGTCGCCAAGAGCACGGTGTGTCATGGTCCTGGAGACCATGCAAGGCAACGTCAAAGATGACAGGAATACCGTTGAGAGTATGGAAGCATGTAATGCTTGTAGTTTATGATATTATAAAGTGCCACTACTCACCGAGTGATATGCTTGTGCTGCAAAGATATAAGAGTAAAAAAAATACATTAAGGACGAGAGCTCAACTCCAGATCAACGCCATGCAGCCCATAATGCAACGTCATTAGCCGTATGCTGCCGAGATCAAGTGTTTCATGCAGTTGACTTCACCATCATTGTTCTTCACTATCGCCCGGTAGCTCCTGCGGTAGTTCTGGAGATGCTGCTCTGATCTCCCATCGCTTTGGAGCATCGACCAGACCGGGCCAGATGTCGCGTGGGAGAAACTCACCAGTACTACGGACAAAGTCTTCGCGCATCGCAACATCTTCTTTGTAGAGCGACTCAATCTCGCGGCGAGCCTTGTCAGCAATGCGCCGCATACGATTCTCGACGGCCTGTCGGCGATTGACTTCATCAAGCAGGGAGGCGTAAGATGCAATGAAAGATTCGTAGAAATCTGTCAAGGAACCGAGCTCATCTGCCTTTACGAGCAGACTTTCCTTGAGAACATTCCAATTGCTGCCGTATAGCTTAGCAGCAGCAAGAAATATTGGCAGGTTACCTCCAAGCGTGCGAAGCAGATCTAGTACGTGATTGAGAAGTTTGTGGCGTAACCTAATGGCTGTTGAGTGCGATTGCAGTTGATCAAGTGTTGCTTCCATTTCCGAGATATAGTCGTGGATGTCGAGCACGACACCGTCAACTTCTTGAGCATCATTGTCCACGACGGCAAGCATTTCCTGACGCTCTTGTTCATTTAGTGGACCAAGAGGGAGATTTCTGTAGAGACTGTCCTCGGGGGCATCGTCGGCCAAAGACGGGTTTGCTTGTCGAGCAGCCTCACCTCCTCCTTCTGTATGTTTGAGAGCCGATGTGCACAGATCGTAGTGGGCGACCAAAGAGCTTAGCAGTGAAGCCGTATGGGTCGCGTTATCTGTAAGATTGTGGAAGAGTGGCGGGATAGGAGAGAGGCTGTCTTGATTGTCGGTGGTCTGATCAGCATCGTTGACGGCAGTGTCGAGTGAACGGATCTGGTCGTCGAACGAGTCTTGAGAGCGCTGAAAGTCGGCTTCGGCTGCTTTGTGTGAATCGATGGTGCTGCGAAGAGATTCGATCAGATGAAGATGCGTGTCTTCGTCGATAAAGTCGTGCAGTGTCTTTTGGTTGTCGGGAGTGGCTCCTCGTGAGTGCAGTTCTGAGGTATCTACTTGGGTGTTGCTCAGCTGCACCAAGGTGGTTTGGAGACGGCTGTCGGCGAGATCGAGCTGGTGTATCACTGCCTGATGCTGTGAGCGGAGGTCCTTGCAGCAAGAAAAGCCGACCTACCTTGAAGTCGACATCGGTCTCACGGCCGATGTTGTCGAGGCCGTCTCTGATGGCTAAAAGCACGTTCGCTTCTTCCAGCACTCCTTGCCGAACGAAGGCATTCTTGGCTGTCAGCACAGCCGTTTCCTCGACAAGACCCCTGGCTGTCGTCACGATATCGTGCGCTCGAGAAACCAGGCTGGCCGAGGACAGAGAGCGCTTGGCTGCCACAAAATGCTGTACCAGCCCTTGGAGTTCATCGATGCTGCGCTCAGGCGACGCTTGCCGCGACTGTTCACTCATCCAGAGCTGCTGCCTTGAGCATCGTCTGCGTGTGTTGAAAAAAGCTCTGCTCTTGGTAATCAAAAGTCACGCAAGAAACACCTGGATGGCGCGACCGGTGTTTGTATACGCGGAATTTGACTCAACATCCGATCGTTAGTGGCTTGAAACCGACTTGGTCGACTTGCAATTCGGGGCTTGTCAGTGGCGCTGCGGGGCAGACACTTCTCCTTCCGCATTCGGGTCCGGGGTACCTTAGTCTCGTTATCGCTAACCAGCACCCTGGTGCAGCAGGCCATCTTTCCGCACCATGTCTGTCGCCAGGTTTGCTTCTGTTCCAAGCATGTCCCCGACTTCCGCGAGAAACGTGCAGGAAGCCATCACTTTGCTCTCTAATGTCGCAATCTGCTGTCCTCTGAGTCAAAGTTTGCAAAGACGTCCACTTTTTTGCTGTTGCGTGACCAATTGGTACGTAAGGCTGACCAATGAATTCGCCCGCCGAGCGAGTTCGGTCTTGTGTAGCGACGCCACTGTAGAGGAAGCCCCCAGACGACTGGAATGCTGTGAGGACACGTGCTGCTTTGGACCGCAGTATCGTTTCAGTAGATGGCACTAGAAATGGACTATAGGCATATCGAATGTATCTAAGGTGATCATCTTGGGAGTGAGATTGCAAAGTTTAGCAGCTCTGCGAGTGTATCGATGGCAGGATTGTTGGCGATGGTGGTGGGTACGGAGACGCCTTGTTGAGACTGTTGTGGGCTTGAACCCTTCTTTGCCTTCCTCCGAAGCCTGGAATAGCACGCCATATCGCGAATCGCACGTAGAACAACAAGCGCCTTCTCTACATCGCCCCTTGCAGTTGGTGTCGCACCTTCTCTAGCTACTTACGTACATTCGTTCTCCGTCAACCCGGGCGACATTCAGCACTCGCCATAAACACGCTTGCACTGTCATAGCGATCACGCGAACACGCCGTTTCTATCCAGACCTGGTCCTTGAGTTTTCTATACTTAAGCTACCACGTACCACGCACGCCCCTGTATGAGGGATTATCTCTTCTAGGATGGCGTCAGATCTGGAAGCAAAGTCGCAAGTCAACGCTCCGTCCGAGAGCCGGTCCGGTCTCCGTCAAATGGAAATGGAAGGCCTGTGCCATCACGATCACGAACATGAGGGCCACAAGTTCCGCCATCACGACAACCCAAACGAAGAAAACATCTCAATTCCTTCAAACTCCAAGCATGCCGAGCTGGCCATCGCTCCCTTCCTGGCCAAGCACATCCCGACCCAATACAACCCTGTTGGCCATTTGATGCCCCAGAACAACTCTACCGACCCTAACCACGACCACCACCAAGATACATCCAGCACAAAGTTCTGCTACCGCCATCGTCCCGATCTCAAGTGCAGGCGTCAAGCCAACGAGCCTTCCATGGAGCAACTACAAAACGTACGACTCTGCTCTCCTCTGTTCTCATCACTCATGACTCACTCGTACTGATCCATCGATAGGAGCTCGGCACCGTCTCTCAATCCGACCAGCAAGCCATCTCCCACGTTTGGTCTCTCTTCTCCGCCGCGCCTTCGAAACACCGAAACCTCATGCTGCAGGGCATCCTCTCCCAATGCTGCTTCCCTCAGCTCTCCTACATCTCCGCTTCCGTTCGTGACTTGATCAAGATCGACTTCCTGTCCGCTCTGCCACCAGAACTTGGCTTCAGAATTCTCTGCTTCCTCGACACCACATCGCTTTGCAAAGCCGCTCAAGTCAGCCGTCGCTGGAGAAGTCTGGCTGATGATGACGTAGTTTGGCACAGAATGTGCGAGCAGCACATTGACAGAAAATGCACAAAATGTGGCTGGGGCCTGCCTCTGCTCGAACGTAAGCGACTGAGAATCGAGAAGAGACAGATTCAGCTTCGCGCCATCTCCAGAGGAAACAACGAGTGGTCGCCAGCCACCACTCCACTTGTCGAGGACGCCCTGCCTACTCCTAGCACCCTAGCTGCACCAGCAACCCAGGCTGTAGTCAGTGTGGGCGAGAAGCGCAAGCTCGAAGATGAGCCCGCATTGCCGCAGAAGAAGTTGTGCACTCCAGCAAGCGGTCAAGAGGAGGTTAGCTCATACTTCCAACCACAAACAAGGAGGCCATGGAAAGACGTTTACAAGGATCGCTTCAAGGTTGGTACCAACTGGAAGTATGGCCGATGTTCGACAAAAATCTTCAGAGGTCACACCAATGGCGTCATGTGCCTGCAATTCGACGAGAACGTTTTGATCACCGGATCATACGACTGCACTGTAAAAGTGTGGGACATCAAGACGGGCACAGAACTGAGAACACTCCAAGGTCACACTTCAGGCATTCGCACACTGCAGTTTGACGACCAGAAGCTCATCACTGGGTCTATGGACAATACAACAAAAGTATGGGACTGGCGTACTGGAGAGTGCTTGAGAACTTTCCAAGCCCACACAGGAGGTGTGATCTGCGTCAACTTCGACGCTGGCTACATTGCCTCAGGCTCAATGGACCATACCATCAGGATTTACGATGGAAGAAACAAAGTATCCTTCTTACTCAAAGGTCACACAGACTGGGTTAATGCTGTAAAGCTTGATGTGGTTTCACGCACCTTGATATCTGCTTCGGACGATTGTACAGTCCGACTTTGGGACTTGGACACCCGTAGATGCATCAAGGTCTTTGAAGGGCACGTCGGCCAAGTGCAACAGGTTGTAGCTCTTCCGCCAGAGTTTGAACTCGACGAGGCCGACCTGCTTTCGGGAGAAAACGAGGACGACACATCTTCCACTTCTTCTGGGCCATCGCCTGCTCACAAGCATTCGCACCACCCAGAACCCGCATCAGAATCAACTGTTCCATTCTGGCCTGACGAGCCTGACCGCCCAGCGCCTCCACGTTACATGCTTACTGGAGCGTTGGACAGCACCATTCGTCTCTGGGATGTGCATGCCCCTGCTGTATTGCCAGCTGTGGATGCAGCGAATCCAGTACAAAAGCCACCTACCACCAACGCCTGCCTACGAACGTACTTTGGACATGTCGAGGGTATTTGGGCACTGGCAGCGGACCACTTACGTATGGTTTCTGGATCAGAAGATCGTACGGTCAAGATCTGGGACCCCCGCAGTGGCAAGTGCGAGAGAACGTGGACAGGCCATGCTGGTCCTGTGACATGTATCGGACTCAGCGACAGCCGACTTGTCTCTGGAAGTGAGGACTGCGAGGTGCGCATGCTATTGTTCAACACTGGAGAAGGAAGTGAAGACTGCGGAGAGCAATAAGTCATTGTCATTGTCATTGCATTATTATTCTTCTTGCACTGTTTGGGATACGATCACATTTAGCGAAGGTGCCTGGCGCATAGGGAAATATCAAAGGAGGAGTTGAACAAAGAGATTGAGTGAATGCCGCTCAATACACTAAAATATGAACGACCTTATCGAAGAAAACTAGATTATGCTGCTATCAGCTGTGCTAAGTGAGTACTTTCAAGAAAGTGAAGATTGCTATTGTCACGATTGTGAATAGAAAACGAGGGCTGAAACAATAACAGACAACGTCTCTCAGCCAAGTCTCGGAGTCAAAGACAGTTGGAAGGGCCGTGCGTGGACCCCTCGAAAATAATGACGATCGCAGCCTTGCACTTTCCGTCAGTCACAGCAAAGTCAATAGCTGCTACTTCACTCTGCACTTTCCAACCACGACCTTCGAGTCTGACACGCCAATCCCATTCTTTATTTCCACCAGCAGCCCCCATTCTCTGGCGCCACGGGATAGAAAAAACCGCCCACTTTCGCTAGCATTGCGCAACTTTGCGGCGGCCCACGATCGACAGAACAAAGGCCATTCACTTCACGCCGTCTTTGGCAACCTTGCTCTCCCACATCGACCGTTACCTCAGCTCACGTCCGACACACTCGCAAACTCACCTAAATCATCCTACGCGACTCTACCTCCGCCATGGTCTCCCAGAAGAAGCCCTCGGGCGCCGCGCGCAGCGCACGTGGTGGCATCGCGAAGAGGAAGACTAGAACCGACCGCGATGGCGACCTCGTCATGGATCCCACTGCGCGCACCCGTGGTGGTGGCGTTGCAAAGGGCGGCAAATCTGGCGCTCCCGCCGGCCGTGACAAGACAAGAGGCGCAAAGGTCAACCCTCGCGGCGCCGGCTTCGAGAAGAAGCTCGCGAACCACATCGGAGGCTCTGCCGTGCGCACAAGAAACCAACCAAGCAGAGGATTAGAAGAGCTCCGCGTCACCGGCTACAAGAACAGCAAGGCCGCCTCTAACTCTGACGGTGGTCTGAACTCGCTCATCGTGTGGCTGGAGAAGAGGGCCTCGTTGAAGTCAAAGAGAGCTATCAAAATCAAGAAGGTACAACCATCGACACTCGCGCATTTCACCCGCCCCACGTCACCAGGTTCGGTCCGCTTTCGTTTGCAGCCAATCTCAGAACGACGACCAGAAACCTCGACACGACCACCGTATTCCTGATGATGCATCAGGACCCTTTTTCAAACTTTATACTGACGTTGTAATAGTCTCGAGCCGAAGGAGATGATGTTCTAGTGTCTGTTCCCGCTGAAGATGCCGTCTACGTGCTGCGTGTCGATGGCTTTGTCTTTGCTGGAACAAACATCAAGATCGAACGAGCCTCTGCCCAGGATCTCGACACTGGCGTCTCCAAGGAGAGCACCATCGCCATGCTCAAGGGTGTTCTGGCCAGGAGATACAATGTTGAGACCAAGTTGCTCGATCTAAGCGCCCTTGGTGTGGACCCTGATCTCAAGGCTGCTCAAATCTTCGACAGCACCTCAACCACAGGCAAATTCTTCCCTGCCCTGATGAAGGTTCTCGATCAACAGTTCAAGACTGCCGCAGAGAAGCATGAGGCCATAACCAGCGTCTCTCTCGCCAACAACCAACTCACAAGCGTCGCTCCCGTCACAACTCTAGCTCAAACATTGCCGCAGCTCATCAACCTTGACCTGTCGAACAACGCCTTCAAGGATCTGACCGGTATCGAGGCATGGAGACGCAAGTTCCCCAAGCTCGATCACCTCATCGTGTCTGGTAATCCCCTCGAGCAAGCAGAACCCGACTACGCTGCCAAGCTCATGGCCTGGTACCCCAAGCTCCGTCTCCTCAACACTCTTCAAGTACGCTCCGACCAAGAGGCAGAGAAGGGTCGTCGTGTCACAGACATGCCCTTCCCCATCAAGGGTCCGAACTTCCAGGACGAAGGTCAGATCGCCGAGAACTTCTTGCGCACCTTCTTCGCTGGCTACGACACAGATCGCGCCGCGCTGGCACAGCATTACTACGACGAGCAATCCGATTTCTCATTCTCTGTCAATACCGCTGCTCCTCGCGATCCCACAAAGTCTCACGACACCGTCCCTCAAGAATGGGACTTCTACATCAAGCGCAGTCGTAATCTGAAGAAGATTACCCAGCTTCCTGCAAGACAGAGTCGTCTCTGCCGCGGTGCTCAGGCTATTCACGAGAGCTGGTCTGCTCTACCCGCCACGCGTCATCCTGATCTCGCTACCCAACCTCAGAAATGGCTCATCGAGTGTCAGTCACAACCCGGTGTCCCTGACCCTACTGGCGCCTCTCCTGTCGGTGTCGACGGCTTCCTCATCACCATCCACGGCGAATTTGACGAACTTGACGTCAGCACTGGTCAAGTGAAGAAGACTCGCTCCTTTGATCGCACTTTCATCCTCGGTCCTGGCGGTCCTGCCGGTGTCCGTGTTGTCAACGACATGCTCACCATCCGCGCTTACGGAGGTTTCGCCGCCTTCGAGCCCGAACAAACCGAACCACAAGTCCAAGCCGAGGCCGGCGTGCCCGTACTCCCACCAGGACTCACCCCCGAAATCGCCGAACAAATGATCATCGAGCTTCAGAAACAAACCTCCATGACGGTTCAATACGCCAAGGACTGTCTCGAGCAGGTGCAATGGGACTTTGATCGCGCCTTGCAGGCCTTTGCTGCTGTCAGAGCCAATTTGCCCGCCGACGCCTTTGTTCAGGCTGCTTAGGAAGATTCATCGAGTATGGATGAGACGGACGATGACTGGCTGGTGGTAATGACAAAGGTCGGCCGGAGATGAGAGCAACACCTACTTTCATGGTGGCTTTGCTTCTCGACTCAACACATGCATTCTCACAACGGAGTCTTTCTTGTTTTCCAGGGACAGTATTCAAGCATTTTCAAAGGACAAAAACAACAACTTGGCATGAATCAAGGGTTTAAGGGAAGGTGATCGCGAGGTCTTTTGATTTGCGAAGGCGATTCTTGGAGTTATGGGTTATTGTGCTTTCTCTTGTCTCTTCTACTTTCTTTTTTTTTGACCGAATGGCTATACAAATCATGGCCTCTTTCTACGGAGGAGAGCCTAGCCTGTCTTACACAACCTTATGATGTCTATGAGACATTGAGTACATAGACCCGTTGCGAATGCACAAAGAAAATGCACTCGCTGTACACACAAAACTTCTTTTCACACCTGATATCGTGAATTCGACATGCTCGTTACCCCTGTACCCGATATCCACCCTGAGCGACCCGCGCTCGTTCTCACATAGTTCTTCTACGCACCTGCTTCTTTTGGGCATTCTTCCCCCTCTCTGGTGTCATCAAAGCCAAGAGATGTGCGTCGTGAAGAGCAGCACTTCGAACTGGTCCACACTCATCGCACCTTCCGTCAATTGAATCTCAGCGCTGACGATACCACACGGAAGACCGACTCGTTATCGTCAGAATCCTTCGATCTCTGAGGGGAACGATGCCTATACCAAAGATCAGAGCAACTGCCTCCCCGTGTGCGAAATACTGTCACGCTTAGAGCTGTCTCAAAGTACAGTACTTGTTGACTTGCAAAGATGTCATCAAGGTACTTCATGTTATCGACTCCCTGCGCTAGGTTCATCGATACACGAGTGAATGTACCTTTCTACAGCTCGTCGTTGCCCTGCTGATCATTGAGGTGAAAGGGCGTGACAGTATTTTGCACACGGGGACGTAGTGATGCATCAACTCAGGCATTTGCGGCACACTCGATCGTTCTCGAAATCACTCAACAAACAAGCCAGATATAACTTGATCATACTTTCTATTGGTCGAACGCATTTTTCGAGCTCAACAGTCATAGTGGTCGAACGATTCTCAGATGACTAATACCCCGACGACATCTATATAAAGAGGCCCTATACCGTGCTTCTCCAACCAGGAATTCAGGTGAGTAACCAAAATTTCCCCTTTCAGGCCTCAAGGCAAACCGGTAGACCGGACGATCTAGTGCAGAAGAAGGGGGGGTCAGCAAAAGCTGACACACGTGGGCCTCAGTTCAAACTTTAATGACCGTCATCGCTCTCGCTCTGGCAATAAGTGATCATCCCCGACCCACCTGGAGAGAAGATCCAGAGACACTACCAATGATGATACACCAGTCCAACTCTTTGATAAGACAACCGACCAAAGGATGATTTGACAACAGTCTTCCTGTCCAATGGTCATGTCTGTTGGAACCAATGTCTGAGGCGGTGGGGCTCGAGGCAGAAATGGGAAGGGTATGATTCCAGATGTGGCTGATGGGAATGGCACACGTCGAAGATGAATGATCATGCTTGCAAGACTCATGCCTAAGCTTCGATGATCCTGAGCGATGATGAGGAGGTGGATCGACGAAGATGGCAATGGTGATGGCATGAGTATCCAAGTGTGTTCATTGAGGGGCTTCCTAATGATGGACAACGAGCATGATACAGTTGGCACGAGAAGACATACTGACCGAAGAGATCGAGGCTAAAAGGTGTACTGACTGACGAGGCATCGCGGACGAGATGTCCCAGCAGTCCATATCGACGGAGGGCATGATAATAAAACGATGAACAAGTCTGGTATGATGATGTGTGAATACAGAAGAAGGACACAAAGGTTGAGCTTGCAAGCCAGGTACAAGTTCTGGAGCTAATAGCACAAGGCAAGAGTATACAGCTGATACCTTCCTAGAGGTGTAAATCATGACTCGAACGTTGCGGAAACCAAATCGTCATCAGGTATACAGATTGGAAAGAACATATTGGCAGCAGTTGCCTCAATCTATGCAGTACAGTTCCGACGATGACGAGCTCAACACACAATCGAGTATACATACAATACCATTTGACATGACAGGGACAGTCTTAGTTTGGAACACAAACGATGAAGAGAAAGACGATAGAGAGAAAAGAGAACTTTTCATGGTCATGAACATTCACGTTGTATCATCATGTCAAGATAGAACGTTGATGCGATCGATAAGTTGCTTTTCGACCTGTTCAATCCTCAACCTCCTTTCGCGTTCCCACCTGACCATCACACCTCGCCTCCCTGTTTACCAGCTCTTACAGCCTCTCCACTGACCAAAGACCTATCGTCTGAATGTACTCCACTACGCCTGTCGAGCAACGGCTTCAATCCAGGTACCGAGACTGCAGCGATAGCCGTAGCCATCTCCACCATACTCAGAATATACACCAAGTTCGGCTCGCTCGAATCAGTGTTCAGAGTAATGAAGCGGATCACCGTCGTCAACGCAGGAACGATACCCAAGGAAAAAGTAAAGTAGACAGCCGTTTTATGTTCTTTACTCAACCCCTTGAGTAGAAAGAGAGGAAGACCATAGACTGTACCACTCGTCAGTACGTAGGCTAACGAGAATAGGGCCAAGAGACACTTACTGAAGATGTAGGAAGAAAGGTTCATGGAGAAGTTGAAGTAGAAGGGTATTTCGGCGTAGAATACACTACAAGCACCTTCTTCTTGACTCCATTGTACGGACACAGGCGTACCGCAGTAGAAAGTGTCCATCCAGAGGACAGTCATATAGGCGCAGCAGACGTAGGCGGTGATCACGTACATGGCCTTGCGAAGGGCAGGTCTGTCGGATGGAAAGACACCCCAATAGAAGGCGAGCATGCTCAATTTAGGGAACCCCTGTAGGCACAGGTCAGTACGGAAGAGACACTTGAATCACGGATACCCACCATTCCGAAATCGTAAAAGTAGTTGGATGCGAATGAGATCTTCGATAGTGTGACCGAAGAATCCCACTCATCCATGACACCCAGCCGGTATGTCAATGTACTATTATTTGTGTCAGTGTCTTTCTATAAGCTGCAGGGCAGCCACTCACTCGCAAATGATAAGCCCAAGACCAATGAGTGCTGAGAAGAGCAGAATATACTCAGACAATCTCAACTTCTGCCTCTGCACAAGTAGACGAGTATAAATCCTCAAGCCAACAAGAACATAGGCCGCAATCAACATAATCCATTCTGAGATCTGCGAGCGAACGAAGAATTAGCAAGGTCAGGATACACACTTGGACGGTAGCATCGACTGACCATGCAATCCTTTCCAGTAATCGAATTCGCCATCTTTGCAACTCCAACAATCAAACCTTTGTCGATGTAAGGAAACAAGAGAAGGAGCGAAGAGCAAAGAAATTCAGCAAACCAATGTCTCTGTAAATAGTTGTGGCAGCTTATTTACCCATTCACCGGTAAGCCCGCAGTACTTTAGTATTCTTCTCTCCATTCTCGTGTAAAAGGAGCGAATCAACTAAGCAGATGTGTTGAGCCATCGACCCAGATTGAATTCGTCTATAGATTGGGTAGATTGCTGCTCGCTTGTGCCGTGCCGCCAGGGCGTCTATCACTCCACTCGCTTGGCTTTAGCAGACAAGAGTCCCTTCCGTACTCGACCGGGACGTCTGACTAACAGTAAATGCAGGCTTCGATAGCTAGATCAATATAGTGGTTGTCGCCAGGCTTGATTGGTCTATCCGGCAGACGGAGGGTCAGCCTCCTTCCTTCACTCTAAAGGATTTTGAGATGAAACACACGGACCGGGGGTAGTGTCCGGCGATCCAAACTGTCGGGTCCCGTTAATATATCTCGGTCTTCGGATGGCTGGACCCCTAAAAGAGTCTCTGATATTGAATACGACAGTCTTTCGTGAGACGAAATCTAGACCTTGATGTTGAGATGAGACTTGTCTCTAAGTTCTTGAGCTTGGTCTCCGTTCAACATTGATGCCCATACTGTCTAGTAGTCGTAACGATGAATACAGCGATCCTGCTGTCTCCTTTGACTTCATGATCTGAGATTAATGGTGGGAACCTGAACTTGCCGATGTGGGAAGTTGCATCAAACATTCCCCTTACTGGCTTGAGCATCATACCCATTATGTGTCCAAGCCTGAGCAAGTGGTCCTCCATCATCACCCTCATCGAAGGGTCTCGAATCCACACTGACCTCTTTAGTCTTGTAAATCACATCTCTTCCTCCAACACGGTTGAGCTCCACATCACTCCCAGAGTCATCCATCAAATCGCTTCTCCCAAACACCGACCTCCTATTCGAGCAATTAACCGCATAATGATTACCATGCGAGTATGAGTTTGATGACGTGTTGTTGTTCTTGTGACGCAGTAGTGTTTTCAGCGCAGGAAGCGATACCACGATGATTGCGACTGCCATTTCCGCCATTGACCAAATGAAGACGGCATTCCAGTTGTTGCCGGTTTGAATTGTGATGAAGCGAGCGAGGTTTACTGCTATGGTCGCAAGACCGAGTGCGAATGTGACGAGGAGGCCGTAAATTTGGCTGCGACCGAGATGGAGATGTCGTAGAAGAGGGAAAGGGAGGACGAAAACTATAGCGTGATTAGAGAGAGATTATGATAGCACGACAAACTTGTTGAGTCAATACTTACTCGCAACATCAGATGTAAAGTTCAAGGCCCAGTCGATTTGTAGGACACGAAGGGAGTTGAAGGTCGAACATGCACCTTCCTCGAGCGACCAGTTACTCGAGACGTTTGGTGCACACCATAAAGTGTCCAATAGGCAAGTGCTGATCGCGCATGCGAGCACAAACGCGGTCACGAGATAAAGCGCCATCCGTAGTCGCGGCATAGTACTTGGAATGATCTTGAAGTACAGAGCAATCAATGCTGCCTTCGGCCAATACATACCTGTATCGTAGAAGTAGTTCGAAGCAAACGATATCTGTTGATCGGTCAGCCATCGATATCGAGCAAATTACGTCGTCATTCTTACCTTGTCCAGAGCTACTTCGTTGCGAATATTAGCTGCTGATAGTGCTTCACCCTGTGGTATGTATCGCATCCCTCCAAGCGCATACGTCCAAGTATCGCCTATGAGATTATCAGGTATGTAGTCTCTTAACTGCCATCTTTGGAATACTCACAGATAATCAGTCCAAGGCAGTCCAGTGCAGACACTACCAGAAGGATATCTGAGACAATGACATGCTTCTGCTGTCTCTTAGTAATGCGCACGCCTATTCGCAAACCAACAAGACTGTATGCAAGAGCAAATAACGTCCACTCAATAGCCTGACCGACGTGTTAGTGGCTTGCATAGTGGGCAAAGGTATGTACTCACCATTACAGCCTCACCAGAGATATCGTACCCCATTCGGTAATGACTGTAAGTTTGACGAAGGAGACATCAAGCGTGCAACACGTAGAAGCTTGCATCAAGGCAAAATCAGCAGAAGACTACCGTTCATCCATATTGAAGCTCAACGATGGATGATTTCGCTTACCCATCTAATCGACCATCGGGTCTTTACGTGAGGTGACCGACCTCTTGAGACGTACTAAAACCTAGACATGCCGACTAGTAGTTGGAGAGAGCGGCAGATCTCGAGACTTAATTGTGCCTCGCTTCCAACAGAGCCTAGTTGAGCCCTCGCATAGCAGCAACAGTATCCATGTTGTATGGAGACGAAGACCCTTCGGCACTAATATTGCGCCACAGTAAAGCATTGATTGTGTATATTGTAGGCATTTGTGAATGTATTGCGCTATGTCGATCAATATGCCGAGAATCTTCCGCCCATGTATATTAACTTACCGAGTCCCTGGATCGCGCCATACTCCTTCGTATCCTGGAGCCGAGAATTGTACGGAAGAGCGGCTGTATAAATAAAGTGACCCTAAGGCTTATTCAACTCCCTCGGAGGTGCATGATGGTGTGCAAGGAGGGTTTTGCAGACTATGCAGCATCCCTGATCGTCTTCAAGACTTCACACGAGAAACCTTGACACGCAGGCCTCCTTTAATCCTCCTGATTATTCCACCGGTAACATCGGCCTTCATGTTCGGATCTACCAACGTGGTCTCAAAGCCGAGCACCCAGGCGGCGAGCAATGATGCGAATTCGGCTTTGGCAAAACCTGAACAGATTAGCAGGACGTCTGATCGTATGGCTTTGACCCGACTTACTAGCTCCAATACACCCTCTCGGTCCGTGAGAGAAAGACATGTTCGAGTAGTTGCTCTCGGCACCACCAGTGTTGGCTCTTCCAGAACCCATCCATCTCTCCGGGTCGAACACTTTCGGGTCTTCACTCCACATTGCCGAATTGTGGTTCGCGGCGATGAGCGGCATGAGAACAGTTGTACCTTCGGGTATGTGTTGTCCAGAGAGGACGATGTCTTTTACCGCGACGCGAATAGTCATCGGTACAGGGCAATAATAGCGAAGCACTTCGTTGGTGACAGCATGGAGATATGGCAGTTGCTCGATTTGCTCGGCGGTGACTTGCGCTGTGGTGCTGCGAATGTCCGGTAGGTCTGAGGCCAATAACTCGTCGCGAAGTTTCTTCTGTACCTCTGGATACTTGCCCAGGACATAGACGGCCCATGTCATCGCGGTAGCTGTCTGTGACGGTGTGAGCCAAATATTATCGAGTGTGCAAGGGGAACATAACATACAGTCTCGTGGCCGGCAGCAAGGAAGGTAAGCAGCTGATCAACAATTTGCTGATCAGTGAAGCCTCCGCTCTGCATAGCAACACCAAGGATATCAACACCTCCAGCTGTCTCATCCGAGCTATCCCTCTCTTTGGCAGCAGCAATGTTCGACCTTTTTTCTGCAAGCATTTCAAAGCAGATCTTGCTAAGATATACCCGAGCCCTTTCGACCTTGATGTTGCGCGGTATCGGCAATAGTCTAAGGAACCAGAATGGTAGAATGATGTTGAGAAGGCCCACGAGGCGCGTTTGCCAGTCCTGTTTGAAGAGAGCTTGATAGGTCAGGTACAGTTTACCATTAGGATCCTCAATGGCGTTGAAGGACTTTCCAATGGTCGCCACACCGATGATATCCAGTGTAGCACGGGAGGTCCAACCATCGACACTGATCTCCGTGCTTACTGCCTTAGTCTCTCCAGTGTCTCCCTCGTTTGACTCCTTATCAAGGTCCTTGTCGATTCCCAATACCATGTCACGAGATTGGTCCCAGAAGACAGGATACAGATCCTTGATATGACGGTAGCTAAAAGCCGGCGTCAGGTTCTTGCGTTGAGACTTATGTTCTTGACCTTCCGTCAAGAGAATACCATATCCAAGGATGCGGGCAAGGCCTTTGGTCAAAGCCGGTGGTTTAATCAGATCGTAGCTCTTCAGCGTCACGGCTTCGCTGAGTGCTTTTGGAGTCGTGACCATAACTCTCTCCATGTTGAAGAGACCACGGTAGTAAATCAATCCATCATTTTCAATCTCTTCCATCCATTCGCGATGAGGATAGCCAGTAGGCTCCTTGACAATCCTGGAAAATTGTCCGAGCAGAAGTGACGTCTGCTTCGGATGCGGAAGGTGTCGCAAAGGACTAAAGAAGAACGGATAGATCAGAGAAGACCAGAAAAATCTAATGGCGAATATAGTTGAGAAGATAGCTGCTGTTGTTTGCCATACTGATTCGTGCAGTAGTCGCTCGGGGGCGAATGACTTGAGCATCAATGACAAGGCCGCCGCAGCAAGCAGAATGGCGCGTTTCATCACTTTCACCATGTTGGCGATATGTTCTAGCACAAAAATACCAAGGTGACAAGTGTGACAAGACAGGTCAGCATATACCTAATCAATGGGTGATAGAGTTGTGTTACCTCGGTGCCGCGGTGCTTGGCATCAACGCGTCATGAATATGGGAGATCTGTCGACGAGTAACACCTGACAACCTACACCTTTAACGTGAATGCACTCAAACAATTATTCTCGGACCAGAACATCATAAGTCGGATTTCCGTGAGTTGAGTCCGATCTGAGAGAAGGGCCATGGCAACAGAACTTGCACCCAGCGGACCCCGTTGCGCGTGCTGCCCTTCATCACGAACAAAGACAAGACCGGATCAAAATTGTCAGGATATCGTCATTTAATAGAGGTATATTCATCAATGTCATGACTCCATCGAGAGCTTTATTTGATCTGCCAGCAGGTCAATTCAACAATCCGTCTCTTCGCTTCCAACCCCGTCCCTTCCAAGACGCAGGACTCATTTCTCGAGACCGCTGTAGCTGCCCATGCTGCCATTGTAAGTAGTGTGCATCTCCTCAGCTAAAGCTCTTGCAGATGCTGCAACAGTCTCATTCTTGGTCTGGGCGTAGAAATGCTCAATGTACTGCATCGCAAGAACCGCCTTCATGCTCAGAATGCAGTTGGTTCGGTCGAGCTTGATGCCTCTAGTCCTATCGATGAGAACTCTGTAATCATGGTCCAACAAGACAAAGTTCGCGTAATCCAGAGCGCGTTGGGGGCTACACGAATGAGCGAACATGAGCCATTCGTGAATGCCAGCCATACCCATCGTGGGCAACATCTCGATGAACTTCTTAGTCATCGGGATCTTAGTTGCGAACAAGTCCAGAGGGTAAGACTGCTTCAAGCGCTTTTCCAGATCCAGGGCCTCGTCAAGATATCCAACATGAAGCTCGTTCTTAGCCGCCGTCGGGATAATATGCTTAAGCGGATGGGCTCCCAGGAACTGGCTGACTTTGAACATGAGCGAAGAACGACCGTCTCCATATTCGTTCTCAGCCTCGCAGAGCTTACAGCTACAGGCAAAACCAGCAGTTCCCAGGCGCTGCTTGAGTTTGTCGAAGTCACCATCTACAGGGCAATACATTGTAGTGATCTCCTCGCCTCGGCGGATACTCTTGGTCGCACGCACGATAATAAAATTACCAATGAAGCCACGACTGGATTTGGACAGACAAGAGTGGTTCATGCGAGCAGCTTGGACCCATACGCCGGGCGAGTCGACTTTGACGACCTTTTGTACGTCAAGACGAGCTCTATCTTTGTCGGCCTCGAAGCCAAAGCCGTTCTGTTCGATGATGTTCTGTAGACGAAAGACATCGATCACTGGCATGCCATCGATGATGAGAGGCAGAGACTGATGGTCAGACGTGGCTTCGCTAGTGGATTCAGACTGGACACTTCTAGCTGTGCCGTCGTACAGATCCAGGAGCTTGAGACTCGATGAGGGGTTGTGAAAAGACTTGCGAACAGCATCGATCCAGATTGCAGCAAGGCTGCCGTGCATACCGACGTTGTTGGTGGGATTAATGATCACACTCAGCTCATGCGAGTCATCGGGAGTATTCGAGACAGTAAAGGCTCTCTCACACAAGATGATGGCCCCGACGGCAATGTCCTTGGTAGCGAACAAGCCCTTCGAACCGAATCTCGAGCCACGCACCGTAGTACCATCCAAGTAACTGGCTTGCTCAGAGTGATAGTCTGCGGTGTCCGAGAACTTTTTCGCCATTTTCGTCAAGTCGAAGACGCCCTTTGTGGCCTCTAGAATACGTGACTTGGTACAATCAAGTTCCCTTTGACCGTCCGCGTCTCCGGGAACAACCACCAAGACTTTTTGAAACATCTGTTCCGCCGATCGGTAGTCACCAAGTGCATATGCAGCACGACCGGCTCGATAGAAGCGTTTGGCATGCTTTGGATCCTGACCCCAGAACTATCCCTTTGTAGAGGCAATGGCATCTGCCTTCGCCGCCTCATAACACCCGAGGAGGAGTCTGGCTTGTGCTCTGTTGCGAAGCAAGTCGGACTTGAGGTCGGGATCTTTATGGGTCATAGAAGTAAGACCTTTGGTGTAGCAGTGGCCGGCCTTGATGTAGTCTTTCTCCTTCAAAGCCTGGTTTCCCTCAAATTTCCATTTCATAGCAAGCTTTGGTTGGGCCGAAGATTGCCATGCGGAGGGAAACAGGGAGTGATCGATCTCGAGGAAGATGATGTCAGAAGGATGATAAACACACAGTGCCATGGCCAGGTCTTCGGAAACAGAGCTGTAGAAGGGCTCCTTGATAGCCAGCACAACACCAGCTGGTAGATACCTCTCGGGCCACGAGACGAGACCAAAGTTGAGAATAGCGATCCTGTCTACATCGCCAGTCTCATCCTCAACAGGCATGAAGGTTTGTATCTTGGAGACATCTGTGGAATGGCCGAATGTGCGGAGTAGCAGAAAGCTGCCATAGTGGTGAGCTTCGAGACTGAGGTCGCTGAGGTTGATCTTGGTTAATGTCTGGAGTGAAGCATGGCTAGGAGGATAGGGCTCTGAGACTATGGTCAATTTGATTTCGGCATCTGGAGGAGCTGAGATAGCACCGTGATGGTCCAGGTCCTCGCGTGTGCATTGCTGTCGAGAAGTGTGTTTTCTGTCCTTGTGAGAGTCTACGCGCTGAGTCAACTGGAACTTGAGATCAAAGGCCTTGTGTACAGCAGCCTGCACCTTCATGTTGGAGATGATGACGGGAGTGCTTGCAGATGACGAATACCTGATGCGATGGTTTTATGAGATGATGTTGTGACAATGCACGCTGAGAAGACGCGCTTGAAGTCGAAGAGATCGCAAACAACACGCAAACTTTCAAGAATCGTTCGTCGTGTCTTTGAGGTCAATTTCATTCACACTCGGGTAGTTGCATATATGCAAACGTAGAAATGTAAGCTTGTCGACTCTCTGGGATCCCTTGCAAAAAGCCAAGGGATTGTGTTGTTATTCTGAGAATCATAAAAAGCGTTGTGAGGAATATGTCGTTAGTTTTCTGATTTATTTGTTCGATGTCGTCGCTTTTCTGTGCTGAGTTCGAGGGTCGAGGATTCGGGAGTCAATAAGAGACACGGAAGCTGCGATAGAGAAGTCTAGATTTGTCAAGTGTACCTACATACTCAACTATTGGATATCACAACCATATGTTCCTGGCCCACTGAGACTCCACAAACTCCATACTTTTGAACAAGATGCAAAGACGGGCATGCTGATGAAAGAGATGATAATTCGGAAAAGAAGGAGTTTTACTCCATGTCCTCGTCGTCTTCTGACTCCTCCTCTTCGTCGTCGTCGTCACCACCAGCATCAGCCTCATCGTGCCAGACGTCATCGTCGAAGTCATCGTCATCGAGCATTTCCTCGTCATCGTCTTCGACTTCCTCGCCGTTGGCCTTTTTCTCCTTCTTCTTTCTCTCAACGTTCTCTTTCTGGATGCGTCTTCTTTCGGCCTTCTCCTTGTTCTTGACCTCCCAAGCCTTGTCTTGTTGCTTTTGCTCTTCCTTGCTCTTGCTGATGTACTCGTGCCACAGGATCTTGCCAGCACAAAGACCTTCCTCAACCTTGGTCAAACGAAGAGTCATGCGAGGACCCAGCTCTTGCAGTTTGATGGCCTTCTTCTGCGTCTTTGTCTTGCGAGGTTGAGCAGCAGGGCGCGCAGATGCTTCGGTATTGATGCCTTCGGCGTTGGCTCCGCTGACCTTTGCCCGTTGAGCATCACGAATTCGCTGACGCTCGTCTTTCGACATGGCCTTGCGATTCTCGACGGCCAAAACCTCAATCTCGGCGTCAGTGTCGGCTTCTGTATCCGACGCAGTTGTGAATCCGGAGGCGGTTGGGTCCAGGAGGTAGTCTGCGACATCGTCCAAGGCACCAAGGTTGGGCAGACGGGCACTGTCGCCACGCTTGAGGTGATCAGCCTGCTCAAGTTTGCGCAGGGCTTTCGGTAGGGCGGATTTGGGGGTCACGGCATTGATGGCGTAATGGCGCAATTGGAGGACGAAGGCATGGGGGTCGTTTGGGTCGGTAGAGGGCTTGCGATCTAGCAGCATGACGCGCTTGATGGTCTTGAGAGAGGTGGTATGGGGAGAGATGGGGGCGAAGAGGGATTGGAAGATTGTCGTCGTCAGGGACTCGAGGTTCTTCGGAATGGGATTTGACTCGGTCTTGTTGTCCTTTGCGGCAGCATCGGCTTGCTGCTGCGACTGCATGAAGTTGTTCATGACAAGGAGAGGCGAGGTCATGTATTCGGCACCGTTCTGGCCCTTTGGACGGCGCATGCTCTTCTGGACGTCCTTGCAAAGCGAGTACTTCTCGACGCGGAAATGTAATGTGGGACCTCTGGGAGTGGTGCAGAGGCGCAGGTTTGTGTTTCCAGCATCGGAGCGAGAGAAAAGCATGAGATGTGAGACTCCGAGGGGACCGGCCATGGTGATGAAATCGCGCAGCTTGTTGGACTTGCGCTCCTTCAGGCGACTGGCGGTACCGGGCTCCATCATCAGCCGGGTGTCTCTGACAAGCTGTGAGATGCTTGGGCCGACTTCTCCAGCGTTGATACGGATAACCATGCTCTTGGGCGCCCTTGTCTCGCTCGCCAGGGCGGCGGCACTCTGGTGACCGGGCATTCCAGGAGCAGGAGGCTTTGCGCCAGCATGGGTGCGCTTCTTGACTCTTCTCTTGGCCATTGTGAGTTTGTGAAAATGTGGATGTTTTGTCGAGTCGATTGGCTCCAAAATTTCTTTGCAGTCGCTGCGACTATCTGCGTCTGTGCTTCGGCGATAACCCACGTCGGACCCTCTTTATCGCCGGAGCTTGTCCGATTCACTTACAACTTTTTATTTCGCGCCCTCGCCCGCCCATTACCACTTTGTGAACATTTCCACTTCCGCATATTTTCGACACTACAGGCTTCTGATCTCACCATCCGAGATACTGCCTCTAACATGTCGGCCCTCAAGAAGAGAAAGGTTCAACATGAGCGCTCCAGCTTCAGCGAAGAGGCTCCCCGTCAGTCTAAGCCTTCGAAGAAGACTATGGATCGCATCGACGATACCAAGGAACCTGCTGAGAATCTGGTAAAGAAGGCTGTGAAGAAGGCTGCTACCGATGATGTTAAGAAAGAGAAGAAAGAGAAGAGGGAGAAAGAGCGCAAAGCTGAATCAGAAGAGCCCGTAGAAGAGGAAGCTGCACCTGCCGAAGAGGAGGAGGAGGACACAAAAGCGCCCAAGAGTTTCCGCGAACTGGGAATCATCGATGCCTTGGCCGAGTCTTGCGAGGCAATGAACTACACCAAGCCTACACCAATTCAAGCCGAATCTATACCGCTCGCGCTTCAAGGAAGAGATATCATCGGTCTGGCCGAGACTGGTTCGGGAAAGACCGCTGCATTCGCGCTACCTATTCTACAAGCACTCATGGAAACGCCGTCATCTTTGTTCGGTCTGGTCCTAGCGCCTACAAGAGAACTGGCCAGTCAGATTAGTGAACAATTCGAGGCCCTCGGTTCCTTGATCGGTGTCAAATGCGCAGTCATTGTTGGAGGTATGGACATGGTCGCTCAAGCCATCGCCCTCGGAAAGAAGCCTCATATCATTGTCGCTACTCCTGGACGTCTGCTTGATCATCTGGAAAACACAAAGGGCTTTTCTCTCCGACCGCTGAAATACCTGGTCATGGATGAAGCCGATCGTCTGCTTGATCTGGATTTCGGTCCTATCCTTGACAAGATTCTCAAGGTCATCCCCAAAGAAAGACGCACATACCTGTTTTCCGCCACCATGTCTTCGAAGGTTGAGTCTCTGCAAAGAGCTTCGCTGTCAAACCCTATGAAAGTCAGCATCTCCTCTTCCAGCTACCAGACTGTCAGCACCTTGTTGCAATCCTACCTCTTCATTCCCCACAAGTTCAAGGACATCCACCTCATCTATGTTCTCAATGAATTTGCCGGCCAAAGTACTGTTCTGTTCACACGTACCGTCAACGAAACACAACGATTGGCATATCTGTTGAGAGCCCTCGGCTTTAGCGCCATTCCTCTGCACGGTCAGCTCTCACAGTCAGCACGTCTGGGCGCTTTGTCAAAGTTCAGAGGTGGAACCCGCGACATTCTGGTAGCCACTGATGTCGCTGCCCGTGGTCTGGATATCCCTTCGGTCGATCTGGTCCTCAACTTCGATCTTCCTCCGGACAGCAAGACCTACGTTCACAGAGTCGGACGTACTGCTCGTGCTGGAAAGGCCGGAAAGGCCGTCTCATTTGTCACACAGTACGATGTTGAGGTTTTCCAGAGGATAGAGAAGGCTCTTGCTAAGAAGCTGCCGGAGCATGATGCTCCTAGGGATCAGGTCATGGTCTTTGCCGAGAAGGTATCAGAGGCTCAACGTATTGCTATCAGAGAAATGAAGGATTTGCATGAGAAGGCCAAGAATGGGGGCAGAGGTGGACCTAGGGGAAAGGGGAAGAGAGATGCCATGGACAGAGATGAGGGTTAAGCGCTGCATATGACGCTTTCATCTTTCTGTTTGATTTTCTCATATATGATATCCTAAGTCAGCGTTTTCTATACACAGATCGCCCACCTCTTCTCAATTGATTCACAATCCTTTACCATACGGTCTACACAGTCAAACACCTGGTTAAGATCATGAGATCAGTTTTGATATGTCTTATAGCTCGTGTGGATTCAACTTGAGAGATTGCCATCGGTACTTCTGTGTCGTTGGCGCGAAATTAATACCATATAAGATATCGACAGGGTCGCTCCCCAAGCTGCCAATTCGGGAAGCCTCGGCTTTCGGGTAAATTCGTCCCTTCTCCTACATCATCTGTCAAAGCACATCAATGTCTATCTTCCAAGCATACAACAATGTCATCCCAAAGGTGTTTGAAGTTTGTACAGAGTGTCTTGTACGTTGCAACATCATGTGAGATTTGACAGTAGCTAATGGAGTAACGATAGCGAGTCATTCCAGGCCAACTCTGGTCTTGAACCAAGGTGAGATGTTGCTGAAGAGTTGAGTATCAGAGTATCGGACTGATTATCATGTTTCAAGACTTCTTAATGGTGTAAGTAGCCTCGACATGTCTTGATGTGAGGTTTGCAGGACCAGCTTCCGTGGTTCTGACAATCGCCATCTCATTCCTCTTTCCTCGTCCTCCACAAAACATCAATCACCGTTTGAAATGTTCCCTCTCACCTTCTCTACATACACGTTTCGAACATCGAAACACCTAGAAAGATCTTTCGCACCATGCTCAAGCTGACCTCTGTATCGACAGCTTCGTGTAACAGCAGCACGTCCAGGCGTCGTAAATTTCGAGCTACCAATTGAGAAACATCACACAGTATGATTGATCATCCGTCCGATGTCCGACACGACATCCTGACCGTCTATAGAATCGTCTCAACATCCTTCATGGCGGCACCATCGCCAGCATGGTAGATCTGGGTGGCTCTTTGGCCGTAGCATCGCGTGGTCTCTTTGCTACAGGAGTATCTACCGATTTGAACGGTACGTTTTCCCCTCGCAATACCTTGCAGAAAAGGCGCTAACAAAGGTAAAAACAGTGACATATTTAAACTCGGGTGGTAAAATTGGAGACCTGATTCGCGCAGTACGTATAACTCTACTCGCGAATACATGCATCATTGCTAACCCATACAATCAGGAAGTCACCTGTGACAAGTGTAAGAAACCCGCACAAGAAAGCATATGCTACACGCTTGCTGATATCCGACAGTTGGCAAGACACTCGCATACACATCCATCAACTTCCACAACGAAAAACAGGAGCTAGTTGCAAGAGGAAGTCACACCAAGTCTGCCCCCCCCCTGGTCTAAAAGTCCTGATAACCCGCACCGTCGCAAACCACTCCTCCTCCCGCTCAACATCCGGCTACAACAAATCCTCCGAACCCCCCCCCCCCCCCCGCATCCGTCAAGAATACGCATCGCTGATACAGATATGCAGATACGTTTCTTTCGCATGGAAAGACCCCAACAACATCGTCGAAGAAATGTCGCCCAAGCCCGAGAAGAAGGAATAGACAGTGTGCTCATCCTTCAAACAGAAAGCACAAGACACATAGACAGCCTAGCAGCAGACATACATTAAAACAGAAAACTCTGCCTGAACATCCACCAAAGATGTCTAACCACACCTTCTGTCTTCTCCCTGGCAGACCTAAATCTCTATCCGACTAATCAGGTAATGTGATGGTTAAATTAACCGGATTGAAACGCACTCAGGTTGACTCTTCTGCCATTACGATTATGCTGCAATATTGCAGTACTGATGCTAGCTTTACAAGGTAGCTTTGCGACTCCTACACCGTAGACATCGACTGCCCATCTCCCTGTCATTACGATCACTCTTAGCCTCTTCCTCTAAGCCTGTTCACAAACGACGCCTTCCTTGACTTCACGTTGAGCGTCTTTTGTTCAACGACAATCACGGTCGAGACTCCTGATTCAGCAGCAGTCTACGCTTCAACCATGTCTTTGCCTCTTCCCTCCATACCGCTCTCCACAGTTCCCCTTGTTGTGCCCAGTGTACCTGCCTTGACATACACCCTGGCTTTGAACATTGCGAAGCTAAGCTTCGCAGCCTCAGTCACACACTTCTTCTGCAACTCTCTCAGACACAGTTTCAAGTCATTCTCTGGGTATGTTGACGATAGCTCGCCACGACTCATAGACGCCTGAAGTTTTTCGTTACGATGACGATCGAATTGAGACATCAAGCGGCCGCTCCAGTAAGCTGTGGACTGCGCTGATGTGACATAATCGCTGGCGATGTTGACACTGCTAGCAAGATCTCCAGAAGGAAGGTAGCTAACCAAGGGACGGGGGCGGGATATCAGTGGAGGTACGGGTACGTTGCGGGATCTCAGAAGCTGATGAGGCTGAATACCGGAGCCGAGTGAAGAGCGTTGTTTTTTGTTGTCAGTCGGAGAAAGTAAAGGAACGACATCTGGATGGAGCATCGTTTGTCTTCTTGGCCTAGTGGTAAGTGTAGTTGGGCTTTGTGCAGGATCGATCGAAGCTTTTATGGTCACTGGTGTCTGAGGCGTGGATGGCTGTAGAGAATCCTTTCTCGGCTGCGACTTGGATGGCTGTTTAGCTGGAGTCTGGGGCCGTTTGAGGAACTTCAATGGGCTCTCAGGGCGACGCGCGTTGAGGTCAATTGAAGCCAGAGGGACATTCGGCAATTGCAGTGGTATGTTTTCTGTCTCTCCTTTGTTTGTGCTCAATGTTACGTTCTCCTTGAGTACGCGAGCCGAGCCTGAAGCATTTGGTGTACGACGAGGAATAAGCAACGGCTCTGTGTCTGAGCGGACGAGGCCACGTCGGTTGCCTACTTTGAGAATGCTCTTGGTGGCACTCGCCAATCTGGCCTTTGCATTGAGTCCCATCGAAGGCGTTGGGATACGAGAAGATGGTTTCATGGATGCAGGTGGCTTAGAGTGGTTACGAGTCCGTGTCATGGGCAGATTGCTGAATGTACAACTTTTGGGTAAGACGGGTAGTGGATCCTCAGACAGTGACATGTAGGTTTGGCGACGATGCTGATGTTGTGATTGTTGTTGATAAGTTTTGAGGAGATACGGATCCTCGTCCGAGTTCTGGGTGCCATGACTTGAGCGTCTGCGATTAAACGAATTGAATGGATTGAATTGCTGTAGATTGGCGAGAGAACTCAAGCGGCGGAGCGAAGATCTATGGTGAGGTGAAGTCGGACTTGGTGATGAGACGATCTCGGAGGAGACTGGATATTGTCGAGCTGGCATATCGCCCAACAACGACAGGGTTGTTATCTTTTCTAAGTTCCGGTGATTGTGCCGAGACGTGTAGGGACTGTGATGATGGCTAGATTGATGTGTGAGAAGGAGCGCGGTATGATCTGGTTGTAGAAGCGCTTGGAGGAGGTGCGATGAGAGGTTGTCGTGGTTGCCACGAGGTTGCTAGCTCAATGCCGACGAATGACCCTTCGGAGATTCGCGCAGCTCCTATTGAGTAGGCACAGCATCTTCGTCACAAAAATTCCGAAAACAATGCAAGGTCAGTCGTCACTGTAACAGCGCGAATAGTCAATATTGCAATGGGTCAATTTTATCCATTGAAGAGATGATTGTGCTAGGAAGTGGCCAACTGAGCTCGAATGACCTACCCAACTTCACCAAATTTTGGATTTACTTAGTCCACACAGAACCAAGAGACTCTGATGGCTCAGTAATCGTAGAAGCCTTTTCCAGACTTCTTGCCTAGCCAGCCAGCATCAACCATCTTCGTCAACAGCACGGAAGGTCTGTATTTTGAGTCACCAAGCTCCTCATGCAAGACGCGCATGATGGATAGACAAGTATCGAGACCGATGAAGTCTGCGAGCTGCAAGGGACCCATAGGTACATTTGTACCGTTCTTCATGATTGCATCAATGTCCTCTTTCGATCCGACACCAGTCTCTAAACAGATGACAGCCTCGTTGATGTAAGGCATGAGGATACGGTTGGCAAGAAATCCGGGACTATCTTGACTGACGGAAGCGATCTTGCCCATACGTTTGCAAAATTCGACAGCTGTGGTGAGGGTTTCAGGAGAAGTTTGCAGGCCGGTGATGATCTCGACACCCTTCTGAATAGGTACTGGATTCATAAAATGTGTCGAAACCACTCTCGAGGCAGCAGATAGATCGGTTGGATCTGTCGTGGTAGCAGCGGCAATTTTGGTTATGCTGATAGAGGAAGTATTTGTGGCCAGAATAGCATGTGAAGGGGCCAATTTGGCCAATTGAGAGAAGATGGAAGTCTTGAGAGTAATGATCTCAGGCACGGCTTCGATAACCATATCGACATCTGACAAAGCACCCATGTCGGTGGCCGGAGTCAAACGTTGTCTAGCAGCATCTGCCTCGTCCTGAGTGATTCTTTGCTTGGAAACATCCTTGGCCAGTAGCTTGTCGGCAAATTTGAGACCCTTGTCGATGGAAGCTTGTGAGTTGTCGACCAATGTGACAGGGACTTGGGCTCTCAAGGCAGCGACCAAAGCGATTCCTAGACCCTGTGGTTGAATCAGCTCGAGGAAAACAATCAGATAGACGATTTGATGCCTACCATCTGACCAGCACCAATAACACCGAGCTTCTTGACGTCGGCATTGGGACGAAAGGTGGCACTGAATGATCGTCTGCTGATCGATTGGACATGATTTGGCAATTGCCTCAGGCATGCACGAGAAGTAAGAGAAGCCATGTTGTGAATTTGATGTAAAATGCAGAAGCGAAGCTTGCAGTAGAATGGGAAGATGATGGCGAACAATCACATGCGGAAGTCCGGGGCCGACATGCCGAGGTCGTGTGTGGAGTATGGAGTATGGAGCTGACAGGGAGCCATGTTTGCCGTGTTTGATTCAATTAAACGCGCCACGCGTCGGTCGACGCGGGTCTCTTGGAAGATTATCATCACGCTCGAACTGGTCCGTACTATCACAACACCAACGTCATGGAGGTGTTTGAGAAGAGCCAGACGGTGGATGCAGAGGTCAGGGCACATGTCTACTCGCTTGTGTCGGCAATCGGTGGCAGTAGTACTGTCAATGAAGGTCAATATGTTCTCGGTGACGATGCCCTGGCTTGTTTGAAGGACTTGTCCAGATGGATCCGCCTGTACGACGACCGAATCAACCGACACGACGTCAAAAGATGTATGGCCGAGGCCAACCTGGTCAGAGGAGACTTGCTGCCAATTCTAGCTCAACAAGGAGACAAGAGCGACCGCAGCGTCCTGGCAACAAAAGTCGCCCTCAACTGTCTCGACCTGCTCAACACTCTGACCTGGCCAATCGAACGCAAGGAAGAGACCATGACTATCAACACCCACAGGCATCTCCCATACATCAAGCTCGCCCAAGTCGAATACAAGCGCGCCATCCTGCATTGGGAATCTGCCCACATTCTCCGCACCGCAATCAGCGTCGCCATTCCTGCCATAACGCAATCGAGGACCGAGCGCAATCCAAGAGACGACTCGATCATCGGTGTTGTGCTCTACTTCCTCCGCAATATCGCCATCATCGCCCAGCCAGTCGACGTGCCTAGTCAGAGCGACGACAATGACATCAACAGACTGGACACGATCCACGCCTTCCACCAGCAGAATGTCCTACAACTCCTGCTCACAATCGCATCGAGCGTCACCGACGAATATCCTATGCACGACATTGTCCTTCTGGAAATCCTCTTCCACCTGCTCAAAGGCATCGACCCGAAAGACCTGTTCAAAAATGAAAAGCAACTACAAGATTCGCGAAATCATGACTTCAAGGCTCTACTGGACAAGGAGAAGGCTATGAATTCTTCCTATGCAAGAAACGCCCCAAGTCGTCACCATCGATTTGGAACTATGATATGGGTGAAGCGTCCGGATGAGAAGGTCTCGACTCTGAGCGGTCAGAACGTCATCTTTGATGAGCAAAAGACTATGCATCAGATGGACCAGTCAAAATTATGGAACAAGCCAAAGCCGCGAAAGAAGAACGTCGAGGTTCAAGACGAGAACAATGATTTCGATAACAACGTCATCCTGGACGAGCCCACCAGGAAAATCGTCCGCCACTTTACCGAAGACTTCCTTGATTCGTCCTTCAATCCCTTGTTCAACAGTCTTCGACGCGCTCTCACCTCGGAAGCTGAGAGAGCTCAAAAGTACAATACTCGTCAATACTACTACCTGATGGGCTGGTTCCTACAGGCAGAGCGTGCTAGACAGGACTTGCTGAAGCGCAATGGCAAGGTACATGACGCGGCTGTCGATGATTCTCCCTTTGCATATATCGCTGCCGTCATGACTCAGGAAAACTTCATCTTGCTTGGACGAAAGATACAGCAGAGTCTAGACGACAAGGAATGGTCTGACTTGCACGCATGTATGCGTGCCTTTACCCAGATCTTACTGACTGTCACCGCCATGGCAGATTCTCCTTCTGAAGACGATCAAGAAATTGCCGAGAATATCCAAAACAGAATCTTCTACGAGGAAACCACCCACGACCAAGTCATTGCTGTGCTCAGGGGATATAACAACCAAGGTTTCGCTTTCCTGGATGCTTGCACAGACATGGCACATACTTTCTTGCGCATGCTAGAACGCTACAGCAAACAGAATGTTGACATGCAAGTTCGGTCCAAAAGACGCACCCGCAAAAAGCGCAAGGTCGAGGCTCAGGTCAATGGCGCGGACGACGAAGGTGCAGCGTCCGAGGCCGAAGATCAAGCTGACGCTCAACGCGCGGTGAGTGAGCGCAAATTTGACTTTACTCGCTTTGCCAGCAAGTTTATGACCGAAAGTGCTGTCAACACCTTCGTCCGCTTCACGAGTTACTACAAGGATCTGGACACAGAACAATTGAAGCGCTGTCATCGTTTCTTCTACCGTTGCGCGTTCAAGATGGAAAGAACGATCTTCCTCTACAGAGTCGATATCCTGCACTTGTTCAATCGCATGATCAAAGGGCCAGAGGGCCTCTCCAAAGACCTTCCTCTGTTCAAAGAGTGGGAAGAACTAGTCAAGCAGGTATTCAGACGTTGTCTAAAGAACCTCGAACAACGCCGAGAACTCATGGTTGAGATGCTGTTCACCAAGATCCCCAATACAATATTCTATCTCGAGAACGGGTACGAGATGGAGATTACGAAAGCTAGACCAAGACCTCCAGCTGAGCTGGTAGTGAAACCTGGACTGAGCCAAGAGCAGCAAATTGCTGTGGCTGTCAGCGTGCTTGTCAACCAAGGCAAGCTTGACGCTCTGGCTTGGGTCAAGGACGTTCTAAATTCTGCCGCCGAAGAGAGACGGGCATGGGAGGATTTGCACGATGCGCAAGCGAACCTGGCGAACGACACAAACACCGGAACGAACAACAATGTCGATGACGAGAATGCAGACAGCATCAACAACTCAGACGCGGAAGCCGCGGTCAACTCGGTCGAGACAGCAAATCAAGAGGACAAGCCCAAGGCACCTTTCATCAACCTCAAACCTGATACCGACGACCGCAAGCTCAGCCTCTTCAAGGACAAGTTCCTTCGTCTACTCCTCAAGCTGTTATCACTCGACCGCCTTGGCGAGAACGACGATCCCGATGCTTCCTGGATTGTTCCTTCCTCGATGCCCTCATCTCTACTCCTCTCAAATCTCGCATTGATCAAAAAGTTCGAATTCGACCTCCCCACCTTTGAAGGCGGCGTAGCTCCCGAGTCTCTTCTTAGAAGTAAGAGTGCGGCCGGTTTACACGCCAGAGCTGATAGAAGTGCTGTTGCTAGTGCAGTCAACAGCGATGACGAAGGCGACACTCTTTCCGACCTGGACGATCAAGCTGCTGCATTGTTTGAGCCTGGTGGTCCAACTTCACGCCCCGCTGACTACGAGAAGCCACGGTTGAAAAAGAGACTTTTACAGCGAAAGGCACCTGAACTCAGCGAAGAGGAGAGGTTGCTCAGAGCACAAGAAAGGGATGCCAGGGAGAGGGAGAAGAATGCAAAGGTCAAATCTGCGCTGCGCATTACGGACTCTGATGACGAGGATGATGCAGAAAAGGATGCAGAGTTCTTTGCGTTGGAAGAGCAGAGGAGAAAGAAGATCAGTGGTGTGATAAGAAATGCACTGTTGAATGAAGTCGACGACTCGGCTGGTCAGAAGGGTAAGAGGAAGGCAAAGGCTACGAAGGAGAAGACTGCAAAGGGGAAGAAGAGGAAGACCATCACAATCGAGGATGATAGTGATGGCGATGGCGAGCTTGCTAGTGATGCCGAGATGAGAGATGTCAGTGCTGTTGATCTATCTAGCGATGCAGAGGAGGCGCCTGAGGATACACCGATGGATACGGTGTCGCCGATAAAGACCAGCACTGCTGTAGTGATCGACGAGGACGAAAACGAGGATGAGGATGATATTGTGCAAGCCAGGCCTGCGCGAGCGAGACCAAGTGCAAGGCTGCCGTTCTCGGACGACAGTGATAGCGACTGATCATCGTTGACCTCACGATCATCATATTTGTTCCAAGCGTGGAGTCTGGGTGTTTGGGGTATATGAAGGAAGTAGACAGTAGCATTATTTGTATCTAAGACGTTGCAATCAAACGAGCATGATGCTCAGTAGATATAATCTAGACCGCATCTAGAACCAATATGTACACACAGAAAAGAAGACGATCTATATTTTGATTCAAGATCGCTCAGAGTTTGCTGGTTTTGGCGATGCGCTCGTAGAGAACCTTTGCAACAGCCTTCATACCCTCGCCATTGGGGTGATACCATGTCTTGCCGGTCAACTGCTCCATGGCAGTGCATCCAAAGACCCAAGGCTCCTTACTGCCAATGGCATGACCTTGACTCAATTCCGCCATGGGTACCAGCTCACACCACTCTGATCTGGACTCGACAGCTTTGCCTGTAGCCTTTTGCAGCCTGGTTGCAACTCCCTGGTGGTGCTTCAGTCTCTCGGCATCAAATGGAACATCAGTCATTGGCTTAGTATCCGGTCCCAGTAGAGTCAAGTACTCAACAACGATGACTCGTGCCCTGGGAGCTTTGGCGTGAATTGCGTCCAAGGCTTTGCCATAGCGCTTGATGACTTCTTCTTCGTCGGCAGGACGTGACATGTCTGGAAGTGGGGTCCCCTTGAGGCGGCTCATGAGAGAATATGCAGATATAAGCCAAGTGTGCTCCATGAACAGACCTCCAATGTAAGACATGTCGTTACCGCCGCCGAGTATGAGGACGATATCGGCATCCTCTGGAACTCCTTCAATTTGAGGTGCAAAGGTTTGACCACCGGCGACTTGAGGAGTTTCAGTGATGTTGAGGAGTGTGCAGCCTGATACACTCAAGTCTGTCAGATCAGTATTGAGACGTTCGGCCAGAAGATGTGCATAGTTGGCGCCGGAACGAGATGCTGCTTTGTTGATCTGGGGTGCAATGCCGGGACCAGCGGAGAAGGAGCTACCCAAGTTGACAATCTTGACCATATCGATATATGAGATTCCGAGCAGATGCAAGGAACTTGATGTAATACAAAAGTGTGGAGGCAAGGGGGTTGAAGCGACGAAAGATTGTGGAACGAAGGGATTGAAAGGACGTTGACGAAAAGATTAAAGCAACAGGCAGCAAGCTTGCGGAAGGCTCGACAGCCGAGTTTATTTTACGAAGCAGTACGAGCGATTGCGACGGGCAGAAAAAAAAGAGGGAGCGAGTCAATAATCACATGATGTCTGAGGTCAAGCTGGAGGGAGTTCGCCAGTCATGGGCTTCTACTTGGTCGAAGGACGTCATCTCATCCCGACTCCCAGATGAAGAAGAAAAGGCCATTGAGGAGGTGAAGAAGCGCAGGTGAGTGAGTACTCGAGGGAAGAATATCGGCAGTGATGACGTCGGCAGCAGAGCGTTTGTCGACAATCCGGGGAAGTCGAACATATGATTTGCATCTCTCTTGTCGGATGCTCACAATGCTCTACGACGCAGGTTGATCATCATGTCGGTCGCGTCGCAGCGAGCCCTCGACTACCTCGAGGGGCAGCCCGGTATTATCTTCAACAGGCTATACCAGCAACCTTCGACCGCCTTGGCCATCTTCAGGCGCATGTTGCCGCACTTGGGTGAGTTGGACGTACAAGGCAGCATTCTTCTCATGGGAGTGAAGCTGACAAGCGATAGCCAAGAACCTGGTCATGGCTATGCTGTTCATGCCAATCCCACTAGCCGCCTCCGACCTCGAAACATGGGTCAAGCCGGACACGGGCAGTGTGCGCGCACGCGATCAGTCGCTCAACATCCTCCTTAGGCTGAAGGTCCTCGAGGAGACTCGCAACGATCAGAACAGACCGGCGTATCAACTTAACAAGGCCTTCCGAAAGTCTCTGCGCCTGGCTCTGACTGGAGGCGGAGATCATCGCTCTTTCGGTGTACCGTCAAGTACGCCGGACAAGAACGAAGTGACCATCGACTTTCTCGACACGTACGCACGCCAACAATGGGAAAGCATTTTGTACTACGTCGTCGGTAGCGCTGGCCAAGGCTTGGGCGGTGCGGTCAACATCACCGCAGGAACAAAAGAGTTGCTGGAGAGTGGAGGTTTCGTCTTGACCAAGGGCAGGAACGCATACATTACTCGCGACGGCTTCTCTTTCTTATTGCAAGAAACGAACGCTCAGATCTGGACTCTTCTCATCGAGTACCTCAAGCTTTCAGAAAGACTTCAAATGGACGCTGTGGATGTTTTGAGTTTCCTCTTCACGCTTGGTTCGCTTGAACTGGGTGTTTCTTACACGACAGAAAACCTTACGCCGACACAAGCCCATATGCTGGACGATCTCTCGGACTTTGGTGTCATCTATCGTCGTGCATCAGACAACTCACGCTATTACCCCACACGACTCGCGACCACTCTGACATCAGACTCTCCAGCTCTACTGAACACATCTCTCTCAGCCAATTCTATGGGAGTCACGCCGACTGGCGGGAACACGGTCGTCCCTCAAGAGACGGAAAAGGGATACATCATCGTCGAGACAAATTACCGCATATACGCCTACACATCCTCGCCTCTCAACATTTCTATCCTATCCCTCTTCGCAAACCTCAAAACCCGCTATCCTAACATGTTGACCGCAACTCTGACAAAGTCATCAATACAACAGGCTATTGCCGCGGGAATCACTGCAGATCAGATCATCACATACCTGACGACACATGCACATCCCATCCTCCGCAAGTCAACGCCCATTCTGCCGCCAACAGTAGTCGACCAAGTACGACTATGGCAGCTGGAGAACGAGCGCATGAAAGCCACGCCTGGCTACTTGATCAGGGATGTTGGTACGCAAGAGGAATACCTGAGAGCTGTGCAACACGCCGACACAATCGGTGTCCTGACATGGCAAAACGATACAAGGGGCATATTCTTCGTGACCAAATTCGAACAGATGGCACAATACTTCAAGGCGGCTGCTAGAAGGAGAAGAGATGATGAAGGAGGAGCAGATGAGGCTACACCGAGATAGTCATGGTTGACATGATCCAGCAGGAATGGTTATGGATTTTCCCACTCTCCGCCTTTTGTCATGGCGTTCTGGGTAGAGAGGGCTCGAGGATGACCCGAGCATGCTGTTTTTTTTTCGCCATATCATAGCTAGTTATGGAATATCATTATGCATATAAATACCACACGTCTTTCGATAACAGCGATCGATGGCTAGCCCGCTCTTTCAGGTTATTTTCATGGTGACCTTGCCATGATGGCCAAAGAAGATGACTGGTGCAGGGTAAAGCCAGCTAAAGCGTGTGCATGTGAGACGGACTTTTCAAACTCAGCGTCGCGATCCTGAAGCCTGTCAACAACTGGAGCACGCAAAATGAAGCAGCCTAACACAACCGAGCTACTTCTAAATCGATCAGAGGTACCAAAATCATACCCACACGGAGCAAAAAGGCCTCAACCCGAGATCGAATCGGGGACCTCCTGCAATTTCGGATAAACCCAAAGCAGGAATCATACCACTAGACCATTAAGGCTTGATTATGGTCGAGTCCTGGAGAAGCTGATCTATGTTTCGTCAGTTTTTTGGCATGTGGGGCGGCTCATCGCCCCACAAGCGAGCTTCCAAGCTCTCGACATGATTGCAACATCAGTCAAGCACGACACTCGTCGGCGGGATGTACTCCGTCGTGTATACCGTCGTAGTCGTTTATGTGAAACTCAGCACTATGCAACAACATCAGCATGGCAAGTATCAGCAGTGCACGCTGGAAATCCCACTCCAACTTCAACTCCATGCCAGCCCCACGAATTCCTCATTCGGAGCTGCGGCCAATAAACATGACCTCCACTTCGGGATGCTGCGGCGAGCTGTTGGGTGCCGAGTCAACGAAGGTAAACACCCTTTTCGTCATGGCATATTAAAACGCGGACCGTTCGGCCTGCGCTTTTTCGGAGCGCGAGCATGACAAAGCCACCACGTAAGTCGTAACGTTGGTAGGCGCGAATTGTGGTTAAGGCTTGACGCAAGGTCCGGCGGTCAAGTATGATTATAGATCTCGTCTTCCGGAAAGAGCGAAAGCACAAAGCATTCGAACCCAAAGGCTTGATTCCGCACTCTTCTTGACACCTTTTTTATTTCTTGAGAGTCCAGACCTGAAGAAGCCACACGAAACGATAGTACCCGATCACATCATGTCCTCCACGTCGACGCTTCTGAGAGCCTTGACCAGGCCCCCACAACTCTATACTGCTTTAACTGGACGAGCTTCCACTTCTTCCAGCAGTTTTATTCCACCTTCTCGCTTTTCCTCTCTTAAATATCTCTCACACCCTCGTATCTCTTCTGCACACTTCAGCAGCACATCAAGAACATCAACGATGGCTTCTTCCAGGGATTTCCTCAAGGCCGTCGAAAACCGCAGAAGCATCTACCAATTGACCAACAAGATCCCCATCTCTGATGCTCGTGTTGAGGAGATTGCGAAACACAACATCCTCCACGTTCCCAGCAGTTTCAACTCACAATCTACCCGTATCGTTCTTCTCCTCAATGAGGAACACGAGAAGTTCTGGGAGATCACCAAGGAGGTCCTGAAGCCTCAGATGCCCGAGGAGCAGTTCCCTCAGACTGAAAAGAAGCTTGACGGCTTCAAGGCTGGTCACGGCACTGTACGGCTTCCATGCTTCGAGCAGGCGTGATGTCGAATATTTCACTGACTGAATGCACAGATCCTCTTCTACGAAGACCCCAACCCCGTCAAGAAGCTTCAGTCTCAGTTCGCTCTCTACGCTCAGCACTTCCCCGGCTGGGCTACTCAATCCAATGGTAAGATATCAAGCAATCTGCTCAGACCGACCCTCATACTAAGACACCTCCTAGCCATGGCACAATACCACCTCTGGACTGCCCTTGAGGCAGAAGGCTGTGGCGCCAATCTTCAGCACTACAACCCTGTGGTGGACTCAAGAGTTTGCACCGAGTGGAACGTACCTCAGGAGTGGGAGCTCAAGGCTCAGCTTGTGTTTGGTGGTGTCGCAGAGGGTGCCCGCGAAGCTGTCGAGAAGAACCCGAAGCAGCAGCAGCCCCTCGAAGAGAGACTCTTCATCCACGGCAGCAAGGCTTAGATGCACACGACTAGCCAAGAGCAGAAGTGCAATAGAGGGTATATACAGCATTGAGGACGGACTCAAGCAGATTCATAATGTTGGCAGGAGCGTGATGAAGCCAGCACCTTTCTTCAAAGCTTCCCTTTCTCTTCTCCACTCAGCTTGACGTCGGCTGCAGCTTGCATGACATCCCTTGTCAAGATCTCGCCCTTTTCCTTCTTTGGTTGTAGTCTCCCCATTTTGATGAGTCTGACGATCATGTCCTCATCGCCAAAGTGCGAGTTGTGGGCAAACTCAGGCTCACGCCCATAAGCCACCCTCGCCGCATCAACCAGTATCCGCGCAGTCATGCCAAAGACCCTATACCGTGGTATATCCAGTGCATCTTTCTGTGCCAAACTCTTATCTACCTTCTTTGCATGGCCAGATTTAGGTGCCGGCTTGCCATATGCCTGAGCAGCTCGATCTGCCAACAACACCGGGGCTTTTGACTCTGGCGAACATGGCGCAGTGGCAGCATCAAGTCTTGTGTTTTCCACCTCCTGACTCCTAAAGACCGACTTTTGACTCACAGGGACATGAAACATGTGCATCCGCCATGGTTCATGATACCAACTGTGCCATGCCCCTCTATACCATTCCCCCTCCACAACACCATCATCCTTCTCTTTCAAAAACTGCTCGAACGGTGCAGTAAACACAGCAGCAACTTCTCTAGCATCCAGCTTCGGCAACAAATCCTTCGCAATATCCGAACTCCCATTCAAACTCCTCAACCAAGCAACACAAGGTCTCACCCCCAATTCAGTCATTGCAAGATTCATAGGCAACTCCGTCAATTCTTCCATACTGTATCCCTTTGGCAACTCGTCATCATCACTCGGAAACCCAATCTCTTCTTCTGCTTCTCGACGTGCGGTTTGCCATGCCGTTTCTTGTTCCGTATCGGCTTTTCCTCCAGGTAGCGCGGCCTGTCCGGCATAATTTCGCAGTTTTGCACTTCGGATTGTGAGGATCACGCGGAGGTCGCCGCGGCGGTCGGCGAAGAGGAGGATTAGGACGGCGGCGCGGCGGGTCAGGGGGAGTTTGGTGTATTGGGATGGTGGGGGTTTGAAGGCGCGAAGGCGGGCTAGGGCGGCCTGGTGAGGTTTAGTACTGCGACTTTTACAATCCACGTAGACGAAGATACGCACTGCGGATGCTTGCGACAAGGCTGCCATGACTGTGTGTATTGTGATGTTTTCATGTTGCTTGTCAAAGGATGATGGGTTCACGATTGGGGGGCTTCCTCGAGCCGAGGTATGTTTACTCGGCGTTATAAGCTACTAAACTCCGTCACCTCTCATCTCCACATGCATGATGTCATGCATACAGGAAGAATGTTCAGTAAAGGGAGAATGTTCATGCAATTGTACAAGGTATGATTTGCTTGTCGGTGTCGACAGAGATCTATACACAAGATTAGGAATGTTTTCCTGTCCCATCTTCCAACAACTTATGCAGCTTTTTGTCCTGTGCACTCGAGAATCAAAGCAAAAGGGAAAGAACCAATGGTCAGTGAGGCTAAGCAAGAACGCCATGGGTATGCAACCAGACAGAAAAAGGAGTGGAAGTTCAGATATGCCATATTATTACCCGTCCATGCGATAGAAAAGTGAACAAGAAGAGATGTGAAAGGGGAGAAAATTAATACTCAAGGATGTCCATGCGGTTTGTCGCTTCGTTCCGCTTGTCGTGCAATCTCTGTGGGAGCCTCGCCAGCGTCTACAGGAGCTTGCATGTGTTGAGCCTTCTGTGCACTTCGCTGCCTCTCCTTCTCGTCTTCACTGCTGCCAGCGGAAGTGTCGCCTTCCTGTGGCAAGTCACCACTTCGGCTTTCTCTTCGCAGTTTCTCGGCCTTGTCCTTCAACACTTTGGCCTCTTCCGCTGCTCTTTGTGCGCGGACCTGCTTGCGCCACATCGAAGAGTATTTGCCCTTCAAGTCGAGGAGCTCCTGATGTGTACCACGCTCAGCAACGCGTCCCTCGTGAAGAACGCAGATCTGATCAGCCATGGTGATGGTGGAAAGTCGATGGGCAATGACGAGCATAGTCCTGCCTTGGGCCAAAGTCATGAGAGCTTCTTGGATGTGCTCCTCGGTCTCAGTATCCAAAGCAGCAGTAGCTTCATCAAGAAGAATGATGCGAGGGTCCTTGATGATAGTGCGGGCGATTGCGACGCGTTGCTTCTCACCACCAGAGAGACGGAGACCACGCTCACCAACCTTGGTGTTGTATCCATCAGGGAACGAGAGAATCTTGTCGTGGATTGATGCAGCTTTGCAAGCCTCAAACACGTCTTCATCGCTTGCCGACGGGTTAGCGTACTTGAGGTTGTACATGAGCGATTCGTTAAACAGGACAGTATCTTGAGGAACGACACCGATATGTCTGCGAACGCTGTCGATAGACACATCTGCTACGTCGTGTCCGTCGATCTGGATTGTGCCAGACTCGGAGTTGTAGAAGCGGAAGAGGAGGCGGAAGACGGTAGATTTACCACCACCAGATTCTCCAACCAAAGCGGTCGTGGTACCGGGTTTGCAGTGGAAGTCGAGTCCCTTCAATGCAGGCTTGCGAGCGTCATATGCAAAGTGAACATCGTTGAAGCGTAAATCGCCTTCGCAGCTGGGCAAAGCCGTGACTCCGGGAGCATCGACGACGGTCGGCTCTTCCTTGAACAACTCAAGCATGCGCTCAGAATTGATCATGGCGCTCTGGATCATGCGGTAGAAGGTACCGAAGAAGTTCAGAGGTCCCTGCAATTGGGCCATGTATGTTAGCAGGACGACAAACTTGCCAACACTGCGTTGACCAGTAGTGACTTGATAAGCAGCAACGAAACAAGCGACCATCAAACCAACCATGAATACCATGTTCTGTGTGACATTCATGAAGTTGAGCGAGATGACGACCGAGTACTCTGCCTTTTGGTACTTCTCAACTGCCTGACGATATCTGTTAAACTCGTAGGCTTCGGCATTGAAGTACTTGACAGTTTCGTATGAGACCATGGAGTCGTTCTTCACGGCATCGACTTCTCTGTCAGAGTTGACCATCTCTCTACGAATCTCGGCACGCCACTGTGCCATGCGAATAGTAAGGTAAATGTACCAGAAAGTGACCACGGCGACAATCAAGGCGTAGTAAACATCAAATCTGATGAGGAAGTAGCCAATAGCAACGAACAAGTCGACGAGCATGGGGATGACCTGGAAGGTGACAGACTCCAGGAAGTTGTTGATGGCATTGCCCTTTCCCAGAGCTGAAAGCACCTCACCAGTCTTCTTGCCTAGATGAAAGTCCAAGCTCAAACTATGGACATGCTCGAATGAGGCGATTGAAAGCTCGCGGAAAGAATACTGGCTGACAGGAAGCCAGATGATAGAACGGGTGGCACCAAGTAGGCCGTTGTTTCCTTGAAGTAGGCGGTAGAAGATGTACAGACATATGGCTTTCCAGGGCATGCCGGTCTTCTCTTCATCAGCAAGCTCATCGGTAATATTGCCGGCCTGGATGGGCACCAAAATCTGGATACCGCGTTGGATAAGCATGATGATGAAGCAGACGACGACAACAAATTGGAGCCTGCGATCCTTGGAAGGCCAGAGGTAAGGGAAGAACATGGAGTAACCCCTGATGTATTCCCACCAGCTTCTAGAAGGTGTGGTGGTTGGCTTCTCCCAGCCGGCAGGAGCATCGGTAGCCTTTTTCGGTTTATTGTTTCCATTTGGTTGGGTAGCACCATAACCATTGGCTCCGTTAGCGGATCCATTGGCGGAGCCGTTGGCGGCACCGGCTTCAGCGCGGTCCTCAGCAAGAAGTCCAGTAGTTTCGCTCGTGGAGGCTTGGTTGGCGTCTTGCTTTCTTTGACTTCTTGCGTGCAGCGTGACGAACAGGACATAGAAGGCCACGAGAGCTAGAAGGAGGATTACGCGGACAAGATCCAACGTGACACCAGTAATTTCCCATTCAGTCATCTCTCTTTCTAGGTGGCCGCCGGACGGATCTCCAGCCTTGGGTTCGTGATGTGCGTGGGTATACAAGGCGAAGGACGAAGCGAGGAGGACGGTTTCCATTGCAGCGGCGAGAGCCCATGACGAAGCATGGACCCAGGTAGGCGAAGGTTGAGTATCAAAGATGGATATGAGGATCAAGGTGTGAACCATGAAAGCACCGACGATGTAAACCTATAGATTGCACGTACTTAGTATGGGTAGAGATGGTGCTGAAATGACCATGTTGCTTACAACCGTGGCTTGTCCACACCACCATTCCTCCTTGCGCGCATACAAGGCATGGACTACTACAGTGACGGCATTGCCAGCGAGAGTAAGAGTAGCAGCCAGAGCCAGCCACTCGAATAGCAACTTGCGCGGTCTACTGAAATCGAGGAAAGTATTCTTCGCTGCGGGTGCCTTCTTCTTCGGCAAGGGTTTCCCGCCAGGACCTAATTGCGCTTCGGACACGGCATTGTCGGGCTCGTCGCTTCTAGCAGATAGGATGCTGCGGATGGTGAAGGTGGTGAGGAAATAGGAGAGCAATATGATGGGATATGCGAAGTGTACGATGGTGAGGAGACGCTGGGCTTTATGTTCGGCGACCCAATGGCCGTGTCGGTGTTTCATGTAGACGGTCGCTGCGGAATTATCGACTGGTGATGATTCCATGTTGGCGGTGACCAGGGTGCGAAAGCCTGCGTGTCGAAGGGGCGGGAGTGTGGGCGAAAAGAGAGGACTCAGGACTGTGAGGAAAAGCCGACGACAAAACTCTGCTTCTTCAATACGGTATTATTGCAATTGCCACCGCCCGACGGTAGTCAGCATCTTCTACTGCCGTCTATTGCGACGCGTTTGTAGTAAGTCACGACTCTCAGGTACGCCATGCACTCCAGACAACGACGACGCCGATTGCAGCATGGCGCCGCTGTGGCGATGATCGGATGCAGCAGCCGGTCCCAAGCCAAGCCAATCTCGAATGAGTACCTGCCCGACTCATCGCTTGCGGACCAGGTTTGTGGGTGCAGATGACCTGATCTAGCTGCTCAATCTATTAGCCACTATTTACTGCACGCGACCAGTTACTTTTCCAACTCGCTCTGCAAACCACTCCTCAGCTGGCTCTTATCGTCCACATGGCCTGCATACCGTCGCTGAAAGTCCAAACTCTAATCGACACTGCTGCCTCTCGTCCCCACTGAAAGAGGCTGTGAGTCGATCAGCTGTTCGTTCGACTTGACACGTATTGTCTGATTTGTAAACACGTCAACACCATACACCGTCTTCCTTCAACTTCTCTTTGATCTGGCCGAGGACAAAGCAGTAACCAGACGGTGCATCTTGCATTCTCGTCACGAGTCGAGACATGCTGTGGCTGCAGCCTTCATGCACACCCTCCGCACCTCAACGCGCTTGTGGCTGTCATCCAAGCACTTTTGCACTTCCGCGCGGGTCTCCAATTCCCACTTCAAGCGACGACAGAAGTCCGAATCTATCCTGAACCACACTGTCTAGCCAGAGATATCGGCACACTGTGATTCGCTTGCTCACCTATAATTTTCGATATACCCTGCTATCATCTTCTGCAAAGAGGGACCCAGACCGTCCTCTACAATTCTCACTGCTCTCTCCACCTATGCACGACCACCTCATATTGCACAGCTTATATACGTTGATGTTGTCTGTGTTTACTTACCAGATGGATTTCGTTGAGGTGACACCGACCTAGTGTTGCACAATTGCAAAGAAAGCTTCACGGTTACTCACAGAATCTGACAGGCTATTCGCATGCTTGACACGAGAAAGCATCCAGACCAAGTCGTCAAGCATCAGCTCTCGACTCGTCGACAACAGACCCTGCATGAAAGGTTCGGTGTTGATCGACAATACGTCGAAGCATTTGCTACACGGACCGCAGCCGTATTCACATTCCTTCGAGATGCAAGCGATAGATCGAGAACATTCATCATGTGCTTATGCCGGTGCTCTGACATACTCTAATACCACTATGCGCTAACGTGAATCATTAATTCGCTTTCCTCAGACCCTATGGCTCTCAGGAGGACCCAGGTAACTTTTCCTCACACCACCAAGATCAACAACAGCCTTCTGCAGAACAACACCAGGCTCCAGCTCCCAAATCTTCAGCTTATGCGCGCCAGGACCTGTGTAGTTCCAAGTAGTCGCGTTATACCAAATCACATCTGCAACAGCAGTCAACCAACCAGTAGGGTTAGCACCTTGGGGTTGATCGATGATATATTGACGCGTCTGAGGCTTTTGATCATCGAGCTGCACGGCATAGCGAAGAGGGCGATCAGGGACAGTGTTTAAAGAAGTACCGAGGTATAGTGTGACGTTGACGGTGTTAGGAGTGTACTTTGAGCTCGTTCCCATGTTTTGATCCATCAAGACTCCTGAGCTCAGGTTTGTAAAGGTGTAGAAGTCGTATTCGAGTGCTGGAGCAGTCGTAGTTGTGAGAGAGTCTGCGGTGACTGGGAACAAGGTAACGCCTGAGAGCGTGCGAGATAGACCTGGGATGACTTCATAGGATACTGATGAGTTGCCGCCGTTTGAAATTGAGGAGTAGTGTTCGGCTTCGATTGAGACGGTACGGTCGGATTCGACATGTCCATTGGTGAAGTTTGAAGGTACGGCAGTGTTGTTGTACGAGATGACAACTCTTGGCACGCTGTACTGAGTACCGTAGTCAGCAGAACTCGTAATGTTGATCGTAGTCGTGTTGATCGCGCCATGAGCGACCTTGGACCAGTCGACGGACACCCAGATGCGGGTATCAGTAGTGCCGTTGGGAGACAATGTGCCAGTCTTTTGAGTAAAGTTCAAGTATGGCACGCTAGATTGGACGTTCCAGGTGATCTTCTGAGTGCCGGTATGGAAGACATCGATCCATCTGGCGGGACCATAGGGATCGAGGGTCGGAAGGTAGAGCGTCATGGATGAAAGGGAGTGGAAGCGATCGTCACCAGGGACGGTGGCGTTGGAACCTTCGACAGCAACACCCAAGTCTCCAATCAGACCACGCTCGGCCATCTGCACGTACTGAAGAGGAGGAAGTGCTTGTCTCATAGGCTGCTGCCAATATTGATAGCCAATATGAGTCTGGTCCATCATGTGGTTCCACTTGCCATTCAGCAGCCCGTTGTAAGACTTGGAAAGTTGGTGGTCGTATGAGAACTGGTTCTGCACGTGTTGTGCAATAGCATTAGTACTAGTACGTCCTTGCTGAGCATACACGTTGTTCTTGGCAGCAGAAATCATAATGTCGTAGTAAGTGCGAGCAGCTGTGACAGGGTGATAGACCATCTCGAAGAAGGCAGGCTGTGTGGCGACGGGCAGTCCATCAAGGATGCTTTGTGCTGTTTTCTGTAGTGCAGTCCACTCAGCGAGCACAGTATTCGCCTCATCATAATTGATCCAACTGAATGTGTTAGGATCGACTTCCTCGAACTTTCTACGTCCAGCAAGCAGAGAATACTTGTTCATGAGTGATCCAGTTTGGGCTGCAACCTCGGGACCGAACTCACGAGACGCCCAGAGCTCAAGCCATTCAGGAGTACTGTCTTTGTCCCAGCGGTTGATATCGTAAGCAAGATCGAAGAAGTGAGAGATCGGCAATTCAAGAGGTTTGAGGTCTCCGACATTGACAACCCAAATCTGTCTGGCTTGTCTTTCATAAGCAAGATGCATCTGTTCCCAAGTCTTTTGGTTGAGGACAGTGTTGATCCACTTGTAGTCTCTCGGGTCGCCGACGTAGTCGAAATGGTAGTAAACACCAGCACCTCCGCTTCTGGAGGTTTCGTTGCCAACGGGGAGTCTTCGAATGTTGCCCCAGTTGTCGTCCGTCCAGAGCAGAGTGATATCTTCCGGAACAGTCATACCGGCCTCGTAGTAACCTTGGACTTCCTTGTACAGACACCACAATTGAGGCACAGCATTGGGATCCATGACGCTGGCATTACCAAAGACTTGAGCAAGAATGTCGCGCTGGGCAGACACAACGTTCTCCAGAAGCTCGGTCTCGATACCAGCCGAGAGTGCTGTGTCACCTGAGCCACGCATACCCATGGTGATGACACCCTCGTATGGACGCAGTCTTTCTGCGCCAACCTCGAAAAAGGGGTAGATAGAAGCATTGTTCGTGGACCATGACCAGGTTCCGTTGCCAAATTCATTCCATTCCTTGGTCGAACGCATCATGGGTTCGGTGTGGGAAGTACCCATCACAATACCATAGGCATCGGCCATGTTCTGACTTCTAGGGTCATCAACATTGAACATTGAGTTCCACTGAGCAGGCCACAAGTAGTTGGCCCTCAGACGAAGCAGAAGCTCGAAAACGGTGTGGTAGAAGTCGGCGCCAAAATTCGAGCCATACTCGTTGAAGCCAAACTTCTCGTTGACATAACCGGTCAGAGCAGGTGCCTCGTCATTAAGGAAGAAGCCTCTGTACTTGACTGACGGAGAAGGCTGAACTTTGGTGGTGTTCATGGCGTAGATGGAATCGTGCTTCTGTGGAGGAGAATCGGCCCAGAAGTACCATGGTGATACGCCGATCTGCTCGGACACGTCGTAAATTCCGTAAACAGTTCCTCTTCTGTCGCTACCTGCAATGACCAGAGCCTGGTCCACGCCTTCCATTGGGTTCGCTACCATGGTGGATGTGAAAGCTTCCCATGTGCCGTTGATCGCAGAGACATTGATCTTGCCACTCTGAATCAAAGCATCGATGAGCGAAGAATTGCCAATCGTTCCCGCAATGATAATTCCTCCTTTTGATCCAGAACTTGTCGTACTGAATGTGGTCAAGCCGGTTATGTTGAAGATCATCGAGGCGTTGTTTGGGTTGCCGCTGAAGTACGAGCCAGCATTGTAAGCTGGGACACCAGAGGCGTCGGATGTGTTTGACAGAATGACAGATCCGTTGGTGCCAGTGATTCGGCCAAAGTCTTGGGACAGATCATGAGCTGCCTTTAGCACAGCAGGCCAATCATTGTTGTCTGCCATGATCTGGACAGAAGAGCCTCGCGAGGCCAGTTCATGCGATCCGGCGGAGGCATTGAAAGCAACAGTGGCATTCTGGCCAATGGCCAGAGCCGAACCTGCGAGAGATAATATAGATAGTAGTGGTCGTAACGGAATCATGGCTGTCCTGTCATCTACAAAGACATGCAAGAGTGATCAACTTAGCTTCTACGAGATCACCATCAACTACTTATACTAGGATCGTCAGATGCAAACCCCTCCTGACAGCATTCAGGCACTGTCAGGACCTCGTATGGATCTTGAGCAGCATGGATAGACGATGGATGTACCGGGTATTCTGGTTAAAGTGAGAAAGTTCGTGATCTACAAACTGACATGATGTGGTTTAGGCATGGGATCAGCATGCGTTTGTGAAGAACAAGAACCTAGACAAACCTTGGCTGCAGACGTCGGAAAGTGGAGTTTTCAAGGTGGCAGGGCAGCCGGGTAAAGATGAGAGTAGACATCAAAGGCCGACGAATACCGAGGGCGTTCGTACATGTTATTGAGGATGGTGAATAACTGCGAGCACACGCGCGATTCGGCAGGCGTGATGTAGGCTTGCCACGTAGACTGATCAATCACAATGGCGAAAGCTGAGAAGAGTCACAGTAGCAAAAGGAGAAGAGACGCTGCTGCTGTTCTGGTCGGGATGTAAAAGTAAAAGTGGCTGGCTCCTTCCCCGCAGCTTGCAAGACGGAGAAACTCTTGCGGGGAAAAATGCGGGTGACAGAAAAAGATGGCTGCAACGCAGAGCGAAGAACAAGCAAGATTTCGACTTTATCCAAACGAACTTCCTCCTCTCACAACGAAGCCATGGTTCAAGGTGTCGTAAAGCAGAAGGTCAAGACTGAGCCCAAGAAGTGCGTATTTATGATAATCTACCGTTCGAGCTTGCGACTGATTATTCTCTGTGCAGGGGCGCAAGACCCACTGGTCCTCAGACCGGCAACAGAGTCTTGAAGCCCAAGAAGGCTGCTCTCATCAAGCAGAACAACATGAAGAAGGTCCGCAGACGTCAAGACACAATCTCGCAATGAAACACGAACCTGACACCCACGCAGAAGCATTCCGCCGGCCTGATAACTTTGACTGAGCGCTCGCTCGCCGAAAAAGCCGGACATCTTGAGATGCTCAAGGGCGGCAAGAAGGACAGACTTGAGAAGGCCAAGAACAAGGCTTTCAACAAGAAGTAAACCGCTCGTGCCTTGAAAGAGTTGGAGAACCGTGTGGATTATGCATAGCGTAGGCGTTCAGGATCAAGAAAGGGAGGAAGCATACATGGCGCATCATGGGACGACACCATTAAATGGCATGTTGTCAAACACAGCCGGATGATGTGACCAGGACAGTAATCGACTTGTCATACGGCAATACCAAGAATCATATGTTGCTATAAGATACACCATTTTGTCGCATTCGCCAAAGCACCATGCTAAACGTTGATTGTGAAGACGCATCCCATCCCCCAAGAAACAAGAAACCCATAAACGCCCTAATCATCAGACCGAAGAACGAGGGCATGGAGCAGCCAGTTTTCAAGCGTTATTGGCAGCCTCGACTGCACGCAGGCCCTCGGTGCCGTATGGGCTGACATAAGGACTGCCGCCGACGGCGCTCTCTCTTCTGATTTCCACGACATCGTCATCATCAGCAGCATGAGAATCACGGTCTGGGACACCGCCTGGCTGGCCACCACCGGTCGAGCTGCGAGGCCTCATGCCATTGCTGTTGAAGCGTTCTGCGCTAGCACTCTCATTCTCCTCGCCCATGCCATCGACCGATGGCCAAGTGCGTTCCCAAAGCCAAAGCACTTGATTGAAGGCACTGAGGCAGCGGGACATTTGCTCACGACCATTAGGTGACGTCTCAGCATTGGCGAGCTCATCGACAACAGCTTTGCAAGCATCAACAAACTTTGCGAAAGCTGGTGATGTCCAGTTGGGGATCAGAGATTGATGCAAAGCAGCGTTGTGTGAGTCACCGTTGGACGAGTACGGCAGGATGGGCTGATTGAGGCTCGACGAGAAGCTGGCAGCATAGGACCATGATGCGCGGTAACAGTGCTCGACAGCCCAGAGAACGACTGCACCTTCTAGCAAGCTCGCAGCGGGCGAACTTGCCGATACGAACAGATCCAGGAAGCTTCTGGTGATTGGGTTTGGCTCTTCTTTTGCAATCTGCAGGTTGTACTTTGTAGCCGTAATCTCAAAGAAGCTCATCTCTCTTCTGACATTGTTCAGGGCGCTGATTAACAAGTCCATGGCACGGTAGTGAGGGTGTGATTGAGAGTTTGCGACGATGGGCAGACGAATCTTGCCAATAAGCTGACCGACAAAGGCAATGTATCCACGCGATAGGTGAGAGTCTTGTGCCAGCCATTGGCCCATTGCGCCAGCACTAAGAGTGCCGCAGCCAGCGTGAGATAGAAACGACGTCTGGGTTGCCGAGGTGAAGGGGGCAGCATTCTGAGTCAAGAGATAGGCGGCAAGACTGGGACTCTGGGCGGGAGGCGCGGGAGTGATAGGAGGAGGCATAGGACGATGGCCATGCTTGATCTGGCCGTCGCGTGTACGCTTGTTGGGTCCACGACGGTTGACCTGGAGGTTTGGGTTGGGTCGCTGTCCCATCAGGAAGTTGCTTCTTTGAGCAGAGGTCGGAGTGGCCTGGAGTGGTGAGTTTGTGATCCCAGACATAATGCTCGTGTCTCCCTCGTCTGGCTGTGGAGGCTCGACGTCGTTCAGCGACTCGACATAGTCTGGCGAGTTGAGGTATTGTTGGCACTCCTGGAGATGCTCAACCTGACGGGTCGTGTTCTTTGCGCGAACGAACCCGCAGTAGGTGCAGCGAACCTTGTTGCACTGTACAGCATCGCGTCAGCCGTCGGAAAGCGACGCGCCTTGATGGCAGCGGTACGCTACCTTTGTTGGATTATCATCCTCTTGAAACTCGACGAAGGCTCTCTGAATGATCGCATTTGCGTTTCTGCCCTGCAACCGAAGTCAGATGTGCTCCGGGGCCATCCGTTGGAACTGTAGAGAAGCCTACCATGATGGATGGAGCAGCTTAATTACGCGATGTGTACTGTATTGCGATGTAAAGAAAGTCGAAAGTGAGTCTTCGGCTGAGCCAATCACCACCAAATTACTTGACCGCGTTTACGCTAGTGCTGAAATGCCAAAGGTGAATGTCTGTAATCAATCGTGAACTGCTCGAACATCAAGGATTACATTTATTACTGCTGGCATGATCACAACAAAATCAAACTCTCATACTCTGATAGTCTAATTTGAGATTCAGTGGTTTGTTAGTGTGAGGGACTCGACAGCGTCGTTGTTGGTAACATCATACACCTACTTCACTGTATCGAGACTTTCTGCTCTCCGCGATTCGGCTTGTGTTCTCTATACTATCTTTGTATTCAACCTACCTACCCGTTCACACCGCGTTTATAAAAGAGATCACGTTCACGTCCAAGAGTTATCAAACACTCAAGGTTGGATCTAACATGTCTGCATCGCAGCAACAGCCCGTGGCGAGCGGCTCGTCATCAAGCGCACAACCTGCAGGTATACAGAAAAATTCTCGTCTTCATCACCATCAAGAACCCTTCTAACGACACCAGAATCATCATCTTCACAACAACAAGAAGTGAAGACTTGCGCACAGTGCGGCAAGCCAGAAGAAGATCCAGAGGAAAAGCCTCTCAAAGCTTGTACGACATGCAAATCCGTCCACTACTGCTCAAGAGAGTGTACCAAAGCACATTACAAAGTGCACAAGAAGGAATGCGCAAAGTTGGCTCAAGAGTACTCCAAAACTGCAGTATTCAAGCCTGCTGTGAGGAGTTCGGCGCCTAAGGAAGGTTTCAAGGGTGGTCTTCAGAAGTGGCAGTTTGACACTTAGGAGGCTATGGGGAATTTGCCGGGCATGGTTTTGCAAGGCATCGCTCTCCGTGTGCAATACTTGGTTACACATGTAGCTGGTTCAATTTACAATACATTTGGAAACCGGGCATCATACATCTGAAGTCATTAACTCACGTGCCCTCTCTAGTGATCTTCCGGTCTGGTAAATGACTTTGCCTTTGTACAGCCTTACTGAGGTTCGGACCGTTGGAGGAGAGACAAGTTGCAATGCTCTTCTTGCCACGACATGAATCTGGTCGTGTTCGAGAGACACGGAAGTGAGAGTTGGAAAGCGAAATAGAGCATTTAGACGTTTGAGTGCATTCGACTTCCTATTTGGGCATACAGAGCCGATGTCACTTTGAAACAGCTTACGAGAGAGCAATAGCCTCAATCTCGACAGGAACGCCCTTTGGAAGCTCCTTGACAGCAACGCAGCTGCGAGCAGGCTTGTGTGAGAAGTACTGCTCGTACATGCCGTTCATCTCGGCAAAGTCTTTCATGTCGGTAAGGAAGACGGTGGTCTGTGAAACGTCAGAAATCTTGCACCTCCGCAGTAGAATCACGATGACTTACCTTGATGACCTTGCTGATACTGCTACCAGCCTCCTCGAGGATGGCCTTCATGCCTTCACATGAAGCCTTGGTTTTGTCGGCGATGCTGCCCTCGACCAAGTTGCCGTTCTTGTCTGCGGGGATCTGACCGGAGACGAAGATGTGCTGGCCGACCTGAACTGCTTGGCTCTGTTAAGGTGTTAGACAATGATCCAGTATTCTCTTTACAGGTGCATGCGTGTTTGAAGCTATGCTCTCGAATCCTCCCGAGAGTTCACGGCGTCGAGATGATGACAGATATGTGTGAAGACTGAGAGAGATGGAACTCAGCAGAAATCAAAGACTGCACGTACGTAAGGGCCGACAGCTATTGTAGTAGTCAGTCAATCGAGCTCGACATGAAAACTGGCATGTGTCCACTTACGAGCCATGGAGTTGGAGGTAAAGATCTTCTTCATCTCAGACATATTGATGGTTGATGTGTGGAGTGATTTGTGGTAGAGATGGTTTTTGAAAGAAGCAGAAGTCGGAGGACGGTGAATAGATCTAGAAGATTGCAAGACAGAACGAGGTAGAAGAAACATGGCGTTGAACCCTGACATCGGTCTGTATGGACGGTTTTGGTCCGCGCTTCCTCTCGAGGAGGGGTCTTTGGTGGGGCAGACTGGCCGATCTCGGGAAGCTCGATGCGGGACATCAAAGGTGAACTGTTTCGAGTAATATTTTTGAACTGTTTACCATACAATTACATCATCTGGCTCGATTACCTGTTGAAAGGAGAACACGGTATGCATACAAGGTTACTATGCGACTCCATATATAAAGCTTTTGGGGTATCGAGATTCTCTTATGCGCGACTGGCCAGCCCGTAGTAGTTTACCTACTTGAGTCTCCAGTTCCAAATGATAAATACAAAGGGGCTGTTTGGCCCTTTCATGGCTGCTTGCTGGCGCCAGCACCACCGGCGTCTTGTACGCTCTTGACATCCTCAGCAGACTCCTTGGTCTGACCCAGAGGCAGCTCCTTCTCGCGGCTCTCGGCATCCTGACCACTGAGCAGAGTGACGACGGGTGCGTTAAGCTTGTCTCTTCCGTGCAAGAACTCGAGCTCCATAAGGAAGAGGTATCCCATGATGTCACCACCAATCTTCGAAACAAGATTTCCGGCAGCCATTGCCGAGCCACCTGTGAGTGGGTTAGTATGGAATCGAGCGCAACAGCTCAAGCGTAAGGGAACATACCAGTGGCCATGATGTCGTCGACGACAAGAACGGTCTGGCCCTTCTTGATGGCGTCGCTCTGGATCTGGAAGAAATCGGTACCGTACTCCTTCTCGTAGCCCTCAGTCTCGAGCTTGCCGGGAAGTTTGCCCTGCTTTCTGACGGGAACGAAGCCAGCGTTCAGGCGGAGAGCGAGCGAGGGACCGAACAGGAAACCACGAGACTCGAGGCCGACAATGACGTCGGGGGTCTTGTCGAACTTTGAGCGGACCTCGAGCTCGAGAGCCTTGACGAGGTCTGCGTGGAGCTGGGGCGACGAGAAGATGGGCATAATGTCCTCGAAGAGGATACCCTTGCTGGGGAAATCGGGGTATTGTCGCAGAGCATTTCTCAGCCTTACTTTAAGATCGGAGAGTTCGGCGGGACCGGAGGAAGAGGAGGAGGGGATGCTTCCTTTGGCGCCATGGGGGTTCAGCTTGGGGTGAGGTGCCGTAGTGGTGGGGTCGGGCTTGGTCGAAGGAGGGTGCGAAGCAGTGGATGCGCGGTCGGCGTTCTGCGTGGTGGGACCCTGGTTCTCGGGGTGGCCGTGAGGCGGGTGTGAAGCGTACGATACGGGAGTTCCTGACATGTTGGACGAGGTGACGGGCTGCTGTTAAATGTCTTTCTACGCGCGGCGGTGAGGGAGAATGGGAAAAGTGGTGATAGAGCACAATTGGAATATGCACGCACCACCCAAAATTTCATGCATGCTCCCGCCCGCCTTCCCGCAAGCCGCAACCTCTCCCGAAGCCCAAACTCCCTGACACTGGACAGCCACCGCTTCCCCGACGAATTATCGACTCCTTCTGTCTGCAATAACATCAATTCCATTTCCTGATGATACGCCTTCTCGCACCATCTGGTCGCTTTTGGCTGTGACCTCGATAGCCATTTCTCCACCACTCATGTGGCTTGCAGTAGTCAGAGGGTACCATGTGAATCCTAACTCCACTCCGACTCGTTCGCTCATGCCAGACGTCTTCAACCATCTCCCAACAAGTGTAACATGCCGAAGTCACTCCCAGTCTACTATCCGCCAGCCGCCCTTGGTCGTCTCACTATCGTAACCTCCGATATCATTTCTCGTCGCTTCTTCCCGTACTCCACCATCTCGGTTATCATCTCGCCATGCAGATCACACTTTCTGCTTCGAATCTCTGCTTCGGCCCCAATCTTGTCTCGTACCATTTTTCGATGAGGTGTAATCACCTAAGTAATGTGCTGGTCCCGCATCTGCTTTTCACGCTGATTAGGTTACCTCATTCAGGGCTATTGTTTCCATCAAAGTGGTACTGGTGCCCCGCCATCTGTTGCTGCACCGTGATGGGCGCCTATCTCGTATCCATTCTTTTTTGCGACCGGCACCCTACATGGACCAGACTTACCCCGTGGAGAAAACGAACAGGTCAATGATACGTCTGACTATTTCTGCTGTCGATTATGTGATACAAATGTCGATGTGACGTTTCGCTCTGTCCAGCGCATCGGACTACCTGGTAACCATTTATCCATTGGCCGACTACTGTTTTCTTCTGTGCAGCGCAATGGAGACGACTCCGCAAAAGGTAGCCTGCTGTTCTACCTCCCATGAGTGACAGCAATCGCCTTTGACAAGAGTCAATGTCTTCATTGATGCCCCAGCAGATTGCCATGGGTATTTCTAAAACATGGCGGAACGTCTCACCCAGGTTGACGGCTTCCGCCACGATAGCAGATTATCATTGTGAAAGGTCCAATGCTTGCACAAGCAGAAAGACAACAGGTGGAGCCCGAACAACGATTCTGCCATCTGACAGACTAACCGGTTCCAAAAGCACTGTGCCTTTTTGTACCTCTTTGTGCGACACAACAAAGATCATGAGCCTCCATGACTACACGTCGAGGCTTTGATTTTCGAGACAGGACTAGAGGATGGATGGATGTAGTTGGCTCCAGCATTTGACATTCTTGACAAATGCTCGATGCTGGCCGTCAAGATACCGCCAGCTAACTATGTTCTCAGCTCAGCTCGTTCTACGAGTGCCTTTATTTGCAAGGGAAAAGGTTCGTATGATACTTCATTAATTGCGCAGCGCCTGTCACAATTGTGATTGTAGATCTGCAGCCGAGGTACCAAGGTAAGAGGTAAGATGTTGTTCATTATGTAGCAACTGCCAAATGTAGCGTGGACAAATATTTATATAGACAAAAGAAGAAGATGAGCCGAAACGCTGAAGATGCTAATGATGATATTTTGTGAACGCCATGGCTATGTAAGAGATGAAATACAACAGGCACAAGAGAAGAGTAACCTTACTCGTCCTTCTTCGATGCTCCGTGAGAGGATTCGCTCACACATCGACCATCGGAGACGGGGTCAAATCCAGCGAATGCAAATTGATCGTTGAATCTCGAGTCTCGGGCCGGCTCTACGGACATCGGGCTCAGGGGTAGCTCTTCGACGTCCAACTGCTTTGCAGCGGTCTCAGCAGTGCTTCTGAACTGTCCAGAACTCATGACGTGGAAAAACATCTGGCTGTCGCGAAGCTCTTCTTGATGAATAGGCGGGCACAAAAAGGCAGAGGTTGCAGAGTTTGTTGAAGGAGCCATGCTGGGTCGACGTCTGACTTCACCAGTATTGAGCCGTTGCATGATTTGCGTAGTCCCCGTGGCGCCTTCGCTGAAGTCGACGGATTGATATCGTGGGTGTGCGAGGGTGGCGCGACGACCAACAGGGAAGCTGATATTCTCGTCCTCGGGAATGGAGATGATGGTGGTACGGCGAGAGGGTGAGACTTTACTGGCGGCGATGGTCTCGGGATCGCGACAGCGAATTAGGCTGAAGAAGTCGAGGTCGTTGCTCGAGGGTGAAGGGAGAAAGGTTGGCGATGGGGAAGTGAGAAGGCCGCAGATATTAGGTACGGAGAGTGAGCTACGAGGCGTGTTTGATCTTGTCATCGTACCGGGAGAGTCGATGCCGAATGCTGAGAATGATATTCTACCGATTGACAATCGACCTTCTTTTCGCTGCATCTGAGAAAGAGTCTCTGGATCTCTTCCTTTAACAAGATCGAGGAACCCGAAATCGATGGCCGATGGTAGATAAGTCGGCGAGGGCGAACTCAATACGCCTCCCATGCAGCTCAATTCTAGAGAACTTCTTCTCCGAATCAAAGCTGCTGTATTCAGAGGTGCTGGCCTGTTTTTTCTCTTCGGTCTTTGAGCCGATGCGATGCCTGAGTTCGAGGAGAGGGACGACTGGGAACTGTTCGTTTCCAGCTCCACTGTAAACACTTTTGGCTGCTCGGCGATGATTGGAAGGTCTGGCTTCTCGTAGTTGCTGACACTACAGATCTCGATGTGTGGGAAGTTTTGTGTGTTGAATGTGTTGAATTGCTGTTCGGTTTTTTCGTCAAATCTGGGGGAATTGGGTCCTGACGTCCCATGGTGTAGGTGCTTTGCCAGCGCTGCGGAACTGACTAGTGTTGATTTTGCCTTTTCAAGGAAGGAAGCAATCAGGGGCTTCAAGCTGACCAGACAGGCTGCAATGATGCCCACGTAGAGTTCGAGAGCTCCCCAAACAAAGTAAGTGTTGTGATAGAGACGATCACGGTCGCCGAAATAGTACCACAGGTGGTAGGATTTGACAGCGCCGCACGCTACTGCTGCGAGGCCCATGCCAAAGGCAAGGAGCAAGCAGATCTTAGTTCGAATATTGAGCTGCATACCAGAAATGATCGGAACAGGCAGCAGAGCCAAAAACGCATCGGTAAGCATGCCGAGAACTGCAACTAATCAGTCAAAGGGTTTTCACGCGGTCTGTCATACATACTGCTGTAAGTCATGCCGAGACTCCTGAATGCTGCCGTAGAAATACACTGTCCATTCCTACCATGCCAGTTGGCCGAGATGGGGGCACATCCAAATAGGATGGTAAACCAAGAGACTGTTGTGTATATAGTCATGAAACCTGATTGTGGTCAGCAAAAGCGTTCACAGTATTTGTCTGCTTCATGGCTTACACATAACCGCGAACAAAGTTCTTCTGAAGATCCTGCCATTGCTGAGCCTCAGTAAGAAGAGAGCAAAGGCGATCTTCATTCCATGCAGTGCCCACACCATGATCATACCATGTGCAAACTGCCACTTGCTGTACATCACCAGCATCTCTGGTGTGATGTCTTGGTAATGCTTTCCCAATGCCCAATTTGACTCTCCAATAAAGCATGCCCAGATTGCGACACCGAGAACCATTGTTATCACAGCGAAAATGTCGTCCCAACCTAGATATTTGACCATGACTAGTCGTGTGCACACCCTCATGGCTACGACGATGACGGCGAGAAAACACCAGGATCCTGTGATGGCTAGAATTGCCCAGGCATTGTTATCGTGTGATGTCATCTCCTCCATGAGATCCCTCCGGTGTAGCGTCGATCTCAGTACTGGCATTATGTATGTCGACCTCAGGTCGTGATCCCGTTGGTGTGACCAAAGCTAGTGGTAGCCCTTGGCTATGATGTGACTACAGAGTCCAGAGATATTCTCGTTGCCGAAGGGGTTGTGTTGGCAAGTTCTTCGAAACAATTTGTGCTCGATGCTTCGGTATCCACAATTGATAGAGAGGGGGTACTACTGTTGTTCAGGGAAATCGCTAAAAAGTTGGAATCAGAGGACCAGAAGGTCGCTGAGTGGGTGGGATCAGCAAGTACAAGTATGAAAACAGAATAACGAAGATGCTAACGGTCTTCTATCATTGTCCCCACCTTACCGTCTAGGCGCTACATGTTTACATCAAATGTTTCAGATGAGCCGGAGCAGCTATCGGAAGCTGCTCAGCTGAAGTAGCGAACAGTCTGCATACGTCCTCAGTCTCTGTGGCGTCAGGTCAGAGTCTCCATAACGGTTGACAAGCCTTTTCGGTATCAGGCAAGGGACTTATCGTTTCCTAGAAGGCGGAACCAAAACTCACGATACGGGAATATCGGACCCGGATGCGAAGAGTGACAACGATTTGACTCGACGGCCTATGATGAAATGGGGAGACTTCCGCATGAATGACGATCACGACTGTTGAGATCTAATATCCTAGGCTTGTCATCTGCGATTTGATGCATAGTGGGGCGTCTAGACGAGTTTCGACTGAGTAAGGCATGGGGCAGTTATGCTCGCCTTGGTCTTGCCCGCGACGTTGTACCGGGTGGGGAATGTGGTTTCTCTCGAAAGCGTACTCACGCTTACAGTGAGAGGTGTGAAGTCTTGCGTGGTTGACGATAGAGAGTGAAAGACATCCCTTAAGCAGTTCATGCCGAAGCGAAAGTCTGTCAAATGATAACGTCCTCTGATGGGAGATGCATGCGAGTATTCAATACTGGAAAGCAGCGAACCTTGGGCAGCAGCGGGAAGAATATCGATAAACAACCGTTGGCACCGTTTGCAACTGCTCTCGCGTGGCGTCGATCATGTCCTGAGCATTCGTTCTCAATCTGTACATTCAACCTTACGAGATATTCCAGAGATGGTAGTTCAATGTGAGACACGTTCAAAAAGGATCTTTGCTGCTGTTAGGGAGGAGATGATGGAATATGAGTCGTGAAAAGTTACAAAGGACGTCGTTGCTTGTGGCTTTTTGTGCCGCCATTTCCGCCAGCATTCCCGAATCTGGACCCTGGCTCCTGTTTCCTTCACCGAGACAGTTCATTTTACTCTTCACAGCTGCCGTAAAATCGGCCGCCTTCCAGAATGTCTCTGCCTAGATAGTATGGACACAAGGAGCTGATTCAGATCAACTTGCAGTTGGAGGTGGAGTTCCACCCTTGAGAGTGCCGATTGGAAGGTGAGTGCCGACGGAGCATATCTTTGTCTTACACTGTCCATCCTGCCTCACAGCCCTGTGGCAGCAGATGAGTAATCATCAATAATTTCTATCTGAACCAATCGCAAATCTTTGCCGTCGCTACGATCCGAACGTGGTTTCGGAAGCAGATGGTCAAGGGATCAGGGTCATCCCGAGAGCAACTGTGAACGACACAACTTACCCTACTCTGATACGAATGTACACGTGATAAAGGTTGCTACAGGGGCTTCGGACTTCACGCAAGCCCATATGAATCACGATATAATGTGTCGGAAGCTTTGTTGTGTTACAAGACCTTGACCTTATTCCAATTTGACAGCACGAGGCTTCGAGAAACACCTCTCCCGGGCTATCTAGTCCCTACTCGTAGTGGGGTCCCAAGAGCAAGGCTCATACTTTCCTGTCTTCAACGTCTGCATGTCCTCTTCCGAAAGCTCGAAATCGAAAATGTTTCTGTTCTCCTCGATACGAGCAGGCGTAACCGACTTGGGCAAGATAACAAAGTTCTGTCATGTCTTATTAGTAGATGACGGCACGAGACATGTCAAAAGAAGACTCAAGCATACCTTCTGCAGACCCCAGCGAAGTAATATCTGCGAAGTTGTCTTGTTGTATCTTTTTGCTAGAGGCGTGAGGAGAGGATCGTCAATCTTTGTCGCGCGGACGAGGGGGCAATATGCCTATAGATGTTAGCCATCTCTTGAGGGAGAAGATCGGAGGACGAGGGGAACCATACTTCCATAACAACACCTCTCTTTGTGCACCAGTCGACAATGTCGTCTCTGGCCAGCCAAGGGTGCAGCTCGACTTGGTTCACGCTCAAGACACCGCCTTTACCCTTGCCTTCTTTCTCCTCGGTCTGCTTGATCCACTCCTCGAGCTCCTCAAGATGGTGCACACCATAATTACTGACTCCGATGCTTCTCACTTTGCCTGCCTCTACAGCTTCAACCAAAGCCTTCCAAGCACCTAGCCTATTCTCCTTGCCACCATAAGGAGCGTGCAGTAGATAGAGATCGATATAGTCTAATCCAGTCAACTGTAGAGACTCATCAACTACAGCTTTAGCAGCATCATAGTTGATAGCCTTCGGAGGCACTTTAGATGTAAAAAAGAGCTCTGAGCGCGGAAGCCCAGCTTTCAGTAGACCGCCAGCTGTGGGTTGCTCGTTACGATATGCAGCAGCTGAGTCGGCATGACGGTAGCCGCTCTTGACTGCATGAGCGGTGACTTCTTCCGCGACATCCATAGGTGTCTGGTAAACTCCATAGCCGAGTAGTGGGATGTCATAGCCCGAGTTCATGCGAACGGTCGAATTGATGTTTAATTTCGCCATGCTGGATGGTGACGACGCAAAGTTCCTTGACGGGCTTGCGAAGTGGTTCAGAACTTGGTTAACTCTCGCCTTTGCACTCTTTAACATGATTTGGCTTCGATCAAGTTGAAAGTTGTGTCAACGGCGATTGCAAATACGACGTGCCGTTGGTTACGTCATGCTATTCACCTTTAACGTGGGGTCCTCGCTTGCAGATGGAGGTGGCAGACATATACTTTCATGACACTTCTGAGCCGCATACGTGAGTGAACTGAGGAACGAGATGACGAGTGTGAACTATCAAAGAGTCTTTGGGAGAAGTACCGTAGCATCGTCAAGTGACCGCAGGGTTTACATGATGTAAAGCGATTAGTCATGGTCTCATTAGCTATTTGAGCATACTCCTCCCTATTGCTCGCCCACGCCCTTTTAGGCAAGCGCAATGCAGGCAGCAGGTCGCTATACGACTGACTGCTCCTCGCTTGCGACCCTCTTCCCACAGGATAGATCTCCTGCCGCTAGCTCTGGTATGCGTGATGGCGGCTTCACTCGGATGGACCCATTGGACTCCATTGTTCACCAGACCGATTCCTTGGTGATTGGGTCGCCATGACTAGAATTTGCGATCGCATGGTTCGCGGGCTGCGAGAACGAGAGATGTACTCATGTGATGTGCAGACGCCCCGTTGGTGATGTGACCTGACGTTCCGTAGTGCAGTGCGCGGAGAAGTCGTTTCAGCATTATTCGTCAAAGATCAAGCAACCCAAGTGAACTTGTCGGCTTTGGGAGTGGTGAGCTGGTCGTCGGGTACCAGATCGTTCAGGCCGTAGACGTCTTCGAACTTTGGCAAGACGACATGCCAACCATCTGCATCTGACGCGACCTCGTCTTCCAGGTCCAGACCGAGGCCCTCATCAACATCATCATCCACAGGTGCAGGAACAGTCTTTTGACCCTTGAATCTGAAAGCCACCACACACATGTCTTTCAAGCCAGCGCCCAATGGGCAATCCTTGTGACCCGCCCCTGCCTTAGCTTTTCCCTTTCCTTTGCCCTTGGGTGTGACATCGCCACCTCCACCGAACAGGTCGGCATCAAAGTCGTCAACGGGAGCGTCTGCCTCAATGCTCTGCCATCCGCTTGTGCCAACATTCGCCAAGTCGCGAGGTTTTGCGAATTCAATGTCGTCTGCTGAGTCGGGTAGTGTTGCGCCGTTCAGTTGACCAGAAGGGATTGTAGATCTGAGGGCATGCAGAAGCTCTTCCTTGATGCTGGAGAAGGTTTGAAGCTGGTAGACGTGCAGGACGATGGTTGTACGGGCGTTCTTGAACTTGATGGTCCAGACATCGGGCGTGGCATCGTAGACGGGCATTGCGGGCGTGTGTTAAGCGGTGGAGGCAGTGGCGAGTGCGAGGACGCAGATTGTGCAATAATTCAGCAAGTCTCGAAGTGAGAAATGGTGGCAGGTGAATAGACAGGATGGCGCATGAAAGTGGAAGGCGCGTTGCATGCGAGAGCTCGCGTTTGGGGCAGATGGGGAAGGCGCAACCGAGAGTTGCGGCGAGTTGCTTTCACCTCCGAGAGCTCTTTCCAATTGCTGTGCCATCGACTCACAGGGTCACGATACAGCAATCATGTCGGCGGAAAGGGAAGCTGCTCTCAATACGGCAGTGCCGACTCCTTCAATACCGGAGGAGCCCACAGTAGCAGCGCCAATTTCGACGCGACCACCACCAAATGACCGCCTAAGCATAGCCTTCAATTACCGTCTACCTCTCACCACACTCCTCGCATCTGGTGCCGGCTTTGGTCTTGGTCTTACTCATGGTGGTCAAGTCGCTGGACTCCGCTTCCGCGCTGAGAATGCACACCGTCTCCCCTCCTCTCAGGTCGGCTGGTACCTTTACCACAAGTCAAAAAACTACCACATCATGCTAGGCGGCATCAAGGAAGGCTTCCGTATGGGAGGCAGACTGGCCTTCTGGACTGCCATCTTCTTCGTCTTTGAGGAGGCTGTCGACAGATTCAGAGGTGCCATTGTGAGGAATCTGGCTGGCTTCAAGGAACGAAGGAGGGAAGAACGACAAAAGAGACTGTTGAGGGATGATGTCTACGAGACTCCTGCCGAACAAGCTCTGGGTCTGGAGCACTTGCGAAATGAAAGAGGCGTCTGGGTACAAAGGGACTTTATGAGTACCGTCATCGCTGCCATGGGAACTGCTGGCGGTTTTAGCGCATGGAACCGCTTCCCTGTCCAGACTGCTGCCAGGACCGCTACTATGGGTCTCAAATTTGGTCTCGCGTTTGGACTCTTGCAAGATGCGCTCAGTGTAGCCAGAGGAAGAAAAGTCGGATATGTCGAGTTCGTCCGTCGACAATTCTTCGGCTCAAGAGAAGAGCCACAAGAGAAGGTCCTCGCCGCGCCAGTTTGAAGATTGGTATGACTTTGTGGAAGACAATTCACGCATAACAAACTCCTTGATGGTGTTGTTACACGCTATGCACGCCGCGCTTTTGGGGAAGCCTCGCACAGCAGTGCCTCGGACAATCGAACTCGAATTGACGAGAGCTTATGCTTGCTGAGTTTGCTCTTTATACGGCGGGACTTGCCTCAAATTCTGTCACCTATCTGTGAGGACTACAGCATCATGACGCGCCAGCAGTCCTCTGCTGCAAAGACTCGAGTCAATCAACAATCAAATTGGCACATCGCCAATTTGAGATAGTCGCTCTCACGTCCCTAGCTCACGATAAGATGGCACGGCACCACTTTCGAAGGTTTATATCGTGAAGAGATATTGGATGTTGAATAGGTTCTCAAGCTATACGAGCTGCTGCGCTGCAAAATAAATGTGAGCCCTGTCTCTCGTAATCAAGTCTGATGTGAATGCCATAGACCTTTCTCTGTCCTTCCCCCGTGTCGTAAATGTTTTGTACATTGCTTCTTGATGGCTTGATAAAGTCGATATGATGATGGTGCTTCAGCCTTCATACGTCATCTTTCTCCTCTCTCCCACGAACAAAGGCGAAGAGTCTCTGCCGCCCTGCTGCTCTAGACGCTTGCGTTCATTCTCCAATCTCTGTCTCTCCCTCTTCTCCGTGTGGTAATCCACAACCTTGAAGAAGCGTCTTGGCTTGTAGCACGGGTTCTGGCCAGCAGTATTCTTCGACAGCTCTCTCATGAGATCGAACTGGAAGTCCATAGGCAAGGCCTCAAATCTCAGACGCTGCTTCTCAGGCTTTGGGTCTCTGCCGGTGATTGGGTTGATCAGGCCGTTGCGACGTTGGTAGGCTACTTGCATAGCAAGAAGAAGGCGCAGCGAATCATCAGATCTCATTGTCTCTGCGTAGACCTTGGTGATTTGGTCGTGTCTGACGACTAGGTCTGTGTCCTTTCCGATTTCGCAGGCTTCGTGGATGATGAGGTCGCAGAGCAAGTAAGCTCGAAGGCTACGGGCCGTAAGATAGCAGACAATAATGTCGTCAAAGATATCGCCGTCATTGTTGTTGGCTGCGATCAGGACAGGTTCGGTGTGATCCATTGCCCAGTCTGCATATACTTGAACGCCGCGAATCTCCAGATCGTCCAGATTGACAAAGTTTTGCTCTCCTTGCTTCACGTGTTCCCAGCGTTGGGAGAAGAGACTGGAGCAGGTCTCAAGGATTTGCGGAAACACATTGTATCTCTCGCCGTTGCAAACAAGAACAGAGGGAGACTCCTGTTTTGCCGATCTGACAGTGTCAGGTATTGTGACAGCAGCGAGTTCATTCGCAGACTTACTCGGGTTTGTCGTGAAAGAAGTTGTAGACGATAGAAGCCAAACGGAACTTCTTGATATCCTTCTTGTCATCCTCGCTCTCGTCCTTTCTCTGGCGCTTCGGCATATTGACGATCTCTTGTTGAGAGTTTGATGGATTCTTTGTAAGAGTAGGAATCTGGTACTTGGAGGAGGTCAGCTATACGTCCAGGCAACAAGGTGACTAGACCGTAGGAAAGATGTACGTGGGAAGGATGTACGTGGGAAGGATGTACGTAGGAAGGATTCACGTAAGAAGTGAAGCTGTGACTGAGAGGATTGTGGACCGGGGAGAGGTCGTAGAGAAGGAAGCTGTCGATGAGAGAGATCGTAGACAGCCCACGCCGTAGACAAGTTTGGCGTAGGCAAGATTTGCGTAGGAACTAAAGCTGTAGTATGAGAGTTGTCGACCAGAGTGATTACAAACAACAAGAGCCGTGCGTAAGAAGGTCGTCGACCACAGGAAGATTGTGAGATCTTGGACAGCTAACGCTGTAGGTGAGAGGGTCGTAGGTCAGAGAGCAGGAGAGAGAAACAGAGCGAGATCGTGAGATTGTGGGATCGTAGACAGCCAGCGCCGTAGGCAGGGTTGGCGTAAGCAAGACTGGCGTAGGCAGGATGGGCGTAGGCAGGATTGACGCAGGCAGGGTTGACGCAGGCAGGATTGACGAAGAAAACGAAGTTGTACGTGAAGGGCGGAGGCGGCGACACACGTTCTTTCTTTTTTTGACGAGCTAATGTCCAATAGACTTCAGCAAAGCTGTTTTGGCACAAACGACCAGGCGGTAAATCGGCCCTTGCTATTGTAGCTGGCTAGTGTAAATGAAAACGGAGGATAGGAACGAAAGCCAAGAGTGAATTTCGGCGACCGAATAAATGCGACCAACTTCGAAGGAATGACGATTGGTGAGTGGGTGAGTCAAGCAGGGAGCTGGAACAGGCCCAATGCTTGAAAGCTGTTACCACTGACTTGCTGCATGTAAGAACGCTGGCACTGGCCACATATGTGCTCAGGAAACAATTTTTGCATTGTCAATACTTAGCTATGGCGATCATCACGCCACTCGATACCGTCGCTGACACCAGCCTGCTGAGCAGTGCTTTCCTCTCTGGCCTTGATGGAAGCTCGATCCACCTCGGAGGCAGCAGGACTAACAACGACTGCATCATCTCCGTAATCGTAGTCGTCCTCGAACGCAGCAGGATCAGCCAGGCGAGTATGTTCGGCTTCGTGAGTGCCATCGTCCGCAGATATTGAGATGCCTCTCGGACCCCAGGAGCGATTGCCGTTGGCATTGGGCCGAATGATTCCTTCTTCTTGGCCAGCAAGAGCAGCATCGTCCTCGTCTTCTTCGTCATGTGCTGTATTGCCTTTGCGTCCGATAACCTTGCTGATCAGCCAGCCCCTGCTGATATCTTCGCCATCCACAACACCGCCATATCGCAGCTTAACGCGCTGTCTTGACCAGTAGACCCAAGCGAAATCGAAGTAGAAGAGAGTCTGAATTATGCCGAAGGTAACACTGACGGGGAAGATGAGGCTGTGGGTCTGCTCGGTGATAGCACGAACGATCCAGTTGAGGATATAGAAGGCACGGTAGGAGCCAAGAGTGGCAAGGTAGAAGCTGTCTATAACGGTGGGGACCGACGTCTGGCGAAGAAGGAGTAGCTGAGGGAGGATGCAGAGCGATTCGAGAATCAGGGTAAACGTGTAGGGGATCTGCTTGTTTGTCAGTGAGATTACTAGCAGCAAGTCCCGGCATTTGTTGCGGACCTCAAAAGCGTATCTCAAAGTGAATGGCCTCTTGCCCATGAACATGGCAGCAATGACAGGGGCGGATACGACAGAGCCCAGTACGCTCCACAAGCCGATTTTCCATGCCTTTTCACGTTCTCTCGTCCGCGCATATACTCTTGTCATCAGGAAGACAATGTACAGCGACGTTGATATGTAGAAGATCTTGAGGCTGCAGTTCCAGAAAGCGAGGAAGTCGTAGAAGGGTGATGTGGTGAACAGGTCCAGGTAGCGTACGATGAAGACGACGCAGTACAGTGCTTGTGTGATGAGCGATACGCCTGTTGTCTGTAAGCCAGAGATATAGTTCCATAGCAGTAGAAATGCACCTACCCTCAGCGCTCTTGTTTGTATGAATTGACCAGATCAAGATGCATTTGGACACGGTATGGCTGACGTCGCCGAGGATTCGGAAGGGATTGAGCAACATGTTTTAGGTAGGCTCGGTGGTAACGATGGTCATGAAGGCATCTGCTCGCGCTCTTCTCTTTGAATCGCACCGTCTTCAAAGTGTCTGCCTACTGAGTGTCTTGGTGAAAGAGCTTGGTGCACGCTCACCACCGAGGCAAGCGAGGGTCCACGATCTGGGGAAGCTTACGAACTCGCCTCGCCTAAACCTTCTCTCCGAGCATCGGACCACAATGAAATCAACGAGTTGGATCGGGACGTGGTGGGTACGCCAAACACAACTTTTGCTTAAACAATCTATTCTGTCTGCCAGAGGGTGTGTTGAATCTGACAATTCTCCTTCTGCAAGTGTTGAACAAATGACCACGTGCTCAATTGGGGAGCCGCTCTAGTAAGGTATACAGGAACCCTTCAACGACCAAATCTCTTGAGCTCGAACCATCGGAGAGGTGGATAGACAAGAGCTGCCCACGCGAATCCGACATAGTTTCCCATCTATAATCTATCAGCACGTATTCTCCATAAGAAACACCAAGGACCAGTTACTCACATCAGCACCGTATTCTCCAACCTGCTTCGCAAGAGGGCCAATATACCAAACCTGTGCCATACAGAGGATAGCTGTCTACGGTCAGATTGCATAATCGACATGATAATAGGAATTAGGACTCACCTCCGGCCCAACCAACAAGAAAGGCGATGATTGCGGCAATGCCAATAGGCAGCTTGCTCCTATCGTTCCAAGCATTCCAATTGAATCCCAGACCTCCCACTACACGGAAGATGATGTGTTCTTCGAGACTGATCGCGATCCAGATAGAAACCCAGTACCCCATGAGCGCAAGAAAATTGGTGAAGATGACTGCAAGACTTCCACGACCAGCAATAGCGCATACAGTGTAAATGACAACGCCCAACGTGTTCCAAACAAGTCTGGGAACGATAGTCATCCATTTAGCAAGGACTTGGAAATCCATGCCGGCACTGTAGGTCGGAGCGATCATGTTGGCGATTAAGCCAAGTGCTACAACCACGCCACAAAATTTGCCAAAGCTACCCAGAGGAGCAAAGCCTTCAACGATAAGAGCACCTTGCGACACGTTGTATGCATCGCTCCAAGATGCATTGGCTGCAATCCCTGAGCCCAGACCAATTCCAACCATGAAGGCGAAGGTGAAGGACAAGGCCAGACCGCACATAGTGACGGTAAAAATCTTCCAGCGAGGAGTCTCTTCTGGGTAATAGACGAAGAAATCGGCTGCTCCACCTGCGTACGTAATTGCAGCAGAGAGACAGAGACTGAAGAAGGACAAGCGGTTACCAATGATGGTCAGAGTGTCTCCGCTGGAAGGAGTTTCGAGATCAAATTTCGGGCCAGCAACACCAGCAAGTACAGACAAGACAACAAGTTGTGGGAGCCATGCGTAACGCTCGTAGAGATGGAAGACACTATATCCAAAGATAGTGATGCCCCAGGTCAAAACAGCAACAATTACGATGCCGACGATGACAGAGAGCGAACCATTGGGCGAAACGGCAGAGAGAATCTGTCCGGCAATAACAGCATCGAGCAAGCAGTACCCGAGCAGGACAATTATGTTGAGAACAACAACCAGCTTGGCAGGATACCAACCCATGGTGTAGCGAGCGAAGACCATGCTTCTGTTACCACTGACGGGTCCAAAGGTAGCAATGTACGCTACTGGAAGACATCCGACAAGCATGCCAAAGACGGCGCAAAGGGAGCAGTCCAGGAAGGAGAGGTAGTAGACAGCTGGACCGAGCATTCCGAGGGTGATGTTGTTGGCAGCGAGATTTACACTGAACCAGAGCAGACCCACTTGGGAGTAGCCCAGATTTCTCAAACTGTGACGCTCATTCGGCATGACGCGATGGATACCGCGTGCCTCAAGATTGTAGTGGGCCAAGCTGTGTTCGAGGTTCTTGATCTGGCGTCTCAATTTCGAGGTGCCGGTGGGCGTAGAGTCATCGTCCAACTCGACAGGCATCAATGAAGGACCATCCTTTTCAAGGTCCCTGGCTGGCCTTCTCATCTGAGATTGTTCGTCCATGGCGAGTCACCTGTACCTATGTCAGCCTTCAAGACAGACAGTCGGAGGATGTTGATAAAGCATGATTCTTTGCGCAGGTATTATCCTGATCAAGTTCGACCGTGTCTCTCAGAACAAGTGACTCTCGAAAGAGTCAATTGAACACCGGTTCATGCTTTACGTTACCTAGTACCTCGGTCTTGATAAATGGATAACCCCTTGCTGCTCGACATCATGACTGTTAAGTCCGTACTTTGGTTGGTTGATTGATTGCAACAGCGTGTGGGCACAAATTGAAGAGATGTTCTACAGTTGGCTGTAGAATGACAGGACAGAAATGTATGGATTTGAGTACGAAGAAGAAATGTTGAGAAGGATGAAGAGTGACTCGACAGCTCCCCGCCATGACTTTCTCTGAGCCGCGATTTCGGAGTGCGGCCAATCATGCCGCATCAGTATAACCCGTAAGCACAACTTTGTAGTCATGTGTGTGCGATTGTTCCTGACAAAGCATGGAGTGACTGAGCATGATTTCAATATGAGCGCAAGGGTTCATCGCTGGAGACGTGAATTTCGGAATGAGTCAAGGTGGTCAAGAAGGCGATCGGAAGTCACAAATCCACCTTCGTCATCGCCATCGTCTGCTTCAAGAAATCCAGCGGCGCTTGCTCCTAAACTTGGATTTTTTCAACACAAGCACAACATCACAAGATGAGATTAATTAAGCAGAGCATTGAGAAGAAGGATGGCTCAGGCAGTGCCACTCTGCTTCCTGAGGAGCCCGAAGACATGTGGCACGCATACAACCTGATCCGACCGACTGATCTTCTTCGCGCCTCGGCCATTCGTCGCGTAACGACAGAGTCCATGACAGGATCAAGCACGTCGAAGCGAGTGCAAACGACCCTGACCCTGCGAGTTACCTCTCTGGACTTTGACCCGCAAGCCGCCCAACTTCATGTCAGCGGTACTGTCGCCGAGGAGAACGAATGGGTCAAGCGCGGCTCCTACCACACCCTCGACCTCGAGTTGCAACGAAACTTTACTCTCGAGAAGGCGGATGGTTGGGATAGCATCGCACTCGAAATCCTAAAAGAGTCGATCGACCAAACACAAAAGGCTGAACTGTGGGCTGTTGTCATGCAGGAAGGTCTTGCCAACATCTGCCTTGTCACAAACCACCAGACCATCCTGCGCCAGAGGATCGAAATGGCTCTCCCTAAGAAGCGCCCTGGTAAACCTAGCGGAGACCACGACAAGGCCACGCAGCGTTTCTATTCCACCATACTCGAGTCACTCCTTCGTCAGCTCAACATGATGGATCTCAAACCACTGTTGCTGGCAAGCCCTGGTTTCACCGCGACAGCTTTCCAACAATACATCAAGACTACCGCCTCGACGAAAACAGACAAGAATCTTTCAGCGCTTGTCGCAAAGACGATTGTCGCACATTCTGCCAGTGGTCACTTGCACTCACTTGCCGAAGTCATGGCTTCTCCAGCGGTCACCGCTAGGCTGAGTGATACACGTTTTGCAAAAGAAACTGCCCTCATGGACAAGTTCTTCGACTTACTCCGAAAAGACGACGGTCGCGCCTGGTACGGGCCCAAAGAAGTGGAGTCTGCCGTCGAAAAGGGTGCAGTAGGAAGAGGTGGTGGCGCCTTACTCATATCAAACGCTCTCTTCAGAGCCCAGGACGTCGCTGTTCGAAGGCGCTGGGTATCTTTGGTCGACAAGGTCAGCCAAGAACATGGAGGTGACGTTAGGGTTTTGAGCAGTATGCACGAGAGCGGTAAGCGCTTGGAAGGCCTCGGTGGAGTCGCTGCTATTCTCACCTTCCCCCTCGACGACATGGAAGACATTGAAGGTGGAGAAGACATTGACGTCGAAGAGCCGGCCAATGGGGTCGAGGGAAGACCGGGAATGCTTGAAGATATTGAGATATAGAGTATCATGACAAACGAAATGACGATGAGACGATAGACCGAAAAAGTACATATATTCGATCCACGACTTCGCCTTCAGAGTGGGGAAAAAAGAAGCACAGCCCATGTCGGATTTTCAGCATCATGCCTTGCTTTCTGAAGGATTCGAACATACACTGCGCCTCGATCTGGCTATGGACTGCGCAATCTCTATATCGGAAGAGAATAGGGAGGCTTGAACTTCTGATCCACGTCTGCTGTACAGCGCTAAGACTGAGGCGCTTGCTTCACTCCTTCGAGTATCTCAGCGACAGGTTATGATGTAAGCAACTGGATGCAGGATGATCAGATTGCTGTAGTTGAATCAATTGTCGGTGAGGTAGGTATGTCTATGTCTAATTCAGTACTTGGTGAAAGTAATATACATGGTCTTCCAGCCACCTCTACAGCACCTGCCTCTTTGGTACAACTCCTGCTATAACTTGCTCCTTCCTGTTTAACAAGCTTTCTTCGCTAAATGGTAACTCTACGTGTGCTAAGCTCTGTCATGTCTATTTACTCTCAATGATCAGAGCAGCGCATCAAGAAGCTGTAGAAAGGCACAGTCATTTCTCATTTTGACGCATCCAACCCAGGGAGTCGTTGAAAACATGTATCTCGGAGCCATCGCTCCAGATCCAGAAAAGTTTGTGCCTCCAGACAGCTATGAAAGTGACAGTGCTTCGCACACGGGGAGATAGGACTCTAGGCCCCATGTGAAGCAATAACTACGTAGGCGGACCTTCAGACCGCTTTTACTTAGTTCAAGGGGTAACCGGTCAGTACCTCACAGTCTCTTTTGATCCTGCAATCACACGCTCTCGGCATACCATACTCTTCTTGGAGAAAAAGTAACATCAAAGCAATGGATCAGCCCTGTTTCAGTGTAAGCATGATTCACATGTCTCCATAAAGCGTGGAGAGGCTGGGTGGTGGTGAGAGTAATATATTAACCGCCATTCTCGAAACAAGCTCATGCAGCCAGAAACAGGGTATTAGTCTTCATTTCTGCCAATGTGATCTATTTTCAGATCAGAATACACGACTAATTAGCGGCAAAGTCCCCATGTACTGGGGTTTATTTTTACCGTCTCTCAATATGCACATTCATGACCTGTCGGTCGATCAGCCGTCCTGTTGCTTAGTCGTAGGTAAACCAATCATTCTCTCTGAAACATTGCGAAATGAGTGTTATACTCCAATCGAATATACACCCCGCTCCAGTTCATCTCTTTCCCGCCGCAAATCATCCCACGCGATCGCATCCGAGATACCTGCATATTCGGTAAACGCGCCTCGAAGCCTACTCAAGCAAGATCCCAGTCAAACCGGATCTCGCAAGCCTTATCGCTGTTACTATTTCGGGAACAAGCTTACTGACTTGCCTACTCCACCGAGGTCGAGATGGAGGTCGAGATGGAGGTCTCCGAGTACTGCTCACCGTGTCTTGACAAGATCGAGACATGAACCAGCTGGTCTACGACGTTTTAGAATATGCAGAAGCGGACGCATAAGCCTACGTGTCTCTCCTCTCTCGGACCATCAAGTCAGATCATGACGACCAATGGCTTTTGACAGCGCGTGTGTCCTGCGCGCAGATTCGTGCTGCGGTTGCTCCCGAACACGTCCCGCTGCCACGGGGAGGTCCACCTTCATCAATTTAGATACATGGCGCGCTTATGCACTGGGCGTGTATGGAAAGTCGGCGTGCCTCTCTGTACCAAATATTTCCAGAGGTCAATGGTGCTTGTGTCTCTCCCAACAGGCCGCACAGATAGTCTATTGATCCTTCAGAAACATTGCCCTGGGACTCTTGTGTTCTCAAAATATCTCACCCCCACCAGTTCGGCGGAGGCTCAGACATGGAGGCTCAGTCCGTGATCTTTCGGCATGCTAACGTCAAGTCTACCACCGATCCTACAAAATGACCAACATGCCCGTCCAAAGTTACTCAGGCAGGTACCACAGACAGACACAACATTAGCATCATCCACCAAAACTCAAGTATTCCTCTGGATCTTTTGGCACTAGTGTCCGTTGTTCCTTCTCCCTTCTGTACATCAACCTATTTCACCTTGAATCACAACAACAACTCAACCACATCTCTCATCATGGACCAATTCGAGTCTACAACATCAAATGAGAAGATCGTATGTACCGATAGCTACCCAACAGCGTGGTATGCACCGACACCTGTATGTATAGCAGATCAAGCACAACATAGGCACACCTACTCACAATGATAGCTTACTTACAACACTCCGTTCATGACACCATTCCCTACATTCAACCAATATGACATGACTGGATACTCTACTGGCACAGCTCAATGGCCAACACCACCGGCATTCGGTGACCTGACCATCCTTCCGCCGAGTCTTGGTGACAGTCTGATCGAGAGACCTCGAAGCAGCCCCAGCACTTTCGGGCCATCTGCGAACGACACACTGTGGCCAGAGAACCCTCTCGGCATTCGCTTCCCAATGAGCGAGCCTCACATGATCCCATCTACTGCTAGCACTCAAGCGGCAATCTACCAGACTCCTGCAGCAGAATTCACCACTCCCAGCCCACCGCAGAGACGTAGCTCAGCTGACACTCAACGCTACTATCCGTCAATCGCCCCGAACCCTGCTGGCCTTGTTTCGAAACGCCGTCAGGACCAGGAAGATGAGGAGGCTATGCTTCGTTCGAACTCCAAGCGCCGCAAGCGAACGCCTTCGCTTGAGCATCTCAACGACGAAGAGCGTCTTTTGATCACGTTGAAAGAAGAGGAAGCCCTACCCTGGAAGGAGATTGCTTCGCGTTTCAGCAACCAATTGGGACAGTCCATCACCGTTGCTACCCTGCAGATGCGATATCTTCGCCTGAGACAACGTTTCCGAAACTGGGAGGATCGCGATGTCGAGGCGTTAAGACAGGCTCACGAGTACTGGGAGAAGTGCAAGTGGGACATCATCACCACAAAGGTAAGTCGTCGTCTCGTCTGAAGCCCTATTTTTTTCTGACAGTCAGTTCTAGATGCTTGAGTTTGGCGTCGAGGAGAAGTGGCCTCCAAAGCACTGCGCCCGCAAATGGGCGGATATCGCGCCTCAACATTTGCACACCAGGGGTCAAACTCCTCAGCAACATACCCCTTCATCGCAACAACACACGCCCACTCCCAATTATGCCACCATGGCTATAAGCTTCACAAACTGCGGATACGCTCTATCTTCGTAAACATTACTGGCACCTTCATCTCTGGTTTCGAAAAGCATTGCACAACATCCACGCATTTTTGCATCATCATCACAGCGCCGTTCTAGATTTTCCGAACTTGCATCTGCATTTGCATATGTCCGGCGTTTTTGTTTTTCTTGTTTCTCTTGCTGCTCTTTCGCGTTTCACTTGAATTCTTGTTCGAGATACCCTTCAATCGCTCGCTGCCATTTTCATTCGTCGGCAGTCTGTTGTACAGACGGTCTCCCTTGTTTGTGGGCTACTTGTTTTTTTCTTCTCATGAGATACCCACACGTTCGCTCTTGGTTTTCGTCGGTGTTGCCCAATATCTACGAGGTCTTTTTCAGCATTGCATACCGCTCAAGATTCCCACATCACTCGCTTTTAGCATTTGTTTAAGCAGAACACTGCATTCGTTACATAGACAAGTTCTTCTATAACTATACACACTTCACAGCCCTACATTGTTGTCACCTTCACTCTACAGTACTTAATGTGACACACAAGGCTGAAAGAAAATCTCCGATCCGGGCACTTGGGTGGTCCTGAGACGCGACGCCTCAAGCCTTGAACCGATAATGGTGAACGAATATAGGTCTGTCCTTTGTACTATCTACCGGCAGGGACCTTATGCATAATGCGCATGGCATGCATGTCAGACCGAAGGGAAATGACTTGCACCACGAGGCTTTTCCGTCCAATGATCATGCATCGGAGATTTTCTCTCCTCCATCATCTTCCAGTCTCACGGTCGTCGTTGCTCTCCGATGCTCTCGTTGTTCTTCTTCCAACTTTTGCTTAGCCAATGAGTAGTATTTGCTTTGTTTTGACCTTTGCATTCATATGTACGTATAAAACAAGTCGGTCATAGCGCCTGTAGAGTAGAGTCAGTAAATGGTCTTTGTAGGACGGTGACGACGACTTACCATGACTAGCATCACCCACCAAGCGCTGGTACTTGGCCAGAACACCACGAGTGACGTTCGATCTAGGCTTCTTCCACTCCTTCAATCTTTGTTGAATTTCGTCGTCGGAAACATTCATGGAGAGAGTGTTGTTGGTAGCATCAATGGTGATCATGTCACCATCTTGGACAACAGCAATGGGTCCTCCAACAGCAGCTTCAGGGCAAATGTGACCAACTATGAAGCCGTGCGATGCACCACTATATCTTCCATCTGTGATTAAAGCGACATTTGTGAGCTTGGCACCCATGATGGCTGCGCTGGCTTTGAGCTGCTCAGGCATACCCGGACCACCCTTGGGACCTTCGTAACGAACGACGATGACGAGGTTTTCGTGGCGAGGAATTTGACCTTTGTTGAGGGCATCATCGAGTTCATGCTCCTTGTTGAAGACACGAGCTTTGCCAGTGAAGCTCATTCCTTCCTTGCCGGTGATCTTGGCCACGGCACCTTCAGGAGCCAGATTGCCACGGAGAATCTCAATGTGACCTGTAGGCTTGATAGGGTTGTCCAGACTGCGGATGATCTCTTGGCCTTGAGGCAGGGAGTCAAAAGAAGCGACATTTTCAGCTAATGTCTTGCCAGTGACCGTAGGAACGCTGCCGTCAAGCAGACCTCCTGCGATGAGGAGCTTCATGACCGATGGGATCCCGCCAATATCGTAGAGATCCGCCATCAGGTACTTGCCCGAGGGAGCCATGTTTGCAATGAAAGGAATGCGGTTCGACACTCTCTGGAAATCGTCAAGCGAGAGATCAACTCCAGCGGTACCAGCCATAGCGAGAAGATGGAGAACACCATTTGTGCTACCACCAAGCGCCATCATCATGACCAGAGCGTTCTCGAAGGACTTCTTCGTGAGCAAATCAAGAGGGCGAATGTTCTTTTCCATACAGATCTTGATGGCTTCGGCTGCCTTTTGACACTCTCGCATCTTGGCAGGAGAAGTCGCAGGAGTGGATGAAGACCCGGGAAGTGACAGACCAAGAGTCTCGATCGCCATGGCCATGGTGTTTGCTGTGAACATGCCACCGCAAGCTCCAGATCCCGGGCATGCGTTCTTCTCAATATCAGTCAATATCTCGTCCTTCGTGATTGAAGGGTCGTCTGGGTTCTTGAGAGTGTCGAAGTTGTAAGCGCCGTGTGCCTATAAACTGATTAGCAATCGAAGTCTTCGCTAGAAACAGATCACCACAAACCTCATAACACGTTGTGATGTTGATTGTCTTTCTGAGCGTCTTTGAGTAGCCAGGGTTGATAGTACCTCCGTAGATACACACAGACGGTCTGTTATGTCTTGCCATTGCCATCTGTATCACTTATAAGCTTCTTCAAGGACAATCACCGGGGAGCAAGACATACCACGACACCTGGCATGTTCTTGTCGCATCCAGGAATAGAGATGTTGGCATCGTGAAATTGAGCACATGTGATGGTTTCAATACTGTCTGCGATGATCTCGCGAGTCTGCAGCGAGAAACGCATGCCTTCGCCACCCCTTCTACGTGTCAGCCTTGTTCATATACTAGCATCTCAACAAACTCAACTCACATTGTGATGCCGTCTGATACTCCGATCGTGCCATACTGCCATCCTAGGAAGCCCTGCTTCTCAACCGCTTGCTTCACGGTCTTTCCGAGGTCGTGCACTATTTTCTGTGTTAGCTCGTGGTCGAATGTTAGTTTCAAAATCATTTACAGTGGTTGCTTTATCGAAATTAGTATAGAGTCAAAATGCGAGTTGTCTGTTTACTCACTTGCAAGGATTGCCCTCCCACCAAACAGTGGCAATGCCGACCTGTGGAGCAGTCTTCATCATCTTCTCATTCGGCACGCCTGCTGCATACAACATGGCCTGAGCTCCGGGGAAATCATGTCCCTTGGTCAATGTTGAAGAGTACTTGTTTAGAATCGGGGTCCCGTCTTCATATTTGGCATCATCAGGTAAATGCGGAAAGCTTAGAAGGCGTGGTTCTTCTGGCTGAAACTGTGCTTTGAGATTTGCGGGATCCATTGTGAGTGCTTGCTAAAACAGTAAACTCTGTACGGATTCGATGTTTGAAACTTGTAGCGCACGAGTGGAAAAGCGACTCCGTCCTTTGAGGAAATGTAGTTGCTGAGTGTGAGTTGCTTGACCTTTTTCCCCCCTCTCATTCGTCAAGTAGGGCCTCTGGACTTCTCACCTTTCGTCATGCCCCGCGCACCTCAGTAACCCCACACCTTGAGCCGAAGACGGCCTCTCGGTCCATCCCGAGGGCATTCGGAGGAGCATTCTACCGAGAGATAGAGATGAGGCTTTACCTTGGAAGCGAAACCTGTTGAGCCTCATAACACCATTGAGGTCAATGATATCAACAATCCAACATACGCCAAAGCACTGGCTTCGACGCTGTGAACGGCATCGCTCGAGCGAGCAGACGTTTTCAAGAACATGAGATGACGGCTCTACAGCAACTTGCACTCAAGCTACGCGATCAAGCGAAACTGAAGATGAAAAAGCTGGGGGTGTGGAGGGTACCTGAGCGAACGGCTCATCTTGAGCTCAATGTTCTTGGACAGCTCGATATAGGAACGACTCGTCACAGATGTCCAGAAGTCAACACACGTGCATATAAGGTTGTACGGATGGTCCTGCCGACGGGTTTAAAGACGATTCATGGGGACTGCTGATTCACTTGCCCAATGAGATGTCGCATCGAGACCACCACTCAGATCTAGGCACACTCTATCCGGGGACATGGAAGCAATATCGACGTGTTGTGTTCTAGAAAGTGTGAAAGTAAAACGGGGATGAGACTTGACCGGTTTGTGATACTAAACAAAGAAGAATGGTCGGCCAGTGATTCCACCCACATTTTCGAATGCGCGCGATCATTGGTGCGCGTCTCTAATGCCGAATCTATCTGTATCGCACCACTTCGAACCTCTCCGTCCAACACCATCTTCCAGCGCCAACACACTAGTACTAACTGAACCGACTGAAACGCTCACTACGTCTTGACTGGTCGCGCAACGCACCAGATACATGCGAATGCCCTTCCAGATTTCTTCGCATCGACCAAATTCTTCTGCCGCTGCGTCATCGCTCTATCTCGCTTTGACCAAGATCGCAACCTCATTTCCTCGACCGCATAACCATACTTTTCGACAAGGTTTCGGGACCCGAACCTGTCAGCACGTCGGAACCAGATGTCTTCCCTCGTGGTTATCGGAGGTACGATAGTGTTTGCAACCGCGTCAGTGTATTACTTGTCTCGATTCGCTAGTGCAAAACGTGATCCTGATGCCAGAGGTGAGTTCGGCGTACATAGTTCCTGTCATTCAAGATGCTCTACTCCTTCCTTCCATCTAGCTCTGTTTGCCTAGATCCATATCTCCCTTTATCATGAAAGAATTTGAGCAACCATCAGACTTATACGACCCGTTAGATCCTTCAGCTTCTGATCCAGGATTGTTAAGAAAACATTCTACACAAAGATCTTACACTGCAGCTGGTTTCGTCTACCCATCAATAAGGACATTCTATCATCCTCATCCACAAGCCGACAAACTCCCGACCAAGCCAACAACACTACCACTTCTTGTCTTCGTTCATGGTCTCGGAGGAAGTGCTGCACAGTTCGCGCCACTCTTGACTGGTCTAGTCAATGCTGCGCCATGTCTTGCCATCGATCTCCCAGGATGTGGCTTGTCAGACTTCTTGCCCCAAACACGCGAAGCATATAGGTCAGAAGCTCTGGCAGCTTTAATCGCTGAGGCCATTACGCAGCACAGGGACGCTGAGAACGGACAGAAAGTAGTTCTCATAGGTCACAGTATGGGCTGCTCACTATCAACACTGCTGGCGTCGTCGACATCGCCATTGAACGACTCCATCTCCGAGCACATAACCGGTTTCATCGCTATCTGTCCACGAGCCGAAACGTTGACAGCAAGCCAAGTATCACGACTTCAGCATATGCGCTACATGCCTATGCCTTTGTTCGAGATGTTCAGATGGTGGGATAGACGAGGAGGCGCGGAAAGCGCCAGCGTCTCTCGTTATGCAGGAAAGGACGCAGATTCAGAGACAAAACGACTTCAGCTACGATTCAACGAGCAAAGCAAATCTGAAGTATTCATGGCTATGGCTCTTGGTTCGATGCCCAAATACAGAGACAACAAAGCTGTTGGAGGTTTGCCTGGTGAGGCGGTGTGGTCTGGTCTTCGGATCCCTACGTTTTGCATCGGTGGGGAGCTTGACCACGTAACATCACCTGAGAACGTCGAGTTGATCGCCAAGTGGCTAGGAAGACAAGTGCCACGGGAACGAACAAACACCAATGGTAGCTCCCTACCTAGCTCTGCTGGGGAAATACCTGTCATTGACAACACTCCGATTGAAGAGAATGGCAAGAGCTTCGTTCCTGAGTTCAGCGCAACTGGTCAGGATCTAGTTTCCGAGATTCGACAGGACAGCGCGACACCCGATCTTCCGAAGAAGCCCAAATTCGTTCTCAAGACTACGGTGTTACCCAAGCCTGCTTCTCACGCACTGCTGTACGCTACTTCAACAGTCCGCATACTTTCAGGTTTAATCCAGTCTTTTGTCGCCACACATATCGATCACCGTCTATCTCTCGGGTGGCAGTTGCAACATCTGAGTACCGAGGGCAAATGGGATGTAAAGAATCTCCAGAAGTGGCAAGCCATCAAGCCTGTCTCAGAGCCCATTGCAGGTATTTTCCGAGCACAGAAGACACTGCGTGAGATCGACGAAGAGCATACACCAGCTGTGTACGTTAAGCGGTGGGGAGCAAGAAGTGGCATCAGGCATGGAGTTCGCATGGTTGTTGACATCAGCCATGAAAGCCCAGTTTATGATCCTAAAGGCCTCGAGGAAGGCGGTATTGAGTATCATAAGTTTCCTACTGTCAGCAAGCTGCCGCCTACGGTGGAAGAGGTCGCAGCATTCATCGCGTTGATCGACACTCTGAGAGAGCAGCTCGCAAAGCCGGAAGAACCAGAAGGAGCATTGATAGCTGTACACTGTCACTATGGTTTCAACAGGACTGGCTTCTTCCTGGTCAGCTACATGGTGGAGAGACTTGGCTGGCGACTGCAAGATGCGCTCGAGGAGTTTGCAGAGAAGAGAGCGCCAGGCATTAGACACGAGCATTTCGTGAATGAGCTGTTTGTGCGTTATATGGTGAACTTGGAGAGAAGACCAACACTTTCATAGATACCCTGGGACCCATTTTCTTTCTTAGGTCTGTTTCAGGCGCACTTGGAGGACTTCGTCAGTCTTGGCTTGGCATATAGAGCCAGCGGTTTCCTTGTTGGGCAATAACTTAGGGTACCTATTTACTAGCAGATCACCAATACCCGTTTCACAAGATATCTCATCAGTCTCAAGCAAAGGATAATTGAGGTTTTTACAACAATGATATGGTTTGAGTAGGTACTCGTCACGAATTTTAGCCAGAAGTGATGGTCGAGCGTCGAGACGAGCACAGCGAAGCAGAAAGCCCAAAGTCTTGGCGGCGCGGCTATCTCCGTTCGGCACACGAGGATCGCAAAATCCTCAGCGTGCCCAAACGCCCGTCTTTCTCCTCTGCCCGAGACGACTTTCGCACGCCCACAGACCTTACCACCGTCGACAACCCCCCTCACAACCGCCAAAATGCCCGGTGTCTCCGTCCGCGATGTCCCTGCCGACAAGTTCATCCAGAACTGTTAGTCTACACCTTGAGGAGCTGGAGTCGAGTTTTCGCACAAGAGATGGAGCGGTGTTCAAGACAACACACACGGCCAGCCACGAGACGAAGATGAAGCTGGCCTGCGCGTTCGCATCAATCCGCATTGCGCTCGACGGACGTAATCACGAGCATTCGACGCCTGACGGAAATCTTGAACTGCAACATCTCTCATGCGACGACTCTCTCCAGCTTCACTTTTTGCGCTCCAAGGATCTTGGACTGACCATACTGCAGACGCTTCCTTCTTGAAGAGACAAGGAAAGCTCGCCGTCCCCGTAAGTACTTTGTCATTGATTCTACCATGAGAAGCAAAAGTTATGAGTTTTCAAGCGGCTACAGTGGCATGCTTCAACGTAATGCCCGGTGCCTCACATGCTGGGTGAACTGGCATGTGCGTCCCTGCTTGTGGTCACGACAGATCAAGTGAAGGGGACATACATCAGGTTCATTTACAGTTCCTTGCTCGTCTGGCCTCCGCTCCGGGATCCATAACTTGTGCTTCTCGTGGTCTTTGGGGTGAACCTAGAATCGCCTAACCGCGGCCCCTACGATCGTAACTAACGTATTTACTCAATAGGGTTGGGTCGATACCGTCAAGAGTACGCACTGAATTCTCACGCCAAATCTGTTCCAACGACATCCTAACATGGTTTCTAGCCGGTACCGCCAAGGAGCTTCCTCCCCAGAACGTTGACTGGTACTACGTTCGCGCCGCCGCTGTTGCACGTCACATCTACATGCGCAAGACTGTCGGTATCGGCCGTCTCCGCAAGGTCCACGGATCCCCTAAGAACCGCGGCTCCCGCCCCAGCCGTCACGTCGACGCCTCCGGTTCCGTTGACCGCAAGGTCTGCCAGTCCCTTGAGAAGATCGGTGTTCTCGAGATCGACGAGGACAAGGGTGGCCGTCGCATCACCCAGTCCGGCCAGCGTGATTTGGACCGTATCGCCATGTCCACCCTCGAGGCTGAGCAGGAGGAGGATGACGAGTAAACTACTCGCTCTCCACAGCGGTTGATGAACAAAAAGATGGTGTAACAAGGCAACTTCAAAAAGCTTTGGGGATTGGGCTGGCGTTGAGGATCTGGCTGCGGCCATGGATATGTAACTCATGGTTGAGAGCTTATGCATGCGGTACTGCGTTTTCTTTTGTGGCGACACAGCACAGCGCAGCATCCCTTCAATTCGACCTTGCCCGTCTCATTTCTACCTACATCATCGGCTCGCAAAAGTTTACCAATTTTGATCATGTTGATACCCCCTTTGATTCTTTTTCCAGCCTTGTGCCGCCGTGTGACCAAGGTGTCAAGCTCCTCTAGTTCCATGTTGTGTCGCAGTTCATAGACTTGATATTATGGTAGAAGCACATGCTGATAGACTGGGTGCTTTGTGTCGTTGGAAAAGAACAGATTGATCTATGTACATGAAAGAGTGTGGGTACACAAGGAGTCATACTTCCCACTGAAGACGTCTCGAGGACGGTGAAAGTATGAACTATGAGGCACCTGGCTTTTTGTCTTGCAACGTTTCAGCAGAAAGTACAAGACTCTCCACCTCCCCTATACCATCCCACAGCATTGCCTGGACGCAAGACGCGAAACAGACAGACTGCTCTTCCCGCCGAAGCAGAAAGACCTCGACATTGTCCTGGTAGTGGAGCAAGTGGCTGGGTTTGGGGTGTTGCGTGTACTATTGACATATGAACTTACCACGAGCCTACAAGCATGGACGACCCAGCAACAGCAGTCTTCAATCTCGAGGAATCACCATTGCATGTCGTCCATGTGAAGCATACGAACAGCAGAAGGAAATTTTGCTGATGAAGCGGAGAAGGAAGCAACGCGACAAGCAAGACGCGGCAGATGCCGTTCGTTGCAGCTTCGAGCATCGTCACTTCCTCGAACGCGGTCATTGGGAGCTCCTACTCCGACATTTACATATATATATATATAAAATATCCCTTCTCTTCACTCCAGTCTATCTCCATCTACGCAAGATGGGTAAGAAGAAGCGCGGTCACCCAGACATTGAGGAGGTCCTTGCGCGTCCTTGGTGCTACTACTGCGAGCGCGACTTTGATGATTTGAAGATTCTAATCTCACATCAAAAGGCGAAGCACTACAAGTGCGACAGATGCGGTCGCAGACTGAATACAGCTGGAGGTGAGTCGATACGTTGGACTCGAGATGGACCGTACCTAATGCGAGAGCAGGTTTGTCTGTTCACATGAACCAAGTACACAAGGAGAATCTGACTACGGTGGAGAATGCTCTGCCCAATCGTTGCGCGCCCGACATTGAGATATTCGGCATGGAAGGCATCCCCGACGATGTCATGCAGCAACACAACCAGCGCGTCAGTCACGAGTTCTTTGCTGCGGAGGCCGATCGTCGCGCAGCTACAGGCAACCCGGTCCCCGGTTCGTCGATTCAGGGAGCTGCAGGCACAAAGAAGCCGAAGCTCGAGTCTCCTGCCGAGTTGAAGGCGCGTTTGGCTGAACATAAGGCGAGAAAGGCGGCCGAGAAGTCGGGCTTGGGCAGTGCTCCTGATACACCTGTATGTTGAACTGTTCCGCCGACTGGCTATCGCAATGACTGACACACACGCAAGGCCGACGTCGCCACACCACCTCAATATCAATCAAGCTTCCCTCCTCCCTCTGCACCGCAAGCTGGCAGTCCACCACCTGCCGCCTACCCTCCACAACCGTACGGCCAGGCTCCTGCCCCGTATGGTCAACAACCCCCACCTTTCAACTACGGTGAGCCGTCATATGCAGCACCACCAGGGCCCTTCCCGCCAGGTCAGTTTGGTTCCCAACCATCCTATCCCCCCTCACAGCCGTATGGTGGACAAGGCCCTCCAGCGCCGTTTGCCCCTCCTGCTCAATATGCCTACCCACCACACTCCGCCAGCCCACCTCAATACCAGAACGCTCGCCATGCTCCACCCATGAGTCCACCTGCACAAGACTTGCCCACTCGCCAGAACAGTCTTCCTTCAGCCCCTGGTCTTCCGCAACGCCCGACGTTCAATGCTCCCCACGTCAGCCGAGAGCAGCTCGCCGAAATGCACAGTGGTAACATGGGCGGACCTGTTGCTCCCTCGCAAGAGTCTGGCGCTAATGCAACGAGTGTGGACGAGCTCATCTCGGGCGCCGCTGCTCAGCACTCCGCAAAGTCCGCAGCATCACAACAACCCACGCCTACTCCAGCTCCCGAAAAGGAAGCAGACGGTGGCAGCAAGAAGTCGAAAAAGGCTACACGTCTGGTTTACTCTGATCAAGAAGTGTCACCTGAAGAGAAGATGGCACAAATGCCCAGGTATGCCTTTACTCCAGACAAAGGTGGCGAAACTTACTTGGCTCCCGTCGAGGCAAATGTTACTGGCATTGTCAGGGGTCCCGACGATGTGATTGATGCACAGAATTAGGGTTCAATGCACGTATCGCGTCTGCGAGTACTTCCACGAGGGATGAAATTACAAAGGTGGGCAAAGCAGCGCCACGGCACAGGTTGAAATCAAGGGACTGCTCAGCAGCTAAGTGTTGCTCTCTTTGCTTGGCGATGGGGAGATGATGACTTTGAAAGAGCCAGTACTACTAACAGCGTTGTATTGTCATGCCAACAACACTGGAGGCGAGATACTATTGAACAGGAAGCAATCGGCATAGGTAGCTTCCTCTAATTGTAAGTCTGGCGGGAAATGGGCTTTTTTTTTTGAATATATGATGAACAGATTACCTTCCTTCTTGATGTGCAACGGACTATGCTTGACCATCGTAAAGCGTCGATCGACACACCACGCTTGAAGAATTTGGCAGTATCCTATCCATCAACATGCAATCTGGCGCGTGTCCGAGTTTGGTCACTAGCGGTCCCGATCTTCTTGTACAAGTGACTCTGAAAAGGGCAACCTGGTTCGATAATTGAGCAGACTTGATATGAGAATGGGTTTATCTTACCTTATCCTTCGATATCAAAATCACACCTTACATAATTGTCTCTACTTGAGCACTCTACCTCGAAATGATTTCCATAAGGTAGACAGCTTGTTAACACTTCCCACATAACGTCGAGTCATGCTTTGAATTGCGTCATGTCACAGCGTCCAGCCACATTTGATTGAAGACCCTCTTCCAGCCAATTGTTGCTGTTTAGACCCTTGAACTGCTGTGATTTCGTTCTCGATATCATTCAAACAGATGTGTCTGCCAGCTGATGATATTGGAATGAAAAGTGGGTGTCATCGGAATCGTGGTGCTTGTGTGTATGGAGTTCGCAAAAAGTGGATAGATGCTTCAATACAAGTACAGCCAAAAAGATATTTGGTCCACGCGTACACGAATAGTGCCTCAAAGCTCCTGAGATCCGTCGAGATCTCTTGTTGAATGATGTAGTCTACCTTCTAATCACATTGGGTCGCTGGTGGTCGGACATGGACGTAGTATAACTCTTGGTCAGGGTGGAAAGGACAACCAGAATGTCGGAGGTCGGAGCAAACATTTAGCCGAGCTTCGAGGATCAGTGAGCTCTTGCAACGCGACAGTCAGAGTGTTCCAGTAACAAGACAACGACTGGTCACTTATCCATTGCTTTGTCACGCCTGTATCATTCGACGTGTCTCAGACAACACAGACCTATCGAATTCAGCATTACGTATCGCCTCCCCTGACTCAACGTACACAGCTTTCAGCACTCTCTGTCGCAACAATGGCAGACACGGAAATGGACATCGATCAGCAGCCACAGCAGGAGGAGCAGGAGCAGGAGCAACAGCAAGAGCAGGAACAAGAGCCAGAGCAGATGCAAGACGATGCCCGCTCACCTTCTCCATCACAATCACCGGGAGCCAAGCGCGGCGCCGCTACTGGTCCTGAGACGCGCACGTCGACCGGAGCTGTGGCCGTCCGCTCCATCGAAGGTTGGATTGTTATGGCTACCAATGTCCACGAGGAAGCCAGCGAGGAAGACCTGCAAGAGCTATTCGGCGATTATGGTGAGATCAAGAACCTGCACATGAACTTGGATCGCAGAACTGGTTACGTCAAGGTGCGTTGTTGGAACATGGCCATGCGTTTAGCAAGCCGGCCTTATATTAACTCACCCAACAGGGATACGTTCTGATCGAGTTCCCGACACTGGACGAGGCAAAGGCTGCTGTCGAAGGAGTCAACGGTACCAAGCTGCTTGACCAGACCATCTCTGTCGACTTTGCCTTTGTGCGCCCACCTCCCACTAAGAACACCAACCAGAACCGTGGCGCTCCTGCTCGTGGTGGCAAGTCCAGAAACAGAAGCAGAAGTCCCGGCGCTCGCAGAGAGGATGATGACGACGACATCGAGTAGAAGTCGGGTCGAGAGTCGAGAGAGCACCTGGGTCGTCGCCGCGTTCGAGAATGGCTCCAGAAGCGTGATTCACCTGCAGTTGAAGAGCATGGCGAAGCGTCCAAGAGACGTCAAGACGAAGATGGCGCTACAGGATCGAGAGAGTTGACGCTGGCGCCCAGTCGAGGAAGCAGAGGATGAGGTCGAGGAGGACAGAGGACCACCAATACCACATCATATTGCCGACTTGTCTCGCAGCCTACAACAGACAGTCGGTGCTAATCAAAAGTCTTATTCGGTAAGCTACAGCCTCTCCCTACCCCGGTCTGCACATTGTCGTCGTCGTCGCTAGCCCCGTACGAATGACTTCTCCGGCTTTCGTCTTGCGCCTGGTGCTAACATTCATTTCAGTCTCACTCATCTTTCTCGTGTCTACGTCCAGCCCATCCTTTTTGCGTCTTTTCCCATCTACTACACAAGACGGAATCACTGTTAGACATCATGGCTTCAGCCACCAGAGAAACAGCCTTTCACACTACTCCAAAGAAGTGTAAGTGCATTGATTCCCATCTGTTAACGCGCGGAAAATACTCACGTTTGCAAAGCCCACCCCCAAGCCCCGTCTCGCCCTCCGGTCGATGAATCAAATGGAGTCTTGCCCGCCTCCGGTTGGCCTACGGGCCCTACAGTTCAGGTTTGTGCGGTCCGACAGTGATTATCCCAGCGACCCTAACATGTCCTATAGGGCGATAACAACGGGTCATCGACCCCGGAGACGCCTCCTCCCATCCCAGTCCGCAGCCCCCTTCGCCCCCGTCCCGGCGAGCAGAAGTCTCCTGCTGTGCTGCTCTGGCGCCTGGCCCTCCCCCTCGACCCCACCTCCTTCGCCTCCGTGGAGGAGCCCGCCTCGCCTCCCTTGAAGTACCTGGCCCCCTCTCCCGACCTCTCATCTCCCGCCCCCGAGAACGAGGGACCTCGTGGTGTCGATTACAACCCCGACACCACGGGGTTGGTATCGATGTTTGACTGGTCGTCGTCTTCCTCCGGTGACTCGCTGGCTGTCGAGGATGCCATGAGTAAAGTCAGCATGGCCGTTGAGCGTCGCAGCACTTGGTAGGTAGTTCCCCCCCCCCCCCCCCTTCTTCAATGTACAGAGTTCGTCCCTGAAACAAACCTGTGCAAATGCATGATCATATTCGGGTTTTGGTAGGTGATCGTGAGAGCGATGAATAGGGGTGAGATGTGACGATCTCCGTGTACGAGTTGTAGGTCAAAAGAGGCTGTAGAAAGGCAGCATCGTTTTTGAGATCGGATGAGTTGTCCATGGAGGGCGGTGATTCTCGTTCTCTCCCGGACAACGTTGTGCTTTTGAAAAACACCTTGCCTTTTTACAGCCCCACCACAGCTCTTACTACGATCACGAGAGTGATGAAGTCGACAAAGAAGAGTTTTTCTGCTCTCAAATCTTCTCTCGCACCAGAGGTGTCAACGCCGATACAAGCTCCTACCCAGATTCAACAAGCCGATGACGACGATCTGTTTGATGAGCCCAAGCTCCCTACTTTTGAGAGCAACCTTGGCTCCACCTCAGCACAGCGTGTGGTCGCTGATCCTAGTCGGTCACTCATGCGGACAGTGCAACAGACAGACGCTCTTGCCATAATTATGCTGTCGGATGGCAGAGTGAAATGTGAGGTTGTAGACATCGACTGCGCAATAGAGGAAGATGACTTTCGAGATATCGGTATATTGTCTCGTGGACCAGCCATCGACTGGGAACAACGAATGACGGATGGCTAACGGCGGTCGCAACGTGGTTCATGCAGTTCAGGCCTACAGCTTACTATCGCGCCCTTCGGCCAGGACCTCCTTCCTCCAACCAACCTCCACTCTCCTGGGTCCCTCCTTCTTGAACTCGACAAGCACAACTCGATCTTGATCTCCAGTTCGGCCCTCAGCCTCGGCCTCGGCGCCAGGCTTATCGAGACCGAGAACGACTCTTCCGTCCTCTCTCTTCTTGCCTCCCAGGACAGTGGGCGAGATACATTTGTCGCCCCAGTTTCCAGCCTTGACGAAATCGAGCACCTGATCTCTTTGCTTCTGTAATGTAGCCGAGTCCGGAACCGGGACATCCTTGCCCACGTCACCGGAAGGGCAGAGGAAGGGAGACAGCAGGTACATGAGGAAGAACTGCGGAGGGAACAGGACGACGCGAGAAGCACGGGCTAAGCGCAGCCAGGTCGCGGCAGGGAGGAAGCGAGCGGCCGTGTGTTCAAGTCCGCCGTCGTGAGTGGGAACCGGGATCATGGTCTCGGGTTCGTCCTCCGCAGCGGTTGAAGACGATGACGGCAGGCTCTTCGGTGTATTACTGAGAGGTAGCAGGTAGATGTACATCTGCGTTGTGAAGCGCTTTGGGAGGTTGGTGGGTGTGATCCAACGGGTGAAGGGGACGAGATTGTCTGTTTCGAGTCAGCAGTGAATTGGCATATCAATTGGACCTCAAGACTTACCAAGGTCTGCCTTTGCGTCCTTCTCCTCAAGCCAATCTTCAAACTTGATCTTGTCACCATGCACCAATTTCCTCACTTTCTCCCTTTCATCCTCCTCTACCTCCAGCAATCTGCCATCCTTGGTTCGTGCCAGTAAGATGCCACTTTCCTCAAAGGTTTCACGGACAGCAGCTAAGCGGTACGCCTCACTGTCACAGTGACGAGCTGGATCTTCAGGTGAGGGCGGTTCGCCGTCATGGAACGGGGATATGTTCCCACCCGGAAAGACGTGTGCTGAAGCGAACGAAGACGAAGTCTGAACTCGACGCAGCAACAGAATGTGGTTTTGCGGTGAGATCAAAAGAACACTGTGTGGGTAGTCAGTTAAGTGAGAACTAGGCGATCCTGGGTCTGATGTGAATAAATCTTTGGCCAGGGTTACGACGGCAGCATGGATTAAACTTGCGAGGTTTTCGCAAACTCGACCCAATTGATCAAGCGCGCGACCCGAGTGAACCGATCAGATCAAAACCCGTGAGTCATTATATTCAGTGAGTCAAAAGTGCATCTTCGAATCTTTGGAGTCGCGCTCGCTCGGGTGCGGTGTTTCGTCCAGTATCAATGAAGCTTTGCGCACCACTTACCTTGAGCTCGGTCTGGGCACGGCAGGTGCCTTCTTGCCTTTCTCGCCATTCCCCTCGTAGCCCTTTTTGAAATTCGTAGTACCAGACATGTTGCGCACTGAGGCTTTATAAAAACCTGGTGACCGCGATGCTAGCTTAGCAGTGAATAGTAGAGGTGTGCGATGAGCAATGACGTCGACAAGGGGTGAGGCCAGCGGTGTTGGCGCAAACAAACGAGCAAGAGGCATATAGAGTGTAAAACCGAGGGATGAGTGAATGCAAATGTTATAATCACTGGTTCAGTAAAGGTTCGATTGCAAGATTTCGGGTCAGGATGTTCGCAGAGGAGGCGTAGGTGCGGGCAGCCGAGGCACGTCTAGCGCCCGTTTGACGACGAGCAGCGAGCTTCGAGTCGCGAGCAATGCTTGGGATCACAGTCGAGTTAATCCACGCTGGGTGCTTCGAAGACTATAAAATGCTATCGAACACGAAAGACAGGTCAAGAAGGTGGCTGTTGCGGACACGCTTGATGAAATCCGGAGTGATGGTGGAAAATCCACCATCACACCTTAGCACCTTTAGCTAACCTCCTTCCCAAACCGGTATCGGTGCCGGCCTTGTGTTCGCTGTAACCCACACTGAATACTTGCCTCTAAGTATCGTCGGGATCGAAACGTCGGGTTTATAGGGTCGCGGTTGTGGGCTTGTTTGGAGAGACTTCGAGTGATGGTGGTGATTGTGAGGATTGTGGCTAGTGAGCGACGCCGAACCGCGAGTTGAGCCGCGAAGCTGGAGGCAAGCTGTCCTGAGCTCCATGCCCAATAATAGCTTGAGCTCGAGCTCGAGCTATTGGAAAGAGCTACAACTTACCCTAGTAGCTATAGTGAGAGGCTAGTTGAATTGCACGGTAGTCTCTCTAGTTTGGAGGTGCATAGGTATTCTACGTCGCAGAAACGGTCACTGTGTAACCGAGTTACACATTAACATGTGTAACCCGGTTAGATGTTGACGGTTAGTTGCAGCAGTTGGGTTGGCTGATTAGCGAGGGACCACGATTAGCTGTCGTGTCACATCTAAAGTAGTTGCAAAGTTGAACGTCAGGTGGTATGGTCAGGACAGGCGTTTCTATTCAAAAGCCTCCCCAATGTATGAGTAGAGGATTTTCTTGTTTGTTTTTAAGAAGTCTTGAAAGAGCCTCGTCGTATCCTGGCCATGACATCGTCTTCCTTCCACAACTCATCCTCCTGCCGTCAATAGAAAATAATGTACACGTCGATGTTTTGGTTTCCATGACCGGGGTTGACTTTGAACTCCCCAATTGACATCGCTCATTGCAAAGCAGAGGTGAAGACGTTTAAACGTACTTGCACATCATGGCAACCATGAGATCGAAGAGACCAATAGCCTCAACGAAGGCGAAACCCAGAATGGCGTAAGAGAAGAGCTGACCACGGAGGGAAGGGTTGCGGGCAACACCCTGGAGGAGAGCAGCGAACACAAGGCCGATACCGATACCGGCCTGGGAAGGAGGTTAGCTAAAGGTGCTAAGGTGTGATGGTGGATTATCAATTGAGTTGAGATGGAAGAATGTTGACCTCCAAAAACAATCAAATTGAATTGCGGAGAGTACTTACACCACCGAGACCAATGGCAGCGTTACCCATACCAATGTTCTGGGAGACCTGGACGAGGGCGTTGGCCATCTCGGAAGAGTAGGCGCGGCGGGCGGCAGGGGCGACCTTCTGGACCATGGAGACGGTCTGGGGGCGGACGAAAGTGGCCTGGCGGAGACCTTGAGAGAGCGTCAGAACATGGTTGCTTCAATTCAATGGAGCTTGTCATTGATGTATGAAAAGGTGATGGAGATATAGGATGGTTCGATATTCGATGGAGGTATGATGAGGTGACGTTGAGGTGGTGATGAATTACCAGAGAAGGCGCGCTGGGCGACCTTGGGCTGGACAGCGCGGAAGGCAGGGCGGGCGGCCATCTGGGCCATCTTAGGGGCGACAATTCTGGAGGCCATTTCGAATGGTTGGATGTGAGAAGGGGGATGGAGAGGAGAGTGGTTGATGAAGGATGGAAGATAAGGGTTGAGAGATCGGAGCGGAAGCTTTCCCTTGGTGGACGACGAGTGAGAAGAGGTCAAGGGGGAAAGCCGTGGGAGCCCACGCAGAATTTTCTTGTACTGCCGGTCCGGTGGCCGTGTGATTTGGCCTTGTTTGCTTCACTCGGAGCCAGGAGGCGTAACTTAACCGAGTCCAAGTGGGCCTCACTCACTCAATAGAGCTCAACGATTGGCCAGATCTTCTCGACACACAGACCATCCGCCTCCGAATCCTGGCCGATGTTAGGAGTGTCAACTTATCTCACAACCACTTTGGCTGCGCGGGAGAACAGAACATTGTCGTTCAACTTCGTGCAACCCGGGGTTGTACACAAACTGATGTTGTATCTAGAGTGACTCCAAAGTGAAATGTATGCTCTGATACATGGAGAAAGTGCCAGAATAGATGGCCACAAATAGTCTAAATCAGTAGCGCCCGCATCCGCGTCAATGATCGAACAGCTCCCCCAGCCAACTGTTAGGCTGGGGTAGATTACCGCGAGTGGGCGATACTTGAGACCAAAGCTCTCTATTCAGTTTGATAATGGAGTCCGACTGATAGAAGTGCGCGGAGTGAGGTTGTGAGTGAGCGGGAATCGAAGAGTGAAGCATCGTACTCTCGCACTTGATGTACTCCAGGTGCCCTGATGCGTGTTCTGAGCAGACTTCGAGAGTGATGAGGAAGGTCCATAAGATAGCTATCATGTACCTTCACCATGGACCTGCACCATGTCCAAACTGGCAGTCTTGGAGACTCAAGTGCAACAGTCCTGGGGGCTATTCCTTCCCTTGTCCATGGAGTATGCCTGTCACTTCCATATGCTGCAAAGGATATATACATGTATACATGGGAGAGATAATTGAATGCATTGAAAGTCAACTTGCCTGGAAGAGCTATTTCTGACAGGACAACAGGAAGACTAACCGATTGTGGTGACAGCTAGCATAAGACAAGCGAGCCGTTCCTTGCTCAAAGAAGCAAAGTGTCCCCAGAATGCATGAAGCATGGGCGCCAGCCATCGAGCATGGTAGCTAGCTATCTCCAGCTGCCACCAAGGATAAAGGCAATGAGCTGCCCCTCCTTTTGGATCCGTCAGACCTTTGCCAACGTTGACTCCGAACTCGAAGCAAACGAAAAGAGCTCAAACGCAGTCGTGTTCCATGCGGCCGGGCGAGGTTGCATGTCGTGCGGTCAAAAGAGTTGCCTCAGCTTCCCGAGTCAACCCGACGATCGCTGCGAGCTTCAGCAAATTGCGCCCGCCAAGTTGGATGCGCGATGAGCCGCTGACGACGAAGGATCCCCCAAGCATGTGTTCAATGAATCTCAAGTGATTGTGAACATCCTGTCCTGCCGACTGGTATCCAGAGAGGGTGCGACATGCCGACAGTGTTACTGGAGGTGAGCCAAAAGACGCAGATGGACTAATAGACAAAGTCCGGGGCCAGACTTAGCCGGCGTGGAGACACCTACTTGCTGCATTGTTCAGCTCATCAAGGTGCCCATACGGGATGCAGCGGATTCAACAAACGGTGATCCAACAATCGTCCTGAATTGCATCCCGTGGGCAATCAGAGTAGATGCAGAGCTACTCGTTGCAGATCGGGACAGCAGCACCTTCCCAACCTTGTGCGACAATCCTCATGCTCTTAGCCTGACACCTACCTCGGAGTTCCTTTTGACGATACTTGATGGCCCACCCTGATGCGTGCTTGCTCGAAGTTGTTGTTATGCCACGTACGTGGAAGTGGCTCATGGATAAGAGATGGGACAATACACCGAGCATTGGCTTCAGCGAACATTGGCAATGTGTCATGAATATGCTGAACAGAGCTCCGTACAGAGCTGTGGACATGCTTCGACATTTCCATGTGCGTAATACTGTCGCGCTCGTGGCAGCTGCAAGGCACAATGGTTTTCAGACTTGCAAAAATATCAGGGAGATACATTTTGAAGTTGACTCCCTGTGTCAGTCTAGTGGATGTGAGCCATCATCGTGCCTTGCTGCAGCTCCTCGTTGGCTTGCTTCAACTATTCCAAGAGGGCGGAATTGACAGTATTGAGCACAAGGAGAGGCAACAGCATGCTGAGCCAGATGACATCGTCGAATCATGAATACATGTAAACGGCTGCGCGTAGAACAAAAGCACGATCACATAGACGATGGGAGACAAGGATAAAGAACAAATCAAGTGTAGGTGCAAATTATGCGCAGCATGGAATCGTATTCAAGTTCCTCCTTTCCCAGTCCATAAACGCCAAATGTAAATGCTTTCAGTCAAACTCCGCCATGACTCCCATCTTTTTTATCGTGACCGACCCAAGACTTTTCCCATTGTTGTGCAAATCCTCTAAGCGTAGAGCTTCTTGTCGAAGCTGTGGAGACCGTGAACGTTACCCTCAGCCTGGGCAGAGACGGTACGGAGCTCAAATCTGACCTCGCCATCAATGACACCTTGGCGAAGAGCAGTCAAGCTCTTGACACCAATGTCCTGGAGAGAGTGCTGGACACCAGAGATAAGGTAGGGAACGAACTTGGTGACGGAACCACGGTCGAGAACGGAACCAGAAACACCCTGAGCAACAAGAAGTCTGTCACCCTCGGAGAAGTAACGGGCAGTACCAGCGTTGGAAGCCTTGGGGTCGTTGGGGTTGGCAGAGCCTACGCCGGCCTTCTTATCCTCCATGGCGTCGATGGAACCCATACCTCTGTAGGCCTTGACGAGCTGACCCTCACGGGAGACGTAAGACTCACCAGGCGACTCAGTGGTACCGGCAAGAAGACCTCCCATCATGACAGTGCTGGCACCGAGAGCGAGACCCTTGACGATGTGGCCAACATTTTGGATACCGCCATCGGCAATGCAGGGAACACCGAAACGAGCGGCGAACGAGGTGACGCTGTGGACGGAAGCAGCCTGAGGACGACCTACAGCCATGACCTCCTGGGTGATACAGGCAGAGCCAGAGCCCATGCCGATTCTGAGACCGTCGACACCAGCAGCGATGAGACCAGCGGCCTGCTCACGAGTGACAACGTTTCCGCCGATGACGTCGAGAGCGGGGTGGGTTTGCTTGATGTACTTGATCATCTCGATCTGGTACATGGAGTTACCCTGAGAAGAGTCAAGGATGACAACATCAAGACCGGCATCGACGAGCTTCTGGAGACGGGCCTTATCGTCAGGGCGGGTACCGATGGCGGCAGCGGCGATCAGCTGCTTGGACTCGGAGAGCTTGGAGGCAAGGGGGTAGTTCAAGTTCTTCATCAAGTCGGAGCGGGAAACGAGCGAGATGAGATTGCCGTTGTCGTCGACGATGGGGAGCTTGCCCTTCTTGGACTTCTGGAGAATGGCGTTGGCCTCGGTGAGCTCAATGCCGCTCTTTGCGGTGACGAGCTCGGTGGACATGACCTTGTCGACGGTGTCGTTCAGGTTGTCGTGGAACTGGATGTCACGGGGAGTGATGATACCGAGGAGCTTGGAACGAAGCTTGCCGGACTCTGTCAAATCATGTCAGTCTTGTTGTTCCGAAAACGAGCTCAGACGAAACATGGGATTGTGTGTGTTTTTCAGATTCCAAAATATTTCTCCACAACAGATTGACTTGAATGCGGTTGAACGAAAGTTATTATATTTGTTGAGTCATCCTCAAACGGAGTGAGAGCGAAGTAAAGTTGTTGCTTACCAGTGACGGGGAAACCGCCGAAACCAAGCTTCTCCTTGAGAGCAATGGCTTCGCCGACGGTGGTCTGAGGAGAGATGACGACAGGGTCGAGGATGAAACCGTTCTCGTAGCGCTTGACCTTGCGGACCATCTCGGCCTGCTCATCGGCGGAACAGTTGTGGTGAATGACACCAAGACCACCGAGGAGAGCCATGTGGATGGCCATGTTGTGCTCGGTGACGGTGTCCATGGGGGAGGAGAGGAGGGGGGTCTTCAAGGAGATGCGCTTGGTGACAGGTGAGTCAAGAGTGACCTCGTTGGCGGAGAAGCCTGGATTGACAAGTAAGCACGCTGATCAAGGTGCGCATGCGCATTCAGCGGCTCATACCAATGTAACCGGGAAGGACCAGGAAGTCGTTGTAGGTCAGACCGCCGTTGTTCTTGGAGTCGAGGAGAGTCTGGACGTCGATGCCATCGCGCTCCGAGTATTCACTCTTGACAATGTCGAGGGCGTTCTTGAAGTCAAGGATCTTCTCCTTGTGGAGGACGGGAACCTGAGAGGTCATTTTGGCGAGAGGTCGTGTTTCGTGGGTCGTGTAATTATAGGAGAAGGAAAACGGATATGGAGAAGAGACAAATGACGAAAAGGGGTATCTCGATTGGAAGTAGTACGACGAAGAGGTCGACGGGTTCAAGTGTGAATACTTTCCCCAAGAAAAGAAGAGAGAAAAGAGAGTTGTTCGAGATTTTCTGCACACGCTCGACGCGCAGGCTTCGGCCACGGTCTGTAGGTGATCTGTGCGGTCTTGTTTGCATGGTTTGGTTTTGTCAATTGCTCGGCCTTAATGAGACCCTTTTCGTTTATCGCCGGCCGCAGCTATCATGTATTTGCCAAGGTTGGAAAGCAATTCTAACATCATGCTATATCACAGATCGAGTGTTTACGTAGTGATACTTGTTCTTGCAATCAGGCATCTGTATTGTCCAGTCCTGTCTTACTTCTCCTCTGTCACATCAGCTTATCTCCAAACATGTCGAGACGAAGTGGGATGCCTTGACGAAAGCATCGGCCAGCCAGCCCACCAAGAGAAAACAAAGCATGCAAATCACCTCTCGGGAATCTAGTGTACACTCACTCACTTGTTACCCAGTAATGTGCTCATAGCCATGATCGATGACAGGAAATAATCGCATGTCGAATTTGACCGAATTTGATGCAAAGGGTATAACAAAGTAGAAGAGAGACCCTTGATCGGCTCGTTTAGTGTTTGGGTATTAACTTTTGTTTCGGGGTGCGGGTGGGTTTGTTGACACCAAGACAAAACAACAAAGTCGAGCTTTTCGGCCCACCACTCTCCTGCATACATCGCGCCAGCCTGCTGCTCTGTTCAGCGCCAACTATTTTTCGAGGCTGAAGAGAGAGTCTTGTCTGCTAAGCCAGAACGGTCGTTTCAAAAGTTTGCGAGTCTATTCCGCAAGCGAAATCAAGAACGGGTGTTGCAACGGGCGTGTTTACGGGGATAGCGTTGCAAAGCAATCGATTTCTGCCCTGCTATGCCGCCTGGAGTAGTCGACTACTTTTTCCTTGTCTGCTGCTTTCACCATCATTGCTAATAGCAGTGCCGCGGGCGACGTCGCCGCTCTCTTCCGACACGCAAACTCGCCGTCTCGCTGCTGTGCGCGTGCCGCCGGGACTTGACAAGCCGACAAGCATACGTCTGCCCTACCTATTCATTCGGGTTCGCACCTTCCCTGAGACGACATGGCATATTTACAGCAATCACGCGGACAAGCGCCGGCATCTCCCTCGGTGCCTGGAAGTCCGCTCCGCCATGTGACCAGCATATCAACGAACAGTCTGCACCACAAACGAGGCCTCAGCGAAGCCACGGCCTCACCCAAAGCGAAAGGGTTCTGGGAGGCCAAAGAAGCCAATGTTGCGCCAGTCACACCTGAGCAGTTCCGCACTGCTCTAAGGCCCTTGCAACAGGCTCCGGGCACATCGCCTGCTCATCCCTCGTCGCATTCAACACCACACACCCAATCACACTCGCGCTCCAAAAGCCTACACGACTCTAGAATGGACCCATTCAACAACAGTACGCCCACCTCGCAATCCGCATCGCCTGTGCCGTCCACATCTCCGCCTGCAAAGTCTCGACCACATTCACTTGCCATCTCCCGCTCAGATTCAGTACGAGCCCCTATCCATGACCGTGGAAATCGCAATTCTGCCCACGTCCATTTCGCATCGCCCAGCCATATCGAAAAGTCCGAGCTGCAAGGCCTGCAAAGATCAGCTACGAAACACCTGCGCACACTCTCCAAGTTTGCTCAAAACACCGAAGATGACGACTTTTCGATAAAGTCTCCTGAGCAAGAGGTGGTCGGTCTGCATGGTCGCAGGAGGTTACAGCGTGCCATGACGACGAAAGAGAAGAAGGGCACAGAAAGTACCAGCAAATTCACGAGCAGTTGGGAAGCCAGCAAATGGATGGATCGTCAGCGTCAATTCTTGCAGGCCTACGAATATCTGTGTCATATTGGTGAAGCAAAGGAGTGGATCGAGGACATCATCCACAAACAAATCCCTGAGATTGTCCAGCTCGAGGAGGCCCTTCGAGACGGAGTCACCCTCGCTGAAGTTGTGCAAGCCATCTATCCCGATCGACCTATCCGCATATTCAAACATGAACGTCTGCAGTTTCGCCATTCCGACAACATTGCTCTGTTCTTCCGTTTTCTTGCCGAGATGGAGCTGCCCGAGCTCTTCCGCTTTGAATTGGTTGATCTTTACGAGAAAAAGAACATCCCCAAGGTCATCTACTGCATTCATGCCCTATCATGGCTTCTCTTCCGCAAAGGAGTTGTGGACTTCCGCATCGGTAATCTCGTCGGTCAGTTGCAATTCGAAGATCACGAACTTGAAGCCATGCAGAAAGGTCTTGACAAGGCTGGAATTAGTATGCCCAATTTCTCAGGCATGGGCGCCAACTTTGGTGAGCCAGAGCCAGAGCCTGAACCAGAGCCCGTCGAGACAGAGGAAGAGCGCATCCAGAGAGAACTCGCTGAACATGACGCTATGGTTGAGGACTTACAATCTCAAATTCGTGGAGCCATGGTGAGACTAAGACTCGGAGACACCATGAACCAGCTATGGGATGCCGAGGATGCCCTCATTGACCTTCAATCACGAATCCGCGGAGATTTTGCCCGCCAAATCTCCGATTATCGCATGGATATGAAACGTTTTGCTGTTCAGCTTCAGAGTGCTGCTAGAGGCTTCCTCATTCGTAGGCGTCGTAGCGGCCGTGAGCAGACCTGGAAAGCCCAAGAGAAGCAAATCGTCACTCTCCAGTCACTGTTCAGGGCACGCAAAGCTAGGACGGAGGTCAGAAGAATGCGGACGCTTATGCAAAAGCAGGACATGGGCATCCGCAACCTTCAAGCTGCGATTCGTGGTGCTCTGGGCAGATGGAATGTCAGTGATCAGTACGAAGCGACTCGTGAAGCCGAAGAGCCAGTGCGCTGGCTCCAGGCAGCGATTAGAGGAGCCATTCAGAGAAAACAAATCGAACGTCAGATCGAAGAGGGACAAGCTTCCGAGGAGCATGTTATTTCTCTGCAAGCTGCCATCCGAGGAGCTCTACAAAGGAACCAGGTCGAACGTCAGCTCGAAGACAGTCGCCAATCAGAACAAGATGTTGTTGCTATGCAGGCCGCGATTCGAGGTATGCTGGAGAGGAAGGGGCACGCTGCGAATGCCGACCTGCTTAGAAAGCACTCGAGATCTGTCGCATCACTCCAACATGCGATGGCCGGCTTCATCCAGCGTCGCAAGTTGGATCACACTCGTATTTCTCTCGACACCGAGACCCCTGCTTGGCTAGAGCTTCAATCGGCAGCACGTGGTCAAAAGGCGAGACGTGCTGTCAGGAAACTCAAGTCAGACCTACAAAAGCAGTCATCCTCGATCATCGCATTGCAGTCTGCGTTCAGGGCCGGTTGTAGCCGCAAGGACGTCAAAGCCATCAGAGATGCGCTTAGCTATCGCGAAAATGCAATCATCGCTCTCCAAAGCTGTGCTCGCGGCCATATGTTCCGCAATAAGCATCACGCCGACGTTACAGCCTTGTATGCCCAGAGGCCAGCCATCAAGGATCTTCAGTCTTTGTCTCGAGCATATCTCGAGCGTCAAAGAGTGTTCGATGTTTTGTGTCGGCTTAATGAGCAAGAAGAGCAGATCATCGAGTTGCAGAGCCTTTCTCGCGCCCTGCTTGGTCGTCGTGATATCGGCGTTCTTCTAGGACAACTTGAAGAAGATGAAGACGCTGTTGTGGATCTCCAATCTGCTGTCAGAGGACTGCTTGTCAGACGAGACTTTGCTGAGAAGCAACGCTTCTACCGAGAGAACATGGAGAAGGTCATTAAAGTTCAGAGCTTTATTCGGGCCCGCCAACAAGGGCAGGCTTACAAGAGTCTGACGAGTGGAAAGAACCCGCCCGTCGGTACTGTCAAGAACTTTGTTCATCTTCTTAACGACAGCGATTTCGACTTTGACGAGGAACTCGAATTTGAGAGATTGCGCAAGACTGTTGTGCAACGCGTGCGACAAAATGAGATGGCCGAACAATACATCGATCAACTTGACATCAAGATTGCTCTCCTTGTCAAGAACAAAATCACGTTGGATGAAGTCGTCAAGCATCAGCGACACTTTGGTGGACACGTTGGCAGTCTTTTGAACAACACGGAGATATCTTCCAAAGATCCCTTCGATCTCAAAGCCTTAAACAAGAACTCAAGAAGAAAGCTTGAACACTACCAGGAGCTATTTTTCCTTCTGCAAACTCAACCACAATATCTTGCGCGTCTATTCCACAAGCTGAAAGAACAAGGCATGCCAGAGCAAGAAGGCAAGAGGATCGAGCTGCTCATGATGGGACTCTTCGGCTTTGCTCAAAAGCGCAGAGAGGAATACTACCTGTTGAAGCTTGTGACACGTTCCATCCAAGAAGAAGCCGAGCACAGTGCCTCCCTTCAAGATTACCTTCGTAGTACCTTCTTCTGGAGCCGACTCTTGTCTGCCTACGTCAGAAGCCCTCGCGATCGTAAGTATATGCGTGATCTCTTCGGACCTCTTGTCAGAGAGAGTATCTTCGAGAATGCAGACTTGGACCTTGAGAGCGACCCAATGCAAATCTACCGAGCGTCTATCAACAACGAGGAGCTTTCCACAGGGCAACGCAGTCGCAGAAACCCAGACATCTCTCGTGAAGAGGCCATTCGCGACCCTGAGACCAGAGATCTCTTCGTATCCCATCTGCAAGACCTCCGCGATATCTGTGATCACTTCTTCATCCTCCTGGAAGAGACTTTGCCACGTATGCCTTACGGTCTAAGATTCATTGCTCAGCAGACATTCAACACTCTTGTTGCCACCTTCCCCGGAGAGAGTCAGCAACATCTCCTTCAAGTCGTTGGACATTGGTTGTGGAAAGCTTATCTTGCACCTGCATTGACTCAACCGGAGATGTGGGGCATAATCGATCGAGGTCTAAGCCCGATCCACAAGCGTAACCTCGGTGAAGTCGGCAAGGTCCTGGGTCAGGTCTATGCGGGTAGACTGTTCGGAGGCGACCACATCTATCTGCAGCCTTTGAACACCTGGGTGGGTGAGGCTATTGAGAGAATGGAGGATCTTCTTGCATCTCGTAAGTCTTTGCTTGATCTCAAATCTCACAGTACTAACATCATCTAGTCATCGACATCCGTGAACCCGAACAGCAATTCGACATTGACGAGTTCAACGATCTCTTCGCCCGTGTCAAACCTACCTTGTACATCAAGATGGCGGACATCTTCGCCATTCACCACCTTGTGACCAACGAGCTATCGAATCTTTCCGGCCCGAATGATGTTTTACGTGAAATCATCCGCGAACTCGGCAGTGCCCAAAGCAACGAGAACGAAATGATGGGTGTTGGCTCGAATGAAATCAGTCTCCAATTGACGCCCAAATTCCACGACAAGCAAGACCCTGAGGCCGATCTTAAGCAACTCTTCATGGAAACCAAGCGCCTTGTTCTTTTCATCATCAGGATACAAGCTGGAGCCAATCTGCTTGATATTCTGGTTCGACCCATCACGGCGGAAGACGACGACAAGTGGTTCTCACTCTTGGACGAAGAAGCTTTGCATCAAAAACGCAACCCTAGAGCGCCCTCGGCATACTCTGGTATGATGGAGGATGAACCGGCCTCAACTCTGTTGGACATCACGTCCATGTCATATGCCGAAGTCAAGAGCGCAGCTCTTGAAAACATCCTCCTCCTCGAACAGCATGGAAAGGTCAACAGGCATAACCAGTACCAAGACCTACTCAATGCAATTGCTATTGACATCAGGACGAAGCATCGTCGTCGTGTACAACGCACTCGCGAGCTCGAGGGTGTTCGTGCCACGCTTACTCAACTAAACTCAAAGGCCTCTTACCTGGACGAGCAATTGCAGAGCTACAACGACTATATCGAGCAGGCCATGATAACATTGCAAAACAAAAAGGGCAAGAAGCGATTCCTTCTACCTTTCACCAAGCAGTATAACCACGAGCGTGAGTTGGCTCGCTCTGGTCGCACACCCAAGTTCGGTTCGTACAAGTACTCGGCACGTGCTCTTGCCGAAAAAGGTGTTCTCGTCAGCTGGGATGGGTACGATGCAACTCAATGGAACCGTATCAACGTCACCATCTCCTCCGATGAAGTCGGTGTCTTCCATATTGAGGGAAGCATGGGCAGTCTCATGATCCCAGGTGCCAGCGCCTCTGTACCGCTTGACGACCTCCTTCAGGCACAATTCGACAATCACCAATTCATGAACCTGTTCCGTGGGACTGGCGGTGACGGTGGCTTGAAGTTGAACGTCAACCTCTTCTTGCACCTGGTCTTCAAGAAGTTCTACCGTGAAGAGTAGAGAGCGCGGTACCTCTTCTTCATTTTACGTCGACATGACTCGTGTGTTTCTTTTTTTCGTATTACTCCTGTTTTCTTACTCTCAAGACGTCATGTCCTCCTCTGTTTATATAATACGACCCCTTTTGAATTCTCATGGCATACGAACAGGGCAAAGAAGCCGAATTTAGGACCCTCCCATATGGCGTTTCCTTCCTATGAGTTTGAGAAGAGTCATGGCTGTGGCTCACAAGAGCGGCTAGGTTGTTGAGCATAGAATACCCATTTGATGTTAATGTTACATTTTTCATATTTTCAACTGACCTGCCTTGTATGCTGAATGGCAAGGATGGCAACGTGTGTTCTCAACAAAAGATCATGATGCCTGGATTGTGTCAGAAAGAATATGTCTGCACAATCTCGGAAGAGGGTTGTGCACGGTAAACTGTTCTCTTGGCAAGCAGGAACGCCTACGTCTTCGTGACTTCTCAACTGTGTATGTCACTTTCTGACCCTAAACGATGTGCAATACTAAGTCTACGCGTGGACGCTGCGCCTGAAACAACGGGTATCGGCGGAAATACTGCACATATCTCAAACCACGCTTGATTGTCGCGGAATCTCGCGTCCGAATGTTCGATACGTTGCGACCATCAGCATGTCACTAGTCGATCATCTGCGCTCATGAATCCTGAACAGCCGCGAAGAGCGGCTACTGTGCCATTGCCAGTTCCCCAAGGCCACCAAAACCCGCCACCAGCTCCGCCTTTGCCGCCGCAGCAACGAGCTCGCAATGCTCTGAACAGATTCTTAGGCTTCCCTGCCAGAGCTGCTGATGGAGAGGGCGATGGTCGCGAGGGTAGTAGTGCAGGACTGAAGGACGTTCAAAGACTTCCTAGTTTGTCCGCGTACAATGCCAGTGCTAGTCATAAAACCGGCCTCGAAATTAACTCTCTATCTATCAATGATGAGGGAAGTCATGCCATTCTTGCTGGACGAGACATCCTCAAAACCATTCGCGTTGATGAGGGAAGCTGTACGGAAGACATCAATATCCGGACTGCCATCCGAAACTACAGTGCGCACACCTCCGGACGATCCAAAGACAATATCAACATATCAGACGTTGCATGGGGCAAGGGCAACTTTGGCAACTACATCGCCGCTGCTAATGCCAATGGACCTATCACTTTGTACGACCTCAATCATCCTGGAATCGAAGTTGCGCAGCTGAAAGAACATCGCCGGCAAATTCACAGAGTAACGTTCAATCCTCATGCTGGGCAGCATTTCCTCTCTGCTAGCCAAGATGGAACTGTACGACTTTGGGATCTCCGCGATGTGAGACGAGATGCCAACACGTTTCCAAGCAGATTCACAACCAGTGGCCAGAATGAGGGAGTCAGAGACGTCAAATGGTCTCCGACCGATATCTTTGAGCTCGCCATGTGCACAGATGGAGGATTTGTTCAGAGATGGGACACCCGCAAGCTCAAAACTCCTCTGACACGCATTGCAGCTCATACGGGACCATGCGCGACAATTGACTGGCATCCTGATGGTAAACATTTGCTTAGTGCCAGTTCGGACAAAACGGTCAAAGTCTGGAATATCTCCGCTGAAGGAAGGAGGCATAAGGCTGTGTACGAGATCAAAACACCACATCCCTTGCGCCATGCTAGATGGAGGCCTTCCTGTCAGTCATCATGGCCTAAAGGTCGGGGCGCGAGGCAGTGTACACAGATTGTCACATCTTACGAGCGTGATCATCCTATCGTGCATATTTGGGACTTTCGAAGACCGTGGCTGCCATTTCGAGAGATGGAAGGCTACCAAACGGCACCAACAGATCTTTTGTGGCATTCTCAAGATCTTCTATGGACAGTCAACAGGGAGGGCATGTTCTTACAGCATGATATCAAATACGCTCGCAAAGTCATGGAAAAACGCAATATGCAAGCCTTTGCTATTTCTCCGCTCGGCGAGTTTAGTCTGGTAACTCAGAAAAGAGCAACTCGTCTCAGGCCAGGTCTTAACCGCGACGACAGTGAAGCGTTCATCCATCAACGACGATTAGGTCTTTCTCATACTGAGACAATCGGGCAAGGGCATAGTTCAAGTCGGGGGTCGCATGACGACACACTAGACGACACTTTCCTAAGCAGCTCCTATGGAAAGCGTCATACAAGATCACCCAGTGCCAGGATAGGAAAGATGTCCAATGGCTCTCCGCCGGCTTATGATGTTGGCTCGACTCGGACTGTCAGCCTCGAAGATGTCTTGAAAGCGGGTCGAGCATACAAGCCAGGTCAGAGCGCTGCTCGTGGCCGTCTACCTGGTAGCCCGAATTTGTTGCTTCTCCAGTACTTCGCCAAGCAGTACAAAACACGGGCTCTTCCCGAACCTCCCTCAGTCGACGCATTTCTGAAGGCACATGAGATGTTTGAGCACAACGCAAGTTATGCTCAGAAAGCGTCACTATATCGTATGGCCCAGTCTTGGAGGATCATGGGTCGAGCGGTCATGACGGAGTTACTGAACAGAGCGGATCACCATCGTGGATTGAGGGTAAAGAATGATTCTGGTCCTCGTAAAAGCTTGTTGGACGAATCACCGTTTGCCAGAAGGACTAGACGATGGCTCGGATCAACCGAACGAAGACTGAGCTCAAAGCCTGGTACACCACTGAGTCGCCCGTTGAGAACGATGGAATCGCTGTCGACTGTTCAGCCCGATAGCACATCAAATGTTCCTACGCCAATCGCTCGACCCGTGAAAGACCGTCACGAGTTAGAGCGAGCTTCGCTCAAGGAGATTGACAAGGATGAGACTCTCACACTGCCACCTTCGCTTCTTACTCCTTCGGAGATACGCGAGAACATCGAAGGTCAGAGCCGGGCTACGTTACAGGCAGTTGATCACAGAGGTATCGAGCATCGTAACTCTTGGTATGGCTCTGTACAGAATTATCGAGAGAAACGAGAGGCTATCAACAACTGGAGACAGCCTGTGAAAGAACCACTTAACCTTGAGGATGAGCCAAGTGAGCGGCCCAAACCTACCAGATACAACTCGGATGAGAGTTTTGGCATGTTCCCATCTTTGTCATCACGAGATGCTTCGGGGCCTGCTTCCTCAATTGCTAGCAGTCGATCAAATCTGATGGACGCCGTACAAGAAAACCTTCGATCAGAAGGCTCATATGGTTCAATGAATCTAGGAAGCAGTTCATCTTCCGAACCGATTATGGGCCGGAGTTATCAGGCAAGACAGGGTGTTCCGGAAGATCAAGGTCAAGGGAGCGTTGTCGAAACCTCATCAGGAAGCGACCACAACGGCCACATGATGGTCCCTGCGCCTAGACAGAATACAGATGCGCCAGCAAGAGATATACCTCGAGATATGCAGACTCTTGCTATGAACAACCAGCAAAGTTTTGCTTCAGACGTTGACACTTTCTCCAATCAACGAAAACCCTCTGACGATGTCGAGAATATGGAAGCTAGTGGAACCATCATTCCACATCGACACTCACGGCAGCTAGGACGGTCGAGAGAAGGATCCATAACTAAGCCTGCCACTCTGCCACAGATTACGGAGAGCGTATCGGCGGTGATGCCCTCGAAAAACGCTTCTATCGACGCCACGAAGACACCGTTCATCACAGCCGACTTTCTAGCATCCGACTACAATATCGATGCCGAGAAGGATAAGCCGTTCCGCATTATAGACATGCTCAATCACCTTCTCGACTACCATACTACCAAGGTGCCCGACGCTCAGGCCGCAACGAATCTTATTTTCCTCCTGACTCCTCTGCTTCCCGAGACGCATGCACTACCGCAAGCGAAGGTCGACGCGACCATTACCGTATACAGTGAGTATTTCACTGCAATGGGTTACAGCGACATGGAGATTTATGGCTTGTTCTCAACATCGTTTGAACATCTTATCAAGGCAGGGCTGCAACCTCTGCAAGCAGAGAGCATAATAAGCACCTATCACAGTCAGCTACAACATCTCGGACTATTCAGTCATGCTGCATATTTGCGTCGTGTCAGCTACCCCATGTATCCATCAGTGTACGAGGGTGGTCTCAAAGACACACAAGTAAGCTTCATGTGCGGAACGTGCAGAAAACCCATTACTGCTCCCAACAAGATGCGATGTGAGAATTGTACACAGCGTCAAGATCCGTGTCCAATCTGTTGGTGCGATACGAGTCCATTTGAGGGTCCCGCAAAGATCAAAACACGCACAGGTGGCAACCGAGTCGCTGTAGCTGAACCTTTCATTCGACCAGCAAGTGCGGGAGACGATAGCGACGACGACATCCGACAGGCCATCGGCGAGATAGGCGTTCAGACAAACGCACTGTACTCAACTTGCCTGCTCTGCAACCATTCAGCACATGCAGCGTGTCTGCGTACATGGCACTCAGGAGCACCATCTGATCTCGATGTTTCTCCGACTTCTGTATCAACATCTGAGGGCGCCTGTCCTACTCCAGGTTGTCTATGCGCTTGTACGCCAGGTCCCCGGCGAAATGATCTGTTGGATACTGTCGAGCGAAGAGAGCGGGAAAAATGTGTACGTGATGATGACTGGGTAATTGCGGAGTCGAGGGCTGCGCAAATGGCTGCTACGTTAGCGGGCGGAAGGAAGAAAAGTGGTTTGAGCGTCACAACGCCGAACGAAGAGGCCGGCAATAGCAGGCGGGAAAGAAGAAGTGTAGGCTTCAGACAGGGCTAGCTTTCTATCCGATCCACATCGTTTAAACCTCAAGATATCGAATAGAGGTGAATCGTGACTATCTCCGTGCGCTTTCCTCCTTTCGTACTTTCCACAACTCACGGCCAATCGCCGAACTGTGAGCAACGATCACGCAACATCGCCTCCAAAATGGGCGACAACTCTTCACCCGAGCACAGCGAAGGCGCATCGCCCGTTGTCACCAGGAAGAAGAGACAAAACTCACTCAGGTCCATATACAGTCCAAACCGATTCGCTCTCTCCCGGACAATGCCTCAGCTCCTCAAAATCACCTTGCCTATCCACAAAGATCAAGCGGCCCCTACTGCTACGATCATGAGAGCCTCAGCTGCTCAGGAAAGGGATAACAGTAATGTTGTGCTCCCTCCTCGGCGATACCTCGGTTTCTCAAAATTATCTTGCATGTCTACAGCCAGGAATTAGCCCTTACCACGACCATGAGAGCCTAGTCCCTCTGTGGGTACATTCACTTGATCTCTCATTTGCGTAGTGCCCTCGATGACAGCAATGATCGTAGCGTTCGTCACGGAAAGTGCAGGCAATTAAATGTTTGCTAGATTCTGCCTTGCCGCCAAAGTGCTCCTTCCCTCGACGAGCTCCTTCTCACGCCTGTCGCTCATAACGTCAGGTGTACCTCCCTGCTGAATTCAAGCGCCAGCTCCTTCCTCGATTGCGCCTTCCCGTTCAAATTCGTGCAACGCGTCAACTTGCTGCCTGAATGCTTTTCCATAAGAAGACTTGCCCTCTCGACAACGACCAGATCCGGATCGCGATCTTTGATCAAGCGATACAGTTCGTTGGCGTTGTGGTGCACGATTCTGACCGTATTCAATAGCTCTTGTGAGTCGGACATTGCGTTCTGGGTGAGTTCTGTAATCATGAATGAAGAACACCCAAGAGAATAGAGTGTTTATCAACTGTAAGATGAACAGTTGCATGGCGTTGCCATGTGCCGCATCAGTGGAAGGTTCTGGCCGTGTTGCTTTCGCATGCAGCAGCTCCCTGAAGGAGATTCGCCGTAGCCGTGCAAAGCAACATACTTGAGAACAACACGTGAAAGAAGCAGCGTCCTTCTGATGAGACGCAAATAATATGCGTCATGAGACAAGGCCAAGGTGACGATATCATGTATCAACCAAGTGAAAGACACAAAAAGAACACAGCCAACAGCTCGAGGCGTTGAACTGTACTCTTTCCTTCTCCAAAGGCTACAAGCTATAGCTGTGAGTATCCGAGATACTTATGCGATCTGCATAGTCATTCGTGTGCAAGAACTGTTGGTCGTGCTCTCGACGAACAAGACTGTGATCAGAGGGATTAGCTGACTCAAAGCAGGGTAATCTCTGCAAGTGGAGTTGCGTCCCGGGGAAGTCATCAGTCTACTGACTCTCTGCAGGGCTTTCTTTGGGCCGAAAACCGACTGTGCATGTTTGCAAGTTATTTTTCGCTCACCCTCTTCATGGAGGAGAGAGAAGTGACCAACAGATGCGAAGACTGAAGTTCGAAGAAGCATCAAAGCTTCTCTTTAGCCGAGGCCTTGGCACCAAATATCTTCCTTGTCCATGTGCCTGCCCGCCTTCCTGAAATCTCCACATCCACATCGATTCTGGCGCCGGACAGACAATATCCCGCCAATGGCACATTTTCCGGTTCTTCCGACCCTTCGAATGATCTGGGGATGTGTAGGGCACATTGCTGCAATCAGTTAGCTGCCGTGTACGTTCCCCATATTTTTAAGTTACCCCGTGGGCGGGACCGTTCGTCTTGCGGAGAAACAGACGGCCTCCCTTGAGAGGCGTCATCTTGTATCTGCGTTCTTTACATGAGTCTTCCATATAAAGCCCACACTTGGTCGCATCCCAGAATGGATTCGTTCTCATTACCATCTCCACTTCTTCAAATATGCTTTTCCAACCTCTCTTTGCTGCAACTCTGTTGAGTGCAATCACAGCTGTCGCTTCGCCAACATGGTCTGCTCAGCAGGAATATACCAAGTCCCTCCCTAAGAGTGTTTCTAAGCACCAGGGTACCCGACCAAAGACCGATATCTCGCCTAAGAAGCCATTCAAGGCTTTCCCTTCTTCGCCCTCCAGAAACAGAGTCTGTTACGTCAGCTCTCACAACGACGGCGTGACAGATGATTCAGAGTACATTCTATCTGCTGTGAATAAGTGCAACAACGGTGGTCATGTCATCTTCTCTCAAGGCCAAAAGTACGTTATCGGAACTGCATTGAACTTGACCAACCTCAACCACATCGATCTCGATATTCAAGGCTACGTTCAATTCACCAACGACACCGACTACTGGCAGGCAAACGCTTTCAAGCAAGTTTTCCAAAATGCTACAACCTTCTTCCAGCTCGGCGGTAATGACGTGAACGTCTACGGTGGAGGTTTTCTCGATGGCAATGGCCAGGTCTGGTACGATCTGTATGCTCAAAACATCTACATCTTGAGACCCATCCTCTTTGGTGCTGTCGGCTTGCACAACTCGACTATTCAGAACTTGAACTTCCGCTACAGTCCTCAATACTACAACTGGGTAGCCAACAGCACCAATGTCTTGTTCTCGAACATCTCCATCTCAGGATCCAGTCAAAGCAAGAACCCTGCCAAGAACACTGTAAGCAAAAACCTGTGTCGGGGTGGTATCATCATACTAATCACTTTCTTAGGACGGATGGGACACTTACCGTAGTGATAACATTGTCATCCAGAACTCGGTGATCAATAACGGTGACGACTGTGTCTCATTCAAGCCCAACAGCACCAACATTCTTGTTCAGAATCTGCAGTGCAACGGCAGTCATGGGATCAGTGTCGGCTCCCTAGGCCAATACCCCGCCGAGACCGATATCGTGGAGAACGTCCTCGTCTACAACATCTCCATGAGTAACGCTAGTGATGGCGCTCGTATCAAAGTCTGGCCTGGATCCCCGGCAGCTCTCTCGGGTGACCTTCAAGGTGGCGGTGGCAAAGGTCGCGTCAACAACATCACTTATGACACCATGTCCATCAACAATGTCGACTACGCTATCGAGGTCACCCAATGCTACGGTCAGAAGAACTTGACAGCCTGCAACGAGTTCCCCTCTAAGTTGACCATCTCGAACATCGTGATGAAGAACATCCACGGCACCACTAGCTCCAAGTACAACCCTATCTCCGGATACGTCGTCTGTAGCAGTCCAAGCGTCTGCACTAACATCAAGTTGTCGGACATCAATGTCAGCAGTCCCAATGGTACCGTCAATGAGTTCTCCTGTGGCGACGTCGATGAGAGCCTATTGGAGGGCATCCAATGTACCACCATCAATAAGGGGTACAACTAGGACGCATGTTTATGTAGTGACTGATGAACATTCTATACACAATATCAACTATTAAGTCACATGCCATATTGAAGCCTTGACGAGAAGTGGATAAATTCGGGACGAGACACAAGGAGCTTCCTTGACAGTGAGAAGGCGGGAATTACCTGTCAAAATGCACCGAATACTCTGTCGTAGTGAACTGCATTGGGGGAGTTGTAACATATTCCACGACTCCCTGGACATTCCATGCCGCCGAGGAGATTACTGTGCATTCCTACCGGCTGACCTGCTCGCAGGTGTGGTTGCGTGCAATCAACTTCGACGAATTCCTCTATCATGAGCCGCGCGCGAGTCTTCGTAAGTCGGTGATTGACATGTGCGAACACTACATGTTCGTACATAACATGTAGCAGCTACACCGCTGTGGCCTTATACCAGGTTTTCCATAGTGTCCCGATCTACAAAAAGAGCCATGTCTGTCTCGAAGTTGTAAATTATCTTTCCCCTCCAATACAGAACTTCTCACACAAGTTCACAAACACATCAACCTACCAAACATGACGACCTTCGAGCTCTCCTCCTACGTGGAGACCGGTAAGGATGAGATACAGACCCTCTCCAAAAGCCTCAAAGCTTTGCAGAACAAGATGAGAGCTGCCAATACCGACGTCAGCATGGTTCAATATCTCGACGGATGTCTTGCAAAGGCACAAAAGCTATCTAACACATTGTCTGTCTTCATTCAGAAAGAGATCAACAAGTACGTTCTCCCAATGTCCACACTGCTTTCAGGCTGAGCGAGGCTGACCTCAAAATAGTGCCAGAAAGATGGCTGACCATCTCGCCGAGCAAACGATCGCAGACGCCATCGATCAACTGGCGGAAGATGTTCGCTTGCATTCACCTCAGAACAGACTGGCAGTCCTTGCTCTTCGTTTCTTCTTCGAAGGAGCTGGCAGCAGAGTCAAACGTAGCAACTTGAGAGACAGACTCATGGCTGCCACGGACGACAATAATCTCGGAAACTACCCCTGGGTGGATGACTTTGGATCTGTACTTGCGTTGTACAAGAAGAACATCGAGAAGTTGGCTTTGAAGTATGCGACTGAGGGAGTAAAAGAGACCATCGAGACTGAGGCTCAAGGATTCTTTGGCATCACCGATGAGTGTTGATCATGCGACTTGAAAGGACAATGTAGTAATTTGAGTGATGGAAAAAGCAAAATGTAGCTTCATGTCAGGGTTTGGATAGCAGAAATGAGAGTTCACCATGGTCATACATAATGTACAATCAATGTGATAGCGTCACTAGTATGTTATACAGATACGAAGAGGCACGAACTCTGTGTAAAGAAGTGACTCAATAGATGAGAGCCCTGATAATCGGCTCTTCTCGGCGTTCGACTTCATCAAAGTGAATGGTGTATGCCTTTGGACAAGTCTCCTCACAACTGGTGACATCAGTAAGATGACTATGGCGGTATGCTCGGAAGACTCGCATGCAAGGAAGTGAAGAGTAACGTCCAGTCCTGCTGAATTGAACGTGTTGTCCATTGTCAAATTCACCGTTCAGAATATGTCACTCTCCGTCGTCAGCCTTCACTATCGGACGGACAGTTGGAATTCTCAACTGCATATAAAAGCTCCCCTCTCGGCCATCTTCCTGCCATTCTTCTTCCATCACCCGATCTTACCACTCCAAATAGATCTCAACATGTCTTCTAGAGTGTCCTACAGGCTCTACCTGGAGACAATCATTCCTGACTCTCGTGCCAGGATCAACGTCTTCACGGACAACCTGATGACCCTAAAGAAAGGCATGGAGGATGCTGAGGCCGACCCTGACTTGGTTGAGCGTTTCCACGAGGACTTGGTTTCTATCGGCGAATACCGCTTGGCAGTCGATCGCGTTGAACTTCTGGCAGAGAAGTATGATTGTGTATCGTCATGTTTCGATCAATGCTAACAGATCGGCAGCGCATTGAAGATGGACAACGCCTTGGCCGACAAGATCATCAAAGAGGCAGTCGACCACCTCGTCGACAAGGTCCGCACACAATCATCTGACCTTGGACTTGCCGCAACCATACTCAAAACGTTCTTCGAGGGCCCCGAGGGCAACGGCAGGCGCAAGGACCTTGAGCGCAGACTGAAGCAGAAGATCGGTCTTTCCTACCTCGGCGCCAGGATCGACCACGATGACGAAGATTGGGAACTTGAGGAAGGACTACAGGCATTCCAGGTGGAGGCCAGGGATCTGGCTCTGAAGTACGCGATTGAAGATGCGCAGAAGATGGTTGAATTTCGCTTCCGAGTTGTAGGCGACAACTGATGGCGATCGCACTACAAGCTCAACTCAGGCTTGATCGAAACGTACAACAGAGTCCCCAAGACAGAGGCTAGCGAACAAACCTAGCAAGAGCAAGCTCCCAGAACCGCGCTCTCAGGGCCGCTCTCAGCACTAGCCCGCCACGAATGAACGAGCCATCAAACCATGGCCCAATACAAAGCCAAGCTCTCTTCCATCCCCATATTTTTCATGTCAAAAGTGCTGATAACATATGTACCTCCCGTATCTGTATCAACGACCTGTGCTCTCAGCGGCCGCAAACTTACAAAGGAGTCGTGAGGGTTACCCACATTGATCTTGCGACAGCGACAGGAAAAGCGAGGGTTTGAATATGGAAAAACAGACCCGTAGTTTCCCGACCCACTTGGTTGCCTCGTTGATCATGGGAGGGAAGAAGAGGCAGTGAGTGTATCGCTGGGATGTGGAGAGGAAAAGAGAAGGAGAGAGATGGGATATGCCTTTTGGAGTGAAGACGAGTTGTGGAAGGAGCGATGGGGAAGGAACGAGACTTGCAGCTACGATACAATCTGGATGACAAACAATCGATAACAAGGGCAGTCACTAAGTTCTTCCCGGAAGTCAGACCTACTCGAGCATGATGAACTCAACAAGACGGGGTAGTCGCTAATGGTCACGGAGACTGAGCACGCATAGTGATCACAGACGTGTTGATGCGTGCGCACACCTCTCAAAGATCAAAAGCCGGATAAAACAGAGAGACGAAAGACGAAAGACGAGACGTGGTGGGTTTTTGGGAGGGAGATATCATTTTCTTTTCGTTGACAAGCACGGTCGAAAGGGTATTGCGTGATTTTGTGGTGATGCTTTTGCGCGGTAGGGTGTATCCTCCTTCAGTCGTAGTCCTTCTGTCGGAGTCCTTGTGCGCGCATACAAGCCAGCCAGCCAAGTAAAAAGCTAGCCAGCGAGTAGAAGAAAGAAAACCCCAAACTCCGAGTCCCCTTTCAGTGTAAAAAAGCCTTGGGTCCTCCGTGATGCCATGGTGTTTTTGTCATGTCCTTTTTTGCGCAAGTCTATCAGCATATCGTTCATGCTTTGGGTGTATGTCCAAGAAGTCGCTCACCTCACACACAAGCCCAGGTTCCTCAGACGAGACGTTTATCGGCTGGCGCTCCAGACGTTCTTGAGGTAGCCGTCACGCTGAGCGAGGCGGTTGATGCAGTCGTCGGACTCGCCCATGGCGCGAACGAAGCCGCAGAGGGCGTAGGCCTGGGTCTCGCCATTGAATCTGCCGTTCTCGTCGACCTTGGCGACGGAGATCTGAACAGAGCCGTGGTCCTTGGCCTTGATGATGCGGTTGGTTGCGCTGCACTTGCGGGGGACGTAACTGCACGGTGGAGATATGTCAGCCCTCGTGTTCTTGTTCTGGTCTTCCGTCTGTCTCTTTCTGTCGCTCGAGGGCGCACTTGGTTGGAAATGATCAACTGATCGTAGGGGTATCGTACAGGTCGACGAGCTCTCCGCGTTCGTTCTCCATGTTGACGGTGTTGTGAGGTGGGGGTTGTCGAAAAGAAAATGGGACTGAAGACGACGACGTTCGGGGGTGCGAAAACGGGAGAAATTCGACCTCGTCAAAGCCCACACGCAGCGAGCCTCCCCAGCGCGCGCCATTTCGACGCCAAGGCTTTTGTCCTATTTTCGCGGCCTGTGCGTCGACTCTCGTTCCGGATCATAGTTTTTCCGACCCCGATCTTGCGAGCATCAACTCATTGAGCGTCAATCAAGTCAATCAAGCGCCCGTATAGTTAACACATCGATCTTCCCAAGTGAAAGACTAGTTCACTGTTACGAGCAAGTGAAGTCCGTAGAATCAAAGTGTATATCAGAAGAATGCTGTCGATTGAACCAACCATATCATCGCTCTATGCACCTCAAGGCCCCAAGAATTACCGGTAGGTCGTGTGTATCAATACAAAAGGAGACGCAAAATAAGCGACAAACGCAAGCAGTATTAACAAGAAGAGAGCCTTAAGAATCATATCCATCCATCCTTCTCATGCTTTCATTACAGCATCATAGCTGCGGCAAAGAAAGCCACAAGAGCAACAAGGCTACCCGCGACAACTCTGTTGCCATCGTTGGTACCGCTACCGCTCTCCAATCCTTGCGAGAAGGAGTTGGATCCAGTGTAAGTAGAGCCAGAGCCAGAGTCAGATGAACCAGATGAGCCCGACGAACCACTGCTGCCAGAAGACGAGCCAGAACCGCTGGCAACATCACTTCCAGACTCGCGAGAGCCACCACCAGAGACACCGGGAATAGTTTCAGGCTGAGCGGTGGCAGAAGACGAGGCAGTAGATTTGCTACCGGTCTTGGTAGCAGCTACACTAGAGCTAGCACCCTTCTTGGGCTCCTCGCCAGTGGCAAGGAAGGAGGACAGAACGGTGTTGTTGTTACCAATGACAACAGTGTCATTGGTTCCGTACTTGTTCTCATACCAGTAAGCCTTGTTGCCTTGGTTGTTGTAGCCAGCTGGGGGGTTGTAGCAGTCAACAGTCTGTGGAATCGATCAGTCTTTGCACGCCATCATCATGAAAAAGTACAAAACTTACAACATCCTTTACCATAGCGTAGTAGTAACCGTTCTGCATGTAGGGGCTGCTCCAGTCGATCTCACCACCAGCCCATTCAATGGTACCTTGGGCATTACCGGCTTTACCGGCAGGCCACAAACTGAACTGGACTCTGGAAGGAGTTTGAGGGTAGTGGTACTGTCCAGCAGTCGCGTTGTAGGTCTCGTTACGGTAAAGTGTACGAAGAACCTTGCCATCAACCTCCCAACTGAGAGAGTCAGGCTGCCAATCGATTGTGTAGGTGTGCCACTGCGAATCGGTGTTGGGTGCAGAAAGGTTCTTTTCGTTACCGTCTTTACTCCTTGTCAGCAGTTTGTTCATAGACATAGGCCAAGCATGCATGACTTACAATCAGTAATTCCTTGGAAGTAGTAGTTGCTCTGAGCAGTTGCGACATCGGTACCAATGAACTCGAAATCGATCTCGTCCTTGACATCACTCATCATGATGAAAGCGGTGACAACACCAGCACCTCGACTTGTCTTCATGGTAGCGCTCATCTTTCCGTACCAGACATAGCGAGTGCTACTCAAGAGTGTACCAGACGAGTCCTCGGTCATAGTGAGCAGTACAGCATCGTTGTTGTACATCAAAGGGTTACCAGAGAAGACCCAGTTACCGCTCGCCGGATCTCCCAAGTATTCGGTGTTCTCCACGAAGCCATCCATGCTGCTGAAATCATAATCGGACGACTTGCAGACAGGCGCGGGCATACAGGAATCTATGCTGAACGAATCTTTTGTGTAACATCCTCCCAAACAGTAGGCACCAACACCACAGAATCCGTAGGACGAGCAGCATGGAGCGCTGGAAGGACAAGGATTGTTCGAGTCGCAGGTAATCATGGCCTGAACGGCAGAGGCCGCCGCCACGGTCAGGGCGGCCACAGCGTGGATTGTCTTCATTTTGGATATGTTTTTGCGTCACTAGTCCACGTCACGTATGGCGATTTGTGCGATGGAGCAAGTCGTGCTGAGGCTGAGGGAGCGTCGTGGTCGAGGCCGAAGGGGGAGGCGTCGTAATCACGGGCTCGATGGAGATTGTCGTTTCGTGTAGGTACGAGAGTGTGGCGACAACAAGCGAATGATATTGTCTGATAGAATAGCAATACCCAGCGGTAGTAGTGGTGTTAAGAATATATGGAACAGCGAGGGCGCACGAAGGAAAAGAGGACAAATCGAATCCGTATTGCCTGAGTTGGCGTCAGAGACAAAAATAAGTCAGAGTTCAGGGCCAATGCGAGATGCGGATGGCGGATGCAACCTGCAGGCCAAGCAAAGGGGCGACGGCGTGTTTGCAAGTCGATCATCTGCGCAATCCCGCTCGTATCAAACCGCCTATATCACACCCAGTCCAAATCTCGACCATCTCACAGAGTCACAAGACCATCCCTCTTACACGAGTCTCTTCCCAACATGATCTTACTACATTCATGGTCTTCACTACACAAAGAAGTCCATCATCCTGCATGGATTGTTCCTCGTTCAAGTTTGAGGGTCGAGACTCCGCGGCCTGCAGCCTGCTCCCCACAATTCTCGGCAACTTGCATCCGCGAAACTTCACAACTGTCACTAATCTGCATAACAACCCACCTTAACCTCGCAACGAATCTATGATGGTATGGGCAGATGTGTTAGCTCTACCTATTCTGTTTTCACCTTGGAAGTACGCAAATGACTAACATGAATGTAATGTAATACTTTTGATAAGCCACCTCGAAGAACAATGTCTAAAACGACGATGAATGAATTAAAACCCAACTCATGCGTCTTCGAGACTGCAGCAATACAATGTGCACTAGGAAACACCTTGATAACCCTCGTCCCACCCTAGCCGATGGTGATAGTCCAAAGAAGCAATGAACACACATCTTTCACCATTCTCAGCAACCACGCCTTTCTAACCACCATCTCACATATGTGCAGGGAAGCAGTTATGACACCAAGCGTCAGAGAAGGCTTGCCTAGAAGGTAGGTGTTCGGTTGCTTGGACGACTTGGAAGTTGCCGCATGGAACAGAAGGGTAGTTGGCGTTTCTTGCCCATTCTCGGACACGACTGTGTGGTGAGTCTTCAGGCCTGTAGGGTAAGTGGCGCTCGCCATACTTCTGGCCCTTCCCATTGGTCTTGAAAGCATCTTTTCCGTGAATCTCACTCTCGAACTCATTGAAATTGACCGGTGCGTAGGGGTTTCTTTCGGCCACAGGTCCGTCGCCCTGGAACGAGATCTCCAGACCGTCGCCACCACTCCATCCGTAGCGCCATCCGGGAGCAGCAGACTTGACGTCCCAGCCCTTGCGTTGGTGTTCCTCCTCTTCGACCTTGGCCATGGCTGGAAGCGCTGCCCTGCCGAACCTTGTACCTGTCCAATCCCAGTGTGGTTTGAAAAGCCCCATGCCTGACTCAAGAACGGGTCCTGGCGAGGAAAGTGACGGGCTGGTGGCGAAGTTAGAGAACACAGCCGAGGATAATCCAGTGGAAAAATCTGAGCTGGATCCGCGCTCTCTTCGTTGTTTCATGATGGCTGACTTGGTCTCATAAGGGAGCCCAATCCACTCTTCATCAGGTAGCCAGTCCGGGCACTGGTTGAACGCAGAAGGATATTCAACTGGAAAGTGCTGCGGAATATTCTGATCAAGTGAAACATGAAACATGGAGGGATCGATAGGTAAAAGTACCGGCGCAGCTAAATGTTCAAACTCGGTTTCTGCGATACCCATATGGTAAAGTACAGGTGGTGCGATCCCTGAAGGACGAGGAGTCTCATCGTTCGAAGGTATGAACTCCTCCGAGGTCGGTGTGGGGACGAATTGAGCAGCAGTGGCGCGGAAGGTGAATTCGCCAATTTTAGCCTCAGGCTGTGTTGATGGCTTGGAGATGTGGGTCTTCACGGGACCGCATCTCAGTACCGCAGGATCTCTCTCAGGTGAGGAAGCACAAGAGATGTGACGAGAATGGCAGGCTGCCTGAAATTCGTGCATCTTGCGTACTTGTTGCGCATCCTCAGTAGTGGAAGATGGATCAAGAGATTCTTTAACGTGGTTGCGGCTTCCACGATTCTCGGCTTGTCGAATGGTATGAGCCACGGCAGTCTGCTTGATGGCGTGAAGTAACAGTGCGGAGCTGGTATCTGTGGCGGCCGTCGAAGGACCATACGTGCTCGGTTGCTGCAAAGTCTCTGGTTTGGTGCTAGGTTCAGCAATGGTCGCCTCGAAGTCGTAGTATCCAACAGACTCTGCCTGGGCACCGCCTTGAGTGGGAATCATCCCTTTCGGCTGCTTGAAAACAGAGTCTCTTCGGGAGGCCATGGATACAGTCGATTGTGATTGACTTGACACACTAGACAACCGTCTTCTAATAGGTTCAAGGATGGCTGCTCTGTCGATTGATTTGCAAGCAGCCTTGTCAATCTTGACAACTTGAGGAATCTGATCAGCCACACGGTCAGGCGAGTTGAGATGATGTTTAGTAGATGTAGCGGCGATCAAGATTCTAGAAGGACTACCAGGGCGAGGCAAGCTGCTGGAGGGGTCTGGAATGTTGATTCTGAGGTCAAGCTTTGTCTTCTTCTGTGGACGCGCAGAACTGCCGGAGAAGGCCTGCATGACGCTGGTCTGATCAAACTCGCATGCTCCGTCCAAACCAAATAGGGTTGAGGCAGTAGGACGGCTAGCATGTACTGGAGGGAGTTTGCGCTGGGATGTACCGAAAGGATGCTGTTGTGATGAAAGCGCGGCTACACCGGATGGCGTATCGGCACGTACGGACTTGGGCTTGCAAGGAGAAGGAGCTCTGACGGAGTCGTTCGACCCAGCAGTGCGATGTTTGGAGGCCTTTGTAGGCGAGGCATAGCCTGGCGTCTTTGACGCTGTGGTCTTGGAGAGTGTAGGCTTGCTCGGCTTGGACTTGAGTGAGCTGTCTTTAGAAACGGATAGCTGAGCGTGCGGGCCTCTGACGCGAGCGGTACGCTGCATGGGCTTGTCAGAATCCTGGTGAGCTGCCACTGGACCATCTTCAGGCGTAGGTTGAGGCGACCGGACCTCATCGTTCATCTTCATCCACGCTTGGGGGAGCGACTTGCGTGTGTGTCGATCGGAGATAGTCGTCTGCTGCTTCTGAAGGCGGTAACTACGTCCGGAACGGTCGACAACGCACCAATCGTGGTCTTCCTCTTGGGAGGAGGAGGGACGAGTCACGGCTCCTGGCTCGGAGGAGTTACGGGATGGCGTCTCCTGAGCCACAGGGGATTTGGATGGCTGATCGGGAAGAGAGTTCTTAACAGCCCCTGCATACGACTGGGGAAGAGTTTCGTTACGCGGGGCAGTGGCTCGAGACAAGGCAGGGAAGCTTCCGAAAGGTACTGCTTCAGTGACCGAGGTGGTGGCTGAGGTCGATCGACTTGATGGCAGCTGGCTGTTTTGCTCATGTATCTGCTGCAACCTAGCTGCTGCAGAAGAGGCGGGATGTCCGAGTTGGCGGACTCTGTCTAGCACTTGCTGCAACTGTTCTTCAATAGCCTTGTAGTACTCGGGTGGTTTTCCGCCGCTGATGATGTCGCTGTAGCGGCGCTCTGCTTCCTGAGCAAACTGCTGTTTATCCTCGCTGCTAAATGTCAGAGAACAAAATACAGGGTACCAGGATACTTGGAGAGCACTAACCTTCTTCCGTGTGCATTGAAAATCATGATGCTGCAATGAATAAATGTCAGTGCCAAAGACAAATCAATGGATGAGCCGATGCGCACCTTAATATAATTTGTGTGATATGGGACAATGGATGGATAAGTTGATGAGTGTCTTGCTCCAAGGCAATTGTTTTGACAAGGTTGACACCTTCGGCTGCGCTGGGTGCTTCGTCGGGAAGCGCTTGGACTGTCGCGCCTTCTGTTCTGATGATTTCTTGCTTGTTGGTGGAGTGCGGTTGGGCTAGAGGGCTCGCGCGGTGACAAAGCTTGACGAGAATAAACTCTTGATGTTGGCAATGACCATAATAATGGTATTGATACTGGCACATGATGTGCAAATTGATCTTTTCTTCAACTGACAATGGCTGCACTCATTCGATGAGTCGTCACTCTAAGCCAATTAGCGTGCCACGAGATGATTGATGTGAGATGTTCGAGTGCATGCGACAAACAGACAAGCGCAAACGACCGGCGACACGTCCTCGCCCAAGAAAATCAACACCGAGAAATTCACGATCTCGGTACCTGGATCGTCCTGGTGATTCAGAGAATGTACGCAGACGAAACTCGACGGCTGAAAATGGCTCCTGCACACAAGAAACAGTCGAATTCTTGGAATAATCTTCGTCACTAATGTATCAGCACTTGAAGGTGAGCAGCTGACAACGCCTTCTTCCAATTGCTCCGCTAACCTCATCACTTGATACTTGAACTTTACATCACTTGATAGCCAACCGCCAGCACTATTCGAGGAGAAGAGCTTGTCGCAAGAACTTCTCGATTTCAAGACGCAGTGACTACTTAGCTTAGAACCGCCTTTTCCGCTTTACTGGCGCTTTTGGTTTCTCGTTCAGGTTGTCTTTCAACTCTTTCCTCTTCCTGTCGGCCCTCTCCTCTGATGTCTCTCTTGGAGTCGGTTCTCTTTCCTCGCTAGCTTTGCGCTTGGTTGCTCGAGTCTGCCGGACTTCAGCCGTGATCTCGCGACTCTCACGAGCGCTAGACCCTGGATCCAGGTCCGACCCAGAAGCCTGCTGTTCTTCTTCCATGATGGAAGGGGCCTGTGATGACCATCTATTGAGAGAAGGCTGGGACTGCTGCATCTGAGAGCTTCCTCGTCCAATCTCACCAAGCCTACGTCTTCGTGATGGAGATACCTGGCTCTGAGGAGGCAACATAGATGACGGCGTCGGTGACAGCATTGTTCTCGATCGCAGGCCACGATTCGTTCCGGCTTCGGCAGGGGGATTGGGAGGTGAAGAGGGAGGCAGTGAAGGCGGCAGGGCTTGAGAGCTGGACCTACCTCCGATCGCCCCCAAGCGTCTTGCCTGTGTGTTGGAGAGTTTACTTGGACTGCTAGGCACTAGTGGCTCCACGTGTCCAAGGCGATGGTTGATGGGCATAGGAGGAGGAGACGAAGTGACTTGATCGTCGTCAGTGCTATCGTCGTTTGCATGCTTCAATTTATGCTTTCGTCGAGCTGAGCGGACCGGAGAAGATATGTCGGCAGGCATCTGTCTCTGCAATTGTTCTGGTATCGTCTGTGTCTGCTCACTCTGTTAGTCAAGTCTTCGGTAGCAATGTTGCGCATACCTGAAAGTCTAGATCATCGTCTGTCTCATCATCTAACAGATTGTCAGGCATAGGCACATTGACTGCTATGCTTCCCTGCTGCTTCGTCATGTCCTGCCACCATGTCTCCGACGGCGCCTTTGCCAATCCTGGTATTACACGACCAGACACATCACGAAGAACGGCATAGAGACTCTCTGCCGTCGGTGACGGTCCACTATGTAGAAGCTCGGAGCCAGGCTGGAATGGAGCGAGGCCCGGTACACGACTGGCCACATGGTGCCTCTTCAAAGACCTCTGAGAATTCCTGCCAACTGAAACTCCTGGGAAGACAGAACCAAGATCGGTATTGGTGGCTTCCATCTTGTCAAGCAATCTTGACATGGCATGATCTTTGTCTTTGAGTTTTTCGAGCAGGAAGTTGAGCTGTTGCTGCTGTTGATGAGCCAGAAGAAGAAGAGGAGAGATGACTTCAGAAACCACTTCGGTCGATGTAGCCTTGGTGAGTACCATGTTCCACTCAAAAGGAGGCAAGGGAGGCGGTAGGGGAGCTTTCAGTGCGAGGGTAAGGTCATTCGGAGGCTGCAAAGCAATATGGACGGTAGTGTCGTGTTCATGACGAAGAACACGGCGGATCTGCTCAAGCAGTATTTGCAATTGGACGGCATCATCACCAGGATTGATGCTGCAGCTTTGACTCTCGGCGTTACGTATGATTTCCGGATTGGAGAGACTTTCTACCCATATGTTTGCAAGGTCGGTGATGGACACGGTATAGCCAGCTTCACTGATAACATACTTGACGAGAAGCTTGGGTAGCCCTTCAAGGTCGAGATTGAGCAGCTCCCAGCGCCCCTCCGTGCCCATGTTGCAATTTCTGGATCATGAGGAAAGTCAGAGAGTGGGTGTCACTTGATTGCACGGACGAAAGTTGAGGACTGAGAAAGTGAAGGTCGGTGGCTGGTAACAAGGGCTGGTAGAAACAACTCGGGCCTTGGCGCGCGTCAGAGAAGAGGGTCGAGATGTCGACGCGCGCGTGGACGGACCAGAATAGACCGAGACATGTTTGCTATCAAGTAAATTATCTTCGAATCATTCCATCTGGTCGAGCACGATAATTCCAAGACCCCGGAGCATTGCGAATAGACGACTGGCCACCATGGATCACGGGGCTATGCGACGCGGCGGCCAACCCAGATCCAGCATTCCAGCCAAAAGATCTGCCGCGGATGCCCAAGAAGAAGCGTGGGTTGCTGGGGAGGACCGCTTTGTGCTCAAGCAAGCGAAGAAGAAGGCCATCATAAGAGCCCGCGCCGGTAGAGCGGACCCTATCGATCTGCTCGCCGTCACTCTACGTGCCCTGGACGCTACCCGGGACGGCTACGACAGCGACGACGATGAGGAGGAACTGCCCGCCGTCGATCCCGAGGGTGTCTTCGAAGGCCTCGACGACATGCAGCTGCACGAATTGGACAAGGCCATCGACACATATCTGGCATTGGAGCACAGCAGAAGTAATCGCGACTTTTGGAATGTACGTGCTTGGTCCACCCGGCTTGCTCGAACCTTGAACTGATGCTTCGTGCTAGACAATGAAGGTCATTTGCAAAGACAGACGGTGTGCTGCTCCCGGGAAACTACAGACCGCACGTGGCATGTCATCCGTCACTCCAGAAATCGATCGCTTGCTTGCCCCGAAGACGCACGAACAACTCGAGGCGCTGGAGAAGCAGGTCAAGGCGAAGCTGAGGTCCAACGACGATATTGATGTCGACTACTGGGAAAACTTGCTCAAGAGCTTGTCCATCTACAAGGCCAAGGCCAGGTTGCGCCAAGTCTCCAAATCCGTTGTAGGTGCTCGTCTGCTCTCTCTGCGACAACAGCAAGAACAAGAAGCTCTGGCTCTGCAAAACAAAGTCAGAGGAAGCCTGGCTTCTGCCTCGCAGGCCTCCTCGGAAGAGCTTCATCTGCAAGCAGGAGCGGCTGCTTCTCTAGACCCCGAGCCTCTACTGCGCTTGAATCCGGAAGACAAGACTTTGGTCTCGTTGGAAGAAGAGGACTTCAAGCAGAAACTGGTATGCAATGACTCCGTGATTTTTGCAAAGGTAATCTGCTGACCAAACACTAGATCCAAGACAGACGCAGAGTCCTCAAACTGGGGTACATTCCAGCTCGTAATAGCAACAAAACACCGAGCACCGATCTGGTGCCGTCATCTGAACAAAAGCGTGACGACGTGTCTCGCGTGACAAGCGCACTATACGACCGAGAGGCTGCGAGAGGCTTCAATGATAATGAGGAGGCTTTCAATGCCGAGGAAGACGTCTCGTCCGGAAGACCTAAATGGGCCGACACATACCGCCCGAGAAAGCCACGCTATTTCAACAGAGTCCAGATGGGCTATGAGTGGAACAAGTACAACCAGACTCATTACGACCATGAAAATCTTCCTCCCAAGGTCGTCCAGGGCTACAAGTTCAACATCTTCTACCCCGACCTTGTTGACTCGACCAAAGCTCCCACCTTCCGCATCGAGCGTGAGAATGGTCGTAAACGAGGCGAATCCTTCGCACCCGCCGGCGCCGAAGACACATGCCTGATACGCTTCATTGCAGGTCCTCCGTATGAAGACATTGCTTTCCGCATTGTTGACAAAGAATGGGACTACAGCGCAAAGCGTGAGCGTGGCTTCAGAAGCAGCTTTGACAAGGTATGTTGCAAAATCTTCCTCCTTCCCATATGCATGTGCGGAGCTCGGTCGAGATGTGTTGGTACATGCCTTCGTTTGAGTCTACGTCAATCTTGTCATTCTTGCCGTGCGTTATGCCTTGCCGACGGCAGACACAGTGCACCGCATCATTCCGAGAGTGACTTCGAAGCATACTGTTTTTCCGCATATAGATGCTTCCAATATCTCGGCTCGATGCCATGCAGATCATAATGCGTTGGTCTAAGCTTTTCTGACATGTTACCACAGGGCATTCTTCAGCTGCACTTCCAGTTTAAGAAGATCTATTACAGAAAATGAGCGCCCATTTCGCATTGCCGCGTCATGGCACCCCAACACATCAGCGTCACCGAGCGGTCAGTCACTGCTCTAAAGAGCCAGGAATACAACTACGACTTCATGTTTTGCTGCATGTCAATTCCAAATCATGCATACTCAGAAACGCTCATTGGTCCGAAACATGTGTATCATCGACGCCTTTGCTGCAGGGCCCGGCTTCACGCATGTCTGTACACGGGATCTCAGCATGCTTTCGTTGTAGACTCAACATCGCTTTGACATCAGGCAGACCATGATCCACAGAGACCAATGGTTGGGCTAAAGCTGCTCATATCGTTCTTGTGCTAACCCCAAAAGACGACTTTTGGAGAAATTATCTGGTAGTGTAGAGTTTGCTGTCATTCAAAATCACTATCTGACATCAAGCAGACTCCTACCCTTCTCTATCGAAGACAGTATGAATTAAGTGTTTGACAGGCGAGTACATGGCTGCGTACAATGCCATGCAGCAACATCTTTCAAACAGGTCCTACTGCTTTGACCAAATGCTGCCAGAGTGAAGAGACTGGTTAAACTTCGTACTAATGCGCAGTGCGTGTGTGTGGTGCCTGCAGCCGCTCGCCTGCATCACTAGGTGACACAGCACGACGGATATGCCTTCCGGAACATTCGGGCGTTACCCTCTCCACGTCTTGGTGATTGAGCTTCGCAGTGGCCACCGGATGTGCCATGGGGCTGCGCTTTCATGGAATGCTCTAGCTCCATAGCATCCAAGCCCTCTTTGTGTCCCTGCTGAGATATATCCGCTGTCCATTGTGGAACGTCTGAATTGGAGCCTCTAATGCTTTTTGTCATGCGACTGACCACTCCCTGGTGCTTCTTTCAAGCCAGCTCGGAAGAGCGTATTGGAAATAGCATACATTGTGCTAAATGCTCAACGGGATCTTTCTTTAATTCTCGGTCTGATCACTGGATGCAAGAGCATCAAATTTGCCCTGACTGGTCACATCGTGACAACCGGCTAGTAAGAGCTCTACCCTCGTGGACATCCAAGCCTTTGTCACGTTGCATAAAAGGTCCTTCCGATCCTTCTCCATACGTGTCTCAGATCGTTTTATATTCACTTCACATCCACATCGACATCCACATCAACATCAAAGCTCTAGATTGGCTCAGCTCGTTGCGACACTGTTGCATCTTTCACTTCGTGCTTGCAGTATCAATCTATACCCAACAGCATTACGCCATGTCTTCCTATGCGATCTCTTACAACTCTCAGTCGGACTGGTGGAACCAGCCTGTCGATGACATTAATAGGCTGTCGATCGCCCATCACTGCCGTTCTGACAGTATCAATGGTCGCGACTACCCTCTCCAGCAGCACAGCCCGGAAGGCGATCCTGGATTTTTTGCACCATCACAAGCCAATGGAATCTTTCCAAGCAACCAGATCATGCCCAACTACTGGATTGGTGACTTGCCTCAGTTCAACGAGTTATCCATGTCGTTCGCTCTGCAATCGCCTCAAGCTATGCAAGGAGTCTACACGAGCCAATTCGTACCATCAGCATCACTGCCACCAGCTGCTTTCAGTAAGGAGCCTTTGCCTATCGATCAGTTCTCAAGCGGCGACTTGACGACTTTCGACGATACTGCTCCGAATTCATTCTATCACAACATCCATATCCTTCCGCTCTCTGATGTACCGGCTTTAGAGTACGACAGCACATCAGATGAACTCGCGTATAGTCGTCGACAATGGACCGACTCTCCTGTGCCTGATGAATTACACACTCTGGAGGACACTGATGAGGCCGATGACAGTCTGGAGAATTCAGATCCTTGTTATGCAGAGCTACTCAGACAAGCTCTAATGGAGAAGGAGGACGACCACACTATGCTTCTGAAAGATCTCTACGAGTGGGTTCGCACTCACAGTTCGAAGGCCCAGGATCCCAGTAACAAGGGTTGGCAGAACAGTGTGCGACACAACCTATCTATGAATGCGGTTAGTACTTTGAATGTCTTACCAAGCGGCTTTTGCTTACAAAATGCAGGCGTTCGAGAGGGTACCTCCACCCAACCAAGAAGCAGGCACCAAGAAAACAAGTTACTGGCGACTGACTAAACATGCCGTTGACTACGGCATCCGCTCGACCACTCGCTACCGTAAGGACAGCAAGCGCAAGACGCAACGCAATCCCAATCCCGCACCAATCCGAGTTCAGGCGGGCGCCAAGGGTGGGCAGGCGACTCGCCGATCTGTCCGCCGCCAGCAACTGGCTGCATCACCGCTGAACGGCATCTCGCCCTCCTCCGACATGACGCGCCAACGTAATCTTCGTCGTCCACATCAGGTTCACCAACATCCCAGCACTCAGGTCGAGACATCTTCGTTACAGCAAAGAGTTCCGCAGACAATGTCTACCAATACGTCTTACTTCAACAGCACGGCAGATATGTTCAGCCTTTCCAATGCTTACCCCGTGGACAACAAGATTGATGAGACCGGTGATCTTCTGAGGCCTTACGTCGGCGCTCAACCCTATCTTGATTGGTCCGCCTCGCCTTCACCGATGGATCATGTGGCTAGTGAAGCTGGTGTTTGGCGAATGGATCAAAAGAATATGGGTCTCTGAGCATTCTTCGAGGCACAATCATACGGCCAGGCTCACGAATGCTGCAAATGCACTCCAGCTTCAATATAAAGTGAGTACATGGTACTATCTTGCAACTGATCTGACCTGGCGGCTCTCGAGACATGGCTGGATATGGAGGCTCAGCGTGTTGTATAATAGATTGGTCTGCATTTAGGGCTCGCTAATCTCAGTGTCTTGCGACCAGCTCAATCTTTCAGATGCCTGCCTAGGTACACGTCAATTCTGAACATATATTCCAATGTCGACTCAACCCCCTTGCCTTTTTGACATTACCATAGTCTTGGTAGCCTCGTATTATCGAGAAATGAGATGGTGAATTGTGACTCGCTTGGAATGGTGCTCGAGAACAGGCCATGCATTGGCGTGATCCGTGATTCACGAGCACAAGGCAGACATACACAGACGTGGCACTGTGGAGCACTTCGCCATAGAGATCAGTTGCTGCGAATGGCGGTCGCGACACTGTCGTACAGAATAGCTGTCATGGAGTGCAGTGACATATGCGGGAAGGCTTTGCAAGTCTGGCGTTGTGGCACTGCATATCCTTCACAGCAGTGGCTCTTTCTGTCACCCAGCCGGGGAATTTTTATCAAATAGCATGTACGATTTACCGGGCAACAGCTGCCACAGTGCCTGACATCAGGAACGCTAGCTCATCGTGTGACGGGACATCGAGCACATGCTACATTGTCTCGGTTGTCTATTTTATCCTTCGATACTTGAAATTTGGCCTTTGTGACATCGTCAAGAGTGTTTCAATATAGCTAATTCAAGTTAATGTGGTAGGCTTCCCTTTTGACAATGAATCCCATTGCGTGCACCCGGGACTTAGAACAGATCCGGCAGCCCCGGTGCCGGCAGCCTTTTGCGCCAGTGTGCATCTTCTTTCATCCACCTTACTGCGGGGATTCATTTCCTCCAGGATACTATGTTGGCAGGTACTCGTCTGATTCGTCCCTTCTCCAAAGCAGCACAATCTCGCCCATCCCTGCGAATCTTCATATCTTGCAGCAGAAGTCTTTCTGTTCTGTTGTGAGAGTCCTGCTGCGGCACCAAATCTTATGCGCTCAGGTGACCTGGTTATCAACGACGCTGTAATCTCATCGCAACCTGGACAGCGGGTCAGATGTATCTCGATACGAATGCAAGATACATCTTGAAATCATTGCCAGTTCTGACACTGCCTGCATAAAGTGCTAGCGAGGGTGAGTTGCCAGCAACGAAGAGTCGGAGACAGTTGCGCTTTGCGAGGCGCCAAAGCTAGGCTGTTGTGTCCCCGAAACCATACCCTCGTCGTCTGCCTGAGGCCTCCGGGATTTCTTCACCCCTGCTACTTGGGTTACACAAGACCAGTCAGTAAACGGCGGTGCAGACGTGCAGATATTCCTTGCAGTCGGCTCACTCATGTGCTTGGCACGTCATGTCAAGGTTGACATTCGGCAGGCTTCGAGAAGCAAACTCTATGTCAACAACATCGATTGCTACTTCCAGAGCCGAGTGAGTCGAGGAACAGCCGCATACTTTCGAGGAATCTTTTGGTCCTTATGAGTTGACTTTAACATTTACCTGCAGCAACGCGCCTACCTGCTTTTCCGCCGATGCGACCACCGCGTCTAATCCGCCATTCGCATGTCGTCCTCACAATTTCATTACCAGGTACACACCGCTAAGCTGCCATTGAAACGACCCGAATGTACTGCATCCGATCCTGGCGCCCTTGCGAAATCTGTTGTCGGATACCCACAGATGCAAGAATCAAAACACATGCACCTCACGAATGTCACTTGTCGATGCTCAGCCGATCGAAGTCAATACCAGGTTTGATTGACGCCTCTGATGCGGCTACCCGATTAATTGTCAGTCGATCACGAGGCTTCGACTTTCTGGTCTATACATGCAGTCAAAGATTTCTTACTCGGAGGGTCTCATGAATTCGAAATCCAAAGCATCAGTACATGAACGCAGGTAGCGGTCTCATGGCTACTATGGTTTACTGTATTCTGGCGAATCGAATTTTTCAGTAACACCACACACTCAATCATATGAGGCACATGTGAGTCCAATCGGCGATAGATTCCGCAACTCAGATACGAACTGCTTCTGCTTTTAGATTGGCTCATCATCGAGCTGAGTCTTCTAGCTGCCGAAAGATCCCTGCAGTACCAAGGATATCTGCCGACATCCCACTAGCGCTCTTACGGTGTAACATCACATCTGCAGTCACCTGAAGAACGAGCTGTCAACTATTACGATCACCTCACATCGTTCATATGGCACCGTTGAGACGGTACGGCTCGAACATGCATGCAGATCATTGCAACTTCCCAGAAGGGATTTCTACGTGTCAGCTATATGTCTTTGTTGTCTGACTGATGAATGCTGACTCGGCTATATACCATGCATGTCTGCTTTCTCCTTGCATACAATTCAGTATGTTGAAAAGACCATCGTATGGTTGGGTCATCGTGTGTAGAGGCTGGTAGGACACGATGCTCGTCCCTCGGACTAGGTCTCGACTTACACTCGTAGATTCGATCGGATGCTCTGCAGTCGTCGCGCAGCAGTCTTTGAGCATCTCTGTTCTCTCCAAGCCTCCGGCCTGCTTCCAAGCTTCACCTCTGTAGGCACAGGCGATAAAGTTCTTGTCATTTCTCATCGCCACGATTGTAGCCTCGTTTTCTTGGGCTTGACGCTTTAGTCTGGCAATCTCGTCATCGCGTTGTCTCGGAAGCTGGATGGCTTCGAGACCTCTGAGCGATTCAAGGTCATCGCCATGCTCGCCCTTGCTTGTCCGTTCTGGTGGGTTGGAAGATTCCATGAGCCTCTTTATGCCTCGCACATGCATCTGTTTGATCCGTATGAGCTCCATGATCCTCAACAGCTTACTGTCCTCCGAAATCTCTGCCTCTGCGGCTTGGAGTAAAACTCTGAGCTCCGCATCAACGGTTTTGTATTCTTCATTCTCTTCAGTGAGTTGTTTTGCTGCTGCTTCTGCCACCGCAAGTGCTTCTGCTGCAGTACTGCGCTCAGAAAAGAATTTATCGACCATAGCCTGGTCAATATCCACAGATGCGAGTACTGTCTTGCTGTCTTGCAGTTCTTTATAACATTGGTTGCTCTTTTCCTCTAAATCTTCGTAGTTCTTTCCAGCGGCCTTGAGCTGCTCTTCTAGAGTCGCAATCGCGGTTTCACGGTCTCGCGTGAGTGTTTTCACTTGCTCCGTCAAGGTATCAATGGTGTTGTCGCGTTCCACAAGGGCTTTGACATAGTCGTCGTTGTCCACAGTCAAGGCTACGTGATCGTTTTGTAGGTCTACAATGTAGTCGTATTGATCTTTGAAGGCTATGCGCACACTCAGCATCAATCATTCTCTTCTAAATCGTGGAACGAGGATTCATTCTTACCGTTCTCGATGGCTAGCACTTGGTTCGCGAGCCTAACCTCTTCAACGTATCCTTCGAGGGCTGTGCGGGAGCCTTTGGCTTCTTTCCTACCATAGTGTCGCCCTTCGAAAATCAGGACATGAGTTCGCAAGAAGACACGGCCGCAGAGTTCCTTCTTGGGATCGAAAGACAAAGGATGTCCTTGCCGCATTCTGAGGAAGGGGGGGGTTGCATGTGAGGCTCCCTTGCTGTTACCTTTCTTTATCTTTGTTCGAACAAAGGACGAATCACCCAGCTCTATGATCGATTGAGGGACTGCCTTTTTCCAATAACTTGACTGTAATCCGATTTTCCTTGCGACAACCATTGACTTGTCATTATATGGAAGGTGCAACCGAGGCCTTGGGATAACCAGGGTTAGCCAGCTGACAAGCACAAAACCACTTCTCGACGACAATGCTCGCTACATTTCACTGCTGACACCTTTCTATTCAGCTTAGAATAATACTCGATTATTTATCTAGGACCGATTCGACTTTTATAGAGTTAGACCTTGTCGTTGAAAAGTTATGTCAAACTTTCGTTTTCTAGATGCTGTGTTCTGGAATCTGGTCTACGACCAAATTCGTCGTGACCACAGGTCGAGACCAAATATTACAAGGCAAGTTTTGTCGGATAGATGATACGAATACAACACTCATACACGAGCGCATCGATAACCTACGCAATCTACACATTCATTTCACGATTCATTACTAAGACATCACCCAGGAGAGATCCTTTGAGAACGCCAAGCCAAGACATTACTGCGGATGACAGACATCAAAAACAGCGAGATTTCAAGACCTTTCAAAAGAACGAAAAAGTCAAGAGATATGAGCTGGAATAGAAAAAAAATTGATTTGAAAAAAAAAGGGTGCAAAACGTACAGCAGCAGGGATTCCCACGTGGTCACCCACCGTAGTACTAATCTGCCGTTCAACTGCTTATGTATGGCAGAGCGGACGGGATGCCCAGTTTTCAGCTGACTGTGGCCGTACGTGAAAGAGGAACCAATTTTTGGCAATATGTACAGCGCAGTTGGCACGCTCTCCTCTCGAAGCAAACTTCCAAGTGATAGTCAGGCCTACGCTCGCCTCGAATTCAAGCCGTTGTTAATCATGAGCTGCCACTCAAGAACTTCTGAACCTCTGTCGCCAAGATCTCATGAACATGAGTAGTCAAATGCGCAGTGTTGAACCAGAAATACTCGTCCATAGGTTGACACCCATAAGCAGTAGCATCTGCGACAACATTAGGCTGATTCCAAGCTGCACAGAATCCAGTGGTGTTCTTGATACCATACGGCGCTGGGTTCTTCAACACACCATTCAAAAAAGTGTTGGTGTCGAAGAGTGCGACGTTTGAGTCGGCATTGGTCTTTTGGAACTGGGCCGCCTGGTTTGCGAGGATGGAGTTGAATTGGTTGACCATGCTAGAGTTGGGCAATGGACGTCTCTTCAGCACGTTCTTCGGTGTCTTGTCCAAAGGTGCGAGGTTCATGATGAGGAAATTGCGATAGCCAGCATCGTGAATGGTCTGCATGGAAGCGAAAAGAGTAGCGATCATATTGGTGTACAAAGTTTTGAAGGGTACAGTGGAAGTGGCGGTGTCGAATATGTCATTTGTACCAATCCAAAAAGAGGCGAGTGTTGACTCCGGGGTGGTGATGTTGGAGAGAGCGGGTTGTGCATATGTCAAAAATTGTTGAGTCTGGTTTACGAGAGGCACCGTGAAGTACTTGTGTCTAGGGGTGCTGATAATTTCGTTAGCCACGTGCACAGAGCGATGGAATATTATAAGCCAACTTACTATTGTGTTCCGATATCCGCGCCGGCAAAAGCAAAGTCCCACAGTTGAATGTTGCAATCCAATGGTGAAGTAGTACCAGCATTGACTCCACAGCCAGTGAGATGCTCGAGCCAGTTTGGGCCGCCTTCCGCGGTACTCGTCTTTGCTCGTCAGAACAAGTCTCGAAAGCTCGATTGAAACATGATCTTACCTGGCTCTGCACAATCTCGCTGCTCAAAAGCTTTTGACTTGAGAAGCCAAGGTTTTGGTAGTCTCCGATGAAGCTGTAGTTCTGGCGACCTGAAGTGCCCAAAACGTATGAATAAGAGTCTCCGAACGCAATGCTATACAGATCAGCTTTGATCTGGCGGTGATGTTTCAGACAGGATTGGTCTTACACATTCGTTGTGTTTGCCCAGATATTCTTAGATGGCGCAGATAGGCCTGCTAACGACAAGAGAGGCTTGATGAGCATGATAATATGATCGTAGATTGGATGGGCTGTGACTGTGATTGCGTGTAAATCCGAGACGTGTATCGTATTGATGTGTGGAGCACATTGGAAGCGCAATGTCTTCCACATTATATAGGCTCGATTCATGCCGATTTGACGGTATCCGAGAAGTACAATAGCTACGATGATGCGTATGAAAAATCTGCATAGAGTTCTGGAAGGTATACTCAAATGGTCAACAACCGCCTGATTTAATTCGAACTTGGCAACTCTAAAGGTTCTCCGCGGTGGCAGAGCGCTGAATACATGGACAGCGTGAGACGTCCGAGCGAGAGAACAAAGTCAAAGAAGAAGAGAAGGTGCAAAGAACGATGTGAGACAGCGGACTCAAGGTTCCGGAGTTGCGGCTGCGCAACCTCAAGCCCTGTAGCGTTGACCTACCGTCTGAGACGAGACATACCGTTATAGGTACAAGATACATCCACAACTATTAGGCAGCATGTGGCTAGCATACTTAGTAAATTAAGTTGAGAGCACTTTCGATTTGTCGTGATGACGACTTATCACACGTGCGGCCGCTATTTCTACACGTGAAGGTGTGCCGGATGTTTCAATCGAAGAATGTCGGTATGCCGCAAGAGGATGGCGCAGGGGTGAAGGAAAACGGCAGGTACATTGTTCGTCAGCAGCCCGGCCACTGACGAATGAAAACAGCCAAGAGGAAATGCTCGAATCCAGAGACATGCGAATTTGAGAAGTCTTGATAATCCCAAGTCTGCGAGAAGACTTCACAAAAGAAGAAGAGCGATCGAGGCTGATGTCAAATGGGTGCCAGATGACGACCGGGCGACGCCGCCTTGGCATCGAGTCTCGTCATTGCGTGGTCCGAGTCATGGGGTCCATTTCACATGCGGAGTCCAGCTCCATTGACCACAATCTCCTTCAACACATCTGAAAGATGACTCTCACGATTCCAACTCCTCTATTCGCGTACAAAACACCAACTTCGGACATCGTTTACACTTTGGACATATTTGTACTTTGTACTGCCGTGCTTGGACCAATTGCTATTTACGTTGTGAAGGGCGGCTGCCATTGGAACATACTGATATTCACCGTGGCCTCTATTTGCTTCCTTGCTCTGACTGCACAGCGTGTCGGCGGCAGACATGCGAATCGAAGAGATCAGAGGGTGCTGGGCATTCGAGATCGTCCTGGAAAACACTCTCGGTTTTCCACGATTGTCAATCATCTACACCAGCCACAAGACGATACCAAGCACCGCAGACGGGATGAATTTTGTCCAATCAGCAGAAGACATGCCGGCATCGTTGGTTGTCTGCTGAGCGGGAGGAGCGCTTCCGGTGTATGTCGAATTACCCATCGTGTTGACGCCACCGAACATGATTTTGAATACCCAGCTGTACTCATCACCAGCAATCACAGCATCGCTAATGGTCAGCTCCAAACTCCCATTGCTGAGCAATTTCGAGGGTACGACACTGCCACTCATGTTACCACCCACGACAGTAACTTGATCGCCAGTGACGTATGGCACAGGGCTGTCCAAGACCAGCGTGGAGTTTGGTGGATATAAAGTTAAGATGTAGAAGGCATTGGGTGTTTGCGTGAAGCGGACAGTGTCTCCTTCTTCAGGAGTGATGAACCAATACGTAGTGTTGAAGATGGCCTCTCCGTGGGATTTGATCCACTTACCCGCAGCTCTCAGATTCTGCTTCTCAATATCGACGATTGTGCCGTTGGCCTGGGGTCCAATGTCCAGCAGGAAATTGCCGTTCTTGCTGGTGATGTCGATCAAAGATGCAACTATATCAGCAGGTTTGATGTAGGCAGAAATTGGCGTCGCTCTGTTGTATCCGTATGAGAAGGGGTCCATGCCCAAATTACTTTCCCACTTGCGCATCTGCACAGCTTCATAACGGGCATACTCGGGTGTATCAAAGTCGCCTGGAAGACCGCAGCGGTTGTTAATCAAGACTTGCTTACCCTGAGCTGCCATGTTGTTGAAGTACTCAGCAGAGAACTCGGCTGTGAGATTAGGCCCTCCGATGTCGCACTTAAGCCAGTGTCAGTAAAACTCTTGCATGATATTGCATCAAAATCTACTTGCCCACATGATCTCGGTACCCATCTGAGCCAAGATCTGCATTTCAGGAAGAATGAGGTCCGAGACAAAATCATTCACTGGCACATAACCCGTGTAGGCCAGTGTCTCGTTGGTGTAAGGGTTGGTGGCATTACCGCCTGGCCATCCGGCGCCATCAGCTTCACCGAACCCATACTTCTTGTAGTCGGGATGGAACCATTCAGGTAAAGAAAAATACGTGGCTTTGTGGAGGTGTGGTTGGTACTGCTCGGCAGCATCGAACAGCATCTGCAGCAGGTTCTTGTGTGGTACTTGGGCAACACTGGTTCTCATCGTAATGTTGGCTGGGATATCGAAGAGGGCATAACCTTCATGATGCTTCGACACCTGGACGAAGTATTGAGCTCCAGCGTCAGCGAACAGATCGACCCACTCCTTAGGATTGTAATGCTCGGTGGTGAAATTCTGGATGAAGTCATCATAGACATGATCCTGGCCGTATGTCTCGAGATTGTACTCATAGAAGTCGGCTGAGTTCGAACTGTCATTGCCCTGGTTCATGTACCACCAGTACCACTCTGCATATTGCTCTGCTCGCTATTAGCTGTGTGTTACCAGTATGATCATTAACCTTTGTGCAATCACCTTTCTTTCCAGAGTTGCCCCAGCCAGGGACAGCGTAGACTCCCCAATGGATGAAAATGCCGTATTTGCCGCCAGTGTACCAAGGAGGGCTCTCATGACTATAGATGCTCTCGTATGTGGCTTCGTAAGTTGAGATGCCGAAGGTTGCGCTGAAACTTGAGCTTGTTTGCACGCCTGCGCCTGTGATACGCAAGGTGGCCTCACCCGAAGTACCAGGTTGTGTTCCGCCAGCGTTGATAACACCGATGCGGACAGTAGCTCTGTCTCCAGGGCGAAGTCTGTTGATGATACCCGGATGCACAGTTGTGACGCCTGCAGCTTCGACAGTAACCTTGACACTGTTGTTTGCCAAGATCCAGTCATTTCCAGTATTGACAACGACAGCCTCGAAAATTTGAGTCTTATTCGTGCCTTCCATCCAGAGTTGAGTCGAACGCGCTTGTTGAATCTCAAGGCTAATTCCGGAACCAGTCGCTGTGACGAGCGAGACTGCAAAAATGTGCAACCTCGTATTTTGAGCAGCACCGCCAGGTCCAGTTGCAGCACCTGATGTCACATTGGGTAGCACAATGCTGGAGACCTCTTTTGTCGAATCAAGCCAATTGACCGATTGATATATCATAGAGCGATTGTAGTCCACGCTGCTGTTAGTCAGGTAATATGGAAACACAATATCACCACCATATGGATACGGCCTAGGTGAGAGTTAGATACCGAGACGTTCTGCAGATCGTTTCTACTCACCATGACCAGAATGGATCAACAAGGATTGGACTTGAGGAGGTAGTGTTGTCGGTATAGGTAACGTTCACGTAGCCAGTAGCAACGGCAGACTCCGCCGCTACAAGCATCGAGATACTAGAGTATCTTCCTTGAGAGGGTGTAACAATCTGGCCCTGAGCAAGTACGTTATCGTCGCCCGTTTGCTTATATTGGGGGAATATGTAATTGACGCCTGCATAGGTGAAGTTGCTGTCTGGCAAAAATTGAGCCGGGTATCCAGAATGTATGCCGTCAAAATCAGCATCGCCAGGTGTCATGGCAAAGGCACGGTTATTGACCATGCCCGAGAGATCGATTGGCACAGAGGAGGCATGGCTGCCGGCTTGTTGTAGACCAGCATTCTTTGGATTGATGACTAAGCCTCCCTGACCAAGTGCCAAAGGAACAAGGCCTAGCAGGGCAAGCTTTGGATAGCTCAAAGCAGACATGACGTGCGGTGTATGTGATCTAGGGAAAGGGCATGCCTGATACTAAATACTTATATGTTGTTTCGGAGTGTCTTTCACTCAGCGAACTATGGCTAAATGCATCGGGTATCATGCCTCGTTTGCTCGTGGGGCATGAAGCATAATTGACGTACGATAGACGATCATCAGAGGCGGGGTAGGCAGGTGAGTGCGAGGATGGAACCAGCGGTAGGAACGTCAGGGTAACATGCGGGCCCGGGGAAGAACTACGGACCTGCACAGGTCGAATAGTCGTATCGGCAATTGAGTAGCATTCTAGAAAGTCAAACACTTGCAAGCACTTGGGCGTGTGGCCTGCAAGGACGGACTGCCTCTGGCTGTAGGCTTCACCAGTTCATCAGATGAAATCGTAGAGAATCAAGGGCCACAGTGCGCGGTGTCTTCAGTCGCAGTACTGATGGTGTCTGATGAGTCTCGTTTCTTGATTGGACTGGTCTTGTGTTCCAGTGGAAGATGAAAAGGCGAGAAAGGATCCGGGCATGAACGGCGGAAGGTCGGCAAAAGTGACACGTCTCGACGCGTCGACTCTGTATCGCGTGTCAAGCAACCCACTTTGTCGCAACACATTACCGCCCGCTCGCACGTACATGTCGCGCATTGTATGAGCTGCGACCATGCACATCAAACAGATCATCATCCAGGGCTTCAAGAGGTTTGTCTGAGCACATGTCCCATTACGCAAAGGCCACCCCTAACTCGATGCGCCTGCAGCTACAAGGACCAAACGGTCATTGAGCCCTTCTCGCCAAAGCACAATGTCATTGTCGGCCGCAATGGTTCTGGCAAGAGCAACTTCTTCGCCGCCATCAGATTCGTCCTGAGCGATGCATACACACAGATGGGTCGCGAAGAGCGACAGGCTCTACTACACGTACGTTTGCGCCGCCTGCTGCCTCTTTGCTCTCTCTGACAATCGCGTAGGAAGGTTCGGGCTCTGCAGTCATGTCGGCCTACGTAGAGGTCATCTTCGACAACACCGACGGCCGCTTCCCTACCGGAAGAGAAGAACTGGTCCTCCGCAGAACTATCGGCCAGAAGAAGGACGAATACTCGCTCGATCGCAAGAATGCCACCAAAGCAGATGTCATGAATCTCCTCGAATCTGCGGGTTTCTCACGCTCAAACCCTTACTACATTGTTCCGCAAGGGCGTGTCACGACCCTCACAAACATGAAGGACGGCGAGCGATTGAATCTCCTCAAGGAAGTCGCTGGTACACAGGTCTACGAATCACGCAGAACAGAGTCCCTCAAGATTGTCACCGACACAGACAACAAGCGCGCAAAGATTGATGACCTCCTGGCATACATCCGCGAGCGACTGGGCGAGCTTGAAGAAGAAAAAGAAGAACTTAGGGCATACCAAGAGAAGGACCGCGAACGACGCTGTCTCGAATACGCCATCTATCGCAACGAGCAGGAAGAAGTCGCTGATTGGCTGGCCAGAATCGACGAAGAACGACAAAACGATGTCGTCGGTGCCGATGAACACAGCCAGGACTTCCTCCAGGGCGAAGAAGACCTGAAAGAGATGGATGGCCAGATTAGCCGCCTGAAGCAACAAATCGACTTCCTCAATCTCGACAGACAACAGCTCGAAGACGAGCGCAAGGAGGCTTCTCGTGAAAAGGCAAAGGTGGAACTGGACGTCAAGACTCTCACAGATGGCCAATCTGCCGCTCAATCAGCAAGAACTCGTCATGCCAACGACCTGCAACAAGTTCGCGCCCAGATCGAGCAGCGTGAAGCGGAACTGGCCGAGATTCTCCCCAAATACAATGCCCAAAAGGAGCAGGAGGCAACTATCAAGAACCAGCTTGTCGAGGCAGAGGGACAGCGTCAAAGACTGTATGCCAAACAGGGACGACAGACCCAATTCCAAAGCAAGCGCGATAGAGATACTTGGCTACGCAAGGAGATTGCAGAGATCAACGTTGCTATGGCCACGAGAAAGGCGATTGCTATGCAAGCATCCGATGATGTTGCAGCACTCGAGAAAGAGATCGCGACACTTGAATCGGAAATTGCAGATTTGAGAAGCCGTATCGACAACCGTGGCGACGAAACACAAACCATGGCAGCCGATGTACAAAAGGCCAAGGACGAGAGAGATCGTCTGATGGATCAGCGCAAGGAACTCTGGCGTGAGGAGGCCAAGCTCGATTCAGTCATCACCAACGCACAGCAAGAACTCGAAAAGGCAGAACGCTTCCTCTCGCACATGACAGATCACAACACAAGTCGAGGTATTGCAGCAGTCCGTCGTATTGCTCGCCAACACAACATCCAAGGTGTATATGGTACCCTTGCTGAGCTGTTCGAGCCCACCTCCGACCGATACAAGACCGCCATTGAAGTCACTGCTGGAAATAGTCTTTTCCACTACGTGGTCGACACAGACGAAACTGCTACCAAAGTATTGGAAATCCTTCAACGCGAGAAGTCAGGACGAGTCACATTCATGCCACTCAATCGTCTCCGACCAAGACCTGCCAACATCCCGAACGCGGCTGATGCGGTACATCTTCTGACGAAGATATCATACGAGCAGAAGTACGCGAAGGCATTTGAGCAAGTCTTTGGCAAGACTATCGTTTGTCCCAATCTTGCGACCGCCTCACAGTACGCTCGTAGCCATGGTGTTTCTGCCATCACACCAGAGGGTGATCGTGCTGACAAGAAGGGTGCTCTGACTGGTGGTTTCCACGACCCCAGATCATCACGTCTTGATGGTGTACGGAACGTCCAAGTCTGGCGCGCAGAACACGAGAAGCACCGCAATCGTGGTGATGAGATTCGTCGTGAGCTCGAGGCACTGGATCAGCAAGTCACGAGGGCTGTCAGCAACTTGCAGAAGATTGATCAGAAACGTCTGCAAGCCGAGAACAGCTACGGTCCTCTGCGTCAAGAGCTGCGCAACAAGACCAATGCTTTACAAGGCAAGCACGAGGAGCTTGAGAAGAAGGAGCGTTCTCGTAACGGCGTTGAGCTGGCTGCAAGGCAACTTGGAGAGCAAGGTACTGCCTACGAGACAGAACTGAACACTGAATTCAGAAAAGCGCTCTCAGCGGCCGAAGAGCGTCAGCTGGAGACACTCGGCACAACTGTACAGACCTTGCGTAAGCAGTTCTCAGAGTTGAGCTCCACACGATCAGAACTCGAGGGTCGCAAGGCCAGTCTGGAGGTTGAGCTTCGCGAGAACCTTCGTCTGAGACTTGACCAGCTACAAGCTCAAGATGCCGAGCTCGGTGCTGGTGGTGTTGCAGGTGGCAATGCGCGTCTTGGTGAGAGACAGAGAGAGCTTGAACGTGCAGACGAAGCCTTGTCAAATGTCATGGGCAAACTCGAAGAAGCAGAGGCTTCACTCGAACAAGCACAAACTCAGCTCTCGGAAGCAAACACATCCCGCGAAGAGAAGCAACGTCAACAAGAAGAGCTCGCTCGCTTCATCTCCAAGAAGAAGAGATCGATGGAGAAGAACACTGCCAAGCGTGCCACACTCAAGGAGAAGGAAGAAGCTGTCGGCATCAGCATTCGCAACCTTGGTGTCTTGCCCGAATCAGCCTTCCAAGAACCATACACAAGCATGAACTGGGACAAGGCAGCCAAGAGGCTCAACAAGGTCAAAAATGCTCTCAAGGGCTATGGTCATGTCAACAAGAAGGCTTTTGAACAGTACAACTCTTTCACTCGTCAACGTGAGAGTCTGGAAACTCGTCGCAAGGAACTAGAGAACTCGCTGTCGAGTATCCAAGAACTCATCGACGTTCTGGATCAACGCAAGGACGAAGCCATCGAGCGTACCTTCCGTCAAGTCAGTAAGGAGTTTGCTCGTATCTTCGAAAAGCTTGTCCCTGCTGGAAAGGGTAGACTGGTCATTCAACGCCGTACCGATCGTATTGCTCGTGGTGAGAATGACGAGGAAGAGAGTGGTGAAGACGGTGAGGGTAGAAAGGATGGCGTTGAGAACTACACTGGTGTTGGTATCAGTGTCAGTTTCAACAGCAGACACGACGAACAACAACGCATTCAACAACTCTCTGGTGGACAAAAGAGTAAGCATATTCCCTTGCTCCAATTTCCTTGATACTTCATCCTTACTAATAACAATCATAGGTCTGTGCGCTCTTGCTCTCGTCTTTGCTATCCAAGCATCTGACCCAGCACCCTTCTACCTCTTCGACGAGATTGACGCAAACCTCGACGCTCAATACCGTACCGCTGTGGCTCAAATGCTGTCCGAGTCTTCCGAATCGGGACAATTCATTTGCACAACATTCAGACCTGAGATGTTGTTGGTGGCTGAGAAATGTTATGGTGTCAGCTACATCAACAAGACGAGTAGTATCGATGTCGTGTCCAAGGATCAAGCGTTGGACTTTGTCGAGGGACAGGTCAGTGGCAAGTAGAGAGGTCTGGAAGGAAGGTAGCAAGGAAGCGTGGCGTTTTATCAGTGCTTTTAGGGGGTTTCATAGTTATGGAAGTGGGCTTTATGGCCTGTTCGCTGTTCATGTAATTGGAAGCGTACCAACCACATGCGTGCAAAGAAGATGTGCCATCGTCCGAAAGAAAAAGAAAAAGAAAAAGAAAAAGAAGAAGAAGAAGAAGAAGAAGAAGAAGAAGAAGAAGAAGAAGAAGAAGAAGAAGAAGAAGAAGAAGAAGAAGAAGAAGAAGAAGAAGAAGAA